ACACACACACACACACACACACACACACACACACACACACACACACACACACACACACACACACACTGACTGAATGTGCATGGGCATGGGCATGTGCGCGTGCAGTCCACAGAGTCTCACAGCTTTGAAAGCCCTCGCAAGACATGTCAATGCCATATACCTTACTTAGTATCTTCAGGAGTACAGAACGACCAAGAGAAGTATGGCGAGGCATGAAGGTGGTAACCTAATACCCTGTGCGAAGCCCGACCGTCCTGGCTCTGTAAAGATTATCGAATAGCTTTCATATCTAACCATGCAGCTCTCGGTTTTCCTTTCTGGTATAGCCGTCGTCAGGCGCCCTGAGTTCCTGCTTACCATTTAACCAGCGTAATCTTACTTGTTGCAGAAGGTATCTTGTTGGCTTTCGATAGGCGTTTGACTGTGAGTCGGGACACGTCTTCCAACCTACTCTTCGTAACCCACATACTACCGTGAACGGAAGGTTGGAAAGCGCACAAACTCCCTCCTAATAGCATAGTATCGAGCCTTTCTCATTTTCTGTCTACTAATTCCGCTGAGATATGCTCCGCTTTAGCAAGAGTAGCAATCTAGTGGTGCACAAAAGGCTCTCTGATACTTTTCCATCACCAAGTCCCCAGCCCAAAGCCAATCATGCCGTTAAGCAAACTTGAGAGAGCTCTCGATCTTTTGAAAGCCAGTATTCCATACGCCGCCGTCTGACGAGATGCTAAACCTAATTCCAGGCCGTTGAACAAGTCGCCGTCAGAGTAATGCGGGTGCCATAAACGCCAGTGATCTCGCCCTCGCTCTTCTTGACATGATTGAGTTTTATTCCAGTCCTTTTGCTCTCCTGATTTTGTTGATATCGACAATGCACGACTCTATCTCACAACATGGCAGCCAGTCCCAGAACCGCGGCACCCATGGCCCCCATTGCAGGTAGCACGACTCTGTCGACACCATTGTCAGTGCTTGAGCCAGTTGCAGCAGCCGAGCCAGCAGCAGCAGTCGCACTAGCAGCGGCACTGCCAGCTGCGCTTGTGAGGGATCCAGCCATGCTGGTTGCGGCGGCGATTTCGGAGCCAGCGGCAGAGAGAGCAGAGGAGTACACTGATGCGGCGTCGCCTGTTAGACCAGAGGTGGCGGTGCTCAGGACAGAGGCGGCGCTGGAGAGGAGTGATTGATACGCGGTGTCTGTGCCAACAAGCGAGGAGGCTTCCGAGAGGAGGGAACTGAGGTCCTGTGCTGAGGTGCCGGCGGCAAGGAAGGCAAAGGTGGTGAGGAGGGCTGTGAAACGCATTTTGGTTGTCTTGTGTGGGCAAAGGTTCTCTGGACGAAGTTTGGTGCAAGGAGAGGGTTTGGTGATTGTTTTGGAAACGAGCGAAAGGGAGGGAGATGAAGTCGAGATAAAAGCAGTTTGTTTGCTAGAGTTGAGGTGAGGCAGGAACGACTGTGAGTGGTTTTGCAAATGGGACGGATGAGAGAGAGGCTTTGGAGTGACACTGGGCAAGATCGATACTTAAGTGACCACTCCGTAACAGATTTCTCTTTTGACCGTTTTTGGACCCCGAAACATTGACGAGGTCTTGGTCTTCTTGTTCCTGGATATCCATACGGAGTACGGAGTATCCTGCTCGCCTATGAAGGTGGTTTGACGTCTTAGTCTTGGGAGATGAGGCTTAGGCTCAATTTAAAGGGGCGCAGCCCATGTCCACGCATGTCATACCTCTGTGACTTGGGACTGGTGAAACGCGTGTGCACCATCTTGAAGACTTGTCACTGGGTCACGCGAGTGGATTCGATGGGAAATACTATAGTATAATAAGCAGATGGTCAAATGTTTCAAGGGAGGTAAATCTGTTGGAGAATCTGCAAGGGGCAACGTCCAAAGGGGTAAAGGCCGACAGGCTGCTTGTTGTACAGCATCCACTTGGCCTTTTCTGGGGTCGAAGCGAGATTTGGCGCAGTGGCGCAGATCCTGGAAGACCTGAGATTGATCGTGCATGTCCACAGGTACGAGTACGAGTAGTGAGCAAATGAAATGCCAGACACTCTCCACTGGTTCCCCGATCAGCCTTGCGACATCAACTCACAAGAATCTCCATTACTCAAGGCAATCGACGGGAATTTCTCTTCGGGAGTTACGGAGTATCAATACAAGTAATTGAAGTCATACTTCTTCCTATTACATGCTGAAATTCTACTCGAATCTAATCCACTATGTATAGCAACACAGTATCAGGTATCCCAACGTCTGTCCTCACCACGAAACCTTCCCTGAACCCTTTGAAGAATACTTCGTCACGCTCCAGAGTCCTCCTCATCTTTGGCTAGGCGCGGTAGGAGTAGACTCGTTCTCCGACTCCACGTACAATGCGTCCCGCGAAACCCCTAAATCATCGATGTCGAGCGTGAAAGGCATCTGTCCTCTCGGTGGGCCTGTCCAAAGCCTCGTGCTAGAAAGTCCTTGAGCCCTTCTGCCTGCCTGCCTCTGCCTGTGAGCTTCGTCCTTCTCTGCGTCTCTTCTCTCCTCTCGCTGACGCTCGTATTCCTCAATAGCCTCGTCCAGCTTGAAATCCTTTGGTCGTCCTCTTGCACGCGGGTCCTCCATCATGTTCCTATAGCCATGTCGAGCTCCAGCGCCCAAGTTCCCTTCCCGATCGCAACGCGTCAGCTCTCGGATCAGCTGCTTTTTGGTCATGTTATCAATCTTTTTCCGACGGTCCCTGCGTTCGACTTTGAGCTCTCGCAGCAATTCGTCCTTGAACATGATATCATACTCCTTTCTGGTCGGCAGGCCCGGACGTTGAGGTGGCTCGTAGTTGTTGACTCGATCTTGCTCTTCATCCGAGAGAAATGGCTGGCTGTCTGTGTCGCTCAGATCCTCCTCGTCTGAACTGGGGCTACTAACCCTGTGGTCATATTCGATGAATAGCCGCCGTAAGTCACGAATTAGTCGGAAGAATCGGTTCAAAGCCTGAAGAAGAGCAAGGTTGGGATGTGGCCTTGCATATTTGTCCAACATACCCTTCATGCGCCTGTATTGCTCTTTGACCTCGATGGATGCTCTCATAATGAGTTCTGGGATCGCGGGAAAGTCGGGATCGCGCCGCAGCTTCTCGTTTTTGGGGACTTTGTCCAACTGTATTGGCTCAATACTGCCCACGAGAGCCCTGTATGCGGCTCTGAGCTCATTTGTGCGCCTTCGAAGATCCTCAAGGTCATGGCGAAGTTCGGCCCTCTTTTGCGGAGACGTGGCCAGTTCTGGAAGACATCCATCCAAGTGTCCGAAGACTTTGCTCAGATCTGCCTCCCCGATGGTCTTGAATATAAGTCCAAACCCGTCATCGTCACGGATTGGCCAATCCTCTACCCACACGTCATCATTAAGGTGAGGCAGTGTTCGAACTGGGCGATACTGGCCACCGGGAATGGTATCGACTGATGCATTGTCGTCATCGTCCCCGCTTGGATCTTCACGGTCATCAGTATCTATATTTTCGTCGTAGATTTCGATGGAATCTTCTGGGTGACGAGGATCTCGGTTTTCGTCCTGGACTTCCATTGAATCCTCCGATAGCTCATCCTCGTTGCTGCTATGGGGAGATCTCTGCACATGGACCACCTGAACTTGGCAATGGCAGAAGTGATGATACTGTCCAGGGAATTGAGGACACTCGTGGCACTGCCCATCGCCATGAATCTCAATAGGTGGCTGATTCTCCTGGTTCGACGGATGAAACGACCCCTCCCGTTCCGTATCATTGCTAGAGCCTTGCTGACTTTGGTCTCGTGCACTATCTGGCGAGCCCTGAGCGCTATCACACCCCTCTTCTTCAGCCGGGAGCTCACGTAACGGTTGACGGTGGGGGTTTGGCCTGAGATCATCAAGCTCTCCTGCATTGTCATCATACACCTCACCACCAGCTGGGAGCTCTCCAAGAGGTCGTCGCAGGGGAGCTGATCCGGCAGGAGGTGCTGACGGTCCAGGAGGACCCTGCCATCGCGGTATAGTGCGGTTCTCCTCGACTGCCTTGGGCTCGTCAACTTGTGCAACTTCTGTGTCTGCAGAGTCATGTGTGAGGGCATGGTCTCCATATAGGTCCAAAGCATCATCGATATGATATGTTGCTCGCTCCAAAAGCCTCAGAATGTTGGGTCCATCTGGACTTGCAAGGGAGCCATGTCTGGCGTGGAATTGGCGTTTGAACAACGCAATATGCTGGTTTTGGAAGCTTTTTGGAGCAGCGAATCGTAGCCGTATTGACGGCTTTTTGGCACCCGGCTGCTTGTGGATTGATTCGCCGCCGCCTCCGCCTCGTAGCCTGATTGTGGGTGATGCCTTCTGGATGCGACTGTCTGGGTCAATGACGCCACGGCGGCGACCGGAAGGGCGATCCCCCCTACCCTTGCGAGGGACGAGAACAATTGGTGAAGCAGTTCGACCTTTACTGTGAAGGAGTTTTCGTACGACCGAGCGAACCCACCCAAAGGGTCCTAGCTTCCGTCTTGTTGTGAAGACTGAAAGCGTGGCTGGATCTTGAGTATGGGCAGGAGGTCTGTTGACTAGATACTCGACTCGAGGCCCTTCCGAGTAGATCTCAGGGCTTGCCAATTCGCGGGAAATCTGCTCGCTTTGAGCAACTTCATGAGCGCGTGTTTCGGGAAACGGGCAATGAACGTAGTCGTAAGCGCTTCTGTAGTTTATTCCTTGCGGATGAGGGAACGAACGCTTAATTGTCCGCTCACGGATTTGGGCTGCGATATGTAGTTCTGTCGTAGTCGGAGCGCTCTCTGTGTCCCCGACGATGCTTGAATCAGTGGCTGGCGAGGAACGGGCCGCGCCATGCGGCACACTGGTTGTCTCTGCGCCTGGATTCCTACGAGGGCTGACCGAAGAATGACTCCCGGGTGAGGAGGGGAGGTAAGAAGGCGAATTGACCCGCTGTCCCTGTGTCTCTTCTTCTCTCCATCTTCTGACGACGGCTGGACCGCCGTTTATGGAGTTCAGCCGGATGACTGCAAAGTGTAGTTTGGGCCATATGTTCGTATCGGGTAGCCTGGACTCGGCAAACCTCTTGAGTGAAGACAAGACATGATTTCTCAATGACTTCTCGCGTAACTGGCGGAGGTGGAAATATCTTTCGTGGGGATTTGCCCGACATCTGTCAATGAAGCGGCAATATTTGCCGACTATGTTTTCGATTGTCCTTGGGTTTGCAGCGTCGGGCAACTGGATCAGGCGCCTCAACTCCCTGCTGACTCCAGGCTTACTGAAGAAATCAGCTTCGAGACACCGTTGATCGGTGACATGCGTCAAGCCGCCGACCTCGTAGTTCATGAATGCGGCTTTCAGACACTTCCAGATGAGAAGCCAGAGCATCCTTCTTTCCGACTTGTAAGTCGAGGCTTGGAAGGTGTCATGCAATTCCTCGCATTGAGTCATGAGATCTCTTGCGACATCCGGGTCTAAGAGTACCAGTGCATCTTCCTCAGCCAGATCCAAGATAGGTCGAAGTGCAGGATGAGGCAACATAGACTGGATATCTGATATCAGAGACGTGAATGTTGGTTCACGGACGGATGTGGGCGATTGGCGGATCTGAGCTTGCAGTTCAGCGAGCTTCTCAGCAAATGCTGACTGGATGCAGGGGGCCCAAATGAAGGCAAATGTAGTATACTCCTTTTCGAGCTCATGTAGGCTTCGGAGAAGGCTGGGAGAAGCCACGATTTCATTCGGTAGGTTTGAAATACTTTGCATTCTATCGACGATGGTGTTCATGTCTTCGAAAAAGTTAGGTAAACTTAGGACAGCGCCAGTTTCCGTCCATCGCCGGAAGTATCCAGTCATCATCTCCAAAAGGTCTTCCGCATCTTCTGGTGTGCATTGACTCCCAATGTCAGGAAGCCGAAGTGCAGGAGATGAACGCCGCTCGACGAGATTGACCCGTGTAAGTTGGCGAGCGATAGATACAGCACTGCTCTCCGGTTGCTGCACGGGAGTATGGTGAGAAGTCGAGTGATCGGGCTGGGGGTTGGGTACGGTCGATAGATTGACATAGCGCGGACTGCCTGGAGCCGCAATGGAAATACCATGCCCACGGTGTAGAGTGGTTATGGTCCTTGCTAATGGCCGAGGGAGGACAACGCTGCTCCCTGGACGTGCCCGTGCAGCTTGTTTGTGAGGCTGTACTAGAAGCCGTCGACGTTGACTCTTCACGTTCTTCTTGGGCGCCATTTTGGGGAGGTATCGAAGAGAAAGGAAAACCAACTCACAAACGCTGCTAACTTACCGGAGCAAAACTAAATAATACTTACCTGGGACAAAGGCCTGCATAGTACGTGTTGTCTGGAAGATGTTTGCATCAACCACACTCATCGACCGCATTCGGATTCTGATAAGGAGAAAGGATTCGCGATGCGGACGAATGCAGGTCATTGTTCGCTTTTGGGCTAGTGTGGTCGTTCGTGAGCAATACCTTTATCTCACATTCCTGTGGATGGCCAAAGCTCGGACATAGCGAGGTGCCGTGCAAGGACCAACTCGAGGATTTCCGGCTGACGAGGGACAGAGAACACCACTGGGATTTGCCGGCGGATGGAAGAATATCATAGGGCGAAAACTCGCCATCCGAAGATGCTTCCGCCATGAGCCGAAAGCTGATGGCGTACGAGGTGAATTGCAATTCCATACGAGAAAGAGGTGTGGAAACAAAGAACCATGCAGCGCTGGCCACGCGTTGATGATTGTATCATGTCCGAAGAATCAGGCCGTTGAGTATTCCCGACCAAAAGAGGGTGTGAGAGAGAACAGTTATTGGCTGAGAGGATGGTTGTGGGACGATACACAAGGGGATCTTGAATGGGATAGGCCAGGCCGAAGCTGGTAGTGAGATGAGTGAAGAGTGGTCGCGTGTTGCGTTGCCCAGATGATGACGAGAACGGAGTGGAAGAAGAGAAGTTGACGGCAAAGCTGGGCCGATTAAGCAGGAGAGACTGGTTGAACCAAGGGGTTCCTGTGTGAAGATGGAGGGGGTGTGCCAGGTATGGTGTTGTGTCGTGTCGAGAAGCAGACGAAGGGCATCGATTCACCCATGGTTCACCTCAGTGGCTTTACCCCACACTTTGCCAAGGCAAGGCCACTGGCGACGCAACGGATGAAGGTCCCTGGGATGCTTTAGGTTTGGAGGCCTGTGCAGCCCATTGACCAACTGGAAGCGTCCTTCGTGGCCCTTGAATCTGGAGAGAGCTCACTAAGACGGACCTAAGACTGACCCTAATGCGCGCCCACTTATCGCCTGGAGTAGGCGCCACAGTAAAAGGAAACTCTCTTGCTTATCCTTTTGCTCTCGATCACCTGCTTTATGTAAGTAAGTTAAACCGACAGCATTTCCTGCCCTTGATTCTCGCTTCCTCCTTTCTCCCTCCTCTTCATCAACGTCCAAACCCAATGCATTGACTTCACAATTGTCCATGTACCAGCAGTCCTACCACTTGCTCATCCCCTCGACCGACCTAACAATCAATAGACGCTGATCCCCTCCTTGTTCGACACGCCAGTCAGCCGCACCAACCACCCACGCTCGCACCAACCATGACGTGACCTTTGACCTGCATCTCCTTTGTCCAGTACGGAGTACCTCAAAAAGCCGTCTCGAACTACCCTCGACAACAGGAACTGATACAACTTCTGCCTTCTCTTGTACAACTATACCTTTCACCACGGGCTATTTCTCTTAAGATGTCCGGCCAAAACACACCACCATCTCCTGCCCCCCAACACCGACGTCGGTCCTCCTTTATCGAGATGTTCAATCCTCGCTCACACTCTACCACCGCAGTCTCCTCCTCGCCACCCTCTGCAGTTACTCCCTCGAACCCTAACACCACCCAACATCGAAGAGGCACCTCAATCACGGGTCTTGGATTAAACACCAACCCTTCCACCCAGTCTCCCTTCACAGCCTTTCAACGACGAGCGAGCATCGCAACTTCAACCGCGTCAAGTTCACCAGATTTCAAAAACAGTTTTGGAGATGAGCCTGCAGTCATTGAAGAGGATGATCCGTCACCACATACGATGGGACAACCCTCCTCCCCATCCTTCGCCAGAAGAGTTAGTTTTGGAGCACAGGCTCTACGAGACGTGAAAATGGGTTCAAGCCCTGGTTCTGCTACTGGCGGTGGTAGGCGCCCCTCGTCCTCCCTTTTTACCGTGGTTGAGAAATCCAATTCCGAAAATGCCACTCTCACTCCCTCACGACCAAGCATGTCGAGCCCGGCCAAGACTACAGGTAAGAGTCGAGGCCAGTCCTTCTCATACGGCCCCGTCTATTGAGTGTGGCTTCTGCGTAGTCTCTGTGTTGTTGAGTGACTCACGCTGACCCGCGGACAGAAGGTTTCAATTGGTCTGAAGCCCTTCGTGACAGGTCCAGACGCTCACCCTCGTTCTCATCGGGCAATCCATTCACACAAGGTGGCGGTCGACCTCGTGCAGTCAGCAACTCCAATCCGGAGCCGCCAAAAGAAATTTTAAAAGCCGTTGAGCCTCCGGCTCCAGTCAGGATGAAGAAGCCAGATCACCTCGGCGAAAGAATGCTTCGTGGTGAGTTCATGATGGATTAAAGACAAAAGGTCCAATGTAAGCATGCTACTCGGCTTTATGATGACTCTGGACTAAAGTGCGTACGACAGCGCTGAAAGCCGTCCTCTTTCATTGCTTGGATAGTATTAGTGTGATTTGTGAAACATGATGGCAATGGCTTCATCTGCGGTTGTGGTTATGTTGATGTTGATGATCATGTACGATATGCCAAAGATGGCCCACGTATGCTTTACGTTGCAGCATTTCAGGGTTTGCGAAATCAGAATGAATGAAGAATGAAATGGTATGACCAACGCTTTGTTTGTCTAGGGACGAAGTTTCTCTTACTCCTCCTTTGGGTGAATGACACTTTGCAAGCAGTGTGGTGTCCGTCGTTCCCATAATGCAGTTGTTCGACTAAGCTCCTCAATACTCGGAGCCTTGAGTTCGGTTGATGCCGTTACGGTTCAGTTAAATTACTGTCCAGTGCCCGTGTTTCGGGACAATCCGCCTGCACAAGTGCCAAATGATCTGCCATCATTACAATGTTTTGCAGTATCGGAACGCGACGCGCGATCCTCGTCCGCTTCAGCCCAAGTGTCAATGGTACGTCGAGGCAAGAAGCAAGGCCTTAAATTGCTCTTCTCGCCCAGCCAAAACCCCCTGTAACTGCTTACCTGGTGTGATTAATTACGTTTCTCTCTTCATCTATCGCTCTGGGACCCTGTAGCGCCATGTTGATGTTCAAAATGTGTAAGTTGGTTTCAATCAAGCGAAGCGATGCTATTGTTGAACCTAATGAACCACTTTGACCGATACAGTTTTGGGTGCTCTCAGAGCAGCAATCCCTGCCATTTTCGGCCGGCCAGAAGGGATGCCATACCTACGCTACGTGATGGCTTGCGGACTCCGAGCAATGAGCTTCGATTCTCGGTACAACAACCCCCAGGGAACTGGCGCTGTGGAGGCCTACAAAGTATTTGCAAAGCAACAGAAAATCGAGCCAATTGTTGTGCAGCTGAATGGAGGAGGAGAAGGGTATTGGTTTGGGCCAACGAGCGCAAAGAAAGTTGTGCTATTCTTTCCTGGTATGCTTCCAGCGACACTCACAAGGCGACGTTTTCTATATGACGCCGTACAATACTGATGGACTTGGTAGGCGGAGCATACTCGAATCCAGCCTCGGAAGGGTTCTTTCTCAGATATAAGAGCTTGGTGGCCGCCGCAAAATCGCAAGATGTGGACTTGGCCGTATTTGTGTTATCTTATGGTGAGGCTGTTAGTGTGGCCGGGACGAACAACGTGCTGAATCTATCACAAGATCTCTCGCCAAAGGCAACATATCCTACCCAATTGAAGCAGGCGGCAGGATCCCTCGAATATCTTCTCAAGAACAAGGGGTTGACGCCCGCAGGCGTGAGTGCCACCCATTCCCTCCTTCCCATCTTGTCTCTGACTTATGTCAGATCATCCTCGCTGGCGACTCTGCTGGCGGTAATCTTGCGCTGGCTATGCTTTCTCACCTCTCACACCCACATCCGGATGTCCCCGTCGTCGACTTAGGCGGCCAGGTCCTCCGTGGCGTGGCCTTGATATCGCCCTGGGTATCCTTCGATTATGACACACCATCGGCAAAAGCGAATCAAGACATAGACATGATCAGCGCGTTCGGCTGCAAGGGAGCATCGAAGCAGTTCTTGGGATCTGTAGATGAGGATGAGTATACCGTGCCATTACGCGCGAGTCCAGACTGGTGGAAGAACGCGAAAGCCGAACAGACCCTGATCACCAGTGGCTCGTACGAGATATTTGCCTCTGATATTGCCTCGTTTGCGGAGAAGTACCAGGTGCATAATTCCAGAACAGAGGTGTACGAGGCCAAGTATGAAATTCACGATCAGGGACTGATAGATACCATGCTGGGCTACGAGCTTCCTGAGAGTGAGAAGCTGATGCAGAGATGGATCCTAGAATCGTTAGGGCGTGTACCATTGTGAATGTTTGAAAGACCTGGATACGTGCTGGGGATCTGACCGAGGAAAGCTCGCTTATTCATCGTGATGATCGTGATGCTGCCGCCAAGGTGGAGGCAGCTGCAGCTTACCACAGTAGTAGCTAGGTGCGACTGCCTGAGCCCCGGGGCAACCGATTGCGTTGTCCGATGAGGTCCGCCTCTTGGAGAATGTCCTGAGATCTCGCAGTCTCGTACGTCAACCTCCAAGACCGCAATTATCTTGCACAGCTAGGCACCGGCAAAGGACAGATTCCCAGGCTAGATTTTTGCTACTCTTGTTACACGGCACGAGTCTACACTCATTGCCAAGCAGGACGTTGCTCACTCTCATCTCTGTGAAACAAGCTCACTCTTAGCCGCGCAGAGGCAGTCATCCTCTTTTGCGACTTCCATACAACATGTCCTTATGATGGCGAGCCAGCACCACCTACCTGCCTAACTACGATTCCCACCTGCGATACCACTTGACGAGATATTGACCTGCGTCCTCCTGCTTTGTCCTCCGCGGGGCTCTTTCGAGATCAGAGTCAAACGGCCTTTAGTGTGGCCGGGGTTGTTGTGGCTGTAGTGTTCCTTTGCAGTCCAGCAGTGGCGGAGACGCCGATATTTCAGACATGGAGAAGATTGTCAAGGGAGCTACAAAGATCAAGGTGAACATCGCGAAACGCTGGTAAAATGACACATAGGCTAATCCGGTCGGTAGTTGGCCGCGCCAAAATCGAAGTACATTGAACCTATCCTGTCGGCAACTAATGGGGGCGACTCTGGTGTCGCTGAAGTCTTTCGAACCTTACAAATACGCCTGAGAGACTCAACATGGACCATCGTCTTCAAGTCCCTGATTGTGGTCCACCTCATGATCAGAGAAGGACAGCCAGAGGTGACACTGAGGTACTTAGCCGATGCGCCAAAGCGAATGGCTATCAGCAGCTTTGCAGAGGGTATGCATCTCTATCTCGAGGAGGAAAAGGAACAACTTCATCTAACAACGAGCAGTACAGACGCAGGGCCTCAATATACGAAGATACTATGAATACCTCATGGAGCGAGTTCGGGCATACCGGGACACGAAGACGGATTATGTCAAGTCAGGGACAGGCAAGATGAGGAGGTTGACAGTGGACAAAGGTCTTCTAAGACAGACGGAGATCGTGCAAGATCAGATAGAAGCGTTGCTTCGATGCGATGTGAGTGCTATACTTTGATATCCCACGAACGTCATTGACCAGTGAAGCTCCTGAATACCCACGACCCGGACAACGAAATCACGTTGACAGCCTTCCGTCTTCTGACTATGGACCTCCTTGAACTCTTCAGAGTCATGAACGAGGGCACTATCAATGTCCTGGGTATGTGTGACCGCCAGATGCGCCTCTAACCGTGCTAATCCCATCGCAGAACATTACTTTGAAATGTCTCGAACGGATGCAGAACGGGCATTACAAATCTACAAGACCTTCGGGAGACAGACTGAGCAAGTGGTCCAGTATCTCAGTCTTGCGCGACAATACGAGATGTCAACACGACTGGAGGTTCCCAAGTTGAAACATGCGCCAACGACTTTGACAGCCTCCTTAGAAGAGTACCTGAATGACCCGGACTTCGAAATGAATCGACGGCAATATCTTGCACAGCAAGAGGCAAAAAGGACAGGCAAGCCTATTCCGTCGGCAGCAACGTCGAAGGCATTTGAGAAGCCACCCAATGTGACAGCACAGAATCAACCCAGATCGCAGCCCCCGCCGCAGCAGCAACCCAAAGGACCAGCGCCTGATCTGATCGACTTCTTTGAGTCAATTGAGCAGAATCAGCAGCCCATGGCTCAACTAAACAATCCGCAACAGCAATTCCAGACAGGAATGCCACAAGCTCAGCCTTATCAGCAGCAGCAGATACCGATGCAGATGCCACAACAGACCGGATTCAATCCCTTCCTGCAACAACAGCAACAACAACAATCTACATTCCAGAATCCAGGCTTGCCCCAACCGAGTCCGTTGCAGACAGATCTTACCGGAGCAGGCTTCGGAGGGTATGGACCTCAGCCGTCGCAGCAGCCACAACATGCCTTCCAATTCCAGTCGAACCTTTCTCCCATTCCTCAGAATGGACTTGCAGGTTTTCAATCACAAGCACTTCCTTCTCCGCAGCCGATGGGATTGCAACCACAGCCGACTTCAACCAATCCTTTCCGTCAGTCTATGATGCCAACCGGATCTTCGCAAACCTCTTCGATGAATACGGGTCCAACGCGACAGTCGACCAACCCTTTTGCGAAGCACAATACCGGTGCCGTAACCCAGAATGGACCCGGCTTCGGTACGGGCTTCGACCAGTCGTTTTCTCCTAGTCCAATCTCTCCGGAGCAAACCTTCACCCCTACCTCGTCATTCGGTTCCCAACCTGCTCAGCTTCAGCCGCAACGGACTGGGACTAACCCGTTCGCCAAAAATCGGCCAGCAACTGCTACTACGCCAGTGACTGCCAATGTTACCGGAAGCACCAATCCATTCCGGCAGAGTGCATTTGTGGATCAGGAAACAGGGCAAGGCTGGCAACACAGCAACCAGGGGACTTTTTCAGGATTTAATGTCAATAATGTAAACACGATGCCTGTGTTTCCGAGGCCGGGGCATGGCTCATGATAGTGTCTAATCAATGTAATGGTCGGTTCATCGAAACATGGACTCAAGTCGTTCTAGCCTAGTGTGCAGCTTGTGTACGGAAAAGTAGCAAAAGCGCAAAGCGAAATGCGCTCGTGTCAAATAGCCCAGTCTTCGAATAGTCGATTTAGGAGACTGTTGACTGCATACTCCGGAGAGGTGCATACGAGACCATCAGAGAGCTAAGGTACCTAGGGTAAGTCAGTATATTATTGCAGCATCTCAGGTGAAGATTCTTCGTTTTGAGTCTTTGCCTCCGCTCGGCGGCAACTTCCGCCTTCGACTACATTGACTTCACTTCTCCTCATCGATCCCTTGTTTCGCTCTCTGGCGATCCCAAACAATTCCAGTGAAACGAAAAGCCTTCAAGAAATGATGGAGTTCATGAGTCTATTGTTGTCCGAGGTCCCATTAATCCCCGCAGTTTGAGATGGATGAAGACGGCGCCAATGGCGTCCCTACACTTTCAATTATTCCTTATGATACCAATCGAGATGTCGTGCTGTAAGTCGGCTCAGAACCATGGAGCGAAGAAGTGAAAGGCTGACGCCGATGAACAGTCGACACGCTGACACGATCGTCTACCGTGATCCGCAGACGAATCAATTGGTTCCTTTCCACCATGACCGAGCAGTAGAACGACGGCCATCCGATTGCCCAACATGTGGGCGGCCATGGCATTCTCAGGGAGGACCTTCCACGCAGGACTCGACCAGCAGCCCACTGGAGGAGCAGCCAAGTTTCATCACCCATGACTACTTTGATATGCTTGCCCGGAGTCTTCCGGGCTCAAACGAAACATCTGCACCGCCTTCTCCTCGGCGGCGCATAGTACAGCCGCTACGCTCACGACTTAGCGCATCATCTCCTGCTGTATCAACACCGCCTCCAGACGCAGAATTCGTGGCAAGCGCACCTGCCCCTCCATCACTAGCTCACGGGATTTCCGAGACGGCATTTTCCCCAAACTACTTTGAGAGGTTCTTTGTCGAGGAGCGAGAACTCGGAAGGGGTGGGAGAGGTGTCGTGCTCTTGGTCAAGCATGTTCTAGATGGCGTTAACCTTGGTTACTTCGCATGCAAACGAGTCCCGATCGGGGACGATCATGGCTGGTTGGAGAAGGTTCTCGTGGAGGTTCAGTTACTGCAAGGCTTGTCCCATCAGAACCTCGTTTCGTACAGACACGTCTGGCTTGAGGACTATCAAATCAGCACCTTTGGACCAAGTGTACCTTGTGCATTCATCCTTCAGCAGTACTGCAACGGAGGTGACATGCATAATTATGTCCTAGGATCCGCCCAGGCGACCACCACAACGCAGGAGCTCAAGGAACGGATTCGTCGACGATCAAAAGGAGAATCTGAATTACCTCCGCGACCCAATGAACCGAAAAGACTGCCATTTGACGAGATCTACAACTTCTTCAGGGATATCACTTCAGGCTTGAGGTTTCTCCACCACAGCGGTTTCATCCATCGAGACCTGAAGCCCAGCAATTGCTTGCTCCACACCGCGGGTGGTGAAACAAGAGTTCTCGTCAGCGATTTCGGCGAAGTACAGTATGAGTATGCAACCAGGAAATCAACCGGTGCGACCGGCACGATATCTTACTGTGCCCCGGAAGTGTTGCGGAGAATCTCGCCGACAGGACCGTTCCAGAACTTCACATCCAAGTCCGATATATTCTCCTTGGGGATGATCTTACATTTCTTATGCTTCGCCACTCTTCCTTACAACTACGCCAATGTCTTGCACGAGGAGCGCGAGGATATCGACCAACTCCGAGCCGAGATCATGGCCTGGGAAGGGTTCGATGATCAGCGCAAGGCACGTCCTGAACTTCCAGCTGCACTCTACACATTCCTCAAGCGACTGCTCTCCCTCGACCCCGAGCAGCGACCAAGTGCAGATGATGTTCTTCAGGTTGTCCAGTCCGGCCGACTCGACGACATTCCTGCGGCACGACGCCGCGGCTCCATGGAACCAGAAGAACTTACGCCGGGCCGACGGATTCAAAAGCTCGACACTCCACAAAAAGGCAATTCACCACAACGAGGCCTGCATGATCTCGGTCCTAAATCTCCTCGCGCACGCTTTAGACAGAACAGATCCGTCTCTCCCGAACACAAAATGAAAGCCGAAGCGAGCGCCAACGCCGGCACGACGTCTCCTGTACGTTCGCAATTGCTGCTTGAACCTGCGCAAGAATCCGAACAGCGTGGTGTGGTGACGTTGAGCAACCGAATCTACGTCTTGTTGAATCAGCCGTTAACAACGCCCTCGACGCGGTTGTTAATGCTCGGACTGAAATTGCTCAGTACATTACAGCCGTGCATGTCGTACGGGATGAATGCGACGCTGGTTTACCCGCTGATATGTCTTGCATTGCTGGAGTTTGCGGTGCCTAATATTCGCATCTTGACGGCTACCGCGATGATGCTGGTGCACTTCGGAGTGCTTGTGGTGGCCATGAGGATGGATAGATTGTGTCGTCGGCTCTGAGGAAAAGAGATCATTGATCACCTAGGTAGTACATTATTGATGCATGGTCTTCTTTTGATATGGTTTAATATCTCGTGTGTACGAACGTAACTTCACACTTGAGCCCGTGGTTATATGTGAACAGCCAGAAAAGAACACCACGCTGAGTCGTGGATTGGGCAATGCATTGCGACGAAGATATTAATTCTGAATACGGAGTATACCACCTCATTTTTGGCGGGAGATCGAATATCAGGTTCTGTGTCTAGCAACTAAATCCTGTCCTGATCTTCCTTGCCGCCTGCAAAATCTGGCCCTATCCTTCTGCGGCAATTGCATCGTCCTCGTCTATTCCCACCCATTCTTTTGCGACGGTCGCAGTATGTAGTAATACTAATACTAATAGTAACAGGATAGTAACGGTAATAGTAACAGTAATAGTTACACACTCCAAAATCTAACGGGACCAGTGGCCCTTTCAAAGAGACAATTATCCGTAGTATCGCGCGAAGACCCACGACCAAAAAATCAACTCTAACTCTGCTGATTCATATGGCTGGGCAGATTCATCATGGCATAATCGGCGTGCACGAACGCGCGGTCGACCATGGGCACACTCTCCAAGACGTACTGCAGACTCTCGCTGAGATCGTGCGTATCGCGGAGGCTCATGTTCTCATCGAGCACGATGTCGACCTCGACGTTCAACTTGTCGCCTGCGTGGTACGCCTGCAGTCCTTGGATGTACCGGATCGTCTTGGCGAAGCGCATGGTCAGGTAGAGCAGGACGTTGCGCTGGTCGGCGGTCGCCGCAGCGCCGCACAAGTTCCGGACGTGTTCCGAACTGGTTTTGCTCCAGTTGAATATGACGTACAACGACAGGAGAAGGCCGCCCAGGGCGTCCAACCACCAGACGCGAGCGTAGTAGCCGACGAGCGGGAAGATGATGGAGAATGTGTTGAAGACGACGTCTGTCGCGGCGTCTTGGGCGAGCGCTTGGACGGAGGAATTGCGCACGAGACGGCACCAGAACCAGCAGAAGCCCTTGATTGCGACGGTGCTGAGCATGATGGCAATGGCGGGGATGCCGAGTTCGACGACGCTGTGGTCTGGCGAGAGGAGCCGGTTGAAGCACTCTAGGCTTACCTGGAAGAAGGAGGTGATCATGATAATGCTGAAGACTAGGACTCCCACGGGTTCGAGGCGCCGGCGGCCGACCGGATACGCGTACTGGTCTTGTTGCGAGATGAGTTTCGTGGTTGTCCAAACAATGGCCGTACTGATGAAGTCGAGCGCTGCGTCAACCAAGGAGGCGAGCACGGACAGTGACGAGGTCATGATTATCACCGCGATTTTGCCCGCAAGTAGGACAATATTCGCGGCGAGGTTGACATAGACAGCGATCGCAACGATGGGGTCATCGAGTTCGACGTTCTCGTCTAGATCGTCGAGGTTGATGTCGGGGAAGGGTTCGCTGCCGTGTTCTTCGTCTGCTAGCAAGGGAGTGTTTTCATTGTTGGGCAACTTGTAAAGGTTCTTGGGCGTGCGTTTGAGCCTGGTGTCGGTCGGTGTCGGGGGCTCGTTGGCGTTGGCGTTGGCGTTGGCATTGCTGTTGCTGTTGGCGTTGGAGAGGGCCGTCATTGATGTGGTGCTGCCCAATTCTCGTTCCTCGGATATGGTCTTCATAGTGGATGTGTACCCATTTCCATTCGCGGGTTGATTGTACTCCTGGATCAGATCGTGTGGGAGGCTTGAGTCGAGCAGTCTGTCAATGTACATGTACTGAGCAATCAGGAAATTGTTGCGCTCGTAGTATTTCCGGATGGGCTTCTTCATCCGTGCCAGCTCCTCCTCTGTCTTGTAATATTTGTGCCAAAAATATCTGGGATTGCTTTGCCCGATGAGCCGCATGCTGCGCATCGGAGGAGTATTGAGGATCTCGGGTCCCAGGCTCATTCTTCGCGCGTCGATTTCCATCGGCGAGTGCGCACTACGCCTCTTGCGCAGCGGCTCTAGTTCGTCGACTGACACGCCATGTTCTTCGTCTTCGGTGCTGTGGTGGCTCGTGAAGGAGCCGCGACGGGGCTGGGGTTGGCGGCCACGCTTGGGTAGGCTGAAAAGAGAGGTGGTCGATCGAGACTGGAGAAGACTTGGGAGACGTTGGCCTCGGGTTGACACTGCGCCAGGAGAGTCGTCGTTCAAGGGAATGAAGTGTGAGAGCCCGCTGAGGCGGTAGTCAGGTCTCTGAGGAGTGCTGGGTATCTCCATATTGGCGGAGGCGAACAAAGGTCGAGGTTGACGGTCGTGACACTCGTCTCAACGTGGACAGTGCTTGCTAGGCAGTGTACGGAATACGTAGCTGGCAACAGGTCCCTGGTCATCTGTTTCCCGCCAGTAAGCAGAGCATCTTGGCAGGATGAGCTTGGTACATCGAGTTGTCCTTGAAGAAGGGAAGCCTTCGACTTGTGTCGATGGGAAGTCCAAGACTTTTGAATGAGCAGCGGAGTTTTGGGTTTCCCGCAGCAGAAGAACCGAAGCGTGCGTCATTGGGCATGACCATTCACAGTCCCCCATGCTAGAGACATTTCCGCCGGATACGGTTGATCGTCGAGTATATGCCCAACACTTCTCCTACGTCTCCTTAAATCCTGCGTTGACCATGGGACCATGTTGGGCCCTTCACGAACCTCCCATCTGGGTGGCCGTTCGTGGCCGTGCTTACGCTTTGATTTGCCGGACCAGATCTTACAAAGGCGTAGCGAGCAGTGAAGTATTGAATTCCAAACATTTTCGAGGCTTCTCAACATTCCCGAACCAGTACCATTAATCATTATCAATAGCTATGCCAGTCTAGATAATCTAATCCAGTGCAGGCGCTTTATGTGATGCCCCAACATGTCCAGCCAACAAAGTACCGGCAGCTCCCTGCTGTGACAATCTCCATCGGACTGTCCCAAGTTCGTCAACTTTCAATAACCTGTCTGGCCTCCTGGACAAGAAGAAAAAAGGCCAACTCCACATCAAAAGCATCTTTCTGTCATAATCCTGAGACAAAAGGTTCGTAAAACGCCGTCTATCGTAGGTGCATGTCTTGAACAATTAACCACCAATTTATATCAGGAGCAAATAAACTCCGCTCAAGAACGCCGATGCCATGGTACCAAAAATCATCGTAGAGAGGCCGGCAACACCATTGGTGCTGCTTGCCCGTGCACTGCTGCCGGTACGCGATGCTGCACTAGTATGAGTTGATGAGGATGACGTGCTGAACGCCGTGCTGGTTCCCACAGCAGACGTTGCTGGTTTGGCGTCTGGTGTACTAGATGCGAGAGCCGAACAGGCGCTTGCGTTGGGACTTCGTTGCGCGAGTGGCGACCCGATATTGGCAACAACAGCTTGTGTGTCTCGGACAGGAACGGCAACACTTCCATCGTTTCCAATCTTGACACTGACCACAGTATCATTGACTCGAGTTGGCGTACCGTCACCGTTCTCTTCGTAGCTCACACCAGCAAACGTTGTACCGTGTTTTGCATCGGCACCATCGTTGGTGAGGTAGGCCAGATACAAATCCTGACCGGCAAATTGCGTCGGCAGCGACAGGTCAAAAGTCAGGGTCGGTTTGTTTGTTTCCGAAACATTGGCGGGGTTGGAATTGATCAGGACAATTGTCGCAAGGGTACCATCTTGGTAGATGGAATATGCAGCAATCCGGCCGCCGTAGTTGCCAGGGGGATCGTTCAAGATGTAACCACCAACCTGGGCCTGACAGCTGGGCCCAATAGCCAGATCGAAAGCGGCAATGCCATAGTAATTGGGTCGTACAAACGGCTGGTTGCCGTAGTATTCGATTGGTTGCCAGGCACTAGCATTGCTATTATCGGTCATATGCAGCTGAACCGAGGAAATATTCAGGGTAGCGGCATAGAGAAGGAAGTTGAGCGTCCACAAGGCCGCCCCAAACACGTTCGTGATATCATCCATTCCGATGGGGCCAACGACACCCATCTCACGCAGAGCATAAGGATAAGGGGTGTCAAAGGCTTGCTGTATTTGAGTAACCCATGCAGCAAATTGATCATTGGTCGTGGACAGTGTCATGAAGGCATACTGCGTAAGAGGGTAAGTCGACACTCCGATGTAGTAATAATAGTCGTGCTGGTTCCAGCTGGCAATGTACGGATTGCTCGAGTCGTTAGCTTGCACGGTAATGCCGTACTGGTCAAGATCTTGGATCATGAAGGAAGTGCCGATGGTGGAAGCAGTAGTTCCCGGCTCAAAGAAGTTGCTTGGGAGGCCGTTGGGTTTGAGGACTTGCTGCCAGACAGCACTTGCGCGATCCAGCCATTCTTGGGTATAGACCTGACCGCCCCAACTGCCGGTTCGAAACCCGTTCTGCAGGTAAAGGTCGGGTTCATTGCCAATCTCGAAAGAGACCAAGTTGACCTTGTCCAGCCCCCTTACAGCTTCAGTTGCCATGGCCGTTATCTGGTCAATGTAGTCCGACTCCTCATAGGCAAGGTTCAGCCCGAAAGTGATGGGAGTGTTGCTGGGAAATCGATTGATGACCTCGAAGTACCTAGGACCGATAATGTACATATCGGCGGGATAGTTGCCCTGACCGACCGGGTTGGGGTTTCGCTCGCAGGTATAGTCATTTTGTGACTGATCATAAATAAAGTAGTCTTGCGTATTTCCTCCTATGCGTAGGTGCGGCGGAGTGCCCGTGTAGTTTGCCAAATTCGCCAACAAATTCTTGGTGAGCTGGTTCTCCGAGCTCCCTCCCGTGAAAGAGTAGAGGTTGGAGGACTCGATACCGAAGCCGGCGAACGAGGGACTGATGATTTTCGATGCGCCTGCGGTGGGTTTGGCAGTGATGGCTAGAGAGACCGTATCTTGGGCTGCCGCAAGGGCGATTAGAGAAGCGCCAACGAGTGGCAGATAATGAGGGAGCATGATGATGAGGCGCTCTGGTCTATAACGACAGTATATCCAAGAAAGATGCAGACAACACAGCTTCAACCCAACATTAGTCTCGAGAGCGACCGCCGCGCACAAACAAAACGGCAAACAAGCAGGAACGATGGAGGTAATTAGAGGGACACTGCGCAACAACAGTATATACCTAGGTAGGTAGAAGGAAAACAAAACTGCACGAGTTTGACAGGCCCGTGCCCATTCGGGACGATTAATGACGGGATAGACAGACAGATCTGGGACATTGAAAGAATTGCATGCGCCATGACAATCTGGATCCGCTGGACGCGCAATGAGAAACAAGGTGGTTGGCGAGCTTAAGAGCTTAACACGCCCATTTCGTCATGTCCCAACAAGCCTGTGGGAGCAGATCGAACTTCAACCAATCGACAAGTGTGCCTTGTTGTAGGCGTCTCTCCTAGGTACCACTAGGTCTCCTTAGGCATCCCGATATCTCCATAGTGCATTTTGTCCCACAAAATACTCCGATGACCGACCTGCGGACAAGCAAGAAACGAGCAGTTGAGGAGAGCCAAGGAGAGCCCAAGTCGAGGACCAAGACCGACACGCAAGACATACTGTAAGCTGGGCGGATTGAACAGGACAAACTCTGTCTGACTCTGCTCTGTCCATCTTATTGTCTTGTCGTGGTTGTTACCTTGTTTCCTTGTATCCCACCCGACACGGTGAAAAAGGTCTGCTTGTCATGGATTGGCTAACTCGTTCACAGCCTGGTAAGCCTGAGTTTCGTTCCTGGTGGCCTCTCCAGACTGCGGATCACAAGTCCGTTGCGGCACAGTCACATCAAGTTACCGACAAGCCGAGCACCATCTCCTATCAGGCTCTCACTCGTGAAGTCTTGCTTGGCAATATGTTATGAGGCTTTCCAGGCATCCTTTCCTCCTCGCATCATGCACCTCAAGATCTACTGATCGTGACTGCTGTTCGATCCGCCCTCCAGAAATGGGACGTGGTCCTTGGCCCTCCTCGGTCTTAATGGCGTAGGATCGCATCAGGTGCCACGCACACTGCGGGTCTGGCTGCAGGTATCTGACTTGGTACTGACCGCCATACGATGACAAATGAGAGAAGATAATCAAGCACGAGGATGAAGCAGAGTCATGAGTTGATGGGGAAAATATTATCCATTAAATGTCCAGCAGATGCTCACAGCCAAGGGAAAAATTGTCCATCGCAGTGTAGATAGAACAACCAACTCAGCCGTTCAAGGCTCATCATCAAGGCATGGGGCTCATCATGTGCTCAAAGTAGTGGTACAAACATGTGACTGACCACCCAGGTCAAGTCACATCAGCAGAGCCTAGAGACCAGCATTCCTCCGCAAAACGAATGATTCAAGTTGTTGGGGTATCGACTATTGGTACATGTATTCCGCGCTGTGGTCAAAAAAAGAAGTTGGTACACGGACTGGATGACGAGACAGCCAATCCTTCATCATGCTTGGTAATGCACGGTGTCGGCAATGGTAGGGTTTGAAAGGGTTGTATTAAAGGCCGCGAGGGGTTGAAAAGTAGGTATGCAGCAAGTTGTACAAGGGTCAACGTGAATTAGGCGTTGGTAAGGGTGGAAGAATGTCCTCGTATCTGCACGCAGGCGCATTCCGCAGGGATTGGAGATTTCCCGGATTGGAAACGTGTTGATGCCAGCTCAGCCGACCGCTGCATGAGTGTCGTGCTGTGCATGCGTGGAGCCGCCAACGCATCGTTTTTTTTTTGCATGAAGGCATGACCTACTGACTCCATATCACCCAGAGGGCTTCATGTTGGTCAGGATATTGTGTTGGTCAGGCTCTGTTGGCGGATTGCCCATCCTTCGAGGTGGAGAAAGGCCCAAATATTGGACCAGGTCTAGGTTCGTATGCCATTGACCATGTGAGATGGATGATGAAGCTCGAGTCCAGCTGGAGCCGCGGGCTGGTTGAAGCCATAATCGATGGCTATTAGGAAGGGATTGATTTCCCGACTTTTGCCCTTTGCTGACGCTCATTACTTTGGAAGTGCTGGTAGAGGTCGATTGGGAGGAGGGCCCGGGCAGGGAGGATATTTCGAGCCAGCTGGCATGGTGATGATATTGTTATGCCCTTGGTGGGATAGTGGTTGAGTGGACGTGGTGGTCGAAGTGTTTGTTGCAATGCAGCGTGGTTGTCGATGTTTGTATTAGTGACTATAGCAGCCGTGTAGGAAGATGTCTGGTGATGGATTAGAAGAACGTGCCTTGCTGGGCGAAAGGGATCGTGTCAGATATTTATTTTTCGAGACCAGGCAGCCTCACCCCGGCACAACCGAGAGTTGTTCCAGAAATGGTGACGACGTGGGCACAGTCATCCTTGCAGGATACCTTTTAGCTTGGTGGTCCGCCCTGGGCCAGTGGATCCCGAGATGAGGCTGGCGGTGTGTGACATGATTCCCATGAGGTGGTGAAAGAGGTGCAGGAGCGACAGGAGCGACAGGAGAAGGGCCCATCAAGGCCCCTCTCAAAACCCTGGTTTCCACTATCCACAACCAGGTTAGGGGCGTCCGTAGCTGACATGGGCATCTGGCTAGGCGCGAACACTAAAACATCTCAGGCGCACAGAAAGGAGGTACCAGCTGACCGGGTGCCTGGGGTTGCTGGGTCACTGCCAGGGGAAAGGAGGAAATTTGTCGTTTTCGGCCTCCTTTGCCAAACTGTCCTTTGGCCCAGGACAGTCTGTTCCCTGCTTGGTGTAGCCGGACCAGATCACTATTCCCTCATCGAATTTACGAGTGCCCACTCTTGCTTCCACACTGCCAGCGGTGAGTACCATTTTTGATTATTTTTGTGCGCAAATTTCGCAGAGCCTGGTTGTCAAGTCGAATTCCGAAAATAACGGCCCAGTTGTCCCCGGATCAAGTCATGGCCGTGCAGGTCGGATGAGCATGTTCCTGGCGACCTCACTCGCTTGTATTTCCGGACGCGGGAGGAGTCTGCTGTGTACACATCGTTGCACCCACCTGATGAGAAGTATTCTCCGTTGTGATACGTTTTTGGTACCAGTACGGATACTACATGCAGCTGCCGACGTCTCCCGTATCTGCAACATGGGAATGGACACGAACCATGGTGTCCTCGGCTGGGCTGGAGTCGTTTATCCTCCAATACCTACGCTGCATCTTTGTGAACCGGTAAGGCTATCCGGTGCTTTCGCATGGATTACTGCACGGTAGAAAGTAAATTGGTCAGCAATTGAACTCGTGATCGATACCAACCCGGTCATCATCACCTATTCTGCCGTTGTTCCGTCCCTGGTAGCCTATGCCAACGTGGGAGATGGGTGGCGATTGGACAAGCTTCGCCTCGCATCGCCGAAGGTGCCATTGACCCCGGCTCGGCTGGTCACTGTGAAACTGAAAATCGGTGAATATCTTCTGACCACCACACCATCTTTTCCATTTACTCGCCGTCGAACAATGGCAACGCTGCTGATTCGCGGACGGATGCACATCCTCGGTACCCGTTCTATCTCCTCAAGCTGCGGAGTTGGACTTTGACAGCTCGAAGATCGGTGATGGTCTGCTTGCTTGCTGTTCGGCTAGTAAATGTCACGCGGGATACTGTTTCACATTGATTGTGAAGCGCGCGTCTGGATTGGCCAGCGCAAGCACACCGATGTTCAGCGTTAGCTGCCAGTTGGCGAAATGATCATAGAGGTACGTCAACCTTCCCAGTTTCTGGGCCTCTAGTACAAGTAGCATGAACTACTCGTACGATTGTGGACTCTTCTCAGGAGACGGACGAGAGAGCAACGCAATCGTGAACCGACTGAGAATGCTGAATCTGAAGCGCCCTGCACATCTTTCTCGAATGGCGGTTTCATCGCCGCACAGATGTTCGGTTCATCCGCGGTTCCACGCTCTGACCGTTGTTGAGCGCTTAACCATATACTGGTCTGATCCCGCAAACGGGCGTGCGCCGTGACGGGTTCCTGAAGATCCCTCTGAGAGTGTGCCCCTCGATCACCGCATGGCCTTTTGCCACCCCCCAATGTCAGGATCTCGATGCCTGTGGGTGCCTGGCGTGTTTCAGGTCTTGCCCCTGAGCGACCTGCGGCGAACCAGCCAAGTAGTCAGATTGTGTCAGATACAGCTGTTGTACTGTGTAGGCGTGCCACGGCGTGCGTAGGTTCTCATCGCTGTGCGATCGTCTTCCCGTCAAATCTTCCTGACGTTGGCAATTGATGTCATTCCCCATCATTCGTCACTCTCTGGCAGTGTTCTTCGTCATGGGCTGGTTGAGAACTCTATTCCTCTGACTGGAATTGGAACGAATCGGTGAACAGTTGTTTTGGTATGGAGTCGGTGGACTTCTCGAGTCATAAGCGAGGGAACGCATATCGCTACGTTGGCCATCCACAAAGACTTAACAGGGCAAGCTGACTTGCGCGTGCTTGCGCAAGTTTCAGAGCACTTTGTCAGCTGCGCACCTGCGACAAAATTGCTAAGTAAAGATGCACAGATGTCTCAAGCCCAAACGGGCAGTGGCTTGGGTCTAGAAACGCTGCACGTTCGCTTCTCGAATCTCGCATCGATTCTGTACGTTTGCCCTTTTCGTGTCTAGTTCAAAAGCCCGAGCTTCTCGCCAGCAAAGAGATGGTGGTAGCGGTGAGGCTGGACTTGGTCATCCAATTTTCTTTGTTGTGTTTAACCCTTCTTTGGATGGAGCAACCAAAACCCAGCCTAAGGCATCCCCGAAAGCTACAACAGCGGCTGCAGTGGCTTCTCTTGGGCAGGAACCTGAATTGCTAGAGACAAGTCCCCACGCTCTGGATACACAACAGTAGCAAGACGCAACGCTCAGGCTGGTGGTATGGGCAAGAAACTGTGGCCCTCGCCAATCAAGGTGATAACCTGTGCCAGCAACAGTAAAGATCAGTGAACATCACTATTCTGCAGCAGTTCTTTGCCATTTGTAGCAAATGCGACCGAACCTTGGTTCATACTAAGTTACCAAATCTTGCCCTGAACGCTCGAACATTCCCACGACTCATACAACTGGTGGGCGTGAGAAGAAGAACTCAGTGATACTCGTACAAGGCACCCGATGCCACGATCGGCTTGATATTCTCCTCGCAATTCTCCTGTCTCGTATCCGTGATCCAATCTCTTGCTTCAAGCCCAGAGTGTCTGCACTTGCGACTCGGGGCGAGGTGGAACGGGTCTGGCCGTATGAGGTTGATGCATCATGCAGGGCTTCAGGAGGGACAAGGATCTCCGCCAGCCACCACGTGGAAATTGCGTGACAACGCGCCACGATGCACTGTGAGGGAATAATAATCCCAAACCCCAGCAATCTGAGATGTGTCACATCGTGTTTCTATCGCATGCGGCTTAATCCGTGAGCTTGATCCATGCACTGAATTCCTCACATCGAATATGCTGCGGGACCTTGGCATGCTGCGATGTCCCCGATGGACCATTGCTGATAGGCTGACATTTTCGTTGCCAGTGTGTCTCGACTTGCGTCTCATGAAAAGGCTCAAAATAACCAGACGTGACATGCGTGAGGCGAGCAGATTCTCATCTGAAACGAGCTCCAACTACGAGCTTGCAATAGTCAGATGCGGGAATCCATTTCGTTCAGGTCCTTATTAGTCTCAAGGCCTGCAGCTGCGACAGCACGTTCCTGACTTGCGGTGTCGTTGGATCGAAAGATTTGATCTTCAGGAGTCATCGTCTCTCTGCTCTTGCGTCGATGCGATCCAGTCTTGCATAAGGGCCTGGGCATTACCTTCGACTCCCGATGATTTCTTTGCCGGACCACCTTTGCGCTCAATGAAGAGACAGAGCACCTTGCCCCAGATACTGAAACCTTCGTATACGGTTTCATAACCGAGCTTCTTCTTGTCATCGTCGTCTGTAGTGTTCAAATCAGCATCTAAACCTTCGTCTAGATCATCTGCCTGCGGTATCCGTGCAAGATTGACATCTTCTCCATCGCTTTCGTCCTGAATCAGAAGCGCATCCCCATCGGTGCCCGTCAGCTTCCTGCCGCTGTTGGTCTGGATCGGTGGCTTCGGCTTGAACGTCTTGTTTTTGACCAGAAGAGAGTGTCGAGTTCTGATATCTGTGAGAAATATAGAGACCTCAAAGTCGTCTAGACCATGTCAGAAACTATTTCCAGGGATAAGTAGATTCACCAACCTTGCTTCACCACATCTTTGACACTTTTCTTCTTCTTCCCTTTTCCACGTGCTCTTTCGTTCTCTTCCCTCAACTTTGGCAGGACATATGGTTTTACGGCTTCGAACACGCGCGGAAGCGCAGGGTCACTTTCTTTGAGGAGCCATCGCGATTCGTCGGCAGGGTTCTCAAGGAAGATGCGGCACTCAAGGACTGAATGTTTACTTATGCGCAAGTAGCGCCTGATAGGCGCCATTGCAGCCTCAAGTATGCTGCGCAGAACATCGAGACCGTGTTACAAATTTCCCAATGACGAGCGCAGGCAAGAAGCGCGTCATAAGCGATGGCCGTGGAGTGGCCAAGAGATTAGTTACTTTAGCTAAGCCGTGCTGAGCGTACCACGGCTTTCCACTCCGACTTCAACGAGAAACAATCTACCACTTTCCTGTGGCTATACAATGACTTTCCTGTGGCTATACAATGACTTTCCTGTGGCTATACAATGACTCCCGCCTTTAGGACGAGAGATCAATTGATGGGTAACAGGGGGAAGAGCCAGATTTGCAAGCTCGACTATGCATGTACTACACCGGCACCTACTTGAAAACAAGCAGCCTGTGGATGAATGATGATTCGCTCCATCAAAGTGACTGTGGAAAGGCTTCATATAGCTTTCTAGGGGGTTTCTAGAACACTCTCCATTGTCAAGCATCAAACAAACATTCTGTTCGATCATGATAAAGGGTACAAAGGAAACCGAGGCGAGTTGACGACCTCGATTCCAACTCACCTGAGCACTGGCTCTCTGCCGCTGCCAGACGGGATCAGTGGCAGCCTTGGGAACAGCACGAGGGATGGCTCAGCAGCAATCTGTCGTGAATCCGATATCATGAAGAGATCGCCGGTCTTCAGTGCCTCATGGACGGAATCTGAACACAGAGAAGCGTAGTGAGCGCAAATGCTGCCGCTTGTGATGTTGCGCTTCGCAGCGGTCTTCACAACACCATGTCAAACCTTTGGTAAAGCCATGTGAACAGTATGTTGACACCACATTCAACTTCTCACTTGCCCTCTCATCCCACTTGTGAACCCTCATTTGAAGACCATATCCGTTACTGGTGAGGAAGCCTATCATGGCTCCTTCCTCGACAACACCCAATTTCTCCAGGCCATTTCCCTCTCCATTGACCACAGGTGACTTTCACACTCCAGTCAGAGTCCCACGTCCTCGCCATGTCTTTGCAAGCCCTCCAACCCCAGATTCAGAAGCAAACATGGGACAACATGGACAAGGAAAAGCAAAGACTCTTTCACCAAGCCAGATATTGTTTGACATAACCAGTGGCAGTCCAATTCAAGGCAAACCGGCAGGACGCGAAGTGAAAGGCGGTAGCAATGCAGGCTCTCCTAGGGGACGGCACAATCGGAACTCATCTAACACCAGTCTCAAAACTGATTCCAGTTTCACTGTCTTGAGGTATGACACTTTCATCCAAATCATTATCCACCATGGACTCACCAGCGATCATCAGCGTCGACTTGGGCGGTATACATAAGCCTATCCCAAACTTTCGTCCTCATCTCTGGGCTCTTCTTGACACCAAGCGCGAGACTCTCAACCTTGACCTCTTCTGGCCGATCAAGCTGGACAACGAAGATGAAGATGAGGAGGAAGTGAACGAAAATGGTGATCCCAAAGGTGTCTTCCCATTCAAAGAACTCCAGCCTCTCAAAACCTTCAAGAACCTCCATTACCTTCAGCTTAACGGCATGATGCGCTCTTACCAACCGATCATCTGGGCTACTTGCTGGCAAAACAAGAACCTCACCAAAGTTCACCTCGAAATGGCCTTGGAACCACTTTTCTGCAAAGACATCATGCACAAATACCGGAAAATCGACGTCAAATGGACCTACAATCGTCTCCCCGAACCAAAGACGGAGATTATGTATTTGGGGGCTCATGGTGCTGGAGTCTTGCATGAAGAGTTTGGAGACGGCGAATACCTCGATCAACAAGCCATGAAAGCAAGCCAGCTGGACGACGTCAAGAACCTTCCTATTGAGAATGTGCGCTACCTACCCATCACTCATCTCACTTTGATGAACTTCGTGGTTGACGCTGGTCCTTTCTACCGCTGGTTCGATCCAAAGAAGTTCAAGGAGGTGACGTTCAAGGGAGACTGTATCGACGCCGGCTTCTCCTTGCCCCAAGAGATGTTTTCTACGGTCACAGTCAAGTCGCCGAAGCCACTCCCACCACCTCGCTGGGTCAAACCCGGCGAAGTCAAGCTCATCGATATCAAGAAGAAGCCTACTCCTACCGACACCAACACTAAGGTCGATACAGTTGGAAGTGGGCACGGACTCAAGAGCAAGATCAGCCAGATGATGCCTAAGTGGGGATCCAAGGGAAAGGATGGCAAGGAGCAGGATGGTGCACAAGACACCGCCCAGCTTGGAAGCAACATGAAGAAGATGGAACTCTAAGGAATGCACGAGCCATCAACGGACCTCGAGAACATCGAGACGGCGTATTGCAACGCGGGAAAGGAATGATCATGTCACAATAAGCGTCTTCTAGATAGACAATACGATCAAATGAGACACTAGCCGCTTAATGTACAATGTTTCAAGCCCAAAAATCAACATGAGGCTAACGCCACGCTACTAGACGTTCAATATTTCTGATAACCCCTTCCATACGAGTTCACACTCTGCGCATATCCATAACCCGGAGAAGGGCTACGCATGCCTCCCATCATAGGCTGCGCCTGCTGCTGGTAAATGGCGCCCGCATTGCCCATGGCTGGGGAGACTTGGACGTAAGGCTGCTTGAACCTGTCGTTGCGAACGCGAGACATATCAGCTCGGTAGGCCATGACTTCAGCAGCGTTCTTCTCGTACTTGGCGTCCTCGATCAATTTCTCATGCTTGCCGGCGCGGCGTTGGCGGATGCAGCAGAAGGCGAAGATGGCGACGGCGAGCAAGAGCACGCCGCAGACAACGCCAATGATGATGTACTTTGTCGTCGGGGTGAGGCCGTTCCATTTCTGCTTCACGGTCTGCGTGGTTGAGCTCGAGTTTTCGCCGTCGAGCTTGATGGGCGAGGTTTCACTGCTTGGGAGTCAGTATACGTATAGTAGTAGTATGGCTTGAAGGGGGTAGCGAAAAATGGAGATTGCATACTTGAGAACCTTGATGCTTTGGTAGCTGCCGGTCTTGTCGCCGTAGACGTATTGTGTCCCCGTGCTAGCGTCCGAGACTCGGACAGACTTGACCGTCATGGTGAACGGGCTGTCGCCGTAATTCGTCTCACCACCAGCCCAGTCGATCGTGCCTTGCTCGTTTTTGGGGTCGCCACCGGCCCAGATACCCAGTCTGACGTTGCAGGGCGTTTGGGGGAAGTTGTGCCCTCCATTTGCATCCTGCGCATTGAGCACACGGATCGACTGTCCGTCGATAAACCACTCCAGTTTCTCGGGGGTCCAGTCGACGGTGTAGTTGTGGAACTCGCCCTGCGCGTCGTTCACCTGGTGAATCGCCGAGCGGTCGTATGTGGTGGTGTTTCCCTTGCCGAAGTAGTTGGTTTGCACGTATGTGTTGTTGGGCCCTATCCATTCCCAATCCACCTCGTCCAGGTCGTCGGACTCCAGCACAATCGAGGACACGATACCCTTGCCTGGAGCGGCCTTCATCCACACCTCGACCTGGCCGAAGAAGATGTAGAAGTTGGTCTGGACTGTAGGCGCGTCGCCGCGCACATTGATGGTGAACTCGGCGCCCGAGTCGCCGTAGTTGGCGCTCCCAGCTGTCCAATTCCATACGCGATCCGACATTATGCTCTTGGTGAAGTCGATTGTGTAGTTGGACACGCCGAGGGCGGTGTCTGCAGGGCAGTCGTCCTTTTCCATCGGGTTGCATGCTGTGAATGTTTGGGCGAGCGTTGTAGAGAGGAAGGAGAGGAGGGCTACATGTTTCGAAGTCTTTGAGAAAAGCATGGTTGCGGTTGGTCGTGAATGGCTATGTTCCTCGTAGCTATGAGAGGAAGTATTTGAGACAGATGCAAGTCAAGGTCAAGCTGCGAGACAGGTCGACACAATGCTTTGTTCGAAATGAATATTCAGATGGCTGACTCCGGGTCTTCGTCTGTGGTCAATGCTGAACCGTGCGACGTGGTGGCACTGGTGGGAAGAAGATTGAGCTTGAAGCTTGGACTACGGAGTAGAATGAGCGTGGGCACGCGTCGCAGCACAGCGGCGACAGCGAGACGATAAATGAGAGTCTGAAACTGCAGAAATGAGCGGCAGCGGGCGACACGATGGTGTGTGCTCGACAGAGAGGGAGGTCGACCAGCAGACAGAATGTGCGGTGACGAGGGAGATAGCTGAGAGCTCAAGGGGTATCGTAGGAGATGAAACGCGCACTCAAACACTCTTGCGAAAGGGGCACGCTAACATCCAGCTTCCGCCAATAATCAAGTGGCTGAGCCTCCCGACGTGTTCGACCGTGCAGACCTCACTTCTTGTCGGCCCGTCGGCCGTCGTGTCCTTGTACGTAGTAATCCTCTTCAGCAGTGCTCCAAGGTTCGTGCACAAATGGATCGACTTGATGCAATTTGCCCATACCCCCAGATCAGCGTGGTGCGGACCCAAGCCGATGATCTTGATAAACGTTGTGGCTGTGCAGCTACTGTACCGCGGTTTTGCTGCATCTAGAGCCTTGCGAGAGAGCATGCGATGTCAACGGGCGCAACATCGAAGTGGTGAAATGAGATCGGTATGCTGCTGTATCACTGGCATTGGCCAAGGTGAGACTTTCGCTTTGAAGGTCTTGAACATCATTCTTTCATTCATGGGTGGCACAGAGTCTCCTCTATCTCTATCACTGGACTGGGGAACTGGTTGAAAGGAATCCCCGAATCCTGGAATTTTGCATCAGGTACATGATGTGCAGCAGGATCATCATCGATATCGGCTGGATTTGGCGAACGATCACAGGAACGTACGGAGTAGAGGTTTTTTTTTTTGGTTTGAGAGAGATTGAAATTTTCACCAAGAGAACGACGATGGTCGAGCTCCACGCACCGACCAGTGTTGCAGAGAGATTTACTCAACTATTTCACTTCACCACCCGGTTTGTGAGGTTCTTACTAATTCCCGCACGATGCCGCCGTGGTCAATAGCAAATTTTCCTTAACTTTTGTTGCGGTCGAAGCAGCCGGATCATGATGTCAAATATTCCCGGCATCTGCCCGAATCCATACGGACATAGCAGCCTCGTGGGTCATTAACACCATCCTCCACCTTGAATGCTTAGAAATGCTCGAATACCCGTCCTGAACTTGACATTTTACGTTGATTCTCTGCTTTTACATTTCTGACTCCTGCAGCAATCAACATGGCACCAACAAACCAAGCAGCTTGGCTCCCGAAACCCAGGGAGAAGTTGGAGATTAGGACGGCAGAAATTGGCAAGCCGGGTCGAGGCCAGGTTCTGGTAAAGAACAAAGCGGTCGCAATCAATCCTGTTGACTGGAAGATACAAGATGGATATTTGCCCGCCGAGAAGCCAAGGATCCTGGGGCAAGATATCGCAGGAGAGATCGTCGAGGTCGGAGAAGATGTCACCGAATTCTCCAAAGGCCAGCGTGTGCTTGCCCATGTCGTTGGTCTGGCGACAGGCAAGCCTGAAGAAAGCGGATTTCAGAATTACAGTCTTGCACCAACGATCGGCACATGCCCTATCCCAGATGGCATGAGCTTTGAAGAAGCGTCCGTCCTACCACTCGCTCTTTCTACAGCTGCAGTAGGGCTGTTCTCAAAGGATCACCTTGCATTGCCGAAGCCGAGTCATGATGTCAAAGAGTCCGGGAAGACGTTGTTAGTCTGGGGTGCAGCGTCGTCCGTGGGGAGTGCGGTTGTGCAATTGGCAGTCGCTGCTGGGCTGAAGGTTGTTGCGACTGCCTCAAAGAAGAACTTTGATTTCTGCAAAGATCTAGGAGCAAGTCAAGTATTCGACTACAACAGTCCGGGGGTCGTGGGTGACTTGACAGCCGAGCTACAGAAACATGATCTTGCCGGTGCATATGATGGTAAGTGTCGACCTGATAATCTCCTCCGCTTGCTGCTAACTTTCACTTCAGCTATTTCCACGAGAGATACACAATTGAACACCGCCCAGGTGCTGGCTCAGCTAGGTGGAGGTAAACTGGCACTCACACTCCCTCCAACCGACGAGATTCCTTCGACAGTAACAGCGAAGAGTGGTACGTATTCTTCTTCTTTTGGAAATCAATCAGGCTGACCAGGACATTTAGTGTTTGCCATTGTTCTTCTTATGCAGGACAAGGCACTGGGAAATACCATATACCGTGAGTTCCTGCCAGCTGCCCTCAAGAGTGGCCAGATCAGACCTCTGCCGAAGCCCGAAGTGGTTGGCAACGGTGTGGAAAGTATTCAAGCTGCACTGGACAAGCAGCGTGCAGGAGTGTCTGCTGTGAAGATAGTGGTCACTCTGTAGAGGCCGCAATGGGAGTCCTCTCTGGGCCTGGCAATCGAAATGCCATAGGTAGCTTCAATGACATTGCAAAAGTGAATATCGCCTACCTTATGTATCTGATATTCAGCACATTCGTGTGCGGGTGCCGGAAGGTCAATCTTGGACTAAAACAGTAAGGCGCTGTCTGCGGAGTTGGGTCATAAATCCAAACCACCAGACAATCGTCAATGAGTTCAGGCTTACGTTGCAAACGTTTGTTTGTTCGACCTGCACTCTCATTTCGTGCCACGAGAAGCCTGCGCTTGCAGCTCGATGCTCAACGCACCATCTATTCAGACATGATCACTTTCCTGAAGTCCTGAGCGTGACTACTGCTAGTTGATCTCCATCGTCACAATGGCGCAGTCCAAGCTGCCTGAGGGCGTCCATTCGTTTCTGGATACTGACTTGTACAAGCTGACGATGCAGTGTGCGATCTTCAAATACTTTCCCTCTGTCGACGTCGAGTATAAGTTCACCAATCGGACACCCCAGATGCGCCTCAATAAGCAAGCGTTCGCATGGCTAAAGGAGCAAATCGCAAAGCTGGCAAACATCAGACTGTCGCAGCAGGAGCTGGAGTACCTGAGGAGACACTGTCCGTACTTGAGCTCAGACTACCTGGACTTCTTTCAAACCTTCCAGTTGCGGCCTTCGGAACACGTCCATGTTAAGTTCACACCAGTGGACGACGCGTACGGCAATCTCGATATCACGGTCGCAGGGCTTTGGGTTGAGACTATACTCTACGAAATACCTCTCCTTGCATTGACCAGCGAAGCCTATTTCAAGTTCGTGGACAAGGATTGGTCTCCCGAAGGACAAGAAGAAAATGCATACCAGAAAGGAGTGCGGTTGCTGTCAGCAGGCTGTCTGTTTTCAGAATTCGGCTCTCGAAGAAGAAGAGATTTCCAAACCCAAGATCAGGTGGTCAAAGGTTTGGTGAGGGCATCAAAAGAAAAGGATTGGCCAGGCAAACTGACTGGTACGAGCAATGTCTACTTCGCCATGAAGCACAGTATCCCTCCGGTTGGGACTGTGGCGCATGAATGGTACATGGGCATTGCCGCGCTTACCAACGACTACGAACATGCCAACGAGCAGGGTCTTCGCTATTGGCTCGATTGTTTCGGGAAAGGTGTACTTGGAATTGCCCTCACGGACACTTTCGGCACAGAGGATTTCTTCAAAGCCTTCAACAAGCGTATCCCTGCAAAGACATCGGCCTCAAGAGACTCGGCCATGGGCTACTCTGATGAAAGCAACCCTTCTGCGGAGCAACCTACATTCGCCGAGGTATTTACTGGCATAAGGCAAGACTCGGGAGATCCCAAAGAGTATGTCAAGCACGCCAGTGACTTCTACAAGTCTATAGGGGTGAGCGGGAAAAACATTGTATTCTCAGATGCGCTCAATGTGGACAAATGCTTGGAGTATAAGAAAGTGGCAGAAGAGTATGGCTTCAAGCCTTCTTTTGGTGTGGGAACTTTCTTCACGAACGACTTCAGCCGGAAATCCGATCCACAAACAAAGTCAAAACCTCTGAATATTGTCATCAAGCTGTCGAAAGCAGGCGGCCGACCGGCAGTCAAGATCTCTGACAACATTGGGAAGAACACGGGCGACAGTGCAACCGTCCAAGACGTGAAGCGTCGGCTAGGCTACATCGAACAGGAATGGAGGGGAGGTGATGAATCTAAGAGGTGGTGAACAGGTGATGCAGTTTGTGATGTGTCGGACCATCGGCGAGCAAAGAGCAGAATGTCGCAGCCTTGCTGGACCCTAGCGACCTTGTGGGTCTTAGATCGAGGCTCTGTAGAGCTGTGGGGTGTGGCGGGAGGACTTGATTGTCGAGCCATTGGGGCGGTCAAACGATAGTTGCGGGAGACGACTCACCGTTTCCCGAGCAGATGGCGATTAATATACTGGTGCCTAGAACCTACACAGTCACAGAGTACAAAGGAATGATGGACCGTGATGCGCCCGACGTGCGCCGCCACGATGATTACGATCATCATGATCAGGTGTGTCGCAAATGATAGCGGACCATTGCGGCAAGGGACACTCCGCAGACAAGCAATTGATGCTCGTTTTCTAAGCTCGAACAGGGCACGATTTTGGGCCAAGCAACTGCTGAAACGATGTTTAGTGCGGCCGTAACGGGTCCATTTTGCCTGAGGCAAGTTGGGAACACTGGTGAGGCCAGACGGTTTTGACCGGCTAAAGGAGATTAGAGATGATTGATTGGCTATAGAGCATCTCTACGGCCTTTGACCCTGTAGGACTAATCGTTTAGCCCGTTCATACGATGGGTTACAATCTCACAGACGAGATCGCAAGACAAGAACCGAAAGAGTAAGCGCTGACTGTTTGCATGTGGGAGCATCATGAGAATTGGGAGAAGTGCTGTGAGTGCTCGAGCTGTGGCCTAGTCATGCTGCGGCGGGGCGGGGAGACGAACCAAAAGAGGAGGCCCTAAGAACCTTAACCAAGACGGTTCAGCAGCAGCACAGCCTCCCTACCATGGTAGATACGGGGGGCATTGGCACTTTTTGGCACTAAACTGTGACCTGCATCTTCAACACCATTTGCTTTGCCTGCGCCCAGACTTGCCTTTCCTATTCCGCCGCGCTACCTGTCCTACCAAGCTGCTGCTGCGACTTCCTTTCCTTCTCCGATGCCGACCTGATCAGATTGTCATCACTCAGCTTGAACGTCCTCTTATTCCCTCGATTTGTCGCTGCCTTACATTCTATCCGGCCTCATCGTTTCTCGCATCTCTTGTCGTTGAAGCATCGTCCTCCGAGCATCGCGTATCATCCCCTACGCGCCAAATAACCTCCCTTCACTTTTATTCAGCATCCCACCACCGTATTTTACATCGCTAAGCCGCGACTTTCAGCTGGATCTTCCTCCTACCGTTCCCATCCTCCGGTCATTATGAGCGTATGTCAATCATCCCATCCTATCCTCCCTCGGGTTGCCTGAAGCCATCATCACCCCCTGAAACATGCCCATTGAACACCACGAGACGGCATGATCTTCTGTAACCTACTAACAGACGTGCCAGTACAATCAAGGTTACGGCCAACAGGGCGGCCAAGGCTATGGCAACTACAATCCCTATGGACAATCGGGCAACCCATATTCTCAGGGGAGCTACAACGATGGCCAGGGATACAACGATCAGCCAGGTTACAGTGACCGACCACAAGCGCCAGCGCAGCCACAGGGAGGGAACTACTACGCTGATGAAGAGCAGCGAGCTGGCGGATATGGTAAATCCATCTTCTGAGCATCCACATATTGAATCCGGCTGACCCGCCATCCCAAAGAGATGAGAAATATGAACGGAAATGACCCCAACCGAATCCTCAATGAATGCCGAGCTGTCGACCAAGCCATTGACGAGATCGAGGCAGACCTGCAGCGTCTGAAGGGTCTCCAGTCGCGTTACCTTGCTGACACAAACACCTCTGCTCAATCGCCCCTGCGCATCGAAGTCGACCGAACCGGCGAAAACATCATGACCAAGTACAGAGGTCTCGTCAGCCGTGTCAAGAATATCAAGCAACAACCAGAGTCTGGTAACCCACGTAATGCGCCGCAAGTCGGAAAGGTTGATCGAAGATTGAAAACTGCCATCAACCAGTACCAACAGGTCGAGCGGGAGTTCCGAAAGGCATCGCAAGAGCAGATGGCGAGACAATACCGAATCGTTCGCCCCGACGCCTCGGATGCTGAAGTGCGTGAAGCTGTGGAGGATCCAAACAATCAACAAATCTTCAGCTCTGCTTTGATTCAGAGCGATCGCCGTGGCGAGGCACAGACCGTCGCACGAAACGTTTCTCAGCGCCACGAAGATATCCAGAAGATCGAACGGCAGATGATCGAGCTCGCCCAGCTCTTCCAAGATCTCGAGGCTTTAGTCGTGCAACAAGAACCCGCTGTTACGCAGATTGAGCAACGCGGAGAAGAAGTCACAGAGCACGTCGCAAAAGCAAACACCGAACTCGATGGGGCCGTCAAGAAGGCGAGAGCTGCTAGAAGGAAGAAGTGGATGTGCTTGGGCATTGCCGGTCAGTATTCGCTCTGTCGAAACCCCGAAATCGTACTAATTTATATTCAGTACTTATCGTCATTATCATCATTGTCGTGGTTGTCGTTGTGGTGGAGGTTACGAAGAAATAGGGGCGCCGCGATAACTCGAACAACAGCCACACCACCACAAGCTCACATGCCCAACTCCTTCCCTCCGGGTTATGGCGACGATCTTATGTCTTACCTACGGATTATGATGCTCATCCTGTGGTCAAGGCAGATTTTCTTCTACTGCGCAGTTTGCATATGAGAAGGCAGCCTTGTGGAAGGGGGGAAATGCCCTCAAATCATCCGTTTGAGATGTTTTCTCTGGGAGAGCCTTGATGGCCTTCAGTGCTTGCTACCTGTGCGCAATACCGAGGAGGGACCAGAGAAAGGCGGTCGAAATGCAGAGCAGAGGAAAGTTTCGTATGTTCAGAAAAGCCGGCGCAAAGCGTTACTGTTCTTTTTGTGTTTTCTATTGTTGGACTTCATTGGGAACGTTTGTACAGCACAACTTAGACAAATTACTTAATAAGGCCCATGGCTTTGGAAGCCTAACAGTGCTCAGAGAGAGGGCGTGAAAGAGAATATCCCAGACCTCAATTGTTCTCTGATCTGATGGACTCCGCACATCTCAAGTACCATTCACCACCTAGCCAGCACGCTTATCTGGCGATCGCACATACTATGTCTTGGGAAAGACCGCGGCTACATTCAAATCTCAAAGGATTGGGCTTGAAACCTCGGTAGAACGAGTCTGAGCCAAGATAATCCCTTCCCATGTCAGGGGCGAAGGAGGTCCAAGTCAATAAGACTCTAAGGCGGCGTTTGCATCTTTCCCACCCTCCCGCCTGTGCGTGTTTCCTGCAGTTGTGTCGCCTCACACGAAGCTGAAATGGTCAGGACGGTGGAGAAGACTTAGCCTTGAGTCTCTTTTCCTCCTCGGGCGTCTTGGTGCGTAGTTGCAGCGCGTGGATCCCGCCTTGTTGTTCCATTTCGTCTTTGAGAAGGGCGTAGACCATGCGGTGCCGTGCGGGTTGGGGTTTGGACTGGAAGGAGGGGGATGTTATTTCGACGCTGGAGTTTGTCAGTGAGTGAGTGAATATGGGTGGGAAAATGGGGGGCGTAGGGAAGGCGTAGTGAGGAGAGGAGACAGGAACGGGAAGAGACGGTTGAGCGTGTGGATGGTCGACGAGAGCGAGGGGCGATAGAGTGGAACAGGGGGGCCGTGGGTATGAGAGTTGTATGATGTTTTGAGGCATCCTGTAGTTCGCGGGTGTCGTTGAGCCTGGGGATATTCGGATTCGACGGGCAAAGATGCGTAGTGTTTGATGATTTGTTGATTGGATTGCTGGTGCCGTGGTCGATGTCATTCAAGCATAGCCTTTGATTTTATTTTTTTTGTTCGGCGTGACCCCCAGGACGGGTCCTACGGTAAGAACTCAGACGGGTTGATTGTTCACCATTATAGCCATGATCGCTGTGGCGCTGGCTGACTGTTGTCTTTGGTGCTAGATATGGTAGATAGGGACCTTGACTTTGCTGCGAGAGGCGGTCGAAGGAGAAGGAAGCGCATCGTGTGTTCTGAGGCAAAGCGTGGCTGCGAAAGCGACTTTTCATCGGACTTACTAGAAATGCGTCTCCTTGGAGGTACTTCCAGCCATGGCCTTGTGGTGTGAATGCAGATGTGAATCATTCCGGATGCTGAGCAGGGTCGGGTTCAATGCTTCGGTTACCTGTGTATGTGGGAAAATAAGTTAGCAGGCTCGTCGTAGGTGGATTGCGCTCTGGTGAGTGTGTAGTGGAAGACGAAGAGCAGAAACAGAAATGCAGTAGCAGAGGTAGCTCTTCATGGTCTTCAAGCAGCTCGTCTTTCGGAGGTACAAAGTGGACGTGCGGGCATGATTGTCGACTAGGCCAAAGCATAGCCTGGAATGGAAGGCCACCTCTGGAATGGGCAAAGTGCTATTATATAGCGACGATGTATGGCGTTCCAGACAAGGGTATGACATGGATGGGCCCAAAGAAGGAGACCAAACAGTGGCAGTCGCATTGTATAGACAGGCGAGGATAGAGGTAGAACCTTACCTTCCGGCGGATTGTGTCCTCCATCGGCGTACTGGATGTGCTGGCCATTCTGGATCGCAACGTGGAGCGCCAGATAGAGCCGCGTGAAGTCAAGAAAGGTCTCATTGGGACATTGTGGTTGCAGCTCGCACAATGAAGGGAAACGTCGTGTTTGACGGCATCAACAGGTTTGACATAGATATTGACTACTACCTTAGATAGCCAACAGATAGCTTGCCAGTTACGGCGGGTCGGCAAGCACGTAATGGTAATTTTACGGCGAGGTGTTTATGTCGATTGGGATCCTCCATCAAAGAGCTCAGGCAGGGCAGCAAGCGTTGTAAAGGTGACCTGCCCGCATGAATTCGTACTACATATACTACATTGGCGATTTCCCTGGCCTGTTGGCATACTAATGGCGGTAAGGATCATTTCCATTCACTTCCGAAGCAATATGTCCTTCATATGCCACGAGACTTGGGAGACCAAGGAGACCTATCCTGCCATCGGCAGAGCTTCTTGTGCTGTCTTCGCAATTGCTCACTATTGTTGCTTCACCTGCAACCCTGCAACCCTGCTTCAGATAATATATGAGTATGGACAGGCTTGTACAAGAACATCGGCACATGTATACTCCATCGAGGGTGATGCCGACACCGACAACGAGCGAGTCCAGCTCGGGATCAGCGCTTCTGATTGATGCACTTCCTGGGAAGGCCTATTTCCGAAACACTCGAACATCATACGCGTAATCTCAGATCATAAAGAGAGACATCTCCCAGAGCTCATAGCACACGTCTACTGTTCGTCTTATCACCGAGAAGCTCGCCTTTCGCTCTTCGGCTCCAACACTCTGCGATCGATCCGGTTTCGGATGTGATGGGGTTAAACTGGGAAATCTAATCTGATAAATAAGCAGGCGAATCCTGCGGAAGTTGTTCCGTCGGCCTGTCTTTTCATAAACTCCTGGGTTGCCCATTTCGCCCAGGGCTGGCCGTCCCTGTTTCCTTGAAGCAGGCTACGATTGAGAAAGCTTACCCAACAACAATCTTGAGCAATCTCCAAAAAAGTAACCTCCCGGACAACCTCTATGATCACAAGCATGGTCAAGAATGTCATCGTCGTTGGTGGTTCCTACGTTGGACGAGTAGGCATGCTCAATACCATGTTATGGAATCCATCCAGCTGATAATTATACGCCAGGCTACAGCACAGGAACTCGCCAAGGTAGTACCTGCGTCGCACAGGGTAAGCAGGCTGTGGATGTATGTGTCGAGCATTTCTTAGGCGTGCTAATGAATTTAAGGTCTTGCTCATCGAGCCTCATAGCCATTTTCACCACCTCTTCACTTTCGTAAGTGGTACCGAGGCTAGCCCAGTGGCGTTCCAATCTTCAACACTGTGCTAATGTGCGAATTAGCCCCGGTTTGCTGTTGTGCCTGGTCATGAACACAAAGCATTTGTCCCATACACTGGCATTTTCTCATCCGTGCCCAGATCAGCTTCACATGCTGTCATTCAGGCACGAGTTCTCTCGCTACAGCCTCACGAAGTGAAGCTCGACCGTGAATGGGAAGGATCAAGCCAAATTCCCTTTGACTATCTGACTGTTGCAACCGGCACCCTGCTTTCACAGCCGGCAGCGATGAAGAAGGATGACAAACAGTCCTCAGTAAGCTACTTGAGGCAGCACCAAAACGATGTCGAGCGAGCAAAGTCCATACTCATCGTCGGAGGTGGAGCCGTTGGGGTGCAGATGGCGACGGATCTGAAAGAGTATTATCCAGACAAGAACATCACGGTGGTGCATTCGCGGGTCCACCTCATGCCTCAATATCACCACAAATTCCATGGGCTTGTCAAGAAAAGGTTTGATGAACTGGGTGTCAAGCTCATTACCGGCGCTCGTGTTAAGATCCCGCCCGGCGGCTTTCCCACCAATAGCTCTCCATTCGACGTCGAGCTCACCAGCGGGCAGAAAGTTTCCACAGACTTCGTGATTCTGGCAACCGGGCAGAGCCCTAACAATACTCTGGTCAGAGATCTGGACCCTGATTTTCCGAACGCAGTCATCAACCCAGACAATGGGTATATTCGCGTGCGGCCAACTTTGCAGTTTCTCGATGAGAAATATCCTCATCTCTTCGCAGTTGGCGATATCGCCGACACTGGTGCACATAAGGCTGCACGGCCAGGAGTCGCGCAAGCAGCCGTTGTTGCCAAAAATATTCAGTCATTGTTGGAAGGGCGGGAGGCAGAAGAGAAGTACATACCTGGTCCTGCCGGAATTCATCTGTCGTTGGGCATGGTAAGTGGGAAGCCACAAGGAGCGCGAGACAAACGAGTTGACAATATCATACAGAAGCACAACGTGATCTTCAGGAACCCGAACAAGGCGGAAGGCGAGACGGAGCCGACGGTCATGCCCAAGACCGAGTAAGTGGTGCATTCTGTTTGTGCATTGTGACGAAAACTAATATCAGTGAAAGTGGCCAAGAGGATATGGGGGTGGAAGGCTTCTGGAAGAGGCTAGGAGTCGAGGTCAACAATCTTCAGCAATACCACTTGTAAAAGGGATATGTCTCGGCTCCTGGACACGACGGGCCGCCAATGCCTGTGAAGGGACACTAAGACCGTCAAGTCGAGGCAACTTGCGCCTTATCGCCAGCTCATCTCTCCTTTTGATTCCTGGAACGCTCGGGGTCGGCAAGAGCATCGGCATTCCACCTTGGGTCTTTGCTTTCATTGACTGGTGCCCAGCCTAACTGGATCTACCCTCGGTTAGGAGAGGCATTCAATCCGACATTGTAGTGGACCTTACCTGCATGGTCTTCTGGTCCCAGTCCTTGGTGAAGCTCTGGATCTTCCCATCTTCGACCTCGAAAATGGCTGCCGCAGCCCACCTGGCATGTTTATTGGATGCTGGAATTCCCTTGTATGGCTTGCCGCAGTGGCTACCTTCTGCCGTATATCTGAGCAGGACATGGCCATTCTTTGCGAAAACCTGGTCGAACCGGATGATGTGGAGGTCGGATACGCTTGCCATTACGACCGAGTGCGATGTCGCATAGTCCATTGGCGTTTGACATCCTGGAAAAGTGGCCGGAGCCCAGAACCAGCTATCATCACGACATAGATGGCGGACGGAGTCTCCACCTTTGTTCTCGGTTGGAGAATACGCGATTGCCATGTACTTTTTGCAGACATCGATGTTGCGCTGGTAAAGAGGACTGTCAGTCAAAGTGAACTCCAAGGGCTTAGCCATCAATAATTCTGGCAGATCGATTCGGGAGAGGAGCATGCTGCACGAACCTCTTCCTCCGGAGTCTGCTCCGTGGTAATGACTGCAGGAGGGTATTCGCGAGAGCCCATGATGGCGGTGGGTGCTTTTCCTCTTGATAGGATGTCTAGTATCGACAATGCTCAAGACCCAGTTGGAGAATGAAATATCCATGTTGCTTCACTGATATCATACTTGCCCTTGGTGTACGTCATGCCCTTACGAGGAGAGGGGGAACGCTTCCACGACCATGTGCACTTGCACCATTTGCACGAGGGATATATGTCCCTGCAGAGCTGCTTCATTGCCTCCACAATACAACGTTGACCATGCCTACCTTCACTAATGCCATCAGTCGTTAACGGAATGAGGCAGTGTTAGAGATTAGACAGGTTCTTCCACTTGCTGCTGGCTATCTGTCGTCGGGTTGAAAGCGTTGAATCATGGGTATCTCAAACACCTACCTACTATTACCCCTGATTGACATATAAGTCGCGTTGTTCAATGGAATTTCCATTGTCCATCAGACTATTCGATGGGAAACATCCAGACTCCCCATTCAACTATTGAGCCCACGTGCAACTCGACTGTGTCTGAGGGGAAGTCGTGACATTGCAGCATTACACTGAGGTTTCCGTCCAAAGGCCGACCAAATTCTGATATCCTGAACATCGAAAAAGGCAGAAAGAGTGCAGACAAGGAGTCTATCACCTCAGTGACCATGCTTAGTAAGTTACGTCATTGTTCATCGCCAAGTCGAGGTGCCTCATCTCATGCTGTACCGTATTGCGCGGCCTGGCGGCAACCGACAGACACCAAGGATAGCAGCGAGCCTCATGACAATCCATTTTTCTCCAGCTGCTTTACTCTGCCTCTGAAGACGTTGGCTCTTGTTCCAAATAACGTCACTACAAGCCATGTCGGATTCTGGGTTGGCTGCACGCCTGGCCCGTTTCAAGCCCTTTCCGACGTCAAAACACAAGGTTGACGATGAAGATACTGGTGATGAAATCGACTCGTCCACCGTTGCGGGAGGTGGCCATGCGGCTCGAGAAAGTGACATTACGAGAAGTCAATTAAGGGTCAGCCATGCTTTGAGGTCATTCCTGGTCCATCAGGGCGTTCTCTCCGAAGAAGATGCCGGCGCACACGATCCAGCAAGCACACCTGGGCCCCTATACGATCTCATTGAGAAACCGCATATCAATGTCCCACCCTCCGTTACTGATAGAAGTCATGCTCTTCCAGAGTACTTCATAAGTTCCAGCCACAACACTTACCTGCTGGCACATCAACTCTATGGGCAGGCTTCCGCCACGGCTTACGAGACAGCACTGAATGCCGGGGCCCGTTGCGTCGAGATAGACGCCTGGGACGACGAGGACCATCCAGAGGAGCCCAAGGTCACCCATGGTTACACTTTGACCTCTCATATTCCATTCCGCTCTGTTTGTGAGACTATGCGCGATTTTGTCGACAGAGAAGCAGCACAAGCTGCCAGCAACTCCGAGATTCGACCTGCACCAATTTTCTTGTCACTTGAAAACCACTGTAACGCTCAAGGTCAACAGCGTCTGGTTGATATTATGACAGTAGTGTGGGGTGACCGCCTCCTCAGCAAACACGTTCGGGAGAAAGGCCATCAAGAGCAACAGGGTACTGGCGAGCATGTGACTCTCGAAGAACTTTTGGCCAAAATCGTTGTCATTGTGGAATATCACTACCCAGATGAACCCAGTGATAGTGACGATGACCCCAGCTCAAGCAGTGAAGATGAAGCGGAAGATGAGAGACGAGCCCGAGAGATCTACAATGAAACCAAGAAGTCCGCTCCTCCTACTGCTATCATTCCTGAACTTGCCGAGCTAGGAGTCTACGCCCAGTCAGTTAAGCCCCAGAACACCTCCTGGTTCAGCGAAGTCGGACTCAAAGAGCCTCACCATCATCTTATCAACGTATCCGAGACCGGACTCAGCGCTCACATGCCGGCGGAGAGTGACAAGATTGCTCGACATAACGCTCAACATCTGATGCGCGTATACCCGAAGGGCACGCGCATCTCATCCAAGAACCTCAACCCTGTCCCTTTCTGGGCGCTGGGTGCTCAGATATGTGCTCTCAACTGGCAGACATTCGCGGCTCCACTGCAACTCAATGAAGCTCTCTTCAGCGGCTCGGATGGCTACGTCTTGAAGCCTGCTGCTCTCCGCAGTGGTGGCAGCGGAAAGCTCAATACTGGGAAAAAGAAGAGACTACGTCTTCACGTTGCCGGTGCTTCCGATGTTCCAATTCCGCTAGGCCGTGAAGCCACCGATATCAAACCCTACCTAACATGCACACTGGTCCACCCTGATGATGTCGACAACGAGCCAACGAAGCGCAAGACAGCACACTACAAGCAACATAAACTCGGCTTTTTCCATTCTGGGGAGAACCCGCCGGCAAAGGATCCAGTCTGGGACGAAACACTCGAGTGGCAGTATGAGGACAATGAGATGGTCTTTCTTCGAATGCTGATCAAGAGTGACGATAGCTTTGCCAGAAACCCCAAGCTGGCGGTCGCTGCGGTAAGGCTGCTGTATGTGGCTCCTGGATGGAATTTCATCAGGTTTCTGGGATTGGCAGGGGCAGAAACAAGCTGCTCGTTGCTTGTGAAATTTGACATCGAGGACGCTTGATGATGAAAAGAGACCAGAATACTCCGTACTGAAAGTGTCTCCTACCACAAATTAAAGCGGCGTGATGCTCTCAGTTTTCGACGTCACCAGTAAAGCTCTCGATGTTTTGTTTGTGGAGGTCAAAAATGACCCTCTCGAACCCCAGATCGAAAAGCCCGCAACTGTGGTGATGTTCTTGTCTTGCTTCTAGATCTAACAGCACAGGGTCCGCATCGATCTTGTCCAAAAGGTGAGACTAGGTCAAACCACCTCGTTGAACAATGTTCCGTCAGGCATGCGTGCTGTTATCCTGGCCTCTCAATACATGAGCCTCCTCTCCCGCACCCTCATAACCTCGACAGCAGCTGGAGCTCGAAGTCGGAGCTCGTCCTTTCGTTTCCGCGCATCTAGCCTCACCTTCGCCGTTCGAATGGCATCCACGCTCCCGTCGACGCCCATCTTCGAGGCCATTGCACGGCACGACCCCAAAAGTCCAGCAATTGTCCACAGCGACTCCGACCGCACATTCAGCTACGGCAGCCTGCTCCACGATGTTGCAGCCGCGAAAGATACTTTGAGCGCCCTAGTCAAGGGGAAACCACTCTCCGGCGAGAGAATAGCTTTTCTCGCCGAGAACGGGTATGACTATGTAGGTGCGGGCGCGCCGCCCTCTATTGTCGCCAGCAAACTAATGCCGCGACAGTAACATTCCTTTCGATCCTCTCGCACGACGCTATCGCCCTGCCTCTCGCCCCTACGCACCCGAATTCCGAGCTCCGCTATATCCTCGAGAACAGCGAAGCCGCGCTATTCCTCTCGACGCAGAAGTTTCAAGGCAAAGCTCAAGAGGTGGTCAAAGAAGGTCTAAATTACACACCGCAGTTTGAAGTCCTGAGCAAAATCGAAACGGGCGCTGTATCGGCTGAGAATGTCCGCTTCAATTCTTCCGCTCCAACCAACAATGGCGGCTTCATGCTCTACACGTCGGGCACGACGAACCGGCCCAAGGGTGTCGTATTGACCATACCAACCATGACCGCACAAGCCCGCTCTCTGATCGAAGCGTGGAAATACACGCCTTCAGACCTGCTGTTGCACGTTCTCCCCCTGCACCACATCCACGGCACGATCAACGCGCTGTTCACGCCTCTCATGGCCGGAGCGGCCGTCGAGTTCGCATACCCCTTCAACGCGGATACCGTTTGGAAGCGTCTAGCGCTGCCGTTCCTCCCACACTCCCCACCAACGAAGAGGCCCATCACATTCCTCACCGTTGTGCCAACGATATATAATAGATTGCTTGCAAGCCATTCGACGTTGTCCTCAGAAATGCAAGAAGCCACACGTACGGCCATCACTCCGCAATACATGAGGCTGAATATCTCGGGGTCCGCGGCGCTGCCGACGCCGACGAAGCAGGCGTGGACGGAGCTCAGTTCGGGGAATGTCCTACTTGAGCGGTACGGTATGACGGAAGTCGGCATGGCGCTGTCATGCGGTTTGGCGTTTGAGGACCGCGTGGATGGAAGCGTCGGCTGGCCATTGCCTAGTGTCGAGGTCAGACTTGTGGATACCGAGACCGGCGAGGTGGTTCCTCCTAATGAAGAAGTGGGCAAAGACGGCAAGTTGCGCGAGGGAGAAATCCAGCTTCGTGGACCGACGATATTTAAGGAGTATTTCCGCAACCCGAAGGCTACGGCCGAGGAATTTGTCGAAAGCGACGACAATGGCGGGAAGTGGTTCAAGACTGGCGACGTGGCTGTCCGGCAGAGTGTTCCGGGGACAGGCCAAAGTGAGCAAGAGTCGGCGAAAGGACCAATGTATTTCATACGCGGCCGGAAGAGCGTCGACATCATCAAGACGGGCGGCGAGAAGGTGTCCGCTCTGGAGATCGAGCGCGAATTACTCTCACTGCCCGAGATCTCGGAAGCGGCTGTCGTCGGTCTCCCGTCGGAGCAGTGGGGCCAGAAAGTCGCAGCGGTGGTGGTTCTGGCTCCTGCTGGACTGACGGGTGGCAGAGGCGGGAAGCAGTGGGGAGTCATGGACATGAGGAGGGCACTGAAGGACAAATTGGCCAACTACAAGATCCCGCAGGAGTTGAAGGTTGTGGAGTCGATACCACGGAATGCGATGGGGAAAATCAACAAGAAGACGTTGATCAAGGATGTGTTTGGGCAGAAACCCCTATAATGTCTGGGAAGAGCATCTGTACCAACAGGATCGTTGTCAGGAGAAGGTCTGACATGGGTTAGACAAAAGCCAGGATCATGACTGCTTCTAGTTCACATCTATTTTGCTGGTGGTCCCAAAGTGTTTGCAGTCAGGACCAACGCATGCTTTCCCGCATGATCTTAATTGCCAAGCTACCGTACACAGCCTTGTTCCCAATGTCCAAGGAGACTTCAAGTTCGTGATCAAGACAGTTCGCTCCAAGCATGCGGAGGGACATTCTTTGTCCTTTTTGTACGTCTGGTCCAGCTATACAGCGTATCATACATCCCGCTTTTTTTTACAGCATATAACGATAATCGGGAGACATGTCGCCTAGTTCGGTCTTTTCGTACTCGGTCAAGCCGACATCTTGACTTTTCGCGCGGCTTCTATTCTGGGAAACGCAAGCGAGGAAATAGCATATGCAGCTCACTGCGCTCAAGCAGATGAACGAGATGCAGATGCTGTAACCTTTGTGGAAGAAGGTTTTGGCGTCCGTTGCCGCGAAACTGTAACTGGCAATGATTCCGCCAATCTGTGGGATTACCGTCAAAATCAGGAACCAAGGAGAGTCTCCGAAAGAAATGCCTCCGAAGAGGGTAGGTAAGGGACTTACATTTCCAGCTCCAATCTGCCAGGCGGATCCGACACTCCTCCTGTGATGGCCACCTAGGTTCATCGTGAACCAACACACAATGATAGGCATAGCAGAGTACGTTCCCGAGGTGATCAAGAACAGCGCCGCATACTCGGTGTGGGCGTCGTGATGGACGTTCATCAAGATGGCGAACCCAGTGATGGCGATGCAGATGGGGATCATCGCAAAGAGGAAGCGGTGGCGGAGTCGATCGGACAAGATGGCTACCAACATGCTAAAACCGAAAGCGCAAGCCCACGGTGGGACCGAGTGCAGTTGAGTCTGAATGTTGCCGTACCCGTAGGACTTGATGATCGTCGGGGCAAAGTAAGCATAGCCATAAGCTAGAAAGAAGAAAAAGAGGGGTTAGTGGTGGTATTTCAGGATGGGCGCATGAGGCTGCCTGAGACGACTCACCAGGAACAATGAGGCCGAAATACATCAACCAGCCAAAGATGAATTTGTAGTCCTTGAAGCAATTGACCACGTCTTTGAAAGTGATTCGTCGATCAATGGCGGACTTGCCCTGGTCAGCTCGGAGCCTCGCCTTGAGGTACTCGCGCTCGGCCTCGCTCAACCATTTCGCGTCTTCTGGGAAGTCGCTAATGATGAACCACCAGACAAACGAAACCGCACAGGTGAGAACGCCCTCAAGGATGAACACCCATCTCCACCCGAGGTAGCCTCTGAGGCCGTTCATCTTGCCGATGGCCGAGGCCAAGAGACCGCCAAAGGCACCTGCGAGAGTAGTGCTAGCAAAGAAGAAGGTATACCTCTTCTGAGCTTCGTGGCGCTTGTACCACATGCTAATCACATAGAAGGATCCTAGCGCAATCGTTAACATCATGAAGACATTGTGATGGAAGGTGTGAATTACCTGGAAACATGCCTGCCTCGAAGAGACCGAGGAAGAATCGAGTGGTAAGGAATCCTCCATACCCTTGGACAAGCCCCTGGCAGATTGTGGTCAGGCCGAACATGAACATGCAGGCCGAAAGCCAGACATGGGGCTTGAGGCGCTTCAAGTGCGAGTGAGCTAAAGACGCATAGCCAAACAAGGCAAGACCCAGACCAAAGCCAAGATGGTAAAAATGGACGGTGAATTTTCTGAAAAAGCTATTAATTTAGCTGTGCTACCAGCACTTATGCTAGGAAACTAAGCTCCCTCGGAGAGCTTGCTGCTCTGATGGTTAGGTACGAAGCAGTCCGCAAGCTTTGCTTATCGCCGTCGCATGTCGATATTCTCTCGTTGCCACAATGACCAGAGGTCATTTTCATCGTACGAAGACCACGTTGAAGCTATTTACTGATATTTTTACCATTGCGGAGGTATGTCTTGACAAGCTTGGTGCTGTTCTTCGCGCGTGCACTGCAGATCGGGCAGGGGCACGGCCATTTCTTATCACGTCGTTTGATCTCCTCGAACGAGCCATCTTCCTCACGACGATAGCTACCGTTGAGGCAGAGGACAAAGCCGACTTTGTTAGCAGGAACATTTTCACCAACGCTTCGGTCACTGGCGTCGATGATCGGGCCAGGGTCAGCCATTGGGTCAGAAGCCTGCTTTTCCTACATGAACCGTTAGAACACAATACTTCACTAGACATAATAGAAACATACATAGGTAGCAATTATCTGTGCAAGCCGTGTACCAGCTCGAGTGGCATTCTCGTCGATTTGGTCGGTGAAGGCTTTGAGCTTGTGACCTGCCTTCAAGCGCCTCTCCAGCTCCTTTTTGATGTCTGGATGTACTTCCACATTCTCCTCGACGTCCCAATACACGCGACATTGCTCTACCAGGGCCTGGACTTCTTCATCATCGAGGTCGACGTCCTCAAGATCGGAGTCGTCGACAACATTCTCGGTAGGATCGTTGTAGGGATAGTACGCCGCGTCACCCATCTGGACTCTTTGTCAGTAGCTAGGTACATTGAAATGACCCTTGGCCATTCTTCCAGGATACACATACTGCCTGCTGGGCTCTTTTGCCTTTTGGCTGCACGACCTTGCCTCCAATACTTTTACCAACACCGGTAAAGTTGGACTTTTTGCCGCCGGGCGCCATGACGGTACGGCTTTGTGAAAGAATCAGGGTTGAAATTGATTACACATTGAGTAGAGTAGTATGTATTGATGAGCTGTACAAACGTGAAAGGTTCTAGGCTGGAAGGAGAGAGCGGAAAAAGTGCGCGTGAGAGATGAAGAAAGTGAAGTGAAGTAGAAATGATTTCAAATTCATTACAACTGAGGCCATCCTGCATCTGAGACCTCTTCACTTTCCTTTCGAGACCTACATACCCTTTAACTTGGCCAGACTCATCGTTTCACTCTTCTTACATTCTTCTTCTCCGGAATTTGGGATGCACCCAAGCTGAGCGACAGACAAGATGGAGCCCAACAGGCTGAGTCGTGTACTCCTCGACTCGACTGCTGTCCTTGGAAATCTCCAAATCGACGGCACTAAGCTGATGAACAAGGATCAATTCTCCAAGTTGATGGAGGACGCCCAGAAGGATATCAAGCCAGGCCGATGGCTGTTGGGAACCATACAAGAAGAAAAGACGTACATCCGTCGGCGCCCTGCAACGAATCAAGAGAGCAAGATAATCACCGATGGTGATTTCCAGGAGCTCAATGACCACGATTGTTGTCAAAAATGCCTCGATCTTGGAGAGCTCTTAGTTTGCGACGGTTGTGAGGGTGGATTTCATCTACATTGTGCGGGCATCACAGTAATCCCAGAAGGAGACTGGTTCTGTGAGGCTTGCCGACTGGATCAAGTACTCAAGACCCAGGAGACGGCTGAAGCCACCGCGCCCGACTTGGGAAAAGACGACGACGAGTCTACCAGTGCAAATGCTGGCGCTGAAGAACTGCAGGAAGAGGACCTGACTCTCGAATCAGACGCAGAGCAGGACGATGACGTCGATGGTGAGAAGCTGACAGATATCGCCGAAGGTCATTCTGGCATCAAAGAAGTGTCAATTGTGCGTCTCAGTGATGGCGACAGCTTTCACATTGCTCATTACCTGGGATCAGATTACCTCAATCTGATAGTAAATATCCCCTCGTCAATCTGGTGGCACTGCTAACGTACCTCAGGACCAACATTATGATATCCCACCTATCGATCAACCCACCAGAATGACAGTCATACTCCACGACCATCAGAGAAAGGGGATCGCACAGGCACACCAAGCCTGTGAAGGGCCGTTCCGGGGCTGTATCATCGCAGATGAGATGGGTCTCGGTAAGACTCATCAAGGCATCGGCATCATGGAAATGGTTCGTCATGAGCCCGGAATGTCTCTTGTGGTTGCACCTTCGAAGGACCTTACACAGTGGTACCGTGCAATCATTGACTCGTTCAAAGAAGTAAGTACCATGATCTTCCCTAAATGACCAACAGTCATTTTGTCTATCATCTCTCTTGACTGGTTCTTAACTGATCGGTTTCCTTAGGGAGATGGACTTCGCGCGTATGTGCTTCGAAATCGGCATATGACGGCCGCAGAGCTCCTCAGTCTTCAAGTCGATGTTGTCATTTGCTCTTACGAGTTCGTCGAGCATGGTGTCCGCAAAGCCGCTCGTAGAGACGTCCAGTTTCTCAAAACCAGAAAAGACCGGTTTAGTCGACTAGGCCAGCCGCTAGTGCGCCCGACTTGTAACCTTATCTCAGATATCTACGAGTTAACCGGCCAGCCATGGAAGCGAATGATTCTGGACGAGAGTCAAAACATATCTAAGCCAGAGCAAGCTAGACATCGAGCCGTGAAAATGATACCGGCCAAGGCCGTTGTCTGCATGACCGGAACTCCAACTCACAACAAGTGGCACGCTGTTTGGGGCTACATCTGCCTCTTGAAAGGCCATCCCTTCGCAGAGGAAAGCGATTTCTTCTCTACATTCGGTGGGAAGAGGCGCTTCGATGACCCAACTATCAAGAATACGAGAAGGCTGCAGCGGTTCCTTCAGCCCCTGATGATATGCAGGCCACGCCTGACTCTGCCGTCCCTCACTTTAGTGGGTCGTGTATCATATCAACAGTCATTCGACGTCGACGAAATGGACCAGAGTCTTTCGAACGCCTACTACAAGAAGTATCGAGACGTGCTGCGCAAGAAGAATCTTGACACGACTGAATTATTCGTTGGTGCTTCCACCAAAGACAGCAAGAGATGTCTCACGTATGCCACGAAAGCCCAGCTTGCAGCTTTACACCCGCTATTGCTGCTAGGTGACATCAGTAATGCCGAGGATGACGAGGATCCAGAAGCCGAAGAAAATGACCCCGGGTTATTTCTACTAAATGATACCGACGACACAAAAGGAATGAAGTCTCCTCAAAAACGCAAAGCGTGGTTGAAGTTTCTGGAAGACTATGTCGGCCTTGCGGATGACTCTATCCGAGTACAGAATGTCATTGTCGCGCTCCTTTCGATTCGAGCGCAGGAACCGGATTGCAAGGTCGTAATATTCAGTCAATATCTCAAGTTCTTGGATATCCTCGCAGAGGTCCTTAAGCGAGAAGGAATCAAGGCTTATCGCTACGACGGAACGATCAAATCATCTGAGCGCACACGAATTGAAGCCGATTTTGCGAAGGCCGATCCTTCAATCCCTCTTCTCATCACGAGCGGTGCTGGTGAGCTTAATTTGGCTCCTACTTTATGGAAAAAGACTAATGGTGATTCTAGGTGGCACCAGCCTCAACCTGCAGTGCGCCAATGTCGTAATCCAAACAGAAGTATGGTGGAACCACAACGCTGAGTTACAAGCGCTCTGTCGATGTGACCGACAGCATCAGAAAAAGCTTGTCACCTACATCCGACTGATGGCTCGGAATTGCGAGATTGACCATGAAATCCTTCACGTACAGGCGAAGAAGAGGGTTTACAATGAAGCCTTGATGGAACCTCTCATCCGTTGTCATTGGCAAGGCCCGGTGACTATCGAACTTCACGACTTGCTGCCTGTCCAGGGCTTCTACGACGATGGCGAGCTCGGACTACGAATGAAAGTCGAGAGGAACTCTAAACAGGCTTCATCGACCGAGTAGAGCCCGTCTAAACCGACACAGCAGGTCCTTCGGTTATGCAGATAGAGAGGGCAACCGTAGAGTTTCCTGAGGCTGGATCAAATTATCGAATGCTTGAACGCATAGATATGTGCTGCGCTACCGCATCCTCTATCGGCGCTCTCACTAGATACAAAGACACCAATGCAAAATACCAGATAGGGCTGGGAAGTCTCATAGTGCTTCATCTACGGGCCAAATACGTCTCGAGGTATTCCCGTAGAACGCGTAGTTCCTTACGCTGTAACATATAACGTACCGACCCTCGGATGAAGCTGCAATGCACTGCGTATCACCCGCCTCCCCCGTCAGCTATGACGCGATAAGCCATAGCACAATATCCACGAAACTAACTCTGCGCCAGCACAGAGAAAGATGGACATGAACACAAAGACCCAGAGCTTCAGACAGGATAAGGATGAACAAAATGACCATCAGTCATTCTCTCATATCGGTCATTGTTTGCTCCGAGGCGCTCGTTTGATGATTTTTCTTCCGAAAGTTTCCTCTGTCAACTCGTGTGCCAAACCAGGTTCGACACGGTGAGTATTGATCAGATGGGCTTTCAGTATGCCAGGCTTCTTGAATGTAACTTGGCTGTACCTGCACTTCGGGCAATGCATAGCGACGTCTTGCGGCGCCGTCGTGCTGGCAACGGCTTTTTTCTTTTTCCTGCCCATAGTTTCTTCGGCAAGTTCTAGAGCCTTGTCGGAGGCCATGGGGTTGCCGTGAACCTTGGTCATCAGGTGCTTTTGCATGGTCGTGATTGAATCGAATTTGCGATCACATTTCGGATCAACGGGACAGTCGAAAATACGCTGTTTCTTCTCGGTAGGCTTCGTAGGAGGGTCAACGAGGAGTGCTTTGATCCGTTCCAGTGGAGCCAATTCCTCAGCTTCAGCAGCGGAATAGTCATGTGTTGTTCGAAGATGTTTGCGCAGTTTGTTTGGTGTGTCGAACATGGAAAGGCTGGTACAAGCTTCGAGGGGACACCGAGTGGGATGCCAGGGCTTGGACTCCTCTGACCTATAGACTTCCGGCACTGACTGGCGAATCTCCTCGTATGACATCTGATGCTGTGCAACAAGGTGAGCCTTCAAGGTACTAGGAACAACGAAAAAAGTCTCAGAATGACAGTCGGTCTTTTTGGGACATTGTTGCGGTTCCCAATCAGTGTGAACTCTCTCCAGGTGTTTAACGAATTCCGCCTTGCTGTTGTAGATGTGACCATCTACACATCCCCGATTACAAGTTCTTGGTTCGAAATTGTGTATAATGGTGATATGCTGTGCCAGAGACGGTTGACTTGGGAACAACGAGTTGCAGTCGTCATAAGGGCACCCGAGCTTGTCGACCTCTGCCTCTTCAGGTAGGGTAGAAGGTCCACGACAATTTGGCTCGTGCATCATCAAATGATGCTTGGTGAATGTCTGAAAGGGACAGCCCTTGCGACACCTGAAAGCGTACCGGGTCGGATCTGCTCGGCTGTTGCCCGTTGGTACGCGGTCCCGTACAGTCTCCTGGTCCTTGTGGTCATATTGTCCGTGGCTTTGGGCGAACAGATACTCGTTGTGCCTCGCCCAGAAATTGACAAAAGCCATGGGATCATCCGGCCACGGCTCCGTGGAATCATCGAAGAGCGACGCCAGATCCGGCAAGAGGGCGGTGGTATCATCGTTCCCATCAGTCTCATTAACGTCCTCGGTTTCAATTGGACGCGTTTCTCCCTGGTCTGGGGCTGGCTTTGTAGGGATGCCTAGTACCAAATCGCTTACCAAGCGTAGTTGAGCTTCATCACAGGCATCGACATCATCGGCCTCCGCTACAGTCAAGCCACTTTCGTTGCCGATATCAGGGAGGGCGGTTCCGCCTCCGGTGCCTCGGAGTCGAGGGTCGATTACATCTATAGCGCCGTTAGTAGAGTAGTTTAAAGTGCCCGTGGAAGGACTTACCGGGGGCCACCGGGCTAGGTGATCGTGGCCTCTTATGTGGACCAGTGGTGTTGCGCTCAGAATGACCAGTGGTGATTTTCAAGTTTTGCTGGGACGGGTTCAGCACCAAAACCCTTCTCTTATCCACCCGTAACACGGAGCCTTGTGCCTTGGATGTATCAACCGCTGGGGCCAACCAGTCCTGAAGGGGTTCCTTGGTGCGTAAGACCATTGTGTCTGTTTGGGTCGGACCCGAGTAATGATCCGTCACACCCGAGTTGAAAGACTGCATGGAATGGCCAGCAGACCGTCGGACAAAGTGATCCGGTGTCCCTGCCGGTCGACTCTGGAGATGGGAGAGATCACGAACGGCACCGTTTCGTAGGTGACGAGCTGAGATTGGGTCAACAATACCACAGACCAGCGCCATCAATCTGACGCTGCGGGTGATTTGCTGGGTTCCTGCTGGCTGGTCTTCAAGAAGAAAGCCCCTTCGCTTCGGATGGATGGCCATCAGAACCGGTCTGTCAGGATGTCTCCAGACAACACGCCTGTCTCCCTGCATCATCGTATGCTGGATCGTTTCTTCAATCGTCTTTCCATGACAATTCCCGTGTCTCAATGCATGGATAAGACAGAGCTTGATAGCACACATGGGGTTCAACGCTGGATCGCGAATAGGTTCCCAAAACAAGACCTTGTCATCGTTCGAATCGAACCTGGGCGATAATATCAGAATCGAATAAATCACCTCAGGTCATTCACATAGACACTCACTTTTTCCCCTTCGTATATCTCAGGGTAACCGTGGCCGATAGGTCGTTGACAGTGGTGCCGCCAGGCCGCAACTGAAGAACAATGTCGGAATAGCATAGACATTCAGACGCTTTGTAGCCATTCGTTCGGGCCACATCACCGGGACGGCCCACGCAGGAAGATTGCAGCAAGACTCCGAGCCATCTCTGGACTACAATGTCAATCGATTGGCAGCCGTGACGAACTGCTTTTCGAAGGTATGTGAGCCCCATGTTTTGTAGGGCCATGATTCCAACATATCTTCTTTTTTCCCATAGTCCACGAGTTAGATGGCCACGTCGGAACTCCTGGTCGAGGTGGGCATTGATCTTCAGTACCACCTGACGATCATAGTGCCGACGGAACTCTTGGCCGAAGGAGAAATCGCAGTGTCTGACCAGATAGTACCAGTAATCACGGACAGTTGTAATCGAGGGGGAGGGCTTGTCATGGTGTCGTGGTCGGATTCGAAGAATGAGAGTAGCAACGAAGCGAAATATTTCTTCGGGACCGGGACAAGAATGAGGTCTACCATAGGGGGAGAAACGGTCAGTCATCTTAAGACTCGGTGAAAAAGAGCATTGGTGATTTACTCACGGTTTTCCGAGACTTTGCATGAAGCAGGGTAAAGCCTTTGCAACTGCGGCCTGCTTTCTCCGAACACCAGGTGCTCCCATAGACAGTTTCACATTCCGAGCCGATCTCTTGGTAAGGAGTCGATCAGTGGCTTGATTGTCAAGAATCACTTTCGACAAACGATCACCGGCGCTGGTAAACTCGTCAAGCTCCTCTTCTGGGGGAAGGTCCCCAAAGTCTGAGGAATCGATGGACATAATGGCAAAACTATCAGATAGAATGTAGCGTCAACCATGAACGAGACAATATAGGCAATGACAGGCTGGAGAACGGTGGACAGAGAACACAAAAGGACGAGGGAACAAGAAAAGCAGGACGAGAAGCAGGGAGAGATGAGAAACGATGATCATCCTACTGCTTTGCATCGTGCCTGCCCTTTCTTGATAGCCAAGGCTTCAGCTCGCTCCTTCCCATCTCGAGCCACCTGGCCCTGTCCACGGTACACGGATCAATTCTGGATAATGTCCAGATGGCAAAAGAAAATGAAAGACACCTACACGTAGGTAGTGTGTAGTCCCTAACCATGGTGTAGATACTAAAACTTAGCAGCGTAGTGTCTGTCTTCACTCCGGTGTTAGTGCCGGCCACCGCCAGTGTCTCATTTACTTCACTTACACCTCACCCCCCTCCTTTCTGACATGGTGACCTTCTTTCTCTCTCTCTCTCTCTGTGTAACCATGCCATCGCTTCCTGACACCGACTGATAACACTTGCAAACTGTTCCAAGCCTAAAGAATAGCCGACGGTCATTCTTTCAGAATGTCGGCGCAAAGCGCCCTGATGGACGGGGGCGGCAAGACCGTAGAAAAGGAACAAGTCAAAGAGATTGCGGTTAACGTCCACGGTTGGTGCCTCGACGAGCCGTTTCCAAATCACGAACCCTTTGAGCTTATCACTGCTCGGGCCACCAAGACTTCCGTCAACATGAAAGGCCTTCTTGCAAAGCACACAGATGAGGTCTTGAGAGGAGAATTCTTTCGTGTCGTCGACAGCGATTTCGAGTTCAGCGAGCAAGAGCGTGCGGAGCCAGAAGGCGATGCATACCGCCGCTACCGGGTCATTGGATACATGTTCCCTCTCCTGCCAGACAACATCACGGGCAGATGTCCACCATGGCAGAAGCAGGCCGGTGCCAAGGGCACGCAGAAGCCGGCGGCAGAGAATCTTCTCGAATGGAAGAACTTTGACGACCAGCCACAATCACCGCCGGTCATTGTCGTCAGTCCGGTCTTTGATGAGCCACCTAGTGTGGTACAGTACTTCGGCCTCGTCAAGCCCAAAGACGGTGTTTGCGAGACGGTCATTGTGACATCAGCCGAGGTGTTCTTTCGTTATGAGTATCGCGATGGATCAACCTCGAAGAAAGGTCGGGACAAGGCATGGCCTGCAAAGGTCGCCCGCGCTTGCGGCACGTCAGGCCTACCGTTGCTGCTATCACGCGACCAGACACTGAGGCTTCGACCGAAGAAGTTTGGTGGTAGTAGTGGGAAGCTCACCGTGAGACCGGAACTCTCGCTCATGAACGAGCTACGTGTCGATGTCGCCGCTCTGAGGATCAGCCCAGAAGAACATATCCGGAACCGAATCGTCAAGACCCTGCAACGGTTGGAGAGTGACCTCGAGTTTGCTCCTCTCATGACCAACGCTGGCCTTCACGGGTTTATACAGGCAACGGAGTTTGATGAAGAGAGTGCCCAAAATGCGGTCGAAGATGCGCGAGGATTATGGGGCCCGATTGAGGGAATGGATACGAGAACTCTACAGAAGCTTCGGAGCTGTCTGGTCGCCGCCGATCCCGACCATTTCGACTATCGAGACCTCTACGCATTGTTCGCTCAGGGTTGTTTTGAGATCAAACAAGCCGAGGCCAATGGCGAGGAGATCGACGAGAAGGAGCTGGGATGCCGCGTGCTGGGAATAGCACATCGATGTACTCCGCCCACGCTGGAATCACCATCGGCCATTCTTGCCGAGAACGAAAAGGAGTTGGTTGTCTTCGTCGAGGCGCTTCTTGCCAGACTCCAGGACATGTTGAAGGGCTGGGATGTTTATGGCAACACCATGGCCGATGCCTGTGGCTCCCAGGTCACCGATGATGGCGATCCCCTGGCCATTTGGGCAAGATATGGGGATGCAAGAGACACGGATTCCGCGCGAGTGGCGATGCAGGAGATCGGCCGTGCTCTGGCTCGAGCCACACACCGTGGTATGACCGAGGGCATCATCGAGCCACTCCGGGTTTGCGTTGGACTGCTCGAGAGTGTACTGAAGGAGGTTCGCAAGGCAGCCGCAGCAAAGGACGATGAATGAGCCAATGAGCCAGTGTGGGCCATCACAGAGGCATCACAGATTCAGAGCTTGGCCAAGATGCTTGGTTCGGGTTGCAGCAGAGAGAATGACACTTGGTCATTTTGGTCCTCCTCTTGAGCAGAGAGGATCGTCCTTTAGCAGAAGCCCACAAGGTCGCATAGACAGATCATAGTTTGAATTTCCCTCCTAGCAGAGCAAACGCGCCCAGAGTTGACTCGTCCAACTCTCACCTTGTCCCTCTTGTGACCTTGCATGTGTCGACCACGTTCGACATTTCTGACTTTGCCCTCACTTCCACCTCTCTCCCGCCCCACCATTATCTCAACCCACCACTCGACCACGGACAGATAAAATCTCCAACCTTTGCATCCTGACAGTCTGCAACTCTGTTCCTTGTTTCACCGCTCGACATGGCGGGCCCAGAGCCGGGAGGGCTTCCCGCTCTCTCGCGAAACGGATTGGAAACCTCCGACCTCAGTGAAATGACGAAAATCTTGAACGATCTCAAGAGTATCATTCATAATCTAGATGCAGAAAAGTGGCAGCCGGCCTCCAAGAAGAGTGGACAGCTGTTCGGCAAGAAGCCATCCTCTGCTCGAGATTACAGAGCCAAAGCGGAAGAGGAAGCCAAGCGCTTTCGTGAGGCCTTTCATGAATGGTCGTCCAGGCCGCATGTGCGGTCGCGAGATCCAGCCAACGTGGGAAAATGGGATCCAGCCATCAGAGTCAAGCTGAGTGAGACGTACAACCTCGTGGTGACCGGCCCCGGGGAGACGGACCCGGCTGCATTTCAGGACAAGCTCGAAGAGATGGTGGACGCGCTGGACGCTTTGGTGATCCCGAACCAAGAAGCAATTCAGGTTCCTGAGTGGCGACCAAGCAACCCCCTCAGTGCCGAGCGTAAGTCAGAATCACCCATGGTCATTGTCGCATCCTAACACGAGTCGACAGCACGAGTAGGGATCGATGTCGCGGCTGCCTTTGCTGATCCACCATCCTTTGAAGACGTGGGCCGTGGCACCGAGTCCGGCGAGTTCCCAAGCGAAGCCGATCTCTGCAACTCCGCGCAACAGACTGCACAACCAGAGCAGAAGTACGAAGCGAAATTCGGTCAACTGGATTCGTCCATATGCAAAAGATTTTGGCCGGTCCAAACCTTGGAGGAAAAGACGACAAAGTTCGAGCAGCGTCTTGGTGCAATGTGGGAGAACCGAGATATGGCGCGGACAGGACCGAAGGCTACGGATTCCAGTGACGAAGAAGAAGACGACTTGGATCCCGACAAGGAGTTTCGTGAAAGTAGCCCAGAGGCGTCTGGTCCCCAAGATGATGTGCCCACCCGCGGAACCCAGCCAGCAGTTCGACGATCAGAGCGGCTTCAGAACCTCGAGCAGCGGGAGATTGAAGCAGGCAATCAAGATGAGGAAGATGATGCTGACATGGAAAACCCCGTTGTTGAGCAGCGGGAGATTGAAGCAGGCAATCAAGATGAGGAAGATGATGCTGACATGGAAAACCCTGTTGTTGAGCAGCCGAACCCAGAGGTGCGAATGACCACCGGTGATTCGACCACCATCGAGGCGCAGGACGAGGCCACTGGTCGTTTCAACCAACTCGAGCAAGAAGGACATGGTCTTGTGCCGGAGCAGACTGAGGGATTTGCCCGAGCGGATCATGAGGGTAGTGTTTCTGAGCCATCTGATCTTTCACACATGTTGCTGGACGAGGGAGGAGAGGATGCTCGGATAGAGGACACGGTCGCTAAGCTGCCGGAGCTGCCGGAGCTGGAGAAGACCAGCGGTGATTCGAACGCCAGCAAGTCTAGACAGACCGGAGGCACGCAGGGGGAGAAGACTAGCATCGAGACCGAGACAGGAGAAGGCGGTGCTGAGAAGCAGCCACGACAGACAAGAGGTGACGGGCCCGCTAGTCGACTACGAAGCCGAACAGCAAAGTCAGCCGACCCGGACAAGATCCATACTCCAGCTCCAGCGCCACCACGCCAGGCGGCAGGCAAAGGTCGAAAGAGAAAGGCCACGGGCACCACCAGCTCGGGCCGGACTCGACGCCAGAAGAAATGACTTGTTGCTAACGACCGTTGAAATCGAGCTAGGCAGTGTCTCCAGGATTGTCATCAGCGGGGGAAGACGGCTCTTGGATGACCTTTGGTGATTTTGGGGGTGCTGCAAATGCCAAGAAGCTGTAACTAACTCTTGGGTACCTGCAAAGCAGCGCCATGCGCCGAAGGCGCATCGGCTCGGTACTAGCCAACACTTCCTTCGTGGGCATTCATCTTGGAGGTCATTGGGTACAACTTCAGCGTCTCCAAGATGGGCTTCAGCACTATGCCTTAGGGTCATGGAGATTGAGCTACACTTGGAAAACTCTTGAGCGTGTTCCTATTAAGTATCCAAGATTGACTATTCGAAAGGCGCGCATTGCTATCGCTATCGTTATTTCTCGTTGTTGGAGGGTTTCTTTTGTGCCCTGCCCTGTACACAATCTTGGAGTCCAAGGTTGAGATTGGTCTCCACGCCCAGCCGACCTTCTTGATGTTCTTCGTCCCGCAAGCCCCTCCACTCAGCCGACCTTCTTGATGTTCTTCGTTCCAGCGTCTCCAAGGATGCCATTGATGTTCTTCGTCCCGGAAGCTCGTGTGAACTCCAGCGTCTCCAAGGATGACGTTACTGGCAATCTCAAAGAGCACATATGGCACGAAGAAGATTGTGAGAGCGGTGGAATACTGAGTGCTTGACAGACCCAGGTCCTTTTGCAGGCCAAAAATAGCGGCATTCGCAACGTTCGTCCGGTCGATAAAAGCGAGCAGATAGAGAACTGAAAGGACCGGAATAACACGAAGATCGATCTTGGTAATGAGCTTCCGCTCCGAGACCCCAGGAGGCAGGGTAGCGACCTCGCCGTCGCCATATCCCGCCGCAGGATGGGCTAGGTCAGGATCGTAACGGGCCTGGCCATCGCCGAGACCATTGGAGTCGTTGTAGGCATTCGCCTTTTCATCTGTTCCGTATGAGTTCCCGACTGCTAGTAAGGACACATGGAGGAGGTCTGAACTAACTTGAGCCGTCTATTGAGAATCGCATATTCGCGGCTTCCGCTCAGGCACAGAACGATGCGCCAATCCTGCAAAGGGTTCTTTTTCCCAGATCGCAAGGCCAGCAACAGAACCTGGGAGGACCGGAAATGTTATTTAGAACGAAAATACAGAAAGTTCGGGACGGACCAAGTGGGAAGCGGGTCCTCTTTGTAGTCCAGGCGAGTGAGTTGACAACAATAGTCTCTGGAACTCTGCCGGGTTAGCGAAGTCGGCAGGAAGGCACAGACGGGCTATTGAACAGGACACTTGACCGAGGTCTGATGGAGTGGCAACGGCAATTTGGCCCAGTATGAAGGAAGCTGTGGTTCCCCAGATGGAGAAGAGATCTCTCAATTGGCGAGCTATGCAGGGTGAATGCAACATCAAGTGAAGATGGGGAGGAGTTTACTTGGTGGAACAAGGCGATCAAGACCAATGATGAGGGCCTCAGGGCCAGAATAGGCCGAGATAGGCTCGACGTCGGCCATTGACTGACCGAAGCCATATCGGTTTTGGGCGGCGAGGTGGGCGCCCCGCAAAGGCTTTCCACTTCCAAGATTGCTTGTTGGTGCTTGACTGGTGCCACCGCAAGGCTCGGAAAGGACGCACAGCCAGTGGGAACATTGAAGGAAAAGCCTCGTCATCCCGAAGATGGAAAACAGTTGCTTATGCGGGAGAAACAACCAGATCCCCATTTTAGTACTTTTGTGCCCAGATCTTAAAAAGCACCAAAATGAATTATCGTCAACAGCAACTTACTCGTAAACATACCAGACCATCGTCCACGGACTGTATTCATTGCGCCCTGTGGTCTAGTCAGCACATCCTGCATATGGAGCTTCGATTGCTCAATGTTGTGAAACATTCATTCCCCAGCACAAGCTGGATCGTGAGGAGAAGGCTGATATCATCGGTAGAGTCGAGGATTTCCGATATCATGTGGACACATAACAAGGATTGTCCTCCGTATGACAGGGGAAGAATTCCGGGGATGCGTGAGGTGTGTTTGCCACAACCAACAACTTCGTCTGGATGGTTCGCTTGAGTGCGGGTGGGAAGGTCCTCAGGCGGGGTGGACTCTGGGCGTTGAATGGACCCTTGGTTAGCGGGCACCAAGCCCAGCCAGCCCGCTGTAGATCACAGCTAGGTACCTAGGTACCTAGGTAGGCATGTACAGCCTGCAGCCTGTGGGCGACAATTTGGTCAACCCGGGATATGTGAGAACTTCGAGATAGGATTGTCTTTGTGCCATGTGGACTGCCAAAGTCCTCAATTCTGTGAGTGGTGTCTCATTGAACAAGACAGGTGGTTGGTTTGGATAAAACACCATGTATTTTGGCGCCATCAGCACCCTCAGCCGTGACCCTAAGGGTCCCTAAATTAGGAGGGATGACGAGGGGTACTGGGCACCAAGCACCCATAGGAGCGTCCTGTGTAGGCTTCCGGCGAGTGCTGCGGCCAGTCATGATTGCCCGTTACAGGCTAGCAAGTCTGGGCAATCAGCTTGGTAAGTGGCCTAGATCTGCCTTGACACTTGGTGCCACTTGTCAGCGAGCTTTTGTCTGTTTCGTGGACGCGCCTCATCAATATATTATTCTACCTTGAAGATCAACTCTCGTTCCTCATCGCGCGACATCCTAGACAGGAAGACTGGGGAAGTATGGAAACCGCATCTTACATTCATTCAGAAACCGCGACCAGTCATTCTTTCAGGACGCCATCTTTCTTCGATGGACTGTTGTTGGCACTCTAGGCCTCACTAGCCCTCTTACCGCTGATGAATTTCTTACTCCTCGAGATTTCATCCTCTTCACACATCCTCTACCAAGCATCTCTACGGCGTCTCTCATCCACACTTGAGCTGCCTCTTTGCACCCTTGTCAACGATTTGTCGCTGTCTGGTGTCATCAGCGTGTGCCGATGAAGCTGTCATAGATTCTCCCAGCTGTTTCAGTCTTATTCATAAGACAGATACTCATAACACATACATTTTCTCACAACAGATCACAGCCTCTTCCTCTCCTCCTATTCAGCATGGCTGAATCACAATCTCCATCGCGAGGCGATGCGTCACCAAAATTGGGAAAACCAAAGAACCGTTCAAAACCTTCATTCAAGGTTGGCTACCAATCTCGAAATGCCCCGGCTTCCTCACGCCAGGCCACTCTTCCGCAGAGTTCTTTCCAGGGCAAACTCAACTTCGTAGGTAGAGCCATCATCGCCGTTGAAGGCCCCTCGAAAAGTGGCAGCGAGAACTTCGCCGGGCCCTGTCCACCGGCAGTTACTCGTCGTGGTAGGCGATCGGGTCCATCTGATCCTCGTACTTTCGTCATCAATACACCAAACAACATGACGAGTGGCGGGAAGATCAAAAACCCTACACGATCACGTGGACTTCCAAAGCCTAATGAAACCGCCGAGGATCAAGAATTCGAAAGCGCTACAAGGAAGAGGCCTAGACTCGGACAAGTGTTCAGACCCAGTCGACCTCTTAAAAATTCGGATCAGATAAACAGCGATGTGTGGCAGATTATCCTTGGTTACTGCAAGCCCAAGCAGCTTCTTGAGGCCAAGACTATGAGTCGTGAATTCTATCACCTACTATCCCAACGTGCTGGAATTTGGAAAGAGAGCCGACTAAATCATTACGGACCTGATATGCCGGAGTGCCCGAGCAGCCTGACAGAGCAGCAATATGCCTACCTCCTCGCTGGTCGTGGTTGTCAGAACCCTACATGTCCCAGAGATCAGACGTTCAGGGTGTCATGGGTCTTTCAAGTCCGCCTTTGCTCGGAATGTTTCAGACAGAAAACTATACGAGTACGTCCTCTGTCCAAGATATGTCTTCCTCCACTAACCTTCCAGGCCGACGACCTCCCTCCGCACCGCAGGTATATGATCGATGCCGATGAAAGTCAAGACTCTCCTGCAGATGATTCGCGCGTGTGGAGGACAACGCTTTCGGACCTCCTTCCACAGGCTAAAAGTGACGGGTAAGTGTTTGCTTCGACGCATTCCTTCAATTTGCTGATTCGCTAGTCGACGCTATGGCGGACCTCGTGCTGTCAATGACGGCGCAAATAACTGGTACCGAGGCAACTTGCGCCAGTACGTGTTCCTCAAATCCGCCTATGCGCGTCTCGAATCTGAATATCTGGAGCTTCGAAGCTCCAATCCTTCCAACGCCATGGTCATCGATTGGCTGGAGCAAACCCATCAGAAGAATATGAAGTTTATGACAGAGGTCGCGGACTTTGAGCACTGGTATACAAACCTGCCGCAGTCCAACGAAGATTTCTACCACGCCAGAGTCGACTATTTCGAGCAACGAGCAGCCCAGCTTTCGCCTCCCATGGAACGACCCGTCTTGTGGAACATGGCCGCTTTCAGGAGAGTGCTCAAGGTTCAGGTACGGCCGACGGAACGATCTTGGCAACTGCTCAAAGAGAAGATACTTCCCTACAGAACGCAGGCCGAACGAGTGCACGAATACCATGTACTGATGAGAATAACATCACCACCGGGGCTGACGTATGGGGACCTGAGCATGTACGATCCGCAATCATTACCATCCGCACCCATGCTTGAACGGTTCAAGCGACTTAAGCAGCGGCGTTCGTGTCGAAAGCGTCTCCTACCATCTTTCGTACCAGAGCAAGAGTTCATCCTTGCATTGGCGAGAGACGAGTTGGATCGGTGTATGGAATCCGGAGTAGCGGATGAAGATCTTTTGCTGTTGACTCTGAAGAATGTGTTCGACACGTACGCGCAACTCGAGGACCGTCCTACGGGACTTAATTTTGACGGCACACAAGGACCGTATTGCCTCAGCTTAGATGACGCTCGCATGATTGTCGAAGAGGTCATGGAGACAAAAATCGACCACCTGTCACAACGTGGTTCGATAGTGTTCTCGAGTCTGAGATGCAGGGGCTGCCGTCGAAGGGACTTTACTAAGACCTGGTCTTTTACTGATGCGTTCGAACATATACTCAAGGCCCATGCATCGTTGGTTGGCGAAGGCATGGAGTTCTGGCAATTCGCAGTGCCCTATACTCGGGACAGGCCAGAGTGGTTTCCGGGACGACTGGAGCCCAAAACTGAGGATGCATTTCCCTGGTACACGGTGCCATGGCCAAGATGTTTACCACTAGTGCCGGTGCACCAAGAACCCTGGAAGTTGGACGACTGGCATCCAGCCGTAACTCAGATCTATGTCAAGTTGGAGAAAACACCAGCAATCTCAGCGTTCGAAGGACGGCAGCCACGCCCAAATTCGTTACAAGATGCTGATTTTGTTGCCAACATTCGATTTGCGGCTCAAACCTTGAAGGGAGTATGGCTTGACGAGCTCTGTCAAATGAAAATCGCTCTCAAGTACGCCATGGCGCTCCACACTGCAGGCTCAATGACCGAACCTCCATTGGAGACATTCAAAAAGGGCCTCGCCGAAATCCAAATTGTCAATCCAGCTATCGACTTGCAGTTTCGATGCGGCGTTTGCATTCAAGAAGGCAAAGTCCATCATAACGCCCGACAGGTCAAGTACAGAATTCCGATTGGCGACCTCTTAACACATTGGGAAGAGAAGCACCAAAATCACGGTTTTAAGTGGATCGAAGCCATGCACTTACCGTCTGACAGCAAGGTTTTGGTGTTGATCAACAAGGCGGATGAGAAAATACGGGAGGAGAAAGAGGAAGCCAGGGAAAGAGAGGCCAAGATCGGGGACAGCATCAGAAAGCGCCCGAGATTGAAGAACAGTGTGGTGATGCAGGCTCGGATGGCAAAGGATGCTTTTGACGAGCTCTTCCCGCTAGTGTCAGGTTCCTCACTGCCCGCGGAGATGGAGATGTAGAATGGTCGAAATGTAAGGATGGGAGTCAACAGCGTGGCATGATGTTGATGAATTTCGTTACTACGGGCGCGGCGTTCCGGATGAGATGAGAATGTTCGGGGAATGACATTGTCACGGGATTCAAGAGGCGACTTGCGAAACGTTCGGGAGTCACGGTATGCAAGAGTTATTAGGATATTTGTATGCATAAGAATCTTGTATGCATAAAATTGAATCGATGTGACTGCAGAGAGTTGTAACTTGTGGCCCATCAGCAAGCGATGTCGAGGATGGCGAACGAAAGTAACGAGAAAGGAAATTGTGCGCGAGACAAATCTTCTTCGCCGTAGTTCGCTCGCAGAGACCAAATTGGGCAGCAGGGAGCGAGATGATGGATGGAAAGCCCGCGAGCCCGGCATCCGGCAGACTTCGGAGAACAGCGGATCCTCGTTCTCCTGCCAAGATGTTTACCATTAGTCCCGAATTGATAAAGATTCTGGCCAAGTTATTGGTTCGGTAGCATTTAAGCTGTGATTAGCGAGCGCTCTAGTGCCAGGGCTCCGATAACGTCAAACGTCTGATGGACTGATTTTTTTGAGGAATTTACAAGACAGCGAAAGCCTTGCGTGGCTTCGCCCGACGCCCTCACATGGGTAATCCACTCTGCATCGCGCCCTTTACTTTACTAGACGGCTCTTCTGTTTCTAGATTGAGGCCCGGCCTTCTCGTTAGTAATGCCAGGCTCGAGGACTTGCCTCTAGCAATCTTTTTCCTTTCCGTGGACCCCCCTCTCCCGACCAGTCATTGTTCACGTATATCTGCTTGTTCCCCATCGTCCGGCGCCCTTGTCGTACGGTCCTCCCTCTCGCGTGCTCTCCCGAAATCAATATATTCTCCTCCCTTCCCACCTCCTTCCATATCTACCTCTAAGTCTCTTTCTCACACAAACTGACCTCAAGCAACCATGGCCACAGCTACAGCCGCTCGCACCCTCGCCAGGGCCATCCCACGAAGCACAGCTTCTAGCACATCTTCCCTTCGCCTCGCCGCGCGCACCTCTCGGAACGACGCCCATGCCGCGAAGCGCTTCTTCCAAAACTCCTCCCGCCGCCACTATTCCTCCGCTCCTGAACCTCCCAAGTCGTCCTCCAGCACCGGCATCATTCTCGGAGCTGCCGCGGCAGCAGCTCTTGCTGGCGGCTTCTACTACTACAACACACAAGGCAAGATACCGGAAGTGCACCTGAAGAAGGGCAGTGCAGGCGAAACAGCAGGCCTCTTGAAGCCCACCACCGAAGACTATCAAAAAGTCTACGACGCCGTCGCCAAGCTCCTCTGGGAAAAGGATGACTATGACGACGGCTCCTATGGCCCTGTTCTGCTCCGTCTCGCATGGCACGCATCCGGTACCTACGATGCTGCCACCGGCACTGGTGGCAGCAATGGTGCGACCATGAGATTCGCGCCGGAGGGTGACCACGGCGCCAATGCGGGCTTGAAAGCTGCTCGTGACTTCCTGGAGCCGGTCAAGGAGCAGTTCCCCTGGATTTCGTACTCGGATCTGTGGACGTTGGCGGGTGTCTGCGCCGTGCAGGAGATGCAAGGCCCCATCATTCCGTGGCGACCGGGCCGACAAGATCGGGATGTCGCCTTCTGCACGCCCGACGGCCGCTTGCCGGACGCCTCGAAGGATCAGAACCACATCCGTGCCATTTTCGGACGCATGGGCTTCAACGACCAGGAAATGGTTGCCCTGAGCGGCGCGCACGCTCTGGGCCGCTGCCACACGGACCGCTCGGGCTTCGATGGTCCGTGGACGTTCTCGCCCACGGTCATGACAAACGACTATTTCAAACTGTTGATGGAGGAGAAATGGGGCTGGCGTAGCTGGAACGGACCAAAGCAGTACCAGGACAAGACCAGCAAGAGCCTGATGATGTTGCCCACGGACATGGCCTTGATCCAGGATCCCATCTTCAAGAAGTACGTCGAGAAGTACGCCAAGGACGGACAGGCCTTTTTTGAAGACTTTTCCAATGTCGTCTGCAAGTTGTTCGAGTTGGGCGTGCCGTTTGAGAGCAAGCCCGAAGACAGGATTCGGTTCAAGCCTACTGCCGATGAGTCCTGATTTGGTGCAAGAGTGGGGGAGTAAGAACAATCATTGAAGGATGTTTTTGGTGGTGGCCAACACCTCCAAGATGGTTTCCAAATCGGGTTGAAATGATAATCTGAGCCAAGGCAGATCTTTGAAGTCACCTTGGGCCCTCACGGTCGCAAGTCTGCGGATCGTTGAATCTTGCCATGCATGAGAAGCAGACATCCTTTATTCGATTAACAAAGAGTGACGCCGCCGGATATGGACTGCTGAGGATGTAAATATCACGGGGAGAGAGCAGGTCCCAGGGGGTATGGGGCTTCTTTTCTTACCTCATTTTGAGCGTGGCTTGATTTTGCTTTTTTCTGAGCATCAGCGTTGGGTGGTTCATCTGCTAGACATAGACTGAGATCTCGACATACCCCTGGTAGATCGATGCGTTGAGGGCATTTTCTTTTTCCAATTTCAATGAACAAGTGTTTGTAACTCTTCAGTATCGAGCATTTTATGGTTGGTTCTTGATGTGAGTAAAACATATGATCCAGACTTGCGTGTGCCTGATGTCCGGACTAGAATACAAAGTATCACGTTCATTACATTTTGAACAAACAGCCCGAGACAATGGATTGGAAGGCTTTGATGTGGATGTGAACATCTCTGATTGATCTTTGTATTTATCTGACAGATTTGGATTGCTTATCAGAATGGGCACAACGCTTTGATGACATTGTGGTAGAATCCTTCTAGTGCAATGAGGCGGTTAGTCCGGCCATTTGAGGATATTCTCATCTTCTCTCGTTGCTGGGTTTTCATTGGATATGATGTGCTCGTACAACAGGGTCGTGCTGGTGCTGGGGCGTGAATTTTTGACGCGGTGAAGGCCCACGGGGGGATGTAGCTCATTGGGAAAATGTTCAGTGGTGCAGAATGAGTCTTGGAGTTGGCCGATCCTCTTTGGACGAGAGCAATGCGGTCGATGATCGTCGTGAGACAGAGTTGTTGCAACTTGGATATGTTTGGCTGGTAGCCCCTGTGCTTGGGCGATCAAAGCTGCTCCCAGTCTGCTTCATTCTCTTTGCCAGCGTCCACTGCAGAGCTTCACTTCTGCTTCCACCTGCTCGGCGGCTCGCTCCTCGATGACCAATTGATCTTCGAATTGAAGGAGTACGTTTGTCAGTGCGGGGAGGTTCTCGTACTCGATAAAGCTCTGAATTTCTAGAGGCGTAAGGAAAGTGCTGTACTTTGAGCCTAGGCCCCCAACGATGTTTTTGATTTTACAATCAAGTCCTCGGGGTTGACCTGCATCCTCGCAGTCCTGGTCTAGCAGTGTGTGTTGGTTCAAATAATCGGTCATGTTCTTGCAGTCTTTGAGGCGCAGGCTAGTCGACTTGGAGTCGGCGACCTTGACAGCGGTCTCGTCGTCCATCTTATACGGGTCTTCAGGTAATTCCAGGCATCAATTGGGCGGTATTCCTCTTCGATTTCCTTTCTGAGAGTAGGCTCGACCCAGAGCATGAGAAGCCCGAGGCCTTGCTCAGCAACGAGACGGTTCTCGAGGTGGTTCGACCGAATAGTGTATACGTCCCAATTATCATTGAAGACTCTCCAAAGGCCCTTTGACAAAGCCACAATGCGAAAGCCGCGCGCCCATCGATTGTAGTTCGCTTGACCGACGAGAAGCTCGAGGCCGAATTCGTTACCGGGCACGGCTTCTGGCATGCTGAGGGACATTTTGTTGTGATGAAGGAATGTGGCGGTGGGTACTGGAGAGATGAGTAGGGAACATGAACGAAATCAGGCGGGGCTGGGGTAGATGAGAAGGTTAACAGGAATTGTAGGCAGGTAATATTGAGGTGAATGTTTGCAGCCGCGGGCCTAGAGGTCAGGCAGTGACTGTGAAGTCAGCGCAGTCCAGCCACGTTCATCTTCACTGCGACTGCGTGCTCAGAGGATTTGCGGATGACAATGGCACCAACATGCCAGAGGTGAATGCAATCTCGAGCTGGCGCTTTTTGGTGAAGCGGATCGCATCAAAGGTTAGTTCATAGCAAACACAGGACGGCACTCGAAGTGAAGCATTTGCGCATCAGCTTCGCCCTCCGAGGTCAAACTGATCGGAAGAAGTGTCGTCCAATGATCCAGAAAGCCGAGAGGTGAATGTGGTGTAAAGTCCTGCTTGGGCGAACGGATCACCAACGCGTTTGGTCGACAGTTACTGTTCTTGCATTGCCAACGCCTCGTTCCGTACAGCCCGAGGAAGGCGGTTATGATTGCAGCACGAGGCTGGTTTGCGAGGCTTTGGCTTTGGTTTTGAGGAGCGGTCAGGGTGATGAAGGCTTGTCAAGTCCGACCTGTCAGCTCCCTCAGTCCGTTTGTCGACTTTGAAGATATATTAGCGACAGGGGACTCTCATGTATCTTAGCAGGATGTCTAACCAATTTTCTCACTCATAATGGCACGGACGATCAGCAAATTACATAACCCCTTTTTCCTCAGCCAAGGAAGTCGACCGACATATTTCCGACATGGAGGGATTGACGATGTTGCCGCAGCCCAAGATGAAGTACTCTGGACACGTCTAGTCTTGCGAGCGTTGGAGAGTATCCTGCCTCGCGTTGCACATTTCCATAAAACCCTCCAGAATCTGGTCTGGCACATCGAACAGGAAGGTGCCATCGAACTCGAAATGGGCAGCGAGCTGTTGAAGGACACCTGCAACGAATCCACAGTTGTACTTGAAGCCTGCAATCAATGGCTCATTGATTTTGAATGTGTCGATCCCATCCCGAAGTTGAGAGATATGGTTGAGGCAGGACAGAATATTGTCAGAGCTCATGACGCGCATTCCAACAACCACATTGATCGGGAGATGCTGCTGAGGGTGATCGACGAGGAAAAGGAGAAAGCGGCATTGCAGGGAACTTTGGAGATACAGGTCCGCTCTTTGTTGTGCGAGGCTCCGGATGAGTGTAAAGACGTGGTGGTCTGTGGAAGACTGTTGGACTGGCAGTGCTCACCCTGGCAACCCGTTGAAGAGGATAGGGCTGTTGGATAAAGCCGTTGACAAAGGGGACAAAGGGGACGGTTGCTTCCCGCTCATCCTGTCCGTCAGCTTCAGCCCTGGGAGCCAGTCTGGTATGAGGCGTGGTGTTCTCAACGTTAGTATCACGGTCATTGATTGATCCGAGACAAAGGAAATGCCTTGGTGACATTGTGCACTGAGGTCGGTCCATGACAGCTCACCCAACGATCTGTTTGCACTATAAGCAGCAGCCTTCTGCCAGATAGTCCAGTGTACCCTCAGCCTTAGCACTGTCAAGCTTGTCCACTTTATAGATAGAATATCTGACTCACTAAACAGGTTCTGGGTCCAATTCCGGCACAAACACCATATCCTAGGAGGCGTCCACTGGCAGTCTGCCACCAAGCTTCTGCGCTGTACCAACGAAGTCGCACATGATCCCCTTCCAACCTCAGCCTTGCCATAGGCGGTCTGACACTACTTCAGGGTGAGGCAGTATATGTGCTCTTGGCGCAATGACCTTGCTGTCGTCAAAAACTGCAAGCTGCGCGATCACCCACAATCGACTGGTCTCCAGCCGCACAATTTGTGTCAAGCCGCAGGACCAGCTGAGCCGCAATGATGTCGTCGAGAGAAAGAGCTAGAGTCAACAATGCCGAGACTGCTTCTCCTTGGCCAGATCAAGCAGCCAAAATCCTCACACTCACCGATCTCACCTCCCGACTTAATTTCTTTCCACTCGCAGAACCACGGGAGTTCCAAGTGCACGAGATGTGGGGGCTTGCGCAGCGGCTGACGGAGACAGGACGCTCTAAGCGTCAAGAGCTCACACAAAACTCCACAGGCATAGGTACAAAGACATCCTTCATCCTGAAAGTTGAAACTGAGATTCTTTGCGCAGATTACCGTCACTATCGGCCGATAAAAGGCACCGACGTCGAGAGGGCCACCAGGGCCATATTCAAACTCCAAGCCAAAAGCGACGCAAACGACATCTTCAAACGCATCATTCGAACCAACCTCGACGTCCTCAAACATATGAAACGCGTCTGTGACGAAGAGGAGGAAGCTCCACGAGTGGAGTTTTTCGAACTGGTCTGCCTTGGGCTCAACCAGAGAGAAGTGGTTGACGATGGAGCCTTCAACGACCGGTATGGCGAAGTGGCTCGCAGATGGAAGGAGCACAATGACTGGAGAAAGATCTTGGAGGACGAGATCCTGCTCTCGTGGATAGCCGGAAAGCGACTTGATATTGTGGCACGAGCTAGGATGCTCGTGGCCGGCGAGGAGCAATTCGAGGAGTTGCTGGAGGATTACAATCAGCTGCGAGAGGAGATGGCTCGTCTGGTGCTGAAGATCAGCGCTGCCACAGGAGGGAAGGAGTTTTTGTTGCGACATAAGAACGAGCTCTGGGACGTGGTGGAGGAGAGATAGGCGAGTTGAATCAAGAGCAACGTGATCGTGGAAGACACCGTTCCCATCCGCAGACCTGAAAGTGATATTCGGCGTCCTGTTCTTCGCTCTTGAGAAGCCTTCTTTCCGCTGCTGACTTAGCAGTAGGGCGGCAGCCAGTGGAAATGACGGAATACGACAGGGGCTCCTGCGCGCTCTATCTCGCAGACTCGAGAGAGTGGCTCAAGACTTTGTATCTTGACCAAAAGACTCTCTTTGTGTTAGTAACATGGAAGTAGCGAGGACACTCGTGGAAAACAAAGTACTCTGGACTTGATCATGAGGTGAGACAGCCTGAAAGGTATGGAAGAGCAAGTCTCGAGTTCAATGATGAGTAGCTCAAATCTCATTTCCGACTTTCATTGTTGTTGACGTTTGGCCCCCATGAACACAATTCTGTGGGCATCGTCTCCCTTGCCGGGAAGAAGAGCTGCACACGATGGCTCGTGGCCTGTTCTTGCATCAATCTCGAAGACAATTCGAACAGCTGGAGAGAATCATCTCCTTCACGACAAGATCGAGTTCTATCGGATTGATACCAGGTAATAATGGATCGTCTAGGGGTACAGAGAAGGAGTGAGAAGGATGGAGGGCTATCACGGCTAGTTAGCTCCTTGGGAAACGCGTCACCTCAATCCCCGTCGACGTCCGTACATCCACCATCCTCCACCCTTCCCGCAGCCTGAGCGTGTCTCATTTTGTTTTCTGTCTCAAATGGAACCGTTCTATTAGCCACAGGCAGTCAACAGGGGGAGTTGAGCTACGGCTGGTGAATGCACGAGAACGTCATTACGGTACCTAAGTGCCGGGAAGGAGACTTTCCAATTGGTACTCGTATCTAGGCTCGCTAGGTAGCTGGCACCTAGCTGGTACCTGGCATTGTCAAAACAACAGGGTATCATGGACCTATTTCGCTTCGTCCGGTTGGCATGTTACTCCGTACTCCGTACTCTTTTTGAAAGCTACTACTCACTCCCTGTACTCCGTGCTTCATTTCACTCCTGTCAGCCTCCTTCTTGCTCGTCCTCGACGCCGTGCTCATGTTGTCGTTCTTGTCTGGGAGGCGTTCAGTCTACGAAAGATGCTGACCCTAGCTTATCCATCACTGTTGTTCGGCCTTCTTCTGACCCAAGGAGCCCTTGCGCAGAATGTTGGGCAGTGGAACATACCTGAGGGGACTAGGCCGAATTTCACCGATGTCTACAACAATGGAAACAGCATCACCTGGTCGTGGCAGGGTATGAACCGTTCCATGTCCGACTTGTGGTTGACCAGCTTCGATCCCACAGCCTCGTACGCCCTACGTGTCGCTTCAAACATCAACATTACCGAGCCCGGAACGCTGCCCTGGACGATCACTGTGACCGAGACGCAGATCGATATTGACGACCGCTTTTGCCTAAGATTCGTCCTTACAGGGACAGATATTTTTCCACTCCACGCCGACCAATTTCCCAGTCCAGCATTCCTGATTCTGAAGCGCGGACAGACACTATCTGCGACGACCGCCTCGAGCCCTGCCAATGTGCGCAGCTCGAGTGTTGGCGCAACGTCGGCTGCCGCGACGAACCCCTTCAGCACGACCTCGTCTTCCCCATCCATCTCCGCAACTCCCCATCCAGCTATCGACCCACCCCGTCCAGGTCTCAGCGCAGGAGCCAAAGCAGGGATTGCTGTTGGCGTGGCTGCAGTGTTGGTGATCATACTCGGTCTATCATTCTGGGTCATGAGGTTGTACCGACGAGTCAAAGCTGCCTCCAACCACCACTCCAAGGGGATCATTCCAGAATATCACGAGTCCATGCCAACGAATGCTGCCGATGCAACCCCAACCATCAAATATATCTCCGGTGTTCACGAGGTAGTGGGTGATAGGAGACAACCTACAGAGATGAGTACGAAGCGGGAAGAGAAGGTCATATATGAAATGGCAGGCTGATTCATGTCTGCTTATGGGAACAACTCGGTGTAAAAGTCAGTTTGTCTAAGATATATCTCACTCAAGCGCTTGAAAAGACGTGCGCACAGCGAAATGAATGGTTTGGACGAATTGACGACTGCCTCTCTGGCAACAACGCTCCAAGCCTTACAAGTAAGAAGGACTCTGTGGCCGAGATATCATTTCAGCATCAACTTGGTGTTTTGATGCTCGTTCTCCGCCACATGAGGTGTTCCCTTCTCACCATGCACGGTACAAGGCATGCGGTCCCTAAGGATCAGAACCTGCTGCGGTGACCAGGTCATTTCGCACCCAAGTCGCACTCAGCATCGACCGTACCTTTCTCAAATGGTCCCACCGTAGCGCCTATGGAAGTCAAGTCAAGAAGCCCTTGTTCATCGAGCACGAGATGACGTCTATGGGCAGCGTTCGAGATGATGCCGCAACAAATGCTCAGATCTACAAAGGAAGATTCGACGACACTTAAGCAAGACCTGATGGCGGTTGCCCTCGCACGCACTTTGATCGGTCTTTCAGCACTCGCCAGCACTTGCACATCGACTGATCCAGAGGCCCGAGTTCGTTGCTTCCTATTAAGCGATCCGCTCCTTCCTCGACACAGGTCCACGCCACCTGCGACCGACACATCTCAAGCCCAACGGTTGCTGGCTTCGATCAGCTTCTCACAAACGTTAATCTGTATCACAGCTTTGCTTTGCATATTTTTTCATACTCATAGCTATCAGTCTGCTTTACACAGAACGCCGTTTGTCCAGTCTGGACCTTTGATCTCACAATTTGGTTACGGATACCCTCGTTTGTCCTACCGGCCCGCGATCTCTTTCCGACTTCGAGTTCAGGATGAGCCCTTGTGCAGAGACGTCTAGGCACCCAGGCAACGCCGCCATGGAAGTTGAGACGGATACCACAGACCTCGAAGAACGTATTTGGGACATCAGGAAGGAGCTATCAAAGGCCGAGGCATTGGCGATGCTCAGGACAAATTTGAGCCTGGACAAAATAAAGCTGCAAACTATGACTTCCGGAGAAAGACTGTCTGCTGCCGATCGAAGTTTAATAGGCATAATCCTGCAGGCCGTCCCTCTCGCTCGATTGTCCACCCACGCCACTTTATTCATCCTGTTTATCAGCTATCTCCGGGTGAGGTCACTGGAATGCATCAGGGTGACCAATCTGAACAATGACACCGCCTGCGCTCTCTATGCCTGGAAAGCTGAAGTGGTCTTAACACTGATCCGGGGGATTATTCAAGAACGACAAAAAATCCAATATTCATTTGATGCACTACGGTACTCGATTTCAACGGATTGTTGTTGTGGTACTATCAGGAACAGATGCGATCAGGACTTCGACAAGTTGAGAGACAATGAAAGACGTATCCGCGCATCCGAGGAACGTTTTCTGTCTGAAATGTCTCGCCTGTCGGCGTCACCAATCATCGTCGAGACATTACGGTCGACGGGAGTTGGAGGACATGCTGAAGGATCATGCGCACTCTGGGAAGTGCTCAGACATGAAATAAAGAGCATTCCGGCCGCATGCCATATAGAACTACCAGACCTTGCTCTGCCTTCAAATGTGACGCTCTTGGGCGGTGCCTTGCAAATATTGTGCCGGAAAGGGGCTGTGGCAAACAAGAGTCGAGGAGAAAAGGCTGCAGATCTGGGATGCGGGACACGTTGGCTCTAAGGTCTCGAAGGTGCATCTATCTTGGTAGTTTAGAGGAAGCGAATGTCTTTCCTTCAGATATCGCGCAGGATGGTCAAATGATATGGATCACCAAACGCAGCTGGCGTACTCGTATCTTCATCGTTCTTCCTCATTAGTGAACACATGGCACAATTACAATGACAGGACAATCCGCATTCGAATACCAAACACAAACATTTCACATTTTCCATGCCGATCGACCTGCTGTATAGGACGTTTCGTGCAATGTGCCTAGCCTCCGTCCTTCTCGCTGAAATCCCAGGCAATTTTGACCTTTGCCCAGATCTGAGCTCGGCGGACTGCGGACTCTGGTCTGTGGTCTGTTATCCCAGGAATCCATCACTCCTGCGCAAACGCCGTACTCCAAGCTCCGTATGCGCTATGATATGCAACTCCGGTCCCTCCATCATGGTGGATCCCTTAACTGGTACTCATCGCTTTCATCTATCGCTTCCTCGGACTCCCCGTCCCTTCACTCCCATCATCAAACTCATCTTCCTCCTCGATCAGCGCGGGCGTGCGTCTCTCATTCCGTCTTTTCGGCCTCCGCCGGCGCGCGCTGGAGATATTACTGGCCGAATCGTCTGGCGCGATCTCGCTGAAGCCGTCCCATTCACCGAGTCCATCATCAGTCTCGCCTTCCCAGCGTCCGCCATTATTCATCATGTCTGCTGGACCACCGGGGCCGCCGCCGCCGTCGTAAACGCTTGCGGGCGTGTCCATTCGGACTTCGATGCCTCCGCCGACGGTCCCACCACGTCGTCGTTGCTGCGCCGCAGCGAGACCGGCCGATCGTTCGCGCAGCGCCCGCCGCACGATCTCTGCTTTATTGTGTAGCGCCTCGAATGCGTCTTCGAGCGCCTCCATGCCCGCATAGATGTCGCGCTCGATCTCGGCGAGTGTTGCCAGCTCGGTCTCTTCGTCGAATGCGATGGGCGCGCCGTATTGCGCATTACCGGTTGGATATGGCTGTGTATAACTTCCTTGCCGGGAGCGGTAGCCGTTTGCACTGGTGCAGGTGTTGCCGTTGACGTGTGCGCCGGCATGGCCAGGTGTGACGCCTCTAGTCGACGGCCTCTGTGGGGTTGGGCCACGAGAAGAAGGCAGATCGTGTAGTGAGGGAGGAGCGTCTTCGGCTCCACTCCGCAGAAACCCGTCGAAGCGGCCTGAGACCAAGATTTCCCACTCATCGTTTGAGATGGCGGCGAGGGTGGCCAGGGCGTTGTGCAACGTTGGGTTGTTGAGCAGGAACAGCGCTGATTCGGAATCTCGTGGCACTGTGTGGAGTCGGTAGAGTCGCTGGATAGCCTGTGACGCGATTGCGATATGTGTTGGTCTGACTTTAACAGCTGGAGCCGGCGTGGGTGTAGGTTGCGGAGGGCGGATTGTACCGTTCTGCGATTGGAGTTCTGGCGTCGGTATTCGCCTTGGAGGTTCAATAGGTCGATCTACGATGCCAAGCAAGTCTTTGAAGACCGGTCGCTGGTCGGCTGGGAGGTGTGTCAGGATGGCGAACGTGAGAGTCTCTTCGTCGACTTCTTCAGGAGGGGAGCTCGGATTGTCACTCTGCCGATTGAGCCATTTGTCCACACTTTGTTTGGTCTTCCGCGATTGTCGAATGTAATGCTCTCGGTACTCGTCAGGAACATCCATGTCCAGCTTCTGCATCGGTACGTGGAACTCGAGTGAGATACCTAGACCTATAGGCGACTGCGTAAAGGCGAAGGGAGGCCAAGCAGGGAGATCTTTCCTTCCTGACACCAGTTCAAGAACTTCTCCCCAGCTGACGCATCTAACGTCTTCTGAGAGGTCGTACTCGCACATTGGGCATCGGCATGCTTCAGAAGAAATGTCACGTGCAAAAACTGCTTCAAGCCTGTCGAGGAGCCGCCGTGCAACTGAACGGTAGCCGGTTGCAACTGCCAGAGACCCATTCTTCAACATGACTCTTTCAAAGTCGTCCAGAAGCGCTATGTATGGTTCGAAGAGGTGTGCAACCACGATCGGAGTCTGTGTCGGCGACTGTGCTTGCTGGATCGCCATAGGCTTGCCTGCCAGCAGAAGATTTTTGGGTACAGGGTGATGTAAGCCACCGTACTGAAGAAGGTAGTCCACTCTGGGAACGGCCACGGGAGCTGGAGGAGGCGGCGGAGGCGGGGGGCCAGGTGTGGCAGAATTAACACCAGGTGTCCCTGATGATAACGACGACTCTTGTTCCACAAAGACTTCCAGCGGACTAATCCCCCTTGACTGAGGATAGATCGTGCCGGGAGTCTGGACATCTTGAAATACAGCAGCCTGTGGTACTTTGGACCCAGGCCGTTGAATACTAGGCTGTTCAGGTGCTATGGAGGTGGCATCTGAACTGGTATTTGCGACTGATTCGGTCGCAGTTGTTGGCGTAGCAGGGGACCCTGTCCTGGTCGGCTGACTGACAGATCTCTGCGGAATATTGTTGCGGAGCGGTGTAGAGGCTTTGGGAAGGTTGTCTGATGCCTCTCGAGGTTTCCTGACCGGCGAACTGTCGGTGCCCAGTTCCGATGTACTGCGCAGATGACCATTCGATCTGGTTGATTGTGGCCGTAATCGAATCTTGACTCTTGCATCTTTGTCCCCATTCGAGGATCTCTCTTCTTCAGGTATCGTTTGCACACAGACTGGCTTCCCTGCATTGGACTTCCACTTTCCCGAGCCTGCGTTCTGATCAGTCAGAGGCGGACTGGGAGGTGCGTTGTGTGCGGTCGGAGTATGTTTCGATGCTGATAGTCTGTCCTTGGAAGCATTCAGGTCTGTTGCAGGAGGTGTGAAGATATTCAACACTGGCCGGGCAGCTGTCCCGACAGCCTCACGACTGTGCTCTTTGGAAAAAGATGGATATGGTAGACTAGATTTTGAATCCGACTTGAAAGGTACATCGTCGACTTTTCCAGGCATTGAGGATCGTCTCTTGTTGTCGACCGGTGAAAGGGATGTTCTTGACGATGTCTTTTCTTTTGTTGCAACTTTTCGATGGGATCGGTGCCTTTCCTTGTCTCTGTCTCGATCCCTGTCTTTGTCTTTCCTGTCTCTTTCCTTTTCTGATTTTGTAGACTCCTTCTTTTCTCGCCGCCTCTCGGCGCTGTTATCTCGCACTTTGGAAGGCATGTTGGACCGTAGGTTGCATGATGCGACCTGCTGTGGAAGTGGTCAAGGCGCTTATATCGCGGGTATCATTTGCGTCCGGGGATTCGATGTGGAGAGATTGCGATTGTCCTACGGCGCTTAGGCCGGTAGATCTTTGACTTTGTCACAATCTTGGACTTTCCCAAGGGGTTTGAAGGCGGAAGGGCGCAGGGAACAGCTAGACGACAACGAGGTGAATAGATAGAGTGACAACGATTATTGGGAGTAAAAGTTGTCGTGTCACGTTTGCAATTATTGCGGAGGCTCAGGCTCAGGCTCAGGCTCGTATGATGTAGTTGGCAGTCAAGGCGCAGGCGGTGGGCAAAGTGGGTGGCAGGGAATTGAAGATGGCAGGGATCCAGGGTTGATCATTTCGTGCGTGCCAACTCCTCTGCCTACCCAGTAATGAAATGCCTTTGGATGAAGGGCTCAGGCGAGACCTCCATGGACGATATTTCCTGTCAAGCGAAGGGTGCACAGTAGGTCGGTGAATAATGGTTCCTGTACAAGCGAGTGTCTACATTATCCACTGCAAACTGCAAACTGGACTGCTTCATCCCGGCGTCCCGCTCCGAATGCCTGGCAAAGGACCGGGCCATCATCCTTTGGTATTCCACTACACTAAACTAACCTCGCACCTCATCGTGCCACGTCAATCTTGCACATTCAAAACACTCTCCGCTGTCCCTTGGGCTTTACATGTTCATAGCCAATGTCTTCATTGGCATCGACGCACCACCAATGCTGCTACTGTAAAGCTGGGCAAGGCAATGTAACGCTTGGCCGAAGACGATTCCATGCAATGATGGTCTGCAGGAAGCACCATTGGTTCACATACACGGTTTGCCATGAATCGATTGCTTCTTCTTACTGATCGATGACGACCCATGTGTCGATTCCGGATACACCAGATGCATTATTTGCTTGGTCTACGCTAACTTCCGTCATGAACATTGGGGTTGCAAAGTCCCTGACAGCAACTTTGCTAGCGCCTGTGATCTGGCGATTCAGGCGTCCACGCATTACCCAGAAGTACCGTACAGCCTTACAGACCTGTTGCACCCCGGTCGCTGTGCGCACAGTCTGAATCCGCCTTGCCGACGCCCTGATTAGGCGTTAGGCAGCCATTCAAGGCTGAAGGGATGCTCCGTCTACTCGAAGGCTAAGTAGAAGAATTTTGTCCACGTTTCAATCTGAATTCTTGTGCTTGTTGCTAAACAGTGAGTAGTTACTTGCCCGTGCCTGTCGTTTTGGGCTGGTGAAGATAGCAGACACAGAACTCAGGTAGCCCCTAACATCCAGTCGCGTCATGCATTCGTCACATCAAGACAATCAATCATCATCCCATTCGCTCTCTCAGAACGTCTCAGCATGCACAGAAAGCACTGCCGTGGAAGGAAATGATGCCGGCCGACTCCGCCTACGCGATGTCAAACATGCCACGATTGTGGACATCGACACATCAAACCCCATCCGACTCGCCTCTAAAAGGCCATCTATCGACGAGTTAACCTGCCTCGGACCTCGTCAAATCATGAAATCCACTTCCGCAAACAGAACCGACCTGCGATGGGTTCACTTACCCGCGAACTGCATGTCATGGGTGGAAGACTTGATGGCCGCCGTCTGCACAGAAAAAGGTCTTACCGTCCCCCGAAATGAGGACGGCACTAGCCAAAATCCTCTGCTTCGCAAGGATCTTTGGGCTCATCTGTTTCACGGTAAAGCATCCAGTCAGATCCACGCCCGTTTCATGGGGCCCGTATGCACCCCTTTTTCTCTCTCGGTCGACGACGAGGAGTCCGGCTCCGATGGCAGCGCGACACGTGGGACGCTGGGTAACCTTGTGCTGTACATGCCCTTCTTGCACTGGGAGTCCTTAGATGCCTGGACGGAAAGGCAAGAGTTGATTGGCGAGGTCAAAGAAGGGAGACCGGGGAGGCCTCAGGTCGATAGGGACTTCGTCAGGACATATCTGCCTCATAAAACGGCACCACTGCATGATCGGCGGTCTCTCCATCAGGCGTTCTACCATTTCTCTGGCCTCACGAGATCGGTGCCGAGGGTGGATCAAGTCATGGAGAAATTCACGTCTGGGAGGGGTGACCAGGATGGATGCGCGAAACTGATAGTTGTGGATCAATTATGGCTCTGGTTGATCAAAGGCACACGAACGACAAACGAACAAGATAAAGATGGCAATGGCTTGTCAGCGGACCCAGATCTTGTCATCACTGCCTTTCCCGCTCGGTTTAACGACCGGTATGATTCCGCCAACATTCACCGCTGCATTGTCGAACACCTCGAACGAGGTCTGCAGCCTCCCCTCAAGAAAGTGGAGGATCTGGTGGCTTTGATAGTGGAGCACTGTACGGGCGTCTTCTTCCAACGCCAGCTCGAGAACGACAAATGGTTCCTCGAGTTTTTCGCGGCAGCAATCGGGGAAGTGGTAAGCCCTCCCTCTTCCTTTAACTTATTTCCTCACCTCCCCTAACGCCAATATCAATGCAGCGAGAATCCCAAAGAGCCGCCTTTAATGCCTTTTGCGCTGCCTCCCGTTCTCTCCAAAACCGCCAGCAGCAACACACCATCTCCTCTCCACTGTCCGACCCGTCTTTGAGCATCACCGAAGAAACTTCCCTCGTCTGTCGCATCAAGGCCATCATTGACGAGCTCACCTGCATCGACTACATCTTGTCGCGACAAGAAAGCGTTCTCCACTCACTTACACGTGCCCAACCCAAATCACGCATGCTCCGCACCGTTGCTGAAATGGTGAAAGAGCGCCGCGTAGCATGGGCGTCGCTCGCCTCCACCGCTGAGGCCTCCCACTCTGAAATCCAGTCGCAGATGGACCTCAAGCAGAAACAGGCCAATCTTTCAGAGAGTAGGATGTCGAGGTTTCAAGCTCAGGCTTCCGCCTCACACTCACGCATAATGCTCCTGTTTACCGTCGTCACCATCATCTTCTTGCCGTTGTCCTTCCTGGCAACGTGGTTTGGCATGAATATCGAGGATCCCAAAGCCGGGAATCTGAAACTGTACCAGATCGCGGCGATCATATTTCCGATCTCAATGGTCCTTGTAATGGTGGCGCTGGCGTTTGCGTTTAATGAAAGGCTGAGGGCCGTGGTCGTGAGAGTGCTGGAGTCCTTTTGGACTGTCTTTTCCGGGACGGCACCTACAGACGAGGATGGAAGGTCTTGGAGGGATCATCACGATGACAGCATGGAGATGGTGTAATATAAAACATCCCACCTCGCCTTAATGTGATATGATTTCTGATGATAGCCACGCGCTTCTTAAAGTATTCGCCCATGGGTCAACTCTCACCATATGCAATAATGGAAGCAGCAAAAAGTCACGGGGCAAAAAGATCACGCCCGTTCACGCGTACGGAGACAATCGACGGATCTTTTAAGGAAGCAGATGGCCACCGAGGCAGAGGAACATCCGCCTAATTGAACCACCAAGGGTGTTATGGTGGAGAGGACCGAAGTCCGTCTTTTGATCCTGGCTTGGGTCTAGCTTCGGACGAGTCCTCACGAGCTATCCAACTAGGCCATCTGCTACCTACCTGAAAGGTGAAAACAAATGGATCACTTTGATATATAACCCATGAATATTGCCCCTGTCACTCAGTCACGTGTTGTGATTGTGGGTCTCATTCGCCTTCATGTAAAGATGGTTCGAACAGAAATCCAGGTACTTCGCGATAACAGTCTTAGCAATCATGAGGTACAATTTCGGGAGGTCCTGGGTGAGTGCCATATATTGTCCAAAGGTCCCATAGGAGGCGATGTGATGTTGATGGTGCGAGATGCTAAGCCAACAACCAATGACGTCGCTCAATGTTGCGGTCTCGGTAGCCTTCAACACCAGATTAAGATGCCCCAGTATCCTAAATTCCAACCCCCTATCTAGCAGTTGCATCACGGACTGAAACAAGGATGCATGCTTTAAGCTGACTACAATACTGGTTGTGTGCTTCCAGCCGTTAAGCTAATCGTGGTACATTTCGACCATGAAAGCCACGAGAAAGTCCGTGGCTTCAGCTGCGCGACGTTTACGGCTGCGCACATCTTGCAGCCCGAGCTCAAATTCGCGCTTTCTTTCTCCTCCAGTGTCCTTGACCGGCATAATTCGAGGTCGGCCTTCATCTGAGCGAGTATCAATAGGTCCTCCATTCACATCGCGCTTCTCTACATGTCACTGTCCATGGCTACAACAACGAATCCAAAGAGACTCAGACTCTTTCCTCGGCGACAGCGCTCTCGAGGCATCGGATCCTCAACTGACGGCCAGGGATAGCAAACTCACGTGTGCCTACTTTGACAAAAACGGCTCACTCGTGTCCGAGCACAAAGAGCTCACCAAATCAAAGATAGCCGAACAATTCGAGCTCCGACATCGAGATCTACGCGACATCGACCTGCGATCGGAATCCGTAACCCGCATTCTGATCCGGCCGGCCACCATTCTTCTCCAGTTCTTCGATCTATGCATGATCATCCAGGCCGATGAAGCTCTCCTCATCAACCTCCGCAGCTCCGCTGATGAGCGCAACGACGACTTTGCGCGGCGCATGTCGGCCAAAGAGCCTGCCGATCTTCCCGAACTGCCGTACGAGCTGCGCGCCGTCGAAGCAGCCCTTATGGCGGTCCTGTCAGCCCTTCGCGAAGACCTTGTCCAGGCAAAACAGGATGCCGAGCACAGCGCCCGACACTTGAGACTCGAGTCCGGTTTCGCCGCCGTCGGGCTCGACCTCTTGTTCGAGCACTCTCGAAAACTCGCCAAGATCGAGCAGAAAGCCCGTCTGGTGCGTGACACCATCCGCGAAGTCCTCGACACCGACGAAGACTTGGCAGGCATGTACCTCTCCGACAGAAAGGCAGGGAAGCCTCACCAGGTGACGGACCACCAGGAGGCCGAGTACATGCTCGAAGCGTACCATACTGCCGCCGATGCCTTGGTTGAGTCTGCCGGCGGCGCCATCGACGTCATGCGCAAGAAGGAGAATACCTTTCGGTCGAGCCTTGATGTGCAACGGAATCAGATCATGTTCCTGAACGCAAAGATCGGCATACACACGCTCGGCCTGGCTGGGGGCACTCTCATCGCCGGTTTGTTCGGCATGAACTTGGTCAATTACCTAGAGGAAGCACCGTACGGGTTTTTCGTCATCACCGGTGCGTGTGTGGTGATAAGCTCGCTGTTTTCAATATACGGCATGAGAAACATTCGGCGAATCCAAAGTCTGAAGGACATTAAGGGACAGATGGCTCCGAGAAGGCAGCCCAGAACTTGAGCAGATACATTAAAAATTCCCAAAATCAGCCCGGCTCTATGTGCCATTCCTAAAGAGGTGTACGCCAGGACCCGTGGCCAACGAAACAGATGTCCTTTGTACTATCTTTCACACCGGCAAAGCTCCATGGTCATCAGGAATAGCGACTCGAAGCTTTCGCCAGACTCGCAACGTCCGGGGCAACGGCCCGACTCGACTCACTCGAGACCACCTGCAAGGCCAAGTCTAGCTTGTGCCACTGATTCAGCACATCCTGTCGCTCCTCCTCGGTCGATGCTTTCACCTCTTCATAGCCCTGCGCAAAGTGCACGGCGAGGATGAAACTCAACGTGTCATCACCGAACTGCTTCTTCAGCGAGTCATATATCGCCCGCACTCCGTACGTCTTGCCGCTGATCGTAATACCCCTCTGACGGACGAGGAAGTGACCAATACCCTTGCCCAATCCTTTGCCAAAGCCTTTCCAGCCGCCTTTCCGAGCACCCTTGTACGGCTCGTACACAATGCCACCCCACGCTTTTGCGATATTGAGCGGGATGTGCAGAATTGCAGAAGCGTAAGAGCCCGCGGTACTCAAGACCGGGTTCGGTCCGCGGTCCCAAGTGAACTGGCCTTCTTCGAGAGGGTACTCGCACGGCCGGTAGAGTCGGAGCTGGTTGACGTCCAGAAGGCCTTCGTTGCTAAGGGTGGTTGCTGCGAATGCGCTCAATCGGACACCGGAGCCCGGCTGGCCTTGGTTCTTGATCCACCACACCGCAGGACGATTGGGTGCTACGGTACATCGGAGTCTGTCGACGTCAATTTGCCGGTGGAAGCTTGCCGCGCCGACTTCGCAGCCTTTTTCCTCTTTGATGCGCTCCCCAAGTTCGCGAGCACGCTCAAGCGTCGCAGGTTTGAGGGCATCGAGGATGGCATCAGCAAGTCTGTCGGCAGTGAGCTCTTTCGAGGGGATTGGCGTTGGGCCTGCGCCGGCACGAGCAACCATCGCACCCCAAAAGGGCTGGTCGCCGAAAAAGGGGACGATGACTGTCGGTCGGCCGAGTGCGATTCCCGCTGCTGTCGTCCCTGCGCCACCATGATGGACCACGCAGGATACTCGTTGGAAGAGCCAGTCGTGCGGGCAGTTGCCGAGCATGAAGACGCCTTCGGGCTTGCCGAGATCGTCGCCTCCTAGCCCGCCCCAGCCTTTTGAAACAAGGGCGCGTTGGCCGGTCTTCTTGACGGCGTCGAAGATGAGCTTGGTCATTGCGTTGGGGTCGTCAACGACGATAGAGCCGAAACCAATGTAGACTGGAGGTGGACCGGAAGCGAGAAATTCGGCCAGATCAGGGTCGGGTTGGTAGTTGGATCCCAATGAGAGGAAGTAGAACCCAGATATTGTAATGTGAGGGCCCCAGTCCTTGGGCTTTGGGATCAAGGCGGGTGACCTATCGTACATGGTCAGGCACTACACGGGAATAAGGCTCCAGTCAGTACTCACCAGCAGTATGTATACGGGATCTGCAGCCGGTACAGCAAATCCACTGCTGCGGCCTGAGATAGTAAACCCAGACCTAGCGTGTGCTTTCTGAACTTGTTCGTGATCTCGCCTAACCCTTCCCAGGTCATCATATCGACCAGCGTGTAGCTCATTTCATTCGTGATCTGTCCGCTGGCTTTGTTGGAACCACGAATATTGGCGATCGGTTGGGGAAACTCGCGAGTCGGCGACCACGGCATGCTACAATCAATCCTGGTTGGTACGGGGGTCATTCCAGAGGTGCAAGAAGAACGACTTACGTGAACATCAAGTGCAGCGGGATGCCTAGCTTCTGTGCACAATGAATATGCGCGAAGCTGGGAGGGTTGCCAATGATGGCATTCGCAACGAACGGTCTCCTTCGTGGACTTGGACCATTGCCGTCAGCACCTTGGACTTCATCAGAGTCGGCGCAAGATCTCCAGCAGCCCTCGAGAATCTCCGCCATGCCTTTTTGCCTCCTCCCCACGTCGCCTGCTTTCAAGGATTTGATCCCCGGAATTAGGCCCGGGTTCTTGACCATGAAGGCCATCAATTCGGCAGGATCGCCGCCAATGTCGAAAAATTCCAGCCCGTTTTCCTCGACGAACTTCTTGAACGTGCCGTGAGTAGCGAGCCGGACGCGATGGCCATACTGAGTCCTGAGGACCTGCCCCAGCGCAACGAATGGCTGAACATCGCCTCTGGACCCAACGACCTGCATAACAATGTTGAGTGGTGGTGGTGCTCGAAACGGCCTGCCAGCCTCGTCCACAAACGGCGGTGGCGGCTCCGGCTCACGAGGCTCTTCTTGTATGCGGTTCAGATCCAAGTTGATCTGCTCCAGCTGGGTCGCAAGTTTCGTACTCGTCCCCGTGATGTTGATATCAACCCGCCCATCATCTGCTCATTGTAAATGCGAAAGGCCATCGCTACCGAGGGGGAAGAGGCGAGCTCACCTCCTATTCTCGTTTCAGTGCTCAGACCATCCTGTTCGTGCTCAAGAGTGCCTGTAGTTGTATCGTAGGCTGAGGTACGCCGGAGTCTACCCGCTGCCGCCTCGTCGTTTGTTTCGTCACCGGAACCCATTGTACAGCTGCAATTCTTTCAACTCTGTGGACGCAAAACTCAAAGCATCGTCTGCTATGTGGCGTCCGATGGAGGCCTGGTGAACAGCTTGCTTCTTCGCATCGTCGTCGTTATGGGAGTTGTTGCAAGTCAGGTAGTGATGTGAAGAGAAGGGGGCCATAATGCACCAATTACATTACGGATTCATGGGCGCTGGATCATGGCCCAGCGGCCTCACTAGGTAGCTTATGGGCACCGCCGCGAGGTCAATGGCTTCCATCAGAAGTTAGCTCTGGGTTCGCGAGGCTTGATTCCACAGCCTAATTAACTTAGTGGCCGCTAGCCCACAAGCCTAAGTGCACGACTGGTGGACGCCGAGACGCCTTCCCCATCATTCATCCGCCGCTCTTGGACAATTTTTTTCTTCGAGGCTCCCAGATTTCTCACCGCACCGCAGTTTGGAAAGCCATAGCTGCCATTGTATTGCTCCTTTGTGCATTGCCCCTAGGAGTTGAAGAGCCACCATCTCCGTATTCCTTATTTCAGGCAGACTTCTGCCTCGAGTTTCGCTCAAGATGGGGTTAGCGGAGCCTAGAAAGTAGGTGCCTCTTTCGCTGTGAATGAGCATGTTCTCGTACATCGTGCTTCCACTCTGCTATGTTCTCGCTCATTACACGACTTCAAGTCTCTTTCGTCCTCTTCATAAAGAGTCCTGTGCGGCTTTGATTGCTGACTGCCTCACTAGACGCATTAAAATGTCCCACGACCCTCGCAATTTATCATGGTCGCAATCTTCCACCTCCTTCGGCCAGCGCATCATGACCCAGCATGGCTGGAAAGAAGGTCAATCTCTTGGCAATCGTGAAAGTGTCCATCTTGGTCTCAACAATACAGAACGTCTGGCTGCTGCTCGTGTGGGAGTGCTTTTCAAAGACAACAATCTGGGTCTGGGAGCAAAGACCAAGAGCAAAGATGTCGAAGGTCAAAGAGTTGGACTCGACGCATTCCAAGGACTACTCGGCAGACTAAACGGAAAGAGCGATGCGGAGTTGCACAAGGAGGAGAAAAAGGTCGAGGACAGAAAGTTGGCAATGTATGCTCGTGGACGATGGGGTGGTATGGTCTTCGTGAAAGGCGGAGTTCTTGTGGGGAGCATGAAAGCGGAGGATGAGCAAGGTAAATCACAGTCTGAAGTGGGCTCTGAGCACGACGAAGCAGACGAAAGACGCAAAAGAAAGGAAGAGAAAAGGCTGAGAAAAGAGGAGAGAAGGCAACAGAGAGAGGAAAAGGCTCTCCGGAAAGCTGCGACGAAAGCTCAAAAGGCAACGAAGGACAACGACAGCACAGCCTGTACTCCTCCTCAGTCACTGGTTATTCACAACTCGCCCTTGAGCCAACCTCCTGATGAGCCGGTGTCTTCGTCTCCGTCCGACGACGAGGCTCGGACAACTACAAAACAGAAGAGAAGGCGCTCCAGTACAAGCCAAGTGGATTCAGCCGTCTCCGAGCCACAGACTGTTAGCCGGCTCAAGATGCAGAATGGTCGACACCTTCTTAGGGGTCGTAACATCCAGGCGAAAAGGATGGCTTTCTCCGATACGAAAGGACTCGATGAGATCTTTATGAGACCGGATAAATGAGAATGGCAGACGGTGAGAACAGAATATCACCTTGTACAGACCGACCAACAGTGCCTCTAGGGACGCCATATGTTCAAAAATTGGTCCTTGCATCGATGGTCACTTGGATCGACGAGCAAGCCATCTTCACGAGCCCGAGCCTGCCTTCGACAAAGCACCCTCAATCTGCCTTGGTGGGCCTCCAGAGTTGAGGGACAGCGGATTTTCACCCACACCATTGCCGGTTTGGGCTGAGACTAGGCGATAATTACACTCACAGCACGAGCAGTAGACGTCACAGCCTGCGATCCGAAGATAACGATGAACGAGAAGGGTTCACCTTAATCCTCTCGCCTTCTGTCGTTGGTTGCGGTTAAGCTCTATTGAGCAAAGCCAGGATTAGCCAGGATGGCTGCGGCCGGCCAGCTTATGCACCAGACGGCTCTGGCCGTCATGATGAGAGAGACGGATATATAGGATGATGAACATGATGGGTATATATATGCTCAGCAGAGGGCAGCGACTTGACAAATATTTATCGCCTACAGTCCGAAAGTACCTGCAAATATCCAGGTGGGTACGGAGCCCTTGTGCTCAATGTGCGAGTACTCAGGGACGAGAGGGCAGCATGTGCTGAGGTTCGCGAAGGGGAGTGCCACTCGAATGTGAGGGTACCGAAGAAGCGGCCTTCCGACATCCTCCAGCGTATTATGATGAGCAGCCTTGCCCGCAACATGGTAGGGCCGTGTAAGATGATCGCCTCGGATCAATTCCTGCCGGAATGGCACATTGTCTGAGCAGAGCAGCGCTTGAAACAGCCATCGGCCATTGGCGCCCGACCAAGACACATTTGGACTTGCACAAGATTCAAAGGGGGTCAATATCAATACGAATACGAACACGAGTAAAATTCCATTGCATTTCGTATTTTTATATTCCAATCCAATGCGCTTTTGTACATACTTCTTAACCGCGAGATAAACACCACATCCACCCTTGAAGCCTACAGGCAAGGCAAGGCTCAAGAACATAAAGATGATCGCTTACGCCAGGAATAGGCTCCGCGGACATGTACCGTCTCTTCTCTGGCAAGAAGAGCGACTTTGAACCCAACCCTCATCCAATCAATACCCTCCTGCTTGGAGGGTGGGAAGCCGCAAATCTCCAATATCCTGCAATGAGACCGTCCGTATATCCTCGCCCCATCAAGAGTGAGCCTCCTTCAGGCTTTACCTTGAGTAACCATGAGTATATCATGACGGGGTTTCACTTTTGCGACTTCTGCGTATCAGGGACCTCCTCAGGAAGGTACCGCGACGATATATCATCCCCGAACAACTGCATGTCTCCCTTGCCACCCATACCCATGAATTCGTCCTGCTGCCTATTCGCAGCCGGATCCTCCTCCTTCTTCGCGGTGGCTGTTCCTGTTCCCTTGGATTTGTTCTTTGGCGTCCTGACAATCTTGCCGTTTGGGTTCTTCTGCCAGACTTTGACGCGGGCCGTGTCGCCCCCGTCCTTCCCGGGCATTTGCTGGCTATCGACGGGGACAACCTTGTTCACTTTGATGTCGTTGATGTCTGACAGTAGTGTTCGTTCGCGCTGGACCTTGCGCCTAGAGAAGTCCAGCGCGTGCATGGCGCCGGTCAGTCCATCGGTCGAGTCGGCCGGGTTGATGGTGCCTGCATTTCTGGTCCAGGGGTGTTCGAGACATTCGTCGACGGTAAGGCGCTTGGCCACATCCACGGTCAACATTCGGTCGATCAGGTCAAGAGCAGGATCGCCGATGGAATCCCAGTATGGAGAGGGATAGTCGAAGCGGCCCATCTTAATCTGTTGAGCGAGAGTATATGGATTGTCGCGCGAATAGAGTTCGTCAGAGAACGGTGGGAAACCGCAGAGACAAATGTATAGCACCACTCCGAGGGACCAGATGTCGACTGCTTTTGTGTATTTCCGATGGCGTGTGTTCTCCAAGATCTCCGGAGCGACATCTAACAGCCGAAATCAGCAACCCGTTCGGAGTCCGGTCAACAGCACTTACAGCTTGGTGTTCCACACAATGTGGTCGTAAACGACTCCTCGCCAATGATCTTGGCCAAACCAAAATCAGCCAACTTGACTGACAAGTTCTTGTCAGTTAGTAGGATATTCTCGGGCTTGATGTCTCGGTGAACAATGTTTCGCTCGTGAAGATATTTGGTACCCTGGAACAATTGCACAAAAATCTTTCGAGTCTCGGCCTCGGTCAATCTTTGCTTCGACACAATTAGATTGAACAGCTCGCCTTCGGCAGCGAGCTCCAAAACAAGATAGACACCATCTAGCTCATCAAAGGTCTCCTTCAAACAAAGCACGTTAGGATGGCTAACGCTCATCAACAGAGCTATCTCTTGCTGCAACCCTTCCGTTTGGGATTTCTGGGACTCGCCCATCCGTCTCTCAAACTTCTTGACAGCATATTTGAAGCCAGTGCACCGCTCCACGCATAGGTAGACTGTCGCAAAATGACCCTTACCCAATTGTTGCAGAATTCGGTATCGGGAGTTGAAAGCACTCGAGTCTCGATTTTTCGGATATCGAAAGACGAATCTGGCTTCATCGAGGATAGTGATTTCGTCTCCGTCCTCAAGTTCTCGTCTCTTGTTGCGGCCAAGCAACGCCTCGTTCACAAACGTTCCGTTACTGGATAAGTCCTCGAGTACAGCGATGGTGTCACCAAGTCTGCTCTCATTGAATACCAAGAAATGTCGGTTTGATACGGTCGGAATATCAATGACCATGTCGCATTCAGGATGTCGTCCGACAAGATAACCACCAGCCGGAAAGCCGACCACCTGTTTGTCTGCCTCATAATCTTCCTCATCTTCTTTGAGCTGATCCTTCCCGCGCTTTACGTTCTTGACGGTCGACCGACTTATCTCGAGGGGTTCTGTTGGAGCAGGACAAAAAGCTCTTTTCTTCAAGGAAAGTCGTTTCCCAACTCCAGTCAGAGGGAACAGATAACCCCAGGTGCCATCGTCATCATCTAAATCAAGCTCGACATCTCTTGGTGGATAGACAAACTGTGACAGTGGCTGTGTGTCTTGAGGAGGTGAAGATAGGGCATGCAATTGAGGTGAGGACAATGGAGTGACATGGCGAATCTGGCTGGGACGACCTTCTGGAGGGGTTGCTGTCTGCTCCTTGACTAACTCGGTTGCGGTGGACTCGTGGTTCGTTAAGGGCGAAGGGAGGTATTGATTTTTAATAGGAGTATGCTGCTTTACATCTTTCTGGGTTTGCGAGGATATCCTCTGGGATCGTCGGGGCTTCTTTATTTCTTGGTCGTCACCGGTACTATGCTACGCGGCGGTCAGATCTCACTCGAGGAAACAGTGCGAGTGTATTCACCCGGTTGCGCTTCAGGCTGCTCTTCTCCTTCCTAGGACCCATAAGACACTGCTCGGTGCCCAATGTACCACAAAAGCTCGATTGGTTCTCCTTTGCACGTGCTGTGGTTCGGAATGCTCTCCGCAAGATACGTTATTTGGGCGGAACAAGTGGTAACAAACGCAACTCGACGAAGACTGCGAGATCTGGCTGCCCGAGGCTTCAAATGTTCGATTCCCAGCGGCGGACGGTGATAGAAGCACTTTTTCGAGTTCGAGACCGGATGACGAGGAGATAATGTGGACAAGCCGGAAGACAGTTTCGACTGAGGTGAGTTCAATGCCGTGCAAGATGAGCAGCTTCGATTGGACGCAACGATCGAGCCGTTGAGAGGTCACATGATTCACAGCCTCGTATTGGCCCCCATCATCCTCCCCGGTGGTTGTGGTTGGTGGCGAGCACCTCTCGGCCAACATCCAATCAAACCATTCCCATTTCCGACATGCATTCAACAGGATACAGAGTCCCGCAATGCCGTCGGGTTCTCATAGAATGTGCAGAATCGTGCAGGAGTCGTTGTGGACACCCATCTCGCTCTCCACACGCAAATCGACTCTGTGGCTCCGTAACGTCAGCCGTAAGCTTGTCAGGTCCCAAATCCACGACGAGCTGTGACACATTGACACTGGACTTGTGGTGGCTCTCGGCTCCAGGATGTGAGTCCCCTTGGTATACCATCCAGTATGGAATTGACAAGTGACCATGGTGCTCTCAAAAACACGTGAAAGCCCCATCCTGCGCTCTGGGCCGCAGCAGATACGCAGTTCAGGAAGGTGCTCGTCAGGATTCCACCTCAGCGAGAGCCCCGAATGAAGGTTCAAAGGAGCTCCTGCCACAAGGCTGGCTGGGAACTTGGCATTGGATGGCACAAGTCTCGAGAGTCCAGAGTGTTTCTCGTGAACATTTCAAGATGCCCAGGGATAACCAGTGCCTTTGACCGTTACGAATCCGAGTCTGGCCGTGGTATCAATCGCATGGGCTCGAGTCGGTTTCGCATTCCGGAAGAGATGTTACTTTTATTTGAGCAGGCAACATTTCGACTCTTTGCAAATGCCAACACTTCGTATCAACATGTCATAACCAGTACAGTATAGTTAGGCAGAAGTATCTACAACAATCCTCGGAGTATGGAGGATAAAACCAAGAACGCAACAACACTCACAAAGTGTGAGCACAAGCAGTCAACGCCATCGTTTTGGTGCCATGATGTGTCTGATCTCGTCGGATGCGCAGTGCATTTTGCAACTCAACCTAGTTGGCCGTCATCGACGCCAGGCGTACCACCAATCCCAAACATTGACCATTTTAAACCTGCCCTTTCAAAGCACCAGGGTATCAAGTGATCCAAAACCCATGATCATTGACCAAATACAAAGAGGTCATCATAATATGCAAGCCATAATCATCAAGAAACTCTCCCACCAACCTCGCCAATGGTGCGATTCCCTCCATGTTTACTGTTTTCATCACGTGGCAAACATCACAAACTTTCAGGACTCATCATACTTGCATCGCCATCCACGATACCATCCACTTTTGCAACACCATTGACCTCAGGCGTACCATCAATAGTGTCCGTTACCGGCATATGGTCCTTCTCCGAGGCTTTGAGGTCAGATGTGGACATCTTGGCCTTCAAGACTGGTCTCTTTTTCTCCGGGCTGCCGTCACCACCGGGACCAGGCGTCGACGGATTCACACCGTTCACCAGAGGCGTATCTTCCCCTGTCCCGTTGACGACAATAGACTTCCTCTTTCCTTTGTCACCTGGAGTTGGACCTCCAGCGGCTTTCGAAATTGGCGCATTTTTGACCGGTACTTTCTTCATGGGACTAGCATTCTTGACTGTACCCTCTCCAATCTTGCCACTAGCAGGTATTCTTGCTCGGCCGTAGCCTGGCCTTTGCTTAGGCGGGAGTTCCAGGTCTTCAAGTAATGGTCGATCACCATTATCGCGCAGTCGTTTCTTGAACCATTCTCTGGCCAACCCAACCTGTTCGTCGACGGTCTCGACATTGATTTTCGGCCAGCGGGGCGGCTCCTTGAACATCTTCTCTCCTATATCTGCGGTACTGGCCTGTTGATTGCTCATACCAAGGCGATTCTGCAGGATATGGAATGGTACTGTAAGACTAGCCATCCCAAACTCCTTGTCAAGGCCAAGTTCTCGGAAGCCGAAGAAGTCCTCGTCGAGATCACCAGCAAAGTCACCGCCGACATACTGTTCACCGCCGTCCTCAAACGTTCCTTGACCATGGGCTGTATCATCAGTCAAAGCCGGTCTGAGAAGGTCGGTAAGATGTGCTTTCATACGGTCGTGCATGGTGGTGAGGCGCGTAGCCGTCCGATCGATGTCTTCGCGGGCGTAGATATCCAAGTCGTTTAGTGACAGGCCACTTGAATGCAGCGTGTGTAAGATTGCTTCTTCCAAGGTGTTGGGACATCTGAAAGCCGTCTCCGCCTCTCCAGCGGAGACCGAGGTTGTGACAGGGATACGGTAATCTTCTCTGTAGTTGACCAATGTGGAGCATATCCGCTGAAAGAAATCGGCTGCGAGATCGGTCATCGCATCCAATGCCGAAGGCTGAAATTCTTCAAAGCCTGCATGGAAGAAGATCTTGCCTATCGATCGTTGAAAAGCAGCTTTGCAGACCCATGGTGCCATCACAGGTCCAGCATCTGACATGACATGATTGGGTATATCGGCTTCGACAAAAGGTTCCGGTTGGAACTTCTGAAACTGGTTTTGATATGTCTGAGACTGCAGCTGCATCTGTTTCACCACGCCAATCTTGGACACAACTTTTCGTGTGTCTTGTATCTGTCGCATGTTGGAGTCCATCTTCTTGGCTAGTTTGCTTTCCGGTGCAAGGAACTGTTTGGGCGGGAATAGTCTTAAGTACTCCTCCCCGTGCTCAATGACCTGACCTTCGGTATCTTGCTCCCACCTCAGATGTGGATTGAGGTCGGGTATCGCGGCCATAGCATCGTAATAGTCCGGCAAAAGGCTCTCCTCTTCCGCTTCCATGCCTTCAGCGAGCGTCTGTCCGTGGTCTTTGGCGCGTTGATCACGTTCAAATATATCAGTGCCGAGCTCTGAAATATCCTTTCCGGCAGCCTCTTGTTGGATCCTTTGCCAACGACGCATGCCGGCCTTACTTCGCAGCAAAGCAGTCTCTTCGGCATTCAATTTGTCTCCTCGGAAAAGCTTATGTCGGGCGGCAGCAAGCATGGCACGATCCTTTTTGGTCTTCTGTTTCCAGAGTTTATACTCTTCGTCCTCATACTCTGCGATTGGTGTTTGTGACGGCAGGCCAGGCATGTCCATATCCATGGATTCGCTCCCTGCTCCGGCTACACTTCCAGGACCCTGGGCTCCGACTGGCGTCAGAATTCCGGGCGGAGGAGTGGAATGGCCCTGACTTCCTTCAATCTCTGATTCAGCTCTTTGTACAGAGTTGATGGATTGCAGGACTGGTTTTGTTTCTGGAATTGGCGTGGTCTCAGGAGGCGCTTTCCGAGATGTCGACCCTCCCTTCTTAGCACTCTTTGCCGGAGCCTTTCGACCACGGGACGACATGATGGGCTCATCGTCACTTTCTTCTGCATCGTCCAATTCACCATTGGCGATCTGCTGTCGTCTTTCCTCGGCCTCAACTTCGGCTCGATCACGAATGACGATGTCAGGAATCAGAGGAACAAGCTTGTCAGTCTCCTTTTGCATGAAAAGAGCGTGTTTCCGGAAAATATGGTCGGGACTGCTGTTGAACCGCAAACAGTTCTTCCAGATCTGGGTAAGGTCATCAACAAATTCCTTCTTGGACTTGTACGCGAGTTGCTTGAGCTTTTTGGTCATGGTGCCGAGATCCATGGGGTATTTGATGACTAGGTAATAGTCGGGGGCATCCTTCTTCTTGACGGGATTTAGAAAGGGGAACGAATGCTCGGTATGGGCTTTGAGCTCCGTGAGGACTTTCTCCGCTGATTCGTATAGTTCCTCCTGGCCGATCTTGTCTTCGCTAGCCCATTTACTTCGATTCTTGCGGACCTCACTCATGAGCGCACGCAGTTCTGACTCGCTTGCATGCACCATGGACCGATGTTCGTCCAGCCGCGCAATGAGGTTTTTGAGCGTTAGACTAGACGCGCCGAGATTGGCTTTGCTCAGGCTTCCCTGCTGCATCGATGCATTCTGTCGGGTTGCATGGCCCTCTGCTTCTGCTTCCGCGCGTCGCTCAGCCTCGTCAAGCCGTTGTTGGTCTAGCATGGCATCTCGATCATTTTCAAGTGTAAAGAACATAGTTCGCGACAACGTCTTGACAGTCTCGGTCTCCTTGCGCTTGGCCTCTTCCAGCTTCTTGCGAGCATCCTCAGCTTCGGCCTTCTGTTTAGATGCGCCAGCCTTGGGAGGAGCTTTTGTAGAATCGGGGGTAATGCTGGGGGGAAGAACGGGCCGAGCCTTGGGCGACGAGGTGGCATCGGCGAGGACCTGGACTTTGTTAGGCTTGTCTCTTAGGGGAGATGCTCTGGCAGCGTCCAAGGCCGTCTCTTCGTCCTCGTCGTCATCATCGTAGTCGTCATAATCATCGTCGTCCAACTTGCGCTTCTTGGATATAAGACCAGGGACCGGGGCCGAGTCCGCGGCATCGGGGGCAGACTCGACAACAGGCGCATCGTCGATGTTGCGCCTCTGCGGTACTATGACTTGACCGACATCATTGAAAAGTGTTGCGAGTTTGTTCTCCGTCTCTTGGAATAACTCGCGAAATCGGACGACCTGGGGATCTTCCTCGACACTCGATTCTGGTTCGGCAGGTTGGCCGGATTGCGAACCGGTTCCCAGATTGCGCAATTTGAAGGAATTAGGGGTGTGAGGTCGGGAGGGCGCTCTGAGCAGACCATTGAGAGTGTCTCGATGTAGGGAGTGAATCAGAGGTTCATCGTCTGGTGGTTTCTGGCTGTTTGGGGGCGGCCATGTTAAGGACATGGCAGTGCCAACCCCCGGACTGTGAGCGAGGGGTCTTGTAGATTCTCCAGTTTGAAGGATGCCCTGCGACGGCGAGGAAAGGGTTCGGACACGTCTAAAAGTGAATGCAGATGGTCATCTGAGGTCGCAGAGTCCAAAGCCGATGGATTTGAGACGCGATTCGATGAAGGGGTGGTGTGGTTTGATGAACAGTTTTTGCCGATCTGACGTGGTGAAGCGCGCAGTTTGAGGACGTGAAGTCGAAAGAAAGCTGGTGCAGGCGTTCGTTGCATTGCAGCTGCCGAGCCACCCTCCGATCATGCTAAAAGGTAACCTAACGTGCCCTTCTACTCGTACTCCAACCGTGGTTCTCTGGCTACCTACCTATCCTACCTAGGCTTCAGTCACTTGCAACCACGTTTGCTTTTCTGATTCAGCAGACATACTAAACTAGGTGTTCACCGTTCAATTGTTCAGACGATGGCATGTTTGTCCTGAAGCTGGCATTGTGCCGACCGCCCTCGCTGTTGCACTTTTGAACAACGAATCCAAAGCAGCAGCCTCTCCGCAACCTGCCATCTCACTATGCAAATCCGCTTCCCTTTCGCAAGCAAGTCTCTCTCTATTAGACAACTGGGGTATTGCATTGCTAACATAGGACGAACAGTCGCCTTCATAATCCTCCTTCTCTTCGCATCCTCCCTAGGCCTCCTCCCTCATTCATCTCTGCCTTCCACCCCGGCCGCAGCACAACCGTATATTCCTCCACAGTCCGACAAAGCCGTACATTTCCTATGCTTCTTCGCCCTCACAGCGACGTTCTACTTCATTCTTGACACCAGTCGCCGGCGTGTAATACATCTGACCCTGATAGTTTGCACTCTGGTACTTGGAGTTGGAAGCGAAGTAGCCCAGGGTCTGCTACCGAACGATCGCGAATTCGATGCGTGGGATGTTCTTGCCAACGTGCTAGGGAGTCTGGCGGCTCTGGGGCTTTGCAATGCATACCATCGACGTGCAGCTGAGAGACGCCGTAGGGCCAAGTATTCAGCGTTGGCTGGAGACGGTCCCGAAGACGAAGACTTGGAGCTTGGGGAAAGAGCTGGTGATGACCTAGGTCGACCGGCAGACGATGGCCAGGAGACAGGCATTGTGCCGCGCAGCATCGAAGAAGAGCTAGATAATTGGGACGAGAATGCTCCTGATGAAGCTTGGGACGAGGACGACGATGTGACGACAAGCCAGAATACCAAAGCGACCCCTTCAACAAGCTCCGTGGCAAGCGAAGAACCACCAAAGAAGGTAGCAGTTGATTGAACGATATCCGTGACCGATGGAAGAAGCTATGAATGGGTACCAAGCATACCCGGAAATATCCAAGCATGTACGACTATTACAGATTCTAGTGACAATGAAGCGAACCGCTTAATCTTTGCACCATCATCACCACCTTTACTTTCCCTAGAGGCTGTGTTTGTTAATGCAGAGAAACCATTTCCTTCCTTGGGAACAATATCAATTTCCTTGCTGAGCTAAAGCTAGAATGCCACCTTTAGACGCCCTTGCTCTCCCTCCGTAACTTTCGTGATAGTCGACCTGACCGACTCAGCCTTCCAAACGCCTCATGTCTCTTCGAATTCCTTATACCATACAAGCATTTCCTGCCTTTGCCCGCGAAGTCCCCATACTATTCTCGAATCGCGCATGATGCTAGTGCCGTTGTGTTTCTCCAGCCATGTTTGACACCAAAGAACCCGTTTGGTCACTTGCGTCTATTCATCTGAAGCAACTGAACCGGCCAAATGAGATTCTGAAGGGGTTCCTCCTCACTCCATGGCGAGACACGTTGAAACCGCCGCCGGCGTGCTTGCCGCCAACGTTCTTGGTGTACAGAAAAGGCATGATATTATTGGCTGGCCGAGAATCAGACCGTTGGCTTCTTGAAGTTGGGCTTGTGTGGAAGTCAAAGTGATCTGTGTAGGTTTGCGCCGAGTTGAGGTAATTTGAAGCTCGAGGCAAGCAGTGTCTTGTGAAGCTGAGAGTTTGGTGGACAGGAAGTCTGTCGCAGGTGTTGATGTGCAGGTAGACGTTGCTCTAGGAGTGTTGGAGCTTATCGGAAGCGATATGGTGGTATGAAGAGTGTTAATTTGAGGGTGATAGGGAAATGGCGCTAGTCGAGGTTCACTGCCCAGCTTGAGGAAGTCACGACCTATATACCAAAGGACTGTTCTTCATCACGCTGCCAACTGCACACGCAAGTGTAACCGAGTCCTCGATGTCTCACAGCCACATACGCACCGCAGCCAAAACCTACGGGTGCAATGACGCTCGAGCAAGGCACATTCAGTGGACAGGAACAACCGCCAAGCACGGCCGGGCTGCTTGGTTCTTCTGAAAGCAGGCTTTTCGATCGCAGCCCGTAGCACGGTTAAAGTGGAATTGTATCTCGATCCTCACTCAAGGTCCAAAGCGAGATGCAATGACGTATTTACTGTGGCTGATGACTCTTGGCAGACCGCAGACGTGTGGCGTCCGCTGGGGTTGAGGAGGACATGCCCTGGAGATGCACAACATGGTAGAGCCGACATTCAGAAATTATAAAGGCTTGTCTCACTCGAAACAAGTTCATCAAGCATTCATTCATATAGAAACACCCACAGCGGGTCCGACATCTCCAGGTCGTCATCTGTCCGCCCTACTCAAACTGCGCAACACACCACCTAAATCTTTTGGCGGCGTGCCTTGTGCTTCGGGCAAAGCTCGCTTCCTGCCTTCTTTCTCCCGCTGTGAGAGCCTTTCAGCACATATCGCCAACGCTCTACTAGCCACGTTATCTGCTGCTTGACAATATTGACCGATCGTGTGAATGCCGTCTGCAAATTTGTCGATTGTCGGGCCTAACGAGTCGTACAGGCCATTGATACTTTGCGATATTCGATCGGATGAAGTTGCGCTTCTTGGAAGGCTGTCGAGTGCTGCAATGTCTGTCTCGGATAACAGTGTTTGGTCTAAGTTCTGGTCGTTTGACAGCAGTGAACTCTGGACCTGCCGTGAACTGGGTACGGCTGGTGTTCCAAGTAGATTTCCCAGCGCTTCTTTTTCTGCCCGAAGTCTGTAAATGGTCAGCTTTAACTGTAGCGGATTTGCAAGAGGACAAATTACCGCTTGATTTGTTCTTCCAGCTCCTCGATCTTCTCGATATTCTGAACATTCTTGGGATTCGGTCGCTCTGGCAAAGGCTGCTTTTGCACGGGTACATCTTCGCGGCTGAACCAATCTGATAGTTTTGACTCGTTTGCTAAATCTTTCAATAGCTCCTCTTGAATCACTCGGGCTGATGATTGTTAGCATTGGCATATGAAGGCGACGGAAGTCACTTACCAGCTGATCTTGCGCTGGAATCCTCAAAGTCCGTTCCAATGGGCTTCTCATCCAGGGCACGAGTTGCACACCAGGTCAGGAGCTGCTTCATCCTTCGGGGTTCTGGCAGGCCTTCACTTTCGATGTGCTTGTAGAAGTCTGGAATCTCCACTTCTTTATGCGGGAGAGCTGCAAAAGAGTCAAAAACAGTGCACAGATGCTGTAGAATCCATCTCACCATTAGAATTACCATTTTCAATCAGGGAGCTAGCCCTCCGTCCTCGGAATCCCAAGCTACTCCTTCTCTCGCCCTTTCCAGCCTTCCCTTCACGCATAGCCTTATTGCGCTTGATGACCGGTGTGTCGGCGAACGGTAAGGCAATCTTTGTTGCCGAATGGTCTTCGTCCAGCGTAGGTATTGTCTCCTGCTGCTCGGTGCGTATCGCTCGAGGAATATCTCCGTTGACCTGAGCCGGCTTCTCTTTCTCGGCTCCTTTGAGAACTTCGACAGGCAACACCTCCTTGGATTTATTTGGCGATGCCTTCGGATTCTTCTTGACTAGTTTTTGTTGGATATTTGACTCAGCTCCCTGGGGTCTCTCAGACTCCTCCTCTTTTGGTCTCCTCCCGTCCTTGGGTCGTGTCGTCCTAGAGGGACTGCCATCTTGCTGCTCATTATCACGAGAGAGTCGTTTCGAGCGGCGCACTGGCGGTTGTTCCTTCGAATTGGGGGTGGAAAATGATAATCTGATTTTCCTTTTCTTGGGTTGAAGTTTCGGTTCTTCCTCCTTTCGCTGCTGCGGTGCATCCTCTTTTGGTCCTGGCGCAGGCTCCTTTGGTTGTGTTCGTTCAATTTTTTCCTCTTCTGCCACGGGTTTCAGCTCGGGGTTTTTCGATTTGACGCGTTTGAACACGAAGCCGTCATCCTCTTCATCGTAGTCTAGCATCAAGTCAGCTGCATTGTCTGAGGCTCACGTTGATCCACCACGGCCGCTTTGCCTACCGATTTTCCTTTTCTTCCCGTGCCCCCCTCTTCCTGTCTGTATTTGCACGGCACCGGTCGTGCTTCCTCCTGTCTTGGCCTCTCCATTAACCTGCGCCGCTGTTGAAGAGCCGAGCGCGTCATTTCTATCGTGGAGTCGCGCACTTAGTCGTCGAGTCGGTCTCTGAGTTGTGGACATTGGTAAAGGGTGTAGCGGCTGACGCGCAACGAGCGCAGTCATCGGGACTGTTTTGCCGAAAGACGAGGGTGTCGCGCGTTTATCTTCTGCGTGGTCGCATGCACTGGTTGTTGCCTCATGTGAAGTTGGAACTCATGATAATGATGTTGAGTTAACGAATGACCAGAGGAACATGCAGGAGCCGAGATCTTGGGAGGATGGTGTACAGAATTGTAGGGGCAATGTATGCGGAGGGTTGTTACTCGCTTCGCGGCCCTGCTTCAGTGTTTACATTGACTGCGGGTTGCCAAGTCTAACCGCTTTTGGCACTCTACCATTTGTACCCCATGGTGTCAGTCATTCCATCTTTCCATCAGTTTATTCAAATGGATAGACTATGCTCATCATTCAGAGTGCGAATTTCTGTTGTATCTCAGGATGGCATCAAATGCAGGTAGCTCACGGAGTACTACCTAGGTATACCTGGAGCGCCCGCCGTTGGTGAATCCCTCATAATCTTCAGTAGGGGAAGCTATGTAAATATGCCCGGCAAAGTCCTCGACTTTGAGCTAGTAGCCTCGATAAGGCGCCTTTCTCGATACTCGGACAGATTTTTCAGGCAGAATTGTGTTTGATGGTGATTGTGCCTGAATTCGGGGGTTTGAGGGAGTGAAACCGCTGGGCAAACTCCGTAAGGGCGAGGACTGGGGAGGCTTGTGTAGGATGCTACAGGTGAGAGTGCTGGCAATCCTTGGAATCCAACCAGGAGTGCCTAGTAAAGCCACCTCGGAACCATTCAATTAGAAACCAAGATCAAAGCATAAGGTACGCGGCGAGGACGAGGGGTAAATCCTCAAGCGCCGGGTACCTCACCTGCGGGCGATCTTGCCATGCCATCATAAGTCGTTCGTCAATCGTGGATCGCTATTCGTACCTTCTTCCAACCCACCAGATCATAAGTACTCACTACATCCTACGAGTACAACCTGTTTCAGCCCCCCACCCCGTCTCCCTGCATTCCTTCTTCTTGATGCCTTCCCATATCTCGAGACCCTTCGTTTGTTTGTCTGTTGTCACAATCCTTGGTTAGACCCTTGACTCCAATGCAACCCTGAGCCTTCGTGGCTGTCCTGCGACATCCAAGGAGCGGTGGATAACAATCTGCATTGAACACCTCTACCTCACCTATCCTCTACGGATTACCCGGTTTCCTTCCTTTGCAACCATGGTACACATTTCACTTCCACGAGGTCTCAGCAGCCTGGGCAAAAACAAGGACAACCATGCGTCTGGAAACGGCAATGGGCATCACCGACCAGAACCTACGAGAGACGGCGGCAACTACAACAACACATATCCAACATCTGAGCAGAAGCCGTTGATCCTGAAAGTATATGTCATCAAGGTAAAGCTGCCACCGGCCTATCGAGTTGGCCTCTTGTTGACCAGGCCGCAGGCGAGAAATCTAGCAGCCAAAGACAAGTCGGGCACCTCGGACCCTGTAAGTGCTCTCTTGTATTACTACTTGATCTTATCTGACTAGCTCAGTATCTTGTCGTTACCCTTGGGAATGCCAGACAGTCTACGCCTTCGATCAGCAAGAACCTCAATCCGGAATGGAAGATTTGTTTCGATATGCCACTTACTGGCGTTCCACTCCTCGAATGCATATGTTGGGACAAAGATCGCTTTGGAAAAGATTACATGGGCGAGTTCGACATTGCAATCGAGGATATTTTCGCCAATGGCAAAATACAGCAAGAGCCCAAATGGTACAAGCTCAAGTCTAGAAGAGCTGTGAGCAAGAAACAAAGTACAGTCTCTGGCGAGGTCTTGATGCAATTCTCCATCGTGGATTCGGCAAATCCCTCTGCAAGTCCAGAAGAGATACAGAAGAAATTTCGAGCTTATATCGGGTCTGAGGAGGAAGACGATGAATTGTCTCGTGTCTCGACTAATGTTGAAGGGGGTGATGAGGACGCCGATGACCTTGATGATGATGATGTCGACGAATCCGTCACAGAGACAGAAACAGGTCAGAAGGGAGGCATAGCAGAGAAGAAGGAGAAGAAGAAAAGACTTGCCCGACTCCGCCGCAAATCTATTGCTGCAAGAGCCTACAACTTCCTCGGCGCCGACAACGATGTCAACGGTATTATATTCATGGAAATTGTCAAGATCAATGACCTGCCACCAGAGCGCAATATGACAAGGACTTCTTTCGACATGGATCCCTTCGTCGTTACTGCACTCGGCCGAAGGATTTTGAGGACCAAAGTGGTCCGACACAATCTCAATCCCGTATATAATGAGAAGATGGTCTTCCAGATCATGAAACATGAGACTGGATACTCTTTAACCTTCACTGTCATTGACCGGGACAAGCTGTCAGGAAACGATTTTGTGGCTTCCACCTCATTCCCGATTCAGAAAATCATCGAGTCAGGCCCCGAAGAAGATCCAGAAACTGGCCTCTATGATCTGCCTGATCCTCCAGAGTACTCACCAGCAATGGCACTAAAAGAAAATGGAAAAGGGAGGTTTCGTCTGCCACTGTCTCGCACTTCGTCGAACAGCAGTCTTTCGAAGTTGGCTCGGCCTGGTTTTAAAAGAGATGACTCGTCAGCCTCCTTGGCATCATCTTTGTCAACTGCGACCAGCAACGAAACAACGCGTCCACAAGCGCCTACCAGCATGCCCTCGGATAACAATGGCAGCACTCTGAAAGTTCCCGGAATCGTTGATGTCCCAAGTCCCCAACCGGCAGATGATCCTACCATGAAATCTTACGTTCTTCCTTTGGAACTCAGAAACAAAGAGCAATGGGAAGACAAGCACCGTCCCGAGTTACACATTCGTGGCCGATATCTGCCGTACAAGGCGTTGAGACAACAATTCTGGAGAGCCATGTTCAAGCAATACGACGCTGACGACAGTAAGCGCATCAGTAAACTTGAGTTTACTACTATGCTAGACACTCTGGGATCTACCTTGAAAGAATCGACCATTGACGGCTTCTTTGCTAGATTTGCCACAGAGAATGAAGACACTGGCGAAGCTGACCTGACTTTTGACCAAGCGGTCATGTGTCTCGAGGAACAGTTGCAGAAAGGAAGCGAAAAGAAGACTACAACAGAGAAGATCAAAGCCGTTGTAGCACCTTCAAAATCCCAAGCACCGCAAGAGGATCCCAATGTTGTAAAAGGCGAAGTGCTCCCAGGCGGCGTTCCAGCAATTGAGCAAAAGGATACCGGCGCCGCTGGTGAAGAGGGAAAGCTGCTCGATGACGACCTCGGAGATCTCGGAGACCATGAAGAACACGTAATTGAGATTCGCGAATGCCCTATTTGCCATCAGCCAAAACTCAACAAACGTACCGAAGCCGACATCATTACTCATATTGCCACCTGTGCTAGCTCTGACTGGAGGCAGGTCAACAACTTGGTGATGGGCGGTTTCGTAACACAAAGCCAAGCACAACGCAAGTGGTACTCGAAAGTCATCACCAAAATCAGCTATGGCGGGTACAAGCTTGGCGCTAACAGCGCGAACATTTTGGTCCAAGACAGAATCACCGGTCAGATCAACGAGGAACGGATGTCTGTATATGTGCGTATCGGTATCCGATTGCTGTACAAGGCTCTGGGCTCCCGAGAAATGGAGAAGAGACGAATCAAGAAGATGCTGAGATCGCTGTCGATCAAGCAGGGCAAGAAGTATGATGACCCTGCGTCGACAGCTCAAATCGAAGGCTTCATCGAGTTCCACCGTCTTGATATGTCTGAGGTGCTCTTACCCACAGATCAATTCAAGAACTTCAACGAATTCTTCTACCGGGCATTGAAACCCGAAGCTCGACCATGTAGTGCGCCAGACCGACCTGAGATTATCGTATCTCCAGCGGACTGTCGTACTGTGGTATTTAACAACATCGATGACGCCACCAAGATCTGGGTTAAGGGCAGGGATTACAGCCTCGAAAAGCTGTTCGGCGATGCTTACCCGCTCGAAGCGAAACGATACAAGGGCGGCAGCATGGGTATTTTCCGACTGGCTCCTCAAGATTATCATCGCTTTCATGTACCTGTTGACGGTACCCTTGGGACGCCCAAGGCCATCGAAGGTGAATATTACACCGTGAACCCCATGGCTATCAGATCAGCTCTGGACGTGTACGGTGAAAATGTTCGTGTGTTGGTACCTATCGACTCTGTCTGCCACGGTCGAGTCATGTTCGTTTGTATTGGTGCTATGATGGTCGGTTCAACAATCATCACGCGCAAGCCTGGCGATCGAGTCAAACGAGCTGAAGAACTTGGTTACTTCAAGTTTGGTGGCAGCACTGTTCTCCTCTTCTTCGAACCTGGGAAAATGGTCTATGACCAGGATCTCGTAGACAACAGTATGGGAGCTCTGGAAACATTGGTAAGTGAATACACGCCACAACTGTTAATGCCTTATTAATATGCCTTGTCAGGTTCGAGTGGGCATGTCAATTGGTCACTCACCACATGTCGAGTCATATAAGCCGGATATGAAGAAAGACGAGAGCAATATCACTGCAGAAGACAGAGAGGACGCCAAACGTCGGATCGAAGGGAGCTTGGCCCCAAACAATGAGAGCGCCGGGTTGCTTTCTGGAACAGCGGCAACCGTAGGTGGCGCAATGGGCTTCGAGCAAGCACACATCCAGTAATGAGCTATGATACCAGGTAGGGTATGATGATAAAAAGTGGACTTACATAGTCGGGTTAGCAAGCAAATCGAATGCAGTGCATGCGTGAGCACACAACGCCGGTGTCTGAGAAAGCGGCACTGTCTAAACTGTACTATGCAACACCAGCGCCAATGTTTCGCTGGTCTCAGAGCAAGTCGAGTGATATGCTGCCAATGTGATAGAGCAGTCGTCTCCTGTTTTGGAGACTTGGTTTCCGGATGAGCCATGGCTGTAACTGGTATCCGCATCACAGCATATTCTCTCTCGGTAAGTCGTCCTGGACAGACGTCGAGTGGTGTTGTTGAGCTCGATAACTACGATAGCCACTCTCTTTACCTGCCGCATCTGCCTTTCGACTCTCTTCCTTGTTTGTCACGTGTCTACGAACAAGGAGGGTATCCAGGACATGCAGGGGAGCCGAGGGGTCTTTGCGGTTTTCTGGCTGCCTTTGCCTCAACTCTCCAAGATTTTCTTCAGACGGCCACTCAATACTATATTTAGTGCTATCACAGCGTCTCCTGCTACTGCAGCAGCCTCCGTTGTCGCCTTATTTGCTTGTATGACGCAAATTGGTTGGTGACAAAATTGCATCCCATGCCTCCCAGAGATGCATTGCTGCAATGTAATCTAACCACCACTTACAAGAGCTTTTGTCCCCTACGACAGTAAAATCCGGCTTGACGCCCTCCATAGTACTGGACCACCCCTAAGTCCTTCCAACATGGCCAATTATGACCGAATTCAACTCCTCAACGTCGAGGTTGACCGTGAGGATGTGAGCGACCACCGTATGTTGGTCAACGGCAACTCATTCAAATATATCACCGTAGACACAGGGGTCTAAAATCCAAACGACATGACGTTTGACAAAGTGATCATTCCTCAGCTACCTCCAATACCCGAAGGAGACTGGAACCAAGGACATATCACAAAACACCCAGAGAATGGTAACCCTTATTTCTCTCAGCATGCAAAGGTTATTCTTCCGACGATCTGCAGCATATGGCATCCAAGGCAAATCGACTGGCTTGAACTTGAGCAAGCGCAGTGGCTCAGATCCAATGTCTATACTGCCAACTTCAAGACAACTGTTGGAGGAATAAGTTTGGCAGATGAGATTGTGATTAAATTTGCAAGATTTCCCTGGGAATTACAGTACTATGAGGATGAAACGAGGGTTTATGAACGCATGGAAAATGGACCGCTGGCTTCGTCAGCGAGTTGGAATGTTGGCGCTTCATAGTGCGGAGATGGGAGCGTGTTTGTCATGCGTGAGTGGGACGGAAGGTGCTCGTTCTCGACAGTCTTGAGGCGAGACGGGTGGTGGAAAGAAAGGTAAAAAGTTGCGAGCTGCTTGCCAGGAAAGTCGAAGGTATAAAAGGAGCGGCTCGCTTGGTACGGATACAGAGGAGAAGAGAGAGTATCATCAGCGAGCCAGCCAGCCAGCAGAAGTAGAAGCAGAAGCAGAAGCAGAGCAGAGCAGCACTCGAACAAAGAGCAATAGCAGCAGCAACAACGACAACACAATTCGACGTGGACTTGGATTTGGGTCTTGGGAGCAGCAAGCGATGGACCAAAACCCAAAAGCGCTCAGCACAAGTCCTACAGTAGTAGGCCTCAAGCATTCTAACAAAGCGATTTGATATCTGAGGTTTGAGAGCTTCAAACCTATTCAGTTAGTCCGCAGAGCAATGGAAAACCTACCCACCGACTTCTTCGTCACCAGCAGTGCGTACACACCCACCGCGTACCGCGACCAGTATCCGTCGATCGACCCAACAACGCCGGCACTCTCGCAGGCAGGCATAGCCGTCATCATCACGGGCGCGTCGGCGGGGATAAGGCGCACCAGGCTTCGCGCCAGCCTTTGCGAAGGCCAAGCCCAGAGCGATTGTGCTTGTGGGCCGCGATGCACGCAAGCTCCAGGCGACAGAAGACTCGCTGCGGAAGATCAGTGGCGGCGGCGTTGGCGATACTAGTACTGGTACTGTCGAGTGCGTTTCTGTGCCGACGGACGTGGCTGATCCGCGCTCCGCGGAGAAATTGTTTCAAGTGGTGAAAGACAGGTACGGACATGCGGACGTGCTGGTCAATAACGCCGGTGTGTTCTCGTCGACAGGACCGATTGCGTCTGTCGATCCGAGCGAGTGGTGGCGGGACTTTGAAGTCAACGTCAAGCGGATGTTCCTTGTCACGCGGGCGTTCTTGCGATTGTTGAAGGGGCCCACGGGCACCGGCGCGGGCACAGAGTCGCGCAAGAAGGCGTGGATCGTCACGATGGCCACGGGGATGGCGACGACCGGTGTGTTTGCCGGCATGTCGAGTTACAGTATCAGCAAGCTTGCGGCGCTGAAGGTGGGCGAGTATGTGGCGGCCGAGTATCCGAACGTGAGCATCGTCGTCTTGCAGCCGGGTGTCGTGATGACGGATATGGTGCTGGAGGGGTTCAAGAGGTTTGCCCTGGAGACGCCTGAGTTGGTCGGTGGCGTGGGCGTGTGGTTGAGTACGGAGGACGCGAGGTTTTTGAGCGGCAGGTTCGTGAGTGCAAATTGGTCGGCGGATGAGCTCAAGGCCAGGGAGAAGGACATTGTGGCGGGCGAGGGATCTGAAGGTTATACTGGCCGGGAAGTTTGGCTTGGAGCAGTTTCAATGAGAAACTGAAGGAGAGTGGGAATGGAAGGGTTGAGAGGGATGCGACGGCGACGGCGACGGCGAACGGTATGGAAGAATGGCGAGACGCGGCGGCGCAGGGCGGGCTGATTGCGAGAGGAGGACGGGGAGTTCGCAGGGACGTTACCTTTGGGCGGAACAGGTGGATCTGGACATGTGTCGAGGGGAGGGGGGAGTGGGGGCCAATAATCACACTTTATAGACCTGATATATGTTTTCTGACTGGTATACGATTTTCTTGGTGGTGCACGGGCTGTGATTCTAGAATGCCTTGTGTGGTGGTAGGTCGCAATCAAGTCAAGCAACACCGCCCTGCTAGACAATAGCCTTGCACTCCCGGGCACTCGGGGGCCTTCGCCACTCACACGTCCAGACAGTATGCAACATCCCCAAGCATGTTCTGCGCTAGTATTCGTTCACGGGTGTACAGCTCCCGGCGTTGATCCAAGACAGTCGCCAAAACTCATCATCAGACGTTAAGTGCCGAAGAACTTCGAGCTTGCCGATGATGTGGAGGAATCAGTGCAAATCCATCGTACTCGTGTGTTGGTCAGTCGCAGGCGTTGGCGGGTTTGACAAGGTTCGATGCCAAATCCAGATGAACCGCTGAGATTTCCTTCACCTCACGGCCCATCAATTCATATCGTAGATGTTTCTGCTGGTAGATACAGGAGGTGGCATTCGACCAAGACCAACGGCTCACGGCTTGCGCTGGCGTAATGCCAGAGGGATGCGGTTTGCCTGCACGATTTGTCCGGGGGACCTTCAAGGTGTATACTGTACGCTGTGCTTTACTGGCATAGCACACCGGGCTCAACACTACACCACCATCTCCGAGCTGTCTTTGAAATTCATAAAGACGGTTCCTGGCAATGACCGAGTAGACATCAGCGACTTCGCGAGGAGAAAACCGGGTAGTATGTTGTGCAGCTCTATGGTGTGAGCCGGTGTGCTTGCGTGCCCATCTTGGGTGGACATCATTCTGCTGGTCCATCATTCAAAGAACCAGGCGCCACAACCATGTCGGCGGCGGTCTGTTCTGTACGCGATGGTCCAAGCATGCGAATCCCCAGCCGTACGATGAGAAAGAAGCCTATGACCAAGGTCTGCTGTGAGATTGGCAGCCAGCCTAATCGATACTTCAGCTTTCCCCAGACATTACCACCACCATGTTTGCCCAGTGCACCTGTAAATGGATTGAGGAAGCCGTCCCAAACACCGACACTTTCGACACGGAACTCATCGCTCATGATGTGGCTTATCTCCTCCTCGGGAATGGCGTCACCAGACTGTTCTGGAAGTATTTGCGAAAAATTTAAGATCGGCAGCTGAATGGGCCGCATTACAACATGTGATCGGCCGGTGTCCTTAGTTTCAGAATCCTTGTTTGGGGCGATGTGCATCAAGGCTGGAGGCTCGAGGAGCCAGGAATGACACAGGACCGGATCGGCGTCACAGTCGACGAATGATAGCTTGTTCGAGAGCGTTTGCCCATCTTGGTGTACCTTGATAACAGCCGCGTCGAATAGCTGACATTCTGTCACGTTTAGACATGTTGTGTTTCCGCTCAGGTATACCCATCGGTCCGACGAGGGCTCATCAAGAAGTGACAGTTGAGCTTTCCAAGTCGAAGTTTTCAATGGCGTAGACCCAGGGATGATTTGGCGGGCTGGAGGGCTTACGACTTCCTGGTTCAGCCATATAGCCAACGCGAGGGCCCCCAGTGCTGAAATTAAAGCGAGGACTGATCTCATCTTGTAGCGCGCTGATGATGATGCTTGCGTGTGGTTTTGATGTAATAGCTCAACATGAAAAGAGCTCTACCCTGTGGCTGGCAATGGACTCCTTGAACTGCAATGGTGGCATCATTGAGCCCTCTCGGCGCCAAGACGACTTTCCACGTGGCCCATAACTCTCTGTCTTGTCTGTGCCTGTCCTGTCCGTCTGTTCATGACAAATGGTCCATTTGTTGCCGTCACTTACCTGTAGGCTGTAGTTCCTTCACAGGCAGGAATCACCACCCAGGTACCAAAGGCGAGGTGCTCCGTAAGGCGAGCAGAGCCAGTCGCGCAGATGCAAGGAGCACGTGTTGGTGCACGGTGCACGTACTCTTAATTTCATATTTTTTTTCTTCTGCTGTAGCATTATTATATTACGAGTCTCTCGTAGTGTCATGAAGGGATGAAACCCACCCATCATAGAAATCTAGTCACTCAAGCAGTTTGATTTGCTGCCATACAACGTGGCAGGCCACGACGCGCGAATACCAGCTCCGTGCTACCCGTACGGTTGCCATCTCGCTTTGGCCGAAACCCACCATACTACGGAGTACCATACTATAGTATCACCGGCCCCGTTGGTTCTTGGCCACATAGGCCAAGGTTAACAAGACTCGCCCAAGACCTCTTCATCTGCACAAGAGGGGCTAAGATTGACCAAGCACTCGAGATTCAAGAGAAGCATGCTCGAGCGGTTGCTTGGTTCACGATCTGTTTCGCGATCCTCAATTTTGAAAGAACGTTCACGGATTTTCTTGTCGGCGTTGGACCTGGAGTATTTTGGTCAAAGTCGATGTCGACATTGACCTTGTCGTATTCGAATCATCGTGTGCTCTTCGCGCAACACCTGTGAGCGGTAACGTGCCGTAAGCCGAGTTTCCGAAGGAATGAGGTCAAGTCCGACCTACGTTTCGCTTGGCCTTCTTGGCAAACGGAGCCAAACTTCTTGGCAGACTTGGCGGAACAGGGTCTCCTCCCGCAGTGGATGTGCATCCAGGTGATAGCGCTCACACTGTCGCGTGGACCATCGCTCTTCACCCAACGATTTAGTTCAGAGTCAGCTCGTGGTCTCTCATGCCACTACGCGAAGCTGATCGAAGGCGGAGATGAAGAGTGGTGGTGCGCAATGGCCAACAGTGCCAGGCCTGTGGTTCGTCGTCTCCCTCTCCGTCTAACACTTCAATGTGACGTTCAAACACACCCGATCCCGAATTGACGAACGCATGCGATCTGCGCTCGCTTCCCCTGGGGGTCCTGGCTTGCCACATATAGCTTGATAGCGGTCCTCTGCTTCCCACGTGGGCGGACAGAAAGTCGTTACTGGGCCGTTGTCTCTACAAGCACTCTCAAGGCTTCCAGACTTTTGCTTGATAAAATTTGAGAAATATGGATCTGAGAAGCTTGAAATGGCAAGATCGTGCATGCGAGCATGGCATGCACGAACTTGAGGAGCGAAGTCTTATAAAAATGCGCCGTCCGTTGAGATCTGGTCGATTTCAGTTGGCCATCTCACTTCAACTTTGAAAGAACATCTCAAAGGGCAACCGTCCGATATTCAGTCAGTATGGCGAAAATGCATAAGCTTGACTGGCTCTTTGCTATTGGTGTCATTTTCTTCCTGCTCTCTGTCTGGGGTATTGGAGCAAACGTATGTTGAGACCACTCTCAGTCTAATATCAAGACAGCGTCTGATCATCGAGTCTAACAGGATGTTGCCAATTCATATGCCACATCGGTGAGCTCGAAGTCCCTAACCTTGATCCAAGCCGGCGTCTTGGCTACATGCACCGAGTTCATCGGCGCAATGGCGCTTGGTCAGGGAGTGACGAGCACCATCCGTTCTGGTGTCTTCTCGATTACACCTTTTGAGAATTCTCCTGGCGTGTTGATCCTGGCGAATGTTGTCGCTGAAATTGGTACGCTTACACAACTGACCAAGCGGACAGACATCTCATTGCTGACGACGTTTCAGGCTCGGCCACATGGTTGACCGTTTGCACGCGCTTGGGATTCCCAGTCAGCACCACTCAATCCATTGTCGGTGCTTTGGTGGGAGTCGGTATTGCTTCTGATATTTCCGTCAACTGGGGTTGGAAAAAGTCCAGTGTCTCACAAATCGCTGCATCCTGGGCAATTGCACCCTGCATTGCGGCCGGCTTCGGTGCCGTCATCTTTGGTTCGATTCAACTGCTCGTTCACTCCCGCAGCGATCCCCTTAAGTGGGCCATCCGCCTGATTCCAATTTACTATGCGGTGACGGCTGGTATCTTGTCGCTATTCATTGTCATCAGTGGAGGACATGGTATTCCGACCCTGAAGGAAATGGGTGCTGGTGAAGCCACTGGCATCATCCTTGGTGTTTTCGCCGGCACGCTCGTCGTCGCAGCTGTCTTCTTTTTGCCATATTACCATGCAAAGTAAGTCGACTTGTTGATGATGTGAACAAGTACACTGACCTGAAGTAGACTCATCAAGGAGGATACGCGGCTCCGTCCCTGGCACATTCCCATGGGCCCACTCTTGTGGAACGCGAACTATACCCTGTACTTGCCTGGAAAAGCCGACCATGAAGTTGTACCGGACTACTATGCTTCCGAGCTGAAGACCAAAGATTCGGATGAAGAGAGCCACGACGTTGACCATGAGAAGACCATGGTCAAGGACGGAAATCAAGGACCGCTGGCCGATGATCCTGACAGTGGTGCTGTTCCAGCAGCCGCAGCTGCAAAGGACCCGGCAGTACGGGATCACAACAAAGACCTCCAGGCTGTTGATAAGCTTCCATGGGCACACCCCCGCCGGATCTGGGCAACCATCAAGCTCGTCACCACATACGGCATTACTCGTGATGTGATTGCTCACCAGTCGCGCGGTCTAGACCACGTTCACCGTCGCGCCGTGGTGTATGAGAACAAGGTCGAACATTTGTGGACGACTGCCCAGGTGTGCACTGCCATGCTCATGTCCATTGCGCACGGAGCCAACGATATCTCCAACGCCATTGGTCCCTTCACGACCGAGTATGAGACCTGGAGCACTGGAGTTACCTCGGCCAAGACCGATACTCCTCTCTGGATCAAGGCTGTCGGTGGTCTTGGGCTGGGTTTCGGATTCTGGACTTTTGGTTACCATATCATGCGTAACTTGGGCAACCGCATCACCAAGCATTCACCTACTCGCGGCTACTCTATGGAACTTGGAGCTGCCATTACCGTGCTCTTGGCCACTCAGTTGAGTCTGCCGGTTTCCACCACTCAGTGTATCACCGGAGCTATCATTGGTGTCGCCGTCATGAACCGTGACTTGAGAAGCATCAACTGGAGGCAACTTGGAAAGATCTTCATCGGTTGGGTTCTGACTGTGCCATGTGCTGGACTGATCAGTGGTATCATCATGGGTATGGCACTCAACGTTCCACATTGGGGTCCGAGACCGTAAATGATCAAAAAGGCAAGCATGGTCAGATGGATTTGGTCACCGGTCGAATTCTGCAGTCAATTTTGGCGAATAGCGCAGACAGCTGGAGAAAAGTAGTCATGTATTCCCGGCCAGAAAGCATAGTAATATGGAGGGAAATAAGAATGAGCATTGTTCATCAAGAAGTTTCCGGTTTCAACTGTTGTTGTTGTATCAACCAATTTTATAGCTGTGAATCTCACCAAGTCAACCCACCAAGTCAACCTACCACGGGACGACGCTTGTGGGCATTTGTTATGGAGGTCGTCGCCTCGAGTCAACGTTTGTCCGCCATGCCCTTGGCCTTCTACACATAGGAAATGCTCGTGTGCGTTGTGGTCAGAAAGCAGATAATCTACCGCGTAAACCGTAGTCTGCCTTGCCATCCTTTCCCACTTAACCCGAGGTGGAGCTGAGCAATTGTGGCAGTGCTGAAATTGGAAGCGCCCACAGGCGAATCGTGGATGGGGGACGGATTGGGAGAAGAAAGGGAGGCGGCGTCGAATCAAGAGACCTCAAAGCCCCCGGACTCTGGGCCTTGTTTGAGCTTGTTTTGAGCTTGTTTGAGGAGTCCAAGTATCCCCTGCTCGACGAGTCCTGGCAGCCACATGTTCAGCTTATACTATGGTAGTCTCGGAGGCTAGAGTCGATAGAAAGAACAGAATCCAAAACCAAGAGAATATCCCAATCGTCGTCACAATGGTGGTTCCAGGAAGAGATAAGCGAGAGACATGATGAACAAAGGAAGAGGTCAGAATAATACTGGTACCGTAGCGCCTGGATGCCAAGTGGAGAGAAGCTGGAAAGGATCCAACATGTTTAATTTTGTAACACCATCAAATCAATCATCCTGCGTTCCTCTTTTTCCCCCTGCAACTCCCCTTTCCCCGATTCCCTTACGGAGTACCATCTCTCCTTAACTGCATCTCTTCGTGTTTCGTGGGCCGCGTAGCCTGACCTTCCCGTACTCTTACCACAGAAAATGCAACAGAAGCCTGGTTGCGGGGACGTTCCATCTTTCTCCTTGGGAATTGCTTGACAAGTCTTCTTTCTCGCCTTACCATTGCTTATTTCTCTCGCCTTTGTGAACTCCCCTCGATCTCTCTTCTTGTCCTTGGTCGTTGCCGTTATTCTGCTTTGCTGTTTCATGTCACACTTTGCCGCCCTGTCCTACGATACTCTCTTTTGGATTTCTCAGTTCAATCCTCGTCGACTGAACACCAGTGTCTGGCGCCTTTACCTTCATTCTCCGCGAACTTGTACGACGTACCAGATTCTCGAGGCCGACAGGCGCGATCCCCCGAACCTGTCCTGCGCACATTCTTTCACGATGCGCCTTTTCCCTCTTCTCTGCACGGCGCCGCTCGCCGCGGCAATTACCCTCGATACGACCTCAGTTTCCTCCATCGAGTCAGCTACCTCAGAAATAGCCTACGACATGATGACGATATATACGGGAAATCAAACAGGTGAAGTACCTGGCCTCCTCCCGGGCTCTTTGAATTGCAACCCCAATGTTCTGGGAACATACTGTTGGTGGGAGGCAGGTGCCATGTGGGGTTCACTGATCAACTACTGGCAATATACAAATGATACGACATATAACAATGTGACCACGGAGGCACTTCAATTTCAGCGAGGTCCTGACAACAACTACAATCCTCCCAATCAATCCAGAAGTATGGGAGTGGACGACCAGCTTTTTTGGGCGTTTTCTGCCTTGGACGCTGTCGAAGCGAATTTTCCCGAAGCCGGTGGCGACAATCCGTCCTGGCTGTCTCTTGCTCAGGCCGTCTTCAACTTCCAGAGCACACTCTGGGACACTGGTACATGCGGCGGCGGTTTCAGGTGGCAGGTGTTCTCGTTCAACGCAGGCTACAATCTGAAGAACTCGATTTCCAACGGTGGAAACTTCCAACTTGCGTCTCGTCTTGCCTATATCACTGGAAACCAAAGTTATGCCGACTGGGCGAACATGGTCTGGGACTGGATGGAGACCAGCCCCTTACTCCAGATGGACAACACGACTGGAACCTTTTACATCTGGGACAACACGGATACAGACAATAACTGCAGCAGCGTTCAAAACTTTGTCTGGAGCTACAACTACGGCACGATGCTGTCTGGTGCAGCATACATGTACAACTATACAAACGGCAGCGACCTTTGGCTTGGCCGTGTTGAGATGATTTTGAACAGCACCTATTCCCTCTTCTTCCCACAAGACTTTGGCGGCAATATCATGTATGAGGTCGAATGCGAGAAATCCATGAATTGTGACGAAGATCAGAAGAGTTTCAAGGCCTACCTTGCCAGATGGATGGCGGTGACAAGTCTGCTCGTCCCCAGCACAGCTGACTCCATCAAGCCCAAGCTAGTCGCCAGCGCCGCTGGTGCTGCCGGTCAATGCGACGGGGGCAGTGACGGTCGGGAATGCGGTTTGCAGTGGTACACGACAACGTGGGATGGATCGACCGGTGTAGGTCAACAGGTGAGTGCACCTCGGATCATGGCCCGTGGACATTGCTGACATGGGAACAGATGGCTGCCTTATCTGTTATGGGTGCCAATCTTATTGATCAAAGCATGGTACCGCTCTCTTTGAGGACCGGAGCTACGTCCGAAAGCAACCCCGATGCGGGTTCACAGGCTCCCAGTGATCCAGCTGCTACTCAGAAACCTATCACGACAGCTGACAAAGCTGGTGCCGGTATACTAACTCTCTTTGTGGCTGCCGGTGCCATTGGCGGCAGTGCTTGGCTGATACGGTGAAGTCTTAACTAAGGCTTACCAACAGGGAGGGGTGTCGATGTTGTGTATGTTCTGTGAATCTTTGCCGATGCTTGTCCAATATTTACGAAGTTGTATGAGTCGAAACCTATATATACCTTGTCTTTTGGGGTTGGGAAGGCGTCTAGACCTGTGCAACATGAATGTTGGGCTATTCAGATAGAACACTGGGCGTGAAACAGGGTTGGAAAGGTATGCTAGCATTTGGGTCCGGCTAGTCTTTGGCCATTTGTTGGTTCGACATGGCCTGTTGCAGGCCTCATGAGAGGGGAAATTCGGCGGGATTCTCGAGTCAGCGAGCTGGGAGCTGGGAGCTGAGAGCTCAGACGGTTGTCTCATACCTCTCGGATTCGGAAGAGGCTTGTGATTGCCCCTGTGCAGGTCACAACAATCAAGGAGCAAGTTGCAACTTCCCAGCGTTCTGGGAAAAGTTATGATCAAGATATGCGGTTGCTGTGATACCCCACATGCCTGTGGTGGGTAACAGCGCGCACGCACATCAGGGAAATAGAAATGAAATAAGAGACCTCAAAGGGCTCCAGCGAGTCACGAACAATTCTGAATATATCGTTCGATCGTTCGGTTGTCCTTCTTTGTCATACTTGGTACAAGTAAGAGACCCTCCCTTGTCCTGCCCGGCTGGACCAAACCACACCTTGGTTGGAAAGCGGTGCCACAGAACAATCAAACCACCGACCTGCTTCGTGTCTGAGACCACCTAGGTAGTGTTGGGTGCTATCCATTTCCAATGAAGCGTGGCATTGTGTTTATGCCTGCCAAGTGGCAGCATTACCTTGCATTGCTGATTAAACGCCCAGTTTATGCAATAACACACCCACCTGGTAAGTAGGGCATCTCCTCCCTCTACCCCTGGAGTGCCCACCTATCATGCCACGCAGCCTCGGGCCTTGGTCCGAAGATTCGTCCGCTTTTGGACTTGGTGTATGCCCATCTGGCGTACGGAGTCCTCAAGTCTATGCCTAGGTAGGTAGTATAATAGTATAAAAGTATGTATAAATCCCAGCCCAGGCCCAGAAGACCATGTTTATCAGGTACTCCGTACTTAAGTAAGGTATTATTCCGCTATATCCCGTAAGACCAACTCCGTAAAAGAGTTCTGGATAGCGCCTGTGCCCTGGCTTGACGACCTGTCCACCGCCGCCCACAAACAAGCAAGCAAACATGAGCAAAATCTTCACCGTCTTTGGCGTTACAGGCCAACAAGGAGGCGCCTTGATCCGGTATCTACTAGACCATCCCGTCTTCTCGAAAGAGTACCGATTTCGTGGGGTCACGAGAAATGCGTCGAAGCCTGCTGGGGTCGCGCTTCGGGAGAGAGGTGTTGAAATCGTCGAGGTACCGATATGTCCCTATACTGAGAACTCGGGGAACGGGGAAAGAAAGAGCAAAAGAGAGAAGAGACGGCGAGGCATCCGATATCTGACACGTATGTAGGCGGACATGAACGACTCCGACACGCTTGTGTCGGCGATGAGAGATGCACATACCGTCTTCGCGATGACGACCTGTACGTCTACGTCTCAGATCTTTTTGCACTTCCAGTCTCCCACTTTGACTTTCACTTTCCTACGTGGTTTCCTCATCCCTACTAGTTGATTGGGGGGTCTTGGGAGGGGCCCAGGGGGGGTACTCGACCGACTTCAAAAAGCGCGGAATGGCTAACGAGGACAACGGTAGGGCTCGAAACCTTCCAGCCGGCCGAAGAAGTCGTGCAGGGTAAAGCGCTCGCCGACGCCGCGGTCGCGGCCAAGGTGAAATTGTACATTTGGTCGTCGCTGCCGCGCACGGGGGTCGCGCATTTCAACAGCAAGGCCGATGTCGAGGATTATATCCGCACGTTGCCTCTGATGGCCGCCTTCTTCATGCCAGGTTGGTTCATGCAGAATTTTTTCGGTGTTATGGCGCCGAAACGAAGGGTGCAAAAAACAAAACAAGAACAACAAGAACACCCATCGGGCCGCGATGAGATGGAAGAAGAAGAAAAGGAAGAAGAGGAGTATGTCGTCTCTCAGCCGTGGCCGGGCGCGGGATTGGATAGCCTCGTGCCGCTGATAGATATCGAGGACACGGGGAAATATGTCGCGCCGTTCTTGGTGGACCCCAATAAGTATGCTGGGTCGCGGTTCTGGGCGTGCACGCGGTTTTATAGCGTCGAGGAGATTTGTCGCGTGTGGACTGACGTGACGGGGAAGAAGGTCGTTTTCGATGAGCGTGTTGACTGGATCAGTGGAGGTGGTACTGCTACTGTCATGAAAGACGCACTGGAGAAGAGTCTGGGCAAGACGGGTAAGGCGAATGGGTATTTTGGCGTTGAGGGGGAGGAAGGGGTGAAGTGGACGCTTGAGCAGGTTGGGGAGAAGTTGACGACGTGGGAGGAGTTTGTGAAGAGGAGTGAACCGTGGTTTGTGTAAGTTAGTGGTGCTGTTGAGGTGGTGAGTATCCATATTTTAGGACACGTCAACATCTAATAAGTTAGCTCAGCACCAATACTCCGTAACACGTACTGTGATGAATCCCGCGACCTCAAAATTATCCCTGCCAGGTGCCTGTCTAGAGAGGCTTGTTTCAATACGCTGTCAAACCGCACACGGAAATGCCGTCTACTTACGAGAAAGAGGCCCGAATCGCTTTACTTGCGGTACAACGAGCGGCAATCCTCACCAAGACCGTCCTGGCAGCTGTTGACAAGGGAGCTCATTCCAAAGAGGACAGCAGTCCAGTCACGATTGCTGATTTCGGCGCTCAAGCTCTTCTCATCAGTGCGATACACCATAACTTCCCTGACGATGGCTTCATCGGCGAGGAATCAGCCGACGCCCTCAGAGACGACCAAGAACTCTGCGACAGAGTATGGGACCTGGTCAGATCGACGCATCTGGAGGGAGGCACGGACGGCGAACAGTTGCTGGGCAAATTGCAGTCGAAGGGAGACATGCTGGGCGCGATTGATCGTGGATGCGGCGCAGGAGTACAGACAGGAGGACGCGTTTGGATGCTTGACCCGATCGATGGCACCAAGGCCTTCATGGAAGGAAGCCAGTACGCGGTTGCTCTGGCGCTCATAGAGAAAGAGCAACAGCGCGTCGGAGTCCTGGGCTGTCCGAATCTGAAGCTCGAGCAGGGAGGAGGAGGAGGAGGAGGAGGAGGAGGAGGAGGAGGAGGAGGAGGAGGAGGAGGAGGAGGAGGAGGAGGAGGAGGAGGAGGAGAAGTGAGCGATTCTAGGGCAGTCAAAGACGGCTTGGGGGTCATGCTTTCCGCCGTCCGCGGCCAAGGTGCGTACATGAGGATCCTGTCGAGAGGTCAACTGTCGGCTGCACGCAAGATTGAAAAGCCGCGACGGACTGGAGGAGCGATTCGTTTTGTTGAGTCTACACAAAGCCGATCCGGTGACCTCGAACGGCATCGGATGGTCGCTGCTCAGCTTGGGTCAAGCTGGCCTGGGACAGAAGTCTTCGCTCTGCAGATGCGCTACGTAGCGATCGCCGCCGGTCACTGCGACGTGATGATCCGAATCCCGCGGGACAGGGGCTATCGTGAGCCCGTCTGGGACCACGCTGGCGGCGCCTTGATCTTGGAAGAATCGGGTGGTAGAGTTACCGACCTTGATGGGAACCCGATCGACTTCGGTGCCGGGAGACGACTGCACAAGAACCACGGATTGATTGCAGCGCTTAACGACGTCCACGCACAAGTACTGGAAGCGGTACAACACGTGTTGAGACAAGGTCATCAGTGACTCCGCCCAAGCCATTCCCATGTTGAAAAGATCTATGAGCTATCCCAGTCCGGACTTCTGAAAGAAACACCTAAGTCCAGACTTGCCCTCCTCAGTAGCCGGTCCTTTTGAGATACAAGCCAACTATTTTCATTTAGCCAACCCCGAACAACACACTCACACGTGTCCGCTTGGCTGGTTTTCTGTTGTTTGCGTCTTCAAGACCAGCCATTGCAGTTATCGAGCCAGACGTCGGTGCTGCACTCGACGAAGTTTGCGATGGCGCGCTTGGCTTCCTTCTCGACAGGAGCCGCTGCCACGTCTCTCTTGACCACAGGCTCGGGAGCCGAGGCGGCTTCCCTCTTGACAACGGGCTCGGGAGCAGATTCGACCTCTCGCTTGACCACAGGTTCTGGAGCAGTCCATCCATTGCAGTCGTCGAGCCAAACGTCGGTACGGCACTCGATGAATCGTCTCTCGATCTTGACCTCCTCCCTCTTCACCTTCAGTTCCTTCGATCTGAAGCCTGGCTCGGTGAGTCCTCCGTCAGGATTGGTAAGAGCGCCACCGAAGCCCAAAAGAGTGTTCCATGTGTCGGCGGTGGACTTGTTGCGAGTTCCCAGAGCTCGGACCTTGGCTTGCGCGTCACGGCACAGTTGCTTGGCTGCCTCGTTCGCTCCACAAGCTGTGGTGAGTTGGTCGCAGATTCTATTGGTAATAATGTCTGATCCATTGTCAGTGGCATTGCGGGCATTTGCGTAGGGGAATGAACCTACTTGGGTTCAAGGCCTCCTGCTGGCCTCGAGCACAGAGCGGGTCGGTGGGAAGGAAAGTGAAATCGGCTGTGGATCGTCCGCCGAGAGCACCTTCATATTTCATGGTTGGGATGCAGAGACCGAAATCAGCATCGTCCTTAAACGCCTTTTCTGCCAATCTTCCGCCAAGTGCAGCACCCGAGACTGAGCTCGCTGCGAAGATCAGAGTTACTGCTGCTGTTTCGAACTTCATTTTGAGGAATTTCGACAGAAATGAATGTGATGCTGGAAGGATATAGAAACGAAAGACCGTCTTGCAGAGAGGTTTTTAAGAAGGCCGACCAGCGGGAATGAAGATCGAAAACAAAAGCAACGACAAAGGAATGAGTATGGTGGATGTGAAGAGACTGGAATTGATATTAGTAGGTCTTGGAACTTTCTTATAATATTATCGCAAGATTGGGCGGATGGTGGACGTGCCGAGAAGCTGTTTCGAAGGTGAAGCGTGGATTGTCAGATCTCTCGTTTCACGTGGGCAGCCAGGGGCTTCTCCAAGACTCGAGGCGTCTCTGCCGTCCGGGTCCTCAGACACTGCAAACAGATTACTAGCATCAAGATCACGGTTGATTCAAGAATGGCGGGTCTTTGCCTTACGCAGTCTGCTAAATTCCAGGATTTGCAAATGTTGAGCCGAAAGTTGATGCCCGGGGTAGGATCTTCTTCCGCTGTTCCAAAGGCGCGCGAACTGAGACACAGGAGCAATTTTGTTCGGCCGAGGTAACTTGACCGTCATCGGAATGTGAAGCCGTCACATCTTGAGGCAGTCTCTTACGATAATCAGCTTCCGAACGCGTGTCGTGGAATTCGGACTGGTTGCTCGCATGAGATACAGTGGTGGCCTTGACACGGCATCATTCTGCCCAGTGTCGGTCGACGTCAGAGACGGGCCAAGATGACAGTTCTGCGGGGGAAGATCAGTGCGACCCTGAGACTTTAAGCGCCACTGCATCTGTCATGATCCTTGAGTTGATTTTCTTCAGGTTGAGTCAAGCGAAAAGTGTGAAGCAAGAAGCTGAAGCGAAAGATGTGGCATCCAGTCCAGGAAGGGCTAGCTCCAATCTGGAGGTATTTGTATCACGTGATCTATCCAAAAGGCAGCGCCATTGCTGACGTAATCACGATTTTCATCTGAAGCAGGGATTTTGAGCCGTCAATTTGGCCTGACCACGGATTGAATGTACAAAACCTCTGATACACTAGGTATGTACAGCAGAATGATGCAGTTCTGGTCAATTGCTGGAAAGTGGCTACTGAAAGCCAACTTCCGACTGTCACCTCACTTCGGCTGTCATCCTCCGGCTTCTCTGTCAATAGGATCATTTGCCCACTAACATCATGGTCAATTCCGTGGCAGCTCTCGTGGTTCGGACTCGAGACTCACCTCCAGCCGCATATACAGTGGCTGCCCCATCTACAGGCATGCATATACCACTGACGAAGGCTGCATCATCAGAGCAAAGATAAACAGCTGCATTAGCAACATATCCTAGTGAAGTGTTGTGTTTCAGAGCTTCTCCTCGAGGAAATGATGCCTCAAATTTTGCACGATTCTCTGGTGTATCATCGACGCCCATGAAGGCTTGCGCTCTGCGAATTCGGTCAGTGTGGCAAAAGCTGGTGGCGCATCTTGCTTACAAGTCGGTGTACGCAAGTATCGGACAAATGGCGTTGACTCGAATTCCAGAATGGCCATATTCGGACGCAAGGCCTTCGGTGATCTGTCCACAATCAGCAACGTTAACTCGCTCACGTGTAGTCATGGATACCTTGTTGACGAAAGCCTTTGTCCCACCATACCACACCTGACAGCCCTAATCAGCAGTTACATGACAAAAGGAAGTGCTGCGATTACCAGTCCGTTCTTCACTCGAATTCCGCCCACAGAGCTGATGTTCAGGATCATTCCAGCCTTCTGCTCCATAAAGTATGGGACAACCACGGCCACGCTGAGGAAGATCGATTTCATGTTGACGTTGATGACTTTGTCAAACTCTGCCTCCGTCACTGTATGTGATGCCTTCTTGGGATAAGTCGTCCCCGCGTTGTTCACCACAACGTCGACTCTACCAAACTCCTTCAACGTGGCCTCGAGCAACTTCTCCCACGAGGCCTGGCTGGTGACATTTGTCTCCTGGAAAAGCGCTGTTTTCTGGCCGTGGGCTGCATTGATCTCGCTCTCGACTTTGGAGCCGGTTTTGGGGTTGATATCTGCAATTACAACGCGGGCTCCTTCTTCGGCGAAACGTTTCGCCATTGCCTCACCAAATCCATGCCCGCCGCCAGTCACAACGCACACCTTGTTCTTCAATTTTGCTGACATTTCGGTGACTATTCACGTCGAGGATGTCGACTCAAAAGTTGAGAAGTTGGCCTTTTGTGATTGGGGTCTACTGAGGTTGTGCTGATCGTGGGTACAATCCGGTATCAGATGTTGGATCAGATCCCCGTCACGAGCACGTACCTGCCATCTCCAACCCAGCTTCCCCAAATCTGCTGGGAATCGAATTCCACGGTAAGTCAAGGATGATGATAGCTCCCCAGCATGGCAAGTTTCCGTGTACGTGCCTTTCAAGACTGAGGGGTACACGTGTACTTTGGATACTACTCGTAGTGTCCTTGCCCGAGGCTGATGGCCAGTATCATGCGGAGAACTGTTGGGTGCAACCTATGATTGGCCCGTCCGACAAGGCCAACAAAAGTTGGGGGTGGTGGCACTCTTGGGCGGATGTGGACGGAGTATTACCGACGCAACATTGAAAGCATCTGTTTCAGGACTATTTTACGTGTCGCTCAACACACTATCTTCTCTTTTCATGAGCTCAGGACAACATGGAAATCGGCTGCCGCTTTGGGGAAATTGGAGTGGCCGGGGCCCCGATACGTCTCCTTCGTCGCTCGCCAGAGCCGAAAATCCTTCCAGAAACGGAGCATCGTGGAGCATCCCCACCCCTTGGAATGCTATAAAGGCTCTTATGGAAGGGCAATCTTTGACACCATGGGTCTGGCAGCTTCTACACCGACATAGATTTCCTTGCAGTTCGACATAGACTTTTTCCTATCCTTACACAACCGCCCGTTTGGCTTCGCTGCCGACAATGGCCGGAGGAACAAGACACAATTTTCTCATCGTCTTCTTTGTCGCTCTTGGAAGCTTCTCTTATGGCTTTAACTCGGCGTGAGTGGACTCATCGGTTTGCCTATAGCATTGTGCTGACTCTCTTCAGAATCATGGGCCTCGTCATCGGCCTGCCTGCATTCTTCCAATACTTTAACATCAACTTAGATGACACGCAGGGCAACTAGATTACAGGAGGTGGGGAGGTTCGCTGGTGCTTCAAGTCATGCTTGTTGACTCGGCCTAGCTACCAATGGATTATATTCTGGAGGAGGTATCTTAGGCTGTATCTTTGTGCCATGGCTTCTGGATCGCTTAGGCCGACGTCGGACCATCCAGATAGCGGCGGCGTTGGCTATCATCTCGGCAGCATTGCAGGGCGGCAGTGTCCATATTGTACGCAGTCAGCCTTGTGTGTATCCGAATCCACGTTGACACTACTGGCAGGCCATGTTCTTAATTTCTCGCTTTCTCAACGGCTTTGCTGTGGGTATGCTGGACACTTCTATTCCCGTCTTTCAATCCGAGATCTCGCCTGCACACCAGCGAGGACGCATGGTCGGTGCTCATGGTGTACTTATCGTGATCGGGTACTCTGCAGCCGGCTTCGCTGGGTTCGGCACATATTTTGCTGCTCCCACCGTAAGCTGGCGACTTTGCCTCAGTCTGCAGATCGTGGCTCCACTTCTTCTCTTCGTTGGGTCTCCATGGTACGTAGACCCTTTCATCCTTCCGGCTTCTGGTATATTACTATAGACTAACGGATAAACAAACAGGCTTCCTGAAAGTCCAAGATGGTTGATTGACAAGGACCGCCATGAAGCCGGCTACCAGGTCCTTCGAAAGCTGCACACGCGTCCTGACGACCCAGATGAGATCGTTGCTCGAGAGGAATACCTCCAGATCCGAAGACAAATCGAGCTTGAACGCGCAGACAAACTGAGCAAGGGTTGGGGAGCGCTTTTCAAGAAGCCTAGCATGCGCAAGAGGTTGATTCTCGGCTTCGGGACACAGTTCATTGCCCAAAGCACTGGTGAGCAAGCACATCTCTGCGCTGTGTCAGACTGCTCATTCTGTCCCAGGTGTCCTCGTTGTCAACAACTACCAGATCCTGCTCTACAAGTCGCTTGGCATCACCGGTTCACTGCCCCTGCTATTGAACGCTTTATACAACGCCCTGGCTGCGTTCATGAACTTCATCAACTCATTGTTCCTGGATCGCCTTGGCCGCATCCGAATCATGCTTATTGGGCTCGTAAGTCTTGGCATACCAACACGACTCCATACTCTACCATTTTTCGCATTGCTAATTGACGGCTCCAGACTGGCTGCGCTTGTTCCCTGATCTGCTTCACTGCAATGGTGGCTACTTATGGGGGAACAACAAACCGCATAGGCAATGGCTTTGGAGTCTTCTTCCTCTTCCTATTCGTGCTGTTCTACGGCGGAACCATGGATGCCACCTCATATGTATATTGCTCTGAGATATTTCCGACGCCGCTCCGGGCTCAAGGCACAGGTTTCTCGGTCGCTGGCCTGTTCAGTGCCACTCTGATCTACACGCAGACCGCCCCCGTGGCCTTTGCCCAAGTCGGCTGGAAATTCTACATCATGTTCATCATTCTGCCTCTCCTCGGAGCGGGTCTGATGTGGAAGTTCTTCCCCGAGACAAAACTTCTGACGCTCGAGGAGATCTCGAGACTCTTTGGAGACGAGGTGGCTCTCGACATCAATCAGCTCAGCACAGAAGAGAAGCTTGCTCTGGACCGGGAAGTCGCTAAGGGTGGCGAGGGAGTCGCCTCAGTGACTCGCGTCAAGACCGGAGGTGGTACAGCTGAAGATCAGATCGAGATTGTCTAAGGCGCCGCAAAAGAATGCTTTGCTGAGCGGTCACGGCGGGCCATGCTTTGTCGTGACGTGACAGTCCCTGACACTCCAAGCATGCGAGGACTCGGCCCCAGAGCAATGGCATAGAGTCCTTGAAACCATGGTGGACAGCCTGATATAGATCCCATTGAGCTCGGCTTAGTCGCAGTCCTGCAAGATGAGTTTATTGCCTTTACTTGGATGATTGCCATGGCGATATTCAACTTAATGCCTCCAGGGACAAAATTACGAAATATCCAGTGATCTAATGTGCGAACTATATATCCCACGCCGTGGAGATGAACTAGCCCATCGCCATGGGAGCTTCGTCTGGTGTATGACTCGGAAGCCTCTTCATGGGAATGGCCAGGGAGCACAAAAACGCGACACCAGAGAAAGCAACTGCGACCGCGAAGGCGGCCTTGAGACCGACCATGTACGCCTGAAGGACTCCAGGAAGCACGTCTGGCGAGAACACAGTGTGTAGTTCCGAGGCGCCTGTCAGAAGCACCTTGCCTGGATCCACTCCTGGGGCCGTCTTGGGCAGAGTGGCAAGCAGTCTGTTGACGAAGGCCGACTGTCCAGCCGAAGTGCTGAATGCGCCTCCAACTGTCTGGAAAACTGTACAACGTTGGCGGTGCCAAGTTAGCTTGCTTCTGAGCCGATTTTTGCCGGAGCGTGGAGGCAAAGGAGGGGTGGGAGAACGTACACAAAAGGTTGGCCGTGACGGCTGCAAGGTCTTCGGGACCTACGTTGGCTTGGGCGATACTCAAGCCATGCATGATGGCAAAGGCCATGGTGGCTCCGACGAAGAATTGATAGCCAACCCACTTCGCGGTCGAGGTGCCAATGTCGAGAGTGTAGATCAGGCCGATGGCAACGGTGGCCAGCATCGAGCCGATAAACATGACCTGTTGCGCGCGACCGGTCTTCATGACGACCGCGCCGCCGGCGAGGGCGAACACGGCCGCCGCAAGCACGAGAGGAAGGTTGTTGACGCCGGATTTGATGGGGCTCGCGCCCAGGATGCTCTGAAAGTAGATGGGCAGGTAGTACAGGAGGACAATGTAGCTCCCCATGAAGAAGAACTGGTAAGGGGCCGTGGTCGAGAGCGAGCGCTGCTTGTAGAGTCTCGGCAGCATCATGGCGTAATCGCCCAGCCAGATCTCCCATGCCACCAGGGTGATGGCGATGAGTCCGAAGCCGATGAGAAGACCGATGACAACGCTGCTGTCCCAGGGATGGGCGTTTCCTCCATACTGAAGGGCCAGGATAAAACAGACGATGCCTCCCATGGCCAGCGCGATACCAACTGGATCCACATGCAACAGCTTCTTTGTCCAAGACACCCTGGGAGGCGCCGAAGCAGCCGGGAGGCGGAAAAAGAAGAAGACCGCCACCGCGGCGACCCCCCCAATCGGCAGGTTGACGTAAAAACACCATCGCCAACTGACATGGTCGGTGAATGCGCCACCAAGAAGCGGTCCAAGAACGGCAGCAAGGGCATATGTCATCCCAATGACACCCATCATCATCGGTCGCTTTGCTGGTGGGACCGTGAAGGAGACGATACTGGTGCCACCCACCGACAGGCCGGCGCCGCCCAACCCAGCAATAGCCCGTCCAACGACCAAGGTCTTGGAGTTGGGCGCGATTCCACAGATCAAACTCCCGACCTCGAAGATGAGCATAGATATTAGAAAGCTCCACTTGAGGTTGTAATACTTGTATATCTTGCCCGCAGAGGTCTGGGCGGCGCCGAAAGCCATGAAGTATGCCGCTGCATACCAAGACACGTCGTCGAGGCCGTGGAACTCGTCCGTGATCTTGGGGATTGCTGTACCGACGATGGTCTAGACGCGTTTAGTGGTCAGAGGTGGGTCATTGTTACGATGTCTGCATAAATGGGTAGAAGTGCTCACCTGGTCCAAAGAAATCAGAAAAACAGCGCTGATAGACGCTCCTGCAAGGAGTACCAGTTCCAAGCCGTGCGGATACAGGTCGTCGGTCATGTCCTGAGTAGGCCTTTCCGGGTGTACGCTGCGGGTGTCGCTAACGTTGTCCATATCGGGGGTGTTCAAGGTCGAAGGCTTGGACGAATCCGTCTCTCCAGCAGCCATGACCGTCTTCTCGTTTGGCACAACCATGATTTCCAAGGCTGGTGATGATGAAAGTGAAGTGTACTCGTCCAGGAGGTTCGACTGGGGTTCCTCAATGAAAAGAAGACGCTTGCTGGGCTGGCTGGAATGAGAATCAACACGGGCAGGAGAGCAGCTTTAAGTTGTCCGTCCTTCAGATCCATCGCAGGCACGGAGACGGTGCAAATTACCATCCGCATCATTCGAGTTATTGGCCCTTGAGCCATACTGCTTAACATACTATTTTGGCCGGGAAGAATTCTGCACCTTTACGGAGTATCCGCCGTGCCATTCTACCATATTATGCAGTGACTATGGTACTGGCATGCGTAGTAGTGGTAGAGATAATTGCCCCTAGTAATGCAGGGAGCTTTCTCCTACATTTTGATTGGCGGTTGGGGTCAGGCACCATTGGAATGATGGGCCCTCCTTGTCCTTGGGAATCTCCTCAACTTATATCAGTCTGCCTGATTCTCTTCTTCCATCTCATCAAGGAGTAACAGCCAAAGAAAAAGTTCCATGCAGTCACTTCATGAGGCTCCGTCATGCCCATCACGATGACATTCCCATTATTGGTCCCTCGGCCTCGCTGGCCCGTCGCACCCGCCATGCCAGCGCCCCAGCTCCTGCCGACACACGACGAGTGGGCGGCTATGTATTATGAGATTGAGCGACTGTACGTCCGCGAACGTCGGAAACTGAGGTATATCATGCAATACATGGAGAGGGAGCATGGCTTCAAAGCGACGTAAGTCTAAACCCCATTCTCGCTCCCTGTATCAAGCCCCTCGGAGTCTTGGCCTCACGAAGAAGTGCCCCGTGGAAGATATACTGACTTGAATGTCGTTATATATTTAGCGGGCAGATGTACAAGAAACGCTTCGCCAAATGGGGTCTCCAGAAGAACTCCAGGCGTTCGGCTGCAGTTGTCCCAACTTTGACGACGAAGGATGAATGCAGGAAAGTCGCGAGCAGAAAGTCTGGCCGACCCCGAGAGCTGGGCTTGGTGCCAGCAATCCCCGGACTCAGCCAGCACGACGGTCTAATGCTCATGTTTTTAACCAGTGTGCAGATATGCAGCGTTGCATTCTTTGAGTCTGTCCAATCCCGTGGCGGGTTCCTCGCTTCTCTTCAGCAGCGTACCCCAACAGACGAGCAGTTGCCTGAGCAAACCGAAAAGATAAACTTCACGTTCAAGCTAGCGACAGACCTGCTAGATCGAGGCCATGGCAAGTTGGCGGGCAGGATGGTCCGGAAGGCGTTTCTGCTGGTTGAGGACATGTTGATGCTCGAGGGACCCGTGCTGATGTGGAACCTGCTCGAGATAATGCACCACATGGTAAGGCTGCGTCATACGCAGCTCTTCCAGATGCTGCTAGCTCATCTTCTTGCACTGATTGAAGGCCGGATACCAAAGTCTCATCCGATCCCTACCATGCTGTACGGTTTGCGAGGACTTGTTATGAGTCTAACAAGGGCGGTCTCCGCCTCCGGTAGCTCTTTGCCAGCACCCTCCTCCTCGTTGCCGTGTCTCTCGGTCGACAGTGGCGGAACAACGATCACCGCCGGCCCCTTACTTGTCTCTCGCGCCCTTTCGTCCCTACTAGAGCGGGCATGGACCCTCAACGCAGAGATCCTCTTCAATCACCTTAACCCTCGCCTGCTCCCGCTCTACTGCCGCCTTCATTTGGACGGATGCTCGATTGCGCCCCCTGCAGCTATCATCAGCACAGCGAACCAGTGGTTCAGCGACATCGAGGCGCAGCAGATCTCCCGCGCCGACGCGGAGGCCCATCATACCGAGGGCCTCCTTGAGATCACTTCTGTCGAGCAGGACATGACACTCCAGCGGCTGCTCGTCCCACGGATGGATGCCTCGCCGCCGCGGGACTACGAGATGCTCCGCGCGAGCAGCGTCGCGGCGCTCTGGAAACACGGAAACTCTGTCCTCGCCAAGGGGTCCGCTTTCCACGGTGACACCACCATATTACTACGCATCCTGGCGGGGCTGGTAACAGACACAATTCTTGAAGAATGGCCTACAGCTAGTAGTGTGACGACAAAGGTGTCACGAGTTCAGGCGGGAAAGGTCGCGTGTGCGATCAGGACGTTAATGGACCTCAGTCCCGAGGACAGTGGCGATGGGTTGGTGCCACTCTCGGACGCCGTCGAGAGGATACGATCGGTCGTGGCTCTCCGTGAGTACGCCCACGCTGAGACAGATCCGCAGGTCGTGCGGGAGATGTGGCTTCTGGAAGATGCGCTCGTTGCGGCCGGCGAATACGAAGAGGCAGAGGAAGTAGGACAAGACGCATTCTGTCGGTTAGAGCAGTACGTCCAGGATATCCCTGTTGATTCTGCATGAGTGTCAAGGGGACTCTTCGACGAAAAAGACCCTCGGAGGGCACTTCGCTCCACATGGATCAGTAGCTTTGTGGTCTTTAAAGTGGTGCGTGTTACTAGATGATGTAGTCCCCAAAGACAGAGACGCGACGAAGGCTCACTACTCCGTACTTGAGCCTTCCTGTCCGTTCGTACTACTATATCCTTCTGAACAAAAGGGCGATATCCCAGGAGATCATGTGTGAAAGTGTGGAGAAGGCGGGTGGAGGTGGTGAGCACTGGTGAGGTGGTTGGCGAGTTGGTTAAACCTGACATCCGAGCGACTCCTAAGTACCTACCTTACCTAGGGGTCCTTGGGGGCGAGGTAATTGACCACCGATCATGAACCCGATGAAAGCCCGATGATTAACCGGCCTCGACAATCCTACTGCGTACCTTACCTTAGGCAGCCGTGGTATCCCCTGTCCCCTCCGGGTCCCGTACTTCCATACCTATTACGGCATGATGGGGCTAGCAGGCTACATACCTTACCTATAGTTAGGTAGCTCGGGTAGTGACGCTCACCTGTACGGAGGTTATATAGGCGGCATACCCCCTGGCACCCTTGATAGTCCAACAGAGGATTCTTCCCAACTCTTCAAACTCCCAAGCCTCCCCGAGACGGAGCATGGAGTTGCAGACATCGACATCCCATGCCCAGAGCAACGGCAACGCAGGCGATCACAGCACCGCTGCGATCCCCAACAACGGGCCTACTGCTACGGCTGGTACACGTACGCGCAGCATTTCCCGACCGGAGGAGCCTCAAACAGCTCGATCCATGTTGAAGCTCATCTGCGCCGGCTTTTCATTCTTCTACGCCGGCACCAATGACGGCACCATCGGGCCACTTCTTCCTTATATACTGCGCAGATACAAGGTCGACAGTGCTCTAGCCACGGTGATGTTCGCACGAGAACCAATCCCCATCAAAAACGCCCTGTACTGACAGGTTCATTTACCTGGTACTGTAGTTACGTGGGCACCTTCGCGGGCTGGTTTCTGTCTGCCCTGACCAACACGCATCTGACGACAACGCTCCGTCTGTCCCTGGGCGCGACACTCCTTCTCGGTGCCGGCCTGCAGCTTCTGGCCCAGTTGCTTCGATTCTGGGACGCCCCCTTCGCCTTGTTCGTCATCACCTTCTTCTTCACAGCGCTCGGCCAGGCCCTGCAAGATTCCTACTCCAACGCATTCGTTGCGACGGTGCCCAGAGCTCATCGGTGGCTTGGATTCATCCACGCCATGTACATGCTGGGCTGCCTCACTGGCCCACTGATCGCCACGTTGGTATCCAGCCACACCCAGTGGTACTACACTTATGCCGTGGAGGCTGGACTTGGTGGCTTGAACCTGGGCTTTGTCTTCCTGGCATTCGGATGGCAAGGTCCGCGACCGCAACTGCTCGAGGTCCGCAACAACGACGTCGCCACCGAGGCGCGAAGGGAGTCTGCGGGTGACGCCACCGAAGTCGAAGCCGAAGCCGAAGCCGAAGCCGGGAACAACAACAGGGCCAGGTCGAACGAGCCGGCCCTCGCCAACGCTCGAACAAGGCACAAGGAAGCGCTGAAACAAATCCAGCAGACCCTCCGACTTGGCTCGGTCTGGCTGATCAGCCTGTTCTTTTTCTTCTTTCTCGGAGCGGCCATCACGGCCGGAGGTATGTTGTCTTCAAGTCTTCACTCTTTTCGCTCTTTCGCCTCATACGTCGGTCCCGTATTGACATGCCATACAGGTTGGGTGGTCGAGTACCTCGTCCGCGTCCGCAAAGGCAATCTATCTTCCGTGGGCTATATCCCAACCGGCTATTACGGCGGCGGCTTTCTGGGCCGCCTACTGCTCGCCGAGCCTACCAATCGCTATGGTGAACGACGGATGGTCTTCATCTGCATCATCCTCTGCGTCGCTCTGCAGGTCATGTTCTGGACAATCCCGAACATCGTTGCCGGTGGGGTGCTGATCTCTGCACTTGGCTTCTTTTCCGGTCCGTTCTTCGTGAGTGTAAGTGACGTTTGCCAGTGCACCCAGCCGGGGTCAATCCACTCCTTACTAGAATTGAACCAACCCAAAACCGCTGACACTGTTATTTGTGCTTGTTCACAGGGCATATCGGTGGCGTCGAAGCTCTTTCCCAAATCCATCCAGGCCACCGCTTTAGGTCAGTTACTACTATGTATTCCGGTCCCGCTTCAGGGCTTCATCTTCCTACAGTATCCCCCCAGACTCACCGCGAAGTGTAACTTAGGCCTCGTCTTCGTCATCGCTCAGATGGGCGGCAGTCTCTTCCCGACCATCACCGGTCTTATTGCCGCCAACGCAGGTGTCAAAGTTCTTCAACCTATTCTCGTCGGCTTGTTCGTCCTCGTCGCCGCGAGTTGGTGGTTCGTCCCGAAGGCGGACGGGGACAGAGACCAAGACCGTGAAGCTTGATGCAAAATGCTGCTACTACCGCACAGATTGTACTGCCGTAGTCGGACTCGCTCGCGACGACGAGCCTAGCGACATACTAGTAGTTAGTGATCACGAACTGTTCGATAAGCAGGCCTCGTGCTGATTAGATATTACTATACCGAGTAAGCGTGCATTAAGGTACCTTAGGTTATATGTGCAGTCGTCGCAGGGTAAATCATTCAATGCAGTTGTTTGCTATCCAACCAAACTCAATACAACATACAATGCCTCCTACAGTGTTCAACCATCGAAGGACCAAGTGCCATGCAACGATAGCCAGTATCATCCCATGCACCGTCATGCACCATACCTATGCGCCCGTCAGCCTTCATGCTTAATCCAATCGTTGGTTTGCACAACCATAACCTCACTTCGCCTCGTGATCGCGCACCTCATTCTGCTCCTCCTTCCGTTGGCCTTCACGTATCGTCTCAGGCGCTACAGACGCATACGGATCTTCGCCTTCGCCACCCGTCCCAGCAGCACCCTCGTCATCAATGGCCATTCCACCCTTGTCCCTTTCCATGATCTCGGTTTCGGCCTCAGATTGACTTTCACTTTCAGAGACAGTATCTTCCGCGCCTGTAACCGTGCCGACTTTAGTTTCTTCGAACATACCACCAAAGGGTGACTTCTTCCGCGCCACTTTCGGACTCGGTTCTTGGACCTCCACAACCACCGGTCCCGTTTCCTTCTCGGCATACTTCTGAATGAAAGCGTCTTTGAGTACTTCATACAGGAAGCTGTACTGCAACTCGTTCATGACCATCATCATCCGCTGCTCGCGCAGGGAATTGACTGTTTCCCAGATCAGGTCAACTTCCTCCTTGAATTCTGGCGTGGTGGGTTTGGGAGCTCCGCTTCTGCCCCAAGTGCCGTTTGAACCTGGCGTGCGTGGGTTTGCCGTGACATAATCCGATGATGTCTCAACCAGTCTCCCGGATTCAAGTTCTTGCAGGAGGAAATCCAAGGCTATCCAAGTGCCTGTCCGACCTACTCCAGCTGAACAATGGACAATCCGAGGCGAATCACCTGCCACAGTTTTCGATACTTTGGTGAGTTCCATAAGGGCCTTTCGATCTTCTGCCTCGGGTTTACCAAAATCTGGCCATCCATTATACAGATAATGGTAGATGACCTTTGATTCATTTTCAATGGTCAGGCTCAGTTTTCGAACCTCGCATGCGATCCGCGCATCGTAGCTTAGAGATAGCAAGGTGACGGTCCCGCATTGACTTTCCGAATCGGCGTTCTCTTTCTCGGCCTCAGAGTCGACGGACTCAGGATCTGTTCCCACACTATCAGTATCGGCGCTCATCGTAGGGGAGTCCAAGAAAGGGTCACCATCGTCCGCTGTGTCTCCCACTCCATCCTCATTCCCATCCTCGTGTGCCGGAAGCATGATTATTGGATTCTCCATATTCAAGGGAAAATATTGCGCACACTTTTCTTTGGTGCCTTCATACAGCTGGGTGAGCATTACAATTACCCCAGTTTCACCTGGAGTTTCTTGCAAGACCATGTGCCAGAAATGGGAGAACTGGCCCTCCTTCGGGCCCTGCGTCGCAATATATCTGTAGACGCTTTCCTGAGTCTCAGACTGCGAAGATCGATCGTCGGCCCGTGGCCCGGATGTCCCCCTGTGCAGTCTCTCTTTAATCAAACGACTTGTGAGTTTGATGGGCGAGGCGTTGACATAGTCTGAACCTCCAATTGGTTTCTTAAGCTTCACTCGTGACGAATCCCAAGGCTGGACATTTCCATATCGATTGCGGCTTATGACGGTCTGCGATCGATCGATCCGGAAAGGAGACGATTCGGGATTTTGGAAGCCGTCCTGTAAGCGATACCGCTCTTTCCATCCTATGTCGACAAACGCTGCCGAGATCTCTGTATTTCCGTCAGTCCCTGTTTGGAAAAGCCCAGCACGGCCGGGCAGTCTGATTAGTACGACACTCACTTGCTCGGTCCTTGTCCAGGTATGCTGGTACCTTTACCGAGGATTGTCGTGCCGAGACATCACTCCCAACGGTTGATCCATTTGTAGATGATTGTCCGGAGGTCGGAGGTCGCGAGACATTGGTAGGCAGTTCTTGCGATCGTTGTCGCTTGACTGAAACTGAAGGCGGAGTACCTATGGTCAAAGACTGCGGCATGGTTTGAGTTATCTCGGCAATAGTGGCGGCATCGGAATGGGATGAGCCAGGCACAGCTCGGCTTGCAGAGGTCGCAGTAGGCGGTAAAGATGAGGAAGTTGTGGGTCGGATGGTCAGATTCGGAGTGGTTTTGGATCTCCTGCCCGGGTGTATGTGGAATCGTTGAAAGATCGAGGGGCGCTTGGATGTGGATGATGTGTTGGAAGATTCCCCAGAAGATGTAGCAGAAGAATCCTGAGGAGCGGCGCCGGCTTTATCGGTGAAGAGCCTGGAGACAGTCGTTGTGACTCTGGAGCAGTATATCGAAGGAGTGACAAAGTTGGACTGTTGGATGAAGTTGACTGGATTGCGGATTAGGGTCGTTTGCAGAATGAAGTCGTGACTTTGCTGCCCAAAGGAAGAGTATGTCAGTGTGTCTGTGATTGTTCCGGGTGAGGCTCCTTCCTGGTGTAAGCCACAAAAACTTTCGAGGCAGGAGGAGGCTTTGGTATGACGACGTGGAAAGTTTGGCTCTTCGTTTTGGACAATGACCTTGATGTTCGAGTTTGATTGACGGTGGCCAAACAGTCAGCAAGCCCGTTTGCGTTGATGACAGGAAACGAGATCTCCTGTTTCAGACAAGCTCTGGGGATATTTGATTGTTGAAGGTTCTCTCAACTGCCGCGAGCACGTCGAATGGCACTTTCAAGTGAGGCAACTGATAGGTAGCCTTGTGCGACTGGATCTGTTTGAGATCGATGGCTAATTAAGCGAATGATGCTGAGGCTGAGATTCGTCCATTGACCTCATTTTGCAGAATGTCACTACCAGGCAAGCAGGGAAGGTCAGGCATGCTCCGTGACGGGCTATTTGTAATGACAGTTCTTATGTCACGTAATTTATGACTTCTCACACACTGAATGCCGGCCACATGAGCGAAATTTCAGTTACAAGCATTGTCAAACTGCGCCCGAGATCGCCACACAACGACGAACTCGCATCGAGTCACCATGAGCCATCTCAACATCAATACACAGTCTCCACATTACAGATCGAGGTCTATAGCTACTCCAGCTTCCGGAACATAACTGAGTGTCACTGAACCTTGACCACCTCCTGTCCCTCTACCGTCAGTCGGGCGCTGACCCCGTAAGTCTCCTCCACAATGACCTGGTGGTGGATGATAGAAGTACGCTTGTCCTTCTTCCTTAGCGGCATGGCTTTTTTTCACTGACACATCCTCAGAAACGTTTGATAGAGACGGTACGGCCTCTCGTTCCCTCCCTCCGTCGCCTCATCCCTCTCTAATCGACCTCAGCTTCTCCGCAGCCCGTCTTTTCACCGGGGCGTTCAAAAAGTCCACAAGACAGTACACCAGTTGCAACATGGCAAACCGCCCGAGTATTATGGGGGAACACACATTGATCGTATGTTGTACACCATGTCGCCTCACTTCACTCTCCGTACCCGCCCATCTCCTCACCTCGTACCTTTTGTGTGGAAGACGGACGACTCATACATCTGCTCGACAGCCGAACGAGAGGCCGGCCGCGGCGTCAAGAATTTCTTCAAACTCTTTTGGGAGGAATTGAAAACAGGCCACAAGCCAGAACCGCCGACGAAGAAATAAAATCCTAGTTGCAAAAAAATAATGAAGTAATGTATGCAACGACGAAGTCGCTTAGCAAGGCGTTGGAGGCTTGTTGCCGGCTTATAATTACAGAGGTGCCCGACTTTCTCAGCTTTTTAGACGGCGTTCATAGGGCCATCTACTTGGACATTATGCAGAAGTGCACGGAAGTCTTGTGAATGCTCCACGTGCCTACTTCTGAATCCGCATGTGCCGTGCAAGTATACGCTTCACTCCGTCCTTCCAATGTCCTGAAGATGAGCGAGATGAACGACGATGGCAGCGGCGGCATCAAGCGACTTTCGAAAGATTGCCATTTGCGAGGATGGGGCTGGGTCGTGATTGTCAGTGCGCAGCAATTGATCGGTCTGGTCGAGGGCGACGGTGAGACCTTGCTTCAGGCATCGGCTCCCGCCCAGCACACTTCGGCGAGTGGCGAGATCCAGTACGTCGTACATGCGCCTTCCTGCGACAAGCGTCCTCGATTGTCGGTCGAGGACACTCGTGTGGTGGAAGTCACACAAGCAGTCAAGCCCAGTGCGCTCTTCAACAAGGCCCAGTCGACTGACTAGGAACGTAAGACTTGCAAAGATTGAGAGCTCCGTCCCAGGAACAAAAGTCTACGGCGCGAACTTCAGTGAATCAGAGGTTCACAAACTCAATGCGTTTCTTCTTTTGAAAACACAATGATCGGATACAGATTGGGTCATCTCATTACTATTCCTCCATGCGAGCTTGACCCTCATTCCATCCGGAGAGCAAACCAGCAATGCATATTGCCACGCCACACGAACTTTTTTGATCCTGTCATATCAAATCTCAAGATAGGAAAGGAAAATCCCTCGAACAGTTGAGGAATTGGCGAACAGTTGGCCCTAGTATGGCAGCGATCTCATCCTTGAAATTGCCATGTGCTTTTTTGCCAACCCGTCCATCAAACATAATCATCACAATGACTTCAGCTTGTGACAGTGCGGCAGGCATGTCGGCATCGATCCGACCCGGTCTTTTTCGCAACATGTTCCCTACTCAATCAGGCAAGCATGTGGTTTCCTTCGGCGTACTCTTCCTCAAGCAAACTTGCCGGATGTGACTTGAAATAGCAATTTTTTGGTACCCTAGGATGCAGTGCGCTGCGAGCCATGACTTCATTTTGTCTGGAACGACCTTGGTGTCAGTAGTTGATGAGAACAGTACCGAAACCGACTGTACATATATGACTTTTAAAGGTTGCTTTGAAAGGTTCTTCCCTGCGCAGCGTGGGCACAGGAGCGAGAGGACAAACTTATCTGTCAAGCCCTAGAATTGTTGCCCAATCCGAGGAATGCAGCAAGTGGGAATATATCGATTATGCCCATCGTCAAAGATGATGCTGACCCTTTGGACAGCGGTGTCCCTCTCGAATAGGTCAGTGATCATCAACCTACCGCAACTTGCAAGGCTGTAGCCTCTTTTGAGAAGTCAGGGCAATCTTCAGCAAGTTCCCGCTGTCATATCTGCACGTCAAACGAGTTCCCGGGGACGGGAGATCCTCTTTGGAAATCGGACGGAGTCATCGGGCGCTATTGGCCTGTAATAAGACCCGGCGCAGCAAGCCACTGTGCAGGATGATGGACAAGAGTCGAGCGCATTTCAACCAGGACTGCAGTCTCGCTTGGGCGCGGGCTCAGAATGGATGCGCTGTCCGGCAGTGCTCGCCTCGTCTTTGTGCCCGGCGCATCTCCTCGTGTGCAATCATTCACTTCCAGCAATGTGTGGGACTGTCACGCAGCTTTTCGCAGGTCGTGCGTGGTATGGCTGACCCGTTAGCAACTTCCGCTTCCCGAATCCGGATGACAATTGTCTGTCAACCTCTGGTTGGTTGACCCATTGTTAGTTTTGCGTAACAGTGCGACCTAGACCGACAGGACGAAAGGAAAGGTTAGCCAATCCCGACCCGGCAGTGCTTGACTTCTGGAGCAGACCGCTCCAGAACTGCAGCTGAAATCCCTTGCACCATCTGAGATTTTGACAGCTGCGGTCAGAACATCAATATCTTGATGCAGATTGTGTGACCTCCCGTCTGGCGACTGCAGACACGCCGACTTGGCCCCTTGTGACATCCCGGGTGGGCAATTTGTGCGCATGTGGTAGAAGACCAAGCTCGTAAGTCCGGCCAGGTCAGTCTCATCACCCACCTGGCTTACCTTCACTAGGATGAGATTGTGAGGTATTGCCGCTGCGGGACTCAGAAAGCGTGGACAGACTGTTTTATGCGTGAGGCAATGAGGTTTCATTTGTAGACTTGGTTCACGAATGAGCATATCGAGCCAAGCTGTCATCCTGAGAGCACATGGACGATTCAATGGCGCGTTGAATGCTGGAGTTGCACAGCTCGGTCTTTTGCGCAGGGATTTGTGTGCTCCGCCCACCTGAGAAGACTTGCGGAGTTCGTGAGCTGATTACACATGCCTCAAGCCAAAAGAGGTTGCATGGCAGCTTGGTGTTGCTGCGCCCAATCTCTGGCGTGGTTCTTGATCACTGATCGACTGCAGCAGCACCTCAGTGTACTGGGGTCACATTTACCTTGTATTCGTCGCGGAGCAGCATACGAGCTCAGGGATTTACCTTGACGCCGGATGTGGCCTTGCGCCGCAATGAAATCGACCACAAAAGGTCCAATTCCTGCGTCGGGTATGCACGAACGTTGGAAGTACGAAAGTAGCTTGCATGCTTGACGCAAGAGGGGGGCTTCTTGTGATTCCGGGGGCGTTGGAAAGGTTCAAGTCATCCAATAGTGACAAATGAATACAGGTTTCGGCCTGCAGGTGCTCCTCAGAGTGCCAATTCTGGTTCACGCCTCCTGTCGTTGTGTCTGGTGCCTCAAAAAATGTTGCTTGTGCAACATCGGTTGCAGTGATGTGGACATGAAATACGAGCCGGTGAAGGGCTTGTGTGGTCGTCACAGTGGCTGGGCGCTACTACAGTAGGACATGCAGGAGATCGCTGATCAGGAATTGCCGGCTGCCTTCCCAGAAACAGTCTCCGGTAAAAATGCTCTCTTGGCTACTGATTTGAGCAGTTGCCCAAACGGACCCTCCCACACTCCCACGCCCAATGGCGCCGGTGGAGTTTCCCTTCGATCTCGATTCTGGACGGGTTGGAATCTGACGCCACGTGTTGGCGGTTAGCGTCGGACGTTACAGTGCAACAATAAACGCGGACAGAATCCACTTCCATCATCGTCAGCCTTTCTTGTGCAATTCTATCCAGACTTCCCAACTGCTTCGGGGACAAGGCTCTCGTGAACTGATGGCGAGGCTTCATGGTGATCCGGTTTGCAGCATAGTGCATCATTCCATCGCATTCTAAGTGACTGCCATTGAAAGAGACAACAGGGCAAAGGCGCAAATGTCAAAAAGACTGGTGGCGATTTCACTCAGCACAGGAGATTCGGGGATATCATCATTGACATCAAGGAGAACAAGACCCTGTCTTGAGAACTAGTAATTGTGGCGCGCCAGTCCATCTACCTCCAGCAGTACGAGCGTACGCTTCGAATGCATTCAGGCTCGAAAGTGCATCTTCAAGGTGCTTCTTTTGCTGCTTTGTGTCACCGAAAAAGAGCTTCTGATGATGTGCAAGTGGGCGGGCACTGCCAATGACGTGAGCGTTCCTCTTGCACGTAGCACTCGTCGGTCGAGCTCCGGAAACGAGCTCATTTTGCGTCTGGTATCTTTGTGTTCAAGGCGACGGCCATCCGATCTTGTTCGCCGAGGTTCCACGAAATCCAAGGAGAACGGGAAGAAGCATTGGTGCCTCGAATCCAGTCATCTGGGATGCGAGATTCTGACAGCTGTCAAATATGCGAGCTTCCAGCTCACGTTGGGTGCACGTAAGTTGATGACAGACCCTGAAAAGCTCGCATGCTACTCACCGACATCCGAGAAATGACGCCCTCGGGACCCCCACGGTCAGCATGTTTCCAAGACGAGATGACTGGATTTACGAGGACTGTAACCGGCTCAGCGCCTGCCCACAACTTTAGGTGCGCTTTATGAACGGCGCGGAGGGTTTCGTTGCGGTGCAGTGGATGGTAGAATAACCCCGTCCACCTTGCGGCAGGTTCTGATCGTATCGCTGTGCCCAAATGAAATCTTAAGCTCTTCTCGATGCCCCGTACAGAGCCACAACCACGCCTGCTAAGTAGACATGATGTCAAGGAGCTCCAAATCACTGGTCATCATTATTCATTACCACCCTCTTGGTGGGATGATTCATAGATAGATGCAAGCCACATCTGTAAGCGAGATTTCGGCCACAAATCCAGAGATAGCCGAACCTAGATGGCTGCGGATCTGACGGGCTGGAACTAGTCGAGCAACAATAATATCCCTACTGCAACAGGAGATGAGTGCCGTACTGAGAACATAATCCGATCTTTGCTGGCGAGGCAGAGAGCTGGCCTCGAAGTTTACCTGGTGGCGGAGTGAGATCTGGCACAGTCGCGATATGATGACGAGTCGATCTAGCGATACAATGCTCTACCGCAGCCGGGGTGTGAAGATCTGGCAGCCCTGATACGCCGCACGGATCATCGCTTATGAGCTTCAGTTTTGGGAGGCCCAAAGTTGGAGCTCCACGTGAAACCGCCCCTTACATTGGTGCTCGTTGGCTTCTTGGCCACGATCTTGCCCACATGACAGCCCGCGCGGAGCATCTGTCAGGAGAGTGTCAAGGCATCCGAAGGTAGGGCCTACAAAATCCAATTTCATCCGACCTGTGTAGACCCTGCATCTAGTGGCGCGTGACTGGGCTGGGTCTCCGTATCGTGCCGTACAATGCGTAGCTGGAGCTGGAGCTGGAACTGGAATAAAAGTACTTTGGCATCTTGGAGATCTGATCTCAGGAATGTTTCGGAACAAAGATGATTCGTAGTCTTATGGGGTGACCGGAGTAGGATGCGATACGCGTGATGTTGGTTAGGAAACCGGTGGAAACAGGTTAGAAGCCTCAGGCAGCGACTTCTGGTTGAAAGATGATCGAGATCGTTTTTGCCTTGGGGGTCGCCATTCGGCTTGCGATTGGAGATGGTTTCGACAGCGCCGACTGAGGCGCCCTCGCTTAGGTTGGGGTTGTCTGAAGGAGTACATCTGTGTGGCCGCGTATGGGCCGAAGGGTACCTGGCTGTTGGAGTTATTTTCCCGCAGTTCGCACGGACGCTGTAGACACGAACTAAGATAAATCCATATTATTACTACTCGTATGGGACTCCGTAAGAGATCCCACTTGTACGCTACCGGCATCTTCCTTTTCGCCTCTCAAGTCTCATGAGGCATACGGTTTCGGACGTACATGTCTCTCGGAGGGGGGTCCTGTGGCTCCATCTGTAACAGAGATGTGATTGAAGGCGGCGGCATCCAACGGGTGTTCCATCACGTTGTTCGTGATAGATGTGGATGCGGGATGAAGGAAGAGAGCGACGTGGAGACAAGAGGGTGAAATGTGTGAATGTGCAACAAGAAGGCAAGGCAAGGCGAGTTTTTGGAGGGTGCGCACTGCGTGAAGGTGTCAAGAATCCTACGGCAGGCGCTAGCGGCCCATCTGGCATCTGGCATCTGGCATCTGGCGTTTGGACAGCCAGCTGGCCAGTCTATGGGATTCGTACTGCCTGTGCACTCCGTACGGGCATACGCAAGGTAAGGTCGGAAGGTGGTAGCCCGGGCGTGTGCTTTGGCACTTTGGGCTTGAAAAAGGCTGGCGTTATAGACTCCCGGGCCCGATTCCTTACGGTTTAGGCGGGTCCATCAGGACCATCACACTACCCTAGCTGGTGCAGGCCCAAGTCAAAGTCAACCCATAATTATTACCTTTAGGTAAGTATTGGCTGACCCTCTGGGTGACCCTAGCATCCTGGGCTCTGCAGCCACGGTGAATGGCGACTGGCTGGCTTTGTTCCATCGCCATCGCATCGCCGACATGCTGCAGTGGGCTCATCATGATCGTCCATCTGGCTGCTGGCTTGCCCCTGTCACCACCACAACCAGCACCACACCCGCTGGTCCCGGAACCTGTAGCAGGCGGTCGAGCCTTCAGAGCGCCCCAAACGCTATCTGTCTCTTCCCCCCAAAGCCAGAAGAACCCCCTCCGATCCACTTGACCGGCTCTGACAGGCCACGACGCTGGTTCTGGGATACAAGTGACTGGCAGTGCCCGCGTCAGACCTTTCCACCATTCCCACTGCCCATGCTAGTGCGATCTCTCGATCTGTTCTCCGCCCATCTCGCTCTCTAAGACTTGCTCATTATTCTTTCCATCCTCTTTGCCTCGCTACCGTCACCATTCTCTCCATTCCGGATACCGTCTAAACCTGCGTCTCTCCCACCGATTTCCACCGTCCTCATTTGCGACTGCTTTTCTGTAAGACGCAATATCCGACATTGCGGTCTTCGCTATATACTGACGCTTGGCTCATCCACCTCCAGACAGTGCCTGTGTCCTGGATCTACCGCTAAAACGAGGACTGCGTTGTCCGCAAACACAAATCCGCAACCCTCCCATCAACACGGCCGCCGCCACCACTGAGGAAACTCATCAAGGGATCCAATCTCTGGACCTACGCAAACATCGCAGTCTGGCCTAGAGGCACTTCTCGCGTTGTTCATTGGTGCGACGGCTTCGACGTCACGGCCTCTGCGTTACCTGGTGACGGAAGACATTGAAATCTGCACGGGAACGTACATTGACAATCACGAAACCCTCCCCCGCCTACCCGCCCACATGGTTGATTAGGTCTGCTCTTGGGACATACAAACAGCACTTGTTGAGAGGGGAGAAATAAACATCTCGAGTACCGCGATGGCGACTCTAGACCTTGGCCCCCGGCAAAGGTTGGTTTGCCTTTCCAATGACCTGTGGACCCGCTGGGAGGAAGATGCTGACAGACTGAGTAGGGATACACTACCTCCCATCAGTCATCTTGACTTGGAGGCTATCAACAACGAAAAAAATGGTCATGGTCGGTTTGGAATGTTGAATGGTCTCAGTATCTCGACGGCGCCGTTGGCGAGCCCAACGGCCACCTTGTATTCCGGCCCACCTCCGCCATATTCCTGCGGTCCTTCTACGGTGGGATCTGCTTCTGGATTGTCCGGCTATATCTCTCCGCCTGAATCGACCACTAGACGCTCCACACGAGACGAGAGGGAGTCTCCGGGCTTGCGTAAATCTTTACCATCCATCCATGAAGCGCTTGGGGACCGATCAATGTCACTGTCTGGCCCTTTATCTGCCTCAGGTCAACAGCAACCTTTACCGACGCCTACAACGACCGTTGGCCAGAGTTATACCGAAGGCCCCAAAGGGCCGGCCAACCCCTTCTCCCAGTCTTCAGGTCCGCCACCACCTGTTCTCAGAGATGTGTTCTCTGCACCTCAAAAAGCCGCTGCTGCTTCAATGGAAAAGCCTCCTATAGTCTCTGCCGACCCACGCCAACCCGTGTCTCAACACTTTGGCTATCCTGGTTCTCCACGTTCAAACCCACCACCTGCTTTTCGGTCTTCATCGCTTACAAACACTTCGTTCACCAATCACAATGACTACCCATCGGCGACCTCTCCTCAGGCATATGACCCGCCCAAGCAGTCGTATCCGTTCCCTCCATTGGGCGGCTCTGCGTCGTCCAACGGGCCTCCTGCGCACGAGCCGGTTCAATTTGGCGCGGGCGCGAAATCCGACCTTCAACGACCAAGCTACGCGAGAGCGGAAGATGTTCAGTTCAGCGACACTGTTAAGAGACATCTTGATGTGTTCGATGCTGAGTTGGGTTTCAACCAAGTATGTCTCACTGCCCATGCACCGCGCGATTTGCTGACTGTTTTTAGATCAACGAGGCATCGGCTCGCACGCTAGATTTTGCTCGGACTTGGGCTCAGCGCTTTCACCATGGCAGTCGTTCGGGTTATTTTCATGAGGCGCTTCCCAGTCTTTCCGAGATGGACGATGTTCTTCGGCATTCCCACCATATTTTTGAGAACCTCACTCATTTGCGGGAGTTGGTGATCGCGCAACAGACCGCATTGTCGGAACATCGTGCGCGACAAGCCGAGGAATATCACGGTCTGTCTGACGGATATAGAAACCAAGGTCTTGTTGACAGGGGTGAGAGAGACGCCAAAAAGCAACGTCGTGGAGTGAGTACCACCGTTAAATCGGAGCAAGAACCAGCTGACCTCCCACCCCAGCAAAAGGCCGCACCACCAGGTCGTTGCCATAGCTGCAATCGTGCAGAAACCCCCGAGTGGCGAAGAGGACCCGACGGAGCACGCACATTGTGCAACGCCTGTGGACTACACTACGCGAAGCTGACCCGGAAAATGGGGGTCAACAAGGCGGCGGCCCTCACGGGGTCGAATCTACGACCAAAACACCTGGATCAAACACGGCCTTGATATCAGCTTAGCAATGAGAACGACGAACATATTGCATGGTAAATATGCTATCTCTTTTAAGAGACGACGACGATGATGAATACATGGTTTCAAGACTTTGTCTCGAACGACATCTGTATTTTGGCGCTTGGGGCACGGCGAGTGGTTTTTGGGAACCGTGCAATATTGGCAACGAGGGCGATGTCTGTTGGTGTTGGTGATTGTACAGATGAGGGCTCAGGCAAGAACCTCCAAGAGCTGGGGAACACGAACGGCGTACATCTTCACGGTACATGGCCTTATTAGAGGCATTTTTGAGAGCATGAGCGATGTTTTTATGTCGTCTCGAAGAGTGATTGTTTCTGATACCCCAAACTGCTGCCTTATTAGAGGCTACTTGGAGCATTTTGGTTCCATCAAAATATGTCATGATATTGTTATTATCTAGTGTCAGGAGGAGGGCAACAAGGTGGATGGAGTTGGGAGGAGGGTTGGTATCAATCGAGTCTCTGTGGAAGGGTGGAAGTGGTTGCTTGCTGATGGCGGTTGGAGCCGGTGACGACGGAACAATTCAGAGGATTCAACTTGCACTCGTTCTCACACAGGCACCCGGACAGGTAGTGGTTACGCTGCTCCAATCGTGAGCCGCGACCTAGGTATGATTGCTGGGCGAAGTGCAAAGTACTAGTAGCACGGTAGATCTTGCATACGGAAGATCCAGATCAAACGAACGGGCGATGATACTCGACGCGAGCAATAAAGAAATCAAGAAACTCAATCTACTCAGATCGGTTCTCCCAATTCCTCAAAAGGTGCCAGAGTACTAGTACCTGCTGTGCTACTACAGTACTCACCGTCGTCAGCACATCTCCATTGTGATTCTGGCATTCGACTTCGCGGTGACTCGCTCGAATCTGGTGTGCACAGCGAGGTTGGCCTGATGGTGTGCGTTCAGACGTGGCGGATCGCAGATCAATTGGCTGGCTGGTTGTTAGGTCCAGTCAACTACCTAACCTGCACACTCCACCTTCACCGATCCCTGGCTTCCGATATGCACCGATTTGCGTCTGTCTCAGGATCAGGAGTTGTCCTGTTGGAGGTGCCGCGAGTGACAGAAAGCGTCAGCGACACTAACCAAAAACTTGCTCCGAGCAGAAGTCAGGCCACTCATTCAAGCTCTGTTACCATCAATGATACAGATCCGTGACAACTTGGCTACTACTAGTATGGAACTCCTCGGCACAGAGGGTAACTGGGAGAGGATAAGCGGCAAACTATCCCTCCTTCGGCTCAATCGCAACTCCATCCCTGGGATCTCCCAACGGCTTGACTCGGGCTAGGCCCTCGCCCCGACGCCCATCGGCCTGGAAACATTGGAGGCTGGAGCCATCGCAGGATCGGCCATGATCAGCGACGCCGTCTTGTCTATCGCCCGAGATGATCAGCGTTTTTACCCTTTGTACGACTTACCACTCCAGACGTCGAGCCGGAGTCACGTCTCCCAATGCCATGCTAGGTTGCCGCCTCCAAAACCCTGCGAATGCGGGCATTCGAGCATACAGGGGTGTCACGGAAATGCTTGAGCCTCGACATCTTGACTTACTATGTACGAGGGACAAGCTGGATTGCAGCGCGATTCACGACCAGGGGACACTACTCCTCGTAGCACTATTGTCTGCATTGGACGTACGGCAGTTCCGCCTAATTGGCAGGAACTTGCTTGATCCCATTCAAGCTTCATGGCGGGAAAAATGCTCCCCGTCGCGAAGCCTCGGAAAAGCGTCCTGATGTGGACGACAGGGATGCCCTCTGGCTATTGAACAAAGGCGCAGAAGTTCGTAAGACACGGGACGGGGGTGCACAGTTGAATTCCAGCTACTGAATAATATCCCGTCGTCTTCTTTTGACAGTATCTTTCAAAGCCGCATAAGGCGACTGAAGCAGCATTATGGTGGATGATCCCCGGATGCACCCGCACTTGATCTGCGCGGGAGGAGCGTCTGCTGCCTTCACTGACCGTTTATCAGTTGAACCAGATATCTTCCTTGCAAGGACAAAGCGATGTTGTACGGATTAACAATTCATGCAGGCCTCGAACCGTACACATCCTCCCTTGAGCAACGATCCGCCTCTCTAATGGATCAAGTGAGCAACGCATGATGAAAAGCTGTACCGCCATTACGTCAGGAGCGACAAAGGAGACAGGGTACAGGGCTGCTGGAAGCCTAGTAAGCCCTATGGATAGGCAAGCGCAGCCACCGCCAGGAACCATCTTTCCCACGATCTCCAGAGTCTCCCACTACTGTGATACTATACTATTCCTTCCTGGCAATCCTCTTTTGCCATTCCTGCATATTACAGTATGTCCCCTCGGCGAAAAGCTGGTCAGGGAATTCGACCGAAGTCAGATTGTCAATTCCAACTAGTGCATAGCAGCTTGCATCAGCGCGGCAGCGGGCAACAACAATCCAACCAATCGCTCGGTACTGTTTGGCACTTCCAGGCAAGCCGTATTCGTGTTCGTAAACTATTCACTTGCTGAATGTATCAGCCATTGTCTACAATCAGTAGCCGACAAAGGGCTAGACTGTTCGAGGAGCATGTCTGGACAGTAGGCGTCCGGCCAGAGGTCAGCCACCCGGCCAGAGCACAACTCGAACACAGCGGCCAACTCCAAGGTGCAGGAGTCACAAACAGCTATCACGAGAAAAGGCACTTGTCTCAGATATGGTGACCCTCTGGAGTTTCCAAATCCCCGCTCCGTGAGACTGCTACTGACGCTCGAGTAGGAGAGCTGACGATGGCTGTCATGATTTGTCTCCTAACCATAACCTCATTATTTAGCAACTGAGGGAGCTCATTTCACCCTTTCGCCTGTACGCTAAACAATGTGCTCTAACTTACGGAGTACACCAAGCTCGATCTCGAGATCCCCTCCGGTCGGCTAAACCGGACTCGGTACCGTCAAGGCTCGCCTACAGCGCGCACGAGCGCCATGCCGTACGCTTAGCCTCTCTCATGTTGCAAAGATTTCGTGCAGCCGTTGTCGAAGAACCACTTGGGCACTAGAGTCCCTACGTATCAATTCAAACTTGGAGTCTTCATCCCGGACAACAAAGCACGAAGTTTTGGCAATGTCTCCCTGATACGAGCGCTGCTCGTTGGCCTCCCTCTAACGCAGGTCTATAAACCAAGCTCCAGTTTTATTGCTGCTGTCAGCGGATTTTCAGACGTCCCCTAGGGCGCCCCGCGGCTCCTGTTCCCGGTCGCACACTTCACTTGAAGCTTGGCTTAAGAGGTCCATGCATCGCCTTATCACCGTTTGAAGTCAAGCGTGATCGGGGATCGCCCTCTTGCACTTGCCTCTTCGCCTCAACTTGTCTTTCATCTTTCACTCTGTCTCGGTGGCGCTACAACCGAGATGAGATGAGTGCAAGCGAGATACTCGACGTCTGAAAACGGAGACTGAACCGGTGCCAGCTCCTCGATGCCGGAGAGCAGCCCATCGCCGTATTGACTGTGTTCATGGCATGAACAGGTCATCGCCAATAATGCACAGGTCGAAGTTCTAGCACTTTCGAACAGTCTTGGTTTGGTCCCGCTTTCGTACCATTTTCAGTCACGCTATTTGGCTGCCACCCGGGTCACAACCAGGAGGCAACATCGTCGCAGACCTGCAGAATTATCTGCACTATAGCACCGGATCTAAACCAGAATCGTCTTTCAACCTACTTGCCCGCGTTTTAGGCCTGTTCATTGTGGGCAGCCAGAGTCTAAGCTGGTGCCGTCGACGTTGAGTAACAACAGGGCCAGTCTACGAGATCATCACCTCAGCATCCACAGGAGCGTTTCAGGTATGAATTGAAACTAGCACTTCGCGTCACACCTCAGTGCTTTCTTCCAAGACATCTTCACTCCGTAGGCTTTATGAATGAGCCACCTCTCTGGTCTGTGGTCTGGGTTTCTCGCCTGTGGGTTCGCCACGGGAACTGCGCCAGAATCGTGCCTGGCATGTGCCTGACCGTATGAGGCTTACTGGGCCCCTGTCAACAACTTCAATTCAATAATGGTAGGATTCTTGGGAGGGGTTCTTGTTTTGCTGTGCCAGACTGGTTGCACTATTGCTCACTCAGCAGAAAGGTGTTTCCTGCCCCCGTTTCCGCTCGTATTCTCCCCGAAGCGAGGCCCCCCTGGGCCCCTTGGCTGCCGGATTCAGAGCACCGGATACCTTGAACCAGTCTTTAGTCGGGGCATTGAGTCTGCAAAGGAATACTGTGTCGTCTGTCGCCGCTCAACTTGGTCGGAGGCTTGGAGACATGTAACCTCTCGTCTGCATCGGCAGCATGTCTGCCCGCTGCATGATCTGACATATCGAAACATGAGTTGTTCGGGGCTCACATCAGCCCCTGCTCCTCGCTACTGTTTCCGTCGCCAATCTACGAAGAGTGAGACGCGCGTATCTGTACGACCGCTTGAACGCTTTTGGCGGCAGCCTGCGACGACCGGGTCCTCAGATCACTCATTCTGCCCCCATAGCAATGGCCATGGTCGGATCCAAATAGGTAATATTATTCTATCGGCTGGGGGTGATCATCCGTGAGCTGAGCACAACACCATTTATGCGCTTGGACTGCGACAATCTCGTGCGCATGACTCGGAACGTCGGGTCCGCTGCCTATGGCTTGGACTCCGGAAATTCACAATTCCAGAGCAGGGGTTGAGCGCCATGGATGGCAATGACGCCAATATGCGGTATCAGGAGAGGTACTTTCCAGGGTGAGTGAGAATCCGTCTCCAAAATGGATTCGTGTCCCACATCTGCTTGGTTCATCGATGCCCTGTCACAGGGTGTGGCGACCATGCAGTCCAAAAGCGTTGACAAATCGTCGTCCAGAGCCATTGGTATGAGAAACAGATGGAGAATGCATCATCTCCAGCGACGAATGGGACTTACCGCCAACGCCCTGAGCACCCTCTACACAATCAGTGACGATACAGAGGCCTTGCCTGGCAGTGGAGCATTACTGGTCTTGAACAGGGGGAAACTGAGCACATCATCCCAAATCCCTTTCGTACAGGACGACCGGAATATTCCACCGTGTGAATGATCCTCAGACGTGTCCGTCTTACCCTGGTTGCTCGGTATACCGTCATTTCTGCAACGGCTGTGCATTAGTCGGGACTCGGCTTTGACCACATATCCACCTCTTCCAACTAGACGAGGATCTGGTGGCTAGCTCGTACTTGTACTATCCTCGATAGGTTTCCACTTGGTAATACACCTACTGGTCTAGGTGATGGTATCGGACACCGAAGGTTCAAGTTGGCGCAGCGAGTCAACGATCTCCAGACGCAACTTTCCTCACGTTCAGATGTTGAAATTCAAAACTGTGTAGAGATGTCCTGTAACCCTGCTGCTTTGCTCTGTTGTCGTTTCCTGGAAGCACGCAGAGGACACAAGGGACAGTGAGAGAGACTGTGGTTCTCCCAAGGAGCACCTTCCCCGCCATCCACGTATTCGTACCACATCTCTACCGATCATCCTTCTGCTTCGGGGAGGAAAAACGATTGCTCTGGGGTTTTGCTTGGGGAATCGCCGCGCACTTGAGTCTGAACTGCGTTTGCTCGCATTGATCTCGTTCTCCCATATTCAGACGCGAGCATGAAAGAGAAGGAAAGAATGATACACAACCCTGCCCTGCCTCATACCCTGCGGCTCACGTTTTGTACTGCGGCGTGCTTGATTGTCCGAATTTGATCTCGATGCTGCCCAAGGATACACTAATTCATGCACTGGATTTCCTTTCTAGACAGTCATTGCTTTCTAGGTGTCCAATCAACCCGAGTTCTATCTTGCCTTCTAGGAGAGAATCACTTCCTACGATCTTTCACGCGTCTGTATTTATCTATTCACAACACTTACTTTGTTGAGTTACTAGTATGCAAGCTGACTGGAGCATACCAAAATGGAATGTCGTTGCTGTCACAGCTTTGTGTTGGCAATTTCCTATCACCCTTCCGTCCACTTTTTACACTGTCCGGAAAGGAGTCAACGCGCGGATCTGCCACGATCTCGCGGACGGTCATGTGGTGGGCTTGTTCGTCGGGAGGGTCATGCTTATCTGAGAAGCAACGAATCTTGCAACGAATCTTAAGAGATGAAGGTGACGAACAGACTGCGAAGATATTGCTGTTACTACGACAGATAATGGCACCCTCGTTGCATCGTTGTTATCGTTAAGGGGAAACGACTACTAGGAGCTATTCTGACGGCCGTGGAGAGTGGGCTTGGACTCCCTACTCGTTGGGCGACACGGTGATTTCCAAAATGAACTGTGGTCGTGCTAATATGTGCCAGCAGGACACAATAGCAAACGACAATAGATAAAGAATGGGTCACAGAGGGAGAGAGACACTCGAGGAACGCAACGTCGGGCGTGATGACGGACTTGATGTACCGCCGGCATAAGCAATTTATCGAGTGGATGGCTGATACTACTAACTAGTATCCTGCTATTGTTTAACGTTGTCATGTTGGGATCTGGTGATTTGACCGGTGTGAAGGAAAGAGTGAGGTTAAATCGGGCCTCGCACTGTTATCGACGCAGGTGTGTCTCGTACAGATATGCTTTAGTTGCTTGGGCAGTTGTGAAGTATACTAACGTACCTACATAGGTATCGATGCGGCAGCGGTGGTGGTTACTCTGGAATACCATGGGTGGTGGACTGGACACTCAGGCGCTGCCCGAGGTGCGCTGGCTATATGCGTCCGACATACAGGAACGTTCACCCTGCATCATGAAGAAGTAGGACAGGATTGACGATCTGAAGCTTGCTCTCTGACAAGGAAGAAGGACACCCTTCTTCGTCGTTAGATGCTTCCCCACTGCCTGACGTTACTGACTGAGGATTCCTGTAGTTTGGAAACCCTATTGACTGATAGGGTTTTATTCATCATAGTGGAGGATTGGACTTTAGATCATGGCTTGAACACCTAGAGGTATGTTTATCCGTGCGAGCGCCGCCGATCCAAGGAGGGTACGAGTACTTGGTATTACTATAGTAGATCGCAAATTACTACTTTGTCGAACATTGCATGGAGCGCATTGGAAAAGGGGGTGGGGGGTTTTCGAACAAGGCTGAGATTCAGCCTTGCATGTCTTGGCAATAGTCGAGCGATCTGCCCTCAAAGAATGAGTCACCAAGGTCACTTCGAGGGCCGCGAAGCTCGCTTGTGCTTTCAATTATACCTAGGTAAGGTATGAAAGTACAATTACTAGTATACCATGCAGGGGACCGTCAATCTCCGGCTGAAACCTTGATGATTTCGCGATTAGGACGTAACATGGTCAAGCGGACTAAACGGAGGTGATGAGTCAAACAGCTGCCGGGTGCATACCGTAGTACGTACGTCAGGCAGTATATTACCTAGGATAGTTTTCTTGATTGCGGTCTGCAATGGCTTCTCTAGCTCAATGAACCGCTTCTCTGGCTTATCTTGTTCCTGTAAGGCATTGGATGACCTGATAAGGTTTCTTTCTCTCTCTCCTTCCTTCCAGAGGGCAGTCCAGGAATAAGTCATTGGACGGTCATGGACGGTGACACTCTAGACGTTCCTCTCCCGACTGGCGCCAACGTCTCGGTGACGTCTCTCCTTACTAGTCGTACAACGATTGGTAGCACCTCCGATGGCACGAGTACGCCCACGTCCACGTCCACGTCCACGTCCACGTCCACGTCCACGTCGAGGCCGTCAATCAAAATCACATCATCTCAATCGGAGGAATATCAGCACAGGTTGGCCGACGTATGCTCCCGCGCCACCGTCAATGACCAGCTCAACGTGATTTTCCAACAAGACAAAACCGGCGACTCGACACACGTCACGGCAGATTTACTCTACCCGGCCGCCAAAGCGCGGGTCGAAAAAAAGGTCAAAGCAGGCGCGTCGGTTGTCGAGGCCGCGAACTTCGCGGCAGTCGTGTGCTGGGAGCCGCCGGAGGCAACAGCGCAGACGACCCTGTCCGAGACGGAGCTGCAGGATCTCGCCGTGGAGAGGCCGATCTTCGCGTCCTTCATCCGGCAGATGCAGGAGGTCAGAATACGGACGCTCGGCCGCGACCAGGCGTACTGGAACATGTCGCTCATGGCGCGGGATCCGGAGCGCAAGGACAAAGGCGCGGTGAGGGCCGTGATTGAGCCGTACGTGGCGCGGGCGAGGCGTGAAGGCGTGCCGATCTGGTTGTGCGCGGGGAACGAGAGGGCCAGGGATGTTTATGAGTATCTTGGGTTCAGGACCGTGGGGATAACCTGGTCGTACCCCGTGGAGAAGGTCGAGGGCGATGGACAGGTCGGGCTGCCGACTTGGTGTATGGTTTGTAATTGGCCGGTGGAACAATTGGAACGGAACAAAATGGTCGTGATGGAGGGGCATGCTTGAATGCCTGAGGCGGATGGGTAGCGAGAAGGAGTGGTATGATGGGCGGGTTAGAGCGCGCTTAGAAAGTATAGACATGGTATCTTTTTTTCCCTGGGCGGACTGTCGTATTTTGATAACATAGAACGGATCTGGGTCGGAGGGCCTGGGAGTTGCCGTGCAAATTCTAGACTCTGAACGCGTGTAAAGACGGTAGCGCCAAGGAGGACGATGTCGTATGGGCGATCGGAACCCGTCATGTTTGAGGAAAAGGCTTTACTTTCGGTGCGATATCCAGGGCCGAGATATGGCTGAATTCTAGAGTGTGCAGCCCTTCTATACTTGTTGTGTGTATTGTTGGGCTCAGCTGTCGACCCCGAAGTCGCGAGTATTCCTTGCGAGGCTCAGAGCACGCGCATAAAGGAGAACTTGAACTATCAGTCCATAGCATTGACTATTGCCATCAGTCAGTCAGAAATCGAGCCCGGAAAGGACAGCAGCAGCGCCTACCTTCAGACATGAGGAGTAAGCCAAATTCGTCAGCCTCTTCGAGCCATCTCTGAGACCTCGCGGCAATCTCAATCTCAGGGCCGATGACCATGAGCTCTTCTACACGATGTGGTCCACCATCACGCCAGTATTCGAGCCACTGGCTATAACGCTCCGTCCAGGTCTCTTCGCATTCTACTTGCCAAAGGATCTTGGGTGCTGGCGTGGGCATAAATCCGATTTCACGACACCCAAATGGTGGGTACCGGTGTCTCAACGACCATGCCCACATCAGCATGTGGGACGCCGTTATGGTGCGACGCTTGGTAGAGACTGCTATCCATTCGCTCCATGCCGGTACCGTCGCATCTGATTCGGCGTTGAGTAGCAGTCCTGTTTTCATAAGTGCCAAGTTCATGTCTTGTAGACCCATTATGAGACTTTGATCCTGGCTGTGAGAACGGCTTTGGCGGTGGCTCGGGAAGAGGAGAATGATGGCGTAGAGGATATATGCCTGGATAGCAACAAGGAGGTCGTTTTCACAGTATGATTTGTACTAGACTATGGTAAGAGCCTGGGATGATATGCTAGAAAGGAAAGATCGTGAAAATACCTCGGCAAGCAACCTTATAATTCCATTGGTGGCCATGCTCTCGACGGTGGACGCTGGGGCTGCGTTAAGGCCAGACAATATGTCGATACATTGACGGAGTGTTGGATGGACTCCTCCCTGAATCTGCGAGTGATGGATGAATGGCGGCACTCCCCCATGCGCCAACATCTGAGGGTAAGTTCGAAACACCCTGAAGACGAATGTCATGGCATGACGTGAAGAAGGGTGGCTGTCGATTGTTGGATGAGTCGCAGATCCATGGCTCGCCGCACTGGACTGGCCGCTGGAGGTTTCGAAGTCTACTGGAGGAGTCAGGAGATGCTTTGTCGCCCAGTTTTGAGTGGGTGCATTCTCCGATAGCGAGGCTGAAGGCTGAATTTCCGCATGGCCAGATGCCAGAGAGGCAACATAGTGACAATTCAAACCCTTTCTCCTGCATCTTCCGCATTCGGGCCGGCGTTCATCGCATCGGGATTTGGAGCTAGAGCATTCCTGGCACGCTCTCCTTCTGCTAGGCGTGGGAGCATCGCTGAGACACTTTTTGCAGTGTCTGGAAAGAGATGATTCTGCGAGACGAAGTTCCCATTACTAACAAAACTTTCAGGGAGTCTTGTACGCGCTTACTCGAAGTAAAGTCCTTGGAACATTTCTCACATCTCCAGTTTTTCAGCATGTCATCCAGCTTTGCTACGTGACCATTCGGACAGGAGTTAAAAAAAAACGGTGCGTGTCTCGACTTCCCGTTCTCTTGAAGCATCGCAGACCAGCCCCAAGTGCACGGTAATAACTGTCAGATACGGCAAAATTAAGATAAAGAAATGTGTGCTAAGGTTGACTCCAGTATGGTAACCAAAATGCGGTTCAGTCGACGCTGACAAGGCTGCAGTCTCGGCTATCTTGCCGATACTGAAATAGCTTGACGAGGCTGAGTCTGATCACGTGTAGACACTGAGGGAAGTCTGGGGTCTGCATTTCCGTAAGCGAGATGAATGGAAGAACCTCAATTCCCTCCGATTGCAACTTAACATTACCCAATCCATACATACTTGATGAGGTAGCCTTCACGCTGCACTTATTTTGAACAACGACTGGTAGTGATAGCATTCTTGCCTCTCAATCCTCACCGGGTTGCGTGATCGACGGGGCCGGATTCACCTATCAATCGACAGAGGTGTCCCCCACGCTCTCCTTTACCAAATCCTGACTGGTGACCACTCCTGGTGACACGCGTTATCTACAAACCCAGACACACCGCATGGATGACCCGATCAGACGGCAGCGACTCGACCGCCGACGACCTCATCTTCACTCCCTCCGGTACAGAATCTCCTCTCCCTCCTCCTGTTCGGTCCTCCAAACCCTCTTCCGCCCGACCTGCCAGTCCTCTTCGTCTTGACTCCCTTCCCGCCGGCATCAAAGACGAATTTCGATCCTATCGACCACCACGAATCCAATTTAATGACGACGCTCTCTCCGAGGACGAAGACATGTCCGACCGCCCACGTATGCACCGCCCGACAGGGCCTCAAGCCCACATTCCCCTACTCGCCGAAGACAAACTCGAAAGTGCAAGCCAGAGCCGCGGCCGACCCGAAGGCCCCTCGACTCGTCAATCTTTCGTCTCTCACCGAAGCACATTCCGCTCACGCTCCCCATCCTACGCACAGCCTGAGGATGTGGTCCGGCGGAAGTACATCTACGCCTCGTTCTTCTTGGTCCTCTCCCTGATTTCGTTTGTCGTCCAGACCGAAACGGCCGTGTATATTCAGCATGAACTACATTGGAACAAGGCATATTGCATGATGTACTTGACGCACGGATCGTGGATATTTCTTTGGCCCGTCCAGCTGGCCATCATACGTGTACAAAAGCGCAAGCTGTCGTGGCCTGCGTTCTGGCGGCGGCATGTGTCCTTGATCCGCACAACCGCACAGATGGTACAACACCAGGATCTGGCTCCGGGCCCGCGAAAGATGAAGACGTCTCCATGGCCGTACATGATCAAAATGACCGCGTTTGTTACCACTTTCCTCACCATGGCGGGCGGATCGTGGTATGTCGCTGTCAATCTCACTAGCCCGTCCGATCTCACGGCGATATATAATTGTTCCGCATTCTTTGCATACGTGTTTTCTATCATGCTGTTGAACGACAAATTACGATTCGATAAGGCGATCAGTGTTGGGTTGGCTATTATCGGTGTGTTAGTGGTTGCGTACGGGGACAAGGACGACTCGACGCCTGGACCGGGCACGAACAATCCGGGCGCGGAGAAGGGTTTTGGCACGAAGCTATTGGGCAATATAATCATTGGCATTGGGTCGGTTGCGTATGGATTCTACGAGGTGCTTTACAAACGGTTCGCCTGCCCGCCAGAGGGGTGCAGTCCGGGCCGCGGGATGATTTTTGCAAACACATTCGGTAGCATGGTCGGGCTGTTCACGCTGACGGTGCTGTGGATCCCGTTGCCAATCTTGCATTTCACTGGTCTGGAAGTGTTCGAACTGCCAAGTAGAAAGGCGGCGGGGTTACTGATGATATCGACGCTGAGCAATGCTGTGTTCAGTGGCTCGTTTCTCGTTCTGATGAGCTTGACGAGTCCGGTGTTGAGTAGCGTGGCGGCTCTGTTGACGATTTTCCTTGTGGCCATTACGGACTGGTTGGTTACAGGGAAGCCGTTCAGTGCGGCAGCGCTAAGTGGGTGTGCGTTGATTGTTGTGGCATTTTGTATGTTGAGCTGGGCGACGTACAAGGAGATGAAGGAGGATGAGAGGAAAAGGGAGGAAGATGAGGATAAGGTGCTCGAAATGGATGATGAGGCTGACGATGAACAGGCGGATGACTTGGGGCGGAGGAGGGGGAGTGATCGTGATTAAGATAAAACCAAGCAGGACTGGCGAGGCATGTCTTGATATGATGAAGGAGCGAGTCGCTATTGCATTTTTCGTGGAGTTGGGATAGAAATGTCAACCTATATTTGGATGGGATATATTTAGGTGCATTTGCATAGAGAGGTCGTGAGGAGCTGATCACAGAACATAATCGACCCTACAGGAGGTATTTGCTCAGTCAGGACATGGGTCTCGAGCAGAGACAGGCTGTTCAGCTTGACCAGATAGTCATTGTCACTCAATAAACTGCTGGTACGGATTTTGTTACCAAATGTCCTCGAAAGCACGCCGAAAGTCTTGGGTGCCATGGAAGTTTACCCAAGAATTGCGTTCGACGCTCGTACACTCCTCAGTATGTCGGAAGGCGCGTCATAATCCTTTGCCAGCTAAATCTTTGCCCAAGACGGATCCCGCTTGTTTCCTTCTACTCTGCATTGTCAAATATGCGCTATTCTGGGCTGCAAAGAGAAGTCGTAAGACTATACCGACAATGTCTGCGGGCGGCTAGCAAGAAACCGGAGGTATGTGAGCCAACGGTTGTTTGCCACAGCACTTCTGACTTACGAGCTTCCAGGCGAGCAAGGAGCGGTTTCGAAACGCGGCTCGGTAAGCTTTGAGATATCCGAGTAGCTAATGCTGCCAATTGAGATGTTTTCTGACAAGTCAGACGCGAGTTCCGGCAGAATCAGAAAATCGATAAGAAAGATTTCGCTGCTATTGAGGCTCTGCTACGGATGGGGTCCCGGAAGCTCGAGCTATACTCTTCGCCTGGCGTCAAAGACATTCACTGATTCGCACATCTGTCGGCATGAATGAATAAGATGGAGGCAAGGAAGATTCTACGTGCCTGCTGACAAAAGAATTGGCGTCTATGACTGCTACATGGTTTATTGCTGGGTTTGAGATCAGATCACGTGATGCGTAGAAGGTCGGAGAAACGTTTCGCCACTTCCACAAGGCTCCAGAAATAGGCCGATATTGCTTGCGTCTCCAAGAAGCATCCAGCAAGAGAAAGATTTCTGCTTGCTCAGCGGATTTGATCATCCACGATATTCCATCAAACGAGATGACGGGTTATAAAGTCTTGCTCGACGCACACTTACCTGCGATCACACCACAATCAAGAGCAAGTCTTATGCACTCCACCAGAATCATTCGACCCCAAGCATCAAGGATCATCCTCAGATCACCACCTTCAACAATCAGGAACATGTCTTTCCTCTTCCCAAGAATTGCCTACGCCCCTGTGCGATGCGGGCCAGTCCGCCATGAGTTCGCTCCTCTCCTCAGCCTCTTTGACGACACCTTCAATGAGATTCAGAAAGCCAGCCGACAAGCTCGGAAGCAGTTCACACCTCGCTTCGATCTGAAAGAGACCGAGGAGGCTTACTCGCTTGAGGGCGAACTTCCTGGTATCGACCAAAGAGATCTCGACATCGAGTTCACTGATGAACACACTCTGACCATCAAGGGCCGGACGGAACGTCACGTCGAGTCCGGTCGACGCCCTCAAGCTTCCGTCGAAGGCGAGGAAAAGGCTGCCATCGGGGGAGCTCCAGCTTCGGAAACTAGCAGCGTCAAGTCTCACCAACCCACTGTTGAAGATGAAGAGCCAGCCAACTCATCTGCTGCTGGTAACGAGACCACCACCGTTGCAGCGCCGACCCCAGCACCTGCGTCAGAACAAGCCAAGACCGAACCAGAACAACCACAACAACCACAACAGCAATACTGGATCTCTGAGCGCTCAGTCGGCGAGTTTTCGCGCAGCTTCAATTTCCCAGCACGTGTCAACCAAAACGCAGTGCGGGCTTCTCTGAAGAATGGTATCCTCAGCATCGTGGTCCCCAAGGCTCCAGCGCCAGAGAGCAGACGCATCAATATCGAGTAAAGAGGGTTTCCGGGGAGGATACTCCCTTTGTACAACACCACAACATTCATGACATGAACCTATCAGCGTGACGAATGGCATAGCTTGGCGTTGCCGATGGGCTCTTTGCATAGATATGGATCGATTGGCCCAGGCAGGGCTCGGAGGTACTTTAGAGTTGGCATTCTCTGCTCCCTTGCTGACTACGGATAATAATACATATCATTGATGCTTATGAACAACCTTTCCTCATCTGTAGTATTCTTCGCTGATCTATCGCTTTTAATCATGTCCTTCTACGGAGTACCTCGTATTCCATTCCCTTGAGCGAGGTCAAGCTTTCGACGCACATGCATTTTCCAGTTTCCTGGGAGCGCAGGGGCCAGAATGCGGCGTGTGTACAAGATCAATGCAGCCATGCCGCTGGACTCGTCCATCTTCCGTCATCCGCAGGCTTGATATACGTAATTGCAGCAAGACCTGCATGGTCTCCAGCACACTTGAGCGGACAAGTTACGCATGCACCGTATATCTTTATCAGCCCCGATCGGACCTCCGCCTGTCGAGTCTTTCTGGTGGCAGGCGTCTGGAAGCTTTTTCGGAAAATGTCTAGGATATCTATGACTTTTGTTCCAGCCACCTCGACCCCAGCGAAGCGTCTGCTCGCATAGATCTTCAGATCGTCAGCGCTCTAGACCCTCAGCTCTGCAGCGCAAGGAAGATCGACGATAGAGTGATTCGAATCAAAGCCGCGAAAGCCACAGTCAACCCGCTTGTGTGCTTGTTCATATTGTCCGGGCCATGATTGGGTCGCCTAATGGCTTGAGGCATCCTTCCGGCGATTCGTGCCATTCTCCGCAAGCAGGAAATGTGGCGTCAAGGAGGGGGATGAGTTTCGCCTATGCTCGATCCGTCGCTAGCGGTGGCTGATGCTTGCTTTAGGCTGGTCAAAAGCTGGTTTTGAGACTGGAGTGCGGGCTGTGGACAAATGGACAATCCCTGTGTGGTGGGTGCGGCTTGATGCCTACAGTGTAGCTCCGTACGTAGCCCGTAGTACTTGGGGTGCCCGGCTACCAAAATTGTTTATCCTTCCGGGCAGGAGCCAATGGGAGACCAATTTCCACATGCGCAGGGGCCATATTTGCTGCAAGTATTGCATGCTCCTCTTCCCGCCTTCATCACCTCTTTCCTGCTGTCTTGAAACCTTACCAACTTGCTGCAGAGCAAGCTTCGAGGCAGCATTGCTCAGTGGCGTGTCGTCTTTTTATCCTCTCACTTCATGTTGCCCTCGCAGTCGCTCGTTCGTGAATATTCCGCTCAGTCCAGCCGCCGTTCGTTCTGACACTCAACTTACCTACCTGGCACTTCCCGGATCACCACTCCGAAACCTGTCAGTACCAAAGCATTGACCTGCTGCATCTGTCACTCAGTCAGCCATCGGGGCAGGCTGGCAACATCCTCCGAGCTGGAAACATCTTTCTCCCGTCTCATGCACATCGTTCACTTCCATACTTTGAGCACGGCATCATTACATACGTACTACATTGAGTAGTTGATCCGAGATCTGGTCCACTGCAAGCGATGGCTTTAGAGCCCCCGTACAGAATTCTGTTATTCTAGCGGAAACCTCCTCTTCCACAACCCTCCTCGCCCGTAGTGAAATACAGGCCCATACACTTGCAGCATGCGTTTTGGTAGGCAGAAATCGAGCGTGGCGGTTGCGTTGGTCCAAGATGAACCCGAAGCACGTCGCAGAAATCGACTCTCCAAGCCTCTAACCAAGAAGCTCGCAACGAGTGTTTCTACAACCAGTTTACAAGAGCCAATCCCACGAATCAAGAATGCTAGCACACCGGATCTTCGAACAGGCGGCCCTTTGTCGAGCCACCCGAGCAATGCTGCCCTCCGACAACAAATTCGGTCGGAGGTATTCATCTCTAACATAGAGTCCCCTAGCAAACATTCGAAGACCGACTCAACCTGGAGCGTTGCGTACATGGTCAACCAGATCGAAGGGCACTCCGTTAATGATCTGGCCCCGCAACAGGAACAGTCTCCAGTATCACCTGTCTTGGGCTTATCAACTGTCAAGCCCAAGAAGAGGAAGTCGTTGATCTTGCGGCGTTTGTCTACACGGCGATCGGCTAGTTTGAAGCGATCCACCAGCAACGGAAAGCTCGACTCTCTAAAAGATGAGGCAATGTCGGCTTCAACACCGTCTTCTTCCATTGATTGCATAGTCGATTCACCCTCGATCCCTCCTACCCGACGAGCCTCATTCACACCAGGTACCGCCACGAGAAAGCCATCCCAGCTACGGCAAGAAGAACAAATCGAAGAAGAGAGTCTCGTTGAAGAGTGGGAACAGCGGCATATCGTTGATACGGACTATTTCGATTGGCGGCCTCCTGCACCTCCTGCAATGGTCGGTCGAGTTGGGACTCCTGCCGACTTGGACTATTCACATCTGGGAGGGTTGAGACGTGGATCTTTGCAGGTTATGAATGGACGAGCGTCTCCCACTTTTAGTGAAATCTCCAAAGTCTCTCGACAACCATTGTCTGTGCTATCACCACATAGAGACATTTCGAGTGACTATGGTGATGCTGACGACGAGCTCCAAAAAGGTATTCAAGCGGTTAATATTCGCCCGGTGCACACCCCTCTTGATGTGAGCAACGAAGGTCGATGTTTTAGCTGGGAGACCAAAGATGGGGAGGTTTTACGCACCCATCCGCTCCAAATTGTCACGTCTGCAGATACTGAGTCGACTTCGGCAAAAGATCCGGACCAGGCATCGATGATGGCACAAGAATATATGGCCGAACTGGCTGCCAGTCCGTTTTCGGAACACAAGTCCTATTATTCGCCTGGATCATCAGGCAAGAGCAAATCTGAAGGATGGCTGCAAACTTCTTCCTCGGTATCATCACTGCACAGTTCGCCAGAAAGGTCACCCTCTCCCACTGGCTCTGTTGTCCGAAGATCGAGGCATGAACAAGAAGGTGAAAGCAGATTGCATGTTTTCGACAACGTACATGGTCAGTCTGGTGACAGTGCGAGCCGTTGGTGCTCCCCAAGACTCTCGATCGATGAGGGGTTACAATCATCGCCCGAATCCCAGGCTCAGGCCTCCTCAAGTCGATTACAGCCTCCTCGAGCATCTGAAAAGTCAGATAGTGGCTACAGCTCCAGCACTTCATTGAGGTCACTGCAAGTAGCGCCGGGTGCGTCACATATGAAGACTTGTGCTTTTGAAAACGCGTCCACCTCTACCCTGACTGGGCAATCACAACAGCAGGAAGTCAAGCCGCCTCGACTAAGCCATAGGCCAACAATTTTGAAGTCGCGGAAGACTGCACCTCAGCTACCGACTTTCGCCAATTTGAATCCTCCTGTTGGAACGTTGACACCTGCACCAGCCGCCTCCAAGACAGAGATTACCTCGGCAAAGACTGTCAAAGGCCGCAAGAAATTACAGAAGAAGCGTCCGTTGAGCCAGCCGCCTGCCAAGGTCTCACTCACTCGAGTCCGTTCTTTTGAAGGCGAAGGGATTCCCTCAATTCCACATGAAGTACGCGAGAACCTTCGCATTCGTTCGGAAGAGGTGCCCGAGCTTGAGCGGACGTATCTTCCACTCCATGCTCTTACCAATCAAGCTAGCCTTTCGAGCATTGACCTGCAAAAGTCCGACATAAGATTTCCCTCGCCAGCTCCTGAACAGCCGGTTCCTATCAGAAGATCACGAAGCCTCAGTCGTCCGAGATCGTGGATTGGTCGTCCCAAGGAAGACATGGTCAGTTCTCGGCGTAATTCAGGCATTAGCCAGATTGAGGCTATGGCAATCATCAATGACTTTGGGACGGTGGCGTCGTCTCTGGGAGGGAGCCCTTATGACATGGCACATGAGAATATGGTAACGGAACAGACGATGAATCCCTATAACATTTCCATTATCGCCCCACGACCAAAATACATGATGGACGACAAGACAGCAGCGGAGCTTTCGAGGGCACGAAGCCGCTCGATTCAACAACGTGCCGGCTTGCCGGCAATCCAAAGACCGTCCTTCAACGACAGGGGAGGCATTCCAGGCAGGAATCTGAGACCAGCAAGTTTTGCCAGTGACGCTCCTCCCATAACTCCTGAGATGTTGCAGAAGGCATTTCGGACGTCGTCAGCGCAGAGGCAACCCTCTTTGACTTATGGTAATGCACCACCCCCACCGTTGCACTCACCACGTCCCTCATACATTAGTTGCGAGGAAACCTCTTCCGACGTGGTAGTGGCCCCTCCTCCACCCCATCACTCACCTCAGCCTATGGACGTTATGCCGAATCCATGGGCAGCACATGCTGCAGCTTGGAAGGCTCGGCGGCAGTCTGCTGGTGTCGGCCTCCGGAGGCAGTCTTGGAGTTCTCGTGATCCGCACGGGCACTTTGAAGGTCGTGATAACTTTATGCACGAAGAGCCTCTATATCCTGCCATTCCTCCTCGGAACAGCCAATATAAAAGGTGGACTCACTGCGCTGCTCCTACTGAGCATCCTCCTTTGCAGCAAGAGCATTACGAAGGGTATGATGATTATACTTCACATGGACAAACAGATTATGTCCGTCCAGAACCTGCGCACCAACGGTTAGGTGACTACGATACAGCGTACATGCGGCGGTCCAAACACAACTCGATGGTACATGACAACCAATATTCCCGTGGCCGCGTCCAGGAGCCGTACGCGCCAGTCCACCACTGGCCGCTCCCAGCCACCGGCCCTCATGAGTCGGCCTCCAGGAATCGCTCGTATCGACCACATTCGCAAGCGGGTAGTGTCCGCAGCTTTGCATCGTCACTGGCTGAGGACTTACATCCTTCAGATTTGGAGAGGTCTCACCAACCGCCGGAGTTCGGACGTTATTCTGGAGGACTGGCCTTTGAATGCGAACGACGTAACGGATTTGGAGGCTCGGCGGGCACGCGTTCAGTGAGCGGGAAGGCAGAAGCGGCGTGGAAAGACGTGCCTATAAGAGCGAGCTTTGGCGTCGATCTCGGCGATGTCCCAGTCATGGACGGGGCTAGAATCCGATGATATCCAGCAACAGATGAAGGCAGCCTATTCTTTGAAGCGGGAACGTGAGTACAGAATGCGTTGGGGTATCGGGAACCGGGCAGAGCAGAATCAGTCTCTTTGTCTGCACAGAAGATCAGGGCATTCACAGCACCTTGGATATTGTACAGTTAGTTTGTTGGTTCAGGATTATGAAGCGATTCAGCGGCACGATGGTTGTACATTATACATTTTCAGTTGGCCGTCAGACCTTTTTGGGCTTTCATGGGTTACTTCTCTGGAACGAAAGGACTAATATCTTGTCTTGACTCTATCGAAATACTAGTATCAATGTCTTGGATCCTCTCAATACCAGTCTCGGATCTCCTCGAGACGAGACATTATCTGACAGACCACCCAAGTGGTGGGATTTCTACGAGAGCAACTCACATATGGTATTTTGAGGAGTATGATTGAGTTTCCCAGTCATGGTTGCAAGGTGGTGGGCGTTAGTGAGGTGTGAAGAGAGTGGACTTCCAACTGCTGATGCTTTGCGCGAGGTAGCAGTACCCAGGTCACAAGTACCAGTATACGATCCATTTCCAAGGTTTAGTAGGGGAGACGAGGCTACGGCATCATGAAGCTCCAACATATTATTATGTATAAGGTAAACTATAGTGCTACTGAGTCTACGGCGAGGACAACGATCCCCCTAAGAGCGGGGAGAGCGAGAGCGAGAGCGAGAGCGAGAGCGAGAAATTAAGACGACGAAGCTACCCGCAGTACAGTATGAACTTCTAACGCACTACGGACTAGTACCAGTTGGTACTCCGTACATGATCATCCCTCTCTATTGAGAAGAGAAAAGGACCCCGCCTTAGGGGCGCTCGAAGGACGCACTGACCAATACTACTAGTAGTACTAGTAGTACTCCGTACGAATGTATACAATGGACAATGACAGTGCGATGCGATAGAGTCTGTATATGCAAGACGTCGTGGTCTTTAGTATTGAACAATCTAGGATGTACAGCACTGTGCTATGTTTCCGCACCAATATACAACTCATCTGACACATGATTTTTGGACGTCCTCTCCCAGAAAAATTGGAATGGAGTACCCCTTGGAGGTAGTACTACTCGATAATATAAAGAATCTTCTTCCAGCCCTTGCGGACCTGAGCGGGACGCTCGGCATCGATAACCTCCTGCAGACCGGTCTTCATGTCGATCTCGGCCGGGTCCCAGGCCCAAGCGTCGCGCCAGAACCAGATGCGATGGCCGAAGTACATGAGGAAGAAGATGGGGATACCAATGTAGGCGGTCAAGAAGGAGGAAGCGGACCACTTCGACGGGAAGAAGACGGTGAAGCCGTTGATCAAGCACAACAGGGTGAACATGACCATGGCAATGTATGCGCCGTAGGGCTGGAACCAGTTGCGGTAAGGTGATCGGACCCCCTGAGTGTCGCAAGCCTTGCGGAAGCGGAGAAAGATGATCATACAGCAAACCCACGAGGTCATTCCCCAAGTATTGGTAAGATTAACGAACCAGGCGAAGACGGTGGAACCGCTCGAGGCGACGTTCAGATAGGCCAGCCCGCAGAATAGGGATGATACGCCGACGGCCATGTATGGGACACCCCATCGGTTGCAGGTCTTGAAAATGCGTGGTGCTGAACCTTGCACCGCCAGACTGTACAAGGCGCGTGACGAAATGTACAGGAAGGAGTTGCCGGAAGACCAGGCGGAGATCAGGATGACGGCGTTGACAATCGAGGGAAGTACATCGATGCCGGCGTTGGCGATGGCAACGACGTAGGGAGACGACTTGGCACCAGCGCCACCGTTGGTCAGCGCAGGGGCGTCGCTTGGGCAGGTGACACCGATGGCTAAAACGCCCAGGACGTAGAAAATCACTAATCGGTAGAAATAGCGCTTCGAGGCGATGGGCAGGTTTCGACGAGGAGATTCCATCTCTCCACCGGTGACGACCAGGAGTTCTGGCGCAAAGGTGAAAGGAAAGACAGACGAGACAAGGGTCTCGAAGAATGAGATGGTGCGGCCAGAGTCCCCGGTCTTAATATATGGATGTGCTGCGCCGGGATCGTTCCAGTACCTGAACCCAAGTCGATCGTGAGACGGGCCGCCTATGTGAATGTCAACAAGAATCCATAGTCAGTGAAAAGGAAGAGACGTACCTCCCCAGAAGAGAATGAAACTCAGGAACAGAAGACCGATCATCAAAATGACCTTTGTGCCGGCAAACCAGAATTCGGTTTCTCCGTAGAAACGGACGGGCAGGAAATTGAGACCAATAATGACGACGAGCATGATGGTCATCCAAACTGCAATGTTGACATCGTTGTGCCAGTAGTTGATGACCAAACCGGCTGCTGTGACTTCGTAGGGGACCAAGATTCCGAGGGCATACCAGTATAGATAGCCGAGCGCGAAACCCATGGATCGTGAGACGTATCGGTAGCCGTAGTAGGACATGGTGCCGCCGTGGACGGGCAGATAGGCGGCGACTTCGGTGACAGCAGTCACGACGCAGTATACCAGGAAGGTCATGATGACATAGGATGCAAGGATGAAGGCTGGACCGCCCAGTGCGAGGGTCGCACCAGAACCGACGAAGAGACTGGAAGTTGTGTTAGTTCTGCCTGTTTTTGCCCTCCAACGGGCGTCCTTACCCAGTACCAATGGTACCACCAAGTGCAATCATCTGAGCATGTCTGCTCTTGAGCCCACGTTTGGTGATGCGGTATCTCTCATCGAGAAGGTCGGCGGCGATGATGGACTCGGCCACAGAGGCTTTCCTGCCGTGCAGGGAGCCCTTGCGACCAGTCTCATCGATGGAGTGACCTTTGATTTCATCTCCCGCCACGCCCTTTTCAGGGTCGTAGTAGTCGCCGGAAGACATGGTGTAGTAAAGACTCTCCAAGCGTCCGGACAGCTGGAAGGAGCAGAAGCTGCTGCACAGTACTACTGCCTTGTATGCCGCACCTCGAGTTGTAGGAGCGAGAGGGATAAGAAGGAGAAAGAAGGCTCAGGCATGGCTGGGGAAGGAGGCATGGGTCAGCCTTTTTAACCTTGTTCAGACAATGTATCCTGGAGATCTGGATCAATACAGGGTGACAGGGTATGCCTCCGTACTCCGTGGATAGACGGTCTTCCGCGCTGTGGATGAGCTGACATGACGGTTCGATAGCAAGTGATCAAGGTAGCATGGTGTCCTGGCGAGAACTGGGATGCCACTGGATGCTTGTGGTCACTGATAAGAAAAGGTCCCGCGGTCAGATCGTGTTGGTGGCTCTTGGCCGAATCCGCACTCCACTTGGTTGTTATCTATGGCCACCACCTAGCCACCACTGGAAGAACGCCAGTCTTCCAATCTCACTCACCTTGATTGGACACATCGCCAGTTGTCAAGGATGGATATCCCGCATGAGGCGTATCCAAGCTCGAGGAGGCTGCGATAAGCACGTCTGGAACTCTTTGACTAAACGCATGGGGTAGTGGCCTACCCAGGATGATGGAGGCTTCTGCGGCATATACGATCAAGCAACCTCGCCATCACCAGTGCACCACAGGTGACATCGAGTTACACTGCAAGGGTTCAGCCAGCCTTGGCCTAGGCCTCATGCCCTTCGAAGCTTCGCTTGGAATTACTGTTGCATCAGTCCTGCAAGGCCATCATCAAAAGCAATCCATGCATTGTTCTAGAAGCAACTTCACACCGCACCGCACACCACTTTGCCATGGAGATGAGCTACTCATATCTTGCGTCAGCCACGTGCGGAAGCGATATTGCTGTAGCTGATCTCCGTCAGCAACGCTTACAAGGGTACGATACAGTACTCAGGGCAGGAATGGAAGCTGTCTGCGAGGGGCTCAGGAATCTTGGGAATTATTGCTCTAGCTGACTCTTAGCTGACTCTCGACTGCAGAAGCTTTGACTTGCAGTACCTAGCAGGGAGACATCGGCTTTGGCGCCATGGCACCAGTTTTCAGGAGCTTGATACCCCTTGGTAACCCGCGGCCCGATGAGGCTACAATATGCATCCGACGTGTCTTCAGGCAGTCGCGCTTTCACATACACATACACAGTCAGCCTGTTGGATTACACAGTATGATACAGCCACGGAAGACCAGGCTTTACGGAAATCAACGCAAGTACAGAAGCACCGGCCCGTTTCTGCTGCATGTTCTCGACCAACGCCACGAATGTTCAACCTGATCTGGACCGAAGGACTGTCTGTACCTTTTCCGGATGTTGATCCCATTCGTGTCCATTCTTGTTCGTCGACGCTACCTTATCGCCAGATGGGGGATATGACATTGGTGACATGGGACGACTTTCGGTGACTGATCGGCACATCTGTTGGGAAATTCAAGCTTATGTATATCGAGAGATCGAGATCTTGATGTCTCCCTCCTCGTAGTGCCCAATCTGAGGCTCTGTTGCTCCCATCAAGCATCCCTATATGCAGAAATCCACAGAGTCCGCGAGAGCTTTACCAGTGAGCCGGTATTGTCTCTCATGACGTATGATGAGCATCGCATGCTTTTCGAGCATCGACAAGCGATGAGTCCGAGCTTCGTAGCTTTTGGCATCCTAGGACAACTACATCGATAACCTGGGTAAGCCTACCCTTGCCATGATTCCCTTTGCAGGCAGCAGGACTTTCAAGACGATACTCCTCTGCTTCGTGGTAACCGTAAGCCAGGCAGTGGCCAGCTTGCCAGGTAGGTTGAAGCAGGCGTGAGCGGGTTATGGCGTGCGGACATGACCGCTTCAAGGGGAAGTCTTTGGGACCTTGAGGCTTTCTTTGAATGTCTTTTGTCTGCGTTTGCGGAGAAGCACGACGCACAAAGGCTTGTCCGTCCCTGGTCCCTTCGACCTCTTCAGAGACAGTTTCCACAGGACCGGCATATCAACTTCGAAGACAGCCTACATGAAGAAGTCTATCAACGCTTGACCGCCATGCTATCAGAAGGTAAGCAGGTTCACCCAACGATTTAGGGTGCGGCATCAAGGTTGATATCGGAACGCAGATTTGACCTTTCTCGAATTACCACTCACTCTCTGGGTTACAGTAGTCATAGCTTTGTATGCTATTTCTTGCTCCTTTTCGAACCATGCAAGACTGGGAAAAGTTCCAGGGCCCTGGCTTTATGCGACGACCAGATTTCGATTGGGCTTGGATGCGTGGCGAGCCCGTTCAGTCCAGGCTATTCTCAATCTACACCGACAATATGGCCCGATTGTCCGCATCGGACCGAGCGAAATCTCCTTCAACAGTATTTCCGCGCTGAGAACCATCTATGGAGCTGGCAGTGGCTTCGAAAGGACATCCTTTTATCGTATGTTTGACGTCTATGGCCACAAAAACCTGTTCACTTTTGGTTCCGGCAAGCTCCACCGTGACCGTAAGAAGTTGATCAGCCATATATACGCTAACCAAACGGTCCTTGGTCCCGAGTCTTCTGCAATGGTCCAGAAGAAGGTTGCAGCGTTTCTCTCTCTGCTCGAAAGAGAGCCAAACCATGCAAGTGAGATCTTCCGAAGCTTGCACTATTTTTCGTTCGACACCATCTCAGAATTTGTGTATGGTGCTGAGCACGGAGGCACGACCGCCTTGTCCGGATGCAAAGTGTCCCAAGGCTTGATTGAAGACATATTGAATCCAGCTCGAAGGAGACTGGCATGGTTTGCGATCCATTTTCCGGCATACACAAAGTGGATCACGACACGCACTGGACTGTTGGAACGACTGCTGGCATCCCTCGGATTGATGCCTATGAGGAAGCCTTTCACTTATTCTGGCATTCGTCAGCATGCACTGAACGCGTTTCATAGCTTCAAAAATGCTCCAACTGAGGTGCAGGCAAATGCCGCCGAGACCACAGTCATTGGACGCTTGTTCAAGGTGCGGCAAGAAGCCAACCTCTCAGACATGGACATCGCTTCAGAGTGCGCCGATCATCTTCTTGCTGGCATTGACACCACCGCTGACTCGCTGATGTTCGTGATTTGGGCGCTTTCCTTGCCACAACACAGGGAATTCCAAGAAAGATTGAGGGAAGAGGTGTCGCAGATCTCCGTCGACGGCAACGACTTACCTGTCCCTAAGGAATTGACCCAGCTTCCATACTTGAATGCGGTCGTGAGGGAGACTTTGCGCTTGTATTCGCCACTGCCTGCATTCGAGCCTCGAGTATCCTCGACCGATACTGTCATTGACGGGTACGAAATTCCGGCCGGTACAGTTGTTGGCATGTCGCCATTCTGCTTGCACAGAGACGAGACGGTCTTTCCATCACCTTTGAGCTTCACGCCTGAGAGATGGTTAACACCTTCCGGGACCCTGGTCCCCGAATCAGATCTGAGGAATCGATACTTCTGGGCATTCTCGAGTGGCGCACGCATGTGTATCGGAATGCATCTGGCCAATGCCGAGATGCTGACGCTGATCGCTGCGCTGTACCGGAAGTACAGAACATCAGCAAAACACCCGGACACGTCGCCAGGTGTCACAAGTAGGTTCGAAGTCTTCTACGATGAGACGATGCCTAGAATGGCCGAGCACGAATGTTGGATTGATTTCGTAAAGCTTGCCGAGAACAACAAGTCATCCGGCGCTTGGACACAATGAACACGTCAAGGGTGTTGACTACCAACAATCGGACACGACTTGTCATCTCGCGATCTTCCGGAACCTCACGCAACGCACTTGCCGCCTCACAGCCGAGATTTGAATGGTTGCCGATACGTGGCACGGACCAGGAAACAATCTGTATGCAGGTCGCCGCTGTTCAAGATGGAGGTGCATCCGGCCAGCACCATTGGACCCTGCGCCAGGAACAACAATGTCACACAAGCACGAAAATCTCCTTGACACGAGTTCCTGTTCTTGTGATTGATCCAATACAGCTTACAAAGGTCCGGGAGAATACATCAACAAGCATTTGATGTGCGCCACTGCCTCTCCATGGTCAATGCGTTTGACAGCTCAATCTCAAAACACTCCGTCCAAGAATGTCATAATACCTGCTGTGGATCGCTCCTCCGCCTTTTCGCATTCTCTCACCTTCGCCTTCAGATCCACGCTGGTTTCAAGATGTGCCTTACTGAGATTTGGACCTACCGCGACTGTGGGTGTCGCTATAACCACAGCGTTCTCTGTCGCTTGTACAGACGAGGAGGAACGCCATGTTTTGCACCCAACATTCACTACCCCATGGACAAATGGCTCGAGGCGACTGGACTCGACGCCGAGCTGGCTTTTAGACAATTCAAAGGGAGCACGAAGCCCACAGAACCGCAAAATTGTCCTCAACATAGCACCGTCCAGAAGACATTCCTCAATCCTATCTGCGAAGATTGTCTACTTGCAGAGATCCAGTCCCGGCCAGTCGATGGCGCCAATACGGATCCGCCGCCAGCTCCTGTCCCTCCGTCGGACAATGTCGAGGGACTGGTCTGGGACAGCGGAGTCAAGGTCGAGATTCAAAGCCGGACATCGCAAGAGCTCTCTGCTCCAGTGACGCCGATTAGCACGGCGTCTGCCAATGACAGCGACGATATTGACCGAAGAATCCTCGAAAGTCATGTTGAGATCACAATCGAGGCCGACAACTGCAGTGACTCGGCGGATGACCCGTCTTCACCACTGCTTACGTCATCTCAGAACGAGGACAGCTCACCCCCTTCATCAATTGCCACATCTCCAGAAAGCTTAACCGATGCTGGCAAACGATACTCGACGTCTCCTACTACTCTTCGTAGTCGGAGACACGGATACACGTTTCATGATGGGTACTCGTCAGATATTGGGGACACTGACGACGGAGCGGGCGATGCCCCCGGAGAAGAGTACCCTCAAGCCCAACCGTCACGAGGAAGACCTCAGATTCGTGGCGACGGCAGCATCACAGTTCGGAGTGTGACTGACCCTGTGATACCGCTTGCTCTCAACGCAAGGAAGAAGAGCAACAAGGGCCTCTCAAGGTTCAAGAGTATTCGATCTATTTCGTCAAGCTTTCGACATAACTCAAAGACCAAAACTCAGGATTCGGTAAATGAGAGCGACACTGCTCCAAAGGTCACCTCGAAGGCAATGCCTACGAGATCACGCTCCAGGAATCCTTTCCGTGCATTTCGAAGACGGAAGTCCTCCCGCAACCATGCAGAGATGATAGAAACAACGCCGGTATTGCACAGCCATGACTTTTGTGACAGCTTCGAGGATGAACCGATATACTTGGAAAAGCCAGTTCTCCCACCACGCAAGGCGAGCCTGAGACATTGGAGGTCTTTCACAGATCCAGAACAGATTCAGTGGGAGAACACCTCGTCATGCCACAATACACGCAGTCGTGCACCCAGCCCAACTGGGTCTTGGTCACAGAATCATCTGGACTACCGAGGAGAGCCCGAGGTGCCCAGGTGGGAATTACCGACGCATAAGGACATATCCTTCGACACCCAACCGGTATTAAGTGATTTCGAGGTCGAGAGAACGGCCGGTTTCAACGTGGAGAATGCCACTCTCCCAGCCACGGCCGTTCCAGGCACTCCGGATTCTTTCAAGGTCCATCCACTTCGAGCGAGGATCGAGGGCATCGAAACCTTTGATCTCGGTCTCGATGTTACGTCCCCTACAAAGCAAGAGAAAGAAGAAGTCCGTGACATGGAGGACCAGGCATGCGTCGTGGAAGAGCATGTCCAGATGATAGGGGTCGCCCAAGCTCCCGAAGTCGAGGCGACATGTAAGACGCTGTCGTCGGAAGGGGCGAGCCTGCAATCAGAACAGCCTGAGGAAACACAGCCCGAACAAGAGCAGGGCCAATTGCTGCTAGAGCCGGAACAGATCGTATCGCTGTATGGCCCTCCAAAAAAGGCGGACGACAAGGAGCAGGCAGAGACCGGAGACCAAGTCCCAGAAGTTGTCGCTCAGAAAGAGGTACCAGTGGATGAGGTGCATGAGGAGGACTCTGGATCGACCACGCCACCGGGCTCGCCTTCACCGGCACACCGAGATATGCTTCCGACAAGACCTCTTCATCCACCCCGCAAAAGCTCGCTTAGAAGACTGACTGGGTTCAACCATACGGTCATGCCATTTGCAGACTTTGAGTTCCCCATGCCTGTACTAGCTTCGGCTGAAAGCAAGACTGACGCTGCCGATGAGGGCCGATTGAGTAGATAGCTTTCTCTTTTCAGCCGTTTTAATGATACAATGATTGATGGTGTGGATTTCCTACAAGTAGTGTGAGAGCGGGCGCTATCAAATCCTGTAATAGTCGAAGACCATGTCCGAAACACATTGATCGATTTGTTCCAGTAGACGTGTCAAAGTCAGCGTAGATGCCTAACTTAAGGACCATGGCCGACGTGTGGATGGTCGAACATAATCGTTCAGACAAAGTCCTGCTGCACAGGTCTACGCGACCTTGGGTATTGTTGATCGACGTGAGTCATCGCGATGGTCGTGGTCGCTACAGCTCCCCAACTGATGGCCATGCAAGAAGCAGGAAGAGAAGAGAGATGAAACAATTCGCAAGGGTTACTTGCTAGTAAGGGAGTGGATTACAGGAAAAGAAAAGAAAAAGAATACGTGGGCAAATCAAGGACCCGTTAGGAGCCTGTCACGTGTGGATTGACAACAGGGATACTTACCACCATCGCCCACCAAGCCACCTAAACTACCAGGTACTCTGTGCACAAGTAAAATAAATAGGTGGTGGTGGAGTATCACTGTGAGTATCAACCACGCAACGACGAAACCGGCCAAAATTATTGTTCCTCGTCCACATCCACATCCACATCCACGTCGACCACCAGGCCGACTCAATCGGCGTCTCTTTCATTTCTAGGCCATATTCAAATTCCTCGGGAGATTGAGCTGTCGGGCTATTTGGTTGTATCTCGCCCTCTGGAGACATCCTATCAACATCTTTTGTTGTTCTCTTACGTTTCTCCCTTCCTATCAGCAAAAAAGCCTTCGAACCACGATCGCGCACACAACCCATTGTTCCTCCCACCCAAATCGCCCCAGGTCGACTCTTGTGCATGCAATAGGCGCAGTTGAGCAACATGTCTGTTCTCCCTGCCGAGGTGCAGGGAGCATTATCCCAGCTCTTGCAAGCACTCTCTTCCCCGGACAACACCCTCCGCACACAGGCCGAGGAACAATTGAACAATGATTGGACACCCAACCGGCCCGATATGCTCTTGATGGGCTTGGTCGAACAATTACAAGCCGCTGAAGAACCGTCGGTAGGTTGACTTCCTGCGGCTGCCTGGCTGTCGCTAATCGATATGCAGACTCGGTCATTTGCGGCCGTCTTGTTTAGAAAACAAGCCTCCAAGACGAGGAAACTCCCTGGCTCCAACGAGAATAAAGAACTCTTCCTCACCCTCAGCCCCGAAGCCAGAGGTGCCATCCGATCGAAGTTACTGGAGGGGCTAGCGAGGGAGCAGATTAATGCGGTGAGGAACAAGATCGGAGACGCAATCGCAGAGATTGCTAGACAATATGTCGATGCCAGTATGTGTCACAACTTGGAGCGGCGATGGATGGCTAGCTGACAGTTCCTGACGCAGACGAGATGTGGATGGAACTCCTCGCCGCGCTATTCCAGGCAAGCCAGTCGAACGACGCGGGCATGCGAGAATGCGCATTCCGAATATTCTCAACCACGCCAGGTATCATCGAGAAACAGCATGAAAGCGCCGTGCAAGAAGTCTTCGGGAAGGGCTTCAAGGATGACAGCGTCGATGTAAGCGCATGCGCGAAGTGCCCTGAGCCTGCATTACTGACAAATCCCAGGTCCGGCTCGCTGCCATCGAAGCATTCGCCTCGTTTTTCCATTCAGTCACGAAAAAGGCCCAATCGAAATATTATTCCCTGATACCCGATATTCTCAATATTCTGCCACCTCTGAAACAAGCTGGAGATACGGAAAATCTTTCCAAAGCATTTGTCTCTCTGATTGAGCTTGCCGAAGCGGCGCCGAAAATGTTCAAAACCCTCTTTTCTAGTTTGGTCAGCTTCAGCATATCTTGTATTCAAGAGAAGGATCTAGGGGACCAGACACGGCAGAATGCACTGGAACTCATGGCCACATTTGCGGAGTGGGCGCCGGCCATGTGCAAGAAAGAACCGTCATACACAAGCGACATGGTCACGCAATGTCTCAGCTTCATGACCGACATTGGTCTGGACGACGATGACGCTGCCGAGTGGAATGCGAACGAAGACCTCGACATGGAAGAAAGTGACATGAACCACGTTGCTGGCGAGCAGTGCATGGATCGTCTGGCCAACAAACTCGGAGGAGAAGTGATGTTGCCAGCCACATTTACCTGGCTTCCAAGAATGATGCACTCGGCTTCCTGGAGAGATCGGCATGCGGCATTGATGGCCATCTCTGCCATATCGGAAGGTTGTCGAGATCTCATGATTGGAGAGCTAGACAAAGTGCTCGAGCTGGTTGTCCCATCTCTCAGAGACCCGCATCCTCGGGTACGGTTTGCTGGTTGCAACGCCCTGGGTCAGATGAGTACCGACTTCGCGGGGCCTATGCAGGAGAAATATCATCAAGTGGTGCTCACGAACATCATTCCGGTCCTGGAAGCTCCAGAACCTCGTGTGCAAGCTCATGCTGCGGCTGCCTTGGTCAATTTCTGCGAGGAGGCGGAAAAGGCCATTCTGGAGCCTTACCTCGACCAGTTATTGGGCCACCTATTGCAGCTTTTGCAATCGCCGAAACGTTACGTGCAGGAGCAAGCTTTGTCGACGATTGCTACCATCGCCGACTCTGCCGAAAGTGCTTTTGTTCGATATTACGATACCCTGATGCCTCTCCTATTCCGCGTCCTACAGACCGAACAGTCCAAGGAGTATAGACTACTCCGTGCTAAGGCCATGGAATGTGCGACCCTTATCGCTTTGGCTGTCGGCAAGGAAAAGATGGGCCAAGACGCGATTACTCTGGTGCAAACGCTGGGTAATATCCAGCAGAGTATCACAGACGAGGACGACCCGCAATCCCAATATCTGCTCCATTGTTGGGGCCGAATGTGTCGTGTTCTGGGCAGAGACTTCGTACCTTACCTTCCGGGAGTCATGCCGCCTCTACTGGAATTGGCATCAGCCAAAGCTGATATCCAGCTCATCGACAACGAGGAAGACGCCTTGGACCAAGAAGACGGCTGGGAGCTAGTGCCATTGAAGGGCAAGGTCATCGGCATCAAGACGTCTACACTCGAGGATAAAAACACCGCCATCGAACTCATCACCATCTACGCGCAAATACTGGAGGCTGACTTCGAGCCTTACGTCGCCGACATCATCGAGAGGATAGCATTGCCGGGCCTCGCTTTCTTCTTCCACGACCCGGTGCGGGTCGCTTCCGCAAAACTCATTCCCCAGCTACTGAATTCTTATAAAAAGCGGTTTGGCGACCATTCGCCTCAGTTGATGGAACTTTGGGCCAAATGTTGCGACAAGGAAATCGAAATTCTCAGCGCCGAGCCTGCGATTGACACTCTGGCCGAGATGTATCAGTGTTTCTACGAGAGCATCGAAGTGGTTGGTAAGAATTGTTTGACACAACAACACATGGAACAATTCATCCAGTCAGTCAAGTCCTCCCTGGAGGAATACCAGAAGCGAGTACAGGAACGTGCTGAAGACAAGGCCGATGCGGCGCAAGCCGGTGTCGAGGAAGATGATGACTCACTTTCAGTGCAATATGCCATCGAGGACGACCAGACACTGCTTTCCGATATGAACAAGGCTTTCCACACCATCTTCAAGAACATGGGGACCAATTTCTTGGGACCTTGGGAGAGACTGATGCCGTTCTACCAGTCGTTCGCTTCGAGCAGCGATCCCACTCAACGACAGTGGGCACTCTGTATTTATGATGATGTGCTTGAATTTTGTGGTCAGCAATCATGGCAATTAAGTGGAGAAATCACCAAGGCTCTCATCCGTGGAATGACGGACGAGAATGCAGCAAATCGACAGGCCGCCGCCTACGGAGTTGGGATTGCCGCCCAAAAAGGGGGTGAACAGTGGTCGGACTTCGTCGCTGCCAGTCTGGAGACGCTGTTCCAGATCACTAGGGTACCGAATGCAAGGAGTGAGGATGAAGTCTTTGCGACGGAGAACGCGTGCGCGGCCATCGCCAAGGTCCTGCATTACAATGCCTCCAAAGTGCCTAACCCGCAACAAGTTGTTGAGCAGTGGCTGGATACTCTGCCTGTTGTCAATGATGAGGAAGCAGCTCCTTATGCTTACTCTTTCGTCGCCCAGCTCATTGACCAGTAAGTGGCGCCTGGCCTCGTCTACAAGAGAACAACCAACTAACCAGTTTAACAGACAAAATCCTGCCGTGTTTGCCAAAGCGCAACAAGTCTTCCATCATATCGCACTCGCACTCGAGGCGGAAATGATCCAGGGTCAAACAGCCAAGAAAGTTGCTGAGAGCGCAAAGGCGATGGTCACGCAGAGTGGAATCAACGCGGATCAGGTGTTGCAGACGCTCTCGCCTGATGGGCAGGCTACCGTGCGGAGCTATTTCTCGTAATGCTTGCTGCGATGTGACGGAACGTGAGTGGGCGGTTTGCATAGCATGGATAGAGGTGAACAATCGGTGCAATCTCAGGTAGCATGAGATATGGACTCGCAATAAATGAACACTACCTACTCGAAGTAACAGAACCATCACCATCATGCACCCTTGGGGATACTGTAGATTGTCACCACTGACCAGCACCCATCAGCTAGTTTGTGGACAAAAGAATCGTCGATAAGGCTACCACTGGGCTCGGGATCTTTAGGAGCATCAGGAGGCTTTCGGAGGCTAGTGGGCCAATGAGCGGGCCAAGGAGGTGATGGAGGCCGGGGACTCCAGGGTCAAGCCAGGAAGTTAACTTAGGTGCTGCGTTGGGGGTCTCGGGGGTCTCTCTTTAGGTGTATGCTACTCGTAGGTACTGGTATACTGTGACTGTCCCCAGCCAAGCTACGCATGCCACCATCGGCCGCCGTCTAACTCGGGGCCTCGGCTTCCTTCCTTTTCTGTCTTTTCGACTACAACTTCATGGACATCATCTCAAGCAGAAATGTCAAATTGAGGCTTAAACACCCTTGGGCTTCAATGTCGCTACGAAGATGCCCCCCAACGACTCGTCCGCTGCTCCCATATCGAACCGTGCAATAAAGAAGAGAGCTTCGCAAGCATGTCACCATTGCAGGACGCGCAAGGTCAAATGCGACCTTGTCAAGTCCGGGATCCCGTGCCACAATTGCGAGTCCGATGGCGTTGAATGCCTGGTCGTCGAATCGAGGAGGAGCAGGAAATATCGACTTCAGAAGCGCCAGTTGACCGGCCTCGTCTCTTTGCCTCCGCTGGTTCAAGCTCAACCAAGATCCGCATCTGAGGATTCGCCTTCAATTGCTGGTAAGGAAGAAGAGGCGACCAAGGAAGCCGTGACCCAATTCGATCTCGGTACGTGTATGTGACGACGTGATGGCAAATGGTGAAGCTGATGTTTGACTCAAGAGGCTCCGGCAGCTTCTTCGGTCGCTGGCGGCAAGTTTCAAAGTCCTTCTGCTATCTACGTAGGTCCAGATCGTAGTTCGAGTCGCGTGAGCCAGCGACATGCCCGCACCAGCGCCCCTGCGGCTTCGCCGGCCCAGCCGACATTACACGTCGACCTTCCGTCGTACATTCGACCACTCCGGCCGGGCATCCAGGCAGATGATGTTGACCTCCTCGCCCGACGTGGAGCCTTGAGTCTGCCGGACGACGAGCTCCGTGACCAACTACTTTGCTGCTTTGTGCTTTACGTGTATTCTTACATGCCGATCATCGACCTTGAGGACCTTTTCAATGCTCTTCATGGCAAGGAGGACGCCCCGAAGGTCAGTCTTACGCTCTTTCAAGCGGTCATGTTCGCCGGAAGTGCTTTTGTCGACCTCGAACTGCTTCAAAATGCAGGGTACGAAAATCGGAGAGCCGCCAGAGCCGACTACTATCGGAAACTGAAGGTAAATGGGCCCAATTAATGTCATTGAAAAGGAAAAAAGACGCTACTAACTCTTGCTCCTTTGAAGCTGCTTTACGACTTCGACTGGGACGTCGATCGCCTTGCGCTCATCCAATCACTCCTGCTAGCGAACTACTGGTATGTCTCCGAGAACGATCAGAAGGACCCATGGCACTGGCTAGGTATCTGCATCTCACTTGCAACGAGCATTGGCTTGAACCAGAGGATCACGTATCACAAGAAGGACCAGAAAACCTGCCGGCTGTGGAGACGTGTATGGTGGACGTGCGTTATGCGGGATCGTATAATAGCAGTGAGCATGCGAAGACCGCTACGGATCAAGGACGAAGATATTAACCTCCCACCACTTACGCTCAATGACTTTGATATCCGACCTGTAATATCTTCCATGGCCTCACTCCATGACAGTCCGTTTCTCGTGGATTTGTCGCTCAAGAAGAACCTCGCCGAGATGTGCATGGCTAAAATCAGCCTCTTGCTATCCATGGGCCACATCATCAGGGATCTCTACCACTTGCGGGTCTTTGGTGGCTCGACTGCTGAAGCCACCATGCTCTACAAGCCTCGGGCCCAGGCATCGCACATCGATCCAGAACAAGTGGCGGCGTTACATAACGAGCTGGATCAATGGTACAGAAATCTACCAGTCACCTGCTGGCTGTCACCTCTGTCTTGCGGCGAGAATGTTCGCCGCTACGACGCTTGTACCGAGGATGCACTATTCTTGCACAAAGCCTTGCTTCGCATGATCTACCTGATGGCCACTGAAAATCTGCACCGACCTCAAATGTTGTTGAAGGGCATGTCGGCGGATTCGACGTCAAAGGTGCAAGAAGCCGCCGAGGAAATAGCTGACATGGTTCAACGGCTCCAGGAGCGCAATCTGGTCCGATTCCTCCCGCCACTGTCGGTCAGCTTCATGCTATTTTCTCTTGCAGCTTTCCTGGTCGAGATCAAGACCAAGGGCCGGAATCTGCCCGGTCAACAATTTCATCACTGCATCCGAGCTTTATGGCAACTGCGAGATATTTGGCCCATAGCTGATTCCGCATGCTTTCTGATCGGCCAGATGATCACCAAGAGCCAGGTTGGGGGCATTTCGACGCCCGGCATTCAACCTACGCAAATGACCTACGCTGATGGTCCAAAAACAAGTAGCATGCGTCAGCACAAGAAGACGGACGCGCCACGATATCCCATGGCCTTGGTGGATCACCAAGATATCAACGGAGAAGTCCTAAAAACTAGTAGCACTTCTTACAGACCAATCAATCAACCAGTCTCGGCCGACATGAATCACCCACCAGCAGATCTAATGCCGACCTCCACATCGTTGGCATTCCCCGACATGAATGACCCGACTCTATATGCCTGGACAGGATCAGAGTTCGATCATCAGTACGGCGTCATAACGAACGGTCATGCTTTGCAAATGGACTTTGCCTTTGATGATCTTGGAGGAGATATTCAGAACGGTCTAGGGATGCTAGGCTTTGGACCATCACCGGGTGACCTTGACCTCGACCTCGACCTCGACCAGATTGCTGGGATTGATATGCCGTATACGTCGACCGGCCAACCACATGCAGTCTTGACGGATGACTGGACCTCGCAAGCACAATCGCAGAATCAATACTTGGATCATTCTTCGTTCCATGCTCCGCCAGCCGTGTGAGCCGGACATGGTGCTTGGGCTCGCGTTGAGTTCTGGGATTGGGCTGGATTCGATTCGTTATAGCCCCATGCGAGTGACTGAGTCTAGTCATCGAGAACAACTCGATCGATGCTCTGGTCTTGGTTTGGGGGAAATAGCCACGAGTCGACAACATACCGCAACAGCACCGCAGGACTGTTAAAACAACATTGGCTTGTGCTTCAGCTGAGGGGGCTCTGTTGACACCAGGACGTCCCTTCGTCTCCTAACTTAGCGTCCAGGCATTGACGCTGGCTTTGCTTGTGGTCGGTGATTCCGTGTCTCGGACTTGATTCGATTCGATTCCCTCAAGCAAATACAATGCCAGTCAATCACCAGCGTCAACGGATGGCCAGAACGCCAGGTGTGTTCAAAGGAGAAGCCTTGCCTCCCAGCTTTGCTGTTCTGTGTGAAAGTGGGGAGTCGCCGAGATGCCGGCTGAACCACGCGAAGATACTGGCGACTGAACGTGGGTGTTTTTGATCGTTGTTGAGACAAGCCACGCCACTGCAATCATTGCCTCCGTACGGAGTATAACCACCTGGGGTACATATCCGGGTCCGCTGCAAGTATCAACTTAGTGGCCTGGCTCAAACCCGTCGCGGTCGTTGCTGCGTGAATGTTCTCGAGGGACCCGATTCATGCCTGCACTGTATTGCACATCACGTACCGCCTTGGCCTCGAAGACGGGATAGGAGAAGGCGATCGAAAAACACATCAGCTATCTGCTCCGCAGGTGAAATGGCCGGCAGGAGCAGGCACGGACGTGAACAAAGTGCTCATCATTTTTATTCCCATTCTCAGATTTCTCGTGTCAAATTCATTTCTTTCCCTATACTCCGTATCTAGGTAGTCATTGCAGAGGCCAGTCCGAATGGAACATGGGTGGGTGCCGCATGCAGCACCCCCTTGCCGTGTCAGGGCAGGGCAGGGCAGGTTCAAGTAGACTAGTCTAAGGTACTGTACCAGGTATCTTGTCTTTTGCCCTTCATCGGTATATCTCATCATACTCTGTCTTCTCGGTGCCCGCGCGGAACGAAACCTGCCATTGCGCTCTGGACACGACGCTCCATTCGTACCGAGTTCGCGTTCCTCGTTCTCATTCTCGTGCTTGTTTCAGGCCATATCCATAAGGCCCTGGTGCGCGCCGCACATCACCTACGCTTTGTCAAGGTTGCCCCCCCATATCCATTCGCTGACCGTGCAGCCCGATCCTACACTTTCCAGGCACATCTTTCAACATACGTAGTAATTCATTTTCGTCACGACCTAGGCCCTAATTTCTCCAATGCTCTGGCCCCCTGTTCCTCCCACTCCTGCTTCGAAATCCACATATTCTCTTTGTCAGACATGATATTTGCCAGCACCGCTCCACCAAGGAATACCATATGTCTCCGCCTCGGCGGATCCTCTATCCTGACCTTGAATTTATTCAGTCGCTCCGGATTTCCGCCCAGCACCCGCGTCAGCCAAAGTTGTTTGAGTTCCTTCTCCAACCGGGACGGCAGGCCGGGATACATGCTGCTCCCACCGGACAAGACGATGGCTTTGTACAGACTGCTCCGCACGTCCACGTCGGCGGCCTGGATCGTGTTAAACAAAAACTCGGCGATGCCGGGCTGCTCGACGTCGACTAAGTGAGGTTGGAACAGACACTCAGGCGCTTCGAAGCGTTCGCTGCCAACGCGAATGACTCGTCCGTCGGGTAGAGTGTACGATTCGACGAGCACGGTGGTGTCTTCGGACAGCCGCTGGTCCAGGCCGAGATCGTACGACACGTAGCAGAGCTTCTCTTTGATCTGGCGGACAGTTTCGAAGTCGGCTGTTCGGTTAAGCGCATAGCCCCGTCGCAGGAGCAGGGCAATCAGATTGCGGGTTACATCTCGCCCGGCCACGTCGAGGCGGCGGGTCAGGTGGTTGAGTACGGTCGACTCGTAAACAGGGACGATGTGGGTGACGCCGTCGCCGGAGTCTACGACCACACCGGATGAGAGGCCTTGTGCGTAGAGCGCTAGGACGGCTTGGATGGCCACATAGACCCCGCCGAAGTTGTAGCGCTCGAACATGACTTGGCACATTTGTTCGCGGTTCTTGAGAGGGTTCATGGGCGGTTCAGTGAGGAGGATCTTGCGTCCCGTCGGATCGATCCGGAGTTTCTCGAAGAAGGTGAAGTCCCAAAGGTGTTGCATGTCGTCCCATTTCTTGACAATGCCATTTTCCATCTTAAGGAGAGACTGTGTCAGCGGGATGAAAGAATCCATAGAGGGTCGGACGGGACGGGTGTGGATGTACAGGATAACTTATTTGAAGCATTGATCTTGCCGCGGCAGCCTCATCGCCGCACATGATGTCCTTAACCACGATGTCGCCTGCTCGCTCTTCTGAGCGGAGGATCGGTCGGCCGACTATGGAGGGGAATTGATGTTCAGGGAAGTTCTAGAAATGGTCAGCTCTCTTCTGGCAATAGCCCTGATGTATCAACGCTAGCATTCAGTACATACTTGAGCGGCATAGCCGACCTTGAGGAAACCGGTACCCCCATCGAGAACTGTTGTGCCTGTGTCAGCATTGGTAGAATACGGTGGCCTGGGGACGAAGTACCAATGGGTGGTTCGGCCATTTCGGGAGGTTGTGATCAGGACCCTAGTATGCAAGAAAAAGAGGCTCCCGAGGGGTAAGGTTGGCAGGTGGTAGAGTCAAGGGAATACTAGGATTATATCGTGGAAGCTCACTCAATACAACTGCGGAATCGACGTATGCGCAATGAGGTGTGCAGCGTCGTCGGTCAAACAGTCGCAGTCCACCGATGCCAAGCGAAGATGACGCCGCTTTGTGACTGCCCCCTCAATTGAGGCAGAAGTCGACATTGCCGCTTCTACAGATTGATAGCGAGATAGACAAATGGTTTCGCCAGCTGCAAGACGCGATATAGCCCATCTCAAAGAGGACGACAACAGAGGGACAAACATATTTCTATCTCATTCCAGTCATCATTCGTGTCTCATAACCTCGTATATCCGATCGCTCACCCCAAAACTTCACGCATCTTGAATGTGAATCTAGTTGCAATGATGGTTTTTGCTATGCCGATCGAACCAAGCTCAACGCACAAACCCAACATGAGATGCAAGGATCCTTACGCTCGCTAATGCCACTGCCACTGCCAATGCCAATGCCATGCGACACCATGCTTCAAATCTTTCCAATCACTTCGTCAAGCGCCTCAACGCCCAACTGTCCCAGCGTTGTTCTCGTCCTCTCCAGCTTTCTATTTTTCGAAGGACTTCTGGACTTCTGTATGTGGCATGAGCAAACCGTCAGCCAAACAGCGCATGAAGGTCCCGCACAAAGACCTCCAAAGCAAGGTGGGGATCTAGTGGTCGTCGCGACGACTACGGGCACGACTTACCGCACGTGATCGTGATCGGTAATCTTCGCTGTCAACTGCATCATCCTCGACCATCCGGCGCCGACGCTCCGAATCTTTGACGAGGTTGGTGTCGTCGTAGCGGCCTGCAACACCGCTGCCCCCTCGGTAGCTGTCGCTGCTCTGAGGAACGGGCCCGTCGTAGTACCATTGACCATCCCGTCCCTTGTAGTACCCGCCTTTTTCTTTGGCCTTTCGGCGGCGTTCACGTTCCAGTCGCTTCTTGTGGTGCTCTTCTCTCTCTTGCAGCATTTTGCGATGCTCACTGTGCTCCTCGGAGACCTCGTTCCACTCGCTCACGGCCCCTTTGATACCAAGGGCCGCAATACCAATGGCTGCGGCATCTTGCCAACGTGACGCGCGTGCCTGTTTGTGGGCGTCTTCAGGTGACAGCTCGCCCTCTCTCACTTTCTCCATTCGTTTGTCGTGGTTTTCGATCGAGGAGTAAACCTTCGAAGCCGCGTGGATAGTAGCGACACTGGCAAGCGCCGCAGTGATCCACTTCTTGCGCTGGATTTTGCGACAATTCTTTTCCTCCTCAGTGGACGACAGTAGACTTTCGGATGATGAGGAGGAATCGCTCGAGGAACCACGCCGTCTACGAGACCGTCCAGAGCTCGACTTGGCTCGAACGCGGGATCGAGGAGGCACAGAACCCTCCGAGTCGTAATAGCTATCACGTGCATCGCGGTAACCGTTCTGGCGATCATTGTAGGAGACAAGGGCTCCAGCTCCAGCTCCAGCTCCAGCCCCTGCGCCTGCAGCTCGAGCATTGTTCATGGAACTGGCTCTTCGTCGTGGTTGACCCGGCCGTCTTGGGAGGATTTCGCCCTTGTGTCTGACAACCTCGACAATCTTTTCATCAGGAGCGACATCTCGCCGACGACGCAGTACTAGGCCCTTTTCTTCTGGTCCGCGCATTTCCCAAATGTTCGGGTCGTCCTTGGGTACCCGGCCACGCATCTTCTTGTACCGATGATGGATAGGGTCCCAGACTTTATCATAGTGTTGTGTGGCAAATGGGATGGCATTCAAGCCTAACGGCAGCGCTTGGTCCATTTTGAGCCCGATTTGACGTTATACGGCCGCGTTCTGGCAGGGTATGTACGGGCTGCCTGGCAGCACAGGTGGAAATGGGGCGCCGAAAGAGTTTCCTGAAAGACGGCCGATTGGCTGATTGATAAGCCAATTCTGTTGCGAACTGGAGGACGATCACACATCCAGGCACAAGTCACACATTATGCAACAAGGGGAGAGGTCGATCCTCAGGTGTGGTGTTTTCAAGGTCGGTTTGTTTTTTGTACGAGACGCCGGAAAATCAGGACGACTATGGAAGGCTGGGAATGTGGATAAGCAATAAGTATTAAAGTCGCGGAGGCTTCTATTTGAAACAGAAACGAGACGTCATCGTGTGGCAGACTCACCGCTATTCTGGGTCTGGATTGGATGTTTTAGAGCGTGAATTAATATACAAAAAAGCCACTGGACGGAAGGGCATTTCGGTCCAAAAGGAACGGGAAGAGAGGAAGCACGTCGAGCACATGAGGGTCATGTGGGCAAGTCTAGATGGTGATGGTGAATCAAGCATTCGGGTCGAAGCGCGTTGGGAAGATCCTGTAGCCGTGCGCTGTGTGCTGCGATCCTTTGGTCCCTGGGAGATGGAGAGCGTACGGATACCGTGCTCAGAATTGCCGATGGTTGCGAGAGGCTGGATCCTTGGATGAATAAGTGGCACCAAAGCTGATGTGACCTTGTTTGACTGGCTCCCGGTTTGTTTCGGGCAGTTGAGGGACAAGCCGAGTGGAGGAAACATCGAGAAGCTGGGAGCCCACCGTGCATGATGGCAAAGCAGCAGTGAGCAGCCCAAAAATCCGAATCGGAATCGGAATCGAAATCGAAATCCCAGTGGCAATCATGCTGTACAATGACGTTGCCTCAATTCAACAGCGAAGCTTCCCGAATCTCGACGCGTCTTCAGAGCATTGTACACAGCAAGAGACATTCAGCTTTTCTCCTTCTATCACAACCCACGGGACTTTGCAACTGTCGGTAGCCACGTTTGACGAACTGTCTATGAAGTACAGGGGGAGGCAACAGCACAGGATGCAAAGGGAAAAACTGACTGCAGAGACTATCACATCCGTTCAAGTTGAATAAAGTACCCAATGTGGTGAGCACACGGCAGTGGCATGGTATGCTTCTGCCGTTCCATGTCCACTTGTTCATGGTATACCCTTTCACTCGCCAGTCCTTCCTACGAAACGTGCCATGATCACCACTACGTTGAAGTTGCTCAAACAGGAATATCCCAGCTTTATAAATGCTCGTCCGCCAGCTATTGGATGGCTGGCACGGTCACACAAAGACGTCGTTTTCGCACACAGTGGCGGTGGATTTGGCACAGTTTCGACTTCAAGGCCCAAAGAGATGTACGATTGAAGAGGGAAACGATCCCTCTCACAAGGCACCTTGAGAAGATCCGAGTCACTGAGATGGCAAGTTTGTATGCTCGAAGGTAACAAGACACCTCATTGAGAGTAATCTTGGGCCTGTCAATTGTCAGTTTCGAGCATCATAAGCATCAATTTCAGCACATCTTCGGCACAACAACAGTCAATGAAAAGGCTGAGTTGCAATTTGACATCAGTGCTTGTTCAGGTATCGACACAAAAGACTTTTCTGCTAGCCATTCTTTGCTTCGCCATTTTCGAAACGACAAAACGAGCAATCCCGCGAAGGAAGCAAGAAATATATGCTGAATCACATTAATATACAGATCAATCCAGTGTTTGGCTCGGTCGCATCTGCCATCACAGTTCACCATGCCCGCTTTCGGTGGCACTGGTTAGATTCCGACCTGAAAGTTGAGCGCTGAGTTCGCCCAGGGCCTTCTTCAATTCTGCATAGGCCATGTCGAATCGGGCCCCTAGCATCCATGCGACAAACAGCTAGAGTGCGTCAGCATCCATAATGTCAAGACCATGATCTACACTTACCATTGAGACGGCAATGACCACCAACATGGTCGCAACTGCTCCGAATATGACCATCGTATCTCCGCTGTCGTCGGGCTGAGCCTTGACCTGCGCCTGAGCCCCTTCAGCCTTGCTCTTGGCCAGAACATCCTCCACCTTTTGTGATGGGAATATTGATTCGATGAATTGTTCGACCTTTCCACATGCAATGCTGATTTTCAAAAAATTCGGGTCTTGCGGTCGGTTCTTCTTTCGGATGGAATGAATGTGCTTTCGGAACACTTCGCATACCACTTGCAAATTCTGGGTCGATTCAATCATAAGTTGGCATGCCTCGCCTTTGGTGATTTTGATGTTCCGTTGGAACATGGCATAGTTTTGGAAACATAAATCCAGCGTCGCAATTGCCATAGACTGTGGAATGGCGCAGAAGTTGAACACACTCTGTTCCCGGAGCCCGGCCAAATAAAACAAGCATTCGTCAGCATGCTCGAGCGCATTCAGGATCATGTCTGAACTGCAATTCAGCGCTTTCTCTTTGTTCTCTGGCTTGAATAGATCCCCGAAGTTGTCGACATGTCTTGACCAAATCTCCTTTGGCCAGAATTTTCGGTTGTCGTCAAAGTCTTCCCGAACATCTCGAATGATATTCACCTTTTGCAAGAACAAACCCATTGAGCGGTGGAGTTCAGGTCTTTGCAGAAGTGCGGTATTACCAAAGCCGCTCTCAACAAACATCCTCGTCAGTCCTTCTCCCACCAGGCCAGCAACGTAGAAGCAATAGAGATCGTAGTCGTCAATCGTCTTGACACCAACCTCGTTGAATTCCGCGTCCAAGCAGTAATCCGCCATACCATTGCCCATCTTTTCGGTAATGTCCTTGATGATTTCTTTGTATGCCGGCTTGATCTTCTTGAATTCTTCAATGACATATCTGAAGTTCACCAACAAATCTCGATCCTTCTCTTCTGGTCTATTTCCGTCAAAATGCCACCCATCTACCTCCAGATTTTCATGGAACTTCCGCAAAACGGGCTCTTTGGTCTTCGCAGGAATAGAGGTGTCATCTTCAACAGTATCCAGCCCGCGCAATATCAAGTAGAACAGACAGACAGGTAGTAGGAGGTCTGGGTGCAATTCTTGGATGACAGCACTGAAACTGCGACTGGTCTTATCCAAGTACTGAAAGCAGATTTTGGCTGACTCGGACTCCTTGCTCTCGTCTCGTTCGTGCACCGCATTGTGCCAAACTTTCCTGACAAAGGTTAGTCCATTGCCATTTTCTTAGTACAGAGCGCTGTTCACCATTGAATGATTGATCGTAGTTCCTGGACGTGGAATAGATAGTACAAGACGTCTGTGGCTTTTGGCATCTTGACAGGAACAAGCTGCAGTCGCTCTCGGTTTCGGTTCAAATACAGTGCAGTCTTCGTGGATTACATAAAGAGCGACAACATTCGAAAACACAGGGGAATATTGGGGGAAGATGACACCGGGCTCTGTAATGTAAACTCCTTTAGAGCAACGTGTGCGCAGTGTGGAGATGAGCAGATCCGAATGGTACGATGCCCCCCAGAAGAATTCAAGTTGGCTAGAACCGGTTAAAGACCTGGTTAAGCCAAGCACATCCGCCAGAGGAGGAGAGGGCACTAAACGGCCGCATAGCCGCCTCTGCTCCCTGTCCACCATCCTGTCAACAGCCCACAAGCTTGCGGCTAGGCGAGGCCGGGTCGTGGCTGTGGCTCAGTCAGCATTTTTTCGTCCCTATGACTTCACCTCACCGTTGACTTGGGTGCTTGGATACTGACACGCGCGGCTCCAAGGCTGCGATAAATTCTTATCACTTGGTTCTAGTCAGCGGTCTCTGTTTCTTCAATTTGCACTGGCTCCGACTTGAAATTGCCTGGACACCTCATCTTTATTTGTCAAATCACTTCTCGTCTGTGTTCCGGCTCACGCACACAGCTGAGCACTACTGAGACGGCGGACAATCGCTCACTCTTCGTGTCAACCAACTTCTATTGAGTCGGTCTCAGGCGCAAGAGGAGAGAGGGAGAACCGTGTCATTCCAGTGTAGAAGCTCATATAGTGTGAGACGGGATCAGACTATTTGGGATCGTCGCGTTCCCTCTATCACGACAGCGATGGTCGTCGACACATCCTACTACGACGCACTCGGCGTCAAACCCGATGCCACCGAATTGGAAATCAAGAAAGCATACCGAAAGCTTGCCATCACAACCCACCCTGACAAGAACCCCGGCGATGAGACCGCACACGTTCGATTCCAAGCCGTTGGCGAAGCCTACCAAGTCCTCTCCAATAAAGACACGCGCGCCGCCTACGATAAATATGGCAAAGAAAAGGCAATGCCCAGCCAGGGCTTCGAAGACCCCGCCGAGTTCTTTAGCATGATCTTCGGAGGTGATGCCTTCGTTGATCTGATTGGCGAACTGACCCTTCTCAAGGACCTCACCCACACCATGGACATAACAATGGAGCAAATGGAGGAAGAAGAGCTCGCAAAGAGCGCCGAGGAAAAGCTCAACGTCCACAATGCAGAAGAACAACAAGCCACAGCCGCTACCGCAGCCAGTATGAACGCCAAAGAGGCGGAAGCCAAAGCAGACACCACCAGCGAAAGCATGTCTCCCCCACCTCCTCCCTACGTAGGCGAAGAGCCATCCACATCAGCATCTGCGGGCCACGGCTCAGGCACATCCACTCCTCGACGCTACCTCGGCCAACAAGCCATCATGGACAAATCCGAAGAAGATGCCCGCATGGACGCGGCGGGCCTGTCCCAAGAAGAGAAGGACCTCCAAAAGAAGAAGAAAAAGGGCGGCCTGACGAAGGAACAACGCGAGAAACTGGAAGCCTACGAGCGCGAACGACGCAAGGCGCGCGAAGATCGCGTTGACACCCTAGCCAAGAAACTCGTCGACCGCATCTCAATCTGGACGGAGACAGACAAAGGCCCCGAAGTCACGGCGGCTTTTCAAGAGAAGACGCGCCTCGAAGTCGAGAATCTTAAGATGGAATCCTTCGGAATCGAAATCCTTCACGCCGTGGGACAGACGTACTTGCAGAAAGCGACGAGTTTTCTGAAATCCCAGAAATTCCTCGGCATCTCTGGCTTCTTTTCTAGGTTAAAAGATAAAGGCACTCTCGCCAAGGAAACGTGGAACACCATCTCGACCGCCATCGATGCGCAGCTCACCATGGAGGAGATGGCCAAGCTCGAGGAGAAGGGCGGCGCGGACTGGACAGATGAGAAGAAAGCCGAGTACGAACGCAAGGTCACGGGGAAGATCCTGGCCGCGGCGTGGAAAGGAAGTAAATTTGAGATCCAAGGCGTGTTACGCGACGTCTGCGACAAGATCCTGAACGATAAGACCGTCAGGTTGGAGAAGAGAATCGAGCGAGCGCACGCCTTGGTCTTGTGTGGAACGATTTATCAAAAGGTGTGGTCCCTTTTCAACTACCCCATTCGGTTCTTCATCCCGCATACAGTAGAGACGAAAGCCTTGGAAGAAGGAAAGTTGTGTACTGACACTGTTTTTGATGACAGGCCGAGCGCGATCCCGACGAAGAAGGCGACTTTATGGCCTTCGAACAACTAATGGCCGAGAGCGTTAAGAAGCAGGAGAAGAAGAAGGAAAAGGAAAAGGAGAAAGATAAAGAACCTTCTTCGTCAAAACACCATTTCGGCCATAATCATGCGAGCACGCCGTCATGAGTGCCGGGCGCATGCATGGCCTTTCCTTCCTATCCCTTTTCGCTCTTTTTCTTGCGATGACACACGACAGGAAGCGTGTCCACCGACAGCGAACAAGCGGTTTATGGGATTGGTATGAAAGCAGAATAGAATGTGTGGGGTTTAATTTTAATGGAATAATGGGATCATTTCCACCACACTACGCTTCCCAGACGCCATCCTTCTCGGATGTTGAATTGTAGCTAGAGTCGCTAGATGTTTGGGTGTTTATGCCGGGCACAATTTTCATACTCCAGGTGAAGGTGTTGTGTTGTGCATATCGAGCTTACAGGCCACCGGGCTTATTCTTTTTCCTTGGTCTTTTCTCCCTCCTCTGCACGATAGATTGCATATATTCCCGGCCAGCAGTTTGTTTCATAAGCACCAGGCAAAGCAGAAGAGAGAGTACGACCGGTGACCATGTAACAACTCGAGATGACGTCCTTAAGGTCCAAGTTTTAATTTCTGTTGTGGATTTGATGTAGATGAGAGGCGATGTCGGTGGATTACACACTATCTTTCCATCTCTTGTTCTGTAGCCATCTTTGCTCGAATTTGTTCTTTCTGGATGACGAATTTGGGACGAGACCCACCTCCAATAAGGCAACACAAAAGAAACACCATCCTCCTCGCTATGCTGGGTATCGTACAATCTCAAAAGCAACCCGGAGTATTGCAGCAGCGCCCCCCCAATCTGCCATAAGCCTGTTGAACACCGTCACCCACTCGCGCCTGGATCCCAACCAACGGTAACGAGAAAGATATTCCCACAATATGCCCGCACAGTCTCTTCGTAATGTCGTCATGAGTTTTGGAGCCCACTCAAAGGCTCTCCCTGTTATTCTCCCCTTAGCACTGGAGAAAAGGACTCCAGCAGCGCCGTAACTTCCTCTAAAGATGCTAAGCCAGGCTGGGCGCTAGAACGCGAGGGTAAGTTCTCGGTCCAAAATGGTGTTTCATCGAGCTTCGCCCTCGCAAGGCCAGGGCTCAACAGCCCCTGCCTGGCCTCTGGTTCTTCTGTGCCGGCAACGAACCCTCGCTCATCCAGCTCTTCGTCATTTAAGACGCGACCGCCAATTTTGACGTCGCCAATGCCGACTCGATAATCCAATGCCTTGTTTGCCTCGCGGATTAGCTCCTCTGTCATGGTGCTACACCGTTTGATTGTTGAGCTTAGTTTCTGTGACTCGGCAAGAAGTTGTTGATGCCTGGTGAGATCCTGGATGAGCCGCTTCTCGTCCTTGGCTCGTTGCCGTGATCGAGCGGACGCATTCGTCAATGATCCTGATCCGTCCGATAACAACGAACCGTCTTCATCATCCAGGTCGTCCAGGTCACTTTCGTCATCCAGATCCGACATTTGACCATCTTCACCATCTCGTTCTGTAAGGGTGCCTAAGCTGTAAGCAGACTGCCCCGACGCTGTCCTTTCAGTGGCGAGAGATAGCCTGCCCGCCCGCGATAGACGACGGAATCTCCTCAGTTCGCCGTTCTGCTTGCGCAACTCGCGTTCCAAGGTCTTGTTGATGGCTAGAAGAGATGAATTGGAGATCTCAAGGTCCAAAACCTTCCTTTCACGACGCGCGTTTGCAGCCCCGTCATTCTGAGGCTGGATCGGCGATGTCACTTGATCAGGTGTGACATCGACAGTACTCAGCGGCCTTGATGCCGATTTGGCCATCTCTGAGCAATCGGTGTCGCTCATGACTGAAGTTGAGACTGTATTCGACGAAGCTAGACTGAATGAACGAGGGCTCGAAGCTTCAGGGGAGAGTGTATTATTTCCTAGTATACGTGGAGAAACAGTTGGAGCGATCAGAAGGTCCAACGGGTGAGGCGGCTGTGTCAGAGGAGCACCTATTCTGCTCTCAGTTATGGCTGTTGTCGAACTTGCACTGATAGATTTGCGATGCCCTAGATGAGAAGCTGTCTGACTGCCGACTGTACTCCCCATGGTGCTTTTCGATCTTTCAAGGGTCGTACGAGGAGGCGCGGATGGGGAAGGTATTGATCCTGTCACAACTTTTCGAGGTGATATAGGTTGAGGGGCCTTATAGGCCTTTTTAGGGGACTGAGGTGGACTTGTTGCGTTTGGCAGGCGGTCCGCATCCTGGCCGTGCGCAGTCGATACAAGAATCGGAGCAATCTGCTTGTTTGTTTGTGTATGAGGGATGTCGTTTGCCCGGAAGAACTTCTCAACGAGGTCATCCTTACCATTTGCAACCTCTTTGTTTGGCTGAGTAGAGACACTACTGGAAGCAGCTGGTGATCCAACAAACAATTGATTCCGAACAGTCGGGAAGCGTGCGCCTTCGTCAGTCTGCGAAGAACCCACCGCGGACTTTGCTTCGTCTGCGTGGAAAAACTTAGATGAATTGTCTTTGTTGCCTTCAACCATGCTCTTCGCCGCGGACACTCTTCTGTAGATTGTGACAGCGGGAGCTCCGGCCTTAGGAAGAGAAGGGGTGCTCGCAGCGAGTCGAGGGCTGCTTATTCCAAGTCCCTGCGCTTGACCGTTGACGGGCTTTGAAGCCTCCACCCGGGAGGAAGGCCTTGCTGGAAACCCATTGTTGTGTTCTCTGATGGGTGCGGGAGTCGTCGGTGATTCTGTCCCAATCCTTGATTTTCTTGCTCCTGACCTGGGTGTAATATTGTGGTTCAGAGGTGTCGTGGCCTGATCTATCTTCCCTGGCGACCTGGACCTCACAAATGGTTCTTTTCGGGACGACAAAGCAGGAGAGGAAGAAGTCGAACCAGGAAGTCTTGGAGTCAAAGGGCTTTTTACATTCCGGAAATTTGAGCTTAGGGCGGGAGTGAGTGGTTTGGACGAGTTCGCTTTGGTTTGTTTATCTGATGGCATCGTGGGGAAGGGCGAGACTCGAGATGCAGGTGCAGGTGCAGGCTAGATCTGTTGTCGTGCTTGATCTCGCTCACGCACTGCATGCCAGCAAGAGAGGTGTGTCTGTAGCCAGGCGGCTTTCATTGTCAAACAGACTGGGTTGGCTGTGCAATGTCACTTTCGACAAGTTCATTCGGATTGCAAATTGGAGTCGTGGCCGTCAACACAATGTTTGAGGAGCCATGGTTGGCTTGGTCCCGAGACTGGTGATGTTATTACTCGCATAAGTCGAATCATGGTCCCCATCACGCGTGTTCCACTCCCTGCACCCTGCGCCCGCACCAAACCCATTCCTCGTCGCGTCAAAGTTAGTTCAAGTCCACGCCAGCGCACGCCCTCGACGAAAGGATGCAGAAGATAACGGTCTCGTTGCGATGACCTTGAAGGATGTAGAGGACGCGTCAAAAATTCCCGATGGTGCCACCGTCGCTGGAGGAGAACCTGCACCTACACTCACGCCACAGGCGGACGTCGTGCCCCAAGCTTCGCAACATCATTCACTAAAGCACCACCTACTTGGTCCTTCGTTGACAAAATCTGGACAAGATGGCGTGGACCAGAGAAAAGTGTCCGAGATCATCTATGAGGCGTCCAAGGGTTCGAAGTATTTCAACAACGAGGAGGTCAAAGACAAGAACTTGACTACAAAGATCGAACGAATCCTCAAACACAAGGCGCAATTAGACAAGCTCGATTTGAAGTCAGATCTAAGGCGCGCAGATGATTATATTGCATCCTTGGAGTTGTCGAGAGACCTATCTCAATATGTTGTTCACATTGACTGCGACGCATTCTACGCAGCCGTCGAAGAGATCGACAGGCCAGAACTCAAGAATGTACCTATGGCTGTGGGAGTAGGTGTTCTCACCACCTGTAATTACGAAGCTCGGAAATATGGTTGTCGAAGTGCCATGGCTGGGTTTGTGGCAAAGAAACTATGTCCACAACTGGTATGCCTGCCATTGAACTTCGACAAGTACACGGCCAAAGCCAGAGAAGTCAGGGCCATTTTGGCCGATTATGACCCCCGTTTCGAGAGTTCTAGTATTGACGAAGCATACATGAACATCACCGAGTATTGCGATACGCACCATATGGAGCCCGATGCAGCTATCGAACAGCTTCGAAAAGAAGTCTATGAGAAGTGCAAGATCACCATATCTGCCGGAATTGCACCAAATGCAAAATTGGCAAAGATTTGTTCTAACAAGAACAAACCAAACGGGCAGTTCAGGATACCTAATGAGCGGGCTGCTGTCATGTCGTTCATTTCAACCCTACCAGTCCGCAAGGTCAATGGAGTTGGTCGTGTTTTTGAGCGAGAACTAGATGCCATTGGTATCACGACATGTGGCGACATATATGCTCAACGCGCTTACCTACACAAACTCTTTGGCGAAAAAGCGTTCCATTTCCTGATGCAGACCTCCCTTGGCTTAGGTCGGACGACTGTGCAACCGGCCGAGGATTACGAACGAAAAAGTGTCGGCACAGAAAGCACGTTCCGTGATATCAGCAGTAAACAAGAGCTCCGAGAGAAGCTGCGGCATACTGCCGAAGAACTTGAAAAGGACATGGCACGTGTGCAAGTGAAGGGGCGTACCCTGGTGCTGAAAGTCAAGCTCCATACCTACGAGGTATTCACTCGACAAGTTGCACCTCCAAAGGCCATTCATCTAGCGGAGGACTTGTATAACTACAGTCTGCCAATGCTCGCCAAATTGGAGAAGGAAATACCAGATTTCAAGCTTCGTTTGATGGGTCTCCGTTGTACGCATCTCGTCAGCACGAAGAGGGACAAGCCAGACTTCTTCCGGCCACGCATGACGAAGACATCTTCGACCGATCAAGCCACCGACGAGGGTGAGTGGGAAGTATGGCCTGACGAGGAATTTGAAGAAGCCGCGCGTCAAGAACGACAGGAAGAAATAGACGAACTCGAACGGCTTAGCCAGGAGCAGGAGCAACAGCAGGCTCACGAAAACGACCCTCAGAACCCGACTGCAGATTGGCACGAACCATTTGGCCGGTACAAATATGGTAGTGAACCCAATTCACCAGCCAAACACGGCCAGGTCAGAAATGAAGGCGCCGCACCGAGGGGCAAAGACGAGCAGGAACAGCTTTGGGACTGTCCTATCTGCCAGCTCCCTCAGCCAGCGAATGATCGCGACTTCAATGGCCATATCGACCTGTGTCTGTCGCGCCAGACCATCAGAGAAGCTGTTGCAGAGGCGCATAGCTCGACTGACTCTTCCCGGGCCTCTCCGGAAGTCTCTACCGTACCTGGTCGACCAAGGTCAGCGCTTGTAAGCTCCATGGGCACGCGGGCTGCGAGCAAGAGGAAAGCGGCTGCGAGTTTCTCGTCGATCCCCGGAGCAAATACGATCGGTGGCAGGAAGCAGAAGAAGCTGTTCTTCACGTGAGACTTGCATGACCCCTGCAGCCAAGTGGCTTGCATATAGCCCTGTGCCGTCTGGCCCTGTGGAAAATATTTAATATTGATGAGAAACGAAGACTACCTAAGACATGAATCAAACGCATTTTGGAACAGATCATGATAGAGAGATTCTTGTGTCCCTGCCATCACTGCCGGTGCTGCTCAACAGCCCCCTCGCTGCTCGCCCGATGTGTCCTCGTCTGAGGTAGCACTCAGTCTGCAATGCTTCTGTATGATGCTTCACTGTATCGTTATTCTCTTGGCTGGAAAATCACGTAGGGGGTTGTAGAAAGTCTTCGGCTGCGAATAATCCAACCCACGTGAGCCCGGGATGGACCGACGCGACGCCTAAACCATTGACAAGCGCTCTCTGCAGCGTCAGCCAAGCAGGTGTCCTCGGAGGTTTGGAGGGACAACATCAAACAGCGCTCACTTCTTGCTGCACTATCCCTGACTCTACAATGCGCACACTACGACCTCAAGTCGGGCCTGCGTGAAGTTCACGGTCGCCACGGGCTAGATGGACGTGTACGTAACTCCATTGTCCTTCAAATGTCATCTTCTGACCTCTCTGCAGTGGCCGTGGAAGTCTGCGTCGGCAGGCTTTCCGCAAGCTTGCGACGCTGTCCGCCCAGCGATCCCATACCAAAGAAGCGGACTTTCGTCGCTTGACCTCTTGGATCGCTCCTGTCAAGAGTCAGCCGAATGGTGTCCTCGATGGAGTCCTCCGAGCCATCACCCCGGCGTCCCGGCGATCAATGACTCCCCGTGAGCTCGACATCTTACTCGCTCTCTGCGCCAGCGCTCATGACCTGCACGATTTGTCCCATGCTGAACGTCTCACCAAGCAATTAGCGGCTTACCTTCCAGAGGCTCATACTCAACTCTACACCCCCTCGCCTTTCCTCCACGAGATCAGACCAACGCCATGGACAGCGCTCACTTTCGAGCTCACCAAAGCCCTCCTTGTACTTGGCCTGCGGTTCCCAGTTCTAAAACAGTCCGTCGCAGAAAGCCTCAGGGCATACATCCAAAATTGGGCACAATCAGCGGCGGCCCTCGCCTCTGTTGGTGTTGGAGAGCAAGATGAGGACCAGGAAGACGAGGCCCAGGAGGTGGCTGCAGTCGCGGTATCCTTGGCCGGCTTTCTGGATGCGGCGGCATCACACGAGAACTTCTGGTCCTCCTATGAGCGTGTAGAGCTGGTCCGCACTCTGAACGAGTCGTTGTCTGAAAAATTCCTCATCGCGGTCGAGACAGCATCCTCTGCTATTCGAACGTCTACATCTTCACAAATGACTTCAAGAGACTGGAGGAAATACTTGAAACGTTACGCCGCCCAGGGTCTTCCTGTGGGAGCCATGATGTTGCAGAAAGGCTTCATGAAGCTGGTGCTGGCGAGCACTTCCAGAATGCTCTGTGACGAACATACTGTCGAATGCGGAGACATCCTCGATCAGTACATTGCCGGAACGCATCTAGGTCGCTCTAGTGACGATGATATTACCGAAGATATGATTGAGTACCTGGTCAACATCATTACTGATCAGATCCGGATCCTCGAAGACGGCTCCGACTACCTGCAGTTGAGCTCGGCCTGGCAACAGCGCCTCGCCTTCTCCGTTAAAGCATACGCGCTGGAGGCTTTTCTTCACTGCATGATCCTAGACGACGACCTCGCGGACCCTGAAGATCTCTTCACCTGGTTGGAAGACTCGATCGGAAACCAGGTGCAGATGGCAGACACTGACTTGGCAGACATCGCGTTAAAAAGTCTAGCTGTTGTAGCCAAGCAGATGCCAGAGGAAGCCTCGAACTTTGCGCGTGTGCTCTTGCGGTTCATCGTCCGTGGCGCTTCAACACCGGCCGCTGTTGCGATTGCCGCCCAAAGTTTGGCTCACATACTGAAAATGTTGTCTCAAGATGCTGTCATCACCACCGTCTATTCGCTTGGAAACGTTCTGAGCTCGCAAACGGGAGCAGAAAAGACGCATCATCCCTTAGTGACCGGAGGCATTAACGGCCATCATGGTTCTCTGTCTTCGTCTTCAAAACTGAGAACTGGAAGTGTGATTTCTCTTTCACTGAGCGGCGACGAAGAGACGTCTCTGGTGTGCGGAAATGTCGCCCATGCTATTGTCGTCATAGCCAGGGAATGCAAAGACCCTCGCATAACAGCACTGGTGCAGATGATGATGGTGCAAAAAGTGGGAAGGATCAGCTTGATGGTTGACGCCCGCATCATTGAAGAAGCGGCAAAACTCGCTATTCATGGCAAAGAGAACGAGTTCAGAACTTTACTAAGGCTCTATTCGAGATTGCACCGCGAGGCTCTGCTTCAGGAAAATATTCTTATCTTCAACGCAGTGCGCAGTGCCGAAGAGCATCTGGCCTCGAATTTGGACAATCGATCACCGTTGTTCAAGGTGTTCGCAATGCACCTCCTCGAACGAATACTCAGCAAGGGTGATGTCGTTGAAGGCGAGTTCAAGCAGTCTGCGGAGGTCGAGCAGGCTGCCAAGGAGATAGCACCTCTTCTGAAGCCGCTTTCTATCATCGCTTTCCGAAGACCTCCTCCCACCCAAGAAAGCGGCCTGGTCGAAGATCCTGATATTCTGGCAATGGGTCGTGAAGTATGGTATAACATTGCAGTTCATGGAATAACGTTGCAGTCTCGCATCGGCCAGCAAAACTACCATGAACTTCGCCTGCTAGCTATGAACTCCAGACCTCTGGTCGATGACGATCGTGCCGAACTCCTAGAATCAGACGTTGAACTCAACACTGTTCTGCGACGAGGCATGAGCCCGCAACATGCAGCAGATCAGAAGAAGAATCTCATTGCCGTCATTCCAGACAGAGAGTCCGACATACGGCAGTTGAGCTATCAGAAAGTAGTATTCCTGAATGCGGTGTTCCTTGTTGAGAGCCTTCGCGCTACCTCGGGCAGCTGTTCTGAAATTCTCGACTATTTTACAGACCCTACAACGCAGACGAGCCACATGGGTCTGTGTCTGACCTCCATTGCCAATGAGATCGTCAAAAGATACACTTCCAAGGTAACTGCCGCAGTCGAAATCGAATTCAGCGCCCCTTATGTGTCTCGACAACTGGCTAAAATTCTGAGTGGCTGTTGTCATCGGAGCGGCAAAATGCAGGAGGTTGCAAGAAGCGCCGCAAACCACATCATCTCCTTTGCTCCGTCCGCGCTCTGTCAAAAAGCTGCGCTGTTCGCCTTGTTAGAGCTGCTCTCTCTGATGTGGTCGAGCTGCCTCGATGCAGATGTAGACGAGTACGAGTGGCGACCTTTCCTCACTTCCACCAGGGGCAAGATCACAATTGAGCTATCAGATGATTATGCTTTCAGAAAGCGTACCTTGAATACTCTGTACGACGATGCAAAAAAATGGGTGACCACGGTCATGGCAGTGGCGCCGCTGGATGTTAAAGGCCTCCTTCAGACCTACCTTTCCGAATTCGATGACACCGGCGCTTATGGCCATGTCACTCTAGGAAGGTCATTTGCACTCGAAGTGGGCTCAATGATTCCTCCCCTGGATTACAGACTCAATGTCCTCGACAAGAAAGGCGATTTTATCCACGTCAATATGGCTTCCGACTTCATGGCTCAATACACGACCCGACAAGAATATCGGTTCACAGGGATTCCTGACCATCAGCTTGGTAATGTCCACTTTGACAATGCCACCGGACGAAGATCCTTCGATGGACGTCAAGCTGATAGCACGCACCTGCTGAGGGACAGTCTCCTGGACTTGCACAAACGGACAGAACATAAAGCGATTGTGCAAACTTCCGAAGTAAAAGACGTCCTTCGTCGTGCGGCTGCTCTTCTATGTCAGAGCAAAAAGTCGCAAACTGCGATAGTGCATCATCTAGTCAACATACCTTTCCACATCTTTACAAAAGAGTCCATCAAATTAGGCATCTCTCTCTGGCTCGGTATTATCCACGAGAATCCCAGAATGGAGCCAAGAATTCTAACGGAAGCCGCCCAAGCTTGGGAGAAGACTATCGACAGGAAGCATGGGATTTTCAGCCCCAGTTTCCGACATCATGACCCATTCTATGTCAAGGAAGAGTTTGCGCCGACCGACAGAGCTGCTATCCAGAAGCAAGCACAAATCGCCCACAACACTATCTCGCCTCACTTCAGACTGCTTCAGTTTTTCCAAAGCCATTTCAACTCGATAAGGCTTGGAAGTGCAAATACCCAGCGGACTTTCATACGCATGCTTGAGCGCACTTTGCAGGCCTTCGTGCGAATCAAAGGACACCCTCTCATGCGGGAGATGCACTTCTCCCTGGTTCACTTTGCGCTGCGAATCGTGAAGTCCAGCACTTGCATTAGTAAGTTATACATGTGGAAACTGAGAGATTTGATTCTCTCCGTAGGCCTTCAGTGGTTTTCCCACCCGCCTGCTTGGTCTTTTGGTGGGAACCGGTTACAGCTGAAGGCTGAAGTCCAAGTAATGCAGGATGTGGTGACCTTGCTGCAGGGTACCAGACAGCCAGTTCTAGCAGCTGCTGCATCAAGAAAGGACCCCCAGCAAAAGCAAGATCTCCTTGAAGCCCTTTTGGCCAATGAGATTTCTCGCCTCAATGTCTGGCTTGCGCCTCTCGCCCACGCAGGTCATCACAATCACGCCGATGCTCAGATCGCCAGCTACGCTCGCACTGCTTGGTTCGAAAACCCGTCCCTGGCGATACAACTCGTGACTCGATTCCCGAGTGAGCAGCTTCGCCGCGACGTACGGTCCTTGCTCCTGGGCTATACCGACAAAGCCTTAGACGAGCCCAACGCCATCGATCTTCTGCTCGGAGACAAATTGCCTTCGGATGTGTCAGTTCAATTGAAATATCTGCTATACTGGGCACCAGTCAACCCCATGCAGGCTGTCACTTACTTCCTGCCTGCCTTCGGAAACCATCCATTCGTCCTTCAGTACGGTATGCGGGCGCTTGAGAGCCACTCTGTTGATGTGACATTCTTTTATGTCCCTCAGATTGTACAGAGCTTACGATACGACGCTCTGGGTTACGTTGAGCGCTATATCATTGAGACCGGGAAGTTCTCGCAACTGTTTGCCCATCAGATCATCTGGAATATGAAAGCCAACGCCTACAAGGATGAAGAGTCCCAAGAACCAGATCCTGTCAAGCCTACGCTCGATAAGGTCACGAACAGTCTGATCTCCAGCTTCTCCGGTGCTGATAGAGACTTCTATCGGAAAGAATTTGATTTCTTTGGTGAGGTCACTGATGTATCTGGCAAGCTGAAGCCATTCATCAAAAAGAGCAAGCCAGAAAAGAAAGCCAAAATCGAAGAAGAGCTCCGCAAGATCAAGGTGGAAGTAGGCGTATACCTTCCCAGCAATCCCGACGGTGTTGTTGTTGGCATTGATCGAAAATCGGGGAAGCCTCTGCAATCGCACGCCAAAGCGCCGTACATGGCGACATTCAGAATCCGCAAGACGAGAGAACTTTCGGAAGACGACCCAACTGCAAATCCTGAGACCGCTCTTAAGACTATTGCAGCTCCACGCAGAGGTCACAGTCGGCAGAATACTGCTGACCTCTCCGACCTTGGTTTGGACGACAACCCACGGACATACGAGGTGTGGCAGAGTGCCATCTTCAAAGTCGGAGACGATTGCCGGCAGGATGTCCTTGCATTGCAAATGATCGCGGCTTTCCGTGGTATTTTCAACTCTGTGGGCCTCGACGTGTACGTCTTCCCATACCGGGTGACTGCAACAGCACCCGGGTGCGGTGTCATTGATGTTCTGCCAAACTCGATCAGTCGTGACATGCTAGGACGTGAGGCAGTGAATGGTCTTCACGATTACTTCATCACAAAGTACGGTGGCGAGCATTCGATCCGTTACCAGGAAGCAAGAAGCGAATTCGTCAAAAGTATGGCAGCATATTCCGTCATCAGCTACCTCCTTCAATTCAAGGACCGGCATAATGGAAATATCATGATCGACGACAAGGGGCATATCTTGCATATCGACTTCGGTTTCTGCTTCGATATTGCACCTGGCGGCGTCAAGTTTGAACGTGCACCGTTCAAGCTCACTCCGGAAATGATTGCGGTCATGGGCGGAGATGACCCGAACACTTCCCAATCATATCGGTGGTTCGAGGAGCTCACCATCAAAGCCTTCCTGTGCAGCCGACAATACTGCGAAAAATTGAGCCACCTCGTCAGCTTGATGCTGGACAGTGGCTTGCCCTGCTTCAAGCCCGAGACCATGCGGAACTTCAAAAATCGATTTGTTTTAGAGAAATCGGACAGGGAGGCTGCGGAGTTCATGCTGGGATGCATCAAGAAGAGTGCCGCGAACGTGACGACCAAGGTCTATGATGAATTTCAGCTTCTGACGAATGGAATTCCTTACTAAAGAAGCTGTCAGTGGGCGGTCGTCTGGAGACAGAGTGCATAGCCTGTGCAACTATTGATAGTCTTAGTCTAATGTGTACAGTATTTTCTAGCACCATCAGGTAAAGAGGCTTGCTCACACGCCATTCATTTGGCGTTCGATTGCAGTCATTCGAATTTCCAGCCGGATTCCTCCGCGAGCTCGAGCACTCGACCCGCAGATAAACAGTTTGACGAAGAAAAGGTCCGTCGTTGCAGCGCTCAATTCATTTCGACACCAAGCCAACCTTGGCCAGTAGACTCATGATGAAGTTCCAGCCCTGCGGGAGAAGTTTTAATTGCTCGATCAAGAGTGGGGCGACGACCACGAAGACCAGGAGGACTGTAGGGAGGTTAGATTTGGTCAGACGAAGCGAGAATCAGTGGAATTGGTCGTACCAACAGCGGCAACCCCGACGGGAGACTTTTTGGTTTCCTTCTTCTTGAAGCTCGACTCGGGCTTGCCCATGCGCTTTTCGACGGATTTGGCATGTTTTTCGTTGGCGCGGCGTTGGGTGGGAGTTTGAGCCTGGAAAACTCGTGAGTAAGGAAAAATGCGTCCATCCAGAAAAACCCGCCCATGATGTGCGGATGAGGATCCGACGGGTTACTCACCATGATGCGGGACTTGGAGGGGAATGGACAGGATTGTTTCGTGACCAGATGTGAGACGCGTTCAACAGCGTCGCGTCGTGCTGTTTGACTGATGGATGTTAACAGTTGGACCTGATATGCTTTTTGAAGTTTACGGAGTAGGCTCCTCGGTCCTTTTTGTACGATGGCTGGGCGTCTGTTGGAAAGTGGACAGATTTCCCTGAACAAAGCTGTAAGGTCGCTTGGATGATAAAACCGCTTCTTGTCGTGCCGCGAAGTAGAGTGACAGAAATGTTGACAGGTATTGAATTTGGTGGTACAGTTGACGGGCGGAGTGAAGCCCCCTTTCGACGTCGGAGCCAGAGGCAACGTCTCCTGAACTCGGGGTTGCCCAGAGTGCCAAGCCATATCACGTGTAGATAACCTTTATCGGAGGTGGACGAGTTGATTAGGTCATCTCCTCGCAATGTCACGTGAGCCAGTGATCCATGTCCATCGACTCTGCCCCCCAACCTGTACCGTGTAAAGCACCCGAATCTCGTGTCGCGCGTGACCATTTAGTCCATCTTAATCTTGCGATTATCCTTGTACTTCGAGTCATGACGCCTTGGTTGAATCCAGGAAAAGACATCCTACCACGATAGGTAGTCAATATTGCTGGTAGGTTTGCAATATATGCAAGGGATATGGGCTATTGTACCAACTTCCAACAGCCTCCCGACAGTTTCTCTCGAGATATAGCTATCAGTCAAGAAAAGACAACCATGTAGATATCCGCATCTCCTCACACAGGGTTGCACTATTACTTGGTGCTATTCGACAACTTCCTGTCACGACTGGCACACGAGACGGCCGGTGCGCTTGGCAACATGTACTCTACCGTGTGTACCATGCTGCATGGGGCAGGTAGGTATACCGCATGCCTGGCTGAGTGATGATCGACAGACATTGAGTGATAGATTGTGAACGGCTAAGGCCATGGACGAGCAAAAGATATGTGAAGGACCCTCTCCGACCCGAGTACCCCCATGGTAACCACGTCTCTTATACTTCGACTGTGCCGGCAAATTCGTTCCATGATGAAGCCAATAGCTATTGTGTCCCTATTGGGTCTTCAGGCGCCCTTCGTCTGTGCTTGTCAAAGGGATAGATTCGAACCGAGACTCTCCCATCGTTATGCTGGTCTGGCTGAGAGGCAGGCTACACAGTTTCTGCCAAGTCTTGCGAGATGGTGTAGGTTAGGTGCTCACGCGAACCTAGAAGTTCCGTATTCTTCTTCCCGACGGCGGCAACGAGATCACCCGCTGTCTCGTAACCGCCTTCCGGAATCTCGACCACGTTTGGCTTATGCACAACGACAGACTTGGTTATGGCTGCTTGCGGTTGTGCTGATGTCTGACCAACGTCGACGTTTGATGTCAAATTCAAGCTGGAAGCGAGCGAAGACGGTGGCGAAGCAGGCCGAGTAGGCGGCGGCCACGCACTCTATGACGAGGAGGTGCGATGGTGGGTGTTGTAGTGATATTTGGGGCCTTCGACAGGGTTTCGAGGGGTTTGAGAGCGCAGCCGCAGGTAGAATGGCTAGGTCATTGGCTGGGTAGTGACGGCAAATTGATGAAGTGATCACTTGGTGCTGGTCGACTGAGAGTGGAATTAGGCCCGCCTGACGGACACACTAGGTCAAGCCACCGGCTGCGACGGTGCAAGGCTGCCACCGAAGACTCGTGGCCTTAGCTGAAGATTGGATAAATCCAGGAGAACTGGCTTCACCGGGCTCGTAATTGGGTGGATACTGTGAATTCAGAGCCTTTGTGGTTTCAGTGGACTCCACCGCGAAGCTGAGGCCAGAGTCAACATCTTTGACTTGGAAGGTCCGACTAGGTTCCTAGCGTCTCGTTGACAGTCGTTCACTTTCTTGCAGCACCAAAATCAAGTTTCTTTGCGACGCCCTTGAACTTGTTCTCGTTGACTACAGCTCCAGGAGCAGCAGCCTCAGCAGCAGCCATCTTCGATGCGCCACCACCTTGCTTGGGCAGATTTTCTTTATCGGTTGGTCTCGGATCGACTTGCCACCATTCATGCTCCAGAGCCCCTCTTGCAGTCACTCGTTTTCGCGGGTCGAGCTTCAACATGGCCATAAGAAGATCGACACCAACGGACCCTGCCGTAGGGAACATGACTGTGTAAAACGATTTGTCCCTCACTGGGATCTTTTTCTCCAGCTCAAAGTAATCTCTGAGCTTTGAGACGCCAGGCCAGTTCTCCTCACTCGGTGTTCCAACGGCTTCACAGATCTTATCGAGTTGCGCGACTGTGCCGCCACCAGTGGCCAGCACTTCCTGATTTGCTACGTCGGCTGCTGCATACGGTCGGCGAATCAGCAGCTCCGCGAAGACCATGCCGATGCTCCAGATATCCACGGCACCACTGTACTGCCGTGCACCGAAGAGCAGCTCCGGTGGTCGATACCATAATGTGATCACTGCTGAAGTCATCTGATATCTCGGATCCCCGAACGACCTTGCGAGACCGAAATCGGCCAATTTGACTTCGCCATCGGCTGCGATGAGTAGGTTGTTCGGCTTGATATCGCGGTGTAATATGAAGTTGGAGTGACAGTAGTATATCGCTCGACACAGCATGCCCATCCAGGCTTTGACATCGGCAGCACCGTAACTCACAGTTTTATCGCGGATCAGCTCTTCAAGGTTGCCATTGGGGAAATACTCGATGACCATATTGATATTCTGGTCTTTTGACGAGAACACATCTAGCAAGGCGACAATGCTTGGATGGGAGATTTCTTGGAGGTACTTGATTTCTCTGATGGTGTCGACATTCAGTCCTTCCCTCTGCTGTGAAGGGTCGACTTTGAATTTCTTGATCGCTACAAGCTTGTGAGGATCTGACCTCAGATGACCCTTATAGACAATAGCATAGGTTCCTTCACCCAATTTCTTGCCTGCAAGGAGCGTTAGCAGCTCGTCATCAGGCGTGAAGCCGGTTTGACGGACCTTTGACATACTTGTTGCTGATTTCTTCGTTCATTTGTTCGGCCATATCGAAGTCAGCAGGTGGCCTGGGCGGAGGCTGTGAATGCGCAGTATGCGGTTTAGATATGGATTTCCTCATCGCTAATGATTTGGCTCGTGATGGTGACATATTCGCGTTGATATTTGACGGTGACCGCGGCATAAGCGGTGACGCTGCGTTCGACGAAGGCGCCATTGTGGTCTTCACTGTGACTGGAATTCGCCGAGGATGGCTCTGTGTCTGGTAAGCTGTGGATGTGAGTTGCTTTGTCGAAGCCTGGAGTTTCGGAAAGCAACCTTGACCTCTAAGAGATCTACTTGGTGGCTGGTGTACGAGGCGCTCTTGGCGGTGGCTCAAAGTTAATCCAATATCACGTGCCTGCCAACTGACAAGGCTGGCTTGACCACATGGTCGCATGTCGCATGGTCGCGATGGCCTCATCTCATCGTTGGGGGCCAAAAATATATAAAAAACCATCCATGCCTCGAAGATCTCGACGATAGCATTCAAAAAGAGCAAAAAACAATCAACAATGAGGATTCGCTGCTCGTCACCGACGCAACTACTAACTCATCGGCATGCGGCTTAAGTACGGCTGAGCGGACGGGAAGCCCTGTAGTACGCATCCTGTGGTCGATTGCGAAGGTAAATGTGCCGGTTCTATATATATGCCTTGAGAAAAAGGGCTTGAAAGTGCCCCACGCTCTGCAGCGGCTATCTACAAAGCTGTTTGCTGTCGACTTATTACAACCGCAAGTAAAGCGTGCGCCGCGTGGTACGCTCAACGAAGACACTGTGCCTAGCGATGGCGAGTCCTTGCCACCCTCGCCGAATGCTTACTCCAAGCAGCTCTACCGGATCTTCTACATACACAGTTAGCATTCGTCTTAGGTGAATACCATGGAGTGATACCAACAATGGCCTTATCTAGCATTCTCCCTCAGGTTCGATTCACTTATTGTGCTCGGGAGGCGTGCTGCATTCATTGCCAGAGCCCACAACACGCGCCGCGCTCTTTCCTTCGACGGTAGGTGTCATGGATTTCGAACCAACAGATGCGGGATAACGAGACATGCCTCAAGGTCAGAAAGGAGGATATGAACGCGAGGGCCTGTAGATGGAGACGGGAAGCAGCACGACCGCGGCAGGGAACGCATGAATCTAAGTACCTGGGTACCCAGATGAGATGAAGGCATTGAAAACGGGGCTAGAAAAGGCTGGTGCAGCCCGTCCTCCTGGTATAAGTACTTATGAATTAACTAAAAAGCGGAAAAGCTACCTCAGTTTCTCCAACAGCTGCACCAATGATATGAGTGCGATCTCAACCTGAGAGTTCTAGTCTCTCGATATTCAACGAGTATATTCGTCAATCTTCCTGTAGTTGCTTGTTCGAGGCAAATCTGGATGGGTCATAACGGGCCTTATCATTTGCGCAGGCCCTCAGGCGATTGCCTCTTTCCTGCGTGTCCAATATCCCTCCTATCCTCGTCTCAAAAATTGTGGCACTCCTATCACGAGCATCAACATCGTTACGAGGAACATCATGGGTACGGCGGCGTTCTGCAGGTCAGTCTTGCTGATCTTGGCCAGCCAGAAGATAAAAAAGGCCAGGCCCATAACGGTGATGATTGACAACCACGCCGCAGTCTTTATGAGCGACCATCCATGCGTACTGCGAATGCCCCATGCCTGTGTCCCTGGACTCCAAGTGTGTTGGTGATCGAGGCGTTTCGGGATTAACTCTAGAACCTGCACTCCCGTCACCAGCTTGGGCTTCATCAGCCCTTCGATAATGTGCGCGCTGGCAATCATCATGTGAACTTGGGCTGGAGGTGTCAAGCTGTAGCTATACAGTTGCGGTGTATTGACGAGTGATGGCAAGCCTTCGTTCAGTTTCGAGACACTTTGGTCAGAGTCGCTAATTACGCAGAACTTTGCGGCCCGGCTCGTCAGCATATAGCGGCGGAACAATCTTGCGGCTGCGTACCTTTATGAATTCAACTCCTAAACAACGTTTCCAAGAAAAATATCGGCCAAAGCCTCGCCGGCGCTTGTACTCGCTTACAAGAAGTCGAAATAACCGTTTGTCGTCATGGACTCGTGTGACATCAATGGCCGATAAACAGGTCTTGGGGATCTCTGACCAAGCCTTGTCGATGCACCAATACAGCTCCTTTGGCTGGGTAGGTGGTGGAGTTTGGGGCTGTATCGGTGTAGCTGTCTGTCCTCCTACATAGGAGAGGTTTTGAGTTTGTGGGAAATATGCCGGAGGAACGGGCTGTAGCGGAACTGGTGGTGTTTGAATCGCTATTGCGACACCAGCGGACGAGCCATATGAGGCAGGATAAGGTGGAGCAGCTGGTAAGTACTGTGGTGGTTGCGAGATGGGGATACAAATTCGCTTGTACTCCAGAAACAAATCATTGGGGATATCGACTGCGAGTTGGCTGCCGCACCACTTGGGCAAGTCAATATTTACAGATTTGTAGGGATCCAGGATACACACCTTCCACGTAACCCTTCTGCTATCCCTCTGACAGGTCTGTTGACCTTGACTCAGTGGCCACCAAGAGACTTTCGATTGAAGGGTGGCTTCAATACTTTCTTTGAATCGATCGATAGGTGGTGGGCGGGGGACCTGGTCTCAGCGGAGAAAGCGCACGGCTCTCTGACCGTCCCAGAAGACACAGCTGGAGCACTTTCGGAGACGCAGCTGTCAGTTAGTGCTTAACATGAGGATGGAGTGTAACATACTTCACGTAAAGTTGTCACTGTGGCAGTGGCATTAGGCCTGTGCCCGCTCTCTCCAAGCATTGCCTTGATAAAGGGCGTGAGCTCCTCTGCCCTAGTGTCGCGACAAGAAAGTCGTGATACACAGTCCAGAACTTGTGGCTCACCTTTTCACCGTCATGAAATCGAAAATCACCAACTGCATCTGATGTTAAGCCACCGCTAGTCGTCGTAATAGAGCACCGAAACTCTTTCAGCCCGTCACATCCCAGGAGTAAGAAAGTCAGGAGCTCGGTGAACACACTACCCGGTTTCCAGATATCGGCTTGTAAAAGGGAACCTGGGCTGGGTATTTGCAGCGGGTCAATTCCAAGTTCTTGTGCTGATTTGAGAATCTCAGGTGCATCATACTTCAAAGCAGATTGTGCGTCTGTGGACCCCAGGCTATATGTGGTGGCATTTTCCACGTTTATGGCGAGTCCAAAATCTGCAATCTTCGCCAGAATTGTTGGATGACCAGGTTCACTGTAGATGAGAATGTTGGAAGGCTTGATGTCTCTGTGTACCGTATGGCATTTGATGTGGACAGATTCGAGCCCACCGGCAACGCCTTCAAACTGGGACCACAAATCTTGTGCCAAGTTCGGGATCTGGACGTTTCCAATAGACCCTCTGAATACCTGTTTGAGGTTTCCGAGGGCAAGAGGGAATATTAGATTGAAAGGTTGGGTCTCCATCTCCTCCCAACGGAAAGCCTGCAAGACCTGGATGACGTTGGGGTGATTCGTCCGGCGAATATTTTGTAAGGCCTCAAACTCAACCAAGAATTGCTCCAGTGGAGTTTTTGTCTTCAGCTTCTTGATTGCTACCTGCGACCAAGCTACGCTCAACTGCACCTGGAAGACATAAAGGACGAGCTTTACTTACTTTGATAGTTGTCGATGCCCCCCTCTCCAAACCTTCGTGTGACGTCCAAGCCAGAGATGCTTTGGCACTGTAAATGGTGGATGTCTCGCCTTGTGCCAAGTGTGAATCTTCCCAGGATAGTGCCGCGATTCCTTGGGGGCTCTCTTCAGCAATGAAGATGGGGGATATTTCAGCTTCCGCGTTCACTTTCAGGCCAGGCCACGGCAATTTGAATGCGGAAGCAGCGCCTCCTGAGCTGACCAGCGGAAAGTTGGAGATGCATGGTGTCCTCGTTCTTTCGCCCTGTCGTGCGAAGCCGCAGCTGCTTCGGAGGTGGGGGTCTGGGTTGTGGCCTCGCGTTGTGACTTGCGGCGTGTGTCTTTTTTAGGGACGATGGACTCGTGCTTGTCGCTTTTCCTGTAACTCTCTTGGGGCTTTCCAGAGAGACTTTTAAATACGAAGTCTCTAAGAAGACGTCAAGAAGGCATCTCACAATCATGTAGGGGATCCTACACGCGCGAAGGCAGCTTCTTCTCTTCGGAAGCTGTAACTCTCAATCAAGCGCAAGTCCTCCTAATAGAGCGTTATTGGCATCCACATGATTTGCAAAAAATCTGTGTCTTACATCTGAAAGCCTTTCCGGAGCGGTGACTACGCATGTGTCATCCAATACCTATAATCTTAAGTGATCCGCGATGTCTTCAATTAATTGAAATATTTACCTCTGCTCTCCAATTGCCGCTGCCAAACTTGGCGTCCAGAAGTTGCGTAAGCGACTTAAATCTGATATAGCGAATTGAAAGCATGTATGTAGTCATATTCGAAGAAGATGCAGCACAGTAGCCGGGGAAGTTGCAGCGGCCAAGACGAAGAACACTCAGTGACTTCAAGTAGTCTCAATACCCAAGCCGTAAAACGTCGCTGTGAAGTCAATGTGTTATGGCAGCGGACTCAGACTAGGTCGAAAGCGATGTGAGGGCTGAGTGAACAGAAATGAGAAAGCCTGTACGAGTAGCAGCGTGGCTACACCTCGGTGGGCCTCACCAGTCAGAAGGTTGCAAGACAACACTGCCCAGAGGGAATGCGCCAGTTGCCTCTTGCCTGGAGCACTGGCACCCTCGTGACACACTGTCACAGGCTGAATGACAGTGGTGATTGCCATGCTGTGGCCTCGGACGAAAGTTCTGAGCAATCATCGCGGTAGTAAGGTCGTGTCGCAGTGCGCTTATGCAGGTCGCATGTAAAAAGGTGGTTTGGGGAGAGCTGAACCACCTCCCTGTCATGGTTGCAGGTGATTGTACTCACAGTAGTAGGTAGTTACCAGGCCAGGCGGCCCCCACCCCCTCCCCCAACCGGGGGGCCAGGTGATTAGCTCGGTTAGTAGGGATGACCCAGGCTCTTGGCGTATCATTCTGCCTTACCATCTATCTACGGTGTCCGAAAGTTGCAGCTAGCCAGAGTCTCGACAGCAAAGAAATTTGTCCAACTCCAACTTACACATTAATACCGATGACTCTTCGAGTATATCTTCCACGCACCATCTTCATTCTTCACCCTGTCAGCTGTGTCTCAAGCTGATCGCTTGTACCAAAGAGAAAGCTATCGAAATCAAAGTTGATATCACCAAAAATATCGTCAGATAAGACGTCTGAAGCCCCTTGCGTCCGTGTTCCATCTCCATTGCCGTGGCTGCCGTCTGTATTGGGATGTCGTGTGTCCAGGATCCTTGTGGAGAGCATCTCAAATGTCCGGATGCACTGTTGGACATATGAACTCAGGTGCTCATGGGCATGGAGGGCCGACAACGTGTTGTCCCAAGATTGCAACACACTGTCAGTGAACAGGTCTGACCTAAACATGGCAGCCAAAAGGTGGGTGCCCGCAATGTGTAGACAATAAATTCGGAGCCACCAAGGTAAGAGACCTGTTGACTTGTCTGGCTCCAGTGTCTCGACAACCAACGACGTCATCCTTTGCGCTGCCTCGATACACATTCTGGCACCTTCTCGGACAAGCCGATCCCCCAGGCTGGGAATGTTGGAAGTTGCCGTGTCGGATTTCATCGCGCAGAAGCATGCAAGCATGGGCCTGTACAGAAAAATTCGGTAATGAAGTAACCTGGTATACGGGAATCAGCAGGACCGAGGATAAATTAGAAAGTCTGTGTCCTCTACTTTCACAAATCTGCATGCTTGCTTACCGAACATGAAGCACATACCGTCTTGATCGAGAAGTCCTGTCGACGACTTTTTGAATGCTCTCCAACTTCCAGTCACTAGGTAGGCCATTTTCCCATCTATTGAGGCAGTAATCTAGCTGCACCGCCGTCACATGGTACTCGGCTTGTTGATACGGACGGTGCAGACCCAACCTCCCACCCGGACTATTCTGAGTCTGTATCTGTGCCAAGTGAATCTGGTTGCCGATTCCATGAAGTTCCGCTGACCTCAGAAAGTCATCGGTATCTTCCCCGCTGAAAGATGTGGGATCAGGCGTGTTGGGCAAGATGTTTAGAAACGGTGCTGATGCCCTACCAAGTGACCATGAAATGCATCTAATCTTGACTTAGCAATTATCAACAGGGACGTGTTTTCATTGCTGTGGCTCGTGGAGCTTACCGATCCATGGCAAGGCAGGTGGCCCAGACTTGGTGTTTCAGCTGCCTTTCTTTGCGAGAAGAGGTCTCGGGAGCATGAAAATACATACCCTGGCAAATTCGCATCGCCAAACCCGCCGTCAGCCATGTCTTTTGCGGATTGTTGGTGCAGTGGAGAAACCGGTTCATAATGATCAAGCACTGAACCAGCTCTGGCGACCCAGGCTTCCATAGAATTGTTTCCGGACGGAGGAGAGCTCTGGCACGCTGGAAATAACAAATTCCTTCTTGATTTCGCTGTTGCACGGGGATAGATTCCTGTCTCTGCACTGCTAATGCAAAAACAAGATTGATTATACTTAGCCAAACCTCGCGGTCCCCTAGGAATATTGCACCCTGTCTGCAAAACGCGGCTTTATAGTTGTCGAAAAAGCATTCCCGGTCCAAGACGGGCTCCACAGGATCCACGTATTCCCAGTATATATCGACAAGGGTATCAGCATGTGCCTGGGGAGGCAAATAAACAGCAAGATCGAGAACACTGAATGGGGAATCCAGGTCGATCTCTCCAAACAGAGGCGCATTGATAAACGGGATAAGGGTCGAAGTTGTAGCTGGGACGACACCTGCTCTCGCATCTATAGCGGCGGCGACTTGATCAGCAAACTGCCCGTGTGCGGTGTAGTATGTAGGATTATCGTCGTGAGCCGGCTTAGGGTTCTGTTCGAGATCCTGGTCGTGTTCATGATGCGAGTCATTCGACCTTGAGGAAGACTCGATTGGCAACGGAGACTCGAGCGAGTGAGCTTTCTGAGCGTCCAAGTCTGGCCGCAATATGGGCGCAGGGCGGATGAGCTGTGGGTGTCTATTCAGAGCTCCTTTCCGGGATTGTTGCTTGTCGATGAAGCTATCCCGGCCGTAGGTACATGTCTTTTGTCCTCCATGGCACCGGGCACATGCTGCAGATATAACATACATTAGTCCCATGTGAGCCTGAATCAAGGATGGTGATTAGACTAGTAGGGACCAGCATACCAGGACGTCCACCGTCACATTTCACTTTTTTGGAGCGACAATATTGACAAGCAATTGCGATTCTTAATCGCTGCCTGCGTAGTGGCTTCGAAACTTCGGCTTGATCCTCCTCAAGCTGGATATTTGCAGTCATGGTATCGGCATCACTCCGATTAAGCTGTTCGTGAAAATGTTTCCATCCTAACATTCAGGAAATCGAATTTGTCACCTTCCTTGGATACTTGGTACTCGGGATGCACGTCACAAGCCAATCATATTGTGCTCCGGCCGAGATTCGTCGGGAAGGTCTGTAATTGGCTATACGGGAAGAAACAGTGGGCTTGACCATTCAGAACAACACTCGCCTCGTCGGTGTCTCCTCCCAAGAACCCTTCTTCTTTCTGTATTAACCCATAGAATACCTATCACCGGCGGCCTCGGTCTTAGTGGCAAATGAAATACAATGCCGTCCTCAACCACTTCTGCTTCTCCGATACATTCTTCCGAACTGGAACCAATACTTAAATCGCTGGTAATTCTGGTAGACTGCGTGATTAATATTATAGATCCGATCCCTTTTTTCCTGCAAAAAATTTCCGGGACCCTAAACAAGTCATCTACCACTACGAGTCGTCAAAAGCATGTCTCTACATGCCGAACCCAAGGCAGAAGCCGACATGGGAGTTGATGAAAGTTATGTCTATGATGGTCAAGGCACCGAGGAAGATCCATTTGTGGTTGAATTTCGAGAAAACGATCCTGGCAACCCGATGAACTGGTCTCACTTCAGGAAATGCCTTATCACAGCCATTGCGACTTTGTCCGTCTTCGCCGTCACCCTTACGTCTTCAGCATACTCAGAGTCCTCCAACGAGGTTATGCGAGACTTTGATATCAGCTCCGAGGTCTTTGTACTGGGGGTTTCCCTCTATGTACTGGGGTTTGCCATCGGCCCAGCTTTATGGGGGCCTCTGGTAAGTACTTGTTAAGACCACTTTCCAGATCAACAGGCTAATGATTCCTGTTAGTGAGTCTCCTTTTACCAGGCATATGCAGATAGAACTGGAATGCTGACCGCCAGCGATGCTTCGAAGATCCGAACTCTATGGAAGACAGCTTCTCTGGATTGTCTCTCATATATCCATGGTGGCCTTCATCGGAGGTTCTGCCGGAAGTCAAAACATCACTACACTCCTCATATTGCGATTTCTTGCGGGCACCTTTGGAGGATCACCTCTTGTTAACTCCGGGGGCGCCATTGCGGATATGTTTTCTCCGGCTCAGAGAGGTCTTGCCATGGTGATTTACTGCGTCGCACCCTTTCTTGGGCCCGTTGTTGGCCCCGTGATGGGCGGGTTCATCTCCGAGAATGTTGGGTGGAGGTGGGTCCAAGGGGTGTGCTGTATTCTAGTAGGAATCATAGGTACTTTGGACATCATCTCTTCTTCCTGGAACATTGGCCAGTGCTGACCGGGAATGATAGGTATTCTGGGTTCCATTTTCGTCCCCGAGACATACGGACCAGTGCTGCTTATGAGGAGAGCAAACCACCTATCGAAAGCCGACGGCAAGATTTATATCAGCGTTCTTGAAAAAAGCCAGGGAAAGAAGAAACCTTCCGAAGTCTTCAAGAGAGCTCTAGTACGACCTTGGGTTTTACTTTTTCTGGAACCTATCGTGTTCGTAGCCTCGACCTACATGGCAATCATTTACGGCACAGTCTATCTTTTTATGGGTGCCATGCCTGTTGTCTACAACCAAGACCGGCAATGGAGCGAAGGGATCGGAGGCCTCGCATTCCTAGGTATTGCCGTTGGATTCCTACTGGGAGTGGTGTATTCCATCTACGACAATGATCGACGTTACATGAAGTTATTCTTGTCTCAGAAAGCTACCGCCGAAGCTCGATTGCCACCGGCCATCGTCGGTGCTATTGCCTTACCTGTCGGCATGTTCGCTTTTGCATGGACCAACTACCCCAGCATTCACTGGTCTGTTGGCATCATCCTCACGGCCCCCTTTGGTGCTGGCTGTGTCCTTGTCATCATGCCGCTTATCAACTATCTCATCGATTCCTACACCATCTACGCAGCCTCCGTTCTCGCGGCCGCAGCAATCTTCCGCGCCATCGTCGGTGCCGCGTTTCCACTTTTCAGCAACCAGATGTACCAAAATCTCCGGATCCACTGGGCGAGCTCCATACCAGCATTTCTGACATTGCTTTGCATGCCCTTCCCACTGATCATGCATCGCTACGGTGAGGCGCTGAGGATGAAATGTAAGTATTCTTTCGAAGCTGCTGAAATGATGAAAAAGATGCAGTCAAAATAAATGTTTCCCAGCCAAGATGAAGGCACTATTTTCCCCCGGGAAATGAGGCATCCCATTGAGTTGGAAGTGCACATAAGAGGAGTCGGTGTCTGAACGAGCACTACTACAGGTGATTTTGGTTGAGGAGAGCCGGTGTTGTGGGTTAATACGGAGTATGGTCTGATTTAAAGCTAAAGAGTCGGTTCAGTCGATGCTACTTTAGGATCCTCCTACCTTATAGATACATATTTTCGAAATCTGAGTCACTAACCGACCTGGGTCCCTAAAGGTCTACGGCCGGAGGTCTGATCATTACGGAGTAAGGGTTATGGGATATCAAAAGACGCACTAAGCCTTAAAGGGGTTCACTGATCTTGGCATCAGTCTGCGAGAGGCTAAAAGTTCCAGCTAGCCAGAGTCTCGACAGCAAAGAAATTTGTCCAACTCCAACTCCAAACCCAACGACAATGACTTCGCGGAGCTCGTAACGCTATCTCCTCTTCCTGCGCCCACCTTAACGATCTGTGTATATATCGTCTGGCCAAACAAAAGACAAATATGATCACGCGACAACCCCAAACCACCTCCTCCATCCTCACAACCCTCCTTCGACCATTAACATCTGCGTCAATTCCACAATCTTACATCTGCACACCATGCCGCCGTCAATTACACCGCGGTCTCCCTGAGAACGGCCGCGTTCCCCCTCCCACACCTTTCGTCCCGGACGTCCCTACATTCCTCAAACTCGTTGGCCGAGAGCTGTCAAAGCACGAGAGTAAAATTGGATCCTGGGAGGAACTGTTCACTTTGACATCACAACAACTAAAGGAGCGAGGCATCGATCCTCCTCGCACGCGGCGGTACCTGCTACGATGGCGAGAGAAGTTTCGAAAAGGAGACTACGGGATTGGTGGTGACTTGGATTATGTGCAGGACGGTGTTGCCGAGCTAAGAGTCGTTGAAGTGCCGAGTCTAAAGAAGGATGCACGCACAGGAGAGCCCGTGTCGGACGAAGTCAGTCTGAGCAGGACACCTGGGATGCAAAAGCTGATTGTCAATGTGCCGAACGGGTCGACGACTTACGCATTATTACCGGGCCAGACCACCGCGGACCTGAAGAAGCCTGCGGGATTCAAGCTGAAAAACGGATACATCATCAAGGGCAAGCAAGTGCATCCGATGAAGGGCACCTACGGCAGTGGAGCCATCCTGAAAGCGGTCGAGGGGCTCTGGGAGCATAAGAGAGGCCACAAGGTGCACGGTGGCGAGAGGAGAAGAGCGGAGACGCTGCACAAGATGAGGGTGGAAGAGAGCAAAAAGAACAGATAGCTAGGGTGTAGACCAGGTCACCTTGCTCTCTGATTGCTCATATGTACAATGTAATATTAGATGGGCAAACAAAACAACGGGGTTGAGTCTGTCTTGCTGGAAGACTGGTTCTATACAGAACTTCTAGTGTATAGCTTTAAGTAGCATGGCGAGCACAATGAGCTACGGCACTGCGGATCGAAGCATACCTTGGTCAGCACCATGGAGCCTTGCCGCCATGGTCAATTCCAGCCAGTAAACCAGATCGTAGAGGTGTCCAAGGATAGGTATGGAAAACTAGCCCACGCTCGATCTGTATTATTGCCGGAGATACTGTATAGTTACTAGAGTAGGCTCGATTATATCAGATGGATTGACTAAGACGAACGCAAATTAAGTCTGCGTCTCTGGTTATGATCGTCCAGTTTGCTCTCGGCATGCATGCATATTGCAGTACCATGGCGAGGGCGACGCATTGCAATCACCTGCGAGTGAAGGCTGCTTTTGTCAACAACTGCAGTCTGGGTGTTCTTGTCATTATTCAAAGCACTCCATTAAATTCCAAATAGCAACCCCTGTGGAGAAAAGGGTTATGCTCCTTTCAGTGCGCTATAGCCAGCGACCAGGTTCGACTTTCTGGGGAAGCAATGGCCATATCGATATCAAACAGTCCTAACATTCGCGCCGACATAGTCGACACACCAGGCCGAACCATGAACCTGGACATGGACAGATCAACCTCGAACCATGCTACACACTAGCTTTTGGTCTCACGGGACTCGAGGGACCCCCCTGAAATATGAAATCTCGGGAGTTTCGGCTCCGTCTCAGTCTTGTTCGCAAATCCCAAAACGACGGCACGCCGACGTCGGAACTTGACACAGCTGTGACTTGGTTGCTTGATTGGGTCTCTTACGATACGTGGTCGCGGGAGAGGTCGATCTTTGACGCGTGGCAGATGTGGACAGCTGGATATGCCGAACAAGCTGCATTTTGAGGCAGCGTCGTGAAAAGCTTCAACCACCATCACGCTAGCTGTCACCTAAGAAAACAAAACACCAATGAAGTTTTGTGTCGCTCAGTCATTGATATGACGGGTCTTGCCCAGTTGAAACTCAACATTCGTGTTCTGCTTCACTAACTTAGATTCTGAGCAGGAGGCTGCATAGCACTGCTCCTTGCAGCACTACGGCACTTGAGGGTGGTTGCCTGTGACGAAAGCATGGCACGCATGGCCATTTTGTGTAGCTCGAGATCGGCCTCATGCAGGGAAAGGTAGCATCATTATGAAGATGATTGGGAAGGACGAACAGCTGATCTTTCCTCTTTCTCGCTCATTGTTAGAGGGACCCCAAAGGAGAATTCTGGGTCCGCTGGCCGATTGACTCAAAGCAGACTTCGGGAGGGTATCGTAGATAACTTACATATTCAAGCTCTCCTATCGAAGTCGCCGGTCGATATCAATGTCCTCCATCCCCGGTTCGCAAGCTTTGATGGCGGAGCATACATGCAAGCCGCATGAAAGGACTAAAACTGGTGGCTCACGCAGTTTCCATCGCCCGATCAGGAGAATGGACAGTATCGAGGCTCTCTACGGAGTAACCAGCTCGCAACTGAGCACCACAGTCTCACGAAGCAGTGACTGGATGCTGAACAAGGTAAAGATTCAGCTTAGGACCGAGATGAGGTTGTTCTCGGTTCTGAAGCAGAGTCCTCCCTCTGTGAGTGATGGCTAACCAGCCAAGCGGATTGCCAGGGGTTATGTGGTCGGATGAAGCCTTAGATCGAAGCCTTCAGATTGGCGTTGACAGGGGTAGGGAAATTCTCCTTTCTGCTCGTGCCTGAAGGGCCAGCTCTTGACGTACTGAACCCCATCCGGGAGTTTATCACGAAATCCACTCGTCTTGGAGCCCCAACTCTTGCACTATACCTTCACGGAAAATTTGTGTATGAGCGTGATCAAAGGCGACAGACAGGGCGTACGTTCTGGGTTTCTCTTGGGGATACGGCTGCTTTCGTGTCTGGTCGGTTAAAAACATTTGTGGGTTGGTAGAGCGAAGGGTAGGCGACATAAGCGAAGGTCGAGAAGAAGTTGGGGAATGCGGTAGTTTCCACCACAGTGGGCTCCGTTGCTATTGCACTGACTTGACATGATGCAGATAGCCCAAGGTCGGACTGTTGCAGACTTGCGAACGGTGGGTTAGAGTCTTCGTTCTCAACATGTCGAGCACCTAGCGGTTGTGATGATCACCTGCGTGAAGATGAATTCCCAAGTGACAAAACAGGGCCCAAGGCCAATGAGCGTCGACATTGGAAATAATGCTGACCCTTGGGACACAGCGTGGAAAGTGGTTTGCAGAGCCTTTGGGTATAGCTGCCTCGATAAGTGGCTCCCAGGCACTGGTAGGGAGCATCCCTGGGAAAATGCAATTTGACACATTTTTGACGGGCGCCGCCCCCGCCAAGTCGGTGGCCTACCAGGAACCCGCAAGGACTCCCAGGCACCTCTTAGCCTGAGAAATGCCTGCGAAAATCCACTCCTCCCTCTGCAGAGTCCTCTCGGCCCTCCAATCTGCTTCTCCCAGTGCCTGCAGCTAGCCGGTGCGCTTGTGTCTTTTCATCCTATTCACGCCGCCGACGAGGATCACGACCAGGGTCCCAGATTCTTAGCGGCGACGCCGGCACGGTCCCTATCCAACTGCTTTCTGAATGGTGTGAACTGTGAATGCGTAGCAGACATCCTCCTGCGCCTTGTGCCTCCTTGCTTGTATCCCTCTTCAATTTTGGTGAAAATCACGTCCTCCTGGCAAACACTCGTATCGAGTTGCATTCCAAAGATCCTCCAAGACTTACCTTCCGAGAGGTCGCAAGCTTTCCGGTACATACCAGAGGATCGACACTCCACGTTGTGATGAGATGATCGCTGTTTCACCTCCTCAACTTCCTCTCGTGTCGCGACGCTCGACATGAGCATTGTTAAAGGTTCGGGCAGTCGCATCTTTAGCGGACTAAAGGCTCCAAAGTCGGAAAGAACAGACGGCGGACCTGGGTCTGTGCTTGAATAGTCTTCGGCAACACAATCAACTGGACGCCAGTCAAAGCGCCTCAGACTGCGAACCTTTTATCTCGTACAGGCAGCAAGAGTACTCTTTCAACACACGAACCCCGCATGAGCAGGCGAGAGATATCTTGACGAAACCAGCTGTATCACCAACATCACGGTCAGCATGTCTCTACCCGTACTCTCAGCGCGGCCTCTAGCCGACCCGCCGACGGGTGCGTTGCCTCCCATACCTATGACCACAAGCAAGACCCCGCGCAAGAGTCTTGGATCAACGCCGTCGCGGCTCAAAGCGCCCTCAAGACCATCACTCCTACCTACATCGCAACCTGTCGCCTCTAGTCCGGACCTTTCATCCACCAGAGGAGGCGACAAGTCCTCCGGCATACCCTCCGCCAAGTCAGTGCGTAAAGCTGTTAGCATCGGCTCGTTTCCTCAACCACCAAATGCGAGTTCGCGGCCGCCTACTTCGGCGTCGATGGCATCTACCAATTCAACGAGAAAGCGAGCCTCAAAATCACCAAGAGCAAGCACAGCTGGGGGCTTCCGCTCGTCACAGACTCCAAGTCTGCTGAATTCTGCTGGTGATGGAATGACAGTGTCTGCAAGAGCTGGAAAGAGAACATCCGACGCTCAATCCAGCGTGCACTCTCCTCCACAAAGCAGGAGCTCTTCGGCCAACGGCTCCTATTCCACCACCGCAACCACCATCGAGGACTGTGATGAGGACGGTCGAGGTCGTTCAAAAGATTTCGATGAAGCATTGGCTGATTCAAAGCGGAACTCTAAAGGAAAGGAATCGAAAGGGAATGTCCTCGTCAGCGTCCGTGTCCGACCAGATCCGGGCACCACAAACAATACCCAGTCTGAGGGAGAATGGATGGTGGATGGTCGAAGAAGCCTCGTCGCTTATCGGGGCAAGGAAGGCGGAGATTACCACTATGACAACGTCTTCACTACACATGACGACAATGCAAAAGTCTACGATGCAGGCGCCAAACGACTGGTGCGTCGAGTCATGGAAGGCTACCACGGGACCGTCTTCGCGTATGGCATGACAGGGACGGGCAAAACGTTCTCGATGCAAGGCACAATGACAAGCCCTGGTGTTATACCTCTCGCGATCACTGATATTTTCTCCTATATCAGAGAGACTCCACATCGAGAATTCCTCCTACGAGTCAGCTATCTTGAAATCTACAATGAGAAGATTCATGATCTACTGGCTGCGCCTGTAGGAGGTGGACCTGGCGCGCAGCAAGAGGAAATCAAATTGCGCGAAGACAGCAAACGGGGCGTTTACGCCACACCCTTGAAGGAGGAGATTGTGCAAAGCCCGACGCAACTGCTTCGTGTAATCCACAGAGGAGACACCGCACGGCGGACAGGAAGCACTCAGTACAATTCCCGAAGCTCGCGTAGTCACGCGGTGGTACAGATCGTCGTGGAGAGTCGAGAACGAGTTCCTGGCTCCGGAGCGATGCATGAGCATGGCAAGCGAGTAGCGATGCTTCCTGGTGGTGTACGAGTGTCAACCCTTAGCTTGATTGACCTGGCTGGCTCGGAAAGGGCAGCTGAAGATAAGGAACGGCGTGCTGAAGGAGCGCACATCAACAAGTCCTTGCTTACCCTTGGCACAGTTATTGCTAAGCTGTCAGGGAACAAGGACAAGAATGGGAATCCCACCGACAAAGATGGAAAACACCTGCCATACAGAGACAGCAAACTGACCCGCCTCCTGCAGCCGGCACTGTCTGGAAATTCTTTGGTGTCTATCCTGTGCACGATCCAGATTGGAGCGGGTCTCACCGTAGCCGGGAACAACCATACAGGAGAAACTCTCAATACCCTCAAATTTGCCGCTCGAGCAAAGAACAACATTGTCAGTCATGCCAAGAAGGCCGCAGAAGAAGTGGGCAGTGGTGTCAACTCGGGTCTCCTTGAGCGGTACCGAACCGAAATTCAGAGCCTTCGAGCTCAACTCGAAGGGCAGCAGAAATCAGCGGCTGAGAAGGAAGAAAGACAACTGGAAAAGGAAGCTGAGCAACGGCATGAAGAACAAATGCTAGAGATGCAGCTTGCGAGGACCGCTCTGAAAGAGCGTATTGAACATCTTAACCGCTTGATCTTGTGCTCGAAATCTACAGGCGTCAATAGCGGCACTGTATCAGCATTAGGGATGCACTCTCGGCTCTCTGGAGGTACCGAATTTGCTGGTTCCCGCTCTGTGCGATCATCAGCTAGTCAGTCTACTCTGGGTGTCGGCCCGAGCCTGAAGCGTCACCCTTCTGCAGCATCGTTGAGCAACGTGCAATCAGCGTCTGCCCACTTGTCATTCCCAGGCATACCGGATGAAGATGAAGATGCTGGAGGGGACTACGGCGACGGCAGGGCAACGCTCCAGGCACAAGTTCGGGCCTTGCAAGCAGATCTTCAAGACAAGACTCGGTATATTTCAACCTTGGAAAGGAGGCTGCTGCAAGCCCGGCGGTCGAGCCATTCCCGAGTATCCATGGCTTTTAACAAAAGCCCTGGCGACGACGGTGACGTGCTAAGAAAGCTGGAGGAGAAGGATGCCATGATCGCCGACCTGCAGAAGACAGTCTCAGCGCTTCGCTCGGCCGTGCGCAAGCGTGAGATAGCAGAGTTGACGCCAGAAATGTCGTCGAGTGAATTCAAGCAGCATCGAAATGAAGAGGGCCATCAAAGCACAAACAGCAATACGAGCTCGCAATTGGGCAGCATTTCGATTCCAAGTCAGCAAGGCTCAAATGGCCCGCGCTCACCTTTGACGACCAGTCCAATGACACTGCTCTCCCCACAGAAGCCCATGGACAAGAAGAAGAAAACCGTTGACGAAATGTCCAAGATGCTTGATGAGATGATCCGCGACAAGGTCGAAAACGGAAAACTGACCAAAGGACGATCAGCGTCAGCACGAGTGCCGACACGATCTTCTTCACAACGACATTCGCGAAGAACTTCGAGTGCCGGTTTCACCGGAGGTCCTGCTATGGGCACTTTGGTAGCTTCCTTGCGCGAGCGAGATTCGGTGCTCGAAGTGACAGACCCCATTTAAAGGCGGTCTCTGATCGATTTCATTCATTTGCCCAAATTACGAGTGACGACGTGCCAGTCTTGATTTTGTTTATTTCAATCGATAGCCAGTGATGAACTGGCAGGCCCGACAGGACGACATTAATGTGGATTAAGGATGGTCGCTTTGGTGGCCTCCTCGATGGGGTTTTCTTTGGCGGAAATTGATTGATTTTCAGGAGCTTCGACAGCATTTCCCTTTTTTGTTTTGATGCACCAGAGACCGGAAGATGATGGACGACATCAGGTTATATACCCCGATAGAAGTGTTTTAGTAGCAAGTGTATAGGTATTTTGGGGCAGCGGGACTGGCAACGGTCCTTGATCGAGTCCTTTTGTTTGATTGTTCACTCACTGATCAACGACTGAATGTTTCCACCTCTTGTCCTCTTATATTTATATTTGTCTATCACTCTGTCCAGTTGCAGTGATTTAGATTTCCGTCAATGACCTCATATGAGCTCCGTGCTGCTCGTACCCGAGGCGCACGGAAAACCAGGGGTCGACCCGGTTTGATCTACATACGAGGTATCCGTACTCCGTACTATGTACTCCGTACCAGCTTCAACATGCTGTCGGTGTTTCAGGTTCTGGACCAACTGCAACCTTTGAATCCATCATCTTCTGCTTTTCCCCGCCGCCTCCCGAACTTGTGGCCCTTTTCTCAGAGATCTTATTTTCTTTCTAGACGCTCGGTTGGCTGTTGACAGGACAGCCGGTGATGTTCTCTAACCAAACTTGCATGCCCAGTCTGATTGACAGCTTCCTCTTCCGCTTTTCACTTGCTCGTTCCGTCTATGATGATGAAGGTGACGGCGCCTGGCACTGTACAAATCCATCTAGGGTCGAGGCTAGTGGTTACCTCTATTCCGGATACCCGCAAGTGGCACAACGTCTCAACATCTCCGGTTCCCTTCAGTTGTGGACCGAATCCTTGAAGTTATCTTTCCCGCAAATTTTCAATCTTGCCCAGCACTTCTTCTCCGTCATGTTTCCGGATTGGTTTTTCGATGATCGTGTTGTATGATCACAACTACGACTCTTCGGACCAAAACTGTCACGATTTGTCCCTTTCCTTACGCCCTCTTTCGACCCTTTTGACCGCCTTTAGCACCTTCGAGCCTCGATCTCTTCTGCTTTGGGGTCTCTACTCACGTCCATTCTTTCACGGCCTATTTTCTCAAGCATTTACAAGCCTACCTAGAGAATGTTATAGGATACCAAAGCATCATATTGCATATTTCGGAGTTTCATACGACGGTTTGGGCTTTGGCAAGTCCGTGCTGGCCACGTTACTCGCCTTTGAAGAATTCATCTCAATCATTGGTTTTGCTTGCTCTCTTTACGCATCGGACTTGGGTTTCCAGTCGCAAACTCCTGTCATCACAATCCAACCTCAATGCAGTCCATCAACCACTGAATGACTCTTTTACGGCCACAACAAAGCCATGACGACCGCCCACGCCAGAAAATGCTTCTCTCCAGTCGAGCAAGTCCTCCCAAGCCGCTAAAGGTCGTGGAATCCGACCGGTATCTCTCGATCAAAAGCCTACTCCCTCAAACACCCATCCCATCGCCCTCATTACCGTCCATCCTTCCACGCCACGGCAAGAAACCGCCCAAGCTTAACTCACGAAAGATAGTTCGGGGGATCATATACCTCTCCATCGTTATCGGCTTGTACTACCTTCTTGCCCCCAGCAAACGGAAAATCCGGAACCTTGCAGACGTAACCTTTCTGTCGTCCTTGGGTAAGACTTACGAGATCGTGGAGGCTGCCGAACTGCCCGACCATCCGACACCACTGGCCCTGACGGACAGTCAGGGTAAGCATCACTGGACGATCTGGATACCGCAAAAACACGGATTCCCTCTGCACGGTACCGACTATGCGGACATATGTTCACAGGTCGAAGAGGTCGCCAGACATGTCGCTGGTCGGCCCCAATCCGAAGACAGCGTCGATGAGTACCACGATGCTGATCCGCATTACATCGATGTTGCAGAAGCCGAAGCCAGGCATTTCCTGCCGGAGCAGATCGCATCGAGCCCCTTGCCGGGTGAGCAACGATTACCCATCTGTCAGAAAAGCCTGACATATGTACTGGACGCGACAGATGCGGGCCTAGGCTCGGCACTGTTGGGGATGTGGGTGTCGTACAGTCTAGCGCAGCGAGAGGGGCGGGCTTTCTTTATCGACGACACGAACTTTCCCTACGGGAACTATAGTACTTTCTTCACGTCGAGACCTAGGGCAACGTGCAGACCGCCACCTACGAGTCAGCGCGTACCGTGTCCCCATCAGGCGAAGCACTTGGTTGTATCGGCGGCAACATCGACGTGGACTTTCGGAGCGGCATTTCATCGTACCTACACGGAGAGAGAGGTCTTTGATATGGCGAGGCAGGGGTACGATGCGTTGTTCAGGCTCAACAGAGAGGATGACGAGTACGTGTCAAGCCTGGCGAGAAAGTTGCGTCAGGGCGAGCATGGCAGCGAAGAGAATGGACTTGTGGGGATACATATTCGACGAGGCGATTGCCATCCGTTCGAATTTGCCTATCAGAGGGGTTATCTGCCGCCCGAGAGGTATATGGATAGCGCCAGAAGTTTGGTCGGTCAGGCGTTGGAAGAACGCTGGAAAGTGCTTCTTGCGAGTGATGATGCCGATATGTTTGACCACGTCGAGTTGAGCGGAGCGATGAGGGCACAGACGCGTATTTCGTTGGCGAGTAAGAAGCAGCTTGCGAGTGGAGGGTTAGGGTGGGAAGGAGGGTTCTTCAAGGACGTCTTCTGGGGGCTGGGGCTGCCTGAGCATGTAAAGGAACAAAAGAGGGCAGGCAGTCCGAGACCGACGAAGGCTAGGCCAGATGAAGGGAGCGAGATCGGGAAAGGGAACGGGGTCATTCAGGGACATGACAGGAATTACAGGACGAGTCCGACCAGCGAAGCATTGCAGCTTAGAGAGTTGCTAGGACGGGCATACCTACTTGATCTGGCCATGCTGGCAAGGAGTGACAAAGTGGTCTGCGGAGTGTCGAGTAATGCGTGCAGAATATTGGCTGTTATGCTGGGCTGGGAAAGGGCATTTGAAAATGAAGACTGGAAGAACGTCGATGGGAATTATGGATGGAGGTTCCTCGACTATTAAGAGGCGATCTAGGACTGTGAGGGAGTCTCGATCCATTGAAGCCCTGATGGAGAAGAAGTGAGCCCCCTGTGAGTGCTGCACATCCAACATATCTGACATATCCAAAAAAGGATCTTGCAAGGAACATAATCGACTCAGTGGTTATGTTCACCGCAGTCACAAACACACCTGCTCAATGTGATATCCCATGACAGCTACCCATGCTGTACTTTCCCTGCTTGTGCCCAGTACTGAACCGCTTTCTTCGGTGTAGGGTTTGGAAGTGAATCTCATTCTTATGGCGCAATGAGTGATGTTGAGTTGAGGTTCGAAGTGCCCTTTCATCATGAGCCCTATGATTCCGCCCTGAATCTCACAAGAGTTCTCGGTACTGTCGGCGGTATTCAGCTCGAGCTAAACGGATGTGCTCAGCAGCGCATGTCGTGCAGCGATCGACGTCTTCTCGCGGTCGTTTTCCAAGGAGCCAGTCAAAGGCTCGCAGGCATTGTCCAGTTTGCCTGAATCTCATGCAGCGTCTGCGACAGAAGACTTTTTCGTGTGGCAGATCACAGACTATGCACATTTCGTAGACATACTGTACGTAACACATCTTTCTGGTCGGGAGGGTTCGCGCGGTCGGGGCTGGTGGCGTGCAGGGTGGATTTTTTCGAGATCAGTTGTAATGGAGAGAGGAGACAGAAGACAGGAGACAGGCGAGTGGGAGACGAGAATTTCAATACGATATTTCTTTTTTCGAGATGCTCAAAGAAGTAAGATGCAGTGAAGCGAGGTGGTTGAAATGAAGGCGGTCTTAAGTTCGACCAAGCTGCGGTGTCGAGGTCAGTGAATCATGACTTCCTTTGTCCTGCCTCCCTTGTCCAACTTCCTCTGCCTTGGCTTCAATCCATGGCAGGTTGTCTGAGACGTCTCAATCCACCTACGATGTCTTCATGAAGTGCGCGCGATCCCGCCAGGAAGGACGAAGGATGCGGCTTGATTGTTTCTGCACATGACTTTCCTTTGATTGCAAGGGCGGGTGCAGTCCAGTCATCCGATTGAGTGAATTCTCGACATTCTCGCTGTCATCTCAGCCTGCACCAGCCTCACATTTTGATGCACCAGGCTCGCTTCTATAATTCTTTGCGGTTCCTCTCGTACGAAGGGCGCCTGTTGGAATAGGGGCTTTGATATCAGGCATTTGGGGTCACTTGCGCCAATGCTTATGACCAGACTAGGTGAATCCTTCCTGGAGGCGCTCTTCTTTGACTCAACATCGTCGTCTTTGACCGTCCTGCTCATATTGGATGGTGACTTGTGAGCTTGGTTGCATCTTATCGAAGCCATCGATATCCGGTCACTGATGATTGGTGGAACGAACTACCTCGGCCTGTTCTCTAAAAGATACGGAGAAGTCGAACAAGTATCCGTACTTGCTAGACAACACACAGACATCCCTCCGCCGTCCGCTAGACGATATGAGGGTCAATGGCCGACGGCCGGCCTAATTAATATATGCGATCGGGTGCCTACACGCCATGTCCAGAGTCATCACCCTCTTCTCGAAGGCAGCCTGTTGACAACCTGTGAGAGCGTTTGATCATGGACGGTGAGTTTCCGCGCTGAGACATCAACACGAGGCAGCTGTCTGCAGGGTCCAAGTTGGCTAACTCCCTTGTCAACCAGCTTCGACCGCCCTCTCGATCCCTGCTGCCCTCGCCGGCCTAGCCTACTTGAATGCGCGATGGAGAATTTCTCCCGACTGGCATATCGTCAGGAATCTTTCTATAGCTCAACGATCCTACAACAAGCGAATTCAAGCGGATCGAACCAATTCCTTCTACATCATCGAAGAACATGCCAACAATCCAAAGGTGGCGGACAAGTTGTTCCTCATCTACCAGGGAAAGAGTTATACATTCAAGCAGACATATACCACCGTCCTACGTTATGCAGGATGGTTGCACTCGGTTCACAAAGTGGTGCCGGGAGAGATCATTGCCATCGATTTCATGAACTGTCCGCAGTTCATCTTCCTCACCCTGGCAATATGGTCGTTGGGAGCCTTGCCCGCCTTCATCAACTACAACCTGACGTCGAAACCCTTTATCCATAGCATCAAGACATCGACAGCGAGACTTTTGATCGTTGACCCGGAGATTGAATCAAAAGTGCTGACTCCGGAGGCGAAGCAAGCTTTCGCTGCATCCGACTTTCGCAACAATGCATTCCCCTTGGAAGTAGCTGTTCTGACGAATGGCTTGCAATCATCTCTAGATTATTTTCCTCCTTATCGAGCGCCCGACTCCGCTCGCGCAGGCGCAATCGGCCGCTCACCTTGTGTACTGATATTCACTTCGGGAACGACAGGCCTTCCGAAAGCCGCCATTGTACCTTGGGATCGAACAGGCTGGGGTTCGTCTTTCGTTGCCAGATGGATCGAACTCCGTCCAGTGACACACTCCAACCCAGACAGATACTACACCGCCATGCCGCTATATCACTCCTCAGCCTTTCAACTGGGCTTCCACCTTTGTCTCATCTCGGGATCGACTCTGGTACTGAGCCACCGATTTTCAGCCACCAAGTTTTGGGACGAGGTTGTCAGCGCCGGAGCAACCAAAATCCAGTACGTGGGTGAGACTCTACGGTATCTGCTTGCCGTTCCACCTCAACCTGATGATCGCACGAAGCATAAGGTGCGTCTCGCGTTTGGTAACGGATGCAGACCAGACGTGTGGGACAAGTTCTGCAATCGATTCGGGGTCGAGACCATCGCGGAATTCTATGGAGCCACAGAAGGTATTTCCGCAAGCTTCAACTTGTCGCGCAACACCTTCTCATCAGGTGCAATTGGCCAATTTGGGCTGATTCTGCAGACCCTTGCGTATCTCAGGCAGTCCATCGTCGAAGTCGACTGGGAGACGGAAAGTCCACGCCGTGATCCCAAGACGGGTTTCTGCATCAAAGTCCCGCGAGGCGAACCAGGCGAGCTACTGTACAAGATCGAAGATCCAAAGGACGTCGGCGCCAAGTTCACGGGCTACTTCAATAACAAGGAAGCCAGCGACTCCAAAATTCTACGTGATGTACACAAGAAGGGCGATGCATATTTCCGCAGTGGAGATGTCGTAAAGTTTGACAAAGAGGGCCTTCTTTGGTTCTGTGACAGGATAGGTGATACGTTTCGCTGGCGCAGCGAGAACGTCTCCACGGCCGAAGTGGCCCAGGTCCTTGGGCTGCATCCCCATGTTCTTGAGGCCAATGTTTATGGCGTGGCAATTCCGAACCATGAAGGACGAGCCGGATGTGCGGCGATTCTTCTGAAAAATGTCACGGCCATTGATAGTCCCGTGGATGAGACCTTACTGGAAAGTCTGGCTACGTACGCGCGGAACAGCCTTCCCAAGTATGCAGTTCCAGTGTTCCTGCGGGTCGTGACGAGTGTGATGGCGACGGGGAATAATAAGCAGCAGAAACATGTGCTGCGGCTGGAAGGTGTGGCTCCGGAAAAAGTCGGTGGTGAGAAGATATTCTATCTAAGGCCTGATGCGGATAGATATGAGCCTTTCAACGGAGTGGAATGGGAGGTTCTGAAGGCTGGGAAGGTGAAACTATGATATGATTGTGATGGACTGCAATATGCCCTTGGTTCATGGCATCATTGGTGACATTTTGTGCCGATCTACATCGCGTAGGGGGAACGAATACTTTCGGTTGTGTATACTTGAAGACAGAATGAGATGGATGGGCGTCCGGTAGAATGATACCAGACTTGACTCTTGCTTCCGGACGTAACTACTGCTGGGCTTTTATCAAGTGCCGAGCATTTTCGCGTCAACAACGAGTGGCAATCAAGCAGCAGGCAACATGGTGATCGAGGCGAACTGGAAATTCGATTTCGTCCGGCTGTCATCCTTCTGCAACACGGTGCAGCTCAACCGAGCCGTCAATGGCTCATGTGAAGACTACTACTCGTAGTACCTAGGCACTCTAGGTGCCTGGTAAGGCCAAGGGTTCAGAGACACTGCCCCGGATAGGGAGTATCGCTCGCCCCCGCCTTCCAGTTATCATTCCTACCATCCCAGTATTCGATCTTGAACTTGCTCAAGTCGAGGCCGGGTTGGGGCTGGTCCAGGGTCAAGATGTTGAGGGTCATGAAGTCGTGGGTTTGGCCCTCGAACTCGTAGCGGCCCGTGGACCAGACGTGGATGCCGCATTTGTCGCAGAAGTACTTGTGCACGTCCTTGGAACGCATCTGGTAGTCCTTGACTTGCGAGGCGGACTCGGGCGAGAGGAGCGTAAAGTCTGACGGCCGAGCGAGGCGCATGCTGGTGTAGCCTTGCTTGAGGCAGATGGTGCAGTTGCAGCGTGATGCGACGGGAGGCTCAGTCTCGGAGATGGAGAGCTCGGCTTTGTATTTGATGAAGCCGCAGTGGCAGGAGCCTGTGAAGGTGGTCCCAGCGGAGTCGGACATTGTTAGGTAGGTAGTAGTTGCCTTGTTTCGAACTTGTAGAATGATGATGATACTGCGGTTTCAGTACCGGTTAATGGGTGACTTTCAACTTTGTGCTTCTGAACCGCGAGCTTTATGCTTGTCGAGTGCTGTCAAGACATGGCAGCCCTTGACGTTGCCAAGAGTGTCTGTATGAGGTATGGTACAAGGCAGCAATGGGGCTAGCGCGTGGTTGCCTGCAGTACCTACCTAGGTGTCCGTAGGATGTGCTCGTACTACTCGCAATGTAGGTACGTATCCGACCCGGACAATAGGTGAGTATTCCGTAGCCATTTCTGGCCTTGTTCGACCTCCAACAGGGATAACCAGCTGCAAAGGTGAAGCATCGACATGAAGATAGAAAGGCATCGGATGAGTATTGGCATTGGGAGTCGAATACCTTAGTTCAGGACGGTGGACGGCTTGACGGCCAACGGCAGAGAAGGTGCGCCTCGGCTGAGTTGCCTGGTTCGCTCCCGTTATTGAGCCAAGGTGAGACGGTCTGGTCAACAACTGAGGGACATGTCGGGCGATATTTAGTACTTAAGCAAGACCGACGCTCGTCAAACCGAGGCTTGATGTTGAGAGCGTACGGCAAAGGCACAGGTCAAGAAGCCCGTGCTGTAGGCAGTAGCTGGATCGACATTGGGGTTCGATAATATGACCCGACTCATCTTTACCCCGGCGCAATGTCAAGAGCCCAGAGCAGTTTTGCGATGCCGATAAACAAGTTGCGCTCCGCCAGGTGGATGCCGGGACAGATACGACGGTCAGAGCCTTAAACGTAGTGGTCACGGGCCTCCTCGTCAGAGCCGGCGAACAAGGTCGGCGCCAGCTCCGTGTGACCCTTGAAGTGGTCGGTGTCGAAGGTATCGTGGTTGGGGAACCTGTTTTCATCGTGGTGCAAACCCCATGCATTCAGGAGAATCATGGCCCCTTTTGGGCAATAGCATGCCGTTATCAAGTCATCTGCATATCGTTTTACTCTTTGTTAGGTCAACTGGGCACCCGGAAACACTTCTCACCTTCTGCCACAGTATGGGGAAACGCCATGGGAACGACAGGTCTCCATCGATTGGCTTCCTTGACGATCGCCGCTACGTACGGCAACCTTGCGTAGTCTTTCCACATGCCCAAAAATCGTTCCGGAACCCAGTGGAGAAAAGGGTAGATATCCACAGGAGGTGTGTTGCCCACTTCGTTGATCTCAGACAGGTGGTCCAATACCTCGTAAAGCCTCAGCGTGCTTCGGCTTTTTGGATTTTGACGTAGTAGCTTTCAACTCGTGATTTCATGAAGTGCTGATGGGCAAGTTTGCGGAAATTTCTCCAGAGGTTACCATAGTGCATGACGAGCATGTGGCAACTGCCGCTGACTAGGTCGTTGAGGTATGATTGCGGCCGGTTACTGTATATCGAGCTCTTCTTATCGAGAAGTTGCTTCACCAGGCGCCGATCTGTGAGCACAACGGCAGTGCCGGTGCCCAGTTTGAGGGAGTATATCCCGCCATACTCGTGTGCCCATTTCGTAAATCTACAGTAGTTTGTCAGTTATAGATATAGACACAGGAGCAACCCGTGCTGGACTAACTCGAGATGTGCGCCTTTGGTGGGCATGAGATGAAGATTTCCAAGGATAGGGATGGTAGACGGACCTGATCCAGTTATCATGGTCCGGCAATCAGTTTCAGATTGTTTGGAGTTCGAAGCTGGATTATAACCCTACCTGGAGGCAGGTGCTTTTTTCTCGCACCAACATAAAGATACGGTGTAGATTGCGGTGGCGGCCAACGTGGTTGTTACGAGAATCCATGTTGGGCTGATCATTTCGGCGGCAAGCATGTTGGCTCGGACTGGATGATTAAGTCGTAGGGTCACGGATTCAGCTAAGTGCTCACGTGAAAGGATGGAATGAATCAAAAGTGTGAGTTCCGAGTCGATCGAGTTTTATTGATGTAGACAATTTGAGGTCTTTGCTGACACGTATATAGATTCAAAATACTCCTCCATCTTCCTCTGGGTTTCTTCTCGAGAGGTGATAGTTAACCCCATGATCATGATTCGGCAACCTCTTTCACCTTAGTATGGCTCCTGCCGCTGGTAGATAAAGAGCTGTTCGGGATACACTTGCGGTACTTCTGGACTTTGTTATCATAGGTCAGCACTTGTTGTCGTGGTTCGATATGGCGGGGTCTCCACGACGGGCTGGAGCCTGGTTCCATATCAGTAGGGAACGCGGGGGATCCATCGTATCCTCTGGGTGCTGATGATGCTTGGCCATGTACTATACTACGTCCAGAAGGCACTAGGATCGTTAGCAGAAATCGGCCCATCCAACGAATGCAGCGAGATTCCAACCTGATCATGTCAACCTAATCCCGGCCAATGCTAAGTCACCATCAAAGCGCCGTGTACTCTTCCCGCTCCATGGCAGTCTCCCGAAGACTGAATGGAGTTGAACAAGAGCGGAATGGACTTTGTCGGAAATGCAGCGTTGGAGCGACTGTGGCCCAGAGAACGGTTTTCGGACATTAGATATCAGAAAGTAGGACTAGTATCTTCGTTCCACCTGGTAGCTGGTCGGAGAACTCTGCTGATGTCAGTGCCACTGACTCGGTGCTCAAGTGTCGAAAGGACCAATACCTTCGGATTCTCAGTGATGGCGTACATCAACCGTGACTATTTCTCAGACGCAGTCCTCAGGAGGTAGATTGGCCTCCAAATATACATTTCGTCGTAACCGTGGCATGCGGGTTGACGCCATAGCACGAGTGATTGGCCGGTATTCCCGACCTCCTATACAGCAAGCAGGAGCGACGGTGTCAGACTGAAATGTTTATATTTGCCTTATATTCGTCGACCAACCTGCAAGTTCCTTCAACATCAACCAGGTCTGACTTTCCTTCTTTGCTGGCTGGTATCAGGTCTTGGCAATCCCTCGGGAGACGTAATTCTGGGACTGCTATGCCTTGGTCTCCAGAACGCCGTCCGTCCTCAAAGCAATAACCTCTCCAGTTCCCCTGACTCCGCCTGTGATACATTTCGTTACGTACACCAAGCAACGACATGCCTTATGCAAACACCCAACCAGACCCCGCTGCCGCTGTGCAGCCAAAGTGCCTCCCTTCTTGCGTCATGCTACAGTGCTGTGACTACCCTGCACTGCCGTTGGGAACCGCTGCAGTCTCATCGACTGTTGGGAGATGCGGAGGCCTGGGTGCAGCATGTCCGCGGAGACTTCCACTTGATCGATGTCGCAGCATGCCCATGAGTCGGACCGCTTTTTTCAGTTGACTAGGACCCGTATTGTGCACTCCCCTCGGACCCCTACTGCGCACTGCCTTGTCCTGAGCCACAGCAGCTGCAACAGCATGCATGACATCGCTGCCAATGATGAGATCGTGGCCGATATTCTCGCGTACCACATAGAATGTGGTACTCAGGAGGACGCTGGGAGAACTGTCGAGATACCAAAGAAGTGGAACTATACCGACCGCAACGAAACTTTCGCCCCGTACATCCACCAGCGTCATCCGGGACATATGCTCTGGATGCAGGTTGGATTTACTCGTATAGCTTTTCCTCAGCCTCGTTAACGTCTTTTCAGGTATTATGCTGAAGTCGGCTCCGCTGTCGAACTTGGGTGTGAGACACTTTGTTACAGTCTGTCCGCTGGTGGCCCTTGCTGCCTCTTGAACCGATGAACTTTCTGGATGGGATTCGGAACAGGTGCTTGAAGGCCGCTCATTAAGTAAGGAGGATTCCCCTAGCGGAGCTTGTTCATCGCCGTAAATGACGGCCTGATTGAGGCACCGCTTGAATGCGTCCGAGAAGAAATTTGCGCGCATCTCATGAACAAACCGGTCGACCTCGATGCTCTCGATGCCGTCAAACCAGATTATGGGGCGCTGGACGATAGGCACAACAAGTCTCCCTTGCCCCGGCGAATCACTTTCACTGATATTGTCTGAGGGAGTTTGCGGCTAATGGAAGGTAAGCGAATTCCCGCGGCATGGTCAATTCCTGCCTACTCACGTTATGTGGGACTCTCAAGGGCCATCCCAATCGCTGATGTACCCAGCGCCTTTTGTAACCGGGCTTCGAATTCATGGAAACTAGGCTGGAAACGCTATGGGGTCTTCAGCTTGGCCGGTACTTGGACCAATTTGATGTCCTCAGGTCTCTCTCCAACTACTCTTCAGGCAAAAAGTGTGACGACTCACAGCATGAGCGATTTGAAAAGAGTCTGCGATGTTTCCGGTAAAATCTCGTTCGATCCCACGTATCCAGTCAAACAGGCGAAATTCCCAGAGAGAGGGGAATGGCTCAATTACTGGATTATATCGCAGCGAGATTGGCCTCGACAGGCGACTAAGTGAATATGGGAAGAGAGACTCGGCGGTCGAGTGGACCGATGTTCTGTAGAATACCCAACAACAGCGTCAGCATTCTCGAAGGAGATATCTACAAGGTGTTTCCAAGGGGTGTGGCGCATTCGATTGTGGCAGTGTCAGCGATTTCATGTCAAGGCTTGTGAAAACGCATGCTCCGTTCACCCTACTACGCATCATGGTGGATACTTTGGCATACTTCCACAAGCCCAAAGCCAGGGAGGTTCTGCTGCACAGCCTCAACCGAACGGGCACTCAGGACGCTGGTGTGAATGAAATCTGCGAGGCCTTGACGGCTGTCGAGTTTGGATGTGCTTCTACCGGAGCACGGGCGTTAGGGACAGCGTGTGAGGCATTTCCAGAGCTGCAGATTTTAGTGCAGCCGCTGCACGATTGCCCAATACCTCAGCCTGCCGGCACTCTTACTATGGCTATAGTGGTTTGTCGGTTGTCCATCAACAACGCTACAGCGTCAAGAGCAACCACGCAAGAATCGTATGGTGCTCCAATTAACACCGTACTATCAACAGCCCAGCAGTTATTGAGGATTCTGGGTGCCTGGGTCAGCCGGACAAGGCGCGCGTTGACGGTAAGGCTATCATTTATGGAAGTGGAATGTGGCGGTGAAATGCACAGGGGTTCCCCCCCCGAGCTTTCACATCAGGCTGGACTCGAAGTTTGACAAGGCGAAATACTTGCCGCCCCACGGATCCTGCGTTCAGGAGTCATTCCCGGCCAAGAAAAGCAGGCATTTCTCGCATGTTACGGATCGGACAGCACAAAGAGAGTGAATAGTCATCGACCCAATCGTCCCTCGAGGAAAAGTGAGCCTGGCTGTGGTAAGAAGCTCCCCGAGCTGGCTTAGCCTGCATCCTGTCTGCCTTTCGATGCCCCTCGGGAGCGTGCAGCACGGATTTTGGCTTTGGCTTTTGTATGCTTTCTCCTGCTAATCAGTAGTGCCTGGACAGGACTAAAGAGGCCACCATGGCTGGTTACGACGAGCTTTCAGAACTAATCGGGTCGCGCCCCGACCTGGCCATCTTTCGACGATTTGGCCCTTTGGCGGCACAGGTACTCCTTCGTATCCAAGCCGAGCTGCTCGAACTGGACGATGATCTAAAGGCGTTGAGAAGTATTGAGCTACAGAAGCCGGGCATTTGTGAGCAGGCACAATCTTGGGAGAAGGTGAATGAGGCAGTCAACTCGGGTCAACGGAGTCTGCGGAAAGAGACTATTACCAAAGCTGAGGAGACTTTGACACGATACTGTAATGTCCTGGGATTCTGAGGTTGCAGAGTATGCCTGATTCGAGACGTTGCAGATGATTTCGCCTCGCGTGCCGCAGCTGTCATGAAGTTGAGCGGACCTGACGAGTGTGACATCGATTTCCTTCGAGGCTGGCTTGAGGATGAGAAGTGCGGCAACAACTTTTTGCAGTACCACGGGACATCTGAAGCGACGGCGTGGAAGCGAGAGTGTTCTGATGATCTCATGGCGCTCAACAAGAGACCTGATCGGTTTGCAGCATGGGTGTCCAATGTTTTGCTACCGATATACCACACCCGACTGGGCAATCGGTGGCACAAACGCACAGCTCCCAGCAACCTCGGTCCCATCTATCGTTATGACGACAACAAGTTCGCGGTCCTGGGAGATATCATTTGCACTATTCTCTCGGTGGTGATACCATCCTTGTCAATCTTTGTCCTATACTACGTGAGTAACATGTTAGTCCGGCTGCTTTTGATTCTCGGGTTCAGTTCACTGCTGTCGCTGGTCATGGGACTCATCTCACAGGGTAAACGCTATGAGATCTTCACGGCGACTACTGCTTTTGCTGCTGTCCAAGTTGCTTTTGTAGGAGGTGTTACGGTGGTCTCCAATGCACAATGTATTAACTAGCATCTCATCCATGCCAAACATAAGGTGTAAGCAACCCAGGATAGGGAGCAATCTGACAATGACAACAACTTAAGGCCTGCTTGAAACGAGAGACAAGACGCCCCTCCGTGAGATCAACAGTTTTCATGGAAACACACAAGGCAGCGCCAGTGGCGGATACATTCCCAATTTGCTCCTTTACTTGGGCTCCTTAACAATGTCTTGGAACTTCTTTTCCTTCTTCAGACGTGCTGCCTCTGCGGCTTTCTCCTGGGTCTGCTTGGCATCTTCGTTGTTACTTGTTTGTCTGTCCTTCTCTTCTGCTTGCCCGTTAGCTATGTCCTTGTCATCTCCGTCGTCAAACGCCACAAATGTGGAGGTGGAACGAAGGGGCACATACCCTGAGTCTTGGTGGACAGGTGGTAAACAGGCTTGAAGCCGGGCCGCGATGACCTGAGATCGGTAGAGTCATACCGTTCGGGAACAAGTAAGTCGAACATGCCCTTGGGAGCTGTATTCCCCTGCTCACTCTTCTGGGCGTGCAACTTTGATGAGATATACACAGTGTTGTCTCTGGTGGAGTCGTGAAGGGCCCATCGCCAGCTTACGGTGAGGGCATGTCCACAAACGTGCGTTGTTCCCTCATCGTCGGTGATTTCACGCTGATTGACCTTTATCCATTTGTCAGGGTTGCCCCCAACGAGTTTCAGTGCGAGCCGCTTCGAGATAACCATTTTTGCAACGGTTCGGTCCCGCTTGATCTCTTGCATGCTGACCTCTTGCCATGCAGTCGCGTTGTCTGCTCCGATGTAGATGCACTAGCAATGTCAGTTCTAGCAACATATAGAGTAAACGAAGGAGAGGTCATACCATTTCTTGATCGGGCCTAGGATAGGCTTGTCCAGTGCTGCCAAATATTGTGCGACGGCTCTTGTGACAACACGGAATGATGCCCACGATCACGTTTGAGGATCTGGAAATAAAATCTCGAACTGGAGTCCGTGACAATGGGGACTCTGATATTCGCTGCCCACGTTTCTCATATAGAGCCGGCCACTTTGGAGGAAGCGGATACTTGGATGGACACATGGTTGCTATATCACATCAGGATGCGGAGTGCTCCCTTGCCAGGCTTTATGGTATCCCGCGAAATTGTGACTGCCTTTTGCTCCTATAGGCAGCGCCTCATGTGTCTCGCTACCCAACGATGGCTCCAATGGAATGGTATCAATGGTTGAAGGGCCTGGAAAGATAGTGAAGTTGCGGCTCGAACGATCAAGGGGATATGCACGAAACTCTCGCATGGGCAAAGGCTTCTGATATCAATTCGTTACAACATCCTTGAAGTACAATGCATCTCAGCCTATCGACATACCCTGCAGTGTAGTGTGCCGTCTGCCCTGCTTAAGAATGGCATTTCTCAGCCTTACCAGCCCCCACGAGGAATTTAGACCCGAAGAACGAGCCAACACGGCTCTCTTACCGTCAGTGCGACAATCATGACGATATTTGAGAGCCATTTTCCAGTACTCCGCAAGGGTGTAACTGTTCGATAACGCTTTATATTGCTGCTTTCTCAAGGCGGGCCGAAATGGAATTCGAAGCAGAGGCCTTCATACGAACTGAAACCCCGGTTGTTGCAGATGACACACCCTGCACGAGGAACGTCAGCCGTTTCTTCAAAGGCATCATGGAGTAAATAGAGGGTGGCTGACAATGCTGTTGATTTGTCTCAATAAATCACTACGAGCTCTGGGTTCACGAAGACGTCTCACCGGTTTCATACTGACCCTATCATCTAAGCGAGGGGTGGTCCTGATTCCAGTCCGACCCCTCATATGCCGGACTGCAGCCGGTCTGCGGGCCAACTGCACCTCCGGACGGAGTGACAGTGAACGATCCCTGCGTTGCACCTGCCACCGAGCCAGAATAGTTCCAGCCGCACATGCTCGAGCGTCCGGCGTGGTACATGTCGTCACCAAATCTCTGAGACAGCGGCATGTTTCAATGTGGCAGGTCCTTGAGCTGCACACACGGAATAGCCGTAAGACTGGGAGGCGACCCCAAGAGGCATTCCTGCACCGTGCTTCGGATATGCCAGCCATCTACCTGCAATAATATTACTAGTGTCGAAATCGGACCACATGATGCATTGGCGGCCGAGACGTCTACGTGGATTTGCCTTATTAACCAAGCATGTTGCCAAAGCTATATGCAGGGCAACCTTCAGGAAACCGTCGCCTTCTGACGCTCCAATCCCATCTGGGTTGTAGCGGTCAGGCAATCAATCTTCTCATCACTGTTACACTGAAATCCACAATGAACATGAACTTGAACTGCTTCGACCCTCAAGAAATATTCGGATCCAATTGAAAATGTAAGTGTAACTTGCAACTTCGGCCTGTCAGGCGCCCTAAAAAGATTTGTGCGACGTAAACAGCCTGATCATGCGCTCGGGCAGGTGATGGTCTTGACGGCGTATGAGCAAGGCCATCATCCTAGCCTTTGCGCTGAGAAAGCGAAGACAGGGAAGCCAATGCCTCTACGGAGTATCTGCGCTCGCACAGAGGCCATGGCCGTCCTTGTGATCGACACCAATCCAGCGAGCTTTCAAAAGAACGGCCCTGCGGCGCGGTATCATAGAGCCTCAACATTCAGAGTGCTGACACCACTCCAAGTTTGCTCACGGAGCCTTTGACTCCGCGCTCAATCATGTCCGCTTGGCACTCAGCCGTCCTCGTCGCAGTCCGATCGTGCCAGCCATCGGCAAATGGGTTACATTGATGGTCTGATCTAAGCTCGTCTCTGCAAGAGCTTGAGTTTCCCCTCCGTCAAAATTTAGCCCAGCTCGCTGCCTGCCTTTCCGCTGGAAGGCCAGTTGCTGGGCAAGTTCTGAATTGATCCTCTAAGAACCCAAGAGCCTGACGGGCGGATATTCTTCCCCGTCGCTCTAAGGCCAAGATTTCGTCTGAGAACTCTATGGTACCTTTTAACACGGAGAGATGAATTCGCAGGAACTGAGCAAGATTATATGTAAGCACAGAACAGTGAGATCAGATTGTTAGCTACGGAGTACAGGCAGAACATGGAGCAGTGCGGTGGTACACGTGACCCGTCGTCAGGGGGTAGTCAGCCTTGTCTCCTTGGAACACTGGCCCCTCTGCCTCGCCGGCCTTCCACTTCCTCTCGTCGTTGACAGTTTTGTCCACACCTACAGCAATTCTCGCTAGCAATACCACCGGGATAACATTCTCTCAGTTGCTGCGACTGCCATTACCACCATAGCCCTGCAGCGCCTGCCAACGCATCACCATTTGACCATACGACAGCTTCCGAGTACCCGAGGCTAGCTTCTCTTTCTCCTGCAAATAATTCTTCTTCAAGATCCAAAAACGTCGCATCGTTTGGTATTCGAAGCGGAGTCTCGCTCGGCTCTCAACATACTGTCGCAATCTATCTTTGTCATTTTCACCCATAGCAAGCTGCAGCGAGTATGAGACCACTTTGAGCCGCAGCGTCGCACATCGTTCTTCCAGTCGGCGTTCGAATTGGCATAGCCAAACTTTGCCCTTTTTTAGAGGTAAGATTTCGAAGCGGTCGTCGGGTTTCAAGCCGTGAGCAGCGTTTGCCTCGTGGTAGAGTTTCAAGCTAGTTTCTTTTTCGGAGTTTCGGATGCTCGCGTGCTGTGCATCTGAGATAAGAGGCTCAAGCGCTGGGTCGACGAGAGCCGCAATTTCCTGATCTAGGATCTGCACTCGCATGGCTGTTCTGATTTTAGTTCCAGGTTCGACCAAGCTTGCTCCATGGATCCAACCTACCCTCAGACTGGGCCTTGGTGTTTGCGGGATCGCCTCTAGCTGGCGCTGCCATTGTGAGTTTCGGTGTGCAATCAGTGAACGGGTGGACGGAAAAGAAAGGGTGTTGGCGGATGACAATGGAAAAGGAAAGGAAAGAGGGTAGGTATAGATCGATGGCCGAGGGTATCGAGGCGTGGCTTTCACCGCAAGCCAGGTGATCGCGATAGTGAAGTCACGGGGAGGTGAGCTTGAGGAGACGTGCCCTTGACCGCCACGTAATGTGCAGTCACAATCACTCCTGGTACCAGGACCAAGTGAGTGAATGGTAAGGGTCAATCAACCAACTCACAACCCATAAATGGAGATTTTGTGAGCAGCAGTGCGGCAAACAAGGAGACCAAGACCAGCAAATGCTCTGCGAGATACCTTATTCTTTGAGCCCGGACAACACGAGCTGAAGTTGCGCGAAAATGTTGCTGATAAGTCTTCTTCTTCTTGTGGTGTTGAACCTGGCTTTCACCTTCGCGCAGCAACCGAACTTCTACTTCCCACCAGGCACCAGCGATTCACAGAAACAACAGTTTTACCAAGCATTTCGAGATGCTATAACCCTTGCAAGGTTCGCGGCGACCACTGGAGATCCATGTGACCAGGTGAGACCAGACCCATGGCAATCTTACGTCGAGGCCTGACAACGGCGCCAGGCTTTCCGTAGATACTTCCAACCACAGGATTATGATTTCGTGCAAAACATCTTCAAAGAGATCGCCAATATCCCGATCGCCGAGAACCCCAACCCGATGGATATCAGCCGGTTGGTTTCGAGGTCTGAATTCAACCCTAATTTCACCAGCTTGAGCATCTCATTGGGGAATCATCCATTGTGGACCTCGGAGGTCACTAGCAGATGTGACTCTGATCCAAGGAATGGTGGCGTCCTGGGGAGGTTGGTCACTCAATTTTGGGCGGGGGTCCAATATCAAGGTCTCATGGCCATTTGCCCCCAGTCGATTCTGTTCAGTTATTTGGGATCTCTCCAAGAGACAGAAAATCCACCGGCTTGGGCAAGGGCCAACAGGGATCCCAACGGACAACCTCTACCAGGATTTGGCTGCGGCGGGCTCAGCGACCATGATTCAAGTCTCATGTTGGTACTTGGAGCCGTCTTCTTGCACGAGATGCTGCATTGGCCCAGGTTGGTGCGCTGGGTTCCGGATTATGACAAGCTCATACCCCTTGACCAATACGGACAGCCTACCATCGTGGACTTTGTGCCATCGCCGGGACAATATCCACCTGCCGGGTACGGACCCCTGTATGCAAAAACCATCAATGAAGGGCAGCCTCTGAATCCGCAGACAGGAAAATCAGCGTCCATCCAGAACTCAGACAACTACGTCTGGTATGCGTTGTCGAAATACTGGTCCTTCAAATGTGGGAGAGTCTTTGGACCTTCCTTCACACAATACGATATGCAGACCATCCTTCAGAGAATGAAGCCGCCCTGAGTTGGAGAGACATGACGCCTGTTCGCAACCGTAGGAAGTCGACAGGCATTGGACTTGGTGCAGAGAGGACAGGAAGGACAACATGGTTCTTCTCGCAATGCTGTAGGGCCCTACTGGCAGGCTCGAAGCAATACCTGGAACCCTCTGCGGTCATGAGGGAGAAGCGTCCAAGTAGTTGGAGTATTGGCAGACAGTGAGCATTACCACGGGACTGTGGGGTTGTGGGGGATGGACACCCTTTCATCAACTGCATCTTGCTGTCCTGCGAGACGTCTCTTGTTGCACAGCCAGCTTTGTTCTACATAGGGATATCACTTGTCATCTCGTGGAGATGACGGGAAGAAGGCGATTGAACACGGTTCGGATTGACCGAGACCGAATACTGTGGTAGATTTCCCCTCCTCTTCGGCTCTGGTGTTTTTTTGGTGGCGCCGTCAGACTTTCTCCGCAAAGCTCCCATGATGCCCACAGTGTCCAAGCTCTTTTCTGCATCAAATCATTCATCTTTCCCGCAGCCTCACCTCTCTACCATTCGCCATTTTGTGCCGCGGATTCAAGGCTAGAACCATCTTGTCGTGCCTGTTCCTGAGACATGCAGCCCAACCTTCTGTCACTCCGGAGCTCTTGTTCGTATTTCTTCTTGTCCTGGGGGTGCCTGGACCACTAGGCTTGCTCGAGGCACAGCTGAACCTGCCAGACTATCAACTTTTAGCGGTCACGATTCCCGTCATCATCGTCAACCTCGAGCTGCCACTCGCTGAACGCTTTCCCGGAGCAGCTTGCCCTCCCACCGTGGCAGATCCAGAACCAGACACCGGGACGGTCACTATATTGACCTGTCGACCTATCAGATGGTAGGCGACAAGAGCTCGATCGTTGCTGCAACCGAGCCAACAGCCGTCTATGGTGTAAGCTTTGTTGAAAGCTATAAACTAATGCAATGCCCTCCTCCTCGTACCGATGCAACTGAACCTTTTCTCCTCTTTCCGTCAAGCTCAAAGTCCTAATCATCGTCTGCGCTCGTCGTGTACTCTGTCGCTCGTTGCCTACCAAAACCGTCACTCTCGTTGAGAAAATCCCATCAAAATGCGCTTCACCATTGCATCTATCGGCCTCTTCGCCCTCTATGCGGCAGCACAGGACCTCTCTAGCCTGCCGTCGTGCGCTGTACGTGGGGACTCTGCTCTGCTTCTCCGCTCATCTTTGCGAATACTCTCCTCGTACTATATCACTAACCTTCAGAACAGGTCAGTTGCGCTACTGGCGCTATTGGCAGCACCGGCTGCTCGTTGACCGACGCCCACTGCATCTGCACGGCCAGCAACTTCCTCAGCGGTGTCGAGACCTGCATCCAAGGCGCCTGTAGCCCGGCTGATCAGCAAGGTATGTTGTTTTCCTTACCACAAATCCCATCCTTCCCTTCACGGGGCGAATCAACGCCAATCCTGACACGTTCTGACCCGTCTTGATAGCCACTCTTCAATTCGCGGTCTCGTTCTGCGCATCTGCCAACGTTACCATCACGCTCCCGACCGCACCCGCCACGGCTAGCAGCGCCGCGTCAACCGTGACCGCCTCGTCGTCCGTCCCGGCCAGCGCCCCAGCTACATTGACCAGTAGCGCCGTGGTGGCGAGCAGCTCTGCACCTGCTCCGTCCACGTACACCGGCGCCGCGAACCTGTTGTCACAAGACTGGGCCGGTGTCGTGGGCGCTGCTGCCTTGGGTGTTGCTGTTCTGCTGTAAGCATGCACGGCACGGCATGACACGGTGGATCTGCGGTCGTCGAGTGCGAGTGCACTTCGTGGCCTCACTTTGCAGGAGATCTGTTCATCGATCATTCTAATAATTGCACTGGGAAGTCTTATGCGATCGAGGTTGTAGCCAGGTCGTAGGGAGATGGCCTGAACATGTACATACCGCCATGCACGCAATAATATGTCCGTCTAAATCTGCCCGTATTTCTTTACCTCACCCTGTGATTTTTCGCACGTCTGAGCTCTATAGATTCAACACACACACAGAGTCCCTGGTCTTTTGGGCGCAAATAGCCTACTATAATGCCATATCCACCCTCTAGGTGCACACCTTAGATGTATATGTGTATACATAAAACCCCTCACTGTTATAGCTTGACATTCTTCGCTTTCCTGCTCGTATTCCTTGCGGAGTCCATGATCAAACTGGAATGACTACTCGTGGCGACGAGCTCATTATCCGTATCCCACACCTCGATGTCCAAATCGAACCTTCCGTTACGTATCGCCTTGGCTTTGACCCGGACAAACAACCATTCCGCACCTTCCTCGGGTAGGAGTTTCTTGACCTCCAGATTCAGAGCGAGCGTGGGGTACCAGTACTTCGCCGTTGCGCCTGGTCCCTTCTCGTTCCCCTGCCGAGGCTTGCCCTCATCTGCGGATTGTTGGCCCAGCTCAGCCTCTTCGAGGTGCGGATTGACATATTTCTCCACGATCTGGGGGAATATGTCGACCAGGAAGCCGAGAGCGTCGTTCGTCCAGCGTCCATTCGGGTTGCGGTTCGGCGCAAAGCGCACCCACTGGTCGTGCATGGCTTTGGGATGATCGCTGGGCCGTCGGTCCGGCCGCACGAGGAACATCTGGATATTCTGCGCCGCGCGGCGGAATTGCGGGAACGGATCTTTTGGCCGGGATGTGTAGTTGGCGTCGCGGCCGGTAGAGGACAGGGTGACGAGGTCGGCAGGTAGGGCGGGAGGATAGGGGGTGTAGTTCGTGGGGAGGCTCAGACCGGTCTCGGTGGAGATGTTGCTCATGGTGATGTAGCCTTCTGCTTCGTCTTGGTAGGGGGAGGAAGGGTCGTCGGGAGATTGGCGCTGAGCGAGGACGATGTGCAGGTTCGATATGCGCGAGCCGAGTTTGACGTCCTTGACTGTGAAGAGCGCAGGGCCAACGCAAGTACGCCGTAGGAATTCGAGGTGCAGGTTTATGGGGTGAGGCTCGGAACGGGTCGAGTGTGTCAGGGACATGTGTGTTCGAGCGACGACGAGGAACGCCGATGTCACGTAGCCACCATTGGGGACTGAGAGGCTGTTAGAAAGGTCATGCTCGGGAACATGGAGGGTTGTACTGACCTGTTCCTATACACCATTCATCCTCGAGGTTGAGGGCGTATTGGTGCGAGGAGACTTGCTTGATGGGGACGACATCAGCGAATGTCGGGGCCATGGCGGCGGTAGGACGCAAGGTGACTAGAGCTGGATAGGTCACGAGGAAGCTGGATGTTATAACATGGCGATATTGGGAGACGACGAAACAATCAATGCACAACCGAGTCGGATCAACCTGCGATAGAAGGTTTCTGGATCTGTCCCAGAGCCTCGGTACAAGATGGCGGGTGGATGGATGAGTAATACGAGTCTGATACAGTCGAGAATCTCCAATGCCATCGACCCATGATGACGGGATGCTTTGGCCGTCAGGATGAGAGAGAAGGAGACCTCGAGGTAAAGCCATCAATTGGCTTCATCTTACCTGGTCATTGCCTGCCATTGAGCAAAGGTGAATGAAGGTACTCTGTACCTAGCAAGCCTAGGTATTGTAACCCACTGCTGTCACCGAGCTTGTGGCTGTGCAAACCTGGGCGCTGGTTGATGCACAATGACGACTATGTCGGAAGAGTGAGGAGGCAGTTTTGGCTGCGTATCATGCTTGCACCATCGACCTTGATTTCTTGCTCGGCGGTGGTGTGAGTTGAGGACCGACAACAAGGACCAGGCACCGTCTCTACCAAGACTCGATCAACAGTGTTATCTTCAAGGTTCATCTGCATCTTCTTTCTGTTGTCAATGTTGTCCATGTTATCTCTCAATTGAGAGTCCGTCACCACTCTACCCAGCATGAATTGCCGTCATTCTAAATGGCCTTCCTCCGTCCTCCAACTCGAATGCGCCCAGTGCGGCAACAAGGTCGCGCCTTTTACACCACCGCCCTGATCCTCACTCTCCTCGCATGTTTTAGCTATCTCAGGGGCTTTGGCCATGATGTGCCCATTCAGGACCTTGCGGCTCGATCAATCGAAGCACGCGATCTCGAGGTTTGCTCTGCCCATCTATTGTCGCAAACTGCGCCTTGTCTGATTGCCCGTCTAGTGTCGACTCGTCCACACCGTAAAAGACAAATGCGCCTTCGTCCGAGCGAACTGTCCTGACGAAGAAGCTGGCCTAATCTCCTACCTCCAATTCTACTATTGCTCCCTTCCGCAAGCGAAACCGGTCGCATTTACCATCCTGATAGTATGGATCAGTCTCCTTTTCAGTACGATCGGTATCGCAGCCTCCGACTTCCTGTGCATAAATTTGAGTACAATTGCAAGCATACTGGGCATGAGCGAGAGCCTGACTGGAGTTACCTTTCTGGCCTTTGGAAACGGCAGCCCTGATGTGTTCTCCACGTTTGCAGCTATGAGCAGCAACAGCGGTAGTTTGGCAGTGGGCGAGCTGATGGGAGCAGCTGGCTTTATTTCGGCCGTGGTCGCTGGAAGCATGGCCCTCGTCGCGCCCTTTCAGGTCGCTAGAAAGAGTTTCGTTAGGGACGTGGGTTTCTTCGCCGTTGCTGCAAGCTTTTCTCTGGTCTTCCTGGCCGACGGCAGTTTGAAGCTTTGGGAGTGCGCTACCATGATCGCGTTCTACGTCTTCTATGTCATCTTTGTGGTGACCTGGCATTGGTGGTTAACTAGACGGCGAAGAGTCAAGCTCGCCGAAACCACTGCTAGGCTCCAACATCACATCCCTGACACTCAAGAACTCGAAGTGCCAGAGTTGGACGAGGATGAAGAGGCTAGGCCTGCCAGTGAACGAACAGGTCTACTACGGGCGACATCAGATGGAAGTATTCCGACGCTAAGGACTCCCGGCACACCTGCGTGGAAGGTGGAAGACCTCGATGAAGACGACGAAACTCGCGATCGATATCTTGCCGAACTGCAGAGCAAGATGAGAATCAGCCGACCTGCTCGAGGTGAACGAAGAAACACCTTGACCCCAATCCGACCCTCCTTGATCGGCGCATTAGAGTTCAGGTCGCTTATGACTTCGTTGGAAAGGAAGGGTACAGGCGGCAGCACCCAGCCCATTGGTCTACGAAGATACTCGGACGATTCAACAACTCTACTGACGCCGGGCCCTGCTACCGCCGACCCGAGTGCCTCCCAACCAGATCTTGCTACTCATGGCTACCTTGATGTTGCACATCAAGGACATGGCGGGCGTGGACGAGCTGTCTCGGCTAATGATGCTTCGAGACTTCAAATCGACACCAACTTTCTGACCGACCGAATATCTGAAAGCGCAGTCAGCAGCGAATCTACATCACGGGCGCCGTCCACAGGACCCTCCGTCCGCTCGAGTGCTCACATCTTGCAAACACTGAATGAGCCTTCTGCTCAAAGGCCACCGTCACCGAAACTATTATTGTCTCCGTCTTCGGAAATTCCGCCGCACAGTGCGCCCCCACGAGTAGAACCTGCAAAATCGCAAACTTTTCTTGCGCCACCGGCTACGACCTTTCATCGTCCGAACTATACAGATGAGCATCAGCATCGTGACCGGAGCCCGATCTTCTCACCTACTTCAAGGCCGTCACTGCAAGTCCCGCTTTTACATACACCGCATCCGGACCACAAGCGACCAGCCTTACACCAAGAAGATTTTCCTCCATATACCGATTCACCCGCGCTGCTTAGTCCAGCTGGCTCTCGACCACCCAGCATTCGTCTCCCTGCGCCTAGCATGTCTCCCGAATCTTCGCACCTTCTGGGTCTGCTTGGAGATGACGGGGAGGAGGAAGTTCTTCGGAGATATTCGTGGTGGCCATACAAATACCTTCCAGCTCCTCAAGTGATGATGTCCAAGTTGTTCCCGACAGTCTATGGTTGGCGAGACAAGTCACATGTCGATCGGCTGCTGGGCATCGTCACTGCTCCCACCGTCTTTCTGCTTACAACCACTTTGCCAGTAGTTGAGCCTAAAGAGGACAACACTGAAGATCCAGACCTGGCTGAGTTGACTGCCAATGGTGGAAGCGTTAGCCGAAGCCGGGGCCAAAGTCTGGTTGGTCTTAACCCAGACACTCCTTCATTGGCACCCAAGTTCAGTGAGGGTGACGGGCCGCCTCACCCACACGGCACGAGTATCTCTCGACAGTTGTCGGATCCTCGAAAAAGTTCCATGCCCACGCCCACTGATCCTTCCGAACCCAAGGATTGGAATCGATGGTTGGTCTTCTTGCAGGTTTTCACGGCTCCGTTCTTTGTGGTCACCATCGTCTGGGCCAACATGGATGACGATCACAGTATAAGAATGTATGTCCGCATGGTATTGGGAGCGTTGGTCTTTTCGTTGGTGGCCCTTCTGATACTGCTATCCCTGACCTCACCTGCCCGCGAACCCAAGTATCGGCCACTTTTGTGCTTCATGGGCTTCGCTGTGGCCATTGCCTGGATCTCCACCATTGCAAATGAAGTCGTGGGCGTCCTCAAAGCCTTTGGAGTGATTCTGGGCATGTCCGATGCCATCCTTGGGCTGACCATCTTTGCGGTCGGCAACTCTCTGGGTGACCTGGTGGCGGATATTACGGTGGCCAAGCTGGGATATCCCGTGATGGCACTGTCAGCATGCTTCGGAGGGCCGATGCTGAACATCTTGCTTGGTATCGGAATTGGTGGCATGTACATGACGATCAAGAATGCCACCCACAAGCATGCCAAACATCCTCAAAAGCCCATCAAGTACAAACCATATCAGCTGGATGTCAGTACCACATTGATGATCTCTGGGGTGACCTTATTGGTGACCTTGGTTGGATTGCTCATTGTGGTGCCACTGAACGGCTGGCGGATGGATCGCAAGATCGGAATAGGATTAATTACTTTGTGGGCACTGTCGACGGTTGGCAATGTAGTCGTGGAAGTCCTTGGTTATGGAGGAGACACCGTCTGAAGAGTGTGAGAATATCTAGGACATGTGCATAGCCCTGGCGTTTATGAGACGACACCGAACTTCATAATATACCACATAGCGTACACAGATGATGACAGTCATAGCATCCTCGAATTCCGATCTATCTGCGTGCCGCGGTCAGTCAATCAGCTCACCAGCCTTTTTGCCAGGGGCACCCAGGGGCAGAAAGACAGGGTGGTAATCGTACTCCGTAGGTCGGTGGCTGTCTTCGCTTGATGGTCGGCAATCTGGTCGAATAACTGGGCAAGGGTGGATGATGGTGCATGATGGTGGCAAGATCCTTGCGATGAGCCTCGGCATTTTGCTGCGTGGATCGAAGCTCCACCGCCCGGCCACGACGTCCTTACTTATCTAACAACTCTCTTAACTCAGCACTGGCTTCCCTCTAGCAAAGACATAACGGCTTGACTATCGACTATCCTTTTATATCTACCCCGGATCTTCTGCCACACACCACTTTTCTACCTTTCTGGCGTTGCTTATACTGGGCATATACAACTCGATTTCTGGCGCCGAAAAGTCCAACCTAGAGTGTCCTTCGAACAACAAAGAAGGAAGACGGCCAGCATACCCAGGAGCGGCGAGCGGGTTCGCACTCTTTCACCATGCCAATCAAGTCCAATTTCCCCGATGTCAACCTCTCGGTCACTGACGTCTTTTCTCTTCTGTTTAATCGAAAAGATAGGCCTTTTCCCGAGACTCAAGGTATGCTCAAGCATCCATCTTGCTCTTCTTTGTCATGTCGACAGATGAGCCTTGTCACAACATGCCTGCCGGAATGCGCAATGGGGCTTGGAAGCTAATGCTGGCACGTTGTAGTGATTTTTCAAGATGCCGATCATCTCGAAAGGCAATATACCTATGCTCAACTCAAGCAGCTGAGTACCGATTTCGGTAAAGGACTGAAGTCAGACTTTGGCTTCCGGAAAAGCGATGTACTTGCTCTGTACGTTCCCAATGACATCGACGTCGGCCCTGTCGTCTGGGGTGCTTTGTGGGCTGGCGGCGTTGTTTCCCCGGCAAATCCAGGTTACACCGTTCCTGAACTCGTCTACCAATTGAGAGATTCCGGTTCGAAACTGCTCGTCACGCATATAAGCGCACTCGAGAATGCAAAGAAGGCATGCAAGGAAGTCGGTATCCCGGAGTCCAACATACTTCTTCTAGGCAAAGATGGTGATCCAAGTCGGAAATTCAAGCACTGGAAGTCGGTCCGCAACCATGATGGCACCTACCGCATGAGGACGCCCAAGATCTCGCCAAAAACCGATTTGGCGTTTCTCGTATATTCTTCGGGCACGACTGGTCGCCCCAAAGGCGTCAAACTAACGCATCACAATATGACGTCCAATATCGAACAGATTTGGTCCGCGGAACCTCATCTGACACACGACGGGTCTGGAAGGGTACCAGGCATTCCTGATGCACCGGAGGGCAAGGGCGACAAAGTCCTTGCGTGTTTACCTTTCTTTCACATCTATGGATTGAACTGCCTCGTTCACTTGCCGGTCTATACTGGTGTGCATACGCTTGTGCTTGCCCGGTTCGACCTGGAGAAATGGTGCCGTCTAGTCCAAGAGCATCAAGTTACATTCAGCTACATTGTACCGCCGATCGTACTATTGCTGTGCAAGCATCCCGTCGTGGACAACTACGACCTCAGCTCGCTTCGGATGACCAATTCAGGCGCAGCACCGCTTACGCGTGATCTGGTCGAGGCGCTTTATAAGCGGAAAGGTTTGCGTGTCAAGCAGGGATACGGTCTGAGCGAGACCAGTCCTACGATCTTCATGCAGCGTTGGGAAGATTGGATGAGTGCGGTCGGATCTACAGGCCAGATGGTACCGAATCTTCAAGCCAAGTTCTGCGCCGTCCCTGGCCCTGGAGAAGAGTCCGATGGAAGTAAGGAGCTACCCCTAGGCGAGACGGGCGAACTCTACGTCAAGGGACCGAATGTCTTCACAGGCTATCACAACAACCCCTCTGCGACTGCGGAGTGTCTAGAAGACGGTTGGTTCCGGACTGGCGATGTGGGTTTTCTGGATAAGGACGGCAACTTGACCATTACCGACCGCGTCAAGGAGTTGATCAAGTACAAGGGATTTCAGGTGCCGCCAGCCGAATTGGAGGGCTATCTGGCTAGTCATGACAAGGTTGATGATGTCGCTGTGGTTGGCGTTGAAAGTGTTGAGCTTGGTACAGAGGTCCCGCGCGCCTATGTTGTGCGGAAGGGCGGCATGAGCGCTGTTCAACCCAACGACGCCGAGGAGATTATCAAGTGGATGAACAATAAGGTGGCAAATCATAAGAAATTGCGTGGTGGTATCAAGTTTGTGGATGCTGTGCCAAAAAGCGTGTCAGGCAAGATCCTACGAAGAGTACTGAAGGAGCAAGCGAAGAAGGAGTTTAAAGAAGAGGAGGAAGAGAGGGCGAGGGCGAAGAGGGCGGGCAAGCCGAAGCTGTAATTAGTCTAGAAGTGAGGTTATTCAGCTGCAGCGTGTACCTGGGACGTTCACAGAAGTCAAATTTGTAGGATTCTATAAAGTTTGCTGAAAGGAACAACGGAAACAAGATCCAGTTATTGCAAAATACCAGGTACCTTGGAGGATGCCAAATTCAGCCTCGCTCAGCCTCGCCATCACGTGTCGTCAATGTCTTGGCGGCTGCCAAGGTGTTGCAGTTCATTCAAGATTCCTGCTCTTGATTCCTCTCTCATTATCCTTTCCTTTCGACTTGTTACATCGTTTCAATTCACTATCGAGACCATTTTTGGCAGATTGTAGCCCATCAACCTCCCGGAGAAACGCGAAATTTAGACATTGTTTGTCGATACGATGGACGAATGCGTCGCTCAAACAATGATCATTGACTACCGACTACAATAAGGATGGCTTCTCTTCGTCGTTCATCGAAACCATCAGAACAAATTCACATAGAGCCCTGTTTCGACCGTCAAGAACGTTGGACAACATACGAGGACGACGGTGAGACATTGAGAGGTGGCAGGCTTCCCGCTGTCAATTTGCACTGCTGCCGATGGAAGTGGTGTCGGTCTCGGTTGTCCGGTGAAAGGGCTTGTCAGCGTGGCTCCAAATTCTGGAACCAGCAGAGGCTCTGGAACTCGCAGTGGGCCCCTTTTGTTCTGCATAATCTGGTTCTTTCCTGCAATGCCACTGCACGCCTGTTGCTCCTCGGTTGTCGGGATTGATTGCGTCGTAAGGATCGGAGGTGGATGGCGCTGCCAACCATCGTGCCAGCGGTGTTCGACCAGCTTCGTCTGGCATTCCGCGTGCATTGACAGGCTCTGTAGGACCGGCTAACACGAAACTCCCGGCCGGATTGAGGCTTGTTGAGCTTTGCCTGATGATTCTTGCTGACGAACTCAGAAAGCCTCCGCCAGGGGGAAGAAGGTCGACATCATCCAAGGTCTGGGGATAGTGCCCAACTTCTGCCGGATCGGTCTCTCCAGAAGCAGGGATCCGGTAATGTGTGGTGCTATTGACGCCGTCGGTAACATTGGATCTGCCGATGGAATCCCCCCTTGCCAGATGGGTCGGATCATCGAATGGCTTTGCGAGATGCATCATGTCGGTCTCTTCTAGTCTGGTCTTGCCGCGGTGCTGGTATGCCTCATCCAAGATCATGTGGGAAATGTGAGTGTTGCGCGTTGCAACGCGGTCACCCGTGTCCGAGGAAGCTTTGGGGCAAGGTCGAGAAGGCAAGGCCTGGGATTGATTCTTTGCCCATGCACCCGACTTGCCCAAGCCTTGATAGGTGGTCATTATGATATTGACAATAGCAGATATGAAACAATCTTGTTGTGCGTCTCCAAAGAAGGTGCCTTGATTTTCATGGGAAGACTCGGCGTATTTCTTGAGGGAGTCTATCTACCTTTCTTTCGATTGGAAAATGACCTCATCTTATATGCGCCAGACAACAGCTCGACTCGATCGTTAGCAAGGTCATTTCTCTCGCACACGAGTATTGATGAGAATTGAGCGCCCGCTAGCGAACATGCCTTCTTACGGATCGAAGGGAGGATGCCAGGATTGTGCTTATCTGGACCAATTGCAGAGGATCGAACCACGCTAATGCAGCACACTTTTGTATCAGGCCAATTGAGTGTACAGCTGATGCATTGCTGTTCGGCTGGTGCCAAGGGACCTCATGTGCCCCATGCCCAGGATGCCCTGAATCCGGTCAATGTCATCTCACGAGAGTTCAAATATCCTGTGCTCGATTGTAGGGCATCCATCACGTCCACTGTGCGTTCCGTGGAATCTCAGAGAACTAGCTATCATTAGCCATCGAAAATGACAAAGTGGACACAGGACGAGGCTGAGTGGGAGACGGCTAAATCTGCCATCAGGCGCCACTACCTGGAGGAGGGCAAGTCTCTAAAGGAACTCGCCCAGATCATGTGCAAGGAATATCGGCTCAACGCAACGTAAGTGCCTTTCTTGCGGGTCTGAGCTCATCGATCGTCTGGTGATCTTAACTCCCCTTTGCAGACCAGACATGTACAAGCGCCGGCTCGCCAAATGGGGCTTCCAGAAAAAGGTCCGGGGTCAAGATGCCTTCACCGTCGTGCGTGCTGCACGAGTGAGCGCCGCTGTCGGCGGAACAGCCTCTTCGCTGAGTAATGACTACGGCGCAGGGGTTGGGCCTGAAAAGATTGATCGTTATTTGAAGCGCAAGTATCACTCGGAGAGTGAGTTTCTAGCTGCGATGACGGCTCCTTCCCCAGAAAAGTCGTCCAGAAGAGATCTGCGAGCTGCGAAGAAGACAACCATGGACGTTCTAATCACAGAAAGACCCCCCCCTCCGTTTGGCTCAGCCATGCTTCTGGAAATCGTGGCCAGTCTTCGCATCTACTTCACCGCATCGTTTTCCGATGGCTCCTGGCGGATAAGCCGTGACCCAAATATCGACGTGTACAGTACACGTCCCCACGGCAATGACATGCTCGGTCTAAAAGCACTGTTCAGCGCACACGACCTAGCTTGTGAGTTGCTGGACACCAATCAGATGGCTGAAGCTGGGCTCGTTCTCAGTCGCGCCGGTTCCGGCATTGAGGATCTCATCGCGACGCGACATCCTCGGATGCTGACAGCCATATTCGACCTCATATTCCATCTAATACGCCGTCGCCGCCCTGAAGTCGCCATGATTCTGCTTCGACATTTCTCTTCCCTCGTATCCGTCCTCTTGGGCTCTAGGCACCCGATCAGTCAAGCTTTCGAGCGTCTGTTGAAAGCTCCACGGCTGGAGTTCCAACCCTATTTGCTCTTGGCATGGCAAAGTGCCATTGATCGCTTCGCCGACGCTGCCGGGCCGCTTCATTACTCCACGCTTAGCGTTCGTCGCGAGTACATTCAGATGGCCATTGGTTTGGACGATATAGCCCTTGCCGCCAATCAAGTCCGAGAGCTCGCAGAGCTTTGCGAGCGCGAATTGGGCGCTGAGGACCTGCGGACGCTCAAGCTCTACTACACGCTCGCTGAACTACTCTTCGAACAACAGCGTTCGGAAGAATGCGTGCATATCGGAGAGAAGATGGTGCATGCAGCAGCCAACTTCGCGGACAAGGACTATGATAGATTCGTGGACTTGAGCTGCAGTGGGTTGTTCTTCATCGCAAAGGCTCAATGTGCTCAAGGAATGGCCAATGGTTCGTCTACTTACAGGGACCAAGCTGCCGGGACTCTCTGGCGCGCAATCGAGCTTTGCATCTCATATAGGGGCTTGCAACATCCTCTGGCCATGAAGTATATGGTCTGTTTGGAGGCCTGGGCACGCCAGTGGGGCGATGCTGGCCTCCTGACTGCAGTTCAAGATAGGAGGGCAGAATCTTTCGCATTGTCTTGAACCTTGGCTCAATGTTTGGCGTCTGCAGACTGTACGATAAAAGAGCCCTTCAGAGACTGGTTGAACAAGACGTGCAACGGAACTGGCATTCTCTCTGATCAAATGCTACTGAGCTCCTTAACACCTCCAACAGATGTACCTCCAGGAATGCTCGTACAATTCTGATGTGGTTGCAGTCACTGCAAGTTTGTACTTCTTCGGGAATGACCTGCTGCAAAGTCTGCTCAATATCACGTTACGGCCAATTACGTCTGGCTTGCATGGTCCCATAGTCGTGATGTAATCTGGTCTTTCCCGAGGAGGATATCAACATACTTCAGTACTCACAGATGTGGAACATTGTCAATACTGTTTATTCCGATCAGACCGGACTCGACATGGCCACAATGAAAGCTATCGGTGTCGAACAGTACGGTGATGCCCAGAACCTCATCTCGAAAGCGGTCCCCAAGCAGGAAAGCCCGCAAGGCTACGATCTTCTCGCGCGGGTAAAAGCATGCTCGGTCAATCCCGTCGACCTGAAGGCTCGCGCCGGCATTTAGGACGACTATCCGGACTACTACGACCGTGTTCCTCGTCCTTTTCAGATCTTTGGGTTCGATGGCGCCGGGATTATTGAGGCTGCAGGACCAGATGTCAAAGACTTCAAGCCGGGCGACGAGGTCTTCTACTCCGGCAATGCAGAGTACCAACTCGTCGAATCGCGCAGCGTAGCAAAGAAGCCGAAAGCATTGTCCTTTGTTGAAGCCGCTGCTTTGCCATTGACATATATCACCGCATATGAGGCCCTGGTTGAGTGTATGGAAATCGAGCCGGGCGAGCAGTCTGCGCTTCTGGTGTTCGCTAGATCTTCGGCCAGTGATACGATATATGATTAGTCAACCATCAATCCGAGAATTGAAGCGGTGTAATTCGTGGGGCGGGTTTCAGCGCTGTCATCGAGATTTTTGAGCTATGCATTACAACGGCCACGACAGTCACATCTCTTGCGAGCCTACTCCCGACAGGATAACATCTCATCTACCTCGTTCTGTGTTCTGTTAGCCCTAGAGAGCGTGCTGGCTTGGGAGACGGACGCCGATAGGCCGGCGATCCTTCAATGGATTCCCCTCCCGTGGACGACCGTCAGGTAAAGGGTCAGTCTTTGCTACATATCGTCCCTTTCTTCACTCTCTTATCTTGCGGCAGAATCCGCCAAACAAAATGAATCCGAGCGTCCACCGTATAAGAAGTCTTCCGTGGTTAGGCCTCTGACAGAGGAGGCATCGATAGGGCATACCGGCACCCGGTACTCCATTTCTCAACGAGTCCATGTTCTTGCGTTGCATGCCCTGTGCTGGAGGACTGCGCAAATCGCCTCTTATCTCAAGATCCCAGAGCGCCAGGTCCGGAGGATTGTTGCAAAGGCAGAGAAGAGAGGATATAGGCCGCAAGAGGATCCACGTATTCTCGACCATTTCGTTGAAGACGGCGTAAGGCCAGGACGGCGGCGAAAGGAGAACTCGAATGACCTGGATCCCGTCTGTGACCCAGAATCCCTTCCTGGCGACATTGCAGAGGATACACCCTAACCTCTCCATCCCTTCCGTCTTCAACAATCGGGAGCCGAGGCTGAGTGGGCAAGGGGGTTGATACGAGTGTTACGGATGTTGGAGTAACGTTCTTCGGTTAACGCTCCATACCTATGCCGACGTTACTCGGTCGTGCTCGGTACCGCTCCGACCTCCTCTCTTCTACTAGTATTTGTATCCAACGCGGTCCTGCTGCAATATGACGACAGATCGTCGTCCATCCTCCACGCACTCCCGTTTTACTGTTCGCTTCGCCGCGCCTTGGGTGAGATGCGGGGTCAACGACGACAAGCGGTCTACTGTGGTAGCCTTTTGCTGATCCCTGTGTTCTCACTGCCAACGGACAGTGTCCGGCAGCCCGCCTGGCCGGCAACAAAAAGCAAGCAAAATACTAGCACTCGTACCGCGAAGAGGAGAATGAGGAGATGACCCCTCCGCGCCTCGTCATCAGCCTCTCCGCGTTGCTGAGATCTATATAGCTAGGTCTAGCTCATACCAGGACGAGGATGTTGAGTCTTGTCCTCGTCAAAAGGCAATCGTGAGGATCTGGCCAGATCTTGCCGAACCCACCCTCACCATGCCTCTTCACACGAAGCTCCCCGATGACCTGAAAGAGGTCGATGTGATTGTGAGTACTATCATACAGCGAGCCTGTCCGTGACAGGTTGGCATGTACTAACTGAGTCCAGATTGCTGGAGGTAAGAGAAATGTCAGAATGTCGTTGCAATTCATACCAACAATCTGTCATAGGAGGTCTCGCTGGGTGCGTCGTAGCCTCGCGCCTGGCCGAAGCAGATCGCAACCTGGTCATTCTGGTCATTGAGCAAGGCCCCAACAATTATGGCATGCCTGAGGTTGTCCACCCAGCGCTGTATCCACGGAATCTCTTTCCCAGCAGCAAGATCACTCTTTTCTGGCAGACCAAGAAGTCCCCCCAGCTAGGTAATCGGTCACCCATCGTACCATCTGGAGGCACACTCGGCGGCGGCTCTGCAATGAATTGGATGGTCTACACACGCGCCCAACGAAGTGATTTTGATTCCTGGAAGACGCCCGGATGGAGTGCTGATGAGATGCTTCCTTTCTTGAAGAAGGTGTGTCCACTGTCTGCTTACTACGGTCTCACGGGTTCAGTAATCTGCGCTAGGGTGCCATTCGAGGTCAACAACAGCGAGGATAGTTTATATGGCAGGAGGGCCCCCTGTTCAATGCGAGGTGCAACTGCCGTGACCACAGTGGGCACTTACCACACAACTGTCCTCGCTGCTGTTTATCCTCGAATGGCACTCTAGCGCCAAACTACACAATATACCCCTGAGACCGTAGTACATTTACCATTGGTACATTCGCTAAGCACCTCGCAGCTCGAGACTTACCATGGGAAAGGCGACAAAGATCGACACGGTTTCGACGGTCCCGTCAACATCTCAAAGGGCACTCACGTGTGCGGTCGCGCCGAGAACGCCTTTGTCGAAGCCGCTGCGAAGCTCGGGTATCCAGAGGTCAGCGATCTACAAAACCTCGACGCCAATAACGCCATAGAGCGCTATTATCGTTATGTCGGACCCAATGGACGACGTCAGGACGCTGCTCACCGGTATCTTCATCCAAAGCTACAGAGCGGAGACTACCCCAACCTACATGTGCTGGTTGAGAAGCAAGTTCTCAAGGTCTTGTTCGACGACAACAAGCGAGCTGTCGGGGTCGAGTACCAAACCAATCCCAAATACCTGGCCAACCCTGAGTACCTGGCCACTGCATACACTGCTTTACGCACAGTACGCGCCCGGAAGCTGGTGGTCATTTCGGCAGGCGCAAATGCCACGCCAGGTATCCTTGAGCGGTCGGGAATCGGCGATCCGCAAGTTCTACAGCGTGCAGGTGTTCCTGTCGTTGAAGATCTGCCGGGCGTCGGAGAAGATTATCAGGATCACCACCTGTCGCTGTGGGCGTACCGAACGAACCTCACGCCGCGGGAATGCATCAACGGATTCCAAGATGGGCGCTTCAATATTGACGATGCGATCAAGAATACCGACGAGCTCCTCGGCACCAACGCGATGGATGCTCAAGGGAAATTCCGCCCCACGGACGCCGAAGTCGAGGCTCTTGGACCGGAGTTCAAGAAAGCCTGGGACCGAGACTTCAAGAATGTCCCTGACCGTCCGCTTATGATCCTTGCACTGTACTGCTGGTAAGATACGCCCTCACCTAGTTTGAAGACTTTTTCTTCGCTCTTGCTTCGCACGTAGGCTATTGCTAACGAAGAATTTAGTTTCTACGGCGACCATTCGGTCCTTCCAGATGATGCCGAATATGTCTCCATGGCGAACTGGACCGCGTACCCTTACTCCCGCGGCCACATCCACATCACTGGCCCAGCCATGTCCGACCCCGTCGACTTCGACACCGGTTGGCTCACGGACGCCGGAGACGTCGACGTGAAGAAGCACATCTGGGCATACAAAATCACGCGCGAAATGTGGCGGCGCATGCCCATCTTCCGCGGCGAGCTGGCATCGAACCATCCTCGCTTCTCGCCCGACTCCAAAGCCGCCGTTATCGAGAAAGCTGATGGACCGATCATGACGGACGATGCGGCGCGGATCGAGTACTCGCCCGAGGATGACAAGGCAATTGACCAGAAAGTCCGTGAGGTCCTGTCGACCACCTGGCATTCGCTGGGTACTTGCAAGATGGCGCCGAGAGAGAAGAAGGGCGTGGTGGACAAAGATTTGAACGTCTATGGCGTCACGGGACTCAAGCTCGCCGACTTGAGTGTGCCTCCTGAGAACGTGGGTGCGAATACTGGCAACACCGCGTTCGTGGTCGGGGAAAAGGCCGCCGACATCTTCATCAAGGAATTGGGACTCGGCAAGGACAAGAGTGATCTTCCCCAAGCTAGACTATAGTAAGCGATGGAGAACACACAATATCAACCGTGCCCATTTCTACAGCCTCGCCGCTATCTTCCCGCTCGTCTTTTTCGGCGTCTGGAGAGCCTCAATGACCTCCGATGCCCCACGCTCACCACTTCTTACCGCGCCTTCCATGTACCCTTTCCAGACAACACTCGTCTCGGTGCCAACGAAGTGCACATTGCCAAAGGGCTCTCGAATCGCATGACCCACACTGGTCATCACACCGGGCGCTGTCACGGGACACGGACATCCCTTGCTGAATTCCTCTTTACTCCATTCCAGCTCGAACACCTCGACGGGGCCGAGGATCAATTCCGCGTCGACGTCCGGATAGATCTGCACGACTTGTTCGAGCGCCTCTTTCCGTCGCTGCGCCGCGGGCAGTTTCGACCATTCGCGGCCCACGTTGGCGAGGACGAAGCACGTCAGTGCGTACACGCCGCTTTCAGCGTCTGACGTGTCTCGAATGAGCGTGATCGGTCCGCTGCCGTTGCTCGATTTTCCGTCCGAGGTGGTGTTGAATGAATGCGCGAGTCCCGCGAGACCGGCATTCGTCCACCACGGTGCTGCATAGACGAGAATGACCTTGGCGAAGTAGCCAAGACGTGTCGACGAAGCGAGCGCGAGTTTGGCTCCCGTCAGTGCCGGTGCGAAGGTGATGTCCCGGTACAGCGGCGTCGGGACGGAGACGATGACTTTCCTGGCGCGAATGGTGAGGTTGTTTGTCGTGCAAACCAGGACACCGGCGGCGTTCTGCCGGATCGATGAGACTGGACACGACAACAACACTGAACCTGGTGTCAATAGTGAGGCCAGGCCTTCGGAGTATGGTTGCGAGCCTGTGGTCGTCAGTCGGTCAGTCAGTCAGAGATTTCGACAAGAATAGGGATGGAGATGTATAGGTAACGTGTAACATGAGGCCCTACCAGTCTTGCTGCGAAGGTGTTGCCCTCCATGCTTGCCGTCCGACCTCATCTGCACGAACCCGCCGCCACTCTTGCAGTAATGCAGGAAGTACAGGGCTGAGATCTCGGATCCGTCGACGCCCAGCATTGCCCGGATCCACAGATTCGCATACTCTACAGTCTTGGGCAAGGCGCCCGACTGCTTCGCGAATTCCTCAAAGGTCATCGAATCGTAATGCTTGCCGCCCACCCATGGCTTTTCGACGTCGATGGTCTGGCAACGAGTCTCGACCAAATCTCGAAACATGACGAAATTGTCCAGTTCTTCTTTGCCCTCGAACTGTTCTGATCGTTAGCCCAACTTGGGCTCCTCCTCCTGGGTCAGAGGATATGGTTAGACTTGGCTAGACTTACCGGAGGAAGCTGGCCGAACGGGAACCGTCCGTAATCTTGCAACGCACAATCACCCTGGGTGGTCTGCACGATATACTCCATCCCGAACCTCTGGCCGAGCGCCCACATTCTCGACTGGTTGCTGTCATTGATCCACGCACCTCCCAGATCGATCTGTCCCTTCCCGCTGGCCGTCGGGACCGTCCAGGTCTTACCACCTACGCGATCACGGGCCTCGAGGACAACAGTCTTCAGCCCTGCTTTCTGCAGATCGTACGCCGCTTGCAGTCCACTCAGACCCGCCCCGACGACCACGACGTCAAACTTCTCGGTCTTCCCAGGTACAAGAGCTGGGATGGGTGCATCTAATGCCGGGTCCCGCACAGCAGCCACGGCCTCGATCTCAAACAGAAACTTTGGGTTGGCCAGATACGGGACAGGAACAAGAGCTGTTGCAGGCCTGTGCCCTTCAAGCCACTCGAATATCAAACCAGCATGGCGCCGGTTGTTCGGGTCGTAGTTGACAATGTAATATGTCAATTTCAGAATGTCCTTGACACCTGCACCGGAGGCGTCGAGGCAGTGTTTCAGGTTGACAAGGCTCTGCTTGATCTGCTCGACGTACGAGTCGGCGATGCTGCCGTCCTGGAACTGGCCGACCATGCCGGAAGTGTAAACGATTCTTGCCGGGCCATCCGTATGCGTGACGTGCGCGAACGGTCCTGTACTGGCGATTGTTGAAGGTTTGAGGGCCTTGATGGCTGGCTTCGTGGTAGTCATGCTGGCGAGTGGCTCCGCGTGCTGGCCTTAGAAGATGGAACTCGGTTGGCTGGCTGGCTGGCTGATACGTCTAGGTATACCGGCCGGGGACCTTTTAATTTAAGGGACAACTAATGAAGGAGAGAAATGTAAGGAGGCACTCCAAAATAAAAATAAAAAATGTAACATAGAACCACTGGGGGTAATGGTGGTAACACCCTTTGACCCAGCGACTCAGCGCGAGGCTCCATGTCCGTGCAGGGAGGCCCGTATCGTTCGCTGGTATCGAGTACTTCTGATAGAGGGCAGCTCACTCCCGAGCGAGCGTTGCTCATCCCGTGGACGTACGAGTAGTTGACCGAGCAATGCCGGGCACAGGTTTGCAACTAAGCACCAGGCTTGCGTCTCCGCTTCTCGGAGATACAGTTCTCTCCCAAGTCCACCGCAGGACCTACTAGCCAGAACGAGGGTCTACTAGCCCAGATGATGCACGTTATGATAGGGGTCCGCTTTTCTGAAAGAAAGATAGGGTGTTTCGGTTTTTCGGCGCATGCAAATTCGGTTTCCTTTGGGATTTGACCTTCTCGAGTCAGATCTCAACTCGGCGCACGTCCACGGGAGACAGTGATGAGTGATGGACTCCAGAGGAAGACGGGCGAGATTGCAGTTTGTGGTCTTTGCCGAGTCTCCATCCGGTAATCCATGCTGGTCAGCAGGTGGTTCGCATCGATCAAGTCCATCATGCAATAGGTAATAGGTATCTTGAGTAGCGACATGCCGGAATCGTTCGATGAATATGGTGTTAGTACGGAGTACGGGGTTTTCATGTATTTGCTCTGCTCCCGCCTCGGCTATCGCCTCCCCCAAGATCCTACGGCCTCATAGGTAAATCGTGTAGTTTGGCGCCAGGGTGCCATCAGTGCCATTCGAGGAAAAACAGCAGCGAGGACCGTTGTGTGATAAGTGCACACCGTGGCCACAGCAGTTGGACCTCGCATTGAACAGGAGGCCCCTCCTGTCACGTAAAGTGTTCTGGATGTCGCCTGAACAGGGGACCTTTCTGCACGCAAATTGGCTTCGCTGTGTTTAGGAATGGCATCCTAACGCCAAATTACACGATTTACCTATGAGACCGTAGTAGTCGACAGTTCCATCAAAAATCAACCACCCACGACATGGCAGGTCCTTCCGTCTCTGCTTTTACGACAACATGATTTTGAACATGTAGGCCACCTCTGATATCGGCTGCCAATCTTGAACACCAGGTGTACATGACACTGCAGTTTCACACTGTCACAACTTCGCACTTCAATAGATGTACCTGAACTTTTCCAGTGTTCCCTGCGTCATTGCAGCCTCATGACCTTGCGCCTGCTCCTTCTCGTCCAGTTTCCTGTTCTCGCGCTTAAGAATGGTCCTGAAGACAAGCGTCGTGGCAATAGCGCAGACAATTGCAATGCCTTCGACGGTACAAGCCATCCAGTAGCGAGGAGATTGATCGTCCGGGTATATGTAGCTAGCGATGATGTTGCTGTCGAAATCTGTTAGCTTTACGGTGTTTCCTCTGTTTGCAGATGACAGAACTTACCCAAGCTGAGAAAGCATGTTTACCAGAGCAATGGCCGCAGCACGCTTTGGTGCCGGTCGCGGAATGCAATTGGAAATCCTGACACTGATCAGTCTGACGATCTTAATAGTCCAAAGCCATCCACAACTCACCAAGCCAGATTGCAATCAAATGCAATGTACACCGAGCAAGTCACCAAGAAGAGCGAGAAGTATCGAGCTCCAGTGCTGAGCGTGCTTGCCAGGATAATCAGCCCTACGAGAGTCACGCAAAGTGAGCCGATCATATGCCATGTGCGTTCCTTCTTGATATCCGCGTGATGGCAGCCGTAGACGCTGGTGCAGAAGGCCAGCAGATAGGGCGGGACAATCAAGGCGTATGTCACCTCTGTATGTCGAGTCAGCTATCGTCTTGCGATGGACCAAGAAGTTGTCAATGGCACTAATAAATAGACGAGGAACAAGGGCACTGCAGAAGCACTTACTTCGCGAGAATCCTAGTGTGCCAACCACGGTGGGATAGAAGACAACGATGCCAGCACCGACGGTCAAGAAAATGTGGTTCCAGACCAGGAACCAGGTCTTGTAGTCTTTGACAGCCATCAAGAAACCCTGCCATACATCAACGTTGTTAGATTGCGCATCGTCAGCTTCCCCGACATCGTCGATCAAGCGCCATATCGCGATGGCTCGCTCCTCGCCTTTCAGCCATCTGGTGTTATGAGGATAGTTGGGGAGCAGAAAGACTCCGCAAGCGGCAAAGCCCACCGTCATACATGCTTCGATAATGAAGAGCCAGCGCCACGATTCGAGTCCATGGACACCATCCAGGTCTTGAGTCACTCCCAAAGCGATAAGACTTCCAAAAGCTGCAAGCAATGATTAGTCGTGGCGTTCTTTCTGGGTCGAGGAACACCTACCGTTGCTAAGCATGTTTCCGCCAAAGAGTATTGCACATCTCATTGCCATCTCTTTACGAGTGTACCAGCTTGAGATCAAGAACACGGCGCCGGGGAAGAACACCGCCTCCACGATACCAAGAAAGAAACGAACAACAACCAAGCTTTTGTATCCTTGCACTGCTGCAGTGCAGCCAGAAACCACACCCCAGACAGCCATCCAGAAAGGCTAGCAAATTTAGCACATTGAAACAAGGCGATCGCAGCTCGGAGCGAACTGACCAAGTAGAGGGATGGCTTCGACTTGGACAACATCAAGTTGGAAGGCACTTGAAACTTTGCGGGCAGTAAGCAGTTGCACACTTGTTTCAACCACGAGGAGACCCACGAGACAGTATCCGACATATAGGATGGAGAGACATGTTGCGCTTTGGACACATTAGCAACAGCCCTTCGATAAGGAGGTCAACACTCACAATTCAGTACTACTAAGGTTCAGATCCTTCTGGATGCCCACGATCTTAGCAAAACCCAGGGCATTTCGGTCCTGCAGTAGGCATCCGGTGTGTCAGTCCAACAGTCACATACTGAGAAGTTACAGGCGTGCCTAACATACAATGTAATTGAGAATGTAGAAGGCAAGCAAAGTAGGGAACAGGATAAAGTCGAGCTTCGACTTGACCTTTTTCTCGATCGCAGCACGCCTCTCTGGAGATATATGTGCGATTGCCGCTGCCAGCTCTGGTTCGACGCCGCGCGGTGCCCAAGCAGCATCAACTTCAGATCCATGTATGCTTGAGTGTTGAAGGCCAGCTGATTTGCTGTGGGCGTCAGTGGTTGGTTCCACAGGGGCCTCGATTTTGCCTTCTGTAGACATCTTGCGTCTTCAAAGAATCAAAGAATAATAGTGTCGGCTAGGTTCCTGAAACGCGCAAGCGGTAGGCAGCGGGAGATATCAAGATATATCGTTCCTGGTCTTGATGAATCTTCCGCATGACACCCTCGGCATTACGGCCATGAAGACTGAGGTCTGCAAAGAGAGGCTGCAAGATGGCTGATGAGAAGCAATCTCGACCTCTCTAGTTAGAGCTTATCAGCATGTCTACCAAAGCACCTTTCCGTTGTGGGTCCATTATGGGCCCATCACGGCCCATGAACGTCCAGTGATATTGGTGTCTGTGCTGAAAATCCGGGGGACCGACCGGTATTTCGGTATTCTGACTACTGTAGAAGCGATCTCGATACTAGTATGTATGCATGCACGGTAGTGCTCCAACCAGATGCACCGAGGTCCATTGATAAGAAGCGCGGTTTTGTCGGATCACAGCTCGCCAGAGGCACCGCCGAATCTCAGCAGCAAGCTACCACTCTATACACACCAACCATCCCGATCTTGGCGAGACAAAATGTCCTTACGACTGCTGAATCCTCCGAGTGTTGCTCCTAGTGGGCCCTTCTCACATGGTCTCGTTATTCCTGCCGGGCACGACATTATCGTCACTGCCGGTCAGATAGGGACAATTGATCCCCAAGGGACGATACCGGACTCTTATGAAGAGCAGGTTGTTGCCGCCATCAACAATCTTAAGGACGTGCTGGCTGAAGCTGGAGCCACTCCAAAAGACATCGTGAAGTTGACCTATTACATCGTCGACTATGGTGAGTGTCAACGATTCCCCGACAGAAATGGAGATACTGATCACAGCAGACATTTCAATTCGTCCAGTGCACATCAATGCATTGCTGAACTTCTTGGATGGCCACCAGCCAGGGACGGCCTTGATAGGTGTGGCAAAGTTGGGCAACCCTAAACTCAAGTTTGAGATCGAAGCAATTGCGGCACTGAAGTTTGCGACGGGGCCTCAGGCAGCCGATCTCGCTTGAGGATTCGCTCCTTAGCACACTTGGTGGCCAGATGCGGCAACTCCTGATGCGATGCGGAGAGAAGGCAGGCCGGCATTGGGATAACATCCGTAGCATCGACCATAGAAGACATTGACATGACATTAAAAGCCTTCGAATCGAAAAACCCCAAAGCTGTCGTCCAGACATATATTGGCAAGAGGATCACTCCAATACAGAGACTGCCAGTCGTCCAAATGAGTCTGCCACCGATTCTCCTCTAGATTCATGTTAGTAGTGCTCAGGTCGGCAAACGACGGCGGTTGAACCCATCCCATCTCCTCAAGCTGATACTGAGGCTGGTCTGAACGAGCAGGCTGGACGGTATTGCTGGCGATCACCTCCCTGGGTGACACCGTTGATATTGTTGAAGCCTCATCAAGGGAAAAGGTCTCAGCAGCCGCAATTGGCTTCTGACCATTAGCTGACGTGCCGTAAACTTGCTTGTTTCCGTTATTGCTTGTCTGAAAAAGCCGCAGAATCGAGGCTGCAAACAGCCAGTATCGTGCCAGCTTGCGCAGGGACTGCAACCCAGACTCGAATTTGTCCTTCGCACGCAGAGCAAGGATGGAATTTTGGCATTTGAGCTCCTGATTGATTTGCAGCATTGCAGTGAAGACCGCACTTGGTGCCCAAAACCAGCAACAACGAAGCGCTGCATATGAACGTAGTTGTTGGAAAATCCGTATGATGTTGGAAGCAGCATCTGCACAAATCTCGGCATCTGTCTCCCTTCCGACAGAGTGACTGGAACCTTCGCCAGCCAGTTGTGGCCTGTGGAACTGTATGAGCACCATGTTGTACGTAAGGTGGAGCAAGGATGGTAGTGGGCTGTAGTCTGTTGTGGCCGGCGTGGGTAGTTCTCGCATTCCGGGAGGTAAATCGCCAAACCATTCAGCCAGTGCATCGTCAACCTTTTGGAGAGAATCTTTCCTACTCACTCCGGACCGTTTGGCTCTCAAGGAGAAATGGGATCGCACGAGATCTGAAACAATGGCACATAATCGCGCGTGCTCCATGACGAAGCTTTTCTGGTCCTGGCTGGCTGACGCATCAAAGTCTTCCGCACGCAAAGATGGCACGTCACAGTCATCTAGGTTTATGTGCTGTGGCCGACCGTAACAGAGGGATACAAGACAGTCGAGCTGGATCAAGCACCACCAGATCTTCCGCCAGATACACTTGTCGTTCTCGGGCATCTTGCTCGACCCGACATCACGGTGCATGCCCAGTCCTATGGCTGTTCGTGCGGCAACACCAATCCACCACCAGGCGTTTGCGCAGATATCGTCTCCGCCATCGGAGAACCATGTGAGAAGGAGAGCAGCTTGCACTACGTGCATTCTGTCCTCCTCATACCTACCGTCAATTAAGGCTTTCGCTCGTCGAAAGAAAGCAGCCTTCAAGTCTTGGTTGTTTTTGAAAGTAGTCGTCACATGGCTACCAGCTAAGCAAATAGCCTGCAGCAAAAGAATAGAAGGGGCTGAATTGGAGTCGTGATAATCTTTCATGAATTTGTCCTTGTCAATGATTGGAAGCCCTGTATGTATGTGATTGAAGTAGTCTTCAATCAAAACATCCGAGACATGCGCGGGCGGAAGGACAAACGCATCCTTCGGTATGAGATTGGGCGTAGCAGGGGCCTGCGAATTTCGGAAGACACGTGGGACATAGATATTGGAACAGGGGTAGTGGTAGACATGCTGATCGGCAGACCTTTGCCGTGTAAGATAGTGCAGGTTGGATAGCTCGCTGCCGACATAGATTGACCTGGCCTTGATAGGGTTGCCCTGGAGATCCTGGCTGAAGAAGTCGACGAGATGTTGTTTGGCTAATTCTGCTTCTTTGGTGGCAGGTTCGGCGGCTACAGTGTCGAAAACGTCCTCGTCTTCCTCATGATGCTCATCATCCGGTACAGGATTGTCTGTCCTGGTCTTTTCCAATGGCCTAGGCGGAGCTTTACCTATTTTGGGCGTGCGCTTCTTCCGTTCGGCAACAACACATCCGACCTGGGCTGATTTGCAATTGCTGCAAGGAAACCCATTCGTGGCTCCATCACATTTGACCTTACGAGCATGACAGTCCGCGCAAGCTCTCTCTTTGGGACGTTAGTCTTCAATTGAGGAGGAACCAGAGTCGCACACTCACTGACAGGCCGAAGGTATGGATGACGCCCCGCGACCGGTGACTGCAAGTCTGCAGAGTGATCCATTGGGAGGGAGGGTGATTGCCGGCGTTTCGGAAGCTGCGCAATGTGAAATATATATAATAATGAAAGGTGCTGTGTATGTCGCCGATTCGTCGAAGTGTTGAGGCGGACAAAGCCGTTTGCGGTGGTATCCACCTGTTGTGCGGAAAACCGGCACGGACGCTCAAGATACCAGAAGAAGTCGTCAAGGAAGAAGTTGAAATACTTGGAGACGGATGTCACCGTCAACGGGTGAGTTGTCTTGCTGCTGGTCGAGACCAATGTGGCTTAGGTAATTCGCAGAGCATTATATTAGCCCGAATAGTCCTTCAGCCAGTCCGGCGCACACAGCGACCAACCCTTGTAAGCCCGGCTTTTGACCATGGGATCCAGTTCTGAATGGAAGGCTATAGCAGAGGTAAGACCATCCATGACGTGTAGTGTGAAGTACTCGAAGGAGGTCGCTGAGTCCAAGTTCCATAGAGATCGCAGGAAGCTCTGAATGCAAAGATACCTCAGGCATGGCGACTACCTCGGTATCTTCTTGAGACGACCGAGAAAGATGTGACGGGGGTGCCTGCTTCAAGTGGCATTTTGTCTGAGAAGGAACTCACAATCACATTGTGCGATGCGACAGAGATCATCCAGAACATTCAAGCCGGTACGTGGACCGCGGAAGAAGTTTGTCTTGCCTTCTGCAAGCGGGCAGCCATCGCGCAACAACTGGTGAGAATCCTCGATCATTCAACTCCCAGCGAAATTTGTGGGTTGACGGCGACAGGTGAATTGCTTGACAGAGATTTGCTTCGACGAGGCACTGCAACTGGCCAGAGAGCTAGACCAATATTTCAAAGCCACTGGTAAATTGAAAGGACCCCTTCATGGGCTTCCAGTCAGCATAAAGGACCACATCAATATAGCAGGTCTTCGGTCCACCATTGGATATTGTTGTTGGGCTGACAACATCCCGAAAGAAGATGCTGTGTTTGTCAAAGCGCTCAAAGGAGCAGGCGCCATTCTTTTTGTGAAGACAACCATGCCTGTCACAGGGATGGCCATAGAAACGGTCAGCCAACTCTGGGGCCGTACGAAGAATGGGTATAACCGAGCTTTGGTGTCGGGTGGCAGTTCAGGTGGCGAGGGAGCTCTGGTGGGAATGTATGGGTCTCCAATGGGCATAGGGACTGATATCGCTGGGTCGATTCGTGTACCATGCGCCTTTAACGGGCTCTACGGTATCCGGCCGTCGACTCGACGCTTGAGTTATGACGGAATCACATCAAACGTCAAAGGTGGTCGAAGTATTCCAGCAGCGATAGGACCTATGTGCCACTCCATACGAGACACTGAATTGATCTGTCAAGTTGTGACCAAAGCAGAACCATGGAAAGAGGATCCCGGCGTGGTGCAGAAAGCGTGGACGTCTAGGCCTGACATTCCGAGGAGACTGAGCATCGGTGTCATGGAATTTGACGGAGTCGTCATGCCACACCCGCCAATTCTGAGGGGTTTGCGAGATGCTGTCGAGAAATTGAAGTCTGCAGGCCATGATGTTATCGCATTCGAGCCATACCAGCATCAGCGAGCATGGGACATCGCCGTAAGTAGTGCACACCTATTGTCTCCCAAACTAACGCTTCCGCACAGTATCCTCTGTACTATGCGACCGGTGGGAAAGAGATGCAGACTCTGCTCGATGCGACTGGAGAGCCCTGGCCGCCGGCGGCAGCCAAATTGAGCGCAAACCCTGAACTGCGCGAATTGCCGGCCAGGGAGTTGTACCACGTATGTTGTGCTGATTCCATGGCGGAATCTGTGCTGACTGAGGAGGTGTAGCTATTCAACGAGCAGGACACTTACAAGAAGGAGTACTTAAGGCACTGGAACGACACATCCAAGTTGACGTCCTCAGGCAGACCAATTGACGCACTTTTGTGCCCGATCAATCCTTGCGCAAGCTATCCACACGACTTCCTAACGTAAGTCCTTAGCCTCTCGTGACCGCGAGAGCCCGGAGACATGCTCACGTAGACTTCAGATGGTGGGGATATGCAGCTCAATGGAATCTTCTCGACTATCCAGGAGTTATCGTGCCGGTCGGCTTCGTTGACAAGAACAAGGACTTGAAGGATGAGAGCTATAAGCCTGTCAATGACAACGACAAGGTCCATCATGAGCTCTGTAAGTCTCCTTCTTGTATGCGTAAAGTTGACTCCTGACTGTTGCAACAGATGATCCTGAATTGTGGCATAATGCACCAATTTCCTTGCAGCTGGTTGGGCGTCAATTTGAAGACGAAAACTTACTTGCCGTGAGCGCAGTCGTGGATGAGGTTATTAACAGGAGATGAAACGACCGCAGATGTTGTTGAAGTTCAAGTTTCATTGTTAATGGGGGTGTCTGGCAAGAAGTCACCGGCAATCCGTTCGACCTTTCTCTTCACTTGAAGGTCAGCCACTTGTTCGTCTTCAACCTTCTTGACAATGAGATGATTTGCGTCTTTCTCTTCGAGTACCACGCCACCGCCCTTTGCTGTTGCCACCAGCTCGTCACTCGCTTTGGTTCGCTGTCCAGTTTCTTTATTCCAAACCCAGCCCTCCTTCAGCCACATCCAAGTAAGCCAAGCGCGTAGTTCTTTATCCAACGGAACCACTCGTTTCCATTCTGGCTCGAAGTTTCCAGAGTCCCCAGCACCTTCACCATTCCAGCTGGTCGCCACTCCTCTCAGTTTATCGCGGCAAAACATCCTCCAGCTGTCGTGAGAGTAAGGGCCCAAGCCAGGCAAATGAGATATCTCCCACGCAACTCTCCCATCATCATCCTCAACGACTTCGTCACCGCCAAGATCTTTTCCATCACCTTTAATGGGATAATGGAGTTTCCTGTAACGCTTTCCAAGTTCAGGAGGTTTTTCGATCCAAACTTTAGCCATAGCGACACATTTTCTCGCACGCTGATTCTGGAAGCCAAGACCGTATATGATTGAAGTGATATCGCTGACTTCTGCGTTGGCGAGATCCAATGGAGTGGGGTAGCGAGACATGAGTTGATAGAATATCGGCATTGCGCGTTCGCCTGGAGTTTTGTTTAGGAAGATCGTGGCTATAAGAAGACGAAAGGGGTCATGAGCAAGTCTTTCTTGCATCAAACCAAAGGTCTTGTGTGACAACGGGGGAAACGGCAGCGTTGACAGAAATGTTGGTCGATGCTTGTGTGGATGAGGGAAGTAGGGTGATTTTGTAGGCTTGCGGGTTTTCTTCGACTTGATCTTTACTGCTTGTACTTTTGAAGACGAGGCCGAAAATGGCTTTGTAAATGGATCCGGTCCTATGTCATTTGGTACATCCGTCAGGTCCGAGTCAGACGAGAGGTCATCGTCGATGTTGACACCATAATAGATCCGTGGACGAGGCGGCGCTGGTGTTGCTGGTGGTGAGGCAAGCATAGAAGTCCCTACCTCGTCGTCCTCCAAAGCGGAGGCATTGTTAACAGCTTGGGAAATATGGCTTGCTGGCTGGCCGTCGTTGGACTGCTCTTCTTTCGACTCAAGCTCCTCAAAATGGCGGGATACGTAAGTGACTTTCCGCCGCTTGTTCACTGCCTTCTTCCTTCCTTTTCGAGTAGGTGGCTTTGGTGAAGAAGCTTCATTGTCGACGACCATGCCCAGGTCACCGACCGACACTGTTGACAAACTTCGTACTGGAAATGGCGAAGTAGGTGGTGACAGGAAGGCATCTTGAGTTGAAAGAGGAGGTCGAGTTTCAGGGGCTGCTGATGAGGTCATCGACGGCGTCGTCGCCATCGCGTCGGACAACTTTCATTAGGTGGATGGGAACCGATAAACAAACAAGCAATTCCTTCTCTTCGAGATGTTGTTCCCTGTCGACAACATTTTGCAGTAGATGCGTTTTGCATTCACTGCGAACTTCCGGCTCGGATGAGGCTGTGATTCAATTGGGTTGACCATGTTGTGCTCAACAAGCCGAAGACGAACATTAGTCCATAACCCTTCACCCTTGTCCCAGAATCCGGGGAAAAGAGCCAATCACATCGGCCACGACCAAGCGAGACAAAACAATTTCAATTGCAATCTAACAATGTTGGGCACGTAGGACAGATTTCTCAAGCATGCTGATGGGCACCAAAGCTCCCTATCTTAAACTACCTAGGTACTTGATCTTATGGGTGAACTTGTCACGAGCAGCTGACACAGGAATATTTCCGTCTCCCTACGAACCCTCAATTTCCTTCATATCGATGCCTCAGTGACGCTTCGCCGCGGTCCCAGACTCATGGACGAAGAAACTCCGGAAGCGCTCAAGGCGGCCAGGTCAGCAACTGTTCGTCGCAAACCTGTGCCTCCACCCCAGCAAGCTCAGCTGCCAAGCAGGAAGGGGAACCTCCTCGATCAATGGAAGTGTCTCTCCCGGCGTACTCGCATTATCATAATCGCAGTTGCCCTAGCCATCATTGTCCTGATTATTGGCCTCGCAGCAGGGCTTTCCACTCGAAAGCACACCCAGAACCTTCCCCTCCCTTCCGGACATGGCGGTCCTTACAATGGTGACCTGACGTACTACGCACCCGGATTGGGCGCATGCGGACTCACTTCTACCGACAGCGACAAGATTGTCTCGATATCACATATTGTGTTCGATGCAGTGAGCACTGGAAGCGATCCGAACCAAAATCCGTTGTGCGGGAAAAAGATAAGAGCAAGGAGAGACAACAAGAGCGTAGACCTCACAGTGGTCGATCGGTGCACCGGCTGCCAGCCTACTGATCTCGATGTCACCATTGACACATTTGCCATGCTAGCAGACGTGGATTCAGGTAGAGTGGATGTGGTGTGGAATTGGCTCGAGGATGTACCTGCATCAGCACAAGGTTGATCGTGGCCTCCGGGAAAACCCTTGAAAATATCACATCAGTCAAGTGGCCGAGGGGAGCACAAGGATCAAGACTCACCAGGTGGGAAGAAGACCATCTGGGCGCGTTGCGTCGAGTGTTTTCTGCGATTATGAACAATCCAAACATCCTCGCTTCTTGTTGTACCGAAAGCCAGAGAGCGGAGATAGTTGCTAGTGCGGACATCTGCGTCTGCGGATCGGCCATATCTACAAGAATATTGGGGCTCGGAAGCACTCGACTTCTCGAGAAACGCAGGCCGAGATCAAGCTGCAAAATGTCGATTGTTGCATTAGCAGAAGGTTACCAGTATGTACGGTTATGTTGCGAAGGACCTATGTACTGACTCCATCAGGTCGAGCGTCACCCTCGACGTCCTCCACGATGTCGCCGCAAGAAATAATATACAAATCAAATCCAAGACGGATGAAGACGCCTACCTCCTTGTCCTCCAGTCGGCGGACATGACTGCGGAAAATGTAAATAATCTACCCGACTACGTCGACCCACGGCTTGCACCTGTTCCGACAAAAGGAGGAAGGGGTTTCTGGAAACCTAAAAACAACAGTCACAATGCATGGAGCCATCAAGCACAACTGATTGCTGAGAAGCCAGTTACAGATGTGCTCAAAGGACGCAAGATTGTCATCAAGGATAACATGTCAGTAGCTGGCCTGCCGTATACTTGTGGAACGTTTCCTCAGCTTGTGTCCAAGGATGGCAAATATCCCATAGCGACAATTGATGCCACCATCACAAGACGTCTTTTAGAAGCTGGCTCTACCATTGTGGGTACTTCGACGTGCGAGAACTATTCCTTGACACCCATGTCGTACACGTCCGCAAACGGACCGGTACATAATCCGTGGCTGCGGGACCACAACACCGGTGGGAGCACCAGTGGAGGGGCTTGTCTGCTTAGCCTGGGCAAAGCTCGCGCCGCTAGTGTACCTGGCCTTGACGAAGCAGGCGATGATGTTGATCTAGCGATGGGCGGTGATCAAGCTGGAAGCATACGACTACCTTCGGCGTATTGTGGCATCTACGGTCTAAAACCTACCCATGGGCTTGTTCCCTATACTGGCATCGCAGGACTCCATCCAATGATTGACTATGCTGGACCGATGGCTCGCAAGCTCGAAGACATAGCCACCTTGCTGACAGTCGTTGCCGGTTATGACGGACTTGATCCTCGAATGACCCCCGAGTCGCCCCTCCGGCAGAACGTGATCGACTATGCTACTCATCTGTCTTCTGCCGAAAGTCCTGGCAAAGGTCTCAAAGTGGGCATCATCAAGGAATCTCTCACATCGCCTGGAACTCAGGCAGAAGTTGCCGAGGTAGTGAAAGCTGCCGCTACAGAGCATTTTGAAGCAAGTGGAGCCACCGTGTCTGAGGTATCAGTACCAATGCACCTCCTCGGACCGGCCATATGGACGGCAGCGACAAGAACGTATATGGCAAGCTTAGCAATTGGTGGCAAGACGCCGGATATACTCAACCACAGCATCCCACACCTCTCACTGAGGTGGCCACCAGACCAGGAAATGTACGACCTTTTGACGGTCGCCAACCCTGCAGTGGTCAATATACTGTTTTGTGAAACTTTCTTGAAGGACAAATTCGGTCCGGAGGTGCAGGCCAAAGCTCATCGCCACGTCTTCGAGCTCAGAGCAGCATACGACAACGCTTTGGAAGAGTTTGACGTGCTCGTTACACCTACAACGCCTACTGTTGCTCCACCGCATCCTGACGTGCGGCCTGAAGCTGAAGGGGGAAGTACAGTGATGGACAAGATCAAGTTGGCGGTCGGTGCGACGAACAATACGGCGCCGTTCAATGCTTCGGGTCATCCTGCTCTCAATGTCCCTTGCGGATGGGCAAAGTCGCGGACAGGCAAGGGCTGGCTGCCTGTGGGGATGCAAGTCATTGGTAAACGATGGGATGACCTTGGTGTCCTGAAGGCCGCCAAAGCTTTTGAGATGGGTGGTGGTGGCTTAGGCTCTTGGCCTGGCCAGAACCCCACCTGATGCCTCGAGGCAGTTCTGTCGAATCTGGCACAGGCTCTTGATTTTGGGCTATGTCCCGATTGCTTCAGCAAACCTCTTGGATATACGTCGAGAAGGAAATGCCACGGAGCGAAGCAATGATGCCTGGGAGCGATCCTCAAGGCCATGAAGTCGGACTCGACGATGTGACCCGATTCGGAGGTAGGCTTTTCCTGCCTCTTTTTCGGTAAAAGAGCTTTCGACAAGATCAATATAAAAGACAGGAATTATTGAACAAAATCATTGATGAAATCCAAGCACTGATTGGACACTTCCCCGAGAGATATGCATCACTATGGCTTTCCCGCCCAAACTCTGGCAAGAAACTCCTCTATCTGAGTGAACTTGTATTCTGGCAAAAGCCGGTTGAACTCGTCTGAGATGGTCCAAGCGCCCTGCGCACCACTGAGGAGCGTCCCGACGAGAACCGTCCTCGCCATATTTTCGGCTTGTTCCCTGCCAACACTTGGATGGCTCGTCTCCAACGTCCATGATGACTTGAGATTCCCGCGTTCGAGGTCTTCAATCTTGACATGGTCGACGGTAAACGGGCAACCTACACACTCTCATGTCAGCAAACTTCCATCTGTTGTTGTCGTCGTCGGGTGGTTATTAAGGCACACCTCGAACTCTCTCCCCAATCTCGAGGATCTGTGAGACGGTGACTTTATTGCCACACATACCACCGATAACGGGCCACTCGCCGTCGTATTCGACCGCTCTAGCAACAACTGCAGCAAGATCTTGGGCAGTAGTCCAAGTCATGATGCTGTCGTGACCGTCAACCACAATTGCACGCCGGTTCTGGAAGTCGATCATGGTGTTCAGCGGGGTGACGTATTTGGCCGTCTTGAATGGAAATGCCAAATAGTCCAAGAACAGTCCCGGTTGGAAGAGAGTGTATCCGAGAACCTGAGCAGCCCGGGGGATCAGACTGGCCTGTCAAACATCGAGGAAATGCAGGATGATGCTAGGCCTGACCTTTCCATTCTCGTTCACCTTCTTCAGATACTCTCTGACCTCTTCCTTTCCCGCCCACCACGGCATGCCTGCCATTCCGGCACTTTTGGACTGGTTAGACAAAAAACGGCCATGATGGGCCGTTTTGCGGGCTCTGCATCACCTGGACTGGGCAACTACTGTACCTACCTTCCCCATTCACTTGGTGCAAATCGTTTCACCCCAGCGATAATGGCGGCGTCTATCAGGGTCTTCTGGGCGTTACTTCCCGGATCTTTCATAACCTGGATGAAAGACAGGACGGTGTGGATTCCCTGCAGGGCTTCGACCAGATCGCTCTTGTCGTCATAGGATACAGTACGCCAGGAAAGAGCTGGCATGCTATCTCCCATGGACGAAGACTTCTGGACACTCATCAGTTTTGTGATCCGTGAAGTAAACATATATCTCGACTTGGCCCCTCACGGTCCTAGACAGGATAGTTATCTCGTGCTTCTTCGCAGCTAATAAAGCGTCGATCATTTCTCGGGCGACTTCTGTGATGCATAAGTCAGCATGAGTGTTTTACTGGTACTTTTCGAGGTCCTGAGTGAGTGTCATTACCTCCGGAGCCACCAGCGACTGCAATCTTCACCATCGTGGGTTCTTAGGAAGTTTTTTTGGCCCCCTGTTATGCAGAGGCCGGCTGTGACCTGTGTGTCTATGACCATTTTAGACTGTTCTCCAGTCCTTATATACTCGTACATGACCATTCGATACCCCAACAGCAATGCCACGCACAGCATGATACAGGGCTAGCTCGCTTGCCGTTCGACCAATAGGGAATGACTTTCGATCCCCGAAGGTTCCTAGTGACTCGACCACAGGAATGATCTTGTATATCAACACATTCTCCGGTATTTCGTACGACTGCATCCTGCATGTAAGTGACTGCCGGAAACCCTTTGACCGTTCGGCCAGGCAAGATCACGAAGTCGGTCAAGATTCCACGTAAACGGTTTCGGCGTCGGACAAGTCCCCGTCGTGATTCTTCACTATTTACTCCGTACATGCTGCAGGCAGTGTAAGATATGCGTGCGTCTCCAGGAACCAACCCAGCTCCATTCCCGAGGCCCAACGTCCCGAAGCTGCGATCCTCTTGCGATGGCTGTGGAACGGCAAAAGTCAAATGCAATCGTGGTCAACCCGGATGCGCTCGCTGCGTGGCGCTCGGCCAGACATGCGTGTATGGGCGGTCGCGCAAGTCTGGTAAACCAGCCCGGAAGAGGCCTGGTGCCTGGTTCGACGGAAGTACCAGCTTGTCCTACGAGAATCGTGCGACATGGACGACCGAGAGTAGTGATAACCATACCCCTATGGGGTTTGGACAGCCTAGTGAGCCCCAAATCACCAACGAACCTGCGCAGCTTGCTTTCCCGGACATGGCGACCGACATCCTACCAATGCCTTCAGACATGCACACGACGATGAACATGGATGCGCAGAACCGGGCAGGCTCGGCTCTTCTCATGCCGCTGTCCTTCGATGAGTGGCCTCAGCTCGACATATTCGGTACAGGTCTAGAAATTCCTTGTGTTCCGAAGGCTTCTGCCCCAGACGTTCGGCTCTCGGCTTCTGTCTTTCCACCACCCGTCAGCTTCAACACCACGTCGACAAGCTCCAACAGTCACAAGTCGCACAGTTGCCCACGGGAGTCGTACGAGATCCTAGCAGACTTGATCTGTCCCGGTCCTTCTCTTCACGCGCCAGCAGCAAATGCGGATACTGTCTCGGCGCAATTGGACCACGTGCTGCATTTCAACCGAAATGCCATTGACCGTCTTAGCCGGCTTCTCAAATGCCCCTGTGCCGTATCCGGGCATCGTGTCATGGTCCATGCTTCCATCATTTCCCGCATACTGATTTGGTATCAGCAGGCGGCCGGGTGGACCAGCGACAGCTCGTGGGGCTCTTGGACCTCAGCATCGACTGATCCATCGACATGTCGCAATATTTCTCCGTCCTCGCCTTTGCCAGCGATGGCGGCCGGATCAGGAGCGACGAGCCTACTGACGCTTACCCAATCTACTGGGTTCGCTGTCGCACAGGTGCCTGTTTCAGTGGGGAGCTTCAGCGTCGAGGACCAGAATTTGCAGGCCGCCTTCAGGGACCAATTGGTCTTGAACGAACTTAAGAAGGCAGCAAAGCTGATCGACCTCTTTACTTCCCAGGACTCCGCGGATGCTTGTGTTAGTGGCGTGGCTAGCTTGTGCTCGTATCTAGGGGCGTGGCTCCGAAGTGAGCATTCGAAGATGGTTCGAGTCTTGAGGCCGAGGCTTGGGAGCGCGCTGGCGGAGGACCTTGGTTCTTGATCAGCGCGGCTATGCCTCTGTTCCAGATGGTTGTACGTTGATTGTAAGAGTTGGCAATCCTTCAATCCTTTGCGATTACAGGTGCATTCTCTTTGTATGCTTGCCACCCACTTGCCGTCTCAAAAGTCGACCGCGTTGTCCATGTTGCTGGGTCGTACGAGTACCTAGGTACATATGGTAGTTGTAGGATGGTGCGAGATCCAGCAATCCTTCCTCCTAGGCTTGTAAATACGCACTTGGACATTTCCAGGCCGGTAGCCATACCATGCCCACATGCCAGTCGTTTGCCCACTGCCCGCCGCCACAAATCCTGTACTCGTACGAGGACCGGCAAGCCACGTTTTTCATGGCTCGAGACACGAGACAGAAGCAATTATTGGCCTGAACCCACAGCGGACGGTCCCACCGAAATCCGGACAAGCTTCTCCTAAATCGAGGCCCGAATGCTTACTGCGGACAAGCATTTCTGCACCGTCTCCACTTATCGACCTATCGGAAGTCCAAGCTGCCCTGCTCCTTCGAGAGATGACTTCTCCGTTCTCTAGGAGCGCCTGTATGACCCCAAAAACCCGTGCTCCAAGCGACACAGGCCGTGCTAGCCTACCTCCAAGCTGCATGGTGGCCGCGTCAGCGTCAGTGTGCAGAGTGGTCGTCGCAAGCCACCGGCCAGAATGCAATGCCGCATGAAACTAAACTAAGTCCTCCTACAACTTTGCCCCTACCTTGGATTGGCTCCAGCCTCACACCACTCACCACCTCGACCATTCTCTCTGCTCCTTCGTGAATCCGGTCTCGTCTCCGTCACCGCACCCACCACCTGTTTATTGAACACGCGAAGCTCGAACACAATTGTGATCCAGTTAGTTACACAACAACGGCACCGGCCACAATATCAACATCAACCAGTCCTCCACACAACCATGGACGCCCGTACCGAGAATCAACAAGACACGCAAACCACCACTCAACCCGAGCACGGTGCTGAGACTGTCGTGTCCCAACAACCTGTGAGTTGATTATGCCATCACAAGCCTACCCCCGGTCCACCCTCGTCATCATAGATGCACATACAGAGTATGAGATTCACCATTCTCTCTTGTAGACCGCTCCCATGTCGATGGACCCTTCTCAAACATCTACCAAAGTCGGCCTTCGTGGTGGCGGCGAGGGCGAGGATATTTGTTGTGGACTGTAAGTCCGCTCCGTGGTCTTAGCTGACTTCCCCTTCACCTGAAGCAACCTGCTGACCGTCACCCAGGTGCGCCGGCTTCCTATGCTTCGAATGCTGCAAGGACTGTTGTTAGTCAGTGCCGAACTGTCAGTAACAGATAAGAGGGGTTGATAGGAAGAATCGCTTCGATACCATGCAAAATAAACGTGGACGCGGGCTGGTGAGCTGGCGAGGAACTCTCGCTGGACGAATGCTGCTAGCCGTCCAAGAGTAACTTGAGTACGCGGATCAGCTTCTGTGGTATAGAGAAAGACATGGATCGCCGAAGACCAGACACGGTCTGCTCAAATATGTTCATTCTGGCCTGCACTAAACGCTGCCCATTGGTGATGCGCTGGGGTATAAAATAACTTCTCTTTCAAACTCCTTCCATCTTATTAATAGACATCCATTTCAGTGAAAGTGACAACATCCCCGATATCAGCCGATAGACGTAGTAGAATTGTTATTCTTGTACACTCCACCGTGAACAGCTGCGGTGATGCCAACGGCAATGCCAACCATAGCACCAATAATAACCAGAGCGAGCAATATCTTCACCAAAAGCCGTTGTCGTGGAGGCAACTGCTTCAACCATCCACACCCTCGTTGCTTGGGCTTTGTCATGCACTGGCTTTGTCTCTGCTGTTTCTGCCAGAACTTGAGTCCTGCCGAGGGAGCAGCTTTCTGAGCATCTCGCTTCTCTTGTGTGACTGTTGGAGAGAGGTTGATCGTGCCGGCTTCGAGGTCTTGCAGTGTGACTTGAGGCAGTGGTTTGCTGGCGACCTCGAAGGACGGTCTTGGAGAATCGTGATTGTACAAGTAGAAGGGTGAGGCGATTTTGGCGTTGACACACGGATCGTATTCGGACTTGGTTTGTTCATTTGAAGGAGGCTTCCGTTGATCGAGTTCGGTGGCCTCGAAGGCGGTGGTGTCCGCGACCATTTTGCTTTCCACGTTCGTGGTCTTAAATGTTGGTTGGAGATGCAGAATGGGGATGCAACGTCGTTAGAAATACGTCTCTGAGCAGACGGACGTGGTGATCAAAGGAGACTCCAGTGATTGCCAGATGGGCAAATGGTAATTTCAGCTATGAGTCCATCTTGAGAGTGAGGATTGAAACTGGTCAACAATGTCTCGGGATGACTGAGGGCCTGGTGGTATGATTGTGTGCTTCAGCAATGAGGCTGGGTGAAGAGTTGGCGGACAGTTACGGAGTACTGGGTTGTGAGTGCGATGGCGTCTAAGAGGATCTGGGGCAGGCACCCAGCAGGAGTCTGTCAGTACCAAACGATGTGACTTGGCAAACAGGGCAGTGGCGGGAACGGCAGCAAGTTAACGCGTCACAAAAAGCCACAGAATGCAGGGAAGCTATGCTTCAATCTAGCAGAGATGATGGGAAATAAAAGGTACCATGTCTCGTGCGAGGGCCCCAGAGTCAGACGCCCCGTTGGAAGAGGTGATCGAGGCGCAATCAAACCTGGCCAGACCTTTTGATGAAGCTCGACCGGGGTTGTTGAAATGTCAACGTGATCATCGACGGACGCGCCCATCACCGGTGCTGGCCTGGGGCCGCTAAAAGGGAACTGGTTAAAGGGTTGGGGCACCCTTCCGGGCTAATGCACGCCTACGGAGATCTAAACACGCCTGTCTTTGACTCTTGCGAGGATGACGACCGTCCCAAGCCCACTCGCAAATACTGTAATTGAGATGGCTGACGACCTTTAGGTAGTCACAGTCCTGCTACTTCGCTTCCATCGTTTCCGCATGAAGCCACATTCGAGCTTGAATGGCACTGATCCAGCACAACCTTCCATAGTTGAGCTGTCAAGAACTGTTGCACGGCATGCAAACGTTTCCGGCTGGGAGCTTCTTCCAGTAGCGGTGGTTTTGCCTCTGTGGATCGAGCGTTTGATTTTGTTCCTGACTTGTCCCGGAATGGGAACATACCCTGCACAACCCCAGCAGGTTCAGCTGCCTACTCCTCAAACCAATTATGGGCCTTGGAGAGCCGTGTGTCAAACACAAACAGTTGGAATTGACCAATCATTTACGAAGCCAGATTCAGTACTCTGGATCATTATAGCTTTCTTATCCAAGAGCAGCAGAATACCCTGATGAATGCTCAGAGGGAGAGGCATACTGTGATGGACCTTCAACCTGTCAACGATGAACTATGACTCTCGGAAGAAATCCTCCCGCACGATCCGACTCTTATCACACATGCCCCGGAAAATCCCATTTGCCTCGAATAGATTGATAGGCGTGTCGAGCTCGGCTATGCGACCTTGATCCATGACACAAATTCGGTCGTAATTGATGATGGTTTTGAGTCGGTGAGCAATGCAAAGTACGGTCTTGCCTGCGAACCCGGTCCTCATTGTCCGTTGGATCTTTTCGTCCGTTTCGAAGTCAACTGAGGATGTGGCTTCATCACAGACAATAATCTTCGAGTTTCGAACAAGTGCCCGGGCCAAAGCCATCAACTGTCGCTGGCCAAGAGAAAAGTTCAAGCCCTCTTCTTCTACTTGGCTGTCAAGGTGTATGCGGCTGGGTCCGCCGCTTTGAGCATTGACGTTGGAGCTCGATGTAAGAGCAGTCTCTGCAGTGTGAGGACGACCATCCTTCTCATTCGTCATTTCTCCGCCCACGAGGTCAGCCTTGCGCAGTGCGGCCCACAAGTCAAGGTCGGAATGTTCGCTGAAGGGATCTAGATTTGACCGAATGGTGCCTCGGAAAAGGGTGGGATCTTGAGGAATGATAGATAGTCGTGACCGTAGATCGGACAGGCCAACAGTCGAGATATCAATATCGTCAATGTTGACCTGACCGCTTGACAGCTCCGTCAACCGAAACAGGGCAGACATAATAGATGACTTGCCTGCACCGGTCCGACCTACGATGCCCATTCTTTCTCCGCCTTTGACATGGAAATCCAAGCCCTTTAACACGAGCGGCAGTTCTGGCCGATATCTCATTTCGACTTTGTTGAATGTAATCGCGCCAGCCTGAGGCCATGAGTCTGGTACATCTCGAAGCTTCAATGGTGCCTCTTGCTCCAGCTCCGAGCCGTAGTAATGGAGTCGCTCGGTAGCATTCATATTGTTCTCAACTTCGGCCAATTGTCGCACTGTAAATTGAATCATCTGAACAATAGCCAAAATGTAGGACAAAACCAGGCCAGCTATGCTAGGATTAACGTTAAATCGATCAGTCACCACCAAAATGCCAGTCACAAAAACAAGCACATTTCCAATTGCGTCCAGTCGTGTAGAGAGCCATCGCTGATTGGCAAATGTCAAGTAATATGCAGAATCCATGTCGTCAATCGCTTCGCGAATTCGCGAAGTGAAATACTTTTGTAGACCGTATGCCCGGATAGATGCCACGCCAGAAATAGACTCGGAAAATCGTGCAAAAACCGTAGATCTTAGAACAGCCTCGTGTCTTTTGATCTCTCGTGCCGATGCCCGGTAATAGCTTGAAGCAAACAAAAATAGTAGAAATAACGGTCCCAAGGCGACCGCGAAATAATGGAAGTAGGCAATGATCAGCGCAAAAACCGAAGTGATCATGGCCAGCGTCAGGAAATACATTCTCATGGCGTCCGTGAGATTGTTGTCCATGGAGTCGACATCTTTTGAGAATCGATTAGTAATGCGCCCTAGCGGTGTCGTATCGAAGAATGACATGGGAGCACGCAGTACACGTGTCATGGCCTTCTGCAGCAGAACCTTGCTGGCATTGGTGCCACTGGTCGACAAGATGGTTGCGAAGGTGAATAGGAGCAGTGCCTGAGAAAGACCGAGCCCAGCGTAAACGCCAATGTACGCTCCTTCAGAAAACCCAAATTTGTCACTCGTCCACCAACTAAGCCAAAGGCTGGTGACAATATTAGACCCTTGAGACAAGATCAGAGCAATCACGATCAGCGGCCACAATATCGGGGATCCCGATGCATTAATGTACGCTTTCCAGACACCCCAGCTGACGGATTTCACGGCCTTCTCTTCTACCTGCATCAGAGCTTTGCCCTTTTTCTTCTTTTCGGGCTTCTTCTCCTTCTCGTCTTCATCTGCGGGTTTTGTGGCATGGATCTCTTCTTGGGCTGTGGTGGCCATCAATTTCTGAAAGTCGACGCTGTGGGCCATCAGGTTATCAAAAGTATCGATAGCCTGGATATGGCCGTCCTCCATCCAGATGATACGATCACACCTAGACAGAACGTGAAGTTGATGAGTGGCGAGAATCCGACATTTATCCTTCATGAGACCACAGATCGCTTCGTCCATGATGTGACGACCAACGTGAGCATCAACCGCCGACAGCGGGTCATCCATGAGGACGATATCGGCGTCAAAGTATATGGCTCGAGCGATATTCAACCGCTGTTTCTGGCCGCCGGAGAGAGTGATACCACGCTCACCAATTTCAGTTTGATCACCGGCCGGAAGAATATCCAGATCAGGCCTTAGAGCACAGGCGTCGATTACTTCTCGGTACCACTTGGACTTGTATGGCTTTCCAAAGAGAATGTTGTCTTTGAGTGTGGCGTTTTGAATCCAGGCGTATTGTGGACAAAAGGCTCGCGACGAGGCCATCTTGACTTTGCCGTCCGTCTTCCGCATGTCTCCTGCGAGTGCAGCGAGTAACGAAGTCTTGCCGGAACCCACTGTTCCGATGACGGCGAGCAATTCGTTTCTGCCAACGGTAAAGTCCAAGTTATGCAGCTTGAACGGTTCGATTTGTGTGGTCTCGCTAGCAATGTCCTCGTCAGAAGCAGAGGGCGACTTCTTGTTCTTCTTCGCCACCTTGGCTGCCTTCTTCTCGGCCTTCTTCCTCTCCTTTTTAGCTTTCTTCGCTGCCATGAGTTGGCCTCTAGTCTGGAAAGCCCCTGTCCGTTCCTTATCTTGGGTGGCTGTGCGTTCCCAGGTAAAAGAAGCATGGTCGACTTCAATCGCGCTCTCCATGTTTTCGTCCCAGGTCACCTCATCCGTCTGTTCTTCGGAAAGCAAAAATTCCTGGATACGTTGAAGAGAGTTCTGCGCATCGGTCACTTGACCTAATACCAACGGTAGCAAATTGAGTGGCATGCGCAGTGAATTGAAAAGAGCAAGTGAGGAGAACACTCGCGCTGGATTCAAGCCATGGTCAGTGAGCGAATATGTGATGAAGGAGAGCATTGATGCGAAGACCGGCATAGACATGGCAACCGCATTGATCGCATTTCGGATCGATAGCAAGATCTGGATGGCACGAATTTCTCTCTTTCGAAGTTCTTTGAGACGATTGAGGAAGCTCGTTTCCCATCCAAAAAACTTGACGAATCGCACAGAGCCCAATATTTCTTGAGTGAGCATCACACGCTGATCCGTCACTTTGTTGATCTTTTTTCGTCTCATCAGAAGAGCTTTGATGGCCTTGGTCAAGAGAGGCAGCATGATAATAAGCAAGGCATACCCTGCGAGGGCGCTGTAACCAATGTTCACGCATAGCACGACCAGGACAATAATGACCTGGATTGGCGCAGTCCACATGATATGGAATAGACCTGAGGCTTGATCAACCCGGTAGGTATCAACACTCATCAAGTTGACAATCTTTCCGTTGTTCCACCCAGTACCATCTCCAGAGACACCGGTCGTCCTGTCCGGAGTCACTTTAGCTCCACCTTTCGGGTGTAGTCGTCTCGAAAGCGCACGAGCAAGGAGTGGGCGATCTTTGGTTTTCTCGGTCTCCGCGGATTGCTCACGCTCCGCTGTGTTGATTCCGTTTGAAGTCTCCTCATCTTGTAAGGCTTTGCCGCCGGCCTTCGCTCGCCCTGAAATGACCAGAGACTTTTCGAAGATAGCATTGATCAAAACAGCCCTGCACTCTCCTCCAACCATCATGCCACGATAGATGAAGTGATTGGTGGACATTGACTGACACATCTGCATGAATGTGATACCAAGTACGAGACCTATACCACGGCCAATGTTTGGGGCTGGCTGACCCGTTTTTTGAGCGACCCATGCGTCTGAGGCGAATTGGATGAGGTAGCGCGTTGTGAAAGGAGAGAAGACCTGGAATAATGCCGAAAACAAGGCACATACTCCACCAAGGAGGAACTCGCCCCGAAAAGTGTCGAAAAGTGCCCATAACAACGGATTCCGCTCCCCTCGAGCAACCCGCCTTTTGAAGGAGGCCATGAGCAGATCGATCATCGTAGCCGAACTTCGGTCAGGATTGACAAGCCAGATATCGTTTAGCTCGATTGGGCGCTTGTACCCCGTAGTCATGAGGGGATTCATCCATTGGAAAGTCAACATGCTGAGAAAGCTGGCGTTGTACTCCCGACAAACTGCCCGCTCTTCCGGCACAGGCGGGGCAGTTCCACGAAATGGGTTTATTCTGTGATGCCATGGTGCTTTCTTTGGTTCCCTAGACTTGACGTGAACAGCGGCACTGGCCTCAGTGGCTGTCGTGGCTATGGACTCGATCTTTTCAAGACGTGTACTATCCTCGCTCTTCCCGCGGCCTATCCTTCTCAGGTCGCTCGGGACCTCCAGAAACTGGGAGGGCTCATCTTTCTTCTCCAATTCCTGCTCTTCGACATTGTCCTGGGCGAGAGCGCGGTTGAGGTCTTCGCCCTCGTCTCGGCGCGCCATTGAGCTTGAGTTCTGGTTCTACTGCGAGGCTGGTGGGTAATGAGGGAACGCGGTGTCGGTCGAGGAATCCATACTACTGACAACGGCGAGGAAGAGGATGGGTGGATATGGAATATGTATGAGTCTTCGACTGCAAGGCGATCGGAATGGAATGCAGCCGGCAGTGGCCTGGGCTGGGATCAGGCGCATACATCCTCGGGATACTGTCGTAATAGAAAAAGTACAATGGTGTTCTACGGCAAAGCGGCACACCGAAGGCGATTGACACGGCTCCACGACGCCCCCCACAAGTGGGATGAAGACTGCCATTGCCGGTGCCTCGATTGGCCGGAGCAGGCACCCAACAGGGGTGATGAGGGCATATTTTCAGCTTAGCGACCATCTTGCGAGCGTCCCAACGCCCGGCCCTCTGCAAAATCTTGCGTGACAGAAGCTTGATGCACCAACTTTGCCCCTAGGAGCCCCTAGTCGGGTTTAACTGGAGTTAAGCTTAGCAATCATCTCAACGGCACCACAATAATCCACGACTACGGTACGATTCTTTGCTATCGCTGGTGGAGAGAACAAGTCTTCGTGCTCCCTCCGCAGAAATCTGTATACTCAGTGCCCACCAGCATTTGACCAAGATCTCTTCAAAACTCCCGAAAGGTCTGCTTGGATCTCTGTTCGCTGCCTACGTTCTCACTTGACGAAGGGACCAAAGTAACACGACCTTCAAGTGCTGTCTGTCCCGTCACTTGTTACTAGTAACTGGTGACTCCTGTCCCTCGAGTAATAACAAGAAGACTCATCTGACAGGCTTCCAAGTACTACGGACATAAGGCAGGACGGCCATTACAAACCCGACCACTAACCCCACATTTCTATGTTTGTTCTTCCGTTCGTTCGGCACATGAAGCACTGAATGCAAGTTTCGCTTAAAGGGTCTCTACTGGAATGGCGGAGGGCGGTGAATCCATTCATCATTTTGGGAAACCGATTTACCCCAGGGAATGCGCTTCAGTGGTTACTTTCCGGTCCTTTGGTCAATTGACGGACTTCAGTCGACACCTCGGGCCCGACCTTGACACTCCAGCCCACAGAGGTTTATTTGTGGCAAAAGGACTTTTCTGACCCGAGGAAGTGCATATGCAGACTTCGGGTGCCTACTCTTAACCCCTGTCTAGTTCATTCAGTTCTCATTGGACTTGGAGTGACCGGGACCCGATGTTCAGTCACAGTAGATTCCATCCATAACACATGTCTCAATATTGCAGAAATGCAGTAAGAAGAAGATGACTATGTGTTCTGTAAGGAACATTGCAAGCGAGCTCGAGCAATTCCGCGCCTCATAGGTCAGTGGACGCAGCAACATCCTTGACAAGGTCAGCAGTTCTCCTCAGTTCATTGATCTTTGCATCGATTCCCTTCCAACTGTCCGGGCCAAGGATGACTCTAAGGATGTTTTCCTTCTGGATGAGCTCACCAGCTTCTCCTTGCCCGGTTCCAGCCTCGAACATGACCTTTGCAGCCTTGTCTGGATCGCCCCTTGCAACTCGGGGCAGGCTTTCGATTTGAGCCAGCCTTCTAGCCACGACGTGGTCTCCTGCATATTCTTCGGAAGGCTCGATATGCTTCCCTGAAGCAGTGGATCCAAAATCGGTTCGGAAAGCACCAGGCTCAATGATGAGCACTTGTATTCCAAACGCCGCTACTTCGGCTCTGCAAGCTTCAGAGATCGCTTCCAGTGCGAACTTGCTGGCAGCATAAACACCACAAGCGTGACTGGCGACCAAACCCTGGGTGCTCGACACATTCATGATGACACCTGACCTGCGCTTTCTCATCCCTGGTAAGACTGCTTGCATTATCCTCAGAGGACCCAGAAAATTTGTTTGCATCTGCAAGACCACTTCTGCGTCGGGGAGATCTTCCAACGCACCGAGCACACAAAACCCAGCATTGTTAACCAGTACGTCGATGTGCTCGAAAAAAGACTCTGCTTGTCGCATAATGTTCTTGATCTCATGCTCTGGTTGTGTCGCATCCAGCGCCAACCACTTGCCGCCTTGACTCTCTACTTCGGAAACTAGCTCTGGTATTCGGGATGGGTTTCGAGAAGTGCCGATTACCCTGTGTCCCTGCGAGAGGACGTAACGGGTCAACGCGAGTCCAAGTCCAGAACTGGATCCTGTGATCAACCAAACGGGCTTGCCGAACTCTTCTGACATGGTTTCTGGTAGGTTGCGGTACTATTATAGCAAAAGTTGCGTGCTGATAGTCAAAGAGTCTGATGGAACTTGCAATCAGCTTTGGAGGTGAGTAAACTATCGATCATGCTTCAGATATATACTGTTTCGTCGCCATCGCCCTGTGGTGGCTTGGAACCGTGTCTATTGATATTCCTCAATACCCCGGATATTAGAACCTTTGTCCGGATGACAAGTCGACAATCTCACGAGCGTAGTGTATGATCTGTACGGAGTATTCTGTGAGAATCAATTGATTTGATTGTTTTCGCTCTCGAGTCCTCATTTCTTGAAGCGACTGTCTAACCAATGCGACCTGCTGACTTGCCGAGGTCAAATTGCACGACGGAAATAACAATTCGACGGAGTACCAGGGAGCTATCATTAGCTTGGTAAACGACAGCACGATACTTCATGCCTTCTAGGCTCTCTACAGTCTGATTCAATTCCAGCTCTGTTGTGAGAGGCCGGTATCCTGCAAGGTACACAGACTCCATCAAACACCTTCCTTGTGTGCGCACATTGACGGCTGTTCTCATAAGAGGGGCATCGGTGATAGAACCTGATTCTTAGACGACAAAGATTTTCGCATGGCCGTCAGACGCGAATGAAGTCACGACGGTCGCGGTAAATACTTGTGTAGATAGATGGCATTTTCTTCAGTATCAAGATGCAGATAGCACCATTGTGAAGCGTGCGAAAAGCAGTCGGGACTCGGAAGTCGATCGGAAGAGTTCAAGAGCCTTTGGCTTGGCACAATCTAGGATTATTTGCGGCTGCGTTGATTGGCTCCGAAGTTGAGCAGAGGTCATTGACTGATTGCCACTTGCTCTTGCTCGCCTTCATCTTCAATACACGCTCTCCGATCACCACTTCTCTCCACTCCCTTCCTTCCAGTTGTCAATCTCGAGAGAGGCCATCAAATACAAGGGTCTATTCGCCATGGCCGCTCTTCGCGCAGCTTCGCGCCTGGTCGCGCCTTCTCGGTCGGCTTTCCGACCTTCCATTGCTGCGAGATCCTATGCCACAGTTACCGAGAGCTCAGTCTACGATACGTCTGCCAGCCGACCCCCTACGTCTGCTTCTCAGACCACCACCGTGGAGGAGCCGACTCCTAGCAAAGATGCAAAGATCAAGACTTTCCAGATCTACCGATGGAACCCAGACGAACCAACCTCAAAGCCTCGGATGCAGACATACACACTGGATTTGAACAAAACAGGGCCGATGATGCTGGACGCCTTGATCAGAATCAAGAACGAGGTTGATCCGACGCTTACCTTCCGACGGAGCTGTCGAGAGGGTATCTGCGGTAGCTGCGCCATGAACATCGATGGAGTCAACACGCTTGCTTGTCTTTGTAAGAGCTTGTAACTTGGCTGAAACGGGGCAACAGGCTGACAAGCATGATAGGCAGAATCCCTACCGACACAGCAAAGGAGTCTAGAATCTATCCCTTGCCTCACACCTACGTGGTCAAGGACCTGGTGCCGGACTTGACCCAGTTTTACAAGCAGTACAAATCTATCAAACCCTACTTGCAAAGAGACACAAAGACATCAGATGTACGTGCTAAGACACTCGTTCTATGGAGATTTAGCTAATGGATCTTAGGGCAAGGAATACAGACAATCGCGAGAAGACAGAAAGAAATTGGACGGTCTTTACGAATGCATTCTCTGCGCATGCTGCTCCACTTCGTGCCCATCATACTGGTGGAACAGCGATCAATACCTTGGACCTGCCATCCTTCTGCAATCATACCGATGGCTCGCCGATTCCCGTGATCAGCGAACGGCGGAACGAAAGGAAGCTTTGGACAACAGCATGAGCTTGTACAGGTGTCACACTATTTTGAATTGCTCAAGGACGTGCCCGAAGGGTTTGAATCCGGCAAAAGCTATTGCAGAAATCAAGAAGATGATGGCTACTTCGTAGTCCAAGCAGGCTGGTTTGAGCTAGGATACGCTGGACAATACGAGTCCAGGAGCGCTTCATTGATGTTTGAGTTAGGCACCCCAGGGAATCCCGTTGTTGTATACAATACATATGTTGATGACTGATCGTGGCATGCTCTCTACACCAATAATATGAGATTCGTAGGATACGTCGTGGGCTGCATTCCATCGGGCTACCATGACGACCCAAAAGCGCATCCAAAATATGCTCCAATGACTCGGTCTAAATTTGGTCCGGGCACCCGGATGTTGTACCCAATCTGCTTAAAAATACAAACAATCGCAATCGTCCCCAGGTATCACGCCTTCGCCTCTTCTCGCAGGCCATTCGAACATATACAATGGAGCAGCCCGCCTCGGATCTGTCTTGCTTAAGACAATGGTATGACTCTTTTAACCTACTTCCCCGTTCGCGACCCCGCTATACAGATCCAATACCAGTTACTTCTCATGAGAGACAACAACAGTCACTTAACGATACTTCCCTCGAATCCCCTCTATCCCCTGCCAAGGCACTCAGCAAGCCGGGTGCGCCCTCAGTACTGTATCTGGGATATGGCTCCAATCTTAGTGCAGAGACATTCCGAGGCAAGAGGAACATCAAGCCGCTGTCGCAGGTCAATGTCGTCGTACCCAGCCTATCCCTGACGTTTGATCTGCCTGGAGTACCCTACTCAGAACCTTGTTTTGGGAATGTTCGCCTAAGAGACGCATCTGCGATCGAGCAATCCCATGAAGATTGGAGAAATCAAGACTACCATAAAGATCGTTGGAAGAAGGGACTTGTTGGCGTTGTGTATGAGGTAACAGCGGAAGACTTTGCTCATATTATTGCTACCGAAGGAGGTGGCTCGGGCTATCAAGATGTGCTGGTCGACTGCTATGCTCTCAACGGCGAGCCGACCGAGGATGTCCCTTGGAAGCCTGCAGGCGAAACGTTCAAAGCGCATACACTTTTTGCCCCAACAAACGCCGCAAGACCAGATCCGTCATACGCCCAGCCCAGTCCCAGATATCTCAAGTTGATCACCGACGGGGCGTCCGAGCATGGTCTACCGCTCGAGTATCAGGCGTTTCTCCACCAGATTCGGACATATCATCCCACCACCACGAAACAGCAGCTGGGCTTATTCATATTCCTGACTGTCTGGTCTCCGTTCTTTCTCTTTATATTCAGTGGTGCCGGGATATTCCTGCGCCCGGACGGCACGTATCCGAAATGGCTCGCCACACTTATTCGGGCAATATTTACGGCAGTATGGACAAGTTATGATGACTTTTTCAAGCCGGCTTTTGGAGACGGAGAACGAACCATTGGGGATGAAGAAGACGATGAAGACCACGACCCCAGTGATATTTTTCGTGAAAAAGAGCCATTGATTGAGTCGGTGAAACAACCTCAGTACGGGTCGGTGGAAGTAGTTGAACGGATAGTCTGACGAGATGGTGGAAACTACGCGAAGATTTTCTGAATTGGATTTGTCCTAATCTTCTCATTTCAATTCCAGGATCTTCTTCTGTTGAGCCGGGCTCCTCTCAAGCTAACATTCATCTTGAGCACGCTGGACTCTTGGCTCTTGTTGACGCGCATAGTGTTCACTGGCCTGCCCCTTCCACACCACACAATCTTCCCAGTTTCTTCATGTCAAGAACAACGAACTAGTCACATCGACTCGGACCGTCAGATGAGGCCACTCCTGACAACATGTCGCCTTCGCCTCGCGTGGACAATGAAAATGAACAGCCCTCATTTCGTGCGTCATTTTCAGCACTCGTCAAATATCTCGAAAAGAGCTTCCGCCAGGAGGGAGTAGTGAGGTGAGTGCAGCCTTCACCACCTATGTGCAAGATAAAATCAGCCACTGATCTGGGACATTTCTCAGTATTCCACATGAGATCATTCGGCCGTTCCGACAGACGTTCCTCCCGAATGACAGTTCACCTCTACGCGACCTACAAAAAGCATTGGAAAATAGCCGGCCGAAGAATGTACTTCGTCTTGCTCCACTGTCGTTCTGCGGAATTGTCTCTATCGTTCTTCAATACCCTTACTCTTTGGTGCAGTCGAAGCTTCTCTATCTCTTCGTGGTCAGAAAACCCTCCAACCGCAAGCCTTGCACCCTACTCATTGCTTTGTAAAGGACGTCATTCGACAACACAAGAACGAGACAGCATTCGCAAAGATCCTCACACAGGTTCAGACAGCATCAGTCACACCCGAGGCGGTTCGAGATCGAAAGGACTTCATTTGCAGGAAACTTGCAGGTTGCGTTTTGCGCCACCTTATCAGTGAGGGCAAGGACACACAGCTGCGTTGGAGAGTGGGTAGGAGTCAATTATGATCAGGGTATTGCTAACGGCATCCAATAGGCGGCTCAATTGCTTTCCGTTGTTCTTCACGACAGCTCTGTCGCAAGGAATAGCCTTGCGCAAATGCAGGACTGGTAAGTATCCCCCAGTCTACCAGGTATCCTCCTCTGACCTATATAGCTGCATGTTGACCCCTTTCCTCGAAGCACATGAAAGCTACCTACTTCGCGTGCTCGTCGCCGATATTGTCAGAGGACTATTGTACAATGGAATGGACCGAGCTGTCTTGAAGAGTTCTCCAGGCCCACTCAGGATTGTTGACGACATTCCCATCTCTGAGAACGCAGAAGCAGAATGGCTAGGTCGGGTGGTTGAATTTCTAAGCGACTTTGACCTTCGACGTGCCTTTGCCGAACGGTATGTTGGTATCCGCGTCCATCTGTGCTCGAGTAACAACAGCAGGACCGACCGCATCTACAGAGTCCGGCGCCTGGAATATGGAGAGGGCGCATCTTACGTTATCCGCGATGGACTCGTTTCCATCGCCGCAGCTTCCCATCAGATCACCTTCCTTCTACCAGATGCACCCGACTTGCTGACCCTTTTCTCCATCCCCGTCACGAGCGATCTGTCTATCAGTAGCACGACGTCCAAGTCGAATAGTTCCAGTGCAGTCGAGATTGCATATCCCAACAACACAGGCTTCTGGATTAAAGATGGAAAAAAAAGCGCGATTGACAGCATCACAATCACTCTGGACGATGTTGAGTCTGCAGATTCCCTGGTTCAAAAGGTGAGAGAGGAACAAAATACTGCTCCAGGAGATGATTTGGTAACTGCTACCACGACCGAACAAGGCTCGACTCGAGCGTCGCAGAAGTGTTCGCTAGCTTTCGTGGACTTCAACATGTTTATCGACTCTGAAGGTGACCAACCGTTCGACCAGGGCACGAGGACTCCTGCTAGCGTGGCGGACCCTTCTGGCGTTGAAATCTCTTCTCCTCTTGAGAATCTTTCCCAGCGAAATCTACAAAAGAAAGCGAGCCAAGCACACCAGAGCGAGCATACGGAGGTTTCCGTACCATCTCAGAACAAGAAGAGGACCAATGCGCATCGGGACACACCGCGTAACGCCGGGTCGGCAAAAGACGTCGCGCACACAACAAATGTTGCTTCGAATCCTCCAGAGTCCAAGCCTGGGGCGAGAGGTGCAGATTCAGCGGCTGGTCAGATAGCGGGAACGAGCGAAAAAATTAAGACCAAGGAAAGAGCATCTCACCAAAAGCCAGCCTCAGAGCTACCTGCACACAGAAATCGCCACCAGAAACAAGCTGCTGCAAGCGCAGGCCCGACAGAAACCAACGAACAAGCAAACGTCAAAAAGTCACGATCGAGGCCTTCTGAGTCCGCCTCGGTGTCCTCGGATGGCCAGCCCACTCCTGCCTCTTCAAAGACAGCCCAAAGGGTTAGAGGCGTTATCACACAAGACAAACGAAAGAAAATCGCTAAAGACACCATTCATACTCCTACAACGATGGATCCTCAGGCCGAGTCCCAGATGGGCCAATCCCCTCCACCTGCGCCTGCCAAACCGGGACTCAAGAAGAGATCCCTCAAGCAGTCCACCGATGGGGAACAATCTCAATTGCGAGCCGAACCAGACTCAATGACAAGCGAGTTCGATTTGCCGTACGTAGGAGAGGAAAGCGATCACCCAAAGAAGAAGGCCAAAACCAAAAACTCAAAGCAGCCTGTTAGGACGCAAGGAAACACCGAAAATAAGGTGACGAAAAATACATTCAAGAAGGACGCGGATAGTCAAAAAGCGAGATCACAAAAGGGCAAAGGAAAGCAGAAGGCGGCACCATCACCCGTCAAGGAAGGACAGAAGACGGCGGCGTCGACACGAGCCAGGCGTACCGTCAAGTCGTCGACATATGTCAATGATTCGGACAGCGACGCGGATGGCGGCGCAGAAGGTGATGACAAAGTTAGCCAAGCAAACAAGAAGTTCACCAGAGACGACGATGAGGGTCACGCCGAAGATTCGTACCCTGTCAGTAACGAGGAGATGGAAGCCGCACGGCATGGCTCCGAACTGAGTTTCGACTCCAACCTCAAGAAGTTGGTCCCTACGAAGGTGGCCCGCGAAGACGCCGGACCATCCAGACAGCACCTTGCTGGCACCAAGGGCACTCATAATGCTACTCCACAACGCACAATTCAGCCTGTCAGTGAAAGTCCCATTCCTCCCGTGAGTGAAAACCTGCTCCGAAGGACTTCCATTGTGGGATTTGGGCCTCGAGGTCCCAAGAATCAAGCTGTGCCACTCGGCTCGTCAGCGAAGAGGACCACTCAAAGCCAACTACCAACAAATCCAATCACGCCTGTTCCAGTTCAGAAACGACCACCAATGGAGCAAGGCTGCGCTGAGGACGACAGCGAAGCCCAGACGAGTGGAAGAAGACGTTGCGAGAACATTAAACCAAGAGAACAAGAAACTCAGCATGAGACTAGAGAGCCAGAAGCCATTTCGGAGGTCACCGACGTGCTCGGCTCTAACCCATCTGTGTCGGACAAGTCTCAACGACATGCTGAGCGTAATCCTGACGCCGCTGTTCTGGAAAAGGACGACACCTCCATGTGTGATGTCCACGATGAGCCGGATCTGGGAATCGGCATTGGCGACGGAGATGTTGTTGCCATGAAGGAACTTTTGGCTCCGAGCAAAGCCGATAACCGTGCTATCAAACGCCGCGTGGACGACGCTAAGCCCAAGTTCAATGCTGATACCATCTCTGAGGTTGCCGGTAAACTCGTTGCGCATAAGGTTCGACCTCAAAATGATCCTGTTGGTACTGCTCGCGCAATCCACGACGAGTCGATGCCTGAAGCCAATGCCGAGATCAGTGCACAGGTAGCAGTGGCGCCAAATGATGACATGCCTATAGATGAAGACCAAGCCCGGGACCACGCCCTGCCCCCGGCTCTACAAGTCCACAATGAAGCAGAAACCCTACTTAACGATACACCAGACCCCGACGCAAATGAGAGTCGAAGATCTTCGACAGCCTCATCTGAGAACGTCTTTGAGCAGGAGCGTTCCGAATACGTCGCGTCTGATCCGGCTTCAGACGACGATGTGGAGAATTCTGCTAACTTGCATTTCTCTGAACCTCAGGACAATTCCAAGTCTCGAGACATGCAGCCGAGGCCGCAGACACCTCTTCTGGAAGATGAGATACCACGAGGACGTCCAAAGCACCAACCGGCCGTCATTGCTCAAGCCCATAAACGGCAATCTATCGGAGTTGCCGCCATCCTGGATGCCGAATACCCCCAGGCCGAGAAAGCTATCAACACAAGCAAGATGCGCTCAAGCTTGCATCCGGCACAGGAGCGAACGAATGTCCGTGATGCCAGGATTCGCGAAGCGCGACCAGACGTTGAAGAGTCTGCAATCAGGGATGGAGCCAGCGGTAGCAATCAGAAACCCGTGCCTGCGACCACAACGACCAGCTCAAGAGCACATGGCTGGGAGCCACAGCCAAAGAGCAACCCCATAGTGATGCGCGAACCACTCAAGGGCATGTGCCCTCCACCTCCGCCTCGTAGTGCTCCTTCCAAGTCTACGACACGGCCTGACCACGCACCTACCTCTAACACCACTATCGCACCTGCCTCGCCACGCACTCCCAGACGACGAAGCAACCCAGTGATTGTGCCACATAGATTATCACCAGCCGTGCAAAGCCCTCGCAATAAGGCACCATATCCCTCGCTGAACGTGCCCGTCCGCATCAAAAAGACCAAGCCACCAGCAAGAAAAGTTTCGATATCTGAAGTCGTGGCTCCCCCCGGTACACCAATGTCTTTCTGCACTCGCTTGGGTGTGCATGCATCATTGGCTGATGCCGCCGTTGATGAACAAACCGTGGTATCTGAGCCTAAGGCCGCGTTTCACAGACCAGGGGACGGGAGTTTGACACTTGTGAACGAGGACGAGTCAACCTTAGGTCACCCGGCAAGAATATGGCCTCGTGGTGTCAGCCGCCACCGATCGGTATCGACTGACGGCATGTCTTCGGCCATGTCACCCTCGGGTGGTTCACGCTTCGCACATAGAGCTGACCAACAGATACTGCGGGATGTACAGGTCAGAGACACTCAACATGGCTTGCTGGACGCAATCACCAAGATTACTACTGTAAGTTTATACGTCAGATACAGGCTGGGGAGCTACTGATCAGAACAGGATGTGCTCTTTCGTTTCGGACAAGAAGAAGATGCTGTCAACACCAAGGTGGATGAATATTTCCGAGGAGGCGATCAGATTGTTCAGACTTTGACGGACAGCTGGAACCAGCGTCTAGGCCACGAGCATCGGAACATCGCAACCAAGCTTGGCGAGGAGAAGGATTTCATAACGAAAACTTCAAAGCTGGTTACCGAGCAAAACATTGGTTCGTGGAAAAGTATAATATGCGACAACCATGTTGGGGGAAAACTCCAGAAGAGGACCAAAAGTTTGATTGCTAGGATCGAGGCTTTGAGGAACAAAGATTGAGAGTTCGTCTTGACGACGTTTCGCATTGCAAGAATATTTGTCTTGAGGTCTAGAGGGCCAACATAAATGCACCTCATGATGGGATGCACAAAAGTACAAGCGATTTGTTGCAGCATTAGGTAGGAGTGGATGAGTGGACTTGTCCGTGCTCCAGGGGTTTGTGTGGATGCAATTAGTTCATGGGGTCTTCAGATCAGCTCGGACTGGTTCCTGTACATGTAGAAGTGTTTGCCGTTGCTGTCTAATCAAGAAGATCATTAATGAAAAGGAGTAGAACTTTCACACTCGACTAGTTTCCACTCATGAGCCTAGCACCTTGTTCGCAGGCTTGGTAGCATGAAATACTTGTAGTACTCTTCAGCTATTTCAGTCGAAATTAGACAGTTGGATTGGGTTTGTCCAGGTATTCTCTAGAGATGTCTTGGATCAGAAATGCTTCCCCGTCGCCGCTTGAGCCATCAAAGAATCCGGTAAGTCGATCTTCTCTATCGATACATTTCCCTTGTCGTCCACGAGGAGCGCATGATTCTTTTCGATCACGGCCCACTCGCCAGCATTGTACGTCGTCGGCTCACTCGCGACGATGACATGCTTCCCGTGTTCCGCGGCCTTTTTGCTGGCATTGGGATTGTGCTCACCGCCGGGCGTGTCGGGGTACTTCCTGTTCAGCGTGATGCCGGCTTTTGTGGAGTAGTATAGACTGGGGGGCTGTTCGAGGGGGTGGTTGCGCAGGCGCACGGCCAGAAGCTGGTTGCCGTCTGTGCAGCATACGTTTAGGGAGCATGCTTTCACGTTTGCAGCGCCGAGGGTCTTTTGTTGCAGTTCGATGACGGAGTAGAACGCCGAGACCAGGGCGTCGCACATTTCGCGGGGCGTGTAGGTGCGTTCCCAGCTTTCGATGTCGCTGTTCGGGGCTCCATGGCCGCCCACGGATTTGTTGGCATTCTTGGTCAGATTCGTCATGTACAATGCCGCCAGGTGTTCCGAGTCCGTGGTGCCGTGGATGTTCTCGTACGCGGATTTCTCAATCAGTGGGAGCATGGCGCGGCGGATGTCGGCGAAGTCGGAGATCAGGCCGTTGTGCATGATGGTGTGGCGGCCGAAGGTGAAGGGGTGATTGTTGATCGTGGTCACGGACGTGCCCGTGGCGGCGCGGATGTGTGCGAAGACGGCTGTCGTGGACGTGTTGGCGCAGATGGAGTGGAAGTTGGCGTCGTTGGTGGGCGGTTGGGAGTGCTTGTACATGACGGGCCGCGTGCCGGACGTCGTGGTCACGAAGTCAGAGCGGGTCGGAGTGTACCACGCCATGCCGAAGCCGTCGACGTTGAACAGGCGGTTGCGCAGGGTGATTTCCTCGCTGGTCGTCTCTTCGCCGGGAGTGTGGGAGAAGAGTTTCGGGAGGTAGTGGTCGTGGACTTGTTTGGCCAGGCCGTGCTTGGGCGTGATGAGGACGTCTTCCAGGAGGCATTCCTCCGTCGGGGAGATGTAGCTGAACCACCGACACATGTTGGCAGGGTGGGCGTTTGCAAGGGGATCTCTTTAACAGGGTACAGGGTTGTTGAGGTGCAGAGAGATAGTAGTAAAGGTTTGGATGTTGGCTTTTGCTGGGGAGGACAAGAGGTCGGCCCGGGTATGCACCTGAAAAGAAATTAGGCAATGGTGGAAGATATGAGCTTCGAGACGATGTGAAGCTGTATGCCAGATCTTTTAGCCAGAATCTAGAGGATGAAGAAGGCGAAGGAGAAGAAACAAGGGAAGAGGTAGGACGTCATTCGATGTTGAAGATGCTTGTCCACCTTTATGGACCGAGGTTGACTCAGTGTTGCAGACCTGGTTGTTCTGGATCAAATTTTCGTTTGAGAATATCTAGAGACAGATTGATGATGCGAAGATGCAGGTACAGACACGTAAGCAGGTTTGATCATCAAGCTGCGTCAAGCGAGCAAGATTGAGCAAGGTTGTGCAAGGTCCAGCTGGGGGTCAACCAAGAGAATCGACGTCATAAGGTACCTGGTAAGCTTTAGAGTTTGGACAAGCTCTCGCCAAGCTTAACTACCTTAACCTAATTAGCTAAGTGCTTGGCGCTGAGTTCCAAGCCAAAGCCCGAAAATAATTCAAACCCTTCATGTCCAGCATCGCTGTCTGAGGTATTACCTATGCAATGAATGTTCTCAGACGAGGACAATCTCTTGTGGGATCAAATCGCCATGATCTGCCATTTCAACGATTTCTCCCTCCATAGTTCCTTGAATGTAGGATTCCCCAACCAGCAGGTATCGATCCGAGGGCGACCCCATGTCACTTTCTGTGTCGCTGGTCTGGGACACTCTCCTCAAGACGAAAGGCACGTTCGCTCCCTCGAAAACACAGCATACATCACCTACCTCGAGCGTCTTGTGAGAGATGCCATAATATCCTTTCGATGTCAGGAAAATACGTCGGTTATGCAAAGCTCGTCGTTGATTCGCCATATATGTGAGCACATCTCGCTCCATGTTTCTACCGCCATCCTTGTTCGGTGTAGGTTTGGTCCCCGTCGTAGCGGCGTCATGACTGATCAACTTCTTGTATGCTTGATAAATGGATTGGTGAAGCAACAGATCCGCGTGCGCTGGCCCGTCATCGGTGTTTCGACCTGCCACAATCGCTAAGCTATAAGCAAGCTCGCGTACTTCACTGTCCTGACCGTACACTGTACAGTTACTGTCATGGTTGCCCTCCTCCAGTCGTCTCCATACTGCTCGGAGAGGAGCCTTCTCCTTTTGGCCTGGCAGTTTTAGGTCCTCGTCATGGAATGCTTGAGAGCACCAGACGATTTCGTCAAGGAGTATGCCTGAAAGCGACAAAGTGAACATTGATGCAGAAAGCTCGACCTGAAACTTTCGCGGCGGTAGACCCCCAGCTCGATAGAACATGTCGGGGTAGCCTAGCCAATATACCCGCCACTCTTCGTCCCAGCGTGGAACCCATGAAGGTCTCTGCCCAGACAGGGATGGTGAGTTCGAGATGTGGTCGACACAGGCGAGAAGAGTCCATGGAAATGGGTCGGTTCGCAGAATGTATCTTGCCGCATCGAAGTAGACGTCGTCAACAGATTTGTCGTAGTCGGCTATCAAGGCATCTGCCCGGTTTCGGTTTCGGTTTCCGCGGCCGACGCTGGGATGGCCCAGGAAGGCATATACACGGTCTCGCTGATTGGTGGCCTTGTACTGCCGCCCGTCATTGAGGATGTCGATGAATCTCGGTGTGGAGTTAGGGTGATTCATGGACTTTGTCAGGGGGAGTTCATTCCGCCACGAGACAGGATTGCCGAACGATCGCCAGATGTCTTCGAACACATCCCAAAACATGCCCGACTTGACGTTGCCAATGACTGCTCCCACATCAGCACGTAGTGCAACAAACAACATCAACTCGACCAGATAGCTCCAACTGATGGAAGCCTTCCCATAAAGGAGTACGGCTGATCTTGCAAGGCCGACCTCTTGAAGCACCCATACACGCTCGAACCACTCCGATCCCATAAGACGTCGGACCATGTCCCATATCTCCGGGCTTGAGCTGATGACTTTCGAGTCAAGCGCAATCGGCGGCATCTTTTCCACGCCCCCATGTCGGGATGCCAGGTCTGTAAGAGTCGTGATTGTACTCTGTATGGTGGCCAGACACTGACTGGCTTCCTCCCTGCTATCCTCGCCAATCCATATCAGCACTCTCTTGGCGCACCCATACACGTTTCCCATCTGACGAACTTGATGAGATTTCTCGTTATTGTCCCATTGATTAATACACACTGCGTCGACCCAGAGCAGCCTGGAATCTGTGCCATGCCGCAGATGTTCCAGTGCGCAAGCGAGGTTTGGTCCAATGGGCAGCGTGTGGCCGTCACATTCAATATTCATCGCATCTTGGTGCTTCCCCCACACATAGGAGAGAGCCTCGAATTTCAACGGACCTTCCTCGAGCTTGCATATGCTCAGACCGCACGATAGTGGACCTGTGCCAGGATGCAGCTCCAGCACACGAATCCATCCGTCGACAGGCAAAGGGGTATATACGTAGGGCGGAAGAGGGAAGAGGATTTCGTCTGGGGAACAGGGTGATGCAAGCTCAACAGAAGATGCGGTAGGGATGGTTTTAATGTCGGACAAGGACACATTCGGTCCGCGATATGGGTCAAAGTACGCCATGTGCAGAACGACTTTGAGAGGCTTGAATAAAGATCATTGCCGCAAGCACGTGAATATGGTTAGGATGGTAGGAGTGTATTGAGGTCACTCGCTGGGCATGCATCTCTTCATCAACCTGTCCGACTTTACCGACTTTACCTCTAGAAAGGAGACAAATAACCAGCGAGTGGCTGAGACAGACGAGTTCGCAATGGCGCCGACGCGCATAAGCGATCAGTGCGAGACCTTGATAACGACGCAGAAGAAGTGGCCAATGGTCTGATGGCGACGACGCCTATAGCTTGGCGACAGGGTTGCAAGCTTCACCCAAGCTGTAGCGTCCCGCGCTTAATGGTGTTGGTGAAGGCTGGAGGTGGAGGTGGGCCGGGGTGACAAGATACGGCTTGACGGGTACTTGTTCGTACCACTCAAGATCGGATAAGTTGCCCATTCTTGCTCAGCTGGCAACGGCGACCATGTTTTCAGTGTCCCCCTTTATTTCGTAGCGACGACATGGGCTTACCTGGGCATCACGACAGTTTACTTCAACATTCAAAATCGTCCTCGTCGGTGACTCCATTAGGTACCTACCAGCTGGACAAGCTTCATCTACTTCATAGTTGGCAGTCTTAGCTGAATCTTGTTTCATACACCATTCTTCCACAGTAGCCCAGCCACCACATCCTCCATCAAAGCCTACGTGGCTCATTCCTCCAAGCAGACCAAATTATGTGCCTGCAAACAACGGTTCACGTCTAGCGAAGACTTTAGTTCTTGCTCCTTGCGGATGCCACCTCAACGCGCTGAAAAGCACACTCAGAGGCTGCAATATTTTCCGTTCCTTCTTTCCATACTAAGAGACATGTCGCTCTTCTGCAGGGCTCAGCGCACATTGCTGCTGCTAGCCAACCCTCGAATCTCATTTTTGTTTGTGGTGATGCCTACCAGGAGTTGCGATGGTACGTGATCTTCCAAAAATGGTCCGACGAGAGACCTTTTAGCTTTTTGCGGAGCTTGTCTCAGGGAAGGTCCTCAACAGAGGCAAAAGCGATGGCTCAACATAGAAGAGAGAATATATAATCTCTCTCCCTCGACCTCGACATCTCCTCACATTCCTGCAGCATCGAGAGTTCACTTGACTCGTAATCACTCTATCCATCCTATCGGGTCCTATCGAATCTACTATTCCATCAAAAGGTAAGTTGAATTCAAATCTACAATATTCAAACCTAACTTCTATTAGTCAACATGCTTTGGAAAATCCTTCTCGCGTTCCTTGCGCTGTGGGCTACTGCTCTGGCTTACCCAGCCGGTGCGGATGACTTCGGCGTACCAACCAATGAGGCCGGGTATGACAAAGCGACTTTCGGAGCTCTCGACTTGGCTACGACTACCGCCAGCCGTTACAAATCCATCAAGATAGGTTGTCACAGGAATGAAGGGATTTGTAAAACGAAAAAGCAGCTCCTCGATACAACACTGCCCGAACCGACGCACTACTGCACGCGTGAGGCGCTGGCTGCCCTAGCAATCTGGCGCATGTTCTGCAAGAAATCAATCAGTGCGTACTGCTGGGAGCGAGCGCCTTCGATCGAGCGCTGCTGCAGCCAGTGGGTGGACAAGGACGATCCCAAATGGAAGGACTACCCAGCCCTGATGGAGCAGAAGAACGGAAAATGGGTGCCGACAGAGAGTAGCATTGACGACCAGCGCAAGATCATTAGGCCCTCGTCAAAAGAGTTCAATCCTAATGTTGGAGGCAAATGGTATGGGTGTGGCTACTGGAAGCCCCAGACCTCGGACGAGTATACATGGGTCATCAACCATCTGGAAGACTATGGAATCAAAGACGTCGACGAGACTGGAAAGATAATTGGGGAGGAAAAGTGGAACGCGGAAGAGGGCGGTAAGTGATTGCGAGGGAGCACTTTGGGACATGGAGGCAGAGCACAGGGCCACGCTGACAGAACGTGTTTGTGAGGCAGACTGTGCCATACACTGGAGAAAAGGGACTGCAAAAAGGAAGAGAGTGGATGCAATCAGCGTCCAAGGGAGATGGCAAAGCCCGGGGAAAATAGCTTGGGCGATATGAAGAGCATTGCAAGGAGTGGCAGACATAGAATCCGGTCACTAGGTACCTTTTGTCGAGTCTTGGTTACATGCTTCGGAAAAATGGCAGCAGGAATGAATAGTCTAGTCCAGGACTGAAATTTGATTCCGTCTACAAACCCACAAAACGCCAGCGTCCGTCCAGTCTTCACCAAGGCAATCAGCCATTACCTCCAAACCTACGGCAACCCGACCTGGCTGCAATCTCAACACGGATTATCGCTGATAGACCCGTGCGGACTCGTTCCCACTCCCCCAAGACCTTGTTGGGGTTGTCATCAGCAAGGCAAATGCGCAGGATACCCAGGTAGTCTATAGATCACTCCTCAATCCGCGGCGACGTAGGCACAGGAGATCTCGGACTTTGAGGATCAGGCTCCGAGATGCCACTTAGCGGCCTCACCTTCGCGGGCTCTTCCATCGCAAGCCGGATGCTGCCACGATTGTGGTTACCATCCACGGAACTCTGATCAGGTGTCTGTGCGCCCTCTTCTACGTATCCGTACATGACCTTCCGCCCACCGACGTGCTTGATCAAGTGCTTCAAGTTCCCAGCCTCTTTCTCCTCGCCATGTCCCGTCTCCAGGACGGGAGCGCGAAAGGCGCTTGCAATTTCCACGGGGCCCAACGTGACCTCCCGGCCGAGCACGCCGTAGCGCCAGAAGGCAGGTAAGATGAGGAGCAGGCAGCCGATGGTGCTGGACACGCCCATCGCCAGGTACAGGTAATGTGTGTCGTAGTGGATCACGTCGCTGATCTGCAGAGTGTTGGGTATGTTTGAGAAGGTGGCCGTGGCGTTGTCTCGAACGCCCACGACGGTGACCTGTGTGCCCGCGACGGGTTGGAATGCTGGTCGCTGAATAAGTGCCGTGGCGGTCAGGAACGCGAGTTGGTTGATCCCAGCAACGAGCGTTGAGAGAGCATCGTGGAACGAGCAGTCGCAGGAACCCATGTTTGGTGGACCGAACATCATGGTCTGGGCCAGGGTGCCCTTTTGCGATAGACCCCACAACGAGCTTCCTGAGTAGGTGATTGCTGCCGTTGATGACAAGTATTGAGATAATGCGTTGGCGACGCCGCCGAGCCGCGTCGTGCTGTTGACGATATTACGATCGTCTGTTGTCAGATAAGACAGGACCTCAAAGCCGTCCGCCTGCTTCAGGGAGTAGGAGTAGGCCGGGATAGGAGGCGTGACTGTATTCGAACTGTCGTACTCTTTCCCTCCGACGCTGACGCCGTTTGTGATGTGCGCTTTCGTATAGTTGACGATTGTCATCGGGTAGCGAACCAAGGCAGGACGCAGTGTACAATGGACGTTGGTTATTGTGCCGGGGCATGACTCAACGCTAGCGGCTCCGTATGGGTCATCGGAGTCAAAGTACAGCAGGTCCATAGTGATGCGCGAATAGTCCTTTGCCGAGTCTGCATATCTCATGCCGAAAGAAGTATTGAAAATCGGGAGATCAGTCCACTGGCTAGCATCGCCTGATCCACTGCCTTGGTGCTCATTATAAGCATTGATTGCACCTGTGGCGTAATTGGTGTGATTGCTTGTTTTCTCACACTCAATCTCAAACCCAATGGCGTCCACGTGTGTGTAGCACACACCATCACAGTTCCGATAGAGCTGTTGAAAGTTTTCGAAGAAGCCATTGCTCGTTTCCCAGGTGTCCACGGTGGGCGTATATGTGTCACCGATCATGAAGTCGGTTTGAGCACCTAAGCCCGGGCTTACGACGAAGCCGGTCTGAGGAAACGCCTTAGCTGTGATTCCGAGTATAGTGACATTCTTTGCAGGGTCTTGCGTGGTGTATGTCGTTGTTGCGCGCTGAAAGAAGAAGGCATCAAGAATGGCCAGCTTTGCCGCGAGTGCTGCCAGCGCAATGACATCGAGTGCCCAGAAGCGGCGCAAGATCTATGTAAACGACATGCTGGATTCCCAGGATTTATTTAGCTCAGCAACGGTCGCACCTTTGAGAGCTTTGCGCCACCGAGGATCACATTGCCCTCGCCGTTGTGAGATGGATGCGTTGCAGAGTAAGGGCTATGATACCGCCGAGCGAATGCACAGAGGATTTGATGGCCACCACACCTCATACATTCCAAAGAACAAGGGTTTAAGAAAGGTCTCGTGGAAGCAGCAGAGTCTCCTTTCCCTCAGGAAACTCGCAAGGATTTCGCAGTCTCGCCCTTTCTTTTCCACAGCAGGCCGAAACCTCGAGGTTTGAATTCATAGCCGTTTGCTATATCAACTCTCTGTATCCAACACAACACGATCTTCGCGAACCTCTTGTGACATCGCAAATACCCAGCCAAGGATAAGAATATGCACCCAAGCATTACCGAATATTCCAGCGCCAGTTCTAGTCCAGCAACCCCAGAGACAGAGATCAAACGGCTACTGATGGCCCCGTCAGTACAGTCCTCAAAGCTTGGTCAGGCTCAGTCGACGAAGACTAACCATTCCATACGTCGCCACCGTCGGCAGCCACCACTTCCTCTTGACCGGTTCGCCCGAGGCATTTCAAGGACACCCCGAGCACTCAAGATCCTGCTGCTAGTCGTCCTCAGTGGACTACCTTTCATGGTCTTCATGCTCATTGCTCGATACAGGTTGAGGCACAGAACTATTGGCCCGCCTGAACTGAATGCCACGTTCTTCAAACTTGCCAAGTGGATGACTGTGTGTTGGGCTTCGTTGCTCATCATCTTTACCCTCGCGGAAGTGTTTTCGCACTTTGCATCCTGGGCATGCAGCTTGTCGAAGCATTCAGTCAAATACCGGCCACTCGCTAAAACACTGTGCTTCCGAATTACCATGCTCGTGTGGGCTGGAGCCGCACATCAGGCCAACTGCAGGATTTGGAACACTGACACCCCCCGCAATGTTCCAGACGACTGGCCTGCGACCTTGAAGCAAGTCTTTGTCTTCCTTGTGGTGTCATTTACCATTCTACTCGTCCAGGGAATCGTACTGCGACTTATCGCCATTCGCTATGTGAATGGCTACATTGACCCACGATCGAAACGAGCCTTCAATGAGCTCGAGATCATCCGCGACTTGAACAACATAGTCAAACAACACTACGAGTGAAGCGACCTCTCTTTACAGTCAAATGGCTTAAGAGGTTCTTCTGCCCTGTCGAGGATGAGGACTTTGGAACCATCGTCAGCGGCCGTGGCAACGAGGAAATGCACAGAGACTACGCCGCTAGGATCTGGAACACCGTCACCATGGACCTGCATAAAGTAGTCCTCACCTCGGCTGACCTCCGCCGTCGCCTGATCGACATGGGTCGTGATCCTGAAGCCGCCGAGGATCTGTTTGCACGGCTGGACGAAAGCTGCGATGGGCAGGTTACACGTGATGAGCTCGAGACACTGGTTGTCAGCACTGGGGCACAACTCAACAAGAGAGCAGTATCTATGCAGGGAATCAAGAAGTTGTTGTCGAAGCTGGAGCTATTGCTGACACTTATCATGTTTACCATCATTGTTTTCATCTACAGTAAGTCATCCCTCTTACATTCCGCGAAAATACAACCTCGCCGACATAATACATAGGCAATTTATTCAACCAAAACTGGGTCAAGGACTCCAAAGCTCTCTTGACCGGCTTTATTGGCTTGGGCTTCGCAATCGACTTCGTCGCCGACTGTGTCTTTGTGTTTGCGAAACATGCTTACGATGTCGGCGACCTGATCGAAGCAAAGTCCAAAAAGCTCGTTGTCCGTGACGTTCATCTCACGCACACGGACTTCGAGGAAACAGGAAGCGAAGGAGCCGATGCCATTGGCATGGTCGTGCAGATCAGTCATAAAGTCCTGGCGGCTGAGGTGATCATCAACTGGACCAGAAGCAATGACTTGAAGGTCGTTCAGAAGGCGCAGAAACAAGCAGGTTCATGTAATTTAAGCTTCGAACAACCACTGTGTGCGACGAGATGTGACTGGGGAAAGCATAGATGCAATACGTAAAGGTGCTGGCGTGGGTTTTTAGCATCGGGTTGACGAGATTGCACTTTTCTATAATGACGTGAGCATGAAGCTTTGTGGTCCAAGGGGGTTTTCGGCATGGTACGCTATGGGCATCAACCCGCTTGTAACAGGTCATAACCGCCCCAAGGCATTGCCCCATCGAGCAAGCCCAGGAATTCAATACGTGCCGTGTCTTTGTCTCGCTGCCAGGACGGATCAGATTTCACCCCGGGAATCCAAGCTGGACCCGCGGACTGACCAAGCTCTAAGGGAAAATCATGTTTGAGTCTTCATGACTGGTGGTTGACGCTTGTGTTAGGGGCCATGGACGAACTCCTCTCCGGCGCACTATGCCCGTTTAGTCATGCTTTCCACTTCAGGCACGTTGGTTCTCGATTCTCCACATTGAACAAGGCTGAGCCGTGCTAGGAGCATGTTCGCAACGGCATAGAATTCCTCCGCAAAATTACCTACTCTGCAAGCGGGTGAAATGGAACATCTTCCCAATCCAGGCAGCAACGTTCTGTTCGTGCCGACTGGGCCTAGATGGAGGGAGTCTCAGTCGTTGTCCGAGCGAAAATGTGCTCATGGCCCAGGAGAGCGGAGAATATCTCGATAGTCAACGAGGTAGGACGGGAAATTGACCTGCGTACCAATTGGCACTCGCACATCGGAAGCCCTGTGTCCGAATGTATGAATAGAATTAGAAACTTCAGTTGAAGGGATCGATGTATATAAAGAGTCCAGTAGCTCCCAAGTATATCTTCGTCAAACATTGGGAAATTCAATCCTCGACGAAAGAAAAGATTATCCGACAGTCTCAGTACAACAACAAAGCACACCACAGAAATATGTCTGGGGCATTTGATCTGGCCAGGCCCAACCGGCCAATTCGAGCTGGTGTCATTCTGATGGGCGCGTATGTTCTTTGCCAAACTTGGAGACGGCCGGCCTTTACTGAACATCATTGTAGCGAGACCGAAATTCTTGATGTAGCTCCGATCGACCTCCTGTATGGCATGTCCAAGCACTTTGTCAAGCCCTTCGAAGACGACATCCTGACTCCAGAACTCAAAGCCCAAGCTCTCGACTTTGAGTTCCATTGGGTCAACCAGTTCGGAAAGGCTTCCAGCCTGACCGGAGGACTGCCAATTCAACCCACTGTACGTTGAGGGCCCTCAGCTTTGCGCTCGTGATTCCGGTGAACTGATCGATTTGCACAGGACGATTTCAGCACCTGCCCACCATTGGACATTGTCATTATGGGCGCGCATCAGCAAGGGTACGTGCCCAACGAGGCAGAGCTCGACTTCGTCCGCAAGAGCTACGAGACCTGCTCAGCTTTCATAACCATCTGTGGAGGGTTTCAAGCCGCTTTTATGGCAGGATTGTTTCAAGGCAAGACCGTCACGGCACCGCGATTGATGCTGGACAACCTGCGTCAAATGGCTCCACAGACTGAATGGGTAGCGAAGCGTTGGCATCGGGATGGTAAGCTGTGGACCAGTGGAGCTTTGTTGAATGGCTTGGATCTGATTCGTGCCTTTGCGACTGAGTACTGGGGAGGCAAAGGTACGCTGGCGGAATTCTGGATTGGTATGGGGCACTTCCCGAAGAGGGATATCAACTATGGTGACGCTGAGAACAATTATCTCTGAGTGTGGGAGGACACGAATGTAGTATAGCTGAAATTGCCGGGTCGAAGGTCGGCGAGTGAAAGATGTTCTCCAGTTCCTGTAGGTCTCAGAGAAATATCTACAGTCTTGGAGGCTTCACCTGTTGAATCAGCTGCACATCAAATATTGCCATTGTGAAATGGCTGCGCACATTAGCACAACCGTCAGCCTTGACAAGATGTTACTACTCATTGACGACAAGCGGTCTGCCTGGGAGCACTTGGTGCCTCATCAGCTACCTAACTTAGGTAGTATTCACTTGACGAGACAGGAGTATGTTGGTTCGTCCCAGTCTTTGCTTAGCTTAGGTTGGTTGACAAAGGAAGAGACTCACCTACCTATGCTTTCCATCAATGAAGACTTGTCCTTCATTCAGTGAGTACCCGATTTTCTGGCTCTGACCGGTGCCCTGTTACTCGGGATCATCTTCAGATGCGCGCCGTACTCGTGCTCGGAATTTATAAAGTTCTTGGAGTTGTTCCAGCTGGGCCTCGTGCTTGTCAGGAACGGGGCCTGGTATGAGAGGAAAATGAACTACGAGGTCAATCATGAAGAAGATGTCTTTGGGCACCATCAGCCTTGGAGCTATTACCGACAACTTGACTTTAGGGGATAATGGGGGATTGGCCGCGCAATCCACACCTACGGTAAGCAAGGTACGGAGTACTCATTCGCTACACCGGGCACGACCAGGGTCCCTGATGGTCCCCTCACGTCCCTGGGTCCTCGCCAAGCTGAGGCTTGCGCAATGAGGACATGTGTCGCGAGCGAACACGCGCAGCAAACATTCCTACATGGGTTTGCGACGACATCATGCTTATACAGTAAATATCATTGTTTGTTTACTGTTTTAATGTATACTATACGCCTGACCCTCTCCTGAGCCCCTCTTCAACTGCAACGCACCACCTCGCTTCCTTCGGCTGGCCCGAATCACTTTCCGATGTCCTTCCAGATACCCCAAAATGTCCCTTCATTCACGAGCAGTCAACGAACAGAAGAAGACACATACTGGCGTCAGAAACACAGTAATGGCCACGTGGGAGGCGGAGCCGCTGCAATTGTCACATCAAAGATTAACGACATTTTTGGGGAACACAAGGATCTCCCGATGTACAAGGACAAACCACATTTCCCCTCTAGCCGGAGGAGGCGGGTGTTACCGCGAAAGAGACTACTTGCAATCGTCGTTCTGCCTGTCATGATCCTTTTGTGGTGGATGGGCTGGTTACCTTGGACTTCGGGGCGAGTGTACGATCCGGCCGAGCATCAACATTCCTTCTTCCACGAAGAAGACTGGTCAGAACAAAGGGATGCCGTGAGAGAGGTGTTCAGGACCTCCTGGGCAGGATATGAGAAATATGCTTGGGGCATGGATGAATACAATCCCTTGTCACGAAAAGGAAAGAACATGGTGCCGGGCGGGATGGGTTGGATCATCGTGGATTCTTTGGATACTGCCATGATGATGAATCTGACCTCCGAGGTTGCAAAAGCACGGGAATGGATATCTACATCACTGTCTTACACGGCCGACCATGATGTTAGTACCTTTGAGACCACGATCCGAATGCTCGGCGGCCTTCTATCAGCATATTACCTATCAACAACCTTTCCCAATCTGGCGCCACAACGCGATGATGATACCAATCAACCTGGGGAGGATCTGTACATTGAGAAGGCCACAGACCTGGCAGACAGGCTGCTGGGGGCCTACGAATCAAGTTCGGGCGTTCCATATGCCTCGGTCAACCTCAACACCTCGCAAGGTATCCTTTCGCACCTTGATGGCGGTGCTTCTTCCACGGCCGAGGCAGCGACGCTGCAGCTTGAAATGAAATATCTTGCCAAAATTACGGGCGAGCCTCACTATTGGCACAAAGCCGAGAAAGTGATGGAAGTCATCGACTCACACCGACGAGAAGATGGCCTGCTCCCCATCTTCATCTATCCAGCAACAGGTGAGTTCCGCGGCGACAACATACGTCTGGGATCCCGAGGAGATAGCTACTACGAATACTTGATCAAGCAATACCTGCAAACTGGCAAGGTCGAGACTGTCTATCGGGATATGTGGGACGAAGCACTGGAAGGGATCAAAAAGCACTTGATCACATATTCACAGCATGCGTCATTGACCATTCTCGCCGAGAGGCAAAATGGCCTCGACCAGCCATTGACCGCAAAGATGGATCATCTTGTATGCTTCATGCCTGGAACCATTGCACTCGCTGTGACCGAAGGCCAGACAGTCGAGCAAGCAAAGACCAGACTAGGCAGTCAATGGACGAGAAAGCACGATGAGAACCTGAAATTGGCGGAAGAGCTCATGAAGACCTGCTGGGGAATGTACAAGGTCACGCCGACCGGGCTCGCTGCAGAAATATCCTACTTCAAGACTGACAATCCACCGCGTCAATGGCAAGGACATCTAGATCCCAGCTGGTCCCCTCCTGAGTCCGATCCACTGTCAGATAATATGAGCGCTGCCTGGAGATCCGATTACGACATTCACTCCAATGATGTGTACAATCTTCAGCGACCAGAGACGGTCGAATCCCTCTTCTACATGTACCGGATCACCAAAGACCCCAAGTACCGACAATGGGGATGGGAGATGTTTGAAGCCTTCCGCGAGCATACAAAGGTTGTAGACGAAGTTTGGGGAACAGTGTATGCATACACATCGCTGGATACAGTCATGGAGAATCCGGTCAAAGACCGCAAACGGCGAGACAACATGGAAAGCTTCTGGTTGGCTGAAACTCTGAAGTATTTCTACTTGCTATTTTCCGACGATTCATTCTTCCCCTTGGACAGTGTTGTGTTTAACACCGAGGCTCATCCACTCCCGAAATTCGACATCAGCGGAAGCAAAGTGTTTGTGACTGGCTGGCAGAGGAACACTGGAGAGCCACCAAAGCCGAAGCCAGGAAGCGACGGCAGAGTGGTTCGCGTTGACGCGCCGCAAAAGGTTGATAAAGTCGCCGCAGTCGATGCCCAAAAGCCAGCAGTTGCTGTTCCCCATGAACACGAACACGACGATACCATGGAGCATGGACACATTGAAGAGAGCGGCAAGGATAAGTCGAATGATGAACACTCGCCGCTTGAGCATTACAAGGAGAATCTGGCGAAGATGGCTGATGGGGGGATAATAGCGAGAGAGGAGCCACAGGCACAGGGCCGCAATGTAGCAGCACGCGGCCATGGCTGATAGACCGGAACGTTGGACATATCAGGAGTCAAGGTCGTGTTTTGGCTGAGGATGGTTGGACATGATACCTTCATGAGCATTTGCAGTTGGTTTGCATACTTGGTTACATGGAATATGTGGTGCATCCACTGATACCAAAAAGAGGTTTGTTTTGGATAGAATCAACGGGTGCAACGGTGCCGTTTGTGATGTTCATGATAGTCCTGATGACTCTCTCATCGATTCTCTAATGTTAAATTCGAGCATCATGCTCGACAGGTTCCTGCATAATTCCCTGGTCATGACAGAAGAATTATCTCCAAATCCCACACAACAATTTTCTGGCGACCACGCTTTTTTTCTTCGATTGGACGCTCGGCAACCAGACCACGCGGTCGCTGATAACCGCCTCAAGCGCTGCAAGAGTGGTTGCCCGTCCGGCATTTCCTAGTGTGAAATGGGGACTGTGGTGCCTTAGTGTCTCTGACCCAACTTATGCACCCCAATAGACAACTGTTTCTCGAGATTCCTCTGCGTCTTCTTGCTCCACGTCGCTAGCCGACGCCAACGAAGCGGAAAGGAAGCCGACTTCGTAACACTGCAAATCTTGGTCGTTCTGTACACAGACAGTCAACGTTCCCTCGAAGCGGCTGCGCTGGTCGCGTGTGGTAGATCCCGTGAGCATTGCAGCCTTTGTGCAGTCGGCAATTGAGGGCATGCTCGCGTATGAATCGTGTCATTCAAGTCGTGCATTCGTCACATCATTCCAAGCCAAATGGCCTGGTTGCTCAAAACTTCGGTCCTCTCCTCCGCCCGGTGTACTTGGAATCATCCTTGACAATCTTTCCTTTATTCCTCAACTTCTCCTTCTTCTTGAGCACCCACTGCTTGCTACCCTTGACGTTTGCTTTCTTCCCTCGGTGCATCGCCTCCCTCATCTTCCTCCCATCTTCGATGTCAACATTCTCCATCCTGGACACCGTCCCAGTGATATCTCCGCCGCCCACGCTGAGCACCAAGTACGTCTTGACATTCTTCGTACCGCCATCATCCTCGAGAATACCGGCGCCGAACCCTGCGCGTACAGCAGCCTGACTGATCATCGTCCGCTGCTGTTCATTTTTCGGGTAGAACTGGCACACAGCCCTGCCACCTCTTCGTAAAGACGCGTACAGTCCGTCAAAGAACCGCCGTAACCTGCCCTCAGGGCTGACCCCGCTTGTCTCAGCGTTACACAGCCACTGCACTGCACTGATGCTGATGACAGCGTCAAAAGTGCCTGCGCGGAACGGTATGCCTTGACCCATGTCTGCTAGGAATAAGTCTCCCTCGACGCTCTCACGCTGTAGTGCGATGTCCAGCATGCTCGGCGAAATGTCCATACCCACCCAGATGTGTCCATCTTCTGAAAGTATCTCGCCAGACAGACCAGACCCGCAGCCGATGTCGAGAATGAAGGAAGGCTGATCGAGGTCAAGGAGTTCGAGAGCGCGATTGGTCATGGACGCCTGGATGGCTTGGATGCGAGAGGAGGTGGTGTATTTAGCGGACTCGGTGTCATTATAGTACAGGTCCGGAGGGAGGAGGTCTTCTGGTCGTGACATGGCGGCGGATGTAAGGCGTCTGTGAGTGAAAGTGCCCTGGATAAAAGCAAGCGACAGGGTAGTCAATCCATCTTGCGTTAAGAGTGTGTGAGCACGAGCAGGACGGCACTCAACGGTGCAAAATAAATTTCTATGGAGAGAACCGCAGTTTAGCCGACAGCCTCGTGCCATGCCCACAGGCGCGAGGCTGAAGCTGCGGCTGCAACGTCATTTATCGCTTGGGCCCATCAGCCCTGTCAACCATTTTCAACGTCTTCATATCAGTGCCCTTTCCTCGACGATGTACAACAAGACATCCAGCAGCATACTAAGTACCCTGCGGTGAGGCCGCATGAACGACCCCGGCGGCCAGCAGGACCATCTGAACGGTCATAGCGGATTCATTCTAGCCGTGTTTTGCGTCGTGTCCATCTTTGTCATCTGGCCCGCTCGAATCCCGTTACCGAACCATGTCCAGCGACTCTTGCTGCTGCTCCTCAGGCGAGGGCGTATCATATCCGATGATGATTGCAGAAGGCTGTCCGCACGACGCCTATACTTCTCCTTGTCGCTTAAGACGGCGCCTGTCATTGGCGTGATCTTACTTCTAGCGACCACCACTATCCATGGCAGCACGATCAAATTGGGGATCAAGGGCGATGAGAGCATCAAGCCATACGATGTTCTGGTTCTTTTCATTTCTCTGGTATGCTGGAATAAGAATTCTCGGCGAGCGAAACAGGAAGTAACAGTGAACAGGCATATATCTCGATTGCGCTCGACGGAACCGGTGCTCTCGAGGCCGTCGCTCTGTGGGTCTCAAAGAGAGGCGGGAGTTCCGGCCGGTTACTGTTCGCCTATCTATACTCCTTCTTTCTCTTGACCGCATGCATTGTTGGCAACGACCCTCTCATTCTTTCGGGAACTCCTGTTCGTCCCTCCTAAACCGCGTTCCCACCCTAGCAAAAACAAAAGCAAATACTGATCCGGTGGCAGTTTCTCGCATACTTGACTCACCATGCCAAGCTCGAGCCCGAGGCATGGATCTTCAGCGAATTCATGGCAGCAAATACCGCTTCAGCGGTCCTGGTGTCCTCAAACCCAACAAACATCCTGATCGCTGGCAGCTTCTCGTTGAATTACCTGACAGACTTTACGAAATGGACCATCCTACCCTCCATCGTTCCCGCCATCCTCACCTATCCGATCTTGACAGGCATGTTTTGGAAGAAGATCCCGAAGACCCTGACTCCGCTCGAGATTGATCCTTGGTCAAAACTCCGTGATCGGACTGGAGCCATTGTCCTGAGCTCCCTCATGCTCGTCACCGTTGCCGTCCTGGTCGGCACGAGCTTCGTACCGGGCCACGCAGTCGAGGTGTGGATGGTCACCATGCCAGCGGGAGTGTTGGCTTTTCTATTCGAGGTGACCAGTGATTTGTGGAGACCTAGAAAGCAAAGAGGCGCTGTCCACCAACAAGCGACTGACCCGTCCGCCGAGGACCACGCTGTCGACAGAACTAGTGCCGCAAAGGCGCAGGACCAACTGCCGCTCGGCGAGCTTATCAAGTCCCCCAAAGAAGAACCTGAACCAGACCCAGAATCTCCGCCATCGCGTGGACCCGACTGCAAATATTCCCCGTCGAAGGGCATATCTTGTACATCCCTCATGCGCACCCTGGCCCGCCGCTTCCCAGGCACGACTCGGACACTCGTCCGTCTCCCGATCCCCCTTCTACCCTTCGCCATGTGCGAGTTCATCTTAGTCCGCGGCCTCGAACAACGAGGCTGGATCGCAGTCTTTGCACGAGGATTCGCAAACGCATGCACCACGCCCGCCAGGACGGTCTTCTTCATGGGCTTTGTGAGCGCCGCCTTCCTCTGCCCACTCGCGGGCACGAACATTGGCGCCACCATCATCTTGGTTGAGATCATGCGAGATCCGGCATTCTCACAATCCCCTGCTGCGCTGGCCGATCCCCGCATCCTGCTCGGTGCCATCTATTCGGTCGCCATGGGCAGTAATATAGGTGCATTCAGCTACACCTTCGCAGGCAGTCTCGCAGGTCTGTTGTGGCGAGGATTACTCGCAGACAAAGGCATCACAGTCAGCCAACTCAAGTTTGCGCTGGTCAATGCTCTGCCATTATTGATGCAAATTACCACCGCGTCGGCGATAGTGCTTGGGGAATTATACTGGTTTGCATAAGAAGACTGATGGCTACGTTCACCTAATGCACCCTTCGCTGTTTCAGAATAGGAGCCAAAGCGGTGACGGACCTATTCGACCTCTGCGCGTCGAGAGGCGCCGCGATTCAAAGAGTCAGGCACAAGTATATTCCAAATCAAGGCTATCTTCCCAATCCACCGTCTTCGTGTTTGTGATGGAAATGTTCCGCAGTCTCATGTTTCAATCACTATTTCGCAAAGCTAAACAAATTCGTGTACTCGGATGAGCCCAGGCATGCCTCAAGTTGATGGCTTTCCAGCTCTCTTAACAGCGAACAATGGCCGAATTTTGGAGCCATAGCCCTTGCTGTTAACCAGCTATTCGGCGGTCTTGCCATTGTCATCTCTAGCGTCAATGTCTATGTCGGGACGACCGAGCAGCAGCTTCGTCTCCTCGACTCGGCCTTCTGATGCCGCCCACATCAATGCTGTTCGTTTCTGAGAGTCTTTCAAGTTCACCTGAAGTCTTTCATCGTCGAGCAGCCGTCTCACAAATTCTCCATGACCGTTGCGTGCTGACCAAGATAAGGCCGTCCAACCATAGGTATCGCCCGAATTTGGATCAATGTCATCATGCTTGAGCAGGATGTCGAGCTGCGCAACCTGCCCTATTTGGGCGGCTTGAGTCAGGAGCAGTGTACTCACTTTGGCCCAATATTCAATATCTCAATCTATTATATTTACGCGTCAATACTCTTTTATAGTGTATTTATATAACCCTCTTACCTAGCTATAGATAAGAGAGGGTAGACTTCTTAACCTGTTTAATTCTGATAGTGCTGTTATGTTGCCATTACGGCACGCAGTTGTACTTTCTATCTCCGCACCCACCGCATGACACTGTGAGCCTTGAGGGAGCCCTTCATTGTATAGTGCGACAGATAGACCTCTTCAGGCTGCTTGCCCCTTTCGCAACTTGACAGCACCTTTCAAGAGGGTAATGTCAAGTTGCACAGTGTTTTCGTTACCATACATTCTTCTGACTTTTGGAGTTTCGTCAGGGTTTATGTGCGCAGCAAGGCTCAGTTCGGTCACCGACAATGGGCGGTAGGCCAATTCTACCCACTCGATGAAGCACACGTGCTCAGCTTCGACACCATTTACCAGACTTGTGAACATGGTGTCCATTTTTGGAAGAGGGAGATCCCATAGGCGTTCTTCGTCGCGAATTGTTGTATTGTCGAAAGCTTCTAACATGCACGAACGCCACCTGAAATTCCCATCAGCCTTTGCTATCAAGCCCTCTTTCAGCGACTCCTGTAGACCTGTCGGATAGTTTGGCAATCTTCGTATCCCATCAACGATGGACTTCTCGATGTCACTTTCATTCTTCGTAGTACCTTCTGAGTCATTGAAGTCCAGAACTCTGTAGCCTCTGATGCACGAGAGCCTTGACTTGATTCCTGGGCGGCTTGTGAAGAAGAGCCTCCATCTCATCTGGTTGCGATCGGCTCTTGAAGCACCAAGATTAGTGGACATGTGCTCCGAGATCTTGTCAAGTAAACGCTTCCTTTCATCTTCATCGCACTCATCCAATGCATCAAAAACACAATTTCCAGTTACCAAACCGGGGTCCCGACATTATATTCCGAAAGATGACCCATAGTTCGCCAAAGGAGTTGCTCAAGTTTTGACCAAGGCTTCTGTATGACTTCTCGACGTGCATTTTCCAGATCCTGTCTACCTTTCTCACACATTGATGGATCAGACAACCAAGGATAGGCGCCGCAGTGGATGGATTTTCTCTGGGACCACAAAAGTAATAGATGGTGACCTCTTCTGCACTGCCACAGGTATCAAGATGTTCGATCAGGAACTTTGCTAGGACAGTTTTCCCCACGCCCGGACAACCAACAACGATGAGCACGGTGGACGACTTGTTTTCATACCAGTTTTTGAATTCCGGTGTGTTCAGAACCAACCCACAAGTCCCGTCAAGCGGGACACCATTTGCGAGGTCACTCTTGTAGTCCTCCGTATGTAAGGTTTGCAGCCCAGCGTTGTCTCCGTCGGTGTCTGTATCCATGTCATAGTCAGCTTCCATTGAGCGTATGCCAGATTCAGTGGACTCACGGTTAACTGGTCTAGTAACATGAAAGGTACTGTTGTTGTAGGTATTCTGGCCGCCGTACGAGCTCATTCCCGAGTTCGACCAGCGATGATCGATATGCGAAGAGTCCATGGTCATCATAAGCAGAGGTCCACACACCCTCTGAGATTAGTTGCGAGTGTCCGCGCACTATCTTCTCTGCTTGCTGGTGACAATTGTCTGCCATCTTCATCTTCTGTGGCGGCGGTAAGGCTGTTTAACATCTGTGCACTGCGGTGTGCCAGCGCTAACAGAGAGCGGGCAGAAGCAGGACGGCTGTCCTTTGGGGTGACTCGCATCGATTGGATGCATTGTGCATGGTTCAGGGTGACTTTACGGCCTTGCTGGCACGCGAGGCTAAATATGCAAGTGCTATCAGCGCACTGTCTGTGAAAGGCTTGATTTGTCCAGTACGGAGCGCCATTCGAATGATTCTTACCATGGCAAGAGGAGGGCAGTTAGGCTGTCAGTGATGAGGGTGTGCGGGAATTGGACAGGGGCGATCCTCACATGTCTGATATACCCTGGTCGCCCTTCAGCACCTTCTCCGAATTGCCGGAGACACATCAAGGATCTCTTCGGGCAACAAGGCAACGTCTTCGAGTACAGTAATTGATCCTCCGGTCCAATGGGTCCCACACAATTAAGAATTGTTAGAACCAACAAGGCGTTTTCGAACCAATTCCTGTGCCTGCATGTCGTAAAATTCATGCACCATGTACCAGAAACATCGTGGCCGATACTGGGCTATGCTATGCTTCACTCAAAAGCATTCGGCCTTGAAGACCGCCTCGGGCCGCTGCTAGTCCCTGGATCAGAGGATACAAAAGTTCCGGCTCAAGGCAGCACACAGAGAGCAGTACTTTTTGCTTCGTCAACTTGGAGACTTTTTCGGGCATTGCAGCCGCCATTCTTTGGCACCAAGTGCATTGGAATCTCCCTACTATGTCAGCTAATAGAGCAATGGCAAACTCCACCAAGGCTCTTGCTGAGACATGTAAAAGGGCATCGGGAGTCGTGGTAGTACAGAGTGACGCCCCAAAGGCACCAGCGCATGGCAAGAAGCCAGACCCTATGGCTGCACAAGCTCACCAACTGATTCTGTAAAGGTACCACCACAATATGTGACAGTCGTCCCTTGATGAGATGCAGTCCACATATGCAGAGGAAACGTACCTAGATATCTATGGTTGGGGACATCTCTGTCGGTTAAAGCGGCGTGACGAACCACAACTCAAGGACTAGCTCGCAACCATTCTGGCGACGTCACAGGTGGCTTTTCCCATTCTTCTGCCCTTCACTCTAATCTCATTGGAAAGTGACAGCTGGTCTTTCCTCTTGTCTACGAAACATGTCACTCACGGTCACTCTACTCATGCAGTGAAAGCATGGTTCTCAGTCCTTTGAAGTGATTCAATATTGGCACAAACTCCTCAACGACCCGTGGACAAAGGATGTACATCCTACCTCTCCTTGGGTACATCGGCCTGGTGATGGGGTTTGGGTTTCTCACCCTCTCCATTGCCTCTGGTCTGTACTACCTCTCCGAGCTTGTCGAAGAGCATTCAGTCCTCAGTGCCAAGTTACTCAGACGCCTCATCTATGCGGTCGTGGTTGCACAGCTTCTTCTATCGTTGGTCGACGGATTCCCTTGGTACCTCACTCTCCTTGGAGTAGCCAGTCATGGTGTCTACGCAACGAACTTGCGGCACTTCCCCATTGTCAAACTATCCGATCCTTTCTTTATCGCCAGCTGCGCATTGGTGATACTCAACCACTGGCTGTGGTTCAGACACTTCAGTCAACCCACAGGCTACAGGGGCGTTCCGAGCAGTAGAAGGGATTGGTATTCGACACCGGTATACGACCAACCCACCTTCACGGAAATCGCATCATATTTCGGTCTCTGCGTATGGCTAGTACCATTCGCGCTCTTTGTCAGTTTGAGCGCAGGCGAAAATGTCTTGCCCAGCATGGGTTCTGAATACGCAACAGGCGAAAGACAAGGTGTGGGCTTTCAAAAGGGACACAAGAGAAGAAACACAGGAATGGCGAAAGCTGCTGTGAATGGTGCAAGAGATTGGATGAACGAGACTGGTGCAGTTATGGGTCTTTGGCGGGCCGACAACGTGCGACCTTTGAGAGGTTTCGATTAAGACAGCAGATGTTATGAGCGTACAACGCAGGGTGGTTGACGACCGTTATGAAAAGAATGTATGAGTATCCTTCAGGACACCATCAGCGCTGTCGAATGGATTACAGAACAAACCCAGACGTACCCAGTGCTGCTCCGAGCCGAGCCGAGGAAAAGGACAAGATTGAAACACAACATCATTGTCAACAACAATGCACCCGAGCTCCTTGGATGGCGGATCTCGAACAGGAACAGGAAAAATTGAAGGGTATAAACGCTAGTCGCACGCTACTATTGAAAAGCAAATCTCGGAGATGACCATCGGCCAGGAGGTTCAGATGGACTTCCTGTCGTTGGATTAATGCTTTACTCTGTGGCCACACTTCAACGCCGGTCTTTCCAAGTCACTTCCCTATTCCGAGCTTCAAAGCTATCGTATGCTCGCAACAAGCGGATCCATCAGCATCACTCCTTTCCCCGCCGCGACGAACTGACCTAAGACGGTCGGCGACCCAAAGTGCCCGTGCATAATGGTTCTTCTGCAGCCGTCTGTTCCCGCCCTTCAACGTTGGGCCAAAATCTCGTCTCCACATCAAGGATGTGCATCCAAACGGCTTTATACACGTCCAACCTCCGGACGATCGCGTCTTCTCGCTCGGCCAGTAAATCTGTGACCTCGGCAATGTCTTTAACAAACTTCTCAAAGTCGGGGCTCGTCCAGTTTGGAATGAATGCATCACGCAAGGCACCACCATCAGCATCTGCCTCCGGTTTGATCGCTCCCGGCGCGGTCATGAATGATGATGCATATGTCCATGCACTCAGATAGCACGTCTCGGTGGCCCAGAGTACGACAAGCCCTTCTAGCAGACTCATACTGGGATCGGTCCAGAATGCTCGAAACAGGTCAAGATATTGTTTCGTGGCAGCTTCGGCAGTAAATACTCCATCCGATCTGCTAGGTGCGTCGAGTTGGAGGTCATATTTCGCAGCGGTGTCTGTGAAGAATTGCAGCTCTCGATGGATGTTCTCAAGCGCTGAAGAGAGCAGTTTGACGATGCGCCAGCGCAGTGAGGATGATTTGTCAGTAACATTGACATACGGCAAGTCGACTCGAGCAATCAGAGCGCCAATGAAGCCGATGTAAGACTGGGCGTAAAGACGATCTTGCGAGAGCCAGCGTGATAGTGTTGTCTTTGGAAGCGTTCCGAGTCCAGCGAGACGCAGGAAAGGGTGTTGCGTTGCCACATGGTAGGATTGAGGGGCCGAGTTCAGCAGGATCTTTGTCAAGGAAGGAGGTTGGTCGAGTTGGGATGGCTGAAGAGCCGCAGGAGGTGAGGAGAGATTGTGTACCGGCTCACTGGGTTTGTACTTGTGGCCAGGCGCTGGAGGAAAGGTGTAGTTGGTAGGACTTGGAAGTTCGTGGGGTGGCTCGGGTGGCATATCCATGGCTGTTGGTTTGACAAAGGTGCAAGAAAGCTGGGAGCCACAGAGGCCAATATTACCTGGTATTGCTGTTATATAAGGTACTTCTGGTCTCGTAGCTGGCTAATTCGACCAGCTCCCCGAACGAATAATTGACGAAGCCAGACACAATCGAGCTCTCGTATACTGGGTCAGGCCATCCACGTGAAATAGCTACGCCTGAGGCCAACACCAGATTTGTCCCCGAGGCTGCTGATGTCTTCAATTGCGCGATGTATTGAGGGTGGCCTTCGTTTCTTCCGGTTGTCTCCTCACATACTCTGTTCACAGTTTCAGAATCTGGGTAGCTCGGGCAAACCGCTCGGATCAGAGTATTGAGGTACTGCCGTACCAATTCAATGGAATTCAATTCAAGAGGGATGCAGTCAAGATCCAGCCAATAGAAGGTCCCAAATATTCCTGAACCACTCTGGCCGTTGAGTAGCGTTGGGTCCGGACTTCCTACTGAGTAGAGTACGAGTATTGCTGGGGGCTGAATTGGATCTGACGGATTTTGGGGGCCGTTTCCCCCTCTACCGGCCTGGTACTCGTCGTCTCTGACAATTGGAAAGAGATAAGTTGAGTTGGTTGTCTACCTACGGAGTACCTCCGTAATTTGTCAACCAATCCAAGGAGAAACGTCACGACTGTCAATGACGTCCGAGCGCTGAGTCTATCACAGGAATAGGAGTACAGCGAAACATATATCACAAGAAGTCCAGGTTACGAAAATCGAATCGAATTGAATTCAGAGAAACAGCCATTTATAAATCGACAATTAGGCCAGTTCTGCGAAGAATTTGCAGGAAGACAGGCCGCCCATTACAACCAAACTCTTATCAACACCTTTTACGTACGTCTCTCCCCCTCTCGTATATCATGATGTTCTTTCCAACATTCCTCATGTCGTGGATCTTCTTTGGTCGCCTAGCTGACCACGAATAGCAATTGATAGCGCCTTACATTGGGAAACTCACTTGACGTGACCTGACCATATCTGATCATCGTCCAGAGCCAGCCTAATCACCTCAAAAACTCACCTTCACGCACGCCTTGTTCACCACCATGCCCCGCATCTTCCTGATCACGGGCACATCCACCGGCTTCGGCAAGGAGTACGCGCAAGAAGTCCTGAACCGGGGCGACTGCGTAGTCGCCACGGCGCGCGACCCGTCCAAACTCTCCTTCAAAGGCACCACACCGGACAACTACCTGGCGCTCCGGCTCGACGTGACGGACAAATCCAGCATCAAAGCGGCCTTTGACGCCACGCTCGACAAGTTCGGCCGCGTCGACGTTGTTGTGAACAATGCCGGCTACGGACTCGCCGGGTGCTTTGAAGAGTACACCGACGAGCAGATCCGGCAGCAGATGGAGATCAATTTCTTCGGGCTGCTCGACGTCACGCGTGAGGCGATGCAGGTGATGCGCGACCGCCAGCAGCCGCAGGGTGGGTTGATCCAGCAGGTTACCAGCATCGGAGGGCAGAGAGGCGTGCCCCTGTTCAGTGCCTATTGCGCGAGTAAATGGGCCGTCGAGGGCTTCACGGAAGCCGTCAGTCTGGAGGTCAAGCCGGAATGGGGCATCAAGTTTACCTGCGTCGAGCCTGGTGGGTTCAGGTATGTACTTCTACTTCCCTCCCCTGCTATCTCGCTTCTTGTGGTCCTGGTCTACGCAAGGCTTCTTTATCCCTCCTCAATGAAGTCACGCCGGGCGAAATACTACGCCTGCCTGCGATAGGTGGTGTCGGCGAATCCATGGTTTTGCCATATGCCATGTGCAGGCGTCGATGCGTCGCAGAGCCGGAGGGAAGAACAGTCTCGTGGTCAAGTCCACTCTCCATGACTGCTTCCCCTGTCACTGTCATTACCCCTTCTCACGACACCCGAAGCAAGCATAGACATGATTGACCAAAAACTAACAACCCTTCAGAACAGACTGGGCAGGCCGAAGCATGCAGTTCGCCGAACGTCACCCGGCCTATGACCGTAAGTCCATTCCTTCCTCCTCCCTTCCCTCCCTCGATGCTATACCACGTTCTCTCCACGCCTTTCGACATTCTGTCACGGAGATGCCCTTTTGTCTGGCCACTTTGGACCTCACAGGCCACTGGACCACTTCACATTGCGCTTCACAGTGTCTGCTCACCCACCCTCGTCCATTCCCCGATCCTCCCAGTTTTACCTCTTCCTCTTCCCCCTTCCCCTTGGATCTCTGCTCCTGCCCTTCCCTTCCCTTCCCGACCATCCAGGCTAACCACCCCTGCGCACCAGACATGGACGCCCAAGAACGCATGTCCGCCCGCCACGGCAACCAAGCCGGCGACCCCGTCAAAGGAGCAAAGGCCATGTACGAACTGGCCATCATGAAAGACCCTCCGCTACGCTGCGTCATCGGCACCGACGCCGTGAGTATTCATCCATTCCTCCCCATCCCTTTCCAATTTCCTCCTCCAGTCCGAAAGACACGTGCCGTTTCCAATACACTCACAACCCTTCTAACCCCCTACCTCATTAACATACATATAGTACGCCGCGATAATGAACAAGATCGAAAAATACGAGCAGAACTACAAGAAATTCGAAACACTAAGCAACTCGACCGATGTCGACGGCTTTGTGAACAAAGCATAATCTCCTAGTTGCTCCGACCGCACTCCCACCACTTGGACTGTGGTCAGGGCCCGTGCCGCATCGCTATATAACTCGCCACCCTTTCCGGCCCGAGGAAGGGCAGATGGAGCCCAGCGGAGTGGAGGGATCGGGATCAGGAAGCAATGCTCGAGGAAAAGTAGAAGTGGTAAGAGAGAGCTCTCGTGGCCTGCATCCTAGTGAGCACAAAGAAGCAGGCGAGGAGTACAGTTTCCCAAACCTACGACGCCAGCGAGGAGGGAGGGCAGTTAGACTTACTGTTAGGACGGGGGGGGACCATGACGAGGATGACACAAGCCACATGACGTCCCGTCTAGAGAGCTACGATTTCTGGTGGGCATATACAAGCCGAAAATATCCTTCCTCTACAGTGACGCCTGCCTGACACGGGTATTCAAGGACAATCCAATCGGTTGAATCTCCTGCTCATCTTTTGCTTTTCTATGAATACAACCTCGTAAGTTCATAACAACGTGCTCCATGTTTCGCTACTCGCTGTGCAGAGTAGCTGACCAAAAATCCTTCATGGTGTGAAAATGCTTTGGATTAAAAACTCATGTATTCTTTCGTTTCACTCTCCTCTCCGAGTTAGCCGATCATAAACTCGGCCCTTTTCGCGCTCTTTTAATCATATTGTACATATACACATGTGAAGAATGTTAGTGTAACATCGTTCTCGCCAAGCCCAAACCCATTCGCATTCAAATCAATCAACATCTCTCCGGCCTGTCCTGCTTACACAGCGCTCGCGCCTTCACATTCGCATCTCATCCAGTGAGATCATACCGCAGTCGTACCCTTCTCAACCAAACGCCGATTCAGCGGTGCTAGATACCACTCTCGAACGGAGTCTGCCCGTATTGGTAGAGAGCAGGGAAAAACGAGAAATGCAATTCATGGGGTATCTATAACGTGGCTGGAAATCAATCATTGTTCCTGTCAACGCTTTTTGGCCTTTTTGGGGGCCCGCATATCTCGTCCCATCGAGACACGGAGGTTATTCTTCGTATTCAGTTTGCAATTCGTGTGCAGTCCGATTCTCGTTGTTGCTGAAATGTCTTGTACTCTTCATATTCGTTGTTGCTGTTGTGCCGATTGGGTGGCGACGGCAAGTTGATGTTTGAGCGAGTCGATCTCCTGCTGCATCCCATTCATTCGTGTTTCGAGACTGTTGACATAGGCCCAGATTCTATCTTTGTCGGCAAACATGTTGGAGGTCTCACCACTACCATGGCCCGAATGACCATGAGTCGAAGACAGGCTGTTGCTATGAGAGGACAACGGTCCGCTCCCACTCATATGTGTAGGAGGGCCAGAAGGTTGGGTCGGCGGATGGGCCGGACCACCTTGACTCGGCAAGGTATATCTTGCATCTGGCGGATTTAATACATTTGGAGGCGGTAATTGAGGTGGTCCAGATGGCACACTCAAGGATGATCCTGTACCACTTGCCCGACTGTACGAGCCCTGTTGGTAATGTGTCATGCTTGGAGACCGGTTGCGATGGAGGCTGCCTTCGGCTGACCCCGTCACCGAACCTCGGTGTACTTGTCCGGGTGAAAGGGGTTTTGGACTTTCGGTCATGGGGTTCTGCGCATAGACCGCATTCGGTATGGAGGGCCGCGAGCCAACCGATGAGCCCGAAACTTGTGGAAACGGTGGCGGTGCCCCTGGAGGGACAACAACGTTACCGGATCCCGAAGCGGATGGATTGAACCCGCTCCGAGGTGGAAACGCAGTGCTTGCTATACCTCCTGGGGGCCGACCTTGGATAGGAGGGTATGTACTCGGAAATCGGGAAGCGTGATCAGGGTCTTCCAGATTGTCGTCTCCTGAAGGAGCTTGACGACGAATTCGAGGGGTTTTGTCATTTCCCGGCTCATCGTCCATGGTCTCGGGTTCACCATACACGACTCCCTCCATGGACTCATCACCTTCGCCGTCATCGTCGCCTCCGTAGCTACCCATACTGGCTCTGCGACCTGCGCAGCCACCGGGGCCTTTGTTGTGGCGTGCCAACGCATCGCCCCGAGCGAACTTCCGGCCGCATTTGGGACAAATATGGGGTCGCTCACCGGTATGCAACTTGGTGTGCCTCTTGAGATCATGCAGCCGTCGGAACCTCGACTGACAGGTGGAGCATACGTATGGCTTTTCTTGACTATGTGTTAACAGATGGCTCTTTAGATTGTGGTGACGGGTAAACTCGGTGGCACAGTAGGGGCATCTGTGTTTTTTGCTGGAGGGAGATCTTGTACCTGCTCGTGAAGTGGATTGAGGCAAGCTCATTCCTCGTCTAGCGCCTTCACTGGGCGGCAGTTGCAAGCCAGGGGCTGGATAAGATGAACCCTTGAATCCCTCACCAGGCGAGACAGTGCCCACTTCGGTGGCATTTCCGACTTGGCCAAGTGTTTGCTCAATCGGTAATGGGCTTCCCACAGTCGTGGTCATGCCCGAGACACCCGCCACACTTTCGAGAGTTCCAATGCTGGACAGGCTGGTAGGGCTAGTTTGCTCTGCATGATTATCGCCAGTAGCAGAGGCTTCAGAAGTCGCAGAAGCATGCTGGATGTTCTCAGCTACCTGAACTAAAGGTTCGCTGATAGTGGTTGCTGGATCTGGAGCATTGTCTGAGCTGGACTTGGGAGCCTTGCTCGTAATATTCGAGTTTGCGCCCATCAGAGCACTCAATGCTTGTTGCGAAGGATTGGGACTTGTCCCAGTACTCGGTGGTGAGACGGATCTCGAGGGCCGGCGGTATCCTTCAGCGATGGCAGCAGCAGCAGTCAACTGGGGCCCTTCGAGCTTCCGTCTTTTTCCAGGCCTCCCAGAGTCTTCAAAGTCGCTGGCAGAACTGACCTTGAGCTTTGTTTGGAATTGCACAGGACTTGAGGGTTTAATGAAAGTGGGAGACCCCGGCGTTGAGCCCTCCTGGGATATTTGTGGATCAATATTGGACTCAGCCATAAACAGATATCTTCTTCAAGCAATCAACCTGGCCTGTACCACCATGTTGTCAGCGAGAACAGTATACAAAGAGGAAGCTTGCACATGAGGCTCAGGTGGACAAACACGTCCCAAATTCAAACAGATGAAGGGGGGAAGGGGGGCCTTTGGGGTGGTAGCGACAGATGTGTTCTTTCAGTGCGCTGCAATTCGCGTACCTTGTGCGGACATGTGGTCAGGTATGAAGTTGTCAAGAGTAGTTAGATTTGGCGGGTTCTCCAGCCTCAGTCGACGCGCAAGTTGAATCCTGCGTGTTTCGGATTCACTCAGAAGCCGGGATCGATAGCGCCGGTATAGATCCTATCTCTTAAAGACAAAGTGGGCGACGCTGCGCAGCATGGTATGTAACGGCGCCAATGCGTTGAGGGAGGGAGACTGCAAGCCAAGGATCGTAAGGGTTCGGTTTGCTCTTTGTGCGGTCGCCTAGGAACTTCGATTGAAGCGTAGCAGGTAGGTAAATCGCTTCGCTGAGTGGTAGACGACGAAGAGACGAATATTAAGACCGACGCCGGTTTGCGATGAAGAAATATGTGGGCTGAAAATAGTCGACAGTCGTGACTAGTGGTGGACGGTGCAGGCAGGTAGCGAATGCGGCTGTGACAAGTTCTCGGTATGCGGCGCTTGAGGGGCAATTGCTTGATGATTACTGTTGCAGCACAGTTTATCGTGCGCGCAGTGAGGAAGCAAGGAACGCTTGAGACGACAAGTCGTGGCGGTTGAGGAGGAGGGAAAACAGCCAGCTGCCAGCCAACAAATAGTTGGGGTTGGTGAAGCGAGGTTCGAGTCGAGTTGAGTGGAAAGGAAGGAATAGACGGAGAGGCCAGGCGAGGTGCAAGTTCGGGTTGAAATGACGCCGATTTGTTGAAGAAAGCTTGACGATGAGCAACGCGGGTTTGGCTGGTGGCGCTGGATCGCAGTCGACAACAACCCAAGGATAGCTTGTGAATGCCTGTGTTCAAGCTCGAGCAACTGAAGCAGTGACTCTGTGAGGTAGGAGAGGTGTTGACAGAAAAGTAGTAGAAAAGTAGTCGGCCAGATCAAACCCGCCGATGGGTGACGATGCCCGTCGAGTATGAAAGGCGAAGATAGTTGGGCCCAGGGTGTATCAATTGGACCAGGACCAGGGGCCGTGGAGTGGGTATGATGGTGTTGGTGGAGCCTCCTGTTGTCAACGAAAACTGAGGCTGTCGAGATTCAAGACGACGAAGAGGCTTGAGAGTGGATTGGGGCGCATGAGTTGAACCACCAAAGGCGCAGGCGAAAAAGATCTGATGCGATCCTTCCTGGGGGTTGCCAGGGGTGGCACTGGTTGCTCGCAACACTGAAGAGCCGAGAATACAAGAGTGGCGTCAGAAGGATTTTGAGCCACCTGCAGCCACTATAGCCAATATGCGGAGGACCCGGTACGGACTTGGGCAGGGGTACGAGGATCGATCCAGGGTGACGGACCGGTCGTTGGTTGTTAGGTTCGACACAGTAGAATAATGACAATGACAAAAGGCCTTGACTTGATCAGATCGCCTGCGTCGACGATGATGTTTGATGTTGCTCGTGAAAGAGGAAAAGGGAGAGGCACCTAAGAGGAGAAAAAGAACCATTCAGGTATTGCGTGGCAGTGCAAAAATCCAGCAAGCCAAAAACGGCCGATCGTTCGGTGACTGACGCTCGTAATACTGTCGAGCGGCTTCCCGCCAATCACACCTCTTTCGCATCGGCCCAGCGCCCGCTGCAGGTGCAGTTGCCCTCTATTTCAAATGACAGACGCCCAAACAACCACCACACGGGACTCCACAACCCAAGAGCTGCAATGGATAGAGGCGTTTCGTGCTGCGCCGTTCCTCGTGCTTAATTCACGCCTTCAAGGGACCTCTTTGCCCTGCGTGCTGATGACATGTATGCACGTCTGATCGCCAAATTGCCCCTTCACACCGACTACCCCTCGTTGTCTTTCTCAGTTCCCTTATTACTCCGGATGGTGCTCGTAACTGTTGATCTCCGGTCCCTCGAGATGTCATCGGTGGCTGGTAACGAGCCACTAGCGCCACCAGCTTCCGGCTTGTTAGGCGCCAATCATCATCTCCTCTGGTCCCTTCGCGCCAGCCTGATTACAGACGTCACATCGGCCTTTGGTTGTTATTGGGTTTAGCTGCCTGTCTTGAAGTCTTCACTCTCCACGACTCTCTTTGCTAGGCCCAACGCCTCGCCCAAATTCGTCAACAACACTTCTCTTTTCGGTCGGCCATACTCCGTATGCCGGATCTTGTTGAGTTTACTGTTTGCCGGTGGCGTCGACTGTTCATAAGGCTCGGCCTGCGCCAAACACAGAAGTACCGAGGTCATTTCACAGACATTACTTGCACATAATCGCCCCCTGGTCGCTTGTGGCTGACGTCTCCCTCTCCAATGGCCTCCCCTTGTTTTTCACTGCCAATCCACCTGTCTCACGAATATCCCGATCTCTCATCTATTTCTGTGATCGACACGACCCTTAGCTGAAAACTATTTGACGTACCCTCGCACATTGAACGACGACTCGTTGCCCGTTCCAGCTAACTCGCGTGCGAGATATTACCGCCATCACTGGACGGCCGACGACTTCACGTGTAATGTGCGCTGCGTCCCCTCGACGACAACAATACTGTGCAATGATCAGTGATGTGATGTAGATTCCATGACCAGTGCCTCGCAAAGCTGCAGGCGGATCTCAAGTCCTTCCAGCTGCGGGACCTGGCCTACTCGAGATCAACCCTCATTCACCATCACCGCCATCATCGCCATCATCATGCAGCAATTGGTGCAGCCCTCAGCAAAGCCAAGGTCGACGTCAGCCGCCATTTACGAGTACATATTCATGGGACGCGGACTCGTGGGGCTGATGAGACTCCGGTAGCGACCTAAACAGGCCCTATCCCAGTAAGGCAGCCACACTCGTCGGGGGGGGTCAAAGCGTCCAGTGGCTAGTGACTTATGTCCCTGTTTTTTGTTCCTCAGGCCTTCAAGCCTTACTCCATCGAAGCTCCCGGTTTCACACTGGTGGCTCATTCGAGACCAGCAATAATTGATGTTTGACATGTCTCTTGAGTTTCGAAACATCGCCCGAAACCTCGAGCTACGCATCTTGCCGGAATTCCTGCCGAACTCAGGTCGCTCAAGGAACATCCTTGAACAAGCTGCAGCGTGCAGCTGGGAAGTGCATCGAGATCAGAAACCCATCGGAAAGCCTACCAATTATTGCCACCAGGGTGCCTGCGCCTCAAAGCTTTGAGATCTTACAGTATCCGTGCATTCCTTGCCGCCTACGCTTAGTACGATAAAGTTTGTAGATTTCTCAACTACAGGGATATCTCAACAACACCGCTTGTTACATCCGCCCGAAACATCGCAGGGCATTTTCACGCTTGGGCCTGGTCATTCGAGGCGTTGCGCTGCTTGGCTGCCTGAAGAGCCCTCTTGATCCGATCCTGGTGCTCTGGGTCGTCTCCTATCTGATCCATCATCTCACGAATTGCGTCGACTGCATCTTGAGGCCCCTTGGTGACGCTAGCGATACGGACGTTCATTTCTTCCACCAACTTTGTGTCTTCTTTGGCCTTCTCCTTTTCGAGGCTGATATATGTGGCCTTGTCTGCATTGGCTACTTGAGCCTCCGCCACCGAGACCCCGTAGTCGGAGTCGTTCAAGAGCACGTCCGCCTCGTTTGACAAAGCCAGCATTTTGCGCGAATCTGCCATGACAAGGCCGACAACATCTTGAGTCGACGCCAGTGTATCTCGGGGTCCTTCGGCTTCGTACAGCGTTGCTTTGACTGCTTCTTGTCCAGACGAGATCGCCTTCTTGAGATCTTGTATCTTGCCCAGAATATCATCAATGAACGTCTGATTATCGCCTAACCCACGGACAGTGGCTCGATCGAACGTGTCCATCAATCTGTTGGCTCTCTCATCCTTAGCACGGGCTTCGTGGAGCAGTTGTGTCTTTTCTGCTGCCGCAAACTCTTGTTCCAATTTCTTCATGCCGGCTTTGTCATTGTTCATGTAGAGCACTGTCAGTTCGAGATGTTTGCGTCGCCTTTCTCGCTCCATATGTGCTTCGGCCAATTTTCGATGCCTGATTTCAATCTTGTTGAAGAGCGTGATGACACAACCCATGACTTCAGACATTCTCGCCCTAGCAGTCTGGCCCTTGAAGCAACGACTCACTGGCTCGCTTTCTCGATCCAGAAGGTCATTGGCCGTTGCATAAGCCTTACTCAAGTCCTTAATCTCTTTTTGAAGCCTCTCAGTCACAGGCGTAAAGACCTGACCAGTAAATGACTCGAGTTCTTCTTGATTCTCACGATACTTTTGCTCGGCTTCGGCCAGTTTGAACTCGGCTTCAAGATCCCCTATGTCCGCATAGCCAATTTCATTGTCATTGAAAAGAGCATCAAGGTGTGCCTCTGACTCTTCTTGCCGGGTCCTTCGTTCAGTATCTTGTTGCTTGCGTACTTCTCGATTTGTTCGATCCCAGCGGATCACAGTCTCGTGGATGAACTCGAATTGGTCGGGCACAGCGTCAATCTTCGCCTTCAGATCTACCACATTGGGATGTTGAACAGACTCCTCGAACGTGTTATTCGGCAATAGAGACCGCAACGCTTTCACAGCTTGTTTCGACGGGTCTTCTGCTCGTATGCTGGCAGGAGTACCAACCCGCATAAACGCGGGCGTGTCAGCCCGAATTGCGTTATCGCCAGGCCGAGCAGCACCGCGTGGTTCAGCGCTCTTCTGTCTGACAGCCATGCTCTGCTTTCTGATCAGGCCGATGAATGCTTCGTCGTGTTCTTTCCTACCGGTAGTGGAGGAAGGTCTAGGTGTAGTGGGCAGTGTCTCTCGAGCCATCAGTCGACCAGAGTCCACCATTGAATGCCGCAAAGATGAGTACGCTTCGTCTGCGGGCTTCAATGGTTGTGTTTGTTCCTCTCGAGTAGCTGCGCCGTAGCGGAAAGGTGTGTATGCGGGCCGAGAAGGCTCGAATCTAATAGGCACAGCAGGCTTCTGCCCTTCCGAAGAGCGAGTCCACGAGGATCGAGGTTCTTCTGGTTCCACAATGATCGGTGCGTTCATACCTGGAGACGGGGGCTGCGCCATAGCATAGTCTTCTATAACCATTGGTGCATCATTGCTAGGAGAGAGAGCACCGACCGGGTAATTCTCACGACCTCTATTCTGTGGGTATGTGTTGAGGGAGGGAAACGGTCTGGCGGGTTCTTTTGACGCGGTTTTGGGGACCTTAGGACGACCACCAGGGCTGTAGGCTTCCTCATCTTCCAAAGACCGGCCATTCCTAGCAGAGTTGTCCACCATGCCCGAGGTTAGACCCACAACTGAAGGGATTGCTGTAGTTTTGGCGGCCTTCGGACGGCCACCCGGACTGTAAGCTTCGTCTTGCTCTGTAGCTGCGTCTACACCCGCCAACAAGCCAGGCTTCGAGCAAGGCGGCTGCTCTGGGGCAGAAACTCCGCGTGGCTGGATGTCACTTTCTGTTGTGATGGGCTGCTGTGAGATAGTCCGCGCCGAAGTCGATGTCGCTGGATGATTTGCAGTGTCCGGTTTGGCGTCTTCAGTCACTTCCTGCACTGACTTGGGCAAAGCAGCCTGCATATCTGCAAGACTGGCAGCTTTCTTGACGTCTTTCGCAGCCTTGTTCAATTCAACCCCGTAGAGCAGGCTTCTCAAACGAAGCTCTTTTGTCACGAACGATTGGAAAATCTCAAACTTCTCCTCATCAGATTCAGCAGCGACTTCCTTTCGCAACATCGCAGCATATCTTTTCAGTGACGCTTTGAACTCCGGCTCCAGATCAGCATATGGATCTACAAACTTCACGTTCTGACTGGGTTCTGGCGATGCTACGCGAGTGGAGGTACGAGAATCGGGTCGCGAAGACGGCTCATTACTAGCCCTCACCCTTAGAGGCGTGTTCCATGCTTGGATGACGCTGTCAATGTTCCCAGGATTATTGCTCCTGTCCGAGCGAACAGACATGCTGCCGTCATGATGGCCCGCAGAGGTAGGAGTCTCGTTGCTTTGCGATCGTGACGATTCCTCCTGGAATTTTGGCGAATCCTGACGTGAGCCTCTTCGAGCCGTCACCGGGCTTGCAGCGCCAATTTCCACAGGGGGTTGCTCATGAACAGGAGCCGGCTTTGGTGTCTCGGTAGTCGACAGACTTGCGTGTGCTTGGGGCGGCGCAGCACTACCATGAGCTTGGGCTAAAGCGTCTGGCGGAGGGTTGTATGGACTTGTCGGTGTTCGTTCTGGGGGCACTTCCGGCTGCCAAAGCTCCCAATCTGATGGTCGACCAAAACCAAGTACCTGCGAATGCGTGATATTATCCTGGGGTCGCTGGTAGTTACTGACAGTTGGGAGGGTATCCGCTTTTCCCTGCCGACCCCATGGCATATTACTTTGCTCGATAGGCGAGACCAAAGGGGCATCATGTATTGCCGTAAACTCATGTGGTGCTGGTGCACTAGGATAGTATGCCTGCCCACCCGGAGGGACAGCCTGAGCATTCCATGCATTCTGTGGTTGAGGATCGTAATGATGGGTAGGAGTCTTGTGAGAGTATTCGTGAAAGGGAGTATTGACTAGATTGTGGTAGGATTGCATCTCGGCTTCGTACGCGGCAGGACGCGGAGGTGGAGGTGGAGGTGGAGGAGGCGTAGGTGCAGGAAATGTAGAGCTTTGAGGCGAGGGCCTCGACAGATAGGGATCGTTCCATGGCGTAGGATACTGTTGTGACGCGCCAACATGCGGCGGTGGTTGCTGATGGTAATTCGGCGCAGGCGCGTGGTCCGGCTGCGGGCTTACTCGGCCAGCGGCACTGGGTGGACGAGGAGGCAGAGGTGGTTTCGACTCATGGCTCTGAGGTGCTACTGTCTGGTTATACCGAACTCCCCATGAGGCCGTGCCGAACTGCGCAGGCGGTTGTTGTCCTGGCGCAGGAGGAGGAGGCGGTGGTGGTGGCAGAGGCGGACCAAACTCATGGAAGCCTGCATTTTGAGGTGATACAGGAGATTGAGGTTGTAATCTTGGATCTGCCCATCCTGATTTTCGCGGCGGAGCTTGCCAGGGAGGTTGAGGCGGACCTGGTGTGCCTTGGGAGTAGTTGTATGGCTGGTTGTGCGGATTCATGTTGTCATCCTATATGACGACTCAACGGCACAGGCCAGCATCTGCGACTATCCTCTACCTTGGCTCAACCTGAAAAAGAGTTGTTTGGTTATATGCATGGAGATGATGTTAGGATTATGTTGGCAATATCATCGGCGGGAATTGCAAGTTCTTTCATCGACTTAATAGCACAGCGGCTAATATTTCTTGGTTGTAGGCACCACAGCCTCGTTGAGAGATATCGCAATTTGCGGGACGAAGATACGAGAAATTGGCCCCTACGGATTCCAGCTGACGAGAAGCTTCCCATGCCTTCGGTTTGTCTTTGCGTTACAGGTTCTAGTCTTAGCTATCCGCTCAAATCAAGAACCACTCTTCCCTGCAGCTTGCCTTTGTCCATTCGCTCAAATACCTCCGTCAATTTATTCATAGGTTGAGTCTCGAAATGAGTCTTAACGATGCCCCTAGGTCCGGTTAATATGTCAATCTTCAGCGAAGCATCAGAGCCTGCTCACCTAGCTGCCATGTCCAATGTATCAATGGCGTCCTTTCGATTCCCGACCGCACTGCCCACGATTCGTAGCTCTGATACCAGCATTGTGGCAGGATCTGCGGTGGCGATCGGGACCGCCTTTCCTTCGGGAACACCAACACAAACGAGAGTACCTCTGAACTTGAGAAAGCTCAATCCTTGAGCGTAAGCAGCATTACTTGCTGTGCAAACCACAACAGCCGCAGCTCCGACACCTCCTGTCGCGGCTTTGACGTCCTCGGCCAATTTCTTGGTCCCATCTTCGTCTCTGGAGTATTTGCCAAGGTCAATGAAGACCTCAGCACCGCAATCTTTCGCGAGCCTCTCCTTCTCGCCCATGTCAATGCCGATCATGCGGAAACCCATCCCTCGAGCTCCAATCTGGAGTGCTAGGTGTCCCAATCCACCTCCTGCCCCCGGGATAACGACCCAGTCGCCGGGCCTTGCTCCAGATTTGCACAGAGCGCTGTAAACGGTAACGCCTACGACCATTCATGGTCAGCTTTCTTCTTCTTGACATGCAGTCAGGTTGGCTTCTCACCTCCGCAGAGCATGGGAGCTGCTGCATCACTTGGTAGACTATCAGGGATAGGTGTAACATAATGAGCCGGAGCAAGTGCATATTGTTGGAACGTTCCAGGCGTGTAGTATCCACTAATTTTGGCAGAAGTACAACATGCATCAGCACCGAGAAGACAAGGTTGACAGTTCCCGCAGGCAGAGGAAAGCCATTTGATGCCGACTCGATCGCCAATCTTCAGCCCAGAGCTCTCAGCACCTGGACCGAAAGCAGCGACCGATCCAACTCCTTCATGGCCGCCGATCTGGCCCTTCTGTGTTGGTGCAGGGAGCCAAGCCCATGAATTGGCCATGACGCCCATGTCGCTGTGGCAGACACCCGAGTGTGTCAAGTTAATCAAGACCTCGCCGACGCCAGGCTTGGGTGTGTCAACCTCTTCAACCTTAGTGGAGATGCTGCCAGGGTTATCGTATACAACGGCCTTGTGCCGTGAGGGGACTTGGACTGAAGCCATGTTTAATAGAAGTTTCTGGCCGGGCTTATAGGGTATGACAGGAAATCCAATAGTGGTTCTCGAGAACGCAGGAGGGCAAGCAGGAGAAGACAGAAGCCACAAGTGCCAGGCTTACACTTCACAATAAGTATCCTGGCACGCGTGTGAGGGGAGGGGTCATTTCGCCTGCGGAACTACTTGGTGCAAGGACTTGTACCGTGTCCGCGGGGCCACGGTCCGGCTACCCTGGGAATATCATAATCACAAGCCACAGGATGCTGATCCTCGAACCCGTCGAGTCAGAAGTTGTTCTTCCTAGCTTTTTGATCAAGGATGAGGACGGGAGTCGAGGGGAAAAGGCCCCAGCCCGTGGGGAGATATGTGGAACGCATTCTCAGAGAACCTCGGCTGGATGTGGAACATGGCGCAACCCGGGGTCTATTCGCCAAATCGTCCTTCTGTGGAGAGACACCCCGCGAATGGTGACGACAAGCTGCTTGGACTCGAATTCCCACGATCGAAGACGTGCCGAACTGGCATGCCGAGATCAGGCAATGCTACAAGGAAGCAATGGGCGACCATGCGGCTAACGCGGAGACCACCGGCAACACTGACCTAAAAGCATCTGGATCCAGACTTCTCTTCCACCATAACACATGTCTGATCGACAGGAACGCGACGGGATTATGAGACGATCATGACATTAACCTAGACTGAAATATACCGAGATGATCTACCCGTAGATGAACCCATATCACGAGCTACCAGGCAGAACGCAAATCAAAACCCGCTGGGCCCTCTCGAATCTTTCCGCGATGGTATCTCTCCTGATTGACGATTAGGGTGCAAAAAAAGCAGTAAACTGGAAAAAAGTTAACCTAGCTCCTCTCGTCCGGAACAGCCCATCTCACGCAGGCCTTGCTTTGTTCCAACTAAGAGAAAATCTTTCCCGAACTCTGGCAAGGGCCTGCGCCCTCTGGTGCCATTCTCAGTTGCTTCCGAAACCTCGAATGTCCTGCCGTTATCCTCCAAGTCGTCATTCAGCTCTTGCCTCAACGGCATCCCTGACTTCCTGGAGCCTGCGTTGGTACTGTGCGGGAGCTTCGTTGACACTGAGCGCGGCCGCAATGGCCCGCAGATAGTCTGCTATCTCCAAGAGGTCTCTGGAAGGAATGGTGACTCGGGTGTCGCGAATAGCATCGAGCGCATCAAGCATAAACGTTCTCTGGTTTGTCGGGGCCTCATAGATCAATCGACGATATAGGCTGCTCTGAGGCATTGATTGAAAGCCACTGGGATCCTGGCATATTCGTTTCAACACGTCCAAGAGAACAATCAAAGTAGCTGCTCTCCCTTCCAACCTCAGCTTCAGATCATTGAATGCAATTGCAGTGAAGCGACGGAAATCATGAAATATCTCTTCCAACCTGACTGCGGATGTTTCGCTCAGTAATTGAATTCGTCCGGGCTCACGCTCTCCGGCCCTGGTCAGTGTTTGGTAGTCGTTGAACATTCCCTCGAAACGCCGTTTCAATTTTTCCGTGAATAATTTGGCCCTCTTCGCTGGCGTATAGAATCTGTTGAGTCCATTCCAGATCTCAGGATCGTGGCAGCCAGCTTGCAGCAGGGTACCTGTAAGGTCCTCGGAGATGGTTAGGTCCGACAGCGGTCTGCCACGCTGATAATCCGTTATCTGGTCCCAAATCTCAAGCCTATACTCTGCTGCGAACAACCATCGGTCGAATGAAGAGACGATATCCCAGATCTCGTGTTTCCTCTGTTGCAAAGTGGTTTCCGAAAATGCCATGTAAGTGTCCCCTAAGGAGAGCCTGGAGAGCTCTTCTTGCGGCACCGACATGAGCTGCGAACTGGACCTACGTCTGTGAAGCACATCTCGGGGAATTCACTCTTGAAATACTTGAACCGCAGGGTCACCAGGTTGGTGCACAAGGTCGCTAGTATGGCCATCCTTCCAGCAATGGAGAAATCCAGGCACTTGGTGGATGGCAAAGAAACTCTGAATGGAGAAAAGATGCATACCTAATGCCCACGGCAAGCTGACGGAAAGCAGGCTGCTGATGCCGGGCTGCTTCGCCTCCAGGCATAAGGAACGAGCTTTCCCCAAAGAATAGAGCTTTTAGGACTCCACACTGGCCCGGCCATCCTGGTAAGGCATATTTTATTCTCCCAAGGTCCGGATATTGCCATACTCGTGGTCGAGAGTGTGAAAAGGGGGCTGAGGTAGCAGGGCGCTTGAGCCAGACGGTCACGTGATCTCCTTGCTGAGCGCGTCCTGGGCGGCTCTTATTGGGCTTGATCTGTGGTTCGGAGCGAATTCTCCATCAGACCAGGACCGCGATGCCCTAGGTCGGTCAGCAAGCAATAGAAAAGAGGCTGAAGCCGAGCCTGACCGAATGGCCGCAGATGATATTTGATTGTTGCGCTCTGGGTTGGTGATGAGGTATAGGAAGTTGGTGCTCGCGTGTGCCGGCGCAGGGCCACTGTGATGGAAGCCTTGCATCATGGGTAGTAACGGGAAAGGATTCTTTCTGGAGGTGTGCACCGCCAAAGAGGCCAATGCAAAGCAGACGGCCAAGCTTGAGGCCTTATCTTTCGACTTGGGTTGACAGCTGGAGGTGATGATGTGATTGAACTTCTTGCAGCTGCCAAAGTGCTGGACTGTTGCATTCGCACAATACTTCACACATTATCAACCTTTTAACATTGGTTAGCTGCCTTCACTCCAGTCATTGTCCTTTATCGATTCCGCTGTTAGGTGGATGCCACAGCGACATTGTTACTAGTGTGGCCGAAAGGAATTTAGTATTTCCCTGGGCTCATGAGCCATTCCAAGAAGCTGTGACAAGCCCCAAGCTCGTTATGCCACATGAGCAGGCCATGGTGCATGCACCAAACGGCAAATGCGCATGATCCGAGCCCAGCGGCCTCGAGAGTGGCCCTCGAGGCAGAATTCGGGGTCTCCGGCTTCGGTTCCGGCATGTTCTCTTCACTGCAGGGCCACCGGTTGATTTGTATATGCGGAAGAAAGTACTCTGGGCTTTTCATGGTCCAGCCGGGCGTGGCGAGCATCAAGCCACCCAATGGAACTTGATGAGAGCACTTCCCCTTTCTTGGCAGGGTGGCCGACCGACAGGGCTAATAGTGCTGCTGCTTTCGATATTGCAGTCTCGTGGAAATAAGAACCGAACGTCCCAAGGTCTGGCCTGACTCCTTGCCCTCTTGCTCGAGGCTCAGGACTAGGTCATTTCTCTCTCCGAGCAAATGGAGTTAGCCCTTCTCGATGGTAATGGCCAAGGCTAGGCAGAAGATTGACAGAATAATCTGTATCGCATCAGAAGACCCTATCAGGAAGCACGGCAGGGACTTTACAAACCAAGGTGGTCAGCGTCCCAATAGCTTTGATCTCCCACCCTCCACAAACAGCATATCCTCGGGCCATTTCCCTCTGATAGCGAAAGAATCTTAGTGCCCCAAAAGCTGATACAGCTATTGCCGACCCATGACAGACCGACGACAAGGGAATGCTGACGACGAAGTAGCCGAGGACCGGGTTGGGGTTGAGGCTATGTTGAAGTCGCATAACCTGTGCGATAATCACGCCTAACATTGCAAATGCTTGTCCTGTCCGGAGATAACCTAGGAAAGTTCTCTCATTTGCTGCTCAGGAACAATCAGCAACAGAAGTAGAGGATGGTCATTCTCAGATCACAATCTAAGTTAATGGTTGCTCAATGCTCAATCTTACCTAAATGATCACGGCATTTCACATGAGGCACACCCAGAGAAACATGCCTCCGCCACCAGCGCAAAGCTCTAGGAGTGCTTTGATTTGTGACCACGGTCGACAGTTGTGGAAAAGGATCGTATTGAGCCTCATCCAATTCTAATGCCTCTTGGTCAGAGGGATTCGATAGGCTTTGGCGAGCAGGAGGAAGCTCGCCATGGAGCTCAGCAACTTCTGCCATGCAACTTCCAGCAGTTGCCAAGACCTCAATACCTGTAGGTCAGTTCTGGAGTATCTGGATCTCCCGGGTCTTGACGGCGTGTTGCGACACTGGATTCCGGGTTCAGCAGCCAGGGTCAAGATGTTGAGAAATCAGCTTTAGGCTGGAGAAGCGTCCCGGAACCGTCTGGAGAGAGCATCAACCGGGAAGTATATGAAGAGATGGAAATATCGACACACTCCTGTTGCTTGATCGTATGGGTTTGCGAGATGCATAAAATGAACGAAAAATATGGTATGAAACCGGGGAACATTGGATGGCTAACTGTCTAGGCACTTCGGCAGTGGTCCGATGTGAAGCGTTGCAGGCCCGGAGGACACCAATCAAGGGGAAGAAAAGGCGCTCTCCCAGGCGGGCCATGTGCGACGACGGCAGCAGCCTCTCGCCCATCCTCATCCCGGTTTTCCACCAGCCACGCCAAATCATTCCACTAACTTCCAGCTAAAAACAACATCCCAACCTCCTCCTTCGACTGGCTGCTCATGCATCCCTCCGTATCTTCTTCTTCTCCGGAGTATTCCTTGCTGTATATATCCTGCACAGACTGGAGAGCTGTTCCTAGGGTTCTTATTCTTTGGCTCGTTCCGTCACCGTGCTCTGAAAGCGTGAGGACCGTGTCTACGGCACCTAGCTGGTCCAACCCCGCATTTAAACTGTTAGGCATCAAGACCCATATGGGCATATCGAGCAGTGACCGCCTGAAGTCGAGAGCACAGACGGACCACCAGCGAACGGCACGCTCAAGATTATCTGTTTCGAATAACGCACGATCAACATGCTCGGAGGCTTGCTCTTCTCCTTTGTGAGATTCTGGGAGATCATCACCTTGATTCCAGTCATTGGCATGCTGGTATGCGCGTCTCCATGAGCTTTGCTCGCCATCCGCATCCGCTGACAGTCTGCTAGGCATGGTTTGTCGATGGCTTCAACGATAACAACCAACTTACCCCCTCCTTCATCCTCGTCCTCTTCATCGTCTCGATTCTAGCCTGCGCCTGGGCCATTGCTACTCTACTGCGTCTCGGTTCCACCCGTCGCTCCGCCTTGTTCGTTGCCTTTATCGATCTATGCTTTGTCGGTGCTTTCATTGCCGCCGTCTACGAACTTCGGAAAATCAGCGACGTGAACTGTAACAATTTCTCAAGCGGCTCTATCTACATCAACCTGGGGCCTTTTGGGTACTATGGCAGGAACAGTGGTTCCTCGTGGGCGGTTCATCTCAACAAGAACTGCTCCATGCTGAAAGCATCTTGGGTGTTCGGTATCATCAACATTATATTCTTTTTCTGGACGTTCATCCTCGCCCTCTTCCTCCATCGGCACGAACGGAAAGTGGTTGTGAAGGAAGTGCGAAGGACATCGAGACACAGCAGCCGGAGAGGCCATTCTCGTTCGGGATCGAGACGGAGCAACAGCCGCCGCCGCTACTATGTTTGAACAAGCAACAGACCCAAATATTGGTCAAAGAGGCGGCTCTCTGGAGAGGAGGAGCGGAAGGCGGGATGTGGCTCACGAATTTCCTTGACTTGACTCTGATATGTGTGGCCAAAACAGGACGGTAAACCTATGTATTAGCGACCCAGCGAGCTTTGTCGACCTTGTGCTTGGCTGATCTAGCCAAGTGTTCAAGAAGGATTGGATATTTTGATGGACAGAACTGCGATGTTGATTTTTGGAAGCTTGGACTCCATCAGCTTGCCCAGCGCCTCGGGCGTATGACTGGCGTAATAAATGTTCCAAATGAATTCGATGAAGCAAGAAAGATGGGGGACATTTCTCACGATAAGCGGATGATGGCGGGCAGCAGTCTTGCCAGTCACATTCCAGAAGATTGTTTGTCGGAGAACGCCGATCGAATCTCAACTTGACTTCTAGAAACCAGTACGGGAGCAAGCCCCATCTTTCATAAATCGCCTCTCGTACTCGTACATGCTTCTTTCTTTCTCGCAGCTGCCCGTGCCTCAACTCGAGCTGATATCACACGTCTGACGGTCTCTGTAGACCTTACTCTTCGTATGACTTCAAGAATCAATGGGTGCCACGTCTAGAGCTCTATCGCGGAATCGAGGAATCTTGCAGGAATGGCCACCCTAACGGACGGTGGCGGGTTTCACACGGTATCGCGAGAATCTCAACCTGTGGCAGCAATCGATCCTCGGATTGGTCTAATCACGAATATCGACGAAATTCGGGAAATAGAGTATCCAAATCTTTCGCATACGACGTATCTCGACCATGCTGGAACGACACTATATGCGAAAAGCCTTATCAGAGCATATTCCGAAGAGCTAACAGGCAATCTCTTTGGGAACCCTCATTCTGCCTCAGCATCGTCACAGCTGTCTTCGCGCCGAATTGATGATGTGCGCCTACGTCTTCTACGATTCTTCAACGCAAATCCCGACGATTTTGATCTAATCTTTGTTGCAAACGCCACCGCAGCTTTCAAGCTTGTTGCTGATGCCCTTCGGGATAGTGATAACGGCTTCGACTACCGGTATCACGCCGACTCCCACACCAGCCTTGTGGGCATCAGAGAACTCGCCTCTAGAGGCAGTACGTGTCTCAAAGACGATGACGAGGTTGAACAGTGGCTCAGTAGCCTCAAGCAACCACGCCATGACTTTCCCGAGGGAATATCACTATTTGCATATCCTGCTCAGTCAAACATGACCGGGTGTCGACTGCCTCTGCGGTGGTGTGAAAGGATACAGGACCTGCGCAGATCTGGTGGGGGGCCCGTCTATACTCTGCTTGACGCAGCTGCCCTTGTGTCTACCGCGCCTCTGGATCTCTCGGATTGTTCAACGGCTCCTGATTTTACTGCCGTCAGCTTCTACAAGATCTTTGGCTTTCCAGACGTTGGTGCTCTGCTAGTACGAAAAGAATCAGGAAAAGTCCTGCTGCAGCGAAAGTACTTTGGTGGTGGCACAGTTGATATGGTGACGATGTTTGGCGAAGCCTGGCATGCAAAAAGGGAAACCTCGCTGCACAGCCGGCTTGAAGATGGGACTCTCCCATTCCACAACATCGTCGCTCTGCAACTAGCTCTGGACCTTCACAGAAAACTTTACGGCTCTATGTCAAATATTTCGAGACACGCAAATTGCCTTGCCTCAATATTGCGGGCTCAATTGAGGGATCTACATCATGCCAATGGAGCTCGAGTATGCACACTATATCCTGCAGACGCCTCACCAGACGCTCGTGATGGACCAGTCATTGCACTCAACCTCAAAGACAGGCACGGCAAGTACGTGAGCAACGCCGAAGTTGAGAAACTTGCAGTCGTCAAGAATATCCAGATCCGAACTGGTGGACTCTGCAACCCGGGTGGAGTGGCGACTCAGCTCGGACTGTCGAATGATGCGATGCGCCAGAACTATGCCGCAGGCCAAAGGTGTGGTGGGGACAACGATATAATCAACGGAAGGCCTACCGGTGCTATACGGGTCAGCTTTGGGGCAATGAGCAACCCGTCAGATGTAATCGCTTTTATTGACTTTATCAAAGAATTCTATGTCGACTGGAATCCTGCCCAACCATTGCGCATTGCACTGTCCCCGCAGGCAAGGCCGAGTCGGACAACCAGTATGTTTACGGTTGAAAGTCTGTCGGTGTTTCCAATCAAAAGCTGCTCGGCCTACAAAGTCCCATCTGATATTTCTTGGGATATTGGTCTCAAAGGTCTTGCATGGGATCGCGAATGGTGTCTCATCCATGAAGGCACAAATGTCGCACTAAGCCAGAAGCGATTTCCTCGGATGGCACTTCTGCGACCAGAGATTGACCTACAAAAGCGCCTTTTGCGCGTGAGCCTTGCTCCGGGACTAGGCTCATCCCACGCTCTTGAAGTGAGTCTCGATTTGTCGCCCAGACACACCGTCCCCATAAGTGCCTGCGAGAGTACCACAACCAAGTCATCAAGCGTCTGCGGCGAGGCCGTCGACGTCCATGTCTACACGTCTCGCGAGGTGGCGGCGTTTTTCAGCGATGCCCTCGGGGTGCCCTGTACGCTAGCAAGGTTTCCCAACAACGGGACAATTCGACAAGCCAAAGTGCGTACGCCTGTCTCGACTCGCGGAAGACCTGCTACAACGCTCGGAAAGTCGATCGCACTTGCGAACGAGAGTCCAATACTTCTCGTTTCTCGATCCAGTGTCAACCGGCTGAACGAGCAGATCAAGCGCAATGGCGGCGTGGGCAAAGCTGTCGCTGCCGATTCATTCCGAGGCAACATCGTCATCGCCGAGCATGTCGATGGGGGAAAGTCAGAATGCCCTTATGCCGAGGACAACTGGACGAGTCTTCAGATAGGAGAAGACCCGACCAATACGTTTGAGGTGCTGGGTCCGTGCCAGCGCTGCCAGATGGTCTGCGTCGACCAGAAAAGTGCTCAGCGACAGCAAGAGCCATTCAGCACGTTGGCGAAAACGAGGCGGACAGAAGGAAGGGTGTGGTTTGGTATGCATATGTGTCTGAAATCACTGGATGCATTGGAAGGGTCACAGGATTCGCAGCGAATAAAAATCAGGGTCGGCGATCGAGTGATGCCGCTAAGTGTCCGTCATGGAGCCGAGTGATGGCCATCAGATGTATTAAGACATGTACAAAATGGAATATCCATGTAGCCACGATAGCCATTCGGTATCACAGAACAGGTGCAGGAAATCTCTTTCCGCTCCATGCTGAAGCTCCATTAGACAAGCCGCTTTCCGCTAGGGTACGAAGACAAGAAGGCGGAGATTCCGTATCGATGCCATGGCAAGCGTCGCGCTATCTCCATCAGCAAGCCCTGCTGTGCTGATATACACTTGGAAACATTGGAGTTTCTGCCTTTGGTCGGCCTTTCGAGACTTTCACAGGCGTAATCGAGTTCTGACTGGCCAAGCACCTTCTTACGGACAGGTCAAGCAAATCCGAAACGATACCCTTTCAGGTCAATAGATCCATTACATGCTCGGCGGACTTTCCCACCAAGCATCCGGATGAACAAGACAATCCGCAACACCTATAGCGGTGAAGGTGCTTGAATAATGAGAATTGTCTGCGCAAGCCTCCGCTAGTCTCTCGCTCCTCGTGAGGTCGGATGCAATACCGGACTCTGACATTCACCCGTTGTATTGCCAGAAGCTTGTGCCTTTGAGGTCATGAGGCCACAGAACGTGCGGGCAAGCCGTCGTATTGCTTGCCGTTGTCTCAAAGGTCAATGTGGAGTCAGCATCCGGAAGTTGTCACCTTGGCCAAAGATACGTCGAATGCACATGTGAAAAACGATTCCATTCCGTGCCTCCTTGGATGGTTGTTGGTTGAATGATCTAGCAACTGGCGCTGGATTTAGTCCGAACAAAGAAACAATTTCCATGGTGAATGACATCTGTGAAAGGTCCAAGTTGGTCCTGTATCCGGTGTCCCCAGGTTTCATGAACGAGCGGTCCACCGCCATACCTTGATAGGGGATGTGATCGCGATAAGATGTCCGATAAGCCGCGCAAGGTCAAACGAAGGCGACGCACTGATGTGGCTTTGGGTCCAACTTCCATCATTGCGATTCAGTGGAGTTGTGCTGTCGACCTATGTGGTTTCTTATCGTGTGCTCGAGCATTCTGTTAGTGCCGGCATTCCCACATTTTGACGTTGATTTGAGGTTGAAGGATAACAGACCTTTACCAAGCTCGTCGATGTTTGGCGACGGTGAAAGGGGAATTTGTCTGAAGAACATCAGTTTTCTCCGTCATCTTGCCAGCACCATTCGTGAAGACTAAATCTCATTCTTCATTGTTCTTTGCAAGACTGTGGGCTGTTGCTCTTGCTATTGGGGCCGGTTTGTAGTTCCGGTGTCCCAGCTCAGTTGCACCTTCCTTGACCACATTGACTTTGGGAGACATCCTCCGTTCACAATGGCTTCAGCGGATGTCCTTCTTCCTTCCTCCTCCTCTTCTTCCCCAACACCCTCTAGCCACCTCAAAAGGAAAAGGTCAACGTCAACCGTATCGAGAGCATTGAGCAAGATGGCTCCAAATATCTCAAGACAGCTGGCTTTCGATCCCGCAAAGCATCTCAAATTCGAGCCGCCTCAGAAGATCTGGACTATGAGCGAGATTCGAATGGCTGAAAAAGGTGTCTCTCCCAATGCAGTATCCGAACCCTTTCCTCTTTTCACCCACGAAGCCGTCCAACAGATGCGAGCCGAAGTCTTGAGCAAGCCAGTCTGGGAGAACTGCCAGTACAAAAGTAACATTGCTCAGTGCCAGCTCAGAGGCTTTGCTGCAGAGTAAGTATCTTGCTTTCAGGATGACGACGCCATACTGACCAGGATAGGTATGCACCGTTTGTGTATGATGTCTGGCGTAACCCAGAGGTCCTCTCTATCGTGTCGAAGATTGCCGGCGTCGAGCTCGTGCCCGCAATGGATCTTGAAATTGCCCACATGAACATCTCGATCAAGAGCAAGGAGGAGCAAGAGGCTGTTAACCAGGCTTTACAAGAGAAAGAGCATCGTGACGCTGACGAGGGCGTATCTGGTTGTCCGTTCGAGGATGACACGCCCATCGTCGATTGGCATACTGACAGCTACCCCTTCGTCTGCGTGACAATGCTCAGTGACTGCACGCACATGATTGGCGGCGAAACTGCGCTGCGTATGGGTGATGGAGAGGTCATGAAGGTGCGAGGACCAGGCATGGTACGTCGCTGCTTCCAAAAGTGTCTCCCTCAAATCTAACTTGATCCCAAGGGGCATGCTGTTGTTCTACAAGGACGATACATCGAACATCAAGCCTTGAGGGCTCTTGGTGGCACCGAGCGCATCACTATGGTGACGTCCTTCAGGCCCAAGTCAGCCTTCATCAAAGATGATACCGTCCTTACCACGGTCCGTTCCATCTCCAACCTCTCAGAGCTCTATTCGCAGTATGCAGAGTACCGGCTTGAGTTGCTGGAAGAGCGCGTTCGAGCACAACTCAAAGAACTGCGCGACCGCAAGCGGGCTCATCGAAGCTTCGATACTGCTGCGGCCAAAACGTTCATTACCGAACAGCGCAACTTCCTCGACTCGATGCTTCGAGAAATCGTCGATGAGGACCTCGTCACCGTGGGATACACTGACGACTCGCACCTGCTAAGCGATGAGTTGAAGCTGGAGGGACGCAAGAAAGCACGCTATCATTCGGAGGACAGAGTCTAGATGCTGATGCTGATCATGATCATGATGTGATGACTTTCGTTACGATACAACTGCATTGTGCTGGTACAATATCAAGCCTCTGTGCTTCCGGGTTTGTTTTGCTGGAGCTGGGGGCATATCGACCCTATGTGCTTTGGGCTTGTCTTTTGTCATGATTGACAATAATAGGAGCTTTGTGGTGGATGTTCAGAGTTTCATCGGTTGCATTTGCTGAGGTCTTTTCTGAGATTGGGACGGCTGAGCTCAATAGCATCGTGAATATGCAGACGGATCACGTCTTGCTTGATAGATTAAATGACTGTCTTCTCCATCGACGAGCATATTCAATCCTGTGTAAGATAGCCCTCAAGAGTGAACTGAGCATATTCGCATTCGATCACTTGTCAAGATTGGGTCCTCGTCCGCTTAGGTGTACAGTTTGAAGCAACATGGTCGCATAAAAAGGTATCTTGAATCTGATATTCCGCCGGAAAGAAGGACAGTGGCTGGAAAAGAGGTCGTCCAGGGCTTTATGAATATGGCTTCGTCGGACCAATGGAGTTTAGCGGAAAGCAGATCGCTTTCATCATGCGAGTGAGCCCCGTAGACATTCCGCGAGAAACTTTCGAGTAAAGTAAGTCAAGTGCTGGACGCTTGCCCGTTCAATTGTTCCTAACTGGCATTTCAGCCGTTCGCGGCACGCTTGCTGTCCTGCAGCGATTGATCCCACGCACTGCTTTCTAAGATAGCTACCTCCTTTATATAGGAAATTTAGGCTCAATGGGAGTGGGATGGAAGTGGTTGCTCATGAAAGCTGTTCATACAAGTATCCTCTAAGATGGTGGACGTGGCGTGGGGTCGACTCCAAGAACCTTTTTTGAGTTTCTAGTGTTATCGATAAGAGGTGACTAAACTTGTCCGCAACTGGGGATTGCCAGGTGTGTCTCCCGGTGTGCATGCTGTACCTTTCCCAGCCCAACCTCCCTTGGACTAACAACATGGCAACTTCGGCAGACTCAAGCCAGTCCACTGACCAGGCTGTCGACTGGGACAAACAAAAAGCCGCCTTCCAGTCGTAAGCCTCCCGGGACAAGGTCAACACCACCGGGCGCATACTGACCATTTGGGATTCTGCCAGAAAGCGCACTTCGGAATATTATGATCCTTGCCAGGAGGCCGCCAACAAGAGTATCAGATGCATGAACAGGAATGGAGGCGATCGTGATATGTGCCAGGACTATTTCCAGTGCGTTCCCGACCCTTTCATAAGCGGACGCCTTCCGACGACGCCGCTCCCTACCAAGCGGATCGCCACCCTGTTCCAGCATAGAGGAAAGCTGACACGGTTGACCAAACAGAGCCTATCGAGACTGCAAGAAAGAATGGGTATGCAACTCCTATACTGAGTAAGGGACCACCAATCTCACAAGCAGAATAGACGGCCAGACGCAAAGCAGAGAAAAAACCATGGTTCGGATAGTGCGAGCAGTCGCCGATCCACGCCGTGATTCCATGTGTATTTAAAGAGAAGCCGAATGTATATCAAAGAGATACCCGGGCTGAAAAAGCATAGCGCGGCGCAGGTACGACGTGTTTATATCGCAGCAAGCAGGCCACCGCCACCTCAGAAACTGCTGTTGTACAGTATTGGAGTACATATCTCGCAGTTGCAAGAATAGTCATTAGCATCTCTACTCAAGAGAAGGTAGCCGCCTTCTAGGTGGGAGGCCTTGAGTCTCGCGGTCGTAGTTTCCTGTGGATGTCGAATTCAGTACTCCACAAGCCATTGTTTTTCCAGACTCGTTCACAATTTTCCCCTCACCGTTGTTCCCTTATGAGTTGCAGGCCGAGCGCCGACGATGTCTGATCCGAGTGTGACTGAGCGCCGGATACGCCCGATTCAAGATGCCGTTGCAAGTTCCAACTGGAAGCAGGCACTCCAGCTGTGCGACAAGTGGTCAAAGAAGGGCGAAAAGTCGGACAGATTCCTGGTAGGCACCCTCCGCCTCAAGTCCTCGAGTCCACGTTCGGGCCTGACCCTGCAGAACAGGCACTGAAAGCCTTTGTCCTTGTAAACCTCCCCGAGAAAGCCCAGCATGAAAGAGGCAAAACGGAGGTTCTGGACCTCTGCAAGCGAAACCCTCCTATCACCGAACCCGAAGCCATATATCAGATGCAAGATGCTCTAAAGTGTCTCTCCTTAAAGGAAGAGGAAGGTCCGAAGATATGGGAAAGGGCGGTGACCGCAAAGCAGAACGACAAGGACCTTTATACGAGATGGCTCAATCAGGCCATTGCCGACAGCGACTGGCTCAGCGCTCAAAAGGTGTGGTTGCATGGCCAATTCTACGAGTGCAAGAGACGGAGACTGACATGGGGCCATATCTCGACAGGCCACCATGGGGTTGCGAAAATCATTCCCTAATGAAAGGCACTACGAGTTCTGGAATATTGCGATGTGTCACTTGATACACATGCAGCATGACCTTCCCGAGAAAGACAGAATGCTGTTTGGAACCCTGGCATATCGAATGATATCCAAGGCGGCGGAGATAATTCCAGCAGACCAGGTATGTTGATGATTCACTCGACTGAAGCAGTACTGAGGATGTGTAGGCAGAGCTTCTCTCTCCCGGGAAGGCAATATCAACGCCGGAGGAAGTATCATTACTTGTTCAGGTTCTCAACTCGACAGGCCACGCTCAAGAATCTGTGAAGCTGTTGCAAGGCAATTCCTTACATATACAATCTCGCATCGGCAAGCAAGACCCGCAACTAATATTGTCCCTCCTACTCGAGTCATTGAAGAAATCACAGCAATGGCAGGAAGCATTTTCTACATGCCATGGGCTACTGTTGAAACCTGAATATCAATCCGATGACCGGATCTGGAGCCTTTGGCTAAAAGCGCTGTCAGAATTGGCGTCAGACGGGTAGGTCACCCATCTTGTCACCATTCGAATACTAACACCGACCAGCGTGCGACAGCAAGCAAGGGAGCTTCTGGACTCTGTCTGCGGCATAAGACCAATCATTAGAGCAGCGTACATGGCCAGGATGAAGTTCCTGCAGACCCAGACCGGGGACAGCGCCTTGGATGACCTCCTACATACCTGCAATGAGTATGCCGTCGCCTTCTCACAAAAAGCATTCTGTTTCGACGACATGACAGATGCCCTAGGCCGGCTCGACAAAGAGCGGCTCGACGACTTCAGGAAGACACATTCCAAAGCTTCAGGAAGCCTGGCCGAGCTCTTTCACCATAAACTTTCTTATAACTCCTTTCCTGGTGATGTTTCTGGGCAGAATCTTATGGCTTTCGTTCGACAGACGCTGCAGCTTTTCCAGGATTCTACTTCAAGCCCTTCACCGTGTCCGGAAGCCGCCGTTCTAGCTGTCCTGGCCATTCTCAGGCTTGCACATGCGAAGTCGTCAGTCGAAAACACTTTGTTTGCAGAAATATTACTTGAGATTTCGCGGTCAAAATTCCACGACTATTACCTGTTCACTATCCTGCTAGTTCAACTTCAAACCCATCTCGGACTGATGTCTCTGGCTATGGAAACATTCAACAGGCTCAGCGTCAAGAACATGCAGTGGGAGACCGTGGGCCACTTCGTCTTGACTCGAATATCGACCTTGCATCCTTCACCTAATGGCAGTGGCGCGGACGCATTCGATCCTTTGAAAGCCATCGACACAGGGTTGACGATTCTTGAAAATTCCGACAATGCTCTCGTCCGTGGTATTCGCGAAGGACTACGTTTCCACAGCTATTCGAACATCTACAACAGCGTCAAGATGAGGTCCGATATTGAGCACAGTATGAATCGACAGGCTTTTGCAATTGAGGAGCGTGCGCTTGGGAGAGTGCTGGGGCTGTCTGAGCATACAGTGCTACCTCCTACTCCTTCATCACTCGTCGACAAAAGAGATTTCAGCTATCTGCCGGCTTACCGTCCGGACGATGCGGCGCTACTTGCAAACTTCCGATGCGGCCCTCTGCCCAAGGGCAGTTGGATCGCAGCCATGACAGTGTTTGATAATGTGGCGACGTATCTCAAGGCGGAACTTCTATCTCAGCCAACATTGTCGTTCAAAGTGTCCGAAAATCTGAAAGACTCTCTCACGCAACTTGACAATATCTTTGAGCACTCTGAGAAGGGCGAATTCACTGGTCAAGAGTTGTCCAATCTGAATTGTTATCGAGTCTTGACCCAGGCTGTGCTCTGGGTCATGGAGAAGTCGGCAACACAAGATCAGATGGACCACGCTCTGTCCAAAATTGATTTCTGGCTATCAATGACGCTAGAGGATCGCAAGAAGCAGCCATCAGGCTCGATGGTAGCATTTATACGAGTCCCGACGTGGGAAGACCTACACAATAGTTTCAGCCAACTTGAGATGTTGCAGGTTTTTACCATGCTGTTGGGCATACTATCCAGAAAGCCAAAGTCATCCAAGTCTAAGTCAGCAACCGTGGCGACAGAGACACTGTCCAAATTGCAAAGCTTGATATCGGAATTGGAGCAGCACATCCACGACGACGCACGCGACTTGAAAGCGCAGAACAATGCACCGGGCGTGCTGGGCAAACTGGTCGATCTGGGGTTTGGCCGGGAAGGAGAGTTCACCGAGCTAGAGGGCGTGCTGGAAAAGTTGTGCGATGAAGTCACCATGGAGACAATTTGTGGGCGGATAAAGGCGAGTTGGGAGGATGGATTGGAGGGGGTGTTGGGCGTTAAGTTGCAGATGTATACTAAGTGAGGAGCAGATTAGGATTCGTACCGTGTTCGGTCAATAGGTACTCCGTACCTACGGACTAGCGAACTGAGATACCTCACGACTGCCTGGTAACTACTATGGTCTCATGGGTAAATCGTGTAATGAAACTCGCTTAACCGGGGTGCAAAACAGCTGCCGCTTGAATCGTCGAAGGAGCAGTTGGCATGGCATTGAACAGGAGCCCTCCTGCCACACAAATTGTCCTCGCTGCTGTTTGTCGTCGAATGGCACCCTAGCGCCAAATTACACGATTTACCCATGAGACCATAGTAGCTCTCGCATTCGCAACCAATCAGGATCACCGACACCTTTGAGCAAATATCAATCACACTTTGATCTGTTGGTTGATGAAAACTCCAGATTATTGCCTAATCAAGAAATACTAGCTACTCCTTTAGGCAATATTTCATCCTTTCACTCCCAGAAGTGACGGCGAATGCTGATTGGTTCCGAACGCGAGCGTCGATGTCGAGTGGTGCTTACCCAACCTCAGAGGTGCTATTAGGCCTAGCAAGGCATTTGCAAAGGAGACTGGCTCGCGAACATCCGTGGCTTGGGCTGCGATATGGATCGTAATACTCGTAACCAGTGGTTGGAGAACCAAAGTGTCCAGCAAAAACCGGAAATAAAACCAGAAGAGACCTGCAAGCAAACCCAAACGGGCCAAAAAGACATGTTGGATTTGATTCATTCCTTCTCTATGGCATTCGGGCAGTAATTCTTCCCGGATCACTGTAGGGCTGGGCTGTATTGACCCGACCCGCCTGACTAGAGTTCTCAAATCTGTACCAGTCGTGACCTTAAACGCTTTCCCTCTCAGCAAGGCTGGATCAGAATCAATAGCCATCCATGCGCATGCCTCAACAGACCCGATCATCGCCGTATAACGCCATTCGATATGCTCAGATGACTGAATGTCTTTCTTGCGACCAGCTTCCAGGACGAAGTGGTCGGTTTTCGAGATCGCTCAAGACCCCGTTTTCCAGGGCTTTGTAGTGATGTCCATTTGGTACCTCTACTGCCGACATTGGTATGTCTCATGGCTCTCCATTCCTGAGATTAATCCTGCCGGCCTTTCAATAACCGCTTCGTGACCTTGTCCTTCTCGATGATGTAGACATGTGCGCCCCAACCGGACAGTGCGTCTCGGTCGACGGCGTTCAGGAGAGCTTGTGAGATGGTTTCGAACAGGTCTTCAGGTCCCTGTTGAAGATATTAGCTACCGCCACAATAGAGATGTTTGGAGACATACCAAGTCAGGCTCCCATAGTCCTTCGCATGTACCGAATAATTGATCACTCGCCGTACCAGCCACGATGAAGTCTTTGGCAAAGTCAATGCAGCCTATACTGTCGAAGCCGCAGATGAATGGTTTTCCTGTCGTATGATTGATGCCAGCCAGCACTGGACTGACGAACCAAGGACCAAACCTCCTCTCGTACAGACTGCTGGAGACCAAGTTGGCCAGGGTCTGTGGTGAGATGTTGCGTTCCTCTCTTAATCGGTACATGTTGACTTTGTAGCGGAATGTGTCGCTGACAGTCTGGACGTCCGTGGCTAGGCCAGCCAGACCTAGATATACGGAGGGCGCGAAGGGGAAGATCTTCGGGAAGTTGTTCGAAACGGTTAATGATTGGAGACCGAGACGGAGATCGCATGCAATGGCGACGCAGTCTTTGCCGACCATTGCGACACAGGCGCCGCCATCTGCGAATGAGTTAGAGTAGAGATGGCATTGGGGGTAGCAGAAAGCGTACTGATGTCGAACGGAGAGCTCTGTAGAGGAGAGTGTTAGTGTTGTATCTAGCCTGCTGGCAGGTAGAAGAGCTTACCATTTTTGATGGAGTGTTCTGAGGAGCGAAGCGGGCAGAGAGAAAGGGCAATCAAAGGATCACTGGAGCATATACAAGGTGTTGAGAGAAGGAGAATGTTGATAGCAATTGACCAGATGGATAGTCGTTCTGCCGCAGGCAATTGCAGCAAACGCGTACTGGGTTAGCGAGGCTCAAAAATGGAGAGGCACCTAAGAGGGACCAATAGGCGTGACTCCTTCCCCGAACGGCTCGCTATGTCATCGTTGGCTGCCTTTCACGTTACGCCGCTGCGCTGCGGAGGAATTCACCACCACGACTATCAACATATGCCAGCATCAGGCGGCAATCCGAACACTTCTAGACTGTTCTATTTTACACGTCCACTTAGTTAGCATCCAACTTATTCATTCACATTCATTTCCTCACAGAAGTCTTCAAGGAACCATCATCTCCATCATCCTCTCACCCCACCTTACCCTACCACAGCCTAGCCAGGCGAGATGGCTTCCCACGTCGTGGTCATCGACTCGGCCCTCCGACGAACAACAATCAAAACTACTCCGAATACATCCCTCAGCGAAGTGTTAGAAGAAGCCTGCAGTAAGCTGGGATTGAATGCTGCTCAGTACGGCCTCAAGTGAGTGCTAGAACCCGGTTTGTCTGACCATCTGGCTAACGAACGTTAGACACAGTAACAAACAAGTCGACCTCTCAAGAACAATACGGCTAGCCGGCCTCTCTGCAGGCGCCAAACTTGAACTCGTTCAACTCTCCAAATCCGCCGGCGTTGTGTCGGTAGCACTGCAACTCCCAGAGTCAGAAGCGGGAGCAACACCCAATGCAAGACTCACAGACAAATTCCCCAGCTCAACAACGTTATGGCTGGTGCTGAGAAAGTTTGAAGCTGGAGTTGCTGGAGCCAGTGGTTCTCGGAATTTCACAGCAAGAGGGGTCCCTTCGACAAGCCAAGATGGTTCAGGAACATTGTATTATGAGCAACCGGTCATACAAGTCATGAACAGAGAGTTGTCGTCGTTTACAGATCTACAAAAGTCATTGGCACAACTAGGCTTCAACAGTGGCTCTGTACTGCTGAGGTTGAGTTTCAGGATCACCGACACACCTCTGGAAGAGGCGATGGCTCTGATACAAGGATATTTTGACTCTGTAGAGCCATCAACGAGTACGACAGCACAGGCTCAAGCCACAGAACCCCCAGCCCCTCTCGAGCCGTCTGTGGAAGCAGCAGAGCCTGCTCCATCAGAAACAGCTCTTTCTCAATCCCAGGACGAATCCCAGCCTCCTGCGCCTTCCTCCCCACAGCCAGAACCGATAACGACGGCCACAAGTCGTCCAGTCTCTGTCTTCCGACCACCAAGTTCATCCACGCCTGCGGCTGCTCGCCAGCCACATAACGATGGGGACTACGCGCCTACTGTCGAACATGCACATGTCCACCAGAAGTTGCTTCAACAGAATGGGAGAAACACCAGATTACTCACCGACGCGCAGTTAGCAGCACAAGCGAAGGAAGAAGCCGCGAAGTGGGCTGCAGTGAAAGATGTCGAGATCAAAATCCGGTTCCCAGATCAAAGTGCAGCCAGTGCCAAATTTGGACAATCCGATTCGGCAGCAGATTTGTACAACTTCGTCAGAGAGTGTTTGGCAGAGCGGTGGCGGTCAGAACCGTTCCTTCTCAGAAATCCTGGTGTTCGAGGGAAGAATGATGTAATCTCAGATGATGCAAATCAAAAGGTGATCAAAGATCTTCAGCTCAAGGGTCGAGTATTGGTCATCTTTGATTGGGTTGACAGCAAAGCCAGCGTTGAAGCCAGGAGCACAAAGGCTGTCTTGAAAGAAGAATTAAGGTCTCAAGCTCAAGAGTTGAAGGTGCATGACGTATCTGGTGGTGTTGAAGATCAGCATGACCCGGGTATGAAAGTAGACGTCAGTAAGAAGGAGACAAAACCCGACGATGGAGGAAAGGCGAAAATGCCCAAATGGCTGAAGGGTTTCAGCAAGAAATAGACGTTGACCTGGTCCGTTGAGGATTGTATGACTTTTAGCGTGGCCGTGGCATTGCAGCGTACTATCTTAGCATGAAAGAGAGAGTGAGAACATGATATATGAGACTTCAACGACTTCACCAAGTAAGCTACAAGAAACTTCCGAAGGCTAGCACCCACTGGCATGAAGGGATAGAGCCTGAACGGCCTGGTAAGCCTCGGAACGCAAGGCTGTAGTTAGCCCCCTCACGCATCCAGCACGTGACGCAAGGACGACACGTTTTCGCGAGGAAATAGTGGGTCCCGAATATTGCGCCCACAATTGGATTTTGGCTGGAGCGTAACGAACCTGCGATTGACCATTGACTTGACAATAGCACCTCACAGTCGCCCCGATTTCGTCCTCGCCTCTAGTCAGTGACCAGAACACAGTCAACATGCCTTCCGAAATCACCGATATCAAGCAGTTCCTTGAGATCGCTCGGAGAAAGGATGCGAAGGGTGTGTATGCGTCCACACCCGTCCTCGTATCTTCAGAAGCGGCATGAACGACATATGTGTAGCAAAGACGGAAGAGGACGTGGAATATGGAAAGAGATATGCTGACACATGTGCGATTTGACTAGGCGCCCGTCTGAAGAAATCTTCCAAGAGCAAGGACATCAAGATGAAGATCCGATGCAAGCGATACCTATACACGCTCATCCTCAAGGATAGCGCCAAGGCGGATAAGATCAAGCAGAGTCTACCTCCTAGTAAGTTTCTTTGCCCAGAACAATCTCTCGAAATCTTCAGTCTGTGGAGTTACTCCATCGAATGGGCGTGGCGTGGTCAAAAGCGAAACGGGAACAGAAGGAGCGCAGAGATACATGGGTGAGATGTGATAAGGAAGAGAAGGAAGACCACAGACTCAGCGCCGTGGGAGCGAAGCAGATGGAAGGACTGGACAGTGAAGCACTAGAGAGGGGAGAACGCATGCTAACACTTCTGTCTCCTCTAGCCATGCCGTTCCAAGAAATCAGCAAGAAGAACAAGAAGCCCAAGAAGGCGTAAACGAATTGCTCGAGATGGAGGCACATTGGGACGGAAGCACGCGGAAAAGGTCTGGAACAGACATGAGCGGATGACTGTCGGGCATTTACCGGCCAAAGGTCCTGGCACCAACATGTTCTACGTTGACAAAGTTGAGATGTTGCTATCAACATCGACGAAGGCACAATCCGTTTGATGGCATATGAATGTTCGCTCACAGCCTCAGTTACGCAAAGGGGATGCCACCCATGATGCAGTGATAGAAAACGAAAAGAGAGTCTTCAAGGCATTTAAAGTCGTTTAATGATCTTCTGCATGATTTATCTTCCTTGTTCTCGATGTTGGTAATTTATGATGGGCATGAATAGCCTATCTCCTCGTAGCCCTCCACGAACTTGGTCATACGAGACGCAGAGCTCAGCAGCTTATCGACCCCATCCCGGCCGAGCCGTAACTCGTACTCTCCAAAATACGAAGGAGCACCGCTAGTCTTGTGAAAGCCCAGGCCCTCAAAGAGCGCAATACTGCGATGATTCGACTCCCCTATCTTGACAGCGAAATGGTCGAACCGACGCAGATGGCCAAGAGGCTGCGATGACGGTTGGGCACGTCGAAACTCCTGCAAGATGTCCATTTCGTGTCGAATAATGTATTGCAAAAAGGCCAACAGCGCGCATCGACCGTATCCCTTGCGATGCTCGCCTCGTTCGGCAATCATGAGTTCGAGTTCGCCAAGGAAGATGGGCTTGCTTGCTTCGTCTTCTGCAAGCGAGATGAACAGGTTGACGTCTCCAATCATGGATCCGACATCTAGGCGTCCCTCGCGGGTTGCTGGAAGAGCGAGGCCGGACCGGCAGATGATGAAGGTCAATTTATCTGCGTCGGCTCTCCAACTTTGTTGCATTGCATACTCCTGGTCCAAGGTAAGAGGTTCAGAAGCCGTGGCTAGTTGGATTTCCTGTTGATCATGAGACTCGTAACGATATCGGCTGGAGACGGCGCCTACTGGATCTTTCATCCATTCATGATACTTCGGGACATGATGTGCAGAATAAGGCACCAAGAGCACTTTCTCCGTCGTGACGGCTGCGGATGATTAACATCACTCAGGAAGAATCGATGCTCATACTGACCAGTGTGCTCGTTGATGCGCATTTTTCATTTCATCCATCATCAAGTCGTACAAATACAGGAGGAACTAGATCATGTCGATGGTACAAAAATATTTCTCGGGGGTTGGTCCGAAGATATGCCGGTGGTTCAGCCTTGCAGCGTCATGATCCGTTCAGAGCTGTCGAAGGATCATGAATGTCAAACTTGACCAACTCAACTTCCAGAGTCTCGGCGTCGACTAAGACTAGCTCTCCGGTCTCATGGAACCTTGGAATCGTGATCAATCGCACTTGTTGGTCGCCAGGTCCGTCAACAACGGTCGTGTCGAATCTGGGCTGATTGCCGACAAAGAAAACGTGCGGGCATTGTTCCATCACGAACTGATCCCGGTCTTGGAAAGGGTAGCACCATAACGTGTCTGGTGCTGTAGGCGCACCGCATCTCCATCTCAACATGCTGGCGATGACTTCGAGCCGTCCATCGGCACCTTTTCCCTCAGGACCGCCATAATCCACATACTTGAGGATATCGTCGACTGGTTGACCACTGTTTCCCATGAACCGCCACCCTTCAATGTCGCCATCCCAGGGATTTGTGACGTTGTCTAGCCATCCAGGCTCTTCTTCTTCAGGGTCGCTAACATTAGCGGTGGTATAGGCGCGTGAATGTGGGAACATGGCAGGGTGGATCGGTTGTTGAGGCATGCTAACATTTGCTGGATCTTGTTCCCCTGGTAATAGTGTAATGGGTATGCTGGGAAGCAGTTCGGCGAGAAATTGATCGAGGTGAGCGGTCGGTGTAGGATTATAAGATGCAGAGTCGTAGCCATATTTTCGGTTGCCAGGTTTCTTGCCGTCCTCAATCGACGTCTGGTGAGCAATCAGGTCCGAAGCAACAGAGTTCCCGGCGATTATCAAGCGGGATATTGTGGTGGCCTCTTGTCTGTCTTCCGCATCCAAGGATTCGCCGAGCAGGAACTCAGTCAATAAGGACAGATTCAACGTATCCGCATCTGTTCCTGAGATGTCTAGGCCGCTCGCAATCGCGATCTTCTTCCGTGGCTGATCAACGTCCATTTTCTCTTCAACTGGGTCCCCTTCCCACCTCTTTGGCTGCGGCGGCAGGTCGGGAATGTGCAGGTCCAGGATCTCAAAGTCCCCATTGGCGTTCTCCGTTCCAAGAACTGCGACAATAACGCCAGTGACTAGCAAGCTGTTCTTCAACATTGCTCCTGTGAGCCGTAAACGACCAGATTCGTCTTCCAACATGACTTGTGTATCTCCGTTCTCGGAGTAGTAGGGGTGACGCGGCGGAGGTCCTGCTACCCAGTGTTCTTTCGAGATATCCTCGAGGATGTTTGGCTTCAAGGGCATGTCCATGTAAATTGTCCCCACGACCCAGCATAGTTGACCCTGTCGGACATCCAAGACTCTTTCTACTCTTTGGGCTTTTTCTCCCGCAATCTCGAAGTCTTCCCAATCTTCAGACGCTATAGCTTCAACAACTGGCTTGAGTTTTGCGAGTCGGAGGAAGTACATGTCGCCATATTGCTGCACATAGTGTTTGTTCTCCCCTCGTAACAGCCGGTAGGAGTAAAGTGGGTTGTATGCGTTCGGGGTTCTGCTTTGCACCGGGAATGTCTCATCCTTTTGCAACGGGCGAAGCAGCCCTTGAATCGGTGCCATTTGGGGCGATGTGTCGTTGCTGAGGGCGTGTGGGCAATTAGTCTGGGCAGATGTACTGATTGTACACAGGCACACAGGACACAGACTCGGGAATAAATTGTTCTAGCCTTGACGCGCAGGACGCGTTTTGCCGGCTAATCGACCACCAATTGCAAGTGGGCATCAGCGGTGCGCCCTAGGCCTCGGCCGCGGCCGTTCTAGAGGCTTACCAGATGATGCCAGGTTGTGTTAGGTACGGATAGCGAGCCCAATGCACGTCAGACAGTGGGAACCGATTGGTGCATGATGGTGCCAGGCTGGTGCCATTGGACTCTGGACTGCAACTATCGGAATTTTATTCCGACATGAAATCCATGAATGCTGTCCAAGTTTTTCTCAATATATATCCAACGAGAGCCGGAAGTATGAGGAACAGAATGCATGCTACTATCCCGCTCCAATGTCGGGCTACCGCCCGATCAGCAGCAAGACGCCGGGACTCCCTGCTGTGCATTCACGAGAGCCAGAGTTACGGCCACGCAAGAATGTATCCTTTGCTTGCCAAGGCTGTAAAGAAGCTCGACGAAAGGTTCGTCTGGAAGAATCAATAAGTCATCTATGTCTCCAGAAGCTATGCTATCTAACACCATGCAACAGTGCAGCGGCAAACACCCGTGCGAAAGATGCGAGGAAAAAGGCCACGAATGTGTCTTCGATCAAGAAAATGACGGTCGGCATAAAGCCAAGCTGAGACTCAAGATACAAGAACATGAAAACGACAGCAGGCTTCTTCATGCCCTGCTTCATACGCTCCGTGCCAGCTCAGATTCGGTTGTCGAGGAAACTTTGTCGTTCATTCGAGGCAATGGATCGCTGGATGCATTGAGGCAGTATCTGCAGCAGAGGAACCATTTAGACCGATCTGATCAGGCATCGACGTCTGACAATGGCAACACGCCCAGCCAGCCTGAGACTACTCCACCAACGGAAAACGAGCCTTCCGAAAATGGTCCATCAAAGAACAACACACGACGTAGAGTGCTGGATGTGGCCGATCTGCTGGACCAGTAGCCGAGCGAGTCACCAGCTTCGAAAGTACCCGCCTTGATAAGGTCACTGCCAGCTCCCTGACCTCAGTCGAATCTGAGCATCGCGTTTGTCGAATGCAAGCTCTGCAAAAGATGCTCTCAGTATGAAACGCATGCCGAACCGTTCACGGCGTATGGTTAATTCGATTGCTGACAAGTGCTTGGGCCCAAAACATTCCGAACACACTCCCCGGGAGGTGCACCATCCTCCAGTAAGCGGAGGCACAAGCAGCTCGTAGAGAACTCCTCTTCATAGCAGCATTGGAGGAATTTGGCACAGGATCAAGATGCGGAGTCCAAGATGTATGCCAGGGGTGTCCATGCTGGCCTGCTCGCAACCCCTGAAGCAGACCAGTACAGACATTTCCTACCCATGAGGCGAACAAGCTGCGAATCCAGCCGGGATTCCTATCGGGCTATAAATGCGTTGAGCCTGGACACGGTGGCAGCTAGAATACGACTCAACGCTCCTCGGCATTGCTCGGTCAGGATTCGCTGTCAGCTTTGAGCGGCATCTTGTGTCGCCCCCTTTGGCACCTATCGAAACTCGTACAGCGAAGGCCATCGCGCTTGAAACATGATTGCCTGACATGAGCTCTTGTCCAGGATGGCGTCATCTCGCCGGTCGCGTTCTCTGAGTCTGCGAAATCCTGGAGCTCGCTATGTTAAGGTCAGGCGTGAGAGGTAGTTTCGTGGCTTGGAAGGGAACATGCAAATCGTCGTTCTTTTCACAGTGCTGATAGCTGTGTACCTGTTGCCGAAGACGAGGCAGACAGCGCACAAGAGATCCGCTGATAACTCCATGTTGCTGCCAGTCCTGGAAGTCGAGCTTTGCGGCTACATGAGAAGCTTGTCCTCCACCAAGAGCGACTGGATAGTGCAGGTATCCCCGATCGTTTCAACAATCGCCGCACATCTAAAATAAGTGAGCAATATCACGGATTGAAATCGGTCGTGATGTGAGCGATGCAGAAGCTGGCCACGTCGGTTGAAGGTCCTTCAGAAACGAGCCATGCTGATGTCGTGTGGCTGCGCCTTACCAAAGCTTCTGCCAGCAGAATCTCAGTTAACGACCACACAGTTCTGTTTGTGGCCTCCTTTTAAACTGCTCCTCAATACTTTGGTACTGCGTACGTCCGAGGAAGGTGCGAAGACAACAGTGTCAAAAGCAGTTCTTGGAGAGAAGGCCATAGTCCGGTCGTATGATGATGAATGCATGATATGGGAGTCGAGGCTATCAGCAGGTACCCAGCCGTTCCACTGATTAACACTCTGCTATTCAGGCATCCTAGTGAAGTGTTGTGATAGCTCTGCCAGAAAATTGCGCTTTCATTGAACAGTGATACCGGAACTCGCGCAACCAATCAGACAGCTGACATTGGGAAAGTCTTGAATTCACGTAAGCTGGACAACAGTTCCTCAAATCTGCTAGAATGCGGAATATATAAGGACTGGCTGGTAGTGTTCATACCTGTGCTCGTCTGAAGTGGGACTCTTCATCCGCGAATACCAAATCCCAAGGATAATCGACATCATTGGGAGATGGGGTGGTCTGACAGGAACACTCTCGCCAATGCGGCTGTTCCAAACGGAATCCGAGTTGTCAGACATAACCACTTTCGTAAGATTCTCTGAACCTCATTCAGATTTTCTCAATTTTCTCGACCTCCTCATTCACAGGAAGAGCCAAAACCACCGACGAGCTCCCATAGTCCCAATGCTACTCCTCCGTATCCCCTTGGCGCGCCAACCCGAGTCCATGCCAGCGATGCCAATCGCAAAATATACCAGGTAGGATGGCTGAGCTCGTATCATCAGTTTACTGCTTCTATTCAGAAGCCTCGGTCCGTTCGGGACTTGCTACCGACCCCACACTTTCTATTGCCTCCAGAGGGAGGTAATCCCCAGATTTATCTCGAGAGATGCTGACTGCCTTGCTATTCTTTCTCCCTTATCCATCCTCTGCTCCTTGCGAAGAAACCTTCACTCTCCTTCCAGTTTGCTGTCTACAATGTCGTCGCCTCCGCCCCTAAATACACCACTAACTAAGCTCTTGGGCATCAAGTATCCCATCATGCTCGCCGGCATGGCGCGCACGTCTGGAGGTCCGCTCGCGGCAGCAGTGTCCAACGCAGGCGGTATCGGCACGATAGGTGGCCTGGGCTACACGCCAAAGCAATTACAAGAGGTGCGCTTCCCCCGTCACTACAACCGAGCCAAATCTAACGCGCCCAGATCATCGACGACCTAAAATCCAACCTCGCCGACCCATCCCTCCCATTTGGTGTAGACCTCGCGCTCCCCCAGGTTGGCGGCTCGGCCCGCAAGACGAACCACGACTACACGCACGGCCAACTCGACGAGCTCATTGAAGTCACCATCCGCAACGGAGCCAAGTTGTTCGTGTCTGCCGTCGGCGTCCCTCCCGCCCGGACGATCAAACGCTTGCACGAAGCAGGCATCCTGGTGATGAACATGGTCGGTGCTCCCAAACATGCTGAAAAGGCCTTGAGAGCGGGCGTCGACATCGTCTGCGCCCAGGGCACCGAGGGCGGTGGACATACTGGGGATATCGCAAACAGTATTCTCATTCCCGCAGTGTGCGATGTCGCCAGGAACTACAAGTCTCCGCTGACGGGCGAGCCCGCACTGGTTGTTGCGGCCGGTGGGATCTACGACGGGCGCAGTTTGGCGAGCAGTCTGATGCAAGGCGCGGTAGGTGTCTGGGTCGGAACAAGGTTCGTCGCGGCCGAAGAGAGTGGCGCGAGTAAGTTGCACAAAGAGGCTGTTGTGACGGCGGATTTTGCGGATACGCTGCGCACGCTGGTCGTGTCGGGGCGGCCACTCAGGTGTAGAATGAATGACTATGTGAAGAAGTGGGAGGACCACCCTGAGAGGATCAAGGAGTTGACGGACAAGGGAATTGTGCCTATGGCGTATGATCTCGAGCAGGAGAACGAGATTGATATGCCGTATTTGATGGGTCAGGTCGCTGCTATTGTCAAGGATATCAAACCCGCAAAACAGATTGTAGATGAGATGGTCACGCAAGCGGTGGATATGCTGAGATTAGGACACACATATATCAAAGCACCACAAAGTAAGCTGTAATCCCAGGTGAGGACCAAGGAATGCGATGAGTTTACAAATACACTATCAATGTGCTTCAATTGTGCGACGACCTTCTGCTTCTGCTGACATATAAATGCACCAGAAGAATAAGATGGATAGCCAAAACATGCAGTCCTAATGTTTGGTGCCGTTGACCAGCGCCGAAGCTGTCTGGCCATTAGCCTTGTTGGCGACCATCTCCGGCGGAGGCACCGGCCCGAATACAGGTTTGCTGATCTCGACCGCGGACTCCTCCTCGTCTTCGTAACTAATGTCGTCGTCTTCTTCGTCTTCATCACCGTAACCTTCCTCGTCCTCTTCGTCGTACTCACTAGATTCGATCAATTCCTGTTGGATGGGAGGACCTCGGCCTTGCTCTTGCATGGTCTTGATGATGTTCCGCATCTGCTGCTCCTGCTTACGGAGCCGCTCGAGGTCTTCCTTGTCTCGGGTACGTTCCTCGGCCATTTCAAGAATGTTGCGATTCGTCTGGTCGTGCTTCCTCGATAACGTCGCATTCTCCTTTTCGAGCCGCTTCGTCTTCTTCGACATTTCCTCCATTTCCTTGCGAAAGGTGAGGAAGAGTTCGTTACTGTTGTTGAGTGTATCTTCCACCTGCTGCATTGTGAGCAACATTTCAGCCATTGTATCGACAAAATAGATGGGGAGTTGGAGAGGGACTAACCTGCTTGAACTTCTCGACGTAGATGTTGAGTTGACTCCGAAGTTCTGCTTCGGTGTGCGTAAAAGTAGAGACTTGGTTGGTAAGCGTTCTACACCGTGCGGCCTCTGCGTCTGCTCTCCGACGTTCAACTTCGTGCTTCGCTTGTAAATGAGCGATCTCGGCGTCTTTGTGTCGGAGTATGGCTTTGAAGTGCATCTCTCGGATATCTGCTTGATCCGCTAGTACTTTGCACCGCGTCTTGAATCTAATGGGGTGATTAGCATATTCATTCCCGCAGATTTGAGGTGCACACACAGCTCGTCCAGTTCTAGATGGAGGTTCTCAGAATGAGTGGACGTCTTGGAGTTCATAACTTCCTGAACGTCGTAAAGCATCTGATCCAGTCGTTCGTTGATGTTCTCACGAGCCCGCTTTTCCGTCTCTTCAAGTTTCTTATTCTCGTCTTTGAGCTTCTTGTTCTCTTTCGTCAGTTCGCGGCATAGCTTTTCCAGCTTGTCTTTCATGGTCGCGGTCTTGTTAAACTCAGACTTGCCCTTCTCCTGCTCTTTCTGTAATTGATCGGCCCGCTTCTTTGTTTTCTGGTATTCGCGTTCTACCTTCTGCATTTCTCTCAACAGCTCTTCATATTTCTTTTGCACCACCTCAAGTCGGCTCAAGGGTGCCTCGACGCTACTAATCAACTCATTCAGGTCCCGCTGGGCCTTCTTAACTTCCCGGTCGACTTCCGCCTGCTGAGTCTTTTCGCCAGCCTTTTCTTGCTCGAGCTGCGATAATCGTGCCTGGACCAATTTCGCATTCTCTTCCGCACTCAGTTGTTTATCTTTCTTCGCCTTGGGCTTCTTCGCCGCCGGCGCAGGCGGAGGCAAATCTTGCGGGTCGCCATTTGTAACAGTCGTGGTTTGCGAGACCGGGCTTTGCGCAGTGGTAGCCATATGAAGGGCCTTGACAGATGCCTCTTGCTGCTCTCGAATATCTTTTCAACGCCCACAGCAATCGAGGAAATGCTCTCTTGAGGTTATGTCGTCGTACATCTGAGAACTAAGGATAAATCCGCAGGCAGTCGGTTGCAGTGTGACGCGAGCTGGGCTGCGCTGCAGGGAGATTATGGTGCGAAGGGAGTCAAGGTGCTTCGTGCGGATTGTTAGGCCACGAAAGGTAGGGTCAGAGTCAATGTCGTCGAGCGAGTACGGCTGTGGTGGAGAGAATGCGCAGATCTTTTGCTCCGAGGGCCAAGCCAATCTGTATGATGCACCAGTCTTCCGCTCGAACAAAACATCGACTACCTGGCAAAGAACAAGCAATAAACGATGTTTTGCAGGACCTGGGACTGGTTGTGATCTTACTGTCTTGCGCATACAACCAGACAGACTTGAGCAGAATTGATTGACGATACTGGACTGGGAGGCCATCGAAAGCACGTGACTGGGCGAAAGAGGCATTTTTGGGACTTCGCCCTTTGAATTGTTCTCGTCAATTAATTGTCCATCAACACGAGTCCGTTCTCTACCTTACCATTGCGAGCCTCTACGCGGTTGAGATTGCGCCTTCCTGACGAGTCCCTCTCCTCTGCGCCGAATTCCGTACGGACTGTCATGCTTAGGCATGGTGTTCTTCGCCATGGCCTACACCATTGCCCCAGAAAACCTACATCCAATGTTATAGTGCCGAAGATTCCGTTGTCGGCCAGGAGAGGATACGCTTCAGTAACAGATTTGGAGGCTTACCCGAAGCCAGGAGAGAGCATACATGGATTCACCTTGAAAGAGATCAAGCACGTCCCCGAATTGCACCTGACAGCATTACGGTTAGAACATGACAAGACAAAGGCAGAATACTTGCATGTGGCTAGGGACGACAAGAACAATGTCTTTGCCATCAACTTCAAGACAAACCCCACGGACCGAACAGGGCTACCACATATTCTGGAGCATGTCACACTATGTGGAAGCCAGAAATATCCAGTTCGAGATCCTTTCTTCAAGATGATGCCCAGGTCTCTCGCCAATTTCATGAATGCTTTCACGTCGTCGGATTATACTTCATATCCTTTTGCGACCACGAATTTGCAGGACTACCGCAATCTGTCCTCGGTATATCTTGACGCAACCCTGCATCCATTACTCAAGCGTACAGATTTTCTGCAGGAAGGATGGCGACTTGGACCAGAAGACCCTCGTGAGCCGGCCACGGAGGACAACGTCAAGTTCAAAGGCGTCGTGTACAACGAGATGAAGGGCCAGATGTCGGATGCAAGCTACCTATTCTACATCAGATTTAGAGAGCACCTATTTCCTTCTCTTCACAACTCTGGCGGAGATCCAGAGGTAATGACTAATCTCACCCACGAACAACTCGTTGACTTCTCCCGCGAACATTATCATCCAAGCAATGCAAAGATATTTTCTTATGGCAGCCTTAGTATTGCGGAACATCTCCAGCACGTCAATGAGACAATCTCAGAATTCGACCAGACGGCGCCAGACTCGGACATCAAAATGCCGATCGATTTCTCCAACGGTCTTTCATTTGAGGTGCCAGGCCCTCTTGACACCATGCAACCGGCAGATCGACAATTCAAATCCTCCATGACCTGGCTAGGCTGCGAGACTTCGGACATCGTGGAGACCTTTTCTGTCAGTATCATGATGTCGCTTTTGATGAACGGTTATGGCTCTCCTCTCTATCAAGGTCTGATAGAATCAGGTTTAGGAACGAACTTCAGTCCGAATTCCGGTTACGATAGTTCCACCAAAGTTGGGACTTTCTCAATCGGGCTAGATGGAATGAAGGCCGAAGACATTGCTGGCTTGAAAGACACCATTCGGACCGTACTGAGAGAAAAAGCGCATGAGGCCTTTTTGCCTCACAAAATTGAAGGATACATGCATCAGCTAGAGCTTAGTCTCAAGCACAAGACTGCAAATTTCGGGATGGGCCTTCTTGAGAAGACTTTGGCTGGATGGTTCAATGGCGTCAATCCCATGGACGGTCTGGCCTGGAACGATATCATCAGCGCATTCAAATCACGTTTGAAAGACGAAAGATATCTGGAGAAGCTGGTGCAGAAGTACTTGTTAGGCGACGGGTGCGTGCAGTTCACGATGAAGCCGTCTGAATTGTATGGATCGACTCTAGACAAACAGGAAGAGGAACGAAGAAAGTCTATCCTGGAAAAAATCAAGAAAGATGCAAGCTCACCGGAAGCAGCGATTTCTCAACTTGGCCAGCAAGAGCTCCAGTTGCTTGAAGAACAAGAGACCTCCCAGTCCAAGAATCTGGACACGCTCCCGACTCTCAGTGTGGACGATATTGCTCGAGTGAAGCAAAAGAAGCCTCGATATTCCTCAAGGATTGGCGAGGTCAGTTGCCTGTGGCGTGAAACATCCACCAATGGAATCACATATTTCCAAGCCAAACACTTGCTGAAAGGGCTTCCCGAAGAACTCAGGCTTCTGATGCCTCTATTTACCGAATCTTTGATGCGATTGGGTACCAAAGTCAAATCCGTTGGAGATATCGAAGCCGAAATTCTTCTGAAGACTGGTGGTATCTCTATTGCCCCTTTTATTGCTCCCGAGCCTTGGAGCTTGGACGGGTACAAAGAAGGCTTGCTCCTAGACGGCTATGCGCTCGACAGAAATGTTCCGGCAATGTTTGACCTCATGCGCACATTGTTGTTGGAGATCGACTTCACGAACTCGAAGGCTGTTGCTGCCATACAGGAGCTTCTCGAATCAAAGACCTCTGGTGCTTTGGATGCTGTTGCTGAGAGTGGCCATCATTTTGCGATTACAAGTGCATCTGCTGCGCTTACCAGCAGAGGCAGAATCCAGGACCAGCTGTCTGGATTGACACAGATTGAGGCAACGGCTCGAACATTGGACGCTGCACGAAAAGATCCCGGAAGCCTTCAAAAAGTCATTCACAAACTGCAAAGAATTCAGTCCTTTGCTATCAGCAACTCGAGTGAGCTTTCAATGCGAGTGGTATGCGAACCTGATTCGGTTTCCACCAACCGGAGCCTGATTGAAGAATTCCTTGCGAAGCTCCCACAAGGGGGGCGGGTCATTACAGGTTCCGGCTCTTCTGATGCCGTGCCAGGCTCTTCCCTCTCACGGCGAGCCTTTTTCAATCTGCCTTTCCAGGTCTCCTATACTGGAACATGTCTACAGACCGCGCCATATTCTTCCCCCGATAAAGCACCCCTTACAGTACTCGGTCAGCTCCTGACTCACAATTTCCTACACCCCGAGGTCAGGGAGAAGGGCGGCGCGTACGGTGCTTCAGCAAGTGCCAGTCCCATCAGTGCGCTTTTCACGATGTCGTCATACCGCGATCCCAATCCCCGAAACTCCCTACAGGTCTTCCAGCGTGCTGGAGCCTATGCACGAGACAAGGAGTGGAGCGGCCGGGAGCTGGAAGAGAGCAAACTGAGCATCTTCCAAGGCATCGACGCTCCCAGGAGTGTTAGCAGCGAAGCCAGCAAAGAGTTTATGTATGGCATAACCGAAGACATGGACCAGAAAATGCGCGAGAACCTGTTGGATGTTACGAAAGAAGATGTTCAAAGAGTTGCTCAGAAATACCTCGTTGACCTGCCCTCCGAACTCAAGTCTGTGTGCACCTTGGGGGAGAAAAAGGATTGGATCGCAAAAGACCCAGATCACTGGCAGGAGAAGAGCTTGCAGATGGCTGCATAGGCTCCGGCCAAGCCAGCTGGTGAGTGCTGCATAAAGTGTTGTATATTAATTCCACTCCAGCAGAGATACCCAATGTATTTATCTAATGCCCTCTATCCTGACTATTTTCGACGATTGTATTCTTCACTTTTTTGGACAGCGCGACTCGAACAGAACATACGTCTGCGGCCGCAATTATGCTATGGTCGGAGATCACAAGTCACAAATGCCCTCGAGCATTTTACCGCGCGAGATCGAAGGACCTGTTTGAATGACTTCCTGTCAAACTCGTCTCCGGTCGATGTTTGCTTGAGATTGTTCACTGGTTCATGACAGACCTATTTCAGACCTGTCGTTCTTTGAGATCAAGGAACAGCAGACTAGAGGTGTGCGTACATACTCACTTTGCTTCTTTTTATTTCATAGAGGTTATCTTCTCTTCTGAATTCCTTTTCTCCTAGCGAAGATTAACCTTGAATATAGGCTCTGTTTACAGGGTCAATCCAACTTCATATCCTTTTTATCACCTTGATGTGCCTGTGGCATCCGCGCTGGACCTCTGATATAAGGGGCATTCTCTTTACGTCCCTCAATATTTTCACTTTCTTCATTCTCCCTCAGTTATCCCTGCTTTCTCCATTACTTCTGGCCTACATGGGGTGCTTCTCATTTACTCTTGTACAATTCCTTCCATCCTTCTCCATCTCGAATCTCATTCTTCCTTGCCACAGCACCTCGATCCATTCTTAGTCCGTTCAAATTTCAGATCTTCCTTCTTTGATCCGAATTGTCTTTGATGCCATTCCGCATTGATCTACCTCCGCCTCGGTGTTCCAACATGGATGTCGAGATGAAGGTCGAGGACAGCGATTTGAGCACGTATGTCTGGTTGTTCAATCCTGCCTTTTTGCCTACCGATCTAACCCGATCATTCGTGTAGCTTTGTCTCACAACTCAACAAGGAACAACAACCAGACTTCATAATCTCAGTCGACGAGTACAGCTGGAAAGTCCATGGCCGGCGTCTTTCGAAATCGTCCAAATTCTTCGAAAAGCTCTGTGATGTTGAATCCCACGTATGACCTGTCCTCCAGTACAAGATCTACCAATCTGCCTAACTAACCACGGTTCATGTCCAGGACACGGCTAACCGCACAATCATGCTTCATGATGATGATCCCCTCCTCATCGCCTACTTGATCCGATGGTTCTACAAGGGCGAGTATTATGATCCTGATGATGACGGACAAGAGGACGATGACGATGATGAGCCCGCGAAGCTCAGCATACGTAAGATCATGGCTTCTGGTCGGAATGTGTCGGCAGGTGGAGATCACTTATCTGTGCCCGAGCAAAGGGCTTTGCATGCAATGATGTACATGGTCGCAGACAAGTACGGGATCGGCGAGCTGAAGGGGTTGGCGGTAACCGAGATCGAGACGCAGCTGAGTTGGGTCAAGGATTCCTTTCTGCCCACACTCGAGCACTTACTTGCTCCTCCCAATCCTACAACGGTCTCAGCCTCGTCCTCGACCTTGTTGTCGACCTCGAACAGTACTACCCTTGGATCAAACAGTAGGACGGCGACTCCGGCGACATCTTCGAGTACAACTGAAAGTCCAGCCATCACTCCCGGTGCAGCGCCCAATGAAGAGACAACTCCAGCTACAAATCCAAGTGCAGCTACAGATGCAGAGGCCATTTCACTTACAAGGAAGCAGAACGGAAATGCAGACGCAAGTGCAGGTCCAAGCACCCATACGGCCCCCGCTCCCACTGCAGGTACTGGTGTGAATAGCAAGCCGGCCCACAGAACCATCAACCCAGACTCCGACCCTGCCTTATGGACTGTTCTCGTCAAAACTACCGGCGACAGTCTTCTTGAGTACGGCGACATCGAGAGATTCAGCAAGATCATGCTTGGAAATGCCTTGTTCCAGTGGGCTGTTCTGCGGCAAGTCGCAAATAGACTGGCGGAGATGAGTGAGGAATGCAAGAAATTGACCGACACTGTAGACGCCACTCAGCCGAAGAAGAGAAGAAAGACTGCGGTCAAGAAGGCCGGGACTGCGGAGCCAGACGAGGGCAAGCAGGTGGCGGAGACCAAAGAAACGGAGAAGACACCTGTGAAAGTAAAGACATCTGCTGCCAAAGCGAAAGGAAGGAAACAGTCTGGTTCATGACCACGACGCTCTATCTGGCAAGGCACTCTGAGTGATGGTGTTAGGCTCTGGGGTATGGTAGGGAGGATGAGGTGCTGAGAGCAAAATGATCAAAAAGGAGGTCCAGAAGTTGGATATCACGCGGGGTTTCCTCGTATGAGGAGTGGTCTGAAAGAGAGTTTTTGCACATTCGCACAGCAAGGGACGATTTCACAGCTCAACAAGGCAGCTAACCAGTCTGGAGGCTTCGCGGATTGGCAATGGCGAGCGGATGATCTGTTGACATAGAAAGCAACCGACACCCATTTGGAGCTTTTGCGTATTTATGTATTCACGTTTTGGGAAGGTCTGCGATCTAATTGAAGTTCTTTGCTTGCAAATTATTCTCTCAACTGGACAAGATCCAGCGTAGGATTTATGATAGCAGGGAGCATATTTATTCATATATTACTGTGACACACATAACGCCGTAAACGCTCATGGCTCCTCCAGCATTGAATCCCTAGCCAGCCAATATAATATATCCATGCTCCTGAAGCCACCAACCATTTCGCCATGGAATTCTTGTACAACCGTGACCCCATGCGGATCACTCGCAGAGAGAAGAGCTTTTTGTCATTCGTAACCGTCGTTCACCCGCTCACCGGTACGAATTCATGCAATGTTACCCGCCATGCCCTGTAATGACTGGTTAGCACGAACGTTCACGGGCCCAGACCAAGTGTGTTGACTTTGGACGGTATCAGAAGAGCATTATTATGGGGAACTTACCAGGAAAATAGCCTGCACGGCCAACTGCAAACTCCACAGGCCGACTTTCTTGAACCGCCTCAACCGCGCCTGCTCGTCCGTGACATCGCTCGCAAAAGCATCGTACACTTCGGCCGACAAATCGTCCATAAGGCCCGAGTCGAACACGGTCCAACTCCCGTCGAAATCGGACAGGCGTTTCACCACGCGACAATTTATGGGAATGAACGTTCGGCGCGAATTGATGTATGCCACAATAGGGCGGATGAGCGCATTGTTGATGTACGACAGGTCGCGCGTGAAAAGGGGGACCACGGCGCGCACATCGTTCAAGTGTATCCTCAGATCCATGACGAGAAAGCGCTTGTCTTCCTCCCTGACCGCCTTCGGCGCGGGCGAAGCCGGATCGACGACAGATACACCGCCGTATGTGACGGTATCAACGTCGGATGTATCGTCGCGCTCTGTTGCCGGTTCGAAATGTTTGCGCGAAGTGAGCGCTGCTTCCATGCGCTCGTAGAAGTCGGTCACGACTTTCATTACGGACTCTTCACAGTCATTCGGGATCATCACGTCCGCGACGATGTCGACGTTGCCTTCGTGGATCCAGGACAAGGGGCCAACGGCGCCTCGGTTCAGATGGTCGATGTTCATCCCGTCGATGCGAATGCGGGATTGCTTCTTCCAGGGCTCGTTGGACGGGTCGTTGGGATTGGGCTCGTGCAGGGTGGCGCCAGTAAAAGAGTGAGTCTGCCGAGGGTGGATGGTGAATAATGACCGGTCGAATTCGCCGGTCATGCTGTTGGCGCAGAGGAAGTCGTAGAAAAGCCATTGTTTGCGGAGACGAGGGAGGTCGGCGTTATAGATGCTCACTGGAAAGGGGCGGAAACCTTCCGGTTGCAGGACGGTGACGAGCAGGTCTTCGATTTTGAATGATTCGATCTCGAAGTCGCCTGGATTGTGCTCGTGGCGGTAGGTCTTGGGGTCAATTTGTTCGCCCGTCCAGAAGACATGAGTCCGGTCGACGACACCTCGAATATGCTTTATCTCGACATTTTGCAGCGGGCCCTTGGAATTCCACCATTTGCTGAATGATAACGTGACGTTGATTTCGCCGATGGTAATGTCGAATTGTGTGTAGTTCTGCTCGTCTGGTGGGACTGGGTCTTCAATCGAGGAGGCTTGGGCAGCAGCTTCTGGGGAACCCTTGGTGACGCGAGACTTTCGTTGGCCGGGTCTTCTTGATACGAATACGTTCTTGAATGTGATGACTCCATCACTCCATTTCGGCACGATGGCTGATTCGAATACAACATGTAGACCGGAAGATTTAGTCAAGTAGTTTCCGATCCAGCCAGCCAAGGTTTCCTGCGCGAATACGGTATTAATGGCGAATATGGCGAGTGATACGAAGGTGGTGGTCCCGACAACAATCCAGATCACATGGCCTAGAGCAATCCATGAGATGAAACCGACGATTTCGTCAACGTTAAACGGTCGGGTGCTTTTGATGGTCAACCACTTAAAGCGAACCTTCAATCGAGACCAGAATCCGGTCGCAGCAGCCAGCAGCTCTTCCTTTGTCGGTCGATGGAACTGCGGCATATGTATTCTGTCGTAGAAGTGCTCATTCTGGGAATGATGCTGTCCTGATTCAGGTTTCGACGCATTTTGAGGCACTTCTCCCGCCTTCGAACTGTCATTGTTCACCTTTTGTTGGTCGATTCGCTCTCTCTTTATCTCTGGCTTTGCTCTGCCTCGCGGTGACTGGTGGAAGCCCCTTCTCAGCACCCAAGAGAACCTATCATGCGACCACGTCCCGGGGGTTCTCCTTGCTAACCGTAGACCCAGCGGCGCTGTATGCGCGGCGAAGCCACTATCCCCTGCTGTAGGATTACCACTGCGTGTGTGTGGTAGCAATTGCGCTAGTCCACCTCTTCTACCATAAGACTCCGACAAACTGATTGTCCTTCGTGGAGCATAGGTAGTGTAGCTATTCGTCTGCCCGGAGGAGTAATGTATCCGCCTTGGGACATGATATCTAAGGCTTCGATCACAGTATGATGAAAGCCTTTGTGTCACTGGAGTGGTTCGGGGAGGCAGGGTCGCAAACTTCGAGACTTCGCGTATGCCTCGGACAAAGACATTCGTCATATCTGTGTGGTCATAATGTCCAATGCAAGACTGTGAATTCGTCTATGCAGTTGGGTTCGTGGAATGCTGCTGTAATTGAAGGTGAGGTAAAATGACGGATGAGGAAGCATGTGCATGATGCAAGTTCAAAAGTTGCCTCCAGCCCGTCAATCTTCGAATCCACCGAGCACCCAAACGGTGCGGAGAAAATATTTCTCTGCCGGTCGACCGCCATGAAAGAAATCTAGATTTCTGCAAGACACCTGCGCTCGACCTATCTACCACCTTTGAACGAATCTACCTAGGCTACTCACTTCACGATGCCGGCTCCTACAGCGCTACAACGCGCCCCTCAGGCTCTCGCCGACACCGAATCACAACTCGAAGATTCCTCTCTACCACAACCCACCGCCGATGAGAGCGGCGACCTCGAAATTGTCACCATACCACAAGACTCTCTCCCCTCGAACGAACCTTCATCAGAGGATATCGGAATGCAAATTGACGAAGAAGGCCGCCCTCGCTTCGCACCCGTATCCACGCAATCAGACTCTCCAACGGCTGTTCGAATACAATCTCGCAAAGTCCCCATCCCTCCACACCGCATGTCGCCTTTGAAAACAAATTGGCCGAAAATTTATCCTCCACTCGTTGAGCACCTCCAACTACAAGTACGCATGAATATCAAATCCAAGGCCGTCGAGCTACGGACGTCCAAGTTCACCACGGACGCAGGAGCGCTGCAGAAGGGCGAAGATTTTGTAAAAGCATTCACGCTGGGGTTCGACGTCGATGATGCGATTGCCCTGCTCCGGCTGGACGATTTGTATATTGAAACATTCGAGATTAAGGACGTGAAGACGCTTCAAGGCGAGCATTTGGGAAGAGCGATCGGCAGAATAGCGGGCAAGGATGGCAAGACAAAGTTCGCGATTGAGAATACGAGTAAGACGAGAGTCGTTCTGGCCGACAGTAAGATTCATATTCTGGGTGGCTTTCAGAATATCAGGATAGCCCGAGAGGCGGTCGTGAGTTTGATTCTGGGCGCGCCGCCTGGGAAGGTGTATGGCAATCTGCGGACGGTGGCTAGCAGGATGAAGGAGAGATTTTGATGGATGTGCCATGCATGATTTCACGACAACCACGAGAAGGCAGAGGCGTCGTACGGAGATTTTGCATCAGAGCGACGGGGAGTACATGGCGTTCACGCGGCTTCACCTATCTCATTGCGCTTCAGCTAGCAGAAGAGGCGTAGAAACATAAGACAGGACCAATATCATTTGGTCTCGAATTCAGAATGTTCCCATTCGCCGTGTCATGCATACAAAGACAACGCCATCATGAGCTAGAATGTTTCCATGGTTGTTCTAATCTCTCTTGAGCGGCGTGAATGTTTCTTCAATCCCATCTTTCGTGATGATCAGCATCTGTAGGCCATCACCAACTTCGATATGTCGTTCCGTGGCACTAGTGAAGGCATCTTTGACCAACCCAATCACAACATCTTTTGGCAAACTCTCGATCGGTCTCTGTTGCAACTCGTGGCCGTATCCGGAAGCCGGAATGTATTGGTTCTTGTAGTTGACCTGGTTGTCCAAGAACGGCATGATCAAGCTGGCTGCCGCACCAGCTGCTCGACATTGTTCTCGCTCGTAGCTTCCCACGGGGTCATAGCTGTACAGGGCGCCCTTCCCATCCTCGTCGAGTCCCCCCAGAATCGCGTGTACGTAATATGGGAAGAAACGCTTCTGATAGAGGATCGTGGATAACCGTTGAGCGCATGCCTTGACACTCATTGGCTTGCCGTGTTGATATTTGTACATTTTTGCAATGGCGTCTAGCCGTTCCTTCAATGCGCGACCATCTGCTGCAAATCCCACCACTGACAGGACGATTTGCGACGAATCTTCTTCATCACCAATACGGAAGAGCTTGGGTTCATATCGGGTGTTGATATTGTAGCCAGAGGTTGATCGTGTGTCGCCTGCGAGGATGGCAAAGTCGGCGCCTGTGATTCCTAACGTTGAGCCACCATTGTCTGTGTATCTGAGGACTGGTCAGCCGTTTGGTAGCAAGATCACTGCAAGCTTCTGACACTCACGGGTAGAAACCATGTTGTTTGGGCCCAGAAGCCTCAATAGAAGCAGCAGAGCTTGAGAAGGAGTAGCCAGGCTGGTCTGAGGGTAAAGCCCCAACGTTGAGTAGAGAAGCCATGACGATGAAAAGATGAGGGAGAGTAGGAAGGCGAATGAAATACTGTCGATGTTTCTGGCCTTTGTATTCTGTACAGTCACAATCGACGTATGCACCTTCCGCCTGCCACTGGAACAATTCAGGCCTAAATAGGTCTAGTCGTAAATGGCGGCTTCTAGGGTCGAGCACTAACGCACCTCAAGGCATTATCAGCCAAGAAGCGGATCGATATTCACATCCAGCTTCATGAACTACCTGGTCGGTAGGTATTCTTTTGGCAACACTGATGAGAAGAATTGTACACTGTGGCTGGCGCTGAAGCTCCTCACTAAAGTCTTTGTATTGATGACAATGCACGATGAGTGCCCTTGTTGGCTACGAAAGTAGCAGCGATGAAGAAGAGGTGCCAATACCTAAGGCTCCAACAACATCAGAGCGCAACAGGGAGGCTACCCACTTTACGGTAGTTAAGCCTCGTGAACGGAGTAACAACGAGACGCTCGCACCTCCGTCGAATCTAGCCTCAGGAGCAAGCCCTGTAGGCGCTGATGTTGGGCCTATGCTAGGTCCTTCAATGCCGGAACATATGGGAAGTGACACCGAGCAAGATCCTTTGTCCGAACTACAACAATCCATGGCTGAGCGAGATATAATCCACCACCTTACGGCGGCATCACACCCCATGACGTCGCTGCCTCCTTCTCCACCCGGGTCACCGAATCCAGCTCTTGAAGCCAAATTCAAGCAATTTCTCGAGCTGAAGGCAAAAGGTGTACACTTTAACCAAGACCTGGCACGAAAAGCAACTTTTCGCAACCCGAGCCTTCTTCCTACCTTGATGGTCCGGATAGGGCTGGAGGAAGATGATCAATACAGGACTTCTCTGCCCCAAGAAGTCTGGGACTCTTCAGCCTTTCCTCCCTCAGTCTATAAAGAAGGCCTCCTTCGAAGCCAACAAACTCTACGCGAGCAGGAGGCGGCAAACAAGAAGAGTCTGTCGGCTTCAGGGAAAAGAACGATCGAATTCACGTCTGGGGCGACATCTGGAAACACTAGCCGAGATTCAACCCCAGGAATGCCACATAAGCGGAGACGACCTTGATCGTGGATTGACTCAGTCCGGATTGATGTTTCGGATGATATCAAAGCCGACAACAGTGACCGACAATCCTGTCACAGCACTTGCCCAGACAAGCTATTGGACGGCATTGACCTGCGGGAATCTTGACTACTTGGTGGTGCCAGCTCATACTCAGCGCAACCATTTGGGGGAAGAAAGAATCTAAAGGGGGGTACCACTTCCCACTCTAAGTGGTTGACGAGATCTCAGTCGGTGTGAACAAGTTCGTGAAGTCACAGCGGACCGTTTAAGGCCGCATTAATTGGATACACGTCAGGCCAATCACACGGAAGGACTGGTTGGGCTCGGGTTCCTGCAGCTGAAACGACTGTCAGTTTTCGCTTCGGGCTGGAGCCAGATTGATGAATCTGGGCACTCTGACCAGCTATTCTCTGCAGCGTTCAGCAAGGGGAAGGAGAAAATCAGCGTCATGAATGAACAGATGATTTTTGATCGCTCGGACTTTCAGGGTCCGTATCCTGATCGACGGTGTGGGTGTCGAGGTGCGCACCCACGCACCCACGCACCCACCAGCAGATAAATTTTGGCTTCAGCCGGGGTCAAGCCGTAACTCAGCTTTGACAGCATTATTATTACGGAGTATTGTGCTCGTGGAAATGCTTGACTGCCATGTATAATGTCCCGCGCCACGCCTTTGACAGTTGAAAAGCTTACCTTGCCCAGCAAAGGGATGGTATGCCACGCCTGCTTAGCGAAGATGTCAATCTTTGAGATCGCGCACCGCTTGAAGACAGATGATTTACGGAGTACGACTGCTCCGTGGTGCTAAGTGGATTTAATCAGCCACATTGCGCACGAGGGAGCGGTCTCGGTACTGGTTATGCCTCCAGTACAACTCCGTACAGGATAATTTTACGAGCAGGTTGCGGTGCCCAGGGCTAGCTAGATAGGGTCCCTTCCGAATCCAATCAGCAGAAGAATGTTTGTTTCATGCAGGAGGCGGTTGTTTGAACCTCTCCTGATGCATCTGAAACCGATTCCAAGTAATTAACTACTAACATACCTGGGGCTCGTGGGAAATGCCGCTTCTGTCTTCAGCAAACACTTATGTAGCAAAGGACTTTTGTTAAATACCTGCCAAACTGAAAACGCATCAAGAGATAGCAGCCAAGCTCGCCGGCAGATGTTGTTGCAGCAGCGGTGGAATAGGTGGTGGAGGCAATTCGCCTACTCCGTATTTGATGTGATAAGTGTCTGGTAGGCGCATACCATAGGCACCTGCCACGGCCTGCCTATTCATTTTAGGTATCGGTTTCATGTCAAGCATGTGTGAGTCCACTTAAAATAATCAAACCAGAGACTCAAAATACGAGGCCGAAGATCACCTGCATCCACCTCTTCACGAGCTGGCATGAATCGTAGGGATACCAGGGGGTTCACTGGATTACCGTATCAATGCCCTCCATCACCGCCATCATCGAAAAGGGCAACCCTCCTTCAAAACCACCTGAGTCCAATCATCGACCCTTCCAGACTTCTGCGTCTTCTCCCGGCGCTTACATGCACAACTGAAGCTTGTCGTTTGTTCCGGCTCTGAGTCGCTCCAGGCAATTCCAGGAGCGTCAGCGGACGAACCTCTTACACTTGTCGTTAGACCGTCCGCGCGATCCTACACCTTCTTCACCCTCATTCCCACGCCGCCGTCTGCAGCTGGCCTGTCAGCGGTCTCCAAGTGTTCTCCCCTGATCCCGATGGCCTGAGGCCAGAATTTTGGGTTCCTCATGTGGCCAAACAATTGTTTCCCGATATGTCAGCGGTCAGCGACACAACCTCCCGCTCTCCCCAGACCCGTTTGAACCCAACAGCCGCCAACGTTTCGTCTCCTTCGCTGGCTGACCCTCACACATACATCTCGGCCACACGCAGACCTGCTCAAAATGTGCTGGGCAACAATCTGATTCCCCGAGATTACTTGAGCTCTTTGTCCAGCTCGAGGCCTGGTCCTGGTCAATCAATAAAGGCGGAGGAGACTTACAATTCGGAACAGTCGAGCACGGAGTCTGATGCCCTTCCCAGCAGCTCTCCCGTAAACATACCGCAGGGCAAGTCTGCCTTGGCCGGAGGAGGACACAGCACAAGCGGCTGGGGCCCGACGCCAGATATCACATTTACGTTCGAAGAATCGAAAGACGACTCTCCAAACCCTCTCTCCGAGTCTCCTAAAACCTATGCACCGATTTCAACGAGCGCACCGCCACTGACAGACATGCCACGGACTTCCTCAATAGACTCCGCCATCTCGAGTATTTCCATCACTTCGAACGTTCAAAAGCAGCCGGGCGAGGCAAAGGAACTGTCCCGGGAAGAAGTCTTGAATCTTATAGCGACTGCGGGCTCGGCAGAGAACCTTGTGCTGCATCTTCTGAGGGACAAGAATCACGCCGCAGCTCAGAATGCGCAGCTATGGAAACTAGTGGACAAACAACGAACTCTGTTGCTAGGCTTGAACAAAGACCTGGAGCGGGTGTCAAAAGAGAGGGACCGCTACAGGAAGAAGGCCAAAGATTTACAATCACAAACTTCAGCTGTCCCGGCCGATATTCGCTTCGATGATGGCGACTCGCCTCGATCTGATGGGGATGTTTCGGCCACATCGAGAGAGGCCAATGTTCTGCCCGGACCTGATTCGAAATCGAGAGCTGAGGAGCAGACACCCAGCAAGAACCCCAATGCACAAACACAGAGCTCGCCTATAGATCCTGCCATGATGCCCTCTCCTCTTCACCTGCAGCAGGCACCCAAGATGCAAAGCTTAGCCACAAATTTGGCACAGCCTATGTTCGCAGTGACCGAAGCAACGCCACTCTCAGATAAGCCTCCAAAGTCTTTCCAGGCTTCCAGAAAAGCTGCTCCACGACCTCTTGATCTGCGTCCAGCAAAGGAGGACATACCCATTGCTGAAGTCGTCATCAGTGATGGAGATGACGATGAAGACAGGAGCCTTCTAGAACGTGGCAGACGAAAAACGCGCGAGGAAGATGATCGCGAACGTGAGCTACTAGTCATCAAAGAACAAGAAGCGCGGAGCCGTTCCAAAAAGGAGAAGAAGGCAAAGGGGGAGACAGCAGACGTTCTCGAAGACATGCCTCTTCCGCCATCCAACTTACCTACGACAGAGCCCTTGACCCAGCCGCAGCCGAAACCACAAGATCATCTCTCCCCCACGTCGACACTGTCGGTGGGATCATCAACCCAGCTATCGGTGCCCTTGCGAAGCCCTGGTCTCCCCATGAGTCCTCGTCCGTTTGCTAATATGGGAGCTGCACTTCCTATGTCGCCCCGGGCTCCAAAAGGCAATTTTCCCTTGTCGCCGCGAGCACCTAAACAAGCCCTCCCTATGCCAACTACACCCGGTCAAGAGGCGCCTGCTCCGCAGAGTCAGAAAAAGGTCGGACCATCACCTCTGGCGAAGATGGACACCAAAAACGTCAAAGACGCTTCTGGTCCAACTCAGACTCATGAGTCGCCTTTGAGTCCGAACGAGACACCACCAGTCAATCGTTCACTAGTCAGTCCCACCTGGCCTGACTTTTTGCTGCCTCCAAACGCCCTCCCTTCTATTCAGATCAAGGTCGCTTCCTCACGATTGCGCCCCTCAAGAAATAGCGTACTTGGGATCAAGGCACCTGAGGAAGCTTCGGTGTTCAGCTTGTCCATCTTTGAGCGAGCAACTGCATCCGAACTCTGGCGTATCGAGAAAGTACCATATTCTCTCCCAAGTCTCGAGCAACATCTTCGAACTCGATGTTCAGATCTGCCGAAACTTCCAGATCGGAAACTATTCTCCGGTCACTCTCCAGTTGTGATTGATGCACGGAGGGCTGCTGTAGAGGCATATTTTGAAGAGCTCCTCGATACCCCAATGGATGAGCAAGCAGCTGCAGTCATATGTAGATTCTTATCTACGGACGTAGTGGACCCTCAACTCAGTCTTCCTGTTCAGAAAGGTGAAGATTCGCAGAGCAAACCAGCACCGCCAACCAGTGCTGGCATTCCAACAAAATCTGGCTATCTAACAAAGAAAGGCAAGAACTTCGGGGGATGGAAATCACGATACTTCGTTCTGGACAGTCCTGAGTTGAGGTACTTCGAAGCACCAGGTGGAGCTCACTTGGGGACCATCAAATTGCTCAATGCACGGATTGGCCGACAAACTCAGACAGAACCTGGCTCAAATGCAGAGGTCGACACGGAGAATCAATATCGGCACGCATTCCTCATCCTAGAACCTAAACGCAAGGACATGAGCAGCTATGTTCGTCATGTACTCTGTGCAGAAAGTGACTTTGAACGAGATGAGTGGGTGGAGACTCTGCTTCACTACATTGACGAAAGGCCTCCGGAGCCCAAGTCACAGTACGGTGCGGGTGTGCAATCGTCACACACCAAGGACGTCAAACCTGGTTCAAAGGCTGCCGTTGAGGACGGCGGCTCGAATCCCTCTGCCAGCCCACAACTCCACCAGTTCCAAGGCGACACGCCTTCGCCGTCGAATGCATCGAGTCATACTTCCGACTTTGCACAAGATCCACCACCCAAGCCTGTTAACATTTCAGGCCCGATGAATGGGGCGGTCATTTCAGATGCTGGGCTCTGGGGCAACAAGTCTGTTGGGCACGGTGGTAGCAAGGAACGAGAGCAGAAGAAGCGGAATCTATTCAATCACTTCCGGAAATCGTCCTATGAGCACTTAGCATCAGCACCTCAAGCGGCGCAGCCCAAGCGGTCGGACCTGAATACTCACCGAGGCGGGCATGTGAGACCTGTGTTTGGCATGCAGCTTCAGGAAGCGGTCGAGTATTATTGCCCCCCCGACGTGGATGTATATCTTCCTGCAGTGGTGTACCGATGCATTGAATACCTTCGAGCTAAGAATGCCGCCAACGAAGAAGGATTATTCCGTCTCAGCGGTTCCAATATCGTGATTCGACTCCTCAAGGACAGGTTCAACACCGAGGGCGACGTTGACTTGCTGGCAGATGAGGAAGACTACGATGTGCATGCAGTCGCCTCTCTTTTCAAGACCTATCTCCGTGAATTGCCGTCCACAATATTGACCCGAGAGCTCCACCTGGAATTCATCAAGGTCCTCGAGCTGCATGAGAAGGGTCAGAAGATTGCGGCATACAATGGCTTGGTACATCAACTGCCAGCCGCCAACTTCTCCTTGTTGCGGACACTTTCTCACTACTTGCTCGAGGTAGTACAGAACTCGGATCGTAACAAGATGAGCGTCAAGAACGTGGGGATTGTGTTCTCGCCTACTCTCAATATCCCAGCACCCGTATTTGCGATGTTCTTGACGGAATTTGATGCTATCTTCGAGAAACCGAGCGACCAGGGGTCTATTCAATCGGCCGAGATTGATCGTGATGGTGCTCTGACCCCTGAGGACATCAGATCACCACGGCGGATGATGTTTACTGATCTGCCAACTCCAGCATACAACCAAAGCACTTTCTCCCAGAACGCGGCAATGACGGCAGCGTTTCATGGCCACTCTGAGCAGCATCTCGACACGACAAGCGATGTTGGCTTCTCTCCTATCCACCCTTCTTACGAGACTCGAAGCTATGTTTCTGTACCACACAACATGCCCATGCAACCACGTTATCCGCCACCACAACCACCACAAGGCAGTAATAGATACGGAGGTGCGAACAACATGCTCGTCCCTGAGAATGCGGCCAGTGTCAAGGCCAAGCGGCGGGAAAGTGCCATGTTATTCATGTGAATCTGTTGACGAAATTTTCCAACGCGACTGACTAGAATACTGTCTGTCTTGCATCTTTGATTGTTTTTGTTCATTTCCAAATACCCCATCTCAGCAGGTCGGTCGAGTTATTGTTACTCACATTCGGGAACGGGAGCCGGCATCTGAGCGCTTCAGCTTGTTGTACTTTTCTGTTCGACCATTGAAAGGGCGGGATACCTTTTGCGCCAATCATTAATGAAGAGCTCGTTTCATTAGGATTGGAAAAATGTTTATCAAAATGATGCGATGACATTATTGAAGAATCTCAGGGAGGGGAGTGATGACTGTTGCCATGATACGGTACCAGGTGGTAGATATTTATCTGGGCCTTCACACCTCAGCGATAGAAGAGCAAGAGATTGAATCGAATTTTGTTACCAAACGATACTCTGCGTTTTCCAACGATTTGTGTTCAGCTATTGATCTTGAGGAGAAGAGGGGAAGATGTTGTTCTCGCAGAATTGTCCTTTGCCCTCTTGTTCATGCTTCGAGGTGGTCACGTTATGAAACCTCCCATGCCGATGGTATGTATGGAGTATCCGCCAAGCTACTGTAGAGCGTCAAGCAATCGCTTGAAGCTTCGAAAATCATGGCAATCCGAGCCGAAATCATCTGGCGAAAAGCATTGGCGAAATAACACATCTAACTACTCTACGTGCATGTTTCCCCCCACATCCAATCGTCCTCTGTAGCCGATCAGATCTGCCCGGTTCAGCTCAGCACGTCTGGTTGGTGGTACTCCGATTGCACCATCGAGGGCATGATGGGGCCATCGGTGCCTCTGTCTAGCCTATCTTCGGAGGTAGGAGCGGAGCACAGCTGGCCCTGACCGGCCCTGATATAAATGCATACTTGAAGTCGCGGTCGCCGGCTTCTCTCCCCTCTTCTTTGCTCCTAGTGCTCTCATCTTCCAGGTCTGAATTTCCGCCCGTCTACTTTCGCGCGACCATAAAAAAAATTATAAATCAACTACCAGAGTATCGGGTAAAGGAAGATGGCACCTACAGGGCTGGTCGACTCGTTTCTGGCTGCGATCCAAGCCAGCATGTCCGTCTTGCTGGTGATCTTCTACGGCGGCGTGGCGGCGCACCTGAAGCTCCTCACGCCGGCCAACACAAAGGCCATTTCGAAGGTGTGCGTGCGCATGTTCCTACCGGCTTTATTGGTTACGAAGATAGGCAGCGAATTGCACTCGGGCTCGGCGGGGCGGTACCTGACGATACTGATCTGGGCCATCATATGCCACCTCGTGAGCTTCGTGGTCGGGGTGGTGGCGCACTTGTGGCTCGGCATGCCGGACTGGACGACGGTGGCGCTCATGTTCAACAACACAACGAGTTACCCGCTGCTTTTGATAGGGGCGTTGGAACAGACGGGGATCCTGCGCAGTTTGATCACCGAGGGAAGCGGCGAGAGCACGAAAGACGCAGTGGAAAGGGCCAAGAGTTACTTTTTGGTGTTTGCGACCATCTCGAGTTGTCTCACGTTCGCGGTGGGGCCGAGATTGATCGATAGTGAGCATGCCGCCGAAGAGGAGGAGGATGAGGGAAAGAGTGGTGGGTACAACCAGGACGAAAATGGTGATGAGGATAGAGTGCAGGAGAGGGAAGCGGGAAGGGCTGGTGAGGAAAACGACGACAATGACAACGACGATGAGCGCACGGGGCTGTTGAATCGGCGAGCAAGTACGATATCGTTTGCGCCCAACACTTTCTTCCCATCGACCAGGAGGGCCAGCGTCTTGTCCTTGTCCTGGGAGGGACCGCCGCCCGAGTTGAAGCGCCGCCCGAGTATGGTGCCGAAGAAGCATTGGACCAGACTGGGCCCGCGGGCGAAGTGGTGGTTGCTTTTCATCTCGGACTTTTTCAACGCGCCATTGCTTGGTGCGATCGTTGGAGCGGTGATCGGGCTGGTTCCGCAGCTACACCGCGCGTTCTTCAATGATACGTACCAAGGTGGGATATTCACGGCGTGGCTCACGTCCTCATGGCAGAGCATTGGCGGCTTGTTCGTCCCGCTACCCGTGGTCGTGGCGGGTGTGTCACTTTACACGGCGATGCGCGATGCCAGAAGAGCGGATACTACTACTAGTACTGGTGGTGGTGATGGCCGCGCAGCAGTAGATGCGAGGTCGAAGCTGCCTTATTGGGTCACGGTGACGTTCATTATGGTGGTTCGGTTCGTCGTCTGGCCTGCGGTGTCGATTTCGGTCATCTACGCGCTGGCCACGAGGACGGATATCCTGGGCTCGGATCCCATGTTGTGGTTTGCCATGATGTTGATGCCTACTGGTATGTATTGCCAATGTGTTTCTGTTCTGTTCGCTAGCGATATCGGAAAATTGCTGATTGAAGGCACAGGACCACCGGCTATGAAGTTGATCACGCTGATCCAAGTTTCGGACGCAGAGGAGGCAGACGAGACGAACATTGCGAAATTGTTGACTGTGAGTGCGCTTTCCTTTCTTCAGATCGTCGTGGTTTGAGACCTAGATGCCATCAATGCTAAGCTAATCTATGGTTGGCCCCACAGTTGTCGTATGCTATATCGCCGATTTTGTCGTTCACTGTGGTTGGAGGGCTGAGGGCCAGTCAGGCAGCTATTTCATGATGAGGGAGGTCTGCGGCATGGGTAGTTGCTGCGTGACTTCAAGTAGTCATTAACTTAGGGTGCTATGCGGAGGTACAATGGAAAGGGAAAGACACAAAGGAGGGGGTTTGTTGGGATCATCGGTGTTGTCTTGCGAATGACTTGTTCAATTCAGCATACAACTCGCCGGCTTACCCCTTTCGTTGAGGGTCACTTCACCACGCTAGGACAGTTCAATTGTACAAGAGCACGGCGGCAAACACGAATAAGCCGGCTATACTGGTATTATGTCAATATCAATCCATTCCAAAGCGCGCCTCCAATCCGTCGCCCTCGACCAGTCGATTCTCGGCGTAGTGTGATCCGAAGAGACAATCATGACAAGACAGAATCAAAGACTTCCTTCCCCGGCTTGTCATGGAGCAGGCCCACCCACATGAACGACTTCAGGACTTCCCGCATCCTGTTCCAGGACTTCACTTGACATTTGTCCATGTGTTTTCGCAGACAAACCATCAGCCATGGGTGGTCGGATGTAGTAAATGCTGAAACGGCTCCAACCATCAGTAACCAAAGCATGATCTGGGACGATGCCCCGTCCACAAGTTTAGAGTGTAGAAGGCAATCCTTGTAAACCCAAGGAAAATAAACATAGGGTAACCTCAGGTACTGCCACTGTAAAAAGATGTGATAAGTCAATCCCAACAGGCCGAGCCGTACTGCTTCGTCAACCGAGCCTTGGTCAAAACTCATATGGAGCAGGCGGTACATGACGGAAGCCATGGTATCATAGAGCAGTCCCGGCGAAAGCATTTGTTGGGTTTCCACAGCGAGATTGACGATCGAACAGAATCTCTGCATGACTCTCCAGGCTTCGACCAGATTCTCATCCATCTTATGGAGCAAGGTTTCTGAGTGGCGTTGAGAATCTGTGATGCCGTGACCGTTTCGAATCGTCAACAGCTCCCGGGCGGGGTAAGACACAAAGGGCTCGGAAAGAGGGTCGTTGAAGAAGATAGGCTCTGACCCGTTTTGCATTGCCATGCCGATATCACATCTGTGAGAGAGAGAGTCAGGTGCTGGTGGGGACTAGGGACATCTGACACGGGGCAGTGGCTGCTGCATTACCTAAAGATTTCTGTGAGAAGCTTGTTACCTTGGAAGGCAGCTATGCCTCCTCTCAGGTTGACCATCCTGCGCAGGCCCATCATATGGTGCTTGAAGGTCTCATCTTCACCCATGAATAATGCACTTACGGCCAAGGTCAAAACCACGGCGATCGTGGGATTGGAAGGCTTGGTGTTCTCGACTCCCCGTAGAAGCCTTTTCCGTAGAATGTGGACTCCTTTCAGGAAATGCACAGTCGCATCTTGGTTGGCGTTAGGATACCGTCGGCCCAAGACCCTGTCCATGAAGACCTCGGCGGCGAACACGGTGACGTGAAGATAAGCAGCATCGAACTTTAGCGGATCCAGCCATTCCATGTCCTTGTTGCTGAATCCAGTCACCATGACTAGAGGGAACAGTGCTCTCGCGGCCATGTCAAAGACTAGTGAATTTTACAGTAAGTCAGCACCCCTGTCCTTAACTAGTACCTTCGCGGAGCCGGAGCGAACGCACATCTCAACACCTCCCCAAACGCGGCCGAGTCCAGCTTAGCAGCAAATTGTACCAAGGACAAATCCGAACCGACTCTGCCGGGGATGGCTGAGTTGTACGCTTCGATGAATGTATCCAATGGTACTGGCGGACCTCTTTTGGAATCGACCACCACTGCCCAACTTGTGGCTCTTCGTCCTTTGGCACGATGAGATTTGCCCCGGTTTTTGCCCATCATAACCTGACTCCTGATGAGGTTCTGCGTCTCTGGATCCGCCTTCTTCTTGATGTTGGTTGTCACAATGAAATGCATCCTTGCTGATCCCAATCAATGACCGATAAAAGATAAGTTCTTAGACTTGATGAAGGCAAGGCTCATGACGGGCTCTTGAGATTGTTTGCCTTGATGAGTAAAGGCTCGACATGTGGACGAGGGTATGCAGCCTATATGGGGCCGTGCGAGGGCCTTTAATTCCCTCCCTCGTCTTGGTCCGTTGTAGGTTGTAGCGAGGAACTATCGGCGTGCCAAGTCCTTGATTGTTTTCCGTTTCAGGCATAGTCGGTGGTTGTTTGTCCTGTTTGTCCTCTCCACCACCACCAACTTGGAATACGAAGCAAGGTTAGCTCGAATCGACATACGGACAGATCTTCTCCTTCAGAAGGGCGCTCACTCTGGAAATATGCCACAGGCATTCCAATGCCAGGTTGCCCTCCGCTGCGTACGAGCCACCCTTTCAGGTATAAAGGTAATGTGACTTTCCTCGTTAGCATGGCGTCTTTGCTTTCCTCCTCCTCCTTCTCCAGAATAAGAACGGTCCCAAGCCACGGCTTTGAACCTTACCTAGATATCTCGAATGGCTTCAGGACTCAAGTCGGTCCTTATAACCGGTTGCTCTGCAGGCGGGATCGGTGGTGGTCTGGCTCAAGCTTTCCATGAAAAGGGATATCACGTCTTTGCAACAGCGCGTACACCATCAAAGATCTCGCGGTCTCTCACCAAAGCCCCGAATGTCACTGTCCTGACTCTTGATGTCCTGTCTTCCCTATCCATCGCTGCGGCTGTCGAGAGCGTCAGTAAAGTGACTGGAGGCAAGCTCGATGTCCTGGTCAACAACAGCGGCTCGTTGATGGTTATGCCGGCTTTGGATGTGTCCATTGCAGAGGGCAAGAAGCTATTCGACACCAACTATTGGGCACTCCTTGCCATGATCCAGGCGTTTGCTCCGCTATTGGTCAAAGCAAAAGGTTATGTTGTCAATAACACATCTGTCAGTGGCATGGTACCATTTGGAGCCTTCGGGAGTATCTACAACAGCTCAAAGGCCGCTGCGATCCTCGGGAGCGAAACATGGCGTCTCGAGCTCGCGCCTCTTGGGGTTCGGACCCTGACCCTTGTGACAGCCGGCACCAAATCAAATGTCTTCACCAACATGGGACCGCCGAAGATCCCTGAGACCTCATATTACTACGGGATTCGCGACTACGTGGAAGAGTTGTGCGACGGCAGAATGCAGAAAGATGGCATCACTCCAGAGCAGTTTGGTGCCAAAGTCGTCCGAGAGGTTGAAAAGGGCACGACAGGAAAATACTGGATAGGTGGAGGTGCGACCTCTGCTCGCTTCGCTGTGTGGCTGCTGCCGGATTGGGCGATGGTGAGTCTACATTCGTTCCTAGCGGTTATTTGCTGATAGAAATCGTGTAGGACAAGCTGATAGCCTCCCTGTTTCCCTTCGCCAAGCTGCTACAGAACCAACTCAGAAAGAAAGAGTGATTGGGGGAGTGGATGTTTTGCGCCATCCGCCAAATAGAGGGCGTTCTTGGATGATTGAAGATTCATGCTTCAGGGGTGAAGGTCTACCGTTTACAGAGTACACATATGCTAATGCGGACACAATGAAGAAACTATTCCGTTTTAATGAGCATGAAATGTTGCCTATCTGAACATTTTTGGGTACACCTCTAGGTGCTTCACAGGTAGCCACCCCCTTTCCGAAAAGTGACTGCACCGTCCCTGGGGTGTTCGCTTGTCAAAGGTATGAGGCTTTGAGTGTGAAAAGGAATCTCTGTTGTCTGTCCAAGGGTCCTAGGGGACGCGCTGACTATATACCCAGGCTAGTCCTGGGGGCTGGGAATTCCTGGAATCTGACATAATCTGACATCGCCAACCACTTCCAACATGAGTTTCCTTTCCAACTTGACATCGGCCACAGCAGGTTGGCCATTGACATGAAACAGCTATGTACCAGAGAGGAAGCCGAGAAGATTTCGCCATCTAGATGACCCTATGCGTGAGCAAGGCTCATCTCGTCACTTTTTCAGTCTTGCACCTCTGGTCCCGAGTGTGGCCGCAACTCGGACACTTGTCGGTTCTGATGGAGATGTCGCCTTTGCCGCATTTGCACTGGTAGTATCCTCGAGTCAGACAAATTTAATGGTCCTTGGTAGAGGCAATCACGGACAATCCGCAACACGAAATTGAAAATCCTGCGATCCTAGATTCATCAGAGCTGTGGCATCACACTAAGATCGGGCATTGTCACCTTGTCTCATCGGTTAAGGAGACCACCTCATACACCCCATAGCCCGAGCTCGTGGCTTGTCCATATACTCGACTAGCAGTGGCTCAATCAGCGTTCATCCTATCGTCAGTGGGAACACCAGCTCAGTCACATACCTCAGGGCAAAAAGGAAGACCGGACGAGATAACTCAAGGCTTAGACACCTTGAGTTTGGACGGGTGGATGAATGGACCAGGCAGCACTTACACAGGACCATATGAATACGGCGACCTTTTTCTTTTTGGTTGGTGGCTAATCCTCATAACGAAGCAACGGTCAGTGGACTATGTCTCGAAAGGGAACATGAGTCAGCAAAAGGTAGCTCCGAGATGCAGGGGGGTCGATGATGGGATTATGGGATTATGGGATTATAGGGCAAGGCATGTCGAATTAGCTGTATGAAGGTGGTCGTGATTAGTGCTAAGTTAGTTGCTTACCATGACAATATGACCGTACCCTTTCTAATAACAGTTCAGCAATGATAACTCTCAATATCAGAAGCAAGACACCTAGTGAGGTTGTGGGTTTTCATTCAAAATCCGGGATCAGGCCCGTAGTAATAGCCTCCACACCGCAACTTCTTGCTGCCAGGCTGGCAAAAACAAGTCTAATCTTCAAGTTTGTACCAATGCATCGGACCGTAAATCCGCTGCACAAAGCCAGGCAAGTCACACCGCTGCCAGGTAACGTGCACGTTGCTGAGGATCGTTTATTTGTTGATGGTCCTTTCGATTTGCCCGTGGCAACGGTGGCCTCTCCAGACATTCCAGCCAGTGGTTCGGAAGCTGCGCCGAGCTTTGAGAAGCTCTTACATCAGGACATCTTCCAGTCGGCAACTAGACCCAGTATCTAGGCAAGACTCGGAGACATCAGCCTAAGATCGCCAGATAACTTCTAGCCACTTTGCGATCCAGTCTTGCAAAGCCTTGAGAGGCCAGTTGCAACGATTTAGATGCCTTCACAATGGCTCCAGAGACCTCGGCATTTCCGAACTCGTGCAGGAGAGGGTATGTGTCTCTGTGTCTCCTGGTCCCTGATCTGTTTGGCTCTGTCCCAGAAGCTCTCGGGTAGGTATTCGAGAGACCACAGAGCTTCAGTAACGCAGCCCCTGCAATCGAACAAATGCATCACTGTTCGATCTAGCATCTGCACATGTTGCACATGTGCAACGCCAGTTATGAGATTTGAAGCGTTGAGTCGGTTTCTGCCACTCATCGCGGTCTTCCCCGGGAGGTCGCATTGCGCAAGGGCTTCGTCTCACCTGTCGGCAGGCCAACTTGATAAATTGGCCATGGACAGACTTCGGTGCACGGAAAGATGACGTAGAGCTGGAGATGAATGGTGTCTCTACCCATGTCTGCTGCATATTGCACTTTTGACCTGTTAGATAGCCTTGGTCGTCCCTGTTAGTCCGCAGCGTAAGTGAAAGAAAGTCCGTTGATCGTGGACAGCGACAAGAAAAGATAATGTATACCCCGCCCAGGGATATATACATATTTTAGTGTCTGACTGTCTCTGCTTGCAAACTGGCCAGGCACCTAAGCAACCGCAGACCCGCCGACATGCACTCAAGTGGATGAGGATGTTGAACTAGCTTTATATCGACTGGTCATTGGAGGGTTGGCGGAGCCTGTTTCATGCACATGGTGTACCAGTCAATCATTGGGTTTTGATCCCCATAGATCGAGAACGAATGAATGAAAGGGCATCATGCGGCTACTGTACAGACACACAGAGTAGGCTGGCGGAGCCGAAGCCCTAAGAAGCCATTACAAACAATCTTCCGTGCCTTGCTTTGCCGTGAGCCGCATGATGTCGCCTTGGGTAGTTATCTGGGGGTATGAAATCATCATCATTCGTCAACTCCACGCCATGTGATCTTCCCATTACACGCTTTTACGCTCGCGAGGAAAAGGCAACGCCTAGCAAATGTCCCAATACTCCAGGTCATGCGTCTCAGCGGTGCTCCTGCTCATTGGCCCAGGAAGCAAGTGAGGCTATCCAGCGTGGTAGACGAAGGAGGTGCCCGATGAAACAACTGGCCGACTTGTCGAGGCTGGCCGAACTCGTAGTCATGCGCACCATGCAACAAACACCAACCCGACTCGATACGATTCTCGTATGGCACCAACGGGTCGGCTCGGTTCGGTTCGAATCTTGCTTTGATCGCCTGAGATAAACGGATCCAGTAGTCAGTGACGTCCAGAACGCCCGTCTTCAATGGGATGAGAGCTCTTGTGGCATTCAAGGCCAATGTCGACGAGCAGCTGCGGCCTTTCATTTCGTGTCTCGAACCACATCGTGCCACGACTGACAAACACAGCTTGCCTTCTTCAGTATTGAAGGAATGGACCGAACTAGCACAACCCCATCCTCCTTGACGTATTGGGGGTCGCTACGTCCTGCGAAGGAGCCGGATGCCTTGACAGTCCAACGCTGTCCTACACAATATTGGGCACTGACGTGGAGAGATCTCGCGCCTCTAGGATGAGGCCGGCCTGTCGACTGCCACTTGCGAGGAGATGTTTGTCTACAAGGCATCCGGCTCCTTCGCAGAACGTACTGACTTTCGGCGTCAATGTGCACATGAAGCCACGATTATTCTGGTATTTATCTCGTTGTTGATGCACCTTCTGTGGCACACTGTGAGGCTACACTAACACTGATCATCAATCATGCGCCCCAATGGCTCGACAGCTCGAAATCAGTTCGCAATTGCATGTAGTTCGAGGAGGATCAACACCAGCGCAAGAGGGAAAGGAGGTGGACGGAAGAAAGGAAGGAAAAGTGGGAGGGATTCAACTTCCATTCACTGGATGCCGGACTTTGAGACTCGTCAGGATCTCAATCTCGAACAATGGAATACACCTTACGTCGATTCAAGGACCTTCTCCCGCGACGGTGACGAGAGTCTGATCCAAGCCTTCATGATGGATCGCAATGAGCCCGAGGTATTGCAGCCTCAGGCTGACGAGGTCGACAGCTTTTGCGGGAAGGCTGGCTTGTCAGATTGTCCGGAGAATCACTTAGTCATGATGCTAGATGATAGGAGTTGTGAGCCTGGAAACGAGGGCGCAAGAGCCGGTCTAGGACCGTTGACCCCGCCAATGGCATTGGAAGCGCTTCGAAAGCCGGTATGTCTTCCTGAGAGGGTCTTTCATCAGTGTTTACGAAAAATGACGGAGCATGATGGAGGATTATGGCGACTGATAATGACCCATTTAGCGCCTCCGAGTCCGACCCACAAAGCACCCGGCAAGCCCCGAGCAGCCGAGCCTAGTGAGCCAGCCTGGCACCCAACCTCGAGTGCCTGCGGCCGTGGACTGCACCGGCCACACCGCCCCTGCGGACCCTGGCCAAGGACATGAGCCTGACGAGCCTGATGCAGAACGCCGTCTGATGTGAGTAAACGTCTAACTCACAAGCATCCACTAGCATCTGGCATTCTTTCTAATCGCAACCCAGATTCGTCACCGACCTCGACCGTTGGAGCATCCATGTGCTCATCGCGACCGCTACGCTCCACCAGGAATGTGCCCTAAGAGCTGCCATCTTCAGGCATCTGACCTGTGAGACTCTGATTGGCATTGAGTGTTCGGTATGTTTCACCACCCACTTTGCACTGTATGATACTACTCTCGTCAGAGCCTGATCTCTCCATTTACTAGACCGAAGGCTTGCTCACATTCCGATTATCGCTCCATTTGCCATTCTACGCTTTGCGCACCTTTAAAAAGCCATGTGAGAGGCCCAAGGACCATCGCCAATATTCAGATGGGACGAGTTTGAGGCTTTGCCGGGATCTCTCCTTCCTCAACCGGTCAACAACCGAATCCTCCGAATATCTCTGTGAAGCACAAATATCCTTCGTGATAACTGGTCCGGACAAATGGAGATGGGTTGCGTATTGCTTCGTGGATGTTTACTACGAGATGGAGGGAAAGGAGACCGTGTCAGAGTACTGTCAAGATTCCACGGGCGAGGAGGGCATGCGTGTTGATCCACTCACCCTTGGCTGTGTTAATGCAGAGACACCGACTCACGATGCCCGAGAATATTTCCTGAAGGTCTCTTTGATTCGGCTTAATCAGGTGAAGCGTGAATGGCAACAAATTGTGGGAAGATTCAAACACGAGGTTCGTGCCTACGAAGAGGTATGTTGCCGTCTACTCTTGCCGTCCATAGCCGTATTGTCGCCGAGCCTTTCCCTGAAGCAGTCGGTGGCGCATGCTTCTTGATATTTGCTATGACTTGTCGGGTCGGTGCATGATGGCGGCATACGGACTGCAGACTGGGTTGCCTTCTACATCTGTTTTGCTCCGCTGACATATCTGCCAGAACCCATCGCCGGATCTGGAAGACTTCGTGCCGCACACAGAAACAGAGAAGCATCGTGCAGTCCGCCGCACCTTTATTCAATTAAGACAAGTAAGTAAGCTTACAAAGAATCTGGCTCGCGATCTGTCGAAAACCTACAATGCTATCGAGGATTTCCTTCAAAACCAAACCCTGGCAATGGCAGAATTCTGCGATCCAACAAGCACCAGCCACCAGTCTCTTACCGCCATTCGCCTAATTTGTAACGAGCTGGGGTCGCTGAAGCAGACTCTGGAATCCTTGGCAGCTCGGTGCGCCGAACTTATCCACGATGTAAGTCCCTGGACACTGCCAATGTCATCGGATCACGCTGTTTTCGCTACAAGATCATTGCTGACGGTCATAATTCGGTGACTAGCTTGAGCTGTATCACACCCAAGAAGCCAGTCAACTGAGCAATCTTCAGAATTACTGGAGTCTGCAGTCGTTGGAAATCTCAAAACTACAGCGTCACCTTACTCAAAAAAGCAATGATCTGGCCAAGATTGTGCTCGTAAGTAGCGATTTCTCAATTGTTGGGAAATCAGGACAATCAAGATTCAAGACTAACCGTTTGGACAAACTGATAGCTGTTCTTTTCTCCTATATCACTCGCATCAAGCGTCTTATCGATGCAGGGGCCGGTCGTTCCGTTCTTATCACGATCATTCGGATCATTCATTGGGTTGATGTCCTTCTTTGTCATGTTAGGGCTTCTCGTCATCCTTATCCAACAATACGGAGGGGATCTTTTCAACACCGCCCAGCCGTTCCTTCTTTTGAAGAAGAGAATAAGACGTGTGAAGACCTTCAGCCAGGACCAGGAGAACACTGCGGGTGATCCTTTACCGACTCGTGAACCTGGGTCTGGGAACCCGGATAATCCTCACGCTTATACCCCGAATTGAAGGCGTCATTGTCAGGAGGCGTTCTCGAGAACCTTTGACGGGCATCATCGTCATCACCGCGACGTGGACGAAAGAGGCTGGCACAGCATCGATAGTGTCTGCAAGTGGTTATGGCAGGCTCATTCACCGATACGAAGCTGCCCCTGCCCAGGAGTCGAACGAATCAAGCAGTAGCCAAAAAAAGAGCGTCTCATTGGCCAAAGGTGCCCTTAGCAGTGGGATTGCGAAGGACAGATTTGTATTGGCAACACGCCAGAGGTGGATGTTCCCAGCAACGGCTTAAGAGTTTCGTATCACATCGCGAAGCGGAGTTGCGCGTGAGCCCTTATCAGCCCAATTCCTGAACCAAACTACCACTCTGTGGGAAGATACATACTATATCAACCATCGCCGCGCAAGATCCCACATTTCCTGACAGGCTCTGCAAACTCTCTAGCGACGCTGTTAGATCTCTCTACTATCGGCAACCATCATGCCCCTGGTCCGGGGTGAACAGATTGCAACTTGGGGCGACCCCAACAAAGCTAACGGCTACTTCGGTACGGAGGAGAAATCCAGAGACGCCATCGCCGGCGATTTCCAGGACATCCCAATCGTCGACATCTCAGGCATATTCTCTCCAGATCTGAAGCACCGCCAGGCAGTGGCAGATCAAGTCCGGGATGCGTGCATTCGCGTGGGCTTCGTATGTCCTTTCCCATTCGATTGACTTCTCCTCCCGCCCATGGATACAACCTTCTGATGATTTGCAGTTCTACGCCAAAGGCCACGGCGTGCCGAGTGAAATGATGGACAAGACGTTCGGATGGGCCAAGCGATTCTTCGAACTCTCCTTCGACGAGAAAATGGAACTCTTCATCAACAACCAGGATAACTATCGTGGGTATACGCCTATGTACGGCAGCGGGAAGCCGGATGTCGATGGGTTGGCCAGTGAGTATTACAAACCATGCATGAGCGTCTATCATGCTGTGATGGTCGATTGACGCCATCAGACGCCAACGAAGCTTTCGACTGGGGCCTCGACGCCAAGCTCAACGATGACCCTGCATACGACTGCTGTGATCCGTACATGAAAGGAAGCAACGTCTGGCCGAAACAACTGCCAGGCTTCGAAGAGCACTTGTCCCAGTACTTCAGCAAGGTACGAGACCTCGGACGTGTGATGGCCCGGAATATTGCCTTGTCTCTGGGCCTGGACGAGGGCTCTTTCGATCCTTATCTGACGCACCCTGGCTGCTCCGCCGTGGTGGCTCATTATCCTCCCATGGAGCCTACGAGTACAAAACTTGGGCTGGACCCTCATACAGACAACGAGTGTAAGCACACTGCGACTGACGCGAGTTTGATGTTGTCATGCTGACTGTGGACGTGGCGGCCAGTCCTGACATTCCTCGCACCGGGTAAGGTCAGAGCACTGGAAGTTCTCAACCGCGATGGCCAATGGATCTCGGCCCCACCCATCGAGGGCACCTACGTCGTCAATGTCGGCGACCAGCTGCAACGGTGAGGACTTTTCCTAAGGATCTGCTCTTGACAGGTAACTGACAAGAGTCTGAACAGGCTCACGAATAATCTGTACATCTCTACCAAACACCGTGTGATCAACCACACAGGGGAGGAGAGGATTTCAGTACCATTCTTTTTCTCGGCCAACTGGGAATCTACTATTGATGTACGACAGCTTTTCCCTTTCACTACCGACCAAACCAAGCTAATCTGCCTCACCTGCAGCCCCTCAAGCACCTGGTTGGCAACGAAGCCGAGAAGGAGTCGAACAATGTCTCTGCAGGACAGGTATGCCAGCCGTTACTGTTCCCGTAAGTGAACCTTGACCTGACCGACCGCAGATGTATAAGCACACAATGATGGCCTTGCACATGCCTGGAGATAGTAATCCTATATTCCAGAAATATCTCAAGGTAGCATAGACACAGCCCCTGGCGGATCTGGTTGCATTTTGTTTGTGCCGACAGTGCCGAAGACATCATGACCTACACTAAATGTCCTTCCTTTTCGGCTTCATTCTGAGCATCACACATCGAGTTAACCAGGCTTTTCACGTTCTTTGAACGACAAACTCGGTGCTGGAACACGCAAGATATATTTCAGTTGGCACAACCAACCATTTGTCTCAACGATTTTTCGTCCTTGTCGTTCTCGATTTGCCCTTCGCTTTGGGCTTGGCCTTCTTACTCGGTGCCTCGTCCTCGACGAGATCGCCGTTGTCATCGTCATCGAGCTCGACCTCTCCAATTTGAGTCTCGTCAGCATCCCCGTTCTTCTGTTCATTGGCTTTCTGAGCCCTCCTCGACCGGGAAGGCACCTTTCTTTTGCTTGTCTTGACCGGCCCTTCGCTCTCAACACCCTCATCTTCCACGGACGTTGGCTCTTCAACCTCGGCGTCATTATCTTCTCCTCCCTGCTCAAACTCCTCTCCCTTCCTTCGCTTAACCGCCTCCCCTCTCAACCTCTTGAAGGCATTCTCCATGCGCCCCGACTCCTTCCCTGTCCTATTCCTCGGCGCCATGCCCTCAATACCCGCATTGCCAGGCCCTTCACCACCCATCGCCAGTCCACTTCCTCCAGCAGCGTTCGCCCTCCCACCAACACCGACTCCGCCGCTAAAAAACCTCGTGATATTACTCTGCGTCCCTTCAACCTCACGCTTGTTCATATCCCGAATCACAGGAACAAGCACCTCGTCCGTTCGCTCCTGACTCCATCCGATCGTCGCCATTAGGAAACTTCTCAACTTATCCAGATCTGGCACGCCCCACTGGAACGGCTCCGGATTCGAATCGACCTCAGGATGGAGATACGCTTCATCAACTCTCATATCCGGAAAACCTGGCGGCAAAAACAGCCGCTTTTGCACCGTGTTTCTGAACTTCCGACGGAACGGCGTCGTGAGCTGATTTTCCAGATCCTGTGGCCGTCCCAGTTGAACCCGACTACACCACTCTTTGAACTCAGTTAACGTGTCGAAGTCGGTGAGGATCTCCAACGCAGTGACGGGTCCGACACCGGGTATACCCTCGGTGTAATCACTACCCAGGAGGTGCGCAAAGCGGATCAGCCTCCGCCGGTCCAGGAGGAATTCCTTTTCTAGCTCACTTGCAAGGTAGCACTCGACATACTTGGCCGCGTTGAACATGTTCTTGTATATCCGCGTGCCGCCGAACAAGAAGATATCCGAGTCGTCCGTGACGATACCGTCGACCAGCCCTAAATGCACGAGCTCGGCGCACTGGGCTTCGGCTTCCATGGGTGCGGTGATGTAAGGAAGACCAAATAACCGGAGTAGCGCTTGGCACTCCTGGACCATGACCTGTGTGACCTCGTCGGCGTCACGACGGTCTTTTTTCTGCTGGTTGCGCAGTTGTTTGAGTTCATTCTCGTAGTCTCGAATCGCTTGTTCGGAGGTCCTTTGGTTGTTGAGAGACGAGGCGAATCGTGCATGCTCTTCGGCTTCGACCGCAAGTTGTCTCATCAATTCTTCTTCCGATTCGGAGAGGTATTCAAATTCTTCTTCGGGGATGGCCGGTTGTGGTTGTGCGTCATTGGCTTCGTCGAGGAGGTGGTCTTCTAGCGCGTCAACCATGGGCTTCTCTGTGGCGAGGTACTCTTGGTCAGCAGGCGCGGCGGGAGGAGTGGACATCTGTACGTCTTCGAAAGCTTCACCTTCGTCGTCGTCTTCCTCCGCAGGAGGCGTCGGCGTCGCGGTTTGTGGTGCTTTGTTTTCAGACGTCTCATCGTCGATGGTGCCGAGGGATCCGGGGGTCGTGGGCTGTTCGTGATCGGACTCGCTCCATTCTACCTCCTCATAATCACTCCCTGCTGCCCCTGCTGCCTCTACTGTGTCTGGCTTCGATAAAGATGTGGCTGGGGCAGGATTGAAATCAGGCACATTTGATGGCTGAGGCGGTTCAGCCTGTGCCTTTTCGGCGACATCGTCCATAAGCATCTCATCGGTGTCATTCTCTGCCGCAATTTGACGAGCCATTTCATAGCGTCGCTCGCGCTTGGCGTCGCGTTCCTGCCGCTGTGCTTCCTCTTCTGCGTTGACCGTAGGCACTTCTACTTCTGGTATCTCGGGCTCGGTAGTGATATCTTGAGATGGTTCTGGTATTTCAAGGACGTCTTCCTCATCACCTTCTTCGATCTCGATCGGACGACCCTCCTTGCCCTGCTCGTCTTCAGCCTCTAGATCGATGACCTCTTTGGTTTCGTGTCTGCGGATCGTCTCTCTTCCAGCCGCATCGTCCCTTGCGTACTCATCATGCCGAGAACCCCGTTCAGGTTCTGGAGCATGTTTGAGATCTTTCGTGCTTGGAGCAGCGTTGAACCAGGCTGGCATGGGCTGCGGAGGTCTTTCTTTGCGAAAGGCATCTTCTCCTAGGCCTCGGTCAAACCCGCCGGATAAGTCCTCTTCGATCTTCTTCGACTTCTTCTTGCCCAATAGCGACTGCCCTAGATTGATGGATTCGAACGGCAATGGACCGTCGAATTTCGGAGTTGCAACATCTGGCTTCGCGGAAGGACTGCGTGGTCTTACGTTTGTCTTCGCCTTATGCTTCGACATTCTCGACTCTGCAAAGGCTGCCTGTAGATCGAACCCTTCGTCCTCATCGACCGGCCCTGGTTTTTCATGTACGGCTTGTTCAGGGACAAACCCACCTGCATCTTGATCAACGGATGGCTCCTCCAGAGACATAGCAATTGCTCGTTGTAAATCGTCGTCTTCTTCTGGCCGCGCAATCTCCACAGGCAGAACATCTTCAAAGAGCTCATCGATATCTTCATCATCAGCGTTGTCCTCGGGCACGAACAGCGCGTCGTCATTCGCCTCCTTGGCCTCTGCATTCGGTACCACTCGTATGACTTCAGCACGACTCGTGCCTGCCGCCCTTCTCGCCTCATACACAGCCTTCCTCTTCTTCGCAATCTCCTCCACGGCATCGTCATATCCCATGTCACGATCATACTCCCTAGCTTTCCTCTTCTTTGCCCACACTTTAGGTATTCGATTCAACCCTTCGATCGCCACGTCCTCAAAATCTTCATTGGCTTCCTCGTCCATCGTGTCCTCTTCGGCATCCTCACGCTCCTCCAAATCAATCGCATTCTCCCTCTGACTCCCCTTCTTATCGCTCACCACACCCAGCGCCCATCCTCCTTCCACGCCATCATTCTTGACAAGTATATACTCTTTCCCCTTCTCCCCAGCAATCCTCCCACCTCCCTGCATCAACCAGTCCCCTTCACTCATCCCATTGATCCCCATGAGCCTCTGAGTCAATTCATTCCGCTCCTTGACCCTTTCGATCTGGAACTTTGAGAAGGCCATCCGGTCCGGAAACATCCCGTCGAGCTGCTCCTTGCTATAACCCATCCTCAACCTGCTCCTCAGCCTCGCGGCATTGAGAATATTATACCGATCACCCGCCGGCAGGGACAAGAAGAACGGACTTTCAAAATCAATCTTGCTGAAGTCATACAGGTTCACGTCCTCGCCACTGTGAAATTGCCGTGCATACTCTTCCAACTCCGCCTGCGACATGATACGAGGGTCGTTAGGGGCCCCCATGTCCGCAATGCTCACGTCCAGATCAGGCAAGTGGTATTGGTCTTTCTTCTTGAACTTCTCGCCGCGCCCAGCCTGTCTCTCTCGCGCCGACAGCCCCAGCTCGTCGACATACACCAGCTCCTGATCGTCCGCTATCTCATCTTGCTCTCCTTCCGGTGTCCTCGGTCTGGCGCGTCTTCTCTTCTCTTCCTCCTCCGCCGCCCGAGCCACCTGGACGGCGAGCAACTTCCCCGCTGTCCGGGCCGCATCTTCCCGTCTGCCTTCCCTCCGCCGGGCACGTTTCCGAATCGTCTCCCGCTTGAGGATGGGTGCGCCTCCGTCGAACACAAAGACCGGCTTGATGCCGAAGTACAACAATTTGCAGATGCGGCGGAAGAAACCGACGACATGGCTGTTACGCAGGGCGTTGCCTTCTTTGTCCCGGACGGCTTTGAGAAACTGGTAGATCCAAATCGAGGCGTCGACCGCGAGGCGTTTTCGATTGAGGGAAGCCAACTGGGTTGGTCGCGCAGTGGGTGCGACAACGGTCCATAGCCCGGTTACACCCATGGTGAGAGTCGAGCATTAGCGAGGTCGGCGCAGTCTGCGGTGGGGTATCGAAATTGCGGAAGGATCATGGCGATATTTCCGATCCTTGTTGAGGCATAACGAAGATGCTCTGAGAGGAATTGAGAAGAGCCACAGTCGTGGTAACATTTTGCGACATGCCTTTCTCGTTCCATAGTGGTGACGACGTCTAGCGGCCAACGCGAGATCACGTGAACACTTATGCCTAAAGTACCACAGTACTACTCTCTACGGAGGAACTGAGGGCATGGGAGGGCTAAAGTAGCTCAGTGTAACGAGATAATGACCATCAGGGTTGGAGATATGCGGCGTTGTTCGACAATTCAGTCGATATGTCTGTTACGTTGCGCACTGCTTCATTTTCTGAGAGCTTTGTCCTTTAAAGATAACAAAGACCGACCTTCCCGCGGCCCATAGTGGCCAACCTCTGTTTGCAATCCCAACGCCATGCTCGAAGATAAATAGCCGTATTGGGCAAATTGGGCATAATACAATGGAATAATTCCACCTTTCAAGACAAAAGGAACCCGAACCTGCGCCTAAGACCTCTCGTCTTCTTTTGAAGGTTCTGCTGAACCCGAAGGTCCAACAAGAGTCGGCGCTATTCTTCTCTTCTTAGTTTTGCTCTCTTCCTTCTCACTTTCACTCGTTGCTCCCACGTCCCTCTTGCCTAGTACACTGCCACTTATAGAGCTTGCGGCGGAATGATGACCACCATGCACACTTGCTGGAGTTTGTGGTGGAGTTGACATCGGTGGTATGGCGACAGGTGGGCCTGAGTTAGCAGCTGTCACCAGAGGCACATGGCCCATAGTAGGGGTCGGGTTGTTTTGGAGCCCAGTAGTCTGTATCGAGGCCATCGTTGCTATTGAAGACTGAGAATTCGATCTGGCTGGACTTCCGGGGCGAATAATAAATGGAGCAGGAGATTGATGAGATGGCGGTATAGGGACTGGAGATGCTTTGATCAATGAAGGAGATGCTGTTGCTGTAGGTGTTGGCATGGGAGTAGAATTGGCTGATGATGTCGGAAGGGGAATGGATGTTGAGACAACAGGGTGGTTGTAGGTTGGATGAGGTCCAGTATAGACCTGTCCGAGTTCACCAGGTGAAAAAGCCAGTGTGGAGCAATATCCATCGGTTGAGGACATAAGCAATGTCAGGCCATCATTCGACCTGTTGGATGTTAGTGACAGATTCTACCTCCGATTTTATCTGGCTTACCACGTCAAGTCCGAGAACGTTGCATAATGAAGATTGCTAACGACGCAGAGAGGCGTCATTTGTTGAGTATCATAGACAAAGACGGCGTCCTGAGTAGCCACAGCATAGACCATTCGATATGGCAAGGCGAAAGCAGGAGTTGGTGAAGGGTTGATGGGGTCTGAATCTGTTACGGTTCTCGGTGAAGGTGCTGACATTGGCTCAGGGACAGATGTTGCAGACGAGAGGGATGGCGGTTCCATGATCGACGAAGGTGTCGGCGCTGTAATAGCCTCAGGCAACAGGGGGATCTCTTCACTGGCCGAGGATGTGTCAATAGTGATGTGGTTGGTTGGTTTGGTGGTTGAGCGGAGGGTGTAGAGAATAGGAGAACATTTGACAGCGACGGACGGTTTCTTGTGGCCAGGCAGATGTGCGACAGGAGGCTTGTTGAAGCCAGCTCGCGTATATATGTAGACAGTATTCGAGATGTCTTCACTGGGCTTTGTCGGATCGCCCGTACTTGGAAATGCTTGCTTGTAGTGTCCGGCGGGAGTGAACAGTAAGCTTCCATCTGGAGAGAATGAGAGTCGTCGGAAAAAAGAGGTTAACGTTTCGTTGTGATATATGTTTGTGTTTTTGACTGCTAATCCCATGGCTGCATTGAGACTGGGTGAGGAGATTTCTGGCCTCACGGCAGGCAATGGCAGCGAGGGTGCAGGAGAAGCAGATCGGCGGAACGATGGTGACGAGCCGAAGGACGAGCGTCGGCTGGAAGTGATCATAGGCGGATCCATCGGAAGTGGTGTAGTAAGAGGCGTGCCGGGGTTTGAAGGTGCTGGAGAGGCAATGGATAGATTGTTTGCGTTTGCGCTCGATGATCGATGTGGTAGATCTGCAGGAGCCGGACTGTTCGAAGATATTCGTCGAGCAGGTAGGTCCACTTTGTTGAATTTACCATGTGTAGAGAGTGTTGGTGTCCCGTCCTTGAGCTTCAGAGCATATATGTGCACCGAGCGGTCTGACGACTGCGTAGCAACAAACTCGTTGAGAGGATCCCAGGCCACTCCCTGTACGAAGTGGTTGTGCTCTGCGATCTGGCGTATCATAGCACCTAGAAGAGTCAGCACTTGCTTCCGTAGGCTATGAATCAACTGCATACCAGTATGTGCATTGAAAATCCTGGCAGTATTGTCAACTCCGCCAGTGATGAAATATTGACCATCAGGAGACCAAGCCAAGTCGTATATTTCAGCTCCGCTGGATGTCCGGCACATATGCTTTATTCTCCATGTTTCCTTGTCATCGGCGTGTTCTTCGGTCAGGGTCGTTATTGCTGACTCGGAGGGGACCCAAAGGAGGACATTGCCATCATCTCCGGCTGAGGCTAGCATTTCCCCTGTAATTGTATGAGCAAAGATATATCCAAGTGTTATCACCCGTACTCACCTCTGGGACAGAATCGGACGACATTTACAGGCTGAGTATGTCTTGTGAGTGTCGAGAGGTATGTAACTTTTCGCTCTTCTCCTTGAGCTTCAATGCTCCATAACTTTGCCAAATGTTAGCGGGACTTCCGAAGGTGGTGGTTTATGTGCATACTCGGACATTGTTATCACTGGTAGAATGGTTAGCAGGGCATTTTAACTTTGTCCGCAGCAGACTCACTTTCCAGCAGTTGCCAGTCTGCCTTTTCCGCGAGGGTCAAAGTGGACAGAGTAGATGGGCTGATTATCGTTGTGCCATGTTATGAGAAGTGGACCGGCCTTCATGATTGCATTGGTGAGTGGCCTTGCAGGCCAACGTGTTGAAGACAGTCAAAATCGCCAGGTCAGTATTGTAAATCTGAAGGGTCTATGGTTTGGTGGTTGTCAGATGTGCAGAGCTTTCAAACAAAGACAGTGATCGACAACGGTGAGAGTGGACGATCGGAGTATGCAGCAGCAGACGGTAGCTGGGTCGGCAAAGATGTAGGACTTAGAGAGGCCAGTGAGTTGGGGGTGCCGTGGTATTGAAGACGAGAAAGGCAGAGGCTTCGAGATCAACTGTAGAGTACTAGTACTTCGAGATGAAACGAACGGCAATATGAAGCCGGCATGGAAAGAAGTAAATGGTTTGGGTGCGGTGCAGATGGTATAGCTGGTTGCTTCTCCGTTGCAGGTGGAGATGACTTGCTGCACAGTATGGCTACGGTACGAGTGCAGTTTCCAAGCATTGGACTCCATCACCCAAATCTTTCCTCCCACGCGACGCGCCGCCCGCCTCTCGCGTAGCTATTTATTAGCACCGCCTATTAAAATCACTGCTCACCACTTTTGGTTCTTCCACCAGCGGATTTTCGGCCAGCTCGATTTTCAGAGCTTCCAGTACCGGCTGTTTCATGACCAACCCTCCGTTCTGGCGCGTTTACTCTGACAATTTACTGCTTCGCTTTTCCAAGTGGGAGCATGTCTCAGGCTTGGAACCTGGGCCTTGGCAAGAGGATGGATTCTTCTGTAAAACATTCAAACAAAGTATTCGGTACAGTTAGAAGTGAATCGCGCTCTCCCATTGTCGCCACGTCACTTGTCCTCGTCATCAATCTTGTCCATCGTTGCGTTTCCTGTTCGCGGTCTTCAATCCTCACTCAAAGGGTCAAGACGATGCCTTTCAAAGACGTATCCTTATTCCTGCTCGTCTTTCGGACGCTGTGATTCCCCTTACTCTAAGCTTTTGAGAAATGTACGCTTTCGAGATGCACCAATGCAGCTCTTCATCCGGGTAAGATCATAATCCTGGGCCAACGCCGGTGCAACGCCTGTGGCGTAAGGCTGAGGAGTTCGTAGCGTGTCACAGAGATGCATTCCCAATGGCGACCTCGGCTGCGTCTCCGGAAAGGGTTGGCTCATGGGCTTGCCCCTGCAACCGAGTTCACTGAGGTCAATCGTACGGACAGCAACCGAGGTCAAGCTGTCCCGCTGAAGACCACCATCACATTGTCCTGTCTCACGAAGAAGGATCGGCTCAGAAACTCTGAGCCGATACTTGTGCGGGCTACAACATCATTAGCTTCGACCACTAACAGAGTGAGTGGAATAACGTACCGGACTGTTGAGCATGTTCTGTCGAGCATTTCTGCCTCTCTTGATGTGGCTCTTGAGAGCACTCGAATCCAAGGGTTTCAAAAGTTCAAAACTGCACAAGAGGTTACTGGAGACCGACATCACGGCACCCCAATTGTCGAACTCGCCACAGTACTAGGAAGATTAGCATGATATGCGGTCCACGGGGCGATTGACTTACATTCGGGGCAGAGAACACCGTGACGAGCAGTCTGTCATTGAAGAACTCGTAACCGTCTTCAACCACCATATGTGCTCGACAAACCAAGTCGAAGTCGTGTCGTGCAAGAAAATCGACTATCACTTTCTTTCCAAAGCAATAGCTCACGCCACGTTCATTAGAGTCCCAGTCTTGGTCCATATCTGCTGGATCACTCCACAATAGATCATTGAGCAAGCCGTAGTCTGGAACATCGGTAGGCCTGGCTATCTGACGAATATCGTCCATGTGAGACAGACTAGGCGATAATCCGCCATGGACGCAGAAAATCTTGTCCGCCACAATTGCAGCAATTGGCAAGCAGTTGAACGTGTCGATAAATGTCTTCCAGATCTTGATATTGCACCTTCGTTTGCATTCGTCGTAAAATCCGTATACACGAGTGACGTTTGCGCATTCATGATTACCTCGCAGAATGAAAAAGTTTTCCGGATACTTCAGTTTGTAGCAGAAGAGTAGAAGAATCGTCTCGAGAGATTGCTTTCCACGATCGACATAGTCCCCAAGAAAGAGGAAATTTGCATTCGGCGGGAACCCGCACATCTCGAACAGACGGATGAGGTCATTGTACTGGCCGTGGATGTCGCCCACGATTTTAACAGGAGCATTCAATTCCAGTAATGCTGGTTGAGACAGGAGCACTTCCCGCACGGCGGCACAAATCGCGGTGATTTCTGCATTTTTGAGACAGACGGCTTTCGTAACCTTGGTAGTGTAACCAGCATCCAGAAGGCGGGAGATCATGTCGTCAAGGTCCATATCATTGACGTCTCCAATTCCCATCCCTCCACCAGGTGATGCGCCAGGCAGTTCTGCTAATTTGGCTCGCAAAGAAGCCTTTGTCTCTGGAGCCCGGGGATTTATTTGGTTTTCGCGCTTGACCAAGATCGAGTCCCCCGCCTTTTGTGTAGACGAATGATGGTGCGCCTGGTGAGGTCCCTCATCAGAGACGGCACCTACTTCTCCCGTCCGTTGGGCACGGTCTACTGACTTGTGGCCTTTGCCTACAGACTTGGAGGTCGGTGATGGCGGACGTGCCGGCGTCGCAGTTCCTGGCGACGGAGCCTCATCTTCAGCGTCTGTCGGCGAGGTCGGAGATTCTACCACCGGTGCATTTGTGATCCTCTCTCTGGTCACCCTGGATGAACCCGAACGGCCACTGGCAACCGAAGCAGCATCTCCTCTGTCATTGTTTGATTCATCGATTCCGGTTAAAGCAGAGCCCGAAGCTCTTGGGCTGTCATTAGTCTTGTCCTCCGATGAGCTCTTGATCTTGCTCCTGATCGAAGATCGTATAGACCTCGAAGTGCTTTCCTTCGTATCAGACTTAGATATGGAGGGGTATTGCTGCAATCCGTCTGGGACTAGATTCGAGGAAGAACCGCTTTTCAGAGGTGTTCTGCTTCCATCGCTACTCTTTGACTGTTGTTGGCCCATTGAATAGTCGCGAGCTTAAAACGAGTGGCGTGATGGAGAAAGCGGTACGGGCGGTCGTAGCAGGTTCAGGGAGGTTTGAGGAGTGAGATAAGCAGCCGCTTTGAGGAATGCGTTTTGGCGGCTGGATAACTGTGCACTCGGGAAGGAGCACACGTGTCGTATGCTCAGGTGAATTCGTCTCGCAAAGAGGTGTAGATACGAGGAAAGATGTCGTTGAAGCGGTCTGTTCGATTCATACGGTGGTAGGGATACGCGGCAAGGGTTTTCTCAGTATGCTCTGGTTCGGTCGAGGCGTGCCTCTATCTCGCCTGCAATAAAATCAAGCAGATTGTTAGCAGCTGAAGAGCTAGATATCATTGGATTTGGTATTGAGCGGTTTCAGCGGAGAAGCCACGCCAGTCCGACCCAGGGGACCCAGATGTCGCATGGAGCCTTGCGGTGAAACAATGTTGCGTCACCACCGGGAGGGCAGGATAAGAGCGGGACTAACCTTGAGCATCTGGCGAGCTGGTGCAGGAAAGACGGTCGGCAACGGCGTCACGAGATGCAGAATGCAGACAAAGAGATGTGAGGATAATGAGTAGGTGGAAAGCTAGGAACAATGAGTAAAGAGGTGCTTTGTGGTTGATGCTTTTCTGCTGCAAAATAAGCCAACTAGCCTGCGCTGCGCAGGTAATGACTCCCGGACCGTTGTTTTTCTATAGCTCCGGGGGCTGTCGGGGCCTTCATCGACTTGGAGGACTTGTACCAAGCGAGCCAAACGGCGCTGACCCAGCAGCCTAGAATTTCCTTGGCGCCAAACGTCCTCTCCTCTCTTCGTGCTTGGCCAGTCTCGCCCAGTCGTGGTCTGCCCGGAAACACAACCACATGGCCATCTCATCTCACGTACATAGCAAGATAGCAACCCAGGCACCTGAACCGAGCCAGCAACGGAGCGTCCTTCGTCTTTCGCTTAGCGATACAGTAAATTAAATGCTTTGTCGACCACGCGATTTTATCACCGCGTCCAACATTTTATTTCCGACCTTCAATTCTCTTTGATAACATATCCGAAGCCTTCAAACGCCAACACTGAAGATGGGACTCCACAACTCCTTGGTACCCAGCGAGTGGTGAGCTTGTTATGTTGCAGCCCAGGCTCAAGAGTTTCATGATTTTGCTCGCAACGATAAAGACTGTCCACTGGGCCACTCCCTCTTGTCCTCAACTTCTAGCTTTGCTATCTGCTTGCCCGGGACTACAATGAGTCCGACAAATCTCGACGTCATGTCAGCTCTACTAGTCTGTCCAGAGATTTTGAGCTTATCAATGGCAGCTCTCTCAGAGCCCCTAGAGGGCATGCGATCCTCGAATGTATTGGAGAGGATGATGTTACTGTCCTGCAGTATGTTAGCACATTGGACTTAAGTCCTGTGCCTTTCCTCATGATAGTCTTACGTTGTCCGTACATCGAAATGTCCCGGTGAACAGCCGACCTATCTCTGTTAGACAACTGCCAACGTAGCTGGTTCAGAGCTATTGTACCGTCTGGCACAGTCACATGCAAAGTTTTCCCTAGCAGAGATTCGAGGAATTGGACGGCCTCCGCTTCCTCCATCTTCATGATTTGGAATCTCGACAGTGGCAAGGGAGATCGAGAGTTCTTTCCCTGTCACTGCCACTCAGCATATCGGAAGCAAATATGTGACGTCGCTATTATCCCGCACAACTGTGAACGGTAGGGGAACCACAGGTGTAGAGCCTCAACACGCCCACACACGCCTCACATGTATTGATGCTCCGGGCAGAAGGGTGGGCTTGGCGAAATACGGCGAAAAGTTCTCCCGACCCCGGACATATCGAACTGACGGCAGCACCCAGGTCGATCTGAAACTCATCTCACTACATGTGCCAGTTTTCCAAATCGATGAACTGCATCCATGCGAGGCTCTACAACGCAATATGGCTTGCAGGCCTCAGTTACTGCCAGCCAGCCGGTTCACTTCATCTGTTCCAGGTTCAAGCCTGACCTCACTTCTCATTCACTGCTTCGGTTGTGACAACTTACCACAGTTAGACCTGTTGCTTGAGCTCAATATGTCTTTTCTTAGCGATTCAACTCTCCGCTGGTTGAGACTCTATCCGCCAGGCCACCTCTACCTTCGCTCTTGCCCCTGATTCCACGACGCGAAAGTCAAGATGGCTCATCGAGGGACTGTTCGTACTCTAGACGCATCCGCGCCGAAACATGTCTGGACTCCTGGCGATCGGGAACTCTTGGGAGTTATTCAGAGACTTTACGACATTACAAATATCGAGATAACCCAACTATTCAACACTGTGAATCGGACACGACTAGAGCAAGAAGGGTTTCGGAACGGCCTCAGAACGACCGCTATCTCGTCCCAAATTGCCGATCTCAAGCGGACAGATCGAGGAGGCGTTTTCCAGGATGTACTGTCGATGAGTGCATCTAACGTGCGAAACAGATTTAGCGTGCTGATCCTTAACATTGAGCAAGCTGCTGCGACCCTTGGCATCGCCCTTCCTACTCGCCATGGTGGAAGTTTTTCTGCTGTCTCTCTAACGCGGCGTTTACCGAAGGCCAGACTTGATGAGTGGGCTACAGGATCTGAGGCGTCAATGTCACCTCCAGCTCGGAACCACGTCGTTGTCGAAGTCAGCGCTCCGAAGAGGAGGAGAATCATTGCCACTCCTTCGCCAAGCGGGTCACCAGCATATATAAGCTCAAGCTTTGCCGAAAGTCAGTCACCTACGACAGTTTCGGCGTCAACTCCAGATATCGACTCCGACTCTACCGGAACCTGGAAAACTGACTCGGACTCTGACGGCGGAGATGAATATCTTGCCATAACCGACAATGATTTTCCAGCGACGGCGTCAAGGATCAACCCTCGTCTGAAGATATCCTTCAATCATAAGCGAAGGTCTGCTCGTCAACGACCTCGCCTATTATTTCGGGCTTTCGATCCTACTCACGGACTCACAGCCCGACAATTTCTGCATTCATCTCAAATTCCGACACCTTCAGCGAAGGACAGTCAGGAATTTCGTACCATGGCATTCCGTCATCTTTCCATCGACGAAAACTTTCAGTCCCCTTTTCTTTCGTGGACGGAGAGTGCTTTTCGGTCTCTTAAGCTCATCGCGAAAAGTGCCTTATCGCTCTCCTTAGCCATAATCGACTACAATGTCTACGAAGACGCTCAAGAAGGGAGATTCGGCAAAGACACGGGCCTATGGCTTGTACCCCATCTCTGCGACATTCACGGATTTACCGCGCTCGAGAAACTGCAAGAAGAACCATCCACTATAGCTCCGAGGAATCGGAAAGGTTATACAGGTATTGGCGAGGTCGGGCACTCCGAGAGTTCAGATCGTTCCAGGTTGCTAACCTCCTAATAGTTTTTGAGCTGGGGCTCCGTTACCTGCGACACAATTGCAATTCTAGATACAGAAGCAGCTATGAAACTGTATCAGACAATGCACTGTATTCAAGAGCTGTCGCACGAATCTGGAGTGCTTGTCAGCCAGGTAAGAATAGAAGTCCTTGAGCTATTGTACGGAGCCTAATTTATGTAACCAGTGTCTCAATGATGTCCTACCAATATACAGAGAAGTTGTCGCGTACAAGCTATTGAGGAACTTCGAGGTTCTAAGGCCTAGTCAAGGTCCCTCAGGTGCGAGCTACGAGACTTTCGTGGCTGGCCTCTACGGCACTGCTTTAGCCGACCATTTCGACATCATTATCGCCGAGTCCGAATCAGGAATGATTACCCAGGGTGAGATCAATCTATCGCAGCAGGATCCGATTATTCCGTCCACCTCGAAAGGAGCAATAACTGTCGAGATCCCGACCAAAATTAGCTCTTCTCCACCTGACGAATCTTTCCGTCCCAGCGTTGAGGCATTTTCTTCAGACCAGGGCGTCCTACAATCACTGATCGATATACAACTATCTATCACGGGTGAACCATATGGAATCATCATCGAAAAAGACGATGGTTCTTCTTCGGGCGAGCCTAATGGAAAGATACAGATAACATCCAGCCCGGCAGAACTTATGAAACGTCACTTCGAAAAGCCTAAGGAGACCGTATATGTCCAGCCACAGGTCTTGCAGCTGCCTAAAGAAGATCCCCTCCTCAAGCTCAAGCCTGATACTCAAGACAATTCTGGTAGGGATACGTTTCTCTACCCTACCGACAAAGACGATTCTATCATCAAAGACGAGCTCGAGGACGTTTTTATGAAAGAACTCCTTGAGACAGCGAAGATATCTCCCCCGCTTCCCTCGAACGTCGACTCAATTCCTATGGCCAAAGATTACTCGGAGGTGAGTTTACAGACAATAATCGAAGAGAATACAGACGTCCTCGAAACCAAACCACTAAAGTCGCCGAGAAGATCACAAATAAAGAAGCGATCCCTGGCTAAAATCGACGTCTCGAAGCTCTTTGACCGCCACAAAGCGAGCCTTTCGACCCGTACCGAACATATCGCTTCCACCTCCGCTACGTGGCCAGCTCATTCTGATGTACCCATGGCCAATACTAGATATTCCGCATCTATAGTCGACCTCACGAATGACGCTGGCGCTGGCGCTGACGTCCGAAGCCCGCGGCCTAAGAAACGTCAGACACTATTTGGTCCACAGGGAAATGCGGTCGACCTAACAACAGATGCAGGGCAAGAGACACCGCACACCACGCCGTCAAACACACAATCTGGCGCTCAGGAACCCAACAGCATTGTCAATACTATTGGCACTAATGATGCTAGTCTTGATCTGCACGAGGTCTTAGATGTAGCGGACGACGCCGACGTGCAATACATCGGCTCCGCCACCGTCCATCATCGGCGTCGGGTGAGAACCACTACACACACTGTCCTGACGGTTCGATCCCGGAGTGTCAGCGAGAGCTTGACATTCGCCCCTCAACCAGGATCGAAATCATAGGTCAGGCGATTGACGGTGCAGTTTCAGAACACCTTGATCGAACACATGAGCAACGAAAAACTGCAACTATTGAACGAGCTTGCAGAGGTTGAATTGTTATTGTGTTATTGGAAGACATTCCTGATCGTGCTGGAAGACAGCACAACACCCGTCTACCGCGTCCTGTCTCAGAGATCCATGCAGCCTCGACAGAATGTTACAGCATCTCACTGTTTTTTGACGGCAAGCATTTCTTGCATGGAAAGCGAAATGCAAAAGTTGGAACACACCAGGAAGAGTCCTCCGCTCATCTGCCAGCAAAAAAGCAAGAAACATTTCGGAGTCAGAAGCACAATCCCCCGACTCGGGTATGGCAGCATTGGACAGCTAGCTGCAAGATGAGAGACACCCAAAAAGAGCTCGGCAAGGAAGACAGAGAAAGGAAAACCTATTCCGTCCATGTCACCTATTGCACCTCAACTCCATTCCACCCGTTGCCGTTTCGATCCACATGGTCCCCGTAAGTGTCCGTCGCTAGTAATCTCTCGATGACATAAAACATGATATTCATACAGTATTATCATTACGAAGAAGAAAGCCCCATCATCAACCGTGATGCCCCGATGCTGCTCGATGCCTCGACGCCATATTCAAGCCCAGGCTCAAGCCCAAGTCCGGCACAGACTGCTGCGTTTAATGTGGCATCAGACATCACTCAAAGTCATGCTATCCCTTTTTTCATAGCTTCATACCTTGAAATTCTTCAACCCAGCAACGATATCGTCTTCTTCACCCTCGCCATCATCCCAAATCGTGATACTCTGCACCCTCTCCCCCTTGCCCAACTCAACGGCCTGAAAGGCATCGACCTCTTCAACCTCGTCCTCTTCATCCTCGTCTTCCTCGCCAATAGCGGCATGCCCGAGCCCTTCATGTTCTTCCTCTTCTTCCTCGATGATCTGGCTCTTCCTTCTACCTTTCCCACTTCCCCTCCGACCCACGCCCGCGCCCGAGCCCAAGAACGACCCAAAAGCATGATTGATCTTCCCATCGCTTCCCTCCCTATTCCTCCCGGCGTCGGCGACAGCCGGGCTGCCAAACGCGGCCGGCACACTCCCTGCCGAGAAGAATGCCGCATTCAGCATGGGCCCCTTGAACGGACTACGCTTCCTCTTCGTGAACATCAATCCCGATCCAAACCCGTGTGGCGTGCTCGGCAACCCTTCGTCTTGTATCCCCGATAGTGGGCGCGGCTGTAAACTGGCCTCTGGCCCACGCGGCGTCCTGACCACTCTAACATTGCTGGGGAAGCTATGTGTCGTCGGCGTGTTTGGGAGCACTTTGATCGAATTATGTGGGGACCGAGCCGCGCTGCGACTGCCCGGACTATGGATTGTGTCCAGACTATTGCTGCTCTGACTCGACGCTTTGCTGTGCGATGTATGTCTTGGCATGCTCCGAACCGATGATACGGATGAGGAAGTCGACTTGCGACCGCGCAGGCCAGCCGAACTGTGTCGGTGGAACGACGAGCGCGGCGTAAGCGGAGATGGTGAGAGAGATTTGCGGTGCGATCCTACCAGCGCGCCGTCAACGCGAGGGCCGGACGTTTTGATCGCAATTACCGGACCTGAGTTTGATACGACGGGCGTCAAAGCCGAGCCGTAGGAAGATCTGCGTGAATTGACGGGCGGAAAGTTTCTGCTTGTCCTGTCGAGTGCAGACGTACTCTTCGAGTTCTGACCGACATTTTTCTCAGTATGGCCATTGAGCAATTTGTTGCCTTTAGCTCGGACAGGTGACTTGGCCTTTTTCGTCGACTCGACGAACCAATGCTTCAGTGCCGTGAGTTGGTTCAAGAATTGTCGGTTGCGTAGCTTCCCACCGCGCCGCTTGTTAATGCCGTGGATAGGCCCAAGCAAGTCTGGGTTGGTTGAGACTATTTGGAGTGTGCTGCTGCGTCGGCTTCGTTCTTTCGGTGGAAGCGGTGGGCGCGACCCACTCTGTGAGCGGACCGAATCCTTGTCAATTGGTGGTGGTGGTGTGGCCGATCCGGGTGATTTCACAACGTCTCCTTCTGGAAGTTGAGGTAAGTCGCTGACGAGTATCTGGGGCGTGCTCCTTCGCTGGGTCCTCCCTCTGCTACTACTCCGGCGTCTTTGCGTCTGCCCGGTTAGGCCCTCTTCGTCGACCTCGAGGAGTGTGGGCGCAATTCTTTCCAAACGACTACTTGCACCACTCAGCCTCCGCAGCAGTTTCATGTCTGCTTCTTTTTCTCTTCGCTTCCGATCACGCCGTGCTTGCTTCCTCGTCTCCTTCTCGATCAGAAGCGCCCACCATCCTGCCAGGCCATCGCACCTCTGCGCAAGGACGTTCTCAATAACCTTGTCTATATCAACACCTGCGGCTCTCATCCGTTCCAAGGTGTCTTTCTCCAACTGTGTCGAGAAAGCAGCCGGTTGAGACAATTTCAAGATGGCTTGCTGCGCAGGCGCGTGGTCGGCTAAAAATTGGTCGGCCAGGACGTCTGACAGACTCGGCCTGTACAGCTGTCTTTTAGACAGTAATCTGGAAATCAGCGTCTTCGCCGGCTCGGGAAATGAATCGGGATAGACAGGATCATCCTTGAGTATTTTTGCCTTGGTGGCCGCGTCGTCGTCCTCGTCGAATGGCAATTCTCCCTTCAGCAGTGCGTAGAGAATGATTCCCAAACTCCAGACGTCGACTTTCTCTCCTGCGTACTTCTCCCCTTTCAGCATTTCTGGTGCGCTGTAACATACCGTCCCACAGAACGTTTGCAGGTAACTCGCTTTGCCCTCATATTCTCTGGTGAAGCCAAAATCGCACAATTTGACATTGTCGTGCTTGTCGAGGAGGACATTCTCCAACTTCAGGTCGCGGTGGACACATGATTTGCTGTGTATGTAGGCGACGGCGCCCACCAGCTGGGTAAAGATTTTCTGTACTGTCTCAACGGGAAGCGCGCCGTTTTTGCATAAGTAGTTGTATAGTTCGTCGCCTGCTCATGTTCAGTACGCTTCGCGACAGATCCACAAGACCCATACCAGGACAGTATTCCAAAGCCAACCACACATGGGTCTCTGTTATTATGACTTCATATAACCGCGCAATATGGGGATGGATGAACTGTCGGTGGTGATGGATTTCCCTTGCGAGATTCCCATCCTCCTTGTTCGAGGCTTTGAGGACGACCTGCCCCCATCTTAGTGACGGATTCCTCCTCATACGTGCGAAACCAACCTTGGAGCCATGTATGAGATTGTGTCGGGCGAGGTAAACTTTGCCAAACGACCCCTTTCCAATGAGTTTCCCTATAGTGTAGTTCCCGACGCTCTTGAGCTCCTTTGACGAGAATTGTCTGCGAGAGTGTTAAAGAGTGTGTAGACACACAGTGTTGTGATGCTCACTCGAGTAGTTCGGAATAGGAGCTTGCAAGCTGTTGTCGCATGTAAGTCAGTGCCGGCTCTTCTCAACGGCGGTGTGAAGTGTGTACTTTTGCTTTATGTTGCTGAAGCTCCGCTCTGGTCTTGGGAGCTTGCATCCCTCGAGACGATTTTGCTGTTTGGTTTCACAGAGCAGTTCATGCGGGACCTCGAGGGTGAAGGTGAGGGTAACATGTGGATATGTCTAGGAGAAGGCAATCCCTGTCGTCGTGGGTGCGCGATCGTATGTGGCTTTCGATTGCGAGGTTTGCGCAAGACATGGACATGCAGGAAGTCTTCAAGAGCGCATAGGCCGTGCGGTCGCCGTTGGTAGAAGTCTAGGTCTTGTTCGTGAGTGGTGATGGCATTGAAGGCCAGGCGTGACATCGGCAGCGCAGTGTGAGTCTCGAGGTCAGTTGCGTGAGCAAAATCAGGGTCCCCTTATGCGTACCTAAAGGCTGTGGTGGAGGCGTCAACGGCGAATGCTCAATGGCGGAAAAAGGCTGCAAGAGCCCGAGGAAATTTTAGAACCCTTGTTTAGGGCCCGTCAACCACGGTATGGCACCTAAGTTAGTTGATCCACATTCATCCCCGGAAGACGTTGAAAGCCTTTGCCCAATCTCTATATTCGTATTAAAGGCCTCACTAGCCCTACGGATCATCGATGTACGCGCCTCACTTATATTCAGTATAGTATTCGCCACTCATCGAATTCTGGAATATCTCAAGATAGGTCTTCACAGGGCCGTGGGCGGCTGACGCAAGCCTCCTTGACTGTTGAAGACTCACGCCTGATACAAGCCTCGAGACAGTTCCGAGAACCCGAGGGATAAACCTGGAGACAAGTCACGCTCATGGTCGAATCATTTACATAAATTTTACTCTCAAATGCAATGGACTGGATCTCAGAATCATCCAATCGTCCCAGACGCCGCGCTCAAAATACATCCAACAGCTATTATATACACGTTGTCTCTGATCCATCATCAGCATCATTGTCGTCGTCAATGTCCAGCTACATCATTGTCTGGGCGGAGAATTACTCCTTATATTTTGCAGCTGCTGCTGTTGCGAAGACGGCAATTCAGAAAGCATGCTGTATCGGTCCGATGGTCCAGACGTCTCGGACTGGCTGCCCCCGTGTCCGAATTGTGTGCTGTATCGATATTGATTCGTCATGTCTGAAATCGTACTCATCCGATCTGAATTCGTTTGTGGGTTTGGTGAACCCTTCTGCGTCGCCTCCTGGCTCGACAATTCCGAGACCATGCTCATCCGGTTGTCAGGGCGGGACGTGTGGTCAACCGGTGGGGACAAATGTCCAGTATAATACATCGATCCAGGTAATTCAGCGACGAAAGACTTCGGGCCCTGCGGGGGTTGATGTAGCTGAGGATAATAACTCATGCGTTGTTGCTGTGTCGCATGATATGGCGGTAGACCATAGTTGCTCATGCGCTTGTCGTCGGCCCGGTACGCTGGATGATTAGCCTGTCCCTGCCATCCCAGATCCTGCTGAGGCGACAGCATCTGTGGAGACATAGGTCGCTCGGCAATCGGTGTGCTGAGCAACTGTGACCTGGCCATGACAGATCCAGGCTGGAAACGATGCATCGGGCTGGCTGGGGTCATTGGAATTCCTCCATTGGTCTGCACGTGTTCCTCCAATCGCTCTGCTTTCTTCATGATACGTTCGATGAGGACTTTGTGCGCATTATCGAGGTTCTTCCGGACAAACCCTGACAACATTCTATTGCATCGCATGTCGCAGTCCTCCCTCAGATACAAGCCTTGTCGGGGAACTTCAACTCCCAGCTCTCGTGGTTCCGGTGGCTCGCCCGGCAGCGACCCGCCTATGGACCACTTCTCTCGGATGTCAAGCCCCGTCGGCGCATAGATATGTGTTTGAAGTCCGAAGGGTGTGTCGTGGAAGCATGCCTTGTAGCTGACCTTTCCCTTCACAAGGCCGCCGGGCAGATAGTGTACCTTGTCCGTCAACTCTTGCCAAACACAATCCAGGAATTCGTCGGCCGGGGCATCTCGCGGGGTCTTGATAGGATGGTGTTCGATCACCATAGGATTCAGTTCGATCATTTCGTCGTGATTATGAAGCATAGCTATCGCGACTTCTCTCGACACTTGCGAAGGAAGCGGGGTGATGTTCGTGAACAGCGTTCTTTTTGGCATTGTTATTACTGCTGACGCTCGCAGCGTCGAGGGAAAGGTGCCTCCTGGCGATCGATCACCTCTTCTCAACAGTATATAGTGCTTTGAATGAGTCGAGTACTTGGCTAGCTAGGTGCTAGCAGTTGCGAGTGTTCTGCAGTCTTGCGCGGCTGACGCTCTCAAGCACCGGAAAGTTTGGGAATATGAGGGGCCTGGGGAGCCTAGACATTGATGGGCCTGTGCCTAAATGAGATCTTGGTACTGGAGACTTGGGTCGTTCTAGGTAAAGATTTGGTGACACGCTAAGAATAGGCTAGTGCTTACCAAAGAAGGTGGCTGACTAGGATGGTTCGAAGCCAGTGGCCAGCATTCGACCTCCGAGTTCCCAGATCCGCGGCTTCAGCCTTCTTGATCGCTCGGCAGCCAATTCTTTCGCCTGATCTTCCACTAGCTCGGAATCTCAATCAGTGCAGACAGTTTCCTCACCGGCTTTTCGGACTGTAGCTGTTTCAAACATTGCTTGGCTCCTTCGCATTGATGGTCTTGAAACTCATAAAGAGAATCCACAGCTTAGACAGGAGACAGCCACAGGTCTCATGGCCGTGCTCGTATCAAGGTCGCCTTCGGGACTGTGCTGAAGATCGCTCCGACGGAATCTGGCCACTGTGGTCGCTGGATGATGGCATCACGGGCTGAGTCTAATACGCGGCGAATCAGGGCATGTCCTTGCACGGCCCCCCCCCGTGAGCGCCTCATGACCCAGGAGCCTCAGCACTCAGCTGAAGTCACCCCTGCATTCATATAGCACGTCAACTTCGCCGCCAAGCGACATTGTTGAGCTTCTCTACAGCTTCCTTACTGAAGCAAAATGTAGGGTCGAAATCCTTCAACGCTGGCTCCCCGTAGATGGCCAGAGTTGCGAGACCGAGATACGAGTGCAGAAGGTCTGGCCGGAGAGTTAGCAACAGACCCTACACAGAGAACGAAACTGGCGTACCAGGAAGCTCTCCAGGTGCTTTTGCAAAACCTCCAATCAAATGTGCAACTTTTTCGAGAAGATATCTTCTCAGAGCTTCAATCTCGACTAGTTCATGTTGTTGCAGGATCTAGATGGATCAGTCAGTTATTGGTGGTATGAGTCGAACGCACTCACAGCCAGAGCTCCCACATTCCAAAAGCAATAACAAGTGTCCGCCATCTTTCCGCATCTGCCGCAAAATCCAGCGATCACCTTCTGAGGGTCCAATTGCTCTTGCATGGCGGACATGTCAAGAGAATCGTTCTTCGGTTCAGCATCGTCCACTCCACCCTCGTCTTCATCTTCGTCTTCGTCTTCTTCTTCAACCCAAGTAGTCTGTCGATCGAGCATCCATCTGGTACACCCTGCGGTATCGACTCCGGCTTGCCTCGCTACCTCATGTGCTGGTGTCGGCGGTTTCTGGAGCAAGCCGAGAAAGGAGAGTGTCGCAATGCCGCAGTAGTTCAGACCGGCTGCCGCATCATCAGCTCAGTGCTCATCATTCCGTTCTTTTGTGTTGATAACGTACAGTGTGCTTCAAGAAGAGGCTGTTGAGCAATCCCACCATCATGACTCTGGTAATGGCTTCAGCAATTGCGAGACTGCGAGACGGTCCATCTTACTTGGCAGTTTGAAATGTACTCCTGCAATCTCACCTGGTCTATTGCACTCGTTTCAATGTCCGAGTCCGGCCCTTGCAGAAGCTTCAATGTGCCGACGGCGCACATGCATAGTCTTGGATCGTCGCCGCCTTCAATCTCGTCATCCTCGCCGAGATACTCTCCAAAACTGCCATTCTTTCTCTGTAAACATCGTACCCATTTCATACATTCTTCCCTCCTAACTCTGCTAAGGTCGTCTCCCAGCATTATCAGCGTAGCCAATGCGAAGTATGTATTGGGTAGATTCGCCGGGTCCCAGTGCCAGTTGTGTAGGCTTCTCATACCACCCAGCATGGTCCCTGTGAACCCTCGAAACCCGCCAGTGAAGGGCACTTGGCAGGAATAGATCCAGTCAATCCATCCTTTTCTTTCTTTTGCTGTCGTTGCAGTGTCTAAGGCGTCCAGTAAATCTAGAGCAGCCACTATGAAGAAGCCAAAACTCATTCGACTCGCCTCACCTGCAGAGTATGGTTCAGGCAGAAGCTGGGCGCAGCGTTTCCAGTATTTGATGTGGCGTTCTCTGTCAAGTCTCGGGCGGGAGTCAACCTCCATCTTACACCCAGAATATACTGAATTGTGGCCTTAGATTTGACACCTTTGATCCCCTTCCCCAATGACAAGTGCTGATACTCATTGAATTGACATCGGAGTAAGCCAGGTCTTCCCGTCTTCTGGCTCAAAGGTGTCCTTATCGATTGAGTTGGTAGATATTAATGAGTGGTGAGAGATGGGAATGAAGCATAGTGCATGGGTCATGAACGAGTACTACTTGTTCCCAATACATAGGGCTGGCGTGGCTTAGTCAAAACTAACCAATCAATCACGGTGACACCCATGACGAGGTTTATACTACAGATCTTCAATACTTTCGAGGTCGAACGAAATTGGATCCTCGATTGTCTGCAAAAATCGAATCGTCTATCTTAAATGCTATGGTCGTATCAAGAAAGCGTGCTTGTGTAATGGCCCGGACGGAATTAACAAAGATCAAGAGCGTAACAGGATCTCGCATCACATGAAATCGTCTTCCTCAAGGCCGTCGTCATAACTCGTGGTATCTGCAAGGCCTCTACCCATGTCTCGGGTAGCAGCAAGACTCGACTTTGTCTTGGCAGCCTTGCTCTTCTTGCCACCCTTCTCCTGCGCCTTCTCCTCTTTCATCTTCTCATTACTCAATGCAGTCAAGGCACTTGCTGCTTTCTTGATCTCAGAACTTGGCATATCTGCGCAGATTTGCTTGACAAAATTGGCCACCCAGAGAGGATAATGGGGCTTGGAGGATGACTGTGTGAACAAAGGCACCAAGGTAGCCGAAAGAGCGTCGAACTGCCCTTTAGTCGCCGGCTTGAATATTGTCAGTGTTGATAGATCGATGGTCTGCCCGGGGTTCGCCTTGTCTTCTATTATAAGTGCCTTGTTAGGAGCTGAGCGAGACTTGGGACCCATTCCGACATCGGCGAAAAGATCTTGTGCATGCTTGAGGTCGGCATCTTGTTCTGTTTGTCGTAGACGTGCGCGTTTGGTTGCCTCGTCTTCGTCTGAACTCTCCTCTTCCTCTCCTTCAACACGTTTTAGTCTGTTTGATTCTCGATGTTCCTCTATCCGCTGAGCCTTCGACTTCTTGTTTGCCGCGGCTTCAGCGTCTGCCTTGGCTTTGGCTGCGGCAGCTTTGGCCGCCTTTTCTCTTTCGACTTCAGAGTCTTCTTCTTCTTCCCAATTATCCGCGATCTGCACGCCGTCAGTCTCTTAATTCGTCTCTCGGGTAAACGGATCAGCGCACATCGTCGGAGTCTTCTTCGTCTGCGAACTTGCGCCGGGCAACAGGGACGTCTATAGACTCCTCATCGGAGGATTCTTCAGATTCGTCTTCTAAGCAGTCTCGTCAATAAAAGAACCGTGGTATCGCCGCCATGCACAGGGAGGCCAACTCCCCACAATGGCAGGAGGGCTACTCACCCCACTTAGACGGAGCCATGGTAGTAAGAAGATACTAGATCGGAGTTGGATGAAATACAGGTGAGGTTAAGGATGAGATTTGAGACGAAGGCCGGCGGGTGTCTTGCTGCTAATGGATTCGGTTGAGAGGGGCGTGAACTCCAGATGTAGGGTTGGAATAATTTTGGTCTTTGGTGACTGCGGATGGAAGCGATCTACGAAAATGCGCCAAGCCCTAGCGGCCCAAACCGGTGCCTGTCAATAAGGTGACTGACGTAATCGTGGTATTGACTTGCACAAGGGCCTCGAAGGGCCTGATGGGCCTTCTGTTACGAGTACGCACATTGTGAGAAAACGCATATTGGGTCAACTTGCATGAATTCGTTTGATTCATAAGTCCCATGTCAACCACTTTTGCACGGTAATCAAGGGGTGTATCAATATGAAATTTTTGCTAGGCTAAGCCTAAGCCACGAGCGATTCTAGCAGTCCTCTTACAAGGTAACAGACTTGCGGAAGTTGCTGCCAGCGTAGATCGCATTGGATCCCAGCTCTTCCTCAATGCGCAGAATCTGGTTGAGTTTGGCCAGTCGTTCAGATCGGCATGGTGCACCAGTCTTGATCTCCCCAGCTCGGATACCCACAACAATGTCGGCAATGGTGACATCTTCGGTCTCACCAGAACGATGAGAGACCATGACGCCCCAATTTGCTGCATACGAGTCTTTAGCGGCTTGAATGGACTCCGTGAGAGTACCGATCTGGTTGACCTTGAGCAGAAGAGCATTGCATGCTTTAGAATCGATGGCTCTCTTGATGCGGATGGGGTTTGTCACAGTCAAATCATCACTAACATAGTCAGTAAAAGGTCATCCGACACGAGAAGCAACACTTACCCAACGATCTGGAAGTCAGAGGTCTTGAAGAAGTAGCTCCATGCCTCCCAGTCATCTTCCGCAAACGGATCCTCGATGGAGACGATGGGGTACTTGCTTGCCAGTGACTTGTACATGTCGGCCAATTGCTCGTAAGTGATCCATTTGCTTGGGTCGCTATCCGGATTCTTGAAGTCCAGGTCGTACTTGTTCTCCGCCTCCTTATAGAACTCGCTAGAAGCAACATCCATGGCAATGTTCATCTTGCCCTTGTATCCAGCCTCCTCAATGGCAGCAGAGATCAGATCCAGCGCCTCTTCAGCGGTTTCAATATCAGGAGCAACACCACCCTCGTCACCAACGTTGCCAGCGGACTGACCGTACTTCTTCTTGGCGAGCGACTTCAGCTTTTGATAGACCTCAGCACCCCATCGGAGACCTTCAGAGAAAGTAGGTGCTTGACTGCAGTATCCTTATCAGTATGGTCTTGCGGATCTTGCGGCTCAGCACTTACTCAGGAACAATCATGAACTCTTGGAAGGCAAGGCGACCACCGGCATGAGAACCTCCATTGAGGACGTTCATGAAGGGAACAGGAAGCACGTATGGCTTCTTGGTACCAGCAAGGTCGGAGACATGTGCATAGAGTGGGACGCCCTTCTGAGCAGCGCCAGCCTTTGCAACAGCCAGACTGACACCGAGAATGGCGTTGGCACCGAGGTTGGTCTTGTTCTCCGTTCCATCAAGGTCAATCAAGAACTTGTCCACAGCAGACTGGTCGGTACAATCAATGTTCTTCTCAATCAGCTTTGGGCCGATCACAGAGTTGACGTTGTCAACGGCTTTGAGGACACCCTTTCCTCCCCATTTTGACTTGTCACCGTCTCGAAGCTCGCAGGCTTCGTGCTGACCAGTAGAGGCACCCGAGGGGACGATGGCGCGGTGAAGGCCAGTCTCGGTGACAACGTCAACTTCGACTGTCGGGTTGCCCCGGGAGTCATAGACGGAGCGGGCGTGGATCTTAACTATCGGCATGGCTGCAGCGGGTCAGTAAATGCAGGCTGTCGGGTGAATGAATGGAAAAGAGAATAGATTGAGTCCGCGAGGTGACGAAGTAAGTGAGGTTAGAAAAGATGAGGTGTGAAGAGGAAGATAAAGGTTGAGGGACACAGGTATGTAGCGGAGTTGGCAAGCTGCATTGGGTAGTACTTACTCAAGTGGTGTGATGAGAAATTTATGTCAGCGAGCTTTTGCTTGTTGTGAATGAGGTTGAGCAATAAGGAATACACTTAAGTTTCGAACGGAGTATCGAGGATGGAATAAGGAAGATGCAAGCTGAGAGGAGTGAAAAGCAACTCAACTTTTTGTTGTCTTGGTGGGGCATTGAGCAAACTGCACGGCTTCGCTACAAACCTCATCAGTAAACTGCTGGGAGCACCGTCATGGGGGACTGAAATGATCGCCGAGAGCAATACTTACCCCTCCAAACCACCAACCTTAGGTCTCTCGTCACCGCCTTTAGGGGCAAGTTGGGACAGCACCAGGCCCGGCGCATTTGATTTGATTGACCATTGCACGTGATCAGGCTCACGCTCGGGTTAGCTTCCAGCCTTGCGATCTTGTCCTTCGCCGCGTGTAGCCTTTGGGGCCTTTAGTACCTGCGGCAAGCTTCAATCATCGGCATCCGTGTGCAACGTGGGACTTTCAACATCTACAGCTTCAAAGCCTATTGCAATTCCCGCAAAACTTCCTTACATCTCATACACTACTTCACGACGGTACTCTCTTGACGCGCCCACGTTTCCACCTTCTCATTACCCCGGTTTCTCCTTTGACCGACAACGATGGACGGCAGCGGAGACCCCGAGAGGCAACAAGCGCTCGAACAATACAAGAACAAATTACTCGAGTCAAGAGAATGGGAATCCAAGTTAAAAGCCCTGCGGATGGATATCAAAGGGCTGCAAACAGAGTTCGAGACAACAGAAGACAACATCAAAGCCTTACAAAGTGTCGGTCAAATCATTGGCGAAGTGCTAAAACAACTTGATGAGGAGAGATGTACGTGTCCGGACGCTACCTCAACGATAGCTTGCTAATCGGATCGCAGTCATCGTCAAAGCATCCTCGGGTCCTAGATACGTCGTCGGCTGTCGGTCGAAGGTTGACAAGGCGAAATTGAAGCAAGGCACGCGAGTGGCGCTTGACATGACAACCCTCACCATTATGCGGATGCTCCCTCGAGAAGTCGATCCCCTAGTCTACAATATGTCTCTAGAAGACCCTGGGCAGGTTTCATTCGCTGGGATCGGTGGTCTGAACGAACAGATCCGCGAACTGCGAGAAGTCATCGAATTGCCGCTGAAGAACCCTGAGCTTTTCCTAAGAGTTGGAATCAAGCCACCAAAGGGTGTCCTTCTGTATGGTCCTCCGGGGACTGGGAAAACGCTGTTGGCAAGAGCAGTGGCAAGCAGTCTAGACACAAATTTCCTGAAAGGTGAGATTCTATAACATTACTTATAGGGCATCGAGGTTGACATTGTATAGTCGTGTCGTCGGCGATTGTCGACAAGTATATCGGCGAATCTGCTCGGCTGATTCGAGAAATGTTCGGTTACGCCAAAGAGCATGAGCCTTGTATTATCTTCATGGACGAGATCGATGCCATCGGAGGTCGACGGTTCAGTGAAGGAACTTCTGCAGACCGAGAAATCCAAAGAACGCTTATGGAGTTGCTGAATCAACTGGATGGTTTCGACTACCTGGGGAAGACGAAGATCATCATGGCTACCAACCGACCAGATACACTAGATCCAGCTTTGCTACGAGCGGGAAGATTGGACCGGAAGATCGAAATCCCACTGCCTAACGAGGTAGGAAGATTAGAGATTCTCAAGATTCATGCCGCCGGTGTTGTGACAGAAGGCAACATTGACTTTGAGAGCGTTGTCAAGATGAGCGATGGCTTGAACGGTGCCGACTTGCGAAACGTGGTGACCGAGGCTGGCCTGTTCGCCATCAAGGATTACCGAGACGCCGTTAACCAGGACGATTTCAATAAAGCTGTCAGAAAGGTTGCTGAGTCGAAGAAGTTGGAGGGCAAGCTGGAGTACCAGAAATTGTAAGATAGATGTCGGAATGGTTTGGTATCTTGCACAGCGGTTGGCGGATCCGGTGGGCAAAGATGCCCATTTATCTGTAATATAGCCTGGCGTTGCTTGCATAGAACCGGTGAGCCATGTTGATGGCCTGGGTTGGCATTGCGATACACAGACAACAGACTCAACAACCTCTGAGAAGCGATAATCTATCCTCTCGGGTATGTCTCCAGGCCTGGAATATGCCGAAGTGGACTCATTCACGGGCAAATCCCATAGCGGTCCGCCACCATCTTAGCAATCCCTTTGCTTCCATCATTGCTGCCATTTCCTTGACTGTGTCAACCTCTTCCAAGCTTCCTATACTGATGCCCGGTTCTTGTGGCTTTTCCTGCGACTCCGAGACAGGCCTTACAGGTGCTACCAGCCGGTAGTCTTTGTACCGTAAATCATGGACGGTATCAACCCATTTCTGGACGGCTGCTCGATCGGTTCCTTGGACATACATCACCCCTGGAGTCCCTCCTGACCGTAGCACGGCAAAGCATTGGCAAGTCTTCGCAGCTGCCTTGAGACTAGCAACCTTCTTCCTGGATGTTATATGGTGTGTCCGAATCAGAGCATGATACATGCCTTGGCCAACGTCGCTTATGGCCCTTTCCAGATACCTCGCCGAATTGGACGCCGCCAGACAGTTAGTCAGGATGAGAAAAAGACGTCGAGAGGACGGAGTTGGGCGGCGCCAAGCTCGTCATCCCCGCAAAGACAAATTGGGTGAGTGAGGCTCGCCGGCTATCAAACAACATCACCTCCAAGACCTGGAGAATGCGATCTTTGAGGCCGTAATCGCTGGCATTATTAAGCCCAAGAGTTCTGTTATGTCGCAAGATGACTCAAGGTCCAAGACATCTTTTCTGGTGAAAGAGGAGAAAGCCGCATCGCAACGAAACCAACACGACTCCTGATCGAAGGATCACATCTCTCCGATGTTTGGTTCTTTTTCTCCACTTCACGGCACATTAGATCCGTTTTATGATGCTCTCGCCATGGCCACGACGGTTCTTCTGCTCCATGACTGGCTCGTTGACCTCGGTATGTTTTCTGCAGTACTGCACAAGACAGCGAAATCTTTACCGATGAAGGGCGGAATGGGATCATCGCCATCGCGGATTTAAACCTTACCCCATACAAATGTTACGCCGACCGCTTTTGTTCCTTATATGCGAGTCATCGTGCCCGACTTCGTATTTTCTTCGATGTTCTTTTCATGATTGATGATTTCCGAAGATTTCTCATTTTCTGATCCCTAGGTCCGGGACGGCTGTTGCCAGTCACTCAATGGCAAACACCTTCCGCTACCATCCAGTATAGAAATTGAGCGATCAGAAGGCCGGCGCGTGGACAAAAGCAGCAGATTTGAAAGGCTTGGCCGCGGTGTACCCAAGACTTCCAGAGAATATGGTGAAGCCCGATAGCGAAGTCTCGAAGCTTGGATTGGAAGCTCTTCCAGTCGAATCGGCACTTCCCACAGATGTTCCTATCGAGGAAAAAGCGATCATTCCTCCTCCTCCACCGCAGCCAGTGATCGCTCCTGACGGAGGTGCCAGAGCATGGCTCCAAGTGTTGGGATGTTGGCTAGTTTTCTTCAATGTTTGGTATTCCTCTCAAACGCCCTTCGTATGACATTGGCTGACAGTAGCACCCTATGCAGGGGCACAACATTTGCTTTTGGCATGTTCCAGAGCTATTACGAGCTAGAGTTATTGCCGAATAAGTCTTCTTCCACGATATCATGGATCGGCACCGTTGCAACCTATCTTCTAATCGTTGTTGGCGTTATTTCTGGACCATTGTTTGATCTGGGCCACTACCGGACAATGCTGTTCGGAGGCGCGGCCTTGTCATCGTTCGGATTCATGATGTTGAGCCTGGCAACTGAATACTACCAGATCATGTTGGCGCAAGGCATATGCCTGGGTCTGGGGACCGGAATCCTGTATGTTCCGGGAATCGCACTCGTCAGCCGTTCGTTCTCCAGACGTCGAGCAATAGCCCTGGGCATCGTTACTTGTGGTGCACCGTTCGGTAAGACTCTTTGTGGCACCTCCTTGGACCACGCTGATCGTTGGCGGGACAGGCGGTATCGTTTACACCATCACCTTCGATCAACTGATAGATTCACACGGATTCGCTTGGACGGTCAGGATCATGGGATTCATCATGATAGCATCATACATAATTGCATTTCCCCTGTTGCTATGGGGAGCTGGCAATACCGGAGACATTAGCACCGGCACTGCTCGAAAACTCTTCGACAAAGCTGCGTTCAAGGACTTGCCATTTTGGTTGTACAGTTGGTCTTGTTTCTTCGTGGGTCTCCATCCAGATCCTGGAGTCCAGTACCCCTTATGCTAATTTTCACAGTTGTTCTTCGGCTATATGGTCCCTTTCATCTACATACCCAGCTATGGTCAGATCAAGTTAGGGATGTCCCGATCACTATCTCTCTACACCATCGTGATTGCTCAAGCTGTGTCCATCGTCGGCCGTCTTCTTGCTGCCTATATCGCATCGCGGATAGGCGTCATGATTCCATGGCTGATCAGTGGCGCCCTCTCCGCGGTCATGTGCTTGGCCTGGGCTGGTATTCATGATACTGCCTCTTTTATAGCTTATGCAGCATTGTACGGTAAGTTCATGCACGGAACGAACGTACGCCAGGTTTGGATGCTGACGGTCGATAGGCGGCTTCAGTGGGCCCCTTATCCCCCTACCACCCAGCATCTTCCCTGTCGTCTGCCCTGACCCGAAGGTGCTTGGGGCTCGACTTGGGATGGCTCAAGCCATTGGTGCTACAGCCTCGCTCATAGGAAGTCCTATAGCTGGAGCTCTTATCCGTGACAACGGACGCAAGTATCTCGGACTACAACTGTTCAGTGGCTTCGTCATGCTGATTGGAGCTGGGCTACTGGTGTGTTTGTGGATGACGCTGGTCAAGCGTAGAAATTGTAAGGTATTGATATAGTCCAGTGGATGCACACTTGTGATCAACTTTGCTGGCGTACTTTATTGGCACGCCGGGCTCACCGGACATGGAGGCAAGCAATCTCTTTCAAGGCGTCCCCTAATGGCAACGAGAATCGGCCTGGACCTACCCAGCCTCATGAGCGCAGCGTCATTCTACCCAAACTGGAGCTTGTCACCCGCGCCGAAAGCCGCAAGGGCTAGGAGTGCTGGAAACATGCAGAGATGTACTTGAACATTCTCTGTCCTCGGCCTATCTTACATAACCACGACAAAAGGTGGTATACTTATATACAGCCTGTACACTGAAGCCGCACAGCACTCATATATACATGGCATCACGTCCACCGTTAGGTGTTCCTATGGCCGTGTTGGCACGACGTCAAGCTTGTGAGAAGTCTGGACTCCCAGGTTCCACTGCTTTCAGTACGGTCGAAGCCTGCCCAAGGCACACAAATAGTCAAGCTCAGACCCAGCAAGAGCTTGCTTGAAGACGGATGATGTTGAGAAGATCCAGGATGTCCGGAAACTTGAGTCGCGCCCTAGATTTGTGTGGACTCGCAACGTCGATTCTATTTCGGGTACTTCTTCCAACCTCTTCCGTGGCCACGCTGTAGGAGGGTTGTTAGCATATACACCCATGACAAATGCAGCATCAGCTTCAAGAAACTTACCCTCTTCCATTCCTTGACGAGTTCTGGCATATTCTCCATGGCTGTTCTCCTCTTCTCCAGAGTAGCGCCAACGTGTCTCTCCCATGCATGCCCTTTCACCTTCTGGCCCTCACCAGTGCCCTTGACCCGTAGACCTTGTTCGAGTAGCCGCGCCTGTTTAAACGCCGTCGACTTTCGACTCGGAGGCAACAACTCTTCAATGTCATATTTCTTCGCCATCTTGACTAATTCGGCTTGCCGCCGCAGCCCGATCTTTGCTCCTGCCCATTTTCCTGTCACGAAGTTTTTCCGAGGCAAGAACGGGTTCGGAGGAAGTTTCTGTCCGGCAGACAAGGATGCTGGTGTAGGTGTAGGAGGTGTCAATTCTTCTGATGTGGCAGCATCTGCTGTTATCGTCTGACTCGTCTGAGCACTCGCCGCAGGAGCTGCGACATTTCGCGCAATCGCAGCCTCTTTCGACTCTTTTCGTGTGAGTGGAAGTGTGATTCCAGTAAATTTGGCCGAGTACAACTCAGGAGGATATCGAGCGAAAAAATCCAGTAACCGCTTCGGCAGGTTCAGCGTTGACGAATTGAATGCCCTCACGGCCTCGGCCATGGCTCGCAAATGTTGTCCTCAAGGCAGAGCGAGGTTCAACTTGGGTTTCTCTGGGATTCGACGGCTGGATGATCCAAAAGGGAATTCGCTCCAGCGCCGCGTAGGTAATCGGGTATGATGATGAGTAAGGGTGTCTAGATGCAGCTTCACGGAAGCTGTGCAGTTCTTTGGACATTCACGACATTTTAACTCGAGGATTTGCTCCGCAGCCAGGCCGCAGACTTGGCGCGATCGAAATCTTTGGGACTTCTTCAGCCGCAGATCTTAATTCTCTTGTTCACACCACATGTTCCATAGCAGCCTGCTTGTTTAATTCTGACTATATTTTACGGCTTTGGCTGCAATTCCTGCCAAATCAATTTCGAGACCACCCACTCCTTCCTAACCGTCTCGCAGCGCTCCTCGCCTCGAGTTAGTACGATACTCCATTCCCAATCAGGCTGCGGCCAGATGGACGTCTATGGTGGAAACGATGAGGAGAGCACAGAATTGCGGAAGCTTCTTGCGGAAGTGGTATGGGCATATCTGTAGTGTCTAAGAGCAGGAACATGCTGATCGTGCTCTGTAGAACGATGATCCTGACAACTTCGAGGTCTGGGAGAAGCTCGTACGAACCGGCGAGTCTTTAGAAGGAGGAATCAACAGAAACTCGAGTTCTCAGGCTATCACTGCTGTTCGGAATGTATACGACCGCTTCCTCGGAAAGTTTCCTCTATTCTTCGGCTACTGGAAGAAATATGCCGACCTTGAATTCTCCATAGCTGGCACAGAAGCTGCGGAAATGGTGAGACTTGGCTTATCCCTGAGGAGAGACTGTATCTGAGACTGAGACAGGTCTATGAACGAGGTGTCGCAAGCATCACCAATTCAGTCGACCTGTGGACAAATTACTGTTCGTTCAAGACCGAAACCAGCCACGATTCCGACATTATTCGAGAGTAAGTATACAAGAGACAATTCCCTCTTCATTAAAAGACCTAAACGCAGCACTCGACACTCACCGACAGGGTGCTGGGATGACGATGGCCATCGAAAGATTGGTGAGAATCGTCATAAGCCATATTACCCTGCTGGAGTTGCTTCTCACAAGTCATCAGTCAGGCGCTTTGATTTGCTCTTTCCCGGACAAAGGAGGCCTCAGGTGCCCATTCGTCATGCCCGCAAGGACCACACATGTTGCTGCAGAATGATTGAAGGATTATCTTCACATCACGTACAAACACCTGTTTGCACCCCTCTGTTTTTCTCCCTCTCCTCTGACCCCTCGCACATGGCTTCTACCATACTAACATGTTCAATTAGGCTTTTCGAGCGAGGTGCCGCCTGTGTTGGTCTGGACTTCCTTGCCCATCCTTTCTGGGATAAATACATCGAGTTTGAAGAACGGATGGAAGCATCCGACCGGATATTTGCCATTTTGGGCCGGATCATACACATCCCAATGCACCAGTATGCTCGCTATTTCGAAAAGTACCGGCAGTGGGCTCAAACGCGACCGCTGACTGCTATTGCCCCGGCTGGAACCCTGACTCAATTGCAAATGGATATTGAGAATGAGGGTGCCGGATATAAAGCTGGCCGAAACCAAGCTGAAGTTGAAAGAGAGCTCCGTGCACGCATCGATAATTACCATCTTGAGATTTTCAGACAGACACAAACCGAGACGACAAAGCGGTGGACCTACGAATCCGAAATCAAGCGACCTTATTTCCATGTCACGGAGTTGGATGAAAGTCAACTCGCCAATTGGCGGAAGTACCTCGATTTCGAGGAAGGCGAAGGGGACTACACGCGCATTCAGTTCCTGCACGAGCGATGCCTAGTCACCTGTGCTCAGCACGATGAGTTCTGGTTGCGGTATGCTAGATGGATGCTTGCTCAGCCAGGCAAGGAAGAGGAAGTGAGAAACATCTACCAACGCGCGTCATGCTTCTTCGTTCCTATCGCCCTGCCACAAACACGACTTCAGTATGCTTATTTCGAAGAGATGACTGGCCGAGTCGATGTGGCCAAAGACATTCACGAGGCTATCTTGGTGAATTTGCCAGGCCATGTAGGGACTATAGTCTCACTGGCCAACTGTAACCGTCGCCATTCCGGACTGGAAGCAGCCGTCGCAGTCTACCAGGCACAAATCGACCTACAGATCGATCCCTCTTCCAAGGCAGCGCTTGTTTCAGAGTGGGCGAAATTGTTGTGGAAGGCGAAGGGCTCAGCCGAAGAAGCTCGCCAATTATTCCAGAAGAATGCGCACTTGTACCAGCAGAGTCCGGAATTCTGGACAGCCTATCTCCGCTTTGAGATTGATCAGCCGTCGAGCAGTGAATCCGAGCACACACACTACGACCAGATCAAGCGAGTGGTGGATGAGATCATGGGGAAGAAGGCACTACCTGAAACCACCGTCCAGGAACTGGTCACAATGTACATGAAATATTTGCTGGAACGAGGCACAAAGGGTGCTGCAAAGGAGTACATGAATCTCGATCGAGAGATCAACGGGCCCGAATCGGTGCAGAAGTTGACAAAGACGCATGCTGCATCTGATCTGGGAAAAGCTGCTGGACTGGTCAATGGACAGGTATGACCCCCTTTAGAGAGAACCTCCTTGGCTGCTTAGCTAACAATGGCAAATAGCCGCCATCGATGAGGTACCCCTGAAGCCGAAGGTGCTCCTTACGGACAGGTGTGGAAGCAGTGTCGCCCAGATTCAAACAGGCATTCCTTTTGGCGTGCATCGACTCGGGCGAGCGAGGCCATGAAACGGCAACTATTGACGATCACGACTTGACAATCACGCAATTAGCCTGTTACAAAACAGAAATGAAGGCAGACAAAAGGACGAGTTCGGCGTATACAGCCTTTTGAAATCTCAATGTTGATAATGTTTTAACATATCCCTGTTCCCTTTTTCCTCTACATGTCTTTGCTCGTCGTCTCGCTTTCCGGTAATTTGAGATGGCACAAGCCTTCCTCTGCAACCAGAATTTCATGCCATCTCGGTTTGACGAACATGGCCGTCGTCTCGCTCAGGTAGGATTCGTAGTAAGCTTTGTTCATCTGCACGCCCATGAACCAATGTGGCGGCTTGGACCAGCCTTCGATCCAGGACAGGCATGTTACATTTTCATCTTCTTGTGACGAGGGCTGGGCGACGATGAGGAAGCGGCATTCAGCCTCGGCGAGGACGGCGTCGTAGGCCGGGTTGAAGAGGGAGAGAAAACGCGGCACATCAGCCGGTGAGATGTAGACTTTCACGGAAAGTATGAACCCCTGAGAGAGGTCCTTGTGGATCGAAACGGAGTTGGACCGGGAGTTGGACATATTTGCAGCAGTGAAAGAGGCATGTTGATGTGGCGGAAGACGGAAGGGGACAGAGACACGAGATATAGACTGAAGTTGACCTTTGCTTTGCTTACTTGAACCAGTATATAGGATAGTCTGCGGCCCAGGTCAGGTATCCTGCGGCGATTGGAGTTATCGCAATGAAGTTCCACAAGGAGTTTGTTTTGTGCCACAGAGTTCGGGATGTGCTTGCACCAAGGCTTACGCACGGTGTAAGAGGTGAGAAGAGGCTACATGGACGTGCTCATGCAAGCACATATACAAGTGATAAGTTTTATTTGCCTTACATCCGGGGTTAAGGATATCCGAACCATATCAAGGCCTTATTGAAGTTAGGGGATTATGTCATGGGGTCTGGCGAGCATACTGTCTTTGGATGCCTCGCAGTATTCGTATAATTCCAGACAATCACTCAAGCGTTGCTTATGCTGAATGTAGGGCCACCACGCGCCGCAAAGGCAGAGGAGTGAGTGGACAATGGAGATTCCCGAAGGTCGGTTATGGGGAAGCGAGGCGATGGTCGATCTTTGGTCGATACTATTTTTAAAACAACCATCCCGCAGAATGATCATGTGGGGAGAACATGGCCTCAAGGCCACCGCGCGGTTAAGAAGGCTACTTGCAAAAGTATATATAGGATAACCGCCTTCAAGTCAATGTCGTGAGTACTACAGACAAAGAAACACCACCTTCCAACGTGATATTCGACAAGCCCAGCACCGTAGCGAGACAGACTCCGAAAGACATCGAATTTCGAAGCGAGAACTTTTGCGCAATATTTCAACATGGGCTTCCTGGGCGACAAGTACAAATCATTTACCAATTTCAAGAACGGCCGCAACGCGGATGGATCCTCGAAGATCTCGGATGAGGACCTGCAGAAGTACACTGGCATGGACAGAGCCGAGTTGGACAAATTCGCTGCCAACACGCCTGGCGTTGGGGCAAACCAGAACGCCGGATCAATTACCGCTGGTGGAAATAACGGGCTGTATAATGGGGCTTATACCACGTATGATGGGCACAAGACGCCGAAGAAGTAGTTCTTGGAAGTCTCAGAATGAGAATCTCCTGCCAGCTTGATGTAATCGGTTCTGCCGCTTCGTTGAGGCTTCAGAGACATCGAATACCGTAGTACACGGAAATGGAATTTGGACAGATTGATTTTTGGTTAAAGGAGACATCGCGTCTCTTATGAAGCACTTACGACGGATCTAGCACTCCTCGGCGTGCCTGGTGCGCGCAATCTATAAAGGCAGTAAGGAGGAAAGCTGCTTGCTCGTCGATTATATAAGACGTTTGTTGAGCATACTCCGTACGGCAAAAGTACTGGAGATTCGCGGCTTCTACGTGTCGCCGTAGCGGATATCCCAGCGGCTCAGAGGGAAGCGAAGCGCCACATTCACGTGTACTATGTATATTCCGCAGGTGCCTGGCTGAAGAAAATAGTTTCTGCCTGACAGTGTTATACCGTGTTTCTGCCCGCTTTTAAGTATCAGCCTCGGTCTGACTGCGTCATTTCTTTTTGCCTGCGGGGCTCTCTGCCTATGTTCTTTTGCTTCTCGATCTAACAGACACTATGGTATCATGAGTAAATCGCATAACGAAACTCGCTGAACCGGGGTGTAAAACAGCCGCCGCTTGAATCGTCAAAGCAGCAGTTGGACCTCGCATTGAACGGGGACCCCGGATTACCACATATACAGTACTAGACGTCGCCTTGAACAGGAGGCCATCCTGTGCACAAATTGTCCTCGCTGCTGTTTGTCGTCTAATGGCAGCCTAACACTAAATTACACGATTCACCCACGAGACCGCGGTAGGCGACTTCCACGAAGACTTGTTCTACTCCATATTGCGGTCTCTCCTACTATTTCAATATTCTATTCAGTTCTTTGTTGGCTGCGAACCCCCGTCGCCCTCTTTCAGCATGGCAGTGCCGCCTCCACCTCCACCAGCACCAGCACCCCCTCCCCCTCCGTCCGATACTCGTGTTGTTCCTCCTCCTCCTCCCTCCGATAGCAACCAGCCCACCAAGAAGATGAAACCGAGGGCTGCGCCATTAAGTGTGGAGGAATTGCTCAGGAAGAAAAGGGAGGCCGACATGGCAGCAAGCAAGCCAAAATTCCTGTCTCGCGCAGAGCGTGAACGACTTGCCTTGGAGAAGCGGGCAAAAGAAGTTGAAGCCTCAAATGGAGCTAAACATCAAAATGAGAGGACTGAGACTGAGAGGCCCAAGCCATCTACCGCCCCAACAGGACCTCGGGCTTTGCGCAATGGAGATGTTCCTACTGGCCCTAGTGCGATGCGATCCAGGGAACATAACAAGGGCGTTGATCTCAATCCACCTCCGGCACCGAAATCCATAGCTTTTGGTGGCGACTCAAGGGCACAAAAGCGACAAGCAGATGACGACCGGCCTGAAAAGGCAGCAGCTGAACTGATCAAGCAGCGGTACATGGGTGCAGACATAAACGTTTCGACATTTTCCGCATCCAAGAAGAGACGGCGTACGACCGAGAAGAAATTCAACTTTGAGTGGAATGCCGAGGAAGATACGACTCCAGACTACAATCCAATCTACAACAATCGCGCACAACCAAGTTTCTTTGGGCGAGGGCGGCTGGGAGGATTCGATGAGCAGGCTGCGGACGAGGCTGCTCGCAAATATGCAGAAGCATTACAATCGAGAGACAGCGAGGCTGGAGCTGCACGAGCACAAGAGATCATGGAGATGGAGCGGAAACGGAAAGAAGAGTCGAACCGGATGGCGATCGATAAGCACTGGAGTGAGAAGAGACTCGACCAGATGCGGGAGCGAGATTGGCGTATCTTCAAGGAAGACTTTAACATCAGTACAAAAGGCGGCGGCATCCCAAACCCCATGCGCAACTGGAAAGAGTCGAATCTGCCACGACGCTTGCTCGATATCATCGATCAGGTTGGCTACACCGAGCCGTCAGCCGTTCAAAGAGCTGCAATTCCCATTGCTCTCCAGAATCGCGATCTTATTGGTGTCGCAGTCACGGGTTCCGGTAAAACAGCTGCATTCCTGCTTCCGCTACTCGTCTACATTGCCGAGCTACCTCGCCTCGATGAAGACGAATGGCGACGGAATAACGGTCCTTATGCGATTATCCTCGCTCCGACACGTGAACTTGCTCAACAGATCGAGCTCGAAGCTCGTAAGTTCGCCTCACCGCTCGGCTTCACCGTTGTGTCCATTGTCGGTGGTCACTCCATTGAAGAGCAAGCATACAACCTACGCAACGGTGCGGAAATCATCATTGCCACGCCCGGTCGTCTTGTCGACTGCATCGAACGCCGGATCATCGTCCTCGAACAGTGCTGCTACGTCATCATGGACGAAGCAGATCGCATGATCGACCTCGGCTTCGAAGAGCCCGTGAACAAGATCCTCGATGCACTCCCTGTGACCAACGAGAAACCCGACTCCGATGCTGCCGAAGACGTTCGCGCCATGTCGCGCCACCTTGGAGGCAAAGAACGATACCGCCAGACAATGATGTACACAGCCACCATGCCTGCAGCCGTCGAGCGAATTGCGCGCAAGTACCTCCGCCGTCCGGCCATTGTGACCATCGGCAATGTTGGCGAGGCGGTCGAGACGGTCGAGCAACGCGTCGAGTTCGTCGCTGGCGAAGACAAGCGCAAAAAGCGGCTCAACGAGATCCTCAGTTCTGGCGAGTTCCGGCCCCCCATCATCGTCTTCGTCAATATCAAGCGCAACTGCGACGCTGTGGCCAGAGACATCAAGTCCATGGGATTCAGCTCCGTCACACTCCACGGTTCCAAGACGCAAGAGCAGCGTGAGGCTGCGCTGCAGTCTGTCCGGGACGGTAAGACGGATGTCCTGGTCGCCACGGACCTGGCGGGTCGTGGTATCGACGTGCCTGACGTGTCCCTTGTGGTCAATTTCAACATGGCGAACAACATTGAGTCGTACACTCATCGTATCGGTCGTACCGGTCGTGCAGGCAAGAGCGGTGTGGCCATCACCTTTTTGGGCAACGAGGACACGGACGTCATGTACGATTTGAAGCAGATGCTCATGAAGAGCAGTATTAGTCGTGTGCCCGAGGAGTTGAGGAAACATGAGGCTGCACAGCAGAAGAGCCAGAGAGGTGGACCTGGTGGAGCGGGTAAGAAGTCCATAACGGCGAGTGATGAGAGTGGTGGCTTCGGTGGAAAGAGTGGTGGATGGTAATTAGAGCTACTACAGCCGTACCATAGCCTGAATCAAACGCACTTTGTGGACAGTATGGCTGCTATTCACATTCACTTGCAATAGCTCTGATTGAACGCAGTCGGGCCGTCGAACAAGTAGCAGTTGGGCCCACCTTGAACAGGAGGTCCCTCCTACCACATAAACTGTCGTCGCTGTTGTTTGTCGTCGAATGGCACCCCAGCGCTAAATCACACGATTTACTCATGAGACCGAAGTAGGCTGGGTCGTGATTGCATGTATTGTAACAAGCAGGCTATCATCTTACAAGTCTGCCTTGTCCGCTGCGGAAATCAAACTACCTTAAATCCAACAACAAACACCACCGGGTATGCTATGGTATCGCCAAAAACAATCTCGACTTCCCGGTCTGCCCCCATTCATCCAAACGTTCATAAATCGTGGTCTCAGATTGGACTGCGCCGCAAAGCTCCCACACGCTTGATAGGCGTGTGCATCATGACCTCCTGCATATCTGGCGGGATAGCTGGCCGTGAAAACTCCTTCTCCCGGTCATTGTCATCATCAGGCACGGCTTGCCCTCCTTTACTCGACACCGAAAGCGAAGGGTTGAAGTTCTCCTTGTCGAGGCCATGCTGAGACTGCTGGGACAGACTGAACTTCTCGAGTCGCTGCTTAGGGACGGGCAGCGCTTTTTTCTGTACGAGGTTCGTTCGCTTTGGTGCAAGAGGTGAGCGCTTGGGAGCCACTGGAGCAGGCGCGGCGATGATAGGTGCTGCCGCGGGTTCGGGAGCTGCAACAACAGGAGTCGGGACGACCTCCTCAGTTGTCGACGGTTGCTTCTTCTTGTCCTCTTTTGTTTTCTCCTGACTGCTGATCCAGGCCTTGAAGCCATGAATAGCATTTACCCAAGCGCCTTCGCCCAGAGTCCGAGTTTCGACCTCTTTTCCTAAGGCATTCTGCACCTTCCTGTTCTTCCCAGCAAGCAGCTCCATCGCAAGCCCATACACGGCAGTAGCTGTGACATTCGATGAACCGACAACCTCGCCATCATTCAATATAGTCACTGTCACAGCGAACTCAATGTCAACTCGGCCTTGTGTGGGCAGAAGCAGCACTATCTTGACGCCAAGTTTCTCATCACCTAGAATTGATGCTGTGGTAATGCCAAGCAGGTTGAGAAGTCGCAATTCTTCCGACACTCTGCATGCCAGATCCCAGCCCTTTGACACTGTCGACAGCAATGTCTTCGCAGTGATTGCTCCCTTCGGCATCATTGCATAAGCATGGAGCTGGCTTCGGATCATTTGCAAGAAGAAGCGCTTCTCTGTAGGCAATTCCGATGGACCAGCTTCCAAGTCCTCTTGCTCAGGAGCATAGGTCAGACTGATAGGTGCAGACGGTCCTGAGACGGAAGTAGACTTTCTCCCAGACCGACGCCGGCCCGAATCGGCGAGCTTGCACTGGAAGGCTTGAGGGTAGAAGAAAAGTTGCAGTTCGCCCTTATATCTTATGACAAGAGCAGGACCGAACTCATTTGGTTCATCAACCTCCTCTTCGGCGGTCAAAAGGCACCAGGCAGTCTGGTTCTGAAGTGTTTCAACCTTGGCTTTGATAGCCAACACATCCGTGACTGGAAACACTCTGTTCTCTTCTCGTACTCGTTCGGATTCCGCAATCTGACTTTGCAGTTCGACCCTATAATCCGCAGCCGAGACGAGAGCGTCGTCTTTCTCTCTCATTTGCTGCTGCAAATCCTCCAAATGCGCCGATCTTTGTAGGTGATATTCATCAGCACGTCGCAATTGGTCGCGACAAGAGACCAAGATCTCGTGGTCGGCGCTATCGAGTTCCTCCAGACTTTGTCGCAACGAGTTGGTTTGGTCACGGAGTTCGGACTGCTCCTGCAGCAATCGAGGAACAACCGTGGCCAGAAGCTCTTGCTGTTGGTGCAAAACCTCAAGGTCGGCTGTCATACCTTGCTTGATACCTTCCAAACCTGTCTTCAAACCGTCCACTAACTGTCCACGCCATTGATACCATCCCTCTTTGCTTTGCAAACGAGCATTTGCCTTCCCATTGCGGAATTGGTTATCCATGACAACCTTGACATCTGGACGTGCATCCAGGTACTCGCGGAAAAGTGGTGGTTGTTCTGCTAAGGTCTCGGCTTCTATTGAGCGAATTATTTTGCGGCCAGTTGAGATGTAGGATTTCAGCTCTCTGGTAGCATGCTGATATAACTCCAGCAGGGGCAACGTCGTGACTGCTGCAACGAAGTTCATTTGCATGCTGGGGATTTGTATACCTTCTGGTGACTCTACCCCTGGCATCGACTGCGCCATGGTGTGCCTTCTCTTGGTAGTCGAAAGCTCGATGAAGTGGATGTTTGTCATGTTGAGAAATTCTTGTAGGGAGATCTTTTCTTGTTCGGCTTGACCAGAGCCATGTTCCATCTGAGCCGTTGTAATGTCGATGGCGCCGACGACATTGTCAAGCTTGTCCTCAAATGAGGTAGGTCTGTCTTCGTGACCCGTCTCAACATCCTTGAATCGCCCGGGTGCCGGAGGGCTCGCTGATACGGTGATCTTCGTCGGCGAGAATACCTCGATAGTTGGTGTCGACTTGCCTGTGCCAGCCATTCCCTGCAATGACTTCTGCAGCTTCACACTGAGTCTGCCAGTGGTCTCATCTTTGCTGGGTGGCTTGGGAAGGTGAACCTTCTTGATTGGGCTTCCTTCTCGAGATACGGCTTTGAGACGTTTTGGCGTTGACTCGGCCTCCTCTTCGTCGTCCATGTCCAGTTCTGCTGGTCGTTTTCCCAACAGGCCTTTAGCGCCACCAGGAGCAAGACTCTTTCTACCCTTCAACCTGCCGGGTTTCGGTTTCTTCGGAGACATTGTCTCAATCATTTCCTTCAGTTGCAAGGTAGCTGTTTCTTCTTCGGGTCCATTGGCTTCCTGCTCCATAATGAAACGGCCACTTTCTCGACGGTGTTCGTCCGCTCGCTCCACCTCGACTTCGTGTTCCAGCAGCTCAGGATCTTCGAAGCGCAATCTTGCTGGTCCCGTACTACCGAACTTGAACTCCGCTGACGTTTCGCCGATCGAAGCTCTTCTATCGAGGATCTCAGAAACACGAGGCGAACCGATCCCATCTCTATCAATGCCGATGCCACTTGATCGTCGTCCGTTCAAGTGCGCCTTCGTAGCACGTAGGATGACGCTTGGCGTTTGCTCGCCAGTTTCTGCATCTCGCGAGAACAGCGTGTTGGCCTTGAGATTGGCTTCTCTCTTTGCAGACGATGGCGAGGCTCTGGCCTTGATCTCAGCCTTGAAAAGCTTTTTTGGAGATGCACCTCGCTGGGTCACATTGGTTGAGAGAGGCGTCTTGTTCGGGCTTGGAGCACGCGATGGAAGTGGAGTGATCTGATGCGATGGAGTACCAGCTTGAGGACGATTGGGCGACTTAGCCGATCTGCTTGAATGCGGCGTCCGTTGAGGCGTTGTAGATGCTTTGGTGACGCTTCTTTGAGCTCTGCCAGATAATTGAGCCTTGAGGACAAGGCTTGGGCTGCCTGTCTCGGACGCAACGGAAGCCAAGTGAAGTTGAGACTTTGGAGTCGTCTTCGGAGTAGTCTGCGCAGAAGGCTGTGCTCGTGGTGGCGTAGAAGTTTTTCCGACCGACTGTCTAGTCACTCGACTCGTCGCAGGCGAATGCTGGTTTAGTAAGGAGCCCACTGCCTTCGTCACGTCCATGGCCACGGTCTTCTCTTCGTCCACATCCGTCTGTGGCTCGGTGTGCTCTTCAATAGGCTCGAGTATCCCCCCAAACGCTGCCGTCATGTCCATGGTGTCATTCCCTTCGGGCTGCTCCGACAGAACAGACTGACGGCGACCTGCATTGCTAAGAACTCCGCCCACAACATTCGTGAATTCCATTGTCATCTCGTCCGATGCAAGTGTCCGAGTCTTTTGCGGGCTCGACTCATCCTCTTGGCCGAGGATGCCTCCTTGCATGACTGTAAATTCCATAGTCTCATCGTAGGCAGACTCTCCTTCAGAAGACCGGCGAGGATGAATGCTGCTTCTTCTTCCACGATTTTTGGGCGATCTGTGGCTCTTTTTGCCTGGAGATTGTCGGGAAATTATACCACCAACAGCTCTGGTGACGTCCATACTCATGTCTTCTGACTGGACTTGTGACTCATCTTCCATTTCTGTACTCTCGTTTTCTCGTAGCATATGAGTTTGATGAGCCGCCATGAGAGGATTAATGTTCTCCTGATCGTAGACAGCACTGTTTTCGGAATTCGCGGATTGCTTTCGCGTATATGGCTGGAAAGCATGTGTAACGGTTCCAGTAGCAATCTCCATGGACAGATCTTCCTCCTCATGCTCATCGTACTCAATTCCAGGAGTTCCAGCCTGTGTTGCTGCCTGCCGTAGGCGTTCTTCCAAGCTAAAATGAGTGCTCGACCCCGAATCCTGAGAGTTCATTGTGTGAGCAGTGGCATCGTCCATACTCATGGCAGTATCCCCATCTGTGTCTGACTCATCAGAGGACTCGATACCTTCCTCCACTCGCATAGGGCTGCTGTTCGTGGTTACATCCCCTGATGGGCTTGAGGAAAACACCTCATCCTGCGACTCATCCAGCATTGGCTGTGAGAGATCAGAGGCTCTCCTATGTTTTTGTTGATGCAAGTCTCGCTGATGCGCTGGGGAACTTTTAGACATAGGATCCTCTGTTTGTTCCACAGGAGTAGACGGTGATGTAGATGTCTCCGGCGAACGCACCGGTTTTTCTGGTGATTGTTGCGCTGTCATTGACGATTGTCTTCGAGTGGAATTTGAGGCCGAGCTGGTGGTAGAGTCTTCCGCAAGCTCCATGACACTCCACGTATGCAAAGTCGCTTCTGGTGCAAATGATACCCGTCTATTCGCGAGAGATTTCCGTCTCGCTGCTCGTCGTTCCAGGATTGCTTGTTTTTCCGCTTGGCGCTTCAGCTCATCCTCTTGCGCCCGCTCCAGAGTGTCCGCATTTGATGCTACAGATCTTTTGGGTGTCCGTCTCGCAATAGGGCTGAATGGATCTGCGACGTTTTCGGCACCCGTCATTGAAATTTCTGCACCCTCTTGTCTGTTGGGCCCCGGTGTTGAAAAGTCAATGAGGAGTTCTTCGGCGCCATGTTTGGCTGATGATCTGCCCTTTCCTGTGCTTCTTTTTCGCAGTTCGTCAAAGGTAGGTATCGATTTGGGTGGCGTGAGGGGCACCGAAGGTTTCAAGATTGATTTGATCTGGAAAGCTTCCTCAGTCTGTTTATTGTCAACATTGCGCCTGGCAAAAGAGAGAAGAGGCAGCTACCTTTGTTGTGTTGCCATTTGACTCGGTCAATGCCTCAAGTCCTCCAGGGCCGAGACTCTTCCCACGCGACCGCTTTTTAGATACTTGAGTCGCATTATGTTGAGCATGAAGAGCAGCAATGTCGGTTGTTACATTGTCCTTCAATGCTGTGGCCCTGCTCGGCACATGCGCGATTGACTGTCGCAACTTTGGCTTGCTTACTTTCCGATCTGTAGAAGAGTCTGCCATTGCAATCACGCGGCAGACTTCTACAGTGTTTCAGTCTGATAGTATACAAAATCAATGGTGGTGCATGGTAACAATGGATGTTTATCGAACCGACCGGGTTCACGTCCCTGCACCAGAAGGTTAATCGCGCTAAGGACCACTTGTAAACACCAGATCACGTGCCTGTCTGCAGACTGAGCTTGCCCCTTATAGACTAGCTTGAAGTTTGGCGCCAAGAACCAGAATGTGCGCAGCAAAACTCCTCGTGGATTTCCACATCTTGCATTTCAAGCCGTTCGGACGACAACATACCTCAATTGCGCAACCTTCCTGTCAACAACCGCAATCATGGCGACCGAGTTGACAGTTCAGTCCGAGCGCGCCTACCAGAAGCAGCCTCACATCTTCCTCAACCACAAATCCAAGGCCGCAAAGAGCAGAAGAATTGGCAAGGGTGGACGAAGATGGTACAAAGATGTCGGCCTGGGCTTCAGAACACCAAAGACCGCCATTGAGGGTGCTTACATCGGTTAGTCCAACACCCTCGTCTAGAATATTTCAGATGAGAAGGAGAGAATTGAGCGACAAGAGACGTTGGCAACTTCGACATGGCACACGGACAAATGTGAAACTTACATTATGCTAACCGTGGATGTGAATACAGACAAGAAATGCCCTTTCACCGGTATGGTCTCCATCCGAGGCCGTATCCTCACCGGCACCGTCGTCTCTACCAAGATGCACCGAACCCTGATCATCCGCCGAGAATACCTTCACTTCGTCCCCAAATATGCCAGATACGAGAAGAGACATCAAAACCTCGCTGCTCACGTCTCTCCTGCTTTCCGTGTCGAAGAAGGTGACCAAGTCACTGTTGGTCAATGCAGACCTCTCAGCAAGACTGTAAGCGAATCTCGGGCGGGTGCAAAATCTGCAACGTGCTGATGTTGTTTGCTATCTAGGTCCGATTCAACGTCCTCCGTGTGTTGCCAAGAACCGGAAAGGCTGTCAAGTCTTTCCAGAAATTCTAGATTTGCGAAGTGAAAAGTGAAACGCGAAAAATTGGGTGGCTCGGTTCGGCTTGAGCACAAAGCATGAGCGGCACTCAGCGTCTTGTGTCATGGTTATGGGAAGAGATCTTCGGCGTCAATTGAATGAAGCACAGATCGAGATAGAGAATGTGCCGTTGACATGGAGCCGCGATCGAAATACAAACGGCTGAAAAGTCAACAATCACGAAATTCCCCCAGCATTTCCGAGTCGAAACGGATGATCTGTCTACCCACCTCATTCACCTCGTTCTATGTTCTATGTTTCTGCAGTATGCACCTTTATGACGGTGTGTCCGGCTCACACTTGCTGCAGGTAGGCAAATCCAGCTTCGGCTTTCAGAGGTGGGTATCCCGAACTGTCCACCTTGGGCAGGATACTCATCTTCCGCGCCGTCTCTTTTTCGTTCGCTTCAATCCACCTCTTGACCTCGCTTTCAACACTCCAGTCACTGACCATGGTGTCCCCATGGCCGATCTGATGCAACTGAGTGCCACTTGACTGGGTATTCAGCGGCAAGGGTACGTAATTCTCGATCGCACCGTTGACCTTGCCTTCTAGCAGTTCTTTGACCAAGTACGGCTCCGCAGCCAGGGGTCTTCCGATGCCGACCCCGTCGCATGCTCCGCCTGCAACGGCCGTCACCATTCCTGCTGAAGTCCTGAACCCGCCTGTGACATAGACCTTTGTCTTTTTGAGGAGTGGTCGAATCAACTCGGCGAATTCGATGAAGTACGCCTCCCGTGCAACTGTGCTTTGTTTCTTGTGCTCAAAGGCCCTGGCCTCGAACGTGCCGCCTGACAGATCGACGAAGTCGACTCTCGCTTCTTCGAGCTTGAGACACAAATCTCGCGCATCCTCGGGTGTCGTGCCTTTGTCTTGGAACTCAACCGAGTTTAATTTGACGCAGATGATGAACGGCGGGTCTGGCACGCGGCGATGGATCTCTTCGATGATCTCGAACACAATTCGAGACCTGTTATTGAGGTCGCCACCATATTCGTCGGTGCGCTTGTTTGTGGTTGGGCTCAGGAACTGTGCGAGCAGGTAGCCATGGGCACAGTGCACTTTGAAGAAGGGCGAATTAGCGTCGTCCCAGAGTGATGGAAACGAAACCTACCCTGCACTCCGTCAAACCCGGCCTTGTAGCACAGATAGGCCGTCTCGCCCCATGACTTCACCATGTCCTTGATCTCGGGGATTGTCATGGGCCTGGGCTTCGCGAACTCATTGCCCGCCCACTTGATGGCCAAATGGACATCGCTAGCGCTGACCGGGTTAGGGTTGAGATACTTGTTACCTTGCCTTCCGGGATGGGACAGTTGAGCGACGATGAGCGAGCCATGCGCTTTGGCAGCGTCGGTTACTTCCTTGAACTTGGCAATTCGGCCATCATGATCATCAACCAGGATGGGGTTTCCATAAGCTTCGACGGCATCATAATGAACCATTGTATTGCCGCTCACTATGATGCCTATTTCACCTTCTCCCCATCGGCGATATAGATTCACATATTCAGGGCTGGGTACACCTCGAGCAGACTAAGGAGGTACCGTCAGTCTTTGCACATCTAGTGTGGGTGGAAACATACAATGTCTTCTCCCTCTTTGTTCCAGTGGCATAGTCTCTCGGTCATTGGCGCCTTTAACATTCGATTCTTCGCTGTCCGGCCAGAGAAAGAAAAAGTAATTGGTTCCTTGAGAACAGAGACATCGGCCTGTTCAGACTCCGCTCGAAGGTAGCCCCTGGCTGATCCAGCATTGGCCTTTTCGGTTGTGTGTCCCGCTGCAATGGGAGGGTCTTTGAGGGTCGATGTGTCGTATTCCATTCTTGCAGAAATAAGGTTATGATATAGAGTTTTGACCTCGAAGAACACGAACAAGTCGAGAGACCTGAAACAGAAAGAAATGCGGGCTTGATAGATCAAAGACTCGTTTTCGAAAGGCAGCTAGCACGGCAAATACAACTGCAATCTAAATAAAGCGGCCGCTGCATGACTGTATCAATAATGGAGAGCAAGGCCAGTATTCCAAGATACTGACAAAGGAAGTACGAGAGTAAGTCGAGAGGGGAGTCAAATCCCGAGGTCATCTCGAGACCGGGCATGGTTATGGTTATCCCGGTTATCCCCTCACCAATTAGCCCCGGTCATCTTTGGATTTTTAGCCGTGCTTGCATACCCGTATCATTGTCCCTCCCGAGGTCATCTCGAAAACAAATGGCCACAGGGTTGGATGCTGTTGAAAGACCTATTGGTTGAATGGGAATCGACCACTGTTAGCTGTTGGAGAGGAGGCAAAAAAGGGGAAGCAGGAATGCGGGGATGACCAGTACTACTAACCCGGATATATAATATTACGGCTTAAAATTAGCTTTGATTTGACACACAAATCGAGAAGGAAAACGCTGGAAATTTGTCCTCTAAGTTTCTTAGTGTAGTGGTTTATCACGTCTCCTTTACATCCAAGTTGCGGAGAAGGTCATGGGTTCGATCCCCATAGAAACTATCTTTTTATTATTTTTTGGACTTTAATCATCTGGTGTCCTCATTCCACATGTGTCGGTTCGGGTATCTCAGATCGGTCTCTAAGTCTTCAATTTCAGGCGCCATTAAGGAGTCTTTTTCTATGACAGGTACTCAGTAGGTCGGCTCCAGCTTCAGTCAGTGTAATCCCTGACAAGTTGAGAATCTCCCATTTACTTTCACAACACTAATTCCTACCACTTCACGCTGAATAATTCCATACCTACGCCGACTACCATGATTTTGCATCCGTCACCTGACTGGCCTGTCACCATGCTTCCCTCGTGTGCTAACGACACCGGTTGACCGACGGCATGGTCTTGGACGACCTCAAGCCCACTAACATCAGCAACGGCCGTCCATGCGCCGCCGGCTCTCTGCACTTGGATGTCGTCCAGTAGCTTGTTATTGCCTGGCTGTGCACTGATTGGCTGCTTGATTGAAGAAGTGGCCTGGTCAAGGCCGATATGAACCTTCCAAAGATTCACGCGCTGGTCGTTGCCTGCACTGACCACGGTTATGCTGTGTCCTTCTAAAGTGGGTGTCACGCCCACAATCTTCAACCCAGTGACCGCAGCAGCATGGGCCTTGGGAATGACGATTGTTCGGACGTGGTGTTGGTGAGACTCGCTGTAGTCGCCGTCTGTACCATTAGTCAAGGGTAAGGCCGGCATCATTGTGAGGAGAGTTAGGCCTATGGCATTGTCGTCGCCGCCTGTAGCAATGAAATGCATTGTTGAGCCAACTGGAACGATGTCCATAGAGAGAACACTGCTTTGATGGACCTTGTGGACTTCCATCACTTCTGAAGTAGATTGGATCCGGAAATCGGTTTTCGAGGGGTGGAACACCAAAGAAGAATCGAGGCGACTGATATTGACGAAGCCATTCGTGCCAGCCGATACTAACCGTGTCTGGACCGGTGATGAGAAGAAAAATGCCTGCATCACACAGAAGGAGCCATAAGTGATCTCTTGCAGACTCTCAAAAGTACCCTGATTGCGTGCGGTAGATGGATTGTATCGAAGGACTTTCGTCTTACCGTTCGAATACGCCAAAGCCAGCGTGAAACATCCTCTCCCACGGCTGTGTTCCTGGTCATGGTGCAAGGATGCGCCACTTTGCTGGCGCTCATCCCGGAGATCGAAGCTCATTATCCTGGCGTCTGAGTCGTCTTCTTCTTTCGGCATCATGTCCCATAGCACAGCCCCAACACCAATAAAGGGCACATCGAAGGTAATTTTCCATACATAGAACTCTTCACATCCGGCACAGCTGAAGAGGTACTCACCGGATGGAGAAAACCGAATGTGTTGTAGTCCTGCTGTGTGGCGCTTGAGAGTTGCTATGCTGCGGAAAACAGGCTTGCTCTGAATACTGTTGTTACGAGCTTGATGCTGCGTCTCTGGAAGATAGGATGTGGAATATTGTTGCTGGGATGAAACTGCAAAGAGTCGTATGTCCGTATCCTCTGCTCCTGTGGCGATAAGGACTGCCCCTGGAATAAGTCTCGAGCTGCGAGCTATTGCCTTGATTTCTCGGCCGTGACCACCAGTCTGAATGATCGAGTGGCCTGGACCTCGTGTTCTATGCCAGTTGAATTTGCCAGCTTTGGTCCAGATGAATGATTCTGCGCACTCATCGGACGCGGGGCCAGCTCCAGATAAGGTCATCTTGGTCCCATACGCGGAGAGGGAACAGTAATCGTACGCCCAACTCCTATGGGCGCCACCACACTCCACGGATAAAATTGTCGATTGTTGTGTCTCGTTCCAGACAACGAATGATGTTGACCGGAAACCATATAGGATCAGGTCATGTGTATCAGAGACTGGCGAGGCTCCAGATGGAAGAAAGTATGCGCCTTCAATGTTGGGACCGAAAGCGGGCGAGGAGATGTGCACTGTGGAGAGCGCAAAGTGGTGTACCTCGAGTCCATATATCGCATACGTGCCATCGCGCCCTGTAGTGAGAATATGCAATTCATCTGTGAGTGCTGTCTGTGCCGGTGAGGGTTCAAGGATCATGATCGAGGTCACACAATCTGTGCCATGAACACGCCGAAGACACAGGGGCTCCTTGACCATGTCCGAGTTGGAACTTACGCCGGGATACACCGCTAGTGCACCAGCACGGGAGCCCAGGAGGAGTATGTGTTTCATCTCGTCGTAACAACAAGCTGTCAGGACGAAGGTGTTTGGTAGTCGGAGCACCGTGTGATTAACTTCAAGAGAGTCCCCTCGCAAACCCAACCAGATTATGAGAGCTTCTTCATTCCCCAAAGACGCAACAACACATGTCTTGGGTGCAAGGCTTCCATTGGAAGACGCGACTCGCATCCATAAAATACTAACGCCTAAGGGCAGCGTTATAGGCAGCAAATCATTGCCCCTATCAAGCCTCAACGCGAATAGGCCGCCTCGCTGTTGAGCTACCAAAACTAGTCCCAGTGCGGCAGCCTTGCACAGCACGAGACCGCCTCGGGTGGAGCTCTTGTAAAGCTGAGTAAAGCCTAGTCCTCCATCCCGCAAGACCATATGATACAGATCACCTTGGTCAGTGGTTGCGAGGCACGAGTCTCTGTTGATTGGGAGATAGTGCTTCAGGGCTTGTGATGTATTGGTGATCTCCTTGACTGTCTTTGATAGTGTGATTGAAAAGTCCTTGCTTGTATTAAGCAGATCAAACGGCCTCGATACTACCTGACCATCAGCGCCGCCAGTAACGACAGTCATGAATTGGCCATCTGTCTCAAGTGACATGGACCAGGCATTTTTGCCTACATGATGCCGATCACTACACAGAGGTCGTAGCTGCAAGTATCCTCGCTGATTGGTCTCAGTAGACCATAACTGGCATACAGCGTCCTCCCCTCTTGACAAGATCAGTAGGTCGGAACAGGGATCGTTGGCGATCCTGGGTACGAACTGAACTCCCCAGATACGTGAAGTGTGACCCCAAGCAGAGGCCAGCTCGAACTTCTCGCCTTCCTCGGCGTTACCGAAGCCGGTTGTGGTTGTGATAACTTGGTGGTCTGACCTCGGAGACGAGTGCTCACAATCACTGATGTCCCACAGTCGGACGGTGCGGTCATCGCTGCAACTTGCAAGTAATCGACTAGGTTTGTCCACTTGATTGAATTGTTCGGATATGGAAACACCAAATACAGAACCTCTGTGTCCATTGAAAACATGCTTCACCGAGACTAGCCATTCCTGGCCAGTGCCATTTCGGGAACAAGTCCAGACCAAAATGTTGCCGAAGACTGTCCCAGCGGCCACGATAATCAGATCTGGAGTGGCAACATGTAGGTTGCCTGAATAGAGAAAAGAACCGGGGCCATGAATTACCTGGGCATTTTCACTGTCCAAGCTAATTTCAGGATGCTTGTCGACAATAGGGAAGTCCAAAAGCACGTTGTGTGCTGTAAGCATAGTTACGCTAGAACCGGCGAAGACGGCATCAATAATCCAGTCTCTTACACTGAATTCCTCCGCGAACTCCACCTGTGTCTTGAATGCTTGTGGACTTGCATTTTCGGCAAAGGCAATCAGCCTGCCGACTCGTACGAAGGCGCCACCCCAGATGATGACATACTGGATATGCTCGTTGCCGGGAGGTGCGGTACCAGGTCGCGTCACAATACCATGGATAGGCTGGGCCTGGAACACTTGAACAGAGAGGCGTCTGAATCCATGTAGATCGTAGACATTGAGATGAGGTCCTTGCCCGACAAATAGGAACCATTCTCTATTGACTCTTGTGAGTCGCAGAGCGCTAACAGGGAGACATGCGGCTTGGGACTGGAAAATTTTAGCGTGGACGTTTTCGGGTGGTTCGTGGAGGCTCACCTTGAGAGACCATGGCATTGAGGCAAATAATTGGTTCGCAGCGCAACAAAGGAAATCTCCTCCTACGAGGAATGATGGTTAGTTGTAGGAATAATTTAATTCTTCTGCTGTGTTCCTTGATACTTGATGGGCACCATGCCGGGGTGAATGTGGAAGGCACAAAAGGGCAGTCTTGATGCCAAGACCCCTGGACGGGCTCGGCAGGAGCTAGTGAAGCCTCACCACCAGGAGACCAGCCGTGACCAGCTTACCTAAAGCCACTCTTAGCGATTGGGTGCCCCCTGCTGCCATCTGGTGCCATCTGATTTGGCATCCTCAATTGATCCTCACTGTTCTCACTGTCCTCACCCATCCTCAACTTTGAACTTCCAAAGCACTTTCAGCGGACTAGCCATCGTTCGTTCTGGCGTTTTCTTCCAAATCATCTAATTTCTCGCATGGCTGCGTCGACAATATGCAATTCACATGCACAGCGTCACTTGTCAAACCGGCGCCTCGCTAAGTCGCGTCTTGCGACGCGTAGTTGACAGTTCATCGCACATAGGAATGATCAAAGATGGACATTCATACCGGGTTGCCTAAAGCATCACACCCGAGACGACCGGGGCAGGAGAATCGAATTCCTTATGATGGAGCAAATCAACGTCTGAGCGACTACCCGCAAGGGTCAGCGTCAGCACCCCATCAGAAACGGAATTCGAACACCTTCTCGACCACCTTCAACGGCAATGAGATCGATCCCATTGTCTTGAGCGACTCTGAAGATGAAGCGGCCGGAAAGAAACGCAACCGTAAAGTTGACATAGATTTGACACATGAAATTGTGCGTGATCATTCCTTCAACCCATGGCGCCAGACGAACCAGATGTCACCAAATTCCTTTGCATCTACGCAAACTACACCGTCACTACGAGCAACGCAAAATCCGCTGCAAAGAGGCAACGAGCAGGCTTCACTTTCCCGACCCATGCCCACCGCAAATGCCTTCTTTGAGGCCGTTCACCTCGGACCACGGCCATATAATGCATTGCTCGCAGCAATGCGCGATCCTGTTACGCGCGAACAAGACGTCGATGCGCGGAGTCGGACGCCTCAGACCCGTGCGAGCGGCGACGTCGAAACACGGACAGGATCCACAAGTGCCTCGATTCCTGGTGGACCTCGTCTCGAGACACCAACATCTTCTCCCAGATACTCTCCCGTTCGACAAGGATCTCGCGAAGATCTACGTCGTGGACCAACACAGGCTAATTTAGGAAGCCCTTCAACCACTCTCAACCAAACTTTTGCACCTATAATTAATCAGACACTGCAAAATTCGGTGAGGCGCACACTACAGAGCATTTCCAACCAAGGTCTTCCGGACTCGACCGAGGACAATCTAGAAGAGGAGCCCCAAAACGCCTCAACAGACGCGGTGAACGATTTGCAGCGAAAAATCATCGAGCGGCGAAATATCGTCGAGCGAAATATCATCGCCCGCAGCTCGTCGAGCACAACGAGTCATGTTGTCCAGAATGAACCCAACAGTGGATCTAAAACTCTGGCTTGTATTAACTGCAATCGTGTCAAATCAAAGTGCGATGGGTTGTCACCTTGCACCGCTTGCAGACAACGTGGAGATTTATGCTCTTATGCAGCTAGGCATTCGCCTGACTTACGTCGGTCGAAGATAGTGTCTCTGAATCTGCCACGGTCAAATAACACTGTCGCTCCATCCAGTGCGCAGACTTCTCCTCCAATATGCGAGGCTTTGTCAAGCAAAGAGAGAACCAATCCTCTTACACGAAACTTCGAGGCAACCGCTCCCAACACCATGCAGCACGATACCGAAGGCCCAGGCGTGCGGCAAAGAGAACCATTATTCAGGGATTCCGAACGCGATAATGTGCCTGATCAAGCACAAGTGCTAGGTAGGCAGGCCCAAGAGATCAATGCAGCCGACCTTAGACCTCAGGCGACACCCGACGGTCACGGACAAGTCAGTGGCCATGACACCATACTTGAGGACGAGAGTTACACATCTGATGAATCCAGTGGTTCTATGGAAACAGCTCGCGTTGAACCTAAGATTGAGACAATCAAAGCCATTCTGGAGGATTTGCGAAAAGACCTGCACTCATGGCGTGAGAAATCAGTGCAGGCCGATTTGAGACAGGCGTTAGTGGACACAAGAATGCACTCCGGTCCAAAGACGGAGTCAGTGGCAGCGGATCCGTTCGCAGCTCTCACTAAGCAAAGAAGATCTGCCAGTGAAGCCGAATTAGCGGCATTTGCTAAACCTCAGAGTAAGAAACTGCAGGTGATTCCGACTGACGAGACATCCTTTTACACCGGCGGGACAATGCTTCCAAAGTATAAGGCCATTGGAAGAGTGTCGGCCAGTTTGCTGGCGCCGGGCTATCGAACCGCCAAATACAGACCATACGATGCAGAAGATGAAATACAAGATCCCGAATTTACCGAAAAGTATGCAGAGCGCGAGCAGAGGTTCAAAAACAACTACGATAGTCTGTTGGCTCAGCGAAACTGCCAGGAGCAGGTCTGGCTCTGGAAGCCGTGGGCGGAGGAATTGTTCTCGTATCTCAGGATAAAGGCCAGTGATGTGCTGTATTACTTCACTGTAGGGCACTTTGATCCCGATCGTGAAGTCACCGGAGATTGGTCAGACTTGTGGGAAGCAGAGCAAAGGAACAAGTGCAGAACCTGTGGGCTTGCTGATCCGGAGAGTCGATGCATGCATTTCAGTGAGACGTTCAGAAGTCTACCAAAGCCAGATGATCACAGTTTGGTGCTTGCAGGACTGGCCGCCTATGCTTTTCATGAGGAGACCGGAGTCAGTCTATGGCATGTGGCCGCGGGTGGACTTCTACAGCCACGTTATGACGACCCCAAAGCGGAACGCAGCAAAGACCTTAGCCTCTGCGTCATATGCTTCCGCCATCAATGCCCCGAACATGGTTCATACGAGGAACCTGCCGATGAAGATCATGGAGTTAAGGACTCCGAAGAATTCACCGCCTTTATCAACGACGAAGAGCGAGACCACAACTTACGGAAATTCACTACCCTCCCCGTTCGGGAGAAGGTCAAGACCGACCTACATGTTTGTGGGCTCTTCTGCGTCGAACCATCCTTGACACTGGGACAAATACTGGGTCGACAAGCAGATGGCAGTATTGGTGGTGACAGTCGTGCAGTTGTCCAGAGCCGGCATATCTTGGACGATGATGATCTTTGCGGTCCATCCTGTTTCTGGGATGCCACCAAAAGGCGCAATATCAAGATATTGGACCTTCAGTTCCAACCATTTCAATCACAGTCTCAAAAACTTGTGGTTGATAAAGGGCTACAATTCTATCTTAACAACAAGCGGGGACCGTGCCTCATTGCACAGATTGTCAAGGATGTCGGTTGCATGAAGATCTTTGAATACATGGTTTGGCGCCTAACGCGCAAAGCTCACCTGAGCGTGGATGGGGAGGTAATGTCTGACAGTAGTAATGCTCAGCGACTCTCGAACCATCCAGGTATGCGCAAGAGGAAGAAGCCGCCACCGAACATTGACACTTCAAGAAGCGCCGAACTGGACCTCCGGGAAGCCTTTGTACCGTGTTCTCATGACGGGCCGTGCTACAACAATCCAGCATGTTCCTGCTCGAAGAGCAAGATACATTGCGAGCGAATGTGCGGATGTGGTGATTCTTGCAAACGACGCTTCCGCGGATGTACGTGCACCATGCGTGGAAACAAAATCTGTTTCAAGGACAGTCGATGTGACTGTTGGACGCACAACCGTGAGTGCGATCCATTCTTGTGCGGCAAATGTGGCGTGCTCGAAGTGTTGGATTCATATAATAAGTACAACGAGGACATTCGAAAGGGCCGTTGCAAGAACAACCGGATTCAGCTTGGCCTACCGGCACCCACCACCAAAGCACCCAGTCAAGTACAAGGTTATGGCCTCTACAGCAGAGCCGAGATTGCGGCCGGTGATTTTATCGGCGAGTATACCGGCGAGATTATCAGCATCAATGAAGGTGATCGACGAGGAGCAATGTATCATGTGTTGAACCAAGAGTATCTCTTCATCATCAACAAAGGGCAAGAAATCGATGCCTCAAACCATGGCAACAAGATGAGGTTTATGAACAACTCCCAGCTGGACGAATACATCAATGTTGAACCCAAGAAGCTATGGTGCAATGGAGTGGTGCGACTAGGACTTTTCGCTAAGCGATTGATCAAAGCCGGCGAGGAACTTCTGTACAACTACAACTATCCAGAGTCGGTGACGAAGAATTTCTGGGAACCCGGCGAAAGACCAGCCAATGCCAGGAGGCTGATTCCCATGGCATCTGAACGCATTGCCAGGACAACAGGAGCCAACAAATTGACCGAGGAACAGGCGAACCAGATCCGAGAGGACAGCAGTCAATCTCCATTGTTGACTCGCCATCCGAAGCGCAAGAGGCCCATGCAGGAAAGCCCTCGAACCTCATACCGCACTAGAAATGCGACCATGGACGGCGTTGGCGACAGCTCTGCAGATGAGCGAGCGCAAGTTCCAGAAGCCCCCGAAATCGGGGATTCTGAGGATTCGGACTACGAAAGTAATAGCCAAATGTCGGACGACGTAGGCGAGGTTGACGAGGACTCAGACGATGAATCCGAACCTGAATCTACGGAGCGCTTGCCGACGAGAACGAGAGGCTATGCGCGTGGTCATAAGTCACAGAATACTCACGAGGCCACCAGGCCCGGGACACAAGCAGGCAGGGACCGATCCGGACGGAGGCCGGGCCAAAGGGATTCGCAAACGTTTGAGAATAGACGGGACCGCGCAGGCACAGTTCAGATGGTGAAGGCTCGTAAAAGAAAGATTGGGCCGCATGATAAGAGGTTTGGTGGAAGAGCACAGCAGCTGGCCTGGCAAACCAGAAGAAAGAATGAAAGTCGAGAACGCGGCAGTGGTGATGGCAGTGGAGAGCTTTAAGGCTCCGATGGTCCAGAGCTGGCATTTCCGGTCGGTCGCAGTGGCCCATTGACGTGCATACTTTTAATTCGCCATGGGACGGGGCAGCTCCCCTGATCGTCATCAATGGTGGGAGAAAATCTGCGAGAGTCTTGCTGGCGGGACTGGACCTTTGCTGCGTTGATCACTAGGCTGTGCAGATGTCACCGATCGCACTGAGATGTTCAGCTTGTGTGTACACGGGTGCGTGCGCTATCCCCAGGACTCCATTCTCTAGTAGAAATTCGAGGTCGACTATGGATGCATGTGGAATCTGAGTTTGAATTGGCTCTTCCGTCGTCTTCTTTCCTGGTGGTGCTCGGTTTCTTTCTGACAGTGATAGCTCCAGTGTCCCGAGTGTAGCTCCCAGCTGGTGCGTGTCGATGACGTGAGCGGCTTGTTGCTTTGACGACCAGATTCAAGCCACACAACCTGCATCGTGAGCGGTTATTAAGCCTAAGCCGTTGCCATACCCATCCATTTTTCTCAGAGCGTCATACTTCGTACTCATAACAACTCGTTACTCGACTAGCTGCAGCAGCTCCAAAGCTCCAACATCCCATAGCTCGAAATATCTTCTGTACCTGCGCCGGCTGAATCATCTTTTCCACCTCGTCTCTCCCACAAGTGGCACATACGCTGATCTCTGGTAAGTTGACACTTCTTTGTTTTGCTTTGCCTGTTGTATTTGTTGCAGAGGCAGTACTGTGGTACGAGTCAGCGGCGCTTACGATGACGTTGTTGCGGCGGGCTCCATCATCATCACCACCGAACAAAGACATGACACTTGGACGGCGAGATTATTGATGGGGTGACTTGTGGAACAGCTGTTGTTCGATGTATTATTGTGCATGGATGGCACGAGCTGGAAAAAGGTGGCTTGACACGGGGGCTTGATGCTTTGGGGTTCGCTAGGCTAGCAGCAGGGCCTGCATGGATCGAGCATGGGCGATTGTTCGCCTGTGGGTGCCCGCTGCCCGCTGCCCGCTGCCCTGTGCTGGGTGCTGGATGCATTTGCCCATCTTTTCCAGCTCCCGCTCCCATCCGGCACGTCATCTCAATCCACCTTGGGGCCACCTTCACCTTCACCTTCATCTTGCTGAACTTGCACCTTTCCGTTCTCACTCCTCGGCGCCATTCATTCCTTTTACTCTCCAACTCCTTCACCACCGCAGTCACTTTTATTCGAAGTCTGATTGCAGTATTCGAGCTTCGAATTGACTCTGCTAACACCCTGTCTTGCGCATTCAGACCTATCACCAACCTCTTTTCGCCTTTCGCCTGCTCAATCGAACCTGAGCACGAGCCCCTCCTCCTCCTCTCACTGCCACACTACAATCACTCAAGATGCACCGCACATATTCTATGCGCCAATCGCGCGCTCCTACTGCTTCTCAGATCGAGAACCCTCCTCCGCCTCCGTCCTCCACCAAGGGCGGCCGTCTGTTCGGTCGTTCCAACTTTGGTACGTGAGACCACTGCTTGGTACACCTCCCCATCTGACGGCGAGTTAGGACATGCCTTCAGAAAAGGAACGGCTGGTGCATTTGGCCCAGATCTCGCGAAGAAACTCTCGCAGCTCGTCAAGATGGAGAAGAACGTCATGCGCAGTATGGAGCTGGTAGCACGCGAACGGATGGAAGTGGCTGTAAGTCCCGGGTAATTCATTGGGGTGAACATCTCTCTAATCCTGTTATGCAGCAACAATTGTCTCTGTGGGGTGAAGGTTGCGACGAGGATGTCAGCGACGTCACTGACAAGCTCGGTGTTCTCATCTACGAAATGGGCGAGCTCGAAGATCAATTCGTGGACCGATATGACCAATACCGTGTGACCATCAAGTCCATTCGCAATATCGAAGCCTCTGTTCAGCCTTCCCGAGACCGCAAGCAGAAAATCACCGATCAAATTGCTCAGCTCAAGTACAAGGAGCCCAACAGCCCTCGAATTGTCGTCCTGGAGCAGGAACTCGTCCGTGCCGAAGCCGAATCTCTTGTCGCCGAGGCTCAACTCTCGAACATTACCCGTGAGAAGCTCAAGGCAGCATTCACCTACCAGTTCGACGCCATTCGTGAGCACAGCGAAAAGGTGGCCATCATTGCCGGATACGGCAAGCATCTGCTCGAGTTGGTTGATGATACCCCGGTCACGCCTGGCGAGACCCGTCAGGCCTACGACGGTTACGAGGCCTCCAAGGCTATTATCCAGGACTGCGAGGATGCCTTGACCAACTGGGTGTCATCCCGCGCTCAAGTGGCGTCCAAGCTTTCCACCCGCGCGCGCAATCTCAGCCAGCGCAGAAAGAACGCCGCCAAGCGCGAGGGTGGTGTTGACCTAGCCGGTCAAGACCAGCCCATGAAGGATGACCGCGACAGCTGGGTTCCCGCTGGACAGCACGGAGAGTACGAGCAAGAGGAAGAAGATGAGGAGGACGAAGAGGGAGAGGAGCAACACCATGAAGGTGCTAATGGTGAGCCTGCCACAACGGACGCCGATTTCGCGCAGACGTACTGACAATGAGAACAGGTCAACATCAGGTGCCCGCTTAGATGTCCCTCCGGGCCAAATCGTTCGAACGAGCCCTTCTGAGCGAGATCGAAATCGTGTCAACGCTTGCGTGATGGAAATGCTGCGATTTGTCAAGACAAATACCCTCGGTTCTTGGTTGGCGCAGGCAGGAGTCGTGACCGTGACGCGCACTAATCGATATGTGTCTTGTTTGAGTTAAGGTCTTTGGACGATATGAGGATTGCCTGTCGTTGAGGATGTGTTTGTTCGCCACGTTTCTCTCCATCTTCAGAACAAATCAGCAATACATGCCCAACCAGCTAGGGTCGATCTGAATCAAGATAGGGAAACAGGCGGACAGACACGAGTTGAAGGCACGAGTCACCTTTGTTACTGTAGTCAATAGCATAATGAAATAATGGAAGCAGATCAGAACACGCGGCTCGTGGCTGATGTTTCTTGTCAATGACTCGTGGTTTGACCAGCATGCGCGGCTGTGGTTGCGTATATCCTACACGTTGCCGAAAGCTCATGATATGGTGCCGGACGAGGCCTTTGAATCATGTGGCCATTCTTGAGGCTGGCAGCAAATCTGTAGTCTTCATTATTAGCACGGCTATAGAGGATCATGACTGGCCTTGATCGGTTGTTGGCTCATGCTTTTTGCTGATTTGGGCGGAAGAGATCTTGGCCAGGCAGGACTATTAATAGCTTGGTCATTGGAGTTCAGCCTCGACGGGTTTACAAGTACTCCGCGCACGCAGTACGACCTTTTCGAGTCTCTGTTAGAGGGGACCAAGACTTCGTCTTCGCTTATTTGGATCTCAGTCGGGCACCGCATAGTCTGCGCGAACCGATCAACACGGAGCCAAGCTGTACATTTTCAGCTGCTTGTCGGTACAATGCATCCATGTGACTGGCATGTATCTACGAGGGACCTCCAATACTTTAGGCGTAGTAGACTTGCTCGATACATGTTGAGCTTCAAAAAGAATCGATAATTGCCAGCTGCCGTCCATCGTGGATGCTGTCACGAGGAGCGAAGCATAGATAGGTACTCGTAGTATACGGTGTTCAGCCTCTCCGAATTCGTAGACCAGACTTGCCAAATTCACCGTCACCATCACCATCAAGATCTCGTGGGCGCACACGAATATATGGAGCACAAGCTGAGCCACCTGCTACGACGACTGTGCCACCCAAACAGGGATCCTGCTGGCCTTGACAGTCGATTCAAAGAGCAAGCCTTAAAAGGTCTTGGGACCAGATTCATTTCTGTCTGTATTCATCGATCTCGAAGCACTCGTTCTCTTCATCTCAGCTTTCTTTATCTCAAACAAACATCCAAGTGGTGATTCCTACTCATCGTTGACCATCTTTGGAAATCTCCAGCCATCGATCTCACAGATCAGCTCCACATCTTGACCACCTCCAAACCCTTCGCTTCGCCTGCGGCTAAGGCTGCGGCTGTGGCCAGTTGCTTTTTAGTCCAAACACCGGACTCAAGTGCTTACGGGCCCCCAAGTTACGTCGAGTTTGGGATCGAAAGAACAGTTACTTATTCTTACGCCTCTTCGACCTTGTTCAGTCCCTCTACGATACTTGCATATCACCTTATTATACTCTGCTGCTTCACACACCATCTCGTGTGACAGCCTTCGACGTATTCCTGTTCTTCCCCGCACGCATCACTTTGAAACGCATCATCTGCTCCAAATTCGTCTACACAAAAGGGAAACAGGCGCAGCTGAATTGGCCTGAACTGCCTCTCTCGCCTGAACAGAAGGGCACCTCTTACACTCCAGACACATCATGGTCTCGGCGGGCCGTGTGTGCTGTATCACAGCACCATTTCTCCTTTCCATCGCCGTACTAGTATGCCTAGTACTAGTCTTCCTGGCGGGCACGTTTGACCGCAACAACACGGTGGACGATCTATATTTTCTCAAGGTCAGCATTACATAGTCACCCGTTTCTGGTTTTTGGGCGAGCTCGCAGACTGACACAACCGTGCTGCATAGATCGACTTGACAAACATAACCCTGACCTCCTCCGCAAACCTCCTCGGTGATGGTACATCCAGCAACGAGACCGTCCTGGGCGGAGCTCTTCAAGCGGCCAAACAGTCATTGGGAATGAAAGATTACTACACGGTCTACATGCGCAGCTACTGCAGCTGGAACGGCGACGACACATACGCCAACTGCACGGACCCGCAAGCCTACTTCTGGTTCAACCCGATCAAGGTCTGGGGCCTGAACGACACCGGCGTCAATATCGACGACTACCTTCCCAAGTCCTTCCGCGATGGCTTGGACGTGTACCACTCTGCCAGCAAAGCCATCTTTTACTTGTACGTGGGAGCTCTCACCGCGGCCTGCGTGACGCTGCTGGTCGGCGTGTCCGCCGTCTTCAGCAGGTGGGGATCGTTCTTCACGACGTTCTGCGCCGCGGCCATGTGCTTGCTCGTTCTCGGCGCCAGCATCACCGCGACGGCAGTGTACATCGTGGTCAAGGGTGCGCTGAATGAGACGCTCAAGAAGGACTACGGCATCAAAAGTACCGTCGGCACAAGGGTGCTCAGTGTCACGTGGATTGGCACGGCGTTCGCTGTGGGCGCCGGATTCTTTTGGTTACTCAGCGTCTGCTGCTGCAGTGGTCGGAGCCCCTACAACCCGGGGAGTCGCGAGGCGCGAAAAACCAGGGCGGAAAAGACCCCGTACACGTACGAGCGTGTTGGGAGCCCGTATCTGGGCCCGAGTGATCAGCAGGGTGTGCCGCTGAATACATTCGGCCCACGGCCAGGTGGGTATGCCGATCAACGAGGCACGGCGTACGAGCCGTTCAGGCCGCAGCATGTGTAAAGCCGTTTCGGCGAGTCTAGTCGGCGAGGGGTTTTGTGTGTTTTGGGATGGATTGTCTATTCGGCGTTAATATGCATCAAGCGATTTGGAACGGGACACGTGCGTGGTGAACAGAAAATACTGTCGAATATATAATTACCTGGCAGTTATCAAACATGCTCAAATAAAGCCTTTTGGCATTAAAACTCAAGATACGAGCTTGAGCTTAAGCTTAAAATTGAAGACATCATCACATGTCGAACTCATTCCAGCTGAAATTACCGTGTCCAAGAATCAATCCGTAACGGCCTTCCACCCACCTCTCGGCTTATAATTGACAAGGCCCTCGTCCTGGGCTACATCCGCAGCGAGACGACCCGTGAGGACACTCGTCTCGAAATCCCGCCCACGGACGTAGAACGAAGGAAACCCGCCAAGTTGGACTTGCCCTTGTCCTTGCCCGTGGCCTTGGACTCGGACTTGCTCGTTTGCTGGAGAAGAAGATGATGGTTGACGTAGACGCGGTCGTTCCCAGACCCGCCGGCCGAATTCGATACGATTGGTCGGTCGGAAGCCGCAGGCCTCTCGCTCGAGAGAGAGGAACCATTTGCGCTGGTGGATGGAGTTCTGCGAGTTGTGTCGTTATTATTACAATATTGGTCCAGTGCCAAAACAAGGGGAAAGTGGTTTGGGACAGGGTCGGGACAGGGACGAGACACGTGCGCCTAGGGAGGGCAGAGGGAGAGTAGGAGGGAGGAAGAGAAGGAGAAGGAGAAGGAGAAACGTACAATGCTGTTCGTTGCGCCGGGGTAGGCGTTGTGAAGACGGATCTGGACTTCTTCGTCTTCTTTGGACTCGGGTACGTCGTCGGGTTGGTGTGCAGTCGTGGCAGTGTTGGTGGTGGAGGCGGAAGTGGAAGTGGAGGTGGTCTGGTGCTTTGCCCCGACCTCGTCCTGAGGTTTGTCTCGTTTAGGAGTGACGAGGTCGCTAGAGTAGGAAGGTGCAGTAGCGGTCACTGTCGCTGTCGCCGTCGATGTGTAGAGGGAACTTGAAGGTTGATGTTCAAGGCCAGGAGGTTTTCGTGATGGGCGTGGTGGGGACGTCGTGCGTAGTAAGGATGAGACGCTGCGGCCGAGTTTCGGAATGCGCTTCTCGCCTGCTCTGGCCTTTTCAAAGGAGCTCTGGCTTGATTGATCGTGCGTTGACGGACGACTGGGTCCTGACGTAGAGTCCAAATCCGAATCCGAGTCCGACGATTCGACGTGAGTTTGCCGGCGGGTAGTGGTGGACGGCTGGGAGCGTTTGCGGCGTTTGAATGCTGGTGGTTCGGGCTGGGCAAGTCTATTGTTTTCGTGTGTCAGGCGGAAGTTGAGGGTGTAGTTTTTCGGGAGACGAGTTCCGTGAAGTCGGACTTTGATCCTGCGGGATTGAAAGGCGCGATGGAGTTTCGCAGGCTCGGATTCGATGCTAGATAGATCAGGTTCGGAATCCGAGTCGGTGTTGCTGTCGTTGTTGGACTGAGGATCCTGGAGGACTTCGTACTCGCCAGTGTCCCAGAGAAGCATAGTCCCGGTCTCGTATGAGGCTGTTTCGATGAGATGGTTCTGAAAAGTTGTCAGCATGGCCAGGCCGGGGATTGGAGCTGTCAAAACCGTGAAGCAAACTCACCCACAGATTATGGACTCTGGTCTCGGTGGCATTGCGATTCAACTTCCTGCTGTTGGGATCTCCTGGTAGGCCGTACATGATTGCAAAACTGATCGAGCTGGTCGAGTTGCATTGCAGGCGAAGATCATAATGGGTGCCAGCGACTGGATGATCGTGCTGGTGTACAACGAAGTGGTGACCTCTATCGTTGAGGTTTCTCTGATAGAGGTCTAGCCATTCGTTATGGTCCAGCCGAGGCTGTCCTTCGATCTGGGGTCGCGTTGCAGCGAGGAGTTTAGATGAGAAGAATGTGACATGGTCATCGATCTCGACTTCACCTGCCTCTACGGCTGCAGTGTCCGACTTGGTGGGTATGGAATTGAAGGCTGGCTTAGTGCGTCGTCGGGGATTGGTTGGTGGGGGAGAGATCGATCTGTTTAGCGATGCTGGCGGCGAGATTTCCCAAGACTGATTTTCTGGCTTGACGAAGGGATTTTCGATGATGTTACTCGTAGCGGGTCGTTGTCTCTTCATCAAGAGTACATTCGAGTGACTGGGAAGTGGATAGCAGCAGGAATGAGGTGTTGAGTGCAGCATTGATTGGGGTTAATCCGTAGGTGAAGATGTCCATGGATCATTTGAGTGATAGACAATGTGGGGTTGATGACTAACGAGTTACGCGATTGGCTCTTCTCCCTGCGCCTCTTCACACGAGCTCGTACGGGTACTCTGGGTGTGTGGTTCCGCAGCTCTTCTTCGCTTACACAAGAATTGGTAAACCTGTCACCCATCACGACCCATTTTCCAATTGCAACAAATCCATGACCAAACCGTCTATAATCCTCACTGGGAGCTTCTCGTCTCCTCCACCATGATCTAGCTCTTTTCGCTTTTCACAGGTCTAAGTATATATCTCTCTTTCCTCTTCGATGCTGCCCGACTTGATCCATTCAAAAACCACACTCATCATTACAGTAACAGTCCTAATCACAGCAATAAGAGCAGTCTACATGCTCAGCAGCAACAATACCAACACAGCCACAGAACAATCTATGAAAACAACAAACACCTTGAAAGCTGCCATGTCCACTCTATCGCATACCAAAATCGTCCCTCGACCCTCAAAGACAAGAGGAGGTGCCGACCACGGTTGGCTCAAGACAAAACACACTTTCTCCTTTGCGGGATGGTATGATCCGAGATACACGCAGTTTGGATCTCTCCGCGTCCTCAACGAAGATCGCGTCGAACCAGGAGAAGGATTCCCAACACACTTCCATCAGAATGCCGAAATCTTCAGCTATGTCCTGTCTGGAGAATTGACACATCGTGACTCGATGCTAAAGAAGGGCGCCGAAAGCACCGACAAAGACAAATTCTTCCGGTTACAGCGTGGTGATGTCCAATTCACAACTGGAGGCAGGGGCATTTCGCACAGCGAGTTCAACGAAGATAGCCAAGGGAAGAAGGAGTGGACACACTTCCTTCAAATATGGGCTTTACCTTGGAAGAGAAACCTGCCGCCCGCATATCACACCAATACCTTCAAGGAGGAAGACAAGCGCAAAGGCTTTGTGACCATCATTACTCCATTGAAGGCGGGACCTGATGCTACATTGGAAGAGGAGAAGGCTGCAGTCCCTGCCCGGGAGGGCACCATCCCTATCCATGCCGACATTGTATTTTCAGCAGGCATCATACCCCCAGGCAGTGCTTTCACCTATATGGTCGGTGGCGGGGATGCTGTCAGCTCCAAGTCGGATAGAAAAGTGTACATCCATTTCCCTGAAACGAAGGGCGGGCAGGCCAAGATCAGATTGGACGGACGAGAAGTATTGAATGAGGGGGATGGTGCATATGTGACTCACATCAATGCCAATGATATGCTCAAGGTGGAGAGCATAGGAGAGGCAGAAGCGGAGGTGGTGATTATTGATTCAGAGTAAATGTGACTCTGCCTTTAGATGGCGATATTGTATCAGCACTGGCAGTTTGATCAATGTATATGGACTTCCACTATCATACATGCAACGAAATATCCTTTTACTTGTAAACATCTGATGAAGACGTCCTCAAGAAATCCATAGCATGTTACTTTGCCCTTTCATGCACGTAGCATCCCGTCCACAGGTATGAGTAACGCAGTGACTCATTTGCAGAACGCCTTAGGGAGACGTTAAGAACTTGCCAATGACAATAGTGGGAGAATTGCTTACCTAGGCCCGGAATAGGTAGCCTCGAGGTAGCTACCTGCATGTTTCAGTTTGTGGATTTACCCATATATTGGGACTTTCGTATTATGCTTCCTCCCGAGAACGACGACTCTTAATTTTTCGAATTTTATAACGACTCGAGAACAGATTTCGTGTCCTCAATCTCTGTTCATTCAATCTTCGAAGTGTCGTTACCTCTTGTCACGACGTGGAAACCACGAAATCCTCGATCTCCACCGTTAACAAAAGCCATCGTCATACGCCCGCCACTTCGGTCGAATATCAAACATTAGGCCTATTCCACACGGATTTTTCGTTTTCCTTTTGCTCCAGGAAGTGATATCGAGGACATGATGTATTCGACCCTTTTGACATCGTGATCGCTTGGGGAATCCATCATGGCTGCGCATCACACCACCGGCTCTGTCGCTGTCTCGATAGCATGCCTGGTGGCTGTGGCACTTCTTTCAATCCCGGCCGGCTACAAGCTCGTCGCAAAACTGCGCGCGAAGAAGGATCAATATCAACATGTTTCTAGCCGGTACGAAGACAAAGATGGTGTAGCTACCGAAGAGTCTGAAGAAGCCTTTTCCGATCTCATACCACGACTACTCCTAATATTAATCTCGATTGTGGCTTGTCTCGACGCTCTAGCTACAGCTGTCTTGACCACCACGCGCCCGGATTTGTCTCTGACCATCGAACAGTGGCTTCAATTCGGGACATGGGTAAGTCAGATTTGTCATTTCGGGAGCGGCTTTTTCTGACACCTGCAAGTTGCTCGTGCTGTTCCAGGCTGTGGCTGTTTTTGTGACACCATCATCGTTGCAGCGCTACAACCTGGGAATTTGCTCCGGGATATCGAGCTGCTTCATCGCCGTTGCAGTAGCTGTTGAGAATATCTCATTATGGGCTTCTCAAGTCCGTCCACTTCCGAGAAATGCTCATCTTACGCTATCAATCATTCAATTCGTTGCAGGCATACTCCTCGTCTTCGCAAGCCTTTCCATTCCTCGGCGACCCGACGTCTACTATAACGAGAGTGTCGTTGACCGTCAGAACACTGTGTCGGTGCTGGGGAAGTTCACCTTTTCTTGGCCGTCGTCGGTCCTGGCTTTCGCCGCAAAGAATAAGGGCCTTGACTATGACGACCTGCCCCAGATCGACCACGAAATTCGATCGCGAGAGTTGAGAAGAAGGTTTGAAGCAGCCGGACAGAAGAACAAGCTTTGGAAAAGCATCTTTTGGTCGCACAAGTGGGCATTTATTCAGCAGTGGACTTTCCAGGCAATCTGCTCCTTCACGAACTTTCTGCCACAGATCGCGCTTTACTTTATTCTGCGTGCTCTCGAAGCTCGAGATGAAGGTGCCAACCTCGGCATGACTGCCTGGCTCCTAGTCATTGGATTGGGAGCAGCTGTCACCTTCTCCTCATGGCTAGAAGCTTGGATGTTCTTTGTCGTTTTTATGAAACTCGCTGTCCCCGTCTACGAACAGCTCTCCGCCGTGGTGTTTGGTAAAGCAATCAGACGAAAGGATGTCAAAGGCGCAGGGAAGAAGCAAGAGCAGGCGGAAGGTAATGGTGAAGCCTTGAATGGCGAGATTGTCGTCAACAAAAACGCCGGTCAGAAAGGAGAAGACCGCACCCCCGAGGGCGACGAGGACGAAGACGAAGACTTCCAGAAGTCTCGACAAAGCACGATTAATCTTGTTGGCGTTGATTCGAAGAGAATCGCAGACTTTGCGGCTTACAACTACATCTTCCTCGGTTCGGCCATCCAGCTTATTTTTGCTTTCAGCTTTCTCTCGAAATTGATCGGGCCTATCCCGTTACTTGCCGGTCTGGCAGCTCCAGCTATCGTAACACCAATCAACATCATTGCAGCAAAACGATACGCAAATGCGCAAGACAACCTGATGAAGCATCGTGATCAGAAGATGGCGGTCGTGACCGAAGCGTTGCAAGGCATTCGGCAAATCAAGTTCAGCGCTCTCGAACGAAACTGGTACGAAAAGATCCTTGAGACGAGAAGAAAGGAGCTGAAAACCCAATGGCAAGTTTTCGTCTATGATACGACTCTGATCAGTATCTGGATCTTTGGACCTGTCATGCTTGCTGCCATCTCTCTTGCAACATACGCTCTAATCTACAAAGAATTGACGGCATCAGTGGCGTTCACGACCATTTCAGTCTTTGAAGCAATCGAGATGACATTAGCGGTCATCCCGGAAATGGTCACGGATTTGCTTGATGCTATGGTCTCGGCAAACCGGGTCCAAGAGTATCTTGATGCCCCAGAACGGACGGAGTATAGCAAGCCAGGTGACACTATTTCGTTCAAGGATGCCACCATCGCTTGGCCATCCGATCGACCAGAAGAGGAGGACCAGCAATTCACATTGAGCAACCTCAACCTTTCATTCCCCAAGAAGGAGTTAAGCGTGATCTCAGGCCGCACCGGCTCTGGCAAGAGTTTAATGCTTGCATCCATTATCGGTGAGGCTGAAGTGCTCGCTGGGACTCTGACTGTGCCCAAGCCACCGCCAGCTGATCAACGACACGATGAGCTCGCCAACAAAGGTAACTGGATCATTGACTCCTCCGTCGCTTTTGTCGCGCAAATACCCTGGATAGAAAACGCCACTATCCGCGAAAATATCCTATTCGGCCTTCCGCTAGACAATGATCGGTACCAGAAAGCTCTTTCTGCATGCGCACTTACCAAAGATCTCGAAATGCTCCAGGACGGCGAATTAACCGACATCGGTGCCAATGGAATCAATCTCAGCGGCGGCCAGAAATGGCGAGTCTCTTTCGCGCGAGCCTTGTACTCAAGAGCAGGGATCCTCATTCTCGATGACATCTTCTCCGCCGTCGACGCACATGTCGGCCGCCATCTCTTCGAACAGGCATTGACCGGTGACCTTGGCCAGGGTCGCACAAGGATCTTGGTCACGCACCACGTCGCCCTGTGCCTCCCCAGGACAAACTACAGCGTCCTCCTATCGAACGGCACGGTCGAAGAAGCGGGCCGAACAGAAGACCTCCGGAGCACAGGCAAACTAAATCATATCCTCGCCCAGGATGTCGAAGTGCAAGAGGACGAGGAGCAAGTCGACCGCGAGCAAGCCCTGACTATCGACGATGGCGGCGGCCTGCAAAAGATGTTCAGCAACCGGTCCCGCCGGAAGTCTGCGCTCAGCGATGCCAACATTGACGACGAGGATCTGGCGCGTCGCCGCTCACACGCCGGACAACCTGGCGCAGACGAGGCGAAGAAGCCCAAGAAGTTCACCGACGACGAGAAGCGCGAGACGGGCGCGATCAAGTTCCAAATTTACGCCGCGTACATCCGCGCCTGCGGAGGGTTCGGTTACTGGTTCTTCGTCCTCTTGATCTTCGGCGTCTGGATCGTCGTGTACCTCGCCCGGTCCTACTGGATCAGCGTGTGGACGAGGTCGTATCGGACCGAATCCGATCCATTGTTCATGCAGACCAATCCCAATGTCTTCGACATCAGCCGCCTTGTGCAGCAACCACCTTCATTCGGTGTGCGTGCGTATCAGCACATTTCCTCCGAACTGGCAAACACCGCGATCGACCCCAACCTCCGGTACTATTTGGGCGTGTACCTCGCCATCTCGCTAGTAGCATGGCTGATCGGCACGGTACGCTATTTCTACGTCTTCGTCGCCTCGATCCGCGCGTCAAAGGTCCTGTTCGAGAACCTCGCGTTCGCCGTCCTGCGCGCACCGCTACGCTGGCTGGATACGGTGCCCCTGGGCCGCATTTTGAACAGGTTCACATCCGATTTCAACATGCTCGACAGCCGGATCAGCATGGACTTGGGATTCATGCTGCACAACATGATGCACGTGCTGTCCGTCGTCATTGCGGGCTTGTTTGTGTCGCCCTTCATGATCGTCTTCGCGGCCGCTCTGCTGGGCATCTGCATGTTCTACGCCATCCGGTATCTCGCGGGTGCACGGGAGGTCAAGAGGCTCGAATCGAACGCCAAGTCCCCTGTGTTCGAGCAGTTCGGGTCGGTGCTCATGGGGATCGGGACGATAAGAGCCTTCGACAAATCCGACGCGTATCTGGACAAGATGTTCGCTCGCATCGACCGGCACACTCGTGCATATTGGCATCTGTGGCTGTTTAATCGCTGGATGGGCTGGCGGTTGAACATGGTGGGTGCGGTGTTCGCGTGCGTGACGGCGGCGCTGATTGTGAGTATCACGACCATCGACTCGAGTCTGGCCGGGTTCGCGCTGAGTTTTGCGCTGAGTCTGTCAGAAGGCGTCATCTGGTTCCTTCGCCAATACAGTAATGTCGAGTTGGACATGAATGCCACGGAGAGAATTGTCGAGTACTCGAACATCAAGATCGAGCAGCAGGGCGGCGTCGATGCCCCCGCGGCCTGGCCGACTGAGGGCAACCTCGAGGTGCAGGATCTGGTCGTTGCGTATGCGGACGATCTGCCGCCTGTGCTGAGGGGTCTGAGTTTCAGTGTCAAGAGGAATCAGAGGGTTGGCGTGGTCGGCCGGACGGGCGCTGGCAAGTCGAGTCTCACGTTGGCTTTGTTCAGGTTCCTGGAGGCGAGGTCGGGCCGGATACTGATTGATGGCGTGGATATCGCGAAGATCAAGTTATATGATCTACGGTCACGGTTGGCGATCATCCCGCAGGATCCGGTGTTGTTTTCGGGGACGGTCCGAAGCAATCTGGACGCCTTTGATCAGCATTCGGATGAAGAGTTGAGGGAGGCGTTGGCGAGAGTGCATTTGGTGTCGTCGGCTTCAAGTGGACCCAGTGGGAGTGTGACGCCCGTGGTTGATGGAGACGGTGTGAGAGATACGAACACGAACATCTTCAAGTCGCTGTCGAGCAAGATCTCCGAGGGAGGCTTGAATCTGTCTCAGGGTCAGCGGCAGTTGCTGTGTCTGGCGCGAGCGATCGTGTCGCGCCCGAAGATCATGGTTCTGGACGAGGCTACGAGTGCAGTCGATATGCAGACGGACGCCCTCATCCAGCGGTCGATCAGGGAAGAGTTCACGGACAGCACGTTGATCGTCATTGCGCATCGGTTGAGTACGATTGCGGATTTCGATCGGATCTTGGTGCTTGGTGAGGGCAAGGTGCTCGAGTACGATGAGCCGAAGAACTTGATGGCCAAAGAGGGCGGAGTGTTCAAAGAGATGGTGGAGATGTCTGGCGAGAGGGCTGAGCTGGAGAAAATCATCGCAGGTGGCCATGGTAGCGGTACAGAGATGCAGAACGGCGGAGGAAGCTCGACTTAAAAAAGGCATGAGAGATGCTATGCTGTCAGGGGATATCAATTGTGCATAGAGTGGATGCGGAACATGAGCCTCGTGGCTAGCAAATATTTAAGGTACAGGCGTTTTGACTGAGGACCAAGGTAGAATGAAAAGTCGTTCGGCTCGTGCTTGGGGGAACAGGAAACAAGGCATTGAGCTTTGTATCAAAAGTTGACTTCTATCAATCATGGACCGTATCGATCTCATGGCCAGCAAACGATCTAAATCTGATTTGACCGAGCAATGCGCCGCTGAGACGAGGAAGATGCAACGCGTCTTGAGCTGAATCTGCGTCCTTCACAGAGGCTATAGTCTACGTCTTGCCCATCAGAATACCATCATGCCCCAAAGTAGACCCAACTAACCCGCTGCAATTCAGAGTCCGCCATGGCGGTTCAATGAAATTGGACTCTGGCATCAACACCGTAATCACGATCCGTCAAATGGCTAGAAATTCTGTCTTGGGATCTCTGGCGGAGTCCTCAGTCGAGAAGGCCCTGCATTTCCACGAAACTAGGGGCCTTCTCGGCGAGTTGGGCGCCCAGGAATTCTGGGCGCACAACGCGTGGAGTGCTAGGTTTGCACCTATTTTGCTAGTGTAGTAAGCATGACAGGGTACCCTGGTGCATAATTTTGGGTAAACTGACTTACGTTGCCGTCCCCCGCGTAGTTACGAAATCGCGTCTTATATAGCGATTTTTAGTGTTTTCTTAACGTCGTCTATTATTGTATTTTATAAAGCTATCTCTAGTAGTTTATAGGGCCGTTTAACTATCTCTCTATATCTTCTCCTCTTAACCTCGCCGCTACCGACGATATAAACGATAAGGAGCTTATACTTATTCTCTCTCTTACCGCTATTACTTAGTACTTCGATACTATAGTCTCTCGTTCTTCTCGTTTATCGTTAAAATTAAAGAAACTTCGTCTTTAATACTATTACCTTAAGTTATTTTAGCGTTAATTAAGAATATTAATTAAGACTTTTAATAAAGTAATTAGCTTTTATAAAAAAAATAGTTTATTTTTATAATATATAGATTAAAATAAAAAGATTATTATCTTTATATATATTTATTAATTTAGTGTTAGCTAGATAATTATCTTTAAAGTATTTAAACGCTTTTCTAATACTATCTCAAAGTTATTCTATTAGATCCTCGATACTCTCTTATCTCTATATACTTAAGAGATAGTATAATCGTTAGCGCTTAATCTATTAGCTAAGATTATCTAAAATAATCTTAAATATTAGTTTTTTATAGATATTTATAACGTAATCGATAAGACTTATATATTTATATTTATATCTTTTTAGAATTAAATTTAATAAAGAAATAAAAAGAAATAGCTTTTATAAAATATCTTCGTGATATATAATTTAGATACTATAAAGTTTATATTTATCTATATTAAATATAAAGAATCTATATATAATATTATTATTTTTAGATATATCTTAATTAAGAGATTTTATTTATTAATTAATAGATATTATTTTATAGATACTAGTTTCTATAACTATTAGTTTATATTTATATTATATATTAATATAAAATATTATTTATATAAGTAAACTAATATAAAGAAAAAGAGACCGTAAATATAGAAAAAGTTATTTAATCTATAGTATTTATTTTTATATAATTCTATCGAGTATATCTTTAATATTTTTAAGAGAAAATTTTAATATTTTAAGCGATAGTCTAAGTATAACGTTAATATCTAGATAAAGAGAACTTTAAGTATAATTTTAGAGAGATAACTAATTAATCTTCTTAATAGATCTATTTTATTTATACTCTAATAAATCTCTTTAACTTTATCGCTAAATTTAATAAAAATTATACAATATTTAATAAAAAAACTACCGTTAATACTAAGCGTCTTTAATTTACTAGTATATTATTTTCTTCTTTTTCTTATAAACTAACTTTTAAGAAATTAAAATAAGAGATATAAGAGATAATTAATAAGAGAGATATAATTACTCTTAATATATAGATAGTACGAGAGAAATACCTTTAAAAATAATAGATAATAGAGCTATTATTAAGATAGATAATATTAAATTTTAAAGAATTCTTTATTAATAAATTTTATATTTCTCTTTATTTTATAAATTTCTTTATTTTATTTTATAATTATACTATTCTTTTCTTTAACTTTAAGATATATTAAGTACTAAGATTTTAAGAGATAATCTTAATAGCGATAATATACTTTTAGTTAAATATATCGTTAGTCTTTTTATTAAGTAACTTAATAATATTTTTAACTATTTTCTTACTAAGAAATTTATCTATAATGATTTAAAAACTATTAGCTATCTAATTACCTTTATAAGCTTTTTTAAAAGTAAATATTACTATAGATTATCTAGCTTTTTTAGTTAAGATTAATAACGACGATAACTTTATTTTAATTAATTTTAAAGTAAAGTTATTATTTAGCTCTCTTATAAATTTATCTATAGTATATATATTAAAGTAAATTAACTTTATTTTTTTACGCTATCTTAAAATATTATAGTAAAAGAATTTAGTATAATTTAAGTAATTAATATAAATAGTATTTATCTAGATTTTTTTATTCGTTATTAATATACTTGTCGCTTTATTAAAATCTTAGTTACTATTATTATAGAGAGACTTTTATATTCTTTATTTCTTAGATAATATTACTCGTTTAGAATTAAGCTATTTAACGAAGATTTTAGGAAAACTCGCGCTCTTAAAGTATTAATAGTAATAATTCTAGAAACTATCTAGCTAAATATTATTTTCTCTCTTTAGTAAACTTTTTATTAATAGATTTAAGTAGAACTTCTCTATTTTTTCGCTTTAGTTATATTTTAGATCTCTTTACTTCGACGATTTACTTCGACTTTTTTTAGGGGTGTCGATAAGGGTAGTAGGGCTAAGAGTAGCCTTAATATTAATATTATCGCTATTAAAGAATATCTAAAAGAGAAGGTTTATATAAAATAAGGGCGTAACGATAATAGTAGCGAGAGCTAAAAATCGTAAAAAAACGACAAGGGCTACGCCCAAAGATTTACGGATATCTAGACCTCTATAAATCCTTGAGCGATACGCTTATACGATTTTATGCGAGCCATCCCATTTCAAGCATAGCTTGCACTCTATTTTACGCCGTCGACGGACTAAACAGGGGCCCTGGTGCACAAACCGCCATGCCCCTCGTTGGGCGCAAATGTCGCCGATGGCTATCGCCCAGGAGAGAAAAAAACAAATCTCTGGGCGCGTTAAGCGCCCAAATTTGCTCGCCGAGAAGGCCCTAGGTATAGTTGGATTCCTGGACCGGCATGGGTCTGCTCTGTGGCATCATCACAGTCACTTCCTGCACAGTGCGCTCGTTTGCTAGCAGCCTGCCTTGATGAGCCCGTACGGCGCTCATCTGCCTGCGTCTGACCAAAGACCAGTGAGACTCAGATATGGCTTGATCGTCAGTGCGCGTCGGCGAGGTCCGGGCAGAAGGGATTTCGCGATATACCACAAAGCCACATACCCTCCAAGGGCGTATGGCGAATGTCGGTCAATTCAACGCAGATGAGCGATGTGAGAAATCGTGGATATGATCCTCTTGTAGCCCACAAATGCAACCCACAGGAGTTGGAGTTTCAGCTCTTTCGAAGCCTGTCGTGAGAACAACAGCTCAGCGCTGTCGTTGTCATAATTCAGTCTTGCTTATAATGTTCTCGTTCCTTTTGACCTTTTTGGGTGCCTCGAAATAGCCTTCCAGTTCCATATATTCGGCAGCGAAAGCAGCGGTAAGAAGTGCCCAATCCTCAACCACGTTGACATCGAGATGTTCGGCGTCATCTCTCATAGTATGCCAGACGGATGGGAAACGAGCAGGAATGAGATGCAAGACATGGACTCCTCTGGCGATGAAGGGAATATGGTCGTCTTGCATGATGTAACTGTTGAATACGTCGGTCTCTTTCTTGTCCTTGTCTGCAAGCCACGTTCTTTTCGAATCGCTTTTGAACAATCCGAGCTTGCGCAGCCTCTCCTCCGCGTCTGCCATTTTCACGTACGACCAGTGAGAAGAATGTTGCCATGACGGAATGGGAAGATCCTCTGGGGAGCCGAGAAGATCAAGCAACACAAACAGGTCGATTGAGTCCAAGTAGTTCTTGTAAATGCTCGTGGCTGGGTGCATCGTATGTTCCCACTCTTCAGCAAGCGATCTAGCGCCGTAGATACTATCGGTGGCAGTCCAACTGTGGAAAGCTTCTTCACCGTCAAGAAACAGGACTTGAATGCCCTTGTCCTCCTCAAAATCGAGATCTATGTCATCTTGTGCTTGAACTGACTCCCACTTCTTTGTCAGGGCGGCATCGATCGCTCGGACTGCATGCATGAGCATGGCACATGGCGCAGCAGAATCGGTCGCGCCAATGAATCCATCGGGCTTGTACTTAGAGTCATAATGTGCCACCAAGGTCAGCCTGCCGACGTTGCCTGGTTCTGACCATGGTGGATCTCTTGTCGCAATCAGGTTGACAAAAGGAACCTCGTTGTCTCCATGTGTAGGAGTCTTGGATGTTGAATTCTGGAAAGTCAAAGTCCAGTCAGGCAGGGAATTGCGGAAGAAATCCACGAAATGTTGCAACACCTGTCTAGACCCTGCTGTACCCGGGACTCGAGGGATCAAGATGGGTGCCAGTAGGTTTCCGGTCCGTATATCAAAGTCAGCGGTATCCGGCCGAGGAAGTCGATTCAGTATGGTATCATCGGACAGTGGTGAGTATGCCACGGCATTGAGAAAGAGGAATGTCAGGGTCAACAGCCATTTCATCGGCCACCGCCACATCTTTCGAAAAGATCAAGAGGCACAAGAACATAACATGACTCTGGACACAACGATCACAGAGTCTGGATACCTCGGGGCTGGATGAGTTGTAAGAGTAGTTGGACTTGTCACCAAATCTTCTCGGCGCAGTTTCCTCGATGTTTCAGAACCGCGTGCGGAGAAGTTCATGAACCTGCGACCGCGTCGGCCAAATTTTGGAAACGAAGCACGACTGCGGGCAGTGAAGGCAGACTGTACCTCCCAACTCCTGCTAGCAGCATCAAGAACAAATCAATGAGAAGCCTACCGCCTGGACTTGTTGCTAAGGTCCGGTCGGCTTTCCAGGCATGCTCCAGGCAACATGCAGCGAGCAAAAGGACTCAATTTAGCACCTTTCGGCCTCTGTTCAAGAAATCAGCTCCTAGCAAGAAGAAGGATCAGCTGCCCATCCAGGTAGTACACAGTCAATTGCAGGCACAGAAGGAAGCGGCCGCCAAAGCAGCCGCCAAAGAGTCCACGAGCAAAGGTCTCGTCCCGAGCTGCGACGAAGCGAAATCACTCGACACTGGCCGACGAGTCGAGGTACCTCTGAAGGTCATACCCAAGGCTGAGATCACTCCCAACTTAACCTTGTCACCCAAAGAACGATTACAAATCGAACAACTCACGCGAAGGCTACCTCCTCGAGCCGAGCCACAAGGTAGACCGAACTCAAGAGCGAGAGGGATGTAGGTTAACATAAGACAGTATACAAGCAAAAGCTACGAATATACAGCGCAGGAAATGGCAGAATCTACTTCATCACGTTCTTGCGTTTCACGGCGATTCTGGGCCTGCTTTTCGTTACCGTTATAGTTGCGCCGGCTCACTGGATGAATGGAAGCTCATTCCTGGTTGTTGCTAGCTGTATGTACTTACTCCTGGGCGTTCTCGACCGTGACTGACAGGTGATATCAGTATGGCTGGCAGGCTTCGTGCCGTTTGCCTTCGTGAACTGGACACTGAGGCCGATGGTGACGGAGATCTTTCTCAGGCTGCCACAATCAGCTCAACATTCCCCCAAGGCAGCCATGGCCTACGCGCAAAGTCTACCAGCAGACGCAATGCTGGATTTGAGGTTCATGAGAATGACGACCCTTGCCGACTCGTTGTCTCTGAAATTGGCCAATACTAGACCCGTCAAGAGCTACTTGCGACCTATAAGCTTCGAATGGTTCGGTCCTCTAGTCGAACGAGGTGGTTTACTGAGGCCAAATCCTACTCAGTTCTACGTCCGTCCACAATCAGCCGGCGGCAAGGCTGCACGGGATGTCACTCCGGGCATCTGGAGCAAAGTCTATGAACGACTGACAGGAGTTGAAAGCAGTACTGTCGCCAAATGGCGGCGGTGAGCAGGCAAAACCAGCATCTTCGCAGGCTCAATTCAATTCAGATACATTTCACTTGCCTTTCAATGGCTTTTTGGCCGCAATAAACATACAAGTACGATTCACTGACTCGGCTAACCTGGCCATACCGTCAGCTGTCTTTCTTGTCTCCGTATATATTCCTGCCTCCGGCACCCAAGTCTTTCGTCCTCTTTCACTCTGCTACAATATTCTCTCACCACCTTCACCAATCACTCGATCAGCCACAATCACACACGAACACCATCATCATACCAACAACATCGAAGATCATTAACCATGTCTGAAGCAACCTCCAATAAGGCCGTGATCACTTTGAGTCCTCGTGAGACCGAGATTCTCGTCGTTGCCCTCCAGAATGTCAAAGGTGGCGATCTCCAGGTGAGTGACCGACGACCACCATCTCCGCCATCTTGTGATAGTTTTTACCACGCCCATGCATACTATGCTGGATCGTATCCCACAATACCTTCTCTACTAACACTGCTCAGATCGACTACCCTGCAATGGCCACTGGTATCGGTGTCAAGGATGCACGATCGGCCTGCGCACGCTGGAGTGAAGTCAAAAAGAAGCTCTCACTCGGTGGTAAGCTCACTCCAGCTACTGCTGGCGAGCCATCTGCCCCAAAAGCAAGAACTCCACGAAAGCCCAAAGATCCCAATGCTACGGCCAAATCAACCAAGAGAACCCCCAAGTCTGTAGCTGCTGCGAAGGAAGACGATGTCGAGGACCCTGCTGATGAACCTGCGTCACCCACCCCTGGAGATGCTGAGATGAATGAAGAAGGTAAGAATGACCCGCACGACCTTGCACGTTTCGAGTGCATGATCATCACTTGTTTGTTCACAACTGACTTTGTCTTGAACAGAAACTCCAGCTACACCAACCACTCCCAAGGCCGCCGAGACTCCGGCTCAAACCTCAACTGGCAAGAAGCGTGTCCGTAAGACCAAAGCGCAGAAAGAAGCCGAAGCTGCTGCCAATGGCGAAAATGCTGGTGACGACGAGGAAGAGAAGCCAGCCAAGAAGCCTCGCAAGACTCCCGTCAAGAAGAAGACTGGTGCCGCTGCCGCTGCCGCCGATGCTGCGGGCGAAGAAAATGCCGAAGAAGCCACGCCTTCCAAGGCAAAGAAGCCGGCTGCACGCAAACCAGTTGCCAAAAAAGGGGCTGCCACCGCCGAACCAGCAACCGAACAAGAACCAGACCCGGCTGCCCTGGCTTCTGCTGCGGAAGAAAAGGCCAAGAAGGAGAAGATAGCTGCCGATGCTGCCTTGGCGAATAATGTTCTGACTGGCAAGGTGGTGGCTACCAAGACTGGAACTGTAGCAATCCCGGCCGTTGGCGCTGCTGATGATGGGTATGTATCTTTCGTTCTTCTGACTGTATCGCTGAAGTGGCTAACCAAAACCTTACAGTCCTACTACTCCCGACGAAGAGGACGAAGCTGTGGTCATCGAAGACGCTGGCGAGGTTGCTGGATCCGAGACTGTGGCTGTCATTCAGACCGAGATTGTTGTTCCTGCGTCTGCCTAGACATAGCCAGCATCCGGCATGTTGGTTGCAAATCATCGCGCCATCCACAAGGCACAATCTTGGAGAGTTTCACTTGGTCAACGGACTGGACAAAGAGAGATTGGATCAGATATGCGCTGTCTTTTTTTCTTTCTCGAGGGCTGTTTCATAAAATGGATATCAACAGATAGTCAGACATGGAGAACGAATGCATGGTCAATGCCTGAGAGCCAGGAGTTGTGGCATGGCATGGCATTGAATTGAGGAAAATGAGCCCGAGTTGAGAGCTACGCTGTGCTGTGCTGCAGACAAGACCACAAAATTGCTTCCAAAACAAACTGGTCTCTGCTTCTCGCTTCAGTCCATACCTGACATGCAATGATCTCTCCCTCTGCGCTTCAGTCCGTTCCTGATATGCATGAATGAATGACAGAACGAATCAAAAGTCGTCGAACATAAAACCTGCCAGATCGCATTCTATGGTGGAATTGAACGAATAGATGCCGCCCAGGATCGCTTGGGCTTGGCGTTGAGCTACGTGTAGATACTATTATTATACAGTACGGAGTATATCAACAGGAAGGGAATGGGACATCTCGTTCCCGATCATCATCGATCTAAGGTAACTCGAATCCTTCAAGTATGTCCCTACAGCTACAGCTAGTTCTTGCGCCCCAAACGCTCAGTCCACACGAATAGAATAGTAAAGCACCAGACATCCACCAGAAGAAAAATAGTGACTGGGCCCATCAAACATCGAAGCCGTCACCTTACTGTACACAACACCTAACCCTCCAGACACCATCAAGCAAGCAACCTACCTGGTACCTGTGAACAATCGTCTATAATGCCTCAATGCACTTCACCAAGGCATCGATCCCACGTCCACTGACCTCCCCACTTGCACACTTCTCTTCATCCAGCATCCACGCCAAATCGCTCAACATGCCCAGCGGCACTTCTCGCTCTTTACCTTTCTCACTCTCACCACCGTCTTCTTCCCCTTCAGGGTGTCCCGCCTTGAGCCGCCTGGCCATGAGACTCGTATACTCCCACTCGCGCGCCGCCTCTTCGGCACGATCAACCACAGCCGGCGCGATCCCGCACATACTCGCGCAGTGCATGCCGAAACTGCCCTCGGCGGTTCCTTCTTCGAGCTTGTACAAGAACGTGACCCGCCTATTCTCGTCATCCACCAGAATCTTCATCCGCTGTGCCGCGATCTCTGGGTGTCCTCTAAATTCCGCAGAGAGCGAGTGATAATGCGTGGCGAAGAAGCCCAGACAGCCAACGTGCGAGGCGAGATGGTGCAGGACGGCCTGCGCCACCGATACACCGTCGTGTGAGGACGTGCCGCGACCGAGTTCGTCGAGAATGACCAGACTGCGGGGCGTCGCTTCGGAGAGGATCTTCTTAGTCTCGGCCAGTTCGACGAAAAAGGTCGATTGAGCGGCGAAGATGTGATCTTGAGCACCGAGACGAGACATGATGCGGTCAAACGGGGTGAGTCGGGCGGATTGGCAAGGCAGATGGCATCCAATTTGAGCCATAATGACTGCGATGCAGGTCATTCTCAGTACTGTCGACTTTCCAGCTGCATTGGCTCCCGTGAGTAGACTGATATTGGCCCTTTCACCACCGAGAATGACATCGTTTGGTATGAAGTCGTCGACTTTGGCCAGCAGGCACGGATGCCGAAGTTCGATCAGCTCGAGCGTTGAGCGGGCGTCGTCATCCTCCTCAACAAACTCAGGCCGACAGCTCGGGTACCCCAGGCTGGTGCTGGCTTTGGCCAGGGAGACCAAGCAATCAAGTTGTGCAATGATCTTGACTGCTGCCAGCCAGATCTCGTAATTCTCGTCAAAACGGGCGAAGAAGCGCCGCGCGACTTGATTGACGATCTGAGAGTGTGTCTCCTGAGCTTCTTGTAGTCTTCGAACGAGGGTTCGCAATTCGGGAAAGTAGTACCGTTTGACTGACTGCGTGGCAGACATTTGATCCCAGTTTTTAGGGATGCCTTTCACTTTGGTCGGGACTTCTAACTGCATGATTTCCTTGCCGTTGTCTCTGTAGCATATGGCAGTTGAGCCGAGTTGCTTGCGCCATTTCCGAAGGAGCACATTAAACTCCTCCTGTATTTCTTCAATCGAGTCTTGAGAATTGTCAAAATCTTCCTCGACACCACGTTCGGGAACGAGAACACCGGTATCTTTTGCCTTCTTGCGGTCAAAGGCATCCATCCAGTATTTCAGGCGAGGTTCAAGGTCGGGCATGGCGGAGATGAGTTGGCCAATGACGCCATCAGCATCTTGCGGTTTCCCTGACCCATCACGCAGCAGAGACATAGTGTGGTCGATCTGTTCGAAGCCTTCAAGTACTCTGACAAAGTCCTGCACTTTACAAGTTCCGGCATGGACACGAGATATCAGTCGCTCAAGGTCGGGCATTTTGGTCATCTGCGAGGTGAACCGATCCCGGACTTTGGTATCGGCGTTGAGTGAATCGACCGCGTCCAGACGAGCATTGATCTTCTTGGTATCCATCAGAGGATGACAGACCCATTGCTTGAACATGCGCTTGCCGAACGGAGTAATGCATCGATTCAGGAGTTGGAAAAGAGTGCCTTCCACTCCTCCGTCGTAAGAGTTGGCGAAAAGCTCCAGGTTGATCAATGTCTGACCATCCAAAACAAGGCTGCTTGCTTTGCGGATTGGATCGTACCAGGTAAAATTGCCCATTGTGACGAGATCTCGCTCAATCTTGAGTGTCCTCAGATATTGGATCAGAGCCCCAAGCGCCGACATCAGCAAATCCTTCTCTCTGGCTTGATCGAGAACCTCTGGCCAGTCCATGGGAAAGTAATCACATGCTTCGATTTCCTTGGCTGTGATGTGGCCTTCCCAGAACTCCTTGCCGGGCTTCAAGTAGTTCCAGATCGTTGTTAGACCAGTATTGTTCTTGAGTATACGTAGAGTCTTTGTTGAGACACCACTCTTCTCAAGCAAGAGTTCTTGAGGCCTTGTCTGAGCAACAAAAGTCTCGAATTTGGTCAGGTCCGCATCGTCAACCCACTCAGCAATGTGGAATTGACCAGTGGCCGTGTCCACAAAGGCAACACCGAACGCAGGCTGATCGTCAATCTCCGATTCTTTGATAGCAACACAGTAGGTGGCCATATCATCTTGCAACATCGCGCCGTCGACAAGAGTGCCAGCAGTGAGCACGCAAGCCAACTCTCTTTTGATGACCTTGTCATCTTTGCTGTTGGGCTTCTTCTTGTTGCTAACGGTATTCGACTTTTCATTCTCATCCTTTTCAGCTCGTTCACGCATATCCTTGGCCAGCTTTGATTCCTGCTGGTCGACGCGAGCAATCTTGTACCCTTTCGCGACGAACTGATTTGCCCACATCCCGAGACTTGACTCTGGCACGCCCACCATTCGCATATTCACACGATCGGTGAGCTTCAAGTCGAACAGTTGATGTCCGATTGTGGCATCGTTTTCGTAGAGTTCATAGAATTTCCCCTTCTTGAAAAAGACGATAGTATCCCAGAACTTTTGTTTGATCTCCCAGTACTGCTTTTCGAAGGGTGAGAACTTGGTCCAAGCCATTGGCGGAATGTACAACGTGCGAGGGTCGTAGTCTGGATGATCAGGACGGTTCCTATCCATATCTCTGACATCTTCGAGCCAAGCATGTCGTTGTTCTGGTTCTGTCATGTGCGCCTTTTGCTTGCCGCCTGGCTTTTTAGATGGTATATTTGTGGATCGAGGCTGCAGAGGCTGAGGGTTTTCGGGATCATATGTCCATTTCTGAGCAGTGGAGCCCTCTGGCAGGTCCAAATCTAGGTCAATGTCTAGGTCCATGCCCATATCCTCCTCGGGGTCGTCCTCAGCTGGAGTAAAGTGCGACGAGGTCTTTCGTGAAGACGCTTTGGAAGGCCTCTTGCGTTTTGTAGAGCAGCGAACTTCGTCTTCCGAATCATCTGGCACGATGAAGTCTTCCATATCTAGCCTTATCAGCAACGCTATACCCAAGGCTCGTGCACCTACCGTCGTCTTGCTCCTCTCCATTGTCTTGCTCGTACACATCCCCATCGGCACTGTCCGAGAGTCTTCTCCGCTTCGTAGGTCGAGCACGGGATAAAGGCTTGGGTTTGAAGACATCATCGCCATCGGTGCCTTCACTATCGGACTCGATGTAGTTGATGGTCTTCTTCTTTGCCTAGACCAAGGTCAGTATGGTATGCCTCGTTGTGCCGAGTGAGACGCACCCTTCGTGACGGCGTGCCTCTTGCATTCAGCTTCTCCAAACCATTGGTCTGCCCTTCGTCAGCTGAGACTGGCGACGGCAGACCTTTGGAAGGAGGCGGACTCGCCTTGATATTGTTGTCATCGTCGTTCTCTGGTTCCGGGCCGTCACTGCTCGGTGCAGGAGTCAAAGAGGAGCCGGAGCTCGTTGCAGTGGATTTGGACCGATTTTTCGAAGGTGCAGGACTTGAAGGAGCCTGTCGCGAGGGCAAGGCAGCAGGTGCACCACCAGTGGAAGGCGTTCTTTGGAAGAAACCCAAGAGTGTCTTCTGTCCGCCAGTGGAGGGCGTCTTTTTCAAAGAAGGCGTAGACGCAGAAGTGGCAGAGGTCTTCCTCGGCATGACTATAATTCAACAGCCTTTGCAAGGCCGGAAAGGTGTACGGCCGCTGGAAGAAATGAGTCGAGTTGCGCAGGAACAGGAACAGACCAGAAACAGACAGGGAACCGAAGTGAAATTGTGATGTCAATCGCGTCGACTCTTTAGCGCGAAATCCACGCGTAGAGGGCAGTGAGTGCCTGGCTTGCCTGGTGAGTGCCCCTAAACTCAGGTGGCCCCCGAGCGCCACACTTTGCGGAGGAGATCGACCACCCACTTCACTCGCAGCCTCGCTAATTGACTTGACAGGCACATAATAGAACTGACTCTCTCAGAATATTCTACATTGGCCGCCAGAGCCACTCGCATATTGTACAGCTAATATCTTCTGTTCTCAGCAACAGCAGGATCTCTATTTTCAGCCTCCTCTTTCTCCGCTTCTTCAGCCTTCTTCAACTCCCAAGCAGGACACGTCAACCCGGCCTGCTCGTACTCTTCGTCCGAGACGATCTCCACAATCTTCATCCTCCACTTGCCCACCCGCAGTACAAGCAGCTTCTCATCGATGATATACTCCGCCGCTTCCTCCGGCGTGTTCGTTCTCGCCGAGGTATACGTCAGACTATCAACAGCGCCCCGGCTGTTTCCAACATAAGCACCACCAGCCCGAATCAAGCGGTGGCCCTCTGCTTTACTCGAGACCATTCCCGCCGCGAACATGATCTGACCCAACGGCTTTCCAAGCACAAGACTGCGAGGCAACTTGACGTGCGTCGACATATTGTCCTCCAGCCGCTGCGGCGGAGCATGCTTGTTCAGAGACGGGTGCGTGAAATTCGCGGTTGGACTCTGAGTCGGCTTAGCAGGCTCCGTGGCCTTGGCTTCTGACACACTCGATGTGATGTCGCTGATGGAGAGTGTCTTCTTGAACAATTGTCGATGCTCCTGTTCCGCCTGTGCGGCTGCATCCACGCCGTAGATCAGTTCCACAAATTCCCGGGCAAGCTTATGCTGCGCGATGCGTTGAGAGGGGTCTTTCTCGTGTGCTTCAATGATCTCCGCAATCTCCGGTAGAGACAGAAAGGTGAATAACTTGAGATATTTTTCGACATCGGCGTCGGCAGAGCGTAAGAAAAACTGCGGCTCGGTTCAGCCATAAAGCTACTTGGTAGGGAAAGGAAACAGGCTTACCTGGTAGAGATCGAAAATAGGCGTCATTCGCGGTTCGAGCCACACGGCGTTTCCGGCGCTCTTACCAAACTTCTCGCCCGAGGCAGTCGTCAAGAGGGGAACGGTGATTCCAAGAGGATCAGAAGTCACGTCAATGTAATACTTTTTGTCGATGATGGTCGTCTGCCGCAGCGCAGTTTGGTATTCATGCGAATCTTTTGCGAGTTGCTTGACGGCTTCAGCTCCCGCCAGAATATTCCCGAATTGGTCGCCGCCACCGACTTGTATTTGCACACCCTTCTGGAACAGATGCCACCAGTCCCAAGCTTGAACGAGCGGGTAACTGAACTCGGCATAGGACATCCCGTCTCCTCTTTCTAGTCGTGTCTTGACTCTGCACCGCCGGTCAGCCTGCGGGTCACACCCCGACGTGATTTCTCGATCACTCACGTGTCTCTGCCCAGCAGAGGTCCGATACGTATTTGGCGTCCAAGTATTGAGAGATAGTCTCTTGCAGACGTAGCGTTCCACCAAGTTGAATTGTTCTCCAGCGCTCTTCGCCATGCCCACTCCTTTTGAAAGCCTCGGCGTTGCGCATATCTCTCTATCGAGGCTCCTAGCCTTTTAAGTTGAGCATGCATGGACGCAATGTTCGCTCTCCGCGTAGGTGCAGATTGTATCTCTCGACCCGTCGTGCGTCCGGTAGGGTCACCTATTGAAGCGGTGAAGCCTCCGAGCTTCAACTGTCTTAGCACCACTTCCCAACAGCCCAAGCGTGATTTGTAGGTCTTACCACAAAGTGCGTATCATAACCATGGACATAGAACCACGCCAGCACCATGAAAGGGACCATATGCCCTACATGCATTGATGGCGCTGTAGGGTCTATTCCAGCGTACACTCCAACCCTTCGATGGATCATCAACTTGTTCAGATCCTCCTTTGACCTGTTCAAGAAGAGTCAGGCGATCGCGTGCAAAATGTTCGGCTGCGTATAGCTCGTACCCAACAATCTGATTGATGTATCCCCTCTCTTCAAGTGTTGTGAGCAACGACTGCATTCTGCCAGACTCGATATCTTTCGCCCTTATGCGCCATTCTTCCTCCGCGTCTTGTATTTTCCGAACATGGTTCCTGGAGATCCATCTCCTCGGCTGGGCCGTGAAGGGAGCTTGGGACACACAGCGGGGATGTGGACGCTGGCGACAGCTATTGCAGACGTTATAGGTGTGCCGGACAGCCCGGACGGGGTTACTGGTCGACATAAGGATGTTCGTTCATATTCAATGCGCGCGCATGCACGGCTACCACGCATTGTCTGGATAAAAAGTTTCGAGCGCATGACGGAACCTCGGGATCAAAAACACCGACGCCGGCGAAAATCGATCACCCGGCCGGATATCAACGCCCGCTCGTGCCGCTCCAATATTCGTCCGCTTCACTCACTTTCAAATGGACCAAGTCAATCCAACCACTTGTTATAGCATGCTACCTTCCCTTTGGCTGCATCCCTCACCCTTGCGTTCTTTGTCTTCATGACGTTTACATTTGCATGAATCAAACCGCACGAAACGGATGGTGACCTCTTTCGGTCGGACCAAATCCCAACGATGCTCATAAGTACAAAAGGGCAGGTCTACATCAGATGAGCGGTAGATAAGTAGACAATCATTTACTTTGATCTCCTTAGTCGACCCATACGCATCTCCACGTCTTTCTTCCTTGTCTCAGAACCTCCCATCATTGAAGTAATGCCTCTCAAACGTGTCCTCATCACAGGGGCGACCGGCAAGCAAGGAGGGGCCCTCCTCTCAGCCTTGCTCAACTCTCCCCCAAGTCCACCGTTCCACCTTGTCGCATTGACTCGCAACAAGAACAGCGTGAGCGCTCAAGCTCTGGCGAAGAAGCCCAACGTTAGCATTCTACAGGGCGACCTGAACGATTGCGACGCGATATTCAAATCTTCCCCAGAACCCTTCCACGGAGTCTTCAGCGTCCAGGTGCCCCTTCGACCCCAAGTCGAAGAGGAACAGGGAAAAGCCCTTGCCGATGCAGCAGCCTTCCATGGTGTTCGCCATTTCGTATATACTTCTGCTGACCGGGGCGGCATCGAACGGTCAGACCGCGACCCGACAGCAATCAAGCACTTTGCCTCGAAATTCAACATTGAAAACCATCTCAAAGCAGTATGCAAGGAATCGGGTGACAAAATGAAATGGACAATCATACGACCTGTCGCATTCATGGAGAACCTGACCCCTGATTTCCTTGGTAGGGCGTTCGCAAGTATGTGGAAACTCAACGAGCCGAACAGCAAGCTGCAGCTAGTCTCTTCCACAGACATCGGGATTCTCGCAGCAGACATTTTCAAGAACCCGGAAATCTACACCGGGCGCTCTTTATCTCTCGCGACCGACGAACTGACGTTCCAGGAAGCAAACGAAATCTTCAAGCAAGTGGTCAGAACCGACATGCCCACAACCTATCCACTTGTCGGCCGCTTGATCAAGTTCCTCTTGCACGAGCAGTTGGGTGTCATGTTCAATTGGTTCCGAGAAGTTGGCTTTGGAGCTGATCCCAAAGAATTCAGGAACAAATATCCCCAGATGCAAGATTTCGAAAAGTGGTTGAGACAGTCGAGTGGATTCAAAGGCCGGATAAATTGAGATTTTGGCCGACGTCGTCATCCTGCAGGCAAGAGAAATTGGTATACCTCTCCCCGAGAGTCTGTTCTGTACCATAGAGCGTGGAGTGGTTTCTTGGCATTCGCGGAATATGCATATGCCTGGATTGTTATATCATCGTATCCCAATGATCCGCATGCTCAGCCTACATCGAAATTATCATTGTCTTGAGGCCACTCGGGGAGAACAAGGTCCCAATTTCGATCCAATTCTTCTCCGAACAAAAACTGATCCCAATCCACATTTGCGTCTGGTAATGAAAACTGGAAACTCGTATCGTCGAAACTCTGCGACTCCGACACCACCGTGGTTTCTTGGAGGTCAGAGGATTGGAAGTTAAAGTCGCCATTGACAGGAAAGTCGGGCTTCAGCACCTCCAAGCCGAACTCGTGAGCTCGTTCCCGTAGATACTGCGGCGGCCTCAACTCGAGATAAATCGCGCCAAAATACGGCAGGACCACAGTTCTCTTCTTGGGCTCGACGCCAGCACTATAATCTTCCAGAAACCCGCCTAACTCGTCCAGGACTTTCACTCCCTGTTTACTGATACCGCCGCCCAGGTGCGTTGCCCTGTAGCGGAAGATGTCCTTGACCTGCTCGATGAGGTCAAGGTCTTCCGCAAGCTTGTCGGCGGCAACTGGTGGTGGGGCATGGGCGTGCGGACAGAACGACAAGCGAACGAGTAATCCGACCATGAGTATGCAAGCGCTGAAAACTCCCTGAAAATCCTCACAGGGACAGATGTACACAGCCAATGAAGGGTCAAAGCGAAGCAGATGAAAGATTCGAAGCATTCCTCGGCAGCCTTGCAGGCAAAGATATCTGTTTGTCTCGTATGGATCGATTGCAGTGTCGGAAATTGCTTCTTCATCATCGCCAAAAGATCGAGGTCGGCCATGAGGGCTGGGTTTCATCATATATGGCAAATGTAGGAAGGATTGTACCTGCCAGAACCACATTTGCGCCATGAGATGCTGGTATGTCACGTACGGATCTGGGTTAGCCAAGTGCGAGGTGACGTTCCACCAACTTGTTGGCATTGCGGCAGCTACCTCATCCAACGATGCTTGAATGCACATGGTCGTGTGGAGCATGACATCCTCAGGTTCGGCGCTTGCGTTACGGTCATTTACGCGACCCGCGATGACAGCGACGACACGCCTGAAAGCACGCATTCTGAGCTCGAGAGATACGGCTTGGTCTCCATTCGTCGACGCAAGCCCTTGGCCCCGGAGTACATTTAACGCCAAACGATCCGAGAATTTGTCATCTTGGGCATGTGGGAAGCCAAGGACCATGCTCATCAGCCGGTCCAGCTCAAGGAGTGAGCCAATCCATCGCTGGCGGTGTAGAATATTCGAGACTTCGACTTCGTTCATGACAGGTATTACTCCATCTTCTTGGAACGGCAAGGCGTCGGCAAATCCACTTTCTCTTGCCACTTCGATTGCTTTGCGAACTGATAACCAGGACTTTCGCAGCTGATTTCCCTCTGCATATATTTTGGCCCGCATCATATACAGCAGCAACATGCCCGGATTCTTCATGTATGCAGGATTCGATGACGGAGACAAGAGGACCGTGTCAACAGCAAGTATGATGCGGTCCGCCAGTTCGGCAGGAGTTGTGGAAATATTTAGCTCGATGTCGTCGACATTTGGGCGCAAGTCTCGCAGTGACATTGCAATGCAGAGCAAGCCTGTAGCAACCGACACAGCATCGTCTTCCGACAATTTGGTACGGACAAAATCGCGCAGGGAGACAGGCTTGATCTCTTGATGCGGCCAAGTTTCGTTGCCGCCAGGGCTTCCGCTACTGGAATTTGTGCCGATCTCTGAAGACGAATCCGCTGACGCTGGAGGGGTCCGAGTTTTCAAGAATACCTCGTGCAGGGCATAAGTTTGATCGCGCCAGGCGACCCACCAATGCGTCGCGAGGTCAAGTGCTTTTAGGAGATATGGTTCTGAGTCGATGGTGGAGTGCAATTTCTCTACATCTGTGGCAGCGTCGACGTTGGAGCTCGAATCAGAAAAGGTCAAGACCTGGACTTTCTCCGTAAGGATGGCAGGAGATACGGATCTTTGAGTGAGCTGTCGGAAAACGTGTTAGAAGGAAAGTGTTGATCGCTTGAAGAGCCGCCGAAACTGAAAGGGCAGCACGTACCATCTCATTGTTGAAAAGTTGAGTCAGCAAAGGACTCGTTTTCCTAGCATGATCTTCCCCTGGAATCATTGACGACGGCTTGCCGCATGGCTCCGAACCAGCCATGGATGATCGTGGGCCGGGAGTTTCCGATAACGAAGAACCCGACACAGGAGCATGGCCTTGTTTCGTGTGAAGAGAGGCGTTCATATGACTCGAAGCGGAATCTGCAACGTCTGTGAACAAACCCAGGGTCGAACTTGGTTGCCAGGGCCCATCTCGTTCTCGGGCGAGCCTCTCGACCATAGAGTTCATTCTGTTGACATGGATATTCATGCGAGAACCGTGGCGACTTGCAGAATGAGGTTGTCCTTCTTCAGACTCGGGATCCATGACCTCTCTTCGACGCTTGTAGATTCGCGCAGAGATGAGGCGCCCCTGTTTCTCCTTGGAAGTCGAATCCAGACTGGTGGGTGGCTCGGGATCCAGTGCTACGATGCCTTGAATTTTGCATTGTCTGTCATGAGTGTTACACTCGACACATTTAGGTCTCGCATCAAGGGCTAGAGACGTTGTGCCCGTGCCAGAATTTGTTGATGAAGAAGATCCATCTGCCGACTGCGGTGGATAGTTACACTTGATCTTGCGGCGGCGACCTGTTTCAATGAGTTAGTCTAGTGCTCGCAAGGCTGACACCATAGAAATACGACATGAGGGCGATGGAGAGCTACCGACATTCCAGACACGATTTGGTTCCCTTTCGCATTTGCTTGAGTCCGGCTCTGCCATCGGTAATTCGACTCCTAGCCGGTTGCGAATCCTGTTCCTTCATTGTTGACGTTGATACAGGCATGTCGAAAGGATTACCAATCAAATGATATCTTGATGGCGATCAATCATGCTAGACTCGATGCCGGCCGTACTGGTGGTGTGCACGTAATCTGAGGTCACAATATCAGGAAGCGGTGAAGGAGAAGGGCAACGAATAGAACGAAGAAATTGATGGAAACATGGCCTGAGTTGTTACGAGTCCAACACCAAGAGTGGAACGGAAGTCGCCACCTCCGCAGCCTGTATGATTACCTAAGCCATTACCTAAGCACCCATTGCCTGATTTGACCATCATTGACCAATCATGAGACGTGGCGGAGTGTTGCAGCCTTGTTTTCTAGCAGGAGACGAGACGAACCTCCCTGGCTTCAAGTACAGCAGTACACAGCAAGTCCCGACACTTCTTGTGTTCATTCGCTGTCTTCGTGCTCTTCACCTTCAGCCATCGTGACATCCTAATTCCCGATATCGTCGCTGCTCGGCCTTCTCTGGCTCTCACTCCTCAGCCGTCTTTCGTTCGTCCACCTGCCTCTCCGCTCACCACGCCTCCTACTTTCCATCTGCTTGATTTTTTTGACATCGACATCTGGGTGTATTCTCCTCACATGATCATACAGACCTCTCCCCGTGGAGAAGGGGTTTTGGCCACGCGGGCACCCAGGAATCGGACATACTATTAGATCTGGGTGGGTGAGCAGGTCCATGTCGGCGTCACTAAAGTCGACACTTGTACTTCTCGACACCGCCAGCTTGGGTCGAGATAGGCTCGCACCTTTCCGATCAATACCATGCACAGTGGCCAGATGCCTCTGCAGCGTCCACCTTTTGTGGAAAGGGACGGTGTGTCTGGGGCATGACTCGTGTGGACAGATCCGCTCTCGCCCAGGTGCTCCTCCCGTTGACTCCTCGGTGTCTTCGCTTTCGAGAGCAAGGTGTTCCGTGAAATACGACTCATTGCCTTCTTTGGCTTCTCCTTCATGGAATGTGCGGAACAGCATATTCTCACCGAACAATGTTGCGCAGCGCTCGCTGGCTCGTTCGACTACAGCGGAGTCCCAGCCAGTCAACGAAGCCATGCCCACGACGTCGCTCCAATCGCGTAGTCCAAGCTCTTGGACCCTGCGTGGCCGTTTCGCAGACATAGTAGAAGCCGAGGAGAAGGCTGAGGCTTCCGTCTCTGCAGACGCGGAACGTCGCTGTCGGCTTTTGCGCCGCGCAGGAAGGGAGCTACTTCGTCCTGGACTTTCGCTCTTGGACTGCTCTTCGGGCGTCTTCGAATACCTGCCTCTTGCTTTACCGGGAGGTTTCGATGCGTAGGCGTACCGTGCCCTGTGTAGGCCAAGAAGCAAGTCATCGAGCTTGGAAAGAATATGGCGGGTACTGGGTAAGAAGTACTGCCTTGCCTTCTCATCGTCCGCCAGAGGGACAGGTCGGTCATTGAATGTAGTGTTAATGTCCTCACCATCGGCCTTAACTGATGCGTGGCGCTTGGCTTCCGGCGATTCTGAAGGTGAAAAGGCTCGAGAAGAAAAGACTGGATACTCGGGGGTTTCGGGTTGTGTATCCTCTTCTTGCTGACTTCCTCCTTCGTCATCTCCGCTGCTCTCATCCTCTGACATATCATTGCCCTCAATTTCTGACTCTAGACTTTGCATTTTGGTGCCAGACTGAAGTCCTCGGACCGAAGGCTTCTCGTCCCATCGCCGGTCATTCCATCTCTCACGCGAAAATCGTGTCGCGCATGCAATTAGCCACTGCTCTAGGTTGGCGCTCGGTGTCGTGTCGGCCCTCGAGTGAAATGCATGGCGACTGCCCGGCAGAGGAAGCAGGTCTTCCCTGGGCACATCGCCGGGAGGCATAGGCCATGCTGTCCAGTTCTTCGGCAATGAGAACGCCTCCGCCGCTTCCGAGACGGCATCTTCATCGTCCTCGCCTTCAGTCGCGACTACAGACGTCGCCCGTTCCTTTCCTTTTTTGACACGCTTGGTTCTGTGGTCTAGCTTCGCATCCTTTGCCTTTCTTTTGATGGAGAAAGAGTTGAATAGATGGATGGCGAGATCTTGACTGCGCACACGGTCTAGACTTTGAGCCACAGTCCTTTCCTCCTCGGTCCAGGATTTCCAGGTTGACGCTGGTCCGAAATATCGGTTCGGACGTGTAAAAAATGACTTTGCATCTTCACCTTGAGCATAAGGATAGTCCCCGGAGGATGGGATAAGTCGTGGTCCGGCCAGCGCCACTGAAGAAGGACTAGGCTCAGTTTGCGCCTGAGTGAGTGCTGGTTTTGGTGGTGAAGATAGAAGCTGGAGGTTGGGGGACAGGATATTATCCTCAGCCTCTTCTTCGACATAACTGGTATCCGAACTCATATTGAAAGGCCATCGCAGTATGTGTCTCTATGGCCGGCGACGACATAAGCTTGAAGATGCACACAGACGAAGTCCAATTACGAAAAACACGGATTGGGCGAAGACTGCGAACCGATAGAGTGAAGGATATTCATTTACAGAAAACAGGTCAATATATGGGTCGGTCACGTGCATAGGGAAGTATTTCCGGTTTCGAAAAAGGGTGGCACTGTCTGACGACAGGAGTTCGTCGGCTTCACATGGACGTCCTTGACGTGGTACGCGTTGTCTACCCGGAATCCTTCGTATACAACGTTATAGCGCAAGTCGTTGACACACGGAAAGCCGTTAGTATCATGACCATAACTCCTGTGATGTACCGTTAGCAGACTCCCTATCTTCAAGCTGGAGTTATATACTCCCTGTCAGACGATGCCATTTTTTTCTTGGAAACCGGCTCGGTATGTTGTAGCAAGATCGAAGGCTATGAATTTATCCTCATTCGAGTCGTAAGGGTATCACTATATGCAGACGCCATTTTATATCCATTATTCAACTGCGCAGGAACATCTTGTAAGTCGGACTATCCGTGCACTCCTTAAACGGATACCCTATGTCTTTCAGAAACCCTTCCAGTTCACTCCTCTCTGACTCTGGACACTGTATGCCGGCAAGGATCTTGCCCACGTCGCCGCCGTAGTTTCGGTAGTGGAACAAAGTGATATTCTGGCCCGGCCGCATGGTTCTCAGGAATTTGAACAGGGCTCCTGGTCGTTCGGGAAATTCAAACATGTACAGCCTCTCATCTTTGATATCCGATCGACCGCCAACGAGATAACGAACATGTGTCTTAGCCAGCTCGTCGTCAGAGATGTCTCTGGCCGTCATGCCCTCGGCAGAGAGTCGTGCAAAGAGGGAGCCCAGTTCCTTTGCTCGTGCGCCAGCTGATGACACCGAAATACCCATCAAGACGTGTGCTTGATCCTGTGTTGAAAGCCGATAACCAAACTCTGTGACAGCTTGAGGTAAAACTGCTTCGACCAGCTGAGCAAAAGACCCCGGTCGTTCAGGGATAGTGACTGTCAGGAGAGCCTCCTTCTGCTCACCTAGAGCAGCGCGCTCCGCCACAAACCGTAATCTATCAAAGTTCATGTTCGCACCGCTTGCGACAGCCACCAATTCCCTGCTTGGATCTGCCGATGGATTCTGAGCGACCCATTTCTTCAGACCAGCTACTGAAAGTGCGCCAGCAGGCTCCAGCACAGAACGCGTATCCTCAAAGACGTCTTTGATAGCAGCACAGATCTCATCCGTACTCACTTGGACGACCTCATCGACGACCTCTTGACAGATCCTAAATGTCTCCTCCCCTACCGTCTTGACAGCGGCACCGTCTGCGAAGAGTCCGACGTCCTTCAAGAGCACCCTCTTGCCTTGCTTTAGCGACTCCACGAGTGCGTTGGCATCTGATGCTTCAACACCTATGATTTTGACATGGGGTGCTATCCGCTTGACATAGACACCAATTCCTGCAATCAGACCACCACCACCAACGCAGCAAAAGATAGCTTGTAGCTTTTGTAGAGATGTTTGTCTCAGCAGTTCCATGCCTATCGTACCCTGTCCCGCAATGACAAAAGGATCATCAAAGGGTGGTATATTCGTCAGGCCGTATTGCTTCTCTAGCTCATGACAATGTTGTTTGGCTGAGTCAAAGTCTGAGCCATGTAATACCACACTCCCGCCCATCCTGCTGACATTCATGTGCTTGATGGCTGGTGTGCCTTCAGGCATCACAATGGTAGCTGGAATTTTAAGATGCCGGGCAGAGTAAGCGACGCCTTGTGCATGGTTTCCTGCCGAGCAAGCAATGACGCCCTTCCAGCTAACCTTGGTCGGCAGATGTGCCATTTTGTTGTACGCGCCTCGTAACTTGAAGGAGAAGACTGGCAACAGATCTTCTCGCTTGAGCAGGACCTTGCATTCCAGGCGGTTGGAAAGGTTGACCGCGTGGGTGAGAGGGCTCTCGGAGACGACATCGTAGACTCGAGAGGTGAGGATTAGTCGCAGGTAGTCAGGGTAGCCAGTGGGAAGGAGAAAATCTTGTGGAACGTCGTAGGAAGGTATGTCTGCTCGTTCTGATGGTGGTGTGGGATTGGCGGTGTACTCGGTCAATGCGAGGCCTGAGGTCCTCTTAGGGGTGGTGGGAGTGGGTGTGGTCGTCCCGTTGACCTCGGGGTCTGCGACGTCCATATTGGACGGTTCTTTACAGGTCTTACCCTTCTTTGGCTTCGATGTACCTGAATGCGTTGTTGGATTGCTGGTGAAATCGCGCGGATGAGTCCGCCCACAAAATTTCCTAAGCTCTCCGCACCGCTTTTTCGATGAGGGGCTCACGGGGCTGCACCCAAACCACTGCGCTGCTCGGCTGCTTAGCTACCCTGGGAGACTTAGGTACCTAGCGAGCCTAGCATAGCAGCCCACTCTAGCCTAGTGGCCCTTACGTCAAGTTGACCTTGTATGGAGAAACATGCAAGACTTCTTGGTATCCGTCCACACTTGAGGTATGCCCGATACTAGGTAGGAACAGGTTGTTTCTCAAAACGCACTGGTTGTCTTATTGCTATTACTCGTTAATCCATAATCCATCGTCTCTTGCTGTCAGGCATTCATGCTTCCCCCTTCTCTGTTCTCAGCGTATAGCGTCCATTGTGATACAATAGACATATGTAGTAGACAGAGGTTGCAGGAATCTACGCAAGGCTGAGGCCGTGGTTCAGCCTCGCGCTTAGAATGCGGATTCGGGCTTCCGTTCGCCGACCATACAACAAATTCATTCCGGAAGATTGCCACAACTACGAAGCTCAATTATAATAACTCGTTGCCTTTCTCTGACACGGTTTGTTCTTGTCTTGAGTTGCTAAATCATCATTTACATTTTATACAAGCTGGGATATTCGCACGCGAGCAGGCCTAACCCATCCTGCACGTCGACGTCACGACTTGTCCATCCGCAACGACTACCACCCGTGGCACCTGGCTATCGTCCTCATCTCCACTTGCCCGCTAATTGATAGCATCCATTCAACTTGAGAGAACTTCCATCGCTCCATCAACATCACTCAACGTTACCTACCGTCCAGCTTCCTTTGGTTGCCAGACCACGAAAAAAATGTCCAACCCGAACCCAGTCCCCTCCGAACCCTCCCCCCTCTCCGGCACCACCATCCCCAGCAGTTTCGACAACGAATTCTTCGAAGAATCGCGCTTCCAGAAACTATGGCGCAAAATTCGACAAGAGCCTCTCATCCCCGTCGGCTGCGCTGCGACATGCTACGCCCTGTACATGGCGACCAAGTCCATCCGGGCCGGCGACCACCACCAAACGAACCGCATGTTCCGCGCCCGGATCTACGCACAGGGGTTTACATTGCTTGCCCTCGTGGCCGGCAGCTTTTTCTACAAGGACGAGAGGTTGAAACGAAAGGTCTTCGAGGCCGCGTTGGAAGAGAAGAAGTCCGCGGAGAAGAGGGAGAAATGGCTCAAAGAACTTGAGGCGCGAGACCAGGAGGACAGAGAGTGGAGAGAGCGGATTGAGAGGGCGAGTCAAGACGCTAGAGCGGGCGTACAGGACGTCAAACGGTCTGCAGAGACGCTGATTGATGAAGGTAAGGAGACTTTGGAGAAGGTCGAACAGCAGGTCGTACCGGGGCAGGCGGAGCAGAAGAAGTCAAGCTGGCCCTCGTGGAACAGGAGCGTCAAGGACGAGATTGCGAGTCAGGGATGGGGCCCTGGCATGTGGGTGTCTAGGACGGGAGACGCATGGAGGAGGTTCTAAAACGCTCCCCAAGCTGGATCTTAATGGGTTTGTGGCATGAAATGGGCAAATATGCAAAAATCATACAGAATTCATGGTCATTCGTGGTTTGGCATCGGAAGGAAACGCTAGGTCAATAAGTTACAACAATGCTCAGTTCTTGCTCGATGACGGGATTTCTGCCCAACGACTCCCTTATGTCCTCTTGTCGATGGAAACCTACAGTTACATATCCCAGCGTATGGCATGCTTGCAGGTGCAGCTTTTGCAAGATAAAGGGTCCTCTCCGTAGACCATGCTTGTCCTTGAATTGGTGATAGGGCAAGGCAAGCCACAAGAGCTGCCGTATAGAGCTTCAAAGGTCTTCCATTCACTCCGTGAAAGTCTTGTGGGGCTAGGATGTGAAGGAAAGCGGACAAGCTTGGTATCGTGATCCAAGTGCTCGCTAATACCACAGACATTCCGTTGTTCTGGATGCTCGTTCTCATCCCGTCAAGCTTGTGGCCATGTCAACATCCAAGGGGATGCTAAGAGCCGTGATTTGCGGGCCAGAACAGAATAAACATGCAGTATCCCCTCGATCCAGGTCGACTTCGGCTCAAGCTGGTGATGTTTCGGTCGCCTTGAGTCCTGCTTTGCATCTGACTGTAGCAGGTTCAGCCTTTATGCATGACCTTATGTTCTGGACGATTCCGTTCATCTTTCCAATGCCCTCCCAGCAACCACAGGCTTGGAGGCAACATCGACGCAGTTCCGCCAACTCGTGGTGTTCATGTCGTCGACCGTTTTCTCTTTTCTTCGAATGCTTGCTCACCGCCTCGACGCGAGCTCATCTATATACCTCTGCATGCCATCGAACTCGGCTTTCCCCGTGGATATTAGGTACCGAATCTGCGAGATGTCACCGACGTGCCTGTTGCGCTCGAATTCGCCACGGGCATATGCGATGGGCTCGCCGCGTGTGTCTTTGGGGATCTTGTACAGGCTGCGCAGGATCGTGCGCCATAAGCTCAGCACGCGCTGGCGCTGGATAAAGTGGTCGAGTGACAGAGGTGGAGGTTTCCTCGATCGTGTGGGCTGAGAAGATGCTGCTGTTGCTGTTGCTGTCCTCGACGTAGGACAGGCAAAGAGCCGGAGGGACGGACGCATAGGGAGGAACAAGAACAAGAACAAGAACTCTAAAGTTGGCTGCACTGAGTACGCTGGAGGCAATTTTTTATTTGAGAATATGCTACATTACAAATAGTCAGGAAGATCACGGACGAGGTCTTTGGCAGATGATGGCATGGTCTGCGGCAGGTTTCGATTCCGCCAATGAGCGTCAAGGAACGGGCTTTCTATCCTTTGCAAGGCTGAGAGCCAGCCTTGTGCTCGCCATGTCGGGCTTTGGATCTTGATCGAGCAAACCATTCTGCGAGATGAAGATTACCTTGCACGTAAGTCTATCGTGCAGTAATAAGGCTAGCGTCGTGAGCGTGTGCCATTGGCGTGTGTTGTGACTCTCGCGAAGCTCAACACCATACGGAGCATGAGGGCTTCGGGATTTCCAGCCCTAGGACTTACAAGAAGCATGTATAAATTTGGAAAGTCTGCACACTGATGACGGCAAAACGTGTTTACTTTATAGCTTTCGAGAGTTACAGCTATCTTCCATCATGGCAATTGCAAAGCATCCTTCAGCGACGCCAAAGCACCAAACAATTGGTTGTCGTGATACTTCCTCGCATTGATCTGGAGGTCGATCGGCGCTCCCTCAAAGTTACCCTCCTCCCAAAGCTGCTTGACGTGCTTACAAGCATCACTCAGTGGCGTATAGTCCGAGGCATATTGCTCTCCGGCTTCGGCCTTGATAGGCGTAGGGAAGACAACACCGGGGTAATCGACGAAGTTGTACAGCGAAGTGTATGTCCAGTAGAATGCCGTCTCATGTGCGCAGGCAGGTCCGACAAAGCATGGCCCAATGACCACATCCACATCCTGTTCGTTCCAGGCCTTGGCAAAAGCAATGCGGAACTGGTCTCTCTCAAATCGCATCTGACTCACGGCGGTGGCCGTCTGCATTCCCGCAGGCTCTGCATCTTTCAAGATCCACGAGGTCAGTGGGAGGAGGGGCTCTCCGGCTGAGTTGATGATTCCCTTAGGGCCTTCTCCTCCGTCTGGCCAGTACATCCTCCTGATCTTGGACCAGGCTCCAGCAGCATCGTAAGGCTTGAAGTCTTTGATTTCGAAAAGATCTGCGTACTTGGGATCGGACAATTGCTTCCTTGCCCAGGCTACCGCTCTCTTGACGGGTGGTTGAGGATCGATAAAGCCGTCATTGGAGATAATGCCGATCTTCAGTTTCTTCGGCACCTCTGTCTTTAGACCAGTCCACGGGGTCGGAATGAGTCTGGGGTCCTCAAGATGTGGTTTGGCATCCAGGAGGATCTTGGTGAAGAGCTCCATGTCTCCCATGGTGCGGCACATCGGTCCAATTGAGCAGAGGATGTTGAGTTCCGCTGGGAATGGGCTGGCTAACATATCGGTCATGGGCAGCGTGTATGAAGTCGGCTTGAATCCGTAAATGCCACAGAAAGCTGATGGACCACGGATACTCCCACCAATATCGGTACCGATACCCAGGACAGAGCCTTTCATGGCGATCAAAGCGGCTTCACCTCCCGTCGAGCCACCAGCTGAGAGGTTAATGTTGTGGGGATTGAGAGTACGGCCATAGTATGAGTCGGTTTCAAGATGCATGATACCCTGTGGTTGGTTGGTTTTGCAGTAGAATACGGCACCGGCTTCACGCAGAATTCGTATCAACAGCGCGTCTTTGTCATCTTTGACGGTGGTGCCGTACTCGCCTTGGTCCGAGTAGGTTCCGGCCGTCGGCATATGTTGTTTGATGCTGACTGGGACGCCATGGAGAGGCCCAACGGTCTTCCCGTTCTTCTCCAGGTACTCGTCGAGCTGTGCTGCTCGCTCGAGAGCCTTATCCTCAAAGAATTGAGTCAAGCAGCAGGTGAGCTGGTGTGCAATGGCAGCGCGCTTGCAGAATGCCTTGGCAACTGCCACTGCAGTGTACTTGCGAGCGGCAATTGCTTCAGCCAGGCTGACAGCATCGTACTTTTCTGTGATGTCGAGCTCCTCAGAGCTAAGTATACCACAGGTACTTGGGATGGTTGAGACATCTGTGGGGTTCTTGTCGAAGATTTCCTGGGGTAGGTAGTACTCATTCGGAATGGATTCTTCAAGAGTTCGAAGCAGAGCCGCTCGCTTCTCCTCGAACTCTGGTGTGCCTTGAGGAATAGCCACGGGCTGGAGAACGGTGAAAGGTCTGGCAACCATCTTGACGTAGGACTAGGAAAGGTGAGTACAGGAGGTGGTCAACTCTGACAGCAAGGAGCAGGCTTTTCCCTTTATTTGAGGCAACGTAATCCCACCTTGTGTCCGATAACAAGCGGGGTTATAAGGTCTATCAGGACGTGCGAGAAGCACAAGCGTACTTGAGACAGCGGAGAAGGATATGGATATCCAACCTCGAGCCTCATATCTCACATCACAGCTTTTCCATTACGGAATTGATTTGTTCTGACGAGTGAGGAGGTGGCGCATTTGCGGCAATGATAGAGCATTGGGCCCCGTTGGCCCTCTCGCTGAAGAGACAAACAAGGGGTTTGCTGATAGTCACCATTCCATCCACACGCTGGTCGTCGGCAATACAGATCCCTCCCCTCACGGAGATGATCGTGTGAGCAAAGAGGAAGACTATGGAGGGAGTGGAAGCAGCGAATCAGGGACAAATCCGCGCAACTGGCGGATAAAGCTAGGACTGGAGGCTCGAGCGGTCCCACGATGCCACGATCACACACGATCCACCCTGTCGAGCTTGTCGAGTTCCTAATTTGCCCTTTATCTCCCAAGCTCTCCAGACTCTTGGATTGCTCCCAGTTCCGATTAGCGAACACGATTGGACCCGGCACCTCATATACAACTTGTCAACCGTCAAATAACAGCTATTACCGCTTATCACGATCTAGCCACTTCGGGACGTTATTCTGGCTGCTGTCTGGAGTATTCTATGGACTTGGCTGCCTCCCCAAGCACATAGCGCTTGTCAAGGTGAACACCATGACAAGGAGTATTTCCACAGCCTTATCAAGAGGACCAAGCTAGAGACAGCTTCCCATGGCCCGAAGGTGTGGTTAGTCGTGCGTTTGTCCTGAGATCATGGAGGCGATGCACGGTTGCTAGGCGCGCACTAAACAACCATAACCTCCCGTGTCAAGGCTACAGGTATAAGTATCTCGACCTTTTCCTCATTCTCGCAGGTTGCGCCTTGCAACTCTTGGGCTCTCCATCTCTTCGTTAAGACCCTTTATCAGCGACGCCATGACTGTGCCACATGTCCATCCAGGGGCCGAGTCGGGTGCCATCCCGTAAGTATCAATGCCGTGTTCCCGTCTCTGGCGGTACAGCTTACTGACAATGTGTAGCGGAACGGTCCACCTTGTCGACTTGGATCATACCATGCACACGCGACACGCTCAGGGTGCTCAGCAAGATATTGTGCTTGTCCCAACACCATCCAAAGATCCCAATGACCCCTTGAACTGGTCGCCTCGCAGGAAGCTCATGTCAAGCATTTGTTCTAACCTGTAAGTCAGTCCAGTGGAATCAGACACACGAGACTAACGTCTGGCATAGTTACACCTGGTTTACCGGCGTCGCGGTTAGCACGGTCTACTCTGTCCTTGTCCCATTGTCCGGCAACACCGGTGTATCAGTGGCTACGCTCAACGAAGGGACTGGCTATATGTTCCTCTTTCTCGGATGGGGTTTATTGTGGTGGCAGCCATTTGCTCTGAGATATGGAAAACGGCCAGCCTATCTGCTCTCTATCCTCGGCGGCATTGGAACCAGTATATGGAGCGCCTATGTCAAGAGCAATGGAGAATGGATCGCTCGATGCATTCTCATGGGCTTCTTTATCGCACCAATTGAGGCACTCCCTGAAATCTCTGTCACCGATATCGTACGTGTTTGCCAAGCACACCCGGACCTGAAGTTGCGGTTGCTAACCTGCCATGTAGTATTTTACCCATCAGAGAGGCACCTGGATGGGCGTTTACGCCTTTACCCTTGCTGGCAGCAACTACTTCACGCCCGTCATCTGTGGCTTCATCGCAGAGTACCAGGGTTGGAGGTGGCCGTTCTACTGGGCGGCCATCTTCCTCGCCGTCATATTCGTCTTCCTCTTCTTCTTCATGGAAGAGACCAACTACAACCGGGCTACTTCTGGGGTCGTCTCGGGAACTGACTCGCCGCCTTCAGAGCAGACAATGAGGGCCGATGCTGAGAAGAACCCCGGTATGGCAGGCACCAACCTTACTCAGCCGTCTGCCGAGGACGGGGAGGTCGTTGCTGCCCCCAAGACCTTTACTGAAAAGCTGTCAGTCTGGAACCCTACTCCGGGAAAGAGCATGTGGTCGCGTGCTGTTCGGAGCTTGAAGTACCTCGGCTGGCCTGTCATTTTCTATGCCGGGTTCTCCTACGGTTCATATCTCATCTGGTTCAACGTTCTCAACGCTACAGCATCCATCATTCTGGGTGGCCCGCCTTACAATTTCTCCGCGTCGATGGTGGGGCTCAGCTACTTGTCTTGTACGATAGGCGTCATTGTCTGTTCCCTTCTGTCCGGCAGGCTGAGTGACTGGTTGACCATCAAGCTTGCCCGCCGAAACAACGGCATCATGGAAGCTGAACAGCGCCTGTGGCCCTTCGTTCTCTGCATGGTTCTTGTACCTGGTGGGCTGATCCTCTGGGGTGTTGGAGCCGCACAAGGTATCCATTGGTTTGGCCTCATGATTGCGATGGGAACTGTGGCTGGAACCCTTTGTTTCGGAGTGACGCTCAGTGTCAACTATCTCATCGACAGCTACCACGACATCAGTGGCGATGCTCTTGTGACTGTTATCATCGTCCGAAACACCATGTCGTTCGCCATCAGCTATGGGTAAGTCGATGGCCTTTGATCGATCTCCTTAGGCACTTTGCTGACTGACGATTACAGAATTACGCCCTGGTTGACGAATCTTGGCTACCAGAACTGCTTTATCTCTGCCGCGTTTGTCGGCATGGCAGCTTCTTCGGTCTTCTTCGTCATGATCAAGTATGGCAAGGGGCTCCGCGCAAAGAGTGCTACGAGATACTGGGCCCTGGTGGCCGAGGAGAAGGCGGCAGAGTCCAAACTGTAGGTAGATATAAGGAAGCAGCGGAGGCATGGAGTTGAGTGATAGGCTTCCTCGTGATCGTATTTGAACGGGGAACCACGCATGCAGTTTATATCAGTAGCGTCCTGTACGTATAAAAATGTACCTAAGTATGATTAGCGTTGTAGCTCCGTACGAAGTACTTACATAGTATGCACCTAGTTGGTATGTAACTATTAGTCTCATCATGGTCTCAATGGTCCAGACCTGTGGATGGTCACCTTCGAGGCCTTATCTAAGCTAACGGAGTCCTACGGGGTAAGATGTCCATCCGAGGCTGGGGGATCGAATCATGACCAGGAATTCAGTGGCCAAAGTGCCCATGATATGCCTCGGCCCCACACACGCACGATAGATAGCTCTCTCGTTCGTGTCCTACTTATGTAAAAACCACACCAGCCCCCCATCTCGCGCGACCTCAATCTTTCCCACCCTTCTCTCAAACTTCCCTACGCGTTGCATAGTCGAATCACCTCTGCACGACCATCCATCTAGCATGGGCAGTCGGCGTAAGCCGCTTGGCTTCAAAGGGCATGGGTAAGAGTAGTCAACCTCCGAAATTGCGCACAAAGACTGGGTGTCAAATTTGTAAGTACTAGTAATTGATCGTTGGAAGCGCGCACAGCCCTATATCTTGTGCGTCGCTAACAAACATGGGAACTCACAGGCAGGAATCGGAAGAAGAAATGCGATGAGGCCCGTCCAGCGTGCCAGAGGTGTACAGTTCTCGGTCTTCGCTGCGAATGGCCAACAGAAGAAGACCTCGTTGACCGCCGCCATGCACCCAAACGCCCTTCTCGCCAATCCTTCTCTCCGCAGCAGCAACAACAACAACAACCACTCGACCTCTCGAGAGATGGCAGCAGCAGCGTCGGCAATGAAATTGTCAGGATAGCGCATAAATCCTGGATCGATCCGCGGATCTGTCTTTGGTCGGAATCAGCTGCTCACCAGGTGCTGAGTCGCGATTTGAAACCTGTCATCTCTCGCCACTTCATCGACAGGTATTATGGCCTGCTCATCCTACCAAATTGTCATCCGGAGTACTACTGGGGCTGGATCAACGAGATCCAAGAGCTGATGGTCGAGCACGAAAGCCTCCAGTACTCCGTGCTCGCAAACGCCGCCTCGCACATCCACTTCATCGATGCCTCGTCTCAGATGCAAGAGCTTGCTCTTACGTACTATTCCAAGGCTCTCAGAGGTCTCTCCGAACTTTTGGCGAAAGCATCCCGGCTTGAGAACCACAACGGGCTGCTCATGTCAGTGATGCTCCTCTATCTGCACGGGTGTATGGGTAGAGGGACTTACACAGACATCCCCCGGCATGTCAATGCCGCCATCCGCATCCTCACGCTCCGCTTGCTAGAGCGTCCAAAACAAATCAGCCGACCATTCGATCGACTAGCGGTTGAGAGCGTTCTTTACCAAGTCTTTCTCGTCACGACAGGATCTTGGTCCAACCCGATCGATATCGAGTACCGATTCGACTCCCATTTCTGGCTGCAAGCAGAGAAACTACTAGCTCATTCGACCCTATTTCCGAACCGCTCCATGAGCTTCAACAGCCCCGTCCTCGGTATTCCGTTTACGCTCTTCAGGCTTGCATTGTCCATCAGGCAGCTTTACCAAGACCCACACGGCGTGGACTTGCAGACTCTGGAGGAATACAAAGCCGACCTGGGCAACTGGGAAGGTGCAGTGCTTTGCGACCAGGATCTGGATTGCGTGGATCCAGACGAGACGCCGAACTGCGCGCATCAAGTCTACAAGGATGCCGCTTATTTGTACATCCTGAACGCATCCATGTTGATCGAGCAATTGTCGCAGGGGCTGGCGAAACCGGGCCCACCTCAAGCGCACCAAGTCGACAGCTGGCAACTCAACAAAGCACGCGAAATTCTTCTGGCGCATCAGGATGACGATGAATGGGCGAGGTGCTTTATAGGGAACTGGCCTGCATACACGCTGGGCTTTTTCATGAGTACACCCGAGGATATCGACCTCGTCCGATGTGAAATGCGAAGAAGATGGAATTTTATGCAGTTTGGTCAGATTGGCCGCTTTACAACTGATCTGGAAACCACCTGGACTCGGCGTGGATATGGTGTATGATTCACCATTCCTAGAGTCCGGTAGGGATGTAGCTGAAGTATATACCACATCAAAACTCAGTCAAACAACCACATTTACGGAGTTTTCGCTTTTCCGCGTGAGCTGGTAATCCTAGTCCTTGACTTCCGGGCCTACGATTGATAGAGAGAAATCAGAAGTCAAGACGGCTCAGAGCAAAGCCAGCTCTCGGTCGTCCAATAGACTGAACCGCATCAACTACGCGGTCGCGTTTGAGCATGCAGCCGATGTTGAAGAGAAGAGTCGTTGACGCCAGCTGGAGGAGAAATGTTCCTAGGGGAGATTTTCACCGGGGTAAACATATCGATAGGATGAGAGACAAGAACCGTACAGAACAGGTTTCAAGCTTTCAGGATAGCGCGAGTTTCGCGCCAAAAGTTGCAAAGTATGGCGAGGATCAGGCTTCATATGCACTGCCCATGGTATCGATGAAGGCTCCCGGAAGTCCATCGTAGAGACGGCAGGGTGCATCAGGAGTCGGTCTCTCGCTGAGCACCATGCTTGCTGTGGAAGGCCGACCCATGGCCATGACCCGCGGCAGGTGGTTTGGCGATGTGTCCGGGTCCGGCGTCAACCCTAAGGTAAGGTAGGTATCGACCAAACAAAAGGTTTACTGCCGCTACCTAGATATATTGCCTTATATGGCAATTTTACCTTCCCGATCGGACTGACCGCTTTTGTTTTGATCAGCCAGCAACGACGGATGTTGGGTATATAATTTCTTTTCACAGTCACGTGCCATCTCGATTTTTCTTTTGTATTGTATCCTCCCTTCTCTCACTTCGACTTCTTCGCCCACCCATCGCAGCCTTGGGGATTTCAGAACCAAATAATGCAGGCTGTGTGTCATGAAACAGCGGCACAGCGAGTGCTACCGGAGAGTTGATCTTTCGATACGTCCCGTACTTTGGATTACATCAGTAGGCTCTCGTTCACGATTCTTGCTATGCAGGGCAAATGGAGTCGGAACCGGTTGCTCCAGTACTCCATATGTTCCTCTGACTTCTCGACTTTCCTTCTTGTAATCTGGGAGAGTCCTGTGGGTTTAACTTTCTTCAGTGCCAACCTGAATCACGGTCTCTTCCTTGGTTTTGAATCTTGATGCCCAATCTCCACCCGTAGTCTCGGGCGGGAAGGTGCTGAAGATCCGGGGGTTAACTAGTGAGTGGTCCGTACCGTGGTGAGGGATAAACAAAGCGACAAATAAGGCCCACAAGAAAAACCAGAGAGTCAGAGAAGGCCGTAAGCTGCCTACTTCTCCCGAAGCCGTTTTGTTGGCTGATAAGCGAAAAAAGAAAGCATTCGAAGGAGCAATAAACGTGTTAAACGAAGGCGAAGAAGGACAGAGCCCCCATCATGCCCCCATCATGCCCCTATCAAGCCCCCATCAAGCCTCTGTCATGCCCCCGATCTGTGCTGCCAACCCTTCGAAGCCCGACGGTGCCCTGCTTGACACAAAGAAGCCCATCCATGTCCTGTGACGCCATAAGGCTCCAAACCACCAACCTGACTGACTGAAGCACCTGAGCCATTCTCCGAGTCTCAAGTCTCGAATCTCCTTCGCAGCTGAGCAGAAAACAGGTCTGCTGATTCGATCCGAAACACTCTCATTTTAATTCTCTTTATCTGCTCATCCGCTTTCTCTTCTTCTCTTCTTCATCTGCTCGTCATCACATCGATATCAACTCCATGATTCAATAACAATGTCATACAACGACGACTACGCTCCACGTCCTCGTCGAGACCGACCTCGGTTCGATCAAGACGCTGGACCACGATACCCCGACGACGACAATGACTATGCCGACACGCGAAAATCAAGCGCCCACCGCCCTCGCCATGAAGCCGCACCTCCCTCTTATGGCTCTGAGGAACCTCGTCGACGAAAGGACGTTGACCCTCGAGACGTTGAGCCAAGAGACGCAGACAAGAAAAAGTACCGGGACTATCCCAGTGAAAGAGACGGTGACATGAAACCAACGAAATCAAACACCGCCGCTCCAAGGCGACGAAGTCCAAATGAAGATGACGATCAAGACTCAGGGTCCCGCCGCTATCATGGTGGTGATGCAGGCGCCTATGGTCGGTCTCGAGGCTACCGTGAACCTATCCCGCACGGAGATCCCGACGCAATGGATCGAGACGTGCATAAGGGCAAATCTACCAGGCCAAGAAGAGATGACCACGATGACTTCGAGCCAGCTCCACCACGTCGTGCGCAAACCCATCGAGAACCAGATCGTCGCCGCCGAGATGATCCCTACGACGAACCTCCACGGCGCCGCTACCGAAGTCCAGAAGATAGACACTCAGATCCCGATCGAGCATCTGCAAGACGCAGAAGAGATGATGAGCGATACGACGACCGCAGATACCGTGGTGCAAGCGGAGGCCATTCGCGCCGCGATGAAGGCTATGCCTCCGACAAAGGCTACAGACGCGCCAATCGTGACAGCGGAAGGGACAGGTCCTACCACGATCGCGAGCGTGACAGAGACAGAGACCGTGACCGAGACCGACGATATCATGATTCCCGCGACCGAAGCCGAGACCGTGACGGTCGAAGCAAGAAGAAAGGCTTTTCCATCGACGACATTGGCGGTCTAGTCGAACAAGGCCAGAAACACTACAAGACTGTCGCACCGCTCGTGACCAGTCTTGCAAAGATGTACCTTGACAACAAGAAATAAAGGCCTTTGACAATATGAGATGTCACCGAATCCGTGATATCAGACCCGAGAAGTCTCAATGTCGATTGACCTCGGCCTGGGTGCCAATGGACTATCCCATGCTGATCCGAGCAGGCTGCGGTCTCCTCAATGCTCGATCATACTTGTATTATTACGACTCTAACATTTCAGCGCTATGTGAGGGAACGACTTGGACTTGATTAATGCCAATGGCGGAATTCAAATGGCGTGGACACCTTTCTGGGAGTGCTGGATTATCGATTTAACGCTGGAACGATACAAAATGATTGCCATGTCAACGCTCAATCTCTAAATTAGCAAGTGCTCAATTCCAATAAATTGGCTGCTCGCCATATTCGACTATTCTCGCGCCTTTCACCAACTACTCAAGATTGTGTGCATTTCCCATTCTGCAAGGCTTCCTTTCAGGCCTCGAATCATCGACCAGGCATACGAGTACCGCCACCGCATGCCTCAAGACTCGTGCCCGGCCGTGCGGCCACCGACCCTACACTTTCTTCTTTCATCGTGTTCTCCTATTGCCTTTACTAACGTTAGCCATCCTACTAGGTCAGGCAAGACTGCGGCCCCCTTATCAAGCCTTGACAGTCTCGAACCCTTGAAACGAGGGTAACACGGCCCTGATCTCCTTGACATACGCCGGTATGCCTCCCGCATAGTTGACCTGCTCGAACGCCTTGCCCGGGACACTGCCACCCATGTACGTGCTCCTCGTGGTCGGCAAGAGTGTGATATCACTCAACTCGTTGATCCGTTGCTTCCACTTCTGACTCGCCTCCTGCGTCGGGTTGATGTACTTGAGCCCTTGCCGATCGACCAATTTGATAGCATCACGGATCCAGCGCCCTTGCACTTCGACAGCGCTCGGCCCGTTGGCCAACAGCGTCGGTCCGTGTGGACCATCTGCGAGGAGTCGACGTTAGCATATCTGTATTCGATGGAAAAGCCACAGACCTCGTGCTTGGCTTGGACGGCCTCATATCGGCCTCTTCCCAGCAAAAACGGGCAGAGGAGAAGTGAACACAAGGTATGATGCTTACATAGATGGAACATATTCGGATAACCCGCGATCGTGGTTCCGAGGTACGTGTATGCCGCCTTCTTCCATTCATCATGCAGCGTCGTGCCGTGAATGCTCTTCAGTCCCATGTTCGTCATGCCACCGGTCGTGATATCGAACCCTGTCGCCAGCGCGATGATGTCGAATTCATGCTCCTTCCCATCGGTCGTCTTGATGCCCTTCTCTGTGAATTCGGCAATGGCATTGCCCGACTTGCTGCCGATATCCACAATCGTTACGTTATCGGCGTCCAGGACCTCGTAGAAATTCTGCTCGAGACACGGCCGTTTCACGCCAAATGGGTGCGGCGGCTCTGCGGGGCACAATATCTCGCGCTTCTCAGGATTCTTGATCCGGGTCATTTGCTTCTTGCGCCAGAAGTCGTACACGCACCGATTGGCTTTGAGGTCGAACAGGTAGTCCTTGTGCGAGCCGAGCCAGAGGCCGAAACCGGCTTTCTTCCACAGGGCTTCGTACAGGGCCTCGCGCTCCTCGGGCGAGTCTTCGAATGTGTTACGCTCCTCGAACTCGTAGGTGAAGCCGGCAAAGTTTAATTCGCGCATGCGCATCAGATCATGGTAGGCCGGGTAGAGGGCTTCTTGGTCTTGCGCGGACAGATCCTTCTTGCCCATGGGCAGTGCCAGGTTTGGTGTGCGCTGGAAGACGGTGAGATGTTCGACTTGGGGTCCCCATTCTTGGATGATCTGGACACCACTTGCTCCCGTCCCGATGACGGCGACCTTCTTCCCGCGGGCGTCGACACCCTCAACTGGCCAGAACGAGGAGTGATGCATGATGCCCTGGAACTTCTCCATGCTGGGATAGTCCGGGATGTACCGTTTCGCGGCAAAGCCTGCGGCTATGATGAGATACTTGCATTTGGCCGTACGGCCATCTGCAGTCTTGACTGTCCATTTCCCCGAGTTTGTGTCAAATTCGGCAGACGTAGCCACGCTACCGAATGCGCAGTCCTTGCTTAGGTTCAGCACCTTGTCACAATGATCAAAGTATGCTTGTAGCTCGCGCCAGTCTGGGTAATTTGTAGTCCATGTCCATGTCTTGTATACTTCGGGGATGGCTAGCTGGTAGATAGGGACTTCGCTGTCAACACGCGCACCCGGCTAAAACCTGTTAGCATTCGGAGCGACGTTATATTAGGAGTCCACGGAAATACATAGACATTCCACCTCCAAGTGCCTCCGAAGCTGGTGCCCGCTTCATATAGGACAGTCTTAAAGCCAGCTTTGCGCATCTCATACAGCATGTACGTGCCACCAAACCCTGCACCAATTATGAGGACGTCGACATCAAGGTTGTCGGCATACGGTCCATCGGTACGTGGCCGTTGAGCATATTCGAAAAGGTCGCGGTGCAAGACGCGCTCTGGCAGTTCTTGAGTACCAGAGGGGTCACCCATGGCTGCGTGCAAGGTCTTGATATCGGTCCAAGGAGGGGGAACTGAGATCAACGGACGGATTAGCGAAAGATCCCAGGGTCAAGGGTGGGCTTATCCTTATACCTGGCAACCCCCTCCATGACAGGCAACTGATCTCCGGTGAAAAGGATGCAGCTACTCCTCTTCTGCATGAGCCCCGATGAGAGCCGGCGGCATCGTGCAACTCGTAGTCGTAGCCCTCTCCTCATCCGACAGGAGCGGAACCGACCTGACCTCATGGAGAGAAATGATTTGGTGCGGCCGGCTTCGCATCTCCACTTCTCCCCTCATAATAATGCATCTTGGACGTTCGGGGTTGACAAAATCCGGGGTAGGCAATAGATCGGAGGATGGCCTGGAATTGATTGGAGGATGTGATGGTTTTGACAGGCAGGGGGATTGTGCAGAGAGCTTGGTATCTCTGACTCGAGTGGTCTCGAGGTCATGACCTCGGTTGTCTCCTCATTTCGAGATTCGAGGTATCGTATCGAGTCAGCGAGTGGTGTGATTTCACCCCGTTGCAATGGAAAAGGAGCGTCAATAACCGTGTTGAGGGAGTGTTGGATTGCATGTGAGCACAACGGTTGTTTAGAATGGCACATTAGTACAACAGTAGTTCTTCAAAGCAAGGACCCGAGTCGATATCAGCACCACAGTCGGGTTACAACCCAATTTGGCCATTGCAGGACTCTTACGATTCGTTGCTTTCTTCTCGAGAACATACCTATTTTAGGTCATACCGAGTTCAGAGCCCGAACGGGCGGATCAAGATATCCGGCTGCAGGATGCTTGTATGAGATGATGCGCGGAATCAGAGATGATCTTAGTCGGATGTGAAAGATCATCCATACTCGTACTAGTACCCTTTACTCGCCCACGAATACTGTGAAGGACTTATCTTGAATGTAAATGATCCCAGGCTCGCAGGATCTATTGTACTGGTTATTCTGAGCGCGTCTGAGGAACTCAGTTAGGGCATCATTGGTGATGGACCCAATGCTGAGGTGATATGATGGTCAGCAATTATCAGAGGAAGTTGAATGCCATTTTTCGCATTTTTGGTCTGCTTTTCACAGCGTCCGTTGATGGCCGTATCCGAAGGTGATGAACTGAGACAAGACGTAGAGGGTCTGAGTTGAAGAAAGAATGGCAAGAACTGGTAAGTCCAAGTACGTCGACGAGCTGAGATTGGCAGTTTGGATGAAATTGAAATGCCGTTTCTTCTGGCTGAGGCTGAGACCACAATGGGGATGATGAGGACTTGATGATGGCAGGCACCTAGCGGGTACTGTGGGTGTTCCTTGTTTGGCCCTTGGGCACCTATTGGACTCACTGCCAGGTAAGTAAGGTACCGAAGGTAGGCACCTAGACTCTGATGGGCTGCACGGGATTCGCCTGCGCCTTGACTGACTGACACCATCTTAAGCCATCCGTCATCAATCACCATCTCAGGGCGGCTCATTGCGCCCACGATTTCAGTCAACATGGATCTTCATCACACGAGTCAACTCACCCCCTTCAACGTCGTTGTGCCTAACATGTATGGCATCGCCTTCTCCATGTCCAGGTGATAGTTGCTAAATGTCCTCGACTATCCATCATGACGCGCCGAAAGCGTACTTCTTCACCTTCACCTTCACCTTCTTCTGCTGCATCTCAGAATCAGAAACGCGTGGCATTTGAAATCCCCGCCTCGCTACAACACTTCTCCACCATTTCACAATCCTTAGCAACAAAGCCTGGATCCAAACCACCTACAACTTCTGTTCAGAAGACACAATCGCAGCCTCGACCGACCTCACAGTCCCCGTCTCACCCTCGATCCTCCTTGCCCGCCACAAGTTCCCAAAATCCAAAACACTCCTTCATACCACAGAAGCGGTCCTTTCCCGATGCGCAGTCCTGGCCACAACCCGTTCCAAAGCCTCAAGCGTACTCGGCTACCGCTAGGCTTGGAGGCAAGCCTGTAAACCAGTCCAAGGCTTCTCCTCCAGCCACTATGTCCCAGGATCGATCGGTTCCCAAAGCCCCGGCGAGCCCCCAACGACGGAGTGCAAGCAATCCAGGTTTACCTACCCTTCCTGCTCAAGAACCTGCCTTGAAACCGGGGGAAGCACCTAATCTAAAGACCCATCCCAACCTGATTGCGTCGTTGGTTGCGCAAAAGAGAGCGGAGAATGATGCAATGGGATTCCGGGAAAGGTGGGCAAGAAAACAAGCCGAGTATAGGATGTCCAAGTCTCCGGTAAATCAGCTGAATCACGAACTACACCGAGAAGCTGCTGGTAGTAATGGCAGGCAAATCCAGTCAAGGTCTGCGTCGAACCCTCTGCCTGCACGATCTGCGCCTGCTGCACCACAAGCGAAACATACAGCCCCAGTGATAATTGAGGTCGATACTCCATCCGCTGAGACAGTGTCTACACCTGCCACAGAAGATTCGAGAACGAGAAAGAGAAAACACCCCCCGAAAGACCAACGGCCGAACGAAGACGATTCACTGTTTGGGTCGCCATTTTCCTCTCCCATAGCAGAATTCCTCGAAAGAGCTACTGACGATGCCGGTCTGAAAGACGGAGCCGAACGAAATGTGACAACCTCTGCAAGATCGTCCATGACTGGTACACCGACGCTTCCGCCTCGTGACCAACGGAGACAACATACCTCTCAAGTCAGCAACCATCCAGACCCGTCTGGGAATTCGTCAATTCCTCCCCTGTTCTCTGATAAGCCATTTAACAATCAGCCGCGATCCCAATCAAATCAAGCGGTTCAATCCAACATGTACGACAACTCACCCACAGTCATGCAACAGCAGCTACACCCGAACTCTCCCATGTCGATGCGGAGCACGACCAACCAATCTGTAGCATATGGGCCGCAACCTCCAATCGCTCCTCGGTCATCTTTGGCCCCGTCTCATCCTTATTATGCTCGAGCCCAATCAGTCCCTGGGTATTATAAAATTGATATGGGTCAATATTACAATAATACTGCAGGCCCCGCTTCATCCTGCCCTTCACCCAATGTTGGTCCGTCTCAGGCATACGGCAAGTCTCCTGCACCATTGAGTATGACCTATCCGAGTTATAACCTGGGAGGGAGCCCCTATATGTTCTCATTGCCGCAAGCTCCAGGGGCGATTCCTACGTATGGCGCTACTATGGTAACGGCGGCGGAGCAGACAAAGGCGCAGTCGTCCGACCCAGGGCTTATGACAGCCGCAGATATGGTCGCCGGGGTCAATACAAAATTCAGGATATCAACAAAAGACGGGTTCGCCGTGCCCAAGCGTTTCTAGGAGGCGCTTTGGTATGGTTTCGATCCTTGCGAAGGAGATTTCCAGATTCAGAGGGAGGATTATCAGCACGCCGATATCGGGCAGGAGGGTATCAGGCGTCCGACGACATTCTACGACGTATAGATGGTTACTACGATGGTGCGAGCATTGATTGTTTTGTACAGACGGTTAGCGATGGAGTTTGGTGCGGTATGCGATATGCAAGCGACGATTGTTATTTTTGTACAGCCTTAGCACCAGCATTATACTGGCGACATGCCTTTACTTGTAGCTAATATAGAGCGAGCGACCGTTCAATGCAAGAGCCAAAGCTCGGTCTCAACTTGGACTTCGCATGAGATTACAAGTTTTGACATACTACGTATGCAAGTACACCTCACATGCAATTGCGCGCGAAACAGAAGACCCACTCGTACTGCTCGTTAGATCGGACAGATCAGGAGAACGGGATAGGGCGCCTAGTCAGTCCCTCTACAAGATCTCCAATAAGATCTCTCTTCCGCTTCCGTCTTCTCTCTGCCTCATCCATGGCTGCGATGGTGGCATCGACATTTTGACCTCTTTTCAACGGTGTCTGAAATGATGACGGCTTCTTCGCATCGACCTCGACCTCGACCTCTTCATCTTCATCCTCGTTCGAAGTACTAGGCGTCCATGCACAGATCCTCCCATCCCCATGCGCAGTGTACATCTCGACGCCCTCGCCCACGGGCGCATGAAGCCGCCACACCAGACCATTAATCCGTCCTCCGCTCGTCAGTCTCGCGACATTACTACTCCCTCCGCTTCGTCCTCCCGCACCGATACCGCCACTTCTGCCTCTTTTCGCGGCTTGGACCTCTGCGATTTTGACGCCCTCGGTCTTCAGGATCCGTAGAAGATGGCCCTCGCGCAAATGATGCTGGAAAATCATGCCCCGCCCGTCATCGTTGGGCCAGAATAGACTCTCGCGTCCGGGACCATGCATTCCCTCCGGTGAAAGTAACGGCTTCAACTCGCCCTGGCGCTCATTTCTAATCCTTGGGCCGAAGTGGACGAGATCGTTTCGTCCCGTCGCGGCATCCCACACGCGGATACGCTGGTCATGGCCTGCTGTGACGATCTTGTCGGCGCTAGGCGTCCACTGGACGGACGTGACGGCTCCATTGTGCGCAACGGAGTTGAAGTCGAGATGCAAATGGTGCGGCCGGGCGCCGAGACCAGACGACGGTGTCTCGCCGACCACCCCGATTGCGTCGTCGAGGTCGAGGGAGGCAAAGGCTGCGTTGGCGCGGCGGATGTCGAAGAATAGTACCTTTCCATCCGTCGAGCCGGAACAGAGGATGTGGCTGCTTCGAGGGGACCAGGAGAGCGTGTAGATTGCGCCGTTGGGACCGGATAGTGAGTGGGTCGATAGGCCGGAGCGGAGGTCGAGAAGGCGGATGGCGGGATGGGCGGTGCCGACGGCAATGAGTGGGCTGGAGTCTGGGACCGGGGATAGGGAGTGCGTGTAAGGGATGAAGTCGAGGTCGAAGGTGTGGACTACAGAGAGGGCTGACGGGGTGATGGCTGTGAGCTTGAGCGTTTTGTCGTAGCTTGTGGATATCAGGGTGCTAGGAGTCGGGTCGAAGGGATAAATGGACAACGAGGTCAGAGCGTGCGTGTGTGATGAGGGTGCGCCGCGGGCGAGGGTTGTGGCCGGAGTGTATATTGGTGATGGGCTGAGGAGCGGCTGTTCAAGATCCCATAGACGGATGGATGAGTCTGCCCCTCCAGAGATGAGGTAGCGGCCTTCATTGTGGTCTATGGTAAGGCAGTTGACGCCAGCTTGGTGGGCGACTGATGGAGATGAGGATGTGTTGGCATCGTGCAAGGACGTGTCGGGTTTCAGGTAGGAGAAAGTGGTGTTCTTGTCGTGGGCAAGAGTGTTGATCAAGTTCTCGTTATGATGCCGGCGGAAGGAAGGTGACGAGACTGTGCCTAGGCACTGAGCCAGGCGGAGTTGATTCATGCATTAGTTCGGGTTTGTGAGTAGCCCATAGAGCGTTCGTCCTGCTGGTGAGGAGGATACAGGAAGATAGAATCCTCGTAGACTCGGGAGTCCTCAGAAAAAGCCAGATGACGTCCGAGCTGCATATCTGACGCAAATGATCCACCCCACAGTATACGGTGAGGGATATGATTTTGAAGTAAAGACGGACGCCGAGATGTCTCGACGTGTTGTGGACCGCGTTTTGCTACTCCGCATTGTTGGAGTGAGCTTTTCAAATCCGTCACTTTTGCGCATCATCAAGGCGAGATATGGTGCTAGAACTGCACACTTGGGGTCCAGCATTCGATCTGCCATCCATCGACCCACAGTGTCTGGCCACAATCTATTATCTGCAGAATGTTCTAGGTCGACCCGGAGAGTCATGGGTAGTGATTCCTTCAAGCGACCCTAGAGTCAGTCCTCTTGGAGAACTTCCTGCTTTACGAGATGCCGAAACTTGGGTAGCTGGTTTTAGCAACATAATCGCATACCTGCGAGATGTCTCCGATGGAGAATGGGATCTGGACAAGTCCCTGGACGAAGCCCAACGAGCCGACCGCGCAGCTTTCACTTCGTTTCTCGAATTTCATGGCCAACCGCTCCTCGATCTGAGTCTCTACGTTAGTAGCGACAACTATCTCAATCGAACGAGACAAGCACTCGGACAGATTTTGACGTGGCCGAACAGCTGGACTGTGCCCCACCGACTACGAGAAAGAGCAAAGAAGAGATCGGAACATCTGGGGTTGAGCAGTCTTGACGTGGACACGGCGCAAGAGGATAACAGCGAGGATACCGGGTTGACTGCGCATATCCCCAAGTCTTTGAGGAAACCGAAACAGACTGTCAGTGGGCTATTGGGCCGAGGTCTGCAGAAGAACAAGTTCCGACTAGACGCGATCACCGCAGATTTCTTCGAACCTGTGATGGAAATGCTTGGGGGCAAGTCATATTTGCTTAGTGACGAAGAAAGCAGCTTGGATTGTTTAATGCTAGGATATCTTGCTCTTATGCAGAGACCGCAAGTGCCGCAGGGATGGGTAAGGGATGCACTGCGAACAAAGTACGCAAAGCTGGGGCATTGGACGGAAGCCCGCATCACGGCAGTGTCCGACGAGCCTCTTGATGTCGGGTTGATTATGGGTCGAAAAACAGGGTTGGTCCCCGCGAGATTCCAGGTTCCCCAGGAACGAAGCCTATCACAAGTTCTGCAGGCGGTTGTGGAAGGGTGCATTAGCTCGATCCCAGTACTTGGGTCTGGGTTTGACGCTTCGGAAATCTGCAGCATCCAGACAGCCGGGCGCGATCGGTATCGGGAGAAGCAATTGAGGTTGGCTCGCCTACAGCGTCGAAGAGACATGTACGTGCAGATCCTGGCCTCGACTTTTGCAGTCACAGGTCTGCTGGGATGGCTTGGCTACAAGGGCATACTGCAACTTCCACGCCGGGCACCACAAGGACGCAAGTTCGGCGAAGCTGGTGCACTCTTTGGCCTGGTATAAATCGTCCAGCGTAAGGCAGTGTTGATAGAATGAAGAATACCTAGGTATGTACACAGTACACAGGAAGTATGGCCCACACTTCGTGCAGTTGCTTTGAGATGACCCGGTCTCATGGTTTGACGAGTGTCACGATCTAATGCCACGGGCCGAAATAATGTAAGCGTGTGCGTGTTGACGTGGGATGTGCGTGCATGTGACTGTCATGGTGGAGAAGGCAAAAAGTGAAAGTGAGGACCTTAAGAACCCCAAACCACGGAGGATTACTCCCATAACTCCTACCCGTGCCTACCTAGGTGGATAACTACGTAGGCTCGTACGCAGGGCAGACTCGAGATATTTCAGAGTTGGTCAGAGATTCTGCTCGTGTTCACTGTGCTTTTGCCTACCTAGGTATCGAAGGGACACCGGTATCCTTTGTGGTCTTCTCGCTGCTTGAAGGCATTGATGAGCAGCGTACTCCGTCTATTATCATTGGATAGATCCATAGTAAACACTTTGCGCTAGTGAAGGATTATCGAATCCGATCGACCGGGTACCTGACATAATGAAAACGAGCCAATCACAGCGACATATATCACTGCCTAGTAGAATCATCCAACTCTGATTGGTTCCTGCCTTGCAGAGATACCATCAGTTTAAGGTCCTCATTCTGAATCTTCATCCCACCAACCTCGTTTCTTATGCCTTTGTTATGCTCTTCGTCTTTTCTCGTTTGGAGCGGAATGGAATGAATGTTTATGTTTCTGCAATATTGTGTTTTGTCCACAACACATCCTTGTTAGACAGCGCAGCCTTGACCTCGCCTTACCCTTGCGCTGGGCCTTCATCAATACCCCGTGGTTCGAAATCTACTGCCTCCAACGTACCTTTAATATCAGTGCCCGGTCAGCCGCCTCTGGAAGGTTGCAATATTGTAACGAGGACCCAACTGCCAAGGTAATTGAATTAAGGTCCTCATCTTACAAATTTCTCGAATCTGTGCTCACATAGATAGTTCTGTTCTTCCTCGATCTGTCAAGTATCGGTAACCACCCGAAGCTTAGCAACCTCCCTCGCCATCAAGCCTTACCACGAGCCCCTCCGCTCCTGTAGATACATCATGGCTACTCTCGAGTCCCTCGCACATCTCGTCGCACGGCAAGAACAGGATGTGGCTCCGACCTGTGATACCGGGAATGCATATGACGGTCGCATCGGTCTGCGAGTAGCCGCCCTGTTTATTATCTGGATTACTTCCTCGATCGGTGCAACCTTTCCCATCTTTGCGAAACGACACGCGGGTTTGAAAATACCAGAATGGGTTTTCTTCTTCTGCAAATACTTCGGCTCCGGCGTTATCATTGCGACGGCCTTCATCCACCTTCTGGGTCCGGCTGAAGATGCCCTCAGAAATCCTTGTCTCACTGGGCCCATCACAAACTACACCTGGGTGGAGGGAATCATTCTCATGACCATCTTTGTCCTCTTCTTTGTCGAGTTGATGGTCATGAGATACGGAAACTTTACGGGCGGACCCACACATGACCACTCGGGTGCCGATACAGAGTTGACCTCACCGGCAGAAAATTTCAAAGACAACCCATCTGGTTCCACGCTACCAACCCGACCTCACAGCACCACCCTAGGCGAGGATCATCTCGGCCACGCCCGTGAACATAACGACATTGAGGCAGCCAATAACCCATTCAGCCTGGAGGACTACAAAGCTCAAATGACGGCTATCTTCATCCTCGAATTCGGCATCATCTTCCACAGCGTCTTTATTGGTCTGACCCTCGCCGTCGCCGGCGACGAATTCGACACTCTCTTCATCGTCATTATCTTCCACCAGATGTTTGAAGGGCTCGGTCTCGGCTCTAGACTGGCTGTCACCCCTTGGCCGAAAGACCGCAAATGGACACCCTACCTATTTGGACTGGCGTATGGTCTCAGCACGCCGCTCGCCATTGCTATCGGTTTGGGCGTCCGGAAGTCTTATCCCCCCGAATCCGCCACAACCCTCATTGTCAATGGTGTCTTTGATTCGATATCAGCCGGTATTCTCATCTATACGGGCTTGGTGGAGCTAGTTGCACATGAGTTTATGTTTTCTCCTAGTTTACGCAATGCCAAAATCCAGACCGTGTTGTCGGCGTTTGCAACAATGGTTTGCGGTGCCGCACTTATGGCACTTTTAGGAAAGTGGTAAGTTCCCGTTCTCGCAAGACTGCAACAGTACAAAATTCTGACTATATTCAGGGCCTAATCATTCATGACTACTTTGTACATAGCATGGGGATGTGATCTCCTGGAAAGCCGCGATGCGGAATGACCCAAATATTAGAAGATCTTTCGTGTCGAGTTGCGGGCCCGGATTTTGCGTTTCTCTACGCTCTATCTTGTTTCTCGCGCTCCCAGACTCGTCGTCCTCAAGACGAATTCCCCGGGGTCCCTCTGCATAATGGCCAAGACTGCTGGAAATCTCGACTCGTTTGTTGAGTAGGACAGCGAGGCTTGGAACTCGGAGGACACGTGCGCATTCATCGAACTTCATCAGGTATGAATTATTCACGCAGCCTTGTGCGCCTTCCATATCGACATCTCCCTTCGATACTCGACTCCAAGTTGGGTCGCCTCAACGTGAGACGCGCGTAGGACTGACTCGGGTTTCACAGCGTAGAAGATGAATCATGTCGGTGCGATTCAATCGATTATCGAAGTCGTACATCGTTCACATGGATTCAATCAGTCTGTGGCAGGTTTCAAAGTGATTGATCCTTTTTCAGCGAAGTCTGTCAAGCATTGACTCATCTTCAGCGATCGAAGCCATCGCGGGAATGGGAAAACTACAAATAGTTGCGACTCCCATTGGCCTTTGATGCTTCTTCCCTTCCTCAGCACCGTCACCCGTCGACATGGGTAATTCATGCCTCCAATCCTTCGAGATCGGGTCTATCTACACTGCTCGCAAACTCATTTCAATCGGACCGCATCGCTTCCATGAAATGTGGAAAGATGATTTGGTCGAATGAACGTCACATATTGCAATTCCTTCTGCTTCAACATGTCATACGCCTGTCCAGATTCGTGCCAAACTGGTCCTTTTGGCGGCAGAATTCACTTTTGAGTCGTGTGCAATATTCTTACGGTACACACGGCGGGAGCCAACTACACACCCAAACTGGTGGGCGAACAGCCTGACCGGCAACATTCCGGCTTTCGTACAATCCCGCAGTGGTAGTCACTTTGGACTCCTGCAAGAGCAGAGCCAGCAATATATATATAATCCCCGAACAGTCGACGCCCAGGGTCATTTCGCTGACTCATCCCTCGCCGCTTTGCTCTCCCGCTAACGACTATTTAGTCGGATTCGCTCCCTCGTCCGCTCTCTTCTGCTCCCTGCCTCTCTTTCGCGCTCCCCTTCCACTCCCTTCTAAGTATACGGCGTTCCTCGCAAGTCTTCTTTCGTCCTTTGTCTCTCGTCTTGTACTATTACATTGGATAGTGAAGGAGGTGATGGCCTGATTGGCAATTGTGAGATCCTTGGCTATTTGTGTAAGTTGTCAATTGTATATCTTATTGCTCTTTAACGTAATAGGACGTCCATTATATAGGTATCTATCTACCGTGAAGTGGAGGCATGCATTCATATAGGAGCGCCTCTTGAATACCTTGTGAGTGCCTCGTGAGGTTGACATTCATCAGATAGTAATATTATTGTTAGCTACCTATCGTTACTCTCCGAAACCCTTCGTTGTTCTTCTAAGCCTCTCGCTCGTCTTCGCCCTAACAGAGACGTATCTACGTACTACGACGGGCACCAACGTACTTCGATAGGTTACAAGACGTACGAGGCCGTCGAAAAGGTTTCAAATATCCATCTAGCTTAGATATCGGAAATAAGTTATGGTAACTTAGCCGAACGCGCCAAGATAGGCATCGATACTCAATCACGCGAGGGATAAGGACGTTGTAGGCGTTGCTACCAATGTAGGGCCTAGAGCGAGACCAAGGGGTTTCTGATTAGGTGGCTACAGTGCTACGGGTGCCTATTTATGTGATAATAGGCGTCAAGGCCCTGTAAAGACATCGACGCCAAGCTTACTAGCGCCGAAATGTCTCGTAGCACTACTCCGTAAGTAAAGACTAGTATAGTCTGACGGTGCCCGGGACCCTACAAGAATAAACAAGTCCTCTACGCACAATTATATTTATAAGCCAAGGCTATTACGTATACTAAGCCCTACTACAACTGCATATAGGATAGGCTCGAGGGCGATACCGCCTTCTTTTTAAAGTTACAACTTATATTCTCTTACCACCGAAACTTCTATTGTCATATACAGCGCCATGAGCTTCCGCATGAGTTTATGAAAGAAAAAAAAACAAGAAAAACAAAAATCGCAGTGCTGCAGCGTCCTCAGGGACTTTGGACTTACGTCCCCTCGGCCTCTCGGCCTCTAAACCGCGTCTTGTCGTGATATCACTTCCCCACTTCCTGAGACTTGCCAACAGATGAATGACCCACTTGGGGTTAGGAGCAGATGGTCTTTGCTACGTCGACTTCTTGCCTCTATACAGAAGAAGAGTCCTCAACCCGTAGGTCTCATCGAAAGAGTTAGATATCCTTAAAATGTCTAAGAACTAATGAAGGGGTCACAAAAGGGCACAGCCGTCACAGCCGTCACAGCCGACACAGCAGAGCAACAAGACCATTATGACCACAATCCGCTCCTCGATCTTCCCAACGAGCTAGTCCTCACGGTTGCGAGCTTTCTGGACCAGGAGTCTCAGCTCCTGCTGAGCCTCTCGTGTCGACGACTTCGTGTTCTTCTCAACTCCCACCTCGACATGGCGCTTGGTGATGATAGGGCCACCAAGGTGCGGTTTCTACAACTTCTGGAACTCGACTACCCGGAATATCTGACATGCCGCTCCTGCGGCCTTCTGTATCTCTGGCGGAAGATGGAATTCTTCCAGTACGATTGTCCGCGTGCCAACCACCACCTGGTTGCGGATATACTAGTATCATGCGGTCAGTTTATCCAAGCAGGAGACAAGAAATATGTCTGGGTGAGGCGTGGAGTGGTCGACCTGATCTTGCGAGCCTACGAGCATGGGCCCCCTCACGGCTTACCTGTATCTTTCTTGAACATGAGCGGTCATGATCACCACGGCGTTTCTCGAACGAACGAGGCACGGTTGGTGGACGGTCAACTTATACTGGCCAGTCGAATGGAGGTGGAGGCAGAGTCGGGACTTGAAGTGAAGGTGATGGCGCGCCTCTTCCTCCCGAATATATGCCTGCATCTATGTGCCACTGCAGGGGCCATCGACAAGATATGGCAGACCTTCGAGCAAGCCGTCGCAAGCATGATAGTAGGCTCGGAGAAATCCGAAGTGTTCAAGTGTCCCTTCTGCGAAACTGACCACCAAGTGCACGTGAAGAAGACCGCGGGGAATCGGGCAAGGATCGTTCTGAATGTTTGGAGAAACTACGGACGACGATACGGGAACAGGCTGTCGACTGAGCAGATCTTTCATCGAGACCCAGCGTTGCGGCTTGATACCGATACAGTCTCGCAGAGGGATGTGCGAGCGGCCTTTGAGTCTAAAACGGAGTGTATTCCAAGTATGGAGACATAGTCATGCCTAGAAGTTATACAGTTTATCTGCACCATCGATCAAATTGTGCCTTGTGCCAGCCCGAAGTAATTTGTAGCCATTCTCGAGTTGTGCAACCGTCCGTCATGCCGGGGCTGCTGCCATTGCTGATATTCTCCATCGGCTATCTCTTTCCAGATAGACCAGCCCCTCGAGCGTCACAAGCCCACAAAATTCCAGATCTTGGTTATGTACTTGGTCCCATCAAAACATGTCCGCAAAGTACCCGAGGTCGAATGATGGAGAAAGGCGGCATAAGATTTTGGACTTGTGCGAGAAGAACAGCGATTCTGTGGCAGGCCGAGGGAGAGCACGCGAGCCTGTGATGAGCGTGAGTCAATGACTTTGCCACGTTCGGAGGGGTCAAACTTCCCTGGCTAGGATGAGGTGTCCTTGGTTGGGCTTGTCCTAGTTTCACTCGTTGAAGAGCTACTCGTCACCAGCACTACGTAGAAGTGCAAGCCCTTCGCTGGTGCGACCAGGTTGTTGAAACCATGGCCGCCGCTGGTAGCTCCCAGCGGTGAGCCTACACCACAGTTAGCGCGCTCGCGTGATGGTGCTTGTGACTGTGTAGGTATCGGCGTGACGATCATTTGCCTCATTCCGCATCCGTTCTGTGACATCGACGAGCTGTTGAAGCAACGCGTTCTGCCTTCGAATTTCAGCGGTCAGCGCCTGATCGATACCAGCGGCCTTAAGGCCTTCCTGCACGGCGTCACGCAGAGCACCACGCAGCAGGACAATAGATTCAGCATCGAGACCAACCTGAGGCTCCCCATCCCGCTGATTAGGACGAGGGCCTTCTTCCTCGGGGAAGAGATAGCAGAGGACTGGACCGACAAGCCGAAAATGCCGAGCCCAGTTGACCAGCCTGGTGCCCATAGCTGGTCCAAAAGGGGAGAGAAGTGTGGCAATAATGCCGTCTGCTGGCCACAAGTGCTGAGAAGACATTGCTACGAACCCAAAATGTAGACTTTGAAGAGAGGAAAAGAGAAGAATCGGTCAGGCAGGAGAAAGGTGATAGCCATCCCGTACACTCACACCTTCCAGCCCAACGGCTCCTTCCATCTCTTGAGGTAATGGCAAGTGCAAGCAGAGGTGCTGCAAGAATGCGTCGCCTTCCTCAAGGATGGTGGTATAGTTCGCAGTGCAGGTGCGAGAGTTAATTGACGGTCACTGCCAGTGGGAAGAATGATACCTAACTTGAACGCGTGAGATTGGACTGGAACACGAAGACTTCAGTCGAGTTGTGAAGAGACGGGGATGACGATAGATGCACATGAAGTCTTAGCCATTGAAGGTAATCTTGGAAACTTCGGAACGACCTCATCTCCTGGGTGCCTCCCTCAAGTGTCGAGAAGATCCGTGGGCTCTCAGGTATAACGCCGTAACTTCTCGCTTTGAGCAACGCCAATGTCAAAATCCAGCGGATGACTACTGTTCATCACGCATATTCTTGTTCGAGTTTGCGATGACGTGATGACGCAATGACAAGAAAACGCGAAAACGCGTAATCGAATGGTTCGGGAGCTCGTTCACGAGACTCCTCTGTATAGACACTCCCCCGAGCGGTAGATGCCATTAGACTCGACCGGCATCGTCATATCAAAGATAACAGGGGACTTGGACACGACGGGAGACTGAAAGGGGCACACGGCGTCTATATACTTCTGTCATCCTTCCTAATGTAGTAATGAATGTGCTCTTGTGCCCTGCCGCTCGGTCCTCTGTACAGATCACCCGGATTGCACAGGATCAAACAGATCAGTCACGTGATCGTTACTTCGACCACGCATTTCCCGGAAGTCCCTTGCCGGGGATTGACTCGCCTGCCGGCCCCGGCACTCCTTCCCTTCCAGTTAGGCCATAGCCAGGCCAAAAGGTCGGTTCGTAAGACGTTGGGGCGCCAGTAGGTTTGAGTTAAAAAAAAAAAAGGGCCTCTAGGCGCCAAAGAGGAGCCCGCACAAGTAGTTTAGGTAGCAGCGTACGGAGTAGAGGCCGCAGGTTCCTGAACGAAAATGGCAATGGACGAAGCACGGTTCGGGGCATATATAATATATATATATATACATGGATCATGGACGACGAAAGGGCTATTTCTGGTTCGTGCTTTCTTTGATACCGAACGGCGTGATGCCATTCGACGAGTGCAAAAGCCACGGATGGGTCTTTCGGTGTCTGGAATATGCACAGTGATTCCCTCTACCATGCATCGCATCAATGGTGGACACGTACCACCCATAGGTGTCACAAACGACACGATGAGACTTGCGAGAGGAAGTCGGGAAATGGCAGAGCGTGTCGGCAACAAGGCGAGTATCCTCCGATCGTTTGGGAAAATGGACCATTTACGTCCTTGTCAAGGGTAGCGTCCTTAGGCGCATGATTCAGTGCGGCAGGCTGTGGCTGAGAAGAAGTTCGAAGACTTATACGATATAAGCTGCGCCTTAAGTCTATCCTCAAGAGCTTTTAGCATTCAGCTCAAGCAATCTCTTGGGGGAAGATCCGGACAAGGACAATGGAGGATGTTCACCAAGAGCATTTCCAGGGCCAACCGGCGGCGCAAGCCGAACAACGAAACGAAAACAGATGCGGGACGACCAGCAGCATGTGAGGGAAATCCAGAGGATGGGCATCCAAGATGTCCATCATACTATTGCAATCTAGCACTAGATACGACAGAAGACGACAACTAGATGTTCGGCGTACCGTGATCTAGGACAATTGGCACTGGGAAGTTTGACAATTCCACCATAGGCGCCTCCTGCTCCCGCCGCCCTTCCTGGATCAGCCTTACGACTTCTCCGGGCCACATTGACACCGGGACCCTCCGCGAACCCACCACCACCACCATCGCCACCGCCGCCACCGCCGCCACCGCCGCCAGGCGTCCCTCCCTCGCCCCGTCTCCTCAGACCCACTTCCTATTTCGTAAGCTCTCACCCTAGAGATCAGGGGCGATAGCAGTGATTCTGCCATTCTCTTCGAATGCACCTGGAGCACGACCGGATCGGTCACGCTGGGTATGGGTGGACTAGGCTACCGCTTCCAAACAGCTCAACGCCCCTCCAGACCGCTTCGGGATGTACACATCGAAAGATGACATGACATACGTCGGAGAAGCACGAGACTGCCGTTGGACCAAAGAGCAATCCCTGCGACTGAGAGCCGAGCCGCGACATAACTTGGGATGATATGGGATGGTGGCATTTTCTTTGTCACATGTCGGTGGAACTCGTCCTACCCATTTTGCTGAAGGCCGCACCAGAGACAGTTTGTCTGGTACTCGGAGGGCCTCGGAGCCGCAAGGAGCTTCTGTTATTGCCGACATGGAGGGGTTGGTAGATGCAGCCAGAGCTATGAGACGCGGGATATTGTCATGTAGGAGGCTAAGAAATCTCTGGCAAACCTGCAGATGCACCTCCTCCTGCCATTCAAGGACTGGATCAAGCGGACCAAGATACCTTGACGCAACTGCAAACTGCCAGGATTCTCAAGGAACATTATGACAATTCTGTCAAGCAGCGGCATGAATTGATCAATGACTCCCGTGTGATGTTTCTGGCGCGATTACGAATCGCCAAATTCTGGTGGCTTCGATTTCCTACGTGGTTTACTTGATTTTGTTGATGTATGAGTGAAGCAGCTACGGGACGAGATGATAATCTATGGCCAGTGTTTGCGATTCGATACTCGAGAGAAGGCTTCATGATTTTCGTGGAGATGACAACCAGTTACCACAAAAGGTCGTTATGCCGGACGACCGGTCTCTGTTCAAGACCGAGTTGACGACACCGCTATTTGTTTGCCTCATCAAAGTCGGGTTCCCAGTGGGAGAGATATACCAGCAATCACGAGCCAGGTCGTGCAGATTGGGACAGCGTTCTGCCTCCTGCTGTCGTCCAGGTTGTCCAGCAATTGCCGCCGAAGAATTCGGACGTTTCCAGTAGCTTCTCGAGAAGTACCAGGCGCAAGCTAAGTCGGCAATGAAAAGAGTCGACACACCATACTCAAGAGTCGCGTTCCTTCAAGACCAGGAAAGCAGAAGGTCAACTCCCTCATCAAAGGAGGATACTTCAACGACCAGCAAGAGACCGATGTTCTTGCCGAGCTCACCTGTTTGAAGAACGACGACTGGGTAAGTTCTCTGCTTGTTGTGATGTGTTCCTGACTGACAATGGCGTAGAAGGTCGACTTTTTTGACCTGCAGAAGCCAGATCCCAACGGCGTGACGGAGCACCCAGTGCACTCTTCGTATAGCAGTCGTAGCTTGCGTGCACAGGGGCTTCGGAAGGACGACTTGATTCAAATCCTACCAATCCATCTGAGAATAGTGATGATGACTTCATCTCGGAGGATGACAATGGCGAGCAGGAAATGGGCTGTATCAAACCGATAGGACGACCAGAGAATGCCTTCGTTATTGTGGGTGCACCGTCGGCTTGCTTGAGAGGGGCGTCGAAGGGACAATCAGGATCCTGGAAGACCAGCCCGTCAACGTCACATGACAACACAGGCCTGTCTACCAGGTAGCATAGTGCAAGTAAGGCGTACACTACTATGTACTGGATAAGTTACTTCGGTACTCCGTGGTATCGAAACCGTGGTCCCCTTGTGATTAGCCCCTTGCCGCTGTTGACTCCTGCCGCCTGTGGACTGCACTACATATTGCTCCTACGACATTGGACTCTCTTACACTTCGACACATATCTTACACATCACAGTCCACGCCTACAGCGCTTTGCTCACCCTCAGCTCACCTGCTGCTTCCTGAGCGCACCCGGAGTCTGCCGAGTAGCCTGTTTTCCCGCCCTTTTTCGAGACTTCGACAGCAATCAGACAAGCAAGGACGCAGGTGGAATCAGAGGGGGTTTTTTCCGTGCACACTGGCTTTCAGCTCAACATCTCTCATGTATATGATTTCAGACAGCATGCATAACAAAAATGGGTATATGATTTCAGACAGCATGCATAACAAAAATGGGGAAGACAATATGCGAGTAGCATAGGTTAAGGACCTGACCCTGCTCATCTTTGATTACTGCAGTACAACTTGTGAGTGGCTGGCGGTGGCGCAGCCGCCCTAGACGCCCACGGCGGATTGCGTCAACAAACGCAGGGTCATAGACAATTTCCTGGGGTTCTTGACGTAAAACAATGTATGGTGCCCTGAGCGCGCACCCGGAGTCTGCCTGAGCCGTCGGTCTTCATAACACCAACTTCCATCAACTTTAGACAATTGGGACCTGTATGAGATATTGGAGGATCTTGACCCGGCACCCCTCTGGCGTGACATCGTACTCGGCAACGTTTGTTCAGTCGAGCCGACTCCTGTGTCGACGCCTGTGTTGATCTCCTGATACATTCCCGAGCTCCGCGGCGCGGCCACGGACGATGCTCTATCTGGCTTCACATGCTCGTACGACGCTCGCAGCTTGCCTCCTACTTCAGCAGTGGCCGGGGAGCTTAGGTTGGTAAGCACCCCAAGCATCGTGGATCCATCGGTATGCTTGTGGCCCGGGAGCCGTGCATAGCTTGCGCCGACCAAGGCGATATTGAAAGGCTTCTATCCGTGAAGAACTTACGATCCTTGTAGAGACATTCTAGACATTTGCTTTCCGATAATGGCACCCGAACTCATTGTCGTCATCGGAGCCACAGGCACCCAAGGAGGTTCGGTAGTCGAGACATTCCGCAACGAATCAGGATGGACCGTTCGTGGCCTTACGCGCAACACCAGCAGCCAGACATCCCTGGCTCTCGCGGCCAGAGGCGTGGAAATGGTAGCCGGCAACCTCGACGACGTGCCGTCTCTGATTGCAGCCTTTCAAGGAGCCCACGCGATCTTCTCCGTGACCGACTTCTGGACCGGCTTTCGCAATCCTGAAAACAAGTCGAAGCTCGCACCGGGTCAGACCATGATGGAATGGGCGCACGGTTACGAGCTGCAACAAGGGAAGAACGTCTTCACCGCTGCTGCCCAGACGCACACGCTGGAAAGACTGGTCTTCTCCGCTCTCCCATATGTCACGAAATGGTCCAAGGGCAAGTATACACATGTGTACCACTTCGACGCCGAGGGCAGGGCGGTCGAGTACGCGCGGTCAACGTACCCGGAATTGATGAAGAAAACTAGCGTCATCCAGCTCGGAATCTATTTGACAAATATGCTGTGGAAGCCACATTACCAGCCGCACAAGGTACGACGATGTTCTTGCGGTAATGCTAGCGCTGATCAGTTGTAGGATGAAGACGGAGTATACGTCTTCCGCACCAAAATGGCCGCCGATCGCAAAGTGCCGTTGGTCGCGACTAGCGAGGACACCGGTCCTCTGACAAAGGCACTCGTCAATGTCGACGGGGGCAAAACTCTTCTCGCATACCGTGAATTGATAAAGATGGACGAATTTGCAGAGACTTGGGGTCGCGCGCTTGGTGTCAAGGCAAAGTATGTAGCGACTGGTCCCGGTGAGGTGTGGGTTGCTATTCCGGAGTTGCAGGAGGACATTGAGGAATGCGCAGACTTTATCACCGAGTTCGGTTTCGAAGGAGGCGATCCGAGAGTCATTCATCCCAAAGATGTGAGTCGACACTATCCATCTACCTACAGTACTACTTGAGTAAGGTAAGGTAGCATACTGGAGCTGACGAAATGTTCTGTAGCTGGGCATCCCTGTCAATATGGGCACCGTTGAAGAGTGGATCAAGAAGCAAAACTGGAGTGCAGTATTGTAGGACGTGATCTTCGATGTCAAGAACTACTAACTACTGTGAGTCGCGGGCACGTTTGCGAAGTCGCATTCGCTATAAAGGGATTAGGTGCATAAGAGAGCTGATAACGAGTTCTTCGCGAAAGGGGTAAAAAGAGGCCCGCGAAGAGATCGAGGATTACGAGGCTAATCGAGACGTACTCGAAGAGACGAGATACATTTTGAATAGGCCGAAAGGGGACGAATGGAGCGGGGCCCGAAGCGGTAGAGAAGAGTCCTGGCGACGAGGCAAACTTTTGAGGAGTCGTAGGAGAAAAGTTATAAGGGGCATAATATGATATAGAGGGAGAGGTCTAGGCGGTATTGTAAGTAGAAGCGAAGGAGAGAGTTGGGATACAGTAGAAGAAGACGAGGTTCCTATTGCCGTTAAAAGCGGCTTGCTGCTTGCTCGCGATCATGCCCGAATGCGGATTTCCCGGCATCACAGGCGACAACTTTAGGCGGCAGCGTAAGGATAGTAAGGACAGGGAATCTATGTACTAGGGGCCTGATTAGGCCCCGGCGTGTTTGCTCAGGGATGCTTCTTCCACGCAGAACTGTGATACTGTGGTACTGTACTCCGTATGCCCCACAAGCCTCGTGGGGCCTGCCTCGTATATAAGTACTCATGCTTTGTAATCCATAAAGACACCAACATCAATCGACAACCAGTGGTATTACAGGCTCATTCGTTTTCTCTGCCTTTTTCCTTTACTTCTCTTGCTCCGAACAAGCCCAAATACTACTAGTAGTGATCAATGGCGCTTCCAAGTCCCTTCAAAGGGTATCACCATGCCACCTATCCTGCCATTGACCCATCTCGCCCCGAGCTCTCGCTAAAGGGAAAGAATGTGATCGTCACAGGAGGAGGCGGCACCATTGGATCCGCCATGGTCGGGGCGTTTGCCCAGGCAGGCGTCAACCTCATCGGCATCGTCGGCCGCAACCAGAAAACCTTGGACTCGACGAAAGCCAAACACGCAACTCAGTACCCCGGTGTCAATCTAGTGACAGCCACAGCAGACATAACCGACCCGACAAGTCTCGAAGCCGCCTTCACCCAGATCCGCGATACCGCCAAAGGTCCCATCGACATCCTTATCAGCAACGCCGGCTACCTGGCGCGGCCGGCCACGATCATGGAATCCGAGCCGCGTGAGTGGTGGACGGCATTCGAAATCAACGCCAAAGGCTCCTTCAACACGCTTCGAGCATTCCATGCAGTCGCAGTGACGCCCCAGGCCGTCATCGTGAATCTCACCAGCGGCGCAGCACAGGTTGCCAATCCGGCATGGTCGGCCTACTCTGCGTCCAAGCTTGCAGGGATCAGAGTCTTTCAGACCTTCCAAGTGGAAAACCCGGACTTTCATGTCGTCAGCATACAGCCAGGCATCATTCAGAGCGATATGAGCGACAAAGCGGGACCAGGCATAACGCCGCAAGATTCGGGTGAGTGACTTAGCGTCCCCTCTGCCCGCCCCGCAAAGCAGCTACCTCCGGTGGTTGTTGTGAGTGTCATCCTGCTGATACTCTCTTTCTTTTCTCGTCTAGCCGACTTGCCAGCGTCTTTTGCTGTGTGGTTGTGCAGCCCCGAGGCGAGGTTTCTCAAGAACAAGTTCGTCTGGGCGAACTGGGACGTGGACGAGATGAAGGCTCGGGCCAATCAGATCCAGAACTCTCCGCTCTTCACCATGGGGTTGGCCGGATGGCCTGTCTTGCCGGACGAGCCAGCAAGCGGGTGAAGCCAGTCAGAGCTGAGCTGAGCTGAGCTGAGTCTCCTAAATGGTTAGATTGGAAAATGAAGGCATAAGGCTCAGCAGCCTGGGGGGGATGGTCGTGGTTGTGACATGTTGTGGAGGACTGTGCCCGTTCAGATGCGAATTCAACAAATCCAGAGGTTCGTGCTGCAGAGCCCAGAAGGTGGACAGAGGATGTGTGAAGCAACAGTGCGGACCATGCCTCTGTGTTCGATAGTCAAGTGGATGCCCTTTTCGCAAGACATAGCGCAGCTGTGCCATATTGTTGTCGTGGCAATCAAGGTGCCTTGCCCTAGAAGTGTCTAACAGCGCGTTGTATCCATTTCCAGCGGCGCTTTACTCTGAACGCAGCCTGCATAGTATTTGGTGTTGATCGCATCTAGCCAACCCGGGCGACTGCGTCACATCACGGTCTGATTTAATTGATTTGACTTGCCTTGGAACACCTCAAGGAAGCCTTTCCTCCTGGTCGAGAATCCCGAACAGCTTGGCATTGTCCACCATACAATGCTGAGCTTCCTGGGTGGAACATTGCTTGAAATTTGAGCTACAGCATCGCGAGCTTGCGGTGGCGGGTTTCGGCGCACAGCCCAATTCGGATAATATCTCGGTGGCGACGACGTCGTCTGCAGACGGCAGGCCGCGCATACTTGCAATGATCATTGCTGCTTGGGCGCAGGAGGTGCTGTTTGACCATGGGCCGTTGTTGTTGATTTCTTGAACCGACGAGCTGGGCTGTGTGACTGGGGGCTGGGGCTTTGTGGTAGCCTCGTCTTCGTCCATGTCGACGGTGCCATCGTCCGAGTAAGGTCTCGAGGCGGTGCTTTCAGTCATGGCGTGTCCTTGTACAGATTCACAAGTGTTGGGAACGGTACTAGGGGCAGCGTTCGTTGCTGCGTGAACAGGCACCGTGGCGTGTATACTTGCGGACGTTGCAAGCGGTGGCTGTTGTCGGGTTTCCAATTGAAATTGGGTCAGATAGGTATTGGCTGTGGGCGACTCTTCCTTTGTCGCTGCCGTTGCCATTGCCATTTCGTTCATTTGAGGTGGTGACGGATACTGCTGCTCCGTGGCTTTTGGTCCAGAAATTTGGCTTTGGCTTTGGAGTAGTCGTTCGCCTTGAACCCGACCGTGGCCCCCACTGGCAACCACGGGCCCACCCATCAAGAGTGCTTCGAGCTCGGCGTTCCTCGCCCTTAGTGCCTGGATCTGCTCTCGCAAGACGCGGTTCTCATCAGCGACTCGTCTTGCGGCTCGCTGGACTTCCTCGGTGGCTTTGACGCCCTGAGCTTCGAAGGTTCGGACCCTGTGCTCGAGTTCGCCAATGTAGGTTTTCCGCCGGGCCCGCGAGGCGCGTTGATTGAGAGTGTTGCGGTTGGGGCCCGAGGAGGGCGACGGCGGCGAGGGCATCTCTCAAGACCGTAAAGAGCCTAGGCTAGGCTAGGCTTTCGATTGGTGAATTGCAGAATTGCAGAATCGACGTGGCTGAGTTAGCGAGTGGTTTGTTGAGATAATCAAAGTGATGATGATGAAGATACGGACACGAGTACCAGGATAGGTGCCAGGTAATGAGCAGACGAAAAATGTTTTCCGGGACAATTGAATTGGTCATCAAGGCCCTTCGTTATCATTGGTCAGAATCCCGCAAGGCTGAGCGACTGATCTTGGCGCGATTTCAGCCTCGACGATTTCAATGAATAAGTAAGGTACCTAAGCACACTGAGGTACATTGGTATGTTGCTGCGTATCAGACGTACGTGGAGAAACGGGTGTGATTATAACGGTGATAAATGTAACGCCAGCCTGAACGTCGAGGCACCTCTTCAAAGTCTCGAGTCATGAATATCTATCTACGCTGAGGGTGCTCCAGCCTTGTAAACACCATCTGAGCTGGAGATGTTCACCACGGCATCTCATCTTCAAACAGTATGCCAAAGAGCAATCAAATAGACGCGCGAAGTACAGGACTGGACATGGCCATGACTTGCACAATTATCCACTAAGGTCGACATCAAGATCAACGCATCCACCACTCATCCTTCCACATCGCAGTTGTGCCGTATTATGTAAGCAGTCACACACGCCCTCGGGATTCCCCCGGATCCTGCCTGGTTGTACAGTATCATCTCCTCTCCAGGGATCAGTAATCTCTAATTGAAATGAGTCGGAGAGATAAGTCTGTATCAAGATACTTGTCATTCAAAGGACGGTTGCGCAAGCCGAGTTGAGTTCCAACAAGGAACAAACTGCTATCACCAGCATTTTACTGGTATTTTGTCCAACATCGTCCAGGAGTGGAAATATTCCAGTAACCCCGAAAATAAAAATAAGGATGCCCCTCTACGATGTCGAGCACATAACGCCACTCGACCTCCTCCAACAGACCGGTCTCGCCCAGGCACTCACCAATCTCCACGCCAACCGCTTCAAAACGCCCAAATGTTTCGTCAACGTCCGATACACCGACGCCAGTGACCAGGTCGTCTTCCGTGGCGGGAGGCGAGTCAAGTACAACCGTATCATCCTGCGGACTCGACAGGGTGAGACACGTACAAAGGAAATCTACGACGAGCATTGCCGGGACATTATCAGGCTGTGGGAGGGCGTCGTCGTGGGCAAGGAAGGCGGCCAAACAGGCCAACAACAACGTCTCAGAACGGTATGGGTCATGGGTGCATTGACGACCGCTGTGGAATGTGGCATTGCCAGACCCAGTGTAAGCCCAGGGCTTTCCTTAGCACAAATCCTCTGTGCTGGTAATGTATTGTACTCGGTTGCTGACCATGTGCCCAATAACAGGTAGGCGAAGAAGACCAATGGCTGGAGGACAATATAGACGAATTCAAAAGGTTGGCGGCAGAAGGGGACGGGGACTTTGTTGAGCTGCTCCAAGAACTTGATTCGAAAACCGACAATGGACAATCGACGACGGTATCTAGTACTAGTACTAGTACTGCGCCGGTGGTTCATGAAATACAGTAGATTGGTCGGTCTGTCTGTCTGACTGTCTGACTGTCTGTCTTTCTACCCCCAAAAGAACAATCGATCCGACATGGCGAGATAGGCACTTCCAGAGATACTAACAGCAGGCTCCAATTGACCATCTTCTTCCACAGCATGCAATACTCCACCAGCTTTCCCTCGATCCAATCCACTCCGATCCAGCCAGCACCTAGGTGTGGCTAACGGCTATAAAACCCCTGTCACAGAGAAATGAAGGCAAGGCTCGCCCAGCGAAGCCCAGTCGTATATATGTTGCCAGTAGAAAAAAGAACAATCTGATCAAGGGCCCCGGGGCTCCTTCGTGCTCTTTTCAATCGTTGCTGTAATAACTTTTGTTCCCGTCCGGCTTCTTCTCATCATAGCATCATGTCATCGTACCAAGCATGAAACGTCGCAGTAAGCGACTCTGTACAAACAACAATCATCCAACATGGAGTCTCTTCTAGTAATCAGTAAGATCGTCCATACATGCCACCAGGAGCAGAAGCATGTGGGGACATGAAACCGCCCACACCAGACCCTGGAAGAGGTTGTTGTCTGGCAGCATTGGGACTGGCAGACGGCATCTGAGGACGGTGGAACATGCTGACCAGCCTTCTTCCGACCGATGGTTCGATCTCGGTGCCATCTCGTGCGATCTTGACCTCGCGATTGGCATTCCAAGGGTTCCTGAGACCTCGAGTCCGGTAGAAAGGGAGTCGGTCCGTCGACATCCACTTGATCTTGAAGGGCTTGCCGAACGTTTGCGGCGTTGCGGGACTGCCTGACTCATAGCCCTCGCCCGACACGTTGCCATCGTCCTCTGGGTTCTGTGATTCTTTCTCTTGTGCCTCGCTCTCTGCTTCCCAAAAGATGGTCCCTCTGGCAGAGTCGTCGATGATTCGTCCTTTGGGTGCGGTCGCTGTTGCTGGTGTGGGGATGGTCAGAGGAAGGTCCGAGGGACTTGGGTCGGGAATTTCGGCGGCTCTTGGTTGGTAGTCAATGCTGGCTGCCGACTCGTCGTCGATGGCCGATTCCATTCTGGCATAACCAAAATACTCGCCAGATTTGTTGGCAGAGAAGATCAAGTAGACATTCTCGGCAGACTGGATCTTGTTAGCTTGGGGTCAACCCGTCCAGTGGTCTCAACTGACCTTGTGAGCCCTGTTGAGGGCATCTTCGTTGTGCGCCTGAGTGGCCCAAACGCCACTGTGAACGCTGCGCTCCAGATCTTCGACCGTCAAGCTTTTGACCACGAAGAATTTCTCCTTGACCTTCTCTATTGCCTCTGGCTCGGCCGTGACGGCGTCACCGTCGATTATAGGTTGCTCAGAGCTGGATTCTTCTTGCCTCGCTCCACCCTCAACAACCTCATCTGGTGCAGGTGCCGCTGGCTGACTCTGCGACTGGGTCGGGGTTGCGGTCGCCGTAGAAGAGCTTCCGCGACGCAGTCTGCAAACCAGCCGTACCCCTTGGAACCGAGAATCATGGAAGCGGGTCATTGCAGCTGCACAGCTGGATTCTGTTTTGTAGTTGACAAAAGCGCAGTTACTTTTGGAGATCAAAAAAACGCTTTCAATGTCGTCTGTTGCGTCCTTGGAGAAATGATCCTTGAGGTCGATGATGTGCGTCGTAGGAGGCAGGTTGCCTACCCATAGTGCATGACCAGATTGCTTTGGTTTTCTGGGTGGCCCTCTGAGCGCGGACGTCTGTAGAGAAGAATTCGAGCTGGTTCGCCGCACGGCTGTGCCACTTAGTATCTTTCTTGAATCGGATGGTGGGAGCTCCCTCCTACCTTGACTCTGTGTCTGTTGGTAGAAATTGTGTTGCTGTGGCTGGGCCAAGCTACTGTCCAAGCGCAACTGGGGAATTGGGTATGCCGCCGCGACTCTGGCAGCGTACGCGCTTGCGTACGCCGGGTTGGTGAAAGGTTGAGGGTATCCTCCTTGTTGCTGATGCTGGGGTGGTGTGTTGGACGTAGAAACCATGGGCTGTTGCATCATGAACCCTTGGTTCTGGAAAGGCTGAGCGGTGACTCCCCCTGGGGTGCCTATGAATTGTGGATATGCCGGATGTTGCTGTCGCGGCGGAGTCCCTTGCATGTACTGCGAAGGATATTGTTGACCGAAAGTATGAGTGTAATTACCGGCAGTTTGACCAGCAAACTGCGCGCCCTGATTATACTGGTACATCATAGACTGATTGGCGACAGCTGGAGACTGGTAATGGTGCGGAAACGGGGGCTGTTGGAATGGTCGCATCTGATAATCCGGCAATGCCGTTGCCATATTAGACATGTCGAGAGCACCGGCACCAGGAAAGTGACCCATGCCGAATTGTTGTCGAGGATATTGTTCGAACTCCATGTTGCTGGTCTCCCTTGACTGTCTGGCACCTGGTACCGAGTGTTGTGGGGATGGATCTGTAACAGTAACGTTAGTCGATATACCAGATGTGTTGGAGCCAGAAAGCGAACCTCTTAGGTTTTCTTCGTTCTCGTTCGGTAGGAGATTTGGGGGAAGAAGTGGTTCATCACCCATCGCTAAACCCTCAAATATAACAGGAAGAGTATAGTATTGCTGGACCCAGAAAAGAGCCATGGGTTAGTCCATTTTGCTTGGGCGTTTGAGATAGCGAACAGGAGAGACAAAACACCTGAAATAGGCATACCTAAGCTCTGTAACTGAAGCTGATCTTGCGCAGAGAAAGAGGGAGGCTGAGCACGGATCAGGGGGATCCGAATGAGGTTGGTGGACTGTCCAGAAGCTCTTGCGAGAGTATACCTATAGGTAGATGGTATGTGTTCGAGAAAGGAAATGAAACAGGTAGGTCGGCGCCAAATTTGGAAATGAACGTGGTCACCAAGGGTGCTCTGTATGTTTCACAGGGCTTGATGAGGAAGGGTTCTCTGTCGTGGCAGTGTTGAAGAAGAGGAATTGCAAAACCATTGGTTTAGACCGAGTTTGCAAAAGGAGCGAAAGTGAGAAGGGATTCTCGACCAACGAGGTCTCAAATGTGGCCTGACCGGCGTGGATGTCTATGACTGGTGGTAGTAGCGATGCACATTATACTAGAGCCATGTGGAACTCAGCAAGTAAAATTCGACAGATGTACCAGGGTCCAGGGAGCCAGTGGCCAAAGTACAGGAGGTGTTGTGATTGGGAACGGGCAGGAGGGGACCCCTGGTCGTGGAGTAGGTGATCAGAACTGGCACAGAAACCAGCGGTATGGGAATATGTGGGAAGGACTAGGGGGAACTGAAGGAAAAACCCGTCGACAGAAGGTAGAACAGAAGTCAATGCACGTCCCTCTAGCCAGCAACTATGCCGGAGCGTACTCGTAGCGCCTGGCGGCTCCTCTCTCTGGATGCTGGCAAGGCGGGAAGACGGTCAAGGCAGGCGGCGCAATTGGACGGAAACATGTCGCGGCACCAAAGGCAAGGCCCGAGAAAGACAAGCGCGGATATCAGCACATGCGGCCGCTATGGCACAACCCAGATCCCAAGACCCAAGAGGAAGCTGATCTGGTCCCGGCAATCTGCCCCTCTCCGTTTGGGATGGAACGGGCGAGGAGAATCCTCTTTTTGCTCGAGGAGCCTCACGACCTTTCCTTGCTTGGTTCTGGTCCGATGCAAGCGAGTTCGTAGCTCCCACTGTACCAATTTTTTTTTGCTCCCGGACAGTGGAGTCTAGCAGAAGGAGTGACGGTGCTCACGATTTCCTCTCTCGGATGAGGGAGCCGGGGTGCTCGAGTCCAGCCATGCTTGAGCTGTTATGTCCCGCAGCTACTAGTACTTACCCACGACTACGCGTACCCACGAAGGTTGGGCTCTGCGACAAAAAGACCAGGAAGAAACATGTTCCGTAGTCGCAACAAAGCACTCGGGCTTCGCGACCGGAGAGACAAGGAAATGCACGATAGAGGAAGCAAAATTGTCCATCAGTGGACCCGCTCAGCCACGAGCCGATAGTGTGGCGACATTCAAGGCTCTGGCAAGCTTCGGAAATGTTTTGACACTCTAGTATTCCAATTGGCCAGGGTCATAGCAAGCTTAACGATCGCTTAGTGAAGTGGTTGATGACATCCCGCGTTAGTCCCAAGCCACAGTACAGGGAAGAAGGCTCATCAACGGCCGGCCCACAGTTGGAAAGACTCCGAACGGGGCCATAATGGATGGATGATATGGACGGCCTTGTGTGACTTGGATCGAAGAGGATGGACAAGCCCCCAAAATAAGCTGGGAGACGGCTAGATCAATACTGCGACCGACATAGGATACCTTATCCATGCACAACCCATCACAACCCTGTTTTCAGCTGACATTGGTACCGAATATGGGCCTAGTGGGAAGAATCGAAGGGTTGGACGTTCTGGACTTTGCAGATCTTGTACCGGGGGGGTTTAGTTGTTATGCGCCGGTCGCTGCCAAGGGAACCGGTAAGCCACATTTCCACAAGCGATCGCCTCGGCTTCGGCGACGTTCTGGAATGCGCGTGCTCTTCTCAGACACCTGTGTCACTCCCATCAAGCAAGACAGTGTTTTGCGCGAGTCTCACGTCACTGGTAGTGTCATGTATCTTGCACGCTTGAGGTACAAGAGATGTTGTCACCGACCAGGGTTCTGGAACCAGCATGGAATATGCCTGCTTTGATGAGCATATGGTGGAGCCCAACAAGTCTCCTGGGATGAAGATGTGTCAAATCATGTTGACACTCAAGCAGAGTTCAGTGAGCGGGTCTCATGGAAGAACGAGACATGTCATTCGGGACACCACGGCAGAGTAGCGACAGCCATGCAATTCATCTGTGGCGTCGAGACACGTCAGGCATGCAGAGTGCTGAATTCATACCACGCTGATACACCTACTAGGTGAAAGTCACCGTGCTGCAAGCATGACCAGATGGTGTCTCCTCTGCAACAGGCCTGTACAACGTCTTGTCGACCAGCGACGATGCTTGTCTCGTCGTGCTAACATCCATGTGTCGGATCCGGCACAGTCTATCCGAAATCTTAGCAAGGCCTCAGTGATGGTATCTAACTAAAGATGACGAAGCTTTCCATCATCATGCATATAGATCTGGACGATGATGACACTCGTAGCTATTGTTAGGAACAATGCAGGAACGATTGGTGATCGGCTCATCAAACGCGACGATCTCTCGTCACTTGAGCTCGTTGCCTCTGTTTCGAGACTGCCTTGTATGTCTTGGGTATTTTTGGCAAGTGTGAGTGGCAAAAGGACGTTCAGTAGCGAGCGGCGATCAGGAGAGATAGGAAGTGCAAGGACGACGAGGTTAGCGAGTAGCGACGAGTCCCTCACCCAGGTGCAGGGAGTTTGTCTAGACCCTGGTTGTGGCTGAGCAGTACGGAGATACTAGTCGTGTGTTCCCCAGACTTTTCCCTAAGGATGGAATTTTCGAGAGCGAATATGGAATTCTTGCCCAATCCGCATATCCCAATTTGGCCTAGCGGTGCGGTTCGGAAAAAATTGCTGCCGTGGACCCTGAAATGGCGTCATCAGCCTTGTTCTTGTTCCAACCTCATCCACATATTCCACATCGACCATCAATCACCATCCATCAATTCTCCCTCAATTCTCCTCAACCACACATCATTCAACTTTTTCTGTAGATCCCTACACCATACCGATCTAACGAGTCCACTCGCCACAGCTTCCTGCTTGTTATCTGGATATCTATGCCTGTTTCGACTGGCACAGGTCCCGAAATAGGTCATGACTTCAGTCTAGTCATGGACGGTTTCTTCCGGTCGAACGTGAAGTGACAGCGAGGCGCCTCTGGGCAAGAGGCAAATCGACCTTGAGCGGTCTTGTGCTATCTCGGTTAAATTCTGTGCCAATGGTAATGTTCCGAGTGGTACTGAAAACTCCACTAGACCTACGACTACGAAAGACCGAACGAGGCCTCCTTCATTCGCATTCGCCACCTACCTAACAAAATCCTCCTCCTCCGCGAGTTTCCAAACCAAAGTACACGCAAGCCTGCCCGGAGGAAGTCTAGCTACGACCGTTGGTGGTCTTTCCGAGTGCGCTATGACCAAAAGAGAAGGGCTACTCGTATATGGAAAATCGTCATCATCAGCACAACCCATTTTGGAGCCAGACGCCGGCCAAGTACTTCATTCAGGATATAACGCAGATGATCATCAATCCCGAAAAATCGGTAACACCGAGATAAGATGCTTCGCCCTGGAGTATCGGGCAGTGATCGCTCTCGGAGCACCCAAGCCACACTGCCTCGTAAAAGGCTGTTCCTTCAATGATGGTACTTTCGACAATGCTGTCTCAACTCGATGGCTCGCAATCATCGCTAGCAGAAATTTCTTCCAAGAATATCTTACGACTCCGGCACAACGGCTAGTGTGACACGGTGTGGCCTATGCCAATCCTGAAATTCCATTGCCTCCGTCTCAAACTCCCACTCAGACCACCAGGCTCAAACGAACTCCGTGCTGGTGGCAAAAGATCGGTGCGCCATTGATTGCTTGAGACAAGGTCACAAACGCCAAATCATCTCGAAAAGTCACGATCTGAAGCCCAAACTTTTGGTGCGCAACCCCGGAACGTCGCCTTTCCATTGATGGGTCTGTTTGAGCCTAAGGCATCAACCCTCCGCATTCGAGTGCTTGCCGAAGGGCATACTGCAGCTCTGAATGGCTCTGTGCCATAGCATCGGTTCGGTAAGCGAGACCAATCATGTCTTTATTTCTGGCTCCTGCAAATTCAGTTTCCACCACCACGAAGCTGCCATCACACTAGTTCCTTGTCAAGGACCGTTGCTCGGTCGATGTCGCACCATTACCCAGTACCACCCGCAGACTTCGTTCTTCTGAGGGGCCATCGATGTGTACTCGCCGTCGCCCTGCACAGATGGGTCGGCCCAGCTTGACCAGTTGTAACCACATGACATGGGTTGAGTTGACCAACTTCGAGTGATCCGGGACACGCCATGCTCTAAATCTCTGATGCTTGCCGGAGATTGTCATCCGTCCGTTGCTGCGCGGCGACCAATAGCAGACATATGTTGCTTCTACGAGGGAGAAATGGACGTGTTTCCATGCACCATTTGCTCGAGTCGGTATCCAGTGATCCTCTTCCCGTGGCTAAGAGCTACCGGTGCCATCACCTCATTGAGAGCCACTGCTCAAACGTCAATCTTTTGGATCGTCGACAACCTGGTCAGCGCTGTCCCTTGCATTGGCGAAGCGCGAATCCCACACCACTTACAGAATCGAGGTCGCATTCTTGCAACTTTATTCATGCATCGACGCGCGTGAAATGACTCTAGTCTTTGACGCCATCTGTGATCGCACATATTGGCAGTAGGACTTTCAACTTGCTCTTTCATGGCTACCGGCGAATTCGAAGCTCCCATTGATCACAACACTGATGCAAGCGAATCGCCTCCGTTTGATTTGGTTTTGACAGTGCTCCTTCAGGGGCTTCCTGCAATCACCAATTATGATTATCGCCCTGAGTCTGCTTGACGGAGCCCCCTGCTTTTAGAGCCTGCTCCACCGACTACTCCTTTAGCCGCATATCTAGCAGCTGCATGCAAAGCACCTGGTCATATTGACTGAGACTCCATGGCATTTCCTCTCTCGATGGTCCTGCCATGACGATGGACATTGGTGCACTCTAGCGAGCTCTTCCATCGAAGTTGTGCCAGTGACGTTGGGATATTGATCTTTTGGTGCTTGTTACCAGAGATCACAGTCTCCATATCAATAGATGAGGTGTTCTTTGATGGGCGACTAACACTCTACAATGTAATAGAGCTGCGTGATAGGCAACACTTTGCGGGCTTTGTCCGTAATTTTCTGCGAAAACTGAACTCCTGCACGACGGCCAAGCACCAGCATCGAGCTTCTCGTTGGTTGACTTGTTTTCGGGGCACTGTTGATGTTACTTTCCATTTTCAAGTAATGCGTCCTGGACGGAGTTGACCCATCGTCCTCTGTTGCGAGCAACCATGCATTCATGAACATCAATCGATTCATCGTTGTCACCGTGTTGGCTGGATGACTCGTCCGAACGCGGTCCACAGAGGCACATGGCTTGCATGAGATGAACTGTCTTCAGGCCGCAGGCACTCGTCACCCGGACACACTCCGTTGTTCTATACCCTTGGAAATTTTCTGCCGTCGCATGCTCCAGCATCAGAATCTCAAAACAGACAAATCCCATCCACACAGTCAGGCGCCATTCTGCCGATCACGACATAGAGGCTGCAAGGTGCAGACTAGGATGGCGCCCCTGACTGCAGCCGCTTAGATTTCCCAACATTCTTAGCAACGCCGCAATGCGTCCCCTTTTCTCCAGCGAAATGCTCGACGAGGCGAGCGCGCCGTTGGGGGCAGCGTCAGGGGGACAAGTCGACTTGGACCCTCCTCCCTTACTTGCCCCTTCACTCCTTCACTCCTCAGGCGAAAAGCCCTCTCCTACCCCTGAGACAGCTGGTAGCCGCCGGTTTTTGCTTCATCGGCCTCTGCGTTTCGAGCAAGCGCCACTGTGCCTCACTGGCTAGAGGCGTTCGTTATGAATAGGACTAATCGATCTGACGAAATCTTGCGGCGGTTCAGTCTCTAAGAGGAGGACTGCTTTGGCAGACAGACAGCAGTGTGGTTATCCAATCCTAAAAGTCCACAATACTGAGCCGAGCGACGCTGGCGCCATAACAACAGAACAGACACTCTCAGCTGAGGGATTTCAGTCTCATGAACGCATCAGTGATCTCCTGAGGGTTCGACACTGGCGCAGGCACCGACTGTAGAAGCTTGTTGCATCTGCTCTCTGAGTCTTGTCCTTTTCTCCGATGCAGGTGGTCAAGCAGGAAACCCCCAGGGGTCACGAAAGGTACACTGGATCAGAGCAATATACAGTCTGTGGAATTGCATTGAAGGACTCTTTTCTGATGAGGTGAGTACCCACGACACAAAATCAAGTGAAATTGCAGTGTGTGAGTTGGTGCGTCTTTGCAGCCGTGGTTGTCCCCGAAGCCATCATCATATAGGCTTCCCATGCCGCTGCCCACTCCCCGGCGTCCTCTTTTTCTTTTCTATATCCGAGAAGAACAATGCGAGAAGAGACACGAGACACTCGTGCTCGCACCTTCCACACTTTACAGCCCCTTCTTTTATATTCTGCCTCCTCATTGTAAGGCACTGAGAGGATGGCAGATTGGTTGGCAACTCCTGTAGATGAATACATGACTGTCCGGGCGACCTATGCGCCGAGGTCACATACCCTTCCAACGGAACATGTTGAGCGAACTTGTCTTGGTTGATGGATGAAACATGGACAGGCCAAAGTCGAATGCTATATTCCACAGAAGAAAACATCCACTGGCAGTGAGTGCGTGTAGCAACAAACCAGAAACCAACCTCTTCGGTCGCTGCGTCATTTTCCAGAACACCGTGGCGAGATTTTCCATTGACTTCTGCAGCGACTGTGATACGTTGACTCTTCCTGCATTATGTACGAGTTGCCATTGCTTTCGCTCCTCTACAAGAGGCCCGTTGCGTCCCTGACCACCGGTACAGCACGTACAAGCATATAAGTGCCTCGTTCGTGGGAGACTACCTTGACTCTTGACGGACGCTTTCTCCTTTCAGACTCCATTCACTCCACGACACTTTTCCGGAGCAGCACCGTCAGTACCTTTGGCATCGTCGAGTCTAACAAAGCGACAATTCCACACTTAGATGTTGGAACACTCATCCACAAATCGTACATCCATCGTTACACAGCTGGCCGAGGACCAGACCACATCGCCACGAGCTCAGGGCTTGTCTCAAGAGAGAGACAATACAAGAGCATACGACGACGGTCGTTCCCATGCAGTCAAAAGAGTGAGTCTGTCTCTGATATTCGAGGGTCGTACTGGATCCGCCGCTTTCCAATTCTCTGGAAAGTCCTCGCCTCTTTCATGGGCCCAAAACTTCATGAGAACTACAGATACGAGCACATGCAGCACAGCACCATTCGTAGCGCCAGGACCTAGTTAGTACAAGCTCCTACCAAGCCATGTACGTGACACGCGAGGTACTGTGACAACGGTTTTAGATGCCTCGTCACGTCTTGTACTTTCCTTCGGTCAGGTATACACACAGAGGGGACAGAAGCCTACTTTTTGCTTTCTACTTTCATCGCCTGAGGCACCTAGTGGTCCTCAATTGTGCGCCGTAGGTCAACTTGCCTGTCCTCCAAGGCCGTGGAGGGTTCTGCAGTGGCGGTCGATGCTATAGTAGAATCGCCACTTCCAGGTCTGGGCCGGAAAGTTCAAAGAACTGATAGAAATTCTATCGGATCAGTCAACACTGAACAGTTCTCACCAGACACGAAACCATTTTGATTATGAATTGCTTAACCATGTCTTAACGATACTATAGTGATACCCAGATAGGTGCCCAAGTGTTAAAAACAATCAGGTCTAGCCTGACGGTTCGAGTCAATTACCTGCCGCTAGGCATTCCTCTTACTCAATGCAAATGTATAGATAAAAGCTCTCTGTGTACCCAATTGCCCATGGGTCAACAGGCCATACCAGGCTCTCCGCAATCCTCACCAGATCGACGGTGTTCCTCAATCCACAAAGCCACGCCCAAAGAGTCCAGGTCTCCCAAAGGTTGCCTTGCGCCCCCATCCCAATCCCAGGTACAGTCGAACAAGGTGTCCTGATCTTGTTGGGGCATTACACTCATACATCTCAATCATTAAAACATCATCATAGATTCGCCGTACTCCCCAAATACAAAACCCTAGCAGGAAGAGCCAAAGAACCGCTCAAACCCGACCCCACGTTCAGAAGCGATGGGCTGCTGATTGTCCCCAACGTATCACAAAGAATCGGTACCGCAATGTCGACCTGAACCTTTGACCGATAACGGCTCTATCGTTCACCCAGCCCTGTCACTTTGCCGGCGAATCTTGAACCGGCACTACTTCGCTTCTGCAATCTTGCGTGACCATCGGAGGCTGACGGTGAAATTCTGGCGTTCATAATGGGTAGGGGACCAAGTGTATCTCCGTGACCACCATTGGCGGCCGTTGCTCGAGCGGTCCTCTGATCGATGTACAGTTGCGCAGCCGAAGACAATGGTATAGCAGGTGGCTCGGTGGGGATCTCTGCTCCGTTTTGAACCAACAGCTCGGCCATAGGAAATGCCTTGATGGATTTGCTTGGTGTCGCTGAATGAGACGAAACTGGTCGAGCAGGATCCGCAGCTGCCAAAGCCAGAAACACTGCGTGAGTGTTTCTGGAACGGTCCTGCGCGTTGACGTTGCCGCGCTGAGCAATGGCCTGGAGAACGCCCTTGACGTCATGCTTCTTGATCGACGTTAATAGCATGTCATCAGCAGTCCCGTACTGCGAAACGGGATCGACGTAAGCCCGCTCAACATACTTTGATGTGATGAACCTCAACCGCTGCTCTCGCGTGGCAGTGGGTACCGGTTTCAATGAAAGGTCCAGCAAAGACTCCCAGACCATGTTGCTGATACGATTGCCAACAAGCATCAAAAGCTCGACAATATCGTTGGTGAAGGAGTGTACGTCCAGCGTGAGGGAACGTATCTTGGACACATGAGTACCCAAAGAACGGTGGATACCTCCACATTCGATGCACAAAATAATGCCCAGGTTCAAAGAAACCCATTCGACCTTGGAGGTGGACCCACAGTCAGCGCAGAGCTGGTTGCCTTGGTCGTGGTTTCTGATCTGATCAAGGAGCTTGGCAGGATTCTCATCATAGCTGTTGCTGCTCGTCCTGGTGTAGGTAGGTCTAGCTCCCACAGTGGTCCGTCGCGAGACTCCCGGTGCATCGTGTCGCTGAGTATAGCCGTGAGGTCCAGATTGCGACGAGCTCTTGCCCGTGAGCATATGGCCATATTCATGCCCAGCGGAGTCCTTGGAGCTTTGCTGGGATGCCAGTCCGCCTGCTTCAAAGGCATTTTGGAGCGCATTGTTGATGGCGTTTATCCAGTTGTTCATTTCGTCTTCTGTCGTCGCTTGGTAAACTCGCTTATATTGAGGAGTGATGACCTCGAAACAGAATCGGCGTTCGGCGTCTCGAGCCATCCTCACTGAAGCCATTCGTAAGTCGATGGGTTCCCTGTGTAGGTCTAGTTTGTCTTTCCAATTGCTGTACTCGGAAAGCTTTCCCTGGTCAAGCACAATCCAGAATCTGAAGAAATTAGAGATTGCTCACAACGAAAGGTGGGTGACTCACTTGTGCCAGGCTTGCTTGTTGATACCTTTGGGATCTATGTGAGATCCGGGTTTACTCAAAGCCCACAACAATCCTTCTTTCTTGAACAGCCCACTTGATGCTTTGTCACTGATCGATACGGCGCTTTCATCGAGGTCACGAATGCCCTTGAATTTGTTGGGTGTCGGCGCTATTGAAGAGGCTGATGGCGACGTGGATAAAGCAGCACTCGGGATTCCCTGTAATGGTGCATTGGTGGCTGGTGACAAGGTATTGACCGAGGATCTACCAAACTGCGAGCTCTGACTGTCTGCCCTGCTCAAGTCCGTGTCTGAGGTGTAACCGGTCTGACCATTCTGCGTAGTTGGCTGTGAGGTCGTGGACGGAGGCTGATAAGGTGTATCACCTTCCACAGAATTGGGACCGTTCTTTTCCAGATTCCGACGTTTCTCTTCCCGTTCAGTTCTTTGCAGGTTGTACTCCTTATCAGCATCGCCCACTTCTTTAACAAGGGCATCCAACTGGGGAATGAGGGTCTCGACTCTTTTAGCTGCTGCAAGAAACGAGTGTGCCTGACCGTCGGCGTATCTGGTCAATTGTGATAGTAGTTCTTGTTCTTTGCGACCGCCGTGAAGATCCTGCATGAACGTGGAATAGTCGAATCTTTTGAGCTCGAAGTTCTTCTTCTTGTTCTGATACTTGGAATCGCTCTCTGCTCTTTTCTTGTCCTTCAGAGAATCCTGCCGCTGACCGAGATAACGGCTGACATAAGCGTAGTAGTCGCGACTTTCATCTTCAAAATCCTTCTTTTTGGCCTCGGCCTGCTTGATGTCGAGATTGTAGAGTTTCGATATTGGATCGATGATCTGCTTCTGCAAGAGCGAACTGTTTTCTTTCTCATACTTCAATATCCTTTGCGCGATGTTTGTGAAATAGTGATCAAGGGCTGGTTTGAAGGCCGTGGCATTCGAGGCAGATGCCTCCTGAAGCGCGCGTAAAAATTCCGCCATGGCTTGATTGCACTCGACTTGCGCTTGTTGAGCGGCTTCCGCCTTCTTGAGTACCTTTTTGACTTGGATTCTCATGGAGCCCGTTTTCAGTTCGAGAGATTTCATGGTGGCTCTGAAGACCGGACCATCTTCGACCGCGCTGACGTCTTCTCCTGGTCGCGGACACTGAACATCAATCACGGGAAGTGAGGGCGCAATGCTTGAAGCCGCAGCCGTTGAGGCAGTCGAGCTCACATCGACCGACTGGAAATGAGGCGAGGGTGGATTTGGCAGGTCAGGGCGATCCTCCGAATCACTTATTGCTGACTGGTATGACTGACTCGAAGGCATACGCCGCTGGGGCGGAACCATGAGTTCGAGGTTTGGTGAAGCTAGAGGGGTCATGTTTGGTAGCGCAGCATTGTTCACCCAGAACGCGAATGAGGCCAGGGTGTTCAATCGATGCGCCCGGGAATCGTACTCGAGAAAACTGCAACAGTTCCGCCAGCCACCACCCTTGTCTTCGTACGGTTTCGGAGGCTTCCACCGCCAATTCCACTCGTATGAAATGACCGGGCTTCCATTTGTGACAAAGTCGCCTATGAATTGTACATTGGAATTCTTGTGTAGATTGGGATCCGCATGAAACTCTCGAGTCACCAGGGTGTCCAACTCTTTCGCATTGGCAGCATAGGCAAAAGTAAGTCCGGTGATGGTGGTATCGACAGCTGCAGTTGCTGTAGAGGGCGTGGCAGGTAACGGTCCCGAATTCTGTCGAGTCGCGAACGTAAATCGTACATCGAGTTCATCTTCGAGGTCTAGTCTAGGTAGGAACAAGAGGCCTGGTGATTCTGGATCCTAGTGTGGTTGTCAGATGGTGCAGACGGAGCGAAGTGTTCAAATAGACAAACCTGGATGTAAGAGACTGGTCTATAATCAGCGGCATCTAGTTTTCCCACGAGACGTGAGGCGGGATATGCATTGGGTGTAACATGAAGCAGGACTTTCCGCCGTCCATTGCTGACTGTGATCGAAGTAATGGAGACTGGAGTTGTAAGATAGCGTCCAATGCAGGGAGAACCAACATACAACGCCCTTGATCTTTCAAGTATAGCACCGAGCCGTCGTCGATTCGGCTACCGATATTCCCCATTGCTGACGACCTGCATCGGGCTTGGGGGTCTAAATGCGCCCAGGCGGGCGGGTAATTTGCGATTCGATGCCCAGCGCTGCGTGCGGTGTGGTATGATGCCGATGTTGGACAAAGATGGCTTACTGACAGATATGGGTATTGCGGGAGGAAGGGTTATGAGATTTTGTACAGGCTGCTGAATGGTGAAGGATTGTTTGGGTTGATCGTGGGGATGTTGAGGTTACGGTACGGCGACCACAACGACGAAGACTGAGACTGCGCCTCCGCCTGCGCCTGCGAGATTTGGCGGTTGGCGGGCGCGTGGAGGAACGAACCCGCAGCGGGAGGCCTCCATCAAGCCATCTCCCTCCCTAGCTGAGTTAGCTCCTGGTCATGACGGCCGGTGCCAAGACCGTCTAGCAGCCTAATTGTTAGGTAGGGACAGTGAGGACTAACTTAGGTTAGCCAAGGCACCCAACTATCTAAGTGCAAAGGGTACCTAGCACCTAGCGAGGTGCGCCTAGTGGGTGCCTAGCTAAGCTATTAAGCTTAACCAGATGACATCTATTCCATCTTTTCCTGAAAACACCCCCGCGCGTCTGCAGGTCCAATACCTGGACATGGTGAGTAAACTCGTCCATCAATCTAAGCACTAATCGCCAGATCCCTCGTTGCCGCCTCTTCGACAACATTCCTTACAGCAGGCGCCCCAGTCTTTGGCAACTTGGAAGCATTCGGATTCGGCGCATACAGCGTCCCTTTACTCCACTCCTCACTCACTGTATCTCTCTTCCACGTGGGGACCCAATCCTTCGCGCCCTTTAACCCAGCCGCGCCAAACGCCTGGTCAAAATCGTGGATAATATCATTGATATGCTCCAATCCCAAGCTCACACGGATCATGTCCGGGGTGACGCCACCCCTGATCTTTTCCTGGTCAGGAATCTGCTGATGCGTCGTGCGCCACGGATGTATGATCAACGTCTTCGCATCTCCCACATTGGCCAAGTGTGAGCATAACTTGAGATTGTTCACGACGGCCTCGACCTCGTCGATATTTCCCGCCACGCCGAACGTCAGCACGGCTCCGGCGCCCTTGGGCAAGACCCTCTGCGCGCGCTCATAGTCCGGATGCGACTTCAACCCGGGGTAATTCACCCACGCCACGTTGTCATGCTTCTCGAGCCACTGCGCAAACGCAAGCGTGTTGGAAACGTGTCTGTCGGCCCGCACGGGTAGCGACTCCAGCCCCTGCAGGAACAACCACGCATTGAACGGCGACATGCACGGGCCCAAGTCTCTCATCGCGTCCATGCGCAGTTTCGCCGCGAGCGCCTTGTACCCGTACGTGTCCCAGAAGCGCATGCCATGGTACCCATCGGCGGGCTCCGTGAAGCCCGGAAATTTGCCCGAGGCAGACCAGTCGAAGTGTCCGCCGTCGATGACGATGCCGCCCATTGATGTGCCGTGGCCGCCGATCCACTTGGTGCAGGACGCCGTCACAATATCTGCGCCCTGCTTGATGGGCTGCGACAGATACCCGCCCATACCAAAAGTATTGTCCACGATGAGCGGGATGCCTGCGTCATGGGCCACGTCCGCCACGGCCTTGATGTCCGGCACGTTGAACTGCGGGTTTCCAATCGTCTCGATGTACACGGCCCGGGTCTTGTCGTCGATCATCTTCCTGATCCCCTCGGGGTCGTTCCCCTCGATGAACCGGCACATGATATTGAACTTCTTCATGTACACGCGGAACTGGTTGTGCGTGCCGCCGTACAGATTCATCGTGCTGATGTAATTGTGTCCCGGCTCGCAGACCGACGTGATGGCCATGAACTGTGCTGCGTGGCCACTGGCCGTGGCAACAGCGCCGACCCCGCCTTCCAGCATCGCCATTCTGTTCTCGAAGACCGAGTTGGTCGGGTTGCCCATCCGTGTGTATACGTAGCCATCTTTGGACCAGGCGAATTTGCTCGCGCCGTCGGACGCGTCGGTGAAGTTGTACGCACACGTCTGATACAATGGTACTGCTCGTGAGCCGTTGATCGGATCGGGCTCTTGAGCACCGTGCAGGGCTATGGTCTCGTACTCGGGCGTCTTTGTGACTTCACCCAAGTGGCCGGACACCATGATGTCTGTGCGAAGGGTCAGGAGAGGTAAATGTACCAGAGATGGAATGAGAAGTTAGTGACACGGGAGAGTTAGAAAATGAAGATGGACTGGGAGATGCTATGCTGCGCTATGTTGTCTCATATCAGAGCCTGACCGCTTTGATATACTCTTCTGTCCGGGAATAACGTCCAGCAGTAAAGGTACTTCAGCACGAAGGGAGCCAGGGCCATATCGCGGGGTCTGGATTGAGAGGGATAGTCTGACGAGTATGGCCAAGGGCTTTGGGACGTATCTCCCACACGCCTATTTGTCGGTCTCCAAATCTGACACTATCCACAAAGAGGACGTATCGATCTACGTAGGTAGGTTCTAGTACCAGAGACCTATCGACCTACGTAGTCAGTTTCTAGTATCAAAAACCTATCGATATCTACATGGGCTTGGGCATGGTTGTAGTATCTACAGGAAGATAAGCAAGCCATCCAATCGACGGTATCCCCTGACGCCCCAATATTGCATGGCAGTATGCGTACACTCAGAGCAAAGCCCGAAGCCCCTATACGTGTACCGGATATTCTTACTGGCTGGTGATAGAAGGGTATATCATCAAAGCAAACACCGAGGAAAGCCTGCGGATATCGTCACGTGATAAGGGGTCAGCAGCCTTATCATGCCACCATTTGGCTGCTTATACGCCAGGACGCGCAATTATGCACATGCTCGCGCTGATCATTGGGTGAATTTATGGACTTGAATGCAGCCTGCCTATTTATGGAAGGAGCGAACGTGCAACAAGCTCAGATACGGGAGGCGAGCGGTGTCGACGTGGATCAGGCTACTGGTAGCCTCTAAAGAAATCTTCACAGCAAAAGTTCAGTACTCGTCGGGTGCCTTCCCATGTTCCGAAATCTGAACCTTTGACTGGCGCTCTACGTGTCTCTCGAGGGTAGTTACCGACGCCCATTACGGGCTTACATCGTCTAGACCATGCAACCTAAAACAAATCGAGGGAAATCTCACACGCTTGAACTAGTAAAGCCACGGACCTGATGGGGGTAGTCAGCAAGAAAAACGTATCTGCACCTTGGATGGACATGCAGCATACCTCTTATGAATGACATCTCTCTCTCAGCTTGACCAGGGATGCGCATGACCTTTGTATGAACCACCTCCATAGCAAGTAGCGTATCCTGGGCTCGGACCACGAATGAGATATTGATCTCACTTGCTCCTTGGGAGATAAGGTATATGTTGATCCGAGCACTCGCCAAAGCCGAGAAGATCTCGGCCGCAATGCCGACCATGTTCTTCATCCTATGCCCAATCACCGAGATGATGGACATTTTCCGCATAACAGTCGTCGTGCCGAACTCCTCGAGGTCCGGAAGAGCTTCAGCTACTGCATCGCTTAGATCCGCTGAGCCAGTAGAAGACAATGCTAAACTCAAGGATTGATGGCTGCTACTGGTCAGATTGAGAGCGAGTTGGTGTCGTGCGAGAATGTCTGGAATCTGACCAAGGAAGGCCTGTGGCGGTAATTTGCCGTTCGAGGTGATGTTGACAAGCGTGATTGAGTCCTTGGCCGTGATGGCCGTGGGGACACGCTTTGCTTTCTTGTCGCCATCGTACCCATTCGCGGCCATGAGTACCGTCATGTTCGCCTCGAGCTGTGTGGACGCTGGTGATCGTGTAGGACTCGAGTTGGGACTTCTTGTCGGGTAGATGACTGTGCCAACGGCAGTGGGATTTCTGACGTTCTTCAGCCGTAAGCTAACACATTCCTCTCTGAGCAGTGTCATGGTGAGCGGATGGATCACTTCACTGCCATAGTACGTCAGTTCCGCCGCTTCTTCCGAGGTGACCGTTGGTAGCACTCTTGCTGTCGATACCTTGGTCGGATCGGCCGTGAAGATGCCGTCGACCTCCTTCCATATTTGCAACTCTCCGGCATCCAATGAGATTGCACAGAGAGCAGCACACAGGTCAGAGTAGCCACGGCCGACGGTATGCAGGAGTGAATTCGGCATCGAGCCAAAGAAACCGGTGATAATGGGTATTTTCCCGTCTGCACAACAAGCAAGAACTTGGGTTCTGACTGCATGCCGGAGTTGTTGTAGGAATGTGACCGGATTCTGTTGGTAAGCAGCCCTTTGCTCACGAATTGATCTTGTTTCTGCGGCTTGAACAATGTTTTCCAAGTTGACCATTTCAGCCGGAAGGTCCTTGATGGATAGTGCAGCAGCAACGATGAGACATGACAATCTTTCACCAACACCAAGCACTCGATCTTGAGTTCGATCAGACACTTCCCCAATTGTCCAAGTAGCACAAAGGAACTTCCTCAGGTTCTCGACCTCTTCTACGATATTGCATCGCAATGTCGTCAAGATATACTGGGCTCCGTCATTCATGCCGGAGTATTCCAAAAATGCTGCTGCCGAGAGGTGTTCCTGCTTGAGAGCGTCTATGACTCGATCACAGGCTGTCATGCTAGTTTCGTCGGAGACTGCACAATCAAGTGCCTTCAGAAGAAGATTCGTCGTGCCTGCATCTTTTTTCGTGGTTGATCGCGCTGAACACACAACAGCTAGGTTGTAGTCTTGGAGGTATGTTGGTATGATACTGTCTGTCATGGTACCTAACAGCTTGCCGACACTTGTTCCACCGTACTTTTGAACAATCCATGGTCGAGGGGACATAGGGGCGATCATATTTCGTTGCGGAAGTGTTTCTCTGCTAGAGTAAGGAGGATGGGAACAATGGGCTCCTGTTGACCTGCGAGTCGTTTTGCACAGGCGGCGTTTTGACTGCAGTATACGTTCTGACGACCTCTTTTCGTTGACGCAGCTCATGGTCAACTTCATAGTACCTATACATTGCGCCATATGGTAAGCGACGAGCTGCTCCAAGTGGCTGCCTGCACCACAGCAGTCGCCGTTCCACGGCATAGACCATAGATAACGCTAGGATCAGCCTGGGCCGGGCTCTGCTTACTGATACTGGATGATGTCCTCGCCCTCCATATGCCCGGAAGCCTAGCTCGACGGGCGGGCCGGCGTAAGAAGATAAGGACCTTTGCCTTCTACAGGCTCCGGACATTTGTGGATGTGGATTATGCATTCTCCGAGGACTTTGAGAATAAGTGGCTGCAGTGTGCGCCTTCCCAGCCTTCAAGCACTCTTGATCTGGGAAAGGGTCCGATTGAAATGCGCCTCACGCCGTCATAAAACAAGGGCCTGCTAGTTGGTATCTCAAGTATCAAAATATCCGCTGTCAACATCTGGAGTGATTATATATCTATTGGAAATGCGAGTCAACTTCGCCGAAGATGCTGTCGAGGCCAACGTCCGCTGAGGCCGCTCCTTCGGTGCTGTCAGAAGGAGCCGCAGCGAATGCAGCAGGGTTATGCTGCTGAAGAAACGATCTAATCATCTGGTCCGTAGCTGCCAACTCTAGCAGGAAGCCATCATGCCCGTCAGAGGACTGGAGCTTAACGAGCTGAGCGTCCGGGAGGTAGGTTGCCAGAAGATCTTGCTGCTCAGGAGGAAACAATATATCAGAATCTATACTGACAATAAGAGCGGGTGTTGTACAACTGCCCAGGATATGGGCAAGGCTACTGAAGTCGGGATGCGCCTGAGTCGGTAGTAGTGCCATATCTGTTCGATCGCGCGTAATGTCATGTGCATCCATCTTTCGAAGGAGGTGGATGTAGCAGTTGGCGTCGAATCGCTTCAGAAACTTGTCGGCTTGGTAATGAAGGTAGCTTTGCACAGTGTACAAAGGACGCGCTGCCGTATGGCCAGTTGACTTCTTCAGCTCTACGGCTTCGGAGAGATCGTCACCTGCATCTGATGCAGGTGGACTAGGCAGTGATTGCCTGGAGACTGTTGCTTGGTTTGTTGATATCTTCGAATCAACTCTGCGTCGGCCAAATCGGGCCTCGAAAGACGTGCATGACCGATATGTGAGCATTCCAATCATTCTTGCTGCACCTAACCCTTGAATAGGCTGGCGTTCCGGCACAGGTCCGTAATTGCCGCCGTGGAACTGTGCATCTGCTTGGATGCACCGGATCAGAGATTCATTCCATGATATTCCCCAGGCGCTCTGATAGGCCGAGGTCGAAATGGGGATGATTGTTTTCACATAACCCGGCGGCGTGCACAAGGGCCACTCCAGAGTTAATTGTCCTCCCATCGAACCACCAACAACCGCAGCCACCTGACGAACGCCGAGCGCGTCGAGGACCAGTTTTTGTATCTTCACATCGTCCCTGAGCGTCGTCTCCGGGAACGTAGGTCCATAGGGATCCCCAGTCAGCGGGTCCAGGGTCAGTGGAGATGCGGATCCGTAGGGCGATCCGAGTAGGTTGAAGCAAATTATGAAGAAGCGGGTTGGATCCAACGCCTTCTTGGGCCCAAGCAGTGACGGCCACCAGTCTTGGATATCTGAGCTTCCAGTAAGAGCATGGCATACAACCAAGACGTTGCTTGCATCCTCGTTCAGTGCACCCCACGTGCTGTAAGCCACTGGCACTTGAGAGAGCTGGCAACCAGATTCGAGCGTGAAATTTGAGACGACCGCAACTTTGAGGTTCCGCACAAGACTTGCATAATGATTGTTCTGCGGCCGAGCTTCGAGATCTAGCTTTAGGTCAGACGGAGCACACGAATTCGTGCAAGAGCGAGGTGCATACCAATAGCCATTTTGTTCTTGTAAATTCTCATGCCGTGTGAAGTTGACACTGACATCCGCAACAGTATATCATATCGCTATACTGGTTTCAACACCACGAGAGACCCACATAGAGTGTATCCGGTTATGTGTTCTGCCGATCAGCGTATTCGTTGTCCGGTGTTTGGTTTTCGGGGTTTGCTTACACATGATCCCAGATAGGAGGATAACTATCGATCGCCGCGGACCAGAACCTTAGAAAGAAACTCTTCGTCGTGACAGTTGCCGGAAGGGGACTGATATGAGTGTTGCCCGTGGCGGTCGTAAAACTTCTGACAGAGACTTCTGACAGAGATTTCAGACTCAAAAACATCATGATCTCTGCCATGGGCGACTCTTGTGGGAAGAAGAGGCGTAATTCCTGCTGACATGTTGTCTCCCTCTCTGAGATTCAAGGTTGCTGCTGTACAAGCTGCGCCAGTCGCTTTCGAACTAGAGGCTTCTATCCGAAAGCTTGAACAGTTCACAAAAACAGCATCTAAAGCCGGCGCTGACCTGGTTGTCTTTCCCGAGGGGTTCCTCAGTGCTTATCCCTGGCGTTACGCTTTCGACGCGACAATCGGTGCACGCGAGCTCCGAGGCCGTCAGTGGTATGCGAGATACCACCAGTCAGCAGTTGCGATTCCTTCGCCTGAGTTCGACCATCTGTGTTCCATTGCCAGGGAACATGATGTATTGCTATCCATCGGGATAATCGAGAAGGAGAGAGACACATTATACTGTACGGCGATATTGCTTTCGAGAAAAGGAGAGTTGTTGTACGCCCATCGAAAGCTAATTCCCACTGTACGTTATCATTTGAGAGCCGCCGTTATGAGCATATTGCGTGCTGACTTGGACAAACACAGGCTGCTGAAAGGCTAGTATGGGGCCGTGGAGCAGGCGATGGACTTCAAGTTGTAGATACGGATATTGGGCGTGTCGGTGGACTGATTTGCTGGGAGAATTATATGCCCGCTGCCAGACTGGCGCTGTACCAGCAAGGAATCGAGGTGTACATCGCGCCGAATGCAGACGATCTTCCGGCTTGGGTTGCCTCGATGCAACACATTGCAAAGGAAGGGCGGTGTTTTGTCGTCTCGGTGAACCAGTTCACAAGGGTTGACGACTTTCCTTCGGACTACCCGCCTTTCACAGCTAGTCACCATGATAGACAGCCTGACGGTTCAGCTTGGACTCCTGAAGCAATTCTCAGTCATGGCGGTTCATGCATCGTCGGGCCTTTGGGCACTTTTATTGCGGAGCCTGTGTGGGATCAGGAAGCCATCGTTTATGGAGAATTGAACAGAGGCGATCTGGTGGAGGCCCGGATGGATTTTGATGCTGTTGGGAGCTACTCCAGGCCTGATATCTTTACGCTGACCGTCAATAAGAAGCCAGGGACCAATGTGTACTTTTCTGATGAATGAAGATAGCGTGGATGCAGCATATGACACGGCCCAGGGATACAATTGAAGCTGAGCGATCATTGGGTGATAAGCAGATCGACCTCTTATCTCGACCGCGTCGTGTAATGTGCTCGTGGCTCGCTTACAGGGATCGTTGACTGGTGGCACACCTAGGTGGGTGGTCCAGTGGTCATGGGTGGCTTCGTGGGTGGTGAAGGATCCCAACATGCCAAGAGCTGTAGAGCCGGACTTGTGACTTGCTTAATAACAAGGGAAACCCGCATCTTTCTTTTAGCGACTTCTCATTCTGACCCTCCAAGATACGTTTGGCATTAACGGTATCCGTATCTGGAATATCTATAACGCAATCGCCATATCTGCCAGATGTGAACCTCCCTGCCTGCGACAATTCCATCTTTACGGGTGTTCTCCAGACGCCGTTTGATTCCAACGCCGCCGGCTTCTTGTCCGCAAGATACGGAATAATCATGTCTTCAACCGCCACCCTAAGCGATAGTGGGGCTGTCATGGCAAGGTCGAAAAGGCCCGTCCAGCCGCCGGTCAAAGTGGCATGTACCTCTTGGTAAGCTCTTGCCTCAACCTGGTGCCCTGCGCAACCTCTTATGATGTGGATGTAGCCGTGCGTCTCGCACACGATGCGACGGCATCAAGCCTACCTGCCAAAACGTGAGTGAACAACCCTCCTTTGACTGCGACGCTTGCCTAATCTGGTTGCTTCAGTGCCTCATCCGAGGTAAGGATTGCCAATATCTGAAAAGCAACCGTGGTGGTCCACGCGTGTCGCGAAAAAAAGCTATGCTGGCCGAAGAAAAGCGACGACTGGCCGAAAGCAACGGTGACGGACAGCAAAATCCGTCTATAGATATTGACTGGAGCTCCTTAATGCTGTCGACTGAACAGTTCCACGACGAGCTAATTGGCTCAATGATCGCCCCTGGGGCCGGTTTATTAGACCTGGACGACGAGAGTCATAGCGACGAAATCTTCGACAGCATCTTCCTCGATGCACCGAAAGGAGAAGAAGTCGTTTTTGATGCGTTTGAGCCCAATATCCAATCCCTTCCTTACAACCCGGTCGTTCGCCATTACGAGACCAATAAAAGCATACTCAACGCATACTACATATTCATCCACCCATACTTTCCAATATTGCCTCCCCCACCAACGACCTTGGAGGTTGACGATCCGGCCTCGGAGTCGAAAGGCTTTCAACCTGGCTCGCCATTAGCCATGGCTTTATTGGCAATCCTCCTGCTAATACCGCACCCCAACGACCTGTTTGCAGATAGCGACGAATCTGTCTGTCAAAGGCGACAAGAGGCACACTCGTATTCACAGATGGCCATGGAAAGTGTGGAAATGGAAACAGAATTGCTTGAGTCTGCCACGAGCCCTTCTGCTGCCCTGGAATATTCGCGGCCATCGCTACGCCGAGAGCGATTCCATCCTGCTGTGCCCACTGAACTCGAAAGTTTGTTGGCACACATTGTCCTGAGCATCTACGAATATGCGCAGCGAGGCAATCTCGCCAAAATGCGGAATCGTGCCTCTCAAGCATATGATGCAGCTGTCCGACTCGGTCTCCACGACACTTCTGATCTTCCTCTAGATGAATGCACAGAAGCTCGAAGACGAGCTTGGTGGATGACCTACATTGTCGTGCTTCAGAGCTCTATCGTCTCCAGCACGCCTCCGATCATCACAATCGACTTCCATCAATTCAGGTCACCTCTTCCGACGATAGCCTCGGACCCGGACGCCTGGCTGTTCTTCATTGAGGCCCAACAGATCATCTTGCGATGTACACAATATACTGTTGCACTGAAAAAAGCCCTCGAAACCGGCGTAGATCCAAACGAGCTCAACGGCAGAAAAGCCATGCTCGACAGCGACATCGACACGATCCTACAACGATACTCGACTCACCCTATCGAAGCAGAGTTTTTGTCGCCAAGTGACTTTGAGGAGAACACTTTAGCAAAGTCACTCCGGTCGCAGGCGCTGATCAAGCTCAGCAGCGCAAGAATCAAGCTCCACAGATATCGTGCCTTTCACGATGTCCCCGTTTTCACGCGCAAACACTGCGACCTCGATCAAACGGATGCGTCTACTCCGCGCCAGCTTGGATGTGCCTGTCACTCGGGCAGTCTAAGAACGTCGCCCAATACAACCTTTCCGGGCCAGAAGTCGGTTTCTCCCGCCCTTCCAGATGCCATGCCGACAGGTGCTACTGAGATACCCTTCAACGACCTCCCCGCAGCAAAGACCTGTATGAAAGCCGCTTTGGCGATAAGTCGAGCCTTTGAAACCCTACCGCATCCGAACCCGATACAATTACCCTTGCCGGTGTTTCCTCCATCGATGCTGTCAATCACTTCGGCGAATCAGGCACCTAGAACAATGCCCGGCTTTGCTTGTTGTGCCATGCAGAGTTGCTACACCCTTCTCACGCTATGCTACAGGAGCCTAGAAAGGCAATGCATGTATCAACGGAGCGTTGCTGCCGATAAAGGCTTGGAAGAACTGTACGCTGGAGTGGGACGCGTCTTGGCCGCCCTGCAGAATTATTCAATCGCTTTCGAGGCTCTCAATGGCATGACGCGTGAGTACTACCCTGGTCTCTTGGCTAGTGTTGATGCTGACTGCCTGCATCTAGAACAAGTAGAGGAAGCTCTTGAAGCTTTGAAGTGTGTGAGGTAACGGTGAACACATCCAGGGCGTTCCACAATCTATCGCGCTGCTCTTACGACCCTCGACAATCCCAACTCAGTACGCCGCCACCATTTCCGCGTCACAACAAAGTAACGACACATCATTGCTCCTCGTCGTGCGTCCATCCAAGCAGTCTCTCGGCCTTATCCGTCGTCCAGAAGGCCGCGTTATCCTTCCCCCAATCGCCCTTGATCTCGGCGTTGGGAAAGTACTTCTTGGCCAGATCCCTCGACGGCGTATCTTGGGTCGTCGTCTTTGCATGGATATTGAAGATCTCGCAGCCCTTGAACTTGTCGCTCTCGACACCTTTCAGACACGCCCTCGCGGTCGCCACCGGATTGACCCAGCCCCACAGCTGCTTGACCGCCGCCTGGTCCCAGTCGTCCTTGTGCTCCTTCTGCACATCCTTGAGTGGCGCGACTTCATGGATCCGCAGCACGGCGATGTTCATGCCGGGAAACCAGCGGACGAAACTGCGCGCCTGCACCTCGGATTCCTGCTTGGCCAGGGCGTACGAGTCCGTCGGTTTCTGCGGGTAGTCCTCGTCGATGGGGAAGTATTCGAACTCGAGCGGCTGGTTGGCGTAGGCCAGGCCGATGGCGTTCACGGAGCTCGCGTAGCAGACTCTCTTGATGCCGTTCTCCGCGGCGGCTCGGAACCCGTTGAACGCGCTGCACACGTTGTTGTTGTGCACGGTCGAATCGGGTTTGTCGACCGGGTTCGGGATGGCGGCGAGATGGATCAGCGCGTCGCAGCCCCGGAATGCTTTGACGGTCGCGTCGTAGTCACTGGCCACGTCGGCTGTGCGCATCTCCGAGTTGGGCGTGCCATCGGGTTCGGACTCGGTCCGGTTGATTTGCACTGTGTGGTGGCCTGCCTGGGCGCAGAGCTTGACGACTTCCTTACCCACCGTGCCTCGGGCACCTGTGATTGCGATTCTCATCTTGATCTTGTTCCGAGTCTTGTAGAGACACGTATGTATGTATGTTAGCCTAGCGTTCGCGTGTCGTGGGGGGTTTTATCAGGGTAGGGGGGAAATGCCACGGCGTAAGGCGGGCACAATATATACCTTACCATGTTCAATGACGGCTGAGGTCACGATCCGGGGTGGATTTCCGAGGCGAGTAAAGTGGTACGAGGTACAATTCCCATGACGAGATGTCTGGTGGGGTGTACCTTATGGTGTACCAGTACTCCGGACAGAGTTTGGTTGTGCCGGTGGGAGCGGCAAACCACGGTGACCACAGTACTTGCTTACCTACCTTAGGTACTAGGATCACAGCATTTGCGGGCCGGTATGGAGTATCTCGGATGACGTCGAGTGAGGGTGTCAGTATGTCACTCTTGGCTTACGATTTCCTGCATACCTGCCTTCCTGGTACTCCGTACCACACCGATATATGCTGTTTTCCAGAAATTTGTATCAAGTCGCAGTCCAGACCACCGAAAACATCGAAGAAGAAGAAGACCAAACGAAGGAGGAACGTGTTAGATGGTCGTCGCGCTGATGCCGGCTAACGTAGTCGTGGGTAAGTCTTGAGTGAGAATCCATGTGAAAGGGGACCATCGAGGCCAAGATCTTATCTGATTGCCTGCATCAACCTGCCCATCTGCACTGGCGGGGCGCCAAGAAAACATCTCGCCGGCGACGGTCGGGTTGGCAGAGACAAGACACTGGCGTGGACTGCTTGTAAACAACGCTTAGCCAAAGGAGCCATCCTCAACGAGTGCAGGCGTCGATTCTACGGAGAAAACGGTGCAAGAAACAAGCGCATCTCCACGGTCTGCGTCGGCAGCTGCATCCTGCTCGTGCTTGGAAGTTGGGCGGCATACTTCTGGGGAGTGGCGACCGGGAACAATGGCTGAACGATCCGACGAGGATGCGAGGGGGAATATGCTTTGTTTCACTGAGTCCTCAAAATCCAGTCCTCCAGACAGCAATCGAGACATCAAGCCCGGTGGAAATGGGCCTTTGCTGCAGCTGGAGTGGTGGAAACATCTCCCAGTATGATCTGGACGGGTGGCAACCTTGCAGGCCAAACAAGTGCTTGAGGTATGGTTTAGTCGAATAGTTGAGTCGTACTCAGCATGGCTGTTTGGTATTCCAAGTGCAGGAGATCATTGCGCTGTGGCATGCCATTGCATCCCTGGGCGCATTAGTATTTAGAAGGCGGATGATAGTCTTATTTCCCAGGGCCACACACACAAAGTGCCGCCGTAGTACGTGTGAACATCTCAGTTTCTCGAGGTTTCGAAGGCCATTACATGAAGCCAGGCTGAGGATCGATACAATGCCCGTTTTTATTGCAGAGTGCTTTCGCCGGGAAGTCGGGCACGTGACAAAGTCCGCCAAGGGAATTTTCTTCGTGAACTGCGAAAGCAAGCCATTGACATTTCGTAGTACCGGCATATTCGACGGCCAGGCAACTATGAGGAAGGATTCGTGTTTGACCTGATATTGTGGCGCGCGGGAGCTTGAAGTCCGGACGATCCTGTGCATGAACACCCTCATCCGTAGCACCACACGACAATGTCTACGAAGACGCAAAACGCGCCCGGCGCGAAAGCGCCTCATAACGCAGGCACTCCGAACCAAACGTGAGTGAGCCCAACCTTTACCCGCAAGGGCAAACTCGCTGACTTTCGTTAGATTGTACCTACGCAACCTTCCGGAAAAACTCAACAAGACCGAGCTGAAACGTGCCCTTTACATGTTGTTCACCACCTATGGACCAGTACTTGACATAGTCACCAACCGCATGGGAGCGAAGGGTCAGAGTATGCGTGGACAAGCCCACGTTGTCTACAGAGATATTCAGACGAGCACGCAGGCCATGCGAGCCTTGCAAGGATTTGAGTTCTTCGGCAAAGAGATGGTATGTTTTCTTCCCAGGAAATCATGGGAAGCGAAGCCACTGCTAAAGTATCTGCTGCCAGGTCATTGCCTACGGAAAGGGACAATCGTCCATAATCCCTAAACTTCGGGGTACTTTTGAACCTCCTAGCGCCGCTACTGGCGCCGCCGAAACCACAGCTCTGCAGAGATCTATCTTCAATGCCCCGCCCTCTGGAGCTACGAGCATGCCCTCGGAGAACGGAGTCAAGCCATCGGAAGTGAACGGCGTACCTCATGGCACCAAAAGAACACGAGAAGAGGAGGAAGAGGAGGAAGAAGAAGAAGAAGTGTCCATGGAGGAGGATGAAGATGATGCACCGATGGAAGAAGATGAAGATTGAAACTTTCCAGCACGGTGCTCATCAGACTATCTTTGCCGCGACTGAATCAGCATCAGCAGGCTGAGTACTCGACGATCCGCTACGAGCCGGAGCCGTGGCACGCCGTGTTTTGAGGAGATGGCTTGACCAGTCAAATGCTGGTCGTGTCGATCAGTCCAAACCAGCCGGAAGAGTCTTGACTACCAGATATTAATCCTCCGCGAATTTGACAGCATAGTCACCCATCAAGCGTCGAAGAGCTTGCTTGGTATGTGCAACCCGACGGAGGAACCGATCAAACCGAGCCAAAGCATCAGATAGTCTTCTGGGGTGAAGCTTTTATTGGGTTTGAGAACCGACAGAGCTTCGGGAGTATTGCAGGGATGTATGAAGTAAGCGGGTTGATCGGATATTGGATGATGCTGCACAACTGTTAGCCAACGCCAACTGCGCACGTCCTGGGGGATTAGGTCGCCTCACTGCCATGCTGATACCTCCCATGACGCCAACGCTACGCAGAGGTTCTTGCGATGTGCGTGGCACCAGGAAATCATATATTTGCTCGAGATTCAACGCCACAGCCTGCTGACACCAAAACCACAATACTGGGACACGGTACGTCGGAGACAAAGTGATGGAGAAATGGATGACCAGGGAATCAGGGTCGACGTCGTTATGCCGGAGCTAGATCCAGTCAGTAGGCGAAGGCGTATGCCATATCATGTCATCGCGGAAAGGCCACTGCATACCATGATATCTGGATTGTCAGAACGCTCTTCCACATCGTCTTCGTTTTCTAGTTCTTCATATCCATCGTTGTTTTCCTCTCTCGTAGGATTTGAATTCGAATTCGTAATCTGTCGTCTCTCCTTGATGAGCAGTTCTTCTCCGGACCAGCGTACACTCAGCCAGTCTGTGCCGTTTAATCTGTCGAAACCCCGATTCTCCAAAGCCTTGCAACCCGCCTGGAATTCGGCATCACTGATGGAGGGGAACGTCTCGAGGAATGCCATCTAACTTAGTTGCCGCATCCTGCCAGGACTGCGACGATTGAGGCAGACGGAGGAAAAGAGTCGTCTTATTGCACTCGATTCGCAAGACTGACTGACAATTTTTTTAATAGCGAGGTGTCCCGTATGAAGTAACACTGTAATACGGATAGAAGGTGTGAAATTTAGGTAAGCCGCCAAGGTTGCCGTCGAGGCCGCATGGGATATCTAGCCTCGCTACTCCGTAGTCAGGTATTTATTGTACTCATGGCTCACCCCGTCTAACTCACGGAGTAGGGAAGAGAGTGATGCCGCCATCACCGCCCTAGTCTTACACTCAGGGGTGATACTCGAACCCCCCGCTCTTGGTGTCACTCGCCGTGGGCCGAAACTCTTACAGGACACGAAGTTACTACGGAGTACTCCGACCGTAGTGGCCTTCCTTGTTTAGTGCGGCGCTGACGAAGACTGTGTACGCAGTGCTATTGATAAAGAAACATATCTCCTTCCGAAGGGCGGCTTAGCTAGCTGCTCTTGATATCACGTAGAGGTACCTAGGTAGCACTGTGTGCACCCACTCCGTACGACAGGTGGAAAGGAAAAGGAAAAGAAAAAGAAAAACAGAACCCCTTCCAGGTCAATATGACGTCCACCTCCTTCACAGACACAGTGGCGCAGGTGCTCGAGACGGTACCTTCGACCTATCGCGGTCCCGGTGGCTCGGTCGCTGTGCTCAAGGATGGCGACCTGCTCGGCCAGCAGGTCTGGGGATATTCCAACCTCGACACACGGACTCCGTTGGGCCCAGACACGTTGCTACCCATCTGTTCCATCACCAAGCAGATGCTCTGCGCTCTGCTGCCCAGCCTTGAGCGCAACCCGACTCCCGCAATGAAGGCCCGCGGTACAGACACAAGTGCCAAACCAAAAATGCAATTCCAAGATCAGTTGTCCGAGATTCTGGGCGCCGACTTCGTCAAGCAGACGGGCTTGAAGATCCATCATCTCGCGAACAACGCCTCCGGAATACGGGACTACTGGGCCTTAACCGTGCTCTGGGGCGCGAAATTGGATCAGAAATTCTCGATCAAGGAGCACATCCCGCAAGTCATCGAGAAGGTAAGCAGGTCGTTGCATTTCACTCCAGGCACGGGCTACAGCTACTCCAACGTCAACTTTGTCATCCTCCAGCGCGTCATTGAAGCAGTCAGTGGCCAGACATTCGACGAACTACTTGCCGAGCGTGTATTCGGACCGAGTTCCATGAAGAGTGCCTTCGTTGGTGCAGACTCGTCGCTTCATCCGACGCGCTGTCAAGGATACGAAGGCGATGCGCCTTCGGTCGGCTACTTTCCTGCCATCAACCGTATCGAGTGGGCTGGAGATGCTGGCATCGTCGCTTCGCTCAACGACATGATCGCTTACGAAAAGTCCTTGGACCGCAGCTGGACTGCAAAGGAGGGCTGGTTCTGGGACAATGCGCAGCCGGCTACCTACGACGACGGCACACCCGCCCACTACGCCAACGGCCTTGCGTCGGTGGATGTCCTCGGTGTACGGACTGTCAGACACGGTGGTGCACTGCGCGGGTATCGACTTCACCGATGCTATGCCCCCGAACAGCGGGTTTCGGTCATTGTCATGTTCAATCACGAGGCTGACGCTGCGGCCGCGGCAACTTCAATCTTGCAGAAGATTCTCGGCCTGAAAGAACCAGAAACGCAGGTCGTTCAACCGGGAGAGGAGTGGTTCGGATCATACTTCGATGACGAAGCGCAGATGTTCTTGACTGTCGCCAAGGGTAAAAAGCCGGGAGAAATCCAGATCTCCTACGTCCGAGCTCCAGAAACGGTCAAGCTCACGGACGCAACCCATGCGGAATCGCCTTCACTCAAGGTCTCGCTTGAAGGAGATGGACAAATCATTGTCATTCAGCGAATCGAAGACAATCGCACGGTCCGCGCGATAAAGCTCAGTCCCAGCGCGAACCCGGCGAAAATTTCCGCTCCCCTCCTGGGCTCGTATTACTGCGATGAAATCGACTCGAAGCTCAAGATCGAAGGACATAGCGGTATGCTCTATGGGGTCTTCGAAGGGTTCCTAGGCACGGGCGCTGCACATCTCATCCGTCATGTTGGAGAGGATGTCTGGGCGCTTGAGTGCGCGAGGAGCATGGACGCCCCTGCGCCAGGCGATTGGACGCTTGCTTTCAAGAGGGACGAGGCAGGAAATGTCACTGGGCTAACAGTAGGCTGTTGGTTGGCGAGGAAGATTGAGTACAAGAAGATTTTGAAAGAAGGATAAGCTGCTGCAAGGTCGAGCAGCGCAATGGAACCGTCGTGGCCCGGTTGAGTTATCGATGAGCCCATGGGCAAGGGAGTTGAGGATGAAGGTGAGACGTGAGCGAATCGTCTTATCCTAATAAGAATACAACAGCACAGTCGAGGTCGAGGTGAGTGCCATCATGCTCCCATGTGAGTCCCTTACTTAGGTAGGTAAGTACCTAAGGTACTTTGTAGGTAGCGAGCTGTGCCTAGGTAGAATTTGAGATGTATGCTCGGTATGCATGATCCGCCAAGCATCATGGACACTCTCTAACGATCTGCGATTCTCTCCGCCCCGCCATGGTGAAGATACCTAGGCACTCTAGGTATACTACGTAGTATCCCCGCAGGAAATTGGAATTGCCATTTGGGCCGTCCACGTCGTGCACAAGTCACACAACCATGTCTGCACGACCTCTTCGGGAAGCGCCTCGAGATGTACGGTATATAACCAGTCCCAGTTCCCAATCCCCTGCCTCCCCATGAGTGCCCCCTGTTTTGCAAAACGAAACCCCCCGCCAAATAATTTCCTACTTTACTTACTACAATTCTCTCTTTACAGCTCGACTCCATCGCCAAACAAGAAGAAGGCCTGATCCTGCCACACTTCACGGCCGACGACGCGCTCGAGATCGGCCTGTCGATCCGCAACCGCCTCCGCGCCCTCACGCATTTGTCCGCCGTCGTCAACATCTCGCTCGCGAACAGCAACAACCTCCTCTTCCACGCCGTCTCGAGACCGGGCGTGCAGCCGGACAACGACATCTGGGTGTCGCGCAAACGGCGCACGGTCCTGCGATGGGGCGTGAGCACGTGGTTCATGCACAACAAGATGCACGGTGACGAGGAGGCGTTTAAGAAGAAATACATGCTCGGCGAGACGGCGGGCCAGTACGCCATCCACGGCGGCGGTGTGCCCGTCCGGGTCACGGGCGTCGAGGGCATCGTCGGGGTCGTCGTCGTCAGCGGTCTCAAACAGTACGAAGATCATCAATTGGTCGTCGAGGCCCTGGAAGAGTTTCTGGACGATACTCGTACACAGAATGAGCCCAGGGAGTCTAGGGAGCAAGCCAAACCTGAACAATAACCATAATGGGCACCCTTCGGTCGATGTCAACCTTCTGGAATGCTGTTCTATACTACCTAGTACGTATGGTGGGCCTATAGGATGGCCCCTACGGCGTAAATATCGAGATAATTTCGACATGGGAGATGCTGCATGAAGGGAGGAATCACAAAATCTGGCGGCTACCTGAGGATGTTGGTCAGGATAATTGAGTGGTCTGGAGGAGAACTTATCTCAGGCTGAATGAGATGGGCTGCAAACTTGTTAAGATGTTGCTGCTCAGACCTTGTCGACCCATAGCATGGAAAGCAACGATTGATCCTGAATAGGATTTTACCACAGTAGACCGACTCCCTCCCTTTGGAATATTCGTTGAAGCCTTGAAAAAGCTGTTTCTGATATTGGGCGGCTGCCTATGTGATGCAATCCATACCTAGGTACGAATCAAGTCCTTCGTGTCGTGCTATTTGCCATGGAAGTCCATGCCAGCACTTCTGTAATTCCATGCTACTGAGCTCGCATCCCAGCTCACCAAGCTGTCACCATTTGTAGCAAGCGACAGCACTCTTGTCGACCAGTCCACTGCTGCATCCAGCACTTTCCTACGTCCGATTTTCTGTCGAGAGCGTCATCGATGGAGGCAGTTCGTAAAGGTCAACGGGGGCCGCAATCTAGGACTTGTCCTTGAATGGGAGATCAGAACCGCTGGTCGACTTGTCTGCAAATCCATTTTTATCAGTATCCAATTCTCACGCACTCGCAGGGAATCTTGTCTGGGGCGAAGACTTACATTTGTTGCGAATGAAGTCGCTGATCTGCTCGTCTTTGGCCTGTTCAACGGCACTTTCGTTGTCTTGAGGTCCTTGGCCGAGGAATTTCTCTTGAACGAAGTCGACACCTGTAACAATCTTCGTCAATATATCATGTCAACGTTGGAGTTTCCAGGGATGCCCACCTTTGTCGAGGTAATCCTCATTCTTCTCCGACTCTCGACCACCACCTGCTGCAGCATTGAACTTGTCACCTAGACCGCCGAGGAAACCACCTCCAGAGGAACCGCCCTGCTGTTGACCGCTCTGTTGAGGGGTTTGTTCGTTGTTGCCTCCGGTGAAGCTGTTCAAGGCCCCTTTGAGTTGATCCATTTTGACAGATGTGTACCGAGTAAGGACAAGGGAGATAGGTCAAGGTCAAGAAAGCCGTTCGAATGACGTGAAAGTAGGGAATCAAGAAGATATAGTGGTCGGAGTAAGAGAGAGGTAGGGTTCAATTCACGGTCGAGTGGATCTCTAGACTAAAGGTGACACCTTCAGCTGAGGACGAAGGAAGTCAAGTGAAAGAGTGGTTCTTGATGCAGCCAAGTTTCTTGGAGCTGCAGAGCCTGATTGAAAGGTGGGATAATACCTGGGACACTTCCAAGATTGACATGAGTCTCGGGACGTGATACGAACTGCGGATGGCGGCAGCAGAAACACAGAGAGAATACGTGTGGTACTGTGGTGCTTGTCCTCCGTCAAACAAGAAGCAATCATGACGACCACAGCACCACAGTGGACCATGAACCAATTACGTCGGCCAAGATTCGAGTTTCAGCTGGCATAGTCACGGATGATGCCGACTTTCGGTTCGATTTCCCTTGTCCCCTATACAATTCTAGTTACTAGTCGTGCACGTCCTGCTAGTATCAAACAAGTCACCACTCGTGCGAGCAGATGCAAGCTGAATACTACGTACACACCACTGGCATCTACCCAGTGCCTCTCAAGCCAAAGGCACCTGTTGCTTCTACTCTTGCTCCTTTTCACTGCCCTGACTAGCCCTTCTCTCAGCCTCATCACTTTCTTCCTTCTCGACTTCCTTTTCCCAATCATCCACAACCTGCTCTTCAGCTTTCCTGCGTAGTTTCTCCTCGTTTTCTTGCTTCTTTCTCTTGGCTTCTGCCAGTCGACTTCCCAGCACTGTATAGGCAGGCCTCTGTCCTACCGGCTTGACCTGCGGTGCCTGTACCGGCACTGCTCTCTTCGCTGCAACTTGTGACCACCCATTGGTGGAGGCGTTGCCCGGCTTACCCTGCTGCTGAATGATCTTTGGCTCGAGACCCGAGGTTTCGAACTGACAACGCACAACCGACGTGGCCAGGTTGTCTCTCGCAACCTCGGCAGCGATGGTGGGTTGTAAGCTGGTAAGTAGTGTGACCAGTTGTTCGGGCGTCTCCCAGTACATGGACGGAAGCAAGGCGACACCCTCGTCGTTGGACAGGAAGACAATGTCGAATTCTGTGGTAGGCGCTGCCTTCCTCACCAGTGGTCGCAATTCTTCCTCTGTCAGGGCAAATTTAGGCTTGGTCAATAGCAGTCCATTGTAGTCATGCTTGACTTCATCTGCCTTCCGTTCCGGTGCTGAATGTACCGGAGCTGCGACATTCAGTTGAGCGCGCTTGATTCTAGCGGCTTGGGCCAACGTCTTCATTGGTGCAGCAACGAACTTTGGCGTCTTGAACAAAAGAACATGGCGATGCGGTTCCGGATCAAGACTTTCTCCATCAAATCCAAAGTCTTCTGCAAGACTGTGAATGAAAGCTCGCTGCCGACTCTTCATAGGCTGGAATCGATACCGCTTCTCAGTATCATCTGCAGCAAAGAGCCTGAGCACTTCTTCCTGTTTGTGTGCCCATGCGACATCTTCAAGATACATCTTCAGGGTGGTTGTTGAATAAGGAACATGGTCGTCAGTGTGATCATCCGAGATATGGAGTGCCATTGCGAGATTGCGGTTCCTCTCCAACCTGGCACATTCCTCGTCGCACTTGAGACAGGTCTGTCGCCCAGAAGGCTCAGGCACATTCGCTCGAGCATTACATCTGACTTCTTCTTTCTTTCGCTGACAGTCACAAGTGATCATGACCTTGAACGGGCATGGCTTCTCCTCTTTACATGCCGACGGAGCATGACACGGCTGTTCGCAAGGATGCCCACAGGCCTTCTTGGCTTTACCACATTCTTGTTGACAGTGCTGATGAGCGTCTTCACATTCTCCTGGTTTATGACATGTCTTGCGACAAGTATGTGAACCACATTTGAGGGATTTTCCGCAGACCAAGCCGCAAAGCACATCAGCTCGCCAGCAAGGTTGGTTCTTCAGGGTCTTTTTGCCACAGAGACATTCCTTCTCGGTAAGGAAGGGACACTTTGGGCATTCCTCATCGTCCAGGTGACAGTTGTGTGGCACTTGAGGATGACCACAATCTTTTGTTCTCGTACAGGAGAAATTGCATGGTGGTGGTCGAGTCCCACATGGCAGAGGTGCTTGCAAGACAGTCCTGCCACATGCACAGGAAATGTCGTCGAAGATGGCCTCTTTACAGCTGCCGCAAGGTCCTCGATGGCAGAGATCATTGCAGTTGTGGTTGCCGCACTTAAGTTTACGGCCACATGGACGTGTGCAGATATGCTCGGCCTCGATATTTTCGTCAAAGATTCTAGCGGCAGAACCGAGTGGTTTGAGCTTCCGTTTGGTAGCTTGCCGTTCTGCTGCCTTTCTTTCTCCAGTGCAACATCTCTGACCGCACTCATGCCGACCACAGTTCAAGGTGGCTTTACACAACCGCGTGCATTGAGGGGGGTCCTGAGAAGCCTCGTGACAGATAACATCGAATGAGTTCCGACCACAACGACAGGTAGTCGAGATTTTTAGGGTGCAAGGCTCACAATCTCCGAGATGGCAGATTTCTCTGCATTTGTGCCCACAAGACAGTGTCTTTCCACATTCTTTCTGGCAGCTTGGGATAGGATCGGTACATTGTTTCCGAGGTTCGATTTCGATATCTGCCAGAGCAGTCTTGCCGCAAGGACAAAACTTGACCACATCCACAGATCTTGGACAGTGAGGCACTGCTTCGTCTTGAGGATGGCATAGTTTCTCGCAGTGGTGTATCCCGCAGTCCATAAGCCTGTCACAATTTTCGCCACAGTCAAAGCATCCATTCCAGTCGAAACTGACCTTCTCTTCGCCTTTCTCATGGCATGAGATCTTTTTTCCCACCTTCCCGCAATAACACTTTGCGTCGACCTCAGTAGTACAAGCGCCGCACAGGCCCTCATGGCAAGGTCTTTGGCAAGTGTGCTCTCCGCAAGGCATGATATCTCCACATATGGAGCCACAGCTCCAGCCCGCCTCGTAGTCCGTTTCTACACATCGTCTTCTCGTCTCGTGCTTGCCGCAGTAACAACTCTGAGTTGGACCCATGGCGGAGCAGGGCGGACAAGGACCAGCATGACAGAGCAGGTCACATGGGTGTGGACAAGGCTTTGGAAATTTCCTCTCTCGACCGCAGGTCTGCCCGCATGAGTGTGGTGGCAGACCAGTGATGGGCTTGGGGTCCAGCTCTTTCTCGCACCAACATGTGTATGATGAAGGGTATGTATCCTTGGGCAAGTTGCATCCAGGGCATCTCCATTGCTTTCCTACCACAGACTCGCCTTCCTCCTCCTGACCGGCAGGGCGATGTACGGCGGAGCCTTCGTTCTTGGACCATCTCTTGATGCAGCCAATGTGGAAAATGGTCCAACATGTTCGACATGACCAGACCTTGGAATTTTTCGTGATTTCGTTTGTGCAAATTGCACATTCATAGACCCCATTAGATATGTCTTCATGTATTCGCGTGGCAATGTCAGGCGCTGTAGACCTAGACAGAGAACCCCTTCGAGCCTGCGGCTGCGGCTGCTTCTGCTTCTGGGCAGCAGGTTTCCGGTCCTGCCGAGGATGGCGAGGTCTGGACCCTTTCGGCTGTGAGCTTGGAGAAGATACCGGAGGCAAGGATGCTGGCACGAAAGTTGGGGCTCCTGCATCTAGTCGTGTGAGTTGGCCACCAAAGGTTCGTTCCCCAACAGTTCGTGCTGGCGGAGGAGGGTCTTGCGTGGATGGTGGCTGTGGTGGCTGTGATAGCTGCGCTCTTCTAGGGTTCCCTCTCCGTCTGTGTCTTTGTCCTCTGTTACTTGGTCCGACTGGTTGCTGGACCGTAGGAGACTCCATGATGCGAGGCCGTGGCAAAGGATTGATTTCGACACTCGGGTGCAGGTTGGTGGAGGATGGCTGACCGACAAACAAGAGGTTGAGAGCAAAGGAAATACTGGGCTTCAAAAAAACAGCCCTTGTTAACAAATCTAAAGGACAAATGCAAGGTGAAACGTCCCTGCTGGAAGACCAACAAAGATATATCAGTGGTTAAAAAGTACGAGCAAGAGATGATCAGTCAATGCAGTGGCGCTGCGAAGTTTCCTAGACTTTCTCGATTTCCCCAAATTCATGCCATCGGCACGTCATTCACTAGAACACCGACTGACTCATGACAAGGCTGACCAATCGAACGGCGTCACAGGCACAGCCTCGCAATGGTCCAGATCCTAGCGACCGACTACTGATGCAACACGCGTGGGATCCATTGACTGGCAGGATGCATGCAAGCACGCAGGCACGAATGACTCCCAAGGCAATCAAGGTGCCATTTTCGGATTCGAGGCTTCTTTAGTCTCTGAAACGCATCCCATCCGAGATCCCTTTCGCTGAACGCCGTGCACTTGGTGCGATCCTACACCGTGACCTTGGTCCCTGTCTATGCGGTTTGCGTACCATATCCCCGAATCTGGTCAGCGAATGCCCAACTCTGCTTCTCAAGTTTCTCGTCCTCCTTCAGGTCCACTCCATCCTTGGTGATCACCGCAATGCTGTACTGGTCCAAACTTCTGGCATCTCGGTAGAAGAGGACCTTCATGCACTCCTTGATAGCATCAATAGCCATCTCTTTCGTCACATCTTTCACACTTTCTTCGTCCTTTGGCATCAATCTCCGTAGTAGAGGTTGAGCCAGATGTGCACCGAATCCAGTGGCCAAAGTCGGGCTTGAAAAAGTAGTTCCCAGCAGATCGACGCTGGCAAGGAACGGTTTCTCATCCTCATCCAGACCGGCAACCAGCATCATATTCCACAGTGGATTGAAGTCAGTTCTTCTCTTGTACATGACCTTCGACAGATATGTGTGTAGGTTCCTTGCGTTCAGGGTATGCTCGCTCGAGGAAAGATAGTTCTCGCGGATGTCCAATGATTGTAGTAGTCGGTCCAAGTATTGCATGTCTGATACGTCGCCTCCGAAGCCGATCACAGTATTTGGGGGAAATGTTCGCAGACGCTTGACATCTGTAAATCGTGCAAGAGATCCATATGAAGCTGTATCGAAGTGTCAGCCGCTTGTACTCGTAAAGCAACATCACCGCACGCACCTAGATTGTCTGCAGCAATGACGACGCCACCATTGTACTTGACGCCTAAAACTGATGTTCCGGTGACAGCTGGAGACTGTGTATGAGTTTTGGGCATAGAGGTCTGGAGGTAGGATGAGTCGTAGGGACCGTAGACATCGTCTCGGGGCTTTGAAGTGTCAGTCATGGCTGCGAACAAGGTTAAGCGGACGTACACGACCCCAAGCTTGAGGTAAATGGTTCATGTTGAGACTTGGAGCTGATGAAGTTGCAACGATGGAAGGGTTGTGAGGAAGGTATTGGAGGGCCTGGAGTGAGAATAATGCGAATCTGTTGGCAAAGCAGAAGTTGAAGAACTGAGGTGTTTGTACTTTAGTTGCGCCGCGTCAAAGAGCGGAAGCCTTCTGGGCAGTTGAATCCGAGCCTTGTCACGTGATTGATTCGCCGAAAGGCTCCCGGCACCTGTCTGCAAATGCATTTCTTCTTCGAATTCCAGCAGAATCACCACCTCCTCGTCGGAGCACTTCACACTATCTGCGCCAGCTCACCCGCTCTTAGCCTTGGGTGTGTAGGCTAAGTCCCAAAGTCTTCATTTAGCACCAATGCTCTTCCAGCTGGCACACCGAATCTCGTCTTTCAACATCAGCCGGACTAGAAAATCGCGATTCTCTGATATGCTGTCACTTGATACTTTGGTCTACCTTGATCCAGTATAATCTCCTCTGTATTATGCCCCGAATGTTCACATACATACCAACGAGACGGGTCAACGGCTTCAGATAAGCCATACTCAGGGTACTCGGACCTCGGCTCTTTTCGACCCAGTCGTGCTTCTCCACCCCCTCGCCGCGCCCTTGACCGAATAAACTAGACCTTAGATCCATCACCAATATATTAACATGGCAGAGTATGTGCCAGTCAGTCACCAGCTCTCTGACATAACAAAGCGCTGGAAACGGACGCAGACAGACAGACGTTATAAGCAGCCAGCCGATGCTAGTGTTAGGCAAAGATGGCCGGCCCGAAGATTACGCTCTACGTGGACATTGTCAGTCCTTTTGCGTACATGGCTTACTATATGCTTAGGGTGAGTGGTACTAGTTACGCTTCACGTACATTGATGCCGAAACCGAGGTCTAATCATCGCTCCTGGTGGACAGCACTCCCCCATCTTTAAGCCCGCCAACATAACATACACGCCCATCCTCCTCGGCGGTCTCATGAAAGCTTGCAACAACACGGCGCCCATCCAAATCCGCAACAAAGACAAATGGATCAATACAGAACGCCTCAGGTGGGCCCGCCAATTCCATATCCCCATGAGTCAAGATTTCCCAGCAGGCTTTCCCAAACCAACGCTCCATGTCCAGCGCTTCCTGACCGCCTTGCACATGACACACCCGGACAAGCTCACACTGGCCCTGGACACACTCTACGCCGCATTGTGGACGGAACCGAACGAATCGGAGCTGCCGGACCCGAAAGTTTTCGCCGGCGTGCTCGAGAAGGTCCTGGGTAAGGATGTCGTGGCCGAATGTGTGAGTAAAATGGGTAGTCCGGAGGTCAAGAAAGAGCTCTCGGCGAAGACGGACCAAGCACTGAACGACGGCGCTTTTGGACTGCCGTGGTTTCAGTGCGAGAACGCCGACGGCAGTGTCGAGGGGTTCTGGGGATTCGACCACTTAGGCCAGGTTGTTAGGTTTCTAGGACTGGATACGTCTGGGAAAGGGGAGATTAGAGCGGTTATGTAGGATGGTGTCGGAAGTTCAGCCGTGAAAGTGGAAAGGAGACTGAAGAAGAGGGACTGTACAGCGGTCGTCCTGTGCAGGCCTTCCCCGGTTGTGATCGCCGTTTCGTCATGCGAATGAGCGGGATTCGATGCTGATGTCTTCTGCTGAGTTGTAGGTGTGCTCTTATACTCTTGGGGACTCTCTGGTTGTGAAGCACGCTATCAACGGAGTTCGATCCGTTCCAACTTCGCCGTGCCCATGGACTCCAGCACTCCACAATTACTCAATCCTTCGACATAGCTAGTGCCCACGAATTCATAATGACTGCCGATTCGGCGTAACGCCACAGGGACCGGAAACCCTATGATGGAGAAAAGTGCGTCTCCCTCCTCGGCAAACCGAGGAACAAGTCCAGTGTGTTCACCAGCCACTGTTGCGAGACGGAAGTTGCCCTTAAGCCTCTCCAACGCCAGTCTTAGTAATGCTTTAGCCTCATCCAGTGCGTCCCAGAACTCTTGTCTTTCAGAGAACCTTTCGTCTTGCAGAATCTGTATGGACCTCTGTATGTAGGCCATGGAGAAGTCGTAGTGGTCGCAGCCCAGGGCATGAGTCCTGACCCACTGGCTCAAGAAATACCACCCTGTCACGTCCAAGTGCAGAGGAACATTAACTCTGAGTATATCTTCGTATTTGGCATACATGGAAAGGTAAAGAAAAGCCGCAGCTAGTAAGGGAGTGCGAAGAGGTTTTGGTTGTTGCGCGCACCTCAGCATCAGCCACAATGCCACTCCAAGTCCAGGCTTTCCAGTCGCGTGGTCCTGGTCGGCATTCTTCAAGCTCCTCAAATATTGACTCGCAGAGCAATGCCACGCTTCTAGTGTTGGATCTGGAGGGGTCACGACTCTGGCCACGGGTCCCAAGCACAAGCCGCTCACGAACAAGCTTCGGCCCTGGACGACCGGGTTGTATTGCAAGCACTTCGTAAATAGCACTGGCAGGCGATCACGGGTTTTCAGATCAATTGAGAACATTCTCCAAGAAGAGGATTCAGCTTTTGCGGGATAGTTCGGTACCCAAGAAGGTAGATTGTGTGGGTTTGGCAGGATTCCAATTCCAGCGTCGAAAAGAAACTGAAGGGGGTATATGATGTTATACGGCCCGGTACCAGTACCATCTCCTGACAAGTGCTGCTGATATACCAGAGGCAAAGCGTCCAGCCAGACTCTGACATACTGGATGTAGACTTCTGAGACTGAGGTGGTGATGTTGTAGTCAGGAATCAAGCCTAGTTCTGTGACACCAAGCAGGCCATAGATATGGTCTTTTGGGTTCGTGGCTCCAAGGTTACCCCCAAGTCTTGACGAAAGCAATCTTTCACCGAGACGCAAACCGCCTTCCGTCTGCAGCGCGAATCGGATGGACTGAACTTCCACTGCCGCCCAGCGGTATTGGTCGAGGGCTGACAAGAGACCGGGAGGAACAAAAGTAGGTTTGTTTGTAAGGTCCCGGGCAATTCTCTTCAGCGCTGTTGACGTTGCCGTAAGCTTGTCTAGGTCCAGAAAGTCCAAGCCAAACAAGACAACAACGCGTCTACCACGAGTGACTTCTTGCAGGATCCACGTTCGCCTCCAGTACGGCAATGCCCAGAACCAGAACAGAGAATTCCATAGCCTATTGTCGGCAAATCCTGTATCATCAATAGTGCATAGTTCCGGGTACCTCTGCATCCACTCGAGCGTAGCGAACTCGCCCTGCCTGGAATGCTCTTGGATTTCCATTAACAGCCTGAAAATTTCCAACGCAGCAGCATTATGCGTTTCCGGGACCCCAAGCCATGATAAGATAAGGGCAGCTTCCGAATAAACGCTCTTCATAAGAAGCACCTGCTCATTTCTTTCGCCAACGTCTTGTTGATTGATGCATATCGCATCAACCCAAAGTCTGAGGGTCTGTGGAGCGCGGTCAGGAAATTCCTCCGAGCAGATATCAGTCCACAGTCTTCGGACATGATGAAGGCCGTCAACGAGATTCGTGTAGACGGGATGGATAACCCCGTTAACCAGGATATCCTCTGTAATAGCAGGATCGCCGCAGACATATGATAGTGCCACGAAAGCAGGGGCATCGTCTAGGCTGACTGTCCCCAGGCTACATTCGGTCAATGCAGCGTCTAAGCTTGGAGAGGTGAATTGAAGTAGTCGGATTTCATGCCGAGACGTGTCAAGCGGTGAATACACGTTTCGCGTAGCCTTGTGGAGCTGGCCGATTTCCATACAGTCAATACGAGCGCTTGAAGTGTTTGATGGCTCGCCAACTGTGCAAGGCTGCCTTTAGAGAGATTGAGAAGTACAAATAAAGGTTGGCAGGGAATTCCAGTTGGCGATAATAAACTTGAAAGTGTCTTGCAGGGGCCAGAAGCAGTGTTATTGGCCAAGTCAGCACTAAGGCTGCACTAGCCTTACACATCACACCCTCGTTCAGCCTCCATTGTTGTCGTTAGTCCTCACAAGTCGTTTCAGTTCCGTTTCGACAGTCCCAAGCTCAAAGAATATACTTGTGGTCAAGACCCTGGTCCCCTTCGAGACCGTTCGTGGTAGCTCCCTCTGCAATCAGCTTCTCCTTCTTCTTGTTCCTGGTTCTCAACAAAAGCCAGCAGGAGGCGTAAAGAAATGCAGCTACGACAGTCAGACCAGCAGAAACGCCATTACCCTGAATGTACCGTGGGCCTTGCTGAGTTGGATAGAGCTGGGACGAGACAAAATTGGAGAGGTTTCCAATCGAGCTGGCGAGAGGCATACCAAAGGCACGTTTATCGTCTGGCGCCAGGGTACCAGCTGCCCAAGTGACGGCAAGGGTGGAGATGGGATAGATTCCTGGTCGACAACGTGATTAGCTGAGGAAACAACTTGAAGTAGGATCAGCTCCACGACGGTTCCATAACGTACCAAGGACAAGCACAAACATGGCCGCATAGCCAGCGTGTGCGTTAGGGGTTCCAACGGCTATGAGGTATCCGATCACAACAGGAACGCAGCATCCTATTATGAATATCCCACGACGCTTGAATCTGTCCGAGAGGTAGACGACAGTAACGAGAGAGGCAGCTCCAACGATATATACCGGAATGGTCATGTAATTGACGTGTAGGTTAGCGTATCTAGCCACCGTCAGCATGGTGTTCTGGGTTTCCTCAATGCTAGGAGCAGTAACTCACCCAAGGCCGGCGAGGATAGTCGGTAAGAAGATATTGAACCCATTGATGGCCACAGAAGATGTAAAGAAGGCAATACCAAGGAGGTAGACAAAAGGTTCGAGGAGGGCAATCTTAATCCATCTGCGGTCAAATTTGCCGGCTCCTCGAAACATGGCGTCGCGCTCCTTACGTAGCCGCATTGTTTCCTTCTCTTCAGCATTTAGGAACCAAGCTGACTCCGCCGATTTAGGAAGAAAGATCCAGCATGTCCCTCCGACGACAATGGTAATGCCGAACTCGACGATAAACAACCATCTCCAAGCTGCAAGGCCCCTTTGTGTCCCCATCTGTTGGATAGCCCATGCGAAGAGCCCGCCAAAAGCACCAGAGACACACATTGCCAAATTGTTCGTGATGATTCGCTTACCTGCAAGGTGCCGTGGATATATAGTGGAAAAGAGGTATGCGAATCCCTGCTCAAGACCACCTCCAGCGGCGTTCACAAGCATACGGCAAACGATAGCTTGGGCGTAGTTCTGCACAAAGGCGGTACCCAAGGTAGAGGCACTCCAGATGCAAAATGCGGTTCCAAGGGCCTTATTAGCCCCGAATCGCCTAACAGCCAAAACCCAAGGCACTTCGAAGAGCATGGTGGTAAGGCTAGAAAAGGTGTTGATGTCGCCGAATTGGCGACCGTGGAGACCAATATCCTCGTCGAAACCAAAGACACGAGCATTTCCCAGCTGCAGATCTGTTAGCTCTGTATGATTGCAGAGAAACTGATTATCCTTACATTGTTTCTGTCCAAAGCGCAAAGAACCATGAAGATGAATGAGGCAGGGACCACATATTTGTCAAATTTCCTGAAAGCAGCCTTCTCTTTCTCAGGGTCAATGTAGATGACTTGGCTGGTGGCTCCGGCTTCGACTATTTCACCTTTGACCGAGTAGGTAGTGTCCGTTGGAAGCTGCTTCTCCATCTCGGGACTGGCAAACATTGCGATGGTGGTAAGAAGAAGTAGGGTAAGTACAGGAGATGAAGGCGCTTCGACTCTGTTCAGTACACAGCCGAAGGTACTCAGCAGTGACTGGTTGCACTGTTCGTTTAAAGGACGACTAATCAGTCGGTGTTTGTAGTTTATATCTCTGCATGTTACTCCTTCCTCGTGTTGGTACCTAGTGTTCTCTTGAGAAATCTCTACAACATATTCATGATAGACCAGGTGATAAGCCTCAGCATGCAAGATATCCGTAGTAGATCGGGTCAAGCCGATCTGCTTCTCCCAAGGAGGTGTTTTGATAGCAAGATAACTTGTGTTCGTGGCGTTGAAGAACACGGTGTATTCGTTTCAGCGACTCGATGGTATTCAGACCCCCCGATTATCATTGTTGCGGCGTATTCGATTGTCGCTACACGTCGAAGGGCTGGACGGGCGAGCCTGTGAGATGAGCTGAAGATAAGAATTCTGGCGGCAAACGTAAGCTCTATCAACACAAACTGAGGCGGGAAATGCCACCAATGATCCTTCACAATGGCTTTGTATATTGTATATAACCCTTATCAGACGATCGGAAGATGCCGATGGCCCGATGCAGGTCAGGCCTACCACAACCACAATCGACATCTCGCCATCTAGGTATTTCGATAACATCTTCGCATTTTACCGAACAGTATTCCTAACAATCCAACTGCTCGCCTTCTTCGCATACTCTTGCTTCTCGCTCGCCGTCATCTGCCTCAAATCCAACGTCTTTTTCGGTACCTCGGTCCCCTTAATCACGCCCGGAATCACATACACCCTCTCCTCCCAGCTCTTCACAAGCGGAAAGTCATTGATATCCACGCCCGCCCAGTCCGCAAACAGCACCCAACTCAACACGGAGAAGTCAGCAGTCGTGGCTTTACCGCCCACCAAGAACAGCGACGTAGTCTTGCTGAGATGCGCTTCAAGTACATTATACAGTCGTCGTGTCTCAGTCTGATATCGATCCAGACTATAACTATACCCTTGCCGTTCTTCGGCTTCCTCAGGTGCGTATCGCCGGAAGTGGTTCGCTTGGCCTTGCATTGGTCCCAGACCGGCGTTCTGCCAGAACAGCCAGCTGATCGTCTCGAAGTACTCCGGGGTGCCCGTCGGGTATGAGATTTTGCGCTCAGCGTCGTATCGTTCTGCTATGTAGAGAAGAATCGAGCCTGATTCAAAGATCCGGACTGGTAACCCGTCAGACAAGGTATCGGTAATGGCAGGAATGCGACCATTCGGGTTTATTTCGAGGAACCATGGTTCTTTTTGGACGTTGGTGGACAGGTCTAGATGGTGGACTTTATAGGGCTGTACTAGTACTCAGGATGGTCAATAACACGGTGACCTAAAAAGCGTGGGTGACCATAGGAAAAATAGGCATGGTATTCCAACTTGATCTGGGAATACAGGCTGTGGGGACCGGTGGGTGGCCTCTATAATGAACGAAAGGCCGACTTACCAGGCCTAGGACTTCTAGCGCGATTGATATTTTGATGCCATTCGGGGTCGCTGCCGTGTACAGTGTGATTGTCGACGATGTTGTCGTCTCAGCCATTGTGCGTTTGAGGGAGTTACGCCTGGTAAGTCGGCTATCACTTCTTTCGTTTCAGTCCTGATACTGCATCAACAACTACCTGGTCAGGCCATCTGTGCTGAAGTAGTCCCCTTTATGGGACGATATACTGCCGCGACTGTTGCAATGGTCTGCTTTGGCACAGACCGCCCTCCACAAGCAACGAGCAAGGTTCGGACTTGCGACATGAAGTCAAGATTAACCGATACTCATCCCGCTTTCCCACGGTGACAACCTATCCAACTCTCCCCTAGATTCTGGAACCTCTCATTACAAAGCTCCTTAGCGGAGGATATCTGCATGTGGGGGCTGCCGGTGGAGTCCAGGTCACCAGTAGGAAAGTCTGGGAGGGAATTTTTGCCAGGGCTTACGTGATGTGGCCTGTTGCATGAAGCCCTAGTTCATTGGATACCTCCGCACTCATGTCGGATCAATAGGATAACGGGGACCACGACCCTTGAATGTAAGAAGAATCGTCCCTTCCTCTCCCATGCGAGTCCGGCGGAGATTCCAATGCATGGGCAGGACGCACCATCTGTGCGGACTGCTTGTAGACCCAGGGCGGAAGACTTGCTTTTGACCAGCTTGAAAGCACGACGGTCAAATGTCTTCCACAGGTCAGCTTCACCCCTGTGGCACCAACACTCCGGCGTCGATGAGAACATGCTCAAGTTTGCAGCCTGGGTATTGCGGGCTATAGAATAACCATTGCAATTGCATTCTAGGCCTCCACGTTCACGATACAGTGTTAGGTTCCCAACATGCCTCCACAGATCATTTTGTACGATCTGCCTTCTCGGCCGCCACGACGATGCTGGTCTCTCAACCCATGGAAGAGTGAGAAATCCCTCCAAGAGGCCCTCCAATTTAGGATAGGGGCTTACCCCAACTTCCAACAGCTCGAATGCTGTTGAATTATAAACAACTAGATTATCAGACCGCATGGGTAGAGTATCCTGATGTTGAGGCACTGATCAAACCACAGTAAGTTAAGCGGCCATTCATTCTGGCAGACGTCGTGCTTGCGTAGAGCATTGACACTTGCTGAATCATCTTTTCAATCCCAGTCTTCCGCCGAATGCCGCGGGCATATCATACACAATACCTACCGTTCAACTGCCTAGCGGCGAATGGGTTATGGACTCAAGGACGATTGCCAAGCGTCTTGAGCAGCTGTACCCAGAGCCACCGCTGAACATAGCACTAGATCCCTATCTGGCTGAAATCGAAGACCTGGCAGACCGGACTGCACAGATCGTCTCCCCGGACTTCATTCCCAAGATTGCGAAGAGGGTCCTCGGCGAAAGAAGCTTGGGGTACTGGCATCGGACTCGGGAGGAGTGGTTCATGGGTCAAAAGCTGGATAAGGTGGCAGCTGAAAAAGGCGGACCACAGGTCTACCGAGAGGCTGCACCACTTGTCGCGCGTGTGACCGAGCTCCTGGAACGTAATCGTGCGGGACCGTACTTCCAGGGGAGGATTATCAGCTATACAGACTTTATCTGGGCTAGCTTCTTGCATTTCTTCGAGAAATTGGGTGGCGACTCTCTTGAAGTGCTGATAGGCCCAAATAAGGAAAGTCATCTTGCGCTGCTTGAGGCTTGTCGGCCATGGTTGGCAAGGTATGACCATTAATTGCATACCACAATTGCGAATGCGAGGGATCCGGTAAAAAGCTGCGCTCATTCACGACGCTTGTCCTTCGTCTGGGTGTTGGCTCTGAGGGAGTGGTGTGTCCAAATCCATGTTGAAGAAAGTCTGGAAGTCATTGAAGGATGCGTCGAACTCTGGAAAGTCCGACTCTGGACCCGTAGTCCAATCGAACAATGATGCTGGTGATGTGAAAGGTGGTGCTGGTGGCTGTCCAGAGGTCGTCGTGGAAGTCTTGCTCCCATTTGTTTCAATCGTCTCCAAGAGGGCTGTGATCTTCTGCGAGGCTGTCCGAGCGAACGCGACGGCTTCCTTGTGATATCCAAAGACTTTCATGCCATTATTGATCTCTTGGATGATGTTGATTAGCTTTTTCAATTTTGGTCCAAGTCGCTGTTGTGCAGAATGAGAGCTTGCGTAGAGTAAGAGGGTTACCATGGCGTTCCAGAGGTACGCCATTGCATGAAAAAGGGCGCCTTGCAGGGTCCCACTTGTCAGGACCCCTACAAAAACCGACTGAGTTGTCAAGGTGACAATGTCGACGGCGACATGAATGCAGGTTGCTGCCAGATCCTGCAATTCTTCTGATAGTGCCTCTTTCCTTCTGCTCTTTTGAACCAGCAGGTTGAGGAAAACCCGATGTAATAGCAACCGCATGTGAAGGAATCGGAGCCTGGCAACTAGGCCATGTGGCTCTCTCGCCCATGTACAGTCATGGAACCAGCTATTGAACCAACTTTCGAATGCTCTGTCCGCTTTCCGAAGTGCCTCGCCACGTTCAGCGACACTTTTGTGTCTGAACGAAAGAGAGTAGACATGGTTGTAAGCGTCCCAAGTCACGCAGGCAAATTGACGCATTCGTTCTACGTACTGCAAATCGACCGGAGACGTCTCCAAGTTGAAAGCCTTGATATCAACCTCTCCAGCTTCAACAGCACAAGGGCGACCCAGGAATGCCACCATTTCTCTTTCATATGTGAACAAGCACCAGAATGATGAGCACCATCCGATAATGTGCGGCGTTTGTTCCGTCTGCTTGGGGTCGAATTTCAAATCCCGGTGGAGGCCGATGCCGTACCCAATACGTGATGCCACGCCCAGCACGGTATATGCTTCATGAAATCGATGCTCGTTGCTCAGCCAAAGAAATGCGAGCAGAAGACTGTTGACGGCAGATATGTCGCCTCCCATGAAAGGCACATTGCTCAAAGTCGACTTCGCAAGTTGGAAGCATGCTTCTCCGTGTTGTGGTGAGGCCATTGCCCTTTTCCGCACCTCCTCATCCGGATCAACCAGACTATATTGGTGACCAAGAGCGATCACCATGTACATGACAGCAGTCCAGTACTCGTAACCCTTGCCTTCCGTGGGCAAGCCGTTCCAGTAATCCGCGCAGGAGTCGACAAGCAGTTTTCGATTGAGGATTGGGAAAATGCGATGAGCCGTCTGGAAGTATCGATGTACATACTCGTTCGCAATCGACTCGGCCGGTAGAAGCGCCCCAGAAGCTTTGCTGAAGAATAAGGTCGAGCCTCTACCTAACCATAACTGAGCCCTATTCTCGGGAGAATATATGTCTGCTGGGCAGATTCCCTGGTCCTGATTTTCATTTGCATTTGCCTCGGACGTCTGGACAGCCTCGATAATGACATTGACGGATGAGCCGCCATAAAATTCGGGATGTCTTGGGGCAGTCCTCAATTGATTAATGCCTCGTAATGCGTAAGCCATCTCATTCTCTGGGTTGTTTGCAGTTCCTGCCAACACTTCAGTGCTGTAAAGGAGGGCAGCACCATCACTGTCCTTGGCCGATCCTGAGCCTTCATACAATCGTAGGCGCTCTTCAAGATATGCAATCCTCCTTATGATTGCATTAGCCAAATCTTTTTACACGACGAAAGAGCGCGATATTAACCCGAGGAGACCTAGATCGTGTCTCTCCTAACGACAAGATCGTGACGACTTACTTTACAGCTTTTGCAAGGGTCATGCGTTCAGAGGGGTGGGCGACACCCTCATAGGTACAATGGAGATTCTCATGTTGACAAGCTCCGCATGGACTGCGGCCGTCGCACTTTGAATTTGAGTCAGTAAGCCTTCTATCTCAGCAGCTTGGACTTTGTAAAGCCGTATGGCTAGAACCTCTTGATAACAGTTTCTTTGTGCCGTTCAGAGGTTGCGACTGGGCTGCGGGTGAGGTAAAGCACTTGAAGATACCTTTCTCCGCAAAGCCCTACAATGATTACAGGCCTGCTCTGACCTGATTCTCTTTTTTGCGAGAATCACGGTTGAAGCTAAGGGCGAGTCATAAGCCCTTTTGCGATTAAGATTGGCGGCGTTGCTGGACATCGGATGGAGTTACAGTATTCACGGAGTCGAGAGGAAGAGAAGGTTTGTAAAGCTGAGAGCAAGTTGGTTCCGGGAAGGTCGACTTTTTACTTAAATGCACGTAGCAGGTGCTCCCGTCTCTGAGTACCTACCTAGGTATAGACTCAGTTAGGCACTTCCCGCCTATCATTTCGAGGCACCCCGGTTAAGCGAGCACTAAGGATGAACCTAGTTCGCTAACCCGAACCTCTTACACTAGCCTAAACAACCCTGCGAATCGTACCGCCCTCTGGATCGATCCATGTCCACAAACTTCCTGGTACTTCCCATTGAATAGCAACGTTCACAACGACGGCGATACTTCTTCATGGATATATCCTGTATCATTGGTTTCGACCTGATGCCTCTTCTCACTTGCTTCGGCTAGCATGTCGGTGGCCTCGCTACTGGTACCCTTGACAAACAGTCCATCGATTTCTTCCAGAGACAGTCCTTTCGTCTCGGGATAGAACAGCCACACTAGAAAAATTAGCCACCTAGGTATATTCAACAAGTTAGCGTTGTCGACGTACCAACTGGCAACTGAATGAAGGTCATGATAATAAAGATAATGTAGAACTTCCAACCTAGATTCGCGATTCCGATTGGCGCAATCTTGACTGGAAACGGTGAGCATGGGTCGCTTGAAGCCGAACATCAACTCACCTGTGACGAATGCAAAAGTCCAGTTGGAAAATGCTTAATGGAGTTCGTCAGCAGCGGTGAGGAAGAGAATCATGAGACATTACCGTTCAAAGCACCACCGACGTGTCGGTATCGGACTGGCACCAATTCTGGACCGTAAACCCAGGCTCTAAAATGACGGTCAGTGATATCCATCGGCAAGGAAGCATGGAAAGTACGTTGAGAGCCAGCTCCAGCCGAAGACGAACATGATCGCGCAAGTTGCACCAAATGCAACCCACAACTGAACTTTTCCGCCATCCTTTACCATGATCGTGTAGATCACGTAGAGGACAAACATTGGGACGGTGCCTGACATCAGTAACTTCTTGCGGCCAATTCTGTCGATGAGGAAGATGCCTACAATGGACCCTAGGAGGAAGGCAATCGAGACAATACCGCCGAGGATGAGAGCCAGACCATGTTCGAAGCCCAAGGTGATGAATATTGAAGAGCTGTAGTAGACAACGATTTGCGTCTTCTTTGGTTAGCATGAAATTTGAACATCAAGTCGGACCGCTCACCCCTGTCATCTCTTGCAGTACCTGGATCACCATAACCAAAGTCAGCCTCTTCAGGATTTGATCACCTGACCGGTTGAGGAAGATGTCCTTGATACTGGTTTTTCCCAGACTGTTCTCCATTTCGATTGCCGCCAGAATCTCCGCCGCTTCGGCTTGCACGATCGGGCTGTCGACAGGCTGAGCTTTCAAGGCTGATAACACGGCATTCCCCTCTTCGATGTGATCTTTGAAGTACAAATAACGAGGACTTTCTGGCAAAAATGGTAGACCGGCCAGCGTGAATAACACGAAGATGATCTGGAAAGCAATCGGAAACCGCCAAACGATCTGGCCATGGAGATGGAAGAAGCCATAATTGACCCAATATGCAATCTCGGAACGTCCGTTAGTGGGCGTCCATCCTGGACGGGAGTGTTACTTACGACGATGCCCAAGATGGCAGTGGTCAGTTGAGTAGCGATGAGCTTTCCACGATGTTCGCTCCTTGCAGTTTCGGCCACCCAAGTCGGAATAATCGCTGTGTTGACTCCGTTGCCAACTCCGGTGATTATGCGCGCCACAATCATCTGTGCGACGGAATAGCTTGACGCCTGAAGTGCTGCCCCTATAATTGTGACAATGCAGCCAAAGGTGATGGCAGCCCGGCGGCCATATCTGCCGCCCCAAATTGCAGCAGCAAGACATCCTACCATGTTCTGGTTCGGTTAGCAATGAGAATGTCCGTAAGCGCTTTCGAAACAAGATCATTCTCGTGGACTTTCGGGGACTCACTCCAATGTCATAGATCGAGACCACCGTCGACAATGTGTCAGGGTCATCAGGCGCAATACCCAAAGCTCCGAGGAAATCTGAGCCGGAGATAATTGAGCCTAGGACTCCTTGGTCGTAACCGAAGAGCAGGAAAGCACTGCCCGCACACAATGTGATGGCCCAGGACAGAGATTGGCCTTGAAGACCCAGGAATGGTTTTCCTGCTTTTGTCATGTTGGTAACAGATGGTTATGCGGTGAATGGCTTTGGGTCAACGGTTGATGCAATGATAGTCGTGGAAGTAATAGCTCTTTATAGTTGACGTTCGGAGGCATTGACATCCTTCCCTTGGGTGTATTTCCCGTCCTGTTTCCTCCCAAGTTTTGTCTTTCACTTCCCGCAAACATAGTGTACAGCTCGCATAGGTACCACATCTGGCACAGTGGTACCCATCAAAACCTGGCAGCTAAGAACGGTGGCAGTGGCTGGCCCACGGGGAACCCCACGCATAGTCCAAACTCAATCTGAAGCATTATCCAGTAGGATAATCTGGGTGGTGATAGCGTCTGTCGCTTCTTTCATCTGTAGATGTGGGTTTCGGATTTCCAGACGAGAGCACAGAGCAGCCCAGCTCTACTATTGATGGGTCCAGAATCTGCACTGAGACTTCGTTGCTTCCCGAGTTGGTTTGAAGTCCCCTCGTCAAATGATTAAATCTCGGTCGATTCCTTCATAAAGTCCCCAGGAATCCGCCGCTGCTCTTGGAAGCATCAGAAAACACGAGTTTTTGTCGATGTTGAGATTTGCTGTCATGGGTTCGATCTCAATTCCTGCGCTGTCTTCCGTAGACCATCCTCTTTCTTATCCTAAGCCCCTTGAGCGACAGAGAAAATACTTCAATCTCGATCAGAAGGAGAAGGGACATGATGGGACCATCAAGGAGAATTGGGGCTCGGAACGAGAGTACTCCCCTTTAGTCGTGCAAAACTCTCCCCAAGACAAAATTCTATACATCTACGAGCGACAACACATTGTTGACCTGTGCAACACTTATGCGTACACCCTGGATTCGACCATGATGGATTTGAAAGTTGCAGAAGACTGGGCGAACCTCTTCACCGAAGATTGCGTAGTGACATACCCATTTGGCACACATCATGGAAGAGAAGGCCTCGCAAAATTCGGCATGATTGCTGAGTCGCGCTTTAAGCGAATGCTAGTATGTCTCTCTATACCTCTCAACTCCTCGCGCATTCTAACCGGTCAATAATAGCACATTGCCGCCAACTTTACCGTCTTTTTCGAATCAGACGATGTGGCTCATGCCCGGTATACATGCTTCGCCACGCATGGCAGAAGTGAGCATGATTTGTCTGAGCATTTCATGGAGGGAGGGTATTATTATTCGACTTTCAGGAGAGTACACGGTGATTCCGGTGATATCTGGAAGTTCACCAATCTTACCTTGGAGATGATCTGGACTTTGGGAGACTCGATAGGCTTGAATGATCCTCGTGACAAATAAGTCCCATGAGAACATTTATACACCGTCGAGGAACTCAAATGCATCCAAGAAGTGCCAACTAGAGACATTAGATAGATCTGGTGCTTCTGTGAACACTTTACAATTAAGACCGACTTGAAGGCGTGTTGCAGTCGTCTTTACGCTGGCCAATGCTATGGCGCCGCAGTGTAGCTAATTTCAACTTTTTGAGAGCCTGAGTTACGACAGCCTAAGCGTAATGTGAGGTAAGCGAGGTTGCTTTGCGTCCAAATTGTCTGATCCCAACGATACGGTTGTCGGTTGAGCACAGTTGAGGTTGAAGGAAAGAGTCCGCGAGCCGGGGGAGACCACAGGGCGGCATCACCCTATTCCCAACAGGGGTGAGCTTGTCACATGATGCATTAGGCCAGCCTGGGAATAGCCCAGTTGGCACACCTCTTCTCTTGCCCCGCGCTCTCTTGTACATACTTACTCGTCTTTTCCATCGTGTCAGAGACGACCATACAAACAATCAATGTGCTATTGTAGCCACCAATCCCTTTTCCCTTCTTATTGATGCCGTCCTATTCAGAGCTGGGTGTCGATTTACCTCGTCTTGGCCGCAGTAGATGAAACGCGCCGCACCTATGAAATCATCTTCAAGACAGGCTACTTTCAACCGGGAAGAAAAAAGAACAAGGGTTCCAAGACGCCGCAGAATGACTTTTACTGCAGTAGACCTGCTGTAAGCTGCCACTCAACTGCCACTTAATGTTGGCCGTAGCTTTGGTGAGAGCATAGCCTGATCTTCATGTTTCAGCACCGAGCCTTGTACGGTATCCCCTCTCTCAGCCTCCATTGTTGTCGTTAGCATTTACAAGTCGTCCGGGCCCCATTTCGACTGTGCCCAGCCTGGTTGAGCTCCTGTCAATAGTCAGTTCCGCCACCGGACTTGCTCATTGTTCGTCAGTGGGTAAGGACCATGGTTGGGATGCGGCTTCGGCCTGATTCGAGGTCGAGGACTTCCTCTAGTTGCCGCAAAGTGCAAGCTGCCTGGATCAGCCAAACGCCTCCCCAACTCTTTCGCCAGCAAGGATGAGCCATTGGGCTGCAGGCAGCATACAAAGCACTAGAAGGAATGGTCGTCCTTCCACACTGTCTTCGTGTGCAGAGGGCGAGGTAATGTGGAGACCTCAGTCAGCCAATCTTTTCGATTTTCAGCACGCCTTTCTCCTTTTTACCATCCTCTCCTTCGAGAGCAATAAAATCCCCTTTCTCCAGCCGCCGTATCCACCTAGTAGATTCTCCTCTGGCCAGAATGAAGGTGAGTCTTGCACTTGCTGACTCCATAGCTTTGAAGGCCGCACCCGGAAGAGGGGTATATGTCCATCGTCCGAAAGCCCAGTTCAAAACGTACAAGCTCTGGCCCTCTGTGTCCACGGCAATGCCTGGCTTCTGCTCACCGGTGGAGTCAGGTGGTGGTTTTGACGACAGCACAAGTCCTTTGATGCGGTAGACCTCGTCTTTCGGCGCTGACAGGAGCAAGTCTTCGAATGAATCGAGCACGACACCCTGTGGAGGCTTTGACGTGTCTTGATTGTGCAATACGACACTGAGGACCTCGACTTCTTCTTGGTGATGCGTGTGTGGATGTTCATGGCTGTCAAGATGGTCGTGGGCGTGTTCTTCGTTGATCTCGATGGCTCCGCGTAATCCTTGTGCACGCACCATAGCGCCGTCAATGCCCATGATGAGCTCAACGTCGACCCAACCTTTGTCACTCTTCACCCACGCGACCTGGACATCGAGATCGCCCACACGGTCCAGTGCATCATCAAATTTTCGTTCATCGACGAGTTCCCATTTGTTGAACACAATTAGGTCGGTATACTTGGCTTGCATTTTTGCGGTGTAGCTCGTATCATCATAGCCCTGCCAGTTCTCGACGTCGATGACGCTGATGACACCATCGAGCGAGAATGTGCCCGGATGTTCTCGGCCTACCCGATTGACCTCCATCGCTAGGGTGGCAGGAAATGCTGAGCCAGACGTCTCGATGATGATTCTGCTCGGGTGTACAGAATCTCGAAGTTGGAAAAGAGCATCACTGAGCTGACCGACCAGGTTGCAACAGATGCAGCCGTTGAGGAGTTCCTGAACGCCTGATATGGAGGCTGAGCCCGCAAGTTGAGAGTCGACAGCAACATCGCCGAATTCATTCTTCAGGAGGGCGAGCTAAGCTCCGTCAGCATGATACTTGGTACCTGGGAATATTTTGTCTCGGACTATTCCGCTGAACTCAACACACACTTCGGACGCGCAGTATCTCCTGACTGTGAAAATGGCAATCATGCAGCGGATGGCCTTACCTTGTAGTCTTTGGGCAGCTGGGGGATAAGGTTGAGGATGAGAGTTGTTTTCCCAGCACCCAGGAAGCCAGTTATGATTGTGACGGGTGTGGGTGCCATCTTAGGGGAAGGACTTCAAATCGTCCTTTATCAGTCGCGACAGAGTGCGGAAAGCAGCGTATACCAAACGAATGAAGAAGCTTGACTAGCAGGAAGCGATGATTGGCAACGAGGTGAGGAAGTAGTTGCTTATAAGCGAGTATGGATGGATAAGGTGAAAGTCCACAGACAAGTGCTCAAGAATGGTGGGCAGTTGACATTGAGGTTCGTTGAAGTCGCTGGAGGAAAGCTCGCTGGAAATTGTGGACTCAACACGTGATATGATACAATGCAGGCTGTCTTAGGGACGAGCTTTAAACGTGTAGCAGCAAGTACAGCGATTTATAGGATGTCTAGGAGGATATGTATGTGCTGATTAGAGACCACAGGCGAGGCTTGCCCCGAAGTGGCGAGCAATGACTTGATAACATGTAGAAATGTCTATGTGAATTGAATCATCCCTGCTACAGGGAGAGTAGTGTCTGATAAACAACTGGTGTGCTAAATGTCGAAAAGAGCGTGTGACAACAGTAAAGAAATGTTTCTAGATCCAAGAGTCCTGACTTGAGCCGGGCTTCCAACAGGATTTCCCAAAGTCATATCGATGCCATCCTCGTCGGAGTATAGTCTTTCTTTTTCAATATCCAAGCAGTGCGGAGGCCCCAGGCTCACTGGAAATGTAGACCACTTCGTGATCGTCGTTGTACCCATTGAACTTGGTAGCTGAGCATTTGGTATAGGCACCCATGTTCTCGAAGAACAGCCAGTCCCCGATGTTGATGACTCCCGGTAAGTAGATCTGGTCGGTGATGACGTCGATTCCATCACAGGTGGGCCCCCAAATGGAGTACTCAACCATTTCATCGGCAGCCGCTGCAGCGGAGAGGATTTGAGGAATCGGATGTTGATGGTCGAAGATGATGTTGGAGAAGTTGCCGTAAACACCATCGTTCAAATAGAGCATGTATGCGTTTTCGCCTTCATTGTCACCCGCGACTTCACGCCTGGCAATGACGTTGGTAGCCAGTGTGAACGCATTGGAAGTGTAGTATCGGCCTGGCTCTCCGATAACACGTACGTGAGACGGAAAATGTTCCTCGAGAGCTTCATGCAGATTCCCAGCAAACATCTCGAAGGTCTCGTCGACGAAGCCGCCACCGACATCAAGTAATTTGAGATCGTAGCCGAGCTCGGCTGCCTGGTCGAAGACGAACCGGGCGTCCATGACCGCCTTCCCAAAGGAATTCGGATCACTAGCTCCAGACCCGACATGGAAGCTGACGCCAACGATGTTCAACTCGAGGTCCTTCGCCAACCTAAGCAAGTCCTTCGCATCGTGCAAGCTTGCACCATATTTGGCGCTGAGGCGGCACAAGCTGGTCGAATCATCCGTCAAAATTCGGAGGACTAATTCGGCTTCAGGATAGCAGTCCTTGATCTTCCGCAGTTCGTCGGAATTGTCAAAGGTCATCAGCGTGACCCCGACCTTTCGAGCATGCCGGAGGTATGATTTTGTTTTGCAAGGTTGAGCATAGATGATGCGGCTAGGTGCTACGCCAAGACCAAGCACCATGTCAATCTCAGCCCTAGACGCACAATCGAAGCCGGTGCCCAATTTTGCCAGCAAACGAAGCACTTCTGTGTCTGGGTTGCATTTGACCGCTATTGAACAATTAGCTCAGGTATAAGACTGGCGATCGCATGTGAGACTCACCATAGAACGGCTTGACACGAGCCAGATTGATTTTCCAGCGCAGGTGCTGGCGGTAGACCTCGCCTAGATCGGCCACATAGAATGCATCTTCCTCGCCGGGCTCACAAGTATCAACATTGACACGAGCAATGTGTTCGTGGAGAACCTTTTTGATTAAGGCCTTGGAGGCAAAGCCAGTCACATCGGATTCGACGCCATGATTGTTGTCGAGATAATCGACTTTATTGTCATTCAAGACAGTGGTTTCTTGGTGGTCAATGGCAATAGCAGAAGGTGCCATAACCATGCACACTTAAATGTTAGGGTGGTTTTCTGGATTCCGCTCCTCTGGGGATCTGGCTTTGCCTCACTGACTCTCCCTCACGAGGAGGAAGAACCTCGAGTGACGACCTATGCGGCAGCTGAAATTGGGGAGACTGTTCGCTGGGGGTTTCAAACTGAAAAGCAGAAAGCGGGAGTGCCGTGTGAGAGTTCAGCAGGAGGTGGACGAGTGTTGAGAATATGTCGGTGTTTGCAAGATGATGCAGTTTGAAAGCGCAGGGCAAACGATGTCGCTGCCGTGGTATTGGCTGCCTTTGGGATGCCAAAGGCAAGTAAATTAGAGGACTGGATGATCTGTATCTTGATTAGACACAGATGATGGCGGGTGATCCCAATGAAGGTGAGTTGGAAAGGTGGTGAAAGGAAGAGCTCTGTGGTGTTGATAAGGGAAATTTTTTATTTTACTGACGACAGTTTGGACAGTTTGGTGGGGGGCAATTTATTCCGCAATTCTCGGAAGGCGATCGATCGAGGCCCCAGCAAAAAATCCAAGAACCCGTCCTTGCGGTGAATCAGAATTACAATGCCATCTGACATGTCATTGTGAATCAGCGCTAAATCTGCAGTGTCATTTGTGGCATTGGATTGGCCTTGCACGGCTCTGCTCGTCTTTGTTCCGTTCCCCGCTGAAAGGCTGAGTTTTCACCACCCACAAGACGCGGTGATCCGAGTAAGAGTGAGTGAGGCCCAGTGTGCGCGGGAATTTTCCATGTCACGTGACATATACGTGGCGACGTGGAAGCCCTAACGCTGCCTCGGCCGTGGTCCGTCTAGCCGAAGACTTTCCCGCAGACCGCCGTTGAAGGGGGGGCGGGGGGCGGCCCTGGGGAGGCAACATAGCTGAGACAGATGCTGTGTCGTTTCTCCGAGCGGGATCGTCCGATGGAGCAGAGGAAGACATAACTTCAGCCCGACTTTGGCGGCGGTCGGAATGTGTAAGTGTAGAATTCAGTCATGGGAGGCTCCGTGTCTTGCTCAGTAATTGTGTGAGGTAGAGGGATGTTGAGCGTCTCGGCAATATCGAAGTTGGTTTGTTGCATTCGTTCAAAGAAGATGGTGTCGGCTTCGTGTCGTCGTTTGAACCCGACCAGAACCAGCACATTCGGTGTACGAGTGGCCAACTGCCTCAGAGTCTCTACCAGATGAACGCTGCTGTCAGGATTGTAGATGCAATCCGAAACCAAGATGAGATCGTAATTCGCATTGGAACTATCATCAAGACTTGAAGCCCAGTCCAAAACCTCTGCTTTGATCGTAGACCCGGCCAATGGCGAAGCACACTGTAAATTGCTTGCCAGAATCTCCTGAGCATCATCCAAGTCGGTAAGGAGCATGTCGCATTTGACAAGCTGAGCAAGAGCAACGCCAACAATGCCACAGCCAGCCCCTAGTTCCAGCACCCGCAAGCGTCTTACCTTGCTGGACTTCATGAGAGCAGCAAGTTTGGTCACGCCCTTTGTTGACGTGGGCGACAGGGCTTGGGTAAAATACATTAGAAACCCTAAACCAGCATCCCTTTGAACCATTACTAGTCAAACTAACTTCAGCGGGGATACATACCAGATATGTCGCGCGATACTGTCGCCGGTTTCCTCCCACATGCGAACTCGGCTTTTGTTGGGCAACATGAGCTGCCGCTCCACGATGGGCTCAGTCCGGTGTTTGTCAGATAGAGGAAAGGTCACACTCCAAACATCGAGGATATTGGGCACGTCAAACGCTGCCAGGGTAGAGGTTGTTGCCGGGGTCGTCACATGAAGCCGTACAGATCTTGACGTATACTTGCCAGGACAGTTGACAATGACTTTGAGGGCCCTGGCCATAGCCTGCCACTTGACGGTTTGAGAATGAAGCACCCCATACGGACGATTAGCTTCTACAACCTCGACAAGAAGATCAGCATCCAGCGGGTACAGAGCGTCGCCTAAGTCTGTGGTGACTGCAACCACTGCTGAGATGTCGATTGTCTTCTTGCCAACATCCGTCTGTGGAGTGCGTAAGAATCGAACGTAATGAACCATGACCGCAGTGGTAGATTGTGAGATGACTGAAGAGCGTGGAAAGGGTGGAGAGATGGTTTGGGATCAGCTGGACTTTTGTCTAGCCAGCGAGGCAGGGTGAAGCGATCCGGAGAAATGTGTTTCCCCGGTTCCGACTGTGACTGGCTTTCTGGCCTTGCTGGGCACGGAGAGGACGGCTCACCAGGCTGATGTTATTCAACTGTCATTCCAACGCTGCGGCTGGAGGATCCACGAGTATCCCGCCCACTCGCCTGAACCCCAGACAATCGCATACCGCACCTGGTCTGCCCTTCCCTACTCCCTACCCTCCTTACCACAAGCCTGACTTGCAATTGTTTCCAACAATACCTCTTCTCAAGCATGGCAAATGCCACACTGGAGCGCATCGATTCAGCGCCTCGGTCCAATCCCTTCTATAGTGCAAACACGCCAAAAGCCGCCCCCTTCAGCCTCCCAACATGAACAACCCCGAGTTTCGACAGACCCTTCAACACATCACTCACAATCTCGAGACAGCGAACCAGGCAGCTCAAGAGAACATCTATACCTTTGCCCAACTCTACATTGATCCTTGCCTGTCCGGAGTCAAGTCCTGCATCTACGACTGCACCGCTCCATGTTTTCCGAATAGAGAAGACAACTTGCGCCGGAAAAGAGGGAGGTCGCAGGGCAGGGCCGAATACAATTTTGACTTCTATGATGCCTGGGATGACGATGAAGCACTCGCGGAGGGCTCTACGGCCTGGGGCAATGATGAGCTCGACAGTCTGCTGGCCGGGCAAGGGGCGCGATCAGATCAGCCGAAACGACCACGAGCAATGAGTTACGGTTCTCGAGGACGACGGAAGACGACCGTAATACAAGGAGACTCCGGTCAGGATCCCACTATAATCCCTAGCTCGTCATATCTGGGTTTCTTGGAACGATTGCCTTGGAAGATTGGCGTACGAAAATTGCGATACAAGCCTTCGGCGGCGGACCTACAAGAGAATCCCGGAGGCAACAGAATACGAGATGCCGAAGTTGAGCCTCTGATTGAAGAACATGACGAAGACGATAACACATGGAAGAAGGGACACGGCCGAACTAGGAGCGACACCAACGCTTCGCGATCGACCACAAATTCACTTAGCTCTAGGGGAGATTTGATCATGAGTGACGAGGAGGACGATGCCGTTCCCATCGACGACGAATTTGCCTCCGTCATGCTAGCTCGCCGATCCACCAATCAAGGCTCAACTGAGGATCACAGCAGCGGCAAGACAAGGACACCCAGTGGAAAACGCCCAGGAGCCTCTCGCAGGTCGACCAGAACAGCGTCTTCCAAATCCCTGAAGAGCCCTAGCATGCAAAGCCCCAGGTCAACCTCACAAAGGAGTCTTGCACCCATGTCACCAACCCCGGTCAGAGAGCATCCCGTGACGCCTACAATGCTGGATCTCAGACGCCAGGAGGAAGAAATTGCACGGGAGGAAGAGTTGGAAATCAAGCAGAAACGAGAAGCCGCCCATCGGCTAGCCGTGCAACGAGGGCTAAGTTCAGGAGATGTCAAGCATTCGCCAGATAATGAAGCGGATGTGTCAACAATGGAGGACGAGGGCACCACTGCTGACCCCCAAAACGGGATCCAAGAAAGCGACTCGATACTCTCGGAGCCACAGTCCAGAACTGAAGAGCCTGCAGAGCAATCCGAACCGACCGCAGCAGATGGAAACGATCCGACTTAATGAGAGGATAGCATTACGACGCGCAAAGGACCATAGCGGGTTGGCATATGGGCGGCGGGCTCTCGCGCTTTAGCTGATTACGACCTAATGACTGCAGCGGAATGAATTTTGTGTATGTGCTGAGGCGAGATATACTCATACCTAGACTGTACAGCTGTGTATTATTATTGTGAAATCCTCGCATTTATCCATCCACGTCTGTACTCTGTGCTGGGACAGGATCCTACTTGATCTGATATTTATATGCGCCATTTAGGAAATTACCTCTCCTTATCATTGCAGGGTCCGGAGCGGGACCGGCCTATCTGTGGCTGGCCGACCAATATCACTCCGCCTGCGACACCACGACCTGCGCAGCACTCATTTCTTTTCCCCTTCTCTTCCAACTCCCATGTTCAACAATGCGCTGTCGTAGCAGGTCTCATCGGACAGCGATTGATTCTGCCGCAGCTGGGAATATGAACTCGTAAGGCCCGATCTGCCTGATCTATCTAGACGAACTTCCTTATGCCGAGCACCCTCACCCTCACCCGCCATGACGAAGCCTCCTACTACCTTTCGCATTGACATGGATGACAAGAAGTCTTGGAGTCCCGAGTCCTCGACCGACCCGTCCGCCTACGAGGGCGATATGCACCAGGTCAAAAGAACATTTACACGGCGGCTCACCGAGAGCTTCAAACGAGACCCGAATGCGAGCGTCACACGATCCTCCTTCAGCGCTGCCGACCACCATCACCACGCGTACGATGCAGAAGCCGCCGCACAGGCGACTGCCTTCTCACCGTTGCTACGTCGACTAAAAGGCCGACATCTCCAAATGATCGCCATCGGCGGTAGCATAGGCACGGGGCTGTTCGTAGGCAGCGGGAAAGCGCTGGCTTATGGAGGTCCCGCATCACTCTTGCTCGCATTCAGCCTGACGGGCGTCATGCTGTATTGTACAGTGCAAGCGCTGGGAGAACTGGCCGTGCTGTTCCCAGTCGCTGGCTCTTTCGCCGCCTATTCGACACGATTCCTCGATCCAGCATGGGGGTTTGCCATGGGTTGGAACTACGCGATGCAATGGCTGGTGGTCCTGCCGTTGGAAATAGTGTCCGCTTCCATCACAGTCGACTACTGGGTATGTTTTGACCCTCTGGGTGCTCTACAGGTCAATGAAATCTGACGGCGCACAAAAAATCCAGGTTCACAATGTCGGACTCAACGCTGCATGGGTCTCCGTCTTCCTCGTCATGATTTGTCTTATCAACTTCTTCGGCGTCAAAGCCTACGGCGAGGCGGAATTCGTCTTCTCTATCATCAAGGTCACGGCTGTGATAGGATATATGTACGAACCCGACCCTGTGCTTGTGTTCTTTCGATTCGGGTCGTGAATACTCCGTACTGACTCTGTGACCAGCCTCTTGGGCGTCCTCATCAACATCATGGGTGGTGTCGATAGCCAGGGCCGGCCAGATGGAAGCTACATGGGTTTCCGTCTGTGGCACCACCCGGGAGCCTTTCACAATAGTTTCAAAGGCCTTTGCAGCACTTTCGTCACCGCGGCCTTCGCCTTTGCAGGGACGGAGCTTGTCGGTCTGGCTGCCGCAGAGACAGAAAATCCCAGAAAGACGCTACCGACCGCTATCAAGCAGGTCAGTCGCATCTTTCCCTTTGATTGACATCCATAGTTAACAAGCAGCACAGGTCTTCTGGCGTATCACCCTCTTCTATGTCGTCAGTCTACTGATTGTCGGCACTCTCGTTCCCTACGACGACCCCCGGCTTCTTAATGGCCGGAGCAGCGCTGATTCCAAGTATGTCGCCTTCTTTCCTTTTCTCGACCCATGTCCACGACCACTTTCTCTTCTTTGGACCAGTACCTCGCTGCGTTGGAATCATGCTATTTTCCTCTCAGCGTCAGCCCAAGTCTTCTGCCCCCTGCCCCCCCCCCTCCTTTTTTTTTTCCCAGGCACCGACTAACCCGTTCATCTATGCAGAGCATCACCGTTTGTAATCTCGATCCAAAACGCCGGCATCTCCGTCCTCCCTTCGGTCATGAACGTGGTCATCATGATCTCCGTCCTGTCCGTCGGCAACTCATCCATCTACGGCTCCTCACGCACTCTGGCCGCGCTCGCCGAACAGCGCCAAGCCCCGTCTTTCCTGGCCTACATCGACCGCAAGGGCCGGCCCCTGTACGCCATCATCATCGCCTCGGTGCTGGGCCTGCTCGCCTTCCTCGCCGCCTCGCACAAGCAGCAAGACGCATTCAACTGGATGCTGGCGCTCTCGGGCCTCTCCTCCATCTTCACCTGGGGCAGCATATGCCTCGCGCACATCCGCTTCCGCAAGGCCTGGGCCCTACAAGGCCACACGCTCGACGAACTCGCGTTCCGCAGCCCCGTGGGCGTCGTGGGGTCTTGGGTCGGCCTGATTTTCAATATCCTCGTGTTGATCGCGCAGTTCTGGACCGGTTTCAGGCCCGTCGGGTACGCCAGCGACTCGCCGAGTTATCTCGTCATCAACTTTTTCCAGGCGTATCTGGCCGCGCCCGTTGTCATCGTCATGTACGTCGGCTACAAGCTGTACATGAGGACGAGTATCATCAGGGCGAGGGACATGGATGTTTTCACCGGCAAGCGAGAAATGAATATCAAAACTCTCCTTGCCGAAGAAAGGGCCGACAGGCTGAATTGGCCGACGTGGAAGAAGATTTACAAATTCTTTTGCTGAGTACCGTATGGAGTTGCTGTGGAGGGTGGCGTTCTGTTTCCCACAGGATGTACGGATTTCCGGGACACGAATATGACCCTGATGAGTATGATATTTTATGGGTTCGTACAGCGAGCAGATCGGGTCTGGCACGAAGGACGCGTGGCCGGAATCCTATTATATTCAATGACAAAACAACTGCCGTTACTGCCATGTTTCCATGTTTCAATCTCGGTCACCTTGAACTCCTACCCCCTTTGATCGAGGCGATCGCACTCCTCCTATGGGCACTTTCGGCAAACAGCGCCCTGATCAGATCGACCACCTCATCGGCCGAAAATTCCAAGCTCAACTCGCCCTCGGTCCATAGATACTTGATATCCACCAGCGAGCTCTCCAGGATATTGATCAGATACTGAAACTTGAGCCAATTCGTGACGTACACAGCTGTCATCGGGACGGGGTCGTGTTTCTGCTCTTCCGCGCTAGGCGGCGACGAGAGGAACAGATCGTCCAGTGAAGCGATCTGTTGACAAAAGGCCGTCAATCGGCGTGACTCGGGCTCCGATATATCTTCCATTTCCTCGATCGAGTCAATGACTTTGCCGATGACCATAGTCACCAGCGAGCCGATACTCTGCATCAGCGCGGACGTGGAGAGGATTGGTCTCCAGGTTATGTGGAGAGCGCGAATCCGGTCGACCACGGCCGACACGGCGTTTTCAATTTCTTGCGAGTAGGGGAACTGCGTGCACGACGTGAAGCCTTGTGCGCCTTCGAGGAGATCCCAGACAATGAGTCGTTGGGTTTCCATTTCCTTTGAATATGCAAGCCGGGCAAATTTCTCCATTGCTTTGACGTCGGAGTCAACGTTGGGCATCCTACCGTCCACGCTCATGCCGCGCAGGCGTTCGGCAATGTACAGTGAGTCGTTGTACCGGTGGATGTCGGTCAGAGAAGGTGATGACCCGTAGTAACTTGGTGCCGTGGCGCGGAACATTGCCAGAGCTAATGTGGGAAGAGCAAGTAGACCCCTCGATGCTGACGACGAGTTGAGTCCGTCGTGCCCAGTTTCGAGGATAGTCTGGGCGTCAGATATGTCTTTGCCTATGATCTGGACCAGGTGGTCCGGAATATCGGTAATGCTGTAGAGTTCGGTCAGGGTGACTTCCTGCTCCTCCTGTTTTGTGTCTTTGGCGCCGTTCGGTTGTTTGTGGTCGTCCTTGGTTGGTGGCTCCGACTTGGTCTCAAGAGGACTGTCATCACCCCAGCCCCATGCGTCACCACCATCTTCCTCGTCGGGATTTGTCAAGGCACCATCCTTATCCTCATCATTTGCTTTGGCATTACTCTCGGTATCGTCTTCGTCATCGAAGCCCCATCCGCTAGCGTCTTCATCTTCTTCTGCCTCTGCCAATTCTTTACTTGCCTGCTTCTCTTTGTTGTCATCATCCCAATTTACGTCCCAATCATTTGTTTCTCCCTCTGCTTCGCTGCCGTGCTCTTCCGTTCTCGTGGGCATGGTTTGTCGTTCAACCCTCTCTACCTGCCGCAGGGTCCCCTTAGAAGCCACAAATGCCTTGCGAACAGCGTCAAGCGTGGCTGCCTTGCGCTTGTTCAGCCAAGCACGTGGAATGTCCTCGATCCAATCTTGAAGCTGCTTCTGTCCCTCCCATTGCAATGACTCGAGCTCTTTCAATAGTCTTATCACTCGTGCTTGCAGGTCGTCGAGTCCATCAAGCATCGTGAGATCCGTGGGCAGCCCAGGATTGAGCCAATCATTAACCAAAAGCGTCATCAAATCAGACATGATTGCCTTTGCCGCTGCTAAGCGTATCGTGCTGGCAACTGACGACTGCAAAAATTTCAGAAAAGCCAGGACGAAGTCCAATGCCGTCTCTGTAGAAGATCCTTCCCTACCGAGTTGGATTCTGATACTACTGTCTCCCACCTCGTAGGTTGTCATTCTCAACCGACTCGATTGCCTTAGCGGTTGCAGTACAAAGGCTTTGAGCTTGTCCTTCAAAGGCTCGAGCGAGTCATGTGAGTCGCCCAGCTGGTCCAGAGCTCGGAGCAGAACGCCTGAATTGGTCGCTGAGCCATCGAGTTCATCTGGCCGAACGCTGATGCAAGCTTCGTCTTGATCTCTGTGGATAGAGATCTGAAGATTCAACTTCGTTTCCAGTTGCACCCTAGCCTTCAGCCGTAATTCATCCCTCAAGTCCCTGAGGATCGTAGACGTCCTAGATTTCAGGGTGTTCTTTGTCTTCTTATCCAGCTCTTGAATCTTCGCAGCAGCCGCACAGGGATCGCCTTTCAACAAACAATCTTCCACTTCCCGCAGTGCTTCTGTGGCAGCATTTGCAGAGTCTAGCTCTTTCCTCAGCGTTTCTGTAAAGCCAATCTCTGCTTCCAGAAGCTCGACTTTCCGCTCATAGTCGGTGGCTTCGTCTCGTAACGCCTGAACATGCTGGTGTTCCTCGACTATGCGTTTCGACTCTTCCTTACACCGTGCAATATCTTCTTGGACCTTTTTGGCTTGTGCAATCCACTGATCAACATCTCCGGCATCATCTTTGCTTGTGGCTTTGATCTCCTCACTGATCTCGCTTCGAGTCTTGGAGATACGTTCGAGCAGTAAGGGGATGGTTTCGGCGGACAATTCGGAGGTCAGCAGTTGTTCGGATTGTGGAAAGGTGCCATCTGCAATGGCTTCGCATATGGCAGCCGATTCAGCCTCATCGGGCATGTCTTTGGGATATGTCGACCTGAATGTGATCGTGTACGGGTGAATCTCAAACGTGTTGGCCATGAACGCGGGAGACTTTGAAATGACATCAAAGCAGGCGCCGTGACAAGGCTGTAGTTACAAGGCTACGGATGCAAGGCTGCGCACCAAAATTCCTGACAACATCCTTCCTGCTCGAAACTTACCATTACGCATGACTTGGACGATGATCTTGCAAATGAATTCATAATCTGCAACTGAGGTACTCATTCTATGTTGCTGTTGCTAAAACTCTGTCGCGACTTTGCGATGCTATATCGTCCACGCCACAAGTCTTGGATGAATTCACTGCGACATCTCCCGCCACTCAGGCCAGTTCAGCTTCAATTACTGCTTGATCAAAATGACTGTAAGTCCAGACACCGTTGACCTTCAAGCCAGCATTCTCGAGTAATGCTTTCCATTGACTCTCCGATCTCTCGCCAGCCGCGTAGAACGACATCATTTCCCAATCAAGAGCGATCAACGTCGAACCAGCAGCCTTATCTGGGAGCACGAAATCCCATATAAGAAGCTTTGAGTAGTCCTTCTTCATGGCTGCAGCAAGCTGTCTCAGTATTAGTCGCGACCGGTCGTCTGGGTAATCATGGATGATGCTGTGGAGGAAGTATACCCTGGCACCTGTTTGTTGTCAGAACAATTGTGACGGCAAAGCTGACTACCCTGTTTGAAGACTACGATACACAGTGGCATTGCACTCGCCTTGTACCGGCTGTGGGGTGTTGAAGTCATGGGCCATGGAGTGTATACCAGGTCCCAAGCTACCCTGAGGTATTGAGTCAATGACCTCTGCACGATCCTGCAAGACCAGGCGGCCCGGGAAGCTGTCGAAGGGATGCCTCGCGAGGAACTTTGTCAGATCGTGCCCTTTGCTGCCTCCAACGTCGACAAGAAATACTGCCTCATCGCCGCCAGCAGCACCTTCTATTAGTCTCTCCTTGACGGGATAGAACCCAAGATTGTCATCAGACCAATGCGGCCGATCGAGCATCCAAGTCGCCATCATGCTGGCAAGCCCTTGCTCTGGACCATGTTGAATGAGCAGATCTATCATATGTGTCTTTCCCTTGACGCCGTACGCATGTTGAGCTGGTGTATCGAGACCGTTTGTCGGGCTTGTGTAGCCATGCTGCCTGAAAAACTCGGCGGTCTTCAAGTTCATGGGTATGCACACATCATGCCTGCTTGCCCACAAGGCGAGCTCTGTCAGCCAACGTCGATCAGTTGTGTCTGCATCTGAAACCACCCACATCAATTTAACACTGTCTTTGAACAGCTGTTGTGTCATGGCTTGAGCAAATGGATTTGTCACATAGCAATCTGCGTCGATTTCGCGAACCGAGCCCATTGCAGCAAGAAGTTTCATTGTCCGTCCTGGCCGTTCAACTTGTGTCAGCATGAGGAGCAGGGTCGATGCATTCAACGCCAATAAAAGGAAGGCCAGACCAACCAGCCATGGCTCCGCTGAGCACGCTGCTGCAAGCTGGGCGCTACTCTTTGGAGAGCTTTGTTCCGCCACAAGGTGATCAAAGAGCCGCATGTCGACAGCCATACGTAGGGCTGCCAGATGGCTGGGCTATACAAGGTCAGAAATCCAACCTTGTCCAACAACGTTACTCCAGACCGACCTCGACCCATGTCAGCCTCACGACCGCCTCACTAGGAGTCTCGAGGCTCGAGGCGAGTGACCGACAGGCCTCAATTGCGGCTTCCCGTGCCTTCGAATTCCCGGAGGAGAATGACTCCACATTCTGGTGCACATCCTTCAAAAGCTTCGAAACCATGTCCATGTCAGCATCGGGATAAGCCATGGCGACTGTTGAAAGAATTGGCGGCAAGTTCTTTGGAAGACCAGGATGATTGGGTGCTCCTTACCATCGGCAAAAGCAAGGTGACAATGCATACATGAAGAGATAATGTGCTGACTAGTGCAAAGGGAGCATGGTCCTTCGGGGATGCACGGATGGAGGGGGAAGGGCCTCGGGCCGGCGCTCACCCGTCCAACCTTTAGAGGCGGGGACTCTCGACGTATCTTGTTTCAACACTCCCCGGCCTCTGACGGACTCTTGACATGACTTCCCTATCCAATGTACATTGCTGGTTCGATGGCTGCAAACAACGGGGACGCCGCCAATCGCCTGGCTGCAGACGAGCAGTTTGAAGACGAAGCATACGACTCCCCGTCATCTACGACTTCAACAAGCTATGTGACTTCAATCCAGTCGTACATCCGCGAAGGTATAGAAGAGAATGGTCGGAAGTATCCAGCCTACGGCAGAAATCTGTATGGGCTGCCCATCGATGAGGAAGAGCAAGAACGCAATGAAGTACAGCATACCAAATTCAAACTCATCATCGGCGATCGGCTACATCTTGCCCCAGTCCGGCAATTACCGAGCAACATTCTCGACTTGGGTACAGGCTCTGGAATCTGGGCGATAGAGGCCGCCGATAAATACGAGTCGGCCATTGTCACCGGTGTGGACATTGCTCCCGTACAGCCTACGTGGATTCCGGCCAACTGCAAATTTGAGGTTTTGGATATTGAAGACAATTGGATGTTCGCTGAAAACAGCTTCGACTACATCCATGCTCGCGAGCTCATCATGGCGATACGGGACTGGGACCGGCTGATCAAACAGGCGTAGGACCACCTTAGGCCTGGAGCTTACTTGGAACTTGGCGGGACATATGCCACTCCAACATCAGACGACGGCTCACTTCGTCCGGACATGTACCTGAAGGAAGTCGAGAGGCTGTTCTTCGAGATGGCCGAAGCCATGAACGCTTCATTGCACGCTCCCATTTCGTGGAAAGAGAAGATGCAGCGTGCCGGCTTTGTCGATGTGGAACAAAACATCTTCAAAGTGCCGCAAGGGATATGGCCGAAAGACAAGCGGCTCAAGGAACTCGGCGCCTTTGAGGATTTCAGTCTCGTCCACGGACTTGACGCCTACCTGTTGCGAGGATACACGACCATACTAGGTGGAGATCCTGACGAATTGAAGTTCATCATCGCACAAACCAAGAAAGAACTTCTGAACCCAGAGATGCACACTTACGTTTACTAGTAGGTCTCGAGTCTTAGGGTATGCCAACAAGGCTCGCCACTAATGGATTCTAGTTACAATGTCTATGGGCGAAAAACCCGAGGTTGGGGACGGAGTGCCTTGATACGACACGACAGATTCGGCTGAAATTCACAGCAACGATCTCAGCCCGAGCTCGCGCAAGAGCTCTTGACAGGTAATACTGTCACCTAAATGGGAGAGCCGGAGCCACCGCGCTGTTGCACGCCCGAACTCTGTCGCATCACCAGATGTGTGGAATCCAGTCCCCATCAGTTGACCTCAGCCAGGTGCAACGGTGAATGCCAACACATCGGCCTCGAAAAGCATCGACCACGGGCATCCAGACATGACAGCAGCCAGTCAGGACTTCATGCATAGCCAGAAGCAGCACGACAGCTCCCTCCGATTGAGCAGGACGACGTCGATGAAGCGCTAGAACACCGAATGGTTGATTCGAAATCGACCGAGAAGTAATATCGTATCCAAGAAGCTTGAGGTTTCCATTCCTCGATCCTCTCAGGGCATAACGTGCGGCCTTTTCAACAGACATGCTTGCCAAATCAGGGGGTGACTTGAGCAGGAAACACGGGAAGCAATATCTCTGTTCCGCGACAATACACCATCAGCACAATGCTACTGATATTGGATCGCCGGTTTGAAATCATAACAAGAAGAGATGATGAGACGACTTCGCACACATACTCGTAGCCAGCTTACCCTAGCTAGCTGAACCGATAGACAACATCCTCAAACTTATCCGCAGCAAAGACATAAAACCACTTCAACTCGCCATCCCCGACATTCCTAATCCCGTGCTCTGCATTGCCGGGAATGAACACGGCACTGCCCTGGCGCACCTCGCTCTCGACGCCGTCGATCGTGACAACCCCACGACCCTCGGTGACGTAGTATATCTCGGCCTGCTCGTGGCGGTGCGCGCAGAGATGCCCCGTCCGAGGCGGACAGGTGGCTAACCCGGCGGTCAGTGAATTCGTCGGTGTCGTCGATGAGGAGAATAATGTCTGCCATGTCAGATCCCCTCGCGACGGTGATGGCGCTGAGGCGTTGTTGTCGTTGGGGAACGTTTCAGGGGCGCGGCTGGTCAGAGATTCGGCGGAGATGACCACTGGAGAAGTGGAATTAGTACGAGTAGCTGCTTGATCGGTTCCGGACGCCATTTCTGGTGAGTCTGGATGATACGGATTTTGTATGTCTAGACAGGCTATCTTGGGTCGATTCAGAGGTGAAAAGGAGTGTAGGCCGTTGGAATGGCAGATGTTCCTACACCATTATCTTCGAGAGGATATGGAAAGTTTTGAACGGATTGGATAGCCGTGACGTGTGAAGCTGGGAAAACACTTCCGTTCTGAGCCAAAGTACGAGGATAGCGGATTCCTGGAGAAAGTGGGGGCAACTTTGCAGTATCAAGCATTCTTGATGAACAATGAATGGCTTCTTATGTACAGTGCATACAACAGCCTGTCCCAAAGCTGCCAACACCGGCCTCGAATCACGCGGTATATACCCGGCTCAGATTGCGCCTGCTCGAACCTGTCTTTGCCCTCCAAGGGCGGCTAACCATGTCCTAATCACCATCATCAAAGGTCTAGATGTCAGTACATTTCGTACCCAGAGAGGCTTCCAGGAAACTCCAGAGTCTGGCCGGAAGGGAGGGCGACAAGATGATTGCCAGCTGAGTCACCCGGCATGTAAGGACTCGGGAATTGATACAAAGGCAAGCTGTTGGCGAAGAATGCTTGACTCGGTGTTGGCAGACCAGTAGCAGAAAGATCGAGTTTGTCTCCCATACCGACATATATGTCCGCGAGAACATCCTCGTCTCGGGGAAAGTCTTCGCTGACCATCTCCTCGATCATTCGGATGATCTCCTGATTCAGCACTAATGACTTGACATGAGGTAGCCTCGACTGGATCTGTTCTGCGGCCTCATAACTGATGCATGTTGTCGCTCGCTCTCTAGTAACCACGTCGCTTTCCGCCAGTGGTATGTCGGTCGCTAGCAGCTCGAAGATATCTGAAAGATCCTTTGTGCTCTCCCATCTTTCGGTTATGATAGCGAGATTATTTGAACAGGCCCTGATTGCTTCGAAGACGTGCTTGGAATTGTATGCTTCCGTCCTGAACTTCGGCGGAGTCGCCCAAAGACAATATAGAATTGTGATTCCGATCGAGAACTGACTGATAAGCTGGAGCATGTCAGTGTGATCCTGCGCAAGTGGCTCGATCCACTTACCCCTAGCATTGGGTGAGGAATGGTTCGATAGCCTTGAAACTTGCGAAAGATCAGGATCGTCTGAGTGCTTGCTTTCATGGACCAGTCACCCGCTGGACCACGGACGTTGGACTTTGTAGGTATGTGAAGGTAGAGAAGACAATGATTGTAAACGATTAGAATCCATCGCTCATCCGTAGGACTCTTGCTGTCTGAGTCTGCAGCCTCCTGGAGTTGAGACTTCCAATGCTCGAGCTTTGTTAGAATATAAGATCTCCAGTCCGACAAGGAGTCGAAGGTCATGGCGAAGTCGGCCCTCATGGTAACATTAAGAATTTCAGACTGAATTTGGAAACATCGTTCTCGATGCAAGGCCGACGAAACAGAAGTGTATGTAGTGGGAGAATTGGAGGCGAAGGAGCCATCCAAAAGAGCCGAGTCGTCCATGTTGTCGAAGAGCTTCTCCAGTCAGCCGTGTTCAGTGACTGAGGTGCACTACGCCTACCGGGACAGTAATGTTGTCATCCGCAATGGAAAATGGTAGTCGCAACACACCACAAGCCAGGCGGTCCAGACCGTATGCAACCCAAAATGCTCTTCGCCGCATCTGTACCTCCATGCGCGTTTCAGCATCCAACGCTTTTGGTTCGGAATCGGCCAAGTGAAACTGAGCAACAATGCAGTAGCGGACGGCAGAGGAGATCATGAGAGCAATTTGCTCCGTCGACGGTGAGAACAGAGCATGTAGAGACATCATAAGATGCGCTTGAACATGTAGCAAGCGACTTGGTTGTCGAAGAACGGCAGGTAGGTGGTTGTTGACCGCTTGGTCGTAGAAGTTCTAGATCTGTCAGCGCAACTAACTCACTCTCCATCAGACCTCATACCTGCGAAGTGTAGGACACGCTCAGAGGGTTTTTGGGATCAAGCAGCAGACTGACGGCGAAGAGCTTTTCCATCAGCAAAGGGATCCAGAATGGAGGACGATAGTAGCTACCATGTTTACAAAAAAGCCTTGCCATAGATCTCTGTGATCTTGTTCAGTTGATCTTCTCTTCCAGGCCAAATGCCACCCATAGAAAACATTCTTCAAGAGGAAGGGCCATCTCCTATTGGCATTGTCGAAGTAGACATTGACGAGGTGATCCTCGACTTGAGTGGGAATTGAGTCCGGCCATATTGCCAGTTGGTTCAAGTAATGCTCCAGAGGGACCGACCGTGAATCCCGAGTCTCACGTTGTACCGCGGGTAGACTGACCAGTATACCAGGAATACTACTGCCACTGTTGACGAGAGGCTGTAAAGATAAATCGCGGTCTTTCTGAAAAGCATGTGGTGATGCTGCCGACGCGTGACTGCTCTGAGACCGGGTAGTCTGCGCTGGCGAGGAGTCGTTGCCATGAAACTGTGCCGCAGAACAAGTCGTGTCGAGCACCTGAGGATGTCCATGGGAATGAGAAGGAGCGACTACGGAATGTGTTGATGTCGATTGATGATGGATCGAGGGCATGTCCGCGGCTGCGACCTCCAGGGAAGACTGTGCACGTAATTCTTGCCTGTTACCTTCCTGAGGGGGTCGTCCATTCTCATATCGAGGCCTGTCTTCTGCCAAAGAAGAATCATCTGCTTGCGACGGAGCTTCAGATGGAATGAGGCGCTCGAGTTGACCTAGGCGTTGTTCTAAAGATTGCACATAGCTACATGCCATCGACCATGATAAGCAGCTATGGACAAATTGCCATCAAGACTTACTCTGCCTTATATCGCGTTCGCGAAAGCGTTGGTTCAGTCGGTGAGCATTCTGTATCAGGATTGGCATCGTAACTTGCGGTAGCCGGGCAGAGAGAGGCATACCTTCGTTGGCATTCCTGCAATTGGAGCATGGATTCTCACCATCACCATCGCACTTACATGTCAGTCCTGACGCGATAGGACACAAAGTGCGCAATCTACCTTTTGTTTACGGTGACGGCATCTCTTGCAGGCCAATACCCTCTGCCGCTTAGCTGGGTGCAGAGAGTGATTATCTTGCGCATAGGTGTGCTCGACGGTCCTGGAGATCCCGACAGCTTGTGCGTTTTGAACGATGGGTATTGTATTGGATCGGTTGAGGAGGTCGCCAAACATGGTAGCCAGGGCCCATTACCATCAGCAGCTTTCGGACTATGCTAGGTGCATCTGAACCAAGTCGAAGGAATCGGGGAGTCGAGAGTGCGATACCCATCGCGTGCCACGTTGGTGACATGATATTGATGCCGTGTAGGCGGAGACCGTTGATAATGGGAACATCGCCCATTGGTGCCCATAAGCGGGGGAAGAGGTGTTGAGGCCCGGAACAGCCTGGATACGATAACAACACGCACCACACGGCACGCACATGGGCACAACGGGACTCATCGCGATCATTGATGGGGCTCACTAGGCCATCATGGGCTCACCAGGGCTATCGTAGCGCATATTGAGCAGCGCCCGGAGTTGGACGACGACAGCAATACAACAACCATTGACAGTCTACATTTCGGCCTCGACAACGGCCTGACAACAGATACGGATATCACTACTCCGTATGAACGGTGCTGATAAGGCTTCATTGCAAGGTCATCACCTCTATCCCGCTTGTCTTATCATACCATGATCCAGCCCTGAGCAGATTGGTGTTCTAGTTGCGCCCCGCTCCTCTCCCTTGTTATCGGACTTTGGTCGCCCGATGAGCTCTTGAGGATAGACCTCGAGGATGGCAAGGTCCTAACTCGCCTTCGACCAAGACCAGAATGGATAAAATGCTCGGGAGAACCATGCCACCTGCATCTACATCACCAAAATATTCCTGGTACCACCATGGAGAAGATCGAGCCCATATCATCTACGGGACAGCGATCCCAGCCCGAATCCCACAACGATGTTGGCGAAGTCTACGATTTGAGTACCAAACATCACCAGCACGATCTCGCCAAAGAAGATGTCGCCGCTGAACTCGCCGAGATGTTTCAGGGCGGTGAGGGCTACACCTCGCGGGAGGTATGGCGACTTCGATGGAAGCTGGACATACGATTGATACCGATCCTCTGGTTCAATGTTCTGCTGCCTGCCATGGACAAAGTCAGCCACGCAACTGCCGCTCTCTACGGTCTGAAGACGGATCTCCATCTCGTCGGGGATCAGTACTCATGGATTGGCAGTGTCTTTTACGTGAGCCATCCTTCCGATCCCAATGGGGCAGACTTGCTAATCTTTTGTTACAGTTCGGCTACATGGTCTGGTGTTTCCCAGCTGGCGGGCTGCTACAAAAGCTTCCCATTGCGAAGACCATGTCCGTTGCCATGATGCTATGGGGCGTGCTGCTGATCGGATCGGGTTTCGTCAACTCCTTCTCGCAACTCATGGCATGCCGCTTTCTGCTCGGTTTGCTTGAGGCACCAATCGTCCCAGGCAATATGCTGGTCCTCTCAATGTGTAAGTCTGAGTAATTCCTCACTCCAGCACGAGTCTTATGCCTCTTTCCTCTCGAGAACAACGAACAGCTTGCTGACGGTTTGTAGGGTACACACGATCGTAAGTGCTATCAAAGGGACAACACGAAATGGTTGACTAAACTCTTGCTTAGGGAGCAATCGTTGCGCTACGGGCTGATGTACACTGGGCTCTCAACATGCTTTACTGGCCCTATCGGCTATGCGTGAGTCAACGCTGGACAACGAAGTTCGCGGCCATACATATTGACAGTCTTTCACCATGCAGGATCGGATTCATCAAAACAGATAACTTCCATGTCTGGCAGAGCTTCTTCTGGATCTGTGGAGCCATGACATTCGCCTATGGAATTGTGGTTGGCATCTTCCTTCCTGACAACCCGGTCAAAGCCAAGTTCATAAATGAAAGAGAGAAGGCCATCGCTATCGACCGGGTGCGAGTTAATCAGACCGGTAAGCCGACTCCCAGTCTTGACTGGTCGTTAGCACTGACTGTCATTCCAAGGCATCGAGAATAAGACGTTCAAAAGGGAGCAATTCATTGAAGCCCTCCTCGACATCCGTGTCTGGCTCATGTTTCTGTTCAACATCTGGATCAGCATTCCCAACGGCGGTCTCACGAACTTTTCGCCCTTGATCGTGAAGGGTTTAGGCTACACCTCACAACGTTCTGCCCTCCTCACCATCCCGAACGGCATCGTCCAGACTGCATCCAGCTACATCTGCAACGGCGGAGTCTTCCTTGCCGCCAAATACCTTCCCCAGTACCACCTTCGCGGGGCGTTCATGATGTTTGGCATCATCGTCGGACTCATCGCTGCCGTCTTCCTGTACACGCTCCCTCTGACGGCATATCACAGCCGTCTTGCCGCCATGTACTTGTCCTTTTTCTACCTAGGTCCATACATCGTGGGCCTGAGTGTTGTTGGAGCGAACACTGCGGTAAGTCTGGCTTTCAGTCGGATCCTTTGAGTATTTCATTCCCTCCGGGGATATACTAAGATGTCTTTCTGCAGGGCCACACCAAAAAGGTCACCGTCAACGCCATGATGTTCATCTCCTACTGCGTGTCGAACATCGTCTCTCCACAATTCTTCAAGACGAACCAAGCGCCGCTGTATCCTCTTGGTTTCGGGGCTATTTTGGGATCGTACATTCTCTCTCTGATCACCATCAGCATTTACATGTTCCTATGCTGGTGGGAGAACAAACGTCGCAACGCGCGAGATGCTGCCGCCAACGAGGTTGTGCACCAAGACACCGATTTCAAGGATCTGACCGATAAGCAGAACTTGGTATGTACATGCATATCCTTCACATGAATCTCCTGTCTAAACAATGCATAGCACTTCCGATACATTTGGTAATCGAGAAAGAGTGAAGGCTCTGATATACCTAGTGATTGAAAATGGAGCGCCCCGTAAATTGCGGCTCTTCAGTTGATGGTGGTTCTTGTTTGTAGATAGCTCTCATTTCTGTTTCACTTCGGTGTACTGGAAAAACAATACGGATTCCTTGAAGCCAGACTCGCCAGTTCTTGTGCTACCGGCGGGTTGGTTGTCTTCGCATGCGTAGAGCTGCTACAAATCTCTGCCGATTGGCGGATATTGAGTCAACACGGTAGTTTCTCTTTCGCCCTGCTGTTGAGTTATTGTGATGTTGTACACACATTTATCTAGATACGAAGCAAGTGCGGACAGTGAAGACAAAGGTTCTCTCTTTTCTTGACGCGAGGAGTCGAGTAAGAGCAATGCGCGTTTCATGATATCGTTAGGAGGCCGCCAATGGTAGCTCGTGGGGGTGAATTCTCGCATGCGCATTCGATGTCTAGTCTACCCAAATCTATTGACCTTGGGACCCTTGACGACGCCCTCGCCCATCAACAAACCTTTCTGGACGCCGTCAATGCCCATGGTCGCCGTCTCCAACAGCGCATCCGCCAAATACGCGCCGGAGAACTTGAACCTGGCATACCCAGAGTCCTTGTCTTTGTCCTGTTCTCCATCCTCGCAGTCCCCTCTTGCGTCCGTCCTGGCCGTCAAGCCAGGGTAACTAGTGCCCAACTCCCTGGCCTGGACGACGTTCAGATATGCCGCAAGACCGCCCTTTTGCCAAAGCTTTGAGAAGTCCTCGACGGCACGCCGCTGGCCCTGAAGCGCCCAGATGGGCTGCACGTGCCACACGATGCCGTATCTCCTGGAACTGGTCCAGGGGAACTCCTTGACTTCTTCCGCCGTCCAGCCTGCTTTCAACCAGTCGAAGCCGCCGGTGTACCCGAAGCCGAACTTGCGATCCGGGTGCACGGCACGAACGGCATTGTGGAACGCGTCGATGTCGGAGGGAATGGGGTAGTCCATGCGCGCCCAGGTGACTTCTCCCAGATTTGCGGCGAGCAGGGCGCGGCCGATGACGGCGTCGACGGTCGGCGCGAAGCGATACGACCCCTCGGGTGTGCGGGCGAGGTCCCAGTCGAAGAAGAGTGTCGAGTAAACGTCTTTGGGGAGATGCTGAGCGGCCAGGGCCCGGCGGTCCTTGAGGGAGAGTGCCGATGCTGATCCTGCTGAACAAGGATTCTGCACGGCGGCTTTGTACGCGGCAACACTGTCTGGGGATGATGCGGCATGCGTAGCGACGGCGTCATCGAAAGTCTTGAGTTCTGCCGAGGCGATCCAGTCCTTTTGCCCTTGGAGGTAGTCGGCGCCGCTGGCAAGAGCGTGAGATAGGACAGAGGTAAGCGGTTCGACCGGCTTGGTCGCGCCCAAGACGTATGCGTGGTCGCGGGCGTCGATTACTGAGGTGATATAGCCTGCGTTGTCGGTGTCACAGCGGCACATCAGGATCTGGAATGTATGAGGTTAGGTGTGGTTCCAGTACATGCGTGCACATTCAGACTAAGTTAGGTCTTACAGTTTCAGCGCCCATGATGTCGATTTGCGTCCTTGCAGCCGTCAGACGCGACAGATACTCGCTTGTAGGGATGACGGTTCGGCCTTCGCCGGTGGTGAACTTTTTGGCGCCTTCAACAAAAGCCGAGTCAGTGACTGGTGTACCGCTAACACGTGACTATGGGGATGTGGGGAAGAGAGGCAAGCATACCGATGGCTAGATCGTCGAGGTGGAACATGGCAACACCAGCCTCGACAAAAGCTCTTGTCATCTTCATGGTGTGCGTAAGACCGCCAAACCCCATATCACCGTCGGCCACAATGGGCGTCAGGAAGTCAAAGTTCTCCAAACCTTCCCGTTCGGCCTTGGGACACAGGAAGCGGAATTGTCGCTGCCGTTGGTCCTGCCATTGCTGGGAGCGGAAGATCTTGTTCACCGCAGCAGGGACCGTGTCCCACGGGTAGTCTGCATGGTCCATGCCCGGCTGGCTAACTTGGGAGTATCCGCACAATGCGCCCGAAACGTATATTGTCTTAAGTGTTGTCAGTCAGGCAAGTGCGGGCGGGCGTATGATGAGAAGCGCCAGATGTTGTTGCTCATACCTGCTGGTGCTTGGCCATGACACCCGCCTGCAACGGGTCGGTGCAGCCGAATGTTAGCTCGCAGGTCCCATTCTTCTGATGCTCGTTCATCTGATCCCACAACTTCAGCGCCATGTCGCTGGAGGGGTACTTCTGCTTGATGGAGCTACGAAGCGCGGCAATGCGCTCCGCTGGATACGGCCTTTCAGTCATTAGGTGGATAACCAGACGTGCCAGAGAGAGGTCCTACCGCTTCATTTGGCGCTGCTTGGAGCTTGACGTCCACCACGCCTTGATTGCCGCCACATCCTCGTCGAAGGCCGCTTGTTCAGCATCAAGAGACAATTTGGTTTGGGGCATGATGAAGCTTGCAGAATTCAAAAACGCGATACTTCACAACGACAAGATGTCCAAGAGCCAGAGAGGGAGTTTGAAATCAGCCGAGACCTTCTGGAGAGCTGCTGCCGCTCGTCAAGACTGGAGTCCATTCCCATCGCACGACGGAGAGCCATCGCGATTCCGTGGTCACCAGGGGTGCTGACGGCAGTGTTCCAGTCGCACATTGTCCTCCGAGCATGCCGCTTCCTGTATTCGCAAGCGGCCTCTGCAGACATCTGAATGTGCTCGTTGAAGAATGCTAAACGAAGTGCTGCAGATCGTGAGGAGAAGGTGGATCTCTGCCTTCGGACGATAGGACTAGAAGAAGTCCGACGGAGTTTTCAATCGCCGTCTGTCCAAAGTCACTCTGCTCCTAACCCAGCAGGGCCTGCCACAATCGACATCGCCCAACATTGCGGTACCGTCAAGCTTGTCTCGCGGCATCGATGTCTTCAAGGATGGAGCCTGGTCCTGTGCTGCCTCGTGGCTTTTCGCCCTTCAGGCCGACAGTCTTCCGGTGAGGGTCAGCCGGGACTCTGGTGGACTAGAATTTCAATTCCGAAAAATCTTCAATATGTCACCTGCAAGACCGTCGTATCTCGGTCGGTCCATTGCTGAACATAGGAAGACAGCGCAGTCGCCACAAGCATGGAGGTAGAAACTCAGAACCCAGCGATACCACAGCCACATATCAATCTCCAGAAGGGATGGCCATCGCCGCGACTTCTTCCTAGCCAGGCACTCCTAGCTGCTGCTGAAGCAACACTCTCTAGCTCGGCACGAGCGACAGATGCCATGCTGTACGGACCAAACATTGGCGACCCTGCACTGCGAAGAGGTTGTGCCGAATGGCTATCTCGTTTGTATCGTTTACGATCACCGCCAGCGGGATCAGAGGATGGGATTGTCGATCCCATATCGCCTGACCGCATCTGCATCACCGCCGGGGCGTCAAACACGCTGGCTTGTATCATGGCCGCATTCACCGACCCCGCTTATACTCGCCGTGTGTGGATGGTTGAACCGACCTATTTCCTTGCCTGCACGGTATTCGAAGATGCGGGATTTCAAGATCGTCTTGTTGGTGTACCAGAGGATGAGGAGGGTTTGGATGTGGACTTCTTGCGAAAACGAATCGAAGTTGTGGAAAGTGAAGAAGCAGCGCTGGGAACGCCGTACAAGCGTTCACCCCAGTATCCCCGGCTCTACCGCCATGTGATTTACCTTGTTCCCACCTTCAGCAACCCTAGCGCAAAGACTTATACGTTGGCGCGGAGGGAAGCTCTGATACGGCTTGCAAGGGAAGTCAATGCCCTCATTATCACGGACGATTGCTATGACTTTCTGTCGTGGACAAGTGAAGCTGAATGGAGGGAGTTCACCGTCACGAGTGGCACCTCCCATCATTCTTGCCTGACTCCTCCGCCTCCGCCCCGGCTCGTAGACGTCGACAACTCATTATCGGGGGGCGACAGGGAATGGGGAAATGCGATCAGTAACGGATCCTTCTCGAAGGTTGTCGGACCTGGCATGAGGTGTGGATGGGCCGAAGCGACTCCTGCGTTCATTTTCCGACTCAATCAAGTGTCAGTATAAAATTTGTGGCTTCGTGGAGTGAAACTGACCTTGCTGATTCATTTCTAGCGGAGCCACATTATCAGGCGGCGCTCCAGGGCAATTCTCTTCTGTATTGATCGAACATATGTTGCGGACTGGGGCCCTTGAACGTCATATTCAGCATGTCCTTATCCCGACTTACCGCAGTCGCTGTGCCACACTTCGGAAAGTAACAGAGGAATACTTGGGTCCATTGGGGGTGCGGATCGACGTCGGTCGTTCATATCATGTGAAGAGCTCCGAAGGTGACGAAGAGATCGTTGGCGGATTCTTCCTCTACATCTTGTTTCCTGAAGGCATCGTTGCGGATGAGGTTGCAGCTGTGGCATTAAAGCAATACAACGTACGGCTTCTGTCCGCCGGAATGATGTCGGTCAGAGGAAGCAAACCGTCTAGTGATCAGTTGAGGAGGGGCGCGAGGTTATGCTGGGCGTGGGAGGAAGAGGAACAAGTCATGGAAGGCGTGCGAAGGATAGGTCAGGCGTTGAAGGAGCAATTCCTCAACAGGAACGGGTACGAATTGTAGGAGATATACCGATCACTTCTACCTCATGGAAGGCTCCTGTATCGTTCCACTCCTATCAAGTTGCTGCTAATCAATCCCGAGGGCCACCAAGTTGCCATTCTACCAGACATCTTCCTCGTCCTCTTCGGACTGTGCTGAGATGGGCCTTGGCACAGCATCCTTCCTGGTGATCGGTTTCTCGGAGTCTTTTCTCACTGTCAATGACCATGGTTCTTTCCATCAACCCACTTTGCCCCGAGATACATCTTCCTCGACAGCCCGCCTGGACTTTCAAAGAGAAGCCTAAGCAAATCATGCACACCTCTCCATCCGGACCACCACAGGCATACCAAGGCGGAGAAAATGACGGCGTCTCGACAAGGAAGTCACTGAGTCAGTATCCTAAGCTGAATATATCCCAACTCAAGTCTGGGCCAGTACAAGCATGTGTTACCGGCATTGTGGCCAACTTACAGAATCATAGTCCTGAATCGACCACACCAAATGGAGCTCGCGGGTGCGTCAAGATTATACTCAAGGATGAAACCGGTGAAATTCTGGTATACCATCAGCCCTGCATCTGTTTCATTCGATACTAAATGGACAGCTGATCAAGCACCCTCCAGGTCAATTTGTGGTTCCTTGACACCAAATTTAACTTGATTCTGAACCATATCGTCACGATCTGGATCACCTACTGCTCTTCAGCCTCAAACATATCACCACGGACGAATTCGAGAGCCCTGACAGCATCAGTCTCCACGAGCTTGTTCCCCGAGAGAAACGTTGGCTGCGGCCTCAGGATCTTTCGGAATGATTCACAACTGCTGTCACCAGCGGACAGCGACTTGAGATCAAGGGTGGCACGTGGCTTGGGTTGGGGTGCTATAACATCGCTTAAGTGCTTCATCGGCGGTAACGCAAGCACTGAGAATGTTCAGATCCTGGTGTACGTGACGGGCATCGGGCATTGTGTCATAGGTAACTTGGTCACTCATGCAGGACGCCTGGCTTCGAGCGGAAGCCTCACACTGCCAGAAAGACTGCGAGCTGTCGGCATGGGTTCAGATGTGAGCTGACCTTGATGTGATGTTCAGGAAGCAAATCCCCGGCCAGAACCTCGCACCAATTTCCTGCCATTCCTGTCTTCGTCGTGGATGAGTCCCGACCCCTCTCGCCGATCAAACTCATCTTCGAGAACCCCCTCCACGAAAGTGTCTCTCAATTCAGGCCTCACCGTACGGTCCTCTTTGTCACAGATCCTCGCCTTGTCGGCAATCAGCTCCTTGTACTGTCGCATCCCTCGAGAGTCCTCATTGATCCGAATACTGTAGCTGCAAATAAGTTGAGGAGATACTTGGGACAACTTTCTCCGCCGTGCAATATGACTCCGGAAGAGAATGGGCACTTGGAGGGTTCTGAGCTGGACGAGATCTTCGGAGGTCCGCCACAGCTGATGAGCCTACTGGATTTCTGGACATCGATGTCAAAAGATCCAGGAAATCCTTGCCAGGCCGCCGTCCCAGTCATCATCACCTCGCTTTCTCTAGCACTCCTCTTCAGGATGCATGAAGCTCTCTTCTGCATGACCTGTCCATCATGCTTCGCGGCGAGGTATTCCAATGAAGTCGAGTATTGGTGCGAGTGTGATGAGGATGCCAGAATGGATATGCGCCTCAATCCGCAGTTTCTGTGTGGGTTTAGTGACGAGACTGCTGGTTACTTGCGCTTCCCATCCTCCATGGCAAAGAGCCCCCATAATCAAGGGGGACTCGCAACGGACCCGACATGGTCGCCTTCAGGTAATGATTCGGTGTTCTGGACTGATAAAGCATGCACGTCGTTACTCGGCATGACAACGATCGAGATCGAAAGTCTGGCCATCCTACAATCAAGTCATGATTGTCTAGCCACATTGAACACCATCGAGGAGAAACTGAAATGGTCACGAGTCATACTGTTGATCGGCTGGACAGGTTCTGGAGGGCTTCGAGCTGGTGATCAACCGGAGGAATTCACGATGTCACATGCGGCAGGTAACCAGGCTCTGAACAATGGAAGGATGGTAATTCTGGATGCTGCTAATGTTTGATGCTTCATTATGAGTTTTCCATTTTACTCTTCAATTTGCAAAAAGTTGCCGGAGGCGGAAGCAGTGGTACAGTTATGGAGAGATAGTATACTGTATTGCTTTCAGAACTGGGAAACGAATCTGTATGCTCAACATTTATTGTGGCTGGCAAGGACATCGACATCATGACAAGTAAAAATGTTGCAGAGGTGAAACAAGAAGGATGTGAAGGAAAGGTACCAGGAAGTCCCTGCCAGGGTTGAGTTATTAGCCTCGTCCTGTCGTCGATCCTCCGAATCCAGCTCTGCCGTTCTGATCTGTGCTTGGTGTTTCGGCATTGATCACTGTGAAATAGACGCATGAGTTCAGAGCCTGATATTGTCTGCGTCCAAAGGCAAGCTTACCTACCTGCAACTCCGCACTGTGCTGGCAATTCCGGGTCACGCCGACTTCTTGTTCAGATGAATATCCTCTTTCATTTCTGGACAAACTGGTGCCGTGCAGTTCAGAATTTTGGCGTGGATAGGACAGGTCTTGATGTTCTGCCTGCCTAGTAGCAGATAGCTCTTGTTGCGATCTTTCAGAGTATGGCGGCGGATATAGTCTCTCAGTGTCAGGAGAGTAGATCTCGGTGACAGGAGGCACATGTACTCTCTCCAGGACAGGAGGTGGAGCTTCGTCTCCTAAGTGCCGAAATGGAGGACCCGGCACGCCCGAGCCTAAGCGGTACGATCTCTTTTGCTGTCGACGCCTTCGGACAAGCAGCACAGCAACGAATATCATGATGAAGAGGATAACAGCTCCAATGGCGATGCCAGCTTTTGCGCCAGCGGAGAGGCCATATTTCTGAATGTAATATGCGGCAGGTTCGCTTGGAGTGGATGATGGCGGCGCACCACTTTCAGTCTGGGTCGAACTTGCGCCCGTGATTGAGGCCGCGCCTGTTTCAGCAGACGTACGAAATGTCGAATCAGCAAGACTGGCGCTGGCAGGCGTAGGCGTAGGTGTTGCCGTCGCCGTGGTGGCATCCGTATCCGTATCCGTATCCCCAACAGTCACGGACACGGCGCTCTCAACGGAGGAAAGAATGCTTCCCACAACAGAAGTGACTGCGAGGGCACTGTCGATAAGAGAGGCCATTGTGGCTACTGTAGCTGCTGATGCTAGCTTTCACCTGCGGGTGCTGCGCGTAAGGCTCGAAGCTATAAAGAAGAGGGAAGACGCAGATGTCTCAGCCGTGCTCAGCCTGCTGTTCAAAGCAGGACACGATGGAAATGCAAGCCACATCATGCACATCGTGGTCCGATTCAAGAATTTTTGTTGGATTACGTGTACCTGAGATATTGCAGGGATCCATATGCAGATCATCGCCTATGTTGTTTTGTCCGTATCGCCAGAATTGGTTGATGCATCGGACATATGACACGCCAATGCAGGAGGGACCCGACGAACTGAGGACGAGTATTCGGTACCGTAGTACTTTTCATAGCAGATCATGTCCTGGCTGTGTTGCTGTTGTCCGAGGAGGCTGCAGTTGTGGTTCGTCCATTGGCGTGTCTGCGTCAGCCAATTGGTCTGGGGGAGTGAAATGCACATGTGAATCGACAAGGCCAAAGTCTGGCAGCTAGACATTGGCCATCACATAGCTTATACTTACTCTGGGGGTTTACTTCGCTGAGGTACCATAGTCAGGCTGAGGTATGGCTCGAAGACCTGAGAAAAGGAAAAAAGTCGAAGGTAGTGCACGTATTCGGATCAAGACACTGATGACACCGATTTAAGCGAAGACCGGCGCCTCAGCCTACATCGGAAGAAGCTGCTGCCTGAGTGGCTGCAACTAACAAACGACGCAGGTCTGGTGTCGAAGGGGATACTATATCAACAGTAGTGTAAAAGAAACAACCAGATCAGTCTCCCACCCTCTATATATTCAGCTCTTGCTCTTCCTTTGTCTTCACCGACTGCTCAACCACCGCTCCTGCAAATCTGTGAGCCTCATATTGCCTTGCTACCTACGGCCCACCCCATCGAGGTTCCACCAAGAAAAAAGTAACCCAGAACAGCATCAACATGGACCTCGCAAAGATTCTCGACGTTAACCTCAACCTGACCTTTTCTAGTATCACTTTAGCCCTCGCCTGCCTGATGACCGGATACCTCACCGCCCTCGCCATCACGCCTCCCAACCCCAACCCGGAAAACACCGACGTGGACGACCGCTACCGGCACATCCTGACTCCGCAGACCATTGCCCGGCGCAAACTGTTCTACACCGTGCTGTCCGTGTACCACGCCGTTCTCGTCCTGACGCAGCCCGGTCACGGTCACGGTCACGGTCCCGACTCGCCGAGTCTGCCTCTGGTGTGTCCGTTCCCAAGCAATCTCAACCACTCCCTCCTGCTCACTTGGTCCCCGTACATGCTCGTCGGCCTCGGGCTGGTATGCTTCATCGGGGTCCCGCTCCGCCTGGCCGCGTACAGAGCGCTCGGGCGCAATTTCACCTTCACGCTCCAGAAGCCGTCCGAGCTGAACACGACGGGCCTGTACAGGTGGATGCAGCATCCGAGTTACACGGGCACGGCGCTCGTGAGGGGTGGATGTATGTGCATTTTCCTGCGCTGGGATGGGGTCCTGGGCTGTTGGATTCCGCCGGCCGTCAGGGCGTGGCTGGACGGGTGGGGGTGGGCCATGTATGTGTTCATGGGCGTTGTTGTGATGCGCGCCGTGAGAGGGAGGGTCAGTGACGAGGAAAAGATGCTTAAAGAAAAGTTCGAGGACACCTGGGTCGAGTGGCACAGGAGCACGAAACGTTTTGTGCCGGGACTCTTCTGAGGAAACGGAAGAAGGCAGGCAACGACCATGCGAGAGACAATGATGAGTTTCTCAAGGGGGGGAGAATGCAAGAGCTGTTTTGGGAGTGGTAAGATCGCCGTCGGCGACAACGCAGGGTATGGCATGGCTTTGATAAGCGAACGGTTAACCGTGGTATGGTGCAAAAGGTGTCCTCGAGCGGGCCTGCAAAGACCAGCCTTGTTTGGAAGTATGTCAGAATGACAATTCGACGCGTTGGGTATTTGGCTCTTATCTTCCTATACTCAACTCATTACTTTCATAAAACACGTTTCCTTCCCAATATTAGCCAGCATTGCGGGAAGCTGGGCCGAGTACCAGAGCTCCACTCGGACTTCTATAGCATGTGCTCGTCCGTTATCAACAAGACATTTTCTCCGCCTAAAGCACCAGCGCGAGCACAAAGGGAATCAACACTTCCAGCAGCAACGTTCGCCACGCCCATTGTCCCGAGGCAAATTTCACGGCCACTGCCGCCCCGGTAAAAGTGGACGTCATCGCGGATGCGGTTCCTGAGCCACTGCCTGACGCCCCAGCCGGAGTGGAAACGACGACACTGCTCGCTGTTCCCGTCATCGTCGAAACAAGGGAACCTGCACTGCTTATCGCTTCAGGCAGAACAAGAGTGGCGGCACCGCTAGGTAGTGTAGAACCATATACGGTCGTGGTACTGTTGACTCCGACAGGCATGATGATGGTGATCTGTGGCCACTCGGTTGGGGCGATGGTAGTGAGTGAATAACTTGTGGCAGGAAGAGTCGAGGTCGGTGATGGTGGGATTGAAGAGGCAGAGGAGAAAGAAAAAGGTGGCTCTGTCGTGGTCGTTGGGGTAGCAGTCGTGGCGACAACAGTCGTGGACGACGTCTCCGGGCCTACTGAAGTGGATGTTGATGCTGAAGCTTTCGGTGTCACCGTCGTCGATATTGCCGATGACGCTATACTAGTGGCCGTCGTACCGGGGCCGGTACTTGTCGTGACTGTCTCCGACGTAGTCACTACCACAGTCGCGAATTGATCGCAGTAATCCAAGAACTGTTGGAATTGGGGCGCGATTTGCACGAAGCCGGTGTCGTCGCCGCGATGAACGTTGATGCATTGTTCGCACTGATTCAGCGAAGTCTCGAATGCCGAGCCTGGCAGGCAGAGCTTGGGAGATTTCCCGCTCGACTGTGCTTCGAGCATACAGTTGTTACACCATGGATAGCAGGCGCCTGGGACACTGGTTTGGGCTTGTCGAGCGGCCACAACAGGGGTGGGCTGTTCCAAGATGGTCGATGTCCTTGTGAAGACTTCGTTGACCACAAAGATTTCGTAGGTCAAACCAAACTTGGTCGGATCCATGTTGAAGAAGTGGTCAATGGCTTGGATGGTCAAGCCCGGGTTGGTGGCCGGCGTAGCGTTGCCGTAAATATCGGCATCCCATGTTGGGAGATAGGCGGGCAAAACATCTGCAGGAATGCATTCGTTGGGTGAACAGTAGAAGTTTTGCTCGGGGATTCCAGCTTCGAAATTACAGTTCTGTTGTAGTGGCTTACACAGCCAGCCTGGTGGGCAGCCCCATCTGTGAAGCTCTGTTAGGACATGAACATTTCGGAGTAGCTGGGCCAAATCAAGCACATGGGTGACATGAAGCATTATCGCAAATATGACAAGCTGGTTTAAGCCCGAATGCCAAATGAAGATGATACAAAAGGACCAATGCTCGGCAAAGAAAAGTATACTACTTACGTCCAGTCAGTGGGATACGGTTCGTTAGCCGTATAGGTTGGGTTGGCGGTTCGAGTCGGGCATAGGGTAATGCTTGTAACTCTCTCTGTGGTCAAAAATTCGGAGATAATCTCAGTGGCGGTGGCAGTTGTGCTGGTGGTGTCGGTGTCAGTAGTTGTCGCGGTCGCAGTGGTCGGACTAATCGAGACTGTTGTCGTCGTTGTCGTCGACGTATCAGTCTCGGTCTCGGTCTCTGTGGTAGTCACGGTCTAGGTCTCGTCAGCACCTGGTTTACAATCATTCGGATTCTCAACTGACCGCTGTCAAGACTGTTGTCGAGATAATCGTCTGGAAAATCGTTATTGGTTTAGTCGTAGTGTCGATATAAGTTGCGGTGGTTACTGCAGTTACTGTGGTAGTGGCGTACTCAGTGATAGGTACATAGTCTGTGACATTGAAAAAGACCGTCGGTGGAGGTGGACAGATCTCGACGACTGTTTCATTTGCTGTCGTCGTATTGATCAAAACTGGCGGCGGAGATCCTGGCGGAGGTGATACGATGGTGACTCCGCTGGACGTCTGAGCATATGTTGTTGAGAGGGCAAGCGAAAAGCTCGCCAGCAATGTGAGTGAAGGATGCATGTCGGGACTTTGTGCTGCTTTGGTTGTGTTCTGCCTACGACGTGCTCATGCTACAATCCACCTTGATCCGGAGTATACAAGCGAATGTCAACTCAACGAGAGGCGGGTAAAACGAATGAAGAACGGGACCTCGCTGTCAATGCGCCTCTTTGGAGGCTTCTTCAGGTCGTCGTCGAAGTAATGAAAAGGAGATCGGACCTTGAAAGATGGAAGGAGACTTGCCGTCATCCGTGATCGAGTAGCTTCGAGCTTCCTGGCGCGGCTGGGAAGTATTTCCCTAGACTGTTGGAGCTCTTCTGACGGATTGACACGCCACATGGCTTCGGCGGATTTCGTTGCATACCGCCCGCCTTGGTTGGCTCAACGGGAATATGCAGGTTGGTGACGTTCCTGGCTTTGGATCAACTTTGCCTTGCCAGATGCAGATGGAGTTGTGCCAATCGATGACAGAATCAGCGCTAGAGGGCCTTGCTAACCCCAGCCTGACTCCGGGGACTTTACCTGGAGGGTGATAGCTTATCGAAGACGGCAAGGTCGATGTGGATAGATGATGAAAGGGCTTGATGGCCGTGAATGTTGGTGGAGATAATCATGGGTGGCCCATGCTGGAATTGGTGAATCGACAAGCCACGACAGACCTGTACTGTCCTTGGCCTCCAACATGGAGTGTGTTTCCCCGAACTCTTTTCCAACCACCGTCACCGCCGCCCTGGTTCGACGTGGAGGCCGTTGCGGACGAGGTCCCAAAAACCGGTTTGCGGTTGGGTGAGCGGCGTTAGCTCCCACGCTTGTCTCTCGCGAACCCTCTATCGACAACTCATGTTGCTCGAGAAGTTCGCTTAGGTGCAAATCATGACAATGTTGCAGCCAGGGAAACTGTCGACCTTTGACTCTTCCTCGTATTGCCCAGTCCCGGACTTGATTGTCCCTGGATCTGCCAGACTGTCTCTCTTCCTTGTTGCACAGCTTGCGATGCGATTGCCCGCTGTCGAGGCTAAGAAGGAAGCGCCCCAGCCGGTATCTTTCCTAGTCCCTCTCCTTTGCATCTGACTTTATTATGACGTTAGCAGTTCCTAGGCGAGCACGGCATTCTGCTCTTCAGTGCATGCGGAAATGCAGACCCCGTGTCTCGTCTTTGGCTGACTTATCTGCGGTGTGCCAATGACTGTTAACTTCTGCAGCAATGACGATCTCGATGGTGGCAAACAGTTTTTGGTGAAGATCAGTCCTCGTAGGTATCAATGCAAGAATTGTCTTAGATCGTACACCCTCCATCTTTTGCAGGAGAAACAGTGAGTATAGTCAAAGTTCAGCTTCCTGCCTTGTGTCGGATTTGCGTTTCAGAACCTCTTTCCTCCTCAAGGTCGCAGCATTTAATATGCTGCCATCGATATACGCAGTGTGATTCGCCATGAGATCGTATCTCGAGAGTATCCTTCTTGGAGGGCTGTTGGCTGGAACGGTGAACGCGGTATCGGTGCAAGAAAATTATACAATATGCAACTGGGCTCGACTGAGGGCCGGCGTAGTAAGGGATGCGCTGTACCTCGATGGCGGTCTCTTATGGTGGCAGACGGCCTTTGCCGATGGGACTACACCGGTAGTGAGTAGCGATGGGAATGTGGCCGGGGATATGTTTCGCCTGAATTTCTCACAATCTTTCGACACCACAAAAACGAATATATCTGGCTTGTTCGAGCGTATGCCAAAAGCAGGAGGAGCCGGAAACAACATCGCCCCCAACTATGTGGATGGTACGATGTTCTCTAATAACGACGAGCTATATCTCTACGGGTGGGTAGTTTTATTCCCCCAGCTTGGTTTGACAACTGACATGAGCAGTGGTCTTCCTCCATTGACAGACTCGTCATCTCCTCAAAGTGCGGAAACAGTCCTCGGATACGAAGCATATCAATATGGTCCAAATCGAGCAAGCTGGAGCCCGGGCTTCTACCAGGGCAGTCTCCCAGACGGGGTCACAAGATACATCACGAATGGTGCAGGAGTGTCCGCTCCGAGCGAGAATCTAGGCTTCTACTTCAGTGGCATGCGAGCGCCAGACTGGGGTCCCATATACTATGAAGATTCATCCGCAAATCAAACAGCGAACACTCTCATCCAAGTCGATATGTCGGTCATGAGGAGCGAGAAATGGACAAACACTACCCTCCCCGACGATATCGCGCCCCGCGCGAATGCAGAGCTAGTCTGGATCCCAGTCTCCGATCAAGGGGTCTTGGTTGCAATAGGCGGTGTCACCGCACCAGAAGAAATCTGGCCGGCGGGCTTGAATTCATCTCAGACGTCGACAAGTCAAGCACAGAGTCCGGGTTTTATGGAATCGCTGCCGGTGTACGATATCGCGTCTCGGAAGTGGTATTTGCAGAACACAACCGGCGATGCTCCTGGTCAACTGACCGAGTTCTGTTCGGTCGTAGCACCAGCCAACGACTCCTCATCCTTCAACGTTTACATATATGGTGGGTATGATGGGCTCAGTGCGAGTGATGAACCTTCGGACGATGTCTGGATTTTGTCAATCCCATCGTTCACATGGGTCAAGGCATACAGTGGCAACAAGGCTCACGGCCGTTCAGGTCACCGCTGCGTGACGCCCTATCCGGATCAGATGTTCGTCATTGGTGGCATCCATCAGAATCAGGCGGAATGTGTTGAAGGCGGTATCATTCAAATCTTCAACCTCAACAAGCTTGAATTCCAGGATACTTATGATCCAAACACATGGTCCGAATATCAGGTCCCGTCCGCAGTCATAAAAGCTATCGGCGGAAACCCTCAGGGAGGTGCTACCCAGACGGCAACATGGTCTGATAGCGCTCTCGGAGGGGTCTTCTCTCGCAAATATGCCCAACAGATTACTCAGTACTATCCTTATCCATCGGACGGATCGTCTCCAAGCACGTCCAGCAGCGGAAGTTCAGGCATATCGAAGGGCGCCATCATAGGCATCAGCGTCGCTGCGGTCGTCATCTGCCTCCTGCTAATCATCTTAATTATCCTACTTTTCCGCCGCAGGCGCATCATTCACAGCACCACGTCGGAGAAATCGGCGACTTCCAGCAACTCTCGCGTAACACGCTGGCTTAACGGCGCATCGTGCGCCCCTTCACCTCACAAGCAGGTCTCATCCAATTCAGGCCCCGAGGTACCACAAGTCTCCAATCTCTCGACCGAAGAGGAGCAGACCCCGCCCTTGCGACCTCAACGTCACGAAATGGCTGGCACGGAACGACCCAAGCCTCCGTACGAGTTGGCGACGCCGTACAATATTGATGACCACCCTCGCAATTCCGGCGTAGTCGACTCCGGTTACAACGCCAACTACGGGCACACCTACTCGAACTCCAACTCGAACTCGAATTCAAACTCTTCCGGCGAAGAATACCGCCCATCGCCACTAACAAGTTTTAATGGCAACGCCCCTGGTGGAAATGGAAATGGCAACGGCTCGCCTCTGCGCAACATGCGCTACCCACCCGGCAGTGCGAGCAGATTCACCGAGGACGTCTCGACACCCAGCCAGGAATCATCGACCGGCTCGAACGAGACGATGCCTTGGCCCTTCCCTTCGACGCAGAATACTTGGCGCCAGCAGAATCAGAATCAGAACCGTGGTGGCTCCGGAAGTCGTTTTGGCATTGGAGGCCACGCCCGTGAAGGCAGCGAGACCAGCTCCGTGCAGCCCATCATCGAAGAGCCCGAAAGCCCACCAAGGGAACTTGACGCGGGCGAGCACCACGGGCGAGGAGAGAGGTTCTCGTACCAGCATACGAACGAGAGTGCGAGTAGTGGAGTTGGAACGCTCCCGTCGCCGAATGGCCATGATGGTACACTGCCGCGGGATGAGGACCAACGGAGGAGTATGTTTCAAATGGTGAGTCCAGTCAGTCCGACCATGGGGAGGCGGTTATGAAGTTATGAATCTTTTAATGTCTTTTGAGATCAATGTGAAATCAGAATGTACAATGTAGCGTTGCGCAGGATATACAGGACCATATGGGTCAAGAAAGAAAATCTTTGATTCTCTGGTTGTATAGATATATGACGATTACAAGCCTATCAGGGCCAATACCTTTTTCCTATGATCCTATCGGAGTCATCTACATAACTTGAAAAGTATCTTCGCATGGAGTCTACCTACTCGTGGCACTTTCTAGCACTTCGAGAAACCCACCGACCAGGTGCAGACTCCCCGTGACCAGAGCGGTGACTTCACTTCGGTCGGCCTCATCGGAAGCGTGCTCCCTGACGAGAGTCACGGCTTCCTCAATGGTCCTGACGACCTCGACGTGAGCGGCGGGATCGATCTGTCTCCATGTCTCGGCCAGGTGATTCTGGACTTTGAGTGCGTCGACATCCGAGGCATTCGTGTTGACCGAGACGAGATCTGGTCGGAAGCCGGTCTCCTTGAAGGTCGTGTTGGTGCAGAAGATGGCGTGCGTGAAAGGATGAGGGTCTTGAAGAGCTATGGATAACGTGTTGTATAGTGCTTTCGCCAGGGCTGCGGCGTCCCGGGTTTGCTGGTTGAAGATCAAGAAGCGAGCCTGTGAATGGGATTGCTGAGGAGCGAAGTCAGGAGTGACAATGAGCTGTGAAGCGAACCATTTTCCGGCAAGTTCGATGCTCTCCATGGTATGACCGCCGTCAATACACCATCGTATGCCTGGCTCACGGCGTGTCTCACATCGACCTGGCCACCGGACTGTTTCTAGCCCGCGTCGGATCCTTTCTTCGAAGTCCGCTACTGCAGCATATCCCCGCTTTTCGAGCCATTCTTCGGCAACGGCCACGGCAAGGCTTGCATTCGTCTTTTGGAAGTCCGCTTGAAGACCCAGGATGGTTTCGTTGCTCGCAATGGCTGGATCAATGTCGATGTACTCAAGAACACTGGTCCTTAGTCGGGCGACCTGTTCCAGAACACTCTTTGCTTCCGGAACTTGGCTGCTCGGCGTGAAGCATTTGGCGCCCGGTTTCATGATGCCAGCCTTGTGCCACGCGATTTCCCCGATCGTAGAACCGAGCATTCCGACATGGTCGATCCCCAAGCTCGTGATGCATGTCACCAGAGGAGTTTCGATGACATTGGTGCTGTCATAGGCGCCCCCAATCCCGCACTCAATGATAGCAGTATCGACCTTCTCAGTCATATACGTATGAAACGCCATCAAAGTGAGAAATCTGAAGTAGGCGGGCTTTGTGCCAGGCGCCTGTGGATCTTCTCCTGCTGCTCTTGCTGCCTCTTCAAGTCGGTCCCACACCTCATAGAAGTATTTCGCAAACATGTCCTCCGACAGCGGTTGTCCATTAACCTGTATTCTTTCCCGCACAAATCGTAGGTGTGGTGAAGTAAATAATCCAACTTTTGACAAGGAACGTGGTCCTTCAGATCCAATGAACTGTGTCAAGATGGAAGAGGTGAAAGCAGCCGTAGACCCTTTTCCCTTTGTACCCGCAATGTGTATAGCGTTCAGTGCACGGAGATCAGATGGCTAGGAGCATCGAGTCAGTCGTCTGAAGGGTCGTGGGCTGTCGGCAACAGGTTCATTTGTCGCATACTTGATATCCAATCTTTTTGAGCCACTCGATCATCTCAGGAATTGCCTGCTCGTTCATCTTCTGCCTGGACTTTCGGATCGCATCAACGACGGCGAAGTTCGACTGCAGCGTGTTGAGCGACGCTACAGCATCCTGAGACTTGGATTATTTTCTGACATTGAATTGTAGAGATGGTGGACTCACTGCATACGTCCGCGCCATTGCTGTTGTCGTTGTCGCAAACCTGCGACTCTGGTGAAGGAGAAATGTCGTAGCCCTCAGACTCCATTGCCGCATCACAAGAAGAGCATGATCACTGCGAAATTTACTCTAGAACAGAACGCTTGATGGGCAAGCCAGAGCCCTTGCCTGCATAAATTTGACGAGGCTCTAGAAGAAAGAGCGCCATTGGATACAGCAGCGAGCCGTAGTTTTAAACGGTGGAACCTAGAATCCCTCGAAGCGCATTACTTCACATGATCCGATCTGGATCTGATGTATCACTGATCTAGCCTCTAGGAGTATCCCTCACCACACCAGAGACGGGCGAAGATGGGTCAGTCTCAGTCTCAGTCAACAGAACCGTCTAAAGAGGTACCAATAGGTAAGTGGCAGGCTCATATCATTCAGACTTGAGGGTCTGATATGTGGATCATGCAGAGCAATTGAGCCACGAGCTCGCTCTACGCTTTGCCTCCAAGTGCTACACTCACCTGGAGATCGCTCATTTCAAAGACAACTTCAAGACTTTAGCCGATCATCAAGAAGGTCTCGAGTACTGGAAAGAAGACACACTATGTCGCTTCCTAGCACTACCAGAGCCTCTAAAGGCCGGACCAGTGGTCTACCAGATGTGCACTTACCTTGGGGCATTTCCGTTTCCTAGTCTGGCTCCGTGTTTCTTGACCCGAGAGAATACGCTCAAAATCGTCACAATCATGACTGGCAGGTATAAGAAAATCCTGAAACGTGGCGACTCAGACAAAGCAAAGTTGCTCTTCCGGAGTCTGGCAGTCTTCGATCGCAGAGCAAGCATATCGTCCCCGACCAAGGAGAAACCCAGCATGGACAATGTCGTTCGAGAACAACTACCGGAAGACATGTTGAAACAACGAGAAGCAGAGGAGGGTTTCACCTCTCATGCATCGGGCTTCGCTATTGACGAGCCCGCCAACGATGACGAAGAAGAGGACGACGATGACCTGGCTCTAGCCGCCCTCGATTCGCTCGACGCCATCGAAGTCTTCAAGCATGACCACAGGACAGACCGCAAAATACATCACGCTATGATACCAGCCGAGAACTTCAAGAAATTGGTCATGTTACTATTGCTCATGGCTGGCTTAGAGCCATTGACGCCCTTGGCCACATACGGAGAAGCGCTGGATGACGAGCGACTCCCAGCGCTTGATGCCTCCGCCAATGCAATCATCGCTGCATTTGATCCAGATCCGCACAGCAACGGCATCAAATACTCGACTTTCGTCAAGACGGTGACCACGACCCTTCCCGAACTTTTCGACCCTTTCAGCGCCCTCTTCGAACACTTCCTCTTCAGCAAGAACATCAACCTCAACAGGCATCGCGATACACCGAATCCGGCTCCCGCCTATGACCCCAAGCCTTCTCCTATATACCGATCCCCCGAGGACGGCATATACTCCATCTTCACAGACACACTGCTCTCGCAGCTCTCCATGTCTCTCAAACTCTTCAACCCTTCTGGCAGTCTCCTGAACATATTCACCTCCAATGCGCGCTTCAACCGCCTCTACTCCTCGTCCTCTGACGGCACATCCCTCAGTTCTTTCTCCCGACAAGTCACATCGTGGCAATCAGGCACCCTGCTCCTTATTTCTGGCACCTCCTCCGACCATCTAAGCAACCTCGTTACATTGGGCGCTTACCTCCCCGAGCGCTGGCCCGGCCCTGGCTCCGGCTCCGGCAGCAAATCCATCCCGTCAAGCGACCCTGCCAGTCCGAAACCATGTCTGTTCCAACTCCAACCGCGCCAGGCACTGTTTCCTGCAAATGCCTACAATCGGATGTCGCCCTGGTCGTACTTCTCGAGCAAATCCGGGATTGCACTAGGGTGTGTCATCCCACACCAGTCGCGCACAAACACAAACACGCAACCGCCCATTCTCGGGCCCGTCAGCCTGTTGATCGACAGCGATATATCGACTGCAACATTCCAGCATGACGGGTCGGCTGGGACCGGCGCCTTCGTGACGGATCCAGGCCTGGAGACCGCTCAGACGCACCATAGTGAGACGGCGCAGCCGAAGAAGGTCGAGTTTGAAATCGACAGCCTCGAAGTCTGGGGGATCAGTTTTCCTGTGCACGCAGGCGAGGACGAAGTCACGATGCAGCAGAAACGGCTTGCTTGGGAGGAGGCTGAGGCTGCGAGGAGGCGCGGTGTCAATTTTGGAGGAGACAAGGACGGGGCGAGAGCCCTGCTCGAGATGGCTGGACTGGTCGGCGATAAGGCTGGTAGTAGGAGTGGCGGATCTGTGTAAATCATAGGTTTACAAGGGAACGGCCTCATCACAATCCAATAAACCTCCACTTCAGTTGAAATTAGTACAAGCCAGCGATATTCAGTAGCGAGACACAGGCCGGAATTGTGGTAAAACATTGTCTAAGCATTAAAATGTGATTGTAAAAAGACAATGGTGGCCGGATCGTTCTTAAAACGCCAACCTCTGCAGTATAACTCATAGATGATGAACGAGACGAGCCTGTTCCAGGGTGATTGTGACCTCGACCTCTGATTCATCGCAAAAATTCATCCCTATCCAGCGTCCCTGCATGCCTCAATCGCCCAGCCGTACGCCTGCTAGCTCAACACGGAAAGAAACAATTTGGGCGAAGCGTGGGTGGTTGATCAACACTGGCAGTTTCCTGCTCCTTGTGTGCCTGTTGATTCTGGTCGTAGATCTACTCCGGGTCGTGGATTCGATCTCAGATTGCGGGGACCTGCCTGGTCGAGGGGCAACTTTTTGGCAATGGCAGTGAATAGTTCGCGGACGTTGGTCGACGTCTTTGCGGATGTCTCGAAGAAGAGCAGACCTGCTTCTTTGGCATAGGCTTCAGCGTCGGCGGTTTGAATCGCACGCTTATCGGGGTATTCATTGACCACATCCACCTTGTTTCCAGCCAGTGCGATGATGATGTTCTCATTCGCCTGTCTTTGCAGTTCTTTCACCCATGACTTGGCTTTGTCTAGTGACGACTATCGAGGATATCAGCAACGGAATTAGACGCCTGTGGCAAGACACTCACAGCCTGGGTGATATCATAAACAACAACGGCGCAGTTCGCGTTTCGGTAGTACATGGGTGCCAAAGACTTGTATCGCTCTTGACCTGCGGTATCCCAGATCTCAAACTTGACCGTCGTGTTCTCATCTAACGTGATTGTTTGTGTTAAGAAGGCGGCGCCGATTGTTGACTCGCGGTAGTCATCGAATTGATCTTTGACGAATCGAAGAACTAATGAGCTCTGGGAGGTGTTAGGAACAGGAAGCGGTCGGACTCGTCATTTACGGTACCTTTCCGACGGCAGATTCACCTGATGATCGGTCAGCGCATCAAAAGTGATATGTGTAGAGTCCTCAACGTACCGAGAAGCACGAGCTTGAATTGAGCAAACCTGCCGCCTGCGCCGGGTCGGCCAGTGGGAGCTCTTGCGGCCATCCTGCTTAGGACCAATGCCCGTGATTTTGGAAACGAAAAGGAAATTTGTAAGTTTGGGTGTCGCGTTAAGAGTGTAAGTAAGTCGTCGAGATCCAAGGATGTTTGATGGTGGTGGTATGCCTGCAACCTGCATGTCAGTCCCAGTCCGGTGTTCTACTATTAGTTACTCTTAGTTGGGGTGACGGCGACGGATCGAGAACGCGCCAAGGATGACGACGTAGCGCAGGGAGCAGCAACCAAAGCTGAGCCAACACCAGCCTTCACAGCAACCGTTCACGCCTTCACCTACGAGTACCACCTCTGTTTGCTCTTTGTCAGGCCCTGGAAAATGGATCGATAGTAGGGACAAAGGATCCCTCAGCGAGCCCGCGACCAACCGCCACCATGGCTAATCTACTGCCTTTTCGCGACATCAACGTCCACGCTTCCACGAGCCACTATGCCTTTACCTCGCCCTCTACTCCCTCTGCGCCGACTCTTGTTGTAGAAAGACCATCTGGAGATATCAGGCTGAACAACGGGTCTCTTCTGGGTGCAAAACGTGTCTCAAGTATTGCTGGTATACTGGGCATCATCAAGCTGAAGCTGGACAAATATGTCATTGTCATTACCAAGGCTCAGCCGATGGGCAGACTTCGGGGGCATATGGTCTACAAAGTGGTGGCTACAGAATTTCTCCCTCTGCGAGAACGGCCTGTCCATGACCCCGACGAAGATACTTACCTTTCGTATCTGAAAACCCTGCTTGCGACCGGACCTATGTACTTCTCATACTCCCTGGATGTCACCTCCAGCTTCCAACGCCAATCCCAGTCAAATTTCTCGCAACCACTGTGGAAAAGAGCCGATGACCGATTCTTCTGGAACCGCTTCATCCAGACTGACCTCATCGACTTCAGGACCGGAGGAGGTTCCTCGACCGGCTTGAAAAGTCAGCAGCAGCCCGGCGCCGATCCCTACATTTTGCCCGTCATGTTCGGCATGCTGGAGATCAAGCCAGCCAAGGTCAAATCCATCAATTTCACCTTCGCCCTTGTCACACGAAGATCGAGGTTTCGTGGTGGTACCAGATACTTCTCTCGAGGTTTGGACGAGCACGGTCATGTCTCCAACTTCAACGAAACTGAGCAGATAGTGGTGTTGAACGACGTTTCTGGTCAGCCAACTGGATATGCTGGCGGTGAGGGTATGCAAAATGGCAAGGCTGGGGGCCAGACCGCCGAGACCCAGATACTGTCTTACGTCCAAACACGTGGAAGTGTACCCGTCTATTGGGCCGAGATCAACAACCTCCGCTATACGCCTAAGATTCAAATCCGTGGTGTCGATTCGGCCGTCGATGCTGCACGTAAGCACTTTGATGAACAAATCAGGATATACGGTGAGAATTACCTGGTCAATCTCGTCAATGCGCGGGGCAGAGAAGAACGCGTAAAGAAGGCATATGAGCAAATGGTTCGCATCCTCGTTAATTCCCCCGACGAATCGATTGAACCTGGCCAACGGACGGATGAGAAGTTCCATGAAATTAGCCCCAACCAGCAGCGGCAACGGATGGATAGACTGCACTACATCTATTTCGACTTTCACAACGAGACAAAGGGCTTGCAATGGCAGCGAGCAGAACTCCTCTTGAATGAGTTGATGGACGGCTTGAAGAAGGGAGGATATTTCCGCGGCGTGGAAATGCCAGGCAATCCCTCAGGTGCTCTCGAGATCAGGTCGCTACAGTCTGCAGTCGTGCGAACAAATTGTATGGATTGCCTTGACCGTACCAATGTCGTTCAAAGTATGCTGGGGAGGTGGGCATTGACCCAGCAATTCCAAGATCTCGGTCTGCTGCAACCAGGTGAACGAGCTGACAACGACCGTGATTTCGAATTTCTGTTCCGCAATATCTGGGCGGACAATGCCGACGTCGTTTCGAAAGCTTACTCCGGCACGGGTGCTCTGAAAACCGATTTCACGCGCACTGGCAATCGCACGAAGGCCGGAATGGCCCAAGATTTCACCAACTCTTCCACGCGATACATCCGCAACAATTTCTTGGATGGACCTCGACAAGACGGATTTGACCTTTTCCTGGGTACTCATCTCCCGTCAACGTACGGCGTGGGATCGTCATTGACGTTCAAGGATCGACGACCCCTCATAATACAAGCAGTGCCTTATGTCTTTGCTGCCTCGGTATTCATTGTGTTAATCTCGATGCTCACAAGTAGACCACCTCAGGCGGCTGTTTGGCCGTTGCGGCTGCTTGTTATCTCATGTCTGATTGTGGCGGGTTGGTCTTTCCAGTTTATGTATGCACACGGTCTGCTCTATGTCAACTGGCCAAAATTGAATACGCCTCAATTCGCGCTTGACGGGTATGCTGAGGCTCTATCTCGAGCTCACAAAGACAAGGTGATCGGGCCGCTGATCGCAGCATCCGAGGGCAAGGATAGAAGGGCACGCAATATCAGCACAGCAAACATGGGGTATATGGAAGAGGGCAAAAAGAGAATAGAATAGACTGCAGACCAGGTTGCCACGACTTTTACTACAGATAGACAGACCCCAATGATTACACAATCTTCCGGCATACGACCTTCAACAACGTCTTGCCCTTCGGTTCAACCAGATCCCTACAAGTGTGCGGTGTAGCTCATATGGTACTCCGTAGACGTCGCTCCAAAAGCTCAGCCTTGTCCGGAGTAAAGCGAATCTCTTATTGGCGGATTGTGCAAGGCTGAAAAGACCCTCCTTGGCGCGGATATGGAGCTTCAAAAAAAAAGTTGCCCGAAAGCAACCGGCATTGGCTGCGCGTCCATTGACCCTGCCGACCTCGCCATCAACCGTCAAGATGAGTGCTTCGTATGCGGTGCGAAGCCAATCTAGGCTCCTAGGGAGCGCTCTGCGCACACAGACTTCGCGACTAGGCCGACAATGGGTCTGCCGGCGATGTGCATCTACCGTCGCCCTGCAGAGCTACTCCGCAAGCCTGAAATCGCAGTCAATACAATGGCCATTGGACCGCAGGTGGCAGCAAAGACGGGGTGCTGCTGGAGCGGCCGCTGCAATGTGAGTTGCTGGTCTGTCCTCTCAGTAAATCGTCCCATACTGACATTCCCTAGGCTCGAGGAAGCTTCAGACCCCGACTCGCTGTCTCAAGAGACAATCATCGAAAATCTCTCCGGAGAAGAGGCTCACAGGCTCTCGAGAGTACGGAATATTGGTATAGCTGTTAGTCAGAGCATTACCACGCTGGAATGCCCAAGCTGACTTCTTCAGGCTCATATCGACTCCGGCAAAACCACCGCCACAGAGCGAGTGCTCTTCTACACCGGTCGTATCAACGCTATCCACGAAGTACGAGGCAAAGACTCTGTTGGTGCAAAGATGGACTCTATGGAACTTGAAAGAGAAAAGGGCATCACCATTCAATCTGCGGCAACCTACTGCGATTGGGTTAAAAGGGAGGATGGCAAGGAGGAGAAATACCACATCAACTTGATCGATACCCCCGGCCACATTGACTTCACGATTGAAGTTGAACGAGCACTCCGAGTTCTCGACGGTGCTGTCATGATCCTGTGTGCCGTGTCAGGTGTCCAGAGTCAGACCATGACTGTTCACCGACAGATGCAAAGGTACAACGTTCCTCGAATCAGCTTTATCAACAAAATGGATCGAATGGGGGCGAATCCATTCAAGGCCGTCGATCAGATTAACAAGAAGCTCAAGATTGCCGCTGCCGCCGTTCAGGTGCCTATAGGTGCCGAAGACGAGTTCAAAGGGGTGGTCGACTTGGTTAGGATGAAAACTTACTACGCCGAGGGTTCACGGGGGGAGATCATCGTCACTAAGGACGAGATCCCTGCCGAGGTTCAAGAGCTTGTGAAGGAACGACGGGCTATGCTGATCGAATCGCTGGCCGATGTCGATGAGGAGATGGCCAATATGTTCCTGGACGAGCAGGAGCCGACAGTGGAACAACTCAAGGCAGCTATTCGGCGAGCAACAATCTCTCTCAAATTCACGCCCGTTTTCATGGGCTCTGCATTGGCGGACAAATTCGTCCAACCCATGCTCGACGGAGTTTGCGACTATCTACCCAACCCATCTGAAGTTGCCAACATGGCTTTAGATCGTCGGCAAAAAGAAGCTCCTGTCAAATTGATCCCTTACAATTCACTGCCCTTCGTCGGCCTAGCGTTCAAGCTGGAAGAATCCAACTTTGGGCAACTTACGTACATCCGTGTCTATCAGGGCAAGTTGACGAAAGGAATGTTCGTCTTCAATGCCCGGACTGACAAGCGGGTCAAAATTCCTCGAATTGTCCGAATGCACTCCAACGAAATGGAAGAAGTGAACGAAATTGGTGCGGGAGAAATCTGCGCCGTGTTTGGAGTCGACTGTGCATCAGGCGATACTTTTACCGACGGCCAGCTTGGTTACAGCATGAGCAGCATGTACGTGCCCGAACCGGTCATCTCCCTCAGCATCAAACCGAAGAACAACAAGGACCTACCACATTTCTCCAAAGCCATAGCCCGATTCCAGCGCGAAGATCCCACGTTCAGAGTCCATTTCGATACAGAGAGTGAACAGACCATCATTTCCGGCATGGGTGAGCTCCATCTTGAAGTCTACGTTGAGCGCATGCGACGAGAGTACAAGGTTGACTGCGAGACTGGAGCACCACAAGTCGCCTACCGTGAAACCATCTCTAAGAGAGTCGACTTTGATCATCTGCTCAAGAAACAAACCGGTGGTGCTGGTGATTACGCGCGTGTCATGGGTTGGATGGAGCCCAAGGGAAATCTTGAGGGCAACCACTTCGAGGAACAAGTCGTTGGTGGTTCCATCTCGGAGAAGTTCTTGTTTGCTTGTGAAAAAGGTTTCCTGCAGGCTTGCGAGAGAGGTCCATTAATCGGTCACAAAGTCTTGGGAACTACGATGGTTGTCAACGATGGTGCGACTCACATGACCGATTCGAGTGAAATGGCATTCAAGATCGCCACACAGCAGGCTTTCCGCAAGGCATTCGCACAGGCCGAACCTGTGGTTCTAGAGCCGCTGATGAAGACGGTCGTGACAGCTCCGACAGAGTTCCAGGGCAATGTTGTGGGTCTGTTGCAGAAACGAAACGCGGTCATCAATGATACCGAAGTCGGCGTTGACGACTTTACAGTATGGGCAGACGCCAGTCTGAACGGGATGTTCGGCTTCAGTGGGAACTTGCGAGCGGCAACGCAGGGCAAGGGAGAGTTCACCATGGAATTCAGCCACTATGAACGGGCGCCAGCGCAGGTGCAGAAGGAATTGGTTGCGAAGTACCAAAAGGCTCAAGCTGAAAGGAACAAGAAATAGAGCGCCTCAAACATCGTGGTTGTTTTAGGGGGTCGGTGAGATGACTGCAATGGCAGCGTCGAAGCCGAGGCATATGGAGAAACAGCCGTCACACTGCAGCCACACTGAAGGGTCCATTCAACTCCCCATCACTCCCTAATGAGCTCGTCCAGTACGAGAATCCTGTTTCAGTACCTCCGGCTTTAAGGTCTCGTCTGGACAGCTTTTAGGAGCAGCCATGTTCCGGTCCCAAGCACAACTGGCGCCATTACCGAGGGATTTTTCTCAACCAGGGCTATCCCATGTGCTTGGAATCTCCCGAATGGTTACTCCATCTTGACGCAGATACGAGTACTGTCTGAGGAGGTCTGGCTTGACACTCTGCCCGAGGGTCATCTTGTACCATACGCGTCGGTCGCCGCCGAGGCAAGGAAGCAAAGAGTCCTCGGTTTACGGCGTGGCGTGATGTTCAGAAGGCATGGTAGATTGCACTTTTATGCATAATGTTTGTCTTACTAGATCTCCGCTCGAAGCGAAAAAGCAGGGCTTTGCGATGGCGTTTGGCGGGATGTATATGTTCAAGTCCATGTAATATACAATTACAATTACCTTTGAGGACAGAGGTAGAGACATAGGCAGAGGCGATGCAAGCGTAGTATGTGCGATTTGGGTACAATAGATCGTGGGGATTCCATTGTAAGTGAACCCTTAGATGGCAATAACTGCTCCCAATCTTGCCAGCACACTGCTGACTACGCATGTGGTCCAGAGACTGACTAGCAGCTACTCCCTAAACGACATCTTCGTGAAGCATAGCCTCCGAGGTAAGCGCTCGTCTTACGCAGCCTTTGACCACCCTACGACATAGCCCTATACACGGCCCTGACGTACGCGATGCTCCTCTCGTTCCCCATGCCGGCGTTCTCCATCTTGTTCATGGCATACGTGATGGTCAACTTCCTGTCCAGGTCCATGATGCCGACACTCCCACCGTAGCCGCCCCAGAAACACACGCGGCCCGCCGGCGGCAGGAAATCCGGCATCGTATCGCCCTGTGGACTGGTGAGTCCGTAGCCCACACCGAGACGCACGGGCAGGTCGATGACCAGATCGGTGCCTTTGAACTGTTCTTGGAAAATCAAGTCGACGGTGCTGGGCGAAAGGAAGGGCGTCGTCCTCGTCCCCGTCCCATCATCATCTCGCGTCTTCTTCCCGCCCAGGGATATGACGGACAAGATCCGCGCGAGGCCCTGGCTGTTCGAATGGCCGTTCCCCGCGCCCATCTCGGCCTGTCGCCACGCCCGTGTGTTGGCCCCGTTGCTGTCCAGCACAGGGTTGGTGAAGACCTTGTACTTGATCGATCCGGCCTGCATGACCGGCAGTGTAGCTGGCACCGGTGGTGGGACGACGTCGGATACACGTGCGTAGTCTTCTTCGCGGGCGCCGAGTTGGAAGTCGGCGTCTAGCGGCTTGCATATCTCGTCCGTCATGAATTGGCCCAGCGTTTTGCCCGTGATGCGTCGGACGACTTCGCCGATCAGATGGCCGTACGTCAGACTGTGGTAGCCTGCCGCCGTGCCTGGTGGCGACCACCATGGTGCCTGTTCGGCGAGCAGGGCTGTGGACTTGGGCACGTCGAGCACGTCGTCGACGGTCACGGGTTCCTGCCAGCCTGCGACGCCGGACGTGTGCGAGAGGAGGTGTCGGATCAAGATGTTGGATTTGCCGTTCTGCGCGAATTCCGGCCAGTACTGCGCCACGGGCGCGTTGATGTCCAGTTGGCCGCGGTCGACGAGCAGTAGCGCCGCGAAGGATGTGATTTCCTTGGTCGTCGAGTAGACGTTGACTATCGTGTCCTGCTGCCAGGGCTTGGAATGGGCCGAGTCGACCCAGCCGCCGTACAGGTCGACGACATCGTGGCCTGCGACGTTGACAGTGATGGAGGCACCCAGTTCGGCGCCCGAGTCAAGGTATCCCTGGAAGAGCCTCTTGATTTCGTCGAACTGGGGGTCGCAGTGACCTTGGACTGCGCTGGACGTCATGTTATTTACAATGGCTGTGGTTGTTGGGAAATCACGCAAAGTCTGCAGAAGTCAATGCTGACGCTCGGTCCTTGACCTTAAGATCTCAATATCTTGTTGACGGAGGATGATCACCGCTCGTGTTCTAGAAGTCATGTAGTAGCTTAGGCCGCCATGTTACTCCTTCTGCCAAGAGACTGACTCTGTGGGACGCGTACGCAGTGTCTGTTTGCCCAGACTTCTTGGAGTTGGGGCAGTTTCGATACCTAGGTATTTGTTCGAGTTGTGCCCTTCTCGGCGAGCTCGCAACAGTACCCCGCATGAGTTAGGTATTATACAAGGTATAGTAGGTGTCATTTTGGTAAAAATGTGGTGGTATCAGGATCTTCGTGCCTGAGGCCGTTATGACATTTACGCGAAGACCCATACGCACAAAATGATGATGCTTACGGCAACTCAGCGTCAGTTCTGGGGTTGCAGGGGGATGATTCTCGCATTCTCTATCTAGAATGCATGCGTATGATGCCGCTCTCTCGGCTGTCTTCTCAAGCTTTTCGCATTTCGCCGGTGTAAATCTCATCATCCTCATCCTTCGCAATCCAAAACATATCCTCAGGAGGATTAACCCAGTGTATCTTCCAGCCATTACGACGCCCGTGCTTGTTCCTCATATGGGCCTGAAAGTCCCCTGCTCCATACGGGCTTGTGTTACATCCCTTCACATCGCAGACGTAGCGCCACTCTCTCTGTCTCCCTTTCAATGTCTTCTTCGACGGCCCTGCCGCCCGTTCACCCTTCTTCTTGTCGATCTCCGCATTGCTATTGTCTGGTCGAGGGCGTTTAGCTGGTGGTCTGGCGTCGGAGGGTCCAGAGTCGATGGCCATGGTAGGCGCTTGGTATCGTTCGGCCCGCTCCCTCACTTTTGTCTCCTCGAGGGTCTCCTCATCGAAAGCCGGGCTTGGTTGTCTGCGACGCCGGCTTGGTCCCAGGGCAAGGTCTGAGTTTGCAAGGGCTCGGCCCCTCTCGGTAGCGCCCACATTGCCTCTGGTGGGTGCTCTGGTGGTATTTGGAGGAGGAAGAGAAGGAGGAGAAGCAGAAAGGCGAGCAGCAGGAGACGCAGCAGGAGGAGAAGAAGGACCAGCACCAGGTGGCGGAGAAAGAGGAGCGGTGGCTGGTGTGATGGGAGCAGCGGCAGGCGGGTCGAGTTGCTCATTGAGCCAGACAGCGTCCACAAATGCGTCCAAGTCGAAATGGTGTCGGAGATCCCGTAGGATGCTTCTCATGGCCTCATTGCGGCTGGTGCGGCTGTATCTGGAGACAATGTCGCCCAGTAGGATGCGAACATCGGCCGGATTCTCTGGGCGAATCGCCCTCATTGCTGCTTCTGCGTAAACCTCGAGATCTCGGTCTGCCTGTTGCTTGAGGGTGCTGCTTGAAAGAGACATGTTGAAAGAAGTGATTCAAGTGTGTTTGATGCTGGCTAAACCTCGGAGAGTCTGTGAAGAGATGGGCGGGTGTATCCGGCGCTAAATAAGTCTGAAGATGTGAAATATTTGGGAAATGTGAAGCTTTTGTGGGTGGGAGAGGTTGCGTTCCATTGTGCCAAGAGCAGGTAGTGAATGGGCGTCGGTGAGGGTGACGCCTACCGCGGAACGATCGTGAGTGTGGTAATAAATAGCAAACAGGAGGGTTTCAGTACGAACGGTGCTGTGACAAGTGAACATGATGGAGATGTACTCCCACATAAAGCAGTCTTTCATGTTCCTGGAGTGAGCGGAAAGATGACACTGTCGCGATTGCTTCCTTGCGTTGTGAATCCCCATGAGGAGCTCGCCAGCCCAGATCAAGACCTACGAGGCAGATAGCCACTAGAACCACGCTGTACAAAACAAGTGTTCAGAGGCCGATGTGCTGGATAAAGCCTCCATCGTAACCAGGCCTTCTTACAGTGATAGCATTCATGTACCGGTCCGGGAGAAACACACCTTCAGAAGCCAAATGCCCGACAGGGGTACCCCATAGCAGACACCCTCCAGCATCTTGATGTTGTCCAAGAGGACGACACATCGAGACAATCCCATGTGTGTGTAGTGGTCACCGCGTGCTCAGAAACGTATTATGTATTATACGTTGTCTGGCCTGTTGTAGTGTGCAGTGTCTTGCCTGACAATAGGGCTTGATGTGCTGACGCACGACTGGACTGGAGAGTGCAGTGTTGCAAAGGGAGGTGAGGTTCAGATTGACGTCCGCCGAAAGTTCACGAGATGCCAAGAGATGGTCACGTGTGGTTTAACTACTGGCGACTCAACCCCCAAATGGGAAACAGGGTGATGCCGCCCTTACAGTGCTGACCCCGTGGCTCGCGCGCGTCGGGTGAGCGATCACCCTTGACTCACTGCTCGTGGGGGCGAAATTTAGGCGGGACGCTATGGCTAGTGTGGCCATTGGCGCTCCCTCCTCTCCCCCAGCCCCTTGGGTCCGCGCGGATTGGAGAAGCTTAGTAAAGGCTTGTTATGGCTCCGTTGTCTCTCGGGTTAGGGGTTGATGTAGCTTAGGTACAGTCTTGCCATTGTTTTCCGTGGTCTTGTTCCGTACGTACCAAGGTTGGTTATCCTTTTGGTAGGTCTCTATAACAGCCTAAGGTGGTCCTAGAGACCTGGTGAGGAGCTCGAGGTGGACTTGCTGCTATGGCCACTGGAGAAGTCACGCGATCTATGCGGCCCGGGCTCCAGTACATTGTAACTACTGCATGATGCACTTACATAGGTAATATCTCCATTCTCCATCATAGTGCAGATCATCCGGCTCACCGGCATCTTCATTTCTCAAGGACTCAAACTTCCGGAACGTTTCCCCTCCTTTTCGCTTTGCCCAACCACCTCCAAAACCTTTCCCCATCCTTCTATGCTAATCTGAAGTCTCTGGCAAGGAATCACACCTCGTTCTTCTCCGTGGAGGGCAAATCCAGGTTCTCCGGATTCTCCACATGCTGGACGGCCTCACCCTCGCCGGTCGAACCCTTGGGCTCCACCTGGGCAACAGTCTCCTCCTGGCGCAAGAACTCGTCGAGGTGGCGATGGGGCAGTTTGCGTGCCACTCGCACGGGATCGAAGATGGACTTTGATGCGGCGAAGATCTCGTCCATCTCCTCGAGGCTGCGGCCCGCGGTCTCTGGAAAAAGGAAGAAGATTATGGGCACAAAGGCCGCGTTGAGCGCCGCGTACACGATAAAATACTGGTACCCGATGTCCGTGAAGGCCACAGGCGTGATTTCGGCCACCAGGAAGTTGAACAGCCACGACACAGCCGTGGATATGCCGCAGACCGCGGCGCGCAGGTGCACCGGGGCGATCTCCGAAGCGTACAGGAACGGGATTCCCAAGAAGCCAATCGTGTAGACGACGTAATAAAGGAACAGGAAGAAGACGGCCGCCTTGAGGGCTGAGCTGTTGTTCGGGTTCGACACTAGTCCTGTCAGGCAGGCCATACAGACGGCCATGCTGCTAGAACTGAACAGCATCAGTTTGCGTCGGCCAAAGCGGTCGACTGTCCATGAACAGAGACATGAGCCCAGGATGATGGCGAATTGTGACGCCGCGGCGAGGATGCGAGAGAGTGTCGCGTCGAAGTGCAGGTCGGATTCATAGATGGAGGAGGCGTAATATGTGATTGCATTGACACCTGATGAATTTGTTAGCCAGGTCTGTCCACTGAATGAAGAAACAGATTTGACAGCATGCCGATAAAGAACCCAAAACAGGATTTAAAAACGTATATGAAATGACTTACCAGTCATTTGAAGGAAGATCTGCACGCTCGCGGCCAGCACAACTCGATGAAACGTTCTCTGAGGTCCCATTTTGAACAAAGCCTTGAGAGACACAGTCCCAGCGAGCTCGAGCGCCGACTCGACATCGCGAATCTCTTTCTGTACCTCATCGTCGAGTGGGTCGATGTTGTAGAGCAGACCGATGATCTCACGCGCCTCCTCCACACGGTTCATCTTTATTAGCCAGCGAGGAGATTCGGGCAGGGTAAAGATGAAGGCTAAGACGATAACAGAGAGGACGACTTCAAATGCGAATGGCAAGCGCCATGACACCGACCCGGAGTAGTAGGAGAAACCGAAGTCGAGCCACAAAGCCAGTACCAGGCCGAGGCCGCAAAATATGCCAAACGCTGATACGTGTTCACCACGACTCTCCGCCTTGGAGAGCTCAGACTGCCAGACCGAGACGGTTGCAATGATACCGCCCGTCCCCAAGCCCACGACGATGCGGGAAACAATGAATTGCGCAAAGGAAAACGAGGATGCCATCAGGATGGCGCCGACCATCTGGACTGCGGTCGCCAGAAAGATCGTGCCCCGTCGTCCGAGAACATCGCCTAGAAATGTGCAGGCTAGAGCCCCAAATGTGCCACACAGGGTGTAGAGGGCGATAACGGTGCCTGTGGAAACGGTTAATTATCAAACACACCAGATATCCTGATCGTTGCCGGTACGCCCTTACCTTGGATAGTGGAGTTGTAATGCTTCTGGGGCCCCGTTGCATCAATCACATCCATCTCGGGGAATTGCCTGTTGAAGGACGCCGTGGTGAGGACTCCGCCGGCCACGGCTTGGTTGTAACCAAAGATCATGATCGCAAACATGGCCAAAGCCCATATGGCGGCGTTCAGCCAGCGTCCACGAAGGCCCCAAAAGCGCTTCATTGTGATAAGAAACGAGTTGCGAGTGGAAGCAAGGTAACAAGAAGCCTAATCGGCGTTGTTTACCAGATGTTTTGGATAGTTTTCCCACCCCAGGTGTCAGCGAACATGAGAAGGAGAGATGAGCTGTTGGACTGTTTCCGGCAGCATTTGTATGACTCCCCGCCCGGTAATATACTGAAGCCGGGCGGGCAAATTCCGAGTCGTTCCTGCTTCAAGGTACAACCTTTTCACAACTTTGGAGAGGGGACGTAGATCCCTTTGCGTCGGTTGTCGGATAATCCTTCGGATACATCTTCAGCGGGTCTGATTGGTGTGATCTCACAGCCTTGAAAGCCGTGGTCGGCTATGCGGTAGCTTCAAGGCCTTTGGAAAGCTTCAACGACTGGCTCGTCTTACTAGTGCAATACGCATACTGGGTGTCACATTAGCGAACACAGTACCTAGGTAGGCTTGACCCAATAGCCAGCTTCCAAACTCTCCCAGAGTAGCCGGAGTCTAGCCCCTCGTCACGAGTCGTGCACCCTCGGCTTTAGCTGACTCTAAAGTATTGATATTTGCCAGTCCCGCCCAGTTGTGTCATATGACGATCGGGAGGTTCTCCAAGGGGTTTGGACGCTGTTAGATGTCCGGCATAGAGTTCCCATCGTTGCAGTCCCATGATGGTGAGTGCATGAGTAACTGTAGGCGTTGCCATAATATTTAGGATTTGCCAATTGGTAGTTCTCCGGACCACAAATCAACTCCGTCGCATGACTGCGCAGCCACTTGATATCAAAATCAACGAACCTCACGTGCACGCAATCGAGACCCAAACGATGGCTGCAGTCATGGCTGAAGGGTGCGGTAGTCGAGAAGGCAATTCGCGGCCAGCAGGCCCCGACGTGGAATGGACGCCATTTTATACGTGAGGTTGCAGAGTCGAAGGAGAAAGGGGGGAGTGCAGAAGGGGACCGGAAGAGCAGAAGTCAAACCACAGAGATCCAAAAATGGGAGTCCACCAAGTTTCGCCAATAGTAGGTCTAGTCCCGGGAAGAGACGTGCAAGGGGACTGCAACAGGAATTAGACCGTCAAGGCGCGGGTAGGTTGAAGCGTGGGTTGAAGCGTGGGTCCAAGGGTAAGAAGAGGTGCGAAGAGGGTTGAGTCGCGAGCAGATGGTGATAAAAGCGGCATCGGTCTAGGTGAGTACCCACGTGAGCTCCAAGTAGATTTCACAATGCTTGAGATGCCAAGGCCACGTAGGACCACGGGTGTGGATTAAGATCCACCGTATAGACTACGGTAAAGTACTCAACTCCACGACCTCAAGCTGCGGATAGGACAGGAACTTTCACAACTTCAAATCCACCATCAAGCCAGTTCATCAGCCCGTTTACGAACCCCCCAGCCGATCACTTAAGAGCCGGCAAGATGCTCTACCACACCCTCCGCAGTCGCCTGCCACTTCTCGGCTCCTTGATCCCACAAACACGATTCCTGAGCACCTCCACCACCATTCCTCGAAGCACATTCAGCACTGCTCTCCAAAGCTCATTGCGTCCTCAGTCACGGTCGCCAGTCTCACAATGCACGCTGTCATTAGCAAATCAAGTGCGAGGAATGAAGACACGCTCCTCGGTCAAGAGATTATGTGAAGGCTGCAAGGTACCAGATCCCCAAGAATACTCCTTTCACCCCGGCGAACAGCCCCCCAGTGACGAGATAAATTGCTAACACCCATTTCCTCACCCAGGCTGTCCGGCGCAAGAATCGCGTCTTCATCATCTGTGATAAGAACCCGAAACATAAACAGAGGCAAGGGAAATAGATGAGGCTTTTGAGGAGACGAGTGAAGAAATGGTTGTGTAATTACAGCTACAGAAGGACACAAGCGCCGCGTCGAACGACTCGAATGGCTCCTTCGTGAAAGCTGGGCAACGAAAGCGTTGGCGGCAATATCAGTGGGTTACAAATACCACCGTCCCAGAACCAGCTTGCGTCAGGCAAGATAGCTTACGACGAACCAAAGACCCCATGCAGGCTGCACGACTGACTAGGGCGCGATGCTGGCATGTGAGGAATGCCACCGGAGCACAAGGGAAAGACGCCAGAAGGATTATGGACTTGGCAACTCGGCTCTTGTACAAAAGGACTTTCATGCTGCTCCTGTAGTGGACAGAGTGACATGGACACAAGGACGGCCATCAGAGGGCGAGAGGATGGAGCTATTGAGCACAAGGGGATCGTTCTCGAAGACAGGTCTGAAAGGATACAAGCAATGGAGACACTTGATGTGTGAATATGGCCTATGCAAAAAGCCCGTCTTGACAGCTCAAGCACATCCGACTTCCCTGGCTGTTAAGCTTGGGAGTATCCTGTTACATCCTAAATGACTCTCGGGATTCGCACAGGATACCGAGACCTGCAAATGGTGTCATGCCGACTATTCTTCTTTTCCTGCGCTTCCCGCATCTCCGAGATCTCCCACTCCTTCTGCACCATACACTGAAGAAATTAGTTCATTTCCATTCATAACGCAATACTGGATCTGTCCAACAATCACAGCAGCACAATTCCAATACCGCCCCTCTTCGACTCATCAGGCATATTCTTCTCGTTCACACCACCATTAATTGGCTTCGTCCGCCAATTGTATAAATAGTGATGCAACTGTCCGTCACCAGCACCGAACTTCAGATCCTGCAGGAACATGGGATTATCGTGCAGCGTCAGCGCATTGAACACATCGAATTTGGCCTGGTCCATTATTAGCGTCCAATCCCCATCCCAAGGACAGGCAGGAGCTCACCTTCTTCGCTTCAATCAACAAATCCTGTGCAATCTGCTGTAGTCTCGGCTTCAATCCCTTTTCCTTTGGATTGAAAGCCTGATCTGTAGCATAGTAATACAAATACGCTGCGCGGATCTTTTCGTGTTTTTGACTCATCGGACCAATGACACTGCTCTCGAGGCAGTAAAAGCTCGCAAAGTCCGTAATCTTGCCGTCTTTTTCAACGACGAACGACCACACGACTTGATCCTCGGACTTTTGTCTGTTGAAGAACCAGTGATCGATTTCGGCGCGATTGAACTCTTGGACCAAATCGAACCGCTTCAAGTATCGCGTCAGCAGGTCCAAGGCTGGTTCAATGTCCTTCTCCTGCATGGCGCGCCATCCGGACGTGCTTGGGTTAGGAGGTAACTGGTTGCGCGCGATCATCTTGGCAGCCGTGCTGTTTGGCGGAAGTGGAGAGAAGCCGACCTCGTACAGTTTCAGCCAGTCCAGACTGCGGTGAAAGTAGCGACAGCTCCCGACGGGTGTTGGCAAGACAACTCCGCCGGTGTAAATAGCCTGGTAGACTCCTTCCAAGTGACATCTTCGCGTAACTTCTTTGATGAGCACCGGTGCTAGTCTGCGTGACCTCAGCTTCTTGTGGACACACATATAATTGATCTCGACGACGTCGAGGACATTTTCTCGTATTCGGAGCTTGATGGGAATGCCAAATATGGTTGCGACAAGTAGGCGGCTGGGTCCTTTGGCTCGAACGCCTATGTGCCAGCTCTTTTTCCAGCCCGGGGATTTCAGCGCCCAGTCGAGGAAGACAGCAGAATAGTTGAATCGGAACATGGCGTGATCGTCCTCGACATAGTGTAACGAGAGCAGGTTGTATACTTCTTTGACCTCCGCATCGTTGCTCAGGTCGAGCTCGACCCATTCGTAGCCTTCAGGTAGAGGAGCGGCAGTCTTGGGCACCAGTTCCGGGATGACCTCTTTGATAGGACCGTCGGGCTTTTCTGCCTCTGGTCTCTCATCGAAGCGAGGGACAGGCTGTGTGGCCCAGAATTTGTACGAGGCCATGTCTTTCTGGTTCTTGCCGTTCAGCGACATTCCGCTCAGCAGCTCCTGCAGATCCATCTTTCTGAGAGCTTCGGCGGCCTTTTCGGTTGGCATTCCTGCTAGCTCGCCTTTGAGCGTGGGGTTCATCTCGAGAAGCTGCTTGATGTGGTCGTTGGACAATTTCGAGGCAGGCTGGGAGGAGGAGGATTCTGCGGGTTCGGAGGATTTATTGCCAGTAAGGGCAGAGACTATTTTCGACTTCTTTGACTTCTTTTTCTTCTTCTTTTGTTTTGAGGCTGTCGAAGTTGCTTGGTCCTGTGCGCCTTCGGTGCCATCTTGTGGTTGTTCCTCGGTCTCGGATTCTGACTCGAGTTGTTCTTCGCGCTGTTCTAGCGGTGCGCCCGTAGGGTGGGAGTCGGCCATCCTGAGAAGTCGAAGGAAAGACCTGGAAGTTGAGGATATTGGATACGAGGTAAGGCGAGGGAGAAGGGGAGGCCGTGAGATGGAAGGATTTGTTGCTGCAGATGACCCCACAATCCTGTGAGGATGTCCACGATGTCCTCCTGGGCTGAAAACAGGTTCTCCGCAGACGTCAGTCTTCACTTGCTTGGCACGGGATGGCAGCCTTACAGCCTTATCGCTGCCCAAGAAAGACGCGAAGGAACGATATTCTCTATTTTCTCCTCCTACTCTCACCATGATTGGTTGGTCGAGCCTTACGGAGTAGCTGTAGTGCAGTCATCATAAATAAATGGCTCCTCGCCTCTCTCCATCCGCCACCGATTCGTCGCCTCTAACGCCCCCGGTAACCCTTTAACCAGCCAGCTCCATTTCCTCAAAAACCCTTCCGACATCTCCCACCCCGCGATGTCCCAGGGCGGCGACCACGCAATGATACCGCGTCGCACGATCTCGTCGTCAGGAAAGCCCTCATACAGCCCGCCGATGCAGTCGGCCCACAGCTCGTCCTCGTCGAAGGTGCCGGCGGCCAAGATCAGGCGGTCTCGTCCCTCGGGAGACGGGAACAGGTCGATCCAGTCGCAGTGCGGTACCGTCTGCTGAAGGGTGGTGGGCAGCAGTGTTGAAGGGAGTAGTCCGGGCTCGGTAGGGTAGGGGATGACGTGGATAACTTCCTCTTCGCCATCACAGTCGAGCGGCGTGACGAGGATGCCCGAGATTAGAGAGCGGTTGACGGCCAGGGCGCGGAGAGCATTGTATTGGAGGAGAGTGATGAGGTGGTCGGGACATAGGGGAAAGATGATTTTGAACTGCTCTTTTCTAGGGTTTTCTCGCAACAAGGGATCTCTCGCATTATATAGTTGCTTGATACGGGATGCTGGGACGACTGAGACGGATTGCTGCTCAATATCCCAGCATTCCACCAGCGCTCCTGACTTGATCAGTGTCCTGGTTTCGGCACTGGATGTTTCGGCTTTCTTGGCTAGGGCCTTACGTTTTCCTACTGGGCTTTAGTTTCGATAATCAGGTACTCCGCGGGAAGAGATCGGACTGATCCTGACTCCTGATTTGGACAAAAGAGAAACCAAGGCCTTACGTACGATATGCCCTTGTGTTGAGTCTAGTCTGTGCCCGTCTGCGTGCTGCGGCATCCTTGGTCCCAGTCCAGTCATCTTCCCTGGTTATCGCCTGTACGCTGTGAGCAAATCATGTGGTTTGAATGAATAGATGCCCTGGTACGTACCTCGGCCAATTGTGGCATTGACTCGAGTTGGATGCCTGGCGCTGTTGAATTTGCAGGCTGACACGTACTATGCATGATGCTAGCGGACATTCGAATTGCTGTGATGATGGAATTCGTGATGAATGAGCGGTTCATGCAGCCTGCTCACAATGATGAGTCTGAGACTCGGGAACGGATGAATTGCTATGCCTAACACCCGATAGTACCAAGCACCTACCAAGATACCTGATCTTGGTCTCTGGGTACTGTATTCCGCAGCTGAGGCGCAGACAGGCAGGGGTAGTAAAGTAAACCATATAATTGGCCAACATTATATTGTCTAACTTGAGAAGGTCTAGCGTCATGCAGCCTGCTCACATTATGGACCAGGACCACGAATTCTCCTATTGGTCCATCTCTCCAATACGTCCAGGGCCATGCAGCTTGCTCACGATGTCTGATGCTCGGAATAACATTCAAGATGCAAGTATCGATGCAATAAGAGCAATATAAAGATCGTAGCAGCATCTCACTGTCGACGCATCTTTTCGTATCATCAAAAACAAAGAATTCTACAAGACATTGAATGGTCTGTGTCTCGTATTGCACCTTTACCTCCAGAGTATTGACTCAGATATTCAATTCGAACATGACTTTCCATCCTGACACTCTCCCCGATCTCAAGGGCAAAATATTCATTGTCACAGGTGGAAATTCTGGAATGTAAGTCTCTCCTCTAACCACGAAGCCCGAATGTGAGTCCCGAATCTCACCAAACCACAGAGGCTACTACACCGTAGCCCACCTAGCAGAACACGGCGCGCACGTTTACATGTGTGCACGATCCACAGAGAAAGGCACAGCAACCATCGCCAGCATCAATAAAACGCACCCGTCAGCCAACATCGACCTCCTGCACATGGACCTCATGGACCTCACCAGCGTCGTTGCGGCCGCCAAGCACTTCCTCGCCCTCGAAACAGCCCTGCACGGCCTGGTCAACAACGCAGGCATCATGGCGACACCCTTCGAGATGACCAAAGATGGCCACGAGGCTCAGTGGCAGACCAACTACCTCGCGCACTGGGTTTTGACCGAGCACCTGCTTCCTCTGATGCTGCGGACGGCCAAAACCCTTTCCCCCGGCAGCGTGCGCATCGTCAACCTCGCTTCATCAGGCCACTTGGGCGCACCCAAAAGCGGCATCAATTTCAAGGACCTATCACTCAAGGATAGCGGCCCGTGGACGCGGTACGGACAGAGCAAGCTCGCCAACATACTGCACACCAAGACACTGCACAAGACGTACGGCCCCGGCTCTGCCAATGCGCGGCACGGGAAAGGTGAGATCTGGGTTTCGTCCGTGCATCCAGGTCTGGTTGAGACGAACCTCGCCACGTCAGTGCGGGAGTCGGGGTCTAGCATCATGAGCGTTTTCTCGGTCTTACGCATCTTTGGATTGATGATGCCTGCCGATAAGGGGTCGTGGACCAGTTTGTTCTGTGCCGCAAGTCCGGATATGAAGGCGGAGCAGAGCGGTACGTATCTCGAAATCCACGGACGCTTTGGGGAGCCACGATGGCAGAGCGGTCCGGCGAGGGATGGGAAGCTTGCAGAGAGGCTGGAGGAGTGGACTCGGCAGTCGATGAGGAAGGAAGGGTGGGTTCGGTAATAGCGTCAACTTCTGGTTTCGGTCTTTTTACGATTCCCCTGTATAGACACATTTACTAGTCAAATGCCGCATTTCTGAACTCTCGATAACACACATCTCTTCCAGTCCAAGACTGAGAAGGTGGTATAAGTCGACAAGGAAGACCTTCTCGTCGATTTGTGCGGAAGGTAAGTCTGGATGATCCATGGCAAAGCTGTAGGTACTGGCATAGTCTCTCCATGCTACATGAATGGGCGTCTTGTCTGCGAAATCGGACGGCAATACCTGGTCAATTGTCTCAACCAACCCTCTAGCGAGCAGGGAAGGCTACAAGAGCACGTGCAAGGATAGCGTGCAGGTTGATTCTGCCAGGATATCGATCTTTGATCTCTGCAAACAAGTCCTCCCATTTCGAGCTGGTCTTCACGGCGTCTTCGAATGCGAAGATGTACTCCCTGGTCGATTGCAAATTGAACGTCCCATCCACTGTCCCTGCCCGCTTGTGACCGGCGATGACCGTGTGCGGATTCAGGCTCTCGAAAGTGTCCAATGTGCGCAGCCACTCTTTGCGTTTTTCGGTCGTGTTTGCCTCTCCAAAGAATTGATGCACATCGCCGTAGACGACATCTCCTGCTACAACGAGGTGTATGCTGGGGACATAGAGCACCATCATGTCGTAGGTATCCGAATGGCCGACCTCCACCGCACGGCACTCATGTCTGTCGATGTGAAAAGTGTTCGAGTCCGTGGACTCTGCAGGAACCTGTGGCTGAGCTATCTGGTCGCCAGGGAAGTACTTGAGCCATAGACCTTCAAATCTGGCGGGCGTGAGCTGGGTCTCCATGTGCTTGACGACGGAAGGAGTGGTTATTGCCCGTACATTCGGCCAGTGCTTTTTGAGAACAGGAATTGAAAGAGTGGTCACCATGACCGTGCGTTATGTAGGCATACTTGAGATCTTTTCCCGGTGCTGTGTCCAGAATCCAACGGACCAGATCTTCCGTCTGCGAGATGGAGATCGGGGTGTCGACCAGGACTGCTTCGGTTTGTCCTTGAATCAGCGTACAGGAGATAGGAGAAAAGGCGCTCGACTCCCCAAGACGTTTGATGGCAATTGGGAGACGAGATGAGACATAGACGTCCGCCCGCAGCAAAGATGGCATGTTTGGCATAGAAGAAATCTGCGTAGAGTCTCTCTTCGTGGAGGAGACTTACCATCGGTTCATGCCAGCAGTCTCTTATCATGTCGGCCATAGCTGATTAGTATGTTCAGCCCTCGGCCATAGAGCGCAACAGCCTCGGACATTCCCTGGCAAGCTTGGACGTCGGGTGGCCGTGTATTAATCAACATTGTCTCTTTCGATGTCCTCGGTTCAGCCCCCGCTCTGAAGCCGTCGATGATCTGAAATGTCGAGCATAAATTGTCCCGACTTGCCAGGGATCTCGAGTTCTAGGCTACATGACTGTGCCAGTCACCTTCAGTTCTCCAAACTTGGTATCCTGAATCTCGCATCAATCTCTCACCCATGCCTCGTTGGACCTTTTAGCTTCTTGGAGGGTCTCTTTCCCGTCAGCAGAAAGATGACCTCGCAATGAAGATCACCAAGCTCTACACTGAACTTGGCATCCCGGCATTCTGGGTTAATGTCTTCTTCAACGAGTTCTCTGCCGAGGGCGGCGGGTACTACTCTGGGGGCAAATCACCTCACAACTGCATCTTCTTCCACATCGACCACGCCGCTCGTCGCTTTGAGTCCGAGGAACAGCGCGGGAGCTTTATTGCCGCCGTCGACGACATTGTGCGGCCGATCTTGGGAGAGAAGTCGTTCAAGTGGGAGTTCATTTACGAGCATCCTGCCGACAACTGGAGGATCAATGGAATGGTTCCACCCGTGCACAACCCAGAAGTTTTACGGTAATGGACGGAGAAGGACGCCCCGCTACCTTATCAGGTCGATGGTTTGAGGGCATGAGCCTTGAAATGTTGTATCCCAGCAGGAGTATCGAGGTGCGACATCTAAAACTGGTGTTAGCTACCGGCTATGTACCAGGTAAGCAGGTAGCCGGGATCAAGGATATTGTCAGAAATCAGACTCGATATGACAATGAGAACAGTTCATTTACCATGGGAACTTAAACTGTATCTCCAGGGCTTTTATGCTCGACAATCCACCAATATCTTGACATGCTTGTCCTTCTCTTCGATCAATGGGCGGTACCCGTCTTCTGGCACTCGGTCAATCTTGATTTTACCCGTAATCATCTTCTCCGGGTTGAGGTTTCCGTCTCCAAGAGCTTTGATCACACCGGCAAAATCCTTCTGTAGATATCCCAGCACTAGTTAATCCCACGTCAGTCCCAAGACGATGCAGGTTGGGGAGCTTGTGGTCTTGTCGTAGGGACTTACCGCCGACGTATTTCTTTTCGCCAAACACCAAACTGTTCGGCTGGAAAGGCACCTATCGACATCACGTCAGCAGAGCTTTCACCGACTTGTCTTCTCGTTTCCCCTTCTTGTGATGTCCGACCTACCTCCTTCTCCCAAATCGCGACATTGACAATAGTTCCCCTCGCTCTCACAGCCAGCGCCGCACTCTTGATACTCGCCGGAACACCCGCCGCATCGAGCGCCACATGAGGTCCTTGCCCGTCGCATATCTCTTTTGCCTTCTTCACCACATCTTCCTTTGTTGGATCAATCAGATGGGTCGCGCCAAAGCGCTTCGCAAAGTTCTGTCTCTCTTTCGCCATCTCGACCACAATCACCGTCTTCACGCCACGCGCCTTGAGGCACTGTATCACACCTAGGCCGATCGGTCCGGCGCCCATGACTATCGCCTGCGTATCTGGCGTGACCGGGTACTGATCGACAGCATGCCACGCGACGGCTAGAGGCTCGACCAGCGCACCAACATCCAACCCGGTATCGGCGGGCAACTTGAAGACGAACTGGGGGTCGACACAGACAAAATCGCTCATCCCGCCTCCGCCACCACTAAGGCCGATAAAACCTGCTCCGTCACAGCAATTGATTGCTCCTTCGTGACAGGGTCCGCAGGAGAAGCAGGCCACAGTGGGTTGGACGGCGACCTTATCGCCAACTTTCAAATTCGACGGGTTGTGCGCTTTCGAGCCAATCTCGACCACTTCGCCGCTCTACACATCTCTTAACATCAGCCTCGCCTTATCAAGCTCTTCGAAAATTCGTTTGGCACTTTGGTCGTGCTTCTGAGGTCAAAGCGGAGACACAGGGTAAGAAGACTTACGAACTCATGACCAATGGTAATGGGCATAGACTCTTTCGTCACTGGGTGCGGCGCGTCTTTGGCCGGAATAAATGTCGGAGAGGAATATTCGTGTACTGTGTATCACTAGTCAGTCGTGCTCCTGCCATCACCACTATCTTCTGCACTCCAGATACCCGCGTGGACAGTCTGATCAGAGCACTTCACTTCCCACTTCAGTACCCACGGCGTGCCACAGCCACCCATCTGATTGCATGGCCAGGCCGCGATTTCATGATAGCGTAGAGGAGAAAAGCGTACAACTTACAATCGGTCCCACAGATCCCACAGAACGCGGCTACACCTCACATTCTCGCCATCAGCATAAGTTATACCATAACTTGCATCTTCTCCGTCAGGATGGACGAGGATACTAACGCTTTATCTTGACCTGTTCCTCCCCGCATTTCGGTTCGGGCACATCGTGCTCCAGGCGCAAGTCTTTGATTCCGTGATACCGCAAAGCACGCATGACGGGATGTCCAAAGTGAGGAAGAGGGAGATGAAACTTCATACCGCGTGTCAGCGTGTATTTACCAATTCTCTATGAACCTCGGGGGAAATCAGGGTCCTGGGATATATACCGTTTACACACAGGATATATATCAGAGCAAAGTCCTTCGCCCTTTTCTGGCGTGGATACTAGATCACACCACCCGACTGTGATGTTGATTGCGAGCTCGGTTGACCAATGGATTCCGATCCACTTGCGCCTGTCTTTTGTTACTACAACTTGAGAGTGTATAATACTTATACAAACTGGTATATCAGAGCATGCAGGTAGTCGATGAGGGGAGAATGGACGAATGGAAATAGCAATTTCTCCTCACTCGTCATATCTTCTCGACGAGGCTGTGATACAGCCTTGTGTGGCTCGTGAGGTGACAGGATCTCCGCTCAGACACGAGATGGGCATCATAAAAGTGGGAACAGGACCATCACACGAAGATCCAATGTAGATCCGTGCACAAAGAAAAGAAAAGAAAAAGACAAGAGCTTCTCTACTTCGTCGCAGCAATCGTATTATTAGTTCCAAGCACTCTATCGGCTCTCCTCCAATGCGCATATCAGCTGTTTCTGCACAGGCAAAAATACACGCACGCTAAAGGATTGAAGTTGCTTTTGCCCCGGTGAAGCAATCGCAGAACGCTCACAAAACACGTAAATCATCGCTCGTTGAAGTCACTTATTCCACCATAATTCAATGCCCAAGTCATGTCAACCATGTGCATGCCATCGCCCCGTCACTAATATTAGTCTGTTGGGTTTGTGTCCTTTTTGTTGTCCCTTCGTACCTTTTCCACAGCCCGAGAGAAAGAGTATGTCCAATATTACCATCGAGTCGAAGGGAAGGGTGCTGCGGAGGAGCTCAGGATGTGGTAAGTTTCTAGATGAGGAGCTTGAATGCGGCAATCAGGACAGCTGCGAAAGCTCCGGTTGTCAGATGTTGAGTCATGGCAACAGCAGCGTTTCCAGATTCGGTAGCTGAGGCTGAGGCTGAGGCACTGGCACCGGTTGCAGAGCCAGATTGAGTTTTGGAGGCACTTGAGGCCGCAGAGGAAGTGGATGCAGCTGTGGAAGAAGCGGCAGCCGAGCTGGCAGCAAGAGCTTCGGCAGTCGCATTACGAGTACCACATTGCTCGTTGTCAGCGCAGACTGATTGAGCCTGAGCATCGTTGGGGTTGTTGTTGATACACTGGATGTAGGTCTCTTGACAGATGAAGTAGGGAAGGGTCTGCGTAAAGGCGGTGCAGTCCGGCACGGTTCCATTCGCACAAACACAGCTGTAGGTGAAGGTGGTCTGATGGGCAGTCAGTTTAAAGCTTGTCAAAGATGAGGGGCCTCGACTTACATCGTCGCATGAATTCTGAGAAGCACTCCCACCACAGATGTACGGGCAAGTGTTCAGCTGCGCATGGCACCAGTTGACTGCTCGAGGTCAGTATTCGTTTGTCAAATGTCTCCAAGGCCTGCTCTTACATGCATCGGTGGAGCTAATTCCTGCAGGGTTGAAGGAAGCGGTGGCCGCTGGAGGCATCACCTGAGAGACGGTGGAGGTGGCAGCAACTGAAGATGCGCTGGAGGTCTCGAGAGTCTGCGCATGAGCGACGGCGACAAGAGCCGAAGCTGCGAGGATGAACCTGGACATCATCATGGTGGTAGAAGACGAGCTGTCTGCTTTGAGATGCCAGTTGTCAATGGATGCTTGGTAACAGAGAATGATGGAGGCAGAATGCAGATGATTGTGCAGTGGAGGGGGAAAAAGGTGAATGCAGTGCTGGGAAGGAAGGCGAGCTGCCGTGGAGCAAACGGAAGGACGGGAAAGTGATCAATGCACATGGACGAGTGACATGCAGCTGCGGCAACACAGCAACCGGGGTTAATAGCTACCTTTATCACTCGTACGGAGAAGAGGTTGGGTATTTGGTGCGGTTGCTACGGGTGAGGATGAAACCACGGATGATCGAGCCAGAAGTATGGCTGGCAGAGTGCTGGGTCGTGGCTTTTTATTTTGTCGGCGCAAGAGAAGTTGAGGTGAATCCGATGAAATGCTATCTGAAGCTAACGGACCAGGACAAGCACTGGCACCCACAGGCAAGGACAGGGTTGCGTGGCAGCTAAAGACCAGCCCATGGCCGCTATTCGTGGGTGCTCCAGCTCATACCCGCACCTCTAAAACACATTAACAGCCGCTCCAATCATACCCATATCGCATCCTCCATTCGGCGCTGGCGACCAGTCCAGGCAGCGGATAAGCTGCTGAATCTACCACTCAGATGCCTCCATCTTCCAACACCTTCGACGAGGTCCACGTCGACCATCAAGTGCCATGGCCATCCATGCATATCATGACTGTTAGGTGGCCGTCAGTTCCACTTCGGCCAAGCTGGTCGAGGGACAGCACATTCTCCTGTACCGAGGTACTCTTGTCCGCCGTACGAGTTCCGCAACCATGAACTTGGAATTGACGAGGATAGTTCTACAGCTTCACACTACTGTCTCCAGCCTCTTTGCTTTGTGAGACTGTATGATGCGCGGCAGGTGACACCGGTCCTACTACCACCATGGGTCAAGACATGGATTTCATGGACAAGTTCATTACTGCCCACCATGTCCCCGAAGAAGCCCGTAAACATTTCGCTTCGGTCGACTTTACCAACAAGTACCTCTCCAATCCTCTCTACCAAGCCATACCTACCTACTCCCGCGTCCTCAAAGATGACGGTGAAGATTATTTCTTCTCTCGGACGGTTGCCACTCCCACCACGATCCCGTACTTGGTCACACTGCAATTGAAAGACTTTCCCTTTGCCCAAGACAGTCCCAAGGGCACATTGAAGATAGGACAAGGTCATAAACAAGTCGTGAAAGTCCCAGAGAATCCCGACTGCATTATGCTGCTGCGGTTGGGCCGCCCCGGTATTGACGGTCATCCGGCCACTATCCATGGAGGGGTTGCCTGCGCCATTCTCGACGAGATGATGGGTCTATGTGTGATGCTTCACCACCAACATCTTGTTGGAGCCAGAGAGTCTCTTTACACAGCCGGACTCAATGTCACTTACCGTGCTCCTGTACCGACGCCAAACGACGTAATCGTCAAATGCTGGCTGGTAGGAAGAGAAGGTCGCAAGTGGCAGTCCAGAGGTCAAATCGTGAATCAGGACGGGCTTGTCATGACTGAAGCAGAGGGATTATGGGTTCTGGCCAACAACCCAGTCAAGTTATAACATCGCACGACAAAAAGAATGCGGTGGAAAATGGTCACAATCAGAGTCAATCCCGCTTATATTCTCTAGGAAGAAGCTACCGGCCTCGTCCTTGAAGCCGACCTTCACCCTCATCCCGGTACAGCCGGCAAAGGAAATTATGGGACCATGTGGACCCGACCTGTTCTTATTAAACGAAAGCATGCACCGGGCAACGAGTGGGATGGTCTGATCTCTACCACGGATGAAACGGGTCAAGAAGGTCCATATCTCGGCTCTCCACCGTCGAAGCATGTTCGCCGTTGCCGTGATGATAGAAGCTCTGAAAAGTTTGGTGAAAGACAGCGATCATAGAAGAATACAACATAGCTAGACTCCCGAAAAGTGTGTGAAGCATGTATTGCAGCATAGAGCCTGGAACCCTCGATGCCAGAAGCCACTTACTCTTTCTGGGAGGCTTTCTACATCTCCAGGTCAAAGCAGGCAATCCGCCAAAGTCATCTAATGCTTCAGAAATAAAAGAAGAATCCGGACCCTGTTTGACACAGCAAGTATTTAAAATACTCGAACATCATTTAGAACATTACTACGTAACGAGTCATCATCATTCAAGCACTCTCAAAAACTCCCATCTGAATCTGATATACAAAAGACATGTTGCACCGTCCCAATGCAGTGGTCATGGGGAAGTACTCCGTATGCCAGGCAAAACCTCGACTCCTTGCACATTCATGGCTGCTGGCACACAAAAAGCCTTTCTTCGCCAAAGCACACACAACATGCGAGGGCCTCAATTTCTCACATCAAGGAAGAAACATGAAGTCCAATCACTCCCCTTCATATCCCTCTCCGACGGTACCATCCCTCGACACTCTGATTTCTTGCATGGCTCTCTCGCCCTCCAAATCCCCCTCGAGCACCAGACCCTTCTCGTTGGCCAAGTGCAGCAGACAAATGAAGCAGTAACTCGTACTGATATCCTTCATCTGCTGCTCCGGGTAGACCGAGCGCAAATCCTGGATCAGCTCCGTGAAATTCAGCACCTCCCCTTCCGGACCTTGTTCTTGCCCAATCAAGCCATCAACTTGCTGCTGCAGCTCACCCTGGAGCTGTCCTTGGGACGGATCGTCCACGTCCATCATATCGACATCTTCGTCGATGACAGACTGTTGCTGCTCTTGCTGTACTTTCTCCGTCTGCGCCGCCGGTCGCTCAAAGACGTTAATCAATGCCAACTTCTCACTCATTCCTTTCCACATGTTCTCCTTCAACCGTCGAACGTCGACCTTTTTCGCGGTCCTTGCATAGTTGACATACTCTGGTCTCAGCCGCCGCCCGGCCTGCGTGACGAGTTGACTTCCAAAACTGCCAGGTAGGAGTTCATATTGTGTCTGTGCCTGTGAGTCTGTTGGCTGCTGTGGTTGAGGCCCATCCGCCTCCAGTTCGCCATCAACCGCGCCCAACAGATTCATCTGCTGCTGCCCTTCCGGCTGCGGACTCAACATCTCCCTGGCATCCATGAAGGCCTGTCCGTCTTCTCCTCCATCACCCACACCTAGCCCATCGTCGTCGTCATCAATCGGCAATGGCCCATCAAAGAAAGGCATCTGATCATCATCCGCGAAGAAATCGGCATCATAATCACCCTTCCGACCGTCCTCATCCTCATCAAGCTCGTCCCCTTCTCGGCCACCGTTGACCGTCGCAAGACGATTCCTCGCCCCGAAACCCTCATCAATCACAGCCATCTTGCCCTTTTGTCGGCCAACCCTGCACTTGGGCTTCGTCCACAGTCTCATGAGTTTCCTCGGGTCGACGACCTCGTCATCCTTATCCAGCAGATTCCGGCCCTTCGTCTTCCACTGCGTCTTCGGCAGACTAATCTGCGAATTCAGCACGGCGGGAGCTTCCAGCAACTCCTTCAGTGATTCTGACATCGGGCCTAGGAAGTCAATCTCAAACGGCTCCTTCTCTTTTCTTTGTCTTGTCGGAGGGGCGTTTTCAGCCAGCTGCGCCTTCTGAATCTTCTGTATCCGCCAGTTCTCCAGCGTCATAAATGCCGTTCTGCCCTTCGCTCTCGAGTTGAATGCCTTGTCGAAGTACGCCATAATGCTCTCATGCTCAGCATCTTCCTGGTATTTGTGTTGCAGAGACATTGCATACGCGCCTTCATTTCCCTCGATCAGATTGTCGTCAATATCTTCGGCTCGAACAACTCGGGTTTGCGCGTCGACGGCCGCATCTTTCGCCCATGCTTCGCCACCCTCGCCGAAACCGACATTATCGGCTACGTCGAAGCCACCGAGAAGACCGCCGTCATCGTCGTCATCATCGAAGCCCATAGCATTGCTACCGTCCAGGAAGATACCCGTCTGGTCGGACAGATTGATGTTGCCGTCTATCGTAGGTGGTGCAGGTGTCGCAGCTCCCTTCTTTTGTTCGCGCCAGTCGTCTGGAGCTTTCAGGAATGGAATGTTCAAGTCTCCTGATGGGTCGCCCAGTGTAAAGGCTTTCATCGATGGACAAATATCCTGACTGTCCAGCAAGCCCAAATCGGGGAAGAATTTGCTCGCCAGGGCACCGAGATCGATCTCTTCATCCTGCTCTTCTGTTGGGGTGCAAGATTCCAAAAGCTCTTCGCTTTCTGTTGTTGCTGCTTTCGTGGCTTCCGCTACTGCGACGTCCGCTTCATCATCTCCGTTGTCATCGTTGATGTCTTCTTGTGCACTCCCCTTGTCGGCCGTCAGCGCCGCATCACCGGCGTCATCACTACTATCAAACACAATACGCCCATCCGAGTCGATGGACAAATGATTCAGTAAGAGACCCTTAGCCCCTCCTTCATCAAAGTCCGCCGAAGCCTTCTTGAACAGCGGGTCGACCGCAAACTCCAGCTCCAGTTTCTTGCCTTGGAAACTCGCAAAACTCGGCGCAAGCGTCGCTTCGTGACTTCGTGCAGGCTTCTTCTTGCTCTTTTTCTTACCCTCGCCATCTTCACCCTCCTCATCATCCTCGCCATCTTCATCGCCGTCTTCCCCTTCACCATCGGCTTTTCCTCGTTTCTTGCCCTCCTGCGCACCATCCGCAAGGCCACTGAGTAATCGTCCCGTCTCCGTAGCCACGCTGTCCACACGACTCGTATAGATCTTCACGCAGCCGTCAAGCGTACAGCTCGCCTTCTGAAAGTTGACGCCATCGCCCTCCTTCAGCAGGCTCAAGTCGTGGAAGTAATCGATCAGCGCAAAGTTCCAGGAGTTCGCTGCGTTAATCTTATTGTCCGTCGCCATTTTCATCCACTCTTCAAAATTGGCAAGGATCGGCACGCGCTTCATCGGTGTCACATTGTCTCCTCTGGGACTGGTATTCCCTTTCTGATTCTGCTGACTCTGTCTGCGATGCAGCGCAACCTTCTTCCGCAGATGCGCATCACTCGTGCGCGGCGTCCGAGGCGACTCGGACATATCCCTGCTATGGTTCGTCTCTCTCCTTTCGCGGTCGCGGTGTTGGTTGAGTTTCCGTACGGGGCTCGCGGCGGCGCGGATCTCGTTCATGTGGATTTCTTGTAGGGCCTGTCGGGACTGGAGGCGCGCGGCCTTTTCGCCTCGGTCGTCGTTGAGCGCCAATCTATTGTAATTCAGAAGACAAGCGGTTAGCGTGTTGTACATATCGTTGGTCAAGCCCTTTTACACAATCCAGCACCCGCCCAGTGCGGCGCGAGCGTGGCGCGACACAGTCACAGTGAATCGACACGGCCGCAGCTCGTTAGGACGGGTGCGCATCGTCACTTTGCACTGCGCAGGGGGCGGTGAAAAGGGCAAAGATCGCGCGACAAGAGGGCAACTCTTACTTCATCGGTGAACCTTTGGTCTTTTCGCGCGCCATGTTCACCACAACGGCCTGGCGAGAAGGCCTTCCGCCAGACTGACTCGAAACGCGAGGCATGTTGTCGTCTTCGTCCTGATTCCAAAGTGACCCAGAATATCGTTGTTGACACCCTTGCGCAGAATACTGTCACTGCGTGTCTCGGGCTGCAAAATACCACCTTTTATCAAGACATCGATGTTCTCTGTTTCTCTCCAGGTTCCAATATGTTCGTGATGTCGAAATGAGGTGGTTTATCGTCGTCAGCCTGCGCTGCTCAAATTGATCGCCCAATATTTGTTATGATTCTCGAAACCGGTCTAGCTCGTTTAGCGCCAAATCACGTGAATGCCTCAACCTTGAGTGTACTTCAAGGCCTCAGAGGCCTGCCTTTAGGCAGATTCGTCATACCGTAGACGATTACATATAAGAGCTGGCTTTGCGCTCTCCCTGTGGTACAGTAACTAGCGGTAAGAAGCATCGGCCTGGAGATAAGAGCTTCACGATACCGTAATGACACGGTGAAGCTCTCCAAGATTATATAGCAAGGTACGGAGGTAGAAAAGGAGATAACTACGGTCAGTCTCATCTATGATCTGTACACATGCATTCTCTTTGCACACAGGCTTCCCTAACCCAATACTCTTCCTGCGACAGCACTAGAGCTACGATCTTTTGTCTCAGTGTGACGCAATCCTCTGCCCTTCTGAATTTCACCTAGAAGAGCTCCAATGTCACCAGTGCCTGCGCGGGCTGGTGCAGGCATTGGTGGTGGCGGTGGTGCACCATCGGGAGCTGCTGCAGTAGGCATTGGTGGAGGTGGAGGAGGCGCGCTTGGTGCACCAGAGTTAGGCATGGGCGGTGGTGGAGGTGGCGCTGATGGAGCACCACTATCTGGCATCGGTGGAGGTGGCGGAGCAGAATCAAAGGCTCCTGGGATCGGTGGTGGCTCTTGTACAGGTGTAGCAGGCTTGCTATCTTTGCTATCCATGGAAGACAATGGCCTAGGTGGCGCCATCGTACCGAACAGGATAGATGCCAGGTGTTTGGCTGATCCGGCGGCAGGTGGCTCGTCTTCGTTGTCACTGTCGTCATCCTTGTCAGATCCAGCTGCAGACCATTCATCCTCTTCTGGACGACGCCTTGACTGGCCTCCCGTAAAGCTAGGTGTCAGTGGCTTAGCAATCTCTTGCTGAGCGATACGGTGGAAGGGATTGGTAGATGGCAGGTCAGCTGGTGGTGCGGGTGTTGCAGCTGCTGGTGGGGAGAAAGGTTGAGCTTGAGGCACAGGTGGTGGTGAAAACGCGGGTCTCGCCTCCTCTGATCGTTGAGAAAGCTTCCTGAAATATGGGTTGCGTGATTCTTCTGCCGGAGGGCTTGAAACTGGAGTCGCATCGTAACCGCCACTTGTCGATGACTCTGGTGGAGGCGGTGGTGGTGGTGGAGGAGCTGTTGCTGGCGGCGACGAGATTGAGCTCGTTTGCACCTGACTCAGCGCTGGGGTGCTATCTGGAGGAGTGATTTGTTCTGGACCCTCATCTTCATCTGAGGAAGATTCACCAAGATTCTCAAGTTGCAGCTGGAGTTGTCGTTCTCTTTCCCTGGCCGCTTCAAGTTCCGCTCGCTGTGCAGCAAGTTTGGCTTCCTTCTCCTTGGCGTCTTTCTCTGCCGCCTTCTTGCGAGCTTTCTCTTCCTGCTTCTTGATCTTACCGGCCTTGACTTGTTCTTCTAGAGCGCGCAAACGTTCTTGAGCAGCTTCACGCTCCTTTTCTAGGTCGTTCTCTTGCGCTTTGGCTTGCGATCTGAAGCATCGGTTAGTGCATACCACCGCATGACCAGTGAATGTACTCACTCTAGTTTCTTGCGCTCTTTTTCCTGTGCTTCCTGTTCTGCCCTGATCTGAGCAGCCGCTTCTTCTTCGGCTTTGGCTTTTGCTGCGGACTCCTGCGCTTTACGATCAGTCATGTCATAGCTCTCCTGCCTCTGTTTCCGGGTCGGTGGTGGAGGAGGCTTCTTGGCAGACTTGGGGCTCGGAGGTGCTACGCCCTCATTTGCCAGTCTTTGCTGTCTCTCTTGCTCGCGCTTGGCGTCTTCTGCTTCTGCCTTCCGCAAGCGGTCGGCTCTTTCTTGTTTCTCACGCTCCTGACGTTGTTGCATGGTTTCACCAGAGTCGCCAGCAGGCTTGATGCCTGCCGCGGCCATGCGCTCCTGGATTCGCTTGAGAGCTTTCTCCTTGGCTGCGGCAACGCGGTCCTGGGCCGACGTGCCACCAGTCAATGATGATGATGAGGCGGTGGTCGACGGAGCAGGACGACTTGGTAAGTCCCCGTTAGTAGATCTCGATTCCTCAGGAGCATGCTCTGTAGGCGCTGGTCGGGTAGGACGAGATTGCCTAGTCAGGTTAGCGTGTCTTCGAACAACGTCGGATATGCACCTACTCTTGTTTGCGGACTTTGGCTGTTCGACTGCTTCTTTGGAGATCATAAATGAGTTCCTTGATCTCGTCCTCAACGCCCAAGGCTTCTTCCCAGCGTCTTCTTTCATGTTCCTGAGTTGCATTTTCACCCTCAACACGCAGACCATCCTCGAGGCTGGATACGAAGTCCTTGACGCTATCTTCAACATCGCGAGTCATGGCTTCATGACGTTCTTGTTCCGATTTGACCTTGGATGTCTCCTGCTCGAGTCGTCTCTGTGCGGCACCTTCGTCATCAGAGGCTGGAGCCGGTCGTCCTGCAAGTTCAGCAGCCCGAGCTTGCATTCGGGCTCTCGCCCGGGCTTTGATCCGGTCAGCCTCAGTGACCGCTCCTCCAGGTCCGGTACCGACGATGTTCGAGGCACTATTCGGGTGGGCTTTGGCGTCCTTCAAGCGGAAGAGCTGTAGTCTAGCTTCTGAGATGCTCTTCTCAATCTTTCGAACATCTGACGCCAGGCCTGGGAGTCGGTCTTGATACCTCTGCAATTCTCGGCGCATAGACCTTCTCTCCGCGCCAGTATCTGAGCTAGCAAACCCAGAATTGGGGTGAGTATCAATATCGTCTTGAACACGACGGATCTGTCTGAAGAGATCTTCCGCCTCTCTTCTGTCTCTGCGATCCAAGACATCCTCATCATAAGCCTGTCGTTCGTCCTGGAAATCGGTTGCGTCCAACAAAATCTTTTTCTCGCGAATCTTTTTCCTGATTTGATCCGGCGTCAGATCGTCATGAGCACTCTCAGACATATCAGAAGACTGAGCAGGGGATGGAGTCCTGCCTCCAGCCCCAAGACGACGTCTTGCACTTGAACGATAACCAATGTCATCGTCATTGTTGCGGAAGACGGTCGCATCCTTGCGCCCGAAGCTCGGTGATGCTGATCCTGAACGGAAAGAGTGGGTTTTAAGATAGCTGATACCCGTCTTTTGCGGCTGCAAGAACGCTCCAGATTGTTTCCGGGATTCGGCGTCCTGTGATAACAAGGACTTAACGGTGTCGATGGAGGTGTTGAAGTTTCTCGTCGACGGGGGAATCAGCTCTGGTGGCAGTCGATTCGGAACGGGATATCCGTTCAATTTACGATATATCAGATGCATGGCTACAGCGAATTCATCCATGTTGAGTCGTCCTTTGTTGTTGGGATCCGACAAGGTCCAGATCCTCTCCAGATCAGTTCTGTCCAGACCACTCTGACCCATGATCTCAATAGCGACATCACCAGAGATGTAACCCTTACCCAGACCGTCCCAAGCACGGAAAAGCTCATCGTAGATTCTCTTTTCGTCCTTGGTCACTGCCCAAGGTACTTTGGCGGTTCCAGCCAAACCTTGCGTGGTGTAGCCACCCTCACGACCAACTTGAGGCATCAGCTGCTGTCGGAGAGCCTCTATATTTGGTAACCCTCCTGCTGGAGCGTTGACAAAGCCCCACTGCCCAGGTATTCCAGTAGGTTGAGCTTGTAGAAGACCAGTCTGTTGCGGCGACATGTTGCTACTCAATCCAGTCGGCATTGGAGGCATGGGTGGTCGCGGACCAGTATAGCCAGTCGGCCCCGGAAACCCTGTAGGCTGAGACTGCAGACCTTGTTGGGGTCCCGGGAAACCAGTTGGTTGAGCCTGAAGGCCTGGCTGAAATCCTGTCGCCTGGTTGAAGAACCCTGTTGGCTGAGAAGTCAGCTGCGACAAAAGCTGTTGGTTTGATGCCTGCTGTGGCCGTGGTGCCTGAGGTGCAGGAGGAGATACAGCATTTTGTCTCATCGGCGCGTCGAAATCTGGCATGTTGGCCCGAGGTGTCGGCAGTGGTTTTTCATCAGGAACGCCAAAGGAGATGATGTCCACCATGCTAGATACCTCGTTCTTGACCTTTTCTGGCAGAGCAGTAGGCAAATCCTTGCCCGTCAATTTCAAATTGCACAGATACATCGCCAGGGCGAACTCTGGAAAGAGGAGCTGCCCTGACTTGGTGGTATCCGACAGAATCCATATCTGGGACAAAGCACTTCCAGGCAGTTTTGACCTCAGTAGCAGATCTCTGGCTTTTTCACCGCTTAATGCTTGCTCATCCCCTACCGCCGACTTGAACAACTGCTCAAATTTTGCCTGATCCGTAGCAGTAATGAAAGACAATCTTATATTGGGTATCTTGCTTGCGCTCTTGCTCGCTCGTCTGTTCGACGTCGGTACACTCGAGGAACCTTGAGAAAAGGACTGCGCAATCTGGTTAGACGTCTGCTGAGGACGAATCGGAGCAGCTGGAGGAGGTTGTTGCTGTTGTTGAGCTGGAGGAGCGCTCTGGTAGGATGGCTGCTGCTGGAAAGGAGGAGGCTGCTGTGCCTGTGGGAACTGAGGTTGCTGAGCTTGATTCTGGGCCGGATATCCCGTGAACTGAGGTTGTTGCGTTGGAGCTTGAAACCCTTGCTGTGCCCCAAACCCTGGAAAACCAGTCTGCTGTGCCTGCAACTGTCCAGGATAGCCGGTAGGCTGCGGAGCGAAAGGTGATGGCTGTTGGGAAGCTTGATTAAACGAGCCGAAGGACTGTTGTTGCCCGAAGCCGCCAGGGCCCGGGCGGGCATTATTTGCACCGCCCAGGAATGAGTTGGACGACGAATACATGATGCTAACGAACGCAACAAAATGCAGATGAAAGACGAGGAAATGAGTGAGACGGTAGAATTCAGGCCTTTGGCAAGGTTACTCTGTTGGTGCAATGACGCGGAACTGGGGCTGGCTGGCTGCGCTTCCAGTCCACCAACATCGCTGACTAAGCTGAAAGCCAAAGGCACTGTCCAAGCAGGCACCAAGCAGGGTATCCTACCGAAGACGAGTCAAGCAATGAGATTAGACGATGTTGGAGAGCCATAATCGTCAAGCAATGAATTCCTGATAGACAGCTATCGTGTGCTGCCACCCTCCAGCACTACGCCATGTGGGCTCCATGAGACATACATTCCCTACAGGATGTGCCTGATGTGTCTGCTATCACCAAGAACGCCGGCACTCCTGTCATCCCGTGATAGTACATGGTATCATTTGAGCCATAGTCATATTCGGTGCGTCTTGTTCTCTAGTATCTTTCCCTTACCAGAGAGTGCACGACCGAATCAAACGCCATTCTGACCGTCATTTCCAACCATCTTTCTCAGATCATACTCCTTCTTGAAGTTCTTGTCCAGGGCATTGAGCTCGTTGATGATGTCCTTGGAGCTGGCAATAACAGCCTCCTTTGGAGTAATCTGGCCATCGGTCTGTACTCGAAGTTTGAACTGTGCGAAGAGGGGATGGGGAACCTTGGACGGTTAGCCTGTTGCTGCGCCGGAGACATGACAGAATAGCTGACCTGGTAGGCTGAAAACATGACGTGGCTGTTCTGGAGGAGCTTCGCGCGCAGGAGATTACCAAGAGTGTGATCTTCCTTGTTGAAGGTGAAGATGACTGTGTTGGGAGTACCTGCATGAGGATGTCAGTGAGAACTATCAGCATCGTCGTAAAACACTCACGAGTATCAATCTCCTCTTCGATCTTCTTTTCACCGTCGGCAAGAATAAACGCCTCAGTACTATCAAGTGAGGTTAGCAAGTTGCCAACAGTCACCCACGGATACCAGAGTCAAGCAGGAACGAAGGATGGCCTGTCGGAAGGAGGAGTATCTGGTCCCAGATGTTGTAATTGCTGTTGCGCACCTGTCCTGGTTGTTGATGGCATTGTGATCAACTCCGGGATTTTGATATCGCTTGCGTGAGATGTGATGTCTCCAACCCAATCCATCCTGTGGAAGCCCGTGCGGTCCAGCTCCAGTATACGTGTCGCCGGGTTTAGGAGTAGGGGGTTCCGTGGTAGGCGTCAGAGGGGGTCCGGAGTCCGTGGCCTTGACTTCACGAGTGAAAGTGGACATGGCGGTGGTATCATCCCCTTCCCCGCTAAACAGCGCGTTAAATATGATGATCGTATCCTTCCGACTGAGGATGGTTCGGAGCAGGATCGGTTGAGGAAGACTTACTGCTCAGGGAGGTCGGCGTCAGTGTTGTTGGTCGCGCCGTTGTTGCCGCCGGTGTACACTTGGTTTGACGGATGTCCCGGCCAGTGTTCTGGTGGATCGCGTGGACTTGCAGCGTTGGCATCGTTCCCACCGGAAGGAGATGAGTTTGCCAATATATCCGACATCTTGATATTCTGTTCCATACACAATTTGAATAGTATCCAGAATGATCCCACAGGTAATAGATTGAGAACACAAGATGCAGCAAAGAGCAGTATCGCAGTTGAGATGTGTCCAGTCCAGGTCTGTGCCAAGCCGCAGATGGGTGAAGGTGAAGTGAGCCAGTTTCCCAGACAAAGCAGACAGCTGCTAGCATCGGCTTGAGGTAGTTGCATTCCGGACTCCTCAATTCAAACACAGCTAGGCAGCGCGAAACCGGCAAATACCCAGGATTAAGTGCCACATAAAGCGATATGCGTGGTGATGTCCAGGTCCAGCTTTGCTATCCTGATGGCAGGCCATGCCGTTCGTCCCCTGCCCACATCAAACGTATGAAATGTACGAGCACATACCGATCAGGGGCGTTGATTCCAGACATTTTGTTGTCCTTTCGACCAAATGCGCAAGAAAGTGACGGTAGGTGGTTTCACAAGTTTGCGAATGAGGCTTTGTCAGATGCGATTAAGATATCCAATAACTGTCGGTCGATGACTATGTGAGAGAGTAGAATGGTCTCAGGTTTCGAGGAAAGAAGAGAGGATATGTCAAGGAGAGTACAAGGTTGTCACTCTGTCTTCACAGCAGCAGATCCATTTCATCCAAACGTATTCAGGTCCTCAACCAACAACCGGGCAATAACCAACAATCAACCTTCAAAAGGTGATCGTTGAGATTGTCGTCGCCGCCAAGCGTCACATGACCCCTATTTGGGTGCCTGAAAAATTCACGCTAATGACAACTACTTTTGACCGGCACAGGCCACGACAGGTGAACCAGATCCGAGGCCATTAACAAGAACCCAGTAACCGGTTGGTATACGAACATACTCAGGGTGTCCGCATGGTACTGGGCGATGTTGACTGGATCAAGTTCCAAGGTTGTGTGTTCGAATGACCACGAGTTCCTGGGGATTAGTCGTATTTGATCGTATTGGATTCGTCCCGCGGAGAACCAAAACCTCCGTTGCGCCTTTTGGCTTCTCGCTTACCGAGGCCCTCGAATATACTGCTCTATACTAATATAAGCGCGGTATTTCGCGGGTATTCCTTGTGGTGACTCAAACGTGAAATTACTATAGTCACAGCACTGTTAAATTCGACTGCTACGAAATGGCGCAGAACATCTTCCATACCAACTACCCATGGACGAGTCCAAATGCCCCTTTCGTGGTTTCAGCGCCCATGATGAAGATCACACTCGGCCGCCATGCCGTCTCAGTCTCCGCAAGCGGCGGCATGGGATTTCTTGCCGGAGGCTTTGACTTGACTCCTTTAGCAAAGGACCTTGCAGAAGCAGCCGAGTTTACCGAATCTGAGAACATCCCTCTTCACGATGGCATGCTACCCATTGGCGTTGGTTTCCAAAATTGGGGAAGCGACTTGCAACTCGCCCTTGAAGCTATCAAGAAACATCCTGTTGCTGCTGTATGGTTCTTTGCGCCAAAGCAACTAAGTGATCTGCTCGAATGGGCGCAAGAAATCCGAGCAGCCACCAAAAACAAGACAAAAATCTGGGTGCAAATAGGGACTGTGGCCGAAGCCATGGAGGTAGCGAAGACGACAAAACCGGACGTGCTGGTTGTGCAGGGTGCGGACTCTGGTGGCCATGGCCTCGCGCAGCGAGCTAGTCTTATGACTTTGCTCCCGGAAGTTGTTGATGCTCTCGCTGAGGAGCGCATCGACATTCCTATCATTGCGGCGGGAGGCATCATGGACGGGCGAGGCGCTGCAGCTGCGTTGGCACTTGGAGCGCATGGCGTGGCTCTTGGGACGAGGTTCCTAGCGGCTCGTGAGGCTGTAATTGCCAAGGGCTATCAAGACGAAGTATTGAGAGTCACAGATGGTGGAGTTAGTACTGTCTCGTCCACGGTATACGACGTAGTGCGAGGCATTCATGGGTGGCCGCAAGCATATAACGGCCGAGGGGTGGTCAACAGAACGTACCAAGATGCTAAACATGGGATGAGCACCGAGGAAAACGTTGAGCTTTACAAGCAAGCAATGCAGCAAGGAGATTCTGGCTGGGGACCCGAGGGCCGAATGACGACTTATGCAGGCACAGGTATAGGCCTAGTCAGGGAGGTCATGGCTGCAAGTGAAATTGTGAGAAGCGTCCAGCAAGAAACTGTCCAGGTGCTCAAGAAGTCAGCAGCAAGGTATTCCAGCTGAACTGGAGTAGCTTTGTGACACCGCAAGTGCGGATAATCATCATCCCTCTGAATTGTATACTGAATCTCTGCGCAAAGTCCAGATCCCCTCCTTTGGCCCGCTGGCATGCTGAAAGCGGGCGTCCGAGTACCCGAGTGCTGTAAGATCATTCTACCGATGCTTTGTGCTTCAACAAAGTGCCGGAATCTTCGGACCGGCTGATATAGGACTCCCGTCCGAGGAGGTAGCAGGGCATCTGCTGCCATGCAATCACTCGATTCTACCCGGAATTTGAGGCTAGAGCCCCAGGTCATGATGCTGCTGCTGCTGCTGCGACAGGTCCTTCTCCACCGGGTATCAGCTGTCAAGGGACACGCAAGGTTAGTATTAGATTCTTTCAGCCAGCAGCATCAACAGCGACCGTCTAGTATCTTTTTGCAGTCCTATTGCAAGAAGTACTTACCATACAGATATTGTTGCCATTTAAAAGGATTTTCGGCAGCTTGGTCTGCGCTCCGGTGTAGTCACTGCATCCGAAGACGTCAGTACTGGATCTTTGCATGAGTCATGGGCATGCTTACAATTCAGTCACGTCTTCCAGCACCATATCTTTTTGTGGGAACGGCATGTTAGCACTCCTCCGCTTCCCGAAGGCATAACGCCGCAAGGGTATTGAGCCATTACTTACTGACATAGTCATCGAAACCGAGTAGTGTACCGGCGAATTCTAAAATAAAACATATGTTAGTCATTCATCCCAAGGTAAGTGGATTGTCATGACTGAAGTGGTTGTGTTCATAGCCTGCACTTATTGGGCTGGTGAAGAATATTGGTAATAGTTGCGTACCTTTGTCGCCCTTCATCACGATCCATAGTCTCGAGCCAACGCATTTGTCGATCAATTCTGTTCAGTCAATTAGTTCAAGGCTAATGTCCGTCTTTCCTGTTCTTTCGTACCTAGAGGTAGAAGTTGTGATGCCATAGTATCAAAGACAACGAGGAGTGTGATCGAGCAAAGGTGTGGAAACGGATAGATCTTTGAGGTCAAGCGCGAGACATTGGACTGGCATCGACTTATATGAGCGAACATGAGGTCCTGAAGTCGACAAGTGCCTGCGTTGCTTGAATTGTTCTCGAGGTTTTACTGCAACTTTGCCGAGATCACGTGGCTGTATTGCGGCTCGGCGGCCAGGGCGGCTGATGCACCGAACAATTTCTCTCCTGGAAGTCATTTCATTGGAACGAAGTCGGCAAAAGCAACTAAACAGGAATAGAGAAGAGATCCCATATATTATGAGGGGTCGTTCTACTAGTATTACATCTATATGCCATCGTGGTTGTTCGGTTCGGACTATCCAGCGATTCCACCGTCCCACGTTCGTTTCCGAATCCGTGTCATCATTTTCTTCACGTCTACCCAACCGAGAACACCATAGCCACATTGACGCCAGTTGCGCCTAGGACCAACCATTCACCCGGTACGACCGTTTGCATTGGCCGCGTGCTCGATGGCTGCTTTCATCCATTCAGCCATAGCCGTGGCGCCATCATCACTTCCCATCAAGAGTTGACTATTTTTATAAGACTCCTCTGCCTTTTCTCGCGCTCGTTCTGCCATGTTCGATTCGAACTCCTTCATCAAGGGATCCAGGGCCTTCTGGAAAGAATTGGCATTCTGCCGCGCTGTCTCAAACGCCTTGATAATGGCGTGTGACACATCGAGGGCGTCCCACATAGCGAGGTTCACGCCTTCTCCTGCGAACGGTAACATCACATGTGATGCGTCGCCGATGACGGTGGTGCCCGGCTTGTGCTCCCATCTATGGCCAAACGGAAGCATGTACAGGGGTCTGACCATGAGCTTCGCACCTGGGTTGTCATTCGCTTCTTCATCACAGGCAACTTGCACCAACTCTTTCAGCTTCGGACCGAATCGGCCCAGAAGGTCGTCGTCGAGTAACAATCTCTCCTTGGCCTCGGCAGGTGTTCCGCTAGTGAGGCCCGACGTGGTTCCAAAATTCTCGTCCCCTGTGGTAAGGAAAACATAGATCAACGCCGAGTCTTGCAGGGCGCGCTGGGACATGATGCCATGTCGGTGACCCAGTGACGTGAAGCTCCCAGTACCGACGTACTCGGCAATATGCGGATATCTCTTGGTGACCTCCCGGATGGCTAGCATAAGGTATTGAAAACCAGCATACTTGGGCTTCGTATCGGTCAAGAGATTGCGTACGCGGGACCACGTCCCGTCCGATCCGACCACAAGATCAAAGGTGTGCTTCCCATTATTGCCAAAGTCGAGCTCGACCTCCGTGGTGCCGGACGTCGTGGTCAAGAGACTTGCAGAGGTGAGCTTGTGTTCCCATTTGATAGTGTCGGCGGGTAGTTGATCGAGCAAGAGCTTGGTCAATGAATTCCGCGAGATTTCTGGACGAGATGCAAATCCTCCTTCGTCTTTGTGAATAATGTGGCCCTGCTTGTTGGCAATGATTTGAAATTCGGTGCAGACAGTCGTCTGCGACCTGAATTCGTCCAACAAGCCGCATTCTTTCAAAGCGGCGAGTCCGGACTCTTCGTGCAGGTCAAGCATTCCCACTGGTTTTGCCAGGTCTTCATCCGTGGGCTTGGAGCGGAGTTCGAAGATTGTCAACGGGATATTGTGCTTATGTAGGAGGAGGCCGACCGTCAACCCGGAGGGGCCTGCACCAACAATGGCGATTCTTGGTTGATTTGGAGACATGCTGGGAATGGGTAATGCTTTGAAAGAAGCAGTCTCGCATTCAGGTTTAGGACCCCATTCGATTGTGTAAATGTTGTTTTGGAATCCGTAGGCTGCAAGGAATGGAGCACTTCCTGACTCACGGCTCTGATCTACTTACATTCTCGAGGGAGCCATGCTCGCCTTGATATATGTCTTGATGTTGGGACAGCAGCCTAATTTACTCCTGTGCTCGGGCGACCATATGGCCCGAAGACATTGAAAATGCGAGGCATTTGCGTCTCGGCTTCTATGAAAAAGCCCGACATGCCTAGTTCTCGGGCCACTGATCGTCCGCCTAATATGCACGGGCGCTTTTTGGGGGGTGAGAAGGCAGACGTGGCAGATCACCGGAATGTTGCCTTCTGCCGAGCTGGAAGCCCACGAAAGCCGTAGAGCGTACCTAGGTAGCGTTGCCCAATCTAAATATTGGTTCTCGTGGGTGATGAAGCTGTATCAGTGCGTTGACGGATTATGGCTTTGGTCAGGCTTTTCCATCTCTCTGATATCCAAGATCAATTGATTAAGCCCCCTATTACCGCCTAGGCACACATACATACACCGGCTAGTGACAGGCTTGCCCGCCAACCGCTACGAAGCTTGTCTTCATTTGATTCCTAATTGATGCTTGAAGCAACTGTTGACAGGAGCGTACCAAAAGTGGGACGTCTCGAGGCTAGTACTTTCAGAGGATTATTCGCGAAGCTCCAGTCGTGTCAATGTGTCGGGATTGATTGTCGTGCAAATACTGAAGCCATATTGGCGCCCAACACGCAGTCTTGAGCACGAAGATCGTCACCGTATGAACAAGCACTCTTCCTTTGTAACAATGCACCCTCTTTACCAGCCGTACCTCGGTCGAGACCGAAGGCTGAAAGCACCATTTGCAATTATGCTACTCAGGATATGCTATTCAATTGCAACAGCAAGACTGCCACCAATATCAAGCGTTCCTGCACGCCCTTTGTCGCTCTCGTTTTCGTCATCAAGGTCCCCAACGCCGTGTTCATCACATGCTTGACCAAACTCAATCACTGCTTCGTGGGTTTCGTTCTCTGACCCGACAAATGTCCCAAAATGTATCCCGATTGTGTTTCTCGATCTCACGTCCTTGTGAATGGCGACTGCATCCGTTGGAGAGCCATGCAACGCCGAGGGTATATCGTCATGCGAGAGTCGCAGGCCAAGGTTAGAGATGAACCCCAGGCTACCGCCTCGCCATATCGGCACAAATGACATGTCAAACGGGCCGAATCTCTCGCCAATCTCCTTGAAAGCTGGACAGACAGTCTCAGATCTTGTTATCCTCCTGTAACCTGTGTCTCCAGCGTGATACACAGCTCCTTGCCTAGTGACCTTTGACTCCGCTGATTCATCCTTGGAGCGTAGGAGTCTCTCGACTACCCAGCCACACCACAGCGTACTTCCCTGGTCAATGACGATTCTTCCAGAATTGTGCTGGGCTGGGACGCACGAGAATCTCAAGATGGTTTCTTCTTCTACAGTACTGGTGACTTGGAGACCAAAGTCCAGTGGGCTGTATTCTCGATTCTGCCACCAGTCCAGTTCGTAGATCTGTTTGTCAGGAATGCCCGAAGAAGACAACCACTGCTTAATGCCCAGCGGGACGAAATACTTCGTTTTCGGAAACGTCTTCGATACGGCCTGTATAGTCGGCCAATCGGTATGGTCGTAGTGATTGTGCGAGATGAAGATGGCGTCGCAGCCGGGTAGATTTTCGACCTGGCAAGGGCTGCTCTTCGCCCTGACCACACCGTTGTACTGTGTCGGACCAGCCCTCGTTGAGAAGATAGGGTCGAAGAGCAGCCATAGACTTCCGCTGTCGGCCTCGTGCAGGGACGGTATCTCAACCAGGGCGCCAGCATGCCCGAGCCACGTGCCGATGATACACGTTCTTCTTTCCAAGTTCCGATCTTTCAGACTTGCCGCGCCCCAATCTGGCTTGATCACCTTCACACTTCGTGCTTTGTGGTGAGTATCTAAGTCAGCTTTGTAAAAGCCGAAGGGAAATGACGCTTGTAGCAGTTCCGCCCACGTTGGTGCGCCCGCAGATGGCCACGGGTTGATGAATCGAGTGCCATTATTGTTGGCGTGATGCGCAGGCCGAGACGGTGCGGGTTTGACAGTTGACATCACCACGATTAATTAACAGCCATACTCTTTATACATTGTAATCTTGATGAGAACAAAAGATCTGCAATAAGGCTGCTCTCAAGCTGTGTAAACGATGACACGAAGCACGAGATGAACCAGAATCCTGTTATAACGCCAAGAGCGCTCCCTTCGTAATGGTCCGACGCTTATCGAATATACTGTGCACACTGTGTTACCCGCAGGAGCCACTGGCCCTTGGCCAGCTATTTCAACTTGCGGATCCAATTATTTCCATGCTACGAATATCTGCGGGACCTGGGAGCTGGACAGCCCAAGAAAAGTTGGGTCGCCCTATGCTGTATGATGCCTCGAGAATGCCTGTTCGGTGCCCGGATTGGGTTACCTGCAAACTTGCTCTAGTGATGTCCACGGGGCCACAGACGACTCACGCGCATAATGGCAGGTTACGCAGTCAAGGGGACAACACGGTGTTGACAAAGCCAAAGCGTTCATTATTATAGTATGTACGAGCCAGGAACCCAATATCAAAAGCCATCCCCAACTCCATGCTTTTCCAAAGAAATCATACAGTCGATGTGCTTCATTGTCGCCAGTTTCATAGCTCATCATTCACATCACTCACATTATACTTGCCCCGGGACCAGTCCCAGGGATCTCCTCCAGGAACACAAAGACCCAATCTCCAGAAATAGTCTCGATGTGCGAAGAATAGTTCCCATAGCTTGTACCGTTGGCCAATGCCCCACAGGGCTTTGACCCCCGACACTTCGAGTTCGTCGTCCACGTCGGTCTCATTCTCATCCGGAGTAGATACTCCATCGGCAATGCAGGATTTGTCCTCGTCGCCGTTGCAGTGGTGCATATCAGCACGTGCAGGAGGTAGTGAAGGTTTTGAGATATATATTTCACCAGCGTGCATACGGTAGCCCCACTCTTCCAGCGGTAGGAGAGGGACCGGGTCGTTGACATGCGTCACTCGGCGGTACAATGACTCTTCTGGATGAGTCGTGTTCAGCTGGAAACGCTTATCGATGAACTGGTTGAGAGCCATGTTCCCTATCCGAGGTTCGCCAAAGGTGGTGACATGAGGTGTCCATCCGCGCGCTTGAAATTCGAGAGCAGCCAAAGCAGCAACTGCACCTCCTAGCGAGTGACCAACCAGGACTAATTCGTAATCCGGGTTCTCTTTCAGCGCCTTTTCGACGTGAGGAACAATTGTGCAGCGAGTGTTTCTCCAAGATGTCATGAAACCGGCGTGAACAGTACAGTTCGGGCATTCTACTTCTGGCAAATCTCTCTTATCAGACTGCTTCAGCAGCTGCGGTAGTAGAGGAAGCTTAGCGTTATGTGGTTCAACAGATGTACAGACTGAATCATTGTCGCTGTCTGAAGGGAAAGGCGCATATTCGGCCGGGTTCGTGGATAGGTCGGCGATGGTATTTGCAATCGAATATGTCCCGCGGAAGGCAACGATGACTCGTGGCTGGTGAGGAGGATGCGAGACAGCGATGTAGCCGCAAGAATCGGAGAGGAGTGGTCCGGTGTTCCAAGTGGTAACGAGTTCAAAGCCTTCAAAGTCGCTGCATCGACTAAGACATTTGAAAGGCTTTTGGATCCCACTTGTGCCGACGCAGTATGATATATCGACGATGCGGGCGAGTTCCTCCAACTGTTCGAAGGTTTGCTGGGAGATTTCTTTGTTATTTGCTCGAAGTTGCGCCGGAAGAGCGCTTGCAAACACCGTCCATAAGCATAAACAGAGGCTCAGAGATGAGAGCAGCATTGCTGTTTTGCGTTTCCAGGTGCAACTGGTCGAATTGACATGGTTCGTAATGACAATGACAATATTGACAGGAGGAGGGAAGCCTAGAAGTCGCAGGTGAACCTGGAGTCTGTCGAAACGAAGTTGCGGAGAGCTCACATGACAATGACATCACCGCCGTTTTTGATAACCGTGACCCGAGGTTTGTTCAAGTACCTCCTCTTCGAGCTCTTCTACTCCGTTCTATGCAGCACAGTACAGTACTCTTGAGTGACAAACTCTGGGGACCCGAGAGTGAATATTTTCACAGTCAGACAGCCCTTGCCGAAACTTCGAGACAGGAAAACTATCAGATCTCAGGAAATTGAATGAGAATCGGCAACGCAGATATACATATACGCCGGGTAATGGTATCTATTATCATCGACAGTCGAAGTCGCATCTCCTTTTGAAAGGGTAAGAAAGGAGAGAAACTCCCTACACTTTTATACCACCAGCGTCGTCACTTTCATCATCACTCGTGTCATCATCTTCGTCGTCAAACTGTTCAAAGTCATCCTCTTGATCATGAGTGCTTGCTTCTTCGTTCCGGTTGTCATCTAACCCATCCGTCCCTGAAGCAGGGCCGGCGGCTTCTTGTTCACCATCGCCATCCTCTTGATCAACATCGAGTGTGGCTGCTTTTCTCTTCCCAGGCATTTCACCCAGTCTGCCCTCCCGGCCTTCGAACCCCTCAGCAGACTCGCCCGCATCCTTATTCGGAGGTGGGGTGAACCAAGGGATCTTGCCACGAAGAAAGTCGTTGAGCACCATCTTGGCGACACCGTCGAGATCTGGTTCGCCACCCTTCAACAATCTTCCTCCTTTGCGAGCGAGGATACTGAGAAATTCCACAGGGTCGTCATTCCATTCAGATGCTTGGAGCTCATAAGTCTTTTCGATGTGGCGCGTCTGCGTCCGTCGTAATACAGCCTCCACATACTGTGCCGGGTTTTCGACGTTCTCGACACGTACCACACCACGTAACAGAATCTCTTCTTCCGTGTCACCTTGGCTCGGCGGCACGACACCAGGACAATCAATCAAGTAAATCCTCCTCATCAACGTGATGAATTGCCACACTTTGGTTTCGCCTGCAATAGGTGCAACGGTGCAAACTCGCTTGTTCCGAAGAGTGTTAATGATGGATGATTTGCCCGTGTTAGGATAACCGATAAAGCCCACCGAGATTTGTTTTCGGTTGGCATGCAGCCCAGAAAATTGTCGTAGTAGAGTAATTAGAGAGCCTTTCCCGAAAGAATTCGTCATAGAAGCGTGAAAAGCGAGTGTAGGGTATTCCTTCGACAGGTATCGCACCCATTGAGCCTGGAGAACTCATCAGCATGTGTGAGACATTACTAAGAGAAATGCTATAAACAGAAAAGCAGACCTCAACTCAAACGAAGCACGCCATGCACTCTGGTGATAAAGCTTCCAAGACGAAAGCGATTTCGAGAACCATCTTCCATACAAGTACAGGAGTTGGCGGGTGCGGCTTGATATACCAAAGCTGTAACAGGCGTCTTTCATGGAGAAATTTGCAAAATGCAGAAAGGAGCCTTGACTTAGCGATGGAAAGAGTTGGGCGAGAAAACGCTTGGAGACTGGGGATAAAGCTGTAACTTACCGCAATTTTCGTGGGCACCAAGTCGCACTTGTTCAGTACAAAGACCAAATGCTTATGGGGCGCCTCTTCGCGAATGTATTTTTCAACGCTGCGACATCTCGTACCGTCGGGATCCCGAGCATCCAGCACATGGATAACCACATCAGAGGAGTCGATCACTTTGTAGAGCTCATTCCATATTCGCTTGCTTTGGCCCTTGGAAAAAATTGCTTCTCTTGCTGTGGTAAGTTCGCAATCTTGCTGTCCTTGCGTTTCGTCAGCTGTCTGGCCACTCGTGCCACTCAACAACTTGTTCTCTTCTAATCTTTCAAGGTATTTGTCGTGCATCTTTACTGACTCATCGGCCAGATCGGCGGCGGAGCTCGCGCTTAGCTTAACCCGTTTCCGCTGTGATTTTGGGCCGAAGGTGTCTCCAAAAGGCTCTGACTCAACTGCAATCTTTGCCTGATGTTGCTTGATCCCGTTTTTCGTGTTCTCGTTATCCCGGATCAGACTCATGGGCAGCTTGTTTGTCTTGAGCAGCACCTGATATGGGTCGGCAGCTCTTTCAGCAACGGCTTGTCTGAATGAATCCAATGCATCTTGCGATATCACTCTAGTATTTCCAAACCACTTCCTGTTCGGCTCGACTCGTGCTTTGGGGATTTCCCGTGACTGGTACGAGGCGGCTTTAGTAATTTTTCCTTCTGCATTTCGCTGTGCTTTGCCATCCTTGAGCATATTCAGGGTCTTGAGCTTTTTGGCATTTCTGAACAAGCCATTAGCAGAGGACAACTTTGCAGTCATCGTCTTCAGCATACCTGTAAAAGTTCTCGCCTTTGACCTTGACATTAGCCATACCATCATTTGAGGTGCCCTGCCGTTCCCGGCGGTTTGCCTCCTTTTTTCGAGCTCCCATGTTTCAGATTGTTTCGTAGTAGAGATCTCGTCAAGATATGCCCGATAGACAGTGTACCGGCACAGAATAAACAGCAGAGCCGGACGATGCAGAAATCGAAGCCTTGCCTCAAAAAGTTGCGACGCCAAGAGCTGGAGTCCGCAATTTCCCCATCAGGCAAAGTGTCTTTTCCTGGTCAATGCCTCGTGAACTTTTTGACGAGATCCATCACCACCATCGGTATCTCTTCTGTGCTTTCGGTCGCTTGCACGCTGTCAACCACGGGCTTCTTCTGGACGAGGTTGGAGCTCAGATACTACACAATGGACAGCTTGTCTGCCTCTATGTGTCGGACCTGCCGTGTACGACTGCTCAAAACCTCCTCAAACAGTCGAGCCTTCGGCACTACCTCTTCCCGTCTTCACATTCCCCCAGAATCACCAGCTTTCATCGACATCCCGCAACCGCACCAACCCCTCCGTGATCCTAAACCTATCGTCAAAGGTGTCCTGCCTGTTCCTCGCGAGGTCTTTCCCGCCAACCGTCCGGACAAGCCCGGCCCAACGTACCTCGCCAATGTTACCCGCGACCCTCTCCCCAAGAACCTCCCACCGCCAGCCCAGCTCACCGAAATCGGGAAATATAAGCGGCGCATGGCCGATATGCGCAAGTCACACCTGCGCGAAAGTCTGGAGGAACTACACGCACGCAAAAGAGTCATAGATGGACAGATTGCACATCGAAGCGCGATGAGGCAGAAACTTAATGCAAGATTGGTCTCCCAAGCCCAGCGAGAGGACGAAAGACTCACGAACGTGTCTATCCCATCGGCAATGCGGCCGCAGCGTGTTCTCAAACTCTCCGCCGAAGAAGAATTGGCAATCTATAATGCCCGCAAGGCGGCACATGAGGCGAAATTGGCCGCGAAGCATGAGGATCGTCTTGATAAATTGCACACTTTATACATGAATGCAAGGGAATTCATCACGACAAGAGAGCAGCTTGCGACGGCTATTGACCAGGCTTTCCAGACGACGAAGAGTATTTGGGCTCGACAAGGCATGCCAGACACGATTGAGGAGATCATTAGGCGCGGGAGAGACAGGACGTCGAACCAGGGCAGAGCTGGTGTGACGTTGACTGGGGACGTGAGTGAGCGGGCGTTGAAGGATCAGGAGCGGATGCAGAGAATCGCAGAGAAGTTGAGTGGTGGAAAGATGTAACTTTCGTCTCAGGTGTTACAGAAGAAGTTGTGGTCGACGTTGGCAGTGACAGCGTAGAGCTATTTAGCAAAGAGCTACGACTGAGTTCGTGGCTTTGTATTATATCATACTCTTTCGAGCTGATATTTGATGGTTATGTCTATGATGTAGAGCCCACATCCACATCAAGCGACACCTTGAAGAACGTGTAGGCTTTCGACTTTACGTAGCTTGTTGGTCTGCGGCCTGGGATCTGCGGAGCGAGAATGCGCATGCGCATGGTGTGTACTACGGTCTCATGGGTAAATCGTGTAATGAAACTCGCTTAACCGGGGTGCAAAACAGCTGCCGCTTGAATCGTCGAAGGAGCAGTTGGCACCGCATTGAACAGGAAGCCCTCTTGCCACACAAATTGTCCTCGCTGCTGTTCGTCGTCGAATGGCACCCTGGTGCCAAATTACACGATTTACCCAGAAGACCATAGTAGCTGTTGGCAAGCAGCTGGAAATGCATAGAAGAAAGGGATAGACACCATGGGCCCATCGAAGGGCTGATAGTAGAGGGATCTGCCTTTGAAGCTCCTTAGCGATGGTGATGTGTGATGTCGCTGCGGAACTCGAGGCACTGAATCTCTTCAGGCTCGCCTCATTTCCTCTGGCTGCTCTGGTTGTCTTCCGCGCAGCGAAGTTCGTGGCGGTTGTGTTTGCGAATGAACGAGCAAAATATGCTGTGCTCACATCGCGCTTGCCTCTGTACGATCTGGATGCATTGCCGTACAGCGCAGATGGTGGAGCCAATAATGGGCAAGTCATCAACGATAGAGGCCTCGCCCATGCCGAGACGGAACCGTCTCGACTCTGAAACCGGACTCGTGGCTTTGGAGGCGCCCAAGCCGACTTGCGAAGACTCCAGGTCCTTCGGTGGCAGATCATGTCAAAGCGCGTATGCCAAGGCCGACACTTCGAGTCTCAAATAGCTCGATAAGACCAGCACCAAGACATTCTTCGACCACCCAGTCAAAGTCCAAGCCGTACAAGTCTTTCCACTTCTTGGTCCTCGCCGGCAAGACACCAGAAAACTCGCCTCTGATTCGTTTGGCAGTGGATATACGGTTATCGGAATCAACGGCGCCATCCCAGCGTTCTCGGAGAAGATAGAGTGGCCCTTCCTTATATTTGGATTTTCCCAGTAGTTCGAGCAGATGGGCCCGACCAGCACTCAGCAGCCGGAGATACGGGCCAAGGTTGGGTACGGACAAAGCAAACTCGCCCCCTTGGAAAGTCCGACTGCCAGATCCAGGACGCTTTGCAGCGCCAGTACCACCCAGGTTCTCGAATGCAGCATCTCCGCCCACCGCATCGGACGTCCCAGACGCCGCACGAGAGACTTTTGGCATAGCCACGAGAGAAGAGCCAGTCAGTGAAATATTGCGAGACCCAGACATCGATGAAGACACAAGAAAGCCTGCTCGAGTCAAGGCCGTGACATGGGACGGAGGCAGATCTTGAGGAGTGATGGTTGTGGCTCGAGGTTGACGACGAAGCACATTGCAGAAACCAACCACCATTTCAGGTTCAACATGACTCCGTTCAAGCAAGATTTGCAAGTCACGAAAGGTGATTAATACCTCGCTAGTCCCTCTGATATCGTTACCTCGACCGATTAGCTTGATCTTTCGCAGCTTACCGGCTGATTGCAGTGCAGCAATCTGGCGCTCCGTCTTCGATGACGCGGAGATAATAGCATGAACGTGAGCCAGAGAGACAATAGCAGGCAAGTTCCTCTGGAAGTTCAAGACTTCGGCGATGCGGACACTATTCATGCCAGCTCGTTCAGGGAGAGCCGCAAACATGGAGCTGCGGGCATGTTGTATTGCGGAAAGAACATCCTTAGCCGAGTCAATGGAGACCGTGGATAAAATCTTCCCCGTAGGCACTAGCCTTTCCTCGTCTTCGTCACCATCGGCATCATCGTCATCAACTCCGGTTGCATCAACGGCGTCGGAAAGGGATTTCGTTCTTGTGCCTGATGATGATTTAGTGCGCGGAATGTTCGCGAAAGGCGAAGCAGAATGGCGCCGATTGTTGCTGGCGGACCTTTGTGCCGGCTTACTGACGCGAGAGGAGTGGGCCGCCGTGAGATAGAGTGGCATGGCGAAGAGAGAGAAAAGAGAGGATTCGAATGAAAAAGTACAATATAACCTGACTATTTAGAGAATGCATCGACTCGAACTAAACCCTTCCGATAAAGAGTGAGCGCTGTGTACCACAGTATTCGTGTTTGGCTCGACCAGGCAACAGCGATATCTGGATCGATTTGAGTGGGCTCCAAGTGTGGTATGAGGCTTGCAGGCAGAAAGTACCAGAATGATCAGAACGGTACGGAGAAGTGCACCAAATGTAGTTGCCGCGCTAAATTTTAGTGCGGGCGGGGAATGCGGCTTGGCAGCTCTCAGAGTTGCGGTGTAAGGATTGCCTACCAATTTGTATGGCACTTTTCAGCACTCGCCTCGAGATTTTTGTACTTTGCATACAAAGCCCATGATAATCACATCTCTAGTATCTGTAATTGGCTTTGTTTTGTGCCCATTTCCCTCTAGAATAGCCCCTCGTTTACCTGATTTTGTCGATCCTGGAGGGTGCGCTGAGCGCGGAGACGGTGGTAGGCAAGAGGTACATCAATGGATGCTTGTCCTACCGACGATGATCTGGCAGACGGTTAGTTTTTGCCCTCATGCCTTCTTCTATCTCTCATCTTGCGGCAGAAGCAGCCAAAATCAGAGAAACCGAGCGGCCGCGGCGCAAGAATTCGCCTACCGTTAGACCTATAACCGAGTCGGCCTCGCAGAGAGACACTGGCACTAGGTATTCTATTGCTCAACGGTCCCAGGCTCTTACCCTGCATTCCATCGGTTGGAAAACTGCGCAAATTGCAGCCTATACCAAGATCCCTGAGCGATCTGTCCGAGCGATTGCGGAGAAGGCAAGGAAGAGAGGATTTACGCCGCAAGAGGATCCTCGAGTCCTCGACCATTTCGTTGAGGATGGATATAAACCAGGGCGTCCAAGAGAAGTGTTAGAAGTCAAGGAAGAGGAAGTTCTGAGTTCATTGAGAACAAATAGATCCACAAGAGAGAAATCCGCAGAAGTTCTAGCCTATGAGCATGGTGTTAGCACATCAACAGCCCTTCGCATTCTTCATAAACATGGCCTAAACAGCGTAAAACCAACGACAAAACCAGGCCTTAATCTGGAGCAACGTGCGGCGCGGCTTGCGTTTTGTCTTGCGCATCAAGATTGGACCCTCGAGGATTGGAAGAAGGTAATTTGGAGCGATGAAACGAGCGTTATCCTGGGGCATCGACGAGGTTCTATCCGGGTATGGCGGACACCTGAAGAGCCATTTGAGAAGTCTGTTATCCGTCGTCGCTGGAAAGGTTACTCAGAATTCATGTTTTGGGGTTGTTTTACTTACGACAAGATTGGTCCCTGTCATATCTATCGAGCAGAGACTGCCGCAGAGAAAGAGGCGTCTCAGAAAGAGATTAATGAGTTAAATGAGGCTCTCGAGTCAGAAAAACGTAAGGAGTGGGAATTATCAAATGGCGTAAGACGGCTAGGCCTCAGAAATCTCCCAGGACGCAAGCCAAAATGGCGCTTTACTAAAGAGACAGGTAAACTGGTAAGACGAGGTAAGGGAGGAATTGACTGGTGGCGCTATTACAAGGTCTGAAATCTATCCTCTCAAGATCTCTCTATCTAACAGGAATCAGGAGGTTGTTCTCCCAAAGCTGATTCCATTTGCTCGCGAGTGCGGCCCCGATGCTATCATCCAAGAGGACAATGCCTCACCACATGCCTATCACTTCATCGGACGAACTTACTCTATACAAGGCCTCAACAGGATGCTCTGGCCAGGCAACTCCCCTGATCTCTCTGCTATCGAAAAAGGCTGGCCATGGATGAAAAGAGTTACTACCTTTAAGGGAGCTCCGCGGACAAGAACTGACTTGGAAACCTCATGGATGAGCAAGTGGGGAACAATCCCACAGGACTCAATTCGAGGCTGGATTGAGGGCATCATGGAGAATATCAAAAAGGTCATTGCGTTAGAGGGCGGCAACGAGTACCCTGAGGGCCGCGAGAGCAAGAGATCATATAAAGGGCGCAGGCGCATTGGAGAGCTGTTTAAACACTCCTGGATCCAAGACGATCAGGATAGCGACAGCGAGGACAGCGAGAACAGCGATGACTATGAAGATATAGAGACAGAAGAGGAGGACGAGTTTGATGCGGACACTACCAACTGATTGAACAGCCGACCTTGCTTTCTATGGGAGTGCCATAGTAAAAGAGGCGGAGGGTTTGGACACAAGGACAGGCATGGACAGGTAGAAAAGGCATGGACAGACGGAATGCCTCCCAAATCAATAGGAATGCCTCAAAAATCAACACCATGGATCTCTATACCAACCCAGCCTTGCGCGCAAATAGCAAGGCTGCGGCGGCGGCATGTTGCTGCAACATGATGCCGTTGTGTTCATTCCATATCAACTGCTCACCTAATTTTGGTGAGGAGTCGATGACATCCGAATACCCTTGCAATGCCGAGAAGCTAAATTTTAGCGCGGCAACTACATTTGGTGCACGTCTCCGTAGTTGGAAAAGAGTTTTGGGAGGCGAGATGGACCAGCGGAAGAGGTTGCCGAGCCACTTGGAGTGCACGATCTTTTAGGGGGGAGTTGGTGGGCGTTCTTTGTACATAACGGCTTGACCCGACTGGCTTAGGTATGAAAAGTCCGCCCTTTCGGGCGACCCTCATTAGCTCCGAAGGCCACTCAAAGCTCCATCATCGCCCCTAAACCAACCATCTTAGCCCCAAGATAGCACTGTCCCGGTCAAACCTGTTAGTGCCTGTTCCTGTTTGGCCTCGCATCCATCATCTCCACCACGTGCGTCATGCTGAACCAGAAAAAAACCGGTAGCGAAACACTTCACTCTTCGTGCTCACAGTAAACAATAAAAATAATTCTGATCGAACGATGCTGGTCTTCTGGCGTGACGGAGCGTGCCCCCATCTGCCCTTAGTGTGACACACGGCCAAAGACACGTTGACCCTCCATTTCATGTGAATGGATCCTATACCGCGCTCGACAAGCCTTTCCGTACACATAATTCAAGGCACTGGTGTCCCGGGAATTCCCTCCGGTTCAGCCCAACCTCACCTATCATCCCTTCCCACTTGACCACTTGACCACTGACCACTGACCACTGACCACTGGCTCACTCTTCGTTTCTTATCGTGCAATCCTTCCCTGCCTATTCAAACTTGCCTTTGTTCACTCGCTTTCTCACTCTCAGACACATTCTTTCCTACCTGCTCCTTCATTGTGCAACCTTCCTTCCGGTCACAAACGAGCCTGAAAGCCATCAGTAACAACAGATCCTGAAAGCCACCCGTCATAACAGATCCTTGGGGTTTTTAAACCTCGTAGGCAACAGCGAAACACATCATCAGTATAGACATATGATACGATGACGGTCTTCGTTGCAAGTCTGTTCTTGCCTTACACGGTCAATTTCGATGGCCCGCCAGCATGGAACGGCTCTGCGCCCGAGTCTCTAACGATGAAAAGAGACGAGCAGGTGATTCCAGCTGCAGCTAACTCTCCGGCAGTCGTCTCCAAGCTGCCCTTGGTCGACGGCCCGTCCTCAGTCAGCCTGTTTACGCCTAACCCAAACACTGCTGCACTCTCCGCAACCCTCACTCAGACCCCAGATGTCATCATTCAGACACCGGGCGCCACCACCGACCACGAGAAAATCTTTCGACCCCATGTTCAGCGGCCAATGGCCCTGTCCCTGCCTAGCCACATCAAAGAGAAGAAGGAGCAGAGCGAGAAGGATACAGAACAGCAGCCTCAGGAGCAGGCGGTACGTCCAGTGCAGCTCAAGGACCTTCGAGGCGTCTCCCGTCACGACTTGCACTCTCCGGGCTGGGGCAAGAGCTTCGTATGGAATCAGCCACCGTCACGAGCGAAGTCCCCACCGCCGAGTTCCATTCTGAAGCATGCGGCAGCCGAGGCGAAAGAAAAGGCCCTTGCTATGGTACAAACTGCGCAGAGAAAGGCGGCTCGCGCTGGACATCGGAGATCGAGGACAGTCAGCCATGATCGACGGTTCTCAGAATACAATTACAGTGTGGAGAAGGCAGTTATTGGCAATGGTGGTTTGTTCAATGCCATTGACGCCGCCACCGACGCTGGACAATTGGACGAGAAGCTCTGGGTAGGCACTTTGGGCTGTCCCATTGATGTCCTGGAGGACCACATGAAAGAAAACATTGCAGAGAAGCTGGAGAACGACTATGACTCGTTGGCTGTCTATGTCAGTGACAGTGATCTCAATGGTCACTACGAGCATTATTGCAAAACCATCCTGTGGCCAGTATTCCATTATCAGATTCCAGACCATCCAAAGAGCAAAGCATATGAGGATCATTCCTGGATATTCTACGTCAAAGTCAACGAGGCCTTCGCTGACCGCATAGCCAAAAATTACAAGAAAGGCGACATCATCTGGATCCACGATTATCACCTCCTGCTTGTGCCTGGGCTGCTGCGGCAAAAACTACCAGAAGCCGAGATTGGATTCTTTCTGCACACCGCGTTCCCATCCTCTGAAATCTTCCGCTGCCTTGCGGTCCGATCCGAACTTCTCGAAGGTATCCTCGGCGCAAACATGATCGGTTTCCAGAACGACGAGTATGGCCACCATTTCCTCCAAACTTGCAGTCGCCTGCTGAATGTTGAAGCCACCAAACATGGAGTGATCCTAGAAAGTGGCAGGTTTGTTCACGTCAATACATGTCCGATCGGTATCGACCCGAAGGTTGTTGACCAGCAACGCGGTTCGCCAGAAGTGTTGGATTGGGTCAAAACGATTACCGAAAAATACCGTGGAAAACGTATCATTGTTGGCCGAGACAAATTAGACAACATTCGTGGAGTTCGGCAAAAGATTCTGTCTTACGAGCTCTTCCTCAACAAATATCCTGAATACAAAGACCAAGTGGTCCTTATCCAGATCGCTACTTCATCCACCGAGGATCCCGAGCTAAGCGCGACGGTCGCCGATATCGTCACTCGAGTCAATTCCACTCACTCGACATTAGCTCATCAACCACTGGTCTTCCTCAAGCAAGATATCGATTTTGGGCAGTATCTCGCGCTCCTGACGGTAGCCGAATGCCTGATGATCACTAGTTTGCGAGAAGGTATGAATCTGACCAGCCATGAGTTCGTCATGTGTCAGGACGGTAAATTCGCCAACCCCAAACATGGTCCTCTCGTTCTTAGTGAGTTCACTGGTTCGGCGACTGTCTTTGGGCACAACGCGATTTTAGTCAATCCATGGCACTACACGCAATGTGCGGATGCTATCAAGCAAGCTCTCGAAATGCCTTCAGAAGAAAGAGAACGCCGGTGGAAGGGTATGTACGATATTGTCGTCAACCAGAATGCCACGGCGTGGTATCATCAGTACACGGAGGCATTGCATCATGCGTGGAAGGAACATTCCGTCCGAGAAGCAACTTCGGTGCCGCGATTGTCCGTAAGTTCGGTCAAATCGAAATATCAAAAAGCGTCCAAACGCTTGATCATCCTCGACTACGAAGGTACTTTAGCCTCTTGGGGATCCCCGACCGACATCATCCTGACGACGCCCAAACGTTCAATCGATGTTTTGAATGACCTTATTGAGGACGAGAGAAACATTGTCTACGTTATGAGTTCGAGAATGCCCGAGGAATTGGAACGACTTTTCAGTCCAGTGAGTAATCTGGGAATGATTGCGGAAAATGGCGCCTACTTGAAAGCACCCGACACAGATGAATGGGAAGAGTTGGCCAATTCAGAGGCTGCTAAAGTCTGGAAACAAGGTGTTCGCAGCATTCTCCAGTACTACGTCGAGAGAATTGAGGGCAGCAGAATTGAAGAGAGGCATTCATCTGTTGTCTTCGATTACGCCGAGGCCGAAGACATGGCTGGGGCCTTCAAGCAAGCTGGTGAATGCGCAAATCATATCAATGACGCCTGTCAGGGACAGAATGTCTGTGCCGTACCGATCGAAGATGGCTTGTATATTTCTGAAGTCGGTATCAACAAGGGACTCGCTGCTCAGATGATTAGCGACACTTTGGAGAAGCTGAGCCGGTCCCGGGGTGAGCCAATGCCCGACTTCCTGATGGTGGTCGGCGATTCAAGAGAGGATGAGTATGTGTTCAACTGGGCACACAAGCTGGAAAAGGCTGGGATAATCAAGAACGTGGTGACTGTCACTGTGGGAGCAAGAAACACCGAGGCTTCGGCCACCCTGACACAAGGAGTGACTGGTAAGTTGTATCGTTGACCGCATCTATGGCAGTATGCTAACGTTGCTCAGGTGTTTTGTCGATCCTCGAGAAGCTCGTTCGAATCTCACAAGGATGAAGCAGTGACTCCGGTCACATCCCGCTTGCTGTGCTTCCAAGGACGTATGTGGCATCGGCATTAAGCGAGGAGTTGCATGAAGGGTTCATTATGAGCACATGAGGGAACGGAACGAATAGACAGGTCTGCATCTCATTGATACCCATGCATTATGTAAGAGCGATACCTCCTAAACGGCAATTCAATAGCTTTGTTGTTCCACCTCTAAGCAAGCAACCTTCTTCTGTGACATGTTTGGCTATAAGATAAATTAGAAATTACGGCACCACCTTGAAACCTTCCCACAATGCCACCACCATGTTACGAGGACAAGGCTGTATGCGGCTGGATGTTTCAGACTGCCTTTTCGCCCTGCCTTGCTCTGCAGGAGACGTCGTTTTATCAGTGTCAGCGCCCACGTGGTCCATAGGAGGAGGTTGACGAGGACACAAGAGGGCTAGCTAACATCGTGTCCAAAATTATAGTAAGCAAGTTCATGGGCGTTTCCATGTCAGCGATACACCCTGCTGTTACGTGTACGTCTGTGTACGGACTACTAATACCAATACCAATACTTCATTTGAACCCAACGTCCTGGCGCCCTTGTGCGCTTCCAACGCTTCAATAAAAATGGAAAAACCCAAAGAGAACAAGACTCAATTATAGCAATACTCGTCATAACACGCCGCGCAACCACCAGGTAAAGTGCCGCCGGCCTTTTTCATGATTCCGCAGGCCAGGCACAGCGGCCATTCCGGGTCGCCACCTTTGCTCGCGATCTGCTGCCCGTTGGCAATCATGGCGTCCGTCTCGTCGGCGGTGTACTGCAGCTTGAACGTTGATTGACCGGAAGGGTAAGTGCATTCCTGGTTGGGCAGGTAGACGATGGTGATGACGTTGGGATCGTTGCATCCGAAGAATGTTGGCCGGGTGTCGAGGCCGTTGGCCAGGAAGGTGGTCACGTCCGGAATGACGGGCATACGGGTGAGGCCTTCGTCCGTGGCGCGTTGGTATGTGGTGTAGATTTCCGAGCCGTTGGGGTAATTGGCCGACGTGTCGGCGCTGTTGTCGTTGACGATCAGGACATCGACGAGCGGTCGATGTAAGAATGGCCAGATGGGGTTGTTCTGGAGAGCTTCGCCGCCATCGACGAGGTATAGATCTTCTTGGCTTGCGACTATGCTGGATTGGGCGTAATTGTAGAAAGGATTCGGGTAGATGGCGAAATTGTCGCGGAACGTCACTTCGTGGACGGTGTCAAGGATTGCGGACAGAACTTGGGCTAAGCTGCTGTCGCTGGTGTTAGTGGGCGGCACGGGCGCGCACGCTTCGTTGAAGAGGTTCGACGTCGTTCCCGCGACGTATCCTGCGTTGTCGTAGTTCCTAATACAAACGCCTGGTATGGCCGGGCTGCCACCAGAAAGAGAGGAACCTATATATTCGGTCTGAGCGAAGGCCGCGACACCGTCGTCCCAGGACCCAAATTCATACTAACACGGAGATGCCAGGGCAGACGACACTAGGAAATACTCGGGTCGTGACTTACCGGATGGATCTCGTATTGCGTGGCCGCCGGACCTGGCGTACACTCACCTTCGTTTGCCTGTACGCCCAGGGCCGTGATGATCGGGTATGGGACATTGTAGCTCGTGAAATTCGACATGTCGGCGAAATCAGAAGTGGTGATCGTTACACCTCCATCAGCGCCCTCGAGAAGCTGATACGAAAGAAGACGGCCATAAGGATCGACCAGTGTTGGCGGAAAGCCGGCAGCTTGTTTGGCTGCGAGGTCTGCGGTGATGGCGGCGTAGGCTGGACCAGCAACGAGGAGATTTCCAGGTATCAACAGACTGGTTTGGAACGCCTCTTCCCATAGGTTGTCTCGTAGCTCGCTGATCGTGGGCCAGTCGTTACCAGCAATACTCGTCAAAAGCCAGCCCCCTCCAGACAACCCAGCTTCGTAGGTGAGCCCTTGATACAACCCCGACACGCCAGTCTGACTGTCCCTGGCATCGAAGCCTTGGATCACGCCGGCTCCCGTTAACAAAGATCGATAGCCGCCGCCGCTGGTGGTCAAGCCGACTAAGGGGTAAGCCGTTGGCTGGAAGCTCTCTGGAGTACATGAGGTGGAGGTGGTCGTTGAAGTGGTAGCCGAGGAGGTGGTCGAGGAGGTAATGGAGGTCGAGGTGCTGGTCGAAGTCGTAGTCGATAGCGCTGTGGTAGTCGAGGCCGAAGAGGTAGTCGAGGTCGAGCTTGTGGTCGAGCTGGTAGTCGAAGAGCCGGTCGAGGAAGTAGTCAAAGTGGTAGTCGCGGATGAAGCGCTGGTCGAGGTCGGCGCTGCAGTGGATGTTGTGGCGCCGGTTGATGTTGAGGGGCTGGTAGAAGTCGTAAATGTTGAAGAGCTTGTTGTAACAGTTGAACCACTGGACCGGCTTGCTGAGGAGGTTGTTGAAGCCGAGACAAAGTTCGTCGACGTCGTGCTGGTGCTGAACTTTGTCGGCGCACTCGTCGAGGGTGATGAGGATGTCGACGATGTATATCCAGGATTCTTGGCCGTGCTTGCCGTGCTCTTCGAGGTCGTAGAAGACGGCGTTAAGGCTGTCGTAGAGCCTGATACTGGATCTGGGATGCTGGAACTCGAAGACTGTTCTCCCTTGTCCCAGTCACCCCAATCAGTCCAGTCTCTTTTACTGGGCGAAGAGGTCGAATTACACGTCGCATTGTTGACGACTGTTGCAAGCCACGCCGCAAGGCTCTGAGACGCGACGGTGTATCGGCTGGCAATGAAGGCAGCTTCAGCACTCCCGACGCCATTGGCTGGTCTTACTAGAGGGGTAGCAGGACATGCGGCGGCAACAGGAGCATAGCCTGTCAGTTGGCGACGGACTGGCGTACCTTGCACGCGGGCGGCGCACCAGAACAGCAGGGCAAGGAGAAGAATCGTGTATTTGTACATGATTACTCGTATTCGGCGGACTCACCGAGAGCGAAATTCATAGGGCAACGCACCGGCGAAGAAAGACATTAAGTATAGACTTGAAGACATAACTTGGCAGAAAGGATCCCAGCCTGGTGTGTTCAGCGACGCTATACACGACCCATCGATATGCGACGATAGGGGCAACACTGAGAAGTTAAGAAGTCGGTTTGTGTCTGTTTGCAGGAAGTTGATGCAATTGTGGGTCGAACGCGGTTGGGGAGATTGCGTCCAAGAGGTCGCTTGACGTCTCTTGTTATGTCGACCAGCCTGAGCAGCCAACCTTCCCACGTGCCACCGTCGTTCTGGACGTCCTTAGATTGATTGATTTGTTTGTCTCTAGGCAAAATGTATGCATCATTGTGCGGAGCTCTTGGGCAGGTTTTACCAGACTATGGATAACTGCTCAAAACTTCTCCCTGGCCGGTCTCATATCCAGCTCATGCACCCAGAGATCACACGGCTGGTTCATACACTGCAGGTACAGCTTGCCCACACTCTCCGCACGTATCTTCTCACCCAGATTGACCTTAGTGATCCTCTCCTTTAGCTCCTTCGCTTCGCTGTCTCCCTCGTGAGCTGCAGAGGTGTTCGCATCCACGATTCCGCCGTTAGCAATTGCATGAACGACATGTACTCCTCGAGCACTGTACTCTCTCGCCAGACTTTGCGCGAGCATTCGAACACCGGCCCGTCCGGCACCGTACGCCGCATAGCCTGCGTTTGTCCGTAATGCGCCCAGCGTGCCGGTGAAGATTATCGTGCCCTTCTTCGTCATGGTCTCAACACCGGATGGATCGGTCTCGGTGTCAGAAGGGTCCTGGCTAAGCATCCACTTCAGAGAGAGTTGAGAGAACACCATTGCCCCAGTGACATAGGTTTGCAGGCTATCGCCGAATTTCGTGGCTGATTCGTCTTCAAAAGGCGTTTTGTGCGAATGTTTGATGTTCCAGATCGCCATATTTAGTTTGAGATTCTGTGACTGGGACCAGGATTTGATCTCATCGAAGACGCTCGTTAAGCTGGCTTCTGATGTGTCTGTCTTGAAAGCGCGGAGGGTGCCCCCTTGTGACTCGCGTGAGAGGCGCTCAGCCAGACTCGCGTCACCGGTGCGAGAGAGCAGGGCAACTGCCATGTTGCCATGAGATGGATGGGCCAGGATGCGTGCAATACCGGCGGCTGTGGTTGGGCCGGCGCCCATTAGAATGGCGAGGCCTGAGGGTGCCATGTTGATTGATACTGGTCGTAAAAGCTCACCAATGGAGATACTATACAATCTGTAAACGCTGAGCATCAAAAAATTTCAACTCCATAGGCACCCAGTGTAGGTACTGAATTCATGATGTCAGAGGACCTTAAGCTGCGGTGCTCCAGTGGGGATGATTACTGATGATGTACTGTAGCTAAGCCAAACCCCGAGGTTGCCTCTATGATGCCCTGGGAAACGGTCACACACCATTTGTTCATGGGGCGGCAACAATCCATCCTACTTACCTTAGGTACCTAGAAGGTAGGTAAGGTAGGTAGTCTGAACTGGCGCTGAACAACGTCCTAAACAATGCCGTCTTGCTTCAGGTTTGACTTCGAGTCGAAGAAGTACCCAAGTCGCAGTGAGCGCATCCAAGGTGACTCCGTGAAAGGAAGCCTCTTGAGATTCCCTCGAACCCGACCTCAATCCTAGTATTTCGTCCCATCACTTGTTCTTCACTTGACTCTAGGCGAAGACCACAGGTCGATATTGAGTTCATGTCCTTCTCACTCAAGCTCGGAATGAGCCTCTTGAGTGACAAGTCATCACGGCGCGTGTGCTTCTCGTTCTGTTCCGTTCACAATAACTAAACGTTCAATGCAACTTCTTCCTACGTCCTTTCTTCTTCTGCGATCATCAGAAGTCAACGTGGCAGTCAACAGCACGCAAGCTCAGACGATCCAACGCAGTCTTTCTCTCCCTTTCCTACGCATTCGACTCGCCCAATCTTAAATTAGCCTTGGGAACAGCAAAGATGTCAACCAGGCAAGGTTCAGAATCATTCTTCGATGACTCCAACAGACCAAACAAGAAATGCAAGACGATTCATACATCGTGAGCATTGCATTTCTACTTCTGTGAAATCTATCTGACCGGACCACGACAGGGTGGTCGATCAGCCACTGGTCCTCGTTGCTGTCAAATCAGGTAGCGCCGTCGATGAATTTCACGTCCATGATCAAGGAGCTGGATTCGGACGTAACGGATACTCGCGGACCTCATTCCCACAATGCTCAGAAAGACAAACAGTCAGATCCTACTTCACCAGGGTGATCACAGTGGTAAGCCATGATCTACAAACTAGTTCTTTCCGCTAAACAGTGCCTTAGTCTCGCTGGCTTTACCGGTAGCCTCGAGTATCCCACCAGACTACATTGCGAACCACGGACGTTCGAGGCAGACTGTTCCCACAAGCTTCCCGGTTGTGGCAAGGTATTTAGAAGATCAATGGTACAATGTTCTTGACACTTTCTGGGATCGTGTCTATGGTCGCCTTCTTGATCTCTACATCTTCGCCACCCGCTACGGAGCACACACTTTCAAAAGTCCAAATTATGCTGGAATGGCAACGTTTCGACGCTCGAGTGGAGAGGTTCGCCTGCCATGAGGTGGTTCAACATACAATTGAGAAATTGGGAGCTGACTCTTCATTGTGCCGGTACATGGCCCGACGCTACGCTTTTATGAAGCTAACGGACCCTAACTACTCCTGCGAGCCATTCTTCAGGACCCTTTCCTCAGATTTTGATGGGCAGGTATTGCACACCGTGCTCAAGCGTTTAACCAAGCTTCCTACAGAAACTCCGTACACGAATTGGTGTGCTTATCATGACCACAAAACTGCACAAGAGCGCGAAGAGTGCGAGATGAGTAGGGAAAGTGATGCGGACTTGGTGGAGAAGCGGCGGCAGACGAAGCGAAAGTGATTCAATCGTCCAAGGGCGGCACAGGGTCAGATAAAGAACTTAAGATCAGGGCTTCGATACTCCCATACATACAAACAGTCGACAGCGCATCAGAAATTCGGCTGTGTATTAGCACCGCAATGACATCGGCTATTACGGTGGTTGAATCGAAGATACAGTCCAGAAGATTCAAGCGTTATTGCGGGACTGCCGTGCCGCTCCTTCACGAAACGACAATAGCATCAATCCAGACTGGTTGATCGGTGTCCTGATACATAGTAACCACATTCCCACCAGCCAGAAGATCCATTTCCACGCTAACATTCCTGCCACTCGCTGCCGGCATCGCAAAGGTGACATTGTGCAAATAATTCAAACCGAGTGTGGCATTTCCACCATAGCCCAAGATCGTTAGATTTGCTCGACCGGCATTTCCAGCCAGGCTCTGCGTCCGGACATCAGCAATCTCGAGGATGCCCCTGTCGTCTCCTTGCCCGGCCAGTCGGACGCCGCCATTGATCACAGTTCCGTTGGTGCCTACACTTCCACCTTGACTGCTGAAGCCGATGAGACCATCTTCTGCTTCGTATCTCGGTCCAGGATTGGCAGGCGCCCAGATCTCGACCTCGACGATGCCGACGGCGTAGTGGAGCGCGTTGACCAGGTACAGCGATACCGTGTCTGCGGTGACACTTGTATTGAACGAGATGGTGTTGCGCGAATTGGGCTGAGAAGTCAACCAGGGCGTGCGCTGTGCGACGAGTCTATCCTGCGACGAGGCATTCGTGCTCGTGTTCAGACCATTGCCGGCTGTGGTATTTGAAACGTATACGTAGAGCCCTGCGGGACATGCGAGGGCGCCGCCCCGTTGGCTGTCGTCGTACACGGCGATCGTGACGGATGAGAAGTCGCGCGCACGAGGAAGTGTGAAATTCAGCCAGCTTGCTGGATTGTAGGTCTGATTGTTGGAGTAGAAGTTGTCTGGTGGATTGTCGTAGAACACCAGTCCGTCGTTGGCTTTGTATGCGGAATCGGCCGGACCGAGGTTGTTGCCCAGCACGAAGAATGTGTCGGTGGCGTTGGCGTATGGAAGCGAGGCGGGCGCGACGAGACTGTTAGGATTGGAGAGGATGTTGACATACCGGGTTGCGGAGGAAAACTGTGCGATGGAGGAGTTGGACGAGTTGGGCAGGGACACTGAGAATCGGGCTAGTGTGGGCTGATTGTACAGCAGGGCACCGTTGGCGTAGATGGAAAGACCGGAGGAGTGGTTGTAATTGGAGTAAGCGGTGCCGTCGGCGTCCCAGAGAATCGAAAGCAAGTTGCCATGATAGGGCAGATTCTCTACAGCACAGTACGTCCAGTTTGAGGGGACAAGGGGCGCCATTTCAAACATGTCTGAGAACGACGGGATGATGCCGAGGAGATTGGTGAAGACATTGTCCATGTATGTTGAATGGAGGTAATGCTCGCTATGATTTCTGGTGTAGCCACTCCAGGCGCCTCGGGCGGGATAGTGGGACTCGAAGATGGCGGGCTCTCCGTGGTCGTAGTGTGTGCGGGTGTAGATCTGGAAAGCATCCTGAAAGAACGCAGGTGTTGCCACGGTGCTGCGGTTTTCTCTCGCCAGCCTCGCAAGCGTCCCAAGATAGACGCAAGTTGAGAAAGGCCAAGATTGTCCATTCCACATACAGCAGTACGTGATGTTCTTCTCGGCGGTGAAATAAAGGCTGGACTGCTCGAGAGTTGTCGGACCAAACTCTGAGATGAATCCGTGCTCATCGAGAGAGTTTTCAATGCCGGGAATGTACATATCTTCGGTGCCAATATCGAATCGGTACGGATATAGTCCAATCAGCTGCCTACCAACGATGGGGAGGTTTGTCCCCTGGACAACATCTATCCAGAATTGTATGTCATGATGCCAAAGAGTGTTCTGCATCGCTTGCAATAGCCGGTTGGCGGTGGCGTTCCAGGTTGATGCAAGACCTGCATTTCCAGAGAGCTCAGCGACTGTGGATATCGCCCTGGCATTAGAGACCATGTATGTGTTGAATGAGGGCCTGTAGGTTTCTGGGCCGAGCCATATAATGGAGTAGTTGTTTTGAAAGCTATTCCAGACATCGACCGAGCCTCCCTCAGGCCCGCCAATGACATATCCAGGTAGACTGAATTCTTGAGCATCAAGCAGCGGGGTTCGATGGTACAAGCCAGTGGTTTGGTCTTTCGTGGTGTTCCATAGATGGTACATTTTAATCATGCCATCGAGTTGAGCTTGAAGGAAAGCCAAGTTTCCAGTGGCTTGCGCGGCTTCCATGAAAGAGTCTTGCAGGTAATGAGTGTAAGTCACTCCAGCAATGCTCTCCAGGCCTCCCCTAGTGTACAATTGAGTCACATCGTTGACATAGCTCGGCTCACGAAGCCACCTGGCTTCTAGTATCTGATGAGGGGCAGAATCGGGAATTGACTGGAATTTGCTGGCCCATGGAACTGGCTGGATAAACTCGGTTATGACCCAGCCATGACCTTCGTGGGCGTACGCCAGATGGCGCTTTAGCACTGACGTTCGATAGTAGTAGATCTGCTGAATTCCAGGGTCTGGGAAGTCGACAAAGGGGATGTTATCAAGGTACCATTGTGGCTCATCAAAGTCCTCAACGTACGATGAGTGATTGAGGATGGAAGTAGTCGGCAAGAATGAATCCGGCAGAGGATACGGTCTGACGGGATCTTGCGCCTTGAGCACAGGTGCGAGAGCAAGCAGCAGAGAGGCCAAAGTCAAGGGCAGCATTCTGTACCGGCGACCGACGTCCACTCAAAGAACAGTATGAAAACATGCGTACACATTGTCTTACCTAGGAGAGGCCTTCGGGGTATTTGTATAAGCTGCATCCCCGTCAAACCCCGGAACGATTCATGACAAGCGTATCAATGTAGCAAGACACATCAAGTCTGCCGGGGCCAGGGACACCGGGAATCTACCCGTCACAGCAAGATCGCCGACATGTTGAGAGGAGATGCGGGAGATGAAGCTGGGGAAGATGCAGAAGGTGGAGAAAGAGAGACATGATACCTGTCTCGAGGAGGAAGGTCGAACGAAGAGCGTCAATCACGGAACATCTCACCAAATCATCAGTTGTTTATTTGCGTCGTGCTTTTCAGCGTCCTCGTCCTGCTGCCCTGTGGTTCTGACTTCGCTAAGCGGTATAGACAGTGCACTGACGAGGGTATGGAATAGCTTCCTGTGGAACGTCCCCCGGGGATGTGCAATGGCTGGGACAAGAAAAAAAGGATTTTCTGAATCTCCTCGATAATTGGGCGAAAACTGCTTTGGCTAGCCTCGTGCGCCATTTCGACATGCTCACCGTCATATAACTTATTTGATTCGCCTGCAAGGACGAAGGCTCCAGTAAGTATCACAGTAATGGCCCTCAGACTACCATATTTTTTATCATGCCACTCTGATCTGGCCGAGATACAAAAGTCAGCGACAGTAATGCCTGCCAGATGATTGGCTTATCCAACGGGCTCAACAAGGCTATCCAATCAGCATCAATGTAATGGTCAGGAAACAAGAGTCAGCGTCATTGGAGATTTTGTATATTTAACCCCAACTTCCTACAGCCTCATGTTCCTCATGTTCCTCATCCTGTTCAGTCAGTCGGTTACTCAATCGCTCAATCAATCACAATTCCTCTCAAGCATAATAACCTTTACAACTCTCTCCTTACATTCCCAAATCACACTCGCCACAATGGTCAAACCAACAACCTGCTGCGGCCGCTCTGACGGTTGCGTCTGCGCCCAGAAAGCCACATGCTCCTGCGGCAAACAGTCCGCCATGCACTGCACTTGCGAGAAGAAAGCCACCGAGAACACATTGCAGGGGGCTAGATGTTCGTGCAGTAAGTACATTCCCCTTTGAGGACTCTCTCACTTTCTACTCGTATTCTCCATACGCCCTCAACCCACTCTGCTCTCTGGCACCGTCTTCCATGAGATCAGGACGCTGACAATTATTCCTCTCCTTCAGGAGCCCGCCCAGCCGGCCAATGCACCTGCGACCGCGCATCCACCGAGAACACAACCCCAAGCGGAAACACATGCGCCTGTGGCCAGCGTAGTGCGGGAAGTTGTACCTGTGAGAAAGCTGCTGATGGTGGATTGTATCCTGATGAGGTGGACTTCACCACCAAGGCCTAAACGGAGAATACCACACGCCAGCTCGAGACTGAGGGTGTGTTGATGGTTGTCACATTTGGGATTGGCACGTTATGGGTCGTTGGGTGGGCGGCGTTACGGCACAAATGAACTGTGATCACGGGTTGGCATAGGGGCTCACAAATTTCACGAGAGTTGATGACAACATCTTCATGAATGGATTGATTCAGCGACCGTACCTATCAAGGAGGTCGTGATCAGAATGCTCTGCTCAGTCCACCTTCGAATGCTCACCATAATCTCTGTCTGTCGCCCGGGTCATCATCCAGTGTACCTATTCAGGAACCAGAGATACCAAGGGCGTCACAGATCATCGGCGCCCTGCCATCAAGCCTGAGCCCCATTCTTCTCTGCCGCATCTTTCTTCTTCTTCTCGAGCAGATTGGCCCTCGATTTCATCTCGTCAACTCTCTTCTGTCGCTCCATGACACTCCTCCAACATTCCTCTGCCCATCGCTTCACGTCGTCGAACCGTCCGTCCTTGAAGGCCTGTCTCACCCCTTCGATCCCTGTGCGATGTCTCTCAGGCACTTCCTCAATCTTTCCCTTGATCTCTCTCTTCATGCCCTTCGTCGTGTACGTCTTGTCCGCCTTGTCCGCTCCCACGCCTGGCAAGCTGCGAATGAATGTCCACAAATCTTCCTCTTTGATCTCCCGCACTGCCTTTTTCTTTTGCTCCTCAAACCGCTTCCCAAACTCGTCGCCAAAGAATTTTCTGGCATCCTTAATGACTTCCTGTCTCGACATACCAGCACTTGAACCCGGAGTATCTCCCTTGTGAGCAGGGAGGTACTCCTTGGACCAGGCTGCATACATCTTCCTCTTCTCGACGCGCTCTTCGTTTTTGCCTCTCATGCTGATTTCCCTCATAGGGTCGTGGAAGCGGCATGATGCAACATAAGCCATGAGGGCGTCGCGGCTCTTGAAAGGCTTGCCGTAGGCATCAGCGTCGAGACCGAGATATTTGAGCACCTTGTCTGGGTGGTCTGTCATCAAGACACGAGATTGAGCTTTGTTGTGCTTTTCCACTTCCTCGATTCTGAGATGCAAGCCAGTGCTGTTGCAGGTGAGGCCATAGGGACGAATGATTCCTCCGAGTATGCTCCAAAGATCGCCATGGGCTTGGAAGAAGATATGCCAATCAAAGCTTGCAATAGTGGGGCAGAGCTGAATGTCGACTTGAATGTATTTGTTTTTGTCAATGACGTTGGTATTGATGGCGGTCAGCTCGGTTTTCTTGTCCTTTGGCTTTGCCGCTTTGGCCTTGTTTTCCTTCTGGAAATCGTCTTCTCCAGGCCACTTGACGGCGACATGATAGGTCGTGCTACCCTGGGTGTGCTTCCACTCCTTGCCACCAAGAAGAAAGCTCAGGAGTGCTCCATTACGAGCCTCATCTCCAGACCACAAACCCTCATCGACTGGCAGAGCCACGAAAATGTCCACATCTCCATAGTTCTCCTTGGCTGGCGCTTCGGTTGCATGTCCAAAACACAGGAAATGTTTGCGGAGCAAGTCTTCGGCGCGCTTACAAGTGTAGGTGTAAACATGTTCTGGCATACGTGGGGTGTCGAGACCACTCTGCTTGAAGACCGAACCACCCATCGTGGGAAATGAAGGCAGTGCTTGACTGACAGGGGGATGAAACGGGGAGCAAGACGATGATGAAGAATGATGGAAGAGATCTGACTAGAACGAGATTATTAGATACTTAAATCCAGCAAGGTGCTTTGCCCTTGTAGCTGTTCTTTGCTTCAGTTTGCTTATTTCGTTCTCACTTCGCTTGCTCATTGGTGCTCGCTGCATGAAATTGGGATTGTTTGGGTCAACCTGCCATATTACCCGTTGTTGCGTTTAGGATCATTTCTTCTGAAATTTGACATCGTCCTGTAAACACATCCTGGAATGTGATGCTTTCATGTGCGTGCACGATTCATTGCTGAGTCAAACTGCGACAGAATACGACGTTTCCGGCAGGCAGGCAGGCAGCATGCATCGGCGAAGCAAACGAGCACATCTTGTAAGTTACGCCTGGTCATTTTCGAGCTTGATGTTTCGTGAACCAAAAAGAAGGAAAAGGGAGTAGCTGAAAAGTAAATATGGAAGGGGAAAGTTCACATCGGACGGCGAGGGGACCACGGTCAGTGAATTGTCAGTGACTGGTCAGTGGAGGTAGAGCAAAGCGTGATAGTGACGTCATACCTGCCACAAAGGGCAGACATCTTGCCTTTCTGGGAAGGCGACTTTGTTTTTGATCAGCCAGCAACGATAGATATCACACTATAAATATCTAAATATCTATCTCCCAATTCCCTTATTCTTTCTTATTGTATTTTGCGCAATTTTACAACTACATTTGTAGGTATCGGATCCAGTTGAGACACAATGCATAGACGCACAAACTTCGAATACACGTGAGGAGGACCTCTTGAGCCTTGCGTTGACCCGGCTCGATATGTTACCTGGTAGTTATTGCGAAACGAAGATGTCTGCGCTGGGATAGAAGCCTTCACGTAGGCCTTGTTCGCGTCTGACAAGGCACGTAGACAGTAAGGGAGAGAGTTATAAAGCGGAATATGGGAGAGACGCGTTCCATGCCATCTTCTACGACAACAAGTCTCAATCAACCATCGTGTATTGACTAGAATGCAGACGCGAAATGACTACGTAAAAAAGGCGTCGGACGTGTCAATTCAAGCATGGGTATCACTAATCTACCTGATCTACACTGCCTCGTGAAGAGGGTCCTCTTCATTCACATCTTCCTCCGCATCCCCATCGGCGTAAGTATCCTCATCACGCGCAGCATTTTCCACGATGATCTGGCCACCCATGGCCTTCACTTTGGCCTGGGTCATCTCATAGACATATTGTCCAAGATGCTCCACGCCGTCCATCTCCGTGCCAGGCACATCATCCTCCAGCAGTCGCTCAGTAGGAAACATCTCGCCAGTGGTCAAGACCAATTTATCCGGCCTCTGCAACAATAAATCCATTGCAGGTTTCATTTCAAAGCATGACTCAAAAAGGTCGCGGCGTCCGAGAATGTAAAGTCCCAACCTCGCACGTGAAAGAGCAACAGTCAACCGACGAATGTCTCGCAAATACCCAACAGACCGTGTCCGAGTCATCGACACAATCACATAATCGTTCTGTTCGCCCTGGTATTTGTCCACCGTGGTCACGATGCGAGGGGAACCGAAGAACTTATTGCTCTTGCATCTGTGATCGAGTACATCACGGATCAAAGCGCGCTGACCAGCGTATGTCGCCAGAATCGAGATGTTTCGAGCAGGGTAGCCCAGCAATCTCATGTACTGGTACAATGCAACGGCGTATTCGGCTTCGCCAAGGTTCTGAATAAAATGAGGCGTCGGCTCGCGTTCTCCCTGCCCTTGGTAATCCGGGACGTCAATGAACTGGTAGTCGTACCTGAAGCCTGCGTTGGCACGGGCAAAATCAGGCTCCGTGAGGAGATGGGACAGATTGCCGAGATTGTTGTACCGCCACTTGAACAATTCAGCGATTGATGGTCGGCACCGACCTTGTTGGTCCAAATGAATAGTAGGTACACCGAGTCGGACAAAGCGAAGGAAGAGTGATTGCTCGAAATTGGCATACTGTCGCAAAGCCAAGTTTTGAATGATGGGAGAGTTTTGCAAATGATCTCCAACGAGCATGATACGCTTGAGAGGTAGTTGTCCGGACTTCGCATCAGGGTCTTGCATCGCACAAGGAATGAATGACTCAATCTCAGTGATTTGAGCTGCTTCTTCCATGATAAGGGTATCGTAATGAAAGCCCAAGGCTGCAATTTCCGATCTCCGCATAGCAGCATGCGTTGAGGTCATTGCAATAATGCGAGCTTCCTTCACCAATAGGTGATTGGCTTGATCGCGGTTGTTTCGCAGTATTTCGAAGGGTCTGATGGATTCGAGCTCCGAAAATATTTTGTCAATATGATACTGACAACCAGAAGCAATATCACGCACTCCCTCAAGGGTGATATCAGGTGGGAAAATTGCCGGAACAGGAGCATCCTTGAAGTAATTGTAGAAAGGGAAAGCGGCCAGCACATCGGCAACATCTGCTCCGTTGGCATCAACAGCGTCCCAGAAACGCGCCCATGCAGGCTTTATGAAGACTTGGTTGAAATAGTCAGCAGTCTCGCATGAGCTGCCATGTGCGCCCTCTGCGCCGATTGATGCTGCCAATCTGTTGACCTCGGACAGGTACATCTGCCGATTTTCTAAAAATGACTCGACACGACCATATTTACTGTAAGAAGCTTCGGACTCCAATTCTTCCTCTCCGTGCCCTAATCGCAGGAGATGCCGAGGGTCAATGTCAAGAGCAATGATTTTCTGGAAAAGCTGATTGAGTGCTTGATTGCTGTGCGCGACCAGTAGAATGCGTTCTGTGGGAAAGTTGTGGTACAGAAGGTTGATGGTTTGGGTGGCCACATCCGTCTTGCCTGTACCTGGTGGTCCTACAATGACAGTGAGGCCAGGCTGTGTCCCGGACACTATAGCCTCCACTTGTTTCGACGTGAAACGAATAGCGTTCTTCTTGGGCACATCCGTCGGATAGGGGCCGGTATTGCGAGGCTTGTATGTAGAAGCGACGATCGTAGATGAATCTCGCTCCATTTGATCTCGTCTTCGCTTTTTGGGATTCGTAGGTAATGTTTCAACGTCTTGCGTTGACGCTTTGAGAACAAAAGGAGGACTGAGGGGTGCGGATTGTTCGGAGACGGCTTCGACGATCTTGCCAGGAAAGCTTTCGGTGAGGTGATTCCAATCTAGGAACGTATCTAGACAATCAAGAGACTCGATCCGGTTTGGTAAAGAATGGTATGAAGCACTTCTCGGGTCACCATATCCCAGATAGACCTCTTGTAGCCATGACGGGAGTGAGGTTTGGGAAGACACAAGCTTCTGTATAGTCTCCAAAACAGGCTTGAAGTTGTTCTCGCGAGCTTGTCTCCTGGCAATGACATTGAGAGATGCATTGATGTCTTTACCACCACGTGCAACTTTGCCCTTGTCTGCGAGATAGGCGGCAGCGTCCAAGTCAAGCAAGAGACGTCTTCTTCGTGGTCTGGAGGTATGGCCGTTCATCTGCTGGTCCCTCAAGGGTCTTGCGTTATCATCCAATACTTGGAAGACCTCGGCTGCTCTCAGATCCGTAAACACTCTTTGCTCTCCCTCAGACTCGGCACTGTGGCCGTTCATAAGGAGGCGGGAATTGTCAGGAGCTTGGACCGCAAGCAGAAATACCACATCGTGAGGCTTCAGATTATCCCATTCTCTTCTAATATTGTCTGTGAGGCGGCTGACATCCAGAATCACCTCGGCACGGACAAAGCTGGGCGTGATCTCACCAACCTTGGGAGCGCCAACCTCAATGATGGCAGGTGGACTGACCGGTAGAGCCATCCTCGAGAAGCCTTCGAATGTTGTGCTACTTCGATCTCTGCCTGCCTTTGGCTTCATACGCTTGACGATGCTTTCCATGTCCTTCCTGATGCCATAAAATGCTTCAGCTTGGTACAATTGGAAAGACCGCCACATGAAGTCGCTCAGCGTCAGGTACTGGAGATTCAATTTGGGGATCCCGAGTGGCCGGAAACCGTCATAGTGTTCGTTTCTCAGCAGCTTCGCGTCGTATAGCGATTCCGACGTCGGCAAGACCGACAATTTCGTCACGACTTCCTGAAAATCGCGGGGTCTGGAGAATGATGACAGAAGAGTCTCAAGCATCACAGCTCTGCTTGCAGTGATCCCGGCTGATGCTGGATAGGATGTTCGAAATCCGAGATGCTCACCCAACTCTTGCAATTCGGCGTCTGGCAACGTAGAGAAATGAGATTCCAACTCGCTGCGTTTGTCGATGGATCCATAATTTGACAAGGCAAGAACCTTGAGTTTCTTCTCAAATTTCTGGAAAGAGACACGTTGTAGTCTAGCCAACGCTTCGTAGTGCGACTTACGGATACCATCGTGCCCAGATTCGCTGCCCCCCATATCGTCGACTGCGAAGCTTTGAAAGTGGTCAAAGAGATTCACCAGATCGCGAAAGAGTCCGGCATCGTCTCTTTCAATCACTTTCGACGTCCGAATGATGGCCACGGTGTTGAGGTCCTGCAGGAGCGGATTCGTGTATCGCCTGGTCGGCAGTTGACTGATCAGATCGATCAGGAATTCGACAAATCGTTCACAATATATCATCTCTTGGGAGGTTTCCAGCTTCGGCACGTTCAGCCGCGCAAAAAAGTCAATGGACATGGAATATAGCCATGCTCGATCGAATCGCAACCGAGCTTGAGTCTCCTGGTCTGCTGCCTCAAACCGTCGCTGGGCAGCTCTCCATGCCTTTTTCCTGCCTGCGCTGGCTTCAAGCAGCCTTTCTCTCGCACTTTCATCATGTAGATGGTGCCAGGTCGAGATCGAAACAAGTGGTGCGCACTCCTTGCGTACAGGCTCATTTTCCAATGATTGGAATGCGCCAATGACAAAATTGAGGACTGATAGGCGGGAGAAGATGCGGAGGGAGGAATCGAGGTTTAGCGACAGTATTCGACGAAACAAGCTCGAGAAATCTTGAGGTCGATCTGCGAACAGAGTCCAGTCTTGCAGATTTGCTCTCTGTTTAACATTGAAGAAAACTGCAATGAGAAGGACGTGATGGTTTGAGGACTCGGCGGAAAAGGTAGGCCATAGGAATCTTTCGAGGATTTGTAGGCTTTCCAGTGTTGCGAGCGACCGTAGTGTGAAATCTTCTTGTTCCAGAGGATCCCAAATGGCAGTCTTGATCAGCTCTGGCTTTGCTTTGGTAGGCACCTTCTCCAGCCAGTGTTTTCTTGCCAACCCTTCCCATGGATTCGCGTCGGCACCATGTGTCCCTCCAGCCGCATCAGTCGCAGGTGCCATTGTAGGCCGTAGCTGAAGACCCATTGTCGCGTGCTGGAGAGGTTGAATGGAGAATCTAAAATTTAAAGCGCTTGGAGCCTTGTCGATAGACGAACTCCGCAAATCACCAAAAATTCTCCGCAGCCTCGTCACAACACTGCCTTCACATGGCACCCTGCCTTGCCTGCTACTCCGTACACCTCTCTTGAGCGGAGAGATTGCGCACTTGCAGCATTCGCGCAAAGTGCTGCAGCGGCTCTTCAATATCGACTCGAAATTGGCCAGAGCTGTGCAGCAGACTTTATCCATTCTCAATGCAAGTCCGGTGACACCATACGAACCTCGAGCCTCGAACCTCGTCTTCCTCTCACCCTTCTATCTCGACCACCATGTCTGCCACCGAGGTGCCGGCCGTGGCGCTCTACAAACCTTTCATCGAGACTCATATTCAACAGCTCACCTCATCTCGCGAAGATAGCGACACGGACAGCCCGGTCCTCGAAACAGACTGCGCTGAGCTCCTCAACGAGATCCGCTCTATACGCAATCAGCATGCTTCCCCAGAGATTTTACAACTGCACAATGCCGCGCTAGAAACCGTTTTCCGCGATTTCTTTATCGACGTGATCGCAAAGATTGACATCTCCGAACCGGCGTTCTCACAAGTATGGGTCCTTTTAGACACCGCAACCATCCTCTCCGACAACGAATTATGCGATTTTGGACTGGCTTTCTGGCTGGTGGAAGAGCTTCTTGATAGCCAGACCATCGATGGCTGCCGCAAGGTCTTCGACTACCTCGAATCACGTCGCGAGCGCATTACAGCGAGACATTTCAAACAAAAGAGCCTGGTCATTCTGCGTTGCTGTAATGAACTCCTGCGCCGCCTCTCACGCGCCGAAGATACCGTCTTCTGCGGCCGGGTGTTTATCTTCCTCTTCCAGTCCTTTCCACTCGGCGACAAATCCTCCGTCAACCTGCGCGGCGAGTTCCACATCGAGAATGTCACCACTTTTGATCCTGCGCCTAAGAAGTCCGACGACGCAATTAAACCCATGGAACTGGATAGCCAGACACCACAAGGGAGTGCCTCCGGCGCTCAGACTCCAGTGTCATCACTACAAGACGCAGAAAAGGGAACTGCAAGAAGCACACCCGCGCCTTCGAAATCTATCAAAGTAGAACCTGAAGAAAAAGTGCGACCTCCTCCCGACCTCGACACCCTCTACCCTAAATTCTGGTCCCTCCAATCCCTCTTCTCTTCTCCTTCCCGAATCTTTGACCCAGCAAACATGGCCACCTTCAAAGACGGCATTTCCAGCACACTCTCGGTCTTCAAGTCCGTCTCCCAGAGCTCCGCACCCAGTACAACCTCCCAAGACGTCAAGCGCGGCCTCAAGCGCAAACGTACCCTCACCAACACCGACTCCCCCACGGCAACATCGTCTTTCAACCCTAAATACTTAACGAATCGGGACCTCTTTGACCTGGAGATTCACGATATCGCATTTCGGCGACACATCCTCGTCCAAGCCCTCATCATGCTCGACTTCCTACTCAGTCTCGCGCCAGCCCCGAAATCGAAGTTTGAGGGTCTTACGAACAAGTCTGTACTATACCCCTACACGCTCTCCGACGAAGACACGAAATGGGCGCAATCTACGCGCTCGAGTATCGCAGCATACCTACAACAGGGCAATGGCAACGAAGGGAAATTTTACTACCGCATGGTCGACACTGTCTTGTCGCGGGACAAAAATTGGGTCCGGTGGAAGGCGGAGAATTGCCCACCAATCTCTAGAGAAAGCGTCACGGCGCAGGCGTATCTGCAAGCCCGCGATACGCTGACGAAGATCGCCCACAATGTGAGGTCGCCCTTGCCCAATCCGCCAGGCGCCGCGGATTTGGCTTTCCTTTCGCGTATCGAACCGCTGGAGGCCTTGAAACAGCCGTCTCGTCGGTACAAGGTGCCGACGTTGGAGGAGTACTATAAGGAGATTGAGCGTGTTGACTTGGATTTGGACTTTGCCGTGACGGACGAGGAAAAAGCGGAGCTCGAGGAGCGGAAGGCGGGCAATCTCTGGAGGGCGCTGAGGGCGAGTAAGAATCGGTTCGTCATGTGTGAGAAGGTGCAGTATGGAGGGGACATGAAAGGCTTGGTGCAGGACGATAAAGCGGAGGCTGAAGGGAATGGGGAGAAGCAAGCTGATACGGAAATAGATGTCAAGGAGACAGCGAATGGAGAGGACGAGAAGGCAGAAGGCAAAGAGGAGACAAACGTGGACGAGGGTGGCAAGGTCAATCGGGAAGAGAGTGCAGAAACCCAAGAGGAAGGCGGGACGAAGGAAGGAAATGATGCACAACAGCAAGAAGAACCCATTCACGAGCAGCCGGACAAGGCTGAGGCTGAGGAAGGAGATGCGGTTCAGCAGAATCCTCAACCCACCGAAGATACCAAGGATACCGAAATGGTGGATGCGGGGGCTCCTGCACAGACGGAAGAGAAAATCGAGAAAGACATGACAGAACAAGACCCTGGTCAGATAGAGTGATCTGTGTACTTGATGAATATATTGTTATATCATCCGAACACAATCCCAACATACTAACGCTATTAGCGTTCAGTGAAAAGCAATTCAGCCCATCCCGTCGTTCGAGAACGTGCTCCCAACCCAGTTTATATGAGTTCGTCGCGATCTATATACAAAAATGAGAACAAAATAGTCGTGCTGTCGTCATGATAAATGGTTCACCTCATCTCGTTGTATGCCTAATAGCAGGCTTGGTCGTAATTCTGTTGCGTCTCATATGGTAGACTTGCTGCTTGCAGTTTTTCTCAGGATAAATCTTGTCCTGTTCTCCAACTTCGTCGCAGTGGTTCTACCTCATCTTGCCGTAAATATCGCGTGTCCAGTTCTCCCCAGCGTCCGTCTGGTTCTCTTTGCCAGACATATGTGCGAAGTTGGCCATGCTGCCGAAGCCCTGATAGGGGTTGGTTGTGGGCCGGAGGCAGTCGTACCATTTGCCCTTAGGGTAGCAGACGGAGGAGACGTGCCGGGAAGAGGGGTGAGAAGTAGAGCCGGTGCTGGATTGCGAGGAGGTAGATGGGTTTCGTGAGGGCATGCTGATTGCAGTTGTGTCTCGTCTGTCTCAAATTCAGGTACCGTGGTGTATCTGTGCAGGGTCAATTGCTTGGTAGTAGATCAATGCTTGTCTTTAAGGCTACCCCAGATTCGAGTGGGAATTGTAAAGAGGGTCTTTTATAGGGCTATTCTGGGGTAAACCGTTGTATGAACGTCACTAGAAGATTTTTCATGGTCATCAGGGCGCGCAAATCGTTCATCTCTCGCCATCGTCGAGTATCATTCCGCGGGGAACAGGCTCTCTCAGCCAGCGTTAGAGCAAGAACATCAGATTGGCTGGTCATGTGTGCCTGAAAAATCTGAGCAGAGTTTTTGAGGAAGCAAAAGAGATTGGATGTTGATCGAGGCTATGTGTCAATGAAATAGACAAAGGAGGAATGAGTTACGTAGGAGAAAAGCCTGAGTTGGAAAGGCTGGAGCGCAGCCTGCTCCAAAATTGGCGGAGAAGGAGGATTGATTTTCCGGGGAGCTGGCTTGGACTACTGTTGTACTGCACAGCGGTAGTACCTCGTACACGTGCTCGTAGTGGTAGCTGCGTACTCTCCGCTAGGTCGCCTCTCAAGATTGAAGACGAGCGGAAAATGTCCGATGGAGGGAAAAATCTGACCAAGGTTGCATGCATTTCCTGTTGCCAATCAGCAAAAGGCCCGATAGAGTGCGGGGTAAGGCTATGCTGGTACAGGAAGGAGAAACGAAGTGAACACGAGTGCTCTCGAAATTGTTGGGAGAAATGCCAGTCAGTGCCGAGGTAATAAGTGTCAATGGAAATACGGACAAAGAGGGACTGAAAAGGAAATTGAATGTGACTGACGAACAGTGAGTATGATGTTTCCGTTGTGCGTTGGCTGATACGAGGCAAAGGAAGAGGGAAAGGCTGCCATCAAATCAGAAGGTACTACTCCGTACGGAGTACTCGTATAACTCTTCGGCCTCGTGTGGCTGGTAAGCGATGCGTGAGGTGGAAAGTCAGGCTCGCTCGACGGCCCAGGTTCTATCCGATAGGGCATTACTCCATATCTATGCACACTCACCTTATCAGCTCGCTCATTCATGTAACATTACTCCGTATGATGTGCGAGTTATATCAAGGTGACCACCTAACGTCGGACCAAGCCAAGGAGCGGTGTGTCGCTATTAGTCGTAGAGGCATAAGAACCCGGTACCAATGAATGGTCGGGCTCACTGTTGCTGGCAGCTGCGAGTCGACTGCGGCATTCTGCTGGAGGTCATCAGTGTGCACACGTTTCGTCAGAGTCCTCTCGCAGCCTTGAGTGTCAGCTTTGGCCTTATCTGTGACCAAACAAGGCTCGCTTCAAGCCTCGTGTCTGTCTCATGTCCGGCCGGGTGTCTGGCAATACAAAGAAGCGTGGCAAATCTCCGCAGAATTTGAGGTGATGGAGCATGATGTCGTGTGTCTCGGCTCGACGCGAACTCGATGCAACCACATGGCGACGCTTTATCGCCTCTTCTCCCCCCGTTCCTTCGTATGTTATCTTTCGTCCTGCGTGGCTCGAGCGTGCTGATGGGCTGGAGGCTGGAAAAGAGGGGCAATATGGAAGTGGTCTCTTCTTGCGATTGGCCGCTTGTCAGGCCCCAAGCATCCCGGCAGAGGCAAGACTGAATTCTGCTGTGGGTAGCGAGGTGGAGGATTCGTTAGCTCTGTGTCGCTGGTCAAATTAACGGGCGTCTCCAAAGCCTTGTCGCTTTAGGCTGCCCTCCTTCAGTCCTGGCCATGACCATCTGTACTGTGATACAGCCTCGGCAGATCGTAGCCCACTGGGATTCGAGCATTATTCTGTGCTTTGGCCTTGCCACCTTGTCAATGCCATCCGCTCCTACAGTTGCAGTCGTCCCTGCGGAGTCTGCCGGGAGCGGTAAGGTGAGTGGTCGTCGACGGGGAAAGCTGCAGACCTTGATGGCTTCAGGAATAAAGTCGATGAAGCTGTGGTTGTACTCGTATTTAGGCCGGCAGGCTGACTTTCGACACGTGCCGTTCTCAAAGAGTAGCCGCGCAAAGATAACGAAACGAAGGCGTTGCGTGCTTTGAAGCACAGGCGAGCAAGGTTGCAAGTTGCGGCTAGCCTCGAGTCTTGTCCAGTCAGACCCCGGCCCGTTTGACAGCTTGAAGCCTGAAAAATAATGCGAGAGCCTGACCCCATCTCCATGCTCCATCTCTCTTCTCGTTCGGTGGTGAATTCTGTTCCCGCAGCCTTACAGGCTAAAAGCCTTGTCCCAACTTACCACACGTTGAAGCATCCCCTCATTCACCTTTTCATTCCTCTACCCTTCTCTCGCCCATCTCCTCCCACCCTTTTCCCCCTTCACCCTCTGGGACGGCTGTGTTGTGGTGATTCATCTCGCTCCCCTTACCGTCAATTCTCGACGACGCGCCCAGATCAAAACAACTGTCGCATGTGTTATCTTTCACAGCCTTCTCTCTTCAGCTGTTTTTCACCCCAGCTTCACCAACTGCCACGCCTTGGCGAGCCTCGCCGCGCGCTTCTGCGATAAAAAGCTCTTACCGCGACTTACCGAGCTCTTTTCCATTCATCTCATCGAGCGCCTTTGCTAAACGTCAATTTCATCAATTTCTGCATCACCAAAACAGCTTTAGACGATGACCCAGCCTCTGTGAGAGTCATTGGCAACTCTACCTCCGCACAAAAGCCTTGTCGTGCCTTGTCGCCACATATAGCCTCGTCTTCGCACAAGTCCGAATCTCACCCACCACCCACTTTACTCACCATTTACCACACACACCATGGCCACTGACGCCAACATCAACATAACCCCCGCGTCTCTTCGAGGCAGTCCTTCGGATCGCATCATCAAACCTCGTCCCCGCAAGGATTCACTTCAATCCATCTCGGGTTCAGACACCCATCCTGGTCGGGTCGTCAAGCCTCGAGCTCGAAAGTCCCCGGGCTCTGGAGCTAAGCGGTCTGAGCCCGCAAAGCGTAAATTCATCTGCTCATTTTCTCACTATGGTTGTGATGTGGCGCTGAGCTCCAAGAACGAATGGAAGCGCCACGTTTCCATCCAACATCTACAGCTTGGCTTTTACCGGTGTGATGTGGGTTCCTGCAACCCTGACTTGAACCCAAATGTTCCAGGTCACAAAAGAGTCTACAATGACTTTAACCGCAAGGACCTCTTTACGCAGCACCACCGACGCATGCACAAGCCTGAGTCCGGCCCGGGTTCAGCTAACTTCCCGCCCAACGCTGGTGACCCTAAGGATTGGAGAGCGTTTGAGGACAGTCTTGAAGATGTGCGAAATCGATGCTGGGTAGAGAAGAGAAAGCCTCCCCAACGCAGCACTTGTGGTTTCTGCGGCAGAGTCTTCGAAGGTGAAGGCAGCTGGAATGAACGTATGGAGCACGTTGGTGGTCACTTCTCTCGAGACATTGTCGAAGCCAAGGAAGAAAGAGAAGACGAAGATCTTACGAACTGGGCTTTGGCTGAAGGCATCATCAAAGATGCCGGCAACGGTCATCACGTACTGATTGATCAACCGCCGACTGCCGGTGAACGTCCTTATCTGACAAGAGATCGAGACGTGACCATGACTGACGCTCCGAGTTCTGATGGCATCTCACGCGACCCAGGACAGTCTCCTTCTCTGAGTGCTTCATCCCGAAAGCCGGATTCAGAGAGAGGCGACTACTATCCCAGTCTCGATAGCCCTCGTGAGGCTCGCCGCCTCAGCAACGCTTTGCCGAGCACTAATGGTACTCCTCGAGCGCCATCGGTGCCTCTGCTGCAGCCTGCTCCTGGTGGTCAGTCTGCCCCACCCACCGATCCAGCCCTTACGGCAATGGGCTCACCCACGTCTACCCAAGCACAGCTCCAACCACCACCAACCCCTCCAGAGCGCAAAGGATACAACCTTGCACCACCTCCATTGAAGGGCTCAAAATCAGGTTCTGTCCCTCCTGAAGGGGATGCCGGCAGTGGTGATAGACTCGAGGATCTCATCAACCAGTTGATCAAACCAAAAGGGCCCAAAACTCATCGACGTCTTACATGGAAATGCGTGAGTTGAAAAATCTAGCTGCACAATATAAATTCACTACTGACCGACTCCTCCAGGATTGCGCTCTTGAGATGTCAGTCGACCTTGAGGAAGCAGACCAACAAACCATCCAAAATCTACAAGAGATCAGCATTGTGTGTAGTAAGACATCCAACCCGTACCTCAAAGCCTCCAAGACTGGAAAGTACCACGTTATCGGTTGCGACGAACTAGCTAGCTACATTTGGAAAAACACAAAACAGCCTGTTGAGCAGCATGACCGACCAAAGGAAGTCGCTCCCACCTGATTCTCCTAGTTTTGTTTGATCGGAATCAGAAAGCAGGGTACGAGTACCAGGAATGAAGGAGGGCTTCGACGTTCACGCTCAATGGAGGATGAAATTGTGACCGAGCCAAATCATACGTTCTACGATATTTTCTGTTACTATCATCGAAAGGCGCAAGCCAAATGAGCTCCATGATGCACGGCTGTGATATCGATGCTGCATCGTTGGCCGTGTTGGAAGACCGAGCACAAAAGATCATTGCCTCGAGGCTGTTGAGATTATGACCACAGTTTTCAACGTGTATGCTACTTGTATGACATGGAGCTGAGGAGAGCCTGTGTCATTTTACCTCTATTCGTACGGGGCATCAAAATAGCCAGACAAGCGTTGATTTATCGAATACGAGTATTGGTATATTGCCGGGTTCAAAGCCAGCGTGCCGCATTCCTATTGCCTTCTCTTTCGACCCTCCCCAACTAGGTCAGGGCTGGCTGGCCTTTGTCCTAACTTCCTACCAGGTAAGTCAGTCAGAGCTCGGCGGCCAAGGAAGCAAGCTCGCAAGCAAGCACGTAATTTACATGGTTCTCTCGATCGTGCTCGATGGACTTTTGGAGGCGCCGCATCAACGTCGCAGACCCTTACACGTGGTACCTGGTAGCGCACGGTCTGCCGAGAAAGTTCGGTGATCCAACTACCGAGAGACGAACTCCAGGCGTCTAGCCTAGAGCCGGTATAGGGCGTCGGCTTATTGAACGGGAAGCCTATAATAGGAGCCTCGAGAGTGAGAGTGGATGGACAAGCATCCGGGAGAAGCCTTTGCGGTGCAGACAATAAGGTACGTAGTGGTGAGATCCCGATGCCACCGGCGCCAATATTGTGACAGAGTTGGTCGCTTCTTCATCGAACTTTCTCAGCCATACACTCGACCACGTTCTCACTTGGCGGCCTCTTCAAATACTGACACTCCAACGTCCTCTTTCAACACGTGAAGAAATGGCATTCGTCAACTCACACGGCTCTTTACAAGGGCATCTTATCAACGTCAATCCACCTCCCAAGGATTCCTCGTGAACCTCACTTGAACCATGGCTTGAGGTGAGACTTTGCTTTATTGCTCACCCCGTCATCTCCCTGTTGAACCACATTCGATCGGACACAGAGCAGCCAGACTAGAAGCCGATAGCTTGTGTCGGCAATGTCCAGCCAGTCACCCTTCTATGAAACCGCTGACTGGCCTCTACAGCCTTCCCCACGACAAAGCAGCCTATCTTCATTAAGCCCAGCTTCAGAAACGGCCAGCATACAATTTTCCAATTTTCCTTTACCACCTACCCCCTCGACATCTCGCCCTCCGAGCGACAAAAGCAGATTGTCCAGTGTGCCAACAGACCACACGATTCACGTGCCACTTGCCAGGCCGCTTACCATGTATGTGACGATGACTGAATGTTTGTCATTCAATCCTCCACCCTGCCGGACACCATACTGACCATCGGCCGTGCGGATCTTGTAGCTCCTTCTGCAAAGGCAGCAAATTATTCAAATTGAGATATTCGCAAATCGAACTCGAGAAAGATGTAGCCGGGGCTCTGAAACGTATCCTGTTGAGCGAGCCTTCGGGCATGACGAGTGTTCTCGTTCATTCTTGTCGGTCGTCGTACTCATACATCTCGCACATCGTCGCTAATGAACAATAAACAGTCCCAGGTACCAGGATACCTATTCCACACCTTGAACAACCCGTCACGTCGGGTTCGAGCCATATTTCTCGGGTCTCGTTTCTCGAAGAGCAGACTGTACAAACTGCGTCGACGCTGTTCCAGGCACAGCCTCATTACATATTCGACACTTGGGAAGGTAGGAGCAGACTTGATTCTATTGCTGCGCGTTGCCGCCGAACATCTGACCGACATATACGTCTACAGATTGCATCAACTTCCAAGAGGCACTCCTTGGTCAAACAGTGGTGTTTACTGCGGGAATTGCGGAAGCCAAATCAAAAGGTCGAGGTGAAGAATGCATCAGTCAAAACTTACGCATCCTACGAGCTCGGAATGGGCGACAAGTCATCCTGTTCTTTACCAATTCACAGCGGAAAGAGAAGAAAAGATACATCACGATTCCCCGTAAGTACTTGTATACATGTCCCACAACACGGGCGATATTGCAACTCCTTCCTCTGCCCCTAAGATTGGGGTTGTCAACACCAGTCAGAGAGCAAGCCAACTGAAACATCGCGCAACGTGCTGGACCAGTGCTGTTTCGGCGGATTGTGCCGGTCTTTGACAAGATGGGACTACATGAACTGACAAATTGACAGTCGATTGCATTGACCACATTGAACAGAGCAAGAAACCTGGCCGGCCTCTTACACTTTCCTTACGACCGAATTTTGACCTGTTATCCCAGATGAAGACGCTGCATATTCTTTTTCTCGACGAGAATGGTGTGTACCTCAATGGCCGCGGATCATGAGAGAAAGTGAAGACAGACTGACAGTTTCTGCAGACCAAAAGCGATTCTTCGGCCTCCTTTGTCACGGAGTTGGTTTTCAAGCTTGAACCGGCATGTATATATTAGTGGACTTTGATCAAAGCCATTGTATGAGCGTATGAGCGAACGTCAGGATACCCGACAGAGATATTCTCTTGCAATTTGTCTTTATGACATATAATGAAGAACGTGAAACAAGGTGGGATATAATTTTGGATAGACTTCGTCAACTGTTTTGGACGGAATGTCAATCTTGCACCTACTGCTGCCGCGGATTTCGAGAGCTTATCGTTGGGAATCCGCGCGGCTGTCAAGTGCTTAAAGGAATCGAGTGCTTTCAGATATGCCCAAAATGTCAAAAATGCCACCCCGGGCGCTGGCAGGCGGCATGTACCGCCTTGCTGTCGTGCCGTATGGTCCGGATCATCGATCGTGAGTGGTGACGAGGTCGGCCGGGAACCAACCGACTGTCGAGATTCCAACACCTCGTGCCTTGACAGGCTTTGAACCTGTTGATGGACCTCCAGCAGCCTGGAGAATTCAGGTCTTCTCCATCACTGGTGCTCGGAATTTGTGGTCCCCACGCTACCGATGAGAAATGTGCCATAATGGAATCGGATCTTCGGGGGTTTCAAGGAGGTTCAGGGTGGCGTGGAGCTGGCGCAGGTGTACCATTCAGGCTCACTAACTAGGCCAAAGGACTTTAACGATGGCTGGGGTCATCACCAGGGCTCCTTGCGAAGAAATTCTGTGACATGGACCTGGGATCACACGTGGGAGCATATACCACCGCTGACTGGACCGAAAATCTCCATTCTAATCATCCCCATCAACTCCCCGACGAACCTAAGAGGCAGCTTCATGCACGCTGCTTCGCTTCTTCACACCACCCCTCACTGTCTCTACTTTTCGTGGGCCTTCTCTCGAACGCTGTGAGCCTTGCCATCCGGCACGATGAGGGCTTTTCGGTCATGCTGGCGTGATTACCACAGTACTATCAAACGCCTGGTGGAAGTGGATCCCTCGAAAGGCCCTCGCCGCCCGATCTCTAGACGTGGTCACACCGACTTCCCAAGACACTTTTGGTATCGTCTGCAGAGTCCGGGACACTAAACATAAGGCACCTAACCTCCGGCATGGAGGACCCTCATTAGCAAAAGGAATTTCAGGTACCGGTGCGAATCGAGACCGCCTTTATTGTCTGCAGTCTTCGACCTCTCAATCTATTCTGTACTTTTGGATTGTCCAACATCCAACGATCCGACCTCGCAGCTTATCGAATGCTTGCGCGCAGTGTTCTCGACATGGACCCTTGATCCAACCCGAACCCCTCCATTTTGGCCCCGTTCTGATTACGCTCAAAAAAGCTCATAATGGGACGATGGCGCGGACGACTCTACGCAACCGACAGAGCCCGAGATTTTGACCACGAGCGGGTGAGTCGCAACAAATTTTCGAACTCTTAACAATGAGCACTAAAGACTAATGGATCTTTGCTTCATAGGATCGTCATGTCCGTGTCCGACAGATTTACGAGACGATCGATCGGCAAGGCTTTCAATGGGTCGTCGTCCTGGTTGCCGGAGTGGGATTCCTGCTGGATGGATTCTCGGTACGCATTGACCAGCGGTTTGCGCACATACCTCTCTGGTGTCACGACTGATCCGTGTGCAGTTATTCGCCGGCAATGTTGCCCTTCCTATGATCGCCTACGTTTACTGGCATGATGAAGTCTCGTCGTTTCGACTGACATGTATCAACATTGCTACACTGGCTGGAACTCTGCTCGGTCAGGTAGCCTTTGGGTACATGGGCGACAGGAATGGCCGAAAGAAGATGTATGGTATTGAGTTGGTGTTGCTCATCGGGTCCACCCTCGGTGTCGTGATGAGTTCACGAGGCTACAATGGCAGTATGAGCATCTACTCCTGGTTGATCTGGTGGAGGGTCATGGTAGGCATTGGAGTAGGAGCAGATTATCCTCTCAGTGCGGTGATTACTGCGGAGTAAGTGTCGCCGTTCTGAACCGTTCCCAAGTCGATCGAGGTGCTGATGCTGTACAGGTTCGCTCCCACCAAACACCGAGCCCGTATGATGGCAACTGTGTTCTTTATGCAACCGCTAGGCCAGATCGCGGGCAACCTCATCTCGCTTATCGTTGTCAGTATCTCCAGGAGCTCCAACAGCGACGATGTCGTTCGTAGTGTGGACCAAATGTGGAGGTGGATTATCGGTCTCGGAGTCGTTCCTGGAGTGGTGGCTTTGATCTTCCGGTTTGCCATTCCCGAAACTCCACGATTCCTCCTCGATATCGAGGATGACCCGGTCAAAGCCGAATTCGACGCGACTCAGCTGTTTGGCGAGTCTTCTATGAGCAGTGAGCTGGAATCCAACATGTGGTGTGACTCGTTGGAGGAATCCAATCTTTCGAACCGATCCGTTGACGAGCACTCCGAAGCATCACCATCATGGACAATAGCGCCAGCACCATTGACCACCCTCAACTCGTCGTGGCATCTATCCATCGCCGACATCAAACAGTACTTCTGGATCGAAGGCAATTGGAAGACGCTTGCTGCGACGTCAATGTGCTGGCTCCTACTTGATTTTGGATATTATGGCATCGGTCTGTCGAGTCCGCAGTTTTTAGCAAAGACTTGGGGTTCCCTGAATATCTCCGGGCCCAGCCCGCCTTGGATGACCAACGACAAACCGGACGCCAACGTATACGACATGTTCTTGAACAGTTCGTTGCACGCGTTGGTGATCTTGAATGTGGGCAGTTTTGCTGGTGGACTGTTGATGATCACTACAGCAAGTCGTCTGAACAGGGTCAGTCTCCAGAAATACGGCTTCCTCGTTTTGGCGGCATTGTTCATCGCTTTGGGCACGGTCTTTATCACGATCCATCAAGAAGGTGCTCTAGCCATCACACTTTATGTCATCGGGCAGCTGGCCTTCAACTTTGGTAAGTCGTTCTTTCCCCGGATTGAGTAGAGCTATGTTGTTGACCAAGGCGTTTACAGGACCTAACTCGACGACCTATATCATCCCGGCAGAGCTGTTCCCCACACGATATCGTGCCACGTGCCACGGTATCAGCGCCGCGGCAGGGAAACTGGGTTCGATTCTCGTCCAGATATTCTCTGCGTACTACAAGTTCACCTCGACAGGAGACAACCAGACCAAGCGGTACGGCACGATCCTGGTCATTTTCAGCGCCGCCATGTTCCTCGGTGCTATCATCACCCACTTCTGGATACCGGAGGTCCAGGAGAAGGCGACACGGGGTTCGATATGGGTCGGAAAGGCTAAGCCGCTGGAGGAACTGGCGTTGGGCAAATGGGGCTCCAGAAGTATGTCGGTTGTACGGTCGCGACCGACCAGGGATCTTGGTCTTTGATACGAATGGAATGACTTTGACGGCATGGCGATCAGGAGTTAACGAGGCTACGTAACCGGTTCCCAGGCGGCACGGCACGGCACGCTATTGTCTGCCAGGTTTTGAAGGAGGGATGGAACAGGCCACTTGTAATTGTACGAATATTCTTGTAGATAGTGACAGTACGGACAGGTCTTTGGACTGAGGAATGAGAGAACTGGATCGGGTGCAGTGTGTACACAGTAGATTGCAAGGCTGTGCCGGAATGGTGAAGATGCTTCGGCTGGTGCAGAAGAGTCCAGTGGCTTGGCGCCCAGCCCTGTGTGTTCATTGTTCTGACGACCATCAATCCTCCCATTCTTTTGTCGCCCTTTCATGTCCACTCGTGCCACTCTACTGCCTACCTGAGACGTCAATGCCTTTCCTGCAACGCGCTCACGCGTCTCGATGCTTCTTTTCCGATGTCTTGCATCGATTGCGAAAGGTATTGGCTTGGCAGCCACGTCTAGGTGGGAATGGTGGTAAACAGAGATGTTGCTGCTGGCCACCGTTCCCGGCCTTGCGGACATACGGATAATTGCATGCTCACTGCGAGGAGCCGCCTCCTGATGATGCGATCATCGCAACATTGCACATGCAGACCCAGAGGACAGGGAACCGGCTCCTAACACTACTTCACTGCCCTCGCACTCCTCTGACTTGACGCTGCTTACTGAACTCAGTTCTCACTTTGGTACCGCCTCACATTCCCTTCAACTGCTCTGCCTTGCACAGTGACACGTGCATGTGCATATGCCTGTATATTCCGTCTATCTAAACTACTGCCTCTCTATTTCTCCATTCTTTCAACACCCATCTTCCTCGTTTCCCTTTATTGCTTCACCATCGCCCGAAGTGTTGCTTGACTTCTTTTCTTCTGAGGTATCCTGGCCTGTCATTTGTCTTCTGCAACGCCCGTACAGTACGGCCCTTGCTGTCGCTCGACGTGGCACTTCTGGAACAGAAAGCGCCACTGGCCTTGTCTTTACCATACTCATTTGGTCAAGATATCACCATATTTTACAACAGCAAATCCTCAAAGTACTCTCACTCCCAGACAGGTTGTGAAGCGAGTCAGTCTCAAAGGACTTACATCAATCCTGGGTCCATCCTCCCTATCACAAAACCCGCAACCACGTCAAACATGAAACCCACCTCGTCGGACCAGCCGGACGATGACCAGCTGATGCTGGACGCCAAAGGCCAAATCTCACGCCATCCGCTTCAGTATCCTCCATATCGTGAGCCGTCTTTCGAGGTGGCTGTGGAAATTGGGATCAATATTGCACGAGTCATCGTCGATCTCTTGAAGAAGTGCCCCCAAACACTTCCAGAACAGCTACTTCGGGACGCAATCGACCTGGCAAGCTTTCGTAGTCGGACGGAGAAGCTTGTCGGGTTTGTCGGCGATTCGGGCGCTGGAAAATCCACCTCCCTCAACTCTATCATGGATCAGCCGGGTCTTGCGAAGACGGAAGCGAACGGCACTGCTGTGACACCTTTCGCCGCTGCGTATGCCTTTCAGCAGATCGAACAGCAAGCTCCATTCACTCTTGAATGTAGCTTCATGAACTCCGCAGAGCTCGGTAAATACATTGCAGATCTACTTCTGGACTTTCGCCGGTACGATTTCGCGACGCCGCAGGAGCTCCAACATAGCGTCGAAGTTCTACAGAATGATCGTGATGCAGCAAAGGCCGTTTTTGAGGCAGCCTTTGACGGGATGGAGGATTTCGATCTCGAAAAACTCGAGTATGAGGACAATGAGGAAAGCAGAGAACAAGCCTTAGATTACCTACAGGGTTACATCCAGGCACTCGACTTCCCAGAAGAGATGCACGCGGATTACACTTGGAAGCACGAATCTATGGATGCGGATGATTGCCAGGAACAACAGTCGCTGCTCATCGATCGCGGTCTTTGGCCATTCGTGAAGGATCTACGCATCTCTGCCGATATTGATATCCTCAGCCGCGGATTGACTCTGATCGATCTCCCCGGTTTCAAAGACATCAATGTCGCTAGAGTGAGAGCCGCAAGAAGAGCAATGTCAAGATGCGACGAGTTTTGCCTTGTGGTCAGAATCGATCGTGTTGTCGACGATCCCATTGTGCTGGAATTCCTTAAAGGAATGAGGGAGCGTGCAGACGCCTGTGGCAATTCTGGCTTCAACCTAACGATCGTCTGCACTCGTAGTGCAGATCTATCAAACCGACGGAGTCTCGAGAAAATGGCTAACATGGCAGATGTACGACGTGCTCAAGCTGAAATCAAACGAGTGAAACAAAGCCAAGACAACATGAGAGGGGGCGAATACGTCAAGGCACTGAAGCAAGCCGATTTCAAGCTGGAGTCGCTCATGATCAAAGCGCGCAACGAGAAGGTGACAGGCAAACTCAAGCAAAAGTACGATTCGTGGGTTGGCACAGGCGCACTCAAGGTATTCTGCATCGACAATGTGTACTATGAACAGACCGAGTTCCACGAAGGCAGAGAGCTCAGCGGAATGGATGCGCTTCGTCGTGGCCTAGAGCAAATTTCTGCGGAATCTTTGTTCAAAGACAAAGATCTTTTCATCCGGAAAAATGTGACTGCTTTGATTGGGTCGTTCGAAACCTGGATGGAATCAAGCAGGGTCAACCTTGGAGTCAAGAACACCCCACTTCTCCCAGAGGTAGATGATTTGAGAAGGACCAAGAACGCGTTACTTGAATGGGAGATTGATATGCGACAGGCATTCAAGGACTGCGTTGTTCTGCCACTGGATGAAGCTACCGCGCAGATTTGCTTGACCTGTCTGGAGGTGGCAAAGCAATGGGATGACTGGCACTGGAATTCGAAGCGTACCTTTGCCGCAAACAACGGGAATCATTCTACCAAAGGAGCTGGTCTGCATGACTGGAACAGTGAGCTTCTGGCGTGCTTCAGAGCAGTCACCGCCGAAGGCTGGAGCAAGTTCACCGTTAGAGAGAAACGACTCCTCAGTGCCCTTGACGGGAAGATCATCGAACCCTGGAGATCATACAGCGAAAAGTGTCAGCAGCTCGAAGCCCCTGCGAATTTTTTAAGCTCACTTTCAGCGAGACATGATCTTTTGAGGGCGGAGATTCCTTACACAAAGGTCCTCTATATCAAGGAAATGGAGAGACTCATAGCCAATGCAAATACAGCTGGCCCGGGATCCGATATTGTTGACTGCATGCTTGAAACGTACGCAGATATGAAGCAGCTTCGTGGTAAGTAATCACCTTGGTATTATCGCTGATTGGCACTAACATGAAATAGGACCTGGTGTGGGCGAAGCATTGAGTACCACGCTGCTTGATCGTGTCTCAAGTGACAGGTTCGTGAAGGACTATCGGTCAAGATTGACCGAACAGTTCAAGTGGACAATGAAGAAAGCCACAAGCAAGATTCGACAAACACTTCATACCGCTTTCGACAACACGGAAAGTGATCTTACAGCAATCCAGGGAAGAAGTGGCGAGGCACGGTTGTTCAAAGCTTTCCCGCTGTATGAGCAGGAATGTGCAAGCGTTGCGTCGAAGATCAGAAAACAGGCCGAGGAGCTGGACGATCTTGCTGCTGAAGCACGGAAAATGGCTAAGGAACAGTATGGCTATTGTGGACTTGCAGAGATCTGACCTAGCAGATACGAAGCCGAACATGCGTGGTACATACCACCAAATCCGGAGCAGCGGCCCTTCTCAATATCACTTGAGAGACAATCCCAGGAGACGAGAAGACACACCTCAAAAATGTTCGAGTTTTCAAAACGCCGACAGGCACGACCACCGTCCAAGTCTGGACGTTCTCCCAGCAGTCGTGAAGTCTCTCGTTGGCGACGAGCAGGAAACAGCCAGCATTTGCAGGTCTCAGAATGTGCTGCGCATACACGCATAGAGCTAAGCTGAGCGCGGTCTATCTGAAGGAGCTGAGAGAAGCACGGCTGAGCATTACATCGAAGTGTCAAATCCACATAGCTACAATTCATTCAATCAGCATATCAGCTGGACATCTCGCTGTCCTTCGCATCTTGGTGCAGATCTTGCCCACTAGTCGACAATTACTAGATAGGTCGAGGGTAGATACTAGATGGCCCACCTCCTTTTCACCACACTAACATTACTATGTAACTTCAGCCATCCGCTCCTGTTTCGCTCGCCTCTTCTTGCCAATCGTACATTAAAAGTGGCAGATCGCTAAGGTCGTCTATCTCGGGACGCCCGACGTTTTTCAACTGTCCGTGAGGAACGCTCACGCAATACCTGCGATCTCTGCTCCTCTTGTAGCCGCAATGTATGGGGCGTCATGCTTAGCAATTTGCCTTAGTTCGAAACTGGAACTACACAAGGCGGCCTGGGTTTGATTGTCATAAGATTGTACTGTGACTTTTCTCTGCCTATACTACAATTTTCCGCTTGCGGCAACGATGTCCTACCCGGTTCGCACTGGAGCGATATGACACTAGTATTCCTCCCAAGCCAACAGGGACGGCCTCACATAGCGATCTGCTGACATGACTCCTCACCCAGTCCGTTACTAGGCCTCCTCTTACCCTTGCAATTCATTCGAGATCCCACCTACCGTCACGCTCTTGATGATCAAGTACTCGTCAATACCATACTTGGACCCTTCTCGTCCAAAACCGCTCTCCTTGACACCGCCGAACGGACTCGCCGGGTCAGAGATCAGACCTGTGTTCACACCGACCATACCAACTTCCAAATGTTCAGCGACTCTGTATATCCGTCCGACGTCGCTCGAATAGAAGTAGCCAGCAAGACCGACCTCGGCCTCGTTTGCGAGTGCCACAACTTCCTTTTCTGTTTCGAACGGGAAGAGGCCGGCAACAGGGCCAAAGGTCTCCTCCGAAGCGATCTTCATGTCGTTGGTCACGCCCGTGAGCACTGTAGGAGCGTAAAAATTGGATCCTAGATCGGGCAATTTCTGGCCACCCACAAGCACCTTCGCTCCTTTGCTCTGCGCGTCTTGAACATGTTGCTCGACCTTGCCAATAGCTCTGTCATGAATGACGGGACCATGAGTAACGCCGTCATCGAAACCATATCCGACTTTAAAGTCTTTAACCTTAGCAGCGAATTTTTCCGCGAACTTGTCGTAGATGCCCTTTTGCACGTAGATCCGGTTGGCACAGACACAGGTCTGACCTGAGCTTCGGAATTTGCAGGCAATAGCACCTGCCACGGCGGCATCGAGATCGGGACAATCGTCGAAGACAATAAAGGGGGCATTGCCTCCTAGTTCGAAGGAGAGCTTCTTGATTGTCCCAGCAGCTTGCTTCATAAGGAGCTTGCCGACACCAGTGGAACCAGTAAAGGAAACTTTCTTGATCCTTGTGTCAGTGGTGAGGAGCTCGCCGATCTCGGCGGTGTTCTTCATGGCAGTCACAATGTTGACGACACCAGGCGGGATACCAGCACGTCGAGACAACTCTGCGAGGGCGTTGGCTGTGAATGGGGTTTCACCTGGCGATTTGGCGACAACTGTACATCCAGCAGCCAGTGCAGGGCCGATCTTGCGGGTGATCATGGCAGCAGGGAAGTTCCATGGCGTGATGAGACCGCAGACACCGACTGGTTGCTTGATAGTCATGACTCTGTTTCCCGGCACCGAGGCGTAGATGGTGTCGCCGTAGACGCGAGGAGCTTCTTCACTGAACCATTGGAAGAAATTGGCGGCGTAAGCGACTTCTCCTTTGGCATCGTTGAAGGGCTTGCCATTCTCCCAAGTAATGAGTGTAGCCAGATCCTCAGCATTCTCCTGCATCAGATTGTACCACTTCCTCAGCATCGTAGCTCTTTCGCGAGGAAGAGTCTTGCGAAAAGATTTGAAAGCTTCAGCAGCCGCGGCGATAGCTTTGGACACATCATCCTTGTTCATCTCAGGACATGATGCGATCTTCTTGCCTGAGCCAGGGTCGTGGACGTCAAAGGTCTGAGAGGTGCTGGAGTCGACGAACTCGCCATTGACGTAGGCCTTGGAGATGAGCAGGGAAGGGTCTTTGAGCTTAGGGACTGACGACATTCTGGCGACTGAGACTATTCGGTATGAGGGATGAGCTGTTCGAAGGAGGGAATTTGGGAGGCGTGGACGAGAGGAGGACAGGAGAGTGCGAATATATGAGGACGCTGGTGATGCCATTGTTTTGTCGAGAGGAGAAAAGTACGGCGCAGGTGGGGTTGATTGAGAAGGGCGTAGGAAGGGAAAATACGGGATGAGCAGTCTACGGCGAGGTTGCGGCGACTAGTAGCTCCCGAAGCATTTCATGACATATTACCAAGCAAGTCACATGGAGAAAGGAGAGCAGCTCTCGTATCAGCAAAGAAGACTTGCGAATTGCAGTGCCTCGTCGAACAAACCTGGAATCGTTGCGATGTAGAAATTGGGGATCTAAATGCATCATTTTGTCACGACGGAGAAGTGCGTTGACGTAATGGTCATACCGCGGATCATTTTAACATCAAAATGAAGTGCCGGAAGAGGAATGAATTACGGCCACCTAATACAGCGGAGTACAAGGTATGTTATTGCACTTTCCCAGCACACAGGCTCGACAAAACTAGGGACCATCGATTGTCCGGTCATGGCAGAACCAGGTCGTAAGAGACTTCGAAGGTCGAAGGATATTTCGCAATCAGAAAAGAGCGCCAAACACAAATTGGTCGAAAAGGTCAATTCTTTGTCGGCACCGGAGTTCTTTGCAGAGTTCGACACTTCAGAAGGCATATCAGCGGTATTGAAGCTGTATCCACGTCTCGGAAGCTTACGAGTAGCTGCGTCGGACATCTCGCCGGGCTATCTGGAGGAATGCTTGAGACTGATCGAGACGACGAGCGGAGAAGACTACAATAACTCCGAGATCAAATGGTCTCCGTCAAAGAAGCGCAGGGAGATGAAGCTGCCAGACATGAAATACATTCTTGTGACTGAGCAAGACCATGTCGTCGGCTTCGTTTCCTTTATGGTCACTTATGAAGACGGCAATGAAGTGGTGTACATATACGAGATCCATTTCTCCCCGGACTGGCGGGCCAAAGGCCTAGGCAGGAAGTTGATGGATGTCGTTGAAGTCATTGGACGGAATGTCGGAGTCACCAAGGTCATGCTGACTGTCTTCAAGGCCAATATTCGAGCAGTTCAATGGTACATCAAGTTGGGCTATGCCGAGGACGAGTTTTCTCCCAGGGCCCGTAAACTGCGAAACGGCACAATCAAAGAACCAACCTACATCATCTTGTCGAAACCTTTGACAAGCTGATCTTATTGGGTCTATATTTGTCGAGCAGCTTTGCCCTTCATCTCGGGTCTCTCTATTTCCCATTCCTCGCGCATCACGGCAAACAACGTGTCGCCAACGAGGATGGTCAAACCCAAGCTCCAGACCAATGTGATGGCATAGAAGAAGTTAGCATTGCCTGATCCAGCATAAATCCACAGATGATAAAATGCTGGACCAAGAAGCGTCGAATACAACAAGACCGAAGCAGCGATAAAGGTGTATCGTGTCACTAAGATAGTCAGCAGACGGCGATCCATATGGTACAACAGAACTCACAGGGCAGGACATGGGAATACATTGGGAGGAACCCAAGATACAATGAGACGTCGGCAATGCTTGGGTATGGCTTGAAGATTGCCATTAGCCCCAATAGACTAGTGACGACGAATAGCGGTTGGTTTTGCAGTCGCAGTGTCATTCCTCCAACATAACCCACCAGGTGCAACCAGAAAACTCCAATGAAAAAGTCTCGGAATGAGTCGAAGATCTCAATGAAAAAGTACCACCACAACCCAACATTCGGTGTCAAGTCCGGGACCGTGATTTGAGCTCCGTAACAGGATGCGAGGAAGTCTCCGAAATTGTTCGTCAAGATAGGAGTCGTGCCAAGTAATGCCGCAATTGCACCTGCAAAGGAAATGGTTGAGGTCGTCAACGTTGCTGACTTTCCCTGGCTTTGGTGAATCATGAGTAGAATCGGTGGTAGCAGGAGAGCAGGGTACATCGACAAGTAGGTGCCAATGGCCAGTCCAAACATGGCTCGTACGGCATTTCCAGACTGGGCATTGAGGACTGCTTGGATGATGGCAGCACTGGTAAAGATGCTTGTCGACTTGCCAAGACAGGAGAGTATCGTGAATGGGTTGAACAAATATGCGGCGGCAATCAAAGATCCGTCCAGTCTTGAAAAGCGAGGTGATGGTAAGCGTAGACTGTCGGCTATTGTATGTAGAGCGACCGCGTTCAAGACGTCGAGTCCAACAAATACCACAGTCGAGGGTAATATCTCGAATATTACTAGCAGCAATGGTGCTTGGTGGTAGACTCCGCCATCGTAGGGTGACAGTCCGTTTTGATAAAGAAATAGCCCTTCTTGAAGTCGTTTAAAGCTCGATATTGGCGTGGATATTTCGACCTGCGTGCTTAAAAAGTCCGGGAGATCTGGCAACGCATAAAATACCAGTAGCCGAAGGAAGACGGCGCCCGCATATATCGCGACCGTCTTGCGGTCTAGCGATATCGACATTTCTATGCCATGAATACCTGAATCGATCTGATATTGGAAGAGGAGTCGAGGCTGACAAGTGGCCCATTGAAAGTCACAGTACATCGCTCGGCAGACCTTCCTTGCAAACTCTTTACTCCAATTCTCTGCAACATTTTTTTCTTCGCCGCAAATAGAGTCGAGTCTGCAATCTGCGCCCATACCGCCAGTCTCTTCACAAGCACATCGCCATGGGCAAACAGAAGAAGAAAGGCCAGGCCGGCCAGGCAAAGAATTATATCACCCGAACTCAAGCAGTGCGCAAGTTACAAATCTCCCTGCCGGACTTTCGAAGACTCTGCATCTTCAAAGGCATCTATCCTCGTGAACCACGCAACATCAAGAAAGCCAACAAATCAGCCACTCACTCCACGACCTTCTACTACACCAAAGACATTCAATATCTTCTTCACGAGCCTCTCCTAGGCAAGTTCCGAGAACAAAAAGCCCTAGACAAGAAGATAGCGAGATCACTGGGTCGTAATGAAGTCCAAGACGCAGTTCGCCTGCAAAAGCATGGCATGCCCAAGATCAAGCTCGACCACATTGTGCGAGAGAGATACCCTACCTTCATCGATGCTTTGCGCGACCTCGACGATGCCCTCTCCCTTCTCTTCTTGTTCGCCAACCTCCCTTCCACAACCACTGTCCCCGCCAAAGTCATCTCCCGCTGCCAACGCCTCTGCCACGAATTTGAGCACTATCTTATAACGACACACTCGCTCCGCAAATCCTTCCTGTCCATCAAGGGCATATACTATCAGGCCACAATCCAGGGCCAGGACATCATGTGGCTGGTCCCGTACAAATTCGTCCAAAGAGTAACGCAAGACGTGGACTACAGGATCATGGGCACATTCGTAGAGTTTTACTGCACTCTTCTCGGGTTCATCAACTACCGCCTGTACACGTCGATCGGCCTGGTCTACCCACCCAAATTTGACGTTGCCAGCGACGAGCGAGGCGCGGAATTGGCGGCCTTCACATTAGAAGGGCGCGGTATCACTGGAGCAACCGAGCAGCAGGACGAGCAAAGAACACTTACGAACGGCTACACGCCGAGTGCGAACACTGAAGATGTGCAAGCGCAGATCGACAAGGTCGCGCAGGACGCCGGCACTGACGAAGAGCCCAGAGTGGACGAGCAAGTCGAAGATCAGGCCGATGCCGGCACGATCGACACGTTTACTCCTGCGGCACCTGAAGGCGACACACTGCCGCAGCCCGATACGACTGGTGACGCTGCAGCAACGCTGTTCTCCAATTGCACGTTCTTCATTTCGCGAGAAGCACCCCGACATCCCATCGAGTTTCTGCTCCGAGCATTTGGCTGCAAACGAGTCGGCTGGGACTCCGTGCTCGGCGAGGGCGCATTCACTCACGATGAGACCGACCCGAGAATCACGCATCAAATCGTGGATAGACCTGCACCCGCACAGCCATTGCCCACTGTACGCGGGCAGGAGACATCCACCAATGACCAGAATTTGCAAGTGGTCAAGCCAGGATATATCATGCCCGGTCGCATCTACGTTCAGCCCCAATGGGTATGGGACTGTGTCAATGAAGGTAAACTGCTTCGCGCGGATACTTATGCTCCCGGAGAGACACTGCCGCCCCACCTGAGTCCCTGGGTCAAGCCCACCGGCGGACAGTATGATCCTAGAGCGACGCTGGAGGAACAGGAGCTGGAAGGTGAAGCCGATGATGCTATCGAGGAAGACGAAGCAGCGGAGATGGAGGGTTCCGAAGATGAGGAAGACGATGAGGATGTATCCGAAGATGAAGATGAAGACGTAGATGCCGGTGGCATGGATGTCGCGGATTCCGTGGACGGAGACGAAGGCGAAGATGAATCCGAAGAAGTCGACGCATTTGCAGGCTTTGGCGACGATGGGGAGGCTTCGGAAACCTCCGACATTGACGAAGAGGCCCAGCATCAGAACGAGCTCGAAGCAGAGGCTTCAGGCCGACCTGTCCCTACCTCAACTACGAGCGCCAAACAAGACGCGCAGAAGGCGAAAGCCCGTCAAGCCCGTCAAACAGCTCAGGCTCAGAAAGACGAAGAAGTCGAGCGCCAGAAGATGATGATGAGCAATAAAAAGAGGAAACTGTATGAGAAGATGCAGCATTCCAACGCCAAGCGTGACCTTGAGGCGGAGAAGTTGCGCGCGAAGAGAAGGAAGCTCGAGCGTGCTGGTCAGGCGAAGGCTTGATTGCCGCCGTGATCTGGATAGATGTCGACCAAGTATTCGATGTTTCTCGTGCATAGCGAGGCGTTGGTGGAGGTTTTCTAGAAGAAAAAGTTATGGTCCATGTAACGAACCTGTCCATAGAGTCATTGGTGGAAGGCATGACGCCGAATACTCATGGAATGTGTACCAATTGCTTTGTTCCTCAACTCGCAAACCCGATGCTGTATATGATGACTCAGGTGAGTCTCTGTTGCGTATGATTGATCTTTGAGAAAGGCAATCTTGCTATTGGGGCCGCAATGTATACACTGAGTTGTTGCAAGAGAGATGCAATCGGACCCTTGAGGAGTTGTCAAGTTTGTCTCTGCTTGACTGCACAGATGCCGCATATGATCTGCCGTATACCATAGAAAACAAGCTTGGCAGGTTTCCCGAGTTCGCATGGAATTTCCCTGCGGCGAAGAACTGGGTCAACAAACGTGTAAATTGTTAAGAGACTTTATAAGCCGGAAAGTCTCGAACTGTGGTCTAGAGCCTAAAAGAAAGCAACAATGCCTCCTCCAACGAAGCGCCGGCGGACAGAGCCTACAGTAGTGGAGGAAATCACCTTCGACCCTGCTGCGCGCCATGAGTTCCTGACTGGATTCCACAAGCGAAAACTACAAAGAGCGAAGCACGCACAAGAGGCTGCGGAGAAGAGGGCTAGAGCAGAAAGGATCGTGGAGCGGAAGAAGGCAAATTTCCCGATCTCAATGGCGCGACGAAACCTACTGACTTTGGCCGGCAGTTACGAGAGCAGCGAAAGGCAGACCTAGAACGACATGTCGAACAGGTGAATGCCATGTTGAGGACGACCGCTGCTTTGGACGGGTCCGAACATGGAGTAGACGGTACGGGATCCGCAGATGAATGGTCTGGCATCTCAGACTCTGAGCCTGCACCTGTCGATCATGAAGCGGAGTACATCGACGAAGACAAATACACCACCGTAACGGTAGAGGCCATGGATGTAAGTCGAGAAGGGTTGTTCAAGGCAGAACAGGCAAGAGACAGCGAGAATCCACAAGAAGAGGAGGGCGGTGCAGAAGCCGAGCCGGAGAATCTTTCAGAAAAGAAGAAACGCAAATGGACGCAAGAGAAACCGAAAGGCAGCGTCGACAAACCCAAGAGGAAGAAGAAGAGGAATTTCCGGTATGAGAGTAAGGTGGAAAGGAAAACGGCACGGTCAAAGGAGAAGGCCAAAAATCGAAAGCAGGCGCGAGAACGAAGAAGTGGATGATACAAGCTGTTCCTTTCAACAAACTGTCAACGCTCGCCCTTTATCGAATGCCGTGGTATCGTAGGTATGTCGTGGTCTAGGCATCGTGCTTCCGTCCACTTGCCAGACGTTGGTCATCATCCTTTCACAACAACAACAACAACAACTCTGTTCGTTGGTCCAAATTAGATATTGCCCATGCTCTGCTCCAATTCTTGCAACTCCTTTTGCAGATCGGCGTGCTTCTTAGCCATCTCCTCGTACTTGGCCTCCCACTCATCCCGTGCTTGTTCCAAGGCCTGGACTTTGCGCTCGAAGTGACCTGCTTTGACATCGGTTTGACGCAATCTGCACACAATGTCAGCAATGCTTGGTCGGATAGGGCAATAGTCTTACTTCTCGTTGGTCTCTCTCAAGGTCTTGTCGGCAGCTTCGGCTTCCTCTTCAAGGAGCTGGAGTTTCCGCTGGAGGTTTTCATTCAGGTTGCTGTGCTCTGAGGCCTCCCCAGCGGCAGCCTTCGCTTCTTTGATGGCTGTTTCCAGTTTCTCGACTTCGGTCTCGAGGAGTCCATTGCGGTGTGTAAGGGAAGTGATCTCTTGCTCTTTCTGAAGGTTCTCTTGTTCCAACTGTTTGACTTTGGCCTTAAGTTCTTCGGCCTTTGCAGCATTCTCATCCGCCTCAATGCGGAGAGAGTTCATTTTCTGCTGGAAGTTAGCGAATGCGGTCGCCATGGTGGCTGTGTAGGTCGTTGTCGATCTGTAGGTGGTTCGGCTGGGAGGAGGATGGTTAGGGGAAGAGTAGGAATAGAAAGTTCCCTGTGATGTTTTGAATCGAACCAGGTGAGGCAGAAAAGCAAGTGTTACGGCAGTCTCGAGTGAGTGGTGCCTGCACACGAGGGAACACCACAGTGAAGGCAGGTGCAGGTGACAGAAACGTACCTCCTTAATGCGATCCATGGTGAATGCTTGCTATAACTTAGAATCCAATCGAGCTGAACCAGATTTGCGAGCAAAAAGAATCTCAATTGCGCCAACTGGTCGATGAAGCTGACTGCAAGATACAATGCTTTCCAGAAAGGAGATTCAACTGGCGGTCACTTTTGGTGTGTTCAAACAGGAGTCGCCTGCAGGTGGGATGGAATTGGAGGGGGCAGTTGGTTGGCTGTTGATTGCAGGCCAATGATATTGAAGCCTGGAAAGTAAGGCTCCAGGCTTCGCCGTTTGCGTTTATGGCCTTGGTCTCACGTTATCAGCGCTCACTACTAGGCCCAGAAATGCCCTCTTGCACGCGCAAGGGCCGCCGGAAAATACGTGCCCGTTGCGCCAGGCAACCATCGTCAACAACTCGCACTGCGCGTTCCATTCCACCAACTTTCCAACCACGAAACATCCAACAACATACGACAGAAACACTTTACAACTGATGAGACAACTTCCGCCATGCTAGCTGCTCGAGACCAAGAGAATCTCGTCCACGCACGCCATACCGCCGCAGCAGGAAAGCCGTTAAACCAGAGCGTCCGAGCCCTGCACCCTAAAACCCCAGGAAATCTCAAAACACCGTTTCGTCCTGCAAAGAACGACGAGAACGCGACTCTTGCTTTCAAAGGCCAACAAGGGCTGATCAAAGATGGGCCGAGTAAATTGGACAAGAATGCGTTCGCTACGCCACTAGGTAGGGCTCATTCCACATGCAGTGGAGGTTAATTGCTAATGGTCGTCAAGCACCACGCAACAGAGCACCATTGGGGGCAAAGACAACCAATGCCAAAGCCCATGCATTTCAGACTCCTGCTCCGGCTCCTCTGACCACCAAAACTGGCCGGACTATACAGAAACCTTCTACTGCCCGTCGATCGGGACGATCCAAAATTTCAGTGTCTCAGGCCGAACCGGTTCAGAGCGACGTACTGACCAGAAAACAAGATGAAGAGGATGAACCGGATTATGGCTACGCACCACCTCCACCTGTTGAGCTTCCAGACCCGCCGTTGGATTTCAACCCCCAAGATTTCCCTCCAGCTCTCACGAGAGAAGACCTCTCGAGGGACTTCGGGGAACTATATTGTAACTCACCAAAGGATGAGAATGGAATCTCTCTGCGCCTGAAGAAGGAAGAGGCGGATTGGCGTCGCTTTGATGAAGAACGAATTCAAAAGAGTTTGCAAGAGCTAGACCTGGCCCCCCTACCGACTAGTGAAGACCTCAACAGACAGGTAGATGCCATGATTGCAGCAAGCTCCAAGCAGCAGAGACCACAGATGTCAAGAGTCGACACAATCAAAGCCAGGTCTGCAGCTGCGGCACTATCTCAATCTCAACCACGATTACCCACTGCTGCCCTGAGGCCCACTCAAGCTTCGGAGCACAAGAAAAGAGGTATCATTCCAATTATGAAATCCAAGCCTGCGTATGCCTCACCAGCACCATCATCGAGCCGCATAGCGCATGCTGCCGTGTCGAAGAATACTATTGGTTTTCCAAAGGCGAGGAAACCACCTTCTATCATTCCGAAAAGTGGTGGAAACGAAAGATCGGGGGCAACTGTAGCAAAGCCAGTCAAGATTGATCAAAGCAAGATCCATCCCAAGGACTTCCGCGACTTATACGGCTCTCCGCCCGTCGAGAGTGATATGTGGTTTCGTCTGAAGGCATACGAATTGCTGGAGACGGACGGACCGGGGGACGACGACGATCTCGTGGATGATTTATTTGAGCCAGACTTCTTCCCTTTCGAAAATTCGAAGCTGGATGATGAAGATTTTCAGTTGCCAATGCCGGAATGAACATCTTTTAGAGAGATGAGATGGCTTGGTGTCATTATCACTGTTTCAAATACGACGTTACGATTTCATGATATCGATACCCAATCCGGATAACATGCGATGCGTCGAGAACGGCACTCGCAAAAGGGGAGAATGGCACTTCTGAAGAAGGTGTTGAGTTAGCTGTACAAGCAATTGGCAACGAGCACTGATGCAGCACTTTTGGGGGCACAGCCATTCAGGGCAATGTAAAAAATATCCAGTTCTGTACATGCTTTTACTCTCCATGACTTTTTTTGTCTTGCCCGAGCAATCGTATCTCTAACCACCTCGCTGGTCCTAATAGACAGATTTTACGACCAAGCAGCTCCCTAGTTTCGATATGTCTTCATGGCAACTCATCCACAGCTCCATTCACGCCCCCATTAGCTTGTTTGACAAATTCTGGTGGTGGCTGTGTGACCTGGTAATTCCATCCGAACTGGTCCTTGACCTTACCTTGTTGAATCCCCTTCAAGGTCGTCAACAGCTCGGTGCATACTGGACCCGGATCCAACTTTTCGTTCACCGGGTACTCGAATTTATCACCCCTGGACTCCATGGTAATGCTTTTGATAGGCACCAGTGAAGCAGCCGTACCCGCCGCCATGACCTCTTTGAACTCCGACAATTCCTCGTAAGGAATACGGCGCTGTTCAACACTGTAGCCGTAGACGTCCTTTGCAATCTGACACGCCGACTCTGCGGTCACGGACTTGATCACGTTCTTGCTGTCAGGGACGACAATGGTGGTCTTGTCGCCGTCCTTGCGCACACCGAGGAAACCCGACGTGGAGAACTCGTCGATCTCGCTGCGCGTCTTGCTGTCAAGATGCAGTGTGATGCCATAGCCAGCGTTTCGTGCCTTTTCGCTGTGACGCAGTACAGGGGCGTAGTTGCCACCGATTTTGGCACTGCCAGTCCCCTCAGGTGCAGCACGGTCAAAGTCCTCCAGAATCAAAGCGTCAACGGCATGGACACCGTGATAGACACCCGTGGGCATCACGAAGACCACGAACGTGTACTCATCCGGCGGACTAAGGCCGAGTTGCGCGCTGGATCCGAAGAGCAATGGACGGATGTACATGGCCGCACCGGTCTCGTGGGGCGGGACGAACTCGGCGTTCATCGCTACGGCGAGGTTGACGCATTCGACGAATACGTCCTCGGGAACAGGAGGAACCGAGATGAACTCAGCGGACCGCTGCATACGCTTGGCGTTCTGGTCAGGCCGGAAAATGGTGATGCTGCCGTCGGGCTGGCGGAAGGCTTTCATTCCCTCGTAGCATTGCACGCCGTAGTTCAAGCCAGGAGCCATGCCGTGGATGGAAAGGTGCGGAGAGGTGACGAAGCGTGGTTTGCTCCATGTCGGATTGGAGCTGGAGGAGTAGCGAAAGGTAGATTCGATGTGACCGTTGACTTCGCGGACTTTGAAGCCAACGTTGCTCCAGTCTGGAGTTATTAGATGCGAATAACGGCCAAGGATGGATTGACTCACCGATTGTGCTGACTGGTGGTGGAGGGAACGGTGCCATTTTGAGAGAGTTCAAGGTCAAAGGGTTCTGTTCTGGGAGCTTCTCTTCACTTCTCTTCTTTGTCTAGTAGGGTTGATCGAGTCGAATATCAAATATTAATATTCACAAAATTTGTGGTCCACCTAGTACTTTCCAGCCCCAAGAGATGTTACCCTTTTGCGGCAAGAATAAGGACAAAAGCCGTTGGGGCAGTGTAACGGAGCTGCTTCTGCGATTAGGTACAGTACCGCAGTTCGTGAGTCTCAAGTAGTAAGCGTATTACTTACTGAACGTTTGTGAGTGGGAACACTTTTTTGCCAGAGACCAGCGAAATCGGAGCATTCTTTTGACTGTTGGAGAGACTCGAGGGTCCAGAACAAAACAATCATCGCCGCTTTTACAATTTATGCCACATCTGTAAGATATTTGACGCTGTTTTTATGACACATGCTACAGTGCTCCCTCAGGCCATATTAATTTCCAGAACGTGGTCTGCTCTGCAGATAGAGCAGCTGAGATCAATGAACCTTCTCATGACTTCTATCTCGATACTGGTGTATCCCATCTATATCTAACCGCACCATCAAGCAGAGCGCCTACGTTCTAGACACATTTCCCGCGCCCGTCGAGCCTTACACCCCATCATGCCTCGAGGTCCGCCTCCAATCCTCATCCTCATCTCCGCCATCGCTCTGTTCGTCTGGTACGTAGTATGGACGGCCGGACCTCCGCGGGACATGAGCGCATTCTCCTACTCCGACAAAATCCAAGACAAGCTCAAGTCCAAGTTCCCGCAACAGAAAGTTCCCACGGTAGAAACCGAAGTCGTCCACGGCGAGCATGTGATGGGCAAGCTCGGCAACGAGACTCTCAAAGCAGAACTAGGCCGCGCAGCTTGGAAAGTCCTACACCACACGATGGCCCGGTTCCCTGACAAGCCGACGGACGATGAGCAGGACGCGCTCAAGAACTACCTCTTCCTCTTCGCCCGCCTGTACCCGTGCGGCGAATGCGCCGAGCACTTTCAGGCGATTCTCAAGAAATACCCCCCACAGACATCCTCGCGGTCCAGCGCTGCGGCATGGGCGTGCTTCGTGCACAATCTGGTTAACGAACGCAAGGGGAAACCCATCTTCGACTGCGCCAACATCGGCGACTTCTACGACTGCGGCTGCGGCGACGATGAGAAGGAGGCCATGTCCACTGCAGGGGCGAAGAGCAGTGCCATTGCACAGGGCAAGCCCGCGAGCCATGAAGCTGTGGAAATTGAGGTTGAGGGACCAACAAGAGGTGGTTGAAAGATCCAGAATTGCGCTCAGTACATTGCTTGGAACTATATGACTGGAATGGCCTTGGTGGGCATATCGTGAATATCCACGTAGACCAAAATCGGTGGTGGCCTCCCCATTCAGCACATTTATGCTCCGATCAGAAAGGCGACTCACATCTGTCCTCTTGGATGCGCCCATACATACGCTGCTCCCGACCCTCTAGTCGTACTGCCAGGAAAGCACCGACTTGAGCCTCCTTTGCGCAGCACGGACTGGCTCTTTTCCTCAAAGTCAATCGTCGAATGAGTCGCTTATACACATTCTTGTCGTCTTTGACAGGGGTTACCGGTGATGTCAAAACTTGCTGAGGAATGGGCGGCTCGATGGGGGATATTGGTGTGCAAGGCTCCAAAGATTTGTCCTCATGGAACGGGTTCAGAGTCCGATATCCGACGTCCACGAAACATCTGCTCGGGATGTGCCAGGTGTCATTGAAAGCAATTTCCGGGGTCGGCATGTGTACGGATGGCATGCCACGATTGGCGCATTTCTTGCATGGATATCGAAGGTATACGTTGAAGTCGTGGACTTTGCAGCCTCGGACACTGGGCGAGTCGCAGAGTGTGTTGCGGAAGCGGTGTGTTGCTGGATGGGAGCACAAGAAAAGGTAGCGCCTCGTTGTGCACATTGTCGGGCTGAGGGTGTATTGTTGGTGGACGACCAGCCAAAGCAGCCGGCGTTCAGCGTTCTGTGCTTAGCGGTTAGTGCTGTCCGACTGTTTATCTGGTCATCAGGAGGGATTTTCTGGCACTGAATGAGTGTTCTCAACCGGAGGGGTTGTAAGGTGTAGTGAATGCTGACAGACAGATCAATCAGCTGTTAATTAATGAGAGAATTGAAGCAAGTATATTCCCTCCACCTCCACTTACAGGGCCAACGTGAAGACAAAAGTCCCCATTCTGAGTCAAAGTCGGCCTCGAACAATGAATATGGTTCTTTGTTCTTGTCGAGCACTCACCACGACCCAGTACTGAAAATAGTCTGGAACAATGCCCATGATAGTGAATGTCAATCAAAGACTAACCCAGGTCACCTGGTCTCGACCCTTGCAAGCAAACGCCGAAACTGCCTGATTCCGCTAGCTGACAACAGTACTGAGAAAATCAGCAGCGTAGAGACTCATGACATATCTGGATCTAATATAGTACGTCTCAGTTCTTCCTAGTACAGTGCTATGAATGTTCTACAGACACGAAGGTTGACTGGCGGCCATGCAAGGCTGAGCGCCCCCTAATTTACAGGCACATGTAGGAGGCCTGAAACTTCAGTGACAATCGATCACCTAGTGAGACTTTGTGCCGGGTAACCTTTCCTCTGTGATCTACCTGTAGCTAACAACATCTCCTCCTCGCTCAAGAGCGTTCAGTATATGCCCCTGCTCAGCCCTCCTTGACGAACGGCCTCTCTGGAATCGGATACGCGATCTTGGCTGTCGTGGCGACTATGAAAGAGCTTTCTCCTGTCGCTTTGGGAGACTCCCCGACAAAGTTACCAGGGAAGCCCACATCGAAGTTGGTCTGGCTCTCCAGGTACTTGATCTGCTCGTCGGTCAACTTGAGACTGAGGGCCTTGATGTTGTCATGCAGATGTTCGACCTTCCGACCACCGATGATGGGGTAAACGTTGGGCGTTTTCTGCATGACGTAGGCGAGCGCGATCGTCGACAAGCTCTCCAACCCGTGCTCGCCGGCGACTTTTTCGAGCGCTGCACTGATCTTCTCTTCCTCCGGGGACTGCTCGCCGGTGAACATGCTGCGGAGGCCTTCGCCTGCCTTCTTGCGAGCCTCGATTTGCTTCTTCGACTGGAATTTGCCACCTCCAATGACATCCCAGGGGCAGAGGGCCATGCCGAAGTGTCGTGCCATCGGGATGATGTCGCGCTCGAAGTCGCGGAGCATGATGTTCCAACGGCCTTGGTAGACGCTAAAGGGTGTCTTGCCGTGGCTTCGCGCGTAGGTGTTGGCGGCAGAAACAATCCAGGCCGGTGTGTCGGAGATTCCGAGGTATAGGACCTTGCCTTGTTCAACTAAAATGTGCAAGCTGTCCATGATTTCCTCGATTGAGGTCGTCCAGTCCTGAATGTCGCATTAGAGGACGAAAACTATTTGCCGAGCGGAAGAGGAATGTTAACTCACCCACCAGTGCACATACAAAAGGTCGATGTAATCAGTTTGGAGCTTCTTCAATGAATCGTTGACAGAGAGGTGCAGACTCTTCTTGTGGTTGCCGGAGTAGTTGACCGTCTTACCTGCTCCTAATTCGTAGGTGCGGTAAGCTGTCGTGTACCTAAGATTGGCTTGTAAATATACGAGGTTAATTGCAGAAGGATAGCAAATGCCATACTTGGTAGCAATGACCATCAAATCTCGATTCTTTTTTGTTGTCATCCATTCGCCAATCCATTTCTCTGATTGCTCGTTTTGGTAGTTGTTCTATGAAAGCGCCAACCGTCAGTCACAGGTTGATATGAGACAACTCGCCTCGATGCGTCCTCAATGTCTAGGCTAGACCTACCGCAGTGTCAATGAAATTCCCGCCAGCTTCGTAGAAAGCGTCCAGGAGTTTGAATGATTGTTCCTTGCTCATACTGCCCATGAACTAGTAAGAAAACGTTGAGTCAGTAGGTAAGGAAGCTTGTGAGTGTCGACAGTAGACGTACCCCAGACCAGGCATCACCAATGGACATCGCACCGAGACACAAAGGAGAGACTCTGACGCCGGCTGTGCTAGAGAGCACTCTGTACCGACCCAGCTCTGTGGGCGGCTCAGGAGCCGGCTTGAAGAAATCGGACATGTTTGCTGCTGGTGTTGGAATGAAAACGATGTGGTGAAATCAAATGATTCTGGGATGAAAGTCGGTCACGGAATGGTCACGGAATGAGAATCGATGGAGGGGGACTTAGATGCTGAAGCAAGATGATGGATGGTTCTACAAGTACTGATGGCGACAAAAGTCAATTTATACATTTCCGTCACCCTCATGATGCCGAGTCAATATATCAGGTACGTCAGGAACAAGCACCTCGAGTGGTTTGACGGCCGCCAACCTGCATAACTTTCCCCTTCAATGCTCGTATGTTTCCGCCTATTTCCCACTTACTTCGCTTTCGGCAAATGAATCGCATGCTGTCCCTCTCCACATTCTCCTCTCCTGTCCTTTCCACTCGCAGAAATCTACTCATGGTCCAATCGGAAAGCAGTCTATGGTTAAGCCGCATTTTTGGTCCTTGATCGGTCGAAGCTGGAGATGTGGGCGCTCTTGCTTGTTACGGTAGGAATTACGGAGTAGGAGGAATTTAATTTAAGACACGGTGATAAATTGAAACCGGTGCTCAAAGCGGCCGCATCCAAATTCCGGACCAAAACGGCCATGGGCACCTGATGCGAGTGGAGTCTACAAAATGAGGACCTCACCGTATACCTGACCCATGCCTCTACATCTGGCGGACAAACACGCACAAAGTCCCCGCGTCAGCATGCTGCATGCAATGTTATACTAGTCTGTATGGGGGACTACACAATGTCAATGTTGATACTGGAGTGGATCTGTATAGGGGAGTACACAACACTACCTAACACTAGGTAACGGCGATATTGGAGTGGACCGAGAACGGAATTGAGACATCATTGAAACAGAAAACTTTTGCATTGCTAATTTCTGTGGCCTGGCAAGCCTGATCTAATGCAGCCAGCGAAGACCTTTCCTCTGTTGGTCTCGTGAAAAGAGCTCGTGGAAGCCGCGCTGAATAAACGCCGGGAGATGCAGATGTGCAATCATCTTCCTTTTGGTCTTGCAAATCCCATCCATGTCCCGTTTCCGCCGGCCTCCCAAAGCTCGTTTGATCATGTCGAAAAGTCTATTTTGATCATCATGTCCCATAGGTTCGAAAGAGAGAGAACCGCAGATAACTTTTGGTGGTTGACAAAAGAACCTCATAAGGCCGTAACCAGGCCTCGAGCCTTTCAAGGCCCTGTTGGCCTCTCATGAGTCTCATCATCCATCTGAGGTGTTGGTGCGCCTTGTCCGCTCTCTTTCGTTGCAAACCGACGCCGTGCTGTCTGTTGTTCATGCACATATCGTCCGTCCTCTGTCCACATGAGGAAGCTCGACATGCTGGGGGGGGTATCTGGAAATCAATCGGAAAAGCCAACGCTATCTATCATGTATCATGCTGTGCCCGATAAAAGTCGTCTCGAGAAAATGCTCTAGGTCGTCATGAAAGAGCAAGCTTGATGCAGGACTGCCTACTTGTCGCTCTTCAACCACCCAGTCACTCTCCCGAGAGTGCAAGTGTCGAAGAAATTCGGAAAAACCATGCTGAAACATAAGGAAATTTCGTTCGCCCAGTGGTGTAACGGACTTGGTCGTTTACCACCAAGATGATGGACCGCTGGCACCGCCTGGGTTGCCATAGCCTCCACCATATCCGCTGCCACCACCACCACCGCTGCTGCCGCCGTATGCCCCACCACTGCCGGAAGTTCCCCATGACGGAGCCCCACCGTAACCTGAAGCCGTTAGTACTCTGCGTGAAGAACCAGGAACAGGGCTAGACTTACCGCTGCCACCACCGCCATAGCCACCAGATCCGCCAAAGCCGCCGCCATATGAGGGAGCACCGCCCATGCCACCGCCCGCACGACGCATGTCACGAGTAGCAGAAGAACCGCGACCAGCACCGCCACGACCACGACCTCCACGACCTCCACCGAAGCCGGAGCTCTCGCGAGCAATGTTCTCCAAGAAACCGGGGACTTCCTGGTGAGCTTCCTTGAGGAGTTCAATGAGATCACGGACAATGCCACGGTTGCCACGGTTGAAGAAAGCAGTCGATAGACCGGTGTTTCCAGCACGACCGGTACGCCCGATGCGGTGAACGTAGTCGTCAATGTCGGTAGGAAGATCGTAATTGACCACGTGAGTGACGTGCGGGATGTCCAACCCTGGCAGAGAATAGTCAGCAAGTTGTTCCGGTGAAGACATGAGCAAAGCGAATGACTGATGCTAGAATGGTAAAGTCTTAAAACATGAGCAGGGGGTGTGACTTGTGCTAGAATGTCGCCGTCTTGCGGCATGAGCAAGAGGTATGACAACTGCTAGAATGCCACGGTCTTGCCACATGAGCAAGGGGTACGACAACTGCTAGAATGGTAAAGTCTTGGGACATGAGCAAGTGGTACGACAACTGCTCAATGCCGTGGTCTTGCGACATGAACAAGGGGTATGACAAGTGCTAGAGTGCTGCAGTCTTGGGGGAACGGGATACTAACCTCGAGCGGCAACTGCGGTTGCAACCATGATCGGGCATCGACCATTGCGGAAGAATTCCAATGCACGCTCACGCTCGCGTTGAGTGCGATCACCATGGATGGCCGTTGCTGGGAATCCTTGGTTGATGAGGAAGTCGGACAAGGTGTCAGCCATACGCTTGGTCTCGACGAAGATCAAGGTCAAGCCACCAGAGTGGGTATGAAGGATGTCAAGCAAGACGGAGCGCTTGTCCTGATCCTCGACATATTCGACCTTCTGGGTGATATTCTCCGAAGTCGAACCAACACGACCCACGGACAAGAAAACGTAGTCCTTGAGAAAGTCGCGAGCCAACAACTGGATGTCACGTGGGAACGTGGCAGAAAACATGAGAGTCTGACGGTTCTGAACATTTGGCATGTCCTCGCCCTCGACAATGCGGCGAATTTGAGGTTCGAAACCCATGTCAAGCATGCGATCAGCTTCGTCAAGAACCAGGTACTTGATGTTAGCCAGTGAGATACGACCTCGCTCTATGAGATCGACCAGACGGCCAGGAGTCGCAACGAGCAAGTCGCAGCCACGTTCAATGGATCGAAGTTGAGTACCGATGTCAGCACCTCCGTAGACGACGCATGGTCTCACCCAGGAACGGTAGGCGAACTTTCGTGCCTCGTCGTAGATTTGAGAGACAAGCTCACGAGTTGGAGCCAAGATCAAAGATGTCGGGAAAGCTTTCCGCTGGCGGAAGCCTCCTCCAGTAGCAGGAGTGACGGAGGGGCCAGTCTTGAAAGCCTGCGAAAGGATCGGGAACAAGAAACCGCCAGTTTTGCCAGAGCCGGTCTGAGCGCAGGCCATGAGATCTCGACCACCCATGACAATGGGGATCGAGTACTTCTGAACAGGGGTCGGGACGGCGTAGTGCGCAAGCTTGATGTTGCTGATCAGATGGTCATCGAGAGGAGGATTGGTGAAGGTGACGACGGGTTCCGGGACATTCTGGCCACTAGCTTCGACCGGGATGTCGTCGTAATTGGCGAAATTGATGCCGGTCGCCTGCTTGGATGGATCATTTGGAACACCGAACAGCTCGCGCTCGATCTTGGGGTTTGCAGGGCCCGGGACATGTTGACCGTCTCGCCATTGTCCATCTCCTGAACCACGGGCAGAACTGCCGCCATATCCACCATGGCTTCCACCGCCGCCTCCGCCACCATAGGAGCCACCGCCAGGAGCGCCGTAGGCATTGGGATTGAAAGGACGCGGATTTTGTCCAGCCCAGCCGTTAGCTTGAGGAGCGCTGGCTTGAGGAGTGGGGCCAGGTTTGAAATCTTGAGCGTTTGCCCATCCACCACCGGCGTTGTTGTTGTTGTTTGCCCATGCACTGCCGTTCAAACCCTGGGTTGCAGCAGGTGGTGCAGGACCAGCGCCATCCATGTTCATCACCGGAGGTCCGCGAGACTGGCCACGTAGGTGAGGAGGAATGTAGGTGCGAGGGCCATTGCCCATAGGGCCGGTAGGAGCGTGCTGGGACTCGTTCAAAGTGAGACCGTTCATGTTCAAAGAGTCAGCCATATTGAGGATTGATTCTTGTCGATCTGAAGGAAAATGGTATGTTAGCCCCAGTTTTCGCAAGAATTGGATATGGGAGTGAAGAGATCGGTATTCCGAAAATTCCAGAACAGTCTCTTCCAATTTGACGTGCTCGAGAGAGTGATCAATCTGATGACTGACAAAGACTGCAATGGAAGGGAATAGATGGCGACAATGTACTCACAATTTGATGAAACTTGAACGACTGTGCTGTTCGACTGATTTTCTTGATAGAAAAGGCCTCGAGGGATTAGACGCTGATTTGGTAAAGTGAGGCTGTGAAGGCGTCTATTTCAATGTGAAGATCGGTTGATTGCTGATTGAGTAGAGCTTTCGTGTCTGCAGATAGAAGAGAGACACACAAACGCCTCTCCAAGTCTATCTGAAAGAAAAACGAAAGGCAATAACAAGAAGGACAGTGATAATTGTCAATTGGGTTGTGATGGGATTGTTGAGGGGGAGGTTGTTGAAGAACGAAAAGTCTTTAAAAAAGGCGCAGGCAGGGACTTTTTTCTTGGGGCATCCTCAGGCGGCGAATCGCTTGATCATCATCAAGACAGCGCCGAACTAACTTACTTTGGGTGCACTGCGCTCTGGAACATCCCACAGCCGCCAAGACAGCGCTATACCAATCCAAGCCTGTTCAGGAGTTGGAATTTTATAGTGGCGATAAAGCGATGTTTCGTCAGCAGAAGGCTGGTCATGTCCTGTGAGATCATTTCTCCAGGTGGAGGGACATGGCACTTTACTGTGGGACGAGTACATACGCTCGTAGTGCTGGTGGCTATCCGTTGTGGAGCCCACTGTTGCAATTGAAGAATTTGTAAGGGTTTGAAAGTCAAGCATCATTTTCATGATTCGTCTATGCCATACTTTTTTCGTCCGACTTACCAGCATCGAGGGCTGACCTCCCCTGCGACTGGCGTCTTCTAGCAAAGTACAAAAGAACCGCGACCAACAGGAAGAAGCATACCCCCTTCTGAACGTAAGGCTGAGCAATCATCAGTTCCGCTGAGGAGAACGTATCTGCTGCCGCTGGGACTTCTTTTGCAGGCTGATCAAGTTCTGTCTCGGGCTTGTTGACCGCCGGCACCTCTGTATTGATAGGATCATCCTCAACTTCGGGGTCCAGGAGCTCTGTTACAACGTCTCAGTAAGCGGTCTGGACAAGAGTAACCCGGAGAGCAGTACCAGCCCTCAAGTCTAGAGTTCGGCGTGAATACCTTCCGCTGGCACTTCGAGCTCTCCGCTTTTCACGATCTTGACCGCTTTGACAGGCCTATCTTGTGCACCTTTTGCGACGTTCTGAATCTTGTCCACGATATCATAGCCCTCCAAGACCTCCCCGAAGACAACGTGACGGCCATCAAGCCAGCTATCAATCGTCAGTTGAGAGGACAACACAACTATTAGTCGGCACGCACCTTGTGATAGCCGTGGTAATGAAAAATTGAGATCCATTCGTGTTCTTTCCGGCGTTGGCCATGCTCAACAAGCCCTTTTTCGTGTGCTTCAACTTGAAGTTCTCGTCTTCGAACTTGTCCCCGTAGATTGACTTGCCCCCAGTACCATCGCCCTTTGTGAAATCGCCGCCCTGGATCATGAAGTCCTTGATGACACGGTGGAAAGACGAGCCCTCGTAGCCAAAGCCCTTCTCGCCTGTGGCCAGGGCACGGAAGTTCTCTGCAGTCTGCAAGCACGAAATGTCAGCCGGGAGAACTCAATGCAAGGTAGGTACGTACCTTAGGCACGGTCTTGCCATAGAGACCTAGAACAATTCGTCCCACAGGCTCATCTCCATGTTCAATGTCGAAGTAGACCTTGTGGGTGATCTTGGGCCCTTTGGCTGCTTCCGCAGTTTGTCCCATGAATAGGAAAGTGGCGGTCAAAATGACCAAGAGCGAGATGACAACTCGCTGGATGTTAGCCATCTCGAAGAACATTGATGTCTGAGTGGTGGAAGTGAAGGGACGTAAATAGGAGGGGATGAGAGTACAGGAACAAGCTGCGGAGGACACATCACGCATCTGCATTGAGGTCAATGGGCTACAGATTAAAGCGGCAGCATATTCGGCCATTCTCAGCCTCTTCCGGCGACCTCGAAATTCTGCGCCGACTACATATCACCGTCACAACCAAGTCCACATTGATATTCTGGACTGTGAAGCGGAGGGGGCGGCATTATGGTGAGCAACGTGTAGGTTCGCGAGGGCTGTCATAAATGCTAACATTGAACAGGTCTTCATCCTAGGGGTCAATTTTCCTGAGCACCGCTTCCTTTGGGTACACAATCATTGACCGAGCATGTGTGTTCGTTCTGCTAATGTATTCTTCGAACAGCGCGCTCTCGAGACGTTCTTCGGTGTCGGAGCCCATACTCGCGCCCGCATAATGTCTCGATTTCACCTGCATGATACGATCAAAGTGGGCGATTTGAGCCAGAATCAAGTCCTAGATCTCACTGCGCATCTGGATTCAATGAAACTCGAAAACCATTTGCGGCGACAGATAAACCAGGATATTCAACGGTTAAGAGATACTGGCACGTACAGAGGAAGACGACATGCTATGAATCTGCCAGTTCGGGGACAGAATACCAGAAGTCAGATAAAGACGGCGCGAGCCCTTAACAGAGTGGAAAGAGTCTAGAGCATTGACCTGCTTCTGGCTATAATCCAGGGAACGCGGCGCTGCAAGAAAATGACTTGCATTTCGAAGCACCAGCTCGGAGGCTGACGATACCAACTTGTACGAATATCATTAGATTTGCGTGGCCGCGGCCGGAAGACCTTTGCAGAAAGCCCCCTGCTCAGCTAAGACCAAGGAATGGAGCTGGATTCGAGCAGACGTACAGGATTTGCTCTGGGTACGCTGTATATTTTACGCACCTAAAGGATCTGATCCCAATGCACGGCGCCAGACTCGGATATTTTGCTACAAACTGTTCAATCAATGTCCCAATGGTCAGCTCACAAATTCGTCGTGACGGTCATGCTGTTACTGTGCACCAGCAAAGTCGGTGGTAATCCGCCAACCAAGACTTCCAAATCACTAATATAGCCCAGGCTGTCAGCCTCACTCTTGTACATACCGTCCACCGGGGCTGGCAGCGTCGTGAATATGACGGCCGTGTCCTCGCTGTTTTGTGACGTCAATTCGTTCAATATCAAATGCTGTGCCCGGCTTGGGAGGTCGTTGAAGGACAAGGGGATCGACGCAGCAGTTGGGAAGCCTGAAGTTGGCCGAGGACCGCTATCCTCTCTTGTCCGTTGATAGATGGAACGACTAGCGGCAACCTCAGCCTCATCCGCCTTCTGCCGTCGAGGGTGCGGATCATCCGCGAACATGATAGAAGGCCCAGCACCCTCCTCACTTGCTACCTTTGTCAACGGAACAGGCGAAGACGTGAAACTAGGCGACACGCCCCGTCTCGAGCTGGAAACGCGTAGGCTGTCTGCTGGTGATCTGGATCGCTGCGGAGGAGCACGACTGTCGGCAAAGCTTGCGGTGCGGCCACGGGGTGTGTCTTCGGCACGGTCAAGAATATCGTCGTCAAATTGCAACATTGGAGCGGGCGAAGATGATAGAGCCTCTTCGTCGTGGTGTTCATGCTTTCTGCCCCTGCGCCTGGATCTTTTCGAGCTTGCAAGACTGCTCTTCTTCGAAGAACTTTTCGCTTTATTCGGAGACCTTAGATCAGCAGAATCCGCCTCTTGATTCGCCGTCCCATCGTCGAAGGAAGCGATCTCCGACTCCTCTTCGTCATCCTCATCTTCGTCACCGTATTCAGATGCATCCGAGGCTTCAGAGTCACTCGGATGAGATGCATGCCGACTAAGCATATCATCATCCAAGCGTGAGGTACGCATGGAAAGACTAACACCAAGGCTAGACAAATCACCAAGCGAGGACCTTTTCCTTGGACGATTGAGGAGCCTTCTCAAGCCTTCGAAACGAACGAGTGAAGCTTCTCTCCTGCCTTGGAAAGATGAACTCGGCCAGACAACGTCATCAGCAAAAGAGAGCACATCAGTAGCACTAACTTCACCGGATTGAGACTGACCACGGAGCTTTTGAAGATCACGCCACCACACCTCGTCTTCCAGGGTCTTCTCGACTTGCTCTCGGTTTTCATCATCCACTTCCTGGCCGTTGACAATGTAGTTATAAGACTTTACACTGCCACATGCGAGCCAGAAGACAAGTACTTCGGCTTCGATTCGGAGATTTTCAAGCAGAGATGTGACTCGGGACCTCTCATCTTCAACATCAGATTCGTACTCAACGAAAACAGCAACTCGAAGTGTATACGCTCGATGCCAAGAAGGCACGGTGTGGAGTATACAACCCAGTTGGAGGATGAGAGTATAAGTGTCGAAATTGTTGGTTAGGACGTTTCGAGATTGACCGTCGGCTTCTGACATGAGTTCAGCTGACATCTGTATCGGCCAAAGGTCAATGTATTTCTTCGTGACCCCTCCGGGGGCTTTCGGCAGCTCCAGATCACCGAAGCCGGCGGCTATAGCCACATTTGTCTTGAGTTTGAGAATCATGTCTTCCAGCACCATGACGTAGCTCTGTACGTCCGTTCGTTTCTCGATGTAGCACGAGTCGGTAGGCAGTTCTCCTCTTAGCAAACTCTTGCTCGTCCGGCGTCTCTTCACAGAACCGTGTTTTCGTTCTGGAGGGGGGCTGGGAACATCCACCAAGGGTTGTTCCGTCCGGAACTGCTGTATATTGTAGAATCCAAAGACAACAATGTTCGGGCGCATGCCACCCAGGCCCGCGGATAGGAATATATTCCGTGCACCCCACTCGATTGAGGGAGAGATGGCGACGTTGACGAACGCTTTGATTTTGGACATATCAATAAACTTGTTCCATGCCGCTTGCTGACGCCGTGCTTCAGGCACAGAATCACCAAAATTCTGGGTCACAATCACATGGCCGATGATAAAGAGTGCTCCCTTCTTGAGTGAGTTGCAGAATTGGATGAGTTTGTAGCCTCTCCTTGGATCGTTGACAAACAGCAGGATCTGTGGACGCCAGAACTTGACGTGCTCTGTTTTCAGGCGTAAGAGGTACTTCCTGACTTGATGATAAATGAGTACTTCTGATATCGAACCCCAAGGCTTTGGTAGTGTGGTGTAATGGATAATGAGAATAAGGATCAGGAGAAGGCAGATGGAGCCTGAAGCCGAAATGCCATCAACAAAAAACATGCTGGCGACGCACAGAATAGCTCCTGCTGCTGCTGTCCACCAGTTGAAATAATGAAAAGACGGTCGAAAATTTGGAGCCGAGCCGATACGTAAGAGAAAGGTCGCTACATTGAGTGCAAAGAATGTCCTGTAGCCTCGTTAGATCCTTTCACACGGCATCTGTTGCGATTACTTACATCAAATAAGTCATTGTTATCAGAGACGCGATCCTATTGATGTCAAGTAGAAGGGTGAGCTGCGCCACGGCAAAAGTGAAGAAAATGGCGTAGAGCGGCTCGTCATGCTTTTTGGTTCCTTGTCCAAAGATGGACAGGCCGGGGAAGACGTTGTCGCGAGCGATGGCCTGGAGTTGTTTGGCTGGTCCAATAATACCCATCAGGACCGAGAAGAAAGTCGTTGCTATCTCCCCCACAAGGATCAGTGCACCCGAAACATTGGTGTCTTGGACTACGTTGACGTTCTTGTAGAATGACTCTCTGGTAATACTCGCTGCCATGGCCAAGATGACCAGGGTATATGAGACGAAGGTAAGGGCGAGGCCAGTCAAAGTACCACGAGGAATAGATCTGCTGGCGTTCTTCAAGTCCCCGGACATGCTAGCTCCCGCAAGTATACCTCCCGTAGCAGGAAATAGGATGCCAAAAAGGTCTTGATAGTTCTCCTTCCCACGTAGTTGACTTCCAGCAGCCTCCTTTGTGAAATGAGGCAGGAGATTCTCCCTGAGAGTCGTAATGCTCAGACCGGTAAATTGGGTGAAATGCTTCTTGGCCACGAAAGGCTGCATGACAATCGTCGACAGCGGAATACTAAACGTGGCCAATAATAGAATAAGCAGGAGAGCGTTGCTTGCACGAGCAAAGATGGTACTGCCAGCCAGACAGATAGCGACGCAAGTCACTACCACGACTGTGCTCCATAGATATGGCCACCAACCGCCTTCCGGAATCGTGTTCGTCCAATCTCCAGATTCGGAGCCAAAGACATAAAGAAGGCAGTCAACGAGACCAACGGCATTCATTCCCGTATTGAAGACGAAGCCGAGGTATGAGACAAGTCCAATTGCTCCACCAAACTCGGGACCTAGAGATCTTGATATCAGATAGTAGGCACCGCCGCCGCGGACAACGCCGTTGGAAGCCACCGCAGAGATGGACATCGTGGTAAGGAGATTGATCAGGTAAGCAGTGGCCAGCATACCGAGCATACCCAGAACACCGCTCTGGCCAAGAATGAAACCAAAGCGTATAAACATCAGAATACTCAAGACATTCAGACTCGTAGGGACAAACACTCCTGAGAAAGTGCCCAATTTATCCGTACTGCCATTCGGTCGCGGGATTTGCCCCTCCTTGGAAGTGGTCGAGTTTTCTGGCTTGTCCGCTGTAAGGTGAGCATATCCAGTAACGGAGTCTTGTGGCATGGAGGCAGAAGAAGCCCCTTGTTCGTTCACCCCATTGGCTGCCTGAGAACTGTGCAGGCTACCGAAAGTTCCGTAAGCCCCAGTCGACGAGGCTGTACGTGGACGGGCGTGCGATGCACTCGAGGTTGTGGAGCGCGCGGTGGCTGGCCTTGAGGCATCGTGAACGGAGCCGTCACGATCTTTTGATGTCTGATCTTGGAGACCTGTTAAAGCAGGAAAGGATGACCTTCTCAATAACTGAGCGGCGTCATCGGTGGCTGTGCGCGCCAGAAATGTAGGACGACTTCGAGTGAGGGTACCTCGTCCTAAAGCTGGCCATTCTTTCCCACCTGTTCCAGCCATGATGTCGACACAGGACAAGCTCGAGACGTAAGTCCATCATCAAGTCATGAGTTGGCCGTCCTCAAAGGTCATCGCGTGTCCATGAACCTGGAAAGAATTGCAGCTGGTCGGAGTACTACTGATCTCCCACTTTGGGATGTAAAGACGTGGGGGTGCTCTGATACTCGGGGACTTTCGTTACGGGCCGTCAACGGTGTTGAATCCAGTTCTGAAGGGTCGAACCACAACTTGAATGGATCCAAATACTAGTCGTCGCCTTGGTGGAATCTATTACGAGATGTGACACGACGTTAAGGGATCTGATGAATAAAAAGTCTGTGAAGGGCTCGAAATTTTCATGTAACTTGGCCCAGAGAATTAGTTAGTGTGGCTCAGTAGCGGCTTCTGGGAGGATGGTCCAATTATCACGGCCTGGATGTCGAAGCCTGTAGATTCTCGCCGATGATGAGGCTACGCCACTGATAGGCCATCATCATCCATGATAGGCCTAGTCAAGCCTAGCGAGCCCAGTCAAGCCCTAGGAACAGGCGGCGAAGCCCGAACCACCGGGACCGCGCAGACTGCGCTATGATGATTGATGGCCATCATTTGCCTTTGTTTCTTTGCGGTAGTACCACACTGTGACTACCCTCGCTACCTGCCCACTGATCATCTGCATTTCTTTATCTGGTTCACTCGGTCATATGTCGCATTCATAGTGCCTTTTCCTTTGTTTCACTGATGCTGCTGTGTAAGCGCTAACGATATCTACTGTAATAAACATATGGCTTCGCCAGAGTCCAGACCTCTGAACATACGATCCAGCAGGAGTCCTTCAAGCACACCCGCAGCAATAGCAGCAGCCTCGCCGAACCCTTCTATACACTCCAGACATGCCTCAATGGCTCGACTCTCCTCTCCTGTACCGTCTCATCGCCTCAACAGTCCCCCGGTCGGCCAGGTTCCTACTCCTCAGCAGATAGCCTCAGACAAGACGGATATTGCACTTCCCAAACTCGATAGTACAGGCTCACTACCAGGGCCTGGCCAGTCCGCTCTCTCTAGCGGTCTCGCTTCTTCTGCAAGAACTCCTCCAAACCTCAGCACAACTCCAAGACAATCATCAGCCAGCGCTGCTGCGGGATTAGGAAGTCATGACAGATTACCAAGAAGCAACTACGGGTCTTTTGGCGACGGTCGGGATATGGCAGGGAGTCCCGTACCAACAGAGAACGCCGAGGTGGTAAAGAGGCATCTGGTCCAGCCGGATCAAGGTTCGGGCAGATATAAGGCGGCTCTGCGAATGGACCTGAACGATCCAGGAGCTGGCTTAGACTATCAAGACTTCTCCAGTCTGCGTTTGCAGGGAGGTGATATGACACGTGCCGTGTACAGATGGGCAGAAGAGCAGGAAGAGAATCAACCAGGCCGCGGAAAGAGGAGTAAGAGTTTCAGTCATGCTCGGCAGGAGCCAGAAAGCGAAGTCTTGGATATCCAGAACATCAAAGTACCCGGTGGTTTCCGTCGGAACTTCATTCGCAGAGCTGCTGAGAGCCCTGATCCATCGGGTCGAATCCTGAACTTGGACGGAACCGCAGAAACTTGGGGCAGACCTTTACCAAATGGAAAAGCAAAGGCCAAGCCACAACTGTTCACGAATAACTTCCTCGAGTTCCTCACGCTGTACGGCCACTTTGCTGGCGAGGAACTCGAGGAAGACGATGAAGTCTTGGAGCCCGACGAGTATTTCTCCTCCGATGCGTGGGAAGGGGCTAGCGACCGAGATCCTGGGGAAGACAGTGCTCTACTCACTCCAGGCACACCGGGACTTCGGAAGAGGAAGCACAAAGAGCGCAGGACCGGTGGGACCAACAGCAGTTTTAACGCCGCACTGCTGCTTCTTAAGTCTTTTGTCGGCACAGGAGTCCTTTTCCTACCTCGAGCCTTCTTGAACGGAGGCATGTTGTTCTCGTCTCTGGTTCTTCTGGTGGTTGCCGCTCTCAGCTTCCATTGTTTCATCCTTCTTGTCAACACGCGGAACGTGATCGAGGCCTCCTTTGGCGACATTGGAGGCGTCCTCTACGGCAAGTGGATGAGGGCGTTGATTCTGTTCTCGATCGTCATCAGTCAGATCGGCTTTGTGTCCGCCTACACTGTCTTCACATCGGAGAATCTGCAAGCTTTCGTCCTGGCGGTCTCAAAGTGCAAGAGCTTCATCGACATCAAGTTCATGATCCTGATGCAACTGATCATCTTTCTACCCTTTAGCTTGATCAGAGAGATTGGCAAACTCGGCTTCACTGCTCTCATAGCCGATGCGTTCATTCTGCTGGGCCTCATCTACCTCTACTACTACGACATTGCGACTATTGTCTTTAATCGTGGTGTTTCGGACATCACGCAGTTCAACCCCTCGACCTGGACCCTATTCATCGGGACGGCCATCTTCACTTTCGAAGGCGTCGGTCTGATCATCCCCATCCAGGAGTCGATGCGGAAACCGCACAAATTCCCCGAAGTCCTCGGAATCGTCATGATCATCATCACAGTCCTTTTCACCTCGATTGGTGCCCTCTCGTACGCCGCTTACGGGTCGAAGACTAGGACCGTGGTTATTCTCAACCTCCCTCAAGACAGCAAGATGGTAAACGCCGTGCAGTTCCTCTATTCACTGGCCATCCTGCTCAGCACGCCCCTCCAGCTCTTCCCGGCCATTCGTATCATGGAGAACGAGCTTTTCACCCGCTCGGGCAAATACAACCCCTACATCAAGTGGCAAAAGAACATTTTCCGGTTCTTTTTGGTATGCGTTTGTGCGCTGATTGCCTGGGGCGGAGCGGGTGACTTGGACAAGTTCGTCGCGCTCGTGGGCAGTTTTGCTTGTATCCCGCTGGTGTACATCTACCCGCCCATGCTGCATTTGAAGGCCGTCGCGAAAGGCCCATGGCAGCGAGGTTTGGATTATGTGGTTTGCGTGTTTGGAGTGGGCTTTTGCGTGTATACAACTGTCCTCACCGTGCAGCAGTGGGCCGCAGGAGGTTCGACTAAGGCTCCTGGATATTGTGATTCTTGAGCTTAAGAATTGCGATAAGCTTGCTCGAGAAACGCATGGTACCAGTAGCTCTTGCGAACATTACCTACTATACGATAAGTTACTCCGTAGTGGCTTGTCACAGTAAGAATGTGCATAGTGGATCGAGTACTCCGTAAGTAGGTAGAACCTAGCCTTCGGAAGAGATCTGTAACAATGAATGACGCATGGTCATGGTCAAGGGCATGATCCCGGCCTGCATAAGATAGCCTGTCAAGCTCTACTTTCATTTGATGAGAGCTCAAAATATCATGCTTATCGTCTACGAGTAATAAGAACGCCCAAGCCGACCGGCCAGACAGTTAATAGCCCGAATATGGAATCCATCTTGGAACACGGTACGATAGTACGATACGGCGAACCCCTGCAGAATTTTCAAGTTCGAGAAGGCAATACAAACTGTTGGCGCGATGAAAAAGGGACAATATCTACGCCGACTAGGCTCATGTGTTGTTACGGTCAGAGACAAAGGCAACGCGATCGATTCCGTGAGAGGGTGACGCTTATGTGCGGTGCGATACTGTCCGTCCAGTCACACTCACACTCACGAACTATTCCACATCTCCGCCAACTCCCTCGCCCTCTCGCCATATCGCGCCTTATACTGTACAAGGGTATCCACAGAAATCTTACTACCACCACAAACGACAATGATGACTTTCTTGTCCTTGTCAAACTCGCGCAAGAAATGCCCAAGTCGATTGTCGTACGCCAGCGCCACGCTGACACCACAGGCTGGCTCAACGATTATCCGCTCGTCGTCCGCCAGGCGCCAGCAAGCCATGGCAGCCTCTGCATCCTCGAGAACAAGGCTTGTCACATTCTTGCGCGCCAATAGGTCGAACGCCTTTTTGCACACCCGAACCACTCCGAGAGACGACGCGATGGAGGTGATTCGCGGGATCGTGACGAGTTCGCCAGCCTTCATCGACTGATGGAGCGAGTCGGCACCTTTTGTCTCGACGGCCAGCACCTGCATATCGCTTCCCCATCCGACTCGGTCCATGCCATCGCTGATGCCAGCCAACATGCCACCTCCTCCAACGGAGCAGATGATAGCGTCCGGCCGTTCACCAGCGGGCATTTGCTGAGACATCTCTTCCACCATGGTCGCAGCGCCTTCCCAGATGGCTTCGTTGTCAAAAGGAGGGACGTAGACCGGGATTTCACCCCTCGCTTCCGCTTGTGGCATCAGGACCTCTTTGAGGTACCCATCGGCCTCTGCGAGTCCGGAGCCGTGGGCAATAACTTCGCTGGCACCATTCGTCTTGAGCTTTTCAATGATGGAGCTCTCGGTGGCTTCTGGCACAACGACCGAGGACGTATAGCCCAAGACGCTGGTCGCCGAGACTGCCGCAAGGCCAGCATTTCCGGCTGAAGCGGCAAAGAAGTGTAGAGGACGTGTGCTGCCAATGGCTTTATGGTAGGCTTCCTCCGTCAACACGAGGTTGCCAATTCCTCGAGATTTGAAGGAAGCCGAAGGCTGGAGATTCTCCAATTTCAAAAATATCCGGCTAGGATTTGGTGTCAGTACTGCTACTATTCAGGTCAGGAAGTATCTTGTACCATCCAGCGGCACGCGACAGGGTAGGAGATTCAATCAATGGCGTCTCGATCCATGGCTTCTTGCTGTTGACCTCACATAGAGAACCCATCTTTAGAGATAGGGTTGAGCCTGGCTGTCAAGCAGGTGGCCAACAAGTCTCTTAAGGAGGATAATGCCAGTCGGAATTTACATATCCCTGGTTCATTCGACACATAAATACCACATGATTGCAACACCTCTGGCATGTTTTTCGTAAAGTGATAACGCTAATGCAGGTACACTATCTCCCGTATTGGCTGGTCGCGCCGTTGTCCGAACGGACTTCGAGGCGAAGCTTTGAATGATTGGTCGGCCCCGAATTTACTTCCTCTCAACACTAAGCCTGATGCACGGGGTGCTAGAACCCTCATCCAGGTGGTTGAATCTTCGATAAGCCGTCCCGAAGCTTGAACAGGACAGGGCACCATTTGGAGACATGTTTCCGGAGAAGGTATGACCAGTCTCATTGGGCAGGCCAAGGGACGCCGTTACATCCCTGGGTGTGTGTGGGGTTCACTGGTGACGATCAGTCCATCTTTCCACGTTGTTGGTTGGGCCATCCCCGAGAATAAGCGACGTTGCCAAAATTTCTGATCCTGAATGCAGCATTATGCGCCCTGTGAATTGAATTCGGCGACGAAAATCTTTAGGATCTGTCGAACCTGCACATGGGTTAAGACGCTCCTGATAGGGACGTTCGGAGAAGGCAATTGACGTGGACTGGTCCTTCGATTTTCGTGATGCATGAAGGGACATAGCCGGAGATCAGTGGTCGGACAAAAGTACTGGGAACAACTGATCCCCAGACTTTCTTTTCTTCTTGTCAGGCTCAGGTTCAGGAGGCAAGCAACCATATGTGAAGTCAGCACGCAGCTGAGCATGCTCAAAAGTTCTTTTCGACTCGGCCACCTCCATGGTGTCGAGGGCAGCTTTCATTTTTTCCGGCATAAACGGCTGCAGAAGGATTGCGATGATCCGTATCGATTCGGTGGTCAAATAGACTCCATAGTGAGCCAGTCGAAGCTCTTTGGGGTTGGTGGCGTCTATGCGTCGCCACAGTGCAGAGTTGTGAAAATACTTGTTCGTATTCCTGATCAACTCGACGATGTGATGCGCTGTCGTCCTTGGATTTGGTTCGTTCATCGCTTTCTCGGTTCTGGCTCTTACAGCTGTCAATTGCCGGCCGAAAGTTTTGATGTTTTCATGGAGTGTTTGCAAGTCTTGGTCAGATTCGTCTAGCTTCTCCTGGGTGAGCAATTCCGAAAAGTCCTCGTCCCCTGCAACAATCCTGACGGACTCACGGACGTTGAATTGCTTGCTCTTGAAGACTCGCTGCAATAGATTGCCGAGCCCATCTCTTAGGACGTGCTTATAAGTCTCTGCGACCCTTGAGTTTTCATACATGGCGTCGTCGACAATGCCGCCGTTGTAAGCCATGTAGAATCTAATGGTGTCGACGCCATACCTGTCCATAGCAAGAAACGGATTAACACCGTTGCCAGCCGACTTCGACATTTTCTCATTGTTCATGGTCCAATGGGCATGAGTGAGGAATTTCCGGGTTACAGGAAGCCCCAAAGCCATGAGAAAAGCGGGCCAATAGATGGTGTGAAAGCGAATGATATCTTTACCAATGACTTGGCAGTTTGGAGGCCAAATCCAGTCCTGATCTTTCGTGCTTTTGGAGGGATATCCTGTCATTGTCAAGTAATTGATCAGGGCATCGAGCCACACATAAATGGTCTGGCTGCCGTCGCCTGGAACCCGAATTCCCCAGGAAAGACGCGATGAGGGCCTTGATATGGAAAGATCAGTGAGCCCACTCTCGATCTCTTTCATGACAAACGCCATCCGTTGCTTAGGGATAATTGCAGTAGGATCTCTTCCATAATATTCAAGCAGTGAATCTCGGAAAGCGGACAATTTGAAATGGTAGTTTGTCTCCGAAGTCCACTCCACGTCTTTTCCCGTCTCTATTGAGACGATCTTTGTATCGCCGGTGGAAGGGTCGAGTATTCTGTGGACCTGCGTCTCTGGGTAGAATGTCTCGTCGCTAACGCAGTACCAGCCCTCATGATTGGCCTCGTAGATATATCCGGCGTGATTCAGCTCGTTCCAGACGTGTTCGACGGCAGCTCTGTGATCAGCGTCGGTGGTACGGATGAATCGATCATAGCTGATGTTGGCAGCATTGCAGAGGGTCTTGAACTGCTCGGCATGGTAGTCGCAGAATAGCTTCACGTCAGTGTTGGCCTTCTGGGCTGCCTTTTGTATTTTCATGCCATGTTCATCAGTACCGGTCAAGAGCGTAGCCTTCTCATCGCCGCATAGCTGGGCCCATCGCTTGAGGATATCAGTGAGGACTAGAGTGTACAGGTGGCCGACATGAGGTGCTGCAGACGGATCATCAGCAGGTGTCAGAGCATAGAAACCTGGGAAGCAAACCGGAGTTGACGTAGAAGATAGGCGAAGTCACATAGTATGGCTTTCTCCTCTCAACGTCCTTTGCCAGAGGAGATTCAACAGCGTCTGCAAAAGCGCGTCTTTGGACAGTTCGATTGATTGGATATGAGCGTGGATAGCTACAGCGTGCGGAAGATCGACATTGCAAGAAGAAGCTGCAAGCACGGTGTTCTAGGGCCAGCATGGCTTACTGTATTTCAGCAGCTATCAAATAATCAAAGAAAACAACCGCAGCAAAGCAGATGGGAATCACGCGCAAGGAAATCGCAGTCACTTCTTTGAAGCTCCAAAAATTTCCCCGCACGATGTTGACTGCAAGGCTGCGCAAGGCTGCAGAAGGCTGACTGTAGTAGTATTACGAGGCCTGCGAACCGCCCACGACTATCTCTACCTCCGAATCCGCCGGATATCGGTCCAAGCTAGGGGCCAGCCCTGGCTTCAACAGTAGCGAACATCGGCATGGGTTTGTGACTGGCATATCTTACACTCAATTCCATCACCTGAGCAGAACCATGCATCCTTCCAGCGTCTGCGTCATGCTCCTCTCTTCTCACTCCTAGCGAAGGTGGTCGTGGTTGCATATGCGACACTCGTATTCCGGGGCTGCGTTCAAAAGTGGTTCGTAGTATACTCTAACGGCGGCTGGAGGTGCTCAGTAGCGATCAGAATCACCTAGATCGCTTGCCCAAAGTCCCCAAGCAGAGCCTCGACACGTCAAGACTCAGTCTTTACCCTCATGTTCGCTTTGACTCGTTCCAGAAGCTCGACCCTAGTCATCTTCGTGTCCGGCTCCAGGTTTCGCTGTCGCAAAGTTAGCATGACAGTCTGCACTCATCCGCGCATCGCCACACGGATCTCGGGCGGTTGAAATACCAGCTTCAACCAGCGTCTCAGTTCTGTCTCGGTCCAATATTCTGGGTCTGGATCTCACACTCAGCACGGTTCAAAGACACCACCGCTCAAGTACGATCGGCTAGAGCGCGGCGTGACATACCACCCTTGGGGTCGCCCTCAGCAGGGAACAGGTCGCCTCCCCACCAGTTCCAGAGCGATGCGACGGTGACAAGGCCTGCAAAGCCTATTGATAATTGCAAAAAGTCCATCGTTAACATTACGGGTCACCAGAGGGTTTGATACGCTGGCTAGAGCCCAAGAGTGCAGACATTGTGTCTGGGAGGAAGAAGAAGGAATCTGGTCAGAATAAGCACGCACCGAAGAAAAGGCGCTAGAGGAAGGTCAGCATTCATTCTGGTTCGTCTTCACCGTGCACCGTGAGAAAATGGACGCGCCGAAGAAGAGACAACGTACCCTGGACTGCAAGGCTCGATCCATTGCAGTGGGCATATTGAGTTGCCTGTCCTCGAATACTCGAGTCTTGGTTCCAAGTCTTGAGATAAGAGCAGAGACAATGTTCGTAAAGTCAAAGGTTGAGCGTAATGATCCGTTCAGCACAAATGCTACTGACTTACGGATAATGGGAATAGAATTGTAAATATCGATACGTCTGGACTCGAGTGAATATGAGAGAATGAGAGATGCCTAGAGGACAGGAGAGAGGAGAGGTGGCGAAATACATCCATTCACTCTCATTGGCTCGCAGGGCACGAGCGACCTACACGTCAGATGTCCTGTGTTATGCTATGGCCACCAGGCCTACCTAGTATGTTATGCCCTCTCGTCGCGCTAATGGAGAAGCCTGGTTCCAGCAGCAACAATCCCATCTCATTTCTGCTCAAAAGGCCGAGATAGACGAAATTCACCATTCCAACCTGTCGTCGCAGACGAGTTGCACATCGAATCTCTCGTTCCCTTTCCATACCTTGCGCGCCGAGTTGCAGCCAGCCACGACCCTGCGCAGGTCGGATACTATGCCACCAGGTCCGCTTGCATATACTGTCGTGGAACCGCGGACCGTGGAATCTACAAAGCCGTTGACAAGAGCTCTCAGATCAGGGTGCCTCGACACAGGACTTTGTTCCAAAGAAGAAGGATGTTGGATCGAGAGGAGTCCAGCACCCGAGTTTGATGAAGTTTTGAACTCATCTGACGAGGATGAATCCGACATCAGTTCCATCTTGTCCTCGACAACATAAGACTTAGATGTAGGTTGCGCCATAGCACTCTCGACATGTGGTCGAGCGTTCTCTCTGGTGACGAAGATGCGAATCTTCAGGTTGTGCGCCGCTCCGGCTCGCTGTAAAAGATCCAGCTCTGGCTTAACCCACATCAAATCATCGTCTCTCCGGATCGCCCAGACGAGCTCAATCCTCCGATCAGGCCGTAGATTCTGCTGTGTCACGATAAATTGCAGAACCGGAAGGACGAAGGTCACCCCAGTTCCACCAGCCACACATAGCACGTTCGTATCCGCCGACTGCTGACTGACGATGGATCCTCCATACGGGCCGGTGAGGATCACCGATGTGGTTGGTGGACTGGTCACAATGGCCTTTCCTGCCTGGACTGAGACTGCAGCCTTAGCAGCGGCCAAATTGGCAAGCCTCTTGGTTTCCCCTTGCTTGGCCCTGAGAACGTACGAGTGTGTTTGGCCTTGAGGCTTGCGCCCAGGCAGACTGCACGGTGTGAAAGGGTGGGCTTGCCAAATACTCAATTCTGGGAAGCATAGGTAAAAATGTTCACCAATCTCCCAAGCATCCTGCGGATGAGCGAAGTCTAGCCGCACCACATCCCCATTAACAGCGTCTGGAAAACGAGTGATCGCAGCACTCGCACTCTTGAAACCCATGTCGGCTTGCGAGAGGTAGTTGTAGTGGAGCAGTGCGGTCCTTACCAGTCGGACACCGCGATCGATCAGCCATACCACAAGTGACGAAATCAGATAGCAATTGAGTTTTGACCAGTGTCCCCAGCATGCGCCAACATAAACCATGGCCAAGACGTAGTGTGACTTGCGGAAGAACTCGTAGCCTGTTCTGCGGATTGCCCACGGTGTACTCGAGACGACTATCACCGTCAGGAGGAACATGGCTATCACTCCCCAGATCATGTACAGTTGCTTTATCCACTCAATTCCGACCGTGGGCTGAGGTTGGTAGAGTCTCATTTCGACGACGCACCAACCAATCGTGTGCAATGCAGACTGCAGGAATATGATGTAGCCTAGCCAGCGGTGTAGAAAGTTGAAATGCTGGTAAGGAACACCGGTTATAAGCGAAAGAAGAGACTCTCGACTGGAGAGCAGGACCGAAAGGGGCGTCAAGGCGTAGGCAAGGACTCCCACACGGTCAGCCCATGGTCCAAGGCCAGTTCGCGTGTTGTAGACTCCCGGCATGTTCTTCACAGGTGTAACCCATTTCTTGTAAGTGATACCGACGAATGTCCAGATAGCAAGATACGCTGTCAAGGTGGCGAGGATGAGGACTTGGAGTCGAGTAGTCCGACCAAAGAGAATTCTGACACTGTCTGGCAAGAAGTGTTGGCGGCTGAATGAGGCAATCGTGCTCTGCAGACGGCCGATTGTACTTTGCTGGTGCTGTGCTGTCGTAAGGACACGCCTTCCCATACCCCAAATAAAGACGATGCCTCCTATCGTTGCCCAAAGAATGCCGCAATAAAGCATACCCAGGTCGTGAGAATGATAGACTGAGTCGAGATAGCTGCACGAGCCTGCATCGTTGGTGCAAGGGACCGCCCTGTCTGCATAGCCCCAATGAGGTTGAAGACTTTTGGCTTCACTCATGTTCTGAATGTGCCGTGGGGCCAGCATGCTTCCCATGAACGACATGTTGGTTTATATGGCTCTGATAATCCGCAAAGATACCAAATGAAACAAATTCAATCCACGGAACCCAGCAGATTCCAGAACCCGAGGTGAGGAACAACTGGATGCTTCTCGGTACAGATCAGGACGGTGGTATGCTGTAAATATGCTTTTGGACCCTATCACTCGGATTGGTGAGACTCTGGCTCGGAGCGTTTCCAAAGGTGGCTCCGCAAGGAGCACTGGGAAAAACATGCTCGCAAAGCTAGCTGAACGTCTGTCCAAGGCGAAAAAGGAGCGTATGAGGCCGGCGGAAGAAGACTGCAGTCTGTCGTTTGCTTCGGGGTCGTTGCCAAGACTGGTGAGCAAATTTCTGGGCCATGTTGAGCACGTTTTCACGCGTAGCTAGCCACCCATCCCTGTCAAAGATGGATAATCCGACTTCTTGGTAGTCAATGACAGCGGTGAGATATCCCATCGTTTGTAAGGTCATTGGTCGTCGCATATCGTCTCCTATAGATCGCGTGGGTTGCGCTCTCCCCAAGATTTGAGGCTGGCCACGTTCTATCATGCCACCAACATTCTCGCTCAAAATGAATTCCCTGACAGTTCAAATAGACACGGTCCGTCCTTCATATATGCCGTGGTTTTCCCTTTCGCAGAGCATTCGGTCCCGGTAGAAGCTCAACTCCTCTGCTGTCTGGCATTTCCGGCACCCATCTTTGAGATTATCTCGGCTAGAAGTAGCCTAAACACCATGTCCATGACCATGTCAACAGTCACGAGCACCGCAGCTGCCGCATCGGCCACCTCATCGGCAATGAGCATGAGTATGGGTGGAAGTTCGTCCTGTAAGATTTCGGTAAGCTAGTCTTCACTGGTCAAGGCATAGGATTTGCCACTGATAGGCCTCGTAGATGCTTTGGAATTGGACGACAATCGATGCGTGTGAGTCCTTGGCTGTTTTATCATCTTGACGCCTGCCGCTCACAAGGCACAGGCTTCCTTTCGCGAAGCTGGCACATTACCAGCAAGGGCATGTTCGCCGCATCATGCATTGGTGTGGTATTCCTCGTGATCAGTCTGGAATTCTTGCGGCGAATTAGTAAAGAGTACGACCTATTAATTCTGCGTCAATTTCAACACAAAATTGCTGCTCAAGATACAAGCAAGGGTCCAAACTGCTCGGCTTCGTGTCAGACAGGATCTCAACTCGTCATGTTTCGAGCTTCGCCACTTCAACAACTGATTCGAGCAGTGATACATGCCGTCACCTTTGGCGTCGCATACATCATCATGCTCTTAGCCATGTATTACAATGGTTACCTTATTATCTGTATCTTTATTGGCGCCGGGCTGGGAAAGTTCCTTTGTGATTGGCCAGCACAGAGGGTACCAGCCGTGGGCTTGGTCGAGGCCCGAAGAGATCATACGGTGGAAGAGCCGACGGTGTGCTGTGGCTAGGTTGTCATGGCACTGATGAGATGAAGGAAGATGCCGGTTGAAGCGAATAAAAGAGGACGATGGAGGCGGTCGGTAGAACTCCGGCAACACAGTGCAGGCGTGAGCGTCTGGCGAGCTGGGTGTCCATGAGGAATACTCAATCATAGAGCCGTCACGAGCTTTGTACTGCAGGCTAACATTGATTATGCTAAGGGCCTGATGCTGACTGGCATCGAGGAGGCCATACGCTGATGATCACTTGGAGCCTTCTCTCTTCTCCACTCAGCGGGATACTAGAATCACTCGAGGACAGATTGTACTTCAAGGGCCATAGCAAATCCATATCATGCCGACCTAGAAGAGGATCTTTTGGATAGCATATTTCAGATAAATAATGGGTATCACATTCAGTATTCTCTCGCTCATGATGGTCGTCATATGTGGTTCTCGTAAGAGATTAATACAAACAGACCACAGCAATGCAGTAGTCCGTCTTTCCCAAAAGCCCTGTCCCGTTCAGGGGTCCCAATTCAAGCAGACACCTGAGAAGCGTCGCTTCTGATGCAGAACTCCACGATCAATTTTTGCAAATCCGTCAGCTTGTATGGCTTGGTCATAAAACCTTCCATACCCGTTCGCGTCGCCCGGTTGATGGCTTCATCGGTGACATCCGCACTCACTGCCAGCACAATCGGCGCAGACATCAAGTCTTGTTTTGACCGATCGGGATTCTGAAACATGGCCAGGATGTGCTCAGTCGCCTCATAACCATCCATCTCAGGCATCCAGAGATCCATCAAAATGACGTCCACGGATTTCTTCTTGCGCTTCCCATTCGAACCATTCTTGTTGCCGGAGTCGTGTAATTCTCTCATGATTCGGACAGCTTCCTTGCCATCAAAAGCTTCGTGGACGTCTTTGTACCCTAATTTGCCGAGCATGTTGACCAGGAGTTTTCGATTGATCTTGTTGTCTTCCGCGACCAAGAAGGTGAGCGGATGCTTCTGGGCCAAGTTCCTGTCATAAGTGTCTTTTCGCAGCGGCATACGGTACGCAGCCGACTTGCTGCGAGGCCCTGAAGCCTCAGCGCCATCTCCGGTAGAGGTGGGTAGTGCCGAAAGTTTCAAGTCATTACACCTCCAAGGAGACGTTCTCCGGCCGTCCTCTTGTTCTGACGATGGTCTGCACCCAATGTCTGGGCTTGGGAAAATCGTGAAGGGGCGAGACAGACTGTTTGAGAACTCCGGTGTCTTACTGCCCGGCGTACCGATACGACTCGAAGCATCACCCGGTTCAAGTGGGATCTTTATCTCAAACTCAGACCCCTGGTGCGGACCGGAAACCTCTGATCCCACAAGCGTGACGTCTCCACCCAGACGTCTGGCTAGACCTTTGGCGACCAGTAGACCAAGTCCCAGCCCCTCTTTCGACCGGGTCAAGGAGTCATCTTCTCGCGAGAACGGTTTGAACAGCTCGGGCTGGAAGTCCTCTGGTATTCCATCGCCAGTATCTCTGACATTGATGGCCAGGTACCGCTGACTGCTCGACAGCCGCACTGAGAGGGTGATGAATCCCTCCTCGGTAAATTTGACAGCGTTGAGGAACACGGCCGATACCAGCTTGGCCAAATCCCGTTCATCAGCAAGCAGAGTCTCGGGCACATCATCAGCCACTGTCCACTCGATCATCCTCTGAGAGATCTGTCCATTGGAATATCGCGACCTGACGGCAATTCTCTCGCCATTGTCGATGGGTTCTCCAATGGCCGAATCTGGCCGGCCGCCGACTCGGAGTGATTCGTGGATAACCATGGGTATCAGGTCCCGGATTTTGCAATTTTTCAATCCAGGCGTAGGAAATGCATCGCTCTCGAGGGACATTTTGGTAGAAGGCGTGTTGAAATCACCAGGGGTAAATCCTTCTGGCACGGGAGTGAAGATAGACGGTATCCGCTCGTCAGAAAGTGTGGTTCTGGGTGTTGAAGAAGGGCCCGAGCGTGATGTTATGCTCTTGGGAGAGACGTCGACATGCGTCGAACGACTCAGCTGTCTAATTTTGGGGGCGTTGCCGAAGTGCCAGGCCGTCGGGCTGCTGCGTCGTCGCTTATAGGAATGGTTGACATGGATGTCGCTGCCTTCTATCAGCCGAGCAGGTCTATAGTCAAAGTAGCCTGCATTGTCTTTGGCGGTGGCCGGTGCCTCGTTGTCGTCCAAAGGGGTGTCTGGAATTTCCATATTCATGTCATATGCGTGAACGACATTGTCTGCGGCTTCTACGGCTCTCTTCGAACTGTCCTGAATGATCTCGATGTTGTCCTTTAAAGTATGAAATACGTGGCGAATAGAAGGATTGGAGAGGCTCTCAATCTGTTCTTGGACCGTTGCGTGCATAACATCCAGCATGCCCACCACACCTTGCATCGGTGTCCTAAGTTCGTGCGACAGGCTTTTGGCATAAGGCTTCAAGGATTGGGTTCTGGAGGTGATGGCCTCTCGTGGGAGGACCTGGGTCGGTCGAGGCATAGTTGTAGACGGAGGCTTAGCAAAACCTTCGCCAGAGACTAGTCGTTGAGTAACCATATCTTCCAATGAGTGAAGGAGCAGCTCAGTGTAATTCCAAGACGTCTCTCGGCGGTCCAGGCCTTCCTGCGTCCACATCATACCAAAGTGTGCAAAACACTTGCCGTCTGAGAAGAGAGGTAGGCCAATATATCCCTCGGCCGGCAAGGGAAGCGCATTTGGGTTATTCGTGATGAAAGAACTCATCTGCTCAGGGATTAAGAAGACCTTGTCGTGCTTCATGTAGCCGCAAGGAGCCCCGCCAGCCAGATACTTGTAGTCTCGATGCATTGCCTTTTGCTGGTCACCATCATTGTAGTAGAAGGCTACTCCTAGGAGGCATGATCCAGCCTCCCCCAGAGGGGGCATCTCCACAGCCGAATTCTGATCATCCGTCAAGATTCTTTTGGCGACGAATCCGTATTGTGCCTGGCATATTTCCGTCATACCCTCCATCAGTCTCCTCCAGAAAGTTTCCGTGTCGGCATCCCTCAGCTCTTGCTTTAAGTTCACCAGCCTTTCAACGGCATTGCTTTCGGAGGGATTGAAATGTCGGCTGATGTTTTCGGCGAACCCTTTTTCTCCGTGTTGTGTAGGAACGCCTGGTTCTAAGCTAGGAAGGCAGAGTGACTGGCGCTCAATGATGCCGGCGACGGGATGATCGCAGGTAGCCTGGGCCATTACCAATTATGATGCTGGTTCCTCCTCCTAATTCTCCAGCAGATTCGGCGTAAAGTCTGTCATGAAAAATGGACCGTTCGCAGGCCACTTCGCGTATTATTTGCTTTTTGTGTTGGTCGCTCGGGCAATAACCAAAGCATTGTCAAAATTCGCAGATCGTCTTGCAATCTACGCCGGACGATGTTGTAGCACCGATGATGGTATCGTAGGTGAGAGCGATCCGGCGAACAGGTGAAAAGGGAGAAATGCGTTGTTAGGATACAAGAAGTGCGGTGAGGAAGCAGCAGGTGGAAGCCGGATATGGAAAGATGGGAGAGGTGGTAGAAGCAAGAAAGCTATTGGCGGAATATGGCAGGAATTTCTTCGGCTAGCCGATACTGAATAGATCGTCAAGGCGAAGGGAGGCGAAGGGTCGACGAGATTAACGATATAGAAATTGTAGATGGCAGCAGTTTGACGTGGTGGAGGGTCTGAAAGAAAGTTAAGAACAAGCGCAAGCGGTGGGGGTTTGCTTACGGACGGTCCCCGGTGCCAATGCGCGAGGCGTAGCGAGTGCAGGCAATCTACTGTCTGTACCACTACTGGTGGGACTACTATAGGGACGGATCAGTCATGCCGAAGAAACCCTCAATTTCACGTGAAGTATACGAGTCACCAGGAGGATTATTGAGGAGGAAAGCCATGGCCATCTTCGACGGAAATCAGAGCCGTCAAGAACAAGGAAGGGGTTTTGGGAGTACGGGACCGTTGGACTGTGTGTCAGGGCGGGAGCGAGACAACTCAATTAGCCATGACGAATAGAATCAAAGACCCTGGCGTGAGAATCAGAAGACTGAGTTAGTCTAATTGCGAGTTGCACAACGCTGCTTGTAGTTTATGGCAATAATGCAACGAAGTCGAGCACAACAGCAAAGTCTTCCTTTCCTTCAGGAAGCAGACAAGATCACGACTAGGGACTAAAGTCTAGACCGGACGATGGAATTGCGAAGCATGACCCAATCACCATTGTCGATTTATTTTAGCACATCTCCCTTGAGCGAACACCGACACGAAGCTATACCACATACGAGGACGACGTAACAACCAGAGATAGACTTTGGTGATCATCGATGCACCTTAAGAAGTGGCTTTCAGGTAAGGAACAACTACCCGATGCCTTTCATTGGACGTGAACTGTACTACTGTAGGTACGAGTACTCAACAGCAAGTGCTTTGGAGGCCTCTGCTCGCCGTACCAGGCTCGTACTACGGAGTATGGACTGTATGCACGGGTGCTGGGTTTGCCAAACATGTAGCGCCAAGGACTCAGGGAACATGACACTTCGTGCGTTTCGGCTCGGCTGGTGTAGATCAAATGTTCTGGACCGCCGGCGACCGTCTCCAAGTCAACGTCAATTCCCAACTTGCAGCGCCATTGACATCATATTCGGTTAACACGGCAGTGATCACACTTGTCGTAATTTGGATGCGACAAAGCCACTGGTCAATCTCTCTTTTACGCTACGCTAGTAGCGGCTAGTCACTCTAGTGCAGGTTAGGCAGAATAACTCTCCGCATAGAAGCGAGTCCCCTTTTTGACCTCGAAGAATGCATCCCTCACAACCTTTCTGTAGCTCGCGAGACGTGGCTCGTGTGTAGCTGACTGATCATTTCCCGCAAGAGGACGTCAGTATATGTTCTCCGCTAAGGAGAAAGTACGTTAGGGGCACGAAGAAGAGGCAACAGCGACCGAGTAAGTCGTGAAACGCTCGTGCCAGCCAACGTAGGTAGTCTTCCTGTACAGATGCTTGCACCAAAATACCTTCCACTCAACAATGCTCTCTATCTATCTGGATGCGATGCCAGCCTCATACCTACTCTGGGTCTCTGGTAGGTACCAGCTTGACTGCCGAGCTCCAACTGATTTCTGCAGAGCCTCGGCGTAGCGCCATGTGGGTTTGGAGTTCCTCATTAGTGACCAGGGCCTCACGTTGCTTCGAACTGCAAGAAGGGAAAACATATTCCTTCCAGGTTAACCAGATGCATATGTTGATCAAGCCTTTCCGAGACCCTAAAACTGGGTAACTTGTGTTGGTGGTCGTGATATCCTTCCGCATCAAAGAGAATGAAGGTATACGTCGAACGGTCGAGATATTTTTATTCCTGAAGACCGCAACTTGACTGAATCGCTTCATAGCAGCGCCCGTTCTCCGCCGCTTACATCCTCTCACATCGCCGTTGCTCAAGATGATATTGAGGATCGCGCCTTGACCCTGGGCCAGCTTCGTTCGGTTCTCAACCCACCTGATCAAGACCGATGGGCGGTCATCCTACCCACAGCGGTTCGTAGATTGAAGCGGTGCATGCAATCCTCTAGCTGGGCGGTATTTGGTGCCCCATCAACCATCAATTAAAGCCCGGGGAGATCGCGAATGCTTTGACTGTGTCCAAGCCTGAATTCATCATCGTATATACTCCGGTTGTCGACAAAGTCGTAGAAGGGATCAGAATCGCCAGACGAGAATGCATCGAGTGGGCATCTTCTCCCATCATAACAGCCATCGGATCACCGCGTGGAACACATTGGAAGAGTTTGGGATGCGAAGAAGATGACAGAATTGCCCACGGCATATGTGGTTCTCAAGCCCCAACTGACCGAAAGAACACAGGCTTCAGACGCTGAAGGACACCCAGAACACCATGGACAGTCAGGTCAGTAAGTACAAGAAGCTGAGAGGAGTCTGGGAGGTATCGTCCTTGCGGAGGAATGCCACTTTCAAGCTGTTGAGGAAGCAACTGGGAACGCATAAAACGGGGCTGGCTTCGTGGCCACAGACAACAAATCTTCGAAGTTATAATAGCTGGGAGAAGAACAGTTATCAACGAGCTGCCCACAGGTGTACCGGGTTGGCCATCTGTTATTCGGCAGCCCAACCTGTCACTAGGACGCCGAAATCCGTAGATATATCTTCCTTATCAGAGATCTTCTTATCAAGAGAAATGTTGAGTGACAAACCCGTATCCTCCAGATGGGGCGCGCGCCTTGTGGTGAGCGGCCTCACTAGCCGGAGGTGTTCAAGATATCTTTCGGATCTTTCCATAGGATCAGGAAGCTTGCCTCTGTCTTTCATCCTTCGAAACGCTTTCACTGATTTTGTCTTCAATTCGGCGCTGCAGCTACGAGGTACCAGTGAAGACCTTCGCTTGCATCACCCCTCATTATCACTTCCCCACCGATCGACTGTGCCGGTGCCACCATACCCTGGCTTGGAGTCCTCGCCTTCCCAGTTGCGTCATCTGAGCGACCGCTAACTCGCTCTGCACGACGTCGCGTGCACTATCTTCCCTGTCGGCATCTCGATAGTGTCTGATACAAGCTTCTGTTCCTGGGTTTGGGTCGCTTTTGGGCGTTGTGGTCCGATACGGGTTGGCATGCTCGGGATTTGAGCTGGGTGGCCTTGGGTGCGTGGGTGGGAGCTTTGCAAGCTCCTGCGAGGAAGATGGCTCCATTCACTCTTTTGTCCTTGTTCCATTCTTTACCCTCTACAATACCTACATTTTCGCTGCGCCTCCTCGTCATGTTATCACTGCTACGGCTGGCTTGTGCCTTGCTCCTGCCACCCCTGCTCGACCAAGCTGCAGCCAATCCGCTACCTCGCGCTCGGCAGCACTATGCGCCCGACTCTCTAGGTGCTGTTGCTAGTGAGAGTAGTATCTGCAGCAGTATTGGTATAGACCTTCTGCGCCAAGGTGGTAATGCAGCGGATGCGGTACGTATTTTCACTTGGACAGGAAAAGGAGACTGACATCCATCTAGCTTGTCGGCACGGTCTTTTGCGTTGGTGTCATCGGATGCTACCATAGCGGCATTGGTGGTGGAGGCTTCATGCTTGTTCGGAGCTCAAATGGCAGCTATGAGTTCATCGACTTTAGAGAAACTGCCCCTGCCGCCGCCTATCAAGACATGTACAACAATAATACGAATGCGAGCATCTATGGTGGATTGGCTAGGTACGTCTTGGTCAGCAACGGCCGAAGGGGGAACTGACCAAGTCGTAGCGGAGTTCCAGGAGAGGTTCGAGGTCTGGCTCATTTGCACAGCAACTATGGAAAGCTTCCATGGAAATCTGTGATGGCGGGGGCCATCAAAACTGCAAGATATGGGTGGCCAGTATCAGCGGATCTGGTGCGGTATATGGCGTCTGCCAACGCGTCTGCTCTCGTGCCAAACTTCCTGGTTGATGATCCCAACTGGGCCCTCGACTTTGCTCCCAATGGGACTTTACTCGGTCTTGGCGATACCATCACGAGGAAGAGGTACGCGAATACTCTGGAATCCATTGCAAATGAAGGACCAGATGCCTTCTACAACGGACCTATAGCAGAGGCTACCATCGCTGCCCTGCAAGCTCAAAATGGAACTATGACGGTCGGAGACCTGCAGAACTATACTGTGGCAATCCGACCACCAGCAAACATCACCTACCGTGGCTATCGCATGTTCAGCTGCAGTGCTCCGAGCTCGGGAGAAGTGGCTCTGTCAGTCATGAAGACTCTCGAGGGCTACACTGATTTCTTCACAGACGGGAGGGTCAACCTCAGTACCCATAGAATGGATGAGGCAATGAGGTTCGGGTACGGTGAGAGGACGAACCTAGGGGATCCGTCGTTTATGAAGAACATCTCTGCTTACCAGACCGAGATGTTGTCCGCCCAGTCTGCGGCCGACATCCGGAGCAAGATCTCCGACACCCACACACTGAATGTTTCGGCATACGATCCATCAGGCATCGAATCTCTGGAAACTCCAGGGACATCTCATGTGGTCACGGCAGATGCTTCTGGCCTGGCCATCTCCCTGACCACAACGGTCAATTTGTTGTTCGGCTCGAATCTCATGGTGCCGGAGACCGGAGTCATTATGAACAATGAGATGAACGATTTCTCCATTCCCGGCTCTTCTAATGCCTTCGGGTACGTACCAAGCCCGAGCAACTATATTCGTCCGGGCAAAAGGCCGCTGTCCTCAATCTCGCCAACGATAGTGGAATTTCCCAACGGTACTCTATACTATGTGATTGGAGCAGCTGGAGGCTCCAGGATCATCACTGCTACCATCCAGAACCTGATACATGTGCTCGATCAGAACTTGACGGTGCCTCAGGCACTGGCACAGCCTCGGCTTCACGACCAACTGATCCCCAATCAGGTCATGTTCGAATATGCCTACGACAATGAGACAATTGCATTCATGAAAGCGCGCGGCCACAACATCACATGGGTGGCTCCCGGCTTATCCACCGCCCAGGGATTGAGGCGTCTTGGGAATGGAACCTTCGAAGCTGCCGGCGAACCGCGTCAGGAATCATCAGCTGGTTATGCCATATGATCACCTTGCAAGCGGCCTCAACGACATGCTCGTGATGTATGACTGAGGCGGCGTGTCATGATGATAGAAGTATCTCAAAGCGCTTGACGGTTCTCCATGTTTGGATCCGACGAGGATTTCTCGAAATCAATCATCAGGACGTGTTTACGAGAAGGTGTTGCCTGACAGGCAATCCTCAGTATTTCTGGCTCTCTCTGGATAATCACATAAGGTCCATGCACCACTGCGACGAGAAATGCTTCAATAATTGGTTTTCTTCTGCTCGATCTCGATCAAGGGCGTTGCGATGAACTACGGGCTCGTAGGAGCCTGTGTTTTGCTACGCAGGCGGGCCGCTCGATATAAGTGTCCAATCAGCACACCGGCGTGCTACTCATCGAACATCTCAGCGCTAAACCCAACAGCCTTCTGCCTTGTCATCGTGCACATAACAGTAAGTAAGTAGCAGTTGACGCATAAACGCACATACATGTTAATCCATTATGCGGCCGCGGAGCCTCCATGGTTCCACGAGGTGCACGAGCTTCGGCCGGGGCATTTTGTGGGAACCCACTTGCGGGTTTGGAGGCCGTGAATTGAAACCAATCAGAACCACTTGCCACCTTTAGATCTCTCATTACTCGCATAATTTTTTATGCCGGGTGCACAATGTTGGGAAATATTCAAGCCAAGGGCTCGCTTAGAAAGTTGCCTTCACGAAAGACACTACTATACAACACCTACTTCTGAGTCGAAACGTATGCAATGTAGACTTCGCAGCCAAGCTCGGTGCGGCAATGCGCCCTCGATTCTACAGCCATAAGCTGATTGTCGTCGCAGGCAGGGTAAGAAAACGGACATAACGGTGGAGATTAACAACCACAAGGATGCATCGGCAGGGCCCTAAGCCGAAGACTACAATGTGGAGTCGGTCAAAGAGAAGCGAAGGGGAGGGGAATCTTCTGCTCGGAAAGCCCATGGACACAATAATATGGGGGGAATATACATAAACGAAACTGCCTATTTCATACAGTGGTAGGTCTCCGCCATAGCCGCAGACGTTGCGTTCGTTCTTGATAGAAATCCTGATTCATCCTCCCACAAGTTTCACGTGGCTTTTGTCTTTTATCTTATTCATTTTCAAGCATTTTACTGCCCAGAGGGACGAGCCGCCATACGCGAGCTTACGCTGCATTGCCATTCCTTCGTGCGCTGGATCCGGCTTAGCGAGTCAAAAGTACCCCCGAAAGCGAGCGGTGCAACGAACCGGTATGCTTCACTCATGTTGCCGGGCAATTTGATCCTATCCTGGCGATACGGAGTACTGATCCTTAAATACTGACATAATGGCTCCTCAGATCCTATGGCCGCTTCAGAATGGGCAGGGGATGCAGCCCAAGAGAAGAACGGCGAACATCAACAGCAGACGTCGACTTCCAACCGGTCAAATGATAGCACTTCCGTTTCGGAGAAAGGACCAGTCCGGATAGATCCTGATGTCGAGCACGGATTCCCCGTAATCAACACCACCGACGACGCTGATGAGGAGAAAACACCTCAAGGGGCAACCGCTGAAGACGACCCCAACATCGTCGATTGGGACAGTCCAGAGGATCCCGAGAAGGCCATCAACTGGAGCAACAAGATGAAATATGGCAATGTAGCGGTCATATCGAGCGTTACATTCCTGACGCCTCTTGCCTCGTCCATGGTCGCACCAGCTGTTCCTTTGGTCATGAGCGAGTTTAACTCGACCAACGATACAATTGCCAGTTTCATCGTATCCATCTACGTGCTCGGATATGCTCTTGGTCCTCTTGGGATAGCACCACTGTCAGAAGTCTACGGGCGGCTACCGGTTTATCATGTCTGCAACTTCATGTTTGTCGTCTGGAGTCTAGGTTGCGCCCTGGCTCCGAATATTGGCGCCCTCCTCGTTTTCCGCTTGCTCGCTGGTATCGCCGGTAGCTGCCCGATCACCATTGGCGGTGGTTCGATTGCGGATCTCATCCGTCAAGAGAAGCGAGGTGCCGCGATGGCAGTCTTCGCCATGGGCCCTATTCTCGGTCCCGTCATCGGCCCAGTTGCGGGCGGCTATCTAGCAGAGGCCGCGGGCTGGAGGTGGGTGTTTTGGCTGCTCACCATTGCGGTAAGTTGTCTTGAAACGATGCTGATATGTGTCTAACATTTGCATCAAAGGCAGGTGTAGCTTTATTCTTTTCTGTCCTTCTTTTGAGAGAGACCTACGAGCCAGTTCTGCTTGAGAGACGTACGAAGCGACTCCGAAAGGCGACGGGCAATCCCAATCTCCGGTCAAAGCTCGACAAACAAATCCCAATGAAGGAATTCTTTTTGCGCGCCATTGTTCGTCCGAGCAAGATGCTACTGTTCTCACCTATCGTCCTCTCACTGTCGGTTTACATGGCCGTCGTTTATGGCTACCTCTACCTCTTGTTCACCACGCTCACGCAGGTGTTCGAGGAAACCTATCATTTCAGCCAGGGAGCCGTCGGTCTGGCCTTTTTAGGTATCGGTATCGGCTCGCTGTTTGGGTTGGTTATATTTGGAGCCCTCTCCGATCGGACTGTCAAGAAGCTATCGGCACAGGGAGAAATGAAACCGGAGTACCGACTGCCTCCACTGATCCCTGGTAGTCTCGTCATTCCTATCGGCTTCTTTTGGTACGGATGGTCTGCCGACAAGGGCGTTCATTGGATTGTTCCAATCATTGGCACGCTGTGGGTTGGGTTGGGTCTTTTGGCAACATTCATGCCAATTCAGACATATCTCGTAGACGCATACCATATGCACGCCGCTTCCGCACTCGCAGCAAGCACTGTCCTGAGAAGCTTTATGGGGGCCTTCCTGCCACTGGCAGGGCCTGCCATGTACAAAGCATTGGGCCTTGGGTAAGTCTCACCAAAATTCTAGGCATGGTGACCTCGCTAACCACACAAGTAGCTGGGGAAATTCGCTCCTTGCATTCATTGCGTTGGCTATGTCGCCCGTCAGCTGGATCCTCTACAAATACGGCGAGAAGATCCGTAAGGCTGAGAAGGTCAAGTTCTGATCGGATTGAGGAGGATTCTTCGGGTCAAAGCATTCTGTCATTTAGCGCTGCATGGGGCTCGGCGTCTGGCATGAGGAACCAGGTCTGGGAAAGCATAGCAGGAGACAGCCTGCAGTACATAGATTTCTGCTCCGTTTGTGTTCACAAAACAAGGTCCCAACTCTGAAGTCTGGTGACCGTTTCTGGTGCCCTTCTTTGATCGTATTGGTGAGCAAGTGGATCTCGAAATCATTGGCACATCCCACGCGCTCAGCGACCTTGGACATATCAAGAATGATCGTGGGATCAAATGCAGCTAAGACAATGCGTCTGATAGGTTAGTCCGGAAGGTCTTCGACGTGGCCTCAGTGACATGGCTTATGTGAGGGGTCTTGTAAATACATGCTCCTCCACCTCTCGCTTTATCACTCCTTCACTCACCGAAGCAATTTCATTCTCCAGTCAATTACTCAATCCCGACTCGTTTTTTCGTGATCGAACTCTACCAGACATGTCCCCATCATCGACGACAGGCAACATGTTGTTCTCGCATAATGGGTGCCCAAAGTGCGGTGCAAAGATTGCAGCAGTAAATGAGCCACGTTTCGGGCAAGAGATTCCTTATTTTATTGACAAGCTTGTAGGGTGGCAAAACTTGCAACTCTTGCGGCGCGGTGAGTTTGTATCCTACTTCCTCTGGCTTTTAGTCCTTATCGAAGACCGTCTGCTGGGGTCGAGGGAGTGTTGAGGTCGTTGGGTATATTCGGAGTGTTTAGATTGTGCTCTCGAGTTTTGTATGCTGCATGACATGTGCTGACTGATATGGTGTTGCCTCTAGAGTTGTCCCCGATAGATTGACGCCGGCATATCAAATATGCTACTGGTCGGACGGAGCTTATGCGAGATCAGTGATGATGGAATGACACATGATGGATCATGATGAAATGAACGGGCATGAGAGAACTTTGAGCTGAGCGGCCAGCGAGAATTGGGCCAGTGCGTGAATCAGCAGTGCACAAGAATGTCAAGGAGTGGCTCCCTGTTACCGAGTTGCTGCGTTCATCCTTTACCCGACACTAGTCTGGGGGGATGTCCACCTCAGTTATATAGCTGGGGACGAGAACGTACTGGACATGGTTAACCACCGAATTCCAAAGACTAAACTCTGCCGATGGCCAGGATATGCTGCAAGCACGATATGCATTATATTGCCATAATTCTATGGAGCACGGTGGACATCATTCTTCAACAGTCAAGGAGGAATCACTGCTTCGAAGAATCCCAACAGATCCCGCAACTCGGCAGCACTTGTCGAATGGCCCATCCCTTCATACATGTGCTCTTCTATGTCCGCTCGATCAACCCACGTGGACATTTCCTCTTTGCCTTGGGTGTAGAGTCTCGTCGGAACCATCATGTCTTTGGTTCCGTGGACGTAGAACCACTTCTTTCTCCCCTTTGCTGGCCCATTGCTTTGCTCTGAGCCTTGCGCGGGTCTGTCTTTCTGCAACTGGCCAATTCGGTCTTTGAGAGGGAAGTATCCGCTCAAGCACACCATCCCTGCAACCTCGTGCCTCAATCGTCCGGTCAATCCCCAGACAAGGCTCACTGCGCATCCCTGGCTGAAGCCGCCAACAACGATTCTGTCCGGTGGTGTGCCGCTCTTAATTTCTTCTTCTACCAGCTTGTCTACGGCATCCACGCTCTTCATGATACCTTCTTCATCATCCGGCGCATCCTCCTCTTCTTCATGACCCGGCACTCGTGGCTTCATCGCGCTCGGCAGAGATTTGGGCATGTACCACGCTCGAGTCATGGCTTCGTGGTTGTGATCCGCATTGGGCAAAATCCACTTCAGATATGGCATCTTGTTGTAAAACTGGAATTGCTGAGCCAGGCCCAATGGCAGACCCTCTGCATCGTCGCCATAGCCGTGCAGGAAGATCAATGTCGCAGGACGGTCAGAGGACGAGGAGGGCCCATTGGGGGGAAGGACGTAGGGAGGTTTAGCTGACATAGTTGGCTTTCACAAGGAGCATGGGATCAAGAGCTCTGAGCCCGCTAGCCTGGTGGAGAAAAGCACAGTACAACGAGAATTCAAAACGACAGCCTGCTAAGCTAGTGCGCAAGGGTGAACCAGCCGTGGGATGGTGTTGATCAGCCTCGTGCATGGCACAAACGTGACTGAGATCGCATCATGGACACGTAGCAACCCACAATGCGCCAGTACAAGAACACTCCCTTCCGGACGTGCGAAAGTGAGATGAAATGGCTGCGGGGAGAGTGGATGTCCCAGCAGAGCAATGGGAGCTTGTTGTGTTGCGTACTGAGCCTCGGTCGTCCTCGAGGAAATACGCTTCTGTCTCAATACGATCCGCCGTCAATAAGTGGCTGGTCCGCCGTACTTACGCCTAAAAGCGCAGTTTTCTCCGCATGCGAAGCAGCCCGCATTTTTCAATCCGTGCTCGAAGCAATTTCGGCCACTACCCAGCGACTGTCTCAAGACAGTGTTCTCCAGTCAAAGACTCTCAGAATGAAGAGTCTCAAGCGTGGGCTGGCGGCTGACCCGAGTGCTGCAAATATCTCAAGCAAAGTTTACATCAGATCTGCCAGGAGCGGACGTGTCCAGAAAGTCGTGAGGGAGCAATATCTGAGGAAAGACATTCCTTGCTCATCGCAGCTATGCTCTTTTTGCGCTTCGACAGCGGCATCCAACGCCAGTGGAATTGGTGAGTTACTCAAACGCCCCAGTCCCGGATTGCTTACTGACTGCTGGCCAGTCCCGAAGTTCATTCTCTCGAAGCGACCGACCGGAACCAAGGCATTCCCAAATGGCCATTATCTTATGCCAGACACCAATGTCCTCCTTAGCGGCATGGATCTCTTCGAAGAGTCGGCTCATTTTCACGATGTCATTGTTCTCCAAACAGTCCTTGAAGAATTGAAGAATAGAAGTCTTCCTCTCTACAATAGGCTAATGGCATTGACACGCAGCGAAGAAAAGCGCTTCTACCTCTTCTTCAACGAGTTCCGATCCGAAACCGCGGTTCGCCGAGCAGAAGGAGAAACAATCAATGACAGAAACGATCGCGCTGTCAGAAAAGCGGCCGCTTGGTATGCGAGCCATCTCGCAAAAGTCGCAAAGAAATCACTTGCGATCGTCATTCTCACCAACGACCAAGAGAATAGGAAGAAGGCAAAACAGGAAAAGTTAGTCGCATTGTCTCTCAGAGAGTATGTTGAGGGTCTTGATGATGCCGATCGGCTACTTGACATGGTCACTCAAGGTGCCGATGGCCAGGAAGCTCGTGCAGCTCAAGGAGAATTGTTCTATCCGGAATACTATTCTATGTCAAAAATGACGACAGGTATCAAAGCCGGGACACTACATCAAGGCGTTTTCAATGTTTCACCATACAATTACTTGGAAGGCACTGTCAAAGTACCTGCATTCGACAAGCCGCTCTTGATCCTCGGAAGAGAAAGCAGCAACAGATCGATATCTGGTGATGTTGTCGTGGTCGAGGTCCTGCCGAAAGACCAGTGGAAAGCTCCTTCTACCCAGATCCTTGACGAAGAAGTACTCAACAAGAATGACAATCCGGAGGACGAAGAGCAGGAACAGAGTGTGGTTACAGAGAACGAACGTCGCGCCCTGCAGGAAGACGTCAAACGAGCGCATACCGCTGGCGCAGAGTCTCGAGCGCAACCTACCTGCCGCGTTGTCGGAGTCATGAAGCGGAACTGGAGACAGCTAGTCGGAACCATTGACGGAGCAGCTGGAACCTCGGCTGGAAATCGACAGACTACTGTCTTCCTTGTGCCGATGGACAAGCGCATCCCGAAAATCCGCATTCGTACACGACAGGTTGGCGAGCTACTTGGCAAAAGAATCGTCGCAACGATCGACTCTTGGGAACGGGACACCAGATACCCTGTTGGTCATTACATTCGGTCTCTTGGTGAACTGGAAACAAAAGAGGCTGAGACCGAAGCTCTGTTGCTAGAATACGATGTTCAATATCGACCATTTCCGAAAGCTGTGTTGGATTGCCTTCCAGCAGAAGGGCATGGCTGGAAAGTGCCAGCTGACAAAGCACATCCAGGCTGGAAAGGTCGGCAAGACCTGCGACACCTACTTGTTTGCTCGATTGATCCTCCCGGTTGTCAGGATATTGACGATGCCCTACATGCAAGGAAACTTCCCAATGGCAACTTCGAGGTTGGTGTCCACATTGCAGACGTGTCGCACTTTGTCAAGCCCAACAACCCTATGGATGCCGAAGCTACTTCTCGAGGAACCACTGTTTATTTGGTGGACAAGAGGATCGACATGCTGCCAATGCTCCTCGGGACGGATTTGTGCTCGCTTAAGCCCTACGTTGAGAGGTATGCATTCTCAACGCTATGGGAGATTACGCCGGATGCAGAAGTCGTGTCCTCGTCTTTTACCAAGTCGGTCATCTTGTCCAAGGAGGGCTTTTCGTACGAACAGGCGCAGAAGAGAATTGATGATACGTCGGCAACCGACGAGCTCACTCAAGGCATGCGAACACTTTTAGCGCTGTCCCAGAAACTCCGCCAGAGACGCATGGACGCTGGAGCGTTGAATCTTTCCAGCCCAGAGGTCCGTATCGAAGCAGACAGTGAATCTTCGGATTCTTTGGCTGATGTCAAGACAAAAGCACACCTTGCCACCAATTCGCTGGTGGAAGAATTCATGCTTCTTGCTAATGTCACGGTCGCTAAGAAGATTTCAACAGTTTTCCCACAGACTGCCCTACTCCGACGACATGCCACTCCTCCTGCCTCCAACTTCACCGACCTCAGCGAACAGCTGAAACGGATGCGCGGATTCGAGCTTGACGTATCCAGTTCCAAAGCCCTTGCCGAGTCACTGGATCAATGTGTCGACCCTCAACATCCTTTCTTCAACACGCTGATCCGCATTATGGCAACACGCTGCATGACATCAGCAGAGTATTTTTGCAGCGGTTCCCATGCTGAACCCGAATACCGACACTATGGCCTCGCCAGTGAGATCTACACCCACTTCACAAGTCCTATCCGTCGTTATGGGGACCTGCTCGTCCACCGTCAGCTCGCTTATGCGATCGGCTACGAGGGCGAAGGTAGTGAGATTGTCGATGAGGGTCTACGAAACAAAGGCAAGCTGGAAAGAGTCTGCCAAAACCTCAACTTCAGACATCGGAACGCTCAGCTTGCAGGCAGAGCAAGTATTGAATACTACGTGGGCCAGGCACTCAAAGCTCGAGCAGAGAAAACACCAGGTACGGCTATCGACGTGGATGGCTATGTGATGCGAGTGTTTGAGAATGGAATAGTTGTCTTCGTACCTCAATTTGGCATTGAGGGACTGGTCCGGCTCGAAGATTTCCAGCTGAAAGCTGCGGAAGACACCAAGGGAGAGAGTGCCTTTGACGCCGATAACTATCGTCTGACAGTGTTTGAGAAGGGGCGTGAGCAGCAGGGGGTCACTGTTGAGTTGTTCCAGCAGCTGAAAGTCAGGGTTAGTTCGGAGGAGAAAGGTGGTGCGAGAGAGAAGGGCAAAAGGAGAGTCAGAATAGTCGTCCTGTCGACTTGAGCAAAACGTATCTCTCCGTCAAGCCGATCATTCTGGCTTTTGGCCAGAGTCATAGACGACGCAGTAGGGACATAAGTTTGTACCCTACTTCAAGCCTTTCACGCAGAGTGTATCAAAGTGATTGTAGTTCAAACGTAGAGCATTGCTTTTGCCAGCGGAAGGGCCACAATGAAAGGTACAAGAACTAGTCCTTCCAATAACCCAATGATACCCTTGCCCTGTCTTAGAGCCCTCTTAAGGTACCTGGAGGTGGAAGTTGCTTGCAACGAGTCTGTTCGGCCCAAGTTTCTATCGCCAAGACTCCGGTTTAACTTCAGACTTCAACATCAACTTTTCAGCCTTTCAACTGGCGCTCGTCACTTTCACTCTTCCAGTTTCTTTCTCCGTACAAATACTTCAATCGCAAACATGACGGGCCCGCCGAACAAGCGTCAGAAGCGGGATGAATACAGAAAAGCTCAAGCAGGTGCTAATGGATCTCAAAGTGGCAAGATCGAACTCCCCAAGAAGAAATTCTATCGGCAGCGAGCACACGCAAATCCGTTTTCCGACCATGCTTTGACCTAGTAAGACTATCGAGCCACATATCATCGGGTTGGCCTTGAGACCTTGTTACTGACTTGTTATGCAGCCCAGCCAGTCCCTCTAAGATGGACTGGACCGGTCATTATCCTGCATTTGTGGAAACCGCCCAGCAGGACGGGACGGTAGCGACTATGACAAAGGAAGTAGAGATCGCAGACGTCGGCTGCGGATTCGGAGGCCTGCTTGTTGCGTTGTCACCCGTCTTCCCCGAGACGTTGATGCTGGGTAGACGGCCTCCCTGCATACAATGATCCTTGCTAACTCCGACCAGGAATGGAGCTTCGCACCCAAGTTCTCGACTACGTTATCAACCGGATTGCTGCGCTCCGGGCTCAGAACCAGACTTCTGACACCAAATATTCGCCCTATCAGAATGTATCTGCACTTCGCACAAACACCATGAAGTTCCTTCCCAATTACTTTCGCCGAAGCCAGCTATCGAAAATCTTCCTCTGCTTTCCAGATCCACATTTCAAGCAGAGAAAGCACAAAGCTCGAATTGTCTCAGCTCAACTAAATGCAGAATACGCATTCGTCACGAAACCCGGCGGAATGGTCTACACAATCACTGACGTCGAGGAACTCCACCAGTGGATGGTCAAGCATTTTGAGGGTGAAGAAGCTGGTGATGCGAGAGAATTGTGGCAGAGAGTGTCGGCAGATGACCTGGGCCTGGATCCTTGTGTCAAGATCATGAGTGAGGAGACCGAGGAGTCCAAGAAGGTAACGAGGAATGGTGGAAAGAAGTTCATTGCGGTATTCAGAAGGAAACAAGACCCCGAATGGCCGGAGTGATATGCTCGCAACACTCCAGCATTCGAAAGCAAAGGTGATGGAATGTCAAGTGTCAGATCTTTGCAAATGCTGGAGACTTCTCAAGCTCATGGCGCCTTCTTCTCGTCCTTCTCGCCAGTCAACGTTTCTGCACTTTGTCTGTCACCTACATTACTTTCGGTAGGAGCCATGCCAACCACTTCACCGCTCTTCAGTGCGTCAACGTCGATTTGAGGACCAGTATAGTTCTTGCGACCATCAACAAACCACTGGATGACCGAGACTATCAGGACAATTGCAAACGCTGCAATGCAATAGTTCATGTTGTTGCCGGTCACTGGCAACTCTGGTGGAAACATGAAGAGCACAGTCGTCAAGAAGGCGTAAGCGATCCCGATCTGCTGCTGGTCAACGTTGCTGTCGAAGAGCGACAAGGAAGGACTTACCAAATTACACGTCCAACCCAGCCAATTTGGTAAAATGAAAGCGCGAGATTCGGGCAACATCTTTCTGCCCCGGAGGCAGTTTATGGCGGGCGGAATGGCATACGTTATCCCGAGAGCTACGACCGAGGCCGAGACGATGGCGTTACTGTGGTGTCGTCAGGTTCGACAGCTCCATGACATGTCTGCGGGGGAACTTACAAGGCACTGCTTGAGCCAAGGAATATACACCCAAAGATTATGACGAGAATGAGTGTCAACCAGAGAGCATTTAGAGGCACATCCAACCGCTTGTCGACTTTGGCAAAAAATTTCGAAGCTGGAAGCCCGCGGTCTCGAGCGAAAGCATACACCATTCGGCTACTAGTAGTCATGATAGAGACCCCAGCGAACTATGCGGCCAGTCAGCTTGGCCATGCTTCCGGGATAGTGTGACTCACCAGCAAGCAGACCAAAGGAAACATCAACAGGCATATGGAGCCTGCTTTGTTGTTGGTGGCATCATAAAAGATTTGCAACATCGGGCCCGCCGCAGAGCTGATGACATTGTCGAGATCTTTGGAGACAAAAAGAAGAACGCTCAGGTATACAAAGCCCGTGACTACACCGATCAAGACACAGGCTATCATGATGCGAGGACCCTCAACGACAGGGTTGTTCAGTTCTTCGATACAATGGCTTACTGCGTCGTATCCGGTCAATCTGCAACAAGCCATCCGGGTCAGCATCCAAAGACTGCAATGCATGTGAGCTTCGTTCTGGATCACTCACCCGAGACCGCCCTGCAACAGGCCTAAAAGCCACGCCAGTCCATCGGGCCAGCCAGTCTCATTGATGAAGGTGCGATAGACCACATCGCCAGATTGATAATGAGGCGAGGAGCATGCGAGGACAGTTATCGAGATGACCAGCCAACCCGTAATCGACCAAATCAAAGCTGCTTTGGTGATCGAGGGAAGGAGTCTTGTCATGAAGGCATTGACCAGAAACGCGAAAGCATTGTAACCAATGTAGATCAGAAACTGATGCCAGCGTTGCGGCTCGTAAGAGGACGTCGTGAGCGAGATGATCCCCAGGATGAGCTGGCTACCCAGAAGACCAGCAGTCGCGGTCAGTGCAACCCAGCCGGCGGTATTGATCCATCCCGTGATCCAAGATAGGATTGGAACCCAACGTTTCCAGCTGATGACAGCGACCCAGTGATACTGTCCGCCGGCCGTGGGATACCTGGGCCGGTGTCAGCATTGTCATCATAAGTCATGGTGGCTACGTACGCAGATAGAAATTCGGCCAGCGATGCGGCCAGACACAAATTGCAAAGACCTGCTACGACCAAACCCCATATAACAGCATCGGGGCCTCCACTGGGGAGAGCCAGTGACATGCTGGCTCCGAGAGCAGTCCATGAGTTGAGAATTGCGAAAGCCAGACCCAGCATGGAGAACAGGGAGAAGTTGCGTTTCAGCTCCTGCTGGACTCCCAGTCCGGCCAACATGGCAGCATCCTCCTGGATGCTTGTCCTCCTTCGCGGAGTTCTTGAAGAGCGTCGTCTTCCTTCGGCCATTTTCGTGCACGTTTAGTCAGTGGTGTGAAAGAGCCCAAGGGACGAGTATCGACGTAACCTGCAAAGAAAGGGAATCAGGCCAATGTTATTGTAGTGGGCACAAGACGACGAAAGCACACGCCAGATGATGGACCAGAGGAATCAGCAAGGACTACTACGTCAGCTGTGCGATAGAATATTTATTGCACGATATCAGGCTTACCGATTGTGTCCTGGGCTATGAGTGGACACCAATTCAAGATCATCCGTGGACCTTAGGTAAAAGGATGAGGCAAGCGTGACAGCACTCGTCTCGAAGGAGCAATTCGATGCAGGCAGTGGACCATCGCCCGCCCGCCAAAGTGCGAATAGTGGTGGCAATAAGCAAACCAAAGCAAAGCTTGAGATGGGAGCCAAGGCCAACCCCGGATTGTTCTGGCTGTGTCGCATTGGCCTGTGCCATAGGGCGCCATCAGCGCCTTCTTGTTAATCAAGCCACCGATGTCACATCAACTGTTGTGGTTGTGACCAGGCTTATGCTTATGTGTCACAATCTTGCCACATCGCGGTGTTTCCGACATGCATTGAGATGTCCGCTATTCAAAGCATTGGAAGACACTGCAGATGGCTACGACCACACCAGCAACGTGCGATACAAGTCAATTAAACAGAGCTATTGCATGGTGACGGTGGTGCAGTGATGCGGCCTCGAATCGTCCAAAGAGAATGTTGGCCGCAAGGAGTACAGGTGGTGGCGACTCGGTCATCAGCCTTGTCGACACCCACCGAATCCCATTCGTCAATCCCTTTGTCAGTTCAATGATTACCTGGAATAACAACTTGATGGCAGTAGCTTCAGCCTCGTGCAATGGGCGATCCTTCGTTGCGACTCACATTCCTAGCATGACTACAGTGCACATGCTTTGTATGCCAACAAAGTAATGTTACAAGTTCCTGGCTGCGTGAAAATGCTCGCAGAATCCAGATATGGCAAGTCTGAACAAAGGAACCCAGTGGGAGCTGGACTTTCATTGTTTAACGTGCCTTTTGCCTGCTATTTTTATTCTCAAAGAGATGTCCAGGTTGTCAAAATGGAATGGATTAGACCCTTCAAGACATTCGCAATATCACCGGGGCCACAGAAGTCGATATCGCTGACGCCAGCTATACAATCATCAACATGTGTGAATCGCATATCATATACCAGCTTTGCGGGCACGTGAAGATCAAAACCATTGTCCAATGTGCTGATGTAATCGAGAAAGTGATAGCGTCCAAGTTACAGGCCAGCTGCCCACATCAGCTCTGCGCCGATGTCAGTGACAACATCCACATCTTCCCGGACATTTGCGACAAATGCCAGCAAAACGGGGTCATTGGCGGTATCATGGAACAGCAGTCAGGCATGAAGCTTAAAATTCTGCAAAGTTGGAAGAAGCAGCACAATTTCGACGCAGCATCAGCGTCGCGATCAGATGGAGCAAAGGAGTCTCTAGCTGCCGCAAATGACAGCGAGTTTGAAAAGATCGAACAACTAGAGACACTCGGGGTCCTGAGGGTGGCAGGCATTGCAAGCATGGAGACATCAGATTCCGGCAGTCTCGTAACAACATCAACCCCGGAGACTGTGGCATCAAGCCAGACTGCCTGTGAAGGAACAACAGATCTCAGCTCCATCAAGACTCGGATTGCGGCGTTGAAGGACCGGACCGAGCGGCTACTTTCCAGGGTTCGTGTACATAAGACATGGCGAGCAACTTCGGGCACCGAGTGAGGGGGTTAATAGGGAACAAGTAGGGAGGATTTTTGACTACGATCCCTATATATTAATGAATGAAGAGTTGTTGATGATGGTCGAGATGGGTCAATTTCTAGGCGTCGCGTGCCGCGTCATCCGGGGTCCCGAGAAAAGAATGGCCCCTGGGTGGCCTCCACACGCGGCCACTAATGATGTTGTTCCAGTTAAAGGCCGTCGCCTGAAAACCAAGCTTTGACTGGGCATTCTTGGCCATGAAACAAGGCAGACGCATGGGCAATTATGGGCATCATGGCGTCATCCATCCAGGGGACCGCGAGTACTATATTCCATAGTATTATGGACATTTCAAAAGGTCAACGTTGCCATGTCGAGCGTTCCAGGGCATTGCACTACGTACCATTCTTTTTGCATCCCAACTCACAGGTTATTGTCGTGGTGGTCTTGTTCCCTTTGTCGAGCACAACATCTGCTCCGTGACGATCTGCCAGTTTGTGGCTTCCATTGCCATGGTTGGAAAGCGAACCTTTCACAGAGACGGCAACGAAAATGATGACCACACGCGACATGATGACCTGGAATCAGGACGTCCCAACCGACGCTTTGGTGGCTTTAGAGATGCTGTGGAGTTCGTGATCGACCGCAAAACCACTGCTGCATTGAAACAACAGCTGAAGGACGGCGTTCAAAAGGATAACGCCTTTCAGAACTTGAGAAAAAGTGATGAAGAGGTGGGTTTCCAGAGCGCTTCCATGGTGGTGAAACTGACAAGTGTCGCTATCCAGTTGAAAAGCATTAAGAACAAGAAAGTGCGCAAGTTCTACGAACGCCAAAATGCCCGCTTGAACGATTGGGCCGAGGTCGATACCATAGTCATAGCCATGGCTGACGATGTTATGGAGAGCATGAATACCGATGCAGATCGCGATGGGGTCAGAGAGAGAGAAGGCCGGCTGCAGACCGTCCACGAACATATCGAAGACATGCTCCCAGATGATATGCAGCAACAACGAGCCAGAGCGGGTCGCAATGCACGGTGGGCAATCAACATCAATGTGATCGCCAACATCATCCTACTTGTTGCAAAGGGAATAGCCGCCTTGAAGTCTTCATCACTGTCGTTGATTGCTTCACTGCTGGACTCGGCCCTCGACTTGTTGTGTACGGTCATTGTGTGGACCACCAACCGCCTGGTGTCGTGGAGACTGTCAGCCCTTGCGAAGAGATTCCCTGTCGGTCGCCGGCGACTTGAACCCGTTGGAATCCTTGTCTTCTCGATTATAATGGTCATATCATTCCTGCAGATCTTGCAAGAGTCAGTCCAGAGATTGCTTCCCAACGGAGACCATTCCATCGCAACTCTCCCGACGCTGGCTATTGCTGCAATGGCCGGAACTGTGGGCATCAAAGGTCTTATTGGGCTAGGCTGCATCCGGATCAAGACGACCCAGGTGCAGGCTCTGGCGCAAGACTGCAAGACGGATGTATACTTCAACACGCTTTCGCTGCTCTTCCCGCTCATCGGCAAACAGGCGGGTGTTTGGTGGTTGGATCCCTTAGGAGCGGCGTTGCTCTCGTTGTACATCATCTATGACTGGGCCGATACGTGCATCGACAATATGTCTCGACTCTGTGGGCTGGCGGTCGACGAGCACCTGCAGAACAAACTCATCTTCCTTGCGTATCGTTTCAGCAACCTGGTCTCCGGATTCAAGTCGGTCACTGCGTACCATGCTGGCGATGGCGTTTGGGTTGAGTACGATATCTTGCTGGAGGAAGGGACGCCTTTGCGTCGCACACATGATATTGCCGAGACGTTGCAGTACTGCTGTGAAGCTTTGGCTGAGGTGGATCGTGCTTTTGTGACGACAGATTGTAAGGCTTTTGCAAGATCTTTTGGGATGTGAGACACTGCTGACACCTCGACAGATTCCGTCCAGAACCCTGGCGGTCACACTAGAGACATGATGTAAAATAGCTTCCCTTCATGACATGTATACCACAAGTAGAGGAGAATACACAAACATTATGGACATGAACTTGCCTCAACTTTACCTACCTTACCTAGGTAGTCAAACCTCGACAATGGCATCTGTTGATGGCATTGTTTGCGCCGCCGCAGCTCTAGGGGCCACGGCCGCAAAGACCGCCGTGTCGGCAGCCGTTTTGGCTGTCATAATAGACGATCATGAAGACGATAGCTTAGATATGTAATCGGCGCTCTCGCAATACGGAGATGCAACTGACCTCTGGTGTCAAGTGTCGAATGTCAAGCGAGTCAAGTTCCCCGCAAATTGAGCCTAGTGAGCCTGGTAAGCCGAACCCTTCTGCCTTGTATCTATCTGCCCTTGGCCACCTCCTGTACTTGCACATGGACTTCTTGAATCATCGAATAAACCACTTCAATCTCCACTTCTGTCCCTTTTGCAATTCCTTCTTTACTGGCAACACTATTGACCTTCTCAGCCCGCAGGACGATAGAGAAGATGCCCGCCACCGCCGTCACCAGAACCTCGCGCCGAGGCGCAGTCTCAAAGGTGACATCTGCGAAGTCGAGATCCGTTCCTCAGAAGAAGCCCACCCTTCCCAGCCCGGAAGAGGCTCGTGTTCTCGAAGAGCTGGAACAAGATCAGTACACATTGAATCGGACCAAGCAGTGGGTAGCGTCACTCTCTGATGGCAAAGCTGAGACCGAAACCTCTCCTCTGATCCCGATGTCCAAATCAGTCTCTTCCAAGCCCGCCGCAACGAAACTCTCATCTACGACGACCAAGAGTCCAAAGCAGAAGAAAAAGCCCGAGCAGGAGGAGGAGAAGCGGCTGAGAAGATTTCGAAGCAAGCCACCAGCCTCATTCCTTGTCAAGCTGCAAAGAGCCAGGACTCAGCGCATGGTCGTTCTGGGACGCAGACGAGTCACGCAAAATGGTGCCCCTTGCGAACACGTTGACATCGTCGGCTCAACGGGAAATGTCTATGAGGTCTTTGTCTGCCACACACCCACTTGCACCTGTCCAGATGCGCTCAAGGGCAACGAGTGCAAGCACAAAGTCTATGCCCTGAGCACCGTGCTCAAGGCTCCAGAACACTTACAGTATCAACTCGCCTTGCTCACCACCGAGCTTGAAGAAATATTCGCGAATGCACCTCCTATTCCCACGGATATCGGAGAAGAGGAGGACTCCAAGGGCAATCGCAAACCGACCGACGGCGAATGTCCAATCTGCTACATGGATCTTCACCCGGAGCACAACAAACTTGTTTGGTGCAAGGCACAATGTGGACACAATCTGCACAAATCTTGTTTCGATCAATGGGCTGCCAGTATGGCTGGAAAAGAAGTCCGTTGTGTGTACTGTCGGACACCCTGGGAACTCGACGTGGGCGACTCTGAAGCTATCAAGAAGGCTGGGGAGTACAGTGCTGATGGTTATGTCAATGTTGCACAACAGTTTGGCATGTCGAGGGCCCGGGACTACACAAGTTATCACCAGCCTTGGGTGCGGCGACAGTTTGGGGTTGGCTGGTGATGACCGGTTAGCAAGCTGCTAGGTTATGGAAAATCGACTGAAGGCTGGATGTACAGGACCCAGGTGGTCCAGCACCAGGCATCTGAATGCCTTTGTCTCACTGGAGGTCTAATAAGCGGGTTCACCCGGGGGTCGGCGACGAGCTGGTCTCACCATCGATTATGGCGTCCCACAAGGTGGGGAGACTGCACAACACATTCATGCTATGACCTGGAAGAAGCGTACGAATTGTTATCATTTTGTTGGGCAGCTCTCTTCGCTCATTTCGTACCATAATTGATACCCAACACTAAGACAGAAATAAAAGAATGGAAGAAAGTGCTACTAGGTCAGGGGTATATCATCCCAAAAAGCGTGCGAAGAAAAACCCTGTTCCCAGTGGAAGCTGAATGGTTGTGACATTGAAGGTATTAAAGAGGTATAACAAAACTGCTTCGAATATCTCATGATACACAACAAGTAATGCGTGCGTGGCTGGACTTTTCATTCATTACCCCTACCTCCTGGGACTGTACACCAATACCTCGATACAAGCCATCCATAATCGAACATATAAAATCCATGCCTTGATGTCGAAACAAGCGCTTTTGGCTATGCCTGGATAGATCCTCCATAAAGAATGCCACGAGCTGCGATCGACAGGGCAAGGGAACGACATGCGGCCGGACACCCAAGCCGATTGACGGAATAAATCCTGCAGAGGCCCCTTCACTGCGAGCAATAAATCCGGGCATATAGCCATGCCACTGCAAACCATGCTGGGTTGAATGCGCACAACGCTCCAGCCATGGAATAAATCCACAATAGCACAATTCACCCGCTTGCGACAGAGTTTCCGAACCGTGAACAAAGAGCCGCCCTGGGTATCATAAATATCGTAAGAAACCTCCAAACGCTAAAGGTGCACAAAGAGAGAAACGAAAGGAAATTTCGACCATCAAACTATTGTCGGTCTGTCTGAGAGGGTGAGCCCACTGACTGACGGCACAATCAACTTGATACCGGCATAGGTTTATCTTTCTGAAGTAGATGGGTCCAGTTGAGGAAGTCGAATTTATCCTTGTCTTTTGCGGACTGTGGCGCATCAGGATTCGGACTTCTGTTGGGCTCTCTGGGCTCCAAGATCAGGGAACGTCGGTAATGCATCTGAAAGCTCTTTTCGCCAGCCGATCGAACACGGACTAACTGATCTTGCATCCAAGTCTGCAGCTCGGAAATCTCGGCGAATCGGTAGGGGATCTGGAACCGCTGGAGGTCGGATATGATCTTGGCTGTGCTCATGTGTTTGTCTAAGTTGATGACTGATATCTTCCCTCGGTCAGTTGCCAGGGGTCGTGTGGCAGGATATGCAGAGTCAACCATAGTAAGATCGGTCAGGTAGACACCGATGAATGGTAGGCAGGGTGGGAGATGCGATTGGACTCGTTGCCGCAATACGGAGTAGTTTTTGGACACGTCCACCACTTTGCAGAGCTCTTCAAAAACGGATTTTGTCTTCTGAGGTACACCTTCCCAAGTTTTTCTCATGCGCTTGATGTTGGTCGAGTCCAAAGCACAGACGATCGCCATGAGAGCGTCATAGTTGTGCAGTTCCAAGCACCGATTCGCAATCTTGACCCATTGCTTGACAATAGCAGCCCGCCTTTTCGGCTCTTCGAGCTGAAGAACGGAATCTGAAACGAGGTTTGAAATGTCCGTTGACAGTGTCGATAAGGCTCTGACGTTGACGGCCAGAGAACTGCTACGTTTGGTCCATTCCGTCCCAAGGAGTTCTTCTGGTAGGATTGAACAGAAGATTTTGGAAGTCTTCAGTGTGATCTGACGAGCAAGCTCGAGAGGATCGAATTCGAGAATGCTGACACTAGCACCCCCCATTTTCCACATCCTCAACGCAGTAAGTTGACTCTTGGATATGATCGGATTCGGTAACGGCGAGTTCGGGTCGATATAGGCTCCAGAAGAGGTACTGGTTTTGCCCATTGCTGATACTACCCTGGGAACAATAGGCCCGGTGGCCGACGAGACCTGCTCCGCCAGTTCGAGAATCCTGTTGCCCGCCATTGGGAGGACCGGAATCACTGATTCTCTTGCGAGTCCGACGATGATTGGGAGAGCTGTGTCATCACAATCATGTCTCCAATGGGATTCCATCCAACCCTTGAGGACGTTGTACACTCTTAGCCTCACTGGATTGGCAATTCTTGAGTTGTCGGCCACGTAGTCGAACCGATATGCCAGCGCCGAGGCAAATTCTTCAGGTTGAGCAAACAACCGAAACGTAAGATAGATGGTGCTGATGAAAGACACATCCGGGGTCGAGTCATGAGCTGTCAGACGTTCGACCAAGGCATTCAGGGTACCACCCACGACTACTCCCTCCCGATTAAAGATGAGCTCCTGGGCAAAAGTGTGAGCCAGGATTTCGGCCTCGGCGTCCTCGTCATCTCCGAGAGAGGAACGGTCGTCGGCGGTCGACTGTGCAGATATAGACTCCGCCAAAGAACCACCGCCGTACATTGATGTAATTCTCGTTGATGCGCTTGATAGATTGCTCGGATCGGACCGGCGATGACTCGCCTCTAAGCTGCTGTCGCTACCTGTACTACCTGCAACGGGTAGAACTACCGACTTCCGATTCCTCTTGTCAAGGCCTGGCTGAAAGGAGCCTGGCGCACGTGCATTGACGTCTGGCTGGAGTGAGGATGCAGGCGGCAAGGGAGAGGAGCGAATGATATCCGCAATCACATCATCTCTGGGGGTAGGAGGGATACTGCCAGAGCCCGTCGAAGGGGAATCCGCAGTGTCCAAGGAGAGAGGAGGAGTGAGCATACCTCGAGACACTGCAATCCGAGGATTGTCTGGTTGTCGCTTGAACGAATCCCTCGCAGATGGTGCTGGCACCGAGGACCGAGCGACACTGCTGGAACGGACATCGTGACTCGTGGAGTCGGGTGTGTTGGAACTGTCGGAGCCTCTTCCCACAAGCTGTGCCGGATTCTCCACTTCGAAATCACCAATCTCTTCAAGTGTTGCCTTCGTCCTTGCGACACATCGACCTGCAGCGCTTACACAAGCGGTAGCAGCTCGCACGAGATTCTGAGCCTCTTCTGGTAGATAGACCAACTCATCTTCCATAGAATGAATGGGTTTGAAAACTTGCCGGGCGGCATGCACCAGCTCGGTGATGGCGTAATACATGGCATCTTTGGCCTGGATCAACGGTCTAGAAGTGCTATAATCTCGTTCAATGACTGTTTCAACAATGGCAAAGAGCTGACGGCAGGACCGAACGGCGTTCTGTGTAGTCGACAACAGTTCCGAGGAAGACCTCGATTGCATGTGAGACCCCAGAAACGAGGCTAGGACGGTCAAAAAGTCATCGTAAGACTTGTGCAGGTATTGGGAAATGAGATTAGGGTTCTTCTGGACGGTCCCTCGCGTGTAGGACATTCGATGAGTGGTTGACGAATGTCGGCGCACAGTAGTGCTCTGAGAGACTTGGCCGACACTGCTACGTTTGGATACCATGCTGGACGTGGCAGCGGGAGGAGCCGCGCTCTTGTGCAAAACTGTAGACTGAGGCCTTCTGGAGCCTGGCGATGGCAGAGCCGCTGTTGAGTCGGCTGGAGACACCTGCGCGCTGGGCGGGCTTGAAATAGCTGCAGAGATTTGCTCACTCCAAACATCAAAGAAGAGCACTGCTCGAGTGACGATGCGAAAGGCCTTCAGAAGCATGTCATCTAGCCTGATATCGAGATCCTTATGTGAAGAAGAAACCGTCACTATCTGTTGGAGTTGTTTGGCGGTGCGGACCAGCAACGCCAGATCTGATAGGAGACTCTTGCGAGACCTGCGGATGGCATCATGTTGTATGACCAAGGCGGCATCTCGTGTAAGGCATTCTGATCGTTCCAACAATGCACGGACTCCGGCTACCAAGCCTCTCATGTAGTCCTGGTTGCGGAATAGATTCAAGTTGGAGTCGCTCCCACACCTCACGATGTCCCAAAATTCAGTCAAAGCTTTGAGAAGGGGTCGCATGGCGGCGTAGTCGTAGGCTTCGCAATAGTTGGTGGGCAGCCAGCCGCGGGCACCGGTTTCCAAAAGAGTCCCGTCAGCCCATCCATTAACGTGCACCGAGTGTACCAATATGATGTCTCCGGCATTGAGAGGAAGCGTAACGGTAGCGGTCGAGTGGGGAGACGAGGGTTGGAATGGGTAGAGGGCTCGGAGATAGTTGTGGAATCTTGCATGAGTGGGAGCCAGTTGGTCCAGGGTGTCCGCATCCAAGGGCGTTGTGGGACTGGATTCATTGTAGGATGCGCCATGGTGGTCGTCACCACCAATTTTGTGTATGCGCAGAGGCGCAATGAATATGTTCGAGGGCTGACTTTGGCGCATATTGCCGCGGAGACTTGTCACGCATCTCGTTCAGCATTGGACACTTTGCGCCTTCAATGTAGTCATCTTCTCTCCACTGTCATGTATCGGGGTTGTGTCAGGATGAACGACCTGTCAACTGCGCTGGATGGGATTTGAGGAATGCAAGACGGTGTCGATTCGCAGACCGGTGATACAACAGACTGTCGCGGTGACCCTGGAATATGTATGGAGTATAGGAGGGCAGAATCTCGTGCAATAAAAACTGTCAAACGATCCAAGGGGTCGAGGAGCAAATCTGAGGCGAGGGGTGGCTGTCGGGAGACGCAAGGATCAGGAGGGGGTTGCAGCTCGCGTCACAACACGCCCAAAGAGTGCAAGACAGTTGGCAGCGAGGATGGTGAGATCGGATCGGCTCGAGGGAATCAATGGTCGATTGCAGACGCGAGGGAAGTAGTCGTGGGTGGAAGAAGGTAAGGAGCAGTAGCAGAAGCAGAAGCAGGAGCCGACTGAGAAGTGCTTGGGAATGGGTTGACCGGCATCGTGCACACGGCTCGCCTGCTCATGTTGCAATCCTCCATCCCAATAATCGCAAAGCCACTTCACCAAAAAGTACAGACGCACAGACGGTACTGTACCAGGCCGGGGAGGAGTCAATCGAGCCTCCCAGCCTAATAAGCCCACCATCGAGTCCCACAAGTGCCAGGCCACTGGCTCGACCACGGACGGCACGATGGGTGCTTTTAGGGTATGGGGTCCTCCGGCTGGCCGTACCGATCGCTGCAAGAGGGTCGAGCTCACTAGGCTCACTAGGCGCGGTCCAGGCGTCTGTTTGACCTAGCACGACCTAGATAAGTAACTAGTGGACCTCCGAGACCACATCTCGCTTACCCAGAACTCGCACCAGTCTTGCTCTGCGGGCTGCTAGGCGGCATCATGCTGAGACACGTTGGAAATCAAACAAGGTGTTATCATCAAGACAACACACCACAACGGTCTTTATGCAGCCATGGCCACTAGCATATTACCTGTGTTCTCGTTGGCATGTCCGGGTCTCCGACAGCCTTGCCAGCACTGGACAGACCATAGATAGTACGAGTGATCCTCCTGCCATGCGATATCTTCTTCTTCGAGACTCGAAACCTCTAAAAGCGAAACCATATTATTCTCCAAGCCCAGCAACCGGCCGTGGCTACAGCTGACTTCCGGTTTGAGTCCCTGGTCGTAAGGTGACTGTTTCAACGGTCAAAGGACTGGACGTTTCAGCTTGGAATAAAATAAAGAAATCACTGCTATCTGACACCACGCACGATCTCCCAATTTTGTGCCCAAGTTTTTATCACAGCCCGTCACAAACGCCAATTTAGCATCCGAGTCATTGTCGTCTCGACCACGACTTCGTACGGCGCCGCATGAATCATCAAGACCATGGCTTTGTTGACTGCAGTAGTGCCTACCCTAGCCACGACCAAAACGGCCAGCGTCTGTAATGGCCGCAATGCCCAGCCGAGCTCAACGTAACCAAGGAGCAGGACAACAACCCATCAGCAGCAGCGTTGTTGCAATGAAATCGCAAGCACTATCAGGTGTCAACGACGTAGCAAGAGGCACATTTCGCGTGATTTCGGGGTAAACTAAACTGGAAATTTGCATTGCGCCGTCCCCAAACACAGTTTCATCGACCGCGGGATTGCATACTATAGCGGTCTGTCAATTTAGTCTACCTCGAGTGGAACCAGTCCGCAGCTCTTGAAGAGACTCAACATTCTCTCGCACCAATTCGAACGGCGCAATGGTGCATGAAGACTTGAGCTCTACACCTGGAAAGATGACCGCTCCACGGCCAATGATCACATCCGCCCCAATCTTGACTCTTTTGGCAACCCATGGAGCGCCAGCGCCCTTGCGATCAACCATATCCTTGCTAACGTCTGCTGTATAGATGATCACGTCGCTGCCAATGTGCGTTCTCGCTCCGATATCAACCTGGGCAGCATCATCAATGGTGCAATTCTCCCCGATGAAAACGTTTTCAGCGATGTGGATGTTATAGCCGTATGAGCATCTGAATGGCGCCTCGATCACCACGCCCGGACTGAGCAAGCCTTTTGCTGGGGTTGGAACAAGTCGATGGATTTTGTCTTTGCTGGGATCAAACACCATCAGCAACAGCTCACGAATTTGTGTTGCGCTCAAGCCACTGTCGATGTCACATGCGTTGTTGTAGCGTGCAAGAGCCCGCTTGCATCGGGCACGCTCGTTTCGCAATGTTTCGTCGAGGTGATTGTATGATGACTGTCTCAGCATCCGGGAGCGCTGAATGTCCTCCTTGTTGAAATGCTTGGTTACGTGCGGTTCGGAAATGATCGGGACCTGGACGGACTGTCCGACCGGTTCTGCTGCAGCTTGAACGTATGATGGCTGCGTCTCATGTTGCGACGCTGGAACCCATGGCTGCCGCGTGCGTGTTTGTGGAGGGGAAGAAGAATGAGAGTGAGTCGCAGAGGGCAAGTGTGACGGTGTAAGGCGCGGAAGCGGTGCGTCATCAGGGCGTGGCTGTGGTTGGTAATGTAGCGGGTGTCCGCCACGCTGGGGATAAGGTGGGCTTTGATTTGTTGGTCTCGTCATTTCTGGTGGATAAGAAGCTGGAGATTGTTCTGAACGAACGAGTTCGGGAAGCCGTGGAAGTGGAAGTGGAAGCGGATCAGGGTTATATGGAGGATATGCCAGCGGAGGTGAATAGTACGGCCGCCGTCCGGCTTCAGTCTGAGGAGGGGCTGGTATATGTTGTCCATGAGATGGATTCTCTGGCACAAAGTATTGCTGACGGGGGTTGCCATGGTGGTTGGGTTGAGCCGGCCGCTCTAGGCCAGGTCCGTTGTGAGTAGGGGCAGGATTGATCGGTGGTGGCGGATCGATTTGAAGGCCATTATGAAGACCATTATGAAGACCACTATGCAGACCATCATGAAGACCACTATGAAGACCATCATGAAGACCATCATGAAGACCATCATGAGCTGGTTGCTCCGACACTTCGACATGGCCGTTTTTCGACTGCAGAGGCGGACCGCCGTTGGCCGGATTGGGCTTGTTTGTCCAAGTAGACCTTGTAGACTTACTGTAGCCCCTACATGCAAATCCACCTTTGGTGCAGTTCAGGCCTGATTGTCGAAGCAGTTAGCTCAGCTTGTACTTAGAGTCGACTGAATGATGGAAAGGGAAGTTCAACTCACACCATGGGCGTTGCTCGTCACATTTTTTCTTCCGGTGCCGGCAGGTCAAGCATCCTGTCTTTGTTCTGTTGCTGAAATTACGTTTTCGCTTGGGACCAATCACCACAACACCCGGAGAAGAATCTGGGTGATATTGTTCAGGGTCAGGCTCTTGTCCTCCGTATGATGTGTGGGGGTAGTCCGTCGACTGGCTGACCACACCGTTTGACTGGCCGGCCACACCGTTCGTCGACTGGGCTACCATACCGTTCGTTGACTCATCGACCACACCGTTTGACTGAGAGGCCACACCGTTCGTCGACTGGGCGACTACTCTGTTGGTCCGGGGCTGCAACACTTCGATTGTGTCTTGTTGTGAGGAATCCGCGAACTGAGCAACGGGTCCACTGGAAGGAGAACTTTTGACAGCAACCTCAGGTTGCCAACTACGTCCATATTCGTTGCCGTTCTCATGGGGGTAGTGATCGCCTGGGTCGCGATCAGATTTGGAAAGCTCGCGCAGTGCTCGATTGGCGGTGACCACGTGGTGTGATCCAGATTGGTTGAAGTGGTTGTACTCGGATGACGGTCCTTGAGTCAATCTCACCATCTCGTCAGAGCTTGAGCCTGACCGCTTGCGCTTGTGATGGTGAACCTCTGGACTGTCTGGGTGAGGATAGAAGTTGGTTGATGTAGAAGACACGTCGTTTGCTCGTTGAGCTTCGTCATATGGTGACGGGTATGGATTGAGTTTGTCTGTGATTGACTTGGAGTTAGAGGAATGTTCACCAGGTGCGATGGCAAGCCATGCTGGATGCTGCTTTGAACAACTCCCCAGTACCAGCTCTAGAAGCAGGGGTTTCAAACTTACATTCAATCTCTCCCATTTTTGCGGTCGTTGCATGCCAACCTGATGATCACCTTGCTCGCCACTGGGATTTGATCGTTATAAGTGTTTAGAGACGTACTCCTGCAGGCGGCGACTCCTGAGCTAGTGAAAAGGGATCAGAGAGATATTCGAGCCTGAGACAAACGGGCGCTAACAATGGCAATGCCGTGCCTGTGGTTGAACCCCGATGACGTATCTGGAAATGCGAGCTATCTGAGACAGGTCTGAAATCTTCGGACCTTCTGGAAGAGTGACACACGCAAAGAAGGAGATCCGTAGAAGATGGGCGCTTAAATGACCGTGACGGCTGGGACAAGGCAAGCGCCGGGATTGGGCAAGGAGATGTGAAGAAGCTGGACGATGAAGCGAATATCGTGCGAAGTGATGGTCTCAGGCAGGTCAACAGTGACACGTCGTCCAGGAGGTTGATGATATGATGATGGGAACAGGACAATAGACCCCGCCTGGTTGGATGTTGTTTTCTGCTCTCTGCGTGAGGTTGTGCAGCTACTGTAGGCGCGAGAAGCGCAGGCGCAGCTTAGCAAAAGGGCCGAATACTCCGGTTTGCGGCACACTGGAAGGTTGGCGTGCACCGACGAGGCGAGAGTTGATTTTACGGACTGGCAGAGGACCTTCAGAAGATGGAGAGCGAGCACGATATGAATGAAGACAAGAGACGAGGAGAAAAGGTGAGAAAGAGTGAGGTGGCAGGTGGCATGGGCGGTGCCTGTGGGAGTCGAGGGAGTCTGGGAGAAGGCAAGGAAACCAAGATCGAGCGGGGCCAGCGCCATAGTGTCATACTGCCGGGCGCTTGGAAAGGCGCTTGCCGTAGTGCGATTGCAGTGCTTGAGTGCTCTGACTGGCAAGTCACAAAGGACTGGCGTCTGGCGTCACCCGGCGTCAATTAGCTCCTAAGACACGGAACCGCGCGAATGATCCTTGGGGTGTGCGGCAAATGTGGGTGTCAGTGTGAAGAAAGTGGGCACCATCCATGGCACTGCCGATCCCAATTCTTCGGAGTCCCGACGATGCTGTTACACACTACCGGACCTCGCTGATCATGACTGATTCCAAAAGCCTCGCATTGACAACCAATAATTTCTTGGTAGGGTAAATCGAGTCAACGATCAATTGCAAGGTACTGCGTACATGAGATGGACCGGACTTCGCACTTTCCGGGGAATGTCGGTGAGCTTCATTCTGCTGCATGCAGGTCGAGTCCGAGACGTGCCCAGCATCAGGCTTGCATGGGCTGAACTTGAAGTCGTAAGAGAGGGGTATGAGTGGTAGGTCGTCCAAGTGGTGATTCACCTGACACCATACCCTGACACCGGCATCTGCAACGAGCTGCTTGTGAACGAAAAGGATGGCCGCCTGAGCCCTCCTTCTGCCCGTCCTGGCGGTTGATTGGGTGCGGCTGCGGTGAAATGCCCTGCGCGCATCACCTCGCTTGCCAACAAGTCGAAGTCGAAAGTCCGCGCGTGTGGGGGCGTCATCTGAGACAGGCGAGGCCGCAGGCGCAGCCGTCAGACGCCGGGCAGGGCATATCTCATACGAGCTCGTATTCAGCAGAGGAAATATTTGGCGGCTGGCTGTGCTGTGCTGTGCTGTGCTGGGGTCGCCCAACACTTTACTAGTACATTCTTCACCAACAGGTAAACTTCAATGTAAGCTCTACGGAGTACAGCACTCGATACGAGTACAGGGATAGAGTATCCAGAGCACCATGTATCTTTCATCCGGACCCAATCCAATTATCCCACGCCGCACCAAATCCAAGTTGCTCGCTGCTGCCCATGTCTTCTGTAAAGGCACGCCCCCCGGATCCGAAGTCCTGATCGTCATAAACCTCTACTGTCACTGACAAAGTTGGTCGCCCATGAGCGCACTGAAAAGGAAGAGTACACCGTGAAAGCCTCTGTATCAGCTCAGTACACTCCCCCAGCGACAATTCGTCATTGAACATGACAGCCGTGCGGCAAGATCGAGACTTGAGCATCTCTACCATAAGTGTTGGACAATGAGCAAAATCTGAAAACCAAGCACTTCCATCATCTGACCTTTGATTTGTCGGAATGTCTCCAGAACCTTCTCCGGACGGACGACAGCGGCGTGACCAGATGCCACTACGCAGTAGATCAATTAGAAGCTTGGGCTCCGCGCGGCAGCGCTCAGCAATGAGTGTAGGTAGCGCGCTGACTTCCACGCAATAAACTTGACGACCGCCCCGGGTCGAGCATCCTTCACGGATGGTATATGTGACGCACCACCTCTGGAAATACCCCTGCTGCTGCTCAAAAAGTGTCGCCTCGTTCTCATCGATGTCAAACACCAATGGCGTAACAAGGCTAGTTGAAGCGCTACCACAGATGTCCTGGCACAGCCGCTCATATTTGACTCGCTCATCGGCGGCATGTTGATCAACAAGGACAAGAATATTTCCGCGTTCTCCATCCGACGGCATCAGGCATCCTGGTAGCATAGCAAGCACGAATTTATGATCAACTTGACCAACGACCCTGGCGGCAGCGAGTGCTTCCTTAGTCAGTGTGAGGCCCTTCCCGCTGCAAATATTGGAGGTTCCCGCGGTTCTTCCACCTCCATCTGAAGGCGGTATCTCATGGGTCGTAAGGGACATGATCGGCTTCTCGGTGTGCCTACGGTCAAGAAGCCCTTTGTACTTCTGCAAGCGGGTTGTCAACCCAAGATGACCTTTCGGCTGAGCTTCCAAGGTTGCCGTTTTTGCTCGCCTCAATTCGAGTCTACGACCTAGCGAGCCAGAAGCGAGATGCGGCGGCAGGCTTCGATCGACGTCACCATCTCTATTGAGAAGATGAGCCCCAGTTCGTGGGTGAATGCGAGTTGGCTGACCATTACGAGGATTTACCCAGATAATAGGGCGGGCTTCGTCGTCTTGTTGCCCAACCTGATCGACGTATTGCTCGAACCGAGTCTCTCCACGGATGTTGCTGATGCCGTGCTGATTGCTAGTCACACGTCGTGAATCAATATTGTCATTGTTATTGTGTACTGATGCGGGTAATTCGGCAACTGCCTGGTCTTCATTGACTGGTTTCGAACAACTTAAGCCATAACTCATGTCTTCGGCACCAAGACCTCGCCCGCTTTTGACACGATGCCAATGCCTGAGGGTGCTGCGATCAGAGCCCCTTCGTGAACAAGCAGAATTGAATCCTTGAACAGGACTTGCAACCGACAGGTTCTTTGGCGACGCCTCTGAACTTAGGAGGCTGGCTTTGCGCTTGCCTCTCGTCCTGTATTTGAACCCATTGTCCTCTAAAAATTGGTAGGTCAACGTTTCCAACGCATTCACAAGATGGTCGATCTGGTGGTCAAGCTCCAACAATTCGCTTGAATGCATCAGTGTAACTCCTGTGTCGGCCCTTGTTTCGATACGAATGTAGAACATCGGCCAACGATCGACACCTTTCCCATATTTCCCAAATGCTGGTTGTTGATTGGGTATCTTTCGAGGCCCGCTCGCCATTCCCTGGAAAGTCAGGGTGTCCTCCACAGCACCAAAACTTGAATTTGAGATGATTTCATTCACCACATCCGACATCCAATTGTTTTTGTCTTCACGGACTAGTGGAAATTGTCCCAAGGAGATGAACTGGCAGGTCTTGAAGGGCACAGGCTCGATCGCTATGGCGGCGCGAATTGCAAACTTGCTGGTGACAAGAGACAAAGTTCTCCAGGATTCTGTGCTGGCGCTTGCGAGAAAATTGGCGCGATGCAGCGTAGCGGCCACAAGATTCACAGAGCTTGTAGGGCAATTCCCTCGGCCAAGATCCTGATGAAGATATCGTCGCTTGCCGCACTTCAGGGCTACTCGCAGTTTCTGTGCCCTGGGTCTGGCGAGCAGGTAGCCCACAAGCATCAGCTTAAGCCGATCAAACGTCTTGTCCACCCCTGCCTCATTCGAGTATCGGACAGACATCTGCTTCAGGCGTACCGGCACATCTCCAAAAAGGTTCCGAACCTCGACATGTGTACCACTTTCTTCGAGCCCGCCATCTTCTATGCTCAGTCGTAGTTGCCGGCAGATCACCTGCCCACGATATAAAACCAATCGGCTGATAAATCCATCGTCGAGGTGCCGAGATGATATAGACAAGAGGGACAAGGATGATAGGTTGGACAGAAAGCGGCCATGAGATCCGTAGGAGACTCGCGGCGTATCGAACTTCGAAGTGCCTGTTAACCCGTCAGCTAGTCTATCACAAGAAAATGCGCAGTTTCCCGCACAGTAGGGTTTCGCCAGATGACCAGCTTCCGAGAATTCATGGCTCTTTATCCCGGCCCCATCATCGCGGCTTGAGATATATCCCTTGGCGAAGTCCACCTCGATGGCGAGGAAGGTTGGGTCGGCATCCAGTGCGTTCCTGACCAAGCCTTCGATGACATCTTCATAAGAGCTAATATCGTGAGCCGACGAGAGTCCCAACTGGACGTCTTCTGGGAGTAGCGCGATCGACGGAGTGGTTGTCATCCTGCGAAGAAAGCGTTGTCGAGTGTGCCGTATCTTTGTATGATATACATGATTGATGAGGCATGTGAGTCTGCTGGCCGGGAAACCAGCACCGTTGAAGCATATCGCTCGGTGCAAGTAGTTGCGATGGAGCCCGGTCTCTTCGATATTCACAAGTGTTGGCGTTGCTACCCATCCTCGCCTTGATGTGTCTCCGCAGGCATGAATAAATCGTGATGACTAAGCTGATACAAACACGCCAAGCCTTCGCCCGAATGTATGTCAAGTTCGAGGCGACTCTACTTCACTCCCGTATCTGTTTCCCCCCATCCGACGAGAACATCGCTACAGGATACCTCAAGATCGAGAGACGACCGTGCGATCTGGGATGAGCTGATGGATCCTGCGTATTCAGCTTTGTGACAATGAGGTAGAGAGTACTGAAGGCTTGTCCTGCCATTGCGTACGGGAAAGGTTGACGCGCTCCCTGTTGCTTCCGTGGCCATAAAGATGGCTGTCACCGAGTCGCAGAAACTGGTCCGCTATTGCCTCCTGCGCAGGATGTCGCTTGAGGAGTTCGCGACATTACTGGAGACATACCAAGATGAAATTGACGGCCAACAATTGTTCAGCGCACTACTCGACTGCCGACTTTCATTTTGTGCACCTGGTGACCCTCTCATTTCGCTATATCTTGAGCATATCGGGACTTCTGGCATTGTCAGTGCCTCCGCTGCGCTGCTGGTCCTTATCTCCAAGTGGAACAGTGCCAAACCAGTGAATACACCTGCTGCTCTGCATTGCTACAACCAGACGTTGCAAGATATCATCATGGTCATGGTTTCTCCAAAGTACAAGGTCATTTCTTCCGAAGCCCAAAAGTCCTTGCTGTTGTCCTCAAGATGGCTGGCATCTTTGGCTCGTCAGGTGTCTCATCACATGGACGACACTCCAATCGCGGACAAGCTCCATGTGCTTGAAGCGCTTGCATTTCTTGTGGTCTCAATGGCAGCAACCGATGGCGGCTACGAGGCTTTGTCACTCAGCAACGACTCAAGGACCAAGTCAAGCAAAGATTCCAATTCGGTTCAAGACTTGCGGACCTCTGTTCGGCAATCCTTGGAACTATGTCTCCCGCTGTACTCAACAATATCGACCCATCTCATTGGTCGAATCAATACTGTTCTAAGTGTGCTGAATCAAAATATTTCTCAACCTGGCGACTCTTCCGCTCAGCTCACCGACATTCAGACGCTGGATTTTCAGGCTAATATTCCGGAAACCCACATGGTCGCATCCAGGGCAGCGACCATTCTGTACCTCGATGTCATGGTAAGTCGGGCGATCCAGCGCAAGGAGCCTGCGCTAATAGTGTAGCTCTCGACGGGCTCGACGATTGACGACGGCGCTTTGGTTAATTACCTTTGCTCTCGCCATCAGGTAGGCATTCGCTCAATCGAAAAGGCTCAACGCTGACTTGAAGCAAGAATGATTACGCAGCGGTCTTCATGGATCTTTTTATTGCGTCCTTTCAAATGCTTAAAGTGCAATCTTTCAACCGAGAACCATCGCTCAGCTATCAACAGACTCGGATTTTCCTGCAAAACAAGCTGCCAAATCTCCTTTCGATGGTATCGGCATCCTCGTTTCACGGGTTCGATACTGAACAAACCATTACCGACGCTTGGGGCCAAGTCGTGCCACAGCTGTCCACCAAGGAACTTTTGCTGATTGGCTCCCGTTTCCTGAATACCTGTTCTCTTCATCACTTGATCACCCATACAGCCAGTTTGCAACTCCTTGGCAATGAAGACGTAGTGTCAGGTATGAGTAAGGGTCTATATACGAAAGACGACTTGATCTCACAAGTTGTGGCAAACCACGCAAGAGGACCGAAACTCGTGGAAGAACTCGTTCGGAGTGATGGAAGTGCTGGTTTCATTAGCCAAGCTGTGGTTGAGGTAGAGTGTTGGCCCGAAAGACGAATTCCTAGACGAATGCTAATGGTTCCCCAGATTATGCACAACTATTGCCACAGCAAAGAGACTCAGTATCTCAAAGACCTTGCAAATGCCATTATACGACGACCTGTCGCAATCAACTGCATCTCTCTGTTCGTTCCTCCATCTTTCTGGCTCGGTCCTTTGTGTACACTGCTAGACGAATGGCACTGGAGTGAAATTCATGGTAAGTCCTGCAGCTGTGGACAGGAAGATTCTATTGACACCACGAAGGCGAAGCTCAACCGCTCTATGACGAGTTTGGAGCGGCTTTTCTCCTCATACTCGTGTGCAAAACTCGGTTGGGGCTGGCCAAGACTGAGCTTGGTATCCGCAAAAAGGACGGATTTCTCGCTGAATACTTCAGCAATGCTGATTCAGAGAAAGGCCTGGAGACGCTTTCTGAAGAGAAAACAACACATCTTGGGAACTGGATCAATGCACTGTATCTCGCCGAAGGTCTGAGTGATGAGCTATGCACCAATTGCAGCCCACATGACTTCTATATTTTGATACCTACTCTGCTTCGCCAATCCATGATCGCCTATCAGCAAGACAAGCTCACCCATGAATCTCTCAAAGCTGGCCTTGACTGTGAGTACAATATTTCCCCAACCTTGTCCAATCCTTGACATGGAACAGACCTTCTGGAACCCTTTTTATTACCATCACTGGCTTCAGCGCTCAATTGGATTGGCGACGTTCTGCAGGACGACTCTTCTGCGGCCGCAACCATCTTAGACGTGTTCATGAAAGCGCCTGGGACTCCCGAGTCGCGAGACATACATGGGACGATACTGTCAATGTCCGCATCCAAACTAGGAAAGCGGATAAAATCAGTGCAGTTGCATGACGACGGCAAATTCAAGTCCGTCGCTGAGCTGGTGAAACATTCCCCCGACTTTTCTTTCTCTCCCGAGCATGGCATAGTCGCAGAGCACGATCAACTGTCGAGTGCACTTCAACAAAGCATCGTCGTGATGATCACTACAGGCGGGACATTTTCCAGTCAGGAACAGGCGATGTCTACAAGAATCCCGTCGATGGTTTATCGCGCCATCCACACGATTGGTGCTCAAGGAACCTTGAAACTACTGCTGGGTGTACTCATCCAGCTCAGTGACAGTCATGATTTCCTTTTCGCCTTAGACACCGTCTCCACCATTGTCTGTACCGCTGGGTGCGGGCTCAGGGATGCTTTACGAGTGCAACATCAGAATCTGGGTGCGGTACTCAAAAGAAAAGATTCATTATCAGCAGAGGCCGTTGTTCGCCTGCATCGACAGGTCGAAGTCTATACCAATCTTCTCACTGTCCAGGACATGCACCTCAATGCATTCGCTTTTGCTCAGCAGCTCAGCAATATTGACACAGCAGATCCTAACTTGGACGGTGTCCCCGCGTCAGCAGGAGTCGTGGACATGCAAGGAGATCAAGAACAAGCCGATGGGATTGATCAAGTTCTGGACGAAGTTGCTGCGATGGGCAATTTGGACGCGAACGACGCGGACATGAACTTCGACGCTCTCTACGGTCTGCAGGGTAGTGATATGGACCTGAATGACCTGGACCTGGATATGTTTTAAACTGCATGAAAGCCTGCATGGGCCCCGACGCTATAATCAGCACAGCAGGGTGAAAACGTGGAAACAATGCATGGTGAAGGAGTTCAGAGCGGAAGCCGATCCATTCAAGCAGAAGCAGTTTTCATGCAAATTTGGAAGGCTTGTCCTCACAGCAAAGTGGAGACAGATTGGTTCAACCGACCAGCCGGCCAGGCAGGAATACTCATGATAGATCAAGTCATGGAGCCGCCATCGTCTGTTCGAGATCCACCGCTAAATTGAGTTACCGCAAACAGAATTCGGCTCTTACACGTTGCAAGGCCAAGAACATGGCCTCTCGTTGACCAGGCCCAAGACACCTCAGGGTTGTCAGGAAAACCAAAGGTGGTTGGACTTGCATAGTTGCAGGGACGTTGATACCACGACTTTCCTGACGATTTCCTTCACTCACAGCTGGACTGGGGACGGGACGACTGTTCCCGTTTTCGTCAACATCTCCAAAGGCGTAACTCATTGTGCCGATGAAGTCTTGAACAATCTCCTGAATGGCCGTAGTATGGATAGTTACCAAGTCACTGCAAATTTGTCCTTCATATTCCCCCACCTTGGCTGAAGGAAAAGCTTCAAGGTGCGCCAGCACATCCAGCAACGCAGCATGTAAGCAAATCTTGGCGACAAAGTAACGGTTCCAGTGAAAGAAGCCGTTCCAAGATCCAAAGCAATGAAGCCGAAAGAGGGTTCCAGATGTCCATGGAGTTCGATGACCAGTAAGGTGGGAAGACTCGATGATGACACGTCGGGGTACCCAGTCGGATACGTCGCACCAACCAGCCACTTTGCCTTCGAGTTTTGCAGCGGCTTTGAAATACGAAGCGACCAAATTCTCTTGATCTACGGACTGGTCCAGGTCGATGGAAAGGAAATTTTTGATCCGCGCGCGCAATTTCGAAACACCGTGGAAGAAACTGCAGAGTCGAATCGACGCCTCTGGCAAAGCCTGCACCGCTTTCGAAATTTGTGACTCCAATATCAAATACTCCTGGGATGGTTCCTCGCCCGCAAATAACGGTCTCCAATGCTGAGGACCCAGTGAGTCATTCCACCGGCTTCGCAAGGGGGCAACATACCATGGATGACAGAAGGAGCTGGTACAAATGGCAGCCCTCTGGAGTGGAGAATTGATGCTCCCCGCGCAGTCGCAGAAGCATCAGGGTGCCGTCGATGTGTGTTTGCAGCGCCGAAGAACCTTCTGGATCGACTTGGCCTGAACCTGTGACGTTGGCAAGAAGCTGTTGGCAGGTCAGACACCTTTTTGACACCTTCCTGTATGGATTGTCATACTTCTCGCATCCCAAGCAACCAAACTGCCACCAATGTCTCATCTCCCAGTCGCTGTTCAGGATCGGCCAACGCTGCATTGACTCCCGAAACAGCCCTGGCATATTCTAGATCAACGGCGTTCCGCATATCGACTGTGGGTGATCGGTTGGCAAGGTTAATGATACCAACAGCCCTCATGGCCGCGTGGAGATACGAATGAGGGCCGGCTTTGCAAAGGATGGCGGGGAGGAAAGTAAAGGCGTCGTTGCCGTAAAGGACTCGAGAATTGACATCCAGTTGAGAGAGCGAGTACCAGACAGCTTGTTCAGTCACATCTTGGGGAAGCTTGCCCAAGGAGGGGGGTCTGTGGAAACGTTGAGCGGAGAGTTCCAGGGCCGAATCACTCTGTGCAGCATCGCTGTCTTCAGCCTCTGTGGAAGTAGCTCGCCTCGAGTAGTACAGGGCCTGAGGCAAACTCTCTGTCGATCCGTAACCTTGACTTGGTGATTGTGGGCCGCGCACGAAGATAGTCGATCGGATGGTACCGTAGCCTGGTACACGATACCCCGGACATGGCTTCTTGAGCCTCGCACAATTTCGACAACCCGGTCGTCCCTCGTCGCACTACAGATCATGTCAGCAAGGTATTCCGTTACATTCTCGTACGATAGAGCCGACCTTGACCCTGCGCTTTCGACATAGACCGCAACCAGTACTTGGACGCCCGATGTTGCCCATCCACGGCAGCTGGCAAACCCAGAACGGAACTTGCTTTGACAAAAGGTTCTCCGTACTTCGATCTAAAGCGTACGAAGTGCGTCAAGTAAGATGTATCTGACCTGTCCGAGCCCCTAATGCCGTTCGAAAATGATCGCAATCAACCTTGTGTCTTTTGGCTTAGGTAGAGTTGATGATATAAAAACACCCAAAGGACTGGCGACACAGCCTTCAGTTACTGCTGCCAGAATTGTCCTTAATCAGGAGGATTCGGGCGCAGCAGAATGGTACGTTGCATCTGCATATTTCGTCAGGTCAGATTGATCACGACACAAATGATATTCAGCAGAGAATTTGCGCGCTTTTGTGGCTGTTTATGCTGTAGTCCATCTTTCATGCCCAAGCTGAAAAGTCTTTGTCTCAGGATACACGAAGACCGATGTTTTTAGACGACGCACCTCGCATGGCTAGCTGAACAGGGCTAGCAGAACCGGCTGGAAACAGAAGCCTCAGTTAATGCTAGGATCGGTGTGCTTTGGGAGTGCTTTGGCTTCCACGTGAATAACTAGGATATTAGCCGAGAGGACGCCATCAAAGTCAAGGCTGCTTACGAAAAGACGTCTGAGGTTCTAGAGAGCTGTTGTACATTGAAGCATACATCACAAGAGGAAGTTTGATGGAGGAGCTTCCTGACTCAGCTCAGGTCTAGACGTATGAGGGTTTTACAGTACCTAGCCCAAGGATCGTAGTGATTGCGCCGAGATCTATTTATATGGCCTCCATCGAGCCTCTCGCACTTATCCCATTGCCACAGTTTCATTTACGCTGAGGTCTTTTGACGCCTGCAACTTCCCTCTTCGTCCCGCACTCATCGTCGTGCAGTTCGAGTTTTGAGGACACAAGCGGGCATGAATGGCAGCTGCAAGCTGAACAGAATGGAAACAGATATGCTCATTCAGAGTTCTCTGACAACCATTAATACTATGCTCACTCTTGTACCGACGGAGAAATTCAGCCCTGATTAAATGATAGAGGTAAGTTCCCTAGAATGAGAACTTTGTTCCCACAGTCGACGGAGCCAGCTTTCCAGGCATCGCGCTCTCGATCTCGACTTTCGCCCGCCAGCCGGAGCAGTGGCCAGGCATCAAGATATCGGGGTCGAGCTCCTTGAGATCTGCCACTGTCTGTTTCACAAAGGCTTCATTTGGCCCCACGAGATGGTAGCCGCCGATTACCGCATGCAAAGGCGATTTCCCGCCGAGCTCTAAGGCGTGCTTCGCCACGTTGACAACTCCAGCGTGACTGCAACCCGTGAACACCACGAGGCCTTTTCCTGCGCACGGTAAGCATTTCGGCGATGGAACGGTCACGTATCCAAGCGGTACCTTTGACGTTGCACATCAAGAATCGCTCATCCTGAATGAGTTCGTCACTTTCCCAGCTAGCGGAGTCTTGGTTGAACCTCATGCCGCGCTTGAAACCCACCTCGTAAGGAGTCACGCGAGGAATCTCGCCCGACACCAGAAACATGTCATCTAGAACCGTGTGCGGTTGGTCATTCTTCATCACAGTGGCTCCCGCCGCCTCAATCTCAGCGAATGTTGGGTCAGCCTCCAGTGACACTGGCCCAGCTGGGCCCAGGAAGCCTCGGTAGGTAGGCCGATTGGGATGAAGATCAACGATGACCCCATCTTCCGAGAGTCGTGCCTGATTAATCATAGACACGGCTTTCAGCATACCTCCAGAGTGGTCTCGATGCCAATGAGATAGTTGCACCATCTCGATCGATCCAATGTCTGCTCTAAGCCGTTTGGCGTTGCGCTCCCAGATGTGGTCTTCTGGTGCCGTATCAAACAGCATCGTGTGGCGTTTATCTCCTTTGATTGCTGTCTGTATGCTGGTTATCCTCCGAGGGCTTAAATGAATAGGATCCCTACGATCATCAAAGATAAGCCATGGGCACCGCAGCAGAGATTGTCCATCCTGATCTCGAACTTCGCGGAACCTCTCTCATCATCTTGGAGCGGTCCCCGAAGAGCCACATCTGCTAGTTGCCCGCCAACTGTCAATCCAGGAATTTGGTAGGATGATATCGGGTCGACCTCGTTGTCGACAATAACCAACACCTCGAGTGCGTCGATCTCCGCGAGTTGAGTCATGATGAGCGTTCAAGGTGACTGACCGAGCCTGTCAGGATCCGAGGATGGGTGTTCCAGTTAAATACTGTGGTTGCTTGTAATTGACTGGCAATACGGAGTTAGGCGTTTCGGGGATCCATCCTCGTTCTCAGTGTTGCACCTGCCTTACTGCCTTTTACACCCCTTATTGCTCGCACCCTTCGTACCAAGGTTAGGCAGTCAGCCTAAGGTATCGATTCCGCATCCTCGAATCTTACATACTGTACAGAGTACCTTCGTCAATCAATCAATCAATCTCCTACGTAGTATTACATGACGAGGATGACAAATGCACCTTTATGGTCCTGCCATAACAGTCAGCATCACGAGGCCGAAGTCTACCGAGCCAGGATTCACGCGCCACGCCGCGGATTCGCACTAATTCGTGCGAGCTTGAGCGCTCTCGAAGCTATTTCTCGAATATGATAACGATGGGGTGGCTCATAATCCTACATCAAAATCAATGGAGAGCAACGTGTGAGTAGCCTCATTTCAGAACTACTGAACACTTTCATCCTTTGATCCCAGTAATGGCGTCTCCTGCAGCACAGGGATTGGACGCCAGACTTTTGGAGGTGAGATGCAATACGAAGGCTCATCTCACCTCTACGACTTTGGCATCAAGGAATTCGAGCTGCCCACGAGAATGAAGGCCTTATTCTCGGGCGCCTGATGTGTCATCCACGCTTATAACTACACGGGGACGGATGCAGTACATTTCTCCAACCCTCAGCAAACGCTTGCGCCATTGTGGCATTGCAACCAGTAGTATCTCGGTTTTTGTTCCAAGATGCAGCTCGAGGAAATAAAAGGCCTGCTAAGTCCAGAGGAGATCGTCCTCCCCGAATCGCCGGAATATGACGATCAATCCCGGACCTGGGCTGCGCAATGGAACAAGAAGCCTCGTCTTGTAGTCAAGCCAAAGGATTTGGGAACTCTGAGCACCCTCATTGAGCATCTGAATAAGTCAGATCTTGACATTGCTGTCCGATGCACCGGTATTGGGAATGCCTCTGCAAAGGACATTCTTGTCTCCTTGTCTGCCTTCAAGTCATTTTCTTTCAGTCCAGAAGATGAGACAATCACCTTTGGCGCTGGTCATGACTGGGGCGAGATTGATCGCAAGGTCGAAGAGCAAGCGCCGGGCTATGCTGCTGTTGGTGCAAGATGCACGTACGTTGGAGTAGGAGGCTCAATTCTCCATGGAGGTCAGAGCTGGCTGAGTTCAGAATATGGTCTTGCCAGTGACCCGCAAAATCTGCTTGATGCTCAGGTGGTCAAGATGGATGGCAGCATCATCTGGGCCAGCGAAGAGCCGGACCTTCTCTGGGCATTAAGGGGTGGCGGAGGAGAATTTGCTGTCGTGACTGCGTTCAAGATGAGGGTTTATAAGTACCCCTCGTTAATATACTGCGGTCAGATCATTTATCCTGCTGAGGCACTCCAAGATGTGGCTCGAGAGGTTGCTGCATTCTGCTCACGGTGTTCTGACCCCCGGCTGGCGCTGCATTTGTTTTGCTTGAACCTGAGCATCGGCGCATACGTTGGCAACGAGCCCAATCCAGGCCTGGCAATATTTGTGTACGATGCTCGTGGTGAAGAACATGGGAGAAGCGAACATGGCTTCAAGTGGGCGCTCGATATCAAGGGCGCTATGGACATGACCACGTCTTTGAACCTTCGAGGGGTCAACCAGCAGTTTGGTAAGTGTCAGCACGCGGATCGATCAGGCAATGGCTGACAAGGCCAGACAGTCTGAAGGCTACAATGGGTATTACAAACACCTGGCAATGCGGGGCTACCCTGTTTGCAATCGACGAAGAGTTGATATTGCGGACCTGGAAATGGTACCTTGATCTTCTGGAGAAGGACCCAGGGCTGGCCCGGAGCACATACGTACTGGTCGAAGTGATGCAAAAGGTGAGTAGCTTGCATCTTCTGGTTACGGGGGACGGCCTTTTTCTCACAAACCCAGGCGGCGTACCAATCTCTGGGCTATCCTAGCAAGGAAACTGCATGGCCCCATACGCGGAACCAACATAATCTTCAGCTGGGTGCAGGTAGAGTGCCTGGATCCGGGGAAGGAGACGCGTTGGCTCACGGGGCGATGGCAGAAGGACCATATGAGATTGATCCCAGACATACCAAGGCCGATTACTTTCCAAACTTCGTGGATGACTATGTCGACGTAAAAGAGGTAAGCTGTGTATTGCTGTCAAGAGGATGTGCTGGAAACTGACGCCTCGACAGGTCTTTGGCGTGAATTGGACTAGACTCGTTGAGCTCAAGAAAAAATACGACCCTCATAACAAGCTTGGTGTTGTCTTTGCCAACCAATAGCTCTGGGCTGTCGAAGCAAGTCGTGTTTGTAGCAAGCTCGCAAGGTGCCGGCTGTCGTCTTTTGGAGAAAAATGTCATAGAAACGCCGTCGCCCAATGATAATGAAGCTGCGGCATCGGACAAACACCACCTCAATGATTTCGGTCTTCCATTACCAGGTATCCTGCCATTCACCTCCCATTAACATTTATGTCATGCTTCAGCGGGTGCCTTCTCACCGATTAAGTATGTGTGCAACTTGGGCCCTCGTTTCAGCCACAAGACATCGACCTTGAGAATCGTTCTGCCAGACCACACGCACGGTACTATTGCAGAAGATTTCCGCTCCCAATCGTGAATGCAGACGCAGTCTTTCGAGCTAATATATCTAGACCCTCCCAGCAAGCCTGCGGATCACAAGATCCCCATGCCATGCCCGAAAGAATCAAACTTCGTTCTTTGATCCTCGCTGGTGGCCAATCGTCTCGGATGGGCTCACCCAAATACCTTCTCCAGTTTCCTCGAACATCGGACACCATTCCTCTTATCCTACAGACAATTCTATTGCATCACGAATTCTATCGGCGTCGTCAAGAGCGGCAGCCAATCACCATTTCTGTGAGAGATAAAGAACAACAGAGAGAAGTGGAAAACGCACTGCAGAAGCATCCAGATGACCAACTGCTGTGGCTTAAATATACCTTTGATACAATACCTCATCAAGGACCAGCTACCGGTCTCCTTGCTGCACACGCGTTGGATGAGGGAACACACTGGATGGTGACTGGGTGCGACTATCCGCTGCTCGAGACTGAGGCTCTTCTGCAACTTGCAAGCGAACATGACAAAACACGAAACGCAATCACCTGCTTCCGAAATTCTGATGGCTGGACAGAACCACTTCTCGCGATTTGGTCCCCTTGTGCTCTTGAGCGGCTCCGCGAAATGTCCTTATCACAAAGTCACATCGGCCCCAATCGAATCATCAAAGCTTTCGCGGATGACGAGAGCGATGCTGGATCAGAGTCCACCTTCTCAAGAGGCGTCTGTACTGTGCAGCCTTTGAAGGGATCCTGGACTCGGAGCGTGAATACCAAGGAAGATTGGGAGGAGGTTCGAAAGATGATCCATGAAAAGATGGGAAATAGTGGACAATTGCTCACACAAGTGCGTACCCTGGCCTGGCCTCCATGAAGTGCCCGTGCTACAATCGCCATTCATGAGTGATTGACGGGAGACAACGGGTGAGCCATCACATTTTCGCCGTCCACCACTGAGTGGACACCTTCGGGCACTTCCACCCAACAGTCGGCCTGTACAAGATTGCCGACTTTGTATGACGATTGCTCTTCCAGAATCTCTAACGTTGGCCTCCCATTATGTCCATCCACGACCTTGCGCCATCTGGCAAGCCAGAACACTCGCAAGTGCTCTGGCTTTCTCCGACTTGGAGACATTGCAGAGCTGCATTCCTGACCGGAGTCGTTTGTGTGCGTCATGTCGCCTCTTTGCTCAAAATGAGCTGCGCATATTATGGGGGGTATCAATGGTGATTCTCCACGAAGGACCGTCAGATACGGCATTACGAAAAATCGAAGTGCCATAGCTGTAGCGAGCGGATTCCCCGGCAGACCGAAAACAACAGTCCGCCGACGCTTTGGTCTTGCTCCATTGAGTTCGTCCAACTCAACCCAAGCAAACATGACCGGCAGTCCTGGTCGAACGTTGACACCATGGAAAATCACCCTTCCTCCCATCCGATTCTCCACGACCGGTCTGACCAGATCAAACTTTCCCATCGATACTCCACCAGTTGTGATCAGGACATCGACACCTTGCCCGAGAATTGCGTCTCGGAAACTTTCTTCAAGGGCGTCCTCCGTATCCTTGACAACACCCAGGTACAACACCCGCTGACGAGGATCCAGTTCACGGAGGGCGGTACAAATGTAGGGACCGTTTGAATTTGGGAGAGTTTCTTCAGCAGCTCGACGTCCATCGACTGGATAACCATTCGATGGCAATGAATTGAGATCAATTAATTCCGACCCCGTGGAGACGACTCCTATCTTCCATTGTCCTGATACTCTCAGAAATCTCGAGTCCAGTCGCCTGTGAGCTCCATCCTCAGCCACATCTACTTCGTTGAAGCCGAGGCTGGCAAGCGCCATGATATGCTTCGGTTCGAATTTTTGACCTGCAAGGACTATCCGATCTCCTTTGACGATGTCACTAGCTGCATCCCTCTTGTTCTGATTCTTGCGCACATGTGCAAATACATCGATATATGCTTCTCCTTGACGCGTCCAGGGATCTGGTTTATGACTGGCCACATCTTCCACCTTGACAACGGCATCCAGCTGGGGATATGCACGGTGTGGAAATCTAGCCCCAGTCATTATTTCGACACAGATGTTTGATGTCTGCGAATTTGTATGTCCATCCTTGGCGATGTCAAGATCTTGCTCGGCATCGACCCTGTCTCCTGCGGCAATGATGGATACTACTCTTAACCTGACGGGATCCTTGGGTGATGCATTGGCGGTCGAACTTGAACAGACTGCGAAGCCGTCCATCGCGGACGTATCAGCCTTTGGTGTGGAATGTGGCGCTTTGATGGTATGTGCCGCAGGCTTATGAAGAGCATCCATCAGGGGGATCCTTCTCACTGCTCCGGTCTGTTGACCTGCGATGGTTGTCGTTACGCAGTAAGCTGTCTCAGCGGCTTGGTCGTCATTTTCAACATACGAGAGTCTGGCCTCGATCTCATCCTTAACAGGGTGATCGTCCGAATCTGCCAACTGGCGATGTTCCTTTGCAATCGACATTGCGCGGCTGACAGCGTCCACGTACTTGATAGGAGCATTATGGCCTCTAGCCCCGTAGTTCGGCTCTGCTGTTTGCTTCGTGTAGCAATGCTGCGAAGCGGAAATGCACATGTCGTGGAGCATGTCTAATCAGTCATCCGCTAAGTCGTGCGAGGGACTTCAAGGTGAGCATTGAACAGACTATCGGAATTCGCGCCACTGGTCGTATCTTACCACTTGAGAATAGTGAGTGCGAGAGGAACGATTCCTCCCTTTCCGTGCGCTCTGGCCGGTACAATAGTCCGCACATTTTCAGTGTCCTGTCATTTTCGAAGACACGCGCAACGTGCACGTTCTCCGCGGACAATGAGACTCATATTGAGACTCGCCCACACTGTCGCATCGTGCCCGGGCCGTAGCAGTTTGCGAGCCAAAAAAATTCCCCACATCACCAACACTTGAAGCTGTCTTAGCGCATGTTGACATCACATGTTGGATTGTCGTGATGTCAGGGCATGCCCGTCTCGACGACACCTACGCATTGACACAGGCGTCCTCAGGATTTCTTGTCCGGAGTGGGGGAAGTCTCCCAGTATCCTTTACAAATCTGAAACTAAGTATTGGCTGGACAATAACCTTCGGCCCGTGGAAGTCAAGCCACGGCCGGTTGAGTGGCATAAAATCCGCACAGGATGGTTCATCCTTTAGGAGGTGAGTGCCCATCCGTCGCCCTTTCGGAGGTCACAACAATCTTTCTCTGGGAACAGGATTCCAGTGTGGGCTGCCCCTGACAAAATGGTCGAGACACGAAATGCTGTTGAAGATATTTGGGGAGAACGGAAGCCATATAAGCATGTCTGGCCAGACAGAGTGGACCAGTTCACGATCGAAGACCCAGAGAAATGGGTGCAAAGTGCATGTGTGATGTGCAGGTTGTTCGAGTCTTGTCTCCACAACGAGATCTTGCTGATTTACTTTGCAGCAATGGATGTGGACTAGATGTCGGTGTCAAGGACGGTAAAATCGTGGGCGTCCGAGGAAGGGCAACGGATCGAGTGAACAGAGGTCGGTTGGGCCCAAAAGGTCTTTACTCGTACGTTGGTTTGCACCAGCAGCTATGGGTGTAACTAAGTATGACACAGGTGGAAATCTCTCCAGCACGCCGACCGACTGAAGTACCCGATGATTCGTAAAAATGGCAAGCTTGAACGCGCCTCGTGGGAGGAAGCCATGTCCTTTATTGTCGAACGTACTCGTGATGTCCAACGCCGATTGACAAACCATGGCATTGGCTTCTACACAACAGGTCAGCTATTCCTCGAAGAGTATTATGCTCTAGCTGTGGTCGGAAAGGCCGGACTGAATACCCTACATATGTTCGTTGGACCGCTTTCAAATATGACCATGCTCGCTAACATTGGCAGGGATGGGAATACTCGACTCTGCACGGCCACTGCGGCGGCGTCGATGCGAGAAAGCTTTGGATCAGACGGACAGCCTGGCTCGTACACTGATATTGACTTTACTGAATGCATCTTCATGGTAGGTCACAATATGTCGGCAACTCAGACAGTCCTGTGGTAGGCAGACTCCTTGGAGACATCAGCTAAATACTCCTGTCTCGGCCGCATCGGCTCTTGCTTCTGACTGACACGTGAAAGGTCGAGAATCCTGGATCGCCTGGACGGGCCGGAGCCGCCAAAGCTCATCGTCGTTGACCCCAGGACGTCGGACACGGCCAAGAAAGCAACGCTCCATTTGGCTCCAAGGATAGGAACGAATCTTGCATTGTGAGTGGTTACGCAACTCGGATCTTGCTCCAGGAAGACTGAACCCTTCTCGCAGGCTTAACGGGATTCAACATTGCCTCTTTGCCAAGAAGTATGTCAACGAGGAGTACGTCTCAAAGCTTGTCGTTCAAAGAAAGGAACTGGAAGACGTTGTCAAAGAATATCCCCCTCACGTCGTGTCACATATAACTGGAGTTCCCGAAGAAGACATCATAGCCGCCGCAGACATCCTCGGATGTACAAAGTCACTTTTATCAACAGCCCTTCAAGGAGTTTACCAATCCAATCAGGCCACCGCCAGTGCCTGCGCAATCAACAATATCAATCTGCTCCTAGGTCACATCGGCAAACCCGGCAGTGGAATCTACCAGATGAACGGTCAACCTACTGCACAGAACAATCGTGAAGCCGGCTGCGATGGAGAGTATCCTGGCTTCCGCAACTTTTCCAATCCTGTTCATATGCAGGAACTGGCTGATCTATGGAATATCGACTACATCCATGTCCCGCACTGGAACCAGCCAACTCATATTGAGAATATGTTGAAGTTTATTGCCGACGGCTCAATTGAGATGTTCTGGATAAATGGGACAAACCCGCTCGTCAGTCTTCCAAATCTGCCAATGGTCCGGGAGCTTTTGACAAAAGAGAGCCTCTTTGTCATTGCACAGGACATATTCCCGACCGAAACGACTGCAATTGCAGACGTCGTGTTACCGGCGGCCGCATGGGGCGAGAAAACTGGATGCTTTACCAACGTCGATCGAACTGTCCACTTGTCTAAGAAAGCTGTTGAACCACCTGTAAGTATCCGAATATTCTTTCAGGGATGTTTCGGCCCGGAGCTTGTCCTCACGGTCTTATAGGGAGAGGCAAAGTCAGATTTCGAGATATTCTGCGACTTCGCCAAACGCATGGGCTTTCGAGACAAGGATGGCCAGCCCCTGATCAGCTGGAATGATCCTTCTGAAGCCTTCGAAGCATGGAAGAAGCTGTCTAAAGGTCGGCCGTGCGATTATTCCGGACTGACCTACGAGAAACTTAGTGGCGGTTCGGGCATTCAGTGGCCTTGCACCGACGAATTTCCCTACGGTAAAGAGAGATTATTTGATGATGGGCGATTCTTCACCGACATCGACTACTGTGAGTCATTTGGGCACGATCTTGAAACCGGTGCTCCATATACAAAGGTGAGAGATCAAGTTTGAATGCTATACAGGCCGCTAAACTTGGTACCTTTCATATCAGAGCCAGTACAAAGACATAGCACCGGCAGGACGTGCCATTTTGAAACCCTGCCATTACCTGCCGGAGATGGAATCCGTCGACGAGGACTATCCATTGCAATTATCCACAGGTCGCCGACCACTTCATTTCCACACCCGTACCAAGACAGGCCGAACGCCTCGGCTCCAGCAGGCAGACCCAGAGCCTTATGTCCAGGTATCGAAAGAAGACGCCCACAAGTACGATATCAGCGAAGGAGACCAGGTCCTCGTCGAATCACGTAGGGGTAAAGTCCAGGTTGGCGCTAGGGTCGGTCTTATGGCGCCTGGGCAGGTTTTTATACCTTTCCATTTTGGATATTTCGACTCGCATGATGGGAAAGCAAGAGCAGCCAATGAACTGACAAGACGTAAGTGCTCAGCCTACTACGAGTAAGCCCTGTACACTAAGTCTGAAATGACCAGAACAATGGGATCCTGTCTCCAAACAGCCGCAATTCAAGTCAGGCGCAGTCCGCGTCACCAAGATCGATCCATCAGATGAAGACCAACTTCAAGCACCTGAGTTGCAGACGGCCGCGGTACGGACGAAAGAGGAGCACAACAAAAGCCAGACTCGTCAAGCTGGATCCAAGAGAGGAGAAGAGCCGACAGAGAGGTTTCTCGAATACTGGTTGGGCGCCACCTTTGCCTCGATCGACACACTACGTGACATATGTGACCATCTTATCCCGCGCATTGTGCATGCAGACTACGAGATAAGCAGTGGCATGAGTGTAATGCATCGTATTACCACTTCTTGCATCGAACGATTGGGACCGTTTACTGTCAAGTATCGCAGTGAACGTCAATACGGCCAGCGTACATCATTGGATCTCAAGAAGAGGCTGTTTCCGGACATCATGGCCGGTGGCATTTCAGGATCGAATGCGTATGACATTCTCATTACTCTGCAGAGCTTTTATCTCTTCCTAGGCCATGTGGAAGGCCATATTATCACCTTGGTGCCAGCAGCGCAAGCAAGCTGGGACAAGGAGTTCTTTGAGGCGGTCAGTTTTGTCAATACTCAGATCGGTAGAATGTATGCTTGGACGAAACAGCAAATGGGTTCAAGAGGTCCGCAGGCTCTTTTGGTACCTTGCAGAGCGGCGGTCGAACTTAAGGACAAGATCTCGGATGAATTGGCTGAAGACGCATGACATCTGCCGCTGGCTGGAGACACATGAGATAGAGATGCGATATTGTCAAGATTCCTTCGCTGGTTCGGTGTCAGCTTTTTTGTGTTTTTTGGGATGATGTTAGTACCGAGTCAACCTTTCTGTCCTCCCTTGTCCGCCATATCCACAGATTGCGTTCCAAAGCCATTCAACATACTTCTTGACCAGCCATACCGACAGGCAGTATTGCCGTGAACATTTTTGCTCAACAAACGACAGCTTCTCTCCGTGTTCTCTGCTCGGTTTCGCCAAGGAGACTGTGTCTTGCGAACGAACTTCATCCTGTAGTTTTGACATGCCCATGAGGATGATGCGTGGAGGGAGGTTGGAGTCGCGGAGGAGCAGTACGGCTTGCTGATTCGAACAGGAGAGAGGATGACGCTTTGCTTCAATGCCCAGCTCACATAGTAGGGCTGGCAGGAGACGCCTAGTCAGCACGTTTGCGGTACGGAGGACTTGACAAGACACTGGCAGTCGACGATCGACTCGGTGTCGGGCGATGCCACTCGGGTTTGCTCAACAGGCTGGCTGCTCGCAATGTGACGATCAAAGGAGAAGCATAATGCCGTGGAGACAGATATCCCCAAGAGAATTGATCGAGAAGACGATGACAGATCCCTGGACCTGTGGGAATTGAGCTTGTTTGGAGCCTTCAGGGCGCTTGCGGGTGCTGCTGATTTTGTTCCGCGACTTTTGAAACGCGAGCGAACGCGCAGTCACATGACGTGCTGTTTTGCCCGAGGTTGCTGCCGTCTCGACGCAATCTCAACCTTTGTCACTGCACCCCACCTCAGCGCTGCTGGGCAAAGAAACCCCGATGCGGAGGACACATCAGGTCATGCTTGAAAGGAAGAACTCGGCTCTCATACGACCTTCAAAAGCAAGAAATTGCTTGCCAACGGTAGGTGTAGTCTTGCCTGCTGCCCGTATGACGTCGGCTCGAGAGAGCAACAACCAGAAAGTTGTGCTCAATCAACTCGAAAGTCAAAAACCTGATACACGACAAAACATGCGTGGAGCTGCTTCCTCGCCATGATCAACCGTTGTCAAATCCAAGGCGCGTCTCTACGCAAAGCGCCAGATTGTCAAGCACAGGGCGGGATCAGCTTTTGGCCAAGTCAAGAAGTGACTGAGCCGTTAGCGCTGAAGTACATTGCGTACTCCCGCTGCAGAAAGACACCAACATCGCATATTCGGGCTGGAGCTGTGATGCCAAAGGTAATCAGAAAAAAGGAATGACGATTGCAGGCTCAGATCCCGAGACGGGACGTATATATGCCGTCAATTTCCAAGGGCCTCGCCAGTCTCATACCAAGAAACCGACAATTCGCACCGTGGGATTTTCTCGCATCTCTTCGTTTGAGAGCCCAATATACCCCTTACCGACGAAACCGAACTCGCCTCTATCCCACAATCATGGGCAATAGGCATTTACTCAAACACGATTTCGGAAACCTCCCTCAAGGCGCCTCCGATGTCTTCCGTCCTTTTGTGGTTGATACGCCTCAAACCGACATCGATGCGTTGAAGACACTGCTGCGCCTGAGTAGAGTAGGTCCTAAAACCTACGAAAACAATCTGTCGGATCGGAGACTTGGTTTGCAATTGGATTGGCTACAGCAGGCTGTGAAGCAGTGGGCGGGACCCTTTGACTGGTAAGCTACTCTTCCACCTGCAACTGAATCTTCAATCCTGGTGGGCTAGGCTCTGGCGCTGCCTTGAAGTGGGTTTCACCATTCAACAAGAGAACTCATGGTCTTGGACAGGCGCAAATCGGAGGAGCATATCAATTCTTTTCCGAACTACGTCTCTCCCGTACGTGATGACGATGGCAAGGTTTACGACATACACTTCACTGCCCTCTTTTCGAAGAAACAGAACGCCGTACCGGGACTACTCCTTCACGGCTGGCCAGGTACGTCGGCAGGATGCGCACCGGATTGAGCTTATTTCGCCCGGTCTTACGTGCAGTCACTCACATCAACGCGCCCTAGGCAGCTTCCTCGAGTTCTTGCCAGTCCTAGACAAGCTCCGACATGAGTACATTCCCGATACTCTGCCATATCATTTGATCGTGCCCTCACATCCTGGCTATGGCTTCTCAAGTGCACCTCCACCAGACAAAGATATGCGCCTTGAAGATGCTGCTGGATTGCTTAACAAGATGATGGTATTGCTGGGGTTTAGGAACCAGGGTCATGTTGTCCAAGGAGGGGACGTAGGAAGCAAGGTTGCAAGAGTCATTGCTGCTGAACATGACAGTTGCAAAGGTAAGGCACCAGCACCGCCTAGCCAGGTTCATGGCTGACCTTGACACTTCTCACCAGCAATCCACAGTGAGTTGAATCGAAGTTGAATTTCCCTTGAAGCACACTAATGCATCGACAGTCAATTTCTGCATCATGCCCGAGCCTGCAGAGGACCAGATCGACAAGCAGATCCCGATGTCACATGCTGAAGAGGAAGGCCTACGTCGCGCAGAGTGGTTCAAGCGAATAGGTAGTGCTTATGCTTTGGAACATGCAACCCGACCGAGCACAATTGGCTTCGCTTTGGGGAGCAATCCGGTCTCGCTGCTCGCGTGGTACGTATAAGGCGATAGTTCCCACGCCGCTCGCCGTGACGATATTGGTACCACGAACTGGGCTGACAACCAAAACCTCATGACAGGATTGCCGAAAAGTTTTTGGACTGGACGGATGAAGATCCTCCCATTGACTTAATCCTTGAGTCTGTCACTCTTTATTGGCTGACCGACTCTGCCTCTACTTTGTTGTGGCCTTATCGCCAGGTACGCCTGCTTGCTCCCTTGCAATTCCACTTCTTCATCTCAATTCCGCTGCTGCAGACCGTCTTTGTGCCTCGAGGCTGTTCAGCTGATGATCTGCACAGCTCTTCACACCGGGAGTTATTGGAGCGCACGAAAACTCTGCTTGGCGAATTCCAGATCACAAACCTTTCGGATTTTCATGGTTTCCGAAAGAGCTTGCGCCCATTCCGCAGGCTTGGGCGGCCACTACTGGCAAACTGACCTTTTACAGGCAGCACGACAAGGTAGGCGAAACTTGATGAAGCCCCGTTCAGCAGTGTTGGTGCTAGAAGATACTCGAATGGAATCCGCTAACTTGGTTCTCAGGGCGGCCATTTCGCTGCAGTGGAAAAGCCCGCCGAATTGTGGCATGATATATCAGATTTTGTGGAGCAAGCCTGGGAAAGACCACCACATGAAGCTCCAGAGCAAGAGAGTTCTGCCCGATGAGGATACGGCAGCATCTGTTTATGGGTAGTGTTGGTCATGGACGAGTCTGCAGTGAACAAGAATCATCACAGCCGGAGTTTGGTGGTGGTGGCGTCCGTGTAATCTTAATTGGGCCACCTCTTGATGAATCGCCCAAAGCAGATGGATTGACAGCTGTCATGGAAGTGAAGAAGGTGCCACATGGATGTCAGGGGAAGCCTTAGGATTGGCGTAGAAATGTTAGCGGCGTGAGTGGCCAGATGTCTGTACCTGGATAGGTATGCTCCATGTTATGAAGTTCTGAAGTTGTAGAAATCGCGTGTCTTGGCTCAGCGACGCCTTCACATCCCATGCATGTCAACAATACAACTGACCGACGTCAGTCGTGAAAAACAGATCTCGTTCTTCCACGTCTTCGTGGTATCTTTCTGCCTTTTCTGCTTTCTGGACGACCTACTGCCCACTTGCCGCGACTTAAAGCCAGTCAATCAGGAACTCTCTGCGCGCAGCTCTGGACAGCCGATATGACGGACGGTTCTGGCCGTTGACAGCTAATCTCAATCATCCTATAGGAGACCTTCATTTCCAATGTTATGGTTGTCCATCTGCAGTTTACGCTCAACATGTCACGATTGAGCAATAGCCATGTCTTCACAGAGGCCTGAGCTGCCTTTGTGGAGAGCAAGACTTTGGTTGTCGAGGTTACACCTCGATGATTAGCTACTTTCCAGTTGAAATCATGGTCATTGTCACGGCCCATATGCTGGCCTGTTGCATCTGGGCAGGGCAAACCCTTCTTGGACGATGAAGACTTGAAATACTGGAGGTTCCTGCTTCCACCCCTGTTGAAGCCTCTCATCGATTCATTCTTGTCCGTCACTAATTCTCGGTGAAGAGTCCAACTCTAGTCTTTCATTCAGTTTTTCTCCTCCTCACAATGAAGTCCGCTCCAGTTATCGCCGCCTTTGTCGGCTCATCCACTGCATTGACATGCTCTCTCTCTACCACCGTGGTCTGCCCTACCAACGGCCTCCTTGGCTGCTACCTTAGCACCGTCACACCCGCGGGATGTGTCGTGCCACCGACCACTAGCGCTTCGCCAGTGAGCACGTCTGTGACTGGAGAGTGGAATGACTGGACTACTGCGACCACAACGAAGGCAACCACCACAACCAAAGCCACAACCAGTGCTACAGGAGAATGGGACGACTGGACGAGCACCACCACTGCCAGCACCAAGAAGGCAACCACCACCAGTGTTTCAGGAGCTTGGGATGACTGGACGAGCACCACTAAGAAGGCAACCACCACCAAGAAGGCGACTACTACCACCAGTGCTTCTGGAGCCTGGAACGATTGGACCACCATCACCACTGAGGAGCCATCCACGTGGGCTGACTGGTCCAGCAAGCCGGTCACCAAGACGATTACCAAGTCCGGCTCGATAATCACCGTGACTGGCACTGCCTCATGGGATGACTGGTCCAGCACGCTGGTCACCAAGACCCTCACTCAAACTGGCTCCAAATCTACTGTGACCGGTTCCAAGTCCACCGTTACTGGTTCCGTGTCCACCGTGCCCGGCTGGGGCGCCTCCAGCGCATCTACTCCCGTTGCTGGCATGAGCACCGTGACTGGTGGCGCATGGACTTCGCCAGCTGCTTATGCTGGAACCTCGACGGGCGTCGCACCTGCTGTGTACACCGGTGCTGCCACCATGCCCAAGGCCGAGTTGTCGCTGATGGCTCTTGTGGGTCTTGCTTTTGCTTTGTAGACGACTTCGGTCTACATGGGGGTTTCGCAGAGATTGGAGTATTTATTCAATGGCTTTGGTTTATTTGGATTTCTTCACAGTCTTCGGACTACTTGGACATTAGATTTCACCTGAGCAACAGTTCTCCGGCTGGCGGGCTATATCTGTCATCTCAAGGTTTCAATTAATGATCTTTTTCCACTGTTCAATTTGAATGACCTCTAAATTATGCCTACTTTCCATATTTCACAAAGCCCAGCACCCTATTTGCGAGCCTTCCAAGTTTACTGTGAAGTATGATTCCACAAGTGCTATTTGATGTCAGTTGCGAATCACGTTTGAAGATTGTGATACCGATGGTGTCGAACTCTTTGAGAATGTGATTCAGCTGGTGGTTCTGATGGCAAGCAAGTGGCCGTATTTCGTGAATGCACCCCCAAGTGAGACTCCCTGTTCACTATCATCCCACACGGACCACCAGATGTCTCCTCAGCCCATTGACTTTGTTCATGTGAAATCTACTGGCACCGGATGTTGCCAGGCCCTTGATATTGTGCAGAACGTCTTCGAGAACTTCTTCACATCGCCTTTAACACCTGATTCGACCGTCAAGAGTAATCTGGCTCAAGGGTATCTTCCAGGGCTGCGGGACCGTTGCTGCTTGTGTACTTCGATATTTCCAGCGCCTCGGACATCAGGGTGCGCAGGATCGAGGTTGTGACATTGTACCGGCGGATGATGCAGGAGCATGGGTAATTGAGAACCGGCGTGGAGGAGCGTCACGGTAGCATTTGCGTGGAATGAACTTCGAAAGAGAGTGATGGCTGTACTGAGTGTCCGGAAAACCTGCTTTTGCAATCAAATTGTTCAGAAAGCCGGAAGGATACTTCTACCATAGTGAAGCCTTCCCGCGAGACAAGCGCAAGGCGAGGTCCATCACCACGACACTGCTGATGGCTGGTTCAATTGACTCACAAGCCCTGGTGCCGCGCATGTTTGGATGAAGAAACAGAAAAAAAGGAAAGGTCAGGTCGGACCAATCAACAACTACGTCATCTTCATGGCTGCGGAGGAAATAAAATGCACGTTTATTCTACTACCGGGACGTATGTCCATCGACGTCCAGGGCGAATGCAACGCCTTCATCCAGTACGATAGTGACTGCTCAAAATTGATATAGTCTAGCTACATTCCGAGCTTGCCTCCCTACAGTTTTCCCCAAAGACTGAATGCGATCGAATCAGAGTACTTTTTGCCAGTGGCTGCAATTTATGGAATCTATGGATGGACCTGTAGCTCCCAAAATGAGGATTGCTGCCTGGCTGGCATATCCTCGAGTGAAGAGCCGTCCAAATGAACAAACAAGGCGTCGACGACACAAAGCCCGTGACGGTTCGAAAGTGACAACGCGCACTGCTATTGACAGCCACTCAACGGGACCCTGACCCTGATCACTTTGACTTAAGCAGAAGGGGCAGCCGCCATGTTTCGCTGTGCAGCTCTTCTCCCCAGCAAGATGGCAGGACCGATCAACAAAATCACACAAACTGCAACAACTGCAGCCTGCGTACCAAACACAGCCGCAACGCCGTCTTTCGCAATCCAGCTAGGTTGAAAATATCCTACGGCAAAACCACCGCAGGTCCTCCACATGTTGATGATGGCACTGACGACGGTGGCTTGATTGGGATATTTCTCGAGGGCAAAGGCGGTAATGGCCCTAATGGAAAGCGAGGTTAGTAAAGACACACTTGTCCACTTCTAAGGTGCCATCGACTTACACTGTGCTGCCGACCAGACCGATATTCACCATCACCCAGCCAAATGCCAGACCTACCCAACTCTTTCCGTAGTTGAGTGTAAACCCGTAGGTGAGAAGACCGCAAAACATGCTGCCAATCGGGAACCAGACGCCGTGCAGTCTGTACTCGCTTCGCCAAGTAGCCTTGCGTCTTCCACCCGAGCCGTTGTAGATCCATTCGTTGAAAAAGTACCCAAAAACGAAACCTAGCAAGGCTCCAATAACACCGGCAAAACGAATGGATGCATCGGCAATGTTGTCAAACAGATACGGAGGAGCTCGCACGAAGGAGTCGATCGTGGTGGTGATGCCAATCGGCCATGTGAAATTGACCATGGTTGAGATGCCGACCAAAAGGATCGGTAGTGTGAAGATATGTTTGATGATATTGACCGTTGATGAGCTCAGAGTCGCACCCTTGGGCAATCTGGTGTTTCCAATGCCGAAGAATGCCTTGACGCGGTTCGTCTGTTGCGTCCCGGTGGCTTTGTTGTAATAGGTTTCACGACCAAAGGCAAGAATCAATATCGTTGACAGACCATAAAACCCGGCAAGAACTTTGAACGCATCTCGCCATGAGCCTGTGCCATCGAGGATGTAGCCTGCCAGCGCAGGGAACAGGAATGGACCGACAAGAAAAGTGGTGCCCCAAGTATTGATGTATCGAGGCCATTCGCGAGGTGCGTACATATCGTGGATGATTGGCAGACCGATGACTTGAGGGACGGTGCCGAACAAGCCTTGCAGGGCACGCAACGCGGTAAAGACCGACCAACTCTCTGCGTAGATGCATCCAACGACAACGAATAGGGTAATGATCTGAGGCCAGATCCAGATAGGAAGACTAATTCAGAGTGAGTTTTTGGAGCCTAACAGCGCTGGGGTACTGACCGGCCGTATGCATCGATCAGAGGAACAGCAAAAATGCCACCAAATCCTTGCAGCAGAATACCATAATTGAGAGAGGTAGCAGAGTGTGCGATCGACGTTTTCCATTCGACTGCTTGTGCGGCGACGAGCGTTGCACCCCAGGTCATTCCACTGCTTCAATGTCAGGCACAAGCAATGGAGAGTAAAATGAGCACGTACCCGTCGGCGAGGATTGAACTCGACATCAGAGCCAAAAACACCAATCTCTTCTTCCACGGGCTCCAGTTTTGAGGGTTGCGTTCATCATTCCGATCCGGTCCCTCCAGTATGCTCGGTTCACTGGAATCATTGCTGAGGGCGACCACGGTGGTCTCAGGATCTATGTTCTTTTCATGCTCGACCTGCTTGTCCGCACCCGATGACGGAGGAGGACTGCTCATAGTGACACACTGAGGAAGAAGGACGATTTGCTGCTGATTGATGGAGTTGAATGCTGAGAGTCAGAAAATCCGAGAAAACTTAAGTATGAAGCAAACAAAGATCCGTCTACTCCGTACTGGAAAGGAATCTTTGCCGTCGCCTCGGGCCCCTCAAGCAACGTGGCCAACGTGGTTTGCACTGCCGGAACACAGTCGACTATCGCTTGCAAGCGAGCAGACCTAGAGAAGTCCAGAACAGCTTCGGACAAACAATAGTTCCTGACAACTTTCCCTCTTGAGGTGAGGAAAAGGAGCGGTCTGATGTTCGGGGACGGAATTGGTTGAAACTGGAGATGGAACTCTACCATGCTGGGTGTCATGGTCGAGGATTGCTCGGGACGACGGCCATTGTAGGCAAGAATCGTCGTGGCTAGCGGTTGGGGAAGGGCCAAATATCCATCAGACAAGCGTCAGGTTAGTGAGGTTGCAGATCAAGGGTATAAACCTCGGTATGCTAGCTCAGGGTGGTCATTATCTAGCGTGCTGCGTAGTACCATAGTACGCATGCCCGGGATATGAGATTAGGGGCTAGTGAGGCCTGCGCCAGCCCAATCGTCCACTGGCATCAGTGGCCTGACCGATGGGCTGACCAACAAGCGCAGAGCCTCCAACATCGAGCAATTGAATGTTAACCAAGAGCTCTGGAATCAGTGCGACACGGCAAAATGGAACCTGTTTCTGAAGCTCACTGCGTACTACAAGATCCACCCCACATGAGTGTTTTCATCACGTAGATCTTGCGGCTGGCTGTCGGCAACGGGTTATCACGGTTCATCCCGATGTCAGGGCCCTCCGTCGGCATTCGCCACGGATGGACAGTTCTCTTACCATGAAAAAGGGAGGCCCCGCAGGTGGCTTGCAGAAACTTTGGCTCTGAAGTTTGGCGTAGAGCTTATGCACTGCTCGATAAGTGGAGACCAAGACCAGAAAAGATACTTGCGACGGATAGAGGAATGGGCACCGAGTCACGGATGGCGTTCTTATGGTTCCTCAAGCATGTCGAATTGCTCCGGCTGGAGGCAGAGTGCTCGTGGGTGCTCCAATACTTACGCACGCTTTCTCGAGACGACATTGCCGATCCGGGGGTTCCCAGCCGTGCCAGCCTAGTGCTATGAGATGAATGAGCTAACCGAGCTCCCCGTCACACTAGGTATCAAGCCGGCCCCTACGAGGCTCGTCCCTGTCCTCGGTCCTCGTCCTACAGTATTTTGACAACGTGGCATGTGAGAAGTCTACGAGGAGTCGTAAGCGCAGGAGCTATGGGACTCTGAGTTCTTCCTGCGACAGGGTCTCCTGTTCCTGAAATCTTCGACACCAATCAGCTTCGACTTTCAGTCTCAGCAAGAGCTCGGTCAGGATGGACAACCCAGGTGCGATACTTGCTTCTACGGTGACTTCAGTAAGACAAACGTACCAACAACGGGAGCTTGAGGAATTGACCATCCTGCTTAGACAGCTGCGTTGGGATTCGTCCCGGTGGCGATCTACTTCAACCTCTTCCAAGTGCTGAATAAGATAGGACCTGTTGCCACCGCCTCAGCTCTTACCCACGCCTCGAATGAAGAGAGGTCCGAAGAGGAGAAAACAAGGACGCCGTTATGTAAGGAACGTGATATGCACAAACTGGGGTCATACTAATGGTTCCGAAGGTCTTCGATTAACAGGTTGGTGCAATGCTCTAAGCCAAACCGCAATGGTTAACAAATCCAGAGGATACAATGTTGGCTATGGGCGGACTGGGTCTGGTTGACGTTGTGGACGACACAACATTTCGTGTCAATGCCATCACGAGGCACATGATCGAAGTGCCGTCGTCGATACATGGCATGCTGCACTTGTAATGATCTTGTTCCATGGTGAAGCTAAAATGCTAACCTCGGAAGCACAACTGAACCGCTTTGGGCTGCTGCTTTCCTGATGCGAAAGCTTCAGGACACCAAGTTCGAATATCCATTCCAAGAAAACAAGACGCCTACTCAGTATGGCTATAAGCTCATTGGCGAAGACCGTTTCGCTACTGAACATACTTACTCCATCATGCAAAGCCAAGGTCGAATGCCCAGTTTCAACCTCTTCATGGAAGGTAAATTCGGAAGCTTTGGTACGATGCCAGAGCGACTCAAGAGGTTTGGTTACGATCTAGAGCATGTTCTGCGGAGCAAAGAGAGTGATATAGCCGTGGTGGACGTTGGTGGTGGGCGAGGTGAAATGCTGCTCGAGGTGAAGAGAGCGTTTCCCCATCTCAAAAAGGAGAATTTGGTCCTGCAAGACTATCATCCCGACCAAATCAACGCAGAAGAAGTGACCATCACTCATTGGGACTTCAAGGATGATTCTCCCGAAGGGATACGGGGAGCCACCGTGTACAGCTTGACGCATATCTACCACAATCTTTCCGATCTGGAGGCTTTGAGGTTGATGAAGAAGATTTCGGATGCCATGGCTCCCTACTCTAGAATGCTGATACACGAATTCTCGAAGAACGCGACTTACGGCAAAATGCATGCAACTATGATCGAGTTGTACGCCGGAAGACTGCGAAGCAGTCGGGAGTGGAAGCAGATGGCGGACATGGTAGGCCTCGAGGTCACATTCGAAGCATATGCTGTTGCTGGAGAAGGACTGGTCGAAATGAGAAAGCTCAACCGTTCGCAATAGCGGCGAGTATGAAGTATACAGTAGGACGAATACAGAGTAATTTGTGGCATGGAAGATGAGCACACGGGAAGTTCCCTGCAAGTCTCCAGCGCTACTAATGTATTAGAGCTGCGACGCGAGACAAGGATCATTCTTGGTTTTTGAGTTTGACGTGCGACTTGTGTAACGGATATCTTCCCAAGTGGCTAAGCTCATGGTTGGTTTGTCTTAGTTCGACCATACCATTGTATCCTCTGCTCGCTCCCAGCGCATTCCTGGACTTTTTCAAAGCAAAGGTGCGATTGACGCGATCACAATTGTTGGAAGCTACAACGTGCGAGGCTTTTTGGCCGTATTCGGCGCCGGATTCATCGTCGCGGGTCCACAGGGACAATCTCCTAAGTGCCAATGGCAAATGTGCCGTCCCGAAGCCGTAGATCATGGCGCTGACTCCAAAGTTCCCCGGCGTGATACCTGGCGTCCTCTTTGACTTTCGAGTTGAGGGCCTAAAGGTTTCCGAACATTTCTCAAGCGGGGTTATTCTCTTTTCAGATGTCAAGGCATGATTGTCAAGGCTCGTTCGCTCTGGACTTTCATAGACGAGCACGGAGTCCTCCCTACCGAGACAGGAAGTCGGGTGAGTGCTCGATGTTGACTCTGCTTTTTGGCGCTACTTTGTCGGTAAGTGGTCGGTTCGCGACCCCCAAGACACGTTTTGCTTCGCTTGTCGATAGAGCTCGAAGGGGTGCGTGGCCCACAGACCGATAGACCAGACTTAAGCCTACCAAGGATATCTAGCGTTCCGACTTCCGGCCTAAAGGCCTTTTTTTCCACAGGAACTGTGTCAATCCTTACTGTTTGCAGTATAGGTGGTATTCAGAAGAGATGACTTAGGTCGGCTTGCCAGCCCTTTTTGCATCGAGCCTGCTGCACTTCTAACCACTCTGGTTTGAACCTACCGGCATCATCTGCAAGGGGCATTTCAGGAGAAAAACTCAGGTGAGAGCCAGAAATGAGATAAGAGGGACGAAGCCTCGAGCGGTGCGCTTGTATACAGAGTACGAACAAATCAAAAATGGAGGTCCCAAAGCCAGACGGCCCTGATGTTAACAGAGGTATGTATGATTTTGTGTAGAGACATGTTGACAGCGAGCTAACTCCTGGACCAAGGAAACGGCATCCTTATTGGATGTTGGGTACTCACGGCGTTCGTGTTCTTCGTGTTGACCTTCCGGTATGCTGTGAAAGCCTGGGTAGCATGGCTGCTGCCAACGATCTCAAAACCTGAACGAGTCTGGGGAGTGGAAGACCTTTTCTTCGCACTTGGATATGCTTTTGATATTGCACACATGGTGTTGGTGTGGCGAAGGTGACCTCTTCTTCCCTTCCGTCGGACAGGGCATCAACTGACTCTTTTTCCAGCCACGAATGGGGTTTGGGAAGGCACTTTTTCTACCTGACGCCGATCGAGAGAAACCGTGCCATGAAATGGGATTTCATCTCCCAACCTTTCGCTGTTGCTGCCGCCATGTGGTCTCGAACTGGTGTCATCCTCTTCCTGTACACATGTTTCGCACAAAATCGGAAGAGCCTGCGAATAGTCGTCATCGTCTGCTTGGTGGTTCAATTTGTCGCCAACCTGTTCACCATACTCCAGATCTTCCTGCAGTGTGGACCGAACCCATATCGTCTTGTCAACAGAGCGGCTTACTTTCACTACATGTGGGATCCTCTGCCCACAGATGGGTCCGCGGTATGCCAGGCGCCTACCGTGCAAGCCACCGTAGGATACGTTCAGGGCGGTACGTCAGATATGCACCATCTCCCAGTATCGAAGACTAACATTGGCAGCTCTGAATACTCTCGTCGACTTTACCTTGACATACCTCGCAGGCTTCGAGCTATGGCAATTCATGTTTCGAGGAAACACCGGCGGTCACCACGTGTCGGTTTTGGGGAGATTCAAGAAACTCGACAGCCGTATCCGCAATCAACGTCTCTGGCAGACTGCCCTCTTGTGTGGACCGCTGCTTCTTTCAGGAGTTGCTTCGATTGTCAAGACTTATGTAAGAGAAGGTGAATTGTGTGTGCATGGGTCAACTCGCTGACATTCTTTCCAGCTACTCTCCGCCCTTGGCAGCAGGTCCGATTTCACCTGGAACATCGTGCCTTTTGTCCTTTGGGTCAAGTGAGTACATGACCCGTGTCCTTATTGCTTGATCACTGACTGTTACAGGATTGAGAATTATTGTATCCCTATAGCGACGACCGCACCGATTCTACGTCTCTTCATTCGAACCTTTGTTGATCAACGAGGCGCTGACAAAGGGTATGGGATCAGTACCAGCGGTGGAATGCCTTCAAAAAGCGGACATGGCATCGAGTTGACGTCTCGTTCCAAGAACCGATCGCGTGTCAATCATGACGGCAAGGATTTCGTTCACATGAAGGATGTCGATGAGATCAGCGAGCCTGCTCCAAATGGAAGTCTGCACGGTTCGGAAAATGAGTTGGTCGGACACGGAAACGGTATCATGGTGAAGCAAGAGTATGAGGTACGAGTCGAGGAGGGACGAGACAACAAGGCCCTCCCCATCATGAAGCCATACTAGATGGTGTATGAATTGTGTACTATATGGTGCGATAGGTAGAACGTTGTAGACGAAAGGTTTCCGTTGAAAGGTATGTCGTCGAGCCATCCAAGTCATTAGCACTGGTTGGGGTTTGGTGGCATGTCTCTCAACTCGGGTTTAGCGATACATTCACATACAAAAGCGATACTATTTTATACCATTCTCGTCAATAAATGGAAGATTATTGAGTCAATATGCTGAGTCTGCTTGGCTACTGGGAAGCCGAACTGACGACCTACGCCAAGAAATCAAGATATCTCTTCGTTTTAGATAGTCGGCCTATTGCCCAGGATTGCTTTATCGCTGCAGAGAATCCCAGCTCTACTCTTCTACCGTCAGGAGGTCTTCTGATACTGTGTTTGACGGTTCACATTAGCGTAAGCTACAATATCCTTCTCAAGACCTAAATTTCAGCCTTGAGGATTGCCTGCCTTTTCTCTTCGCTTCTTACTCGAAAGTCGACTGGAAACGGCTTTGGTCCGAACAACCTCGTCGGGTAATAGTTCCAGACATCGTACTTCGTCCCTTGACCGGTCTGCTGGTCGATGGTCGGACGCACATCAAACGCCCAAAGCAATCTCGCTGTCAGGATGAGAAGCGAATTTTCCGCCAAATTATACCCGGCGCACACACGTCGACCTGCGCCGAAAGACCAATGATCGCGGAGATTGACATCATTTGTATGTATACATTCGCCGGCCGTAAGGTCATTCACGGGAGTCCCCAAATAGCGATCAGGATTGAACCGTTCGGGTTCTGGAAATAAGTCTGGATCGAAATGCATCGCCCTGATTTTACCGCCACTATCAGATTCTGTACGTTTGCAGAGACAAAGTACTCACCATTGGTTTATGACGACCGACGACCCTGCAGGGATGAAGTAGTCCTTGTAGACGACATCGCCCTGGACACAATCAGTCACTACTCAGAACAGGGGGAGGCAAACTTGCCGAGCTGACATGGCGTTCATGGTCATTACTAACGCTTCTCCATCGCAGAACTTCTTTCACCATGGCCCGAATATATGGCAGATTCGGCATATCCGTGAACTCAGGCATGCGGTCACCCACCACAGCATCGAGCTCTTTCTGCGCCTTGGATACAACCTCGGGAAAGGCCACCATTGCCAGAATCATGCTGTTCATGGTCAGCTGCGTCGTGTCTGCCGTCCGTCAATCGACTGCATCAAACAGAATCTGGGCCACCTACCGCTCCCTGCTTCGATCATGCTACCAGCCGCATAAGCGGCCTGAGTCTCGGAGATGCCCATCGCAAGATAATCCTCTTCTTGGAATTTCTCGGCAAAACACCCCGTGCGAACGCCGGCATTGAGTCGCTTTTTGAGATCATTCCATAGACCCATCCAGAGTTCCACCTCCTTCTGATGGTAGGCTTCCCACTTTGGACGCCACCATTGCAGGGACTTTGGTAATCGTTCAAGAATGGGATACTGGTCGACTGTATGTACTTGTGCCATGGCTTCCGAGAAATGACTAGTCTCCTCGTAGATTGCCTTCAACACTGCTTCGTCAAGATCAAGCACACGCCGGCCGTAGATCGAGTACATAATCACGCTTGACGTATATCGCTTGACGTGGTCCAGAAAGTTGTCTGGGTCCCGTAGGATGTCAAGTAGATATCGGTGGGACTCGAGGCTTGATGATGGTTTTATGGCTTCGGCGGATTTGATGCTTAGGCAGCGGTGGGCAATGGCTCGGAGGGAGCGCCATTTCTTGCCGTATGGCTGCGCTAGAGTCAGCAAAAGTAAAGATCGACCCTGAAGAAGGCTGCTCATACCATGAATAACATCCGGTATCCACCAGAAAGAATGTTCATGACTCGGAATGCAGGTCGACTTCCTGTGAGGGCGCCATTCTTGTCGAAGATTTCCTGAGCGAAGCTTCAACGCAATGCTTCAGTCGCGATGGTAGACTGGAACCAACCTTGACCGCTTCCGGTGAACTGACAATTACCCAACGCTCGACACCGAGCCGGAATTCGTAAATCTCGCCATATTCTCGTGCCCACTTGACAAGTTGACTTTGACTGGGATTGTTCGTCACCCGGCCCGACCAAAGATGGGCATGGCCACTAAAGAATCGAGCACCAGGCGGTGATGGAGGGCGCCGGAGTCCCTTTGGTGTGGGCGGGCCTCGAATGGATATGATATTCCATGCTACCAAGGCGGCAAATGCTACAAAAGCGGTCGCTCCTAAAAAGATATAGCTGTGGGAGGCCACGGCGCTGATTGATATTGGCATGGTTGATTGCCCCGTCCACGGACTCGTATGCGAGATGTGTGCAAGAATTCTCGTTGTCGGTGTCTTGATGAGGAGGTTCCCAAGAAGTAGTCAGCTTCTCTCCACATCCCCACATCCTCTGATCGAGATTAGCGACGGGTAGTTATTTTCAACTGAATGATTGATCCTGGTTGGAAGAAATGCTATCTCCAAATATCTCGTCTCCATCCTTTTGTTGGTGGCGTGGAGGATGTGGAGGTGTTATTGGGGTGAAAGCTGGGGAAAATGTGGTCCGTTTAATGCCTCTCAGGATGGTCGACACCGCCAAAGAAACCTCCTTGACTGTCAATGTTAAGTTGCACCTCGTCAGAACAAGTTGGGTCTTGATCCGAGGCATATTCCGAGAGTAAGGAAGAGTTCGGTCTGCAGGATCGCAGCGCTGCAGGTCGGACGACGGGTTGTATCGTATCCTCAGTGTCAAGGCAACCAGAAGCAGACTGTTACTGATGGGCATGAAACGCGAGCCGAACTGTGTTGAGTACTTTCATTTTGCTTGTCTTTAAAGGTTCTTCTCATGGACTCCTGCACTCATGGTGCACTGCCCTTTCTGACCTTCCCTCTCTGTCTTTACATTTGTTACCCAGGGCAGTTTCTGTGCCGAACCATTGTCTCCTTTTTGGTTTGTATGGTCACTTCAGAGTCTGCCCTTCGATGTACGCAAAGATCCTCCTTATCTTTTCAGCCCTTACGCGAGCGCCTGCACCTTCCTCTCTCTTTGTTCGCATGACTTGCTGGTCGCTGGGAAAACGCCGTTCACAACGAAGGAAGGGCGTTAACGCCGCTCACAAGTCTTCACCGTCGCAGGGGCGGGACCCAGGTCAATGTGATGGCAGCAGAGAATGGAAGCGCTGGACTGGAAGAAGCCAAACGGTGTGCGAATCGAGGAAATGAGGCGCCGAAATCATCTGTGGCTAAAGGGTGTAGCCGACGGCTGACCGACAAGGATATTCGGACGATGGGAGATCGTCTGGAAAATTTGAAGCTCCTCAATCACAGGAGAGCCGCAAGCGGAGGATCTGGACCAGTGTTAGCCTCTTCTCGACAGGCTTATCTCGGCTGCTTCTTGAGTTGACTCACGATTTGCCGTAGCACACACCCAAAAAGAAAACATGCTCCAACAAATTTTTGACGCTCTCTTGTGGGATGCGACCGGTGAGGCTTGAAAGTGTCTCCACCTAGTGTAAATGTCCACCATCTTGCCTGCCTCTTCGCCGATACGTGAACAAGGCTTCGCATTTTTGCAGCTTACCTGCTGCAACTGCGATGGGGCTTCGGCGGCTGGGATTTTCGTGGCATGTCCATGACTCGCATGTGGTTCAAGTTGCCAAATAGCATGCGTTGACCTCCACTTGCCTTTCACAACGCGCCTGAATGGTCATGTCGCAGTCGGCATTGTTCTTTTCCCATGGATTGTAGAGTGGCGATTGGGTACCTCGCAGTGATATTGGCAACTTGAACCACGTGCGAGTCGTGGATAAGGGACGCGGTAGAGTAGCAGGAGGACATTTTCCGAGGTTGTGGTATGTGAGGGGGGAATTGATGTGCCACGATTCGAGGCTGGAGGCAGAGGAAGAGTTGTGATGAAGTGAGAAGTGATGACAATAACCACGGTTGCTGGATTTTGACAACGAAAGCATTGCAGACCTGAAAGCAAATGATGAAAGAAGCTGGACACGCTGGACAACCCCAACCGAGGCAGCTCCCAGCTTGCCAGCCAGGCTTCTCCGCAAAAGTACGATGTTGATTGGTGGAAAACCACCTCATATGGAGGAAGATACCTAGGTAGGTTGTTGGTAGGTGTGGAGGCACATCCGGCAAGGTTCCCTAAATGGTATGAGATGTGTGAACCGGCGAGACTGAGCTTGTCAGGCTTGGCCAAAGCTTTGGCGAAACATCATAAGTCTGCCTTCACTTCCGTCATGTTGATTGCTCCTTAGTACTGTACTCGGCCCAGGCTGGTAAGGCTTTACTCTACTCGTACGAGCTCGTAGGTACCTGAGGAGTGCCAGCACCAAACCTTGTTCTGTTACTTCCGAGACTTTGGCGAGACTGCTCTAACTGTATCTGGAAGGACCTGGAATTTTGAGAGCCGTGGATGGGCAGTCAAACAGATCGACATGATAAGGATCACACCAATTACGTACATACAATTGCTGCCCAGTCACTGCTACCCTTAGCTATCGAACTGATAAGCTACATCTCCATCTCAACCCAGGCTGGAGGGGCTCGGAGAAACCTTTAGCTTCAGATCAAGCATGATTCCCACAAGCCTAAATTATACGAGGGTGTGGCAGTGCGTCATGACAGGAGCTTGGACCATTTCATTGCAAAGTACTCCGTACACGTCCGTATCACTCACTGTTCTAACATCATGAGCATCGGGCTCGCCGGTAGGATTGCTATTGATGAATTTCAATTATACGCTGATTATGCCACTACAGGCTTTTCGAAACTTGTGTTCGATGGCAGACCAAACGCACATGATGGCACCAACAATTAGTGGTGGCTATTACGGATAGCAATTCGATATATCGCTTGCCATGTTCCTTCCCGGCCGTTGGATGGCGAACATTTACACCATGGCATTGCATGCAGCCTCCAAATCTGCGTAGGAGCTTTTCTTTGCTCTCCAGGATGGACTGAACCGATGTGCGCAGCTCTACTTGGTCCAGTCTACGTTGGTAAATTTACATTGAGACAAGACAAGCTCATCATTGATGAAAACTGTATCGATGTTGGAGCTGTTGGCGTAGAGTAGAAGTGCGCGGATTGGATCACGTATCGGAAACAATCGAGTTGTTTCGCCACTTGGTGACAAGTATGTCTGCCCTCTTTCCACGGTGATAGTGCCGGCGATGTCTCCAAGGCCAATCGACTTCCACGGTGGCCATCTCAAGGACCTGTGCGCATTTGCGTGACATGCTGGCAGGACAGTTGGGGCAGATGTCAATCCAAGGCTCGGAGACATCCGAACTCTTTGGCTTCGACTCTAAATGCAATTGGATGGCCTGATCCCATTTGTAATTCAATATCTGGTATCATGAACGGGCATTTCACTATCGCACGCGACTGCTTCTGTCGGTTGTCCATCCAGAAATGCCCTGGCATCTCCGTCAGGCCTACATTACCTAGGTAAGTTTCGCCAATGAAAGCGCGCCAGTATGTTGTTATCTTGGCACGATGTCACCCTACTGTATCGCCTACCAATGCGCTTTCTGAATGGATCAGGCATCTGCTCCGCCGAACCACTCTTGATACGACAGTGGACGATTTGCCGCATGCCGTAGTTACATGACGTCGCATTTGAAGGGATGCTTGCCGATTTATGCGAAGCTTGGCCGTGCTTGGTGCTTTAAAACTGGGGTGACTGCGGCCTTGAGCTTACACCCTTCTTTTCTGCTTCATTTCTGTCTCTGGACTGTCGTAAAGATGAGTGTCAAGAACGAAACCAATGCGCCCGATGAGAAGATCGCCACCGATGTTCCGGCTCGGGGACCGGGCAGTTTTAGTGACCATGTACGCGGTCGGCAGTTCAGCGTCGACCCAGAGGATCATGCTCTGGTGATAGCCGACCAGAACCTACTTCACCGCGATCTAAAGGGCAGACACATGCAAATGATTGCCATGTAAGACGAATACCGACTCGCAAGTGCATACTAATCGACGAACATAGTGGTGGTGCAATTGGTGCCGGTCTGTTCATTGGTTCGGGTGGTGCTTTTCAGACTGGTGGACCTGCTTCTGTGCTTCTTGGTTTCATGATTATTGGTCAGTTATACTCTGCAAAAACTGCGATGCCATAGCTAACGCATTTTTAGGTGTCATGGTGTATGTTTCTTGGATATCAGAAAACCATCCTTAGCTGACATGATCATTTAGCTACCTCATGATGCAGGCACTCGCCGAAATGTCCGTCATGTATCCCGTCAATGGAGCCTTCACCATGTACATCTGCCGCTTCGTTGATCCCTCCTTGGGGTTTGCTTGCGGCTGGGAGTACGCTATCAGTTGGCTTACCGTCCTTCCCTTTGAAATCTCGGCTGCTTGCAATATCATCCACTACTGGCCAGGTTCGGAGGGCATCAACAACAGTGCTTGGATCGTCCCGCTGCTTGTTGCTTTGACTGCGATTCAGTTTTTTGGTGTGAGGGGGTATGGCGAGGCAAGTACACCGAAAGACTTCTGGAAGATGAGCTAATTGAACAGGTCGAATTCATCATCAGTCTAATCAAGGTCATTGCCTGCATAGGCTTCATGATCCTTGGAATAATAATCAACTGCGGTGGCGTTCCGACAGACGACAGAGGCTACATTGGTGCAAGATATTGGTATTTCATACCAACAATGACTACCAGCGAGGCTAATTGTTCGAAACAGGCATTCACCTTATAGCGCATTCCTCAATGGCTTCCACGGCTTCTGCGGCGTCTTCGTCACCGCGGCTTTCGCCTATACTGGCACTGAGCTGACCGGACTGGCTGCTGCGGAAACGGCCAACCCAAGAAGAGAGATCCCGAGGGCCTCGAAACAGGTCGTATGGCGTATCGCCATCTTCTACATTGTCAACCTTTTCCTCGTTGGTTTGATCGTCCCGGAGAACAGTCCCCTGTACAGTGGCGAAGGTTCCGAATCGCGTCACTCACCTTTTGTCATTGCAATTCAGCTTGCTGGCATTAAGGTCCTCCCATCGATTTTCAATGCCGTCATCTTGATAGCTGTCATGAGTGTTGCCAACTCCTGCACTTTTGGCTCGACTCGAACAATTCAGGCTCTCGCGGCAAATGGTGCGTGCGCGATTCCATAATTTTACGATGCTAACTTTGCATACAGGCATGGGTCCTAAGATACTGGCCTACGTTGACAAGAAGGGCCGTCCTGTGTCTGTGGTCATTCTCCAGCTTCTCTTCGGTTGCCTGGCATTTATCAACTTGGCGAAGGATGGCGGAACCATCTTCAATTGGCTTCTGTCATTATCGGGTCTTTCTATCCTCTTCATTTACGGCAGTATCGCTCTGGCTCATATACGCTTCCGCGCGGCATGGTAAGCAGCAGACTTAGGGCTTGTGGTCCTGACTAACGACCTATAGGGCTGCCAATGGTCATTCCGTGGACGAGCTCCCCTTTAGAGCTGCTTTCGGCGTCTGGGGCTCGTGGTTGTGCCTGCTCATCAACGTCGTTAGCCTTATCGCCCAGTTTTACGTCGCGCTGTATCCAATCGGTGGCCCTTACCTGGATGCCAACACCTTTTTTCAACTCTACCTCGCTGGTCCTCTGCTTATCTTCCTATTCTTGTGTTGGAAGATTTACAGCTGGACCGCCCGGCCGGAGGACCGCAAGTTGTTCATCAGAACGAAGGATATTGATATCTACACTGGTATGAGGGAGGAACAACGAGAGATGATCAGTGGTGCAGGTGTCTCGAGTGAACAGAGGCGGGCCAGCATCGAAAAAATGCGGGAAGAAAACAAGCGGAGAGGTCCGAAGGATTATATCATGGCTGTCATCAGAAACATCATCTAAACCGTCTAGAGTCGGGATCATTATGTACGAACAAGAGATGGAGGATGGAGGTCGTGTCGATATGTAGTAGTCAGAGACACGACGAACCAAATAAAACCTTAGGAAGAAGTATACTCGGGAACTCTCACTCAAGTATTCGTATTCACTTCTGAAGTGCCTGGAAGACAATTTATAGATATCATGCAATTCAGTCGCACGCTTTAGAACTTTTTCACAGTGCTACACTCCGCAGTTTGCCACATAAGATACCTCGGCGGCCCGAGAGAAAACGATCGGAGCAATGTCCTCGTCCATTGGTCGCCTTCTCCGTTGACCTGTCGGAACCATGTCGGCTGCGGCACGAGAAGCATCCAGCATTGTAACAAAGTGTTGGCAAAGCCTCCGATGCCCGCTGCAACAGATTGTCTAACTCCGTAGGTGGAGGTGCCGATGAAGACAGCCCAGCAACGAAGAAATATGCAGGATCTGCAAGGCTACGCCGTCAGGGGCGGAGCTGTCCTTCGGTGGAATGCAAACCGAACCGTGCCCAGAGTTTTGCACTGCCCATCGTTTGGTTGACAGCTTCGAGCTAATATCAACCGCGATCTATCGCAACAATTCAGTAGCGAGCAAGATGACTGATGGCCAGAACGAATGATCAGTACCAATGTGACTTCGAGATCGGTCAGCTTGGCGCGACGCAATGCTGAAGACCCGACATCTATGCACCGCAATGCAAAAAATGCAATAACAGTGATCCTTCCTTACTTTTCCCATTCAGCCACCGAATTTGCGACCTCAAGCCTTCTGAACGGAGACTACTGAACCGATCCTGCTGAGCCGAGCCTCCCTCTCGAATCCACTGCATTGGATCCTACCTGCGGCTACGGCCCGCTCGATTGTGCGTTCCTCTAGAAAGCCTTGCACTCCATCTTCTGAGCGCAACCTTCCGACCGAGACGAAGCTTCCTACAAACCACAATTTGCCACCCTGGCAAGGTGCTACGCTACAATCCAAGGCAGGGAAATCCCAGAACCGAGACCGTTAAGATTTTTCAGTGACATCCGCACCAGGTGACAAAAAGAAATCGTACACATCATGGCATCGGGAGTTCTTGAAGAATAAGCACAACAACAGGTCACGCACAGGCTGAGGAACTTACGGCAGAAGCGCCGAACGTGGATCAGGACCAGTGGCAGGTGACATTGCTGACGATCGCACAATTGCGGCACTCCTTCCTGACGTCCACCATCTGGCCAACCAAGCCGATGAAGACGAGCACCTCCAAACCGTCAACGAAAACTCCCTTCTCCTGCCATCCGACTGCCTGCCACCCCAGAGAAGACGAATGGCAGTAGAAGACCCTCGAAAGACACCACTCGAAAAGGAACGGTTGCGAACAAAAGGCAGCAGTCCATCGTGGTCAATCCATCGACGACGCATCGTGCATAGCCACCAATGAGGAGTTGATGTACCATTGGCACACGATGAACGAATTCTACAAGCAAGCTGGATCTGGGCCAGATGGGAATGAAACCATTGATAAAACGGTACGGCAGGATGGTTCAGAGCCGCGAATGTGCATGTATTTCCATATGTAGGAGTATTCGGCACCTTCACGCTTCTCGAGAGTGCCGCGGACGTGACTAAGGCAAAGATGCTAATCGAAGTCGGCAAACAAACACCTATGTTCGCGCGCATGTCGACGATCCTAGGCAGTCGGTGCAGTGCGGATAACGTTAGAGACGTACGAGGCTTTGCACTTAAGTTTTACACCGACGACGGCAATTGTGATCTTGTCGGGAACAACATTCCGGTCTTTTTTCTTAATGATGCGATGAAATTCCCAGACCTTAGTGAGAGCCTCTGCTGCCTTTGGAAGCCACTATGTGGAACTAACTCTCGTCGCAGTCCACGCGGGAAAACCGGAGCCTAGACTAGAAGTACCACAGGCACAGACAGCCCACAATAACTTCTGGGACTTCCAGTATCTCCATCCCGAAGCCACACATATGTTCATGTGGGCAATCTCAGATCGGGCCATTCCCCGGAGCTATCGTATGATGCAAGGATTCGGCGTCAACACCTATCGCCTAGTTAACAAGGACGACGTGTCGCATTTCGTTAAGTTTCACTGGACGCCAACGTTAGGCGTGTGTTCCGTTATGTGGGACGAGAACCTCAAGATTGGTGGCCAGGATCCCGACTTCCTGCGAAAAGACCTTGCCGAGGCGATCGATAACGGTGTCTATCCCAAGTGGAAATTCGGTATTCAAGTATTATCAGAAGATCGACAAGACGACTTTGATTTTGATATCTTAGACGCGACTAAGGTTTGGCCCGAAGAATTGGTGCCTATCCGCTATATTGGCGAGTTTGAACTGAACCGCAATCCAGACGAGTATTTTCCGCAGACTGAAATGGCGGCCTTTTGCACCTCACATATTGTGCCAGGGATCGAAATGTCTGACGATCCCGTTCTTCAGGGCCGGAATTTCTCATACCTTGACACACAGATCTCTAGGTTAGGTGTTAACTTTCAGCAGCTGCCCATCAATCGGCCTGTCTGCCCAATAATGAATATTCATCGCGACGGAGCCGGTCAGCAACGCATCCACAAAGGAAATGTCAACTACTGGCCGAATCAATTTGAGGCGACGCCGCCGAAACGACCCACCGCGCAGAATTATAGCACCTACCCGGAGAAACTGGCGGGTATCAAGGCGCGGACAAAATCACCCAAGTTCCAGGAACACATCGACCAGGCCGAGCTGTTTTATAACTCACTGCCGCCGCATGAGCGCACCCACCTCGAGTCAGCTCTTTGTTTCGAGCTTGACCACTGCGACGACCCCGTCGTCTACAACCGTATCTGTGAGCGTCTGGCCGAAATGAACTTGCAGTTGGCTCAAAATGTCGCCGCCATGGTCGGTGCTGCGGTGCCGCAAAAGTCCCCACGGGCCGCTCATGCCCGCTCCTCGAGGGCTCTTGCCCAGTCATACTATGCCCCACGAATTCCCACCATCGAGACTCGCCGTGTCGCTATCCTTCTTAGTGACGGCTTTGCGAGCGCCGACTTTGCCTCTATGATGGCTGCGCTCAAAGACGCTCGCGCTTTTCCATGCATTATCGGCCCCCGCCGGTCCTCCATCAATCCAGCTGATGCCTCAGCCTCGGGAGCACAATCCGTCACGCCAGCGCACCATTTTGAAGGCTTGCGGTCCACTATGGTCGATGCCGTGTTCGTTCCGGATGGCAGCCACGTGGCCGACCTGTGCCGGAACGGGCGAGCTGTGCAATGGGTGCGCGAGGCGTTTGCGCACTGCAAAGCCATTGCGGCCACGGGTAGAGGTGTTGAGCTTGTGCGAGAGGCTCTGGGACCACTAGCGCATGGACATGTCAAGTTGTCGACCCAGGCCCAGGATCATGTTGAAGAGAGCTATGGAGTCATCACTGCGGGGAGTGTTGGGCCAAAACACGTTGGGAATGTGTTGGACATAATGAAAACCGCCGAGGGCTTCCTGGGCAAGTTTTTCGCCGCGATTAGCAGGCATAGGACTTATGAAAGGGAGCTCACAACGCAGCTGGCCTACTAATGGCATGATGGCCAAGAATTTAATGGAGGATCTATCTACCAAAAGGCCACTCCCCTGGACAATGCTACCAGAGATCTAAATCGTCACCTTACGATAACTTCACCAGTCGGAGAATCATTTGTTGTAGATGTTGTGACCAGGAAAGACTTTTATTCGATCAGATACAATCTGTTCAGGGTAAAGACACATAGGTCACTGTTGTATCTTTTTGGCTTTGACTTGGAATGCTTGTTCGGTCTCGACTGGAGTCAATCATCTCCAGACCATTTAAAATATCCTTCGTCCATGCACAACGGGCACGTGTTGATCACCCCGTGGTCCATGAGTGAAAAGGATGTCTCGACGTGACCGGCGGCTGCGATTCGTGCGGCGAACAGGAACATGGCCCACTGGTGAACTCTCAGACCCTTTTAAACAGCCGACGGTGAATTATGACGAAGTCGTCCGACATACGCCGGTAATAGTATATGTAGGCCCGCGCCACTGACGTTCTTGTTTATAACTTACCATATCTAGGGGCTTAGGTAAAGTCGATGCTCCGCTGCAACTTATCTAGTCACCACCAAAGCTGCTCTGTATAGTAACATCCATCACCCACCCATTTAGCAGCAATCCTGGATATTGACCGAACCGTACTTTCTCTCCCAATGAACCAAATCCTTAAAATCGCTATTCCCTCGGTGGTTGTCACCTACGCCACTTTGCAATATTTCGATCCTCATCAAACGGGTCAGCATTCGGCAGCCATGAGGGAAAGCTTACACGGTCAGCATCAGCCTCCTGTGACTTTTGAATTGGTTTTGCATGAAGACTTGCCCTTTTGCCCTGTATCACTCGTTCAGGCCAGTCCATTTTGCTAACGTATAATCGACCAGACGAGAACAAGCGCATTGGAAGAGCTCACGGGTGCGAGGAGGTACACTTGCAGGACCTGGACAAGTGGATTTCAGAATATCCTGAGGAGGCAGGGCATTGGAAACGACTACGTTCCAAATTCTATGAGAATAAAAATTCCTAGACGTCCCAATGAGCAGTTGTTGGAACACCTAAGAGTTTGTGCTCGTGTCTAGGTCGAGGAAGACTAGCATTACTACTTCCGATACATCTAAAAGTCGTTTGAATCTCGCGTAAATACCGCCTACCCTTAACTGGATCCCATCGACTATAGACTCGGCCGTGTCCGAATATCTGTAGACTCCATCTAAATACTGACTGGCAAAGACAACGTTGCTGAACTGCTCAATGAAACTCGAACTGACGAGTCCAGACCACGATGAGTGCGACGCAATGGAGGCGAAAGAGTCCAGGGGCACGTCAGGAGGCAAACAATAGGACGGGTGATGGGAAGTGCGGGGCCGGCCTTTCCGGCAGTTCCGCGGCTACCGGATGTCCAGGATATCCTACTAGGGAGGGATGTCATTTCGGAAGTCCGGAACCGGTGCCCATTGGATCACCTCTTTTTGATATGCTGCTCATCGATTAACAGGTAGCCAAGTACGCTAAGGGTAGGCGACTGAGGATGGCCATCCCATACTATTCAATAAAAACCGGTCGATACATTGAATGCGAGTGGATAAGGAGGTAGGCGATCAGCAAGAGCTTCGCCGACCGTCACGACTCCTAACTATATAATACTGAGAATCTAGGCTAGATTCTATATTAAATTAAGGTTTAAGCTTATAGCTTAGCGCTAAGTTAAGCAAGAAATTAATACCTAAGATTTTATTAATATTTTCTAGGACGATCCTAGATTATCGCTATATTATCCTAGCCGAGAGGCGGCGCGCATCATGTAGTACACCCGGGTGGGGCGGCCAATCGGGCGGGCCGGCCTTCTCCGATTCCAGGTGGTGCACCCCGGTAGTGCACCTTTCGTGTTATGCGCGTCCATCGTCGATAATTTGGAAGGGAATGGGTGCACTATGCTCGGCTTATCCAGCGCTATCGAACGCGGGCAATTATATAATCGTACGACTTCTCGTCGTTATACTATAGTTTTGAGATAGGTTATTATCTCTCTAATCCTCTCTTCGCTAAGTTTTAAGATAATTTAGTATAACTTTTATTTTTTAGTAGCGATTATAAGGGTTTAACTTTTTCTTAAGAGCTAAGATCTAATATACTAACTTAGTTATTTTTTATTTATAAACGAAAATAATAGTAAGATTTACTATCCTCGATAAAAGAGATAGTAAAGTTTAAGAATATTAAAAAATATAGCTTAGAGAAATATTCTCTTTAGTTTTAAACTTAGTTATCTCCTCGAGAGATATTTCTTTTATAAATTATTCGAGAAGAGTTTCTTTTTTTTTTTTTTAATAATTTTTTTTTTAGTTAAACTATTTATTATTTTATTCTATACTTAATATTTTTATTTTTTTTTCTTAATATTTTCTTTTAATTAAACTTTTTCTCTTTACTCTTTTTTTAAAATTATTAAAGAAACTTTATATTTTAATTTATAGTAAAACTTTAAAAACTCTATTTTAAAATTAATTTATTTTATTAAAAGATTTATATCTTATATTTAGTATAGAATATTATTAATTTACTTTTAATATTAAAAAAATATAAGAATTTTTTTATTAATTAATTATTATTATTAAGATAATAAAAGTAGATTTATACTTTTTAGATATTTAGTAATTATATTAGTTACTCTTACTTAATTAACTTAGAGATTATCGTAGTTAAATTTATAGTATTCTTAATTTATTTTGTAGTTAATTAATAATCATTAAATCTTATAGACTATTAAAGTCAATATTAATATAAGACGTTAAAGAAGATAATCTCGTTAGAGATAAGCTAATTAAAATATTAAAAGATTAATCTTATATTTAATCTCTACGACTTTAGAGTTTCTTTTATCGCTATCGCTATTATTAAAGTATTTAGGCTTAATTAAGAATATACTATTTTATTTCTAAATAGATATAAAATTTATTAAGTAGATAAGATTATAATACTATTATAATTAATATAATATTAATAGATATATTATCTATCTCCTTAATAAAACATTATATATTCTCGATAGCAAAGATTCTATAATTTATTATATTAGTCTAAATTTAATTAGTAAACTATCCTTAAGTTAGTACTTAACTTTAAAACTATAAAAAAACTAAAGTTCCTTAGTACTTATTTAGTAAATAGCTAAGAAATATATAAGTTTTTATTGTATTTCTTTAATAAGTCTCTTAACTAAAATAAAAATTCTAATATTATATTTAATAAGCGATTAGATCGTAGATCGTAATAATTTAATAATTTCTTTAATAAATTAATATAATTAAATATCTTAATTTATTAAGTAAAATCAATATCAATTAAATAGAGTTATATTATATTAGACCCATCTATTCTCGTTATACTAATAAAGATCTAGAGAGAACTATAAAGTTACTTAGTCTAGATAGATTATTTCTTAATACTATCTTAAATACTTAATATATTATTATTAATAATAAAGTCTAAATTATTAATTTATTTAATTAGTTATAATAAAAAGAGTCGAATAATATTATTTTAAGATTATACTAATTTATAATTATCTTTTATTAGTATTAATTTTTATTTTATTTTACTATAATCGACGTACTATAGTATATTTCTATAATCTTTTAGATAATTTATTATATTATTACTAAATTACTTTAATATAGTTTATTTAATAATACGAGCTATATTATAGTTAATATACCCTTAAGATAAACGACTATACTTATATCTATAGAATATAAATAGATTTAATTTAATATATTTATAATTATATAGATATTACGATTAAGATTTATCGTTATATATCTCTTCGCTAGGAATTAACGATTCTTATCTATAATTTAAAACTAAGTATTCTAGGCGATACTTTATATCTTAGTATTTATTAAGAATATATCTAGGCCTTCTAGATAAATTAACGATCTTTTATATATAAGTCCTAGATAATTCGATATTTAGACTTAATAGAATATCGAGCGTTAGGTTATCTATCTAACTCGATAGATATAGATATATAACTTATATTAGAAGAGCTTACTCTCCTTATACTTAGAGTTCTATAGAGACTAAAGATTAAGATTATTTAATACTAATTAACGAAACCCTTTATTATTATACTTTATTTATTTTTATTAGATATTCCTTATATTCTCTAAATATTAATTTAGAATCGATTAAAGTAAATAATATTTATTAATTATCTATATAATAGTTCTATAAATTAAAGTCACTAAAAGTTTAGCTCTATAATTAATATCTATTAAAATAGATCTCTTAAGTTCCTTAGACTCTACTTATTCTACGATTAAACTAAAGATCTTAAATAAAGATATCTTTAAAGAGATCGAGTCTAAAGAGACTACGACTTCACTATAGTTTAAGAACAAAGAGAAAAATATAAATATTTATAGAGAATAGGGTTAGGGTTAGGGTTAGGGTTAGGGTTAGGGTTAGGGTTAGGGTTAGGGTTAGGGTTAGGGTTAGGGTTAGGGTTAGGGTTAGGGTTAGGG